AAATTCGATGAAATTTTGATGAAAGAAGGTGAAGTCAGAGTAGTTGGTAGAGAAGGCTACAGTAGGGTGGCCAAGGCCACACTGGCTGCGCCAGGGATACCCCCAGGGCGTAGCTTTCCAACGGTGCAAAAAAGAAGTCTGTAGACCAACTTTTCGATTATTGCCGGTGTTTTGTAGTTCACAGAATCTCCCGCGGGCGCCAAATCTACGTAAGAACTGAGAACCCAAGGCTGGATTTCAGGGAAGACGAAAATTCCATAGGGAAGTCTCGAAATCAGAGAGAACAACGATCTCGCTGTCGCTCGATCGAAAAAAAATGATTGCAGCACCACAATTTCACACATGGTCTCCCACTGTATTACTCACTGTGGCCCTCGGGCGCTTGACGTTCGTTGATCGGACGGGAAACAGTATTTTCGACCGGGTATGGCCGCAACCTGAAATGTAGTCAAAGTCAACGCGCTATCTGCAACCGATCGGGGGCGCAGGGGGAGTTCTACAGTCGGAATTCGGGGTGGGAGGGAAGCTTGGGATAGCTTCGGGGGAAAAGGAAAGGGAGTGGGACGGTGGCGGGGGGCCTGGGGATATATACCAAGGGGGTACGAGCGCGGCTGCCGCCAGCTCCTCAAATAGCCCTCTCCTAGCCTCCTACGGAGCGTAGCGTAGTAGCGGCGCCTGCGGCGAGCCCACCTTGGTAATTTGGAGTCTTGCGGGGGTCTTTTGGGGCCTCTGGTGGCCTCTGGTGGTGTTGGTATAGTCGGACGACGATGTGGTGGCATGAATGGCACTTTAAGAACGAAATCGGTGGCTGGTGGTGGTTGGGATGCTTTGGACTACCCTCTAGTACCCTCTGATGTGCTGGAATGTTGGTTTATTGCTCGACTATCTTCTTTATGGTGCTGGACACTGGCAGTGGGAAAGTGGTACTTCAAACCACCAACCGGTGCGGTTTCCACCGGGAATGCCTCCTCACTACCTTTATCCAACTCCATTGACCTCCCAAAATGCTGTGCTTTCTTTGCTTTACCCCCTTGTGTCCCGTTAGTATCACCTTACCCTCCACTGACGCTTCTCACTCAAAGTTGCCACCCATGTCACCTATTATCGCCCTTGTCCCATTAATTGAACCTCTCTTGTAGCCACCATCACCCCACAATCCCTCTCCTTCATTGGAATCACCCTAGAAGACATCAAGATCGTGTTCAGATAAGGTTCCCCTTTCCCATTGCCGACGTGGTAGCTATTTCCCTCCTTGAAAAGCACCGCATCTTGGACATGTTAAACTCCTCAATTATGCTATCCCAGCTCATTTCATCATGGTCTTGTTGTCCTGGATTGACTTGACCATTTGGATTAAGGAAGAAGAAAGTAGTTGGGGAAGTACGTGTTCGCAAAAAAAAGGGGGGCGACGGGGTGGCTGGCTGGTGAGCAATCTCCAAAAAATGTGTGCCGCGCACGAAGATTGCTGCCCGTGGCACCACATAGATTGACGAATATGGGGAAGCAGTGTTACTTGGGATGTCTGAAGAGAAACTGATGCCGAAAGTGGGTTTGAAAAATTCATTGGTGGTGTCTGATTGCTCGTGGGAGGATTGGTTCTCTGGTTAAGTGGTAGAAATACGTCAGAACGGGGACGCGCATATGAAATTCGTCCCCATATACTGAAGAATTAATTGTATCAACTGGTGTGATTCCTTCTCTATGAAATATTTGACTTAGCCAAATCACCCCATGTATTTATTGGTTGTTTGGCCATATTTCTCGTTTAATCGCTACTTTTTTGGTTCTCTCAGGCTCGGTGACACCCTGTGAGCTACGGACGTAATTGACATTTGATACTCTTGGATAGAATGACTCTTATTTTATCTTGCTTTGACTCTATGACTTAAGCAGCTAGCTGAAGATTTTTACACCCTCTTTATGTCCATATGTATCGCCACTTCTATAATCTTGTAATCCGCTTGGTACCCGACATGAGATAAAGCAAATGGTCACCAAAAACTTGATATCAATCTCCTTTGGTTAAAGAAACATCAGGATTTATTCTTAAATTAATCTAGAGTTGTTTATATTAGTTTGGTAATTTTTGAAAGCTTTTTGATTAGTGTTTGGGTGGTAAAGTCACTAGCTTGGCCTTTTTTATACTCTCAATAATATTACTAATGAAGGGCAAGACAGCTAAATCTAAAGCCAGATAATATCTGGCTAACAGAGCTTAGATTAATCCTATGCATCTATTTTTCACAACTTTATGATTTTATTGGAGGTTCAGCTAGCCATTTTCTTCTGGGCCACAAGCGAATTGAATCAACACCTAATACGTTAATAAAAAAGTACTCCAGAGTTCCACGGCTTACCTTCATGCTCTTACTAGGCCTATAAATATGTTGCTTAAGTTTCACGATTTTTCAGGAACCTCAAGTGCTTTTTGGACTGGAAGTACCCCGGCTTCTCGTGGGTTCTGAAGTGTTAAACTGACGCGTCATGAAGAGCATTATTGCAATTAAACGTCCCTAGAATTAGCGATAGACGGGACTTTCTATTTCACAGCTCACGGAATATATATTTAGTAATATCCTAATAGTCAAACTTCATAAATCTTGGGTATTTCTGAAAATGCGGGTTGTCGTTTTGCTTATGTGCTGCGATTCTGGAGGGCTAACATAAATGCAAAGTTTAAAACAATCACCAAAAATCGAAATCTGCTTCAAAATTGAACTGAGTGTAGAGTATAGTTTCTTAGGTCGTGAATTGTACGTGGTAGAGTTTCGAGGAGCTTTTGAATGCTCTAAGTGGTATTTTCATAGCGTTGGTCAAAATGAAATTCTCGCACATACAAAGTTAGCATAGCAGGGGTGGAAATACTTAAGAAAAAAATAAAGTAGGAAACATTGTTATGGCTAAAGTACATAGTATGAAGAAGACTATGGCTTTTCAAGGATACAGTAGGTGGTTGCTTCACGTATTCGATCTATGCCAGTCGGTTTTTCAGTTGAGGCGGCGAATTACATCCATTAACAACAAATTGGGTGGCTACAGCAATAAAAAATTCAATTTAAAAGAAGAAGCAGTATATTTTAGGTTTTATGATTTTTCAGGGTGTTGGATACAACAAATTTGCCTTTATTCTGTCCGTTTCTTTTGAGATGAGGTCCAGCTTCTGCGTGGTTAAAATGTTTAGATCAACAATTTTAAACCTGCCACAAATTTTCCCGTTATAAAAGTAGCTGTAGGTAAGACTGTCGCTACTAAAGAGCTTAATTCTTGATAGTTTGGACTTGAATTAATTCAGGTGGATGAGAAACAGATTTTTACTTTCTCACAGTGGGGTCGACCGTACCAGAAGCCAAATTTGCATCAACACCAAATCAGCACATATCCATGAAAAAAACTCAATAATTAATTGAATATTATGTAGAGCTCGAATTTATTAAACAATTTATTCGATTCGTCTTCAACTGGAAGAGTTCCTCTGACTCCCCTCCTTGTGCCATGTCCACGTATCCCATTTGACTAAGAGGAAGCCTGTTACTTGAAGGATCATACGATGGTACTCTAAGATAAAATTAGGTGCTTTTCTTTTGCCCGATATTTTATCTATTTTTTATGGAGCTCTTGAAACCATTGAAGCACCCAAATAGGCAAGTCGATCAAACATACGAAACCAATTGATAAACCAGAAACGGAAAGCATATGAGACCGCCCAGTAACGATCAGAGGAAATATTATTCGAACGATGAATATATAAACCTGGCTTCATCCCTAGGTTCTTTCAACATCATCAAACAAAAATGGCCGCTCAAACTACTCAGAACAAGAACAACACTCCAAAGGACAACAACTTGAACAAACACGCTGGACGTGGTGCCGTTCCTTTCATGTGTACTATCGTTTAGATTAATACATACGATTCACTTTAACATCTTAAACTTGTAGAATTCGAAGTGGTGAAGTTCCAATCCTAGAAAGCACATTCAACTTGAGAACTCAAGACATTCATTACAAACGACGTTTCCGTAAAGTGATGAATCTTACTTCAACAAAGGGGACGAATTAGACCCTCCAAGTATTATTCTTTCGCCTTTCGTTATTCTTGTGTTATCATAATTTTTTTTTTCGTTCCTCTCCTCCACTGGTACTGGTGCACTTTGAACGCGCTTTTTCAGGAAGTTGAACTGGGTCAAAACATACTACTCCAAGAAAAAGCCAAAACACATAATGGCTTTAATCCAACCAGTCTAGCGTGGATCCGATTAAATTTTCTCAAGGATTATGAATATGTCATTGATTTAGCTGCTGGATGAGAACTGGGCGCTTGACACGCTGGTATTGAAAATGCCAAAACAACAGACCTGGCGAATCTCGAGTTGCAGCTGTCCGAGGATGATGAACGAAGCTCTACATGATTTATGGGGCCAAGAAGCATCATATTAATTGCTCTCTAAGGGTACCATTTCTTATGAAATGAAGTTATCGCCAACTGTTCGAAAAATTGACAAGTTTCGATACGCTGCCTTATATTTCCATGCTGAAGACAAAGGTTCTTGGAATAATGGCTGGTATCTAGAGCTGTATATCTGGAGATATTATTGCTGCAAGCTTGATGGGTACCGTCTTCATATTCAATGAGTTATGAGCAATTTGGATCTAATAAGATATATGTGAACTATACTCCTCCTGCTTGGTAACCCCAGGCTTGAATGGTATCACGAGGATTCCGCAGATTTTGGTCACTCAGGGAGTTTGCTTCCAGATAAATTGGATGTCTTTTGGGCGAATAAATGCATTTTCTGGCTTTCATGTGACAATCTTCGATAAAAAGCTCATTTCTTATCGAAAATGAACAGGGATAACGGATTCATAATTGAGGTTGTTTTCTTTATGCGAAATTTTAACTGTTTCGAACCTACGATGATGTTGGGTGTCATAAGGCGATGTTTTCATATCCAGGGCAGCTATGAAGGGTTGCAGCATGCTCAGAAAGGCCCCAAAATCTGTCAGTGCATTATGTTGGTCAACAGGATGATGGAATAACAACTCTGATTTTCATTTTTATCAGTTGTTTGCCGGTGATCCATCTTTTTAGGTGCTTCATTGGGACCATATACTTCTGACGCGCCCTGAAAAAGCTTGCCACGATCAAGCCATAAAAAGCCAAAAATCAAAGTGTCCGCAATGCATTTAAAATTATCTGTCCTTGGGGAAAATGAATCTAAGGATTTTGTTGATGGTGTTTATTTTTTTACAGCTTCAGAATTGATGTAATGGCGGCGTTTTTTTGTTATCGAAATGTCAAAATACGAATACTTATAAGTCGGGCCCCAATGAGCGGAAGTCTTTTACAAACACGTTTCCGAAGAGCCAATGATAAGAAGTATAAGGTTAAACCATCACCTGAAGTACAAGCCCATACACTATGGAACTATGGTGAATTCTGAGAATGACGTTTTTTTTGGGATCATGTTCATTACCGATCGAGGGATCGTAGGAAAGATACCAGAAAGGACATACCAATGTTAATTACGTCTCAGATTATATTGCTGATACCGAAGGACCTTTATCTCGCTTATGTTGAAGATCGCCAGAATTAATGTTCCAGGAAGATATCCCCCCTATTATATCCTCGTAGCCTGTTTTAAGTGCAGTGGCTTGTTTTGATAAGATGCCATAAAACAGAGCACCGAGCATCGGCAAATTTACCAAAGTTTGTCTATTTAGATAGTGCAAGGTTCAATTGTATTAGAAATAGAATTCTGCTCGATATAAAGGTCGATTCTAGAGGGAGATTACAGAGTCTAGTGGAAGAAATGGAGGGACGAAGAAGTTATCGATAACATCGCAGCTAGTGTGTTTGTAATAGTTCATTTATTTCATGATGCAAATTGTAACAGTGCCCCAGGTCAGAATCTGACTTCTACTGTTCATAAAGCACTTGCCTAAAAGGGATGGATCCTCACTCAGTATGGACTAACCAAGAAGAAACCCATACACCTCATTGCCCATTGCCCATAGGCCATTGGTAGGAGATGCAAGTAGACAAAAATGGAACAGGCGATAAGCTCAGCTCAATGGTAATTCTACAGATTTGACTGCTACAGGAGATGTTACTTGTTCCATCAAAATGGAGGGATGTCCCGAAGATCTTCCGCAGCCAGTTTGTAATACAATCTCCAGCTTCTGCCTCCCACAAAGAAAAAGAATAAGTAGAGACCTGAGTATTCGATATCCAGGACTACTCTGTTTTAGGCATTCAACTGGTGAGTTGGGATCGTAGGTTTCACCTGATGAGATGAATCTTAGCCGAATCCCAAATCTCGTAACTTCAGACTTTCCAGACGTCGAGGTCTCATTAGTACTATGCAAATTACAAGAAAAAAAAAAAATAATGAAACAATTTCTGTCCACAAAAAATCCAATTAAAATCAGAACATGTTAAAAACAAGATTTGATCTTCTCTTTTCTGGTCTCAAACCAGTCACACTAATTTATATAAAAATTTGGGGGTTTGGGCTACGCTGGACGACTCTCCACTTTCAAGGACGAGCAGATAAAAAAAAAGAACTCAAAGAAAATTTTACTACTCCTTCCAGCTTGACCAAGATAAACAGCCCAATATTCATGAGACGATTAGAGCTGTCCCCTTTTTTTTTGGAAGTTTGTTTTTTACATAAAAAGAAGGGATACCCAGCCGCACTCTTAGATTAGAGAATGCATGAGATCGTCGTGGTGCCTGAAGCGAACGTGGACCCTGCTTCCAATTTTATTACCTCCACGAAGGAATAGCCTTAGAATGGATACTCTTAGATTTCTCGGCGTTTTCGGACCTTTTAACACATGAAAGTGTACTAAGACCCCGCTTTTGAGACTACGACTCTTGCGGTCAACCATTAATCTTAAGATACGAGACAGAAAGCAATAGTGTAGTTATGAGCTAGGCAGTAGCCAAAAGGAGGTATAAATCAGAAGGAGAACACATGTTCCTCGTTTTTTCGGAAACTCACGGTCCGTTTGCCCTCCCGTTCCGCACTGGGGTACAACAAACAATAGGTGGCCATTGTGTAGGAGATCGAAATATAAGGTTGCAAATTTGCCGTCGGTGGCTTCATCAACTACTTTATTATGAGCTCAATTAACCTCGATTCGCTCCCCTGGTGGGCATGGATTTTTGTTTTAGTTGTGGTGTATAGCTTGGGCTCATACGCTAGCTACTACTCTCGGTTGCGAAAACTGGGTGCCCGTGAGGCTCCTTTTCTTAAAGACAGCGCCTATGGCTTTTGGTATACTACACAGATTTTGAAAAGTCAGAGGCTGGGGCAGTTACCTGATTTTTCAAAGGCTTGTATGACGATGCCAACAGTGATACGCTAATTTTCCGTTCTACCGGCAATTTACGGTACACTACAAGAGATCCTGAGAACATCAAAGCTATCTTAAGTACCCAATTCAATGAATTCTCTTTGGGACTTCGCCACAAGCAATTTAGGGTACTCCTTGGGGATGGAATATTCACTTTAGATGGTGATGGTTGGAAACATTCGAGAGCGATGCTTCGGCCACAGTTTGCCAGAGAACAAGTGTCCCATGTTACCATGTTGGAACCACACGTCAAGCAGTTAATAAGAAGGGTGAAGGCAGTCGATGGTTCAAAGTTTGACATCCAGCCCTTATTTTTCAAGTTAACTATCGACTCAGGAACTGAATTTTTATTTGGAGAGTCCTGCTCGTCTCTCCAAGATGACATTGTTGACTATTCTAAGCTTGTTGGCCCCGCAGACGTGGATAAATTTCCCCAAGCGTTTAACACATCTCAAGTGTACCTTCTTTTGAGATCGGGATTACAAAACTTCTACTTTTTGCTCAACTCCAGGGAATTCAGAAGATGCAACAGAATTGTTCGCGGATTTGCTGACTACTACGTCGACAAGGCCCTTGCAGCAACGCCAGAAGAATTGGAAAAGGCATCAGAAGGAAAATATGTGTTCTTATATGAGCTAGTCAAACAGACCAGAAATCCTCAGGTCTTGAGAGATCAGTCATTGAATATTTTAGTGGCTGCCAGAGACACAACGGCGGGCCTTTTATCGTTTTTGTTCTTTGAACTTGCTAGGAACCCAGCTGTTTTCAAGAAATTGCGTGAAGAAGTCGTGAATGCATTTGGAGAAGGAGAGCAGGTTGATTTAGGCAAAATGACCTTTGAGTCGCTTAAGAAGCTCGAGTATCTCAAATGGGTGCTCAACGAGACACTCAGGTTATACCCTTCGGTTCCACAAAATGCTCGCTTAGCGACGAAGGATGCAACATTACCAAGAGGTGGAGGGCCGGATGGTAATGAGCCAATCTTTGTTCCAAAAGGTGAGATCGTTGTTTATACGATTTATGCTACTCATCGGAACCCAAGCATTTATGGCAATGATGCCCACGTATTTCGCCCTGAAAGATGGGGTGAAGCAGATCTCAAGAAGGTGGGTTGGGGCTTCCTTCCTTTCAATGGTGGGCCTCGAATTTGCTTAGGACAGCAATTTGCGTTAACTGAAGCCTCCTATGTGACAGTTCGCTTGTTGCAGAATTTCCTGAACATCCAGTCATTTGATGATGCTGGAGACCCTAAGAAGAATACTCATTTGACTATGTCCTTACTTAATGGTGCTAATATCAGATTCTATTAATTTAGGTAAACTAAGATTTATGATACATCAGTTGTTCAAGGAAAGTCACCAAAACGAGGACCGAAGTAGCCATCAGGTGCCTCTAATGTAACATTCTTTAAGGTTTGTCTACCAACACCACCTTCAATTCCTTCGTATGGAACAGTATTGCCCCACCAAACAAGTGGTTTTTCGTTATACTGAACGGCAAAGAAAATGATGATACTGCTGAAAGCGACGCCTGCGTCCAAAGCTCCCGATAAAACATAGTTGTACTTTTCCCACCATGCTTGGTAGTGCTTCCTGATGTAGTACATAAAAGCAAACGAAGCGTAAACACCTGCCGTATAGTACGACAAGTTATAAGGAGCGTACACCAACATACCACCGATAATCAATGTGGGCTGGAAATATTTAGTATACTTCTTTGGACCAAATTTTTTGAAAAGAATGCAAGGGATAGTGGCAGCTGCACCCATCAAGAAACACCATTCGAGCAATGGATAAAGCCCACCAAAGACCTTTTTGGGACCAATGGTACCCCATAATACCGATGCAGAGAAGAAAACGTTGGAGCTTGGACAGTAGAATTTCTGATTGCTTTGAGGGGTGCAATAGTCTTCGACATTGTCAATCATAAAGTTCATCACAGCTAATGAAACAAAACAGTTAATAAACATGGAAAGCATTTGACAACGGAAGAGTGCTCTTGGAGGTATCTTGACATAGTGGCCCATCTTTTGGTCGGTGATATAATTCTGAGCCTGGCCATTGATGTTATAACCAAGAGCTTTGATAAAGTTCAAAGCAAGACCATTACCTGGCAAGGCGTAACCAACGATTAATTCAACCAAGACATTAAGACCAAATCCCCATCCTGTAGTTGCTTGGATAGCAGTGAGAGGAATCAAGAAAACCAAATTCATTCCAAGTGCAAAGAAGATACCCCAGACAGGCGTTTCAGCAGGATACACTTGAACACAAATAATGGCCAAGACTATCGAAACAACTAAAACAACGAGAAAGACCCAGTCTGCAACCTCCTTGTACTTCTTCATCATCACAGTATGAGGGTCATCGAAACCTTCGAAATTTGATTGTCTAAAGTTCTTGAATGAGCTACCAATGTTTTTGATGGCGAACCACATTGGTCTCCAATTCAATGCAACTTCGTAGATAAAGGCGAATGGATAGATAGCAAAAAAAGTACCATAGACAACCAAGTTGGCAGCTGAATAAAATGGTGGTCCGATTTCTTCGTACTTTTCAGCATCAAACAATGATCTTTCATTAACAACTTCGTTAACTTGGTATCTCTCACCCCTGTTGTTAAACAAAGTAGAGGTATTAATTGGAAGATAAGCCGACCAATAATAGTTTGAGTAGTATACTCCAATGATGCAGAAAAACCCAAGGAAAGTTCCAATATATTGGTTAATCTGAGAGTAAAATGGGATAACCAAAGCTGCATTCGTGTTAATGATGTTCCAATCAAAAGTTGGAATTGGATTCAAACCCAAACCATAGAGATGACCAGTGACCAAGTTTAATGTAAAATTCTCTGGAGCAATCCAGGTGAGCCAGTTAAAATATGACAATGCCTCGAAAAGGTATGTGGGAACCCAGAAATACAAAAACGAACCAACAAAGAAAATAAAGAAGAAATTGTATCTGGAAAGTGTCCAACCATTTATATTTGCTTTCTTTTCTCTTTGCATCAAAGCTTTATTTAATGCAACGGTTGGTAAAAGCGTGGGCCACATAGCTCTAACGGGATAAACAGCAAATTTTCTGATAAGCCCAGCAAATCCGAATCCCATGAATTGGGTAGAAAGCACTAGTAAGATTTGGTATCCCCAGTCGACCCATTGATTGTTATAGTAGTGAGGAAGTCTTTGGACATGGATATTGGAAGAAACGTAGGGAGTGCCTGCTGAAACAGAGTAAAAAATAGTGGCCAACATTTGCTCCTTGTAGTTCCATGGACCAGGATTCAAATCAAATGACCATTTCCAAATCTTGAAGGTTTTATGAGGAAGGATAGCTGCCATTAATTCACCGGAAGGATAAAGCAAAAGCTGAACAACAGAAGATCCCAAAGTAATGGCTGGTTGCCTCTCTGAGAAAAACTGATTCACAAAGGAGCCAACAGCAGTCCAAATGATACCAAGGAGATACACTCTCAATGTTTCAACAGGAAGATTAGGATCATCGTAAGGATTTGTAACAGATCTAACCTCAGGGTATGGAGAGTGGAAAGCAATCATAGCAGCCTCAGTACGGATTTGGAAGCCCCAGTCAAAAATTCTGAAGATAGATGATTCCACATCAGAGTTTGGTGAATCGGAAATAGAAACAGCCAGGTTGGTCTTCTCGGCAAAATACCCTTTCTCGTTGCTCAGAGAAGTCTTCTCATCCGGGAAATTCCCTTTTCCTTCAAATCTGGATCTAGCAAGGTACTCTGGAGCGGATTTGTAAAGTGTTTCAATGAAGTCATACTCACTGCTTGGAATATTAACATCATCCTTATGTTCTTCTAAGTACGCCTTACAAATCTCCAAAGATTCTTCCACAGACAAAGTCGATACCTTCTCCAACATGAAGGTTGCAGCGATAGGTAAATCTTCAAGAGACTCCAAATGCTCGAAGTTAAGACGCTTCAACACATAGAATTTTTGTTCAGCTGTGAGGTCCTCGGCAACATCTTCAATAGCTATGTCCTGGGAGTTGAGAGCGTTAATGTCCACTTCATGAGCTGCAATATCGGTACGAGAACCAGCACTTGTAATACTGGTAAGAGCGTGCACTCCGGTGATTTCAGTATGCCCCTTAGAATCACCAGACATCTTTGGATTTGTACGAAGAAAGTCACCATGGAAAGGGAAATTTTGTGGGTATTTATGCCTCCATTAGATCACGATAACATGCATGGTCCACGATACTCCTCAACTATGTTATCATCATTGATAATGAAGGCCCATGCGGCATTTTGAATCTTGTAAAGCCACAGACGGCTTGATTTTTACTTAGATAGCTGGACTTGCCCTGGTATAAGGCAAGCAAGAAGGTGAATAGGGCAAGTGCATGACGGTTAAGTCCCAGAAAAATTTTATGCATATGCCATTCATAGACGTGGCCGGCAAGAAGTGCCGCCAAAGCCTTCTGTTCCTTGCATACATTGTTGTAAGCATCAAGATAACCGAAGCGATGTCATGTATGTACTTAAGTAGACAGAAGACATACAAAGATCTGTTGCTTCAATCTTTAGAATTATTATTTCTCTTATTCCTTCCTTAAAACTTCAGTACGATCCGGTCTTATTCACATCAAAGGCCTCCGGCAACTTATCTCCACAAATGCCGACCTTATCAGTGCGTTTTGTATTTTGTCTTGGCAAAGCGGTATCGAAAGGCTGCCGCACACCTTTTAGGTGAAGAGGCTCTGATGGAACGTATAGCGGCAATGTCTCGTAGAAACAAGGCGACCCCAATACATAAAAAACTCCGTTTAGTCATTATTGAGCGGCATGATTTGTGGTAGCTTCGGGAACTCCGCCAAATATTGCCTTTCTTGCTTTTGTGTAGGGTAATTGCTTTCTGCTGATAGGCGTGCCTTGACCTGTTAGTTCATACACTTTAGGTGGATTGCAGAAAAGATGATTCGCTGACTAGAAATAAAAAAGAAGGACAGAAAAAAAAAAATGGTACAAGATAGATTGAGGTGGAGTGATTTGGAGAGTTCAGCAATCATAATATCATAGACGTGTATTTGGTTCATCCTTGATCAGGTTGAGCAGGGACGATCCACAGTGCACGAAAGGCTGAGTTAAAACAAAGGTACCACAAATATGAGACTCATGAATGACTAAATTCACTAATCGGCCCTCTTTAATACTTTAAGATCACTTACAGCATTGCAAGTCATGCTTCAACCACGAGTAGGCCTTTAACATGGTCGGGTAAAAGGTAAGAAGTCCGAAACTAAGAGCATGAAAAGTTTTCGAACTAGAAGGAAGATTCAAAAAACCGACTAGAGGAATAGAAGGGAGACAAAGGTCAACAAATCATTCATAGTATATAGTAACACAAAACAGCTCCGTATCTTAAGATCATGGGAAGTTGCCAACACGAGGACCGATATATCCATCTGGCGCATCTGAAATGTTCTTCAATGTTTGCCGGCCTTGTCTACCTTCAATGCCCTCATATGAAACAGTGTTACCCCACCATACAAGCGGTTTCTCGTTGTACTGAACAGCAAAGAAAATGATGATACTGCTGAAAGCGACGCCTGCGTCCAAAGCTCCCGATAACACATAGTTATACTTCTCCCACCATGCCTGATAATGTCTTCTAATGTAGTACATGAAAGCAAATGAAGCGTAAACACCCGCTGTATAGTACGACAAATTGTAAGGAGCATAAATCAAAATTCCTCCAATAATCAAAGATGGCTGGAAGTACTTGGCGATCTTCCTTGGACCATATTTCTTGAAGAGAAGACATGGAATAGGAGCGAGAGCACCCATCAAAAAGCACCATTCTAACAATGGATAGAGGCCACCAAACACTTTCTTGGGGCCAATTGTTCCCCACAAGACGGAGGCTGAAAAGAAGACGTTCGAGCTTGGGCAGTAGAACTTCTGTTTACTCTGAGGAGTACAGTAATCGTCGACATTGTCGATCATGAAATTCATGACTGCCAATGAAATGAAACAAGCAATGAACACTGAGAGCATCTGACAACGGAAAAGTGCTCTTGGGGGAACTTTCACGTAATGTCCCATCTTTTGGTCAGTAATATAGTTCTGAGCCTGACCGTTGATGTTGTAACCTAAAGCCTTAATGAAATTCAAAGCAAGACCGTTACCTGGCAAAGCGTAACCAACAATCAACTCTACTAACACATTAAGACCAAACCCCCACCCTGTAGTTGCTTGGATAGCAGTAAGGGGAATCAAGAAGATGAAATTCATTCCAAGCGCAAAGAAAATACCCCAGACAGGGGTTTCGGCAGGATATACTTGAACACAGATAATGGCCAACACAATGGAAATAACCAAAATGATAAGGAAGACCCAGTCTGCGACTTCCTTGTATTGTTTCATCATCACAGTATGTGGATCATTAAAACCATCGAAATTGGACTTCCTGAAATTCTTGAAGGAGCTACCAATATTCTTTATGGCATCCCACATGGGTCTCCAGTTCAAGGCCACTTCATAGATAAATGCAAAAGGGTACAAGGCAAAAAATGTACCGTAAACGACTAAGTTTGCAGCCGAATAGAATGGTGGTCCAATTTCCTGGTACTTTTCAGCATCGAACAATGACCTCTCGTTCACCACTTCATGCACTTGATATCTCTCACCTCTGTTATTGTACAAGGTGGAAGTGTTAATGGGGAGATAAGCAGTCCAATAATAGTTCGAGTAGTAGACTCCAATAATGCAAATGAAACCGATCACCATACCAATATACATGTTGATTTGGGAATAGAAGGGAATCACCAAGGCACCGTTAGAACTGATAATATTCCAGTCAAATGTTGGAATTGGGTTTAAGCCCAATCCATAAAGATGGCCCGTCACCACATTCAAATCAAAATTGTAAGGAGCGATCCAAGTGATCCAGTTGAAATAAGACAATGCTTCGAAAAGGTATGTTGGCACCCAAAAGTAGAGGAACGAGATCGAGAAAAACAAGAAGAAGAAAGAATATCTTGAAATCTTCCATCCGTTGATATTCGTTTTCTTCTCCTTCTGCATCAAGGCCCTATTCAATGCAAGCGTTGGTAAAAGTGTAGGCCACATAGCTCTGACAGGATAAACGGCAAACTTTCTGATAAGACCAGCGAAACCGAAGCCCATAAATTGGGTGGAGAGAACAAGCAAAATTTGGTAACCCCAGTCAGCCCACTGGTTGTTATAGTACTGTGGAAGTCTTTGCACATGGATGTTAAAGGAGACGTAAGGGTTACCAGCAGACACCGAATAGAAAATAGTAGCCAACATCTGTTCTTTGTAGTTCCATGGACCAGGGTTCAAATCAATGGACCATTTCCAAATTTTGATCGTCTTTTTAGGAAGAATAGCAGCCATTAATTCACCGGAAGGATAAAGCAAAAGCTGGACAACAGAGGTTCCCAAAGAGATACCGGGCTGTCTTTCGGCAAAGAACTGATTGACAAACGAACCGATAGAACTCCAAATAATTCCCAAAAGGTACACTCTGAAAGTCTCCACTGGGAGATTGGGGTCGTCATAAGGACTAGTAACCGATCTCACTTCTGGATAAGGAGAGTGGTAACCAATCATAGTAGCCTCTGTACGAATCTGGAAGTTCCAATCAAAAACTTTGAAGATAGAAGATTCGAAATCATGACCGGCTTTTCCTTCCGAAGGGGCAAACTGATCTTCACTACCCAGGAAGGTTTTCTCAGCGACGTAACCCTTCTCGTTGCTTGGTGAAAAGTCGTCATCCAGAGACGTATTTTTCTCAACTGTAACCACCCCAGGCGCTGCTTGCTTCTCGTTGAGCGGAGTGAATCCTTCTATATTAGAGTGGCCAAGATGTTCCGGAGCCAAGTTGTAAAGTTCTTCGATAAAGTCATATTCGACGGTAGGAATGTTGACATCATTCTTGTGCTCCTTCAAATATTCTTTACAGATCTCCAATGATTCATCAATAGTAATAGTAGACACCTTCTCTAACATAAAAGTTGCTGCAATAGGCAAGTCATCATACGATTCCAAAACATCAAGGTTGAGACGCTTCAAGACGTAGTACTTTTGTTCGGCTGTAAGGTTAAACGCAACATCAGTCAAAGCGATATCATGAGAGTCAAGAGCATCAATGTCCACATCATGAGCGGCAGCATCAGTCCGTGAACCAACACTTGTAATACTCGTGACAGCATGAACACCTTTCGCTTCGAACTGCTCTCTAGGCTCAGACATTCTGAAAATTGTTATCGAGACAACAAAGCAATAGGATCATCATCGACGATATTTATGCCTGTTCCCGAGAGCCACAGCAAGTTCAAACCAAGAGAAACGAGTCCTATCGGCGGGATAAAAGATTTCCAAGAATATTTTCTTGATATCAAGGATTGAGGCTTCCCAAAAGGAACACACCACATGGCACCAATACCAAATCTCCAAGAAAACGTACCCTAACGCTCAATTGGTGTGATAAGGCTAGAAGCTCTTACTCCGAGGTAATGGACCCGAAAACCAAGGCTATTCTATGGCAAAAGATCCTTTCGATACAATACGACCCATTTTACTTCTGGGTTCTCTCGTAAAATCGAAACATGGGCCTGAACAGCATTCCTGAAATGCCTGCTTTGATAGAAGACACAAGCATAAGGTGCTATGACTCGAATTGCTTATCAGCTCTGCCCAGAATTGTTACGGCCTGTGGCGTGTTTTCGGACCGTAAAATAGCCTCAAGACTTTTATTTTCTTCGATAACTTCAGGGCCACATTACCTTGGCGTTGTCAAACGATTGATCGCTGGAACTTATCCCTCAACGCCTTGTCTCAGGCTTCAATCGCGGACCTGATATTCTTGCATACTCCATTAGCTTTGAAGTCTAGATATTCGCCTTGCAGATGCGCAAAGGGCGACTGAGATAGCTACATGATTGTGCTATTTTAAAACGTGCAAGTTGTGTGATTGCTTCACTATGTCGAAAAGTTGTGGCTCGCGATAACCATGAGAAGCCTGATAATTAAACGCAAGCCAAGACCGAAAATTGACGTCGCGATACCAGTACAAAGGGTGTCAGAAGTCTTGGCCTGAAGCCGTGCGCCGAAATGGAGCCTCACGGCGCTCGCTTAAGTCTCGCACACCGCATAGGGAAACTATGGCGACGAGAGAACTGTGATTGCTAAAACTGACCCCACAGATTATTCGATTCTCGATTACCAATCGCCGTCCCATGAGTCCTCATCTTCGTCCACTTTTAGGTCTAATTTTAATGTCGATCCAGGCGATTTTGCCGCGGGCTTCTTTGCGCCCAATGTGAGGCCCGGCTTTGTCCTTGCGGCATTATCAGTCTTTCTTGCAGCAATACCGGCACCGGCACCAGGAGTCCTAGCAGGAGTAATTCTTCCCCTTGTGTTTCCATTCCTGCCAATCAATGGCTTAGATTCGACAACTGGTTCGCCAAACCCTTCATCGGAATCATTTTCCACATCCCAACCGTCTTCATCTGCGGCTAAGCTATTAGCGTTGATCTCTATACGGCTTCCGCTATTAATTCTTGCCGTTGAACCAAACAGTTGCGCTGGCCGGGTTGTTTCCACGGGCGTAGGCTCTCGCGTTAAATCAGGAGTTGAAGAATTGAAGCTCTTGTTGAGATCACCTCCAATTGCAGAAGATGATACTAATTTATTGACCATACTCCAGCCAAAGGACGTGGAGCTTGAGGTTTCGACTTCCTTCTTCAGCTCAGCCGGAGCCAGGGGTGCGTGCTGGCGGAAAAACTCCTTCTCTTCTTCATCTTCATCTTCTTCATCTTTCGGTAAAGAAGCTGCATGTTCTTCCACAGATGTCAAATATAACTGGAAGACTCTCTTTGCTTCTTCTCTGACCTTGAAAGATTTGGAATCCATGAGCGCAATTGCTAAGTGACCTAATACCTTTGAACAGATTTCTTCCAACAGAAACTCTGTTCGTAATTGTTCAAAACCAGAAAGTGCCATTATTTTACAAGGCACGAAAGAATCTCTCAACGACTTTCCAAGTGCGGTGATGATCACGCTATTCTTCAGATTAGCATAGATCTTACTTGAGACCTTAATAATTAGGATCAACGTATTAGTACGAATGGATGGTTTGGGGTCCATTTGAGATTTGGCCAAAACCTTCAACATTTCCTGGTTGATCTGCTTAACACTCACCTTGTCGATGATGGAAGTGAATGATTTAAGTGTCGTCTCACGAATCATGAAGTTTGTATCATGGAAGCCAGTAATCAAGCTATAAAAAAGCTTCGATTGGACCTCGCTATCGGTTAACGCGTGGGCATATTTGGGTAGGTAATTCAAAAGAGTGAGTCGTATGGCACGGTCAGGAAGAGTGAATGCATGGAAAATAATGGGCTTTACCGTCTTGGAGAAACCATCATCTGACAAGCCCGTTCCTAGCTTGAGAATGTAGTTTAGTAATACCGAAATGGTTTCCTGGCGGTATTGTTGCTGCTCGGCAGTGGCTGATGCTGCTGGTTTTGTGTTGACCAAATTGTTGTATTGTGTGATGATTTCTGGAAGCAACTTATTGTCCAAGTAACCTGGGGGAAACTCCTCGTCGATGTATTGTGCAACATCGTTCTTGAAAAAGGCTAGTTTCTCGTGGGCATTCTGAAACTTCATGTCTTCCAAAAGACGACTGAAAGATACAAGTCTATTGGAGCCAAAATATGTCTCTGTTTCCTGCAAGAACTTTTCCACGGTGATACGAAGGTTGGGTTTGACGTTTGTGAGTTTCTTGACGGGTTGCACCAAGGATCTAGGGATTTGGCTGCTTCCTGCAAATACTTCACCATTTGAAGCAACAACAGGGTCGTTATACAGCGTAGCTGCCAATAGGGTGAAGATAAACACACCGAGTTTGTAAGAATCGAACTTGAACGGATGAGGGCGAATAGCCTCGATGCCATTTTTCACTACCTCGTCAGGTAAATTTTCATTAAACATGGGGCAAGACGACGAAAGTCTATAGATTGGCTGATCTGGGTCTGATTTCATGGACGTTAAGAGTTCGAAACCAAAGAGTTTCCACTCGCCCTGGGCGTTGACAAACACGGAAGATGAAAGGTCCAAGTGGCCATGTACGGAGTACGCCTTAGTATTGATAAACAGCAAAGCATGGGCGACATTATAAACACCGTAGAGTTTCGTTTCTTTGGTGATCTTGTCTGAATGTGTGTTCAAGTAATGTTGCAACGGCGTGACGTGCTCCGTAACGATGTATAGGTAAGACTCTGATTCAAAGTAGTCCACGATAGACACTATTCCAGGAAACTTGATAAGTTTCAGTTTCTTAAAGCAATTTCTGGCCAAGGAGTCGTAGTTCCACCGAGTAGCAGCAGGATCCTTCAAATTAAACTCGAAGATCGTGACTGGAGTGTCTGTCTTAGGGTTCAAGCCATTGTAAACAGTCCAGATCGACCGAGAATCCGGGTACGTGGCTTTCAAAGGATCTATGATCTTATCCTTGAACGTATAAGGAATAGACGTTCCCGTTAAGGAAGATATGGCCGAGGAAAGGAAGTTCATGGCCTTGGATCAGGACTTGTCTTTGAAGAATGTGGTGATGTTTGAAGTTATAGCGTTGGCTGCGAATGCAGGAGACAGACGATGGAGGTCTTTTCCAACGAACAAGGACTAAGCCATGGAGTGGATGAAATGGTAAATAAATAGGTTGGGAGAAAAGTGGATGAAAAGTATTGTTTTGGTTTTTTTTTTTTTTTTGGTGTTTTTGGTTATGGCTCAGGAACTTCACTATACATTGAGTGGAAGGCTGATGAACCACAGAACACGACGCGTAGGCTACTTCATCGAGGTGAGCCAGCAAGGAAGAAAAACAAAAACCAAGTTTAAGATATGTTGGGAATTTTTAAAGCAGTTTAATCGTTATGTTAGTATGTCGTGTTTGTTTTGGTATCCTCTTCAAGCTCTGACAGCCTTAGACCTTAAATTGGCTTCTATTATGAGTATACCAACAAGAGCTGTTCAAGCTCGAGCACTTTCTTTGAAACGATCCCTTTAACTGGACCCTTTGGTTTTCTGCTGGCTTCTTTTCCTTTTCTGTAATGTTAGCTTACCATTCGTCCCAGTCTCTTACAAGTATGTGGGTGAGCTGAAACAGTGCCTTCTTCAACTGGACCTTGAGAGGCCACACTGAACTCAATTTTTGGCTAATTCAAGGTACGAAGAGCACGAAACGCTAGAAATTCATTCCATAAACGTCAATCACATTTTCTACCTTTTAATACGAAAACATGTACTTCTTCAGAATACGAGGTTGGGGTTGTGAGCCGCGCCAAAATGGCTGCAAAAAAGGGCCTTGGAACATATATAAAGGGCGAATTCCACCTACCGGCCAGTACCCCTATAACCTAGAAACCATGAGTTTTGCACGGCTTCTTGTTGATATTGAGCCAGATTTTGTTTCTTCTTTTCGAGGAGTCGACCATGAGAGTACCTTTCCCACTTTGGAAGTCGTGAAACGGAAATGGTACTCCTTCTTGTTTGGAGTGATCACTTACTTGATATTTGAGAAGAAGTTGGTTGATATGGTGCTTCAGTATTGGCCCATCTGGAGAGATTTTGGTATATTTTCGTGGTTTTTTACCAAGAAGAAGGTCCCGTTAGCCCCAAGCAGCATTGCCATGGTTGCTTCTTTAACGCCAAATGAAGGCGGCCAGCCTGTCGAACCGATAGCTTATTTGGATGCCAACAGAATAATGCAGTTTCCCGATCCAGAAGAAAAGAAACGCTACGAGAACGCCATGGCTGAGTTTGATAAGCAGACAGCGCTCCATATGGCTCAGGAAAAGGCCCGTTTGGCGGCAGAACTTACCTACCTTGTGCAGTGGTCCTGGGAACTTGGCACGGTTGGCACGGTTTGCTTCTTTATCCCGGATCCAGCCAAAACGGTCGATTATGAAGCCATTAAGGAGGCGTTGAGCGAAGGAAGGAGGGGCATTGTTACTGTCGTGACAGGTGCACAGAATATTCAGGAACTTGACGTGGGGAGTGAGGACAGAGAAGCAGATGCTGTTGATGGCGTTAAAAACATGAAAGTTTACATTGCAAACCAGCTGGCGTTTCCTTTAAGCGAGACTTTTGATCTTATCATATCCACCTCCACGACGTCCCCTATGGTCAGCCTTCAAGCGTTTATGTGTCAAGGAACACCGTTGATTACTCCTACCGCTCGCACATTCAGCCGCGCTACTTTCAACGAAGCAATTCATCTTTATTCCACGAACCAGGGTAAAATTGATTAAAAGATATTGATAACTTACAATTGAAAGATAAGGGAAACGAAATATTCCATCAATTCATCTCGTCATCTTTGCCTCTTCCGCCGAAACGAGTCATCTCTGGTTTGCTCTGACCTGCGTATAGCTGCCTCTATCAGTCTTATTACTTGTTTAGATCTTGTCTTGTGCGTCCCTATACTACAACAACCATCACCACATGTTAAGACATATAGATCCTTTACAATATGGAAGAATACTAGCTTGGGCTTCTCGACGACCCTCTCATGTCTTGAGGTTCCCCCGACCTGCTTCTAGTCCGCCGCTAGGTAAAAGTACATTCCCAGGAGGACCCTTGAGCCGAGGATTCAAAACGCTACACAACAGAACCTTTGAAGAAGCCAAAAAGGACGACAAACCGAAGGCTGCCGAGAACACCTCACCTGGTGAAGATGGCAAGCCTTCTGATAAGGATACGAAGGTTGCCAGTCCAGACTCCGCCTCGCTCTTCAACTTCTCAAACCCAGTCGTTGTACCACCAGTTAATCCCGAGCAACAGACCCCTGAAGTGGATGAAGAAAGCGCTGATGACTTCCTTACTACTATTTTCGAAAACATGGAGCCATATATTGATACCTTTGACGTCTACAAGCAACTCACGCGAGCAGGTTTCACTCCGGAGCAAAGCGATGAAGTCATCAACCTACTCATCGTTCAGCTTAATTCCAAACTACTGAAGCTTTCTACCAAATATTCACAGGAGTACGAGCTCGAGAATGAGCGGTACCTATTCGAGAGTGCCCAGCAAGAGCTCAATGTGGATATCACCCGTAATCGTGAGAACCATATTAACGAGCTGATTAACCAAATCAACGTGTTAGAGCGTGACTTTGGTACTATTCGAGATGAACTTAATAACCACTTCATTCAGATGAAGAACGATATCCAGGTTGCTATCAACGACCAGAAATCCGAAAATACTCTTATGAGCAAGAATATCATGCTACGCATCAAAGAAACGAACCACAAAATCACTACAGACTTCACAATGGCCATGAGGTCGGAGATTGAAGGGTTACGTTGGCATTTGTCTCGGTGGGGTTTAATTGCCATCTTGGTGTCTGTCTTTTCGACTTGCGCTTCTTTCTACATATACAGAATCCGGAGTTTTAGAAAGGATGCGGAAAAGAATGAGTTCGTTCCTTTGGTCATCTACGAACCTAGCGAATACGACGAAGACGACTTCCACGCTGATTTGGACCCAAGTATCCTATAATCCCAGTCATGTTACTGCCGCTGAATACACGTGACTTTATACCGAAAAGTGGGCACACCGCACTATAGCAAACGCTTCAAAGAGTTGCTTCTTTCTTGCTGAGAGCATACACCTTCTTTTATCAAATCACAAAAATGTCAGACAACTCAGAAGGAAACGAGTGCAAGCCTCAAGCATGCGCAATCCAGGATTGTTTGCAGAGCAACGGGTATAACGAGTCCAAGTGTACGAAAGTCATTGACGAATTGTACAAGTGCTGCAAAGAGTTCTACGAGAAGAACGGACCGGAAGCTCAAAGCGTGTGCTGCCCCAAGTTCAACTTGTTACAAACAAAGCTCAAGCAGAGGCTGTTGGGCAAGATAGATGCCGAATTGATCAAATAGAGGACAGAAATCTAAGAATCACAGACGCCGTCATGGAAACGATTCGCCTTGGTCTTTTGAACGCAGTGTTGGTGATGATGATGGAATGTAAGTTACGAGCCGCGTAACTGCCTTGAAAGCAGCACGACACAAAGGGCCGAAGAAACTGGTTAATCTAAGGCTTACCCGAGCACGAAAGGCCACACAGTGGCGCTGATTACATGTGGAAGTAGGCATGCAAACCGTGACTCTAATGGGCGCCTACAAAAAGACATTGTATAAAGAAGAAAAGATCTCATTTGGAGAAATTTTCTCCTGTCTTATGGCAGCACCCATCGAGAGGTGCGGGTAACCATGCACTACTTTGCAGTATTGGGTGCAAAATGGCCAAAAGCCATGCCAGCAACGAACGCCATCATGGGCAGATGATTCTATTCTATTTAAAAAAATGAAGCAAGGCATACACCTTCTCTACCCTCTTGTTTATTTTCTTGGGTCGTCTTTCTCGTGCTGAAGGCCTGCCATGTACTCACGCAAATGAGGCGTTAGCTGGCTGTAAGGCGACGACCTGTCCAACCACAAGTATTCCACGTCATTGACCACCTTAGATCTCACCGACTGGCGGTACTCCTCCACCGCCTGGTCAGCCTTCACAGGATCAAGACCAGCGTCAATAAGCTGTTTTTTAAGCATGGAAATATGAACACCCATCTTGAACGTGGCCCTGTGCAGCGCCCGGCTAACCTCTCTTAAATGCTGTTCGTATTGTGCCTTGTATTTTGCAGCTATTTGCTGTTGTTGTTGCATGGCCTTGGCGTTGATGGCGTTGGTCTGTTTGATCACTTTTTCAAGTTTCACCTTAGCCACATAGTTATCATAAGCATAGTACGCAATTCCAAGCGTGGCTGCAAAGTTAAGCAAGTCCCACAACGTACGTGCCCCCAGCGATCTGTTAGGGTCTGGGAAGTTTGGTGTGGAGTTGGGTGGAGGCATGGACTGCCCTGAATGGCTTTGGCTGATTGGCTGAGGCAGAGCCATGTCTGCATTGGCATTAGGCACAGACCCGTATGGAGCTGGAGGGTTGCCAGGGTTGCTGAAGTGGCTAGGAAGCTGCGACATCAATCGCCTCGACATGAGGGAGTTGTGGCGAAGCATGGGTGTGAAGATGGAGTAGGTAGTTGGTTGGTGAGACTGGAAAAGTTACCTGTTCGCGAAAACGCCTAGTAGGGGAACTGGTGGAGAGGTGAAAGTAGTGGGTGACGGTGTGAAGAGGATGAAAAGTTAAGATATGATAATGTTATGGCCTTATTAGGAGTATGCATTTTTCATTCTTGTAATCTAGGGTTGCCTGGGTGTAGACTTTGGGGGTTGTGGTGGCATTTCGCAGCCATACCATCGTCCCATGTCTACAATGTAATCCAGTATTTTGTGTACTACAGCTCTATTAACTTATCTTGCCTTACCATCAGCAGCCTTGACGTACAAGATATCACCATCCTCGACAAAGTAGTCCTTACCCTTCTGCATCAACTTACCGTTGGCCTTGACGGTAGCTTCGTCGCCGAGCTCAACCAAGTCCTCGTATTTGATAACCTGTGCCAAAATGAAAGTTCTCTCCAAGTCAGTGTGGATGGTACCAGCGGCCTGTGGAGCTGTGTAGTATCTTCTGATGGTCCATTCTCTAACCTCATCTGGGCCACCAGTGAAGAAAGAGATCAAGTCCAACTTCTGTCTCATGGTGGTGATGACCTTTGGCAAGACAGACTGGGCGCCAATCTCCTTACAGTAGGCGTCTCTCTCCTCGTCGGTTTCCAACTGAGACAAGTGAGACTCCAAGGAAACAGAGATTGGAATGATGACATCACCAGGAGAGTTGGCGTCAACCCACTCCTTGATCTTCAACAACCACTTGTTCTTCTTTCTGACGTAGTCACGTTCACTCAAGTTAAGCAAGTAGATACATGGCTTGGCGGTCAAAAGGAACATGGAGTTGATCACCTCAACTTCCTTCTGGGTCCACTTCTGGTTGGCAACTCTGCCACCGTCTTCCAAAAGCTGGATGATTCTCTTGACCAACTCAGCCTCCTCCTTCTTCTGCTTGACTTCCAAAGACTGACCACCTCTCTTGGTGATCTTGTCAATGCCCTCCAAGTGCTTGGTTGCAAACTCAATGTCCTTCAATCTCAATTCGTCCCTGATAATCTCCAAGTCAGCAACTGGGTTGACCTCGTCGTTGATATGGATAATGTCAGAGTCCTCGAAACATCTCACAACCTGGTAGATAGCATCCACAGCTCTAATGTTGGCCAAGAAGTTGTTACCCAAACCTTCACCGGCACTGGCACCCTTGGTCAAACCAGCAATGTCGTAGATGGTCATGAAAGCTGGAACCTCAGACTTAGGCTTGTACAACTCACATAACTTGTCGAAACGAGCACTTGGCACAATGACACGGGCTTCTTCAGGCTCGATGGTAGCAAATGGGTAGTTTGCGGGGTTTCCCAATGGGCATCTGGTGATGGCCTGGAAGAACGTGGACTTACCGACGTTGGCCAAGCCGACAATTCCCGACTTCAAGTTGTTACCTGGTCTTCCGAGCAAAATTGGTTTTTCAACCACTCCTTTCTTCTTTGGTGCCATGGTGATGTGTGGTTTTAGAGGTTTTCTCACCGATCGAATTTTCGCTGCTTTTTTTTCACAACCTTACATCTTGCGCCGATTATATGAACGTCAGTCAGATGAATCTTGTCACGTGTAATTCCAGCCAGTCCTCTTCTGCCGATTAGAGGACGATAAATCCAATAAAAATACTATTTAAAGTCACTTACATCTCTTCCACTTCTTTCTGGTCAACGTCTGGCTTCTTTTGGACACTTCCTACTTTTTGTGTGCAGCACTACCTGTCTGTCTCAATATATCGACTTCACGCAAACCTACTACCTTTTTCACGTCACCAATGCTTTCACTTCGTTTGGCCGCCGCCAGAAGCCTCTCAGTGTCTGCTGCAGTTAAGCAGTCGATCTGTCCTGCTGGAACAGTTCTCAACCTTAAGATCAGAAAATCCGGCGATGAGCCTGTGGCTTTGAAGGATGAAGAGTATCCTGAATGGCTCTGGGACTGCCTCGACAAGAAGAAGTTGGATGACCAGTTGAAGGAGACCGATATCATGAAGTGGAGAAAGAAGCAGCTCAACAAGGCCAACTGTGCCAAGATCAAGAACAACAATTTCGTCTCCCAAATGTAATATTTCCTTCACGCATCAATCCATCATCATTCATCATTCCATCTCCTGGCATCTGTACATAGAAAGCATGCAGAGCATGTCAATACAATCTGTTCTATACTTACTTTTGTATTACCTTCGTCTACCATGGATTCTCGTCATTATCACCCCAGTTTCTGTGCACTAGCGACAGAGGAACTTGCACGGTCTTGAAGAGTTCATCACCCTTGAAAGATTTCGAGTTCCCGTCCACAGCTGGTCTTTCGTCGATATCGTCACCATTACTAGTCTGGACTGGCTCTTCTTCCTCGGCCTCGTCGTCCGTGTGCTCTTCGTAGTCATAGGTATCGTTCATGTTGGACTCCTTGTTCTTCGTGAGAATATCATCCACGTCGTCCAACACAGTGACTGGCAAGGTTGGCTGGAACTTCTTGGCTCTGAGCGACTTGATGCCTCCAAGGCCTGCTCCGTAGCGGACAATGAGCTCGTTTAAGTTGGGCAAGCCAACGCTGAAAATGAAGTTGGGGTTGAGGTAAATGTACAACTCCTTCAGCAAAAACGTGCTCTGCGTCATGTAATGCAAAAGACTCCGTTCAATCTGCTTCTCGCCGTGCTCGTTCATAAGACGTTTAAGATACTGAAGAAGTGGCTTCGGTAGCTTAGTCTCCTCGACTTCGTAACGATAAAGCTTGTTTGCGACCTTGAACAACTGGTAGTAGTTGAGCGTATCGAACTGATTAATGGTGTTGATGAGACTCTCCTCATCCTTAAGCGCCGACATACATTGCAACCATTGCAATAGCTCTATGGTGGGCATCAACTGGCTCTTGCCAATGTGATACAACGATCTATAGTAAAAAGCGAGACAGTGGGGGTTCTTGGTGTCAGCGACACTTCCATCCGTCTGTGGAGATTCGTCAAGAAGATTGTGCAATCTCAACTGATGGCCTCCTTCTTCAGGTTTCAAAAGTTCTATTAATCCACCGGCTTTTTCAGGTTTGTAGATGCTGTAATTATGAGATCTCAACCAGTCTTCCAAAGTGGAGACATTGAGACGAATCTGGATAGCTTTGGCACGCGAACAGTATTTCGAATTAGCCACAAGCCTGTTAAATATGGTGGCATTGATGTAATAAAACACTTGCGAGTAGGTTTGGAGTCTCAACAAGGGATCAACTTCATGTAACTTGAGCACGTAGTCGAGAGCTCCTAAAACCTGTACGTATTTGAGTGGCGAAGGTTTCATCAACTCTTTCATTGTAGGTGGGTAAAGCATATCCAAGATGTCATCGTAAGTGCTTGGCTGGTCCTTGATGTTGGTTTTGTTCTTGAAAAAGTTCCAGTCCTTGGCGTACAACACGGACGACACATCGACCAAGTTGGTGAATTTAAGCAAACATTCATCGACCAACAAGTTAAGCCTCGAGTTGATGGAGAAGGAAAGGGTTGCGATTAATGACTGGTTAATGTTAACAAACTCTTGAAGGAAAGCTGGATAGTCGTGATAGATGTTCGCTTTAGCGAAATAGAAATGCAAGAACTGGATGGCCGAGAGCCAGTAACTCAAAAGCACGATATCACCTGCCCCCAATGCAGCAGCTTTATCGCTCTGTTCGGCAATGGCCATATTAAAAACACCAGACTTTGTGTTGGTTACTGACCTCAATCTAGCCAAAAAGCATTCGAAAAGGAACTCAGTCAAGTCCTTGCTGTGCACTTTAAAGTGGGAGTATCTAACGAGCTGGAAGACGATGGCAGCAGGAACCTTGGTGGAATGCTGCAACGAGGTGTTATCAGTTCTCAAGTTGAAGATATAATCAAGCAAAGACGGGATATCTGAGTCTGTGAATTTGATGTACTGCTCAGGGAGGAGCTTCTCGTAGTCGTACTCTGGGGTCTGGACCAATTCTGTATCGAGCGACAATTCAGCTTCCTCGTCCAATTCCTTCTCTCTGACATTGTCGTCATCGTCATCAGCATCAAGCGACAAGCCGGCAGTTTGCATTCTGATCTGGTGGGTCAAGGAGTCCATGTCTCCAGTATCATGCTGGAAAGGATCGCTTTCGAAGATCTCGCTTCCTCTGTTCAGATCCTTATTCAAGAGATTGTGGCTCCTGAAAAACTCATACGTGGCCAAATCGTCAGGAGTTACCAAAGAAACTGCGTTTTTGCCGTCGCTCTTGGGCGAATATTGAGGATCAGCCTGGTAGTCCAAAAGAAGCTTCACCATAGGCAAGTTACGCAAGTGGACAGCCCACATGAGCGGCGAGTAGCCAATTGGAGTTCCGTCTGGAACATCTGCATCAACCGAGTATGAAGACAAGAGCGACTCTGCCACTTCCTGGTGATCAAAGGCCACAGCAAATATAAGAGGCGTGACACCTTCCTCTTCAGGATACGTTTGCAGAACCACACCAGGGTTCTCTTTGGCAACGGCTTCCACCGTGACAACGTCTCCCTCACAAACAGCCGAAAAGAACTGGAATTGTGGAGATGGCGCTTTTCTTTCACTTTCCTCGTCCTCGCCAACCACCTCTTGGGTGTCGTCAAGGCCACCAAGAAGGCTCCTTTTGGTGTCCAAAAGACGAGATAAAAGCGGATCCGAATAGTCGAATAGCGGCGGGGCGGCGCCAATTATCGCCGAGGGCACACTGCTGCTCCAAGGATCCATTGAGTGTAAAGTAGTAAGATTAAGGTATGTGCACTGGAGGTCCGAACCGTTTGGGAGCCGGAATGGGTTAGGCGGTGTGTGGTCACGTGCACGATCACGGTTTTTCGGTGCCATCATGGCAACGACCAGTTATTGCAAGGCAATGGAAGGTTTGGGTGGTAAGGCGGCTTTTTGAATTGCTGGAAATGGTAATTCATTGCCTGGACTGGCTGCGTGTAAAGTGTGTGGTGGTAAGGCGGCTTTTTGAATTGCTGGAAATGGTAATTCATTGCCTGGACTGGCTGCGTGTAAAGTGTGTGGTGGTATGTCTGGCGATGCGTCTGGCTGTAATGGCTGCGAAAAGCCGAATAGGGGACACTCTGGGGTTGCTCTGGGTAGAGAGGAAGGATATGATGGGGGTTGTTTAGGGAGGGTATTTAGGAGGATGGTTTGGATTGTGGTTTGGGTAAGGTTTGTTTGGTTTGGGCTTTTTTTCTCTTTTTTGGTTTTCCAGGTTGTCCTAGCTAGCCTGGCTGGTATGAGGCCGAGTGGTCTGTAATAGAGTTGAGTGTGTGTGGACTAAGGGCTGTAGGAGAAGAGGAAGGTTTAAAGTTGTCTGTTCTATTTAATTTGTCTTGTTTTACTTGAAAAAAAGGAAGGGTTGTGAGAAAAGTTGGTGGTACCGTATTTGCTTCTTCTCCATATGTTCGCAGTAATACTGTAAAATGGATATCAGTATTGGAGAAGGGTAAAAAACCGTAAACTTGGTTTTGTACTTAAAAATCAGAAAACAAGTATATTTTAAAAATAAAGGTCCAGTAAGGTTTGGAGGGAGGTTAGTGTTGGCTGACGCCTTTTTTAGGCGATTACGGGCCATAGTCAAAGAGATAAGCTAGATGCTTCCTTTTTTCCAAGTATATCTCTCACTGATCAGGCTATGAAGTGTTACCAGTTCCATGAAAAATTGGTATAAAAGCTCTATAGTGGTAAGTTGGCAGCTGAAAACACCTTTTCATGTCACAGGGGAAATGAAATGTTGATTCAAATTTTGAATTATGTGGGAAACTGAACCAAAGGCTATGGAGTTCCAGTGTGGATCACAGTGCAAAGAAGTGACAAAACGGGATTCGACTACAATGAAGAATAGACTAGAATACCCAGAAGGAAACAAAATAAACAAGAAAACACCAAAAAACCGACGTAAACCACAGAAGAGTCCCTCCACCTGATGTCGGCTATTTCTGGGACACGCGTTCGTCAACAGAAGCTGGCACCACCGTCAACACACCTCTTGACATCCACAAACACGTAAAAAGCATAAAAAACCTTCATATCCAAAACCTTCAATCCGCTCTTTGGACTATCCCTCTATCCCCTCCCTTTACCCTACCGATGCCTCACCTTCCATGGCCTCTCCAAAACATCACCACTAGTGAAAAAGGCGCACCTACTACTTCCCAACTACTTTTCTCTACCTTCACTTACCCGAGTCTCTGGAGCCGTCTACACTCAAAAACGCCTTTAAACACGTCGTAAACATACCCCTTTCACCTCTGAACCGCCACTCGTCGCCTCTAACGCCCGCCTCCACATTCTTCCTCATCACAGTGCGAATGTTCATTGACATATACAACTCATCATCTACTGCTTTCCTTCCATGCCTCCTCGCTACACACGCCGATTAGCGCTTCTAGCGGTGGCGATTTTCGTGGCGGTGGGTATATTCATCGTGGAACAGCGACCCCAGCACTCGCTCGAGCCGCATGCGTTCCCTTCCTTGTATAACTTGGTTCATGAGATCCAGGAACCTTCCAAGGAAGAAACTTCTGTTTCGCATCCAGATATGGGTGAGCTTGACCCTTGTACGGTGCTTTCGCCTCAGAAGGGCTTCATCGACTTGCGTGGCTTGTCGGTGGTGTACAACCATCATGGCCAAGAGATCAAGCATCTACTGTGGTCTGCAAAGGGCTACGACTCTGGGCACAACTATACCGTGGGAATTTGCCTGGGCGCCATCAAGAGGAACCTCCTACCTTCTGCCAACGTTGGTGACGGCCTAAATGCCTCTGAAGTGGGCGCTTACTATGTGGACCAGCAGTCTGGCCAGTATATTCTGATGGGCCAGATATCGTCTAAACCCGTGTTTAAAGGGAAGAAGCTTACCTTGACATACGAAAACGGTACTTCTTGTAACGGCATGACCTTCAAGGACGGCAGTCCGCTTAGAAGGAAAACGATTCTCACCTTCAGTTGTGATAGAGAGATGCTTACTAAAGCTCATGTTTCTTATGTTGCTTCTGTTGATGAGTGTACTTACTTTTTCGAAATTCGCTCTCATTTGGCATGTCCTACGGCTGCAAAAGCCGATAACCTTGCTGCTATATGGATCTTCATTCTTATTTTATTGGCTGCTTTGCTTGTGTACTTTTCTGGTGGAATCTTCTACAAGCTCTTGAAACAGCGCCAATCTCTGCATTAATAGACTTTTTACATTCGCTACATCAAAAATATTCTTCTAATCCGGTTTCTCTTTCATTGTATTGTATGTATAGTCGCTTATCTTCTTTACTCAACGCCGTTGGCGACAACAAAGGCGAATCCTGGGGTCTCTCCCTTCACCAGTAACTTGGCAACAACTTTTCCTCCCGTCTGCGCAAGTCTCACCAGAGCTCCGATCTTGCCTCCCCACAAGTCCTTACCCAACAACTTCAACACATGTGACGTCAGGTCCGCTGGAACATAGTCCGAGCCATCCAAAGGCATAGCGTTCAAGGTCTTTTTCAACTTATTGATAGCACTCTCCAAGTTGTTCACTCCTCCAATTGTCACGACGCTGCCTTCATCCTCTGGCAACTGATCGAATATGGTGGTGAAGTTGGAGTTGTACATAGGCTGAATGAAGTCACCAGCGCTGATCTCCAAGTCATCGATCTGGTATTCATCCTCGATACCTTCGTCGGCAGGGTCAATGTTACCCTCCTCATCAATAGTGTCCTTCGAGGTGTAGACGAGGGTGTTACCGAATGCTGCAAGTAGATCATCGTCACCAATAGCAGGCGTCGAGAAAGAAACGTAGACGCTACCAGTCTGTTCTGGTTTCAACTCAGCCAATGGGATGGTGAACTCTTCTTGGTACAATTCATTGTCAGCCTGGGCGACAACAGAGACATCTTGCAACACCAAAGAAGACAAGGTGTTAGTAACGTCAAACTGCAAGACAAGCTTTTGGGTTTCCACAAAGAAGTGCTTGACGACGGTGACAACGAACTCGTTCTCTCTGTCGGTCAAGTAAGCTGGAGTGGAAGAAGACTTGGTCAACTTGCCGTGATCGGCAAATTCTGGAATAGCAGACAAGTTTGCTGCGTACTCCTGCTGCTTCAAGTATTCATTAGCACTGTCATCGGCGCCCTGGGACTCCTCCTTAGACTTTGTACCTGGCGAAGTCTTATCGCTTTCAATATCAGCACCATCAGTCTTCTCCAATTTCTTGATCTTGGTGTTGTACTCGAGCGATTTCTGCTCCTCCTTACTGAGCAATGGCACTTCAGTGATATCGAATTTGCGGCCAAAGTTAGCTTCATCATTCAAGTAGTGGGACAACTTACTCTCCAAAGCAGCCAAGTTGAAGCCAGATTCAGCCACAATCAATTGTGGGCGCTTGCTGTCAATAAAGCTCAATGACAACGAAGCGCGGTCTCTGACCTCATCATCCACGTCATTCAAACATCTGCTCAACAAGATCTTGACATTCTTGGAAACATCTTCGTCGCATTGAGCTGCGAACTTAGACAATGCGATAACAGCAGACGATCTAACGATGGAGTTTTCCAACACCAATCTGTTGTAAATGTGTCTGATGTAGTAGGATGGATTAGTGGTGTTTGGACCCTCATCACCTAACAAGTGCAAGATACGCACAGACAATTCGGTGTATTCACAGTCTTCGATGAACTCACACAAGTTCATCAATATAAGCTGCTTGGCAGCCTTATCAGACAAGAATTTAATCAAATCGAATAAAGCGTCAACAATGCTCGACTTCAATTGCAAAGTACCGTCATCTCTCAACAAGTCAGAAAGGAAGGATACTAGCTTCTTGTGCTTGGATGGGAACTTGAGAGCCAAGTTCTCGATGGCCTCGATGATAGTGATCTTGAAGTCCTCAGTGATTTCATCCATCATGGAGGTCATCTTTGAGATCAATCTGTCGACGTTCTCGGAACTCGAGGCAGTAGCGGATTCCACACTACCAGCACCCAAAGTCTTCAACAAAGTGGTGATGGCCAAAGTGGACACGGATCTATTGCTATCGTTAATCAAGCTCTCCAACTCCAAGTTGACCACCATGATCTTCTCTGGGTGCTTGATAGAGATCTTATTGATCAATCTGACAGCAGCAAATCTAGTAGCGGTTCTTGGAACGCTCAACAATTTCTGTAGAGTAAGAATAATGTTCATGAAGTCATCCTCCTTGATGAGATGCTGCAAGCCAATCAATGTCTTACAAGCCTCCAACTCGACCATATCGGACTTGTGCTTCAAGAAACCTGTTAAGATAGGATGCAAGTGAGTGATGAGGGATTCGTCATCTAACAAGACCTTATTAATGTAGCGAATGAGCTGAATGATAGACAAGGAGTTCTTCAACGAAGAGCCTTCAGCCAAACTAGTAATAAGTTTCATCAAAGACATTTTGTCGTGGTTTCTCAATTGGTACAACAAGCCCAAAGCGTGGTACTGGTACATGTATGAGTTGGAAGGTAAGTTGGTTGTGGAGGCACCGTAGTACTCGTGCAATTGGAATTGATCAGGAGGGAATTGCTTATAGGATTGAACGGTTTCCAAGGTTTCGTTGGTAAAACGCTTGACAACGTCCTTTGCAATAGGCAACAAATTATAGGAGGAGATCAAAGCAGCTGAAGACACAATTGGGTTCTTGTCAACCAAGCAGTTTCTGAACAACCTCTCAGAGGCCGACACAGTGGTAGGATCCAAAACCTTTGAAAGCGTTCTGATGGCATTGGGCTTGTAGATCAACAGGCCCGACTGGATATCCTTCATGATGGAAGAAGTGACCATCAAGATATCCTGAGAGGTAGCGGAAAGCTCCTTAATTGTCAAATACACCAACTGACGCAAAGAGGAATTCTTGTGCTGGAACAACTTCGATATGGAAAAGAACAAAGTGGTCGACTCTTGCAGTGGAAACAGCTCGCCCTGGTAAATCAAGCGCAAGAGCTTGGCCAACAATTGTCGGCACTTTTTGGCATCCACAGGCAGCGCATTGAACTGCTGCAAACACTCCTGGAACACCGCCATCTTGTCTGGCACGTTGGCCAGACTATACGGGTCCTGGGATTTGTAGGACAGGACAGACATGGAGAAGGTGGGTTTGCTGAGATTTGGTGGTGGTTGTTTTTTGGTTATACGTGTAAGAAGGTATTTGAGCGAGGCACACCCACACACCAAGGTCACGTGTGGGATTTTTCACCACCACCCAAGTCCTCCGGTTTCTGGGAAATGGAGGGTGGGATTTGAATAAGGAGGGGCGGGATGTTATGAAGGGATGTGGTTTACTTGAATTGAGCTGTTTTGGTGGGGTTTTGGGCTTTTGTGTGTGAGATACTTGGACTATAGTGTCTCACCAAAGGAACCAACCAGAGAGAGAGAGAGAGAGAGACAGAGACAGAGAAGAAGTGCTATAGGAATTGGAAACGAAGGGGAGGAAAAGGAAATGACGTGAAAATAAGGTCCTGGTTGGTTTTATGGTACTGTATTCGAAAACAAGTTACTGGCGTGTTTGTGTGGATGGCTTAGATGTGCTAACTACTTTTCGCAGCCATTACAGAAGCCTGTTCTCTAGCCTTGTCTATATTAGACAGAACACACCTCTGTTCATTGAGCACGTTTTACCGAAAAAGGCATAAAATCAAACAAATTCGATCAAATTCTGTACTTTAGAGTCGGATAAACTAAACCCACACTAGCTCTTTCTCCACATGTTTAAACCACCACCCGGGCATATGTCTACCCTTTGAATACTCACTACACTCTACTTACACCGTCTAGCACCACCTCCACTTCCCCAAAGCCCAAGCTCAACACACATAAACCACGAGTTCAAACTACCAGATACAAATAGACCATCTGAACCTCAAGAACCAAAATTCTCTAACCCCTTACTCTCCTTTCTTTCAGTATCTACATTGAGCAACCACCAGGCCATACCATTCACCAACCACCTTCCTCCACCACTTTCCAGGCAAACCCCAATTCTCCAGAACCTTTTCATCCAAACCCAATTCCATTCAAACCAATTCCATCCAATAACTTTCCTTAGCCACCACCCCTAGCTCCCCTCCCCTTCTTCCCATCACTTCACCAGACCCTACCAAAATGTCGCGTTCTCTAACCAGAACAGCCTCCATTGATTTAACCGCTGTTGCGCCAAGGCGACTCCAGGAACGCTAAGAAACTTACCAAAAACCGTGAAAAAGGTACGCCCTACCTCTACCACCCGAAACCACCAAAACCCTAATTTTCACACATTTTCACCCACTCCATCCACTTCAACCTCCAAACCCTTAGCCATATCTCTTCTCTACCAATGCAGGTGCTAAACTCTTGACACAAGATGTCGCGCATATCGGTTGGCGCTCGACAGACACCGAGCGTAGCACAGCCTGTATTGTGCCGAAACCAGGGAGACCTGCGTTTTTCCTATATAACCGTTGGATAAGCCGAATGGCTAATACTTTCTTTGATTAATGAAGTTGTTGTTTGCCATGACAGGCAGGCTCCATAGAAGGGGGCTTTGCGTGGCGGTGGTGCTTTGTATGGTGACGTTGATCAGCTACCACTTTGTGGACTTCAATGTGCTTCCGGTGGACTTTACGGTTGATTACTCGGTACGGGGCTTCGAGGCTCACGATTACCAGGTTCGGGACGAGATCCATTATTCGAAGTACCGGTTTTCGCTTACGGACGAGTTTAAGAAGCACGTTGGTGATTGGGGGCTGTTTGTTCAGAAACCACAGGCTGAAAAATGTACGACGTTTTTCAAGTTTCTCGAGAAGAAGCAGCCTGACTGGGAGTTGCCGCCGCTCTATGAAGAGCCTTACGATAAGCACGCCGTGGCCAAGGGTCTCTACTTCGAGGAGGCGTATAAGAAGATCAAGAAGCAGAAAAACAGAGATAAGGTCGAGAATCCAGATACAATCACTGATAAGGACCGTACCGAGGTCAATGGCTGGTTCCAGGAAAGGGTGAATAAGACCGTGGCGCTTGAGGTGAGAATGGCTGATCTTATGACGGTGGTGAGAAGTTATGGCCATTGCTTCTTTGGCGATAGTGAACCCGATAAGGATCTCCAAGGCGGCTTCGCCAGACGTCTCACGCCTTTCTTCCATGACCAACTACCGAGGTTTGAGACTCCCGATGGGGCTTCGGTAGACGACCAGTTCCCAGGATGCCGCAAATACATGCCTGACGATACACTTATCCAATACTACCATGAGAATATGAAGGGAAAGGGTATTGTTATATCGGCAGCGACGCGTTACTCGAAAGACATTGCTCGTCTTATCAGGGTTTTACGGGGCCTAAACAATAAGCTCCCAATTCAGATCGTTTATAGAGGAGATCTCCTGACGAAATCACGAAGGTTGCTCCAGGGAGCGGCCGTAGCGCCAATTGAGACGCTTCTAGGTGAACTGTTTACCGACCAGTCGCTTATGAAGAGCGTTTTGCCAGATGTTGATTTGGGCGATCCAGCGAAGTATGGGTCGGAGCTTCCTATCCAACATCTCACTTTTGTCAACATCGAAGCACCAATGAAGAAACTAGCCAAGCATTTCTTTAAGGGTTACAACAACAAAATATTGGCGCTCATGTTCAATACGTTTGAAGAAGTCGTTTTGGTTGATGCTGATGCCGTACCGCTAGAAGCTCCGTACGACATGTTCCATTCACCAGAGTACAAGGCTACAGGAACATACTTCTTTAAGGACCGACTGCTCCGAGACAGCAATGACTGGATCGAGACCAACTACTTTTCAAAGCTCATGCCTCATGACCACAGTTCATTCGATTTGGCTATGGGAATCAAGCCAGTCACAGATTTCACCATGGATATTCCTTATATGAGAGGCTGGAGACACACACAAGAAGCCGGTATCGTTATGTTTAACCGCAAAAGGCATTATGCTGCCAATTTAGCTCTTCTTCCTCTTGCGTTATGGGGAGAGCCGGTGAAATCCTCGATTTGGGGTGATAAAGAGATGTACTGGTTGGCAATGTCAATCGTTGGAGATGAACAATACTCCTGGAGCAAATATGATGCTGCAAGTGTTGGTGAATTCACTTCGGATCCAATCCGGAAAATGTACAATGCTACAGCTGCCTCAGAAGTATGTCTGAGCCATCCTGGCCATATGTCTTCGTCAGGACGAATACTATGGATCAACTCAGGCTTCTCCTTCTGCAAAAAGAATGGGTACAGCAGGGACGAGAAGAAGTTCCCCTTTTCCACCTTCAACGACAGAGACATTCTCAAAGACTTATATCAGGCCCCACTCCGCATTCGAGATGCCCTCGTACCCCCAGGGTTGCCTCCTTTACGCTCACGAGGAAGCCATGTGGACCTCGCCGAAGAAATCAAGTATAGACTTGAACTGAAAAACCGCAAAAAAGACGTTGACCAATTGGACGATGTTCAACAGATAGACAGCTACGAGCCTCAGAAAGGATGGATCAAGTCCCCTTGTTGCACCGACTATTACTATTGCGCTTACAATGCCATAGAAAACTACGACAATTCTGGCTCGATCGATTCTTCTGGATCGGTGTTTTCGTTTGCTGAAGAGGATAGAGCACGTTACGATTTCTTAGGCAAATTCTGGATCACCGGATTGAAAAGCTTACGAAACCTTGACTTCGAAATGCCTCTTGTTAAGGACTATCCAACCTACGAGGAAACTTCTTCAGATAACCTGGAAGACCCGGATTCCCAAATTCAACGTATAGACTCATGAGACGCTTTCAATTCCCACTGTATATTAATCTACCTGTTACCTTTTATTATTCATGTAATCGTTGCATTAAAATAAATATTCATTTCCTCATTCCGTTTCTAAATGCTATTGTTTATGCTTGTGCTAGACTCAGCAAATTGATAGTGTCGCCGGCCTTCACCAAGGCCTTTTCAAACTCTTCCTTAAGAAGATTGGCCTCGTGGTCGCTGGTGATTTTGACTTGCAAGAAGTAAAGGTTCACAATAGAAGCTGTTTCGCCTCTGTTGATAAATTTGTTCACCAAGATATTCAACGTATCCCTTGCCTTGATAGAACCCAAAAGACGTATAACACCAACCAAACTTGAAACAGATAGTTCGCTCAAGCGCATGGTTTTGCAGAGCTTGACAGCTGCCTCAAACTTGGCTCTCACAGCCCGAGCATACTTACCCTGGCTCATGTTCGATGCTCTTGTTAATTGGTGAACCATGCTGTCAAAGATAGCACGCTGGGTGTTTGTCGTCAGCACGAGCTTCTCATTCTGAGAAAGAAGCTGGCGCATACCTTTAGGATGATCTCTTGAAAGGAGCTCCAATGCAAGCGTGGCAGCATCTTTGTCTTTGCCATTCGCGTAGAAAGTGTGTTGAGTGCCAGAGAGTTGCACCATTAACTTGGCAAACCCAATGGCCTTGGCCAATTCTGGTGATTTGTTAGCCATGCTTTCAAAACGTTGAATGACAACCTCATAGTTGCCCTGCTGAATGAAATAGTTCACAAAGATAGACAAGAGCCGATCTGATTGCATCAAGAGCCTCTTACCATTCTCATCGGAGAAGTAATGTTTCATGATCTCAGTAACTTTGGAATCATCTTTGTTGGTAACAAGACAGGTGAGAACGGAAGCAAGAAGGCTAACATCCTCGTTAACTGTCACGTCAAGCGAATACAACCGCTCTTTAGGCAAATACTGGATGGCCTCTTTCAGCTTACCGAGACTTGTGAGCTTCTCCAAAAACTTTGCTACCCATTTGTTGCCATTGCAACCTGCCAAAAGATCGGGGAAGGAATCTTCAAACATCTTTAGGAAGTAGGCATTATCCGTTGAGTTGCAAAATGCTGCAAAGGCGTCCAATACCCTTTCGGAATTGAGCGCCTGACTTTCATCAGTCTCGCGCAATGATTTAAAGACTTCAACGTTCACCTTCTCATGCTCGAAAGCAATAAGGGAGCTTAACAACAGGTGCTTCTCGTTGATTTCCAAGGACAGAGAAAGAAGCCTCTTGACAAAGGCGTCAATGCTAATGCGTTTATCCTTCACCAAAGATCCCATCACAAAGTTTCTGTTCAAGATGGTTTTCCAGGTAAGAGCATTGAAGTTAAAACCTCCCTCGAAAGCTTCTGTGAAGCACTGGACACCCTTATCAAAATTGATGGAAAGCAAAGTTGAATAGTCCAATGCAGAGAAGGTAGTGTTCTTGTAACTCTCAATAGTAGAAACCTCAATATTGAGAAGATCACAGGCCTCGCTGATGTCTGTAGTCGTAATGTCATTATTCGAGGAAACCAACTGCGTAAAAGAGCTCTTAACAGTACCTTTGAACAGTTCAAGGTCTTCTGAAAGCTGCAAGTAGTGGTTCTCGGTATCCTCGAATTCTTTGATAAGATATGCCTGGTATTGCAAGATCCTAAGTCTAATACTTGAAGGAAGCGCAGTTGAATGAGCGAGGTTCATGACATAGTTCATAATGTTCATCAAACCATAGATGTTATCATCCGCAAGCTTAAAACTGGCAAATGCACGCATCACCATCGGAGAATTGATAAGTCTGTCAGAAGTCTGAGCGGAACCCAGCTGGATCAAGTATGGCAAATGCTCACTTACAAACCCATTCAACACATTCGAGTGACTCGTATGATGGACAGCCTGCTGTTCCAAAATAGTCCAACAAAGATTGACATATTCTTCGTTGTTCAGGGCATGTGCTGCGTTGAGGAGGTAAAGAACCATTTTTTTGGATACATTCCAGTCGCTGACAGCATGGTCCTTTGCAATAATCTCTTTCAAAAGGCGAAGCACCTTGCTGTGGTCCCCAAGATCGATACTCAAAGACAACAAAAACTCTCTGCAGCTGACAAACTTCTTTGGGAAAATAGTTGCATCGTATAAGTTGTTTTGATAATCAGACCTTATGGCAACCTTCTCATACAACTTCCAAATGATTTCGTAGACAGACTTTTGAGATTTTGCGAGCTTATCATCGGTGACTTCACGTCTTTGTAACTCAAGCTTGGAATATTCGTTGATAAAAAGACCGATGAGCTTATTGTAGACATGAATCGATAACTCGGGAAGATAAGGAACATCATTAAACTTCTCCAAAAGACGGTATGATCTGTATAATGAGACGGTTGAGCCTTCGGCCATGATGGCTTCAAGATAAACCGAAAGAAGAGCAGAAACCTTTGGTTTCGCAATAGCAATATCCTTGGCCGATGCTTCTAAAGACGACTTGTAGTCAACCAAGATGTCATCCAAAAACTTGGTGGCCAACAGCAAGTTGCCATTCGCGATTAAAGCCAGAATGAGCGCCGAGTAGACATTATACTCATAGGCCATAAGCTCAGGGCATGTTTCGGTGTTCACCTTGTAGTCTTCAAAAACCGAGATGAGATACTGGTAGATTTCTTCTTTGCTCAGGTTTTCCATTCCCAATGGTGCAAAGTGCTTTGAAAGATCAATCAACCCAACATAGTAAGCACCATCACCGGAAACGAGGTCACGGTGCTCCAAAACTCTCTTGACGAGGTCAGAGGTTAATAAGGTTGGGAAATTAGTGATTGCAGAGAGCAAATTAGGCATGATGGTGGATAATGTAAGGTTTTGGTGATCCTTCAACGAAAGGAATAGATTCGTGCCCACCTGGCCAAATTCTTGGGCTTTTGTTTCAAAGTCCTGGTATATGTGGTGAGCGACCGATGGCGAGCGACCGGCGGTGACGGCTTCGACGCATCCCTCGAAGATGCCCTTCAAAACAAGATCATAAGTGGAATTGTCGGGCCTCAAGGATGTCGTGGAGCAAAGGTAAAGAATGTCCTGGTACACCGTGAGTAGGTTGGTGAGTCTCGATTCAATGGAGCTAAGCGAAGGGGTCCCATTGTCAAGAGCTCTGGATAAAATGGATTCAAGAACGATGTTGTATAGCTGGATGGAAGGAAGAGCAATGTCGTTCCGTTTGAGGGCCTGGTATAAGGGGTATATGATATCTAAGTCTTCTGGAGACGTATGCGTGTTGTAGATGTGGAGGATCTTGTCGCTTTGAGTCTTCTGGAAGGATTCCTCGAAAGCCGGTTCTTCCGGAGCACTTTCCTGGGGAAGCTCCTCGATCTTAGGCTGTGACAAAGGAATCAACTTCAAAGGTTCACGGTCCGCCAAGTCAGGCGCCGACGTGGTGAAGTGTCTCACGAAACAATGCTGTTGTTGAAGACTCTTTGGTCTCACAAGAGCCCAAGACGATAAAAACTCCCTTGAAACGGTCTTGAGATGGTTGATATGGCTATAAACCTCATCCTTGACCTTGCTGATCACGAAATACGGAATCGTGAGCGCCAGCAGCGAGCTGGAAGGAAACACCAACAAGACATGGGAGCCGTGGTCATGGAGGCCAGCCTTCTCTTCCCTCCTAAGCTCATGGTTGAAAATCGTGAAATATATGCCATAATGACCATTTGCTATGGAAAGAAACTTGTGATTGGACGGATGGGGGTCTTCAGAACGCCAGTACTTGGTATGTTGGCGGCTGTACTTGGTAACTGCATTATTGTTCAAGTAAGGTAGCGACGACTGGAAAAACTGGATTCTTCCCAGCTCTCTGAGCTTGAAAGCCATGACGAAGTAGCAGTGTGTGAAAAGAAACTAAAGGCAAACTGCCTGTACGAAATAGGCTTGTGCCAGATGGAAAGTTGGCTTTGAAGATGGGGTTGAAGTAGGGAGAGAAAAGGAAAGGAAAGGAAAGGACACACAAAAAAAAAAAAAATAATGAGTCTTGTATGGAACGATCTCGCAAATAACGGCAAATCGTCTATTTTCTTTCCTGCCGTACAGTTTTAGTGTTCCGTATTTTTTCGGTTCCGGGTGCGACCGGCAAAAAGAGCCGTCCAAGGGATGCCAGGACCAAAGGATGCAAAAGGGATGAATTCAATGAAACCTGGGTTGGATTTCAAATGGGAGTGGTGGCCGAGAAAGGAACAATTTGGAAGGCCAACCAGTCTACGACTGGTTGTTTCAAATGTGAGTCATGGGTGAGTTCGGGATGGGAAACCGTTAGTGCGAAAAATTCGTGACTCTGGTTCCTTCCTGCTGGTAGTGCTCTTTTTGGCTGCAAAATGCCTTTGGCCACCCAATGGGAGGACACCCATTCTATATAAATCGGAAGATGGGGAAACAACTTTTTAGTGGTCTGTAAGCAGAAGCTCCATGACTTGCCGAAGCACTTCATCGTCGTCGCTTTCTTCTATTGGCTCTCCGGGATGTCCTGTGGCAGGCTGTTTGAATAACTCATGGGACCGCAGAGAGCCTTCCACAGGCGTGGCAACGGGCTCCAGGTCTTCCCGTGAAAGAAGCAACGCTCTTTCAAGTTCGTCATCTTCGCTGGTATCGGGAACACTACTGGCACTGAGCGCCATGGCCATTCGTAGCTCTTCAAGCTCAGAATCGAGCTCTGTTCCGTTGTACCGGTCCGCCATGAGCTCGGCTCTGCGGCGAGTGTCTTCAAGAGTATCGTAGTCTTCCAACTGGTCCTTGATATGCCTATGCATTGCATGTCTTGATGATCCTTCTGCTGATTGGGGAGTATTGGGTTTCTTCTTTAATGCAATCGGATCGTTGCCAAACCGGAAGTACTGTGCAACGCTGCCACTTACAATCACTCCAGAACAGTCAGACGGGCTAAACTCAATGTGTCTAATCGGTGGCTCACCTTCACGGAAAAGCTTTCGCAGAACCTTGACACCTTCTCTAAGGTATTCGCCCAGATGGGCGTCATAAAAATGCACAAAGTTAGGAAGAAGACCTATTGCGAGAATCGAGCTTGTAAGTGCCACAACGGTCCACTCCCTTATACCGTAAGGAGCATCGTAACGGAGCATGATTCTTGTAAGAAACTTAATATCGCTCCCTGTATCACGAATGTTAAACGTGGATACGCTACCATCGGAAAAGATAACAGCGAAAAGTCTTCCATCACCACCTGCAATGTCTGGAAGTCTAGTTTTGCGGTGTGTTTGTTGTAATGTTCCACCAATAATGTTCACTCCCTCTGGAGCCGAAGCTTCAGTCGTATAGATTCTTTCAGAAAGATTGAACACCTTGATCGTGCTCTCGTTGTGCACCACAACGTTCATGCCAGGGAGATCAATGTAGAAGCCAGTATCACCAGCCATAGTGATACCATGGGCCACTCTATGCATTTCTTCACCAGAAGGGAGTTCATACGAGACAATCTCCTCTTCTGTCACCACAACCACAGTCTCTCGAAAGTCACTAGCCACCTCTAAAACGCCACACGTTTGGCTCACAAAAATGGTCCTCAAAAGTGTCGTGGCGCTCCAGAGAAGCAAAAGGCCGCCTCTCGTACCTGCTATAATCTCTGTTTTCTCTCTCACCTTTTCAAAAACATCGTTCATTTTAAGTGTTAAAATCGGATCGTCCGTGGGGCCCTGAAGTGTCACCACAGACTGTTTTCCCGAGCCTGTAGCGGAAGAAGTAATAAGATTCTTCACGAACACTTCACCATTCGGTTTACCCACACAAAGATGGGACCAGTTACAGTCAGCAGCCATGCCCATTGAAAGAACACTATTTTCCGGGAAAAACACCTGGTTACGCCCCGTGGATAGCGTACACATGGAAATGGCACCAGAGAACCGTGCAAACGTCAAGATCCTATCATGAGCAAAGTCCACAAACACACGAGGCGGCACCCGCATGCCAAACTCGTTATTCACCAAAGCATAAGCGTGTGAAAACGCCCTGCCTTTCGCCCACTTCCGTGACACAGCTACTCTGCCCAAGTACTCAGTAAGCCACATGGGAGACCCAGTCACCGAAGAAAAAACATTCCCCGTGCCAAAACGGTTATTAAACGCCGTGATCCACGCCGACTTGTCACTCACAACATGGTTCCATTTGCGGCACACCAATCGAAGGTCTTTAAGCTCCACTGGATGCATGTGGGCGAATACACCTAACAAGACTTCATCTGGAAGGTCATTGATATGCACCGTCTGTCGATGTAGCGACTCTGGATTGGGGTCCAGGTGGAAGTTGCCCAAGGCGTCTGACATTATGGAGGGTGCTGGGGGGTTGTCAGAAATCAGGGGGTTTGCCACTGAAAAAGAAGCGTGGTTCTTGTTTGGTTGAATGTATGGTGGAAACTGTGCGATGATAGATAGCGATGTAGGTAGGCTGCGAAAAAGTAAGACATGAGTCAAGGTGGGACGAGAGAGGCAGGGAGGGAGTGGGGGTGGTAATTGTTGATTATTAAGAAGAAAGAAATGTAAATATAGTGGGTAAAATAAAAAAAAAAAAAAAAAAGAAGTAAAGGGGTGAATTGGGGATTGGGGGAATTGGTGGGGGACTTATAGGTGGAACAGGCATATGGGGAAGAGTGGCATCTCTGGAAAGTGCACGTTAGGGAATAGAAAATTTCAAAAAAGCATCAGATTTGGGTTTATGATTTTTTGTGTTCGAAAGAGTGCTTTTGGAATATTTATAATTTGTAGGTGGCGAGGAATACCTCTTGGATTGGCAGTGAAGGCCAAATGGAACAGAACCAGCGGTTGAGCTATGGCAGTTAGAGAGATTCAAAATTGAAAGGGAGAATAAGATTAAGAGAAGTTTTAAAGAAGGCTATAGTGGGTACCATAAAGGGCGTTAATCGTTCGTTAGGCTTGGGTTTGAAGAAACGATTTAAGATCATCAACGACTGAATTTTTATTAGGATAACTTCGTTTTGCTCAAGTGGAAGTGGATTAAAACTAGAACCGACGTATCAAATAACAGAAGATATGTTCCCCTTTGGAATTCTAAACAGAGCGTTTATAAGTGCTGGTGGGAGAAAGAGACCCAGGAACAGCAGAAGAAGAGTAAACCACCGAGTAGCTATGTTCGTGAAACCTATGATATTAGCCTTAGCTCAAAATAAGCCAAAAGAAACAAAACAAAATATATCCACCACTTTCCAGCGCTCTATGTAACTACCCTTTATCTTCTTGACGTTCCCTCTCACCAGTCCACCTAAGCAACACCACAAACTAAAGCAACGCCCACAAAACTCCTTAGCCAAACCAACTACTTCAAATTCTTCCAGGAACCAGAAATACACAAGAATTTAACCTTAAATATTTCTTTCTGTCATTCTCTTCTTCACGGCAGCCTGCTGATTTGACTCTGCTCGCTCGACTCTGAAACTACCAGCAAGAATCCACCGTTCACCACCAAAAATCCCTGAAAATCACCCCAAAAAGCACTAACATAACCTTCTTAACACCCCAAAATTTAATAAAATATCCCACTTCCCTCATCATCCCTCCCTCCTCCGTTTAACCACAGCTCCACACATTTTGCAGCCATTTTTGGGCTGTTCCTGCAGCGCATAGTAAGAGCCAAAGATTTTCAGCTTTTTTCATCCACCTCCAACTCCACAAAACTCCCCAGTTACGAAAAAAATGGCCGAACTGCCGCAGCCAGAGCCTCAAGAGGTCGTGCTCAGAATAGCACTTCCCTCTTCGTTGGGCCAGAAAATCGAGTATGTGGAAACCCACCATACTTTGCAGGACACCGTCAGTGACATCAAGGAAGCCTTGGCTGCAAGCTCTATGTTGAGCCAATTGACGAACTTTAGTTTGTTTTATGGCGAGGTGAATGTGACGGATGAGTTTGATGATTTTGCGGTGTTGGAAGAGGTTTTCAATGCTCCAGGCAAGTTTGAGCTTCAGTTGAGTGAGAGAGCTTACTCTTTGAAAGAGGTGTATGATCACCTTCTTAGGTTTAGAGAGAGTATTGGTATGAACTTCTTCGACCATGCTGCTCGTTCGCAGGGTATTGGCGCTGGTAGCGTGAAATTTAACCGCTTGGGCTTGGGCGAAGTGAAGAAGAACGAAGAGAAGGAGGAAGTGAAGGAAGAGAAGAAGGACGATGAGCCTGAAACTACCGAGGTCACCGAAAAGGAGAAGGCTGATATCAAGGCTATTGTGGAAAAGCTTATTGAGCCAAGAGAGACCAACATCGTCAAGTTTGCATCTGCAGACTCTGTTCTTAGCTCTTGGAAGCTTCCAGTCAAGTCTCTTACTTTGTCGCAGTGGACTGTTCCACAGCTCCAGAAGGCCAAGGGCGATTTGCTTTACCTTACTTTGACTACTTTAGAGAGCGAGACTTTCTCCATCACTTGTCATGCTTCAGGCTTTTTTGTCAACCGTTTGTCCAACGCCAACTTTGACCCATCGTTGAAGATCAATGAAAAGGGTGCTTTCCACCGTGAGTACATTTTCCACAACTTGGTTGCCGCCTTGTCGCCTAAGTTCACTGCCACCATCGAGGAGAACAAGCAAGCTATCTCTAAAGGTTCTCAGTTTGCTGAGAGTTACTTGATTCCTTCTCAGGCTTCCATTACATACCCATGGGCAGTCACCGACACTCAAGTGAAGAACTCCATTGTTCCAGACTACTTCCGCTCCCAGCTTCCCGTGATTTCCAACGGTGTGGACGGCGCTGATTACGTCAAGGACTGGAACGAGGAGTACCAGGGCATTAAGGAGTTCTCCAAGGACTCTTTCAGCGAGCGTTTGCTTAGAGAGAAGTTGCTCAACAAGTACATCCAAGAGTTCAGTCAGATCTCTGCCTCCACCGCTGTGGAGATTCTTAGAGGCAACATTCCTCCTTTGAATCCTGGCGAGGCCAAGGATGACCATATCTTCTTGAGAAACAACATTTCTATAGTTTCGGTGTCAATGCTACCGGTTCTCATGATAACACTGGAGGTGACGAGGCTGCTCGTTACTGTTTCGGTAAAGATTTGGCTACCGTCAAGCTTTTGAACAGACTTGATGTTCAGGGCGTCAGCAACTTGCTTACTTGTATTGTTGACTATTTGGGCCAAAGAGTTGTCTGTCAGGCTCCAGTTCCTGGTGTGTTTGCTGACCAAACTGACGAGAACGGTGAACTGATTGACAAGATTGTTCAGGGCTACTCTCACGACAACAATGTCATCCATACTTCTGAAGAGTTTAACAACGTTTTGAAGCCTATTGGTGAAGCTTTCCACTTGAAGTCGCATAACGTCAAGTTGGCTTCTGGCGCCAGCACCGAGCAAGAGATTGCCCTTTCCAAGGATGCTAAGTGTATCGTTGGTACTGACCACAGAAAGTACGTTATCGACTTGTACAGAACGACTCCATTGGATATTGAGTTCTTGGACGCTCACTATGACGGTTCTGAAACCTCTTACCCTCACAAGGAGGCTTCCTTGAGACACGATGCTGTCGAGGAATGGTACAAGAGAAAGGCTGCTGCTTTGTTCAAGGTGGAAACCGAGAGATTGGACAAGGAAGGAAAGCTTGAGGGTGACGAGAAGCCTCAGGTTGCTATTCCAGTTGATCAGATTGTTCTCAACCCAGACACCTTCACTGGTGTTGACGAGCTGAAATCTGACCAGGATGACGTCAGAGAAGTGTCCTCCTTCATCAAGAAGCAGTTAATTCCAGAGTTTTTGGACGATGTGACCAAGAACCTGGTGCCATTCGATGGTGCCCACTTGACTGCTCTCATGCACCGTTTGGGTATCAACATGAGATACTTAGGCTACATCACTGAAGAGTCGGTTAAGAGAGTTGAGCAGTTCGAGAAGGAGAATGAAGAGTCTATTAAGACCAACGAGGCTGAGATCGCCAAGAAGGCCGAGGAGGAGAAGAACAAGACTGACGAGGAAAAGAAGGAGGAAGAAGAGAAGAAGAAGAACGAAGAGGAGAAGGAAGAGGAAAAGAAACAGTCTACTGCCAAGCTTGTCCCTGTCAGAGCAAACATGGTTGCTCTTCAAGAACTCGCTGTTCAAGAGATGATTGTCAGATCTGCCAAGCACGTTATCCGTAAACTTGGTAAGAACGTTCCTTTCCTTTTGAAGCCATACTTCATCGCTCACTTCCACAACTGTTTGTTGGGCCAGGGCGTGAACAAGACTCCAGAGGTCGAAATTGATGCTTCTCTCAAGCCATTGTTCTCCAAGACTGAAACTGCCTTTACTTCTCTCACTCCAGAAGATGTTATCAAGGCAGTTGAGAAGGAAGTCTTCTCTCGTTTCAGATACTCGCTTTCTTCCAACTGGGCCGACCAGATCAAGCCATTGAGCTTGATGAGAGAGATTGCCATCAAGGTTGGTATCCAATGGAAGGCACAGCCATACGTCTTCACCAAGGAGGAGTTCGAAGCTAGACCTCTGACTGCTGCCACTGAAACTGACGTGTCTTCTGTTGACTTCAAGTCAAGAAGAAAGGGTAAGGGTAAGGGCCACAAGCGTCAAGAGAAGACTGCTGAGGTGTCTGCTCCTGTCCAGCGTACCAGTGTTTTTGTTGCTGACGATGTCGTGGACATTGTTCCTGTTATCAAGGACGCCAGCTACAGATGTTCTATGGTTGATGAGGTTTATGAAACAGCCAAGAGCCACCTCAACAAGGGAGACGTCGAAGTTGGTACTACTCTCATGACCGAGTTGATTTCCTTCTACCAGCAAATTTACGGATCTGTGAACAGCGAGATTTCGTCTCTTTACTCCACCTTGGCTCAGTTCTACGCTGAAAGAAATATGACTGGTGAAGCATCTATTGCAGCACGTAAGGCTATTATTTTGAACGAGAGAATCCACGGTACCGACAGCTACGAGACCGTCAACTCGTACATCAAGGCTTCTTTCTTTGACAGTCTCAACAAGGACCATGCCAGCGCTTTCGCTCTTAACGCTCGTGCCCTCGAGTTGTGGGAAGAGATCTACGGTCCTAACCACCCTAACGGTGTCAGCACCTTGACCAATTTTGCTGCTATTTTGCAAGAAATGAAGCTTTCTAAGGAGGCCAGCAAGCTTTTCGGCCATGCCATCGAGGTTTCCGAGAAGTTGAACGGTGAGGTTTCTGATATCACTGCTCTTATCAGACACCGTTACGCCATCTCTTTGGTTCACTTGGGCAACTACAAGGGTGCACAGGACGAGTTTGCAAAGGCCGGTGATGTCTTCAGCAAGCTTGTGGGACCAGACGATGCTCTTGCCAAGGAGTGTCTGAACTTCGTTACCCAGATCAAGACCTATGTGGCTTACAATGAACACCAGGCTGCCGAACAAAGAAAGCAGCAGAATGGTAAAGCTAAGGTTCCTGCCAAACCTAAGGTTCAACAGCCACAACCAGCTCAGAAGACCAAGGGTGGTAAGAAGAACCAGCCTACAGTTTCTGATCCTTCCATCGCTTCGAAGTCTGTGGACGAGATCTTGCAGTTCATTGAAGGCAACAAAAAGAGCCTGAAGAAGAACAAGAAGAAGAACTAGGTTGGAAGGAAAAGCTTCTGACTTATGAAAAAGTTACCTGTAATTAGAATCCTGTTTATAGTATCCAATGGCATAGATGTCTTTACACTGTTCCTATCAAACCTAGCATAACTTTTTTTTATTTCTGTTTTAAGTATTTACAAGGTTACTTGAGGTCATATTCAACGAACACCTTGCCCACGTAGCGGTTTGACTGTCTGATGCCATCGAGCAATTCTCTTTCGAAATCAATGATTTCTTGCAAGGGCACATTGCTATCCAGGGTAAGGTGCAAAATAAGGTTGAAACGGGCGCCAGCACTCAACACAGAAAGATCCTTCACGGTAAAGCGCTGGTCCACGTTCTGAGCTGCAGAAGCCACTTCGTTCTCCACAATCTGTCTGATCTGTTGGTAGTGCTCCAGGGCAGGAGGGTCAGAACGGTCGACGAGCTCATACCAGGCTTCTTTGAACGAGCCCCAGCCGGCGTGGATAATCAAAATAGACACAAGGCCACCGCCTACAGCGTCTAACCAGGCCAAGTCGAAAAGAACGCCGCCCATCACAGTGACAAACGCTACACCTGCTGTCAACGAATCCACTCTGTGATGCCAAGCGTTCGCCACAAGCACCTTCGAGTTTGTCTGGTCAGCCACGGCCATAGTTTTCCTGTAAAGAACCTCTTTCACTCCAATAGAGCCCAAAGCGAGCCAAGCTGCGTTGATATTAGGCAACTGGGGCTCTCCAGATACATGTGAATGGCTGTGGCCTTCGCCGCCGCCCTCCAACACGCCATGGCTATGTCCATGGATAGGCACCAGTGCTACCCATTCAAAAGCCAGTGCTGGAATGGTATACTCGAGAATCTGGAGCAAAGAGGTCCAGCCGACCGAGATACCAGCAGCCAAAAGTACACCACTAACCAAAAACGTGCCCACAGCTTCAATTTTGCCGTAGCCCATCGGGAACTTGGTGGTAGTGCCCTCCTTCAGCGCCACATTGACCGTAGCCAACGTTAGAAAGTCAGCAACCATATCTGAAAGCGAATGAATAGCATCAGCAATAAGCGCCTGTGAATGGAACACCACGCCACCTACAGCCTTGGACCCTGCCATGGCCACGTTGACAAGAAGCCCGATCCACGTAATTCTCACTGCCGGGTTGGTCGTGAACCCTTTACCCAAAAGCTCGTTGGGCTGTGAATGGCTGTGTGAGTGGAACACTCCTCCATGGTCGTGATCGTGTGAGTGTTCATGTTCATGTTCATGGCCATGGCCATGTTCGTGAGCAGCAGTTTCTGGCTTGGATCCATGGGAATGGGTATGTTCGCCAGGCTTTTCCAGCACCTTCAGCTGGGCGTCTTTTCTTGGAGCCATGTTGGACGAGTTTCTCAACGGTGAGACAAGATGAAAAACACGCCGAGGGCTCGAGAAAATCAACGGCAGCGCCAAGCTTGGACGGACCCGTGCCGACGCTAGTAGACGGGATGATAGCATGGTACTAATGGAGAAACGGTACGGTTTAGGAAGGAATGGGTCCGGTAAGAAACGGTTTGGAGAGGGTCTGGTGATAAATGGTGGGAGGGTTTTGCGAGAGGTATGTCGGTGCCGATAAGCGGAGCCCGCGCTGGGCGCTTTTCAGGTGGCAGTTGCTGTTCCAGTGGAGGTGAAGAAAGTGTGTGATTTGGTGGGATTTGGTGGGTGGAGAGTGGATGTAGTGGAATTGGATTGTACTGATTGATGGCGTTTGGGATTGTCTTGGTGTTGTTGGCATTTGGCGGCGGGTGGAAGTATGGTGATAACCGTGGATGGCTGCGAAATATGGTAAGATGGTGTGAAGCTCGGGCCATGGAGGTGGGATAGACGTGGGGGGAGGTTTGGAGGTTGGAGGGTGGAAGAAGAAGTGTTAAGGAGAGTTTGGGCGTTTTGGGATCGCTGGGTGTTCTATTGGCGGTGGGTATGGGTACTGTGAAGTGCTTGTGAAAGTGGTGTAGGACCGTGGTGGGTGAAGGGTGGTGGATAGGTATTTGGGGGTAAAAGGGGCTGATTGGGAGTGGAAGGGAGGGAGGTAATTTGTGAATTGTGTGTTTGGAAGTTAGGGAGGATGGCAAGGGAGATTGAGTATCAGGCTCATCAGGTAGGGTGAGACACGGGGAGAACAGAATACACATACCTTAAGAACGTTTTTGATCTGGCTTTTCATTATAGCAAAGTTAAGAGTTCTCTTTTTCCGTTTCAGGCTCGGAAACATGGAAGTATTAGGAAAATGAAGGTACGGAAGCATGGAAGTATGGAAGTATGGAAGTATGGAAAGATGGAAGCACCAACTACTTTTGGTACTACTCATTAAATGGCGATGCTAGTACGGAACCAATTTTCCCTAATTGCCTAAATTGCACCTTATAAACCTAAGCTGCAGAAAACTCCTCTCTTTAACCTTTAAATCTATTAGTGACCTGTTGAATGCAAATATTTACATGCTGGATCTATATCAATAGTATCCAGCGCCACGACGTACCACTGAAGCAGCCGAAACCAGCTTCATAATCCTCTAGCCTCAAAACATCCCACTTGTTCACGCAAACAACCGTGCAACTGCCTCTGTGGTCGATACAGCTTCCACTGCAGCCTCTTTAGGCTCCTCAGCATCTGGAGTACCTTCTGAACCATCCTTTTCAGCTCCATTCTCCTTCTTTTCCTCGTTTTCACTGCTCTTCTCGCCATCAGCAGATTCCACCTTCAGTTTCTTATTCCTCACGTACTTCTCCTTCGTAGGTTCAGCCCATTCTTCGCCCCAGGCCTCATCCTCAAACACTTCTCGTAGTCTTTTCAACGCAATACTCTTATCTTGAGCAAGCCGAAGCTTCCTGGCCAACTCAGCATTGAGTGGCTTCACATGCATAAAGTTACAATTGTCTCCTCTATTACAAGAGTTCGTATCATGAGACCGGCACTTGGCATCGTGGAAACTCAGCACCGGCAGCAACTCACAGTATACTGGTTTGCCCGCAAACCACTCCTGGTTGACCAGCATGACCGCCAGTAATGCTGCTTTGGTCGTGGTATACCTCACATAGACATTTCCACTAAGATGGAAGTTTTCATTCTCACACACAAGCATCGACTCGATCTCGCCTGCCTGGGCTAGACGCTTATAAACGTCGATATAAAAATGCTCGAAAGACTCGGCGCTGGAGCTATCTGAGTCAGATATTTCACTGTTACGGTCTGTCTTGGGGTTGGGGTAGAGGTTTGCCAAAAGCACCGTTTTCAGCTCCTGAGGCTGGATATGTTTTCGTGCACACTTTTCACCGTGCCGACAAGCGCCGATTTTCAGGTAGAAGGAGCAGATAGAGCGGTCGTCCATGGCAAATGGAGTATATATGGGAAATGATAAGGTTAGATGAAGCGATGCGGTGATGGAGTAGGAAGAGATCCAGACACCACCACATACATAAGAAAGAAGAGACAAGAAGAGACAAGAAGCATGGCATAATTCTACTGAAAGTGACTAAATAAGCCATTTAATGTAATCTCATAAACGTTTTATTATGAACATAGTTGGTACATAATGGAAACATCTGGGTTATCAAAAGTCATCAAACTGCAATGGCTGCAAAACCAACCATTAGGCAAAGTTAAGGCCCTCTGCCTCAGCAGTGTAACGGTAACCCTTGATAGGGTTGGCATCGCAGATCTTCTTGATCTCCTCCAAGTCGGCCTTGGTCAAGTCCACTGGAGCACCCAAGTTACGGTCGATCTTCAGCACAGTAGTACCAGAAGTGATTGGTAAGATCTTAGGGATCTTGCTGATGCCATAGAAGTTCTCGGTCCCGCCGACAGAAGAGATCCACAGCAAGGCAAGGGACTCCAAGGTAGTGTTTTTCTTGTGGGCATATTCCTGCAAGGCCTTGACCAACTTGGCGTTGTGCCAAAAGTTGTCGCCAGAGAATTTACCCAAACCACCTCTGATATCGCCTGGTCTGTTGCACATCTTGAAGTAACCATCAAGGTCGTTAGCGGCAAATTCGGTGAGGAAACCACGGTTCAATGGCGAGTAGGCAATCACTGGGATGTTGTGTTTACTTAACTCAGCCAAAACACCATTGTGGAGAATATCCTGGCACATCAAGTGGAACTCAACCTCCACAACAGACACTGGAGCAACCGAAAGAGCCTTCTGGATAGAGCCTACACCGACTTCCGAAAGAGAAATACCATCAATGATACCCTTTTCAACAAACTCGTTGATGTAGCCCACAGTCTTCTCATATGGAGTGTTAGGGTCAACTCTGGCAACCTCAAAGATCAACTTGGGTCTCTTGGCCTTATCCTTAGGGAAGTAAGAAGCAAGCTTCTCAATTGACTTGGAAACAGACTCCTTGGATCCGTCTGGAGCAAACTTCTCCAAGTTGAACCCTCCCTTCATGGAAACCACCAAGTCTGGGTAGTTCGAGCCATACCTCTTCCAGAACTCCTCCTTCATCTTCATGTTGATATCGTTAGGACCGTAGAACTCACCTCCAACGATAAGCTGAGTGTTGTGCTTCTCAATGGCATGTTTCAAGCACTCGAACGCTTGTTCTTGAGAGATGGGCTCTGGAGTCCATGTCATGGACATGGTACCGTAAGCGAACTTTCCTGGGATTTGCACTGACATGTTTCTTGTGAATTGTTTTGGTAGACGAATGGTGGATGTTGATGCTGTCAATTGGCCTTCCCAAGGGTCTCTTTTATAGTAAACTTGGTCCTTGCTGGGTTCGAGGGCTTCTAGTATTGGTGTTTGATACTGGAGCAATGGCGGGCGAAGTTCCGTTTTGGGGATGAAGTATATGCGCGGCAAAGGCGGTATTGCCTGATTGGGACGTATACCCGCGAAAAAGAACCTTTTTTAGATCTTCTACGCGAGGTCTAAACAGTAGGTTGCAAGAAAGAACGTTTACAATGGTGTATGCCGAGCCACTAAAAGAATAGAATAGAAGCAATCATATTGCAGGCGGAGAAAAATTAAGTTTGGTCCGAAAAGAGAAAAAGTAAGGCCTGGTTGCCCCATTCGGCCGGGTTTCGGCCTTTGCCTCCAAATCGGCTGCAAAAGAAGCCGACATGGCACATGGCACATGGGCTTAACCTTTTAGATAACATCGCCATCGCCACCGTGGCGGCAACGTTTCCCCATTAAGGTTCTCTCGGGGTAAAGTCATGCCATATGCGTCCATTGATCCTTCTAGATACCCCTAAAGATAAGCTTTCTAGGCTCAGAAACAGAACACCTGGTCTGTTGGGGCAGACTTCATGGTGGTCTTGTCCCAGCCCAAACCTTCCGAGATTTCCATCACGCTGCGCTTCATCTCTGGAGGGCCACATACAAAAAGCTTGTTTTCAGCCAGCGCCTCTGGCATGTGCTGCTGCAACATCTCCTTCGTCACGTAGCCCTGGGATCCGTCCCACTCGGCTGGAGGAGTGGTTAACGTGTAGTGGACCTTGAAGTTAGGGTACTTGCTGGCGATTTCGTCCAACTCAGCCTTCAACAAAATGTCGTTGGCGGTCTCGTTGGCGTAAATGAGCGAAAGCTTCGTGAAATCCTCCGGAGTGGTGATCACCTGCGTGATAACTTGCAAAATAGGAGTAATCCCCGAGCCGCCAGCCACCAAGCCGATTTCTTTAGCCATGTTGGTCTTGTACTCCAATCTCCCGACAGGACCTCTAAACAAAACAGTCTGACCTTCCTTAAGCAGCGCAAACTTCCTCAGCACCTTGCCTTGTGGGTACAGCTTGACAAGAATGTCAAAAAAACCCGTATCGAAACGGTTGGAAATCGGCGTATAGTACCTGATCTCGTCCTTACCGTCGATAGTGAAACAACAGGCGACATTGTGGCCTGTAGGAACATTAAGCACCTCATCTTCATTATTAAGCTTGAACCTGTAAATGGCCGAGTTTCTCGAAATCACCGTCTTGTCGATCAACGCCAACTCGTTCCATCTGACCGGCTCCACAGACCGCCTTTTGCTCCACACCTCATAGAAGTTCCACGAACACACCACCACAATAAACGCTATGCTGTAAGGCAAGTACTGTAAGCCAAACATGGCAGTACCGAAAAGAATGAGCCCAATGGGGATGTAGATACCATGAAGCGGCTGTTTCAACAAGTAGCGTTTGTCTTCCATAGTAAGGGGAATGCTAGGGTGTTGATGGGGGTTTTGGGAGAGATGTAGCTTACTTTTCTAGGGCCTTCTATAAAGTGTATGTTTTTCACGAGAAGACCAAACGGAGTCACGTGCCCACATTCCCGGGAAAATGCCTAAAACTTTAAAGGAAAAGAAGGTTACGGGGAAAAGAATGTAAATAGCAGGGATGGAAAGGAAATGGCAGAATGGGGAAAGTGTCAAAAAGGGATGTCTCTTGGACGAATGTGGTTGGACATTGATGGGTGGTTAGTGCGAGTGATAGTGAAAACTCCGAAGTAGGTCTACTTGGTTGATTTGAATTAAAAAAGAAAAAGAAAAAGGATAAGCATTGGTAGGTTGAAAACTTATCGTCATTTCAAAACTCTCTTTTTGCCTTTAAGTGTTGTGTGGCTGTTTTGACTTGACAGTTAGATGGAGCGTTGGCTGCGAAATACGTCAAAGTGGTTTTGTACTACTAAATAAGCTTCGATGGTCCAGGACGTCGTTTCTGTGGTTTTACCTGTCAAGTGGGTAAGAATGTTCATCAGGAAGTGCAGTTATGGGCGCCGAAGCTTTTTGTTCATGGTGAATGGAAAAGGCAATGTCTTGAAGGTATAAAAATAGAGTAAGCTATAAAAGTACGGTAGGAGTAAGAGGCATTTTTCTAATTTTAGTGGAACGAGGCTGGCTGGAATGGTGACAGGCGTGAAGGCATTGCCAGCAGCTCTAGACGAGCTGAAATAAGCCATCAATTGCTTTTTGGAGTAATTCGTGTTCTATTCAAGTAAATGACAGTCTCTAGACTTTGTCATTACAACCTATAGCTGTCCTTAAAGGTACGTCATCCACCTCTACAATCATTCAAACACTAGTATATTAAACGGGCCCTAGCAGAAATAAACTATCGCTAAATTAGATATCCTCAAGCATCGACTATGCTGCTTCATGCAACATGGTGGGTATAATAGAAAAAAGATCACCGCAGATCAAAATAAAAAAGGGAGCGCTTAGTACTCCTCCTCTTCCTCAGGGAAAGAGTCGGTTCCAACCTCCTCGTAATCTCTTTCCAAAGCGGCCAAGTCCTCTCTGGCTTCGGTGAATTCTCCCTCTTCCATACCTTCACCCACGTACCAATGAACGAAAGCTCTCTTGGAGTACATCAAGTCAAACTTCTTGTCGATTCTCTTCCAAGCCTCAGCAATAGCGGTGGTGTTAGACAACATACAGACGGCTCTCTTGGCAGAAGCCAACTCGGAACCCTCAATAGCGGTAGGTGGCTGGTAGCAGATACCAATCTTGAAACCGGTAGGACACCAGTCGACCAACTGGACGGTCTTCTTAGCCTTGATCTGAGCAACAGAGTTCTGCACGTCTCTGGTGACAACGTCACCTCTGTACAACAAACAGGTGGCCATGTACTTACCAACGCGTGGGTCACACTTGACCAACTGGTTGCCTGGCTCGAAACAAGAGGCAGTGATCTCAGACACAGAGTTGGACTCGTGGTTGGCTCTGGTCTTGGAGAACACTGGGGCGTAAGAGACCAATGGGAAATGGATTCTTGGGTATGGAACCAAGTTCGTCTGGAACTCGTTCAAGTCGACGTTCAAGGAACCATCGAATCTCAAGGAGGCAGTCACGGAAGAGACAACCTGGGCAATCAAGGAGTTCAAGGAGTTGAAGTTAGGTCTGGAAATACCCAAGTTACGGCGGCACATGTCGTAGATGGCCTCGTTGTCAACCATAAAGGTACAGTCGGCGTGCTCCAAAGTAGTGTGGGTGGTCAAGACGGTGTTGTATGGCTCCACCACAGAGGTAGACACCTGTGGGGCTGGGTAGACGGCAAACTCCAACTTGGACTTCTTACCGTAGTCAATAGACAACTGCTCCAAAAGCAAAGAGCCCAAACCGGAACCGGTACCACCACCCAAGGAGTGGGTGAAGAGGAATCCTTGCAAGCCCTCACACTGGTCAGACATTCTTCTAACTCTATCCAAGACATCATCCAAAATCTCTCTGCCGACCGTGTAGTGACCACGGGCGTAGTTGTTGGCGGCATCCTCCTTACCAGCAATCAATTGCTCTGGGTGGAACAAGTCCTTGTAAGCACCGGTACGAACCTCGTCAATCACGTTAGGCTCCAAGTCAACATACAAAGCTCTAGGCACGTACTTACCCGAACCCGTCTCGGAGAAAAACGTAGAAAATCCTTCCTCGCCTCCCTTTGGTCTGTCCAAACCTTCCTGGAGGTAACCATCTGGTCTGATTCCATGCTCCTGGGAGTACAATTCCCAGCACGCGTTACCGATCTGACAACCGGCCTGACCGACTAAACTGTTAGTACAAAAAAACACCACAAGCAAAATAACGTCATTTACATACCGTTGATACTGATGACCTCTCTCATAATGCGATATACTTAAGTGGAGAGTGTGTTAGTAGGACTGGTATTTTTTGAGGTTTGAGGATTTGGCTGTTTACCTATCGGTGTGGGCACGACCGCCTTAGTAACTAAATGTTTGAGGTGCGTAACGGGTAGGCGACATTGTATGTTATCACGAATTTTCTCGATCTGGAAGGGATCAAAACAAGAGAGGAAAGGTGGAAAACCCGTACACCAGCTAACGTCAGCTCCCATAGCCCTCCAACGAAAAGGCATTTTCGGGGGAGTTTTGGGGTTTTTAGGGATTTAGTGGGATGTAGGGGGTGTGGTTATGGGGAGAATGTCCTTTTCAGGAATTTAAATGGTGCAGTTTACGTGTTTTGGGAAGGGATGTTAAGTAGTGTAGAACCGGTACACCGAAAGAATATACCGGTTTTTGGTGAAAAATGAAAAATGATGAAAAAGACAAAGAAAAAAAAAAAAAAAAGAAATAGAGGATTTCTAAAGGTTACAAGTAGCCTTTACAGTAATTCCAATACTGCTTCCATTTCCTGATCCACTTCTGTTCTTGTTCTTTTGCCTACTTCTGCTATTCGCAGCCATTCTACAGCCTCGTTCGTCTAAGTGTGTTGAATATATGCTTCGCTTTAACAATGAATATGTTGGAGTATCGTCTCCCTATAAATACAAGGCCACGAGCACAGATCCGACCCGCCTCTCTATTACTTCACCTCATACAATCTCTGGAACTTGTCTGTGATTTCCTTCAAGTAGTAAACGCCAGAGGCAATGTCGTCAAGAGATCCGGTAGGCTTGTAGTCCTTCTGCAAGTGAATCTTCTCTCTCAACTCAATGGCCTCCACGTACTCCTGTGGGGTCTTCTGGGTTCTGCCGCCAACCAACTTGTGCTCCAAGTTCAAAACGTTGGTGATGGCAGAAATGTCGCCCACAACGTTAAGAGACAAGAGAGTAGCAGCAAGACCAGAACCGTACGAGTAGACGGAAACCTTCTTACCTTGCAATTCCTCGTTACCAACAAAGTACAAGATAGAAGCCAAAGAAGACCAGCACGAGGCAGTGTACATGTTACCGGTATTGGTGGCCACCTTCAAAGCTGGGGTGATTCTCTTGTTGGACTCCTCCTTGGCAAGACCCAAGAAAACCTTCTCCAAGTTTCTGTCGGTCAACGACTGCTCGTAGGAAATGTTAGAAACCTCTTCGAAAACCTCTGGCGAGAGCTTGTCCTTGAAAGCATCTGGGTTGGACTTGAAGTCATTGTACAACATACGAGCAAAACACTTGGTGACCAACTTACAGGTTGGAACGTGGAAAGCGGAGTAGTCAAAGTGGTCCAAAACACCGACGGTCTTGTTGGCGTCCTTGGTGATCTTCTTGGAGTAGTTTCTGTAGGCGTGGTCCAAAGACTTGGTGTAACAGGTCAAGGAGAAGTGGCCATCGACAACAGGGTATTCCGAGGTGAAGTCAGGCTTGTAGAAATCCCAGGCGTGTTCCATGTGGGAGCCTCTGGCAGAGTCAAACACCAAAGGAGCGTCTGGGCCAATAAGAAGAGCCACAGAGCCCACACCACCAGTTGGTCTGGCAGCACCCTTGGAGTAGATGGCAATGTCACCAGCCACAACGATGGCGTCTCTGCCGTCCCAAGAAGAAGACTCGATCCAGTTGACAGCGTTGATCACAGCAGAAGTGCCTCCGTAACAAGCATTGATGGTGTCCACACCTTCAATGTCGTCGTTGTCGCCAAAAAGCTGCATCAACACTGACTTGACCGACTTGGACTTATCCAACAACGTCTCGGTACCGACCTCCAAACGGCCGATGTTCTGTGGGTCGATGTTGTAGTTTTTCAACAAACGGGATGTGGCAGTCAAGCAAAGAGAGTAGATGTCTTCTCTGTCCGAGACAAAAGACATGTTGGTCTGGCCCAAGCCAATGGTGTATTTGCCCTGGGGGATCTCGTCGAATTTTTCTAGTTCAGCCTGGTTGACATAGTTCTGTGGGATGTAGACCTCGATGGCCTTGATACCGATGTTCTGGGGCATTATTTGGAGAAGAGTAGAAGCTGGAGAGAAAAAGTTGCACCCTAAACGAAGAAATGGGCGAAATACGACGTGTGGGTGTGTTGTGCAGGCGCGGCTGAACCACAACTGGCGACCAGCCAGAGGGGGAAGAAGGTTAGGGAGGGTTAGAGGTTGGATGATGGTGTACTAGAAAGAGCTATTTTTTGGGGGTTTTTCTATGCTTTTCAAGGGCATGTGGTGGTTTTGGTGGGGAGACTTGGTGAAGTGAAATACCATTACGCGGTTCCTCAATGGCTGCGAAAAGCTGGAGAAGGCATTTAGAGGTCAACCAAGAAACCATCAAGTCTTCTCCAATCAGGTTAGAGGGAATGAAGAATCTGAAGGTGAATAAGAGAAATGGATGTTCTATGAAATTGTTCTTCTTCTTTTTTTTCTTTTCTTGCTTTGGGCTTTCGTAATTGAACAGCCTCTTGGACAGGGTGGTATCAGCTGTTGCACTGCAGCTTCTGGGCAGTGAAATTTCTGCATCTTACTCGTATAGGATATTCCATGCTAGTGGCCAGTGGCAGTGGATTCGCCCATTTACGAAAGGTTAAAGGTAAAGGCTGTTTGGGGATTTAGAGGGTTTAATGTAGATGGAGTTATTCTGGGATGCTGTTTTGATGGCTGCCAAACGCGTATACTGGGACAGTTGAAGTAACCGCTAGACATGAGATGACATGGGATGGGATGGGTTTTGTAGGGGAGGCGATGGAAGGGGTTGGTGAGGGAAGTGGAGGTTGTTGGTGGGGATGTGGAGTTTTGAATTGGTGTTTCTGTAGGCGTTGTCTGTCTTTGTTGCGTTTGGTTGGGATGGCTGGGTGGTAGAATAGATGATTGGAGGGTTGACGAGGATGCATGTAATTGAGAAGCTTTATGGGATGTGGAGGTGATTGAGGTGGTTTAAAGTTTTAGGTAAGGCTTGTTGGTGGTGTAGCTGTGAATCATTATATGTTTTTGATTTATTCCAGTAATGGCCTAAAGCCATGGCATGTTGAGACAACCCTAGCTATTTCAACGTAATCGTAATCAATTAGATACAAAAGATGTGATATATTTACCAGAAGTTCAAAATTGACTCTCCAAGTAAAGAACATCCTAGTTGTAATGGACCATATTGGCGCCCTCTAGATACAACCATAGCTGCACCATAAATCCCTAAGTAATCACTGAAAAGCACCAGTAGTATCCAAAATCTAACCTTTTCCATGAACCGAATTCACAGCAATATCACTTCAATTCAATGCCTTTCCTTGTATCACTACTGGTTGCCTCCCTGCTTCTCACCTACCGACCATCCAACCACCCAACAACCCAATTCACGTAACCATCCAGCCCAGAAAAAGACCAAAAAACAACCAAACAAGCTCATAGGCATCCTTTCAAACCAAATCAAAGAACCCTCAATTTTCACCTACGTTGTGAATGATCCTTCAACCGTCGTCCACCACTTGGGACCTTTTCGCAGCCAGTTAGCCATAACCAGATCCATGCTTTAGTCCAGCGTCCACCGATAACTCCATGTGCATTTGCAAGAAGTGAAGAATAAAACCCAGACTTTCAGAGTAGCCAACATTCCTTTTACCATAATAAACCAAAAGAAGTACTACCCTTCCACTTTCTTTACCAGCTTCCATATCTTCCCGTTGCTGCCGATTCGGACTCACTGCGAGTCCTCAACTTTCCACCAAGCCCAAGCCATAAGCCAGAAATCCACAAACCACAGATTAAAAAAGACGTAATATCTAATACATCTTCATCTTCCTCTTCTTCTTTTTTTTTTTTTTTGTTCACATCCATCACTGCCTGGGGCTTTGCAGCCCTATCGCTTAGACGAATACAGGCCCTTGCATGCCGGCGCCAACGGTTCCTGTTCCTTATAACCAGCCTCACCGTAACCACCAGCTACTAGTTATCGTCTTCTCCTGAAAATTCAAAGATGACGGTTCCACAGTCGCTTCAACCTTTCACCACTACCAAAGTGGTCCATAAGACCTGGGCAGGCACGTTTTTTTGTAAGCCCCAGGCGATTTTCCAGCCTAGACTGAATGAAGAGATCCAGGAGTTGATTCGTCAGGCCAACAGACTTGGCAAGACTATCATGACGGTGGGTTCGGGGCACTCGCCTTCGGATTTGACCATGACTAACGAGTGGTTGTGCAATTTGGATAAGTTTGATAAGGTGCTTAAGGAGGAGGAGTTTTATGGAACGACTGTGTCAGGAGCTGCTAAGGAAGTCAAGTATGTGGATTTGACCGTGGAGGCTGGTATTCGTATCTACCAGTTGAACGAGTACTTGAAGGAGCACAATTTGGCTATCCAGAACCTTGGCTCTATCTCTGACCAATCCATTGCTGGCCTTATCTCTACTGGTACGCATGGCTCATCTCAGTACCATGGCCTTGTTTGTCAGCAGGTGGTTTCGATGGTTGTTGCCAACGGCGAGGGTAAGCTCGTGGAGTGTTCTTCTGTCAAGAACGAGAAACTCTTTAGAGCTGCTCTTTTGTCGCTCGGTAAGATCGGTATCATTACTCAGGTCACTTTGAGAGCTGTTCCTCGTTACACCATCAAGTCCAAGCGTGAGATTATCAAGTTTTCTACTTTGTTGCGTGAATGGGATACTATCTGGTTAGACTCGGAGTTTATTAGAATCTGGTGGTTCCCTTACTCGGGCAATTGTGTTTGCTGGAGAGCTTCCAAGTCTGAAGATGCATTGAGTGATCCTCGTCCTTCGTGGTACGGTACTCTCTTTGGCAGATTGTTCTATGAGTCTCTCTTATGGGTCTCTGTGAACATCTACCCAAAGCTTACCCCTTGGGTCGAGAAATTTGTGTTTAGACAACAGTACGGTGAAGTTGAGACTTTGGGTAGCGGAGACATTGCCGTGCAAAACTCCGTGGAGGGCCTTAACATGGACTGTTTGTTCTCGCAGTTTGTGAACGAATGGTCTGCTCCATTGACTGAAGGTATTAATGTTTTAACTGAACTTAACGATAAGATTCAAGACGCTGCTAAGAAGGGCGACTTCTTCGTCCATGCTCCAATCGAAGTGAGATGCTCCAACGTCACTTATTCCGATAAGTCCTTCAGTGACGAAGACGGCAAGCCATCTCTCCACCCACCACAGAACTGGTTGGCAAAAAGAGATGCCGTCAGTGCCGGTCCTGTTCCTGGTAACAACTTGAGACCATTCTTAGACAACTCGCCAGAGGGTTTGCCATATCAGGCTGACCTCAAGAAGATCACCAACGACCAATTGACTCTCTTTATTAACGCTACGATGTACAGACCTTTTGGATTCAACGTTCCAACCCATGCATGGTATCAAATCTTTGAAGATGCTATGAGCAGAGCAGGCGGTAAGCCTCATTGGGCCAAGAACTTCATTGGTTTGCCTGGCGACCACCACAACGAGGCTGACTTAAAGACTCAATTGGATTTCGGAGGTAAGGAATTCTACTCGATGCTTGGCTTCGATCCAGTTATGCAAAAATGGTTTGGCCCTAGTTTGGAGGCTTACAACGACGTGAGAAAAGACATGGACCCTAAGGGTGTTTTCTTGAGTGGAAAAGCCTGGGTCGAGAGAAACGGTATATTGATAGACTAGATTATGATTCCCTGTTGATTCACTTATATGTGCTATTATACAATGATTATTTGAATGGTGCTTTCAATGGATCCACAACTGTACCCTGTTTGACAATAACTCTAGGCAAGGTAGACTTCTGGAAAGTGGCTCTGGATGCCCATTCTTCACCAATTGGCATTCTCAATGCTCTTTCGTACTGCTCTCTTGTCTCGTATGGATGAGGAACATTAGCAGACTGGTACTTCAAGTTATGCTTGTTGAGTTTTTCGTTGATAATGACATTGTCCTTGTTCTTATCTTGTCTGGTATCCTTACGAGCAACACCGTCAACCTTTCTGACGAACTTTTTCTTTGGCTTTTGTGGTTTATCGTCACCACCCCATGAGCCCCATCCAGGTAGCGTCATGTCTTCTTCCTTATCGTCTTCTTCTTCTATGAGTCTTCTCTTCTCCTCCTGGAACTCACTCACGACATCGTCACCAGCAAATGCTTCTTTGATGAGGCTCAGTTGCTTAAACATACGACCATCCGTTTCGTCCTCTTCATCGCTTTGATCGTCGTCGCTTCCAAATGCGTCGTTCTTGCCGGAAACATCAATGACCTTTTTCATATCGATCAATGTCGATGGCTCCTTTGAACCCTTGGATTTGTTTGCCTTATTCTTATGCTTCTCAATCTTGTTGGCGGCCTTGGAAAGCTTGGAGGAGTCTTCAGTGACGGTTGAGAACTTCTTTGACTTGGCTGATGTCTGCTGGTCGTCTCCTGCCATCAACCATGGGTTTTCTTCATCGTCATCCTCGTCGTCGTCATTATCATCGCTATTGCTCTTTTCAGAACCGAAACCTTCGAAATCGGATTCTTCCTTCTCCTCAACCTTGTGCTTCTTTGAAGGAGGCTGGTCCTCTTCATCACTCTCACCTTCGTCTTCATCGGCAGTTCTTTCACGTCCTTTGGTCTTGCCCTTGAGTCTGTTCTCCAAGTTGTTGGCTTCATCATCACGGTAGTCATGGATCAACTCCTCATCCAACTCTTCCATTTCTTCCTTCTCAGCAGCAACCTTTGGAGCATACATTCTTCTACCCTCATTCTTCAATTTGTTGATGGAGTTCTTTTCCAGTGGAAGCCCTTCAAACTCTTCAATACCGGTACTGGAATCAATACCTCTGAGGAACTCAAGCTCCTTCTTGTTTTCTCTGCGCTTTCTGTCCTCAGCATTCTTCATAAAGTCCATGGCCATGATACCCTTTCCAAGCTTTTCTCTTTCGGCATCGTTGTCCTGATCGTTCTCGATATCTTTTTCAATATCTGAAATGCCATCATCACTGTGACCGCCATCGTCATGGCCCAACTGTTTGGCACGCAACCTTTCACCATCTCGAAGCATCTCTTCCAACTGAGCTCTGCTCAGCGAATCTTTAGAGATACCCAGCTTGATCATTTGCTTGGCCCACAGCGATTGGGTTTTATGCTTTTGAGACATTCTCTCCTCGGCTCTCTTCATGTCGTGATCTTCAGGGTCAGACTCGGCATCTGAACCCTCAACCATTTGAGCATCCCGCAAACGCTCCTTCTTCTTGATCTTTCTATATTGCTTGGACTTGATCTTCTTTATACGCTTGGCACGCTGCTCGTCACGGAACATGAGTTCTCTCATTCTTCTCAATTCTTGGGTTCTTTTAAACATATCTTCCTTGGAGAGTTTGGCAACGGCAATCTGTTCGAAAGTTGCTTCTTTTGATTCATCAACAAGAGCACCAGCTTCAAGAAGACCATGAATTTTGTTTTCTAGCTCATTTCGGCTTTCTGTTTCGGGAACAAACCGAAGAGCATCGTACTCCTTCTCGGGGTCTATTTCTTCCTGCTCTTCAGCGGTAGCAGGTGGCGCTAGAGGGAACTCAAGATGGTCAGCTTCTTGCAATGTTCTGACGGTTTCTTTCCACTTATTGACTTCTTCCTTAGTGATTTCATAAGCGGCTCTTCTATCGTTTCTAGTTTGGATTCTCTTGGGAAGAGGTACAGCAACAGGTTTACTTTCTTCTTCCCTGTTGATCAAGTATGCATCATCGGCTTCTTCACCGGCGCCACTAAGCATCTCGGCAAGAGAGAGTTTCTCGCCTCGCGTGGGCAATGCAAATTCACTGGCTTCTCTGGAATCATGAATAAGTCTTCTATATTCATTTGGAGCCTTGACCTTGGAGTTGACGGTGCTAAGGGTAGATTTAAGGTCGACGTCTTCGTCGTCGAATCCACCAAAAATGTCTTCTTCGTTTTCAGACTCAGACTCAGACTCGTCTTCAGATCCAGATTCAGATTCAGATGCAGATCCAGAGCCCGATTCAGATTCACCGTCAGATCCCGAATCGCCAGACTCGTCCTTCAATTCAATCTGGCCCTCCAAATCACTCTCCTCCTCGCTCTCTGACTCACGCACATCATCAAGCACAACGTCCTTAGCCTTAGACTTACCCTTACCACCGGCCATATCCTTATCATCCATGTCCCAGGCTTCAGAAAGCGTCACCAACTGAGACTCGTCAATGCTATCGTAACCCTCATCTTCTTCAGAACTCTCCAGCTCCATGCCTCTCCTCAGCTTCTTCTCCTTCTGCTTATCTCTGATGGTCTGAGAGAACTTCGAGTTCAACACGTCAAACTCATCCTCCAGGCCAAGCGCCTCGTCAGAGTCAAGATCTTCATCGTCAAGATCACTATCGTTGTCCTGGTCCTTGAGAAACTTTCTGGCGTCTAAAACACCTTCCTTGACTGGTAACTCATCGTCCTGGTCTGACTCTGACTCTGGATCCTGGTTGGCGCCTCTGCCGCCACGAGCCTCGGCACGCTCGGCGAGCTGGAAGGCATCCTGGATCTTCTGTTGCGATCTGTTTTTGCCTGACCGCTTTTTAGCCATTTTTTCTAGGATTGTGTGGTGTTTCTTGTAGAGCTCATCTCATCGGTGATGGATCCCCAGGGCACTTTTTTCGAGTTGGGTCACGTGCACTCAATCCCCAGAAATGGATACCCATTGAAACAGTAATACCATGGATTAAAAAAAAAGAAAAAAATGGAGAAAGGAGGAAATAGAAGCAGCTGTATGCTTACTCGAGATTGTCTGTTATTGTTTGGCAGTCTTGGTTGCATTTGGTAGTGCTACTTTAAGTACTGTTCTTTCGCAGCCACTAGAACCTACTATAAGGCATCTTCCAATATCAGTCTACTTGATTTAACCTTAAGAAGCTTAATTGAATAATCAGGACATTGTAATTGGCATATTACTGCCTTTCTCCTACAGGAACATTCGTATTTCTTGTATTTTACTGCCTTCTAACCAACCACAACAGTACCTGGCTAATGCAGCGCTTTCGTAACTAGTTCACTGAACGTCGGTGGACTGGCCACTCTTCATGATGTTCCTCCGTTTCATCTACAACGCCTCGAGTCTGTCGTTGATCTCCTCGGCCAGCAACTTCTTCACTCTAGGACCCTGGATCTCTGTACCCTTGAAACCCAACAAGTGGTCTTGTGGGTCGCTCACCACAGAGATATCCAAGTTGTCGCCAATCAATTCGCCATCCACCGACTCCTTCAATGCTAGGAGAGCAACGTGAATAACATCCTCCAACTCCAAGTCCTCGTTCCAACGCTTCTCTAAGAATGTCTTGGCTGACACTGCCGTCTTACCAATGGCCGTAGCCTTCCATGGGAAATAACTGCCAGAAGGATCAACCTGGTATAACTGGAAGCTGCTCAGGTGGTGGTCGTAGCCACCAACCAAAAGAGACACACCAAATGGTCTGATACCTCCACTTTGCGTGGATTCTTGCATCACCTTGGCGAGCTCTTGCACCATAATCTTCACCGGCGGGTACTCGTTGTATATACGCTTGTAGTTTGTGTGTGCCAACTTACGGGCTCTATCCACGAGAACACGGAAATCGGGGCCCATGCCCGAGTAGGTCATGGCTATGTCTGGAGTGATCATTTCAACCTTGGTATTACAGTCGTTCTTCAAAAGATTGGAATTCGACTTTCTTTCGGTGGCAAGCACAACACCCGATGCAGATTTGATACCAATGGTGGTGACACCCTGCTTCACGGCATTGAGGGCATATTCGATCTGGACCAATTTCCCTCTGGCGTTGTTAGTAGGTGTTTTAAATGGTAACTTGGCAACCCGTTGCTCGATTGACACGCGGGGAAAACGAGTACAATCGCAACAATCAGGACATTAAATATACATACTGTGGGGAGAATGTCGTAAGGGAAAAGGAGTATCTGTCGGCCATTGAGCTGTGTCGATAGATTAGTGTTCAAGGTGTTGAGACTTGCCTTCGGAGGCAACATGAAGGTTTCTGCACGTGCACTGGTTCACGTGACCAATTTTTCTACTACACTCCAGTTTTGCAACCACAACCATTCTCTTTCAACCCAAAATAATACCTCTATTAATTAATCTAAACAAAAAACTGGTTTCTTATTACCCCGCTTACTCCTCGTCGTCGTCGGTGTCGACAGGCTTTGGCGTGCCCTTAGGACTGCTCAACCATTCAATGTGACGCAATCTTCTTCTCTCAGCCTGTGCCTTCTTCTCGTTTCTAGTCATCTTCTTCTTTCTAGTTCTAACCTTGATATTGGCAGGAGAGTCGTCATCGTCAGCTCTCTTCTTGACTGGCTCAGGTGCTGGAGAACCGTCCTTGGACTCGGCACCGTCAGCGAATCTCAGCGCATCAACGGCAGCGTTACCCTTTTGAACGACAGCACCATTTTCAACATGCCACTGTTCAGGGCACAAAGCACCCACGAACTCGTTATTATGCGAAATCATGACAACACCACCGCTCCAGTCACGAATGGCCACGGCAAGACCACCCAAAGAGTCTCTATCCAAATAGTTAGTAGGCTCATCAAGAACAAGCAAATGAGGGTTGTTCCACATGGCACCTGCAATGACAACCTTGACCAATTGACCTCCGGACAAGGAGCCCATAGGAGTGTGGTCAGCGATATCACCGTCCAAACCGACATCTTCGAAATGCTTTCTGATAACCTTTGGAGTCAATTCTCTGTAACCAAGACCTTCTCTGGAAGCCTCGTGGTCATCGAATTTTTGAACCAACTTCTCAAAACCTTGTTCAATCAATGAATCTCTAGGAATCCAGGAGTTGTACTTTGGAAGGAAGTACTTCCACTTAACTTCATACTGGAACGACTTCTTCAACTTTTGTCTTCCAACAAGAGCCTCAATCTGTCTTGGGCCCTGGCCGTCACCAACATCAATGAGCTTCTCCATGATTTCCTTTTCTTCATCTGAGATCTTTCTCGATTCCTTCAACAACACTTCACGGTCATCACCGAATCTGTAACGCCATTGCAAGTATTGGTTGGCGGTCTTCTCCTTGTGTTGTTCCACATGCTGCAAAGCGTGCTGGGCAATGTAACCAATTCTCAAGTTTGGATGTTTTTCAACGTTACCCTCCTTTGGAACCAACTCACCAGTCAACAACTTGATTAAAGTAGACTTACCGGCACCGTTAGGACCCACGATAGCAACACGAGATGACAAACACAAACTGCAAGAAACGTTGTTCAAAGATGGCTTGGCAGCACCTGGGTATGTGAAAGTAACATTACTCATACGAGCAATAGCTCTGGTGTTAGACTTCACACCGGACAAGATACCTGGTGGAGGGAAGGCCATCTTGACCAAGGAATCACTCAAGGTGTAGTAAGATTTACCTTCAGGCTTGATCTTGACGAACTCAGACAAGTTACCCTTGTAGTAAGCCAACTTCTTGTTTTCGTAGTGAATAACATCAGTACAAACAGCGTCCAAGAAACCAGAGTCGTGCGACACGATCAAGGATGTGATCTCGGTGTGTTCAATCAAGTAGTTCTCGAGCCATTTCACGTTACCAACATCCAAGTGGTTAGTAGGCTCATCCAAAAGCAAAACATCAGCCTTCATCAACATGGCTCTGGCCAACTCCAACTTCATCTTCCAACCACCGGACAAAGAGCCGACCTGTTGAGTCAATCTCTCATCAGGGAAACCGACAGCTTGAAGTGCCTTTGCGATATCTTCACGGCCAACGTTGGCCAATTCTGGATCAGAAGCAATGAAGCTCACCAAGTCCAAGTCACCTTCCTCGCCCTGCAACTTATGCTCGACGAAACAGGTACGCAACTGGTCTGGGGTAGGGAAACCTTCCAATTGACCCTTGGAAATAGCTCTCATCAAAGTAGACTTACCGGCACCGTTTCTACCACAAAGACCGTATCTGTGACCCTTCAACAATCTCAAGTTTGTCTTGTTCAACAACATACGGGAACCGTAGGCCAAGGAGAAGTCGGCATTCACAATTTCAACGGCACCTTCGTCGTCATCATTATCAGCCAGGGAAGTCTCGACAAAGAGGTGCTTGACGTTTTTAACCACTTCCTCGACGTATTTGTTCTTAAGCTCGGTAGACACTTCTTCAGAAGTCTGGATAGCGCTTTCAAGGTAGTCAGTCAAACGCTTCCAGTCGTTGACATTAGCATCAATTTGCAAGATCACAGAAAGATAATCGACCTCGGTCTGGTCACGGAAGAGGGCGTCTGAGACAGGCTTGACATCGTCGGACAAGTTGTCCTTGAGGAAGTTCTTTGCATCAGGCAAAGAGATTCTGCCGTGGAATTTACCATCAGTTTGCTCGCTCTCGGCTTCCTTCAAAACATGAAGAGCCTTGGCGCCCAACTCTCTAACCTCTGGCAAAGAGGCATTGTTGACGACCTTTTCAACACCAGGCAATAAAATAGGAATGTAATGCTCGATTTCTCTCTTGTTGTTGACCAATCTTGTCAAGTTCTCGGCCACAGTGACGGTTTGTCTCAACTGGTCGTTTGTGGAGGAAGACATCTTCAAGGACTTGTCCAAGATTGGAACAAGAAGAGACAATGCTGGTTCAGTCACTTCAGCGACGAAGGTGACAGAAGACAAATTCTTGATACATTCTGGAACCTTTTGAGGGTTGGCCAAAGTCTCAACAATCAAGTCGTACTTGTTTTGCAAGTCCAAGTTATCCAAGACCTTGACAAAACCCTTCAAAGTGGCCAAACCATGCTTAGCTAATTCTGGCTTGAAGTCAGTAGCCATGTCTGTCAATGCAGGTACAGCGGTAACGAACTTCATTTCCAACAAGTCAGCTGGAGCCTCGGCAACGAGTTTATCGATGACATCCAAAGCGGCAATCTTGGTGTTCCACTTGGCAGAAGAATTAAGGTAGTTGATGATTTCATCAATAAACAAGCTGCCCAAAATCTCAGCAGGCAAGACTCCGTAAACGACGTCAAGGGTCTGCTTAGCTGTTTTGATGACGTTTTTGTCCTTATCCGTGAAGGCTTCTAAAATGACATTAAGGAATTGAACCAAGTACAGTTCTTTTGGAGGAGAGTTGCTCAAGCTGAAGGCAAGCTGTTGGATAATAAGGAGAGCAGATTCTCTGACAAGTGGAGAGCTTCTTGCTTTAGCCAAATTCTTCACAATGTCAACAATCTTCCATTCGTTGAACACATCCATAGATGGCTGCTCAGCAATCTTGTGAGCGATGGCCTCAGCCTCCTTCTTGGCATCACTGAGCTTCGAGGACTTTTGTATCGTAGTCAAGTGCTCCAGAATAGGAGTTTCCTCGAGTTTAAGCTTGTTCAATGCAGAGCCCAAAGACGAGAGCGACGTGGTTGAAGCGTCTGGGTTAGGAGTGCCGGCACCGCTTGTAATTCTGGACTCAGCCCCAGAAGGAGCCTCGCTTATGTTCTGGCTATTTTGGAAGCTCTGGTCACCGTTATAATATCCCTGGTACCCGTAGTTGCCGTATCCTGACTGGTACTGGCCTGGCTGGAAGCTCTGACCTGGCTGGAAGCTCTGGCCCGAGTACTGGTAGTTATTGGAGCCTTTGTAGCCGTAACCTCTCGGTTGTTGCTGGGCTTGCTGCTGTTGCTTCAAAAAATCGTCAAAAGAAATCTTTTTCGACATGACGTTGAAGCGGGACAGAAAAAAAGGGCTATGTTGTGGGTTGATAATACAGTAAGCAAATGAAAAATTAGCACCCATTCATGTCCACCCGTACCTCCCCTACTATCGGCCTCATCGCGCTTGACAGAGGTATGCACAATGGTTGCAAAAAAAGAAACATGTGAGACATGTAGATAAGATAAACATATTAATCGAGTCCCAATGGTATTATGGAAATGCTGTCGCTTCCTTGAATGATCAACGCGATGCCGTGTTCAGATTCAAGGCCATAGACAGTTTTGGGACTGTGTATGGGGCTGGCATGTCTCACCATCTCTTGCATCTCCTTATCAAAGAGCACTAGCTGATCCAGGATTTCTGCAATAGACGTATTGTCGCTCTTGAAGAGGACGTAGTTTGCATGCTTATGGCGTGGTAGCACTCCAACAGTTCTTTCGGTTCGAAGATCGTATAACTCAACGCTGTCCTGAAGGACTGTGAGCAAGAGGTTATTATGGACAGATGTGGAATGGTAGTCGCCTTCATCCTTGATATCAGTAAGCTTCTTTTTGGTGATATCAAGTCGTTGTATTTTTTCATGGAGGATAATCAAGTCGAAGGGAAGGTCATCGGAGGCATCTTCTTCGGCTGGCTTGTCCGCCCAATCGACATTCTTCACCTTCTCTGATGCCTTGAGGAAAGTGCTATTGAACTGCCCAAGCAGACGCAAGGTTGTCTTGTTTCCGCTCTTAATCTCGTGCACAGAAATGATCAGCTTGCCGTCCTTGCCCATTCCTGAAACAGCCAATGCGTAATGCTTATTTGCGTTAACTGTAGGGACCTCCACCAAGCTGCATGTTTCCATAACAGACTTTTCATCTTTCAATAATACTTTCGTGCTGGAAGACCCACTATCTTTGCAGGTAAGTACACTGACACCCTTCACAGAAATCACAAGTAGACGCTTCTTGCCCAAGTAGTAAATTCCTAATATCGTGCCGTTCGACAGATCAATACTCGTTTTGAGTATAGGCTCGCCCAGCTCCAACACGGTAACCTGGGAGTCTTCAAGAAACACGATCAGATTCTGGAATGGCTCGAAAAGAGAGCAATTCTTAGCCAAAAGACGAGTCTCCTGGCCGAACCTCACAGACAGTTTTGGTTTGGCAAGTGCATCCTCCGCTTCATCCACAATGACCGTTTCAGTATCTGTTTCGTTGTCGTCTTGTGGGGGTGGCTTACGTGAAATAGATGTGTTTGCAGCATTCTGCTCTGCTAAATCACTCTGAACCAGATCGGCTAGTCGTTGAGCATCTTCCTCAAAGTTCGACAGGAGAAGCTCGTCTCCATTGGCGTCGTTCATGTACCTTGCAAATATGCTTTCTCTTGCCTTTTCATCCTGAGCTTCATTCTCAAACAGGAACCTCTCACTGTCGTCAAGCAATTCATCGAAATCTGTTCCGTGCAGAGTGTTTGGTGCATTGAGATAATTCTTGCTGATCGCCAGAGGAGGTTTCAATACCCTAACCACGTCTCTGATCAGCTTGTTCAACTGGGACCTGGATCGTTGGAGGATCTCAAGATCCACCTGAGGGATCTTCACGTCTGGAACCTGAGAAGAAGTCTGCAGACCATTCAATTGCAACTGTTCCTCGAGCTCCCGGATTCTAATTGCTTGTTTGTCATTGATAAACCTCAACGAGTTCACCTCACTCGTCAATTGCAGAATCTTGTACTTCATTTCAGACTTTTCCAAGTTCGTCGTAATCTTAAACCTCTCCAAATGCGTGAATTCAGACGTCAAGTAGCTGATCACGCCAGGAAGGTTATAATTGGCAGTGGGCAGAGCATTAGGCTGCTGTTGTAGGATGGGATTAGCCGAGTCTTGGTTCTGTTTGGCCTGCTGGCCCCCTTGCAGCTCAAATGCTGTACTATATCCCGAAACTTCTTTTCGATTCGGGTTGATCAGGTACCTTTTACTCATGTGTGGATGGATAACACCAAGTGTATGGATTTGTCGTTATTCGTCTCGAGCACTTGGATCGAGGACTCATTGTGTGGAGGATCACGTGAAGCCTTTAGCTCCAAGAGACGGGTGAAGAGCCCCCTAGAATATAAACTACTGGAGGGGCTATGCTGGAGGATTTAGATTTATTGGTTTCTTTTTTGGGTCTACTGGTTGTGTGGTGTTGTTGTGTGGTATTGGCTTTGGTGTGCTTGGACGTTTCGCAGCCAATAGCGACGAACAGTAGAAGACCACCAAGTACCAGTAATGGTACTTGGAAGAACCAGTCAATTCTTCAATCTAAAGCTTCAACGAGGTTAGAGTCCAGAATGACCATAACAAACACATTCCACCTTTTCTCCTTCCCTCTGCCATATGATTCCCTTCCTCTACGTCAGCTGGTAATGTACTTCCCCAGCCAGGCCATTGTCGCCTTCCCTTTTCCCTACATTCGTGCCTTGTATGTTCATGTATTCGTGCAATTAGTCCATAGTCCACAGCCCAGGCTTAGTTTCCAGAAGCCCAGTCGTTCAAACCGTATCTGTTTCTGGCAATCTCCACAGCGTAAAACTGGATTCTCACAGCGAAAATCGAGTTCTCCTGAGAGTACTCGTCGTCGGCTCTGACTCTTAAAAGCGTTCCAAAGTTGTAGTCGTCGATCTCCTTGAACTTGTCGCAGAAAGCTCTCCACTTGGCCTTGCCTTCTTTGCTCTTCATGGCATCTTCGTTGATCTGGAAAGCAGCCTCCTTCTCCTTGAACTCTGGGAACTGCTCAATCAAAGCTTCGTAGATCTCGTTGTCGTGGTTGGTCAATCTCAAAGAGGATGCCTTGACTTTGGAGATCAAGCTCCAGTAGGCCTCGGCCTGGTGGACAGCCTTGACGGCGAATTGCTTCTCGATGTCCTCGAGGTTCTCGGCTTTTTCAGCGTCAAATTTGGTAGCCATGATGGTATCTAGTTGATGGGTTGTAAGTTCTTCTTTTGGTGCGATGCGCCTGAATTAAAAATTGCAACTTGCCTGCACTGAGTTTTCCACTTGCTGGATGGTAACAGAGGGAGGAAGAGTGGAAGCTGGGGTTGGGTTGGTAAATTATTATGGAAATTTGCTTCGTTGAATATAAGCGTGTTTGCTTGTTTTGGTGTCTGCTCCTTTTTACGAGACAGCTTCTGGTTCACTCTAACCTCTCACCGTCTATGGTCATATCATTTGTTCTAAGTACTTCTAGACACTTTTTTTTTTTTATTTGGAATCGTTCAAAATCCATTCTGCTTCCCTCTTTCCTGAATCGTAAGCTCCATGGATACAGCCGCTACCATCAGCGATAGTGTGTTCGCCAGCGAAACGGATGGTAGAGCCAGATCCCATACCCACACCTTCGTTCTCACCACTAAGATGAATGATTAAATCGTCAGGGCAGTCGCCAGTGCGTACTGCCGAGTAAGCACCTCTTGCAAAGGGGTTTTTGGTCCAGTCTGTAACGATGGTGTTGATTGGATCGGGAACAGAGAAACTGGAAATGTTCAACTTTGAAAGCATAGGCTTCAAGAATGGCCAGGCCTGTTCAGGATGCTCTTCCAAATAGTCTGTAACTGGAGACTGCGTAAGTAAAACCAACGACGGCGTACCAGGCTTCACTCTGGCGTAGTTGACAATGATGCTTGGGTATTCCCATGATTTAGGTACCACTCCAAACGAAGAAACGTCGTCAGGAATAATATCAAATCTGTCCTGATTCTTGTCCCACCAGATCATATCAAACTCGAAAATGACTTTTCCTAGCGATCCTACTGAAATCTGGTCCAAGGCTTCAGTTATAGGCTTAGGAAGCGGAGGTTCCCACGTAATTTTCTGGGGTCCTTCCTTGAGTTTAAGTATACTAAGTGGAACAGTAACAATAACATAGTCCGTATCAATAGTACTTCCATCGGCCAACTCCACTTTATTTTTCTTTGGACCACCTCTAATGTTTCTGCTGATCTTCGTCACTTGGTGCTGCTTCAGGATCTCACAATCGATCTGAGACACCAAATGGTCAATTGCAAACCCGTGGCCTATCTTATTATAGAGATTACGGCCCTGGTGATCCATAGGAGCGTATTTGGCCGAGATATCATAAGATGGAATACCGAACCAAAGCTCATAGTAACGAAAGACCCTGCAGCAGTACCGAAGCTGCTCTGGCGTAAGGAACACCTTATACTTCTCCACGTACAACTTAGCAAGCTCATCTAACGAAATGTCCTTGACTCCCAAGTCCGACATGAAGTACAATTCCATGAACTTTTCCATATCCTCGAGCACTCTGACCAATTTCAAGTTTCCCGAGTCCAATGGGCCATCTTGATCCAGAGCATACATAGCAATATCCTTATCGTCAAAGTACCCATCCTTCGCAGGCACAAACGTGCCATTGTCAATGCTATCATACAACACTGAATTGGTCAAAGCGTCGTGGAACCAGGCTGCACCCAAGTCATACGATACACCCAACTTCGAAGAGTCCTTATCAGTCTTGATTCTGCCTCCAACTCTATCTTGAGCCTCGAGAATCACTATATCTTCCTTGGCAAAACGGCCACTCTTAAGAAGCACTTCTGCAGCCTTGAGGCCTGCAATGCCAGCGCCGATAATTGTCACAGACTTGCTAGACATGGAAAAGACAAGTGTAGTTTGGTTCGTTATCGCAACGGAATTTTTCGCAACAAAAGATGGAGGATAGTGGTAAGAGAAGTCCGAGGCCGAGGTAATGGAGGGGTGGACTGTTATGGGTATAGTTAGTTGGGGGATCTAAATGGCTTCAGTTTTACTTAGGTTTCTTCAATGGCAAAAATTTGGAGAAAGAAGGAGAAGTATATGGTGAACTGGCTGTTGGCAGTGCTGGATTTCGCAGCCAAGAGACGACAAAGTCTGTCTGGTTCACAAATCTAGTCAAGTGAAACGCAAGTTACTGGGGTATCCAGTGACATCGGTAAGCTTGGTAATTACGAGAAATCTTGTTGTTTGGTAGAGTGTATGGATATGAGGTACTTACGAGATGTCATACCAGTGCACTTCAAGTCTGAGCATCACCAATGTTCTTCATTGGAAACCCACCCGCTGAGTCGAAGTCTTCATGTCAACATGACCATTCACAGCCTTGGGATCCATAGAAATGGAAAATTTGACCCATTCAACTTTGGCCCAGCAGAACACAGAGCAGTAGGGTATCTACTGCCACACCACCAGCCATTCACCACTGTTCCTCCAACCATTCCACCTACAAGCACCACGTGCTAGTTTCTATATTCATTATCTACCGGCTCTAGAGGCCCAACGTCCGTCTCACATGGCTCCGTACCTGATTATCGTATTCCTCACGGTGGTCTCTCCACAACTTACAAGCGTCAATATTCGCTCCACTCTCCGGGTTAGGCTCTGCCAACATCGAAATCACACTCAACAAGATCTTCTCAATGCTCTGCACTGGCGACCACCGCTCCTCGGGCCTCTCGTACTGGTTAGGGTCCTCCCCAGGAGGATGCAAAATGCTAATGCACACGGTACCATCAGCGTAGATGTTGGGGTGAAGCAAAGGAGGCGTAAACTTAAGCAGCGGAGGACTCAAAGGGTAGTCCAGAGGGAACTTAAGCGTGGCAGAGAAAACTCCATTCTCGTATGGGGTACCGTCAGGACCCTCCAAAAGACAGTCCCACACAAACAAGTCCTCTTCAGAAACAGGCCCAGCGACAACCCCTGGAGGAGGATCTCGTGATAGTTGCTGGTACTCCTTGAGTAATCTCTTCTGGGCAGTGGAACGTGGAGCCATGTTAGGGGGGTACAAAGTGTTCTGTCAGGAAGCTGAGTGAGGTGGTTGATTTAACGCGCGCCGCTGAAATATCTCGGTTGGATGGTGAGGTAAGTTGGTATGGAAGGGTGGGAAAGATGGTTTGGGACAGTTTTTTGGAGAAAAACTCGGGGAGACGAAAAAGGAGGGTGGCCAAAAAGGGGTTTTTTTGGTTGGTTTTGGTTTTTGTTGTAGTTTGGATTTTTGGAACTGGGTTTTGTGTTTACGGTTTAGTTAGGAATGGTGGTTTTCGCAGCCAAACTGTGGAGTGCTCTCCTGGTTGGTCAGAATGGATAGAGATGGGAATAAAGGTGAAGAAGTATGGGAAAGTGGTGGTCTAAGAAGGGCTTTTTAGGTATTTGGTGGGGTTACTTTTGGGCTTTGGAGGTTTTGAGTAGGGATTATTTGGCCTATTAGTTCTGTCGGTATGTCGTTTGTTTCAGACTGAAGGCTTCTCATGAAGACAGGGAAGAAGCGACATGGTAATCTGTTCACATCAGTTGTAACTTTGCCTTTTCTAAGGACTAGCTAAAAGCTTGGGAGTGACTTTTAGGAGCAATTCAACATACGCTTATACTGTAGCTGTAAGGTTCTTTCGCAGAGGGCCGTAATTGTCTTCTAATATTGTTCTACATTAAAGACAGAGCGAATAAAAGAACCTTTGTCTAAAAACAAGGTTGAAATATGTAAATCCTGGCTGCTAAAGCTCTCCGAAAAATAAATAGTTTTGTCTCCTTTGTTTATGGACCATGAACTATTTTTCACTTTCTTTCTTTTTTTTTTCCACTCTCTTCAATATCTTTTTTGAAAAATGTTTTTCTCTCTTTCAATCCAAAAACTGCTACCTTCACCCTTCCAAAACCCCTTCCCAAACTAAAAGACATTCCTGACATCACCGTTTACGTCAATGGTCCTACTCATACGCTCCAGTGGAATGGCTGCGAAACTCAAGCCACACCTCCACGCTACGACATCCAAAAAGCACAATTCAATATAAAAGAGCTCCCAGTAAGCTCGTTAAATCTATCCCTGAACCCTTCAAAAAGAAAAATACCACCGCCTTGTGTTGGTGATTAGGAGGTTCCACCGCCTTCTAAACTATGGCACACCCGTGCACCGTGAATCAGGCAGTGCCTCTTTTGTCGAGGACCCCAGATTTTCCACCTCAAAGCTTCTACGCTACAAACCCATAACTTACTAGTGTAAAATGGCTCAGACTCTCGCTGCAAAGGTCAAGAATGTCTTGAGTGGCGATACTGTGGTGCTTGTGCCCACCAAAACCGCTCAATTCCCGGTTCCTGAGCGTACTTTGACGCTTCAGTACGTCAGAGGTGATTCGTTTCTTGCCAAAGAGTTCTTGAGACAGTTGGTTATTGGCAAGGAGGTGAAGTTTGAGGTTCTTTTCAAGATGCCAACCACAGGTAAGGAGTTTGGTGACATCAAGGCTCCAATTTTCTCCTCTTTAATCGAGTACTTGTTGGAACATGGCATGGTCAAGCTCAAGGACAATATTCGTGTGGAAGATGAACTGAATGTTGAATTTGTGGAAAACTTGAAGAAGTTGGAACAGCAGGCTCAGACAAAGAAGCTTGGAATCTGGGACGCCAAGTTCCAGGAGCCAGACGTGGTGCCATTGTCTGAAGATATTGAAGCTTCCTCTCAGAAGCTGCCTTTGAACACCATTGTGGAAAAGGTTATCAGTGGAGACAGAATTATTGGACGTATTCTTGTTAACAAGAACAAGCATGTGCTGCAGCCATTGCTTTTGGCTGGTATCAAGACTCCTAGAACTGATGATCCTTCTGCTACCGTTGTCAAGGTCGCTCAGCAGGCTAAACAGTTTGTTGAAGATCGTCTTTTGAGCACAAAGAGCAACATCAAGGTTAAAGTCATTGGTCACAACCAGGCTGGTCTTCCATTGGTGATTGTTGAGCATCCATCTGGTAACAACATCCACGAGAAGCTCTTGGAGAACGGTTTCGCTGAGGTGGTCGACTGGCAGTCTTCTTTGATTGGTTCCTCAATCATGAGCGGTTTGAGAAAAGCTGAACAAACCGCCAAGGCTTTGGGTAAAGGTCAGTTTGCTTCCGTGTCTGTTGCTCAGCCTTCTGCTGGTGGCGCTTCAAGCTCTAAGATATCTTCCAAGACGTTGAGACCTGGCGTGACTGTCGACAGTGTGACTATCACCAAGGTAATTAATGCTGATACCTTTAATGTTCGCTTGCCAAATGCTGAAGAGATAACCGTGCAATTGGCTTCTTTGAGAGCACCAAGACCAAATGACTCTACCGTCACTTCTAACTCTCTGCAGCAGCAGGCCTTGGTTCAGATGGCTCGTGAGTTTTCGAGAAACTTGGCCATTGGTAAATCAGCTTCTATGTACATTGACGGCTTTAGAGGTGCCAATGAGGAGTTGGGATTGGACTCCCGTTTCTTGGTTTCCCTCAAAATCAACAACAAGGACGTCTCCGAGCAGATAGTGTCCCACGGTTATGCTACTGTCATCAAGCACAATAAGCAGACATCCGGAGAGAGATCGATGAACTGGGACAGACTTGTGGAGCTTGAAGAGGAGCAGAAGAAGTTAGGAAAGAAGGGTGTCTACTTCAACGGAGGTGACATTTCAAAGATCCTCACCATCGATTCTCGTGTCGTGAATGCATCTGAGAATGTTCAGAAGGCTAAGACCTTCTTCAACGGTTTCCAGAAGAAGGGCCGTATTTCTGGCTTTTACGTGGAGTTCGTCTCTGGTGTCAACCGTGTTAAGTTATACAACCCTAGAGAGGGCACCAAGTTGACGTTGATCTTGGGTGGTTTGACTAACAGCAAGGCCCAGGAGACAGGTGCTGATGGTCTCGAGTACATGAACAAAAAGTACTTGCAGAGAAACGTTGAGTTTGATATCTATGATACCGACAAGATTGGCGGTTTCATTGGTAACTTATACGCAAACGCCCAGGCCTTGAAGCCTGTCCAAATTGAGCTCTTGAGCAACGGTTTGGCTTCTGTCCATGGACTTGCTGTGAGCTCCAACAAGTATGGTGCTGAGCTTGAAAAGGCCGAGGATGCTGCCAAGGCAGCTCATAAAGGTATTTGGAAGGACTACGATGAAGAGAAGGCTCAGAATGAAGCCAACGCCGCCAGTGAAAAGTTGCAACAGCTCAACTTGGAAGCTGCTAAGCCTAAGTTCTTCAACATTGAAGTCGTTGACATCAGTCCCTCTCAAATTTTGTCATACCACTTGATTGACGCTGACACGTCGGCCAAGTTCACACAATTCAAGAAGGAGTTCAACGATTTCCACTCGCAGAACGCTAGTGCTAGCGCCAATTCTGCTGACTCCCCAATCAACTTGACCAAGGGTCCTAGAAAGAATGAAATTGTGTCCGCCAAGTTCACCGAAAACGGCAAGTACTACCGTGCTAAGGTGTTGAACTTTGACCGTTCTTCTAACAAGTACGAAGTGAAGCACGTTGATTTCGGCAACATCGATAAAGTGGGATTGTCTGACTTGAGAGCTTTACCTAAGAAGTACAGTACTGACTTGATCAAGCCTTTCGCTCACACATTGAAGTTGCAGAACATCACCTTGCCTCCAACCCAGCCTAACGACTACTTGACCGAGGCTATCTACGTTTTGGAAGACTTGACTTTCGACAAGAAGCTTGTTCTCAGTGGTCTTCCATCCACCAGCCCTGGCGTCGAGTACGATGGTATCTTGTACGACGCTGAAAAGTCCTTACAAGACCTGTCCTACACTCTCAACAAGCAGTTGGTGTCTGAAGGATACGGTATTGTTGACACTCGCGCACCAAGCCACTTGAAGAACTACGTTGATGAGCTTGTTGCCACCGAAAAGAAGGCCAAGAGTGAGCGTCTTGGATGTTGGGAGCTTGGCGACATCACCCAGGGCGACGACGACTTCTAAGGCATAGTCGCGGAAGCCCAGTAGTCCAGTAGTCCCGAGCCGTACTGGTAGATAAATCAAAAAAACTAATAAAACGATAATAGCATTGTTTTTGTGTAAATAAACTCTCGATAGTCGTTTAAAATTACCCAACATGCATTTTCTAATCCATTCTCTGAGCCTCTTTTATTTTTTTTTTTGGGGTCGCCTCTTATCTTCTTCCACCTTCTGTACTAGCGCGCCGGGTAACCCCACGCCATACGTTCCGAAAATTTCGCCAGCTGGTTCCTCTATCACGGTTCCAACCAACTACTATTAACCACCAGCCATGAACCCAGCTATTACCAACTTGGCCCTCATGCTAGTCATGATGCAGGTCTCCCGTCGTTTGGACTTGGAGGACCCAGGTATCTTGCTTTACGTGAGAATCGCCTACCTTTCTTGCCAGTTCATTGCCTTCGCTGTGTGCCTCTATGTCAAGTACACCATCAACCAGAAGAACGACTTGACCACGTTGAAGTACGTCGAGCCAGCCAACCCTATGGGAGGTCAGCCAGAGCCAAAGGCTGTGGTCACTACTGTCAAGGAATACGACTTGAAGCAGGTTGACACTCAGATCAAGGGCCTTTTCACCTCGTTAGCCATGATGGGATTCATGCATGTGTACATGAAGTACACCAACCCATTGGTGATGCAGAGTGTTTCTTCTGTTAAGAGTGCTTTGGAGACCAACATTGTCAAGATCCACCTTTGGGGCAAGCCAGCCTCTGGCGACTTGAAGAGACCATTCAAGGCTGCTCCAGGTTTGTTGCAGGCTTTGCAAGGCGCTGGTGAGGTCAAGACAGACAAGGCTTCTATCGATGCTGCTGAGACCAGCGGTGTCGGTGGTATTAAGGAGGAGTAATTTATAAACGCTTATAATACAGCTTCGTTTTCTATATACATTTTATTCGGGGGCCACAAGAATGCACTCCTGCTCTTTTCCACGAACGAATCCGATGGTGTCCAAGAGCTTGGTGCTGACAATGAGTTCTCTCACCGTCCACTTGCCCTTGTTGTAGATTTCTGGAACAGACAGGTTCATTGGAATAATCATATTCTCGTAAAGTTGCCTAAACTGCACCACCTCAGCGGCGTCCATCTCCGTCTCCGCGTCCATTTTCTGGAACGCCTTCTTGATCCATTCAGGCAAGTAATTCTGCTCTTCGTCTTTCTTGGTCTTGATGTACTCGTCTCGGTTGTAACATCTGATAAGGTAGAGAAGCCAAATCTGGTCCATGAGCTGCTTCTCCACAATATCTTCCCATGAAGTGACACCCATTGTGAGTAGAAGAGACCTCACAAACGTGTGGTCCCTCTTGTAAACGCCTTTAAGTGTCAAGAGAGAATTCTTCTTCTCGTCCAAAAGCGCCTTCTCCATGTGTTTGATGTGTTTGACTGCAGCATCAAGGATCTTCTTCTGCAGTTTAAGGTAGATTCTAGTATTGACTGTGTTGGGATTGGACGAGTCAGCAGGAAGCTTAGAGTAGTTCAAGAGGCCCGCCTTAGACTCAACGGCCTGTCTTAAATGGTTGAGACCGCTAAGTCTCATCCTCAATGAGAGATCCTTCTCCCACTTGGACTTGACAAGCCATTGGAAAAGCAAAATCAAGTTTTCTGGAACGTGTTTCTTGGTGATGAAGAAAAGAAGACCGTCTTTATAGTCTTCGTAATTTGTCGACTTTCTCTTCTCTTCTCCTGTAACAACGGATGTTGTGTAGTCCGAAATCTTGGGCAAAACCATTCCGTTTGCCTCTAACTCTGGCAACATTTCTAGTGGCACCTTGACTTTGAGCGCCACGGAGTCTGCCTCGTTGTTATCGATACAGAAACCGTAGGCTAAAAGAAGCTCCTCGTTACCTTTCTGGCCGTAGTTATTAAAAAGCTGCTCGTCCTTCTTGAGAGGAGACTTTGTCTCGAATACGAACTGGTCATTCTTCACAGACCAAAAGACCTCTGAAGATGGATTATGGTTCAACAAATCAATCACTGGCAAAAGAACGGCACTGTCTTCCTGCTGGTAATCTATAGCTTTAGCAGAGGCGCTATCCTTAAGCAAGTAGCCAGGGAACGATCTCGACTTAAAAATCATACTCGCCCACAAGTAACTAGGAAACGAAGTCCAGTTGTTAAAGTTCGATCCCTCACCAATAATATACCCATGAAGCTCTTCGTCAGTATGGAACTTCTGTTCATAGTAAAACTTCATATTGATGAAATGTTCCTTGGGCTTTTCAATGGATTCAGGCAAAATGTTGATGATCAGCCACCACTCTTCCACGAGATTGGCAATGTTCTCACGCAAAGAGCTACCCAAATTGGAGCCCTTCAACTGTGCCGTTTCCTCTGGACTCCAAAGGTAAGGACATGCTCTCATCTCAGGGAATTGAGGAAGCGAGGCAATGTAAGCCTTGAAGGTCGACTTGTCCAAGTTCTCCGGGACTCTCTCGTAAGCCAAGAACAACTTAAGCAAAGTATTGATATTCTTTGTTTTAGGAACGAGGTCCTCGAATTCCGAGCCAAATCCTTCAATAGCATCAGAAAGCTTCAAGGCTATCGATACAGGGATCTTAATCTGAGCAGACTTGATATCCTTAGACACATAAGCAGCGTTTCCAGAGTCCAGCGACTCCTTAAACTCAATTTCCGAGCTCACTTTCGAGCCCTTTTTCTTTGCCCACGAAAGAAGTGCCTCGAGACTTGCCATAGTGTGGGTTTCTAGAAGAAGGCAATGGTAGTGGGTTGCGATGTCTGAAGTTCGCGAAGACCTGAACTATGGGGTAATGATGGGAGCACTGGGAATGGACAATTGTATGGAAGAGGAATGCAAAGAGAGTTGAAAGAAGGTGGAGAGAAGAAGAGTTGGATGCTTAAATAAATAGGAATGGCTTTTATGGGTGCACTTGGTGGCGTTGCTGATTGGTGGCCTGGGGCTCATTTGCCACCACAGCCCCAGAGGCAACTCAAAAGGCCCCAAAAGGGAAGTTCCATTTGGATGGCAATACTATTGATATTTCAATAACCTAGGATAAATCAGATAGAGTTTGGATGTCTCTTTCCGTTGTTTCCGTAGGGGTTCGTACCTTTTCGCAGCCATGTCTGCCACGAGAGTCAGCCATACAAAATGGACCATAAGGGGTGGTAAAAGGAACGCTTTAGAGTCGTCACAATATCTTAAATATCTTAATATCCCTCTTTTCTACTGTCTTTGCTGGAAGGTGAGATTCCTAGACGACTACTAAATCGTTCAGACCTGCATATAGTGCAACGACCATCACCCCATCAGACTTACTTATTGGCTACCCATTTCCAGCTACTTAGAAAATGCTTCCTATATTGCGCCGCCAGCTGCTCGTGAAGGCTCCTTTACTATCCAGTCGTCTTCTTCATTCCTCGAGGATTCTCTGGAACCAACAAAAACCCGAGAAACCTTCAAATGAGACTGAAAAATTAAACGACCAGAAATCACAGCCAAACTACAAGAAAAGACCTCTTAGTCGTGTCGCCATTGGCGGATCTCTGGAACTGAAGAAGCTTCCAGCATCTAAGGGTATTGAATTTGCTGCTTGGAGAGCCGTATTGGTTCTTATCATCGGTGGTGGTATCTTCACGTGGTGGTTCTCTAGAGAGAAGGAGAAGTTGAGACTCCAGAAGGAAGTGGAGGCCAAGCGTGGTGTTGGAAAGCCTTTAATCGGTGGAAACTTCACCTTGGTTGACGAAAAGGGTAACACTTTCACCCAGGAGAACTTAAAGAACAACCAGAAGAAGTTTTCCATACTCTACTTTGGCTTCACACACTGTCCTGATGTCTGTCCTGATGAGTTGGACAAGTTGGGCGATATGTTGGAGGATTTGAAACAGAACCTGAACATCGAGTTGCAGCCAGTCTTCATCACCTGTGATCCTGCCAGAGACAGTTCCGAGGTGATCAACCAGTACTTGGAAGATTTCCACCCAAGCATCATCGGATTGACCGGTACTTACGAGCAAGTCAAGAATGTGTGTAAGAAGTTCAGAGTTTACTTCTCGACTCCGCCAGATGTGAAGCCAGGCCAGGATTACTTGGTCGACCACTCTATCTTCTTCTACCTCATGGACTGTGAAGGAAACTTTGTGGATGTCATTGGCAGAGAGGTTGACGCCAAGCTGGGCGCTGAAAAGATCAAAAAGTATGTCGAGTCGTTTGTTCCCGAGGCTGAAAGGGAGGCTCGTAAGAGTTCCTGGTTGGGATTCCTTTATAAATAAGTTTACAGTCTACACCGCATGTACATAGCTAAGGACGAAATCCATTTGAACAGATTTGGAAGCCATACACTTTTTCTGGCTTATTATCTGTGTCTCTCTGATTTCAATCAATAAAGTGAAAACAGACTGAAAGAGGTTAGTCCATATACTAGTCTAAAGAGGCCTACCACATATAGCCGCACCGAGACGAAAGTGGGCACACCTGCACATACCACTGTCGCTTTAACGGCTCGCATGGTATGCGCTTAGGAGTTCCAGCTCTGAGGTTTTAATGTACCAAGATGGAAAAACTTCTCTAGTAACCACAAAAACTCGTATTTTTCCAAGATGGCCGATGACAAGAAGTCCCTCGTCAACGAATATGTCGAGTCGCCCACCGAGTCAAATGTCATCAGGGACTCAAAGTACCTACTGTGGATATACAAGCTCGATACCCTCGGTGTGGAGTTAAGAGGAATCGAGAGAGTCACCCCTGACGAAAAGGTATCTGATGGGAAGTGGAAACTGTTTCTTCAGGTCATAGGGCTCTGGTTGGCAGCGTGTGGCGGTGTAACTACTATGTCGTCGTTTTTCCTACCGACTTTACTGTTTTACTTGGACTTGAAGTCTGCCTTAATAGCGTCGCTCTTGGGGGTCAACTTGGGTAACCTTGTGCCTGCTTATACTTCTACAATGGGGCCACAGTCGGGGTGCCGTCAGATAGTGACTGCCAGGTTCTTGTTTGGACAATGGTTTGTTAAGGTTGTGGCAATTATTGTTATTATTGGGGCATCGGTTGGTCGGTGATTAACTGTGTTGCAGGAGGCCAACTCTTACTGGCAATCAGTAATGCTGAACTAGAAGTTGGAATTGCTGTTGTGATGGTCGTCAGTTGGATCATTGGAGTGTTTGGAATCAGAGTTCTACTTAAATTCCAGACCATCTTGGCCATTCCAACCAATGTGGCTATCTTGTTGTTCTACATTGTGGTGTGCAAGAAGATTGACCAGATTCCAGAAACCAACCAGCAGATAAGGGATATGAATTTGGACCTGCAAACTAATGCTGGACACTGGCTCTCGGTAATTGCCCTTGCCTACTCAGTCACAGCTACGTGGGGTGGAGGAGCCTCTGATTACTATATACTCTTTCCAGATGATACTCCTACATGGCAAGTGTTTACGCTTACGTTTTTGGGTATTGCAGTGCCTTCAAACTTTGCAGCTGTCTGTTCAGTTATCGCTGGTGCTATCGCCTTTTCATATGAACCTTGGGCTGACAACTATGATGCATATGGTATTGGAGGTATTTTTGCCCTGGCGTTTGAACCATGGCATGGGTTTGGTAAATTTGTCGTTGTTGTCTTGTACATTTCGCTTATCTGCAACAACATTATGAACACTTATTCTTGTGCATTGGAGTTCCAGCTTATAGACTTTAGGTTGACATACATTCCTCGGTGGATCTGGGTCACTGTTGTTGCTGTGATTTACTTGGTGCTTGCCTTGGCTGGAAAAGAAGACCTTAACAATATCTTGAGTAACTTCTTGCCAATGTTGGGTTACTGGATTACCATTTACATCACCTTGCTTTTGGAGGAAAACTTGATTTTCAGGTCCACCAAAGCCACCAAAAGACTCCATTACAACGAGTTTGACGGCACCGACGAAGGCAGCCTTAAGTCATTGTACAACTGGGCAAATTGGAATAGGCCCGCACAGAGAAGTATGGGTCTTGCAGCCACTTTTGCTTTCCTTTGTGGTGTTGCAGGAGCCGTTCTAGGCATGAACCAGGTCTACTACGCTGGTGTGTTGGCTGAAAAGGTTGGCGACGAAGGAGCTGATCTTGGTATGTGGATGTGTATTGGGTTCGCTGGCTTGGTTTATCCGCCAACGAGGTACCTTGAACTTAAGAAGTTTGGTCGGTGAGCTCAAGAGGAATGAAATGGTAAACGTGAAAGAGGTGTAATTGCACAGTATATAGTTCTACATCTTCCATTAATGAGCGTCCAGCTCGAAAGGTAATTCCATGTTCGTATTCGAGGTTGAAGTAGAGACAAGTAGAGGACGAACTTTCGAAGTCGTTTATGCGAAGTAGACTTTCAATATCTATTTTTCAATGGGAGAACACTTCCAGCCATTGAGTCCTCAATACCATAGAGCATCTCCTGATGACAGGTGAATGAGACTACCTACCATTTTCTACCTCTGCCTCCAAAACCCAAACAAAAAACGGCATTCGTCAAACCAAATCCTCCTTCTCCTTCCCCCACCATCCCCGTATTCCCCAAATTCACCATCATCCCACTTTTGTGACTCTGGGTATTTTGCAGCCATTCGTCTGACCTGCATGGCGCCTTGGGCTTATCTGGGGTAAATAAAAAGGCTTCCGCGCTCGCTTATCAAAATGGTGGAAGCTTCAACTACAATGGCAGGGCTCACAAAGGACCAAATCGATACTTTTGAAAGGGAAGGAATGCTCTGTATTCCTGATTTTTTAACTGGAAAACAGATTGAAACGCTTATGGGGCGCTCACGTGACTTTTTGGCGCTGTTCGATCCGGCTGCTCATCCAAAGACTCAGTTCAAGACTGGTGATAATGATCATGTGGGCGATGAGTATTTCTTTGATTCTTCAGATAAGATATCGTATTTCTTTGATACTGATGCGTTTGACGATGAGGGAAAGTTGAGGTACTCCAAAGAATTGGCCATTAACAAGATTGGACATGGCTTACATATGAAAGACGAGACGTTTGAGGAAATCACCTTTGATGAAAAAGTACAGGCTATTGCGAGAGACCTTGAGTATAAGGATCCTCGTGTTCTTCAGAGTATGTTGATTTTCAAAAACCCGGTTTCTGCCAAGTCGTCGTCTCGTGAAAACGCTGTGCCTCCTCATACTGACGCTACTTTCTTGTTCACCAAGCCTCAAACGGCATTGGGATTCTGGTTTGCTTTGGAAGATTGTACGAAAGAGAATGGATGTCTTTCGTATAACCCTGGAACGCACAAAACGATCCCTGTGACAAAACGTTTTGTGAAAATCGATAAGGGCGCCAGTGGCTGTAATTTCATTCCTGTGGACCACAAGGAAGCCACCCAGGAAGATGATGAAAAGGACTATAAGTTAGTGGAGTGCAAAGCTGGCTCTCTTATTTTGATCAACAACTCTGTGCTTCACAAGTCAGAAAAGAACCATCTGGATAAGTCCAGGTATGCTTATGCGTTCCATGTGATCGACGGGACCGCAGAGTATGATGGTTTGAACTGGCTCCAGGTTCCCCCATCGCCTGAGGGCGGTACTGAGTTTTCCAAGCTCTTCGAACCTCCACAACGCAATGTCCAAGTTTCATGAACAGAACATGCATGAGCTTCACAGCACAGTCAAAAGCAAGGGCTTAGCTCGGTCCTCATATGTCGACATCTTCATTTGATGTAATAAAAACGTAACGAAATCATTCAATAGGAACAAGTTGTAATCAGCTCTCTATAAACAGACTATTCAGATTGCACAATAGAAAGGGTTTTGACTACACAGAAAACTCTACCTTCCATAAATGTGGTCCTGAATGCATTGCTCAGTATAAAGCGGTTATATAATGCCCATAAAGTCTGCATTGTTCTTTGTAGATGCAATAGCTCTATTATTACCGCTTAGTCTTACTGGTTACTTATGTCGTTCAATGAGGCAGTAAAGGCCAACTACCTGGCCTTACCCCAAGCAAAAGACTTAAATAAATAGTTCCATCAAACTACAAACAGCAAAGGACCTTGACTATATTCTTCAATTCTTTATCTTCCTACTCCATCAGTTCATGGAGGGTCAAGAGCTTATCGGTGACGCAGCGCTCCTAACCAAAGAGTCAAACTCCTAGATGGTCCGAGTCCGCCAGGGTCCTGCTCTGGCGTCTCTAAAGCTCAACCCAAACCTAAAGTTTCTCCAAATTACAAACACAGAAAAAGCCACTTTGAAAATACGTCAAACTACACATAACCACCATTTCATGACCTGTCTGGGGAACCCTCATGTCGTTACCTGCGAGGTATAAATACTCGGGGTTTCCCTCTTGCCCCTCGAGAATCCGCATTTTTTTGGAACACCCCCACCTATTTGGCCCTTTCGAGTATCTTAGTGATTTTATTCGAATTAAAGGTCACCTTCAGCAGCTAATTACACTTTCTTATTTATCATCTATCGCTTTGGCTGAATCCCCTTGACAGCTGGAGTTCCTTTCCTTATTTGCCTTCCTTTATTACTGATCCGTTCCTGCGTGTGGGAGACCCTGACACGATAAGCTCCTGAGATAAGGACAACCGGGACCACCACCTTTTTCTTTCCCAGATTTTGACTTGTGACGAATCGGATTCGTTTGAGTGTTTCTGTTGACCCCATTATTGCCGTTTATCACTTGCTTTTTGCTTCAATCGCCTGCAGTCGACTTTTAGTCTATATCAGCCACAGTTCCGCCCCCTGATGTCTGAACTGAGAAACATCAAGCTTGGCTCCGAGCCCGTTGTCGTAGGGAGAGCTCTGCGTAACAGCTCGGATAGGCCCTCGTTGACGACCAACTTGTACCTTGCCAATAACCATATTTCCAAGTTCCACGCTGTGGTGTATAGGGAGGATGGTGCTGTGTATATCAAGGATACGGGCTCTACCTTTGGTACCATTCTCAACAATATCTTGATAGCTCCCAATGATCCTCATGTCTTGAAGAAAGGGGACGTTTTGGGGCTTGTGGTTAACCGTCCAGCCAATGTGGTTGAGACATGGCGGTTAAGCGAGCTGTTCCCAAGTAACATCCCCTTGGATCGCGTGCTCAACCCATGGGTCCACTTGCAGTTCGATATTGATTTTTCCGATGATTTGCTTATTTTGAATTCTAAGAATAAGTCCACCGATGAAGCTTGTTCTGTGGCTCTCGATGTCACAGATGTCACTCGGACTCCGGAGTACGAGGATAATGTCTCGCAAGCTGAAGAGCCTTCAAGCTACTCGGAGGACCCAGCCCAGGTGGTGAAGGTTGTTTCAGAGGACGAGGCACCCGAGGAAGTCAAATTCGTGAAGGAGATTGTTCTTACCCGTGAACTTCCTGCTACGGAACTGCAAGTTGACGTTGATACCAGTTCTACCGTTGATAAGCATGATCCACAACCGGAGCCAGCCATTGCACCTCAAGATGAAGAGGATTTGAAGGATTTGGTTCCTTGTGCTTTCACTGAGCCCGAACCATATGCTTACTATGATGAACCTTCTAGTGAGGAAAGTGGGAACGAGGAGGTTGAGCCTTCTCTGGATGTCGAGGAAAGTGTCAATGAAGAGGTTGAGCCTTCCCTGGAAATCGAAGAAAGTGACAGCTCCGATGCAGATATTTCCCACGATGCTTTAGATACTGCTAAAAGTAACGAAGCTGTTCATGATGAAGGTGAATCGATTAGCAAACAGCTCGACGACTTTTCCGACGAAGATTTGGATAGATTCGGCTGGAACGAAGATACTGTTTCTGAGTCAGATAGTGACGAGAATGATTTCCTTAGTGATAAGTCTGATGATGAAGATGCCGACACATCACTCTCAGATGCATTTGATTCCTGCCCATGTGGAGTTAAGCGTACGTACGAAGAGGCAGAGCTAGAGGTGAAGCCAGAGCTTGTTGCTGAGGAGCCTCAGTCCAAGAAGCAAAGGCTGTTGACTGTATCGTTACTTAAGGAAGTCGGTAAAGGCGCTCTATACGTTGCCGGTACTGTGATAGCATTGATTGCCTATGGTCGGTCTCTTGAAAACCAATGATACCACAGTTAGAGTTTATAGTTTTATGTTTTAATGGTACATTATACTTAACATCTCTACAATTGCTAATAAATCACCTCTTCATCTGGCCTTGCATGTTGTTCATCTGGCCCATAACTGGCAGATTCATCATCTGCTGTTGCATAGCAGGCAGTGTCATGTTCATGTTCTGGTACATTGAAGCATCCATGTTTCCTGAACCCTGCTGTTGTTGTTGCTGCTGCTGCTGCTGTTGTTGCCTTAATGCCTTCTGTCTTTGATGTGCCTGAAGTTGACGAAGACGCTGGAAATAAGTTGGGAACTTTTGCACCAACAGCTGCTGGATTTGCTTAGCCTGCTGCATAGCATGCTGTTGCTGCTGAGGAGTAAGCCTATTCTTGTTAGGCGCAAGACCAGTATTACCCATCTGCAATAAAGTGTTCATTCTAGCCTGCAATTGCTTGAAGACATGCTGTTCCTGAGCAGAAAGAGACATCTGGAAAATCTGCTGTTGTTGTTGCTGGACCGTGGCTTGAGGACCGGAACCGCCAGCTGCTCCTCCAGAGGTAGCTTGAGGTTGAGTAGCTGCACGAGGAGTTTGCCCTTGCTGAGACATGCCAGCCATCTGTTGGCCCATTTGAGGTGAAGATTGAGCCATGTTTCCCATCCTTGGTGTAGCCATGGTGCCATTTTGCATCACTGGAGTTCCCATTTGGGACGAAGGCTGGGAGCCCATTTGACCCATTTGAACCATACTGCCTCTACCTTGAGAGAACTGCTGCTGTTGGTTCATTTGGCCTTGGCCAACCTTCTGCCTCTTCGCCTGCTGTTGTTGAGGAAGTTGTTGTTGCTGCTGCTGCTGTTGCTGTTGTTGTTGCTGCTGTTGTTGTCTAAGCTGCTGCTGCCTGGCCTGCTGAAGCTGCTGGTATTGTTGTTGTCTAATTTGTTTGGTACGGTCTGGCAAAGCAGCTTGGTTAGGAGCAGGTGATTGAGACTGCTGCTGTCTCTGAGGACTCATAGCCAGTCCCATTTGAGGGCTCATGTTCTGCTGCATGCCATTGTAGTTAATCCTCTGGTTCATGTTCACGTTGCCCAAATTTGGACTTAAACCCATATTCTGGCCTATGTTCTGGTTCATACCTTGCTGCATTCCTTGGTTCACAGTAGGACTCATACCTTGGTTCATGCCCTGGTTCATGTTTTGATTAACAGGCATGTTCTGTCGAAGCATGTTCTTCTGCATCTGAGGGTTCTGGAAGTTTTGAGCCATGTTAGAAGCATTGGCACTCGCTCCGTTTCCAGTTCCAGTATTGAGTTGGGTAACTCTCTGCTGCTGTTGCTGCTGTTTTTGAAGCTTTGCCTGCTGCATTTGCTGCCAATAACGCTGCTGTGCACTTTGAGTTTGCTGAGAAGGTTGTTGTTGCGGCTGGGAAGTCTGCTGGGGCTGTTGTTGCTGCTGAGGTTGTTGGTTTTGCAACTGCTGTTGTTGCTGCTGTTGTTGTTGAAGTTGAGCCAGCATGAGCTTCGCCAGCGCCTGTTGCTTGAGCTGCTGCTGTCTCTGAAGATTAGCAGCAGCAGAGGTAGAGCCAATAGATCCATTCTTCATGCCAGGGACAGGAGAAGCTGTACCACTGGCTGCTTGAGAGCCAACAGGTGCAACACCGGCAGCACTGGCAACACTGGCTCCAGCTTGAGCCTTCTGGTTTTCCTTACGTTTTCTGATCTCCTCGATGAAGCGCAAACGCATGAACTGACCCGATGAATTGCCTGCAAGCATTGAGGCAGTAGCACTGAGAGCACTGGCTTTGTCGTTCCGCTTTCTTTCAGATTCGCTAGGAGTCATAGATTCTCTAGCGCTGCCATTGCCTGTACCAGCAGTAGTGGTACCAGGTCCTGGTGTAGGCAAAACAGATGGACTGCCTTCCAAACTGACAGCATCCGAAGAACCATGACTCGATGGACCCACAACAACAAGCTTGTTCTCGGAAGTACTCTCTGAAGGGTTCTTGTATTTGCTTGAGAGCAAGAACATGAGCTCTTCGTATTCTGACGACTTGTGCATGATAAGCTGGTCTTGGTGCAACCTGCGCAGCTCGCGTGGTGTCTCGTCTCTATGAGAGTGTATAATCTTCCAATCCTCCTTTGCTTCGTCCCAAACCTTCTTTGGATAATCCTGGTCCGGTATAAGTGCCTGTTCTTCTTTATATGGATTGAGCGGTACGTCCAAATTGACTTTTCTGTTCGTCAAAGTGAGAATTTCCAGCTCCATTTGCAAAGAAATGGTGTCAGTGAACTTCGTAAGCGCCAGGTCAGTGTGATATAGTAAATCGTAGTATAGGGAGAGAGACGTGGGGCGTAAGAGGGTTCTGTATGTCTTTGGTTGAACCTGAGGCTTCTCCTTGGGGCTTTGATCAGCTGGCGTCTTCTTCACTTCTCCATTGGCCTGTTTATCATTCTCCTTCTGTGGTGACAGCTGCCTGCTGCCCTTCTTGTCGTCTTTAGATCCACTCTCCAGGCGGTGATCATACACCTGTAGGATTATGCAACCCTCATAGAACTTCACCGCACAGTCTTTCAACAACTCCGTCATTTCCAGCGGAATCTCCTCTTTAAGAATATGGTGTAAAAACGATTTAGCCATCGGGCTATCCTTGGGTATCATATTGGAATCTTGGGTGTTATTGAAGCGGAAGTGGTTTTCATAGATATGGAATGTGAGCGAGGGTGGGTATTTCGAGTACTTCTTCAAGATTTCAGCTGACGTAGTAGCAAAATGGTAGCCACCAGGCCTCTCTCTGGCCTGTTTAAGCTGTTGCTGGAGAAGCATCTGCTGCTGCTGCTGTTGTGAAAGCTGGCTCTGTGCGTTCTCTGGTGAACCCATGCTCGAGCCACGAGCAGCACCATCAGGAGCGGAATTTTTTTGCTGATTCTGAAGCTGCTGCTGAAGAGCTAGCCGTTGCTGTGGCGTAAGCTGCTGTAGCTGCTGTGGAGTTGGTCTTGATCCCGACCAGGAACTGAGCATGGTTTATCGAGGGGGAAGATAAAGAATGCTTGTGAATCGGGAACAACGATGTAAAAATTATAAAAAACGGCTGAACGCTGAGATGAGTGGGGCTTCACTTCTACCAGCTGGGTGAATTCCTAGCAGAGGTCCAGGATGGGGTGATGGTTGGTGGGTGGTGGGTTGTAGTTGAAGATAGTCTTGTATATTTTCAATAGATTTATCGAGTTTGGTCACGTGCGCGAATTGGGAAGAAATGGTTATCGAGAGATGGTAAGGAAGAAGTACAAGAAGAAAAAAAAAAAACTTTATAAGCTGGCGGGTTGCGGGTCTGGTGTTTGGAGTTTCCTTTAAATACATGCAGATGCTGGCAGGTGCGTGGAAAGAATGTTCGAGTGAACCCAATGAGGAAACTGCAACAGACAAGGTGTGTCCATATTCGGTTGATATAGGCATCAGGTGCTCGGGGAGCTCTTTGATTGTAACTGAGGAGCTCCTCTGGTTTAGCAAGCTTCGGACACACAGTAGACCAACGTCACAATTGGAGGACAAGAGGCACCAAAGAGCCGAGAACAGCTATTCAGTGGAAACCTATTAACAATTCTGAGCATCCTTTTAAAGCATTGATGTCTTCTTGAGTACTTAGAGCTGTCAAGATGCAATCGCCAAACTTCACTCATCTAACTTCTAGTCAAGCTCACTAGTCAAGGTCCACTGGTCTGGTTTCACTAGTCTGACTTCACTAATCTCACTTCCAGTTGGTTTACTGTGATCACCATTGAATGCCAGAACTCATTGTAAGGTCTTAACATATGGCTTGGACTATAATCTGAAGACCATACTTTAGGCAATGCTCTGTTTTTGACAACCCATTCACCGTGAATGTGTCTATACCTGGTAATCATATGCTTAAGTCTATTGAGCTGCACCTGGCGCAGCAATAGGCGCATCATTCTTCAAGCAGAACTCCATGAGTTGGTAAAGCTTCTTGCGGTCCTCTTCATTGAACACCCACAATCCATAAATGTCGCCCAACAAGTCCTTCACAATAATCAAGTTATCGTTGATTTCAACATCCATTTCAAGAATACCGTTATTCAGAACACCACTGGGAAAGAAATGGTGGGTGACTTTATTAGGAACAAGTCCCAATGAAAAGCAGTCTGGACCTTGACGGTTCAACAAGATCAAACCATAACAGAAGAGCTTCTGAAGCTGTTCAATCCCGAGTGGCTCGCCAGGTGCTGGTGGTTGGAATGCACGAAGGTAGAGTGCTAGCGTTCCTTGGTACTCTGTCTTTTCCCATTCCTGGCTGTCGTTGAACTTATAGATCACACAGTGGGAAGTCGTGTATAGGAGCTGCTTAGCTTTGGGGTCGTATCTGCTGATAACATTGAAATTGAGGGTTGATTTAAAGAGATCTAGGGCTCTTTTACCCGAGATCTGGGTATCCACTTCGGCCATTACTTGTAGTAAGTAGGGTTTATGGATTCATAGTATTTTTTTGTGGTGAAGAAACGTGACTTTCGTCACGTGACTTTGGGCCTTAATTATGGCAATCAATTTTGCAGCCATTTACGGATATCAAAAGCTTATTCTTGGGTTCAGGTAGGGTTGTGTAGGATGCTTCTATTTTCTTAGGCACGTTCAAGTGTGTTTCTGATTCGGTGCGTTGATGACTTGTTGGTGTGCCACATACCAGTACACTCCACTCACTGAACAAAGCACATAAAAAGCCATAAAAAGCCGAAATATATTAAAGGAAGCTCTTTAAAGTAGCTTTATAGCATATTAATTATGTTTAAGCCTCAATGATATCCGAGACATTTGATGCTTATCCACAAGGTGTATCGGAAAAGCACAACCTCAGTCCGTCCCCTAATACAGCCTTCTTCAAGCACTGAAGTATTCATCTACCTTGTATCCTTTCTTCACTCCTTTATCGTTCTTGACCATCAGGGAACCCTGTAACCTTGGATTCTCGTCAAACAGAGTCAAATGGCTGCGACAGAAGTCAACGCCAAAAGCACCACCACAGCCAACAAAACACCAACACCACTAACCAAAACCATCTACACTCTGAAAAAAACTACATATATCCACCCAAAAAATCCCATCTTTTCTGTGTTGCTCTACGCCACAGATCCTCTTAGTAATTGGGGATTTTCCGGCACACAGCATGCCCTCTATAAACCTGCCCCCAGCAACCATCGTTTCATCTACCACCAACTATTTCTTCCTAGTAACGATGTTCAGATCAATTGCCAGAGCTCAATTGCCTCGTTTTTCCACCCCTGTGAGATCCTTCCATGGTTCTGCTGTCAGGGCCGTCAAGGTCGGTGACACCATTCCCTCTGCTCCCTTGTACGAGGGTTCTCCAGGCAATGAAGTCAATTTGGCTGAGGAGATTGGCAACAAGAAAGCCTTGATTGTTGGTGTTCCAGGTGCTTTCTCTCCAGCATGTTCTGCTTCCCATGTTCCTGGTTACTACAAGTTGATCAGAGGCTTCAACGATAAGGGAATCACCCATTTCTACGTGATTGCCGTGAACGATCCGTTTGTGACCAAGGCTTGGGGTGAAAGCATCACCTCCCACACTACTGGTAGTGACCAGGTGAAGTTCTTGGCTGACTCTAGAGGTGAATTCTCCAGAGATTGGGATGTGCTTTTCGATGCTGCTAAGGTGTTCGGAGGCCAGAGAAGTGGCAGATACGCTGTTTTGGTCGAAAACGGTAAGGTTGCCAAGACGTTTGTGGAGCCAGATAACACCTCTGTCGATGTTTCCGCTGCCGACAAGGTGTTGGACAACTTGGAGTAGAGGTACCCACTACTCTATCTGTCTCATGGTATGTACACTACTAATCTATGAACCACTATCGATGATCCAATGATTCTTGAAAGATTCTCTATGCTACGACTGGTGTCCCTCAAATGGGTCAGGTTTCTGTCTACGTTCTCTCGCGAAGAGGTAGAGGCCGCCAGACAGTGGCTTGAAGTGGCTGATGCCAAAATACCCAGGTCCATCTTTGATATCACATACAGTAGGTCCTCGGGCCCTGGAGGACAGAAAGTGAACAAAACGTCTTCCAAAGCCACCGTGGCTCTTGAACCATACAAATGGCTTAATCCCCAGTTCTGCTATTGGATTCCAAAACCTGTGTTGCTGCAATTGGGCGAGAAGAGGATCCGCTACCACACAAAGCTGGGAGGGTTGCTCATCCAGAGCGATAAAACAAGAAATAGAGAGGATAACACGGCCGAGTGTTTCAAAAAATTAGCAGACGAGTTTCGCAAGAATGTGTATTTCGAGTCTGAGGTGAGTGAAGAAGACAAGTTGAAGTGGGAAGAGTTGGCGAAGATCAGCAAAGAGAAGCGGATGTTGCAGAAGAAGAAACGCTCCGATAAGAAGAAGATGCGGTCGAAGCAGTTTGACATGTGAGGCAGTGTTTTGCATTGGAGGAGTAAGTTGGCCTGATGATATGGCAGTGGTTGATGGACCAAGACGATGACGCTATGACCAAGTTGGTCGGAGACGAAGAGTGGTCTTTTGATTGTTATCAGCAACAGGGGTATTATAGAGACTTTCCTTCTGTCTCTCTTCACAAGCATGAACTACCAGGTGGAAGCACAAGAAGGCTATCACTAAGCTACACTTGACACTGCGCAGCCCCATATTCTCTCCATCATGCCATGTTGGGAATGCCACCAGGTAATCAAAACATTCACTTCCCCCTAAAATTGCTTCACTTTATTTATTATTGAACCCTCAAGACAGCACCACTTCTTCGTTAATGGCTGCGAAAAGACATACACTTACCATTGCATACCACCTGCCAGCCCAGTAAATAGACCTAAACAAAGCATCCTGGCAACCAAAATACCCTCTTATACCCTCTACAATTCCCTTTTCTCTCCTTTCCCTCTAATCCATTTTCCAGTTGCAAGGCATCAACAGCTTCCAGAAGTGCGACTTCGAAAAGACATCTGAACTACTCCAGCTAATGACACTCGAAGAGCCAATTGAACAGGTGGCCGAGATCCTTGAAGAATTCCTCTCTTCCGCTGAAATAGATGATCAGTTCTTAGAAAAACCTTACAATTTCGGGCCCCCTTCAGATGTCTCAAAGCTTGCACCTGCTCTTCAAAACATCAAGCTTGAAGCCCTACTGGAACCAGACACAGAGCTTTACAAGGTGCTCGAAGTCCAGGCAGCGGAGTTTGTAACGCTATCTGGATTGACCAAAGTGGTGGATAAGTTGATTCTGGAGATCCAGGGTTCAGAGGAACAGGTGGAGCAGGGCCAGTTACCTGAAGAGCATGTCTTGACTATTTGCAAGCTCTCTTTGCTATTGGAATGGCAAGTTCAAAGCATCCGTGATGAGACGTATCCTTCGTCGAAGTCAGACTTTTTTACCCTTCTTCAGCTAATACTGGAGTCGCTTTTCGGTATTTCAACAAGTCATATTTCATGTTTCTGGGACTTCTTGGAGCTGCGCATACAGCTTTTTAAGGATTACGTTTTTGATAAGAACGTTACGCTGCATAGAATTGCTCTTTTAGGATTGTGCAATGGGCTTGCTGATAAGTATTACATCCGTAACTCGCTGGGCAAGCTCGATTCTTATGCTAAAGATACCTTCAATGATGAGTTTCAAGCCCGCGTTAGGATGTTCCTCGCTAATATGCTATCGTTTGAGGACCTGACGGGTCTTAATAAGTACTTTGCTATCTCCAACCGTGAGAACAAAGAACCAGCATTGACCAGAACCAAGTCCAGTGACGATGACCTACTTCAGGACGTTTTAACTTTCTACCGGTTGCTGCGCAACCCATTCGCTTACTTCAAGACACCTAGACAACTTCATTCAATTGCAGATTCCTTAGACAAGTTGGCGGGTTATCTTTTGGAACAGGAAGCCAAGTATGCTAGGAAACACCCAGGACGTGACATTTTCACAGTTCAGCCTCCACAGCTGGAAGCTCAGATTGCTGAGGTTACAGAGAAACTGAAGCGAATTGTCTTTTTCCCTGAAAACTATTGGTTGTCGCTGTTTGACGCTAAAAGAGACGAGAAAGTGAAGCTCGACGACCAGGCAACAATGTTAAAACAACTAGACTCATCTGCATTCCGCCGCCTTTTAATCATACACATTTACTTGGTCTCCAGTTTTTTCGTGGATCTTCTGGCATCTAATAAAGCGCAGCTTATAAAGTCAATTGGTACCAACGTCAAGCATGTCTCAGACGCAACGACGCCAGAGTCGCTGATGAAATTCTTTACGAAAATCAAGCGTGAGATTGCCCGCCAAAGTCGCTCTTGGGATACACAGCTTTCCTTTTTGTTGCTGAATCTTTCACAATCTGAGGAACACTGGTGGTCGTGGCTTTTGTATGGAAAGGACAAGGACGGCAATCCAGTGTTGACCGATAGAAACTTAGATAAAGAAGAGTTGACGAGTACCCAGGAGAAATTGAATTCGGCTGTGGGATTCAAGACCAGAAAATACTTCAACACCTATGCCACTCCTCAGTTATCGAGGAAGATGAAGACACAAACTGGATTACACCTACTCGAAAGGCACGATGACGAGTCCACCAATTACGAGGACTTGATAGCTGAATTAACTACTAAAATTGAGGAGGCCCGCGAAGCAGAAGATGCTGATCGAGAGAAAGAGCTCCTTGAAGAAAGAACAGTGCTTCTCTGGAAACGTCTCAAGGAAGCACGTCTGAACCAATGGCTACAGCTCGGAGACTTGTTGAATGCTGAAGACCTTGAAGTCAGCAAAAAGAAGGAAGAAGAACCAGAGGAAAAGAAGGAAGAACAAGAACAAGTGGAGAAGAAGGAAGAAGATGAAACTATGGAGAAGGAAGAAACAGAGCCTGAGACGGTTGCAAAACCCGAAGAAAATGAAGAAAATGGCCCAACCGAATCCAAAAAGCGTGCAAGATCACCAGAAGAAGAGGAAGAGGACGATACATACAAAAAGCAAAAGACAGATCCAGATGCTTAAACGAAACCATAACCACGATCTCCATTGTCTTCACCTTTTGGCTCCTGTCTTCCCTTGTGGTGTCTTGGTGTACGCCAGACGCCAGGACCAGGGTGCGTCCTGATTTTCGCTTATGTAGTACGCGTTCAAGGCCATCTCCAAGTCAAGTACATATTCAGTGGTACATATCCAAATAGCACATAATAGCCACGATGGCCTCAATGGTTTCCAGCGATTCTCAGAGATCGCCGACTTTGGACAAATCGTCCAAGTTCCCGCGGTTTCTGCCGCCTCGGAACCAGAAGAAGCCAGTCCATACTCCCCAGAACAAGCCTTCTCGTCCTCGAACGCGTTCTCTGGCACTAAAAGCATCAACACGAGCTTCTTTAGGCGGCAAATCTACCCCTAGACGTAAAAAACTGCAGAAAAAGGGCTCTGCTGGCTCTCGAGAAGCGTCTCCTATGATTGACCTAACCACTGAAGAAGAACAGCAGCCTACAATTGCACAGTCCCCTGAAGACGACGATGAATCGCCTCTACGCAACCCCAAGAGAAGAAAAACTAGCCCAGCGGCTGCTTCTACGGAAGAATTGAACCTGTCTCCCATCAAATCATCTGAACATAGGGCAATGGCTCCTCCTTCATCATCCCCAGTTAACCGGAGAAAGATCGTGACATTCTCTGATGATATGGTCCCCAGCTCACCTATGAAGGCTATGGAAACCCCAAGAAAGTCTATTTTGAAAAACCTGGGTCATTTCGCAGCAGACTCGTCTCCACTAGATCCGAATAACTCTGCCATGTGGATGAAAACTGCCCACTCCATTCTGCATTCGTTCTCTACCGAGTACCATTCCCCTAATAACCCTGCATTCTGGCAACCTGGAACCATTATCCAGTTGGAACCCAGATCCAATGATTTGCCTCAGCTTATAGATGGATGCATGGAAGTGTTGAAACTAGAAACCTTCGATAGGAAGTTCGAGGTTTACGCTACGCTAAATCAGATATGCAAACTAAACGATGCTTCCATTGTGGCTGAACTATTCCTTGGCGGTGATGTGCTTTGGCTCCAACAGACCGAGAAGGCGACAAGATATAAACCTCGTCTGAATCCTGACTATATCAAAGACGTCTTCAAGTTCATTCGCCGTGACATTCTTGCTACTGAAGAAGCTCTACTAAAGAAAGCTCCTCCTCAAACAAAGCTTTCACCTTTGAGGAATAACCCATTTCAATCGCGGGTCTTGAATCAAGCACTTAAATTTGCAGCCATTTTACTCATGTCTCCATCCGTGAATAGATCTATTGCCATTGACGACATTCAGTGGCTCTATAGCCACACCTGTGGTCAAATTGTGAGTCCCACGATCTCAAAATCGTTGGTTTTACCTTACTTGAGCATTATTAAGGATTGCCATTTTGCACCCAAGCGAAGACGTGCCATCTTTGAGAACTCTTCTCATCCCATCCTGGAGCAAATGCTCTCTGCATTATTGAACATCCGCAATTTCGGATCTTCGAGCTTGGTCAATGAGAAATTCATAGCATTGAAGAATATGATTCTGAACTTCCCCAACCTCATGGCCAAAAACTTTCATTTATGGTTTGTGGGTCTTGTTCTTAATCTATGTGACACGGGTTTCCCTCTCTATACGAAAGTTGTGTCCACTGGCATCACAGCTCTATTAGAAGCTGCACGGAATTTCCTTGACAATCCGGATGTGTGTTTCGCTGGCCGCAAATTCTTGGAGTCTCCATTACCACAGTCTCAGACATCATTTACATCCGATAATCTTATCTCAATCTCAACCTCCCCATCGTCATTAACAATCGACTACGTCATTGAAAGCCTTCTAGGTTTGATACAGAATGGCCATTTCAAGTTCGCCATGGATATCTGGGTCGGTTTAACGCTCCTTTGTGGTAAGTTTGATAATGGTTTCGAAAATTGGAAGTACTTGACCAAGTGGCTTCAGGTGCATAAATACTGTTTCAATGAGCTGGATATGATGGCGAAGGTGACTGCTATATCATCATGGAAAGTGATTGTCTACAAGATATGCTGTATGGAGCTTCGAGACATCAGGACTCACATCTTCCTGGAAAAGCCCGGAACTCCCGAAAAGATGAGACATCAAGGCATTGAGGAGGCATTGAGAACAAAAATCAAACTTCTCATTCACGTCTTTGTTAATATTACCTCGATCGAGAGCCAGAAGGAGATAATTGATGCCCTTCATAACTCGTTCATGTCTATCCTATACAACTTGTTCAACTATCCTGCCAAAGCGTCTGCAAAGTTGCAAGACATTTACTGGGACCGAATCATATACCCAGTCTTGGTTAATTTCTATTTCAAGAAGGATTCCTCTATTCCCTATATGCATAGCTTGGGTTTGAGTATTATTGATCGCTTGATAAAGCCGACTTCAAACTCAAGCGAGAAAACCTTTAGCAGTATTCGCTGTCTCTCTAACGAGTGCATTCAACTCCCCGAAATTCATTCCCTTAACCCTAAATGGGTGTTTGTGAGATTTGACAAGATCATGCAAGTGTTATCTGTGATTTTGAAGCTGGACAGGATTGAAAGTGACCCGAAGCTTAACATTGTGAACAACTTCATGAACACACTTAAATTCATCACCAAGAAGGAATTGCAATTGTCGGACACCACTAGAGATATCATCGATAATTTGCCGTTAACCTTAGGTATCTTAAGCAAAGGCAGTAACTTATCTTACGATTCCTTGTTCAAACTCGTTGTGAACTTGAATGATACATTCGGAGCCCAGAATTTGATGATTGACTCTGATTTCGAAGCAAGCAGTTGTTACGAGGTCTTACTTTTCCACAGCATCCAATACTACACGAGCAATCAACTCCATGGAATTGTCAGCATGATACACGGAGCCGTCGGAGAGAGATACTACTTCCATTTCGTGTACCAGTTGATTCGCATCAACAGCAAGCATAAACGAGGTGACCTAGAGGGTCATATAACCGATTGTCTTAATAACAAAAGAGTCAACCGATTAAGCCACCATGAAATGCTCATAGCTGGTAAGATGTTCAAATACTTGGAAACTGACTTTGCTATGATAGCGAAGAAGGTTATCCAACACATTGTGCTTTTAAAGGCTGAGGAATTCGAAAGAATGGTCTCGCTTCTTGGTATCAAAGAGTGGAAGAATAAGGTGTTTAAGTTCTTTTTGGGCTTGATGCACGATGCTCCTTATGATCATCTAAAGCGAATGAGTTTGAGTCTCTTAAGACAAAAATGGTCTTCATATGAGGATTTTAGTGAATTGCTAACATTCCTCTTGGAAAGTAAGTTTGACTATGAGATCGAGAGTTGTTTCGTCGAGATTACTCAAACAATTGCTAAGCTTGAAGGTGGGCAAAGAATTCAGATGGAGGACGCTGTTTCGAACTATTTGATTCAAGTCTCGGATAAAGACAGTGTTGTGGATGGACTCCTCGTCACTGCGCATTCAAATGGCGTAGACTTCACCTCGACGTTTAAAGAAAACCTAAGCAGGTATCCTAAGTTTTCTGCTCTAGTTCTGAAAGATTCAAAGCTGGTTACTGAGTCTTCCGAAGAAGAGCTGTTGCAAAGAAGGGCGTCAAATGAGGAAATTCTGCAGCAACAAATCGAGTTGGAGTCACTTATCACGAAGGAACTCAAACAACGTCACGATGAGATGAATCAAGATTCTACAGAAGCACCAGTGGAAGCTAAGGATACACAGGAGGCAAAAGAAACAAGCGAGTCGAAGGAAACAAGTGAGGCTGAAAACTCTTCTCTCACAGCGGAGCCAGTTGAAGAGAAGGATGCTACAAAGGAACAGCCTCAACCAGACACAGAGGAAACCCCAGAGAAACCAAAGCAATCGCTGCATGAGAAAGCCACATCAACCCAAGGAACGCAACGTACTGAGACTGCTTCGCAGAGAAGACGCACAAGAAGGATGGCAGCCAAAGAGAGAGCCCAGCTCTCTTCACAAAAAATTGTGGAAGTTTCTTCAGATGATCTAGTTCAAAATGGCGAGGCTGCTCCTGCCACCCGCAAAGAGTCTACTGAGGATGCCGATCAGGAGGATATCCAGGAAATAGAGCGAGACGAGTTTTCGTTCGAGAAAAAGAACGATTCCGATAGTATTGAAGACTCAGCGGATGGTAAAGCTGAAGAGAATCCAAAGAAGCGCAAGAATGACGATGTGGAGCCCTCGAGTCCAAAAAAGCGCCATGACCACGAGAAACAAGTCAGCGATTCAGAAGAAAGTCTCAAAGAGAAACAACTCATGGCCTACAACGAAAGCACCGGTGTTGAAATCAACTCCAGTTCCGATTCTCATGAGAAGAAAGGTAACGACAGTTTGGATATGGATTCCAGCGAAAAGCAGTTTTCAGACACTTTCTTAAACCTGTCAGCCATGCAAGCGCCCCACAAAGAAGAGCCAGCTCCCAGTTGCACCGACCTCGTTCTTTCGTCCAACGCCCAAGCCAAATTCCCCCATCTGACAGCTCCCGAGTCGCTTTCTGTCATTCCTGAAGCCGTCGAGCAGAAACTGGTTGTTGCTGATTTAGTCTCCCGCATGCTGTCCCTCAGCGACGCCGACATCGCCAATATTCCTCGTGAAGAACAACACGAGCTCGAAACAGCCATGATGGAGTTCATGCTCCGAATGAGAAGAGCCAGTTAGCCATTTGCAGCCATTTGCAGCCATTTGCAGCCATTTTTTCCCACATCGGTACCCCAGATTTAGTCGGCTCCGCGCCGATTTTCATGCACAAAAAGTGGATCTATAAATCGTACCAGCTTCCCTGTAATATACCCAGAATACCCATAAATATACGGGCTGTTTTTGCCTAAAACGCATCTATAGCCACTTTCCATGTCCATTGTTCCGTACAATCACACCCAAGAAATTGTCTTCCATGATCCAAAAAACAGAATTCTCGTTCTCCACGATAACCAGGACAACTCTATACAGCTTCTTACATCCACTCAGTCAGAGAACGAGTACCCTTTGGCACTTTATAAGCCAGTAGGCCCCAATTACGTTCCTAACGTTTGTCCACACTGTGGCTCGCTACTAGGAGAATACCAAGGCCAAGCAGGTAATGTAAGACGAGGTAGCGGTGACAACCTACGTGATGAGAGTCTCCTAATGAAACCCCACGATGTGGTACCTGCTGGGTACATGCACGATGATTACTTTAAGATGCTTTCGAAGCTCTCTTATGGGCATGTTCTTGGAGAGCTGGGCTCGGAGGGTCTACCGGAGGATATCTTCAACCAGGGATACTTCAATCGGTTCTTTAGGAAGATCCCTCCTTTTGTATTGGGAAGCGGAGCCCATGCTCAGGTTTATAAGGTTATGCATGTTCTTAAAGATATCCAGCTAGGGGTGTATGCTGTGAAGAGAATTAACGTGGGAGACCATCTGGTGTATGTGGACCAAGTGCTTAACGAAGTGCTTATTCTATACGAATTGTCTGTGAAGGGCGCCAACGAGAATAACTTGATAAGGTACAATCACGTCTGGATGGAGCTAGGTGACTTGAAAGATCTGGATACGATTTTTTTGTCAGACAGGGAAGGATACAATCTGAAGAAGGGCGATAAGGTGCCCTATGTTTTTATTCTCCAGCAGTACTGCGGCGGAGGACATTTGGAGAATCTTATAATCAAGAACTTCCAGAAGGAGCAACATATGACAGCAAAGGAAAAGCTAGAGGCAGAGAGACTTAAGAGACGGAGGAGAAGGAAAAGTAACGAAAACGAGGATCCCACTCCCCTGGCCACAAAGAACTGGCTTAACGAATTTGAAATCTGGAAGTTCTTTAGAGACGTTGCAAACGGTGTGCATTATTTGCATTCCCATGGTATTCTTCATAGGGATTTGAAGCCTTCTAATTGTTTACTCGAGTCGGTATATGACCCTGAGCTTTTTAATGATTACGCATTTGATAATCAGGCCGATCTCGATCAGTTTGTGGGAAATATGCCCAAAGTGCTTGTTTCAGACTTTGGTGAAGGTAAATTCATTGATAAGCAGTTTTTGGCGGACCAGTCTATACGTATTGAAGACGACCTCAATAATGAGCTGAGAGGTAATACAGGCACGCTTGAATTTACTGATCCTCGATTGTGGACTTACGCCAAGTCAACCTTGAAAGCTCGCCGTGGTCTGAAGTTGGCCAATAGTTTCAGCTACAACAGCGACGTCTACTCGCTTGGAATGATTCTTTGTTATATATGCGCAGGCGCACTTCCTTTCACTGATAAACTCACAGACCAGACAGACCCAGAGCAAATCCGGAGAGACATATCTAAATGGTATCAAAAACTCACGCCAGAGTCGTTCCATACATGGTTTATGGAGAAAGTAAGCAGAACTATTGGTGTTTCAGAAGCTGCAAAAGATTTTGAGATCCTCATCTACATGACACTTAAAGGGGGCGAAGAGCCCTTGGATGTTACTTCAGCAACTGTGATTGACTACTTGGACTCAATGAAATGGAAACATTTCTTGTTCACCCGCAAAAGAGACAGGAAACTTTCTGAGGTGAGCGCCCGAGATGACGTTTCTTTCGATGACGAAAACGTCTTGGACTTACCGAAAGAGTACACAGAGAGCCGTTCTACCAGTCTACCGGTTACTCCAAGGACCAGCAACAAAATGAAACAGGTTGTCTTTCATCTTGCACAGTTTCTTCTTTCCGAGTATGCTCTGCATGAGTATGTGAAAGTCAGCAGGGGTGTAAAGTTCATCAACCTCGTATGTCTTTCGATGATAGCCCTTGAAATGGACCCCAAAATTTACTGGCCATCGTTTTACACTTGCGTGGGTATCCTGACCATATGTGATCTTATGTTTTTTGCAGCCATGGTCCAGAAGTTGATGTGATCTGCATACAAGACTGATGATAATGAGGCCTACCAAAAAAAATCAATCCAAGCTCATTGCAACTCATGGGACAGAAGAGAGGTAAAGATGTCCAGCCTGCGGTCACGCGGAAACGGCAAAAGAAGATCAAGAAGAAGAGACATGAGCCTTCAGAGAACGTGAGCGAAGGGAATTTTGAGGTATTGAATGTTGAAGACGAGGAACCCGACAAGAACCAAGACATCATCTTAGTGGACTCTGAGGAAGACAAGGGAGAGGATAGCGATGTTGTTGTTGTGTCTGATGGCGAAGCTGCTTCTGAAGTGGTTGCCAGTGATGTTCCTGAGACGACTCCAAAGAAAGCCCTGAAACCGAAGAAGGCCAAAGGTAATGGTTCTAATGGAAAACCAGAGAATGATATCGTTAGAGGCTCTGACTTTATAGAATTCGGTTTCAGCTCATCCGAGTCAGAGCATGATGAAGGTGAAGAGAATTATTCGGATGATGGTATCCTCAGTGATGACGACTCTGGTTCTCATCATGTCAGTCTACAAAGCAAGCTGGCCTACCCTTGGGTGAAAGGACATGATCACTCGAAGCAAAAAGAAATCGCTGACTGGCTCACGCTCGAAATCAAGGATTTTGTCAACTACATTTCACCGTCATCACAAGAGATCACCAATAGAAACACGCTCGTTAATAATCTCAAAGCGAAGATCTCGCAGTTCTGGCCCAAGACCCAGGCACATGTTTTCGGGTCTTGTGCTACAGATCTTTATCTTCCTGGTTCAGATATTGACATGGTTATTATATCGACTACTGGTGATTACGAGCAGAGACAGAGATTATATTCCCTCGCTTCCCATCTACGGAAAAACCAGCTCGCGAAGAATATTGAGGTGATTGCAACTGCAAAAGTCCCAATCATTAAGTTTGTTGATCCTACATTCAACATTCATGTCGATATCTCTTTTGAAAGAAGTAATGGTCTAGATGCTGCCAGAAGGATACGTCGGTGGTTGGACCTAACGCCCGGCCTTCGAGAATTGGTACTTATCATTAAGCAATTCCTCCGATCAAGAAAGCTCAACAACGTGCACGTGGGTGGTCTTGGTGGTTATGCTACAATTATCATGGTCTATCATTTTCTTAAACTTCATCCACGAGTGTCTACTGGTAACATTTCAGTTATGGACAACTTGGGGACATTATTGATCGAGTTCTTCGAGCTTTATGGCAGAAACTTCTCGTACGATGATTTGGTCATTGCCATAAACTCGGATGATGATTCGCCAAAATATTTGCTTAAATCGAGACATCCAGTACTCACAACAGGAAGAGGTATCTTTTCTATCATCATTCAAGATCCATCTGATCCTGCCAACAATATCACAAGATCATCATACAATCTCAGAGACATCAAAAAGGCTTTCGGAGGTGCGTATCAGTTGCTCGTGGACAAATGCTATGAGCTCAACGGTGCTAGTTACCGTAACAGGATAAATCAACTGATCTTGGGTGATATCATCAAATACCGCGGAAAGGATAGAGATTTCAACGACGATAGAGATAAGGTCGCAAACCACGCATTGATTGAACATGAGGACGACGAGAGTGATGGGGCTGACGGTAATGACAAATATTATCTTTCCGACATGACACTGGAAAGTGAAATTGAAGAACCGCCTAGAAAGAAGGCCAAAGCTGAGGAGCCCCAAGTTTCCCTTGAGCTTTCAGGTGACCGCTTAATACAGTCAGCAGCACCAAATGGACCGAAGGCTCTGGTTGCAGAGTTCATGAGTGTTAATGATAACAATAGCGACGAGGAAGCGCCCAAGGGGGACGACAATCAGGCTGCTGAAGAAGATGACGCTAAGGATTATAACAAATACGTCAAGCGTGAGTATTGGAAGCTGAAGGGCTTGGAAACCAGCATATAATGATATCGATGACCATTGCATTAACAGCATGTAGAGCTTCTTGCACGAACGTTCAACAAAGAGATCGGTTGGGGTAGAGATTCAGACTCTTCAGTGTAGTTATCAAAGAAGTCTTGGTCTATCAGACCCACCATACTATCAAACATCTCCACAATTCCCTCTCCCTGTTTGGCACTGGTCATATACAAAGGAACGTTATTATCATTGCAAAACTCCCTTATACGCAGCAAGTCGATTTCAGACTCATCCACCAAGTCCTTTTTGTTACCCACAACCTTTACCTTAATGTCTGAAGGGCCCAGCACCTTGAGCTGGTCTACCCAGTATCTAGCCCTGTCAAATGAAGCGTCAGGACTTGAAAGATCAAAGCACACAAGTGCTTCTTTAGCGTTCCTATAGTACATTGGCGTAAGTGACTTGTAGCGTTCCTGGCCCGCGGTGTCCCATATCTCGAGCTTCACCGTCTTGTCATCTCTGGTATGTTCCTTAGATATGAATGCAGCACCAATTGTATTAGGCAGGTTTGGATCAAACTTATCAGACGTTAGTCTGTAAACAAGTGAGGTCTTTCCAACCGAGGAGTCTCCGAGGAGTACGACTTTGTACAGAGGAGGCATGAGTAGCTGGGGTGATAGTATAATGACCGAGAAGTGGTGATGGTGATGGTGATACTGGGAGATGCAGGATATCTGGGGTAAGTAGCCCCAACTTACGACGAAAAGGTCTAGAGGGGCCCTGAAAATTGGCTATTAGAGAACTTAGGTTTCGAATTTTTTTATGGTGTGTTTTGGTGGTTTTGTCTTGGGTCGTCTTGAAGAGGTGTCGTAAGAGGCTCCGCAGTTCCTCTGGTAAGTAGAAGAACCACACGGTTGCAGCCATAAATTGTTATTCGAATTCATATTGCAGTGAGTAAATAAAGAGACAGCTCTTTCTATCTCGAGTTAGAAATCTTCAAATTTCATAGCTTTATGGGGGCAATTGAAAGTATCGTTGTGATGTGAAACATAGGCTGAGCGAGCATAGCCAATGGAGCCTACAACTGCAAAAACACATTAAAACCCACTGTTATCTACCTCTCAGCAACCTTTACCCCCCCAAGCTGCTCCTTCCAAACTCCTTGGCCAATTGCACGTCAATTGCACAAGCGTGCTCCCAAAAGAGACACTCTCGGCATTGGACCTATGAAACACCGTGCATAGACAACAACCGGCCTCACATAACCTGCCTCTCGAAATCCCCCTCGCCTAAATTACCCCCTTACTTAATATAAGGACAAAAAGAGAAAGAATATATAAAAAAAAAACCACATGTTACTTAATGTGTGGCTCTTGTTCGCTTGGTGGTTAGCAGCCTTGTCTCACATAGGGGCACTTTCCTCGGCAAAAACTGGTGCCTTCACATCCCGGCAAGTAGAAAATCTGCACGCTTCCTCCACTGCCTCTTTTGGAAACCTACACTACAGGTTTTTTGAAAGTTTTTCTTGAACTGAATGGATTCGAAGTCTAGCTAATATCTCTGTTCTGTAATGAGTAACTCTATACATTCTCGGTTTGCAGCCATTTCGCAGCCACTATACGCAACCAGTGCTTGAATTTCGCAGCCAAAGTGGGTCTGCTTCTTTCCACCGATACTCAGCTAAATCCACCAGTGGACTCACATAATACAGGCTTTCAAGAGTAGAAGCAGTCAGATTTAGTTGAAAACACCCCATGGGAAGTTGCATGTTCTCTGTTCGCCAAACTTGACACTCAAGTTGTTCAAGGCTTCAAAGTCAGCTTCGCCAAGAGTAAACGTCTTCATGTTGGAGATGATTCTCTCTTCCTTGACGGACTTTGGCAACACCACGGTGTTTCTCTGAAGAGCCCAGGAAACAAGCACCTGGCCTGCGGACGCATTGTTGTTCTGGGCAATGGACTTGACCACTGGGTTCTCAAACAAAGGAGAGGTGGCAGAGCCCAATGGAGAGAAGGCCTCGACCAAGATGTTCTCCAGGTCCAAGTACTCCTTCAAGTCTGGCTGTGTCAACAAGGGGTGGGCCTCGATCTGGTTGACGACTGGCTTGATGGTGACTTCCTCATCAGCCAACAACTGCTCGACACGCTCCTTGGTGAAGTTGGAAACACCAATAGACTTGGCCTTACCGTTGTGGACAAGCTTTTGCATGTTCTTGTAAGTTTCAATAAAGTCGTAGTGGTGTGGCTGGGCGAGGATCTTCTCCTCAAGGTTGACTGGGTAGTGGATCAAGTACAAGTCGACGTAGTCCAAACCCAACTTCTTCAAGGACTCGTTCAAAGCACCCTCTGGGTCGTGGTGGTCGGCGTTCCACAACTTGGTGGTGACGAACACCTCCTCTCTTGGAACACCAGACTCTCTGATACCCTCACCGACTTGCTCCTCGTTCTTATACCTAGAAGCAGTGTCGATGTGTCTGTAACCATTTTGCAAAGCAGTCTTTACTGAAGCCCTGGCTTCGTCAGCATCAGTGACTTTGTAGGTACCCAAACCAATGGCTGGGATCTTGTTACCATCGTTAAGCTGATAGTACTCGTAGTTAGCTCTTGGGCCTTGCTCGGAAAAGTTAGCGGTTGGGGACATATTTGATTTGGTATGAAGTGTGTGGTTGGAACAGATCAACAGAGGAAGATTTGGCCCGTATTTATAGTGTTTCAGAGACGAGAGAGACAGAGCCAGAATCCGTGGCTGCAAACTAAAACGTAATAAGACATGGTGCATGAAAGCAGTTGTACCGCAAAACATGGGAGCAACAAAAAGAAAAACCTACATCAACGGGCTAATGTGTAGTTCATACTCATAAATGCAAATGGTAATGTTACATCCATTGGTAGCCGGCCCGGAGTTTTCTTTTTAAGGTTCGTGAATTCCAACTTGCGCCATACTCCACATAGAGCTTGTGGCTGGTGCATTGTTTCTCACCACTTATCAACAGTATGTCTTGAAGAAACCGGTGGTGTGTATGCAAAGTACTTAACAAACACGGAAAACCACGGGTACGTCATAGCTTTGTCTTTCTAAAAGCAAGCTTTGAGGGGCGCCGCCTTTTGTCTTCTCTGTGGAATGTATGCTACAAGTAGGAAAGCGCTTGAAGGTAACCATGCGCTCACTACGTCACAGAAGCTAATCCTTCTGTCCCGGGTAGCTCCCTTTCTGGGCTTTTTGGTGATTGCCGGCGTTTTTTGCCGCCAGACTTTCTTTCCTATATTTTTTTTTTTTTTTTCTTTCCACAAGCCAAGACCTCTCGTTCACCTTGGAACTGTCAAATTTACCGTTTGGTACGTATGGTCTCCTGTGTAAGAACAGAACAACCAAGTCGAGGATTATTGTTTTATGATGTAAACCTGCTTTTCTTTCTTTTCTTGCAATCCTGGGCTGGACATCCAAGATACCTGCAAATTAGGGTCCAGTACGAGATCTCCAGCTGGAACCATGAGGCTCTTGCAGCAGCAGCACTAGCGGCAGCAAGGGCCCTTGCTCGCCTCGTTTGTCTCACTACTGTTGCAGATTGTTGGAAGAAGAGCAACTAATAAGGATGCGAGCCATCACAGCCACATGCGTCCGAACAAACCTGTCTGATCGAGGAAGTTTGGGACAGCACAGCGGTAGGCAAGCCTTTCTTTTTTTTTTTTTTTTTTTTTGTCTTTTCTTATTTCTTGTTATTGGTAATGACGCCGAGACCGTTTCGCAGCCATTTCACAAGACATGGTCTACGATATAGAAACCTGGCAAAGTAGAGGCTTGTGAAAAAGAGCCCTGTCCCCGTGCTTCAACCTACTCTCTAAGGTTATCCTTGCTAGGAATCTCTTTGGTTTGTAGATCCTTATCAGCAGGTCCGAGGGTTATCCGTTTGTTTCAAGGAGTTCCCACTTCCACAAGAGTTAAGTGTTATTGCTTGCGCTTTTCGGTATCTATAGCACCTCGGGGTTCCAAGTTTCCGGCACCCTTCCCACTATCAGGCCAGGCTCCTGAACAATTTTCCGACGTTATTGTTGCGGACTACGAAGTACGGTGAGGTGCAGTGTGCTAAGCGAACCCGGCAGAAGCATGGCGGGTTTTCGTGTCTCTGACGTAATGCCGTCTTGTCTACTCGGTTACAGTGGCTGATCGTGGGATTTATTGTTTTGGGAAACCCCCTGAGCTTCCTTTCCGGGTTTAGTTACGCTTTCCCTCGTGCTCAAAAGCATAATAGCTTGCTCTCGTCATGCCAATTGAGAGCCACGCCTTCGTTCTGGCTTAATCGCTTGGTATGGATGGTCCTGAAAATCTCTCTTTTCCCCCCTCCCGGTAAAACCGTTTTCCTCCTTCCAACTGTATTTCTACATTTTCTTGTCTACACGACTATGGCTCCCCCTCCTTTCTTTTAACTGGTTACTGCATTCTTGTACAAAAATGAAAGGTAACGAATTTGGCTATTTCGATTTATGCAAACAACAAGCATTCCCAAGTTCCTCGAATTCGGAATTCACTTACACAAACCACTATGAAGTCTTTACAGTATGCTGGGTCACTTTTCCCTAAACAGAACTTTGTGTAATTTACTTATCTTCATGGAATAAAAAAAGGCTCAAGCTGGGCTGTGAAACAATATCCCTACGGTCACGATGCTGGTAATTATTTGTTATCTCTTTATCACCCATGCGTGAGAACTGATAACTCTGCGGCTGTACGAGCCTCTTTTTTCGAGCCCACAATAGTACCATTCACGACAGTGTAGATTGTGCTCCATGTATCCCACTTTCAACCCGTCGCGTTGCCATCTGTTTGCTCTATCCTTGTGGCAATTGTGTCCGAACATGCCAGCGAGCGGTTTTCGAAAGGGACAACTCTAAACGGCATGTCTTTGTACGTAGTCTCCACCTTCTCCTTTTCATCAGGGTACACCCTCGACTGATTTTTTTCCAGCACGAGGCAGGTTTACGTAACCACCCTCCTTGGCCACTATGGCTCGGTCAATAACATGGCAAAACTTTTCTTGGTGGTCCCGACTTCCGGGACTCATTGAGCCACGGAGATATCCGTGTATAAGGTGCTATATCTGTAGGTTACAGCATGCTACATTGCAGTTTCGAGAGTTGGAAGCACGTTCTCAAGCTCGCGGAGTTCTAGATCACCGAAGGGGTTTTTTTTGCCACATATGTCTCGGGTCTTGATATGCTTCTTTTCTTTTTCTTATTTCTTTATCTGTTTATTTATGAAGTCCTTACACGTAGCGTGTAATGGCTGCAAAGTCGAGCAACATAATCAACAAATTATACACAGGCATGGTGCATAGAGAAATGCTGTGGTTTATTTAATCTACAGTCCTGGTAATATGCAGATGTTCTGGCTTGATTATGGATTGTTGCTAGTGTTTCACATTATGTAGCGCAGTAGCCACCAAGTCTGGGAATCTAGTTCTCCTGGCTAGGACAATAAGTAAAGGAACCTGAACTTCTGAGGACTGTCTCTTAGTACTGCACAGGGCTCTTGCCAACGGCGGTAATCCAAGACACGAATCTTGAACTCGACAATAGTAAGCCAGCAACTACGGGTGAATGTGAAATTACACAAAACGGATGTCCCTGGTTGAGATATCATTGGTTGGGTGTCTAGATTTTGCGGTTACCTGGTCACGTGGGTTCTGAGTAACGTGAGGTTCGTGTGACCAGAAACCACCAGAAACAGTTTGCCACAAGAAACCCTCCAGACTAAGCTTTTTTCGATTTTGAAATAGTCAGATAGATTAATAGGCAGTTTAAGATTAGTATGTTGAGAAAAGAGCTCATTTGGTTGGATTTCTGATTTTTACAACCCTATTTTCAAAATGCGATTCACAGCATGGCTGCAAATCTGACGTAAATGTAGCAAAACTTTAAATAGACTTTGTCTTAAAAGTCATAAACCTTGAGTACTTTAAGGTTCGATGACAGAAACAGAAATTAATGGATCTGATGGAGCCGAGTAAATGTCGCTCCCCGATTCGTCAAAATTCTACTGCCAGTTACGTTTTACCAAATCCATTCAGCTACTAATTTATCAACTTCAACATCAATTGGTGTGCAAAATCTATACCACTTTTTGCCTCCTATCTTCTCTTTAACCTAGTGGTCACTCTCATAAAGACCACTTTTCCCTTGAATTTCAATTTAAGCTTCCCCGCTAGTCAAAATAAACTTGCAGAAGTACTTAAGCCCAGCCGAGACCTCCTCACCTACAGGTTCAATATACCTCTTTGGCAACAAGAAACCGTGCGATCCGCTGTCTCGAAGCTTCAATTGGTATGCCCAAAATGCCCTGTGATGGTACATATAATCAAGGGCAGTACCAGAACCCAATTCTGGAAGAAGATCCGAATCTCTGTCAAGACAAGCGGGCGACACAGCATAGTACTTACCAGAAGTCCAGCGGATAGACTTGGAGATGCCATAAGCGAGCTCAATCAAGTTCTCCTCGTCTCTTGGCTGATGTTCGCACAGGTAAACGTATGGATATAAGATTTCTTGGTCGTAAGAATGCAAGTCAATGTAGCCATGAATGTGGTGAGCTTCGTTAGTCTTGTTGAGGTACTCGTCCCACACACGCGCTTCATAGGCCTCGAATGGAATCTTGCCAGCATAGTCTTCGCTACAAACAGACTCCGAAGAAGGAGTCCAGTGGTAGTCAAACGAGTGGTCAATGTCAACACCTCTGCAGCTACCTTCATCACCACCTTCAACAGGCTGTCTGTTCTTTCTCCACAATCTGTCAGTTTCCCAAGAGTAGACGTATCCGTCAGGATTAAGCACAGGAATAAAGAGAAAGTCTAACTGAGCCAAGGTTTTTGAATCGTGCGGATTCTCTTCCCAATGGCGCAACATGGCATAGACACTGTAAAGCACAGTAGACACCGAGATCCATTCTCTAGCATGAACACCACCTGTGATGACAACGGTCTTCTTCTGTTCGTGATCGACATCCCTATCCTTAACCGAGAGATGAACCACACGGAAAGGACGGCCTTCGTAAGTATGGCCGATCGTCTCCATCTTGATGAGATCAGGGTACGTCTCCTCAAGCAAGTGCAACCACTGGTGGATATCCTCAAGCAGTCTGTAGTCCTTAAAGAACACCTCCGATGTAGTCTTAAAGTCAACCTCTTCGGCAAACACATTCTCTGTTTTATCTGGATACAGCTCGTACACTGCCTGGGCCAAGTCTGGGATTATGACTTCAGCCTTGGAGATATCAAATGCAGTGCCCAATTGTGCAAGTTGGGCCGAGTTCAACTGGACGTCCAAGGTCTGTTTGGCGCCGTTGCTCGACCATATTTTGAGTTTCTGATTCTTGAGGTATTTCAACGACTCGTTGGTATATGGCATCCTGACAACGAAGTCATTCTCATACTGGTTCAAGTCGATCGGGTGCTCGGCCTGGGGGACCAGCTTATAATGCTGCTTTTCCGAAGCATGGGGCATCAACCGAATTTGGGATGCAGCCACGACGGCGGCGAAAAGTATACCGAGCTTCATCTGGGTATTGGAGGTGATAAAGCTGTGATTGCTCTGAAACTGTACTATCTCGGGATGACATTTCTGGGTATCGGCACCTCCGTACCTCAGGCTTGGCCAAGGCCCTTGGCCCCTACGAAAGAAGTGGTTGTGCTAGAGAAATGATTGTATGAAGAGGACGACATAGGTGGTCGATATGAGGGGATGATTTTTTTATATGTTCTGTTTTACTTGGAATGGTGCTTTGAGTTGGTTACTTGAATGGCTGCGAAAAGTAACCCCAGAATGGGATGAATGCCTGGACCATCCCAGGAGGGATAGTATCACCAGTTTTAGTTTTGTACAAATCAAGCTGACTAAACTGTTATGTTCCTGATGTTGGTTGAATTTGAGTAGTGAATGCTATGTGATCAGGTGGATAGTTGGTTTATGGGAGGGCGAGGGTCGGCCCAGAGAGTCACAATGCCGAGTCAGAGCTCATCTATGCCATTGGAGGGATGGGTGGCAGAAAAAAGGGAAAACGTTTAATGTGAGGGAATTTAAAAACGCTAACGGTATTTCTTTGATCTTTTTTTGCCAAATGTCGCCTCTGGATTGAATATGAAATATATATAAGTTCCGCTTCCAAAGCTAGGACTAGAAATGAAGAGTCTTTGTATTTGTGTTATGCTGGTATTCCTTCTTCTGTTATTTTTTTTTGGACTTTTGCTATAGTATGCTTGAAGAAGTTCCCAATCGTTCTTTTGGATCCCGGTCTTTGCTGAATGGCACCAGAGATAATGCAATGGATGTTCCCTGGAAAGCAGTTTTAAGCGCGCAGGAAGGTGCATGCTGAAGTTTAATGTACTAGATCATCGCCGTGTACAGTACTTTCACAGAATGGTTGCAAAAAGAGGAATCATGGACGAATGCAACAGAAGTTTAACTGTGGCCAAAGAAACGGGAGAGTCTCAGATGACTTTTATGCTCTTTGGAGGATTCAGGTTCGGGATTTGGCGATGGGTCCCGGCTGCCAAAGTCAAACTGAGCATCCAAGTTGACTGGACGCGATAAGCGTTCTTTCTCTCCCATGTCAGCAAGATTCGTCAGCGATCCGTTTCTCGAATGCGATGGAGAAAGTGCCATTGCAAGCCTGCTCCGTTTCTTCTTCTCTTCGCGTGTATGTGAGATGTCAATATTTGCAAGCCAGTCATGAAAGTACTTCTCATCCTCTATAGGTTTCTGTAGCTGCTGCTGGTAATGGTAGATAGGCTTGACAACAATGCAGGGAACAAGAGCAAACTGAAGGAAGTACTTGGAGATGGAAGATTTGGAAAGGAACCCACGATGCTTATGGGGCTGCGGCTGTGGTTGGTGTGTGGGATGGGACAGATCAATAATGTTCTGCGACAGGCTCAGGCGCTGCAACTGCGCCCTCTCGTAGTTATGAGTACCCACAATCATCATAGCGGGTTTATACTCATCGATAGCGCCACGAAGAAGTTTCTGCGGCTTTCCGATCACGGCTTCGTAGACGAGCGAAATTTTCTTATTGTGGGTATTGAGTTGCTCTATCTTCGCAAGTACCTGTTCGCCCAACTCGTTGTCGACCCTCTTGTAAACCTTCTCGTCGAGCACTTGCAAAACAATGAGAGTGTCTCCGTTGACCAACATTTCCTGAAGTGCCCATTCGATCGCTCTGAGAGACTCCAAGTCGTTGCTGAATCCCAAAAGGTATGTCTTGTTGTTTCTGCGGAAACGGAACTGGGGATGTTTCACCTTAAGCGTGATGGCCTTGTGATGGTTATCGGAAAGCGTATCAAACGAAACGCCTCGTTCAAAAGACCCCAATCGCAGAAGCGGTGGTCTCTTGGCTGGTGAAGGTGACCGTAGACGCTGCGCCGCCGCCAGCACCGTAAGAAAAGCGTTGCTTCTTTCCGTTCCAGCAGGAGACAACGGCAGCGGCGACATCACGGAAACGTCAGAATCATAGTCATCATAGTAGAGTCTTCCCAAGAGGTCCAGCAGGTTATTTTCCAGTCGATACATATCCACAGACTCATCTGAAGTATCGAAAAGAAGAGCATTTAGCCTCGTGTTCTTATCCGTTTCCGTCTCTGGCACATCCTTAGCCTTCTGCTTTTTAGGAGCCTTCTCTTTATCATAAACCTTCTTGGGCGCATCGTCGTTATCGTCCCCATCAGCCTCTTCCCTATGGTGATTTCTCTCGTGACGTCTTGGCACAGGTGGCCCACGCCCCATGGGCGACATGGGAGATAAGCTCACATGGATAGGCCTCTGGTGGCTCTGGTGGTTATGGAATAAGCCCATTTTAGTTCGTGGTACTTTGGCGCAAACTCGACGTCTGATCTCTTTTAGTGGGCAGATCTTGCGACATAGTCTGTGATAAACACCAGCATGTGGAGGGCTGTCTGCAGTCCCCAGGGTAATTTAGGTCCCTAAGCAAGGAGATAGATGGTTGATAAAAGTAGAAGAAGGAAGAGAGTCCAGGGAAGTTACTGGAATAATGAAATTTGGAAAGAGCAGACGTTGTTTTAGACTGCAGCACTGGTGCTTAAGCGAAGACTGGTACTTATCGGTTAGCCGCGCGAGCCTTGTGGATCTCGTATTGTGGGGAAAGAATCAGGGCATAAACGGCGTTCTGGAGAGAATGCCGAAGACTTGGGTTCTAGGGTTAGTTAGGGTGGCTGGTATGGAAAGTGGTTGTGAAAATGCAATATGGGGGGTTTTTGGTGCTACCAGAAGTGTAGATCCTCAATAGGAGGTGAAGTATGAGAAAGGTGTGGACAGAGCTCCAAACATACCATAGTATGTGTTCACATGCAAGTGGTGGGTGTTTCCATTGGAAGGCTTTGATAAGAAGGGGGTGGAGACTTTCATAGTTGAAGGTTTGTAAGTTGTTTGGGTAAGAGATTCGTGGACTGGATGTGCTCGTGACCGTGCTTGTATCTCAGGTCAGCATGGCAAAGACGGTCATTTTCGAAATCTTCGTGTTTCGGTTACTATGTACATTTCCATATCTGTCGTCATGTCAACCTTGGTGAAGGTTGAGCGTTCTATTTTGTTTGTTCTGGGAGACTCATGTAACGACCGTTATCCACGCCCGAGTTGTGCTCCACAATGCCCCATATTCTGTCCATCTTCATACCTCCCACGTTATCGGCAACGTAAAAGTATCTCTTGTGGCCATCAAAGTCCTCTTGCCATGATCTGTATGGGATAATGTCATTTGTCTGGGGAGTGATCTGGAGAGACTTGTTACCAGAAACGGTCAAAAGCTGATTATATGTCTTTCCTCCAGTAGTATTGAGCTTCTCCATCACCAACTTCTCATCCGAAACCAAGTTTTCTAGCGTTTGCGGCTTGGTTTTATCGTACAAACGGAAGATACGCGTAACATAGTCTTTCGTCTTGAACTGAACAGCCAAAGCTGGACCCCACGTACCAGCAAGAGTAGCAAATGCGTATATATCGTCAAACTGGACCAGCTCATAAAGAAGCTTGGCTCCATAGAGGCCAATGACACCAAATGAGAGTGTTAAACGTTTGAGCATTGCAACGTACTTGGCGCCTGGCGCCTCATAAAGCGGCTCATAAGAAAGGCGGAAGTTATCTGGAAGCGCCACGTTCTTTAAACCTTTTCTGATATAGACAATGTCATTGTAAAGCGTAGGAGACCATGGGTTGTTGCCGGTGACGATCTCGTCAGTATCCACAGAGGAATCGTCAGATTTGAACGTCGTTTTATGACCGGCAAGACGTTTCTGCTGGAGAAGGACTCGAGAAATAGGTCTGCAGAGGCCTGCGTTCGTTCTTGCAAGCATTACTTGAAGTCTATTGAACATACTTTGAATGTAGCGAGTAATAAGGCAGATGGGTCGTGCGCTTACCGCAGCATCACCGATACCAGGCAACGCTTCCTGGACAAGCAAGGGAGGTAGAGAAAAAATGGTTATGGATTTAGAGAGGTCAAGAAGAAGCCAATAGAATAAACTGATCCCCTTTTGTTTATTATGTGGTGTCGTCGTCTATGGGTGCAAATGACGGTTTTCGCAACCATTCCACCATCAACCATAAATTACGCTTTCTGGACATACTTAGTACCATTCGATAGCCGCAAACTGCGCCAAAAAGGAGATTAAGTCACCCACTAATACATAAATTACCCTCCACTAGTGGATAACAGCAGGTCATCCGTGGGCATCGAGCTGGTATTCCTGCACAGAGAATGTATCGTGTTGCGGATGCAACAGCCTTTTTTTATACCAGTTTCTTCCCTTAAACCAACACCACAGCCATGGAGGAATCGACAAATAAGTTCATCCCAGAGTACCGCCGTACCAACTTCAAGAACAAGTCGCGTTTCCAGAGCGATGAGTTGAGAAGGCGTAGAGAGACCCATCAGGTCGACTTGAGAAAGCAAAAGAGAGAGGACGTTTTGGCAAAGAGAAGAAACTACGTCGACGCAGGCGCCATGGCCAACGATTCTGAGGACGAGGATGATGTGGGAGACCTTGTTCCAGGTGGAAGAGAGGACTCGTTTTTTGGTAAGTTGCAGCAGGAGCTTCCAAAGATGATGGAGCTGATCCACCTGTCCAACTTTGAGACCCAGTTGGCCGCCACCATTAAATTCCGTCAGGTATTGCTGAGGGAGCACAACCCACCTATTGATCTTGTGATCCAGCTGGGAGTTATTCCAACGCTTGTGGAGTTTATGAAGGATAGCCAGCCTGACATGTTGCAATTAGAGGCTGCATGGGCACTCACAAATATCGCTTCGGGTACAAGCGATCAGACCCAGGTTGTTGTCGAGCTGGGCGCTGTGCCATCATTTGTGCAATTGTTATACTCCCAGTCTTTGGAGGTGAAGGAGCAGGCCATTTGGGCTTTGGGTAACGTTGCTGGTGATTCCACCACTTACAGGGATTTCGTGTTGAAGAGCGGCGCCATGGAGCCAGTCTTGAGTCTTTTCAACACCAGCAAGATGTCGTTGATCCGTACTGCTACATGGACGTTGTCCAACTTGTGCAGAGGTAAGAACCCTCAGCCTGAATGGTCGGTGGTGCAGCAAGCCATTCCTACTTTGGCCAAGTTGATCTTCTCTGTTGATACCGAAACTTTGGTTGACGCGTGCTGGGCTGTTTCCTACTTGAGTGACGGTCCTTCTGAAGCTATTCAGGCCGTCATTGATGCCCGTATCCCACACAGATTGGTCGAGTTGTTGGACCACGAGTCCACCTTGGTCCAGACCCCAGCTTTGCGTGCCATTGGTAACATTGTCACTGGTAACGACATGCAGACCCAGGTGATGATCAACCTGGGCGTCTTGCAGCATTTGGCTCCATTGTTGAGCTCTCCAAAGGAGACCTTGCGTAAGGAGGCATGTTGGACTATCTCCAACATCACCGCCGGTAACGCTGAGCAGATTCAGGCAGTTATTGACCTGAACTTGATTCCTCCAATTATCCGTTTGTTGGCCCAGGGTGACTACAAGACGAAGAAGGAGGCTTGTTGGGCTATTTCTAATGCTTCCTCTGGTGGATTGACGAATCCTGAGCAAATAAGATACCTCGTGAACCAAGGGTGTATCAAGCCCTTGTGTGACTTGTTGGCTGTTGCCGACTCCAAGATCATCGAGGTCACTTTGGACTCGTTGATGAACATCTTAAAGGTCGGTGAGTTGGACAAGGACCAGAAGCACGCTACCAACAACGAGTATGCCATCTTCATCGAGGAGGCTGGTGGTATGGAGAAGATTTTCAACTGTCAGGCCAACTCCAACGTCCAGATTTACAACAAGGCGTTCAGCATTATTGAGAAGTACTTTGGCGAAGAGGAGGACGATGGAAACTACGAAAACGGTTTGCAACCTGAAGCGTACGGCGACTCGTTCGGTTTTGGTGTCCAGAACAACCAAAACTTCCAGTTCTAAACCCTCCATCCTCCACCCTCTAGCCCAAAGACTACTCCAATGTCTGCAAGCACATCTACACCTTCATACTCACATTCTCTAAATATCTCATGATTGACATGCTATCACGAGTTTTCATCTCTCATCTACTCTCATAGGGCCCACGGCCTGCCATTCTGGTTTATCTATGTAATTTAATACAGCGAAACTATCTCAGTGATGTAGGTACCATAAAAGTAGTCGTTGTTTTGTGCCAATCATGTTCTTGCAAATACTAAATGTCACAAATGTGCGACACAGACTAATGGCCAGTTACGTCATTGTCCCAAACCACTTATGGGTCCACCAAAAGACACTTTTCCAGCCCAAATCGCCCGTTCCAGCCACTTTTAAGGTACGACTGGGCCCAGCCATCAATAGGCCATATATATATAATTTTCTAAACCCCTTTCGAGCCTTCCCTGGAAACCTCTTGGAGAGCTGGACTGAAAAGAAAAGACGCACTCCTATTTGGGACGCACCAGCATTAACGCCGTTTACGTCAAAACCAGAGGTCCATAAAAAAAGCACTTTTTGAAGGAAACCAAAACTTCAAATTGGAGAATCCAAAATCTTCATACTTAACTTCCCCAAATCCTCTTTTCTTTCCCGAAAACCAGCAAAAGTCGTAGAAATAACTTAAGCTTCAGAACAGACGTTCCCCATGGGATGCCACAATTTCGCAGCCGACCGAACGAGCACAAAAAAAAAAAAGAGCAGCTCCAATTGTGGGCTGAAACGGTCAGAGTCAAAAAAAAAGGAGGGGAGAAAAAAAGTAGAGAAGTCATCACCGCCCACGTGGGCCCCCATCAGAGTCACACATTCTTACAATGCTTTTATTTAATAGCTCTTTTTTTTTGCCTACGCTATACCTGCTTTGCTGAGCCAAAAGTGTCAGCGCCCGGAAAAAACGGAGTAACTTTAGTGTGTGTAAATGAGAAAAAGAACGGTGAGCCAGTGGACTTATGTGCAGGTCACTATCGGCACACCGACACTTTTCCAGCCGACACCTCCAGCAAAATGCCACCAAAGTCGACATAGAGGAAAGGAAAGGAACCCGGATGGACATAAAACTACCCAGGAGCCTTCTAGCACTCTAGGAATGCCAGAACGACCCGGAAATGGTGGGTAGTGAAAAGTTTTCGGAGCGTCACGTGACATCCAGATTAGGAAAGGTAAAATTCCCGCAAAAACATTACAAAGAAAAAAAAGTCGCACTAGCCCTACAAAAACCAGCCATCATCACAACTCTTCTTTTCCACATCCAACCATGAAGCTCTCCACCGTCATTGTTGCTGCTGCCCTTTCTGCTGGCGCTTACGCTGTTGAGGACACTCCTAGTACCGTTACCACCACCTTCCACGGTTCCACCGACACTCACAGATACGGTCGTTTCGACAAGACCTCTGACCCACCAAAGCCAACCAACACTGGTACTGAGAGATACGGTCGTTTCGACAAGACTGCCGACCCAGTCACCACCACCATCTTCATCACTGACTCCAGTATCACTGCCAACCACGAGGTTGTGAACTTCGCTGCCTCTAACGGTACTGGCGCTGGTGCTGGTAACGGTACTGGTGCTGGTGGTGCCAACGGTTCCGAGTCTTCCACCTACGGTGGTGGTGCTGCTGTCAACTCTGGTGCTTACTTCGGTGTTGCTGGTGCCATTGCTGCTGGTCTTTTCTTGATTTAAGGATATCCATAGATTCTTCAACGACGTTTCGTTTCTTAATAAATTTTCATTTTGGTACTTGCTACGGGGTTTTCCGTTTGCTTGTAGATAATTGGCCCAAGGGGCTAAGGATGAACCTGGGCCTTTTAATTCTGCCTGGAACAAACTCTAGAGTCATTTCACTTGCTTTTGAGCCTGACTATGGACCCCGACGCCCATGTCATCACAAGCTGTAGTTCTATTGGCTCAAGAGCTAAGCCTAGTCGTTCTCGGAAAACATCCAAAAGGGGCTTGCAAATGAGTTGATAGTATATGCACCGTAGAATGAGCCTCCTCTGATGAGTTTTGGGTCTGGTTAGTATCGATTGCTATGGACTTCAGAGAATGGAGGATTGTTTCTACGGGACTCAAAAGAGGAAAGCACCATATGCAGCTTATAGAGGACATAAAGAACTCCCTTTCCTGCTTTTTTTGGCGCCTAGAAACTATTTGTATCACCTTAAGTCATATATTTCGTCACCTCAACCTTCTTACTTATACACCAAGGACCTTTCCTCCTCTTCATACTTTACTCCTCCTTTTTAATTACCTCCCGCCAGCTTTTGCAATTCTTTAATGTCTGCAAGCAGCTTCTCCAACTCCAGGGCACGTTTGGCAAGCACTTGTTGAGCATTCTCATCTCCAGTATCGATATTCAAAATGGTTGCGTCAACAGCCTCAAAAGCCTTTTGTTTTTGTTCTGCCAGTCTCTTGTATTCCGCTTTCAAACCCAGTGTGAATGGAAGCTTCAAAGGTCCAGTCTTTGCCATAGATGTGATCAACTCATACGCAACCTGAGCACCGTTCGTAGCTGTAACTTCAGCATGGTCGTAAGCTGGGCTGACCTCGACAACATCAGCACCTACAAGCTGAAGAGATTCAATTCCACGTAAAATGTGGATCAATTCACGAGGCAACCATCCACCAGGTTCTTGAGTACCCGTACCAGAAGCAAAGGCAGGGTCCAAAACGTCAATATCCACAGAAATGTACGTTGGCGAGTTTTTAGGGATTCTCTTGAGAATCTGTTTCACCACATAGTCAGCACCGTTAAGCCAAACGTCATCAGCAGAGATTCTCAACCATCCTTGTTCATCATCATCCTCCCAATCCTCAGCACCACAAAGCTTCGTACGAAGACCAGCATGAACATTGTTCTTCGTGGTAAGGCCCTCCTCGTACGCTTTCCAGAGCATCAGGCCGTGGCTCACCTCCAGCTGCTTGGTGTGCCAGTAACTAGGATACTTGTCAGGCTTCCAAGTATCAAGATGAGCATCAAAGTGGATCACGTTCAAAGGCCCGTAAAGCTTATAGAGTGCTCTGATGTGGGGCAAAAGCACCAGATGATCACCTCCCAATGCAATGTACCTAGGTTTGGCAGCTTCCTTGTTCAGATCATGCTCAAACAAGAGTTCCTCAAACCCCACAGTCATTTGCTCAAACGCCAATACATTATCCATAGGACTCACTGGAATGTCACCACAATCCACCACAGAAGCCCATTCCTTATAAGGGTTATACAACGCACGAGGATTGAACCCACGAAGCGAAGTCTGTCTTTGAGAAGCAGCCCTGATAGCTCTAGGACCAAACCTGGCTCCTGGACGATAAGACACGGCTGTATCAAAGGGAACACCAATAAGAGCAATATCATACTGAAGGTCCCGTTCAGCAAGACAATTGTGGCTAGGAAGATGGGCAAAAGTGTTGATGCCTTGGAAAGGCCATGCTTCACCCCAGATTTCGCTGAGCGACGCTTCTCCGTCTGGGCTAGCAGTAGCAGCAGACAAAAAGGAAGAAACTGCAGCCAATGTACCAATTGAAAGCTTCATATCAATTGATGTGTAGTTGAATCAGGGATGGAACTGGTACATATGGCTTGGTACTGATAAGCCCATAGCGATTAGCGGGAACTTCGCGCCAGAACGGAATTGGGGGAAGACGTTATACCAGAGGAAAGTGAACGGAATTTGGGGCTGAAATTGGGAAGTGTTATACTAGCGGGATGGAATTATTGCTTGGAAGTATTTGTACTGTTTCAGGTGCCGTTATGGGTTAGTTAGCGTGGAAGTAATGAGGATTTTGCAGCCATTCTGATTCCGCGATAAGCGGGATGCAACTTGCGTCAGTGGAACTGGGGATAGGTGGTGGGAAAGTGGAGGGATAGAATTGGAGAGTCTATTTAAGGTCAGTGTAAAGAAGGGATTTTGTGTTTAGAAAGGCTACGAAGGGTGCTGAGTTGTGAAGGTAGGTATACTGTTAGTAGCTCACTGTATGGTACACTGAGAGTAGAGCTTCTACTAGATACATAAGGAACCACAAATAGTATGATAGAAGAATAACTCTTGTTATGTAAAAGCAGCTTTCTTGAACTCGGGTTGGGTTCATTTTTCCTAAAAAATACAATAAAGAAAAGAAGTAGCCAATTGCCATATACTTACACATTCAGTATAAGCATCTTCTGTTCCTCCTGGAGGCCTCAGCTACCAACCACCAGTGCTGCCTCTAACAAGTCTCCTCCCATAAAACCACCTCTAAATTCCAGTAACCTTCAAATAAACCACCCATCCAAATTCATAACCAAATCAACCCATAAATCTACCAGTCCTACTGCCCTCTACCATCTACCTTCTTCTCAGTGTTCCATACATTGACAGCTGCGCGGACCCGCAGAAGAAGGCCTCGGCTAGTACTCACCTCTTCACCAGAAATCACCACTATAAACCAAATAACCTTCACTTCTTCAACCAACTACCAACAACCAACCTTGTACTACCCTTTCTTTGGACACTTCCACTACCGCAAGCTTAGTGCGACACAGCCCGTAACCGCGTCCTACTGTATCGGCTGAACTGGAGCCGTTAACTACTATCTACAAACATGCCCATTGAGCTTTTCAAGAACCCACTTTCCACCAGTGAACCTCCTGGTCACTTTGCTAGAGGCCCACACTCGCAACCACCGGTCAACTCGGCTGCTCAGAAACCTCTCCAGACGAATAACACGTTTAACAACCTTCTTTTGGACGACCAGACGTTTCCAACATGGCCTTTACCATACTCTTTGTGGGTGTGCAAAGATGGCGATTCCGACTGGGGGATGGCGTTTAACCATACTGACTCTTCTCAGTTTGTGTTTGGACCCGACCCAGAACAGAATCCAGCGCAGTTTTTCTTCAATCCGCCTAAGATCAAGTCTTTTGCTTTCACTGCCCCGGATTTCGGGAACAACTTGCGTGTTTCCACGATCAAGAACGAGAAACTCGCTGCTTTGGTGGAATTGACCAACGGCAAGGGCCGGATTTCCATGCCTTTGGCGTACGGAATGGGCTTTGTCACTGGTATTTATGAGAACTTGGTGCCTGTGCTTTCTTCACAGGTAGGTTTCATGGAGTTTAAAAAGGTTGGTATTGTCAACCAGAATCGAACTGCAAAGTATACAGTCAAGTTGTTTAACCAGATTGTATGGCTGATCTACCTTAGTGGTGACCCTAGTATTGATTTGCAGTTGGCAGACAACAACCATATCGTTGCCAGTGGACCTTCCAGGCTTTGCGTGGTGCAAGTCTGTAAAGGAGACTCTCCAGCGTATGACGATGCATGCGGAAAGTATCCAATTGACGTTAAGCTTTCAGGATCTGTTGACCCGGACCAGAAAACAGGAACCTATGCTTTCAATTATGAGACTCATGGTGTAAGCAATTCGGGCTCCACGTTGGTCTGGTGCCTTCCTCACCACCAAATGACACTCAAGGAAGATATCAAAAAGAGAGATAGCGGCATGCAGCTAGACTCCACCACTAATGGCCCAATGAGAGGCTACGTTACTGATAAATTGGAAATGGTGGTTCCAGATTTGCCTTTAGACATTGGCTTTGAGCCTTGGACTTCTGTTGATGGCTTTAAGTTCGACAGTAAGAACTATACTGACGAAGTAAAGCAGCTCATTGGCCAGGTGGCCAGCCAGGAAGTCGAGCAAGATGTGGCAGGCCAGTGTGATCTAGACTCGATGTACTTTGGTGGTAAGCAATTGGACAAGTACGCTTACCTTGCTCTTGTGACCCACTATGTGCTTCGAGACCTGGCCCTTACCGCAAAAATCTTACCGAAGGTTAAAGCCGCCATAGAGAAGTACGCCAGCAACCACCAGCAACATCCGTTAAGGTACGACGAGAGCTGGAAAGGTGTGATTTCGGATACCCCACCTGACCAGGATTTCGGTAACTCCAACTACAACGATCACCATTTCCATTACGGCTACCATATTCATGCCATTGCAATTGTGGCCCGCATTGATCCCGGTTGGTTATCGGCCAACAACAATTTGATCCATGATTATGCGCTTACGTTGGTAAGAGACTACGGTAACCCCTCAGACAGTGATCCATTTTTCCCACAGTTTCGTAATTTCGATTGGTTTCACGGACATTCTTTTGCCCATGGTATTTTCCCTAGCGGTGACGGCAAGAATGAGGAGTCTTCTTCTGAAGATTACCATTCTGTGTATGCTCTCAAGCTTTACGCAAAGATTATTGGAAACCAAGAACTAGAAATGTCTGCAAATTTGATGCTTGGTATCATGAAGACATCGTTGAACTTGTACATGATGTATACATCAGACAACCAAATCTTGCCGCCTCGTTTTACCGCTAACAAGGTTTCGGGTATTCTTTTTGAGAACAAGATAGACTTCGCCACATTCTTCGGCAGAGGAACTGTGGGAGACGAGTACGTGCATGGTATCCACATGATTCCCATCACTCCTATGTCATCGTACATAAGAGGGTCGAGGTATGTCAAGGAGGAGTGGGATGCTAAGTTGGCGGGAATCGTTGATAAGATCCCAGACGGGTGGCAAGGTATTTTAAAGTTGAATGCTGGTTTATTCGACCCTAAGTACTCTTGGAAATGGTTTTCTCGGAATGACTGGCAGGACAATTTGATTGATCCGGGAATGACCAGATCATGGGCTTTGGCATATTTGGCCGGAATTGGCGGCGCCCGCTAAGCGACTGATGCATGAAAGCTTCGATGCAAGTAGGGCAACTGTCCATCTGTGGCATCTCACGATTTATAGGTTTGCTTACACAGTCGCCAAAAGTCTATTTCCGAATGTATTTGTCAGACAAAGAACTAGAATCATGGTTTGACTTTACTACTCAATTCTCGCAAATTAACTTCTGTTATTCTATTACATAAATAAAAATGTCAAGACAATTGACTTAACCATGTTGCACTTTGTATGAAATCAAAAAGATGACTATTAGTGGTCAAACCTAAAGTCAAGACGCTTGTTACCCTCGTCAGTGGTTGTACGGACGTAGTCTTCCTGCTCCTCGACAGTCATTTCGTTCCACTTTCTGTCTCTGTACTTGTTCATCTGAACATAGTAGAGCTTCACACCTAGGAGCAAAGGAATCATGACGACAGAAAGAATGAAAAGCTGGGTGTTACCTCTGTAGTATTTGGGTTTGTCATCCTCTCTGTAAATGTTGTAAGCACCAATGTTACCAATTTGCACGGTCATGTTATACAAGGCCGAACAGACGGAACGGGATCTAATGGAGTTGGAGTTTCTTGAAACCCAGGCAACACAGATGGCGTGAATGTAAGGAGCAGCCAACACCATCGAGACCAAGAACCAAGTCACCCAAGGGTTATCATTACCACTGCCTGGCCACCATCTAATGGCACCCATGAAAGGAATGGTCAAGATTGGCAAAGACAAACATGTCAAGGCACGCTCATTGATTCTTTCGGAAAACCACGTAACAGCGATCAAGAAAATGATGTGAAGAACTGCCTGTGGAATAGTAAGCAAGTTAACGATGATACGATCGAAACCTAACTCTTTCATGGAAAGAGTCATGTAAGGTTGAATGGTACCTTGTGGAATATAAGCCAAGAAACCAATGGCGTAGATGGGCCACAAATCGTAATCCCATGCAGCTTTGGCAATCATCTTCACAGACAAACCTTGTCTGTTATGCATATCACCCTTGGAAGGGTCGTCTCTCAAGACTCTGTTCACGACAATCTTCACTTCTCTGTCATTGAACCAGCCCTTAGGATGAAGTTTGTTTTTGGTCTGAACAGCAGATGGAACCATGAGGTAGAAAGCACTGATACCAATGATCAAAGTGATGAGACCTTCAATGATGAAAAGCCATCTCCAGCCAGCCATGCCAGCAACACCTCTCATACGCAAGATAGCGAATGCTAAAAGGGAAGTAACAATCTGACAAAGCGAAAGAGATGTCCAGAACCAAGACAAACGGAGAGGTAACTCGGTGGACTTGTAGAAGTAGGTAAGCCACAAGACCAAGTCAGCAATGAAACCACCTTCCAAAGCACCAATTAAAGCTCTGCAAATAAAGAAACCAGTCTTGTTCTGCATTGCACCTTGACAAGCAGCGACGACGGACCAAGAGATCATCTGGATAGGAATAAAAATATCGGGACCAAGCTTCTTTGAAATCAATTGGGAAGGCAACTCAGCCAACAAAAATGCAACAAGGAAAATCGTGTTACCGGTATTGTAATCATTAGTGTTCATACCCAAGTCAGGCAACAAGTCGTCAACCACAGCCTGGGCCAAGTTACCTCTGTCGATTTGCAAACCGATAAACATAATGCATGCACTAAGTGCAACTCTCCAGTCCAACTTTCTAAGAAGCTTCCTCTCTTCCTCTGGCTCCCACTCGAACTCAGGATCAAAAGCCAGACGAGACTCATACTGGACTCTCTCGTACAAGGCAGTATAGTACTCAGCAACAGCTGGGTCCTTGAAAGGATTCGACACCAAAGAGTCGACCTGCGACTCAGAGTCTGTCAGCAACAGCTCCACCTGGATGTTTTCATCGTACTGCTTCTCCTCTGCCTTGGTAGGCACGACGCCTCCCTTCTCGTGTTTCTTGACAGTAACAACACCCATATTAGAAGATTGACTTTCGTGTGAGTTAAGATATGAATTGGGGGAGGAGGACCTATTCTTATATAAAAGAGGTTCTGAAGACATTTAGAAAAAAAAAAAAAAAAAAGAATATAACCGCTATGGGCGCAGCGTTTATGCACTTTTCCATCCAAACGCCTAACGTTTGATTAGGCAAACCTTCCCAGTATAGGCACCCTCCCCATTACTAGAGAAATGGGTGCAAATTAGACGCACAAGAGGCTTTTTTTTTTTTGCAACCACAATTGAGCGAGGTAACGCCCAGATTGCGTGGATAAAGCGTATGCACGTGACACGCAAGCGTCAGAAAGAAAATGGAGGCCCTGCCACAATTCTTGACAAATGTGAAAGAAACTTTTATTTTTCTTGATGACACTTTTCTGACATTTGTGAATTTTTTCTTGACAAGCAAACTTTTTGTGAATGTTCCAAGTATTTGGTCCAGTTTTGGTTGGGTGCTTGGGTTTCTACAGTGTGGATCTTCTGCCTTATCTATAATGCCTTTAGAATGGCTGCAAACCTTAATAAAAAGTGTGTACCTTAAATAAGCCTTCACGTGAGAGCCGCTCATAGTGGCTCTTGTAATTGAAATGATGTCAGATCCACACTTTGGAGGGGGCATTTTTTTTTTTTTTTTAATTACTTATGCAAGCCATCGCATGCGGCGCCCCTCATTATGGTAGAAGTGAAAAATTACCGCCATTATCCGAATATGCTAATTGGAGAATGGAAATTTTTTGAAATTGGCTTTTCTTCATCACGTAATCTTATCCTGATCGGGGCAATGTGAGTTTTGGGTTCTTTTGAGTTAAAGCCCTCGTGGTTGCAATACCATGGGATATATAGTACTATGGAGCTGCTGACAACAAACGTCTAGATGCCCTGCTGGACGCTTCATTTTTGGCTCCGGGTTGCTTTATTGCTCAGGTCATCTTTACACTCTGTCCGGGTTTATGCGAGATCCTTTACCTTCGGAGAAACAGTCGGCAACACCGCCCAAATGGGAGGTGCATCTGAAAATAAGCACCGTAGCTTCCAGGCGGTTTTAGTGAGAGACTGAAAATGGTTGTTGATTCTTGTTTATCTAGATGGTTTAGATGACCATAGCATCCTTTGTTACTGCCCAGGACGTTCAAAAGTGATGGTTCAGCTATATCATCGACAGCAGCTTCTTTGTTGGACCTTACCGGCGTTGGCAAAATCATGTCCAAGCCAAGAATTCAGAAAAAGAAAAGTAAAAGCAGGGAAGGTTATGCAATTAGGGTAGTATCCAACATGATACGGCAATGTATGAGTAGGCGATGAACCGTGATCTGGCGTATGGTCCATGAATTACTGCAACGCCGTTTTCCGATGAACATTTCGATACACAAAGACGGAGTGGGTCCTCCCGGGCCATCCGGGCTACGTTGTCTTATAAGGTTTGTTCTTCCCTGGGGTTCTTTCTGGCCATACTTGGTCCTTTTTTTTTTTTTTTTTTTTTTTTTTAATTCTTATTTGTTGACTTCACAGCCAACATCCAAACCCCCTCTTTACGAATCCCCTCCATTTCTCAACCATAAATGCAATAAGTGTTTGCTTTCCCCAACCATCATCTGTGACATGTCTCGGGGAAACTTCTCATTAATAGTGTGTGGGGAACAATGCGAGGACCCTGTCAAAATGTGTAGTTTTTCCGAGACAACTTTGCGACCGCCAAGGCTGCGAAAAGTTGCTAGTTCACAAAAATGAACATAAAAAAAAGTTTTCAACTTCCTCTTAAATACCCCATGTTTCTCTTCTCCACGGCTCTCCTAGCTCTGGCTTGCGTAGCCATGGCTTCTTCAAGCGACAATGCCAGACCGCTTATCCACTTCACCCCACAGAACGGCTGGATGAACGATCCTAACGGTCCATGGTACGATGCCAAAGACGATATATGGCACCTTTACTTCCAGTATACGCCCAATGACACTACTGGGTTGCTGGATCTTCACTGGGGCCATGCTTCTTCTAGGGACTTGAGTACTTGGGAGGACCATGGTTCGATCATTGCACCAGATGAGCCAGGCCAGGGTATATTCTCTGGATCGGTTGTTGTTGACCAGAACAACACTTCTGGATTTTTTAACGATAGCGTTGATCCTCTTCAGAGGGCAGTGGCCATTTACACTTTACACTCTGCAGAAGCCCAGGTTCAAGAGGTTGCCTACTCCACAGATGGAGGCTACACTTTCTACAAGTACGAGAACAACCCGGTGCTTGAAGTGAACTCGACTCAATTCCGTGATCCAAAGGTGTTCTGGCACGAGCCAAGTAACCATTGGGTTATGGTGGTTTCCAAGTCGCAGGAATTCAAGATCCAGATCTATGGTTCTAATGATTTGAAGAACTGGGTCTTCCACCTGGACTTCGCTGCTGGCTTGTATGGCTTCCAGTACGAGTGTCCTGGTTTAATTGAGGTTCCTGTTGAGGGAACTGACAAGAAGAAGTGGGTGATGTTCTTGGCTATTAATCCTGGAATGCCTTTGGGTGGCTCTGCCAATCAGTACTTTATTGGTGAATTCGACGGCTACAAGTTTGTTCCAGACGACACTCAGACTAGGATCCATGATTACGGCAAGGACTACTATGCTTTCCAGACCTTTAGTGATACTGACGAGAAAGATGGTGTTTTGGGCGTCTCTTGGGCATCCAACTGGCAGTATGCGAGAAGAGTTCCTACTGATCCATGGAGAGGTTCTACTGGCGTAGTGAGAAATCATACTTTAGCCAAAGTTCCTGCCAATCCTCAGTCGGAATTGTTAACATTGATCCAAACGCCCGTCATTGGTAGCTCTATCAAGTCGGAGAGAATATTCGAGACAAAGAACCATACTTTGAACACTGACTCTCCAATTTCCGTTACACCCAACAAAACTGGTGTTTTTGATATCGAGTTGACGTTCACAGTTTCAGCAGAAGAGAACCAAAAGAAGAGAATTAACCTCTCCATTCTCTCCAACGTTCAAGACGGCAAGCAAGAGGACATCAAGTTGGGTTACGATGCAAACGTGGAAGCCTTCTACGTCGACCGTAGCATCGATAACGAGTTCAACAAGGACCCTTACTTTACAGACAAGATTTCTGCCATTGCAGAGCCATTGGAGACTGACGAAGATCTCAAGACCTTCAGACTTAGAGCCATCATTGACAAGAACATTGTTGAGGTTTTCTTGAATGACGGTGTTAGTGCAATCACGAACACTTTCTTCATGAGCGAAGGCCTCCTTCCTGAGTCCCTTGAGCTCAGTGCTTCCTCTGACGATATCTATACCGTTGACCTAACCGTTGACGAATTGGTTCCTCGCGAGTAACCCATACAATGTATAACCCAAAAGTTTTTGCTTTTCATTTCTACTGTAACCGAAAACTCCATTAAGGCAAGTTTACCCTTGTAAAAGCTCGACCGACTGCGGACTTCTAAGTTGTATCCCCCAGACGACTCAGTATTCATGGTTACTGATGTCCTCATAAGACCAATTCTTCACTAATTCTGAGCCGTAAACCACACCCAAAGTCCATCGTAGACCCTTCCCAATTCAAAGAACCAGAGAACAATCCTCTGAAGAGCGCATCCCGAACAATGCCCCAAAAGGTTGAACCGAAGTCGGTGAAGTGTATCGCGCGTATGGAGCTATCGGTATAACGTTGATGCAACCGTTGTAAGTACGGCTCTGGTGGTCAGGCTGAGATAAAATAGAGAGAGCAGATAATGAAGAATGTTTTCAATTGAGATTCATATTCAGTATTCAGTGTCTAGCAATTGGCACAATCTTTTTTGCCAGTTGTAGGCCAATGCCAGTGGGAGTAGCCAATGCCAGTGGGACTCAGAATGCACGTATATGTATCTGGTTACGACAAGGCCAGTGCCTGCGTCACTTACGTCAAAAACGTCCTAATTGACTGTGTCATTTCCGAGTCGGCTTCATGAGTCCTTCCAGATAAAGGAACCCAAGAAGTATATAAGTAGGTCTTTTGTCTGTAGTTAATAATTTACATCAACATCAACCATGAAGCTCTCAACTACTGCTATCTTAGCCTTTGCCTCCACTGTTCTCGCTGACAACTGGTCTACATATCCAGCTGTGCCCAAAACCGCTTCCATTAATGGTTTGGCTGATCCTATCAACGATAAGTTGCCTGAATGTGCTAAGGAGTGCTTTGCTAAAGACACTTCCTCAACTCCATGTCCTTACTGGGATACTGGCTGCCTCTGTGTTATGCTGCCTTGGACTCAACCAGTGGGAACCTGTGTTGCTGAAAAGTGTAAGGGCGACGACGTCAAGAGTGCTACCTCTTTGGCCATCAGCGCCTGTAAGTCAGCAGGTGTATGGGACCCATACTTTATTGTTGGTGACGAGGTTTCTTCTCTCTTGGCTTCTGCTGCTGATGTCTCGCCAGCCGTGACTCCTGCTCCATAAGTACTAAATAGTGATAAAAGTGACTTTTAGGAATTTGTGTAGGAGATAAAGTTTGGAAAATTAACGATACTGATTTTGGATAACAGTGTTGGAAGTTATATCGTAGACAGAGCTCACTTCGCTTCGTCAATTAACCTGGTATCCGATCATCAACATATGATTGATATAAAGAACCACCAGGACTGAACCATCATTTTATCTCATATGATAAGCCTAAGAGTCACAAACACATTGTTAAAGACCAATTGACTTTAATTTCTTCGTAATTTCTATGTTCCAGACTGAGGGAGCTTTCTTAGTCCATTAACCCACGACCAAGCTAACTTTGGTCTGTTTTGCTGGCAATGCTAAGTTATAAATTCAAAGCTCCTAATATGAGAACAATGACTCTTTACAGGCTCATTAGATAGCAACTATTATGTAATGAATAGAGATCACCAAATATACCTAGATAGCTCTGGATAGACCAGTAGCAGCACCACTTACATCATCAGAGTCCCTCGTAAACCTGCCCAAACCAGATAACACCATTCAATCAACATAAAACTCTAACGCCCTTCAAGTCCCCACAAAACCAGACCATCCACCCTGGTTCTCTCTTTGCGTTCTCACATGCGCTGCTCATGTATAGTCGCAGAACTACTGTGGAAAACATCACCAACTTTACTACACCTGCTCCTTCCCTGCCAATTGCCATTGCAATTGCTTTCCTCATGTCTAAAGTGTACCTTTCAGCATACAATGCTGCTTCTGCTGTAGCTTGGGCAGCTATCCTCGGGTCTACGTTTTTGGACGTTCTTCCTGGTGGGTTCTATGATACTCACCAATACACAGATTATCCACACAAACTCCTTGTTCGAGTACAAGTGATCAATGCTGTGTTTGAAATCACCCATGCGCTTACAGGGCTTGTTCCGTCGCCGCTTTCGTCGTTGTTGCTTCAATTCTTCGCTAGACTTATCATCACTGTGGGTATTTCATGGTATGTGCCTGAATCAGCAGGTAACTACAGTCTTCCAGCGTACGTGGCTCTTTCGGTGGCTTGGTCAGTGACTGAAATCATCCGTTACAGCTTCTATTTCGCCAAACAGCAAGGTTCTGTGCCCGATACGCTTCAATGGCTCAGGTACCTGGCTTTCATCGTTTTGTACCCATTGGGTGTTGTTAGCGAGCCATGGGTCGTGGTATTGACGCTAGACTACGTTCATGGCTTCTACTACTGGTTCTTGGCCTTGGGCATGTTCTTGTATATCCCTGGGTTTGTCCAGTTGTACGGTTACATGTTCAAGCAGAGAAGACGGTACTTGGGTCCAGCAAAGAAGACCGAATAAACAGATTGAATCTCAATTTCAGAAATCACTTTGCTATATACAATGCATTATTCTATGACTCTGTTCTAGGTCGTAATTAGTAGGGTAGCTAGCTTTGTAGCAGCCCTTGGTCTTGGCTGCCCCACGGTTCGCGGACCCAAAAAGTGAAATACATCGCCAATTTTCCACCTCCACCTTATTACCAAATGTCTGCACTCGACGAAAGCCAATTCACCACAGAGCAATCTAAACATCCCAAGAGATGGTTGATCGCGTACAACTCGATCTCTTCGTCCTTATGGTTTTTGGTGTTTTTCAACACCTTATTCCTCTATAGGTATATGGGCCCCATCTTGTTGTTTGAGAAGCTGAGGATCTTCCTTATCTTAACTCAGTCGCTTGCGATCATTGAGGTGATCAATTCTGCCACTGGTGTGGTTAAGTCGCCTGTTTTCACCACGGCTTCTCAGGTTGCCTCCAGATTGTTGATTGTGTTGGGTATCTTCCTCGCCTTGCCATACTCGCCAGCAAACTACCACTGGGTATACATGTCCTTGAACGTCTCGTGGGCTATTACCGAGATTGTGAGATACTCATACTATGCTTCCCACTTGAAAGACCCCGAGAACGTGCCATACATCCTCACATGGCTCAGATACTCCCTTTTCTTCGTCTTGTACCCTACTGGGGTTGCTTCTGAGGTTTCCATCATCTACCTCAGTCTTAACGAGGCCGAGAGAGTCGTTGGCCCTTGGTACCGTTATCTTCTCACCGCTATCCTTTTCACTTACCCACCAGGCTTGTACACCTTGTACACGTACATGATCAAGCAAAGAAAGAAGGTGTTGGGCGGCCAGGCTGCGCAGAAGAAGGCTGCCACTGAAAAGAAGACCGAGTAGGTCAATTGTTTAATTTAGCAGCTCAATCCACATCAATAGGTTATCAATGTAGTCAATCACGGTATCGCCCTCGACGAAGTCATGTGGTTGCTTCGATTTCTTCTTGGACCCTCCGAACCATGACAGTAACGAGAATTTATTCAGTTTGCTGTCCACAGCCTGAAGCTTAAACTTCTCAAACACAAGTCTAAAGTTCGTTCTAACCTCCACTGGGTCTTGCTGTTGGCAGAGCTTGATCAAAGTGTTCACGATCAAGTACGAAGGAACATAATTGTACCAACGTAATTCCCACGCCACAAGTTTCATGATATGCACCAACATCGTTTCAAGCGCCATGTATCCATTAATAAGTTGATGTACGAAGTCTCGGTACATTTTGGGAGAGATACTTTGCACAATAAGCTTATTTGTGTACGAATGATTATCGTAGACGCAATTAAGCAGATCAATAGTTGAGGATTCGACATCACTCAAAACGAATTCGTTATAAATTTCCAAAAGCTTCACAGTAGCATAGTAATCAAATCCTCCGTCAGCAGTGACACCGGCAGCGCATGTGGCCAACGAAGATATACTATCCTTCAAGTTATACTTACATCCCCAACTGACAAGTCCAATCATACCCCATGCCAAAGCACTGCGATGGTGATCGGGATCTGATCCTCCGGAGACAGTCATCATGGTGTGAATATCATCGTAAACCACCAAAAAGAGTTGCTCGAGCCATGGCACACATTCTTCTTTCTGGGCACTGGAAGTGTTGGAAACGACAAACTCCTTGTCCTGATTCCGGCCAACAGGGGACCTGAAAACCTTTTGCTTGATTGCAACCAAGTTCTCCCATCCGATTATTGCCACCAAAGATGTAAGCAAGTCGTATACTCGTCCCCAAGTTGACTTTCTATCAAAGTCGATTATCGAAGACCAAGGCAAATTGGCAGAACGAGCTGCTAGCATGTTTTTCGCTGAAGATGGTCCAGCCACTTTCACTAGCCCGCTGTCAACAACAGACATTTCCATTGGGCTGGCTGTGGTCAAAGGAGACTGATAAAAAGGACCAACCATAGGGTGCCTCGAAGACTCTTTCTTAAACATTCCGTGCCACACCGACTGGACAGAGCCCGCTTCGAACTCTTCTTCATTCCGAGGAACAGGGAAATAGTCTGCAAAAGTTTCGCTCATGATGGTAATGTGCCCACGAGACAGTCTGTCCATAAAGGTCAGAACGAAAGTATCAGTAATACCATCCACGCAGTCACCGTCGTAGGATTTCTTAGACTGAAGAAGCACTGGTAACGAATTAATTGCTTGTAAAGCATCGTCATACTTCTTTTCTAGCACATAACAGACACATAAGTTATACCACGAATCGAAATCCAAGGGAAGCATCGAAACTGCTCGTACAGCAAGTTGTCTAGCCACAGCAATTGAACTTCTGGATATAAGAAACCTTACTTGCTCTCCTATTAGAATGGCAGCTTGTGTGCTGTCCGCGTCCAGCGCCATATGGTCCCTGACAATGGAAAGAAACCGTTGATTATTATTAGTGCCATGCTGAGCCCGAAGTAGCTTCACCTCCACAGCTGTGAATTCCCTGGGTCCGAATTTAGACCTGATCGTATCAATGGCAAGATCTGCAGCAGCACCGCTCGTATCGAGTAAAACGACACGTAATAGACCATCCACCAACCTATTTCTAAAACGAACAGTCTTTGCAGTGTCGGTACCACTATTTGATGCCACACCGTAATGAGCACGGGTTCCAGTTGAATGACCACGTGGTAAGAAGCCCACAAGACGTTCAATTGTCCTTGAGTATCGTTCCTTGTTTGAGACTTGTGTTTTGTAGGAAACAGTGCCCAGTAGGCGATGAGCTGGATCGTCAACTCCCACGAGCATTCGAAGCAACAGCAGCACCGCTAGCTCTTCTAGAAAAGCTTGGGTGATATCCTGGCAGTGTTCACCAATATAGGTATGCAGCTTTTTCGATACTTTCGAGGTGATGGTGTATTGTGAATTCACTACTACACTCAGTGACTTTGGCGCTGGACTGATGATATACCTGGCTCTGAACTCCAGTTTCTGGAAGCAATTGTATGCACAAAACGTCACTACTCCTTCTTTATGTTGCGCCAGCCCAAGTCTACTAGCTAATCTCTCTTTGGGGCCCATATATACGACTCTCCATCTTTCCGTAGTCCAACGCTACCAAGTACCTGTTGCTCAATGGAGCTGGTTCCGGCCGCTAGGTCAAGTCCATTGCAGAAGTGAAAGAATCCCACGAATCCGTCCTGATCACGAGGCGGATCAGCTTCACTGATAGGTGAAAAATCGTTCTTAAGATATTGGGACGACCTTTCTCCATAATGACGAGCCCAATGGACCAAGTCTGACGGACCTAGGGACAGTGTTTTTGAATCTGCAAGAGCCTTAGCCCGGTTGCCCAAGTTTTGACCTAACGTAGTTTCTCGGATCCATGGAACCGTGGTAGCACTGGTTGAAGGTTGAAAGGAGAAGGAGGAATGGCGCCTCCGTCGCTGGGACTCGGGCAGGGTTGGAGACATGGATAGCTTGAGTAGAGCCTTAGTAGTGTGGCCTTTGACGCGCTCCGACTAAAGAAGGGTTTCTTTTAAAAGTCGAGGTGGTGTTGGGTTTGTTTCTTTGCCAAGCTCGACGCTCCAGTGCTGTAAACCTAGTGGATGTCTGCGCACGTGACCACCACGACACTTTTTCGGAGCGCACTTCGGTGGCTGCAAAACCAATAGCATCCGAAGTTTAGTGGGGGTCCTGTTGCACAACACTAGCAGCTCTAATGAAACTCTTCACTTCATCCATAAGTGTCCAAATATCAGGACTACCGAAAAAGTCGATCCGGCCATCTCCTCCGCTCAGCAGAAGCATTGTCTGACGAAGCTCGAGATTGGCAATACTGTTCTCGATTCTCGTAACCAGGTGGTTCAAAAGGGCCACAAGCTCCATCTCCTTAAACCTCTTGGCTGTGGATTCCAGAATAACTTCTGACGAATGCTTCAGGAAAGATTCGTCCATTCTCATACCAACATTCACAGCAGCACAAATATTTTCCAACCGAAGCGAAAGCGTACGTAATTGGTACACTGCATCCACAGGAACAGCGCCAACAATCCTTCCTTTGAACATATCATTCTCGTCTGCTCTCTTCTTGAAAATTTCAAATCTAAGCTCAAGCCTCTTTGGGTACGCCAATGTGATCATCTCTGGCGTTTCAAGACCCTTCAACTTCCGTTCTCCAAGCGGGAAGTACGATACTCCTATTTCTTCCAACGATGCAATTTCCTTCTCAATAATCTCTCCAGCACGAAGGTTTCCTTCGTAAGCAGCTTCTAAGCTCGTGTTACCTGACTTTATCATCTCATGAATATTGTACAACTGTTCCATTTCATGGAGGTAGTCTGAACTGACAGCAATTTGACCACCGTCAGCACTGGACTCAATACGAGAAGCACGATTCACCATCGGACCAAAATAGTCCATTCTCCTTGTGACCATATCAAGCTCGCATACAGGTGAACCCCAGTGAATACCCATACGGACAGACAAACCTCTAAAGATGACGTTGTTCTTGTTGTCGGTAACTTCGCAGCACTCGTTCGTCTCCAAGATTTCAGACGGCCATTCTTCATTCAACAATTGATATTGAACATTGAAACACCACAACAAAGCAGATGTGGGTGATGGGAACGTCACCATAAAAGAATCACCTTCAGTCTTCACCTCATAACCACCAACAATTCTCAATTGACGACGCATGATAGTATTATGCAACTTGATAGCAGATCTCATGGCAACAGGATAAGTGTCCCACAAAAGTGTAGAGTTCTTGATGTCTGTAAAGACCAATGCAAGATCACCAACCGGAGGCTCAATTTCGTTATCCAACGCTCTGAGGGCAGTGTCACCAGACTGAGCCCCTCTATCTCTTCTTCTTCTATTGGCAACGAGATCAGCTTCACGGCCCAAGTTGTTATACAAACTCTTCTTTTTCTTGCTCTTACGGTCACCAATGGAAATGACATTCACCGAGATCTTGTCCGTGGCACCATAACAAACAGCATAATCTCTCAACTTTTGGGCAGCAATCATAGGATCTTCTTTGCTTTGACGAAGGATATCCACCGCCAAATCATATGAAATGTAGTCCCACAAAACCCTAGTTCCCATTGCAAGGACATCATCATTACCAGAAAGAGTGTATGTCGTGATGCTAGGACCAGAGTGAGTGTGTGGAAGGTAATCAAAGAAGCCCACACCACGAGAGATTTGAAGGGTACCATCAAGAGCACCATCTCCCGAGACGTAACCACCACATGCTCTAATTCTTTCGAATTCATCCCTACTGGTAGGATCATGGTTGGTTGTGAGAAGAACATGCTCACCGTTGCTCTTCGATAACACAAGTTGTATATCACCAATGTTACCACAGTAGACTGTTTTATCTTTGATGTAAAGAGCACACATAGAGCAACCAGTGATTGAGTCTTCTGGGATTTTAAGAGCAGCAAGCTCTGGGCTCACCGTGTTTGGCGCAAAATAATCTCCCTTTTTGGCTGCAAAGACAGAATTGATCTCCTTGTTCAAAGACAAGAAAGCTCTTCTCATCGCGTCCTTGATCTCATTATCAGACTTGATCTTGTTCAATTCGTTAGTGAAGTTAGGAACGAAGAATTGCTTGGCCAAGAAGGAAAGAAGATGCCCACTTCCTTGGTGAGCACCAGTTTTTCCATCGAAAGAACACATGAGAAGCTCATTTTCATTGCCTCTAAACTTCTGCATGAAAACGTCTCTAAACGAGACATGATCACGGATACCCATTGTATCAGAAACACCATAGCCCACATTATCGAGCTCGGAAGACGCAGTCCTGAGACGAACGTCAATACCTGGATCTGGAACAGCTGGCGTTGTCAATGTCACATCCATTAAGCCGAGGACCTTCAAGTCCTTGAGCACCAAGAGACTATCAAGGTCTTCTCCCGTTTCCGGATTCTTCACATAGCTTTGCTTGATCTCAAAACGCTTGTTACCAGAGAAATTGAGATATCTCAACTTGGTATTGGCGAACCAGTTCCAGTCGTACGGCCAGTTAGAGATGTTGTAACGCAACAAGTTGGATCCCACATCCAAGTAAGTAAGGTTCTTTAACTTGCTCAATTCAGCTGGGATAGTAGACAACTTGTTATTGTTCAAGTAAAGCAATCTAAGACAGCTAAGGTCCTCAAGATCGTCAGCAGGAAGCTTCGTAAGGCCGTTACCAGAAAGGTATAACTCTGTCAACTTCAGTAAGCTTGCAAGTCCTCCTTCAGGAATCTCTAAGATGTCATTGTAAGAAATATTCAAAGACTTCAACTGTATGAGCAAAGAGATGGCTTCGAAACAGTCATCGCTCAAGCGGTTATCAGAAAGGGTCAAAGACAACAAGCTGTCTGCAAGCGACATAGGGCGACTTTTTATAGCTGAAGCGTTCAACTCGTTAGCTTCCTCTAAAGATCTCACTTCGTCCCCACGTAGGCTAGCTGATGAAGATATCTTTTTTGCAATAGCAAACAGCGGTTGTGGGAAGGAGGAAAGAAGGTTAGAAGCAACGTTCAAGATAGATGAGTTCTTCAAATTCCAAATCTCGGCAGGTAAGCTCAGAATGTTATTAGAATGCAAGTCCAAGTATTGCAAGGAAGAAAGCTGGCCTAATGAAGCAGGCAAAGTCTGAATGTTGTTGCCGTACAAGGACAAATGCGTTAACCTTGGCAAATTACCGAGTTCGTCTGGTAAGTTGACTAAATGGTTCTTATCCAAAACCAATTTTTCAATATGGGGTATTTTAGTGACGAATTCGGAAGGTAACATGGTGAGTTTGGCCTTGGACAAATCAAGAACCGTCAACATCGGAAGCAAAATCTCAAACTCTAAGTTAGTGATTGGATTCCTATCAAAGTGAAGTAATCTCAACTTCTCCATCTTGTCATTGAAGGCTGAAATCTTGTTTTTGGAAGCATAGACCACTTCCAAATTTGGCAAGTCACCGAGAACATCCACATTCGAGACCTGATTATAACGAATATCCAATCTTTTAAGATTGCTCAAGTTCTTGAAACTTGCTGGAACACTTCCCGTCAACTTGTTAGTACAAAGGTTAAGCTTGACTAACTTCGAAAGCTTGGCGATGGAGTCTGGAATGGAGTGCAAATCGTTGTAAGACAAGTCAAGATCTTGCAAGTTAACCAAATCATTAATGCATTCTGGGTAATCTTCAAAGTAGTTGGAAGACAAGTTGAGATGGGTTAAGTTCGTAAGTCTTTCAAATGATTTTGGCAAGCTGTAAAGTTGATTAGAATTAAGCTTCAAGTTAACCAAATTTGTCAAATGTCCAAACTTATGTGGGATATCGTCTAAGAAGTTGGCCTCCATATTAAGCGACGTCAAATCAGTGGCCTCTAAAAAGTTCACCGGGAACTTCGAGCAGCCATTTCGAGCAAAGTTGATCGCAGACAAATTGGTACATGATTGAATGAAATCCAATGGAATGTAAATGGCTGGATTGTCCGACACGTTCAACTTTTCTATCTCATAAGTATGCTGATGGAAAATGATAGGGATCGTCTTGAGATCTAAGCTTGAAATGTCAACATCGACGTAGTCCTTGGTAACAACGGATTCTTCTTCGTGAGTCAAGTTTCGCAAGACCTTATTCTCAACAACCAACTTACACACGAAAGACAAATCTTCTCTACCGATTATTCTGAAGTTGTCGTTTTCAGAGTATCCGCTAAGGCTCAACAAACCCATCTGAATCTTGAGGGGCTTCTCAAAAGGCTCGAGCACCTTAACGTTTCGACCAACATAGAGCGCAAGATGATAGTTTGAAATCGATTCAAAAAAGAACTTTCTTTGCACGATTCTCAAGAGCTCAGCAGCATTAGTTTCCAAAGGACACAAGATAGTGGTGAAAGTATTATCCTCCTTGAATACTCTAACAATATGATTTGGTCCCTTAGCTAATTTACCTTCAACGCCAGGAAGGCCATTGGACCAAGTTCCGAAAAGTATAGGAAGTCTTCTTTTGGGTATCGAAGGGCGTGACGAAGTTTTGCGCTTCCTAGGAACGTCTGTTGGACCACGAACTTGGTCGCCCTCGGCCGAAGACAACAGGCTGTTAGATGAATCTTCCAGAGAGTCTTTAACCAAATGGCGGGCTGTTTCACGTCTCTCTTCGACTTTACTCAAGTCAGATTCTGAAGACTGGTCCACGCGAGCAGCACCACTTGGTACATTGTTACCAACAGCAGCGTTTGGGGCTTCTCCAGTGACGTCCCAAGAGTCCGGAGCTTGCCATCCAGCCGCATGTTTCGAAGGTTCCTCCGTTTGATCAGTCACATCGGTTGCACTATTTCCAGCCAGTTGAAGGGATGGACGGATAGGAGCCTTGTCTGGCTTTCGAAGGATACTTTGCATTTCGTCAAAGTTCAAGTCGAGATCAAACACTTTCGATGGGCTCGACTGGAGAGGGACGCCAGATGCGCTACTCGCAGATTTCCTCCGAGAAGCATCCCCAGAAGTTGGTTCCGAAACCAGTGGATGTGAGCTCTCTTCGGATATAGATGCATGGCGGGTAGCGTGATCAGGCTGGTTCTGAGCGGAAGCTTGGTGATGGTGATGATGCAGAGAGATGGATGGTAACCTGAATTTGTGCTTGGAGCCGGAAGAGCTGGTAGAGCCCTTGTGGTCAGTTACGTTTTGTCCGTTCAGCGTACCCTTACGGCCGCTTGAGGATGATTCTTGATCGGAAGGTTCCGAATCTTTCCTGTTTGAATGAATAAGCTTGTTGAGCAAGCTAGATCCCTTTTTCCGAAAACGAGGCTTGATCGGTTGACTCAATGGGGGAACATTGGACTGGGGAGCCTTCGTGCCATGGAAGCCCCTATAATTGTTCTTGAGCACGTTTTCATCAGTTCCTTGCTCTTTTGTCTGGTGAACATGCTGTTCGGGCAGTTGCGGCATCAGAACCACCAGCAGTCTCGGCAGGTAGTTGTCAGCAGTGTTTGTACGGTAAAAGTTCGGCCTCGACAGGTTCTGCTGGTTCTGTTGGTCATCATTCACCACTGAACCGGACGAATGAGACCTGATCTCCAACCGGTACGGCGCATGGTGATCCAGAGAACCCGATCCAGACAGCAGAACAGGCAGAAGCAGGCCCAGGCCCTCCTTTACAGAATTAGCGTCTCTATTTTTCTGGCTAAGCGGCGTGAACGCTATATTCGAAGCCCCAAAGGTCGTGCTTGTAGGAGAAGGCTCAGGAACGCTGGTAGACGCCGCAAGCATGCTGGGTTTAAACGAGTGGCGAGTGTCTTGAGCCGAAGATGGAACTCTCTGGGACGCCGGATGGGAAAGTGGAGTAGCAGAAGGTTTCCTAGACGACGGAGCCGAAAACAGGTTCATGGAGAGTTTCTGCGAGAAGGGAGTCTTCTCCTTCTTTTCAGCACCACCCGAAGGCGCCACATTGGCATTCTCCGGTCTCTGTTCCGATCCAGAGGCAGCGTTCGGCTCTTGCCTCAGCTCCTGTCTCTGTTCTTGTCCGCCCTGAGTTCCGCCCGCAGAACTCATGGAAAACGCCAGCCGAAGGTCCAGCTTGGACTTGTCTTTTCTAAGAAACGTCATTTGCAGGCTTCAGAAAACGTCTCAAACAGCGTCAATGCGGGAATTGGCAATACTGGTGTGCCTGGAATTGACCTAATCGAAGATGGGGGGTCAGAAGGTGCCTTAAATAGCTGGTGAGACGAAAAAGAGTTGATGTTGCGACTCTGCACTACTGAGGTGCACCAAGCAATGGTTGTTGGGTCTGGGCCAGAGGGAGGGCTGTTTGGGGGTAGTTTAGGAGGTCTAGGTGTTTTAGATAGAAATATAAAGGGTTTTCAAATGAATTGATTGAAAATGGCTTTTTGGTTTTCAGTTTTGGCTGCTTTGGCTGGTGTATTTGGAGCATCTGGTGGTGCTCACTCTGTGGAGGTGTGTGTGTGGTGGATATGTGGAGATGACAGAGGGTCATTGTGAAGATTCACAGGCATAGAGAATGTTCTATTTTGTTATATGGCTGGGGATGTGGATGGCTTATTGTGGTAGTGTTTGGGTTTGGGAAAGGTAGAGGACTGGGTTGGTATAGGTGGAAGACCATATAGAATGTATTAATTGGATGCGTTAGGTTTTCGAAGAGGATTGTTAAAGGGGTGTTTTATTATGTATATTACTGCTTGAATAGGATATGCACAAGATCCCGATTGAACATTCTTATCTACCTGAATCCTTAGTTACAATGACGCTATTGTACTGAAACCTTATTTGAAGTTGGAGCGCACTTTGGTTTGGAGAACCAGCGGTGATTGTCTTCTTACTGGACCTTGTAAGCCGCAAAGGATCTATTTTCTGAGCCGTATTGTTCTTTGTGCTAGTCCAAGTGATCTTCGTCCTTATGCCAGCTAAAGGAGTCTCCATAAACATTAATGTCCTCTAATTGGCGAAGCCCACTGCCTTCAAACTGCTCAAACGTCACCCAAAGGATAAAGAAGGCCACGGGCGTGGAATATGCACCGAAAAGTGCCAGGTACGAAAATTCCCAGTAACAGCTAAGCCCGTTGCATAGTAAGATCGTCACTATATTAAGTGAGACAAACGGCGCCCATCTAGGTAAGTTCCATTTGGAGGTGTACAAAAGCCTGCTTCTGTCCACCTTGTAGAATGTCAAAGTGTCGCTGAACCGTTTATACGAAAAGCCCACGAGGCACCACATAAGCATTCCTGCTGAAGCGCAACACGTTAAAAGAAAGTTGAAAACAGTTGCTATAGATTGGTATCTGAGCAAGAGTGAAAAAAGCCCAAGCAGGGCAGTAACGAGCACACTGGCCACTGGGACGCCATAAGTATTCGAATTGGAAAGTGTCCTAGCAATAGAAAACTTGCTAGAGTAGGTCTCACAGACAGCCTGAAGACATCTGGAGCCAAAATAAATATTGGAGTTGGCCGCAGAAAGAATTGCGGTGAATATAATAAAGTTAAACGTTGAAAGCATAATGCCATTATCGCTGAGCCCGCAGTTGATAAGTGATACCAAGAATGGCGATGACAAAAGCTTATCTTTGGCGCTGCCGGAGCCACCTATAAGCCTCTTGTCATCAAAAGCAATGCAAAGTGTTAGAAGTACCACAGACACCAAATAGAAGACCACAATACGAACAAAAATAAGTCTGGTGACTTTTGGGATGGTTTCTTGTGGTTTTTCAATATCTCCAGTAGTGATTGCAATTGACTCCACTGACTGAAAAATAAACGAAGTAAACACCAAAGAGTTCATGAACCTGACTACATAAGCAGTTGCAGAGTCGAAATGGCCAAAGAAACTGGCAGGAAGGTCGGCTGTATACGTCTGTAAGACCGTGCCCGTCCAAACCAAGCGGGTCAGCACAAAGACGATCCACCCAAGGATCGCCAAAACCTTAACCAACGCAATCCAGAACTCAATCTCTCCGTACATGTCCACAGGAAGCAAGTTGAACACAGTAAGAAGGAGCCAGAGACAGAATATGAGCGTACCCTGGTACGTCTCTACAAAGTCAGCATCCCAGTACAGGCAAGTACTCACAAGTATGGACAACTCCAAGGCAAGCGTGAACCCCCAGCTGGCCCAGTAAATCAAGTTATTGGCCAAGCCTAGAGGCACCGACAAGAACTCAAACTGAAACTTGCAAATCAGCCCGTTCCCAGGCATAAACACCGCAAGCTCGGCCGTCATCTCCAAAATAAGCATTACAAGAAACAGAAGGTACGACATGGCCACTAGCGTCGGGAACGGGCCATTTCGAAGAACCGTAGATACTGAAAAAAAGAGGCCTGTGCCAATAGTGCCTCCAATGGCTAGCATCGACACCGATGCCAGGGTCAAATGGTGGCTGTTTCTAGCGCCGTGGCGGCTGCTACATGGAGTTAGCAGAGCCGACATGCGGATTTGAGGGTTTTCTGGGGCGTGGGATGTTTGTGGGAGTAGTTACTTGTTGATGTTAGTACGGTGAGCTTAACTATGCAGACAGAGTCTCAATCACATGTGTTGGAGGAAGTGAAGTGGATGGATTTGGATTTGGGTAGTGGAGGTGGAATGAGGTTAAGGAGGGAGGTTTTGCAAAATGGATAGGTTTTCATGGTTTCTTGGGAAGATTATTGAAAGTGTCTTGTTGGTTGGATATGTATGGTTTATGCGCATAGATAAGGGTAGGTGAAAGATGGGTAGAATGCAGAGAGAAAGAAGTGGATGTCATGAAGAAATTGAATTTTGAAGGTGCAGAGAATGGGAAGAAATGGGTGAATTGCAGTATTGACTAGGTTGGGAGCTGACTGTATTGGCTGCAAAATGTGCTCTGGTTGGTGATTCTGATCGAGTTGTACATCCAGAGAGCAAACCAAGCCCGCTTGAGTTGCCTTAGGGGCTAGAGAAGGTCTTAATTAGGGATTGTATTCATGGAGTCTAAAGCGTGAAAATCAACATAGAATCAGTAGAGCTTTTTCAATTTCTGACTTACGAATCTTCTGCAGCTGCCCCATAGTTTACTGCCTGTTAGGTCAAGTCAGTAACTGCTAAGTAACCATCCCTAGGCCAATGGCAATCTATTTTCATGCCAAAACAATTGATACCCGTTCCATGTTGTGCTAAAAAACACTTCCAAGTAATAAAGGTTGTATATCACCGAAACTGCCTCGATTTGCCCAATCGTCTTCGTCATGACATGCTACGTCACCGCCTCGCCATGAGCTACCCCGGAAAAACCGTACCACTCCGCCTTTCTTACTGTGCCTCATGAAATAGCATCTACGTCAACAGAAGCTTAAATGACCCAACCCGCTACGAACGCCACGGCTCTCTATCCCTAAATTCCATGCAAGCAACGTAAAAGCATCGATCAAGTGATCGCCAAGTAGAAGGAATCACCCAGAGCCAAAAGGCTTCTAGAAAATCGTATATCATGACGAGCAGCGCCTGGCGGTTAAGTGAGAAGGGCTAATTCACTTGCTCGCAGAGGGCATCGAGAACCGATCGACCATCGAGACCACCAAGTTCAAGCGTCTACGAGCCTAGAAACGGCAAGATAAGAATTATGGTTGGTCACCCGGAGTGATAGTTTTGAAGCAAATGACGCAGGGTCCGTGTAGGAGATACGCAAGACGTAGTCTGGGGAAGGAGAGGAGGCCAAGGTGAGGAAGGAAAGGAGGAGGGAGGGAGGCAATACAACAGGGTTGTAGGGTTGTAGGGTTGTAGGGCTCTAGGGCTCTAGGGTTCCAATGGGTCAAAGTAATGGAGGGTTGACCTGGTACTTCTTGAAGACGTGGTGAGCCTGGAGCTCCTCATCAACTCTTCTAACCATGTTTGTGCAACGCAACTCAAATAACAGCCAACGTCACCTGGCCCGCTGGATCGAAAGAAACAAATATTTACGACATCCGAGCAAGCACCCAGTGGGCTTTCTAACAAGTCAGTCCATCAGCACCAGAATCCCTCACCTGGAGATCCAGTGTTCCAAGGAGGCAAGCCAAACAAAGCAGAGAGAAGAGACAAGAAGACAGCTAATAAGAAGACACCTTATAAGCTGTCTTATAAACAGCTTATAAACAGCTTATAGGTAGAAAGCACTTGGAGGTCTTTTGAGGTTGTCTCTTTTTGACCTCCAATGGCTGCGAAAAGTCAGGGCAGGAAATAGGAAATAACAGGCGGTGAGTCAAAAAATTAACGCACCGCAAAAGGAAGAATGAAAAATACAATAATAGTTAGCTGGTGCCAAAAAAAGAAGAACGAAGCGAAGCCCCTGTCAAACGCAAACGCAAAAAAAAAAAAAAAAAAGGAAACAACCAAAAAGGAAGAAACAGAAGAAACAAAAAGCAAAAAAGGAAGTGTAATTAAAAGTGTAATGAAATTTTAATTTCTGAAAAGCAGCCAATCCTTCTTTCTTTTCCTCAATTCCATTTCCTCTTCCTCTCCAAACGTTTCCCATTTTTTTCTTCTCTCCCTCTTCTTATCGCTGTGAGTAACCAAATCCACGCAAAACCCACAAAAACCGCCCTCTTCGCTCCACAAAAACCAGCCAAACCAACCGCAGCCAATTCCGTTGGACCATTTGAAAAAAAGCCATTTTATGAAAAACACAATTCGCCAATACGTAAATTTGTACTCTGTGCTTCTTGCCTGTGAAAAAACATACCATATCTTCGGCCCGCTTATCTTGGAGGGTACCCGCTGGTCCAGGGTCAATTTATCACGTTTGACTTCGTCCTGTGAGTAACTGGCTACTCGGGAGCTCTAATTGGGTGATAAGAAGGTTTGGAAAATATCAGGGTAGATAGCCCCTGCTTGTATGCAGGTCATTAACTTAGGCTCCTTCAACCCTCCAACCAAAAAGTCACAAACGGCGAATTTTGAAATGGAAGTTTCACCAATGGGTTGGGAGGGGTCTCCTTAGGGGACCAACAAAGTATGAAGAAGTTGTCTTGTCTGCTTCTCTTCCTACCGGAGGTTCATCCGGTTAAGAGAAATCCGGTTAAGACAGGTGCCGCGGCCAGAACATCAGAACATGTCATTCGGAAGAAACACCCGGCTGAACGGGATTGCACATACATTAGCGAGGCGTTTTTCGTCGCCGCGAAATCCGGATACGGGAGGTGCCATAGCCTGGTACACCCGTGTTATCAGGATCCGGACTGCAGCCAGACCCGGTTTTGCTCACCGCGCTTGGTTTCTTTTTCTTTATCAGAATGCTATTCATGCCCGCCTAGCATTTTGACTAAACCTTTGCTATATTATATATAGCTTGACTTTTTCGCTGTTTGGCAAAAATTTTTTTCTTTTCTTTTATCAACCTTTTTTATTTATATTACACATCCATCTTATTTGCATAAAATGTCTGGCATCACAGAACAAACCGCTATCCTAGCTAAGTATTTCGACTTGAACCAAAACGGTAAGGTTTTGGCTGAGTACGTCTGGATCGATGCTGAGGGAAACACAAGATCAAAGTGTAAAACCCTTAGTAAAAGACCTTCTGCTTGTGAAGACTTGCCAGAATGGAACTTTGACGGTTCTTCTACTGGCCAAGCCCCAGGTCACGACTCGGATATTTACCTTCGTCCTGTCGCTTTCTACCCTGACCCATTCAGAAAGGGTGACAACATTATTGTCTTGTGTGAGTGCTGGAACAACGACGGTACTCCAAACAAGTTCAACCACAGACATGAGTGTGCCAAGTTGATGTCTGCCCACGCTGACGAGCAGGTCTGGTTCGGCCTTGAACAAGAATACACCCTTTTTGACCAGTACGACAATGTCTACGCTTGGCCAAAGGGTGGTTTCCCTGCTCCTCAGGGTCCTTACTACTGTGGTGTTGGTACCGGTAAGGTTTACGCTAGAGACGTTGTCGAGGCTCACTACAGAGCTTGTTTGCACTCTGGTATCAACATTTCTGGTATCAACGCTGAGGTTATGCCTTCCCAATGGGAGTTCCAGGTTGGTCCATGCTCTGGTATTGAGATGGGCGACCAGTTGTGGATGGCCCGTTTCCTCTTACAAAGAGTTGCCGAGGAGTTTGGTGTTAAGATTTCTTTCCACCCTAAGCCATTGAAGGGTGAATGGAATGGTGCTGGCTGCCATACCAACGTCTCGACTAAGAGCATGAGAGAGACTGGCGGCATGAAGTACATTGAAGATGCCCTCGCCAAGTTGGCCAAGAGACACAAGGAACACTTGGTTCTTTATGGTTCTGACAACGAACAGAGATTGACTGGTCGTCACGAGACCGCCTCCATGGAGGCCTTCTCTTCCGGTGTCGCCAACAGAGGTGCTTCAGTGAGAATCCCAAGATCCGTTGCCAAGGAAGGTTACGGTTACTTTGAGGACAGAAGACCTGCTTCCAACATTGACCCATACTTGGTCACTGGTATCATGGTGGAGACCATTTGCGGTGCTATCCCTGACGCTGACATGTACAAGGAGTACGCTAGAGAGTCGGAGTAGATAACGCTTAGAGATTGCATGAGGAAGAGTATGCCTTCCCCACAAAAAAACTTGTTTGATTAACACACACACACACACATTCCCAAACACAAACTATAATCACAAATTTTTCACTTCTGTATTTAGAGTCTTAAAATGCATTTTGGCCTTCCAGCACGGCCATTTTTCGACGCAACTTGTTATCTCTGTAGCCGCACCATCCAATGAAAAAAAGCTTATGATCTTCCTGAGGGGGTTATCCATGTACTCCACCTTGATAAGGCTATCTATTCTAACTTGGCGTTTAACGATAAGAAACCTTGATTCTTGGTAATTGAGGGGTCCTGAGGGGTTGATTTCGGCATTTCGGCGGTTTTCTGATTCGCTTATCGATTCATGATAATGCGTCAAGTGCTTGTCTCGTGTGCTCTTCAATGGCTTAAAATAACCAATAAAGAGGTCTTCAAGTTTTGTATTGGATTAAGCTTCATCAGCTGATTTCTTTATATGGATCTGTACGGATCTTCGTTTATTTTTTTGGAAACCAAAAAATGTGCATATCTAACAAATAATTAACCACCGCTTTACTGGATGGAAAATCAAAGTCACCGTAGATTCATCCCTTGAACCTTATCACGGTATTGCTTGAAAGTTTCCGAAGTAAACTTCCACAAAAGGCGCTCCAGGCGTCTCATGTTATGCGGTTTCTCTTAATCTCGGGAAGCAACGGAACACTGGACCGATGTCCCACAAAAGGCCATCATTGTGTGAACGAAAGGCTATTTTGCGGTATGTCTGAAACTCGGTTCGGATCGAAGAGTTGGGGATTTTGGGACGCTCCAGATTGGAAAGCCCATATTCTTGTGGGTTTTTTCTTGCTAGGGAGAGGCCTGTGGTGGTTGGGGTAATAGTTTTGTCTAGAAATCTCTCTGGCTGTGTAAAATACACCTGAACCAATAATATGAGTGAGCCTGGGGATCACTGGAGGAATGTTTCTGCCGTTCACAACGGCTTTTGTGTCCTCTTCATCTAAGACATTGTTCTTTTGTTAGTGGACATCGAATTCGAGCCTTGAAGAGGCATGGTGCTTCAACTAGTCTTCTTAACTGACCGGGGTCGTTAGGGATATGACTGATTAGGCGTCGTAATAGTAGCGTTAATCCTTCTTCACTTCTTATTAATTTGTTCTGTGTATCCCTTCCACCTGAAGTTTCATGGCCCCTACCAAAACCAACCATTGAAGATCCCTGGTATGGGGTACTTCAGCATCATTCAACACATACCACTACCTTCAGAAAAGTAGTTTAATTGGTGGTTTTTGATTTGGTGTTGACAGCACAAATGCTGTTGCATCAGTTCGCTCTTTCAGTGGTCACCGACCGTCGTCACCCATTTCATGTGTATCAACAAGCTTCTTGTCACATTGAAGTATGAGCCATTCTTCGTCTCGACAAACTTTCATGACATGACCGGAAATATCATTCTTTGTTAGTAGCTCTGGTAAACATGGCATACAGCTGGTCAAGTATGTGTCCTCACAACCATTTAAGAACAACAAAGCGAGGTGAGCCCTGCAATATTTAACCGTCCGCCGGGGATGTATTTTGAAGGCTCCTCCAAAAATTACTCTTCTTTCTCTGTTGAAGTTTTATATGGAATTACGTCATTGGTTTGGTGTGAATGAAAACCATCACAATGCCAACAAGCAGCCTAGTTGCTATAGTACCACAGCGAACGCCCGCCAGGAACTTCTCAACACCATGGTAGTTTTTCCAACGTCATTTTGAGAAGTGCTGGCCAAACAGCGCTGAGGAAGCAAGCGGCCGCCTCGAAAAACGGCGTTGGTCAAACCCTCTCAACGGAGTTACCACTTCATCACCAGTTTGCTTCGAAGTAGATTTTGTAGGCCCATAGAACAACAGAATAAAAGAGAAAAAAAATTAAAGCTAGCTCTTCTTTTCCATGACTCGCTGAAGGGTTGGTTTGCTCATGGTGATATCGTCATTGTACGGCTAGAGCAACCTGCGTTTATGGGTATCGTTACAACGGCACGAAGGTGATTCGTTATATTTTAAAAGAAAACGCCAAGAATTTCGCTTGTACGTATTTTTAAATGATATCGGCAAAAACCTGGATCATGTCACCGACGGTACGACTTCTTGCATCTGTAGTTGCTTTTTTTTTCCCGCCATTCATCATGTCAATCATATAACCTGACTTAATACAACTGGCTTCAAAAGAAAAAGAAAAGAAAATCTTTCTTTTTTTGACATTTGGAAACCATGCATCACAACTTTGGTGGTATTCCCATGTCTTGCGGCAGAAACGAAATGTTGGTTGGTTCTCTTTGGAAATGCATTCGTGCTTGAATAAAAGCAGCCACTCAGAGCCACGCATGGTCCCAGTCCCCTAAATCAAACTCCCTTAGTGAAGTATGAAAAATTTCAAAGTCCCTAGCCAAACAAAAAAAAGTCTGTTGGGGATCTTTTGCCGAGTCATGAGCCTCACAAGGCGAGATGCGGCTACTACAAGGACCAAGTGTAAACCCGCTAACGCCGCAAACCAGTAGCACTTCTCTTCCCCAGAAAACCACCATGGTGCTACGGATATATTTGACGCATCACCTCCACCATCTATGGTATTTGATCAGTTGCATGAGCCGAAATGCTTCACCTGTGTTTCTACTTATGGCATTGCGCCAAACATAACGAGCACCTCTCTTATCTGGCGCCTGACCAAAGCCCACTTTCGAGGTCTTGCTTGTCAACGAGCGCAATCTGCTTTATAGAAAACTTCTTTTCATGTTTTTCCAACTCCATCCCACCTTTCCCCATTATCAACATGTCTAAACCTCTTGACACATAATAGAAGCCTGTCAGCCTGTCACTTCGCGGAGACATTTCCTAGTTGGGCAATACCACCTGTTCTGTGTCAGACGTGCCTGGTCTCGGAACGGCGCCGCACCCAAAGCTCGGATCATCCACTATATTACCGAAATGTGGGATACGTTTTGCAGCTGCAAAATAAGGAAAAGGAAACATCTGAGAGGCCCACAAACTCGGCCTCGAAGGGGTTAAGTTGCCGAATTTCCGGTATTAGGCGTCCTTCCCAGATGCTATCATTGGTTGGACTGGCCAGTGCCAAGTAAAATAAAACTGAATTAAGGCATTTACTAAAATATTCACAAGCTCTATGCCTATGGTGATGATGTTTTAGGAAAAGGTTTGGGGGACCCACCGGCTAGCCGGTAAGTTTGGATCTTCTTTTTTTTCTTTTTCTTTTTCAACAAACTAGTTCATCATTTGCTATTTCTTTTTCTTTCTTCTGCTGCTTCATACCGCCTAATCTGATGCCATCAGTGGAAGGTAGCAACCGACCTGACGTAGGCCAGGATGTGTAAGCTAGGTGTGATGAGGGTGAAATTGAACACACGGTGCAGATGTCGTATGCAAGTATGTGCCAAAGCCGACCGTTCTTAATAGCGTTGTTCCTGCCGCCGTGCATAAGTCGGTCCATAGGCGATTGACAGTGCTCTCTTTGCACTCTAGACAAATGGTGAAAAAACACCTCAAGTGGCCAGTAAGCGGCTACTCGAGACGACCGTGCAGATTATGTATTAGATCGGCTGCCGCTTCAGGCTTTCAGCAGGCAAAACGCACGTCTCCAGAAATGTATAACCAATCAGTAGATTTTTAGAAAATCCGGTGGGTTCCGACTTTAGCGATGCCACGGATTTCATCGATCTTTGTCCTCGCTGATCTCGAGATATAAAGACGCCGCTTCTGCCGCTTCAATCTAATCTGATTCATCAAAAGTTTTCCTTCTCTAATAATGGCTCCACCTCAAGAACTTATTTCTGAGAAGGATTCATCCGCCTCTGAGAGATACCATCAGCAACTGAGCGACGAGCTTAACGTCGGTCTGTCTGATGAGTTCCCTAGTGATGAGGAAAAGGTCAAGGATCATGCTTTGGCTGCTGTCGAGTCCAAGAACTCCTTGGACACCGATGATGGCTTCAAGTTTAACCAGGGTGATATTATGGCCATTTTGATGGATGACGATGGAGACTTGCCTGCTTTGACTTTGCGTATGTGGGTCATGGCTATCTGTCTTGGTGCTTTTGTCGCTGGTGTTGATGCTTTCTTCAACATGAGATTCCCTACAATCACCATTGCCGTTGTCGTCATCCAGGTCATCTCCTGGCCTATTGGTCAAGCATGGCACTACGTTGTGCCCCAGTGGGATGTGCCTCTTCCATTTGGCTGGTCCTTCAGCTTGAACCCTGGTCCTTTCAACTACAAGGAACACACTTCTATCTTTATCTTCTGTAACGTTGTCATCAGTGCTGGTTTGGTTAACAACTTGGTCATTGAAGACACCAAGTACTTCCAGAAAGATATTGGTATTCCTCGTCAGATTCTTTTCAACATCTCCTGTTACATCCACTCTGTTGGTCTTGTGGGTCTTTTCAGAGATGTCATGATTACTCCTGCTGAGAGAGTCTGGCCTGGTGTGCTTTCCAACATTGCCTTGTTCAAGACCATCTACTCTAAGGACAATCCAGTTGTTAACGGATGGAAGATGCCTCGTGGTATTTTCTTCGTCATTGTGTTCATTTGCTCCTTCGTTTACTACTGGTTCCCTGATCTTATCTTCCCATTCTTTTCCACCATTGGTGCATGGATCAGTTGGATCAAGCCAGACAGTGCCCCACTTTCCCAGGTTTTCGGTGTCAAGACTGGTCTTGGTCTTTTCCCACTTACCTTGGACTGGACCCAAATCACTTCGATTAACAACCCATTGACCACTCCATTCTTTGCTGTTGCTTCGATGTTTGCTTCTTTCGTTTTCTGGATTTGGATTGTTATGCCTGGTCTCTACTACCAGAACCACTGGGACACTGCTCACATGCCTATCATGAGTAACAGTGTTTTCGACATGTCTGGTAAGCAGTACAACTTTTCCAGAATTGTTGATGACGACTGGGGTCTTGACCGTGAGAAGTTCGACAACTACTCCCATGCTTTCATGCCTGTGGCTTTCTTGATGAGTTTGGCTCTTGGTATTGCTGTCTTCTCTTCCCTTGTGGTTCACACCGCCTTGAAGTTCCGTTCTGAAATCTGGTTACCATGGGTCAACCGTAGCAAGCACGAGGATATCTTTAACAAGGCTGTTAGACAGTACCTGGAGTACCCTAAGTGGATTTACGTTGCTATGATTGTTGTTGGTTTGGCTCTTGGTTTTGCCTTTTCTGAGGGCTGGAACGACTCTCCAATCGATGCTGGTGGATACTTTGTTTCTGTTCTTATTGGTTCTGTTATGTTCGTGCCACTTTCCCTTCTTGAAGCCAGAGCCAACACGATTGTGTCCTTGCAAAGTTTCTTCGAGATTGTCTCTGCTAACTGGTACAAGGGTAACTCGTACACTTTGCTTTACTTCTACTCCTTCGGTTTCAGTATCATCCAGCACGGTATGCACATGGCTCAGAGTGCCAAGATGGGTCACTACATGAGAGTTCCTCCAAAGCACGTTATCATCTTGCTTTTCGTCGGTGGTATCTGGGCTTCTCTTGTGTCCCCAGCTGTTACTGGTTACTTGTTGTACCACATTGATGACATTTGCACTCCAAACGCCAGAAACAACATGGTTTGCCGTAAGCAAAAGACTGCCTTCAACACTCACTCTATGTGGGGATTGTTCGGCAGTGAGATCTTCGTCCCTGGTGGCAGATACTCTTGGGTCTTGTGGTTCTTCCTTGTTGGTGCTGTTGTTCCTATTGCCCACTATGCCTGGTGCAAGTTCAGACCAAACTCTTGGGTTAAGAGATTTGACCCTATTTTGTTCTTCGGTGGTGCTGCCATGATTCCAGGTGTTACTGGTTACAACTTCTCCACCTGGTTCGTTACCGCTGCCATCTTCAACTACTTCATCCACCGTAAGTACACTGGTTGGTGGAGAAAGTACAACTTGGTCAGCTCGGTTGCGCTAGATAGTGGTGTTGCCATAGCTGCTATTCTTATTTACTTCTGTGTTGTCTACACTGGTGCCTCCAAGAACTACTCCTGGTGGGCCACTGAGGTGTCCAAGGACGGTTGCGATGCCAACGGATGTCCACACCTTTCCAAGCAGATCCCTAGACCAGAGGGTTACGCTTTCTAATATGTTTTTACTGTGATAGATTTGATATTTTCAATGATTAGTCGTGATGAGGATAAAAAGTCCCCATCCTTTTAATAATATAATTTTTCGATATAAAGAGTAGACAGAAGAGCTAGCTTTAGAGGTATGTTAATTCTATTCCATTGAAACTAGCAAAGAAGGATAACCACCCAATGCATAAAGCTTTGTTGAAGTCAGAGGACAAATGGCTTATATTATAAGCTGAAGTAGTATATATATTTATAAGGTGAGTAGGTGTTCATGTGGCTGACGATAAATACATATTTTGTAAAAGGAATGACCCGTGAGTTGCTTTGTTTATTTACTAGAAGACAGAAGGGCTAGAGAGAAGCCAACTCTGACACAGCCCATGCTATTAAGTATGTTTGAAGATGCCTCTTTAAAAAGTTTGGTGCTATAAGTTCGATAATATACCATAAGATCATAGGTGATACCAAGACTCCGAAACCAACTACCCCTTTGAAAACGAAAGGGGTGGTTGTTCAAGAAGACTGAGCAATTTTATGACCTCTGAACTGATCTTTGGACCGAGAATCTCCTTGTAGATATCATCCATGATTCTCAGTGGATCTTCTAGTATCCAGCTTGCAAAGTAAGCATCATTTTCCAACTGCCTCGAAGTATCTTTCATCACATTCAAGAGAAGTGACATCATATCAGCAGGTATTTTAAGTCTATAAAGGCTATTTCTGACCTTCAATAATTTCTCTGGAGAGTATTCTTGACACAAAAACCACGACCATGCCTTGTCTACTATCTTTTGATATCCTTAACATCTCTCGCTGTTTGGGCAGCCATGGCAGGGCACAATCTTCCAGCCATGAGGTTTTGAGGGTAGTGTCTGATACTAAAGGTGCAAGTAGTATCTTTGAAGGATTTCTTATAGAAAAACTTTGACTTCACGCGAATGTGTGGAGCTTGATTAGTCTTTTCGTCTTGCAGCATATTGATGTTGTTCATAATGTCAGCGCTGGAGAATAATCTTGAGGAGTTGAAACTGCTGTTAAAGAAGAATATATACTTGAAAAGTTAAGGCTTTTATAATATGAACACTTAAAGATGTTTTTACACAGCCTGTTTGCGATATTATTATGCTTTCCACATATCTCATGGCAGCTTCTGGGGAAACTCAAGGAAAAACACCGTAGCTCATTTAGGAAGGTAATTTAACTGAATAGCGCATCTATACTGATTAAAATGCCTGACTTTGGCTTTTTGTTAGGACTAATCCCCAAGGCTTTAGTGGGAAATTTAATTCTGTATCTTCCGAAACTATTTTCACTTTCTGCTGCCAATAATGCCCCTCGGACTACTTCAAGAACAGTACATCACTACAACGGCCTAACTCTATTAAACTAAGTGAAACATGTTCAACCCCCTGGAAACTAGGCAACAGGAAATGGCCTCTGACGAAGTGTATAATTTCATCACAAAATCCTTCATATCTCGCTCAATTTTTGCCCTAGCACATTCAGATTTCTACAGTGAATTTTTGTACGTTTATTTCAAATGTAACAGTAATAAAATTTGAACATTTTTGAGGGTGGTCCAAAACATGTGTCATATAAGTACCTTAGCCTTCATTCTTCAACGTCGCCGGTCTAGTATAGTGGTTAGTACAGTTCGTTGTGGCCGAACAAACCCAGGTTCGATTCCTGGGGCCGGCAATTTTTTTTTTTTTTTTTTGGTCCGCACCGATCTACACTTATCTAGAAACGCCTCCAGCAACTACTCATCATGGTAGCAGAACCCGTTCAGGCGGCCAAAGAAGCACTCAATCTGGCTTACACGTCCGCATCTAGCTTTTTCTCATCCCTGCTGAAAGCTGTCAATGAGTCTCTCCCCGATCTGGACTCGGTACTCAACCTGAAGCTATTCAGTATGCTCAGATCAGAGCCACAGCCAGCTCCTCAACCACAAGAACGAGCGGTCGACCGAATCACGCGGCTGATTCAGGACCATAAGGTGGCTGCCGCTTCATGTTTTGCTATATCTTTGAGTGCCACAAGCTACTTGATCTATAGACATCTCAGAACCCCTAGTACTAAGAACAAGCCTCGAAGGAGGGTCCCCAAACTTGCCAATGGCGCTCGCAGAGACGTTGTGCTTGTTGTTGGGTCGCCTACCGAGCCCATGACCCGGTTGATAGCGGTGGATTTTGAAAAGAGGGGCTTTATCGTTTACTTGACTATCCTTGATGATAAGGACTACAAATACATTCAGTCGAACCAGGTGACTGACGACATCAACTACTTGAATCTAGTGGAAGATTCTTACGAAACGCAGTTGAGCAAATTCCGTAAGATTCTCCATGTGGGCGTTGTGCCGTTCCCTGGCGCCGAGGCACACCACCTTCGTCTTTCAGCCATGGTATTCGCTCCTACCTTATACTTTCCCCTTGGCCCGCTTGAGAATACGCCCGAGCTGAGCTGGCAAAGACTGCTCTTCCGCTTGAATGTGACCACGAAGCTTCTATCCCTGGGTCTCTTGGACGTGGTGCGGGAGCAGAGTAGCAGCATTGTGGCCATTGTGCCTAGCATTGTGAGTTCGCTTCGGATGCCGTACCATGGGCCCGAGTCGGTGTTGCAGAATAGCATGAAAGACATTTTTACCACCCTAGCGAAGGAATTGAGGCCTCAGAATATTAATGTCACCCAGGTCCGTCTAGGGAATTTGAACCTTACAACTTCAAAGACAGGTGCGACCCTGGTTGGTGATAGCGTGCCGACGATAGTGGAAGCAGAAGTCCGCTCATGGAGTGAAGACATGCGTAGTGCTTACGGCTCGGACTTCCAGAAGTCTCAGGCGAATCTGAGGCCAATGGGAAGCTCTTTCAAGAGCAAAGGCTTGCGTGAGTTGTACCATGTTCTATTTGATTTGATCTTTTACAAAGGACGTGCCCCATCGGTGATTTACTGTGGCACAGGCGCCCGTGCTTACGACAGGCTAGTATCGTACTTGCCATATTCGATGAGCGAACTTATCTTTTAGGATGGGTATAGGGCACAGTCTTACCACTGTTTTATATATAGATCGGGACAGGGCGAACTGCTGTCGTTTGAAGGTTCCACTTCGTCATAGCTGTGCTGCATGGCTCCAACCGTGAAATGATTCGACCAGAGTTCACCTTCTTGTTAGGGCTTAAGGCTGCAATCATACTTTCGTGGGACGAATGCAGAAGCTTAAAGGTTAACTCAAGCAGCTATATTTCGCAGCCATGGTTCCTCTATTCACGGTTCATAGGATATCTTAGCCACTGCCAATAACATAACTGCATTTCGTCATATGTGCTGATGAAACAGAAACAGAATATAAATCAAAACGATTCCTATTCAACCCAAAAATTATTATATCTGACTTCTACCTCACAAGCCCTAAGGCCTTTCTTTATGGCTCCCAGCCCACGATCACCAGCCGCGTTATGTGTCGCGCGCGACTCCACGCTCGCCTATATAACATCGAAGGCATCGCTCTTCTCACTTTTTTTTCTTCACGTTCATAGACAACGATTTGTTTTCGAAGCTTACGAAATGGCGTTCTCGCCAGGTCTCAGGACCATAGCTTCGGGGAAAGTCTCCGGCCGTGGCAGCGGAAACGCAGCGGACGAATTCCTCCGTTTGCACAATGCCAGTGAAGGATTGAGCTAGGCTCATTGGCAATGCCTGTTGGGCACCTTCTTCCAATGATGCTCCTCAGTAGGACGTGTTTCCTGCTCGTGTAAACCCGCTAATTGTTTGTTCCTTTGAACTTTATGGACTTCGGTCCTGGACAGTTCTGTGGTGGCGGGCGCTGGGGTTATACGGTCGCTGGGTTCTTGTATTATTGGAAGATTGGCTCGACTTAAGGGTATTGTTGGGGGTCTAGCGTTCTGGAGTCTGGCATTGTTGCTTCCTCTGGGGTCACCTGGAGTTCAGTCATTCGGCAATGGGACGGCGTGTCCTAAACGATAGGTATAACAAATGGCCAATACTGGCTAACCCAATGGAGCTCACTCTTGTCTATGAACGTCACTCTTCCTTTTTTTTTCAAGTTCGATATCTACGATGAGATATACGTACAGTCAAATGTACCGGACTTTACATTTTGTAATTGTCATTTGGGTTAACGTGGTTTCCAAAGTGTCATGACCGACTTTGTATGATGAAATACCAAAGCAAACATAGAGTCAAGCTCTGAGAGGATTTCACAGTCTGGAAAAATGGCTGGTTTTCTTTCGTGGACGAGATTTGCATTCATTTTCTGAACAGTTATTCTAGTCGTGACATTAGGAAATCACTTTATTGAAATGGTACCTACAGAATGGCACTTGTAAAACTTAAATAGAAACTATAGTACAGCATTGGAGAAACTAAACATGCGCAGTAAATGGGGGTTACTTGTCTCGTGCGGTATAAGCGTCCCGAGACATGAATGCCAGAAAGGATAAGCACCTTTAATCGACCTGCCAGTGGCTTGTCAATGCAGAGCTGGAATCTCCAGACAACTCTGCCATGTATAGCAAAAGTGTTGTGCCCATCTTGACCCAGTTCCAGAATTGCCAAGGGTGGACGATGATAACAACGTCCTTTGGTGCTGAAGCCCACCAGCCCCAGAGTTTGAGCTCTGAGCCAAGCTCACCATTATACAGAAGCATCATATGACTGTAGACGGCAATGATGATGCATGGAGAATATGCATAAATCAACTTGATGGTAGTAGAAGGGGCAGAACGAGCACTCTTGAGTTTAAGACGTGCTTGCTGTTCCTTGCGCTTGACATCGGCCTGCAGCAGAACGGGGGATATTGAGGCCGAAGACGACAGTCTTGAGCCAAGATGCGGAGGTGTTCTAGGTGGAGAATAAGGAAGCCTATGATACAAAGATGGAATAATCTTGGTAGCAGCGTAAAACACGCCAATGCGGTAGGCCAAATTAACAACCAAGGGTAAAGTGAGCTTCTCTGCAGACGATAGGAAGAAATCCCATATGGTCTTGAATGAGCCAGGTAAGTTCTGTGCCAAAAAAGGAAGGACAGCCAGGATGGTGTTGGTGAGTGGAGGAGGAAGTCTAGGAATCTCGTTTTGCAAGTTGAGTTTGGTCTGAGTGAACAAGTTTGTCAAAGTCTGAGCAGCGTTGTCGGAGAGCGATGGGAACATCTCGTAGATACATCTCACGATGTAGGCAAACAACAAAGAAGATTCAATCATGGATCCCTTGCCCGACACGATACCATAAAAACCGAGACCGATAGTCAAGGTCAAGAAGGAACCTAAAAGTGAAGCGCTGCCCAACTCAATAGTAAATGGCAACACGTAGATTCTGTACAAAAAGTATAAGGCGCCCGTTATGGTGAAACCTGAGCCGATTAACGACACGAAAAGCCAGCTATCTGACTTGTATAAAGTGAGCCATTCCAAAGTCTGGGAAATAGCCTGGAGCAAAAGCAAAGAACAGAAACCTTCGGCAATGGTAAACACAGGCGTCAGGTGAACCAATATATACCGCCATACGGCGACAACGGCAAAGTGGCTGTGGTTGTTCTGGTTCTGACAGTACAGAATAATGTACATCAATATACTCGGTAGGAAAACATGCTGGGCATAATAAAGCGGCACCAAAACCTTCAACACGGTGAAACGACGGGAAAGTAGCCGGATAGACGTGAGGAGGAAGTATAACAGTAGAATGGTGAGGGAGTAAGTAAGGCCACACTGAACACCTCCCAAGTCAAACGCTAGCGGCACGGTAAGCACAATGAGCGCCAAGTATATGATCGAAAAGATCGACTTGACGAAGTTCTTTAGTTTGCGCATGGCGTCTTTGTGGGATCTAGTGGTGTGGTTTATGGTTTGATGATGGGTGGTAAGGGGAAAGTTTGGATTTGAGAAAAGGGAGGGCCATACAGGTTTCCAGGGCAGAGGAGGCTTTTCTGGTGAAGGGGTCTGAAGGGGAGGAGATGATGAAGATAATGGCCAGGGTGAATGTGATTAATGGACGGTTTGAATGGTTTTTAAAAATGGTTGAAGGGGTCTTTGTTGGGTTTAATTGGGCGAACTGGAAGGCTGTTTTTATGGGAGTGTGGTGTTTTGCAACCACTGAGGCTCGGCAGAAAAAAAGGCCATCCGGTGATGGATTGGTGAGGGAAGAGGGTAGAAGAGGGTGACTCTAGTTGGAGACGGGGAGAAGAGATTTGTTGGGTTAGGGGGTTTTTGTGTTGGTGGTTGTGTGGTGCTTCAGTGTATGGTTGGTTGGGTTGTATTAGGTTTCTCAGGAAGACCATGCATAAAACCACACTTTGGGCTGCGTTCACCGTGAAAAGTGAAAGATGGGGTTTGGAAGGCAGAGGAGCAGCGTGAATTGAATAGTGTATTTTTGACTCTTCCTTGAGGGATTTTATATGCTTGGTTTGGCTTAAGTACTGGTAATATGGTGTAGTGGATGGTAGAGAAGTGCATCTAGGATGTGTTTCAGGAAATAGAGTAGACATGACGCTGTAGTTAAACTATTGATGTAGTTGGCAATATTATTTTACGCTTCTATTTGAGCAGGAGTCACGTCTATAGGTGTTCTGGGCTCAGAGGGCCTGGCCACTGGAGAATGTGTATGTTGTAGGAGCGACGGTGACGTAATTGATGGATGGAACAGGCTGGTTGGTGGATGCTCCCAGGGCTTGAAACTTTGATTTCGAACCAGAGTGATCAGAGATTTTGGTTGATCAGCTGGCTTCATTCCCTTTGAAGTCAGCAGTAGTAGTAATGATCCAGTCTAGTGATTCTGAGGGTATTTCCCATCGTTATCTGTAGCTCTAATAATAACCAATAACATATCCCCTTCCTATCCTTGCGAGAGGTCAATTATATTATTTCTACTGGAATCGGCATACCTTTCCAGTATCACTTTAATGTGAAGTGCCTCGAAGTAACCACTTTAAGGAATGAAGGTTACCAAAGGCCTGAATAGCCCTAGCACCCCTCAGAAGCATAAATTCAATTTCTATCAGCTATATTCTAAACCAAACAAAATCAATATATCTCCACTTTCCAATTTATCGTGTCCGTTTGCATTTTTGGCATTTTTGTGTACCTTCATTTTGCAGCCATTATTTTTCACTCCGCAGCCAGTTTTCCAGAGATGTTGCAATCAACACTCATACCATATCCTCATACTTCTACATAAAATAATAAAATAGCAACAGAAAAGGAAACCTAACCAACACTTATTATCCCTGAGGGCTAATTTTATTCTCCACGGTCAATCACCAGCTCTACCCACCACATCAGTCAAACCTCATCTCTCCATACTAAGGGTCCTGCACTTCCTCATCGCTACATCATCGCTAGCTACTACTCTCCAGAACCACCAATGCCCAAGAGAAACGCCAGCGAAGGTGCTGTGAACGGCGCCAAGCGTCCAAGACAGAAATATGGAAGACAGGAACTTAGGAAAATCAATAGAACCACTCGAAGAGATAAGGAAGTGGAAGAGGAAGAAGAGGAACAGGATGAGGCCTCTGACCAGGAATCCGAGGAGCCCCAACCTGTGTCTTCCAAGAGTGAAAGCTTTCCAGAGAACGAATCAAGAGAGTCGTATAACGCTTTGCTTACGCTTCTTAAGAGCGACCATCCAGAAATCAGAAAGAAGGATACCAAGAGGACTCACAATGAAGAGAACCTGGAGGATATAGCAGGTGTGAACTTGGAGGATGAGGCAGAAGACGATGGTGCTGAGGCAGAAGAGGAAGAAGAAGAGGAGGAACAAGATGATGAGGATGAGGACGATAACATCTTGTTGAAAGATCCTTTTGAGAGCCACTTCAACTTGATATCAGAGGAGCTTGTGGAGAAGAAAGGAAAGGCCATTGCTGCTAAGGAACCATGGCAGACCTCAAAGTCAAAGATTGCCGATACCATCTATACGGCACTTCTGCAATCGCCTCCAGGTGACAATATTTCCATTCCTAACTTTGACAAGCTTACCCTGCTTGGTCAGTATAATTGCATTAAAAGAAGAGTCGGAGAGGCCTTTTTGAAAAACTACTCTGGCGACTTCAAGCCCATGGATAAGGCATTGATAGACGAGATATTATCGTACAAGGATGTTTCGTACCCAACGAAATCATACAAGAATACCTCTTACAAGAGGCTTTATGCATTGCATGTGTTGAACCATGTGTTCAAGACGAGAGATAGAGTGATGAAGAATAACGAGAAGCTCAGGAAGTTCCAGGATGATGTCAAAGAGGGAAAAATCGACAGAATGACCCAAGAGCCTGAGTTCAGAGATCAAGGATTCACCAGGCCAAAGGCTTTGATTCTCTTGCCCACGCGAAATGCCGCTTACGAGCTTATAGAGCTTCTTATTAAGCTCTCAGGATGTGACCAACAGGAGAACAGAAAGAGATTCAAGCAGCAGTTTCACGAGTCCGGTGGTCCTTCTGACACCAAGCCTGCTGACTTCAGAGAAATGTTCAAAGGAAATTCCAACGATTTCTTCAGCATAGGATTAAAGTTCACCAGAAAGTCGCTTAAGCTTTATTCGTCATTTTACACATCTGATGTGTTGATCGCATCTCCAATTGGTCTCTCCATGATTCTCGAAGACCCAAAACAATCCAAAAGACAATACGATTTCCTTTCTTCGATTGAAGTTCTTGTGATCGATCAAGCAAACCAGATTGAGATGCAAAATTGGGACCATGTAAACACTGTTCTCAAGTATATCAACAAGATCCCTAAGGAGTTCCATGGTGCTGATTTCTCGAGAATTAGAATGTGGGCAATCAACGATCAACTGAAATTCTTACGTCAGACGTTGGTGTTTAGTGAGTTCTTTACGCCTACCGTCAACAGTATGTTTTCCAAGTCACAAAACCTTGCTGGTCGTACGAGGTATAAGCCTGAGATCACTACCCAGTCATGTATCATGAACTCGATCGGTATCAAGATCAAACAAATATTCCAAAGATTCGAGTCGCCAGATCCAATTTCGAACTATGAATCCCGCTTCAAGTTTCTTGTCAATTCTGTCCTCCCCTCCATCAGCAAACAGACTCTGTACGAAGATGGTCTCTTGATTTACATTCCTTCATACTTTGACTACGTTAGAGTCAAGAACCATATGAAGCAGCATACGAAGCTCAATTTTGGTGCCATAGACGAATACTCATCGCAATCAAGAGTATCTCGAACCCGCCATGCTTTCCAAACCGGTAAGATCAAGATCCTTCTATACACAGAAAGATTGCACCATTTCAGAAGATTTGAAATTGGTGGTGTCAAGACAGTTTTGATCTACGAACCGCCAGCCAACCCTCTTTTCTACAAAGAGCTTCTTCGTTTCGTTGCCAAGTCAGTCTACAAAGAAGAGGCCGATATTGACCTTTCGTTTGTGAAGACACTCTTCTCCAAATGGGACGCTGTCTCGCTCGAAAGAATTGTGGGCAACGAAAGGGCTCCAGTGCTCTGTAACTCTGTGAACGAAACCTACGAGTTCAGGTAAGCTCAGTTCTCTCATGATAGACCTTATATTAGCTAATGTACATAGACGGCATTTCATCAACTCGAAAGCACGTTGAAGGCCATGACAAAGCACCCGATGGCCACATAGGGACTCAAACGTTCACCGATACGGGCAAACTTCCAAAACACACCGAACGCTCCGCTCTTGTTCTTGTCTAAGAGAGCAGGCCAAGAAGAGTGAACATATGTACATGTGCAAATAGCCAATAGAATGACTAGAAGCAATGACTGGAAGTTGAAAAGGGCAGACTATAGTTAGTATTCAGCTTTCAATTTGCGCTAGAATGCACGTACCATTATGGATATATATGAAAAATGGTGTAGTTGAGATGTTGATATGTATCAGATACCGCGCATACATAAGTACCCATCTCCAAGAGACCGACAGATCTCTTCCTACAGCATAATGCCAGATGAAATAGACCAATCTTCATTTGCCAGTATTCTCGAAGGGGTACGCAAGATGCGTGAATCCTACAATTCTCCAAAGCTGAGCGAACAGCTGGGAAGGACCCTGGAGAAGCCTCAGCAACAGCAACCACAACCAGCGGCACAACCAGTGGCAGCGCCAGCCCAAGCAGCCCAAGCAGCTGCAGCTACTACAAACGTACAAGAAACATCAAGAAGTACCCTAGATACAGCAGCTCAGGTCCAGCCGCCGAAGAACCGTAACAGACAGAACAGACCAACAGGGTCTAGGCGTGTCAGAGATACCGTGCAAACATATACATCAGTACAAGTGGCCCATTCACAAAAGGGAAATCCGCTTCTTGAAAGCCCTTCTATGAAGCTTACGCCTTGGGCGTATAATACACAGATTCTTCTGGACTACTATATTAACGCTACGCTTCAGGTGCTCTTCCTACTGTTGAAGTACCATAAGCTTCGGCCTGAGTATGTTTGGCGACGCATAGAGAAGATGAAAGGTGGCAGCTCTATTGTAGAGGAGAGACAGGAAGGTGACGAGGTTCTTCGAGTGCTTTTGGTGGTGGTTGATGTCGATTCTCCTCAGGATGCTATTAGGTCGTTGCTGAGCATATGTATACGGCACGATCTATCGATTGTGGTGGCATGGCTGTTTGAAGAGGCAGGAAACTACATTGCATATTTTAAGCTGAATGAGATGGTTAGATCGAAGGTAGACCTGTCCATTCAAGGTCTCAAGAAGGAGGACTATAATTCAACGATTGTTAGCTCTTTAACAACTGTTCGTGCTGTGAACAAGACTGATGTGGCTAACCTTTTGGCAAATTGCAAATCGTTCAAGCTGATTGTCTCCATGGCCACAGAGAACGACGGACTCTCGCATATCCAAGGTTTGGGAGAACGGAAGCTACTTAATCTACGTGCTGCGTTTGCGGAACCGTTTATTTTTAACAAAGACTACGAAGCAGAGAACTAGCATAGCTCATTATTTGGGGTGTGTTCTCGTTCGTCAGTCTTAAATAGTTACGATATCATGACGAATTTCTCTGCGTCTCTGCAGAATCTATGCTGCTCTCATGCCAGCGCCTGTTGCTGTTGTTGCTGCTGCTGCTGCTGCTGGTCCATCACCTTCTTCCTCAACACTAACGTGAGGTTATTCAAAATCTCGTTCTTCTGTACCAAGATCTCCTTCAACTTCTTCGAGTCATCGCCCAACTTGCTGAGCTTCTTCAGGTATACCTTTCTGGCGCTCTCAGCGTCCTTCTCCACAAAGTATCCAGTACCAATGTCCACCATGAAACGGTCTTTCTGAACAACCTTTCCAGGCAAATATAACGACGCCGTCATTGGCACAAGTAAATCGCCTCCTTTGGAAGCTTCCATGTTATCTATCGTGTTCACACAGTCCTGGAGCTTGGACTGAGCCGTTTGAAGTGCCTGAAGCGATTGAGTGAAATGTTGGATTTCCTGTTCTGTGGATTTTCTGATTTCCACAAGCTGCTGTGGCTCGAGCTGCAGGATATCGATCTTGCGCTGACTCATGGCGTTGGTGGTTGTAGTAAGTTGGAGGTGGATTGGATCAGTTGCAATTTTCGCACCGACTTCAGGCGCTGGGTAGAATGGGTGCAAAGTGAAGAGTTGGAGGTAAAGAGGAGTGAGGAAGTGGGGATATGAAATTTTGGATGAGTAAATTAATGCTATTAATTAAGGTGATGATGGGTTTGGTTGGTTTTTCTTGCTGGTTCTAGTGATTTCAAAAGTGCTTAGCTAGCCAGTTGGCTGCAAACGGTGAGAGACATACCATAGACCTATGGAGAGACGAAATAAAACTAAAGGATGGCGAAGCGGGGTTTCATCGGAGAAATGAAGGACTGTAAATAGCAAGATTTATGTTCTAGGTTGCTAGATTCAAGTACTCGAATCTTTCAGCTAGACAGTAGGAAGTGACGACCAGAAGGTCTACCTCTTTTAGATATACTTCTAGATGAGTTTAGCTTTCACACGGAGCACTTAGCGATAAAATTAATGCCTTTTACTTTTCGTACAATATCTGGAAACTCACTTCGTAACCACAGACATCTAAACTCTTGCATGGGCGGACCACTGCCCAGTTAGGCATACCCTTCCAAGCACCTAGCCAACTAAAACATCCCAAGGCAGCCACAATACGATCTAGAAAAGACTCTAGACAGCATCCATAACCTTTGCATTTAGCCTCTCCCTTACCTTCTCATCTCATCTTCCTCCTTCTTCCACCTACACTGACTTCCGGAAACTCTTGTTGACTATGTACAAATATGTTGCCTTCTAGGAGGCTATTTCAAAAGACCTTTACTGCTTCTCCTCAGAATCATGGGCACGCTTCTCGTCGAACTCCTCCTTGTTGAACTTCAACTTGTTCTTGTTCATACCACCAAAGTCAGAGTTGGCGTAGATGTTGAACAAAATGCTTCCGGTTCCCACGGCGGTGATGCCGAAAAGACCCAACACGAAGACTCTGTGAACGGCGTCCGTGGCACGAACACTCAAAGGAAGTTTGGACATTTTTCGTAAGTATCAGGTTATACGATGGATTCGGAGATGGTGAGATTCCGACTTGACTGAGTCGCCGTGTGCACACCACCACCACAGAAGACTACTGGTATCTGTCTATAGTACATGTTCTATAATTTACATAGCAAATATAGCGATTAACAAATCGCTTACAAAAGGTACAGCAACCATCTCCCGCTGATATACTCCTGCTCCACAAGCCCCGGGTTCACGTATACGAGGTCTGGCAACCACTCGCGGTTGTACTGTCTGAAGACATTCTTGTAGGCACCGTCGGTGTCTGGCTCGAGAAGGTCATCCACGAGCTTGCCCAACACATCACGGGCTACGCCGTTGATTGGCGAGAACCATGGTGCGTTGGTATCTTCAGGCCCACTCAAGCCAACTGACGCCTGGAGCAACGACTCATTCTGGGCTGACAATGCGGCTTCAAACGCTTCCACGTCTATATGACCAATTGGTGCAGTGTGGGTGTGTTTTTCTTCTGCTGTAGCTGGTATGCTTCTGAGAGCCTCGAAGTTACCAATCTCAACGTTAACAGGGTACTGACGAGGCTGGATACCCTTGATGATAAACTTTTTACGTGGCTGTTGCGATGGATCCGTCTGTGGGAGGTTCACCACCATAGCTTCGGAGTTGGGGAATGCAGAGCTCACGTTCTTGATGAACTCCACAGCTGGCAACAAGTTTGGCCAGTTAGGGTTGAGACGTTCCTTCCAGATGGCTTCGAACTGGTTCTCGTAGGCTTTCCAAAGAGAGATCTGGGTCACTTCACCTGCAGCGACGTCCTTGGTGTTGTCATCTGGATTAGTTACTTGTGTGTATGGCTCGTAACAACACCGGAGCCAGGTTGTGGCTCTCAAAGGTTCAGGGAAATTTATAATAATGTCGTATAGCTTTTTGGGAAGTTTTGCTGTGCTGAGCGGGATACCAGCGTATGCGGAACGCTTGGTGAATGTGACAGGTAAGGTTTTCTGGAACTTGTGTGGATCCACTAGAGGCAACTTGGCCACAATCAACTCAGGGAGCTGCTTCAACAAGATGTGAGTGTTTGACATATGGGAGTTGGCTTGCATGAGCTTTCTCAGGCGGTGGAGCTGAGAGTTAGCCACCGAGGTAGGGTATTGAGAATGCAAAGCATCCGAAGTCAAGTATTGTCTCAAGAACTGCAAAGTCGCGTATGTGAGCTCGTCGTCGTTGATGAGCAAGGTTCTCACGATGATCAGAAGATGTTCTATCAGCAAAGCGTCTATGCAATTATTAGTATCCTGAGTATCATCATCATCCGACTTGGACCCGTCATCAGACAGCTTGGTGAAGAGCAAGTGGTACAAGCACTTGATGGTGTTGAGCAACACGTATCTGTCAGAGGTATGAGACAAGATATGAAGCAAGCTGTGGAACAAGGAGTCGTTCTTGGACGTGTTGGTATAGAAACACGTGAGCGGGTCAAGGATGTCTAGCAAGTACAAGTAAGATTCACGGAAAAGCTCAGAGAACTGGGAAAGATGCAGCTTGTGCACGCCAGGGTTATAGAACCAGTTCAGAAGAAACTTGAGTGCTTCACCAGCAAACTTGCGGAAGTTGTCTCTCTGGCAAAGCCACTGCTGGTTGTTGAGATCCTGAACGGCATTTCTCAAGGATAGAAGGGATTCACAACTCAAAGAAACAATCTCAGTACGCACATCGTTCTCTTTACCCTCTAAAATCATATGGTAAGGCTTGACAAAGTAACGAATGAGTTCCCTACCCATAAGCAGATGAGACGTGAAGTCAAGGAGTTTTGGTTCATTGCACGAGTAGTAAGTGAGCGTAGAAAGTGCGTATTCGATCTCGGATTCGATACCTGATTCAAGAGACATGATGATTCTGTCCAAGGGCCCTATACCCATATGGCCTGCGCCATGCAATTCCAGGTTGGCAGAGGCCAAGGGGCCACCAGCGTACAGGGAAGCGGCTAAGCTTTCGGCGGAAACGCCGACCCGGGAAACGCCCTGGACTGGCACGAACAGGGGCATAGTTATGTATGGAGATTTCAAGGTTTCTTGGTGTTTATGGAAGATTTGTGCGGAAGCGTTAAGGTGAAGTTTCGGTCGCGACACGCCCAGTGCACGTGAACAGCCATGTGACACACGTGAACGATCACGTGATTCAACCTCGGAACCTCGGCGATACTCGGCGCCAGTCTCCGCCAGCACCTGAACGTTCGAACGGCTATATGTTCCATATCCACCACAACCCCATTGCCATCCGAGCCATATCTACATTTTGCCGTCGCGAGTCCTCTCACTAGGCCTGGAATATCCCGTTCCGTCCGACGGCGCGGCTCTACCCCAGCACTATAATACATATACCGTACACCCCCATGGTTGCGAAATAGATAAGACTACTTTTTCTGGATTTCTCCTATACGACCTAGCAGTTTGTTACCAATTCTCTTCTAGGCCAGTTCAATTGAGTCCACCAATGAAGTCGTCATACATTTTAGGCGCTGTTCTTGCCGCCGCCTCGGCCAATGCCTCTTTCTTGGACCCTATCAGAGACTTCTTCAGTCCTAACCAGGAGGTTATCCAGATTGTCGGTGAAGCTGAACAATTCAGCAATGTTTTCTCTCAAGAAGTATCTGAGATGGGCACTCAAGGGCTTGATATTTTGAAGGTCTGGGAGAAGATGACCAACGAGATGGGCAGAGATGCTGTTGAGAGAGCCAAGGAGGCTTACGAGACTGCTAAGAACCTTAAGCAGAGTAACTTGAAGAACAAGAAGACTCACGATGCTGCTGGATTTGAGGTGCAGAGCGACCCAAAACACCCGGGTTACGCTTTGAGAGCTAAAAAGACCAACCCTGAGCTCTTGGGCTTGGACTCTGTGGACCAGTATACTGGTTACTTGGATGTGGAGGAGCTTAAGAAGCACTTCTTTTACTGGTTTTTCGAGTCCAGAAACGACCCTAAAAACGATCCAGTGATCTTGTGGTTGAACGGTGGACCTGGCTGTTCATCGGCCACAGGCTTGTTCTTCGAGTTGGGTCCTTCTTCTATTAACGCTACATTGCAGCCAACCTTTAACCCTTACTCCTGGAACAACAACGCTTCTGTCATTTTCTTGGACCAGCCTGTGGGTGTGGGCTACTCTTACACTGAAGGTGAAGATATCGGTTCTACCGCTGCTGCCGCTAAGGATGTCTACATCTTTTTGGAGCTTTTCTTCCAGAAGTTCCCTCAGTTCGTCAAGAACGACTTCCATATCTCTGGTGAGTCGTATGCTGGTCACTATATTCCTGCTTTCGCTACTGAGATTCTTAACAACGCTGACCGTTCGTTTAACTTGACCTCCGTGTTGATTGGTAACGGTATTACTGACCCATTGATCCAGTACAAGTACTATAGACCAATGATGTGCGGTGAGGGTGGCTACAAGCCTGTTTTAACTACCGATAAGTGTGAACAAATGGACAGACAATACCCGGGCTGTGCCGCTTTGACCCAGGCCTGTTACGCCTTCCAGAGCGCTTTCACTTGTGTTCCAGCTGGCGTTTACTGCCTGAGAATCATGCAACCTTACCAGGAGACCGGCTTGAACCCTTATGACATTCGTAAAAAGTGTGAAAGCGGTGGAATCTGTTACGTCGAAATGGACTACGTTGAAGAGTACTTGAACCTTGACTTTGTTAGGGATGCCATTGGAGCCGAGACCGAGAGTTTCGTTGGCTGTGACCCATCTGTGATGCAGAACTTCATCCTCACCGGCGACCACCAGAAGCCATTCCAGCAGCACGTTGCTGAGTTGTTGGAGCAGGACATTCCTGTGTTGTTGTACGAGGGTGACAAGGACGTTATTTGCAACTGGTTGGGTAACCAGGCCTGGTCCAATGCCTTGGAATACTCCAAGCACGACTTGTTTGAGGCCCAGCCTTTGCGCCCATGGCGCACCAGAGATGGTGAGTTGGCTGGTGAAGTCAAAAACTACGACAAGTTTACTTTTGTTCGTGTTTACGACGCCGGCCATATGGTTCCTTTTGACCAACCAGCTAATGCCTTGGACTTGGTCAACAGATGGATCCAGGGTGATTACTCTTACGGAAAGTAAGCTATGTCTGGCGCCTATCGTTATGTCACTTTCGTTTTATCAAAAAAGAAACAGTTATCTGAAATTTAAATTTGAAATTTGAAATTTTACCATTTGTAGCGGTAGTTATTTTTTACGACAAACATTTAGGATGTCATTCATAAGAACCGAAGGTTCCAAAGTAATTGAGTCAAGAAGATGCCTTTGGCCAGCAGTTATAAGCCGTCATTGGGTAACTGTCTCTCTACAACCTGGACCACTACAACCTGAAGTAAGCCTTCAAGTATCCTTATCAATTTCTTACTTCCTGATGCCAGAGAACCTTTCACAGCTTCACAATTTCCTCCTTTAACTCTTCAATTTCCAATTTATGCCTTCAACCTTCAACATCCAAAGATTGCAATCCAGCCAATTGCGGTACTTACCGTATACCGAGCAGACAGGTACCAATAAATGCCCAAAGACCCATAAACTTCACAAGTAAGCATATTAAACCCTACAAAACTAACTACAAAATACAATTAATTCACCCAAACCCACCTTTTCCCAAACACCTCCCCAACCACTTCCATTCCATATCTACCCCAGGTTGTCGTCATACCACTTCCTCAGAGCCAATACCCCATACATTTCCACACCACCACCACTTTTTCGACCCCAAATTTCAACCCCCTTCTCCTCCAAGTACCCACTTTCCCAACCACCCCTTCCCTTCCCAATTCCATAAATTTACACCCTTTTGGTTCCCCTTCGTTCCGTAACAAACCGTAGCGTCCTGCAGACTCGCCATCGGCTCCTCTCGTTATCAGCCTTTATAAACCGCACACCCCCACGGTTGCGAAAGATAAGACTTGATATACTTCTTCTTTCAAGCACCTTCGTTTTTTTTTTGTTTACACTATTATGAAGTCGTCGTTGCTTTTGGCCGTGCTTGCGGGCGCCGCCAATGCCTCGCTTATGGACCCAATTAGAGGTTTTTTCCAGCAGGACGTTATCCAGATAAGCAATCCACTTGAGTCATTGAGACTGGTGTTTTCTGGGGAATTGGCTCATATGGGCGCTGAGGGCGGTGAGATCTTGCTGGTTTGGGAGCAAATGGCTTCTGAAATGGGCAGGGACGCTGTTGACCGAGCGAGAAAGGCGTACGAAACCGCTAAGGACCTTAAGCAGAGCAACATGAACAACCAGAAGAGCAGAACTGGCGCTGAGTTTGACGTTCAAACAAACCCAAAGCACCCGGGATATGCTTTGAGAGCTAAGAAGACTAACCCAGAGATTTTGGGTTTGGATTCTGTTGATCAGTACACTGGTTACTTGGATGTGGAGGAGCTTAAGAAACACTTCTTTTACTGGTTCTTTGAGTCGAGAAACGACCCTGAGAACGATCCTGTCATTTTGTGGTTGAATGGTGGCCCAGGATGTTCTTCCGCTACTGGTTTGTTCTTTGAATTGGGCCCGTCGTCCATCAATGCCACCTTGCAGCCAAAGTTCAACCCTTACTCCTGGAATAGCAACGCTTCGGTTATCTTTTTGGACCAGCCAGTTGGTGTTGGTTATTCTTACACTGAGGGCGAGGATATTGTATCGACTGCTGCAGCTGCCAAGGACGTGTACATCTTTTTGGAACTCTTCTTCCAAAAATTCCCACAATTCATTAAGAACAAGTTCCATATTGCTGGTGAATCCTACGCTGGTCACTACATTCCCGCTTTCGCTTCCGAAATTATCAACAATGCCGACCGTTCTTTCGAATTGGCTTCGGTCTTGATTGGTAACGGTATCACCGATCCTTTGATCCAATATGAATACTACAGACCTATGATGTGTGGTGAAGGTGGATACAAGCCCGTATTGACCACTGACCAATGTGAACAAATGGAGAAAGACTACCCATTGTGTGCTGTTTTGACCAAGGCATGCTACCATGCTCAGAACGCCTTCACCTGTGTGCCAGCTAACTTGTATTGTGAGAAGAAACTCTTTGGTCCTTACATTGAGACCGGTTTGAACCCATACGATATTCGTAAGGATTGCTCTGATGGTGGTAGCTGCTACGTTGAGCAGGACTACATTGACGAGTACTTGAACGTTGATTTCGTCAAGGAGGCTATTGGAGCTGAAACCGATATCTTTACTGGCTGTGACGACAAGGTTTTCCAGAACTTTATCCTCAACGGTGACGAGATGAGACCTTTCCAGCAATTTGTGGCTGAATTATTGGAGAAGGATATTCCTGTCTTGTTATATGAGGGTGACAAGGATGTCATTTGCAACTGGTTGGGCAACCGTGCTTGGTCTGACGCTTTGGAGTATTCCAAGCACGACTTGTTCGAGGCCCAACCTTTGCGTCCATGGCACACAAAGGACGGCGTGTTAGCCGGCGAGGTGAAGAACTACGACAAGTTCACCTTCGTTCGTGTCTACGACGCTGGCCACATGGTTCCATACGACCAGCCAGAGAACTCTTTGGACTTGGTTAACAGATGGATCCTGGGCGACTACACTTTTGGAAAGTGAGTCTACAAATGAACTAAAAGTTAACGTCTTCATTGGCGACCATCTATTTAGAAATTTATTAAAGCACTCAAACCAGCAGAGTACTGCTCTATAACTACCAATTCTATACTTCCAGCTTTTGTGCCATTGCAACCCTGACCTGCTCAATGCTACTGGTACTGCTGGTTTCTTGGTCATCATCGATATCAGTAGTCTTTGTAGGACCATGGTAGACCTTTCTGGCGTAAACCAAGTAGTATAGAAGCGACAAGAGCCACACGCCAGGAGCAATAACAACAGTATAGTTCATAGTGTCTGCGTTTGGGTTTCTGTCTCTAGGAAACATCACCATGATGGTGGCATATAGTGTGTAAATGACAGAGACCCATCCGTTGATTTGAGTTAGGTACTTTCCCAAATAGAATGGTCCAGGAATAAACTTGTCCGTATAAATCAAACGTAAAAAGGTAGGCATGGTCCAGGCAAGAAGGTTTCCAGCAACAGCTAAACTGAATAAAGCTGAAGCAGCAGTAGAACCAATAAGTGCCAAACAGCCAACCACAAGGGCAGCAACAGCACCAGAAATAACAGCATGGATAGGAACAGACAACTTTTTGTTAACTTTCTTGATCCACCAGGAGAAAGGGAGACCGTTATCTCTAGCAAAGGCAAAAAGCTGTCTAGAAATAGCTGTCAAGACGGAAGCACCCATAAGGAACTGGCCAATAGTGATAAGCACCATAAACGTAATAGCAACAGGTTTACCTTGGCCAGTTTTTGTTTCAAAAGCATCATAGATGATTTGTGCCATAGGCTGGCCAAACTTAGTATCCATAAGCAGCTCTAGATCATCTGTTTGGACACAGAAGAAGGTGACAATCAATATAATGAATCCAAGGATACCACATGCTGAGATGGAGCCAATGATTCCAACAGGCACAGCCTTGGTGGCATTCTTACATTCTTCAGACATGTGAACACAAGAATCAAAAGCTCCAATGGTCCAAATTGCCGATTGCCAGGCCTGGGAAACCTGGTTCCAGCCCATAGGGAAACTTGTAAAGTTTTCAAAGTTACCGAACACCCAGCTTGCAGATTTAAACAGACCTCTGGAAGCACCAATAGGCATGGCGATCAAGAAAATGGCAATTAAAGTGACATTCCAAACGATCGAGGTTGTTTGCAATGTAGCAATATGCTTGGAAGAAAGAGATGTAACGAACATATGGACAATGACACAAGCAGCAAACACACCGTATGTTTTAGCCTGGGTGACTTCAAAATCTCCATCTTTTGCAATAACCACAATCGACAAGAGTTCCTGAGCGAATCCATAGTCGATAGAACAAAACCCACAGATTAATGAAAGCGAATTGGTGTTACCAATGACGAACGAAAGCACTGATTTAAGCTTAGGAGGCGCATAGAAGTTTGTCCAGTAATAAAGTCCACCTGAAGTAGGCTGAAAAGAAGCGTTTTCACTCATGGCAATACCCACTCCAAGAATAAAACAAGAGGCAATCAACCAGCCCCAAATGGCACCAGCAGGTCCAGCTGTGAGGCCATAAGTAAGAGTAGTAGCGATCGAAGGAAGCAAGCCCATAATGGAAAAAGCCACTCCAAACACCTGGATCGTATTAAAACGTCTTTTAAGTTCCGGTTTGTATCCGATCTGAGCAAGAAGATCATTATCTGTTCCAGCATGTATAGCATCTATTTGAGGCGACTCCACATTCTGAGCGTTATTGTAGAAGCGTTTATCAGAAGTCACCGCTTCCAAGATTTCTTCTCGTGAGAGAACAGGATGCATCATGGCGATACCGAAGCATCATCAAAGCGACCAGGCCGTTATTTATCGGTCAGACTTCATCGCAAGCTTTTAGCGCTACTACTCAACTGATAAGCATACATTGACACATGTGGTAGGTCATAGGCGGGCCACGCAGAGTTTCATAAATTTGACGGCAAAGAATAAGTACACAAAAATGACAGATACCACTGCACTTGTTTGACGATGCAACCTGATTCGCCTGTTCTGGAATCCCAGGTCGGCTATGGGGCGTTTCTGCGATAAGCACTGTGCGTCCAGAGATAAGGCTTCTCAAGCTTGCACCTTCATGACCAGGGAGTTTGTAATTTAGGTCAGGCATTATTGGTCTATTTAGGAAGTGGTTGGGATTTTTCATGATAAAAGGGTGATTATGGTAAGAGAATTAGATGGTAGATAGGGAGGATAGAGAGAACGAGGGCTCCTAGATTCCCAGGTACCGCTAAACATGCATCATTTCTTGAGGCTTTGAAATTTATCAAGGAATCATTTCTAAATGACAGCTAAAGTGCGCTAACGAACTTGTGTCAAGTTGCCGTTGTTCTATATTAGTCAGGGTGGGCTTAGCGCAGATATGGTTTCCTCTTAGATAAGCTTTTACCTATGTAGCGAGAAGCTTAAGTATGGGACTGGGAAGCAAATAGTTCTGTCGTTTGTGGTTGTTCTCGGCTCTCTATCTTTTGGATTCATGTGGTTGCCAGAATAAAGGTTATTCTTCATGTAGCGGGGGTTAAGCCTTGACAGGTTGGACACTTCCAGGCGTGCCCTGGTGAGCTATGTCATATCTAAGCGGTACAGAAATAGTGCTTTTGTGTCATTTAATATTATAGAGAAGCCCGAAAATATCAAAAAGACTAGGAAAGCTGAGTGAAAATATCCAGGGATGTCTATACTTCTGGTAGTTTAATGTGTGCTTCTTATCAGGTAATTGCAAGGTAGCAGGTGGTACAGATGGACAAGCTTCGAACATCCAGATTCGGCCAACTGGGTGAAGCCGGGAAAAAGAGCCGAGAAGGTGTTCGGTGTAGACTGTTAGAAGAGGAATCATTTGATTGTTATAAGTGATAAAGAGGTTTTTGGGATGAGTTGTCGGTTATAACAGAAACTAAGCGAGGAAAGCTTTATTTCGGGGAATTGCAAGATAAAACAAGGAGATGAAGCAAATGACATCTCTTGAAAAAGAGGTCTCTATTTGGTGATAAAAGCAACTCAAAGTGGGTAGACGGTTAACTTCTTCTTGTGATAAGCATGCTTGACCAGTAGAAGTGGTGACACAAAGAGAAGTTGGCCGGAAGCAATTCCTCTTGAAAAAGTTTCAGTTATATCTATAACCAAAAATAAGAAACAAAAGAATCATTTGGAGATTTCATTACGTCATGAGTCCATTCGAGGTGTTTTTCCTACAGTGGTTGATGAATCTATGGGTATTGAAAGCCCACCATCATTAGAAGCTGGCAAAATTTGGTACCACAAACAGGGAAACAGGGAGAAATAGAAACAAAAACAAGAGAAGCTTTTATGATTTAAATACACGAGCAAAATGCAAATGATGATTTCTTACAGTCCTTCTACAAGTAAGTAGCTTACTTGGTCCCCATTTTCCACCCATAAACCGTTTCTAATTGGCTAATCTCGAATCCTACTCAATCATCTCAAATCCCTCAAAAGCCTTACCTTTTAAATACCAAATACCTTCCTTGGAACACCAAAAACTCACATACCCATCAGTCTATACCTCTAGGGCTCGAGCCCTAAAAGTATACCACCCGCACCTGCCTCATCTCAGAAGTGCCTGCAGGAAATGAAAAAAATCTCACCAGCTCCCCTACTATATAAGTACTCACTTTCTCGCCCTCATTTTTTTTTCACTCCATCACCAACTCTAACAATGGCTACGTATGTACCAACCAAATCATCACTACTTCCTGCTCGGCAGAGTTCGGCTTGAGGTATGGTGTCGTTCGGCAAAAAACACAAAGCTTTTGCTTTGTTGCCGGAGAGGAGGCGTGGGACCAGTCAAACCATGGCGATGTTTTATTCACCAAGGTCTTGTCCCACGTTTCAGTTATGACAGTGCTGTTCCCTGAAGACTTGTTCTTCTACGGAAAGCGCTATAACACAATGACAAATTGACGTCGTTTCAACGACCAGTCTTGATGTCTGGTGAAGACCTATACGGTTCCACCATTCGAGCCCAGCTCGTTTAAAAGTGTTCCATAACTGCTCTTCTGACGCACCAACCTCTGCCCGTAAAAAAATTTCCACCAACCTATTGCTAACATTACAGTACTTTGAAACCAGAGACTCAGATCAAGAAGACCAAGACCGACGCTAAGGTCTTGGAGAAGCGTGCCGCTGACAAGGCCGCTAGAAAGTCTGTATGTACATTTGCTTTTATGATTAACCAAGGTCCCTTTTTTCAAGATGATAATACCACATTCGAATATGACTAGCTGCGGCTATGCTGTCTATCAGTTAACCATCTTTCGGGACTGAGATATAAGGGACCATTTCCATGCGTTGTATACTAACATTACCAGGCCAACAAGGAGAAGAGACAGGCTATCGCTGAGAGAACTGCTGCTTACTACAAGGAGTACAGAGATGCTGAGCGTGCTCTCATTGACGCTAAGCGTGAGGCCAAGGCTAACAACTCTTTCTACGTTGAGGCCGAGCCAAAGTTGGTGTTCGTCATCAGAATCAAGGGTATCTCTAAGATCCCACCTAAGCCAAGAAAGATCTTGCAGTTGCTCCGTTTGACTCAGATCAACTCTGGTGTTTTCGTCAAGGTCACCAAGGCTACCTCCCAGTTGCTTAGATTGGCTGAGCCATACATCACCTACGGTTACCCTAACTTTGCTACCGTCAGAAAGTTGATCTACAAGAGAGGTTACGGTAAGATCAACACCCAGAGAATCGCTTTGTCTGACAACGAGATCATCGAGAAGGCTTTGGGTAAGTACGGTATTGTCTCTATTGAGGACTTGATCCACGAGATCTACACCGTTGGCCCTAACTTCAAGCAGGTTAACAACTTCTTGTGGCCATTCCACTTGTCTAACCCTAACGGTGGTTTCAGAGCTAGAAAGTTCTTCCACTTCATCCAGGGTGGTGACACCGGTAACAGAGAGCACTTCATCAACAACTTGGTCAAGCAGATGAACTAAGCGTGTTGTTGCAGCTCTTTAATTCTTTTGAATGTATTTGAATAAAATCATTTCATTCTATATGTGTACGATAATTTTATGGTTTCCGGTTTTTGTTAACTATCGAGCCAGTCGGCTATGTTGTAGTACCAATATTCTAGCCACGGGATCTGCTGGAGCCATGAAAACGACATGTAGTGAGGTTGTAGAGGGTCGTCGTAACTTATACGTCCTGACAGGAACCAGAGCACCAAGTAGTAGACGAATTTGAGCACGTTGAGAAGCAAGTTGAATGCAAGGAACAAGGCAACGATATCTGAAATAACTGAGCCAATGTTATGTGGATCATGGTTCAAGTATTGTTTAATGAATGGTAATTTTTCAAAGGATAAGTTTGGAGACGGTAGTTCCCAGCGTACCTTCTTCGACAAGTCTGCCTTCTTTTGTAGTTCCTGGATCAACTTATCCTGATCGTCTAAAGCTTTCTTGAATTTTTCTAATGACGCAGCACGTTCTGGGTCGTTACCACCTCCAATTTTCTCTTCGTACCATTGGCAAAGCCTTTCTAATTGTTCCACTCTCCTCTGAAGCTCTTCCACTTGACTGCTTGTCTCCTGTTTTATTACAACCGGCTCTTTCTTCAAATAATCAGTCTCTTCCTTCACAGGCGGTTTAAAGGTCGTAGGTTCTGAAATCGGCCTTTGCTGACTCTTTCCAAACCTGCTTTTCAGAAACACCGTATCGTCCAGCGACTTGGGCCTTCCACTTATCCTCCCCGTGATAGAATACGTTGTGTAGTTATCCAAAAGACGAGTCAAGGTGAGTTTCGATGTATTGGCTCTTTTCTGCAACAATTCCTCCATCGAGTCCAACTTCACGAGCCGTAGAATGAACTTTTCCACATCACGCTGGAACAACTTCAACCTGGGTTTATCTAAAGCCATCTTCTCAATGATCCCCATTTCAGGTTTCGTTAGAAGACTCAGAACCCCCAAGAACGCCTCCATCTCAAGCACAAGCTTATGGACTTCTCCAACGGTTATATAACTCGTCGGTAGCTCCTTTCTGCTGACTTTCTCCCAGCATGTGGTTATGAATTGGTCATATATGGACCCCATTGAAGCTTTGGTGGAAGGGTATTAATGATACAGTTTTTGAACCTTAAGAGCTGAAATGGCCTTTACTGCACCTCAAGTAAATAGAATCAACAGTCAATTAGCAGCCACGGATGGTTTGGGTGGTTTGGGTGGGCCCTTGTTTTGATGTAAATAGTTGATGCATAGAAACACATTTTTCGCGTATCTATGTATTTACCTCTGGTACGTGATTGCATCTATGGTAATGCACATATGTATGACTATATTTTTGACTAATTCTATGCTAGTGGTGATTCTTTATTCGGGCTTTTTTGAAGCTTCTTCTTCGTCTCCAAGCTCGGCTAGAAGCAAATCTCCAAGGGCCTCTGAAGAAACGTTCTGCTGTGCACTGTCCTGTTTAGGTTCACTGCTTTCCTGAATGAAGGGTAACGATTGGTCAATGTAGGTGGTGTCTGGGTAAGAAGAAACGTCTGGGAAGTCTGCCTTTAAGGTGGCCAAGAACGTATCGTCGCCAGGCTCAGAAGTAGCTGAAGGTGCGGGAACCAGTGGTGTTTGCAGCTGCTCTGGAACAGGAGGAACAGCAACTGGCTCTGGCGTAGGAAGCGTAGCAGAACTATCGGTTTCAGGAACTGAAGCAGGGACAGAGGGCACAGCAACAGCAGGTTCTTCTTGTGGAGGAATCGCTTCTGGCTCGGGAACAGGAAGGGAATCAGGTTGAGAGATGTCAGCCTGGGAAGACTCGTTATTCGTCTCGACGCTTGGTCTTTCAATATTGGGCTCTTCTGTCTTCTCTTCCGTCTCCTCTTCAGCCCTTGGTTGCTCTAACTTTGGATCTTCGGTCTTTGCTTCCTCAGTCTTTGGCTCTTCAGTCCTTGGCTCTTCAGTCCTTGGCTCTTCAGTCCTTGGCTCTTCAGTCTTCTCTTCAATTCTCGTCTCTTCTATCTTCTCTGAAAGCAATGGCTCCTGTGGCTTTGGCTCTACCGAAGGTACACTCAGTTGGGGCTCTTCAACTGGCAATGCAGAAGGTAAGCTCGGCTCCTGGGAACCAGCAAGAGGAGTCTCACCATCAGCACTTGGGATTTCAGGAATTTCCACGGCTGGTTCAGGCAGCAAAGGTTTAGCAGAAACTTCCTGGTCAGCCTCTTCATGGACCTTATCTTCAGCAGGTTTTGGGGAACTCGATTCTTCTTTTGTAGTATCACCAAGGATATTCGATACCATTACTTCGTGCTGTGGAGCAGGAGACTTCGATGCACCAAAATCAATGAGGTTCTCATCTTTCGAAACAGGTACTTCCACAGGTGTTGTTTCTTTCTTGATCTCGACAGATACCAGAGGGGCTTCGGAACTTCTCTGAGGAGAGGCAACACTTGTGGGCTCTGGAACAGTTGACTCTGTGGGAGGTGGTGTCGTAGAAGAGGCAGCTTGTCCATTATCGGTACTTTGAGGCATTGGTTGCGATTGCACTTCATTGATGTTTTCACCAGCAGGGCTTTGGTTGCTTGGTACCGGCGCATCAGCTCTGGCCATCTCTGGGGTACGCAGCGAAAAGGACATGTGCTTCAATGAATCAAGTCTTCCTTGTACTGGAAGTGACTGGTACGTTGGTTTCTGAACCTCTGCGATTGGAACATCCAGATGAGTTTCGTCCACCAGTCTAGGTTCTGCGTTTGCAGCTTCCTCGGTAGTAGGCTCTGTTGCTGGAAGACCAAACTCTGATCCCTGCTGATTACCTTCGGTTTGAGGCAGCGCTCTCAGGGAGATCTCTGTTGATTCCTCGATTTCCATTGGTTTGGATGCCGATAGTTCTGCCTCACCGTTTTGACCATCATTTCCAATTTCTGGTTGTTCCGTGGGCTCCTTCTTTTCTTCAGACCCTTCCGACCCAATACCGCCGTTCGTAGCAGGCAGCACCGACCGTTCATCTCTTTGTGCTGAAAAAAGACTCGAGTTAGTTTTCAAGAACGACAGAAGCTTCTCGTAGATGGAAGTAATAATTACCGGAGCACCGAAAACCTTCCTGAAGATAAAAGCTTCACGATGTACCAGAAGTACAGTCTGTGAATCTTGCCAGCCATTTTCGCTAAAACCTGCTTTGAAAGCATCCATTTGACCTTTGAGCCTCTTCAACTCATCAAGTTCACTGGTAGGTTTGACTCTCAAATCCTCTCCTGCAATAACAAACTCATCAATAATCAAGTCAGTTACTTTTTCATTTGCAAATTCCTTTAAGATCGCATCAGACTCCAACAGTATACATGCTGGACACACGTAGTTATCCTCGTTCTCCTCAATTTCCAGTTTCTCTTTGACACAGAAAATATGATACCATTCATGGCAACGGTCACATTCGATCATTATGCCATCTTCCAATTCTCGACAAAGACAATAACGCAAGGGAAGTCTTTCGTCGTAAGAAGGTTCAATATCCTTCAAGAACAAGTATCCACCGGACCGCTCAAAAGGATCAACATCATTGTTCGAAAGATTAGTGGAAAGTTTGTTGTGAATGGTAGTAAGCTTCTTGACCAAGTCGGTATTGACAGCATGTTTCAACGAATGAGTGTCAAACAGACGCTTAGATCTAGTTCCAAAAGATGCTTTCACCTTCTTTAAGGCTGTCCATAAACGTTCGACCCAATCAAGAGATTTTCCAAGATCACTCTTGATTTCAGAATCCTCATAGCCATACTTGGACTTCTCCAAGTCCGCAATCATCTGCTTAGCAACAAACAATGTTGGCGAAGTCGTTTTGTAATTCTGCAAAAACTTAATGAGCGGAGTTTGGGCCTTCAAATCAACAAGCTTATGGTATGACTCCATAAAGACAAAAAGTCTCTTTTCTCCTCGTTCTTTTGCCCTTTCCTCCATATCAATAATCAAGGTTTCAAGCTCAGCGAGATTCACATTGTTGAGTTGCTTATGGGCTTCCAAGTAACCGTTGATTTTATCGTCGTAGGCTTTACCTTCCTGGAGATAAATGTCAACCTGCTGAAGCTTCGTCAAATCGTTTGCACTAAGAATACGCATACCGTCGTCATGAAGCTTTTGAAGGTGAGATAATGAGTACACTTCCTTTTTGCCAGCAAAAGGGTCTCCACCTTCAAACAATACGTCAAACGTTTTGATCCACACTTCTCTATCACGAAGCCTAACCAAAAAGTCAAGTATTGGTAATTTAATACCAAAAGATGTTCCCAAATTGATCATGTCATTTAACTCTGATTGCTGTACGTTTGGCTTCGAGATCAAGTTTCTGCAAGCACGATCAAAATTCTGGATTTCATTCTTAAACTCAAGCACTTGATCAAACTCGGGAGCATAGAAATTGAGCTTTGGGATCTTATTTGCAAGGTCGAGCAAAGTAGTTAGCTTGCCCTGTTTTTCCTGTTCTTGCGGTAAGGTGGTCTCGGCAGCTCCACGAATTCTTTGTTGATGCTTAAGAGACAACACAGCTTGACACTCCTCGATTATGTCATTGCAATGGGTAACAAAATTGTCAAGATTCTCCACATACCCTTTGAAGACTTTCATCTTCTGTTCACGTTCAACATCCTCGGCAGCTCTTGAACCGTTAGAAACAAAGCGCTTGAACCGTGGATGAGCACTCGACAAGGCGGCAAGTATCTTCTGACCATCACCGAGAAGACTCTTACAGACTTTCAAGGAGACTTCCTCTTCATCACGCATGACATTCTCATAGTTCAATACCCAGTCATCGAACTCAATTGAGTAACCACTAAGAACTTTCTGGTAGTTCTTGAGACGGTCGTCTGATAAGAAAACATGAAGTTCGATCTTATGAGCTGAAGAATTTATAAAGTCAGGAAGACCCATGGTAAACTGAGGCGTACCCTGTTTCTGTGCTTCTAATGCATCCATATACTCGAGGAAACTTTCAAGTGCCATGGAAAACTGCGTCGAATCCCTTGTGTTAGTAATAAGAATCTTTGAAGGGAAAGTGTTTTGTAAGTTATCGTCGGCTATGCTGTCTGCGTCATGGGCGCTTCTTTCCTCTATCACGATTTCCTTCACCTTCACTCTGGATCTAACCTTGTTTCTGAGCGTGAGTTCTTTCTCAAGAAGCTTGTCGTAGCATTTCAGGGCTTTGTCATAGACATCAAAGTCGAAACTGCCGCAGTTGTTTTCATACAAGCTGGCAATGTTAATAAGAAGCTTGAAGACCGATATGTTAGGAATGATGCCTTGATTCTTGAGCCATTCTTCGGCTTCATCTGCATAATCGAGCCAGCCCTTAGATGCAAAGTCCACGTCTTCCGTGATGTTCAATCCCAAGGAGATAGAAGACGAGTATGATTTTGGGTATTGAAGGATTATTTCACCTGGTCTTTGCAAGGAAGTTGTGTAACGGATTCCTCTACTTTCAAGCATTTCTGGGCTGATGAAGTATTCCTGATTGTAGAAAATGCCTTCTCTTTTGCTCCTCTGGAAATCAATGATCTTTTGAAACTCTGGGTCACCGATGAACGCACGGACTTCGGGATATGGATTCACCATGTTTTCTAGGGAATTGACAAGGCATTCATATTCGAAATTCAAAGTATCGTTATCTGTGTTGAGATACTTGAGAAGATCGGATATCTGCCAGCTCTCAGGTTGACCATTCATGTTAACTTTTCCATTGCCAGCATTATTGGAATTGACTTCTTTAACAAGCTCTTCGAATTTCGCAAAGTCCAGCTCTGGAATGAAGTACCATCTTTTGCTCCTGCCGAAGAAGTGGAAGCTGCATCTTTGCAAAAAATGGTCTTCACAGTGCCAGTTTTCTGTACTGAAAGTCATTCCCACGTTAAGATGCGAGTTATGCATGTCATTATTGTTGATATCATGCGCCGAGAATGCTCCAAGAAGAGAGTTGGGCAAAGTGGGTAGATTGTGAAGATTGAAAGGCGCTAACGAATTTCCTATCGTTCGGGAAATGTACGGTTGGCAATTGAGAATGAGTGCCTCACTGTTAGAGGGAGCGTAAGTATCACCATTAAAGGAAGGTCTGGAAGAAGGTGCTGTATCAACAGGGGTTGGTGTACCGTTTTTGCTGCTTGTGGTTGAATGCTGCTCCTGGCTCCTTGAAGGTTCAGAACCTGAAGAATGATGGCTGGAAGTTGGCTGATTCACTGTATTCAAATGCGATTTGTAGTTGGTAAAGTCGTCTCCGATTCGAAGGAAGCCTGAGCCGTTGGCCAAATGAGGTAAAGAAAAGCCGTTCTCGATCTTTAATCCATCTAGAATATCATCGATACCCTCATGGCTTGCACGCTGCCAGAAGATTTCTTCTAGGCCTTGGGGAGAAATGGGGCTCGAGTCGTCACTGATCTGAAAGCCACTTACATGCGTGGGAAGGTTATGATGCGACGAAGAGCCATTTCTCTCGCCGTTAATGCCAAACATGGAAGGGTTAGATGAAATCAAAACTTCTTGGAATTTGCAGTCCTTTTCAATGAATTGGCGTAATGAGTAAATTGATGCCAGCTTTCCGTTTGGCTCTTGTCTGGTGGCATCCTGGAGGTTGGTGGCATTCACACCCATCCATTTTAGGTAGCTATTCACCTGAGCAGATGGGTTAAGTGAGCATGTAGATGAAACCTTTGGAGGTTTGCCTGAAGTCTCAGGACCATTGCTTGAGCCGTTCTCTGGTTGAGAGGAAAAAACGAGTGGAGGTTTGACATCCACCAAATGAGGCTGATTTAGAAGAAAGCCTTTGCTAGCCTTGGAACGGAATGAACGTCTGTATTCTTTTGCAGAGCCAAGTAAAAGAGGCGACAGCGGGTCCACCTTTCTTCTTTTTGCAGCTGGCTCTTCGCCCACAGGTACAGTTACAGGTATGTCGGTCAAGCCGGCAAGTTGAGCACATTTAGGCCCCAAGTGCACCTCTAAAGGATGTAGTATTTTCGCATAAGAAAGCTTTAGCGAGCTACTAAGACTGCTTGTGATCTTACCCTTGTAGCCCAACTCTCTGCCGATCTGGGCCCAGAGTTTTCTGTTTATGACTTCGTTGTAGCCGCCTCTCATTACGACAAGACGAAACAAATCGTAAAGGTCCAAAGGTCTCTTATCCATCATGGGTAGTTTCTGCAAAAAAGGAGGTACTTTGGATCTCGAAGATTTCTGGGATTCCTCTTTCGGCTGGGAAGCGTCGGTGCTTTCTTGAGAAGGAATGTCGATATCGTCTTCCAGTTTCAATGGTACTGCTGGAGACTGAGTGCCATCAATACCTTCAGATCGTTGCACATTTAAATGAAAACTTATGAGTTCGTTATAAAATCGGAGCCTTGTCAAAATTTCATTCTCTTTTGGGCTCGCCAAGATACGGTTGGTCTTAAATTGGAAAAGATCTGGATTGATCTGGAAATTCGTCCTTGCCATATTATTAAAACTTTCAGGCATAATGATCTTAATTGCTCCATACTGCTTACCGGCTTCCCTCATAGATTCCGAAAACAGAATAGGATCACTCATAGTAGCATGATCATACTGAAATACGGGTATCTCTTCAGCACCCTTATGCTGTGTCAGTTGAACATGGCGTTCGTCCAAGCTTATCCTATTAGGCAAGTTGAACAAATTTATAGGATAACTCTGTCTCGGGCGAGTCTGAGGACTGGTAAATGGCAGGTAGTTGGCGGTGGAGTTGGTGACATGGATGGATTTAGACAGACGGTTGAAACTCGGGCTACGAGAATCGCTGGGGCACGGGCTAAAAAAGCGACTGGTCGCCGGGAACTGCGCTAGATCGTCAGATGACATGCGAGGGGGTTCTAGCGAAAGGGATATGGACGTAGATTTGGGAAAATCCAGTTGGAATCGTGGATTGGAAAACTGAGCATCTGAGTAGTAGGAGAGGAGACTGTTGATGTAGGGTCATGTGAGTGTGGGCACGTGCAGAAACCTGTTTTGCAACCCCAGGCAAGAAAGGAATAAGATCAGGGTTAGGGAGGGGGAAGGTTGGAGGTGGTTAGATTATTAGAGATGAAGGGGTTTGGTTGTGGTGGTTTCGTGTTTTTGTTTCTCGACAGGTCAGTGAAGGTCTCGAGAAGTTGAGTATATGGGCGTATGTAATATGGTGATAGTGGAAGAGAGCAGGTAAGAACGGAAAATTACCGATTCTTGGTTATTTTAATTTTTAAGTGGGTTTTAAGGGTTACGTCGTAAAATGACAGAAAAAAGCGCTATAGACAGATATCAGGGGAAGGGGGAGATACAAGGCTTCATAGACACTAAAGTACGGAAGAAGAGGCCAGTTCATGGTCTCATATATGGTGTATACTGTTACTAGTTTGGCAATTTGAGGCATGATTAGTAAGGAGTAGAATTTGTGACATGAATCCAATAGTTTTGAAAATGTATGGAAGGGTGCTTTGGGTCAGACCAGATGGAATGGTTGGAGGAAGGAGAATTCTTTTCTCTCTGCTTTTTTGGCACTTTCGGTGTCTTGGGTATATGGAGCCATTGAAGATAGATATCATTCATTATGTGGGAGCTGTTTAGCTTTGTATGGATAAGCAAGCTGATTCAAGAAGTACCAAAGCATTAGAGATAGAGTGATTGAAGTTTTCCATTTGGCGCCAAATGAACAATGCCAATATTACCATCCATTTCCGCTTTTCACGAAGTAGTCAACTTAGTATGTTTTCGTTCTTATTGCTGGATCCTAAGCTAGTTGCATCCCATCCATGAATGAGACAGAAGGTTGAAACATTCAGCTCTGTCACCTCTTTCCACCACTTCAAAGGTATCATACCTTTCCTATGTACACTGACCAGTTTGTTTAGAGGGCCCTTTAAATTATATGTATCCGACTCTTTCTTCTCTCTAGCATCAACCCTACTTGCTTGTCCTCCTGGGGCGCCTCCAGCACAAACTACTGTAAACCATCACTACCCCTTGGAAACCTCCCCTTTAAATTAACCCCTTCAAGGAGCCCCATTGCCTCGACTGCCTTGGAAATCCCATTATACAACTGAACATCGTGGGCTTAGCAACGAACAAAGAACCCACACAAGGGATCGTCCTCGTCTAAAGAGTATACTAAAACACCACACGACCTTTAATCCTACAAAGTGACAATCCTAAGCTTTCCCTCGACATATAAACTGAACCTTCAAGAATAAGAGAACCAAGAAAACGAACAAAGAGTATCTTTAACCCCTGGCGCCATTCAGCCTTGAATGCCATGATTCAAACCACCAAGGGTTGCCAGAATCCCTACACGCTTCACAATCGCCATTGTTTGGAATTTTTTGCTTGATTCACCATTCATAGAGGGAAGTTCCAGTAACTCGTTCGGCTACTCTACTCCGTGTAATTCTCCGTTTGACGGTAGAGCTCCCTCCAAGGGTCCATCAGGCAACTAAACGGTCATCCAAAACACCAGGCACCACAAAACCCAGACCTAATTCCGTTACCTTTACAGTTTAAAGAGAAAGGGCACTCCTAAAATTAGCCAATTTCTCCTTATATGTCCCTGGGTTAGGAACCTCCTACAATCAAAATGCATCAATCTGAAACCTGAAACCCACGCCTGCCACGCCCAACCTGCCACTGCCTTCCACAATGGCCTTGACGTGGGATGTACGACGCTTGGCGGATTGCCCAGATATCCATAACTGGAGCCATTGGTCACGAATACAGCCAGCCAAGCAGTGAGGCAGCAGGCGATTCCATGATGCAACGCAAGCGGGCCGAATGTCCAGAAAAGGGGCATATCTGGTGATAAGAAGAAACCGGGTTGCTGTTCTAGGATAGAAAATAATAATGTAAATAATATGAAGAGTAAAAAATAATAAAAAAAAGGAACCTCTTCTTCACTATCCAGTGCTCACTCAGTACTCACTCAGTACATCTCTCGTACGAGGGAACCCACAAACCAACAAAGGCACAAATCCTCTTCTCTTCTTTATACCATCTCTTTGTTATTGTTATTGTGCATTGTCTGATTTTTGGACCATCCTTTTTGCCATACTTTCTACCTCCACTTTGTGCCCACTTTGTACCAGCCAAGCTTTAACCAGCACTCAGTAAAGTCTCCAAAAACCACTGACTAACCAAAACCTCAAATCCCAAGTGCAACCTTTCTCCTCGGTTGGAGCCTTCCCGTTTCAGGTCCAAAGTAAAATAAATTCCATTACCTAAGCTTTTTACATTATAGTGGAAATGATTGGATGGGTATTTTTGGCGCTTCGTTGACGAACGGCTCAAGCGTCGTCGGTGCAGGCCCGAGGGTAAAGTAAGGTTTAGGAAAAAAGTTTAGGATCGTGATTGTGTTCCCCCACTCTGGGTGGGGGATAAATTACCTGGTAGTTGTGGCTGCCTGGAGGGAATTCAAGGCCCGCTGGGAAAATGACTACATTGGGGTATGAAGCACGGATGCAAAAAGCGCAAACTAGTAGAGATTCCATGTAAGGCATGCGAGCCAGCGGGGGACTATATTGGGAAATGCCGAAAGTGGAATGTTTCAACGCATATGCGTGGCCTGCATATAAGCACGTTTCGACAGAAAACCGATGCGCGACCCAAAAACAGAGGCAAAAAAAAATGGCAAAAAAAATGGCACAAATTTTGCCGAGCCGACCCGACGCCTCGTTGAGCGGCGCCGCCAGTTGAAGTGTTACTAGGTATTTTTTTGCTACAATTGAAATTGAATTAGAAATGTAAATTAAAACCCTGTAACCTGTGGTTCGAAAAAATGAGGCGACATGTCACCGAATATAAAGAATGTGGTATGTTATTAAAATAAATCCATCATGCTATCAAGCTTAGAACAAAGCAGCGGCAACGGCAGCGACACCAGCAACGGCACCAGCAACGTTCTTGGCAGCAGCACCCTCGTAAGAGGAGACAGCAGCGGTGGTGGATGGAGCTGGGGTGGACTCACCGGCAACGGTGGATGGCTTGTGCTCACATTCCTCACATGGGATGGTGGAGGTGGTGGTGGACCACTCAGTGGTGTAGGTGGTTGGGACGACACATGGCTCAGTGACGGTCAAGGTGGTGGCCTCAGAGACAGTGATCTCAGTTGGAGCACACTTGTCCTCCTCACACTTGGTGATGGTGACAATGGTGGACTCTGGGCAGTAGGTGGTGTAGCCAGTAACGGTAACGTCAGTGGTGACGGTGGTAGCGTTAGAGTAGGCAGCGGAGGCGGTGGCGGCGAAAGCGGCGGCGGCGGCGACGGTAGAGAATTGCATTGTAAAGCGAGTGACTGAGTTGTAGATGAGAGAAAAAAAAAACCTTCCAAAAGGTGGGAATCTCGCCTGTATTTATAGTTGAGCGGGCCTCACAGGCCGTGGGCCGTGGGAAGCCCAAGGTGGGGGGGCTTTTGGCGTGAATTGTTTCCTGTATGGATGCGTGACGCATGGCTTGAGGTTTTTTTTTTGTTTAGTGTTCATGTATGATTGTGTGCAGTCCGTGTGTTATTTCTTCCCAGTTACGAGGAAACACCGCTGGTGCAACAAAAAGCCTGGGTTATTTTTGGAAGAATTCCCAACACGGCAGGGCCCGGGGCGGCGGCTTTGAAGATGCTTAGATGGGTTTCTCTGGCAATGGTAATGACTTCTACGGTTCTGACTTCTACAAGTTCTGACTTCTTTTCTTGACTGCTGTCAGTGACAGGTTAGAGAATGGGAAGATATCGAAAAAAAAGTTGTTCGGCAATTGAGAGAATTCTTGGGTGGTTCTATTTTGTTTGCCGTTGTCTACAGTGAAAAAAAAGGGGCGCGGGCGACCGAAAAGAGCAAGAAACAGGAGCCCTTGAGGTTCTTCAAAACAGGCGAAAAAACAAGCAAATGTGAGGAAACAGGCAGGAAAAGCAGGAAAAACATGCAAAAAAAAAGAGGGAAAAAGGGAAAAAAGTGGACCGCGCTGGATGAAACGACCTTGGAAGGCCGCTAGTGAGAGAATTCTAGTAGAAAGAACGTAAAGAAAAAGAAGGGAAAATGGCAAATCGAAGTAAAAGATCGACGTCTTAGTGATCTTGAAATTACCTGCCTTTTTCCACCAGCAAAAACTCCAATTGGCAACGGCTGGGTGGGTTAAATTATGAAACATTTCAGGTGGTTCCCGTTTTTGCATCCTTTTTTTTTTGCTTTTGCTGCCGTCCTCGCCAGGCACAAACACAGGCAAACCACAGGCAAACAGAAGCACAAACCGTGAGTAAACACAGCAAAAAAAGAAAAAAAAAAGGAAAAAAAGGCACCAGAAACACCTGCCAAGTGATTTCGGGAAATTCCACGCTGCCCATGCTCCCTGGCTGCTGCTGCTGCCTTCTACTGCTTCTGCAACTGGTCGTCTCGCCTCAGGGTCCAACCGCGAATGGCTGCAAAGAAAAGGTGAGAAAAAAAGAGGCTCTGCCAGAGGAAGTAAACAACTGACAGTAAACAGACTGGAGGGAAAAGGTAAAGAAAGGGAAAAGGAAAGGGAAAAGCTTAAAACATGAAAAGACATGAAATGCCCCTCCATCATTTCCCTCCTGGCCTCTCCATCCCCTCTGGAGCCTCTGGCCCTTGTTTGCTGCTTTCACCGCTGGTTATGTGCTGCGGCGGTTTCCTCACTAAGTAGGCCGCCTGCTGGATCGAGCTGGTGCATATGAGAAGCCTCCTGGCTTATGGCCCTTTTAGCCGCCCATGTTACTGGATAGGGTTTCCGGACTTGCAAAGTACCCACGAAGTACTCACAAAGTACTCACGTAGTGAGTACGAGGGGGTACGAGTGAAAATGACTGGTATGTCGTGGTATTCAGTATGTACTGAGTGTATTTAGTGTATTTAGTGTAGAGTATTTAGTGTAGAGTATTTAGTGTAGAGTATTTAGTGTACTGAGTATTCTGTGCGCTCGCTGTGCTCACAGTAACCGCTGGTAAACCTCAGTGGGGGCTAAAGCACGGTGGGTAAAATAATAATCATTTATTTTGAACAGGGGGTGGTGTTTGTTTCTAATGGAAAGATCATCGGTGGCGTAGTTCCAGTTACCTGTTCCACTGGGGGAGTCTGAAATTGGGTCTGGTCGGTGGAGGCTCGTATTTTTCGTGTTTCGCTTAGCTTCCACCTAGACGAGCCGTGCCAACCGTGAATTCACCTGGACCTGGAACTCTAGCCAAAACCTAAAAGTCTGTTTGGGAATGGGGGGGTTTTCACGTTCACGTCCACATTAACTTTTGTCCCTTTCGTGCCTTATTTTTTTTTGTCTTTTGCTTGTTAACACTAACCTAGGCTTTGTGGACTCTATGGAATTCCACTTCTTCTTGTCTACATTCCATTCTGCGTCATTCTACTACTAATCTTGCTGGTTTCTGTCCTCTATCACCAGTAGCAACCACTGTACCCCTTCTCCAGGTCTCCTTGACCATCTCTGGTAGTCTCCCAGGAGGCCTGTGCATCATGCTGTACGACGTCACCATGGCCGCAAGCTACTCAATAAGCTTCTTGTTTTTGTCCAACTCCAAACACTCTTCTACTCGCTACACATACAAAAAAGCCTCTGGATGCTGGCTTTCTTGTTGGCTTGCCTGGCTTTCTACATTTCCATGGCTTCAACTAAAGCCTACAATGGCTGATACTCGCTTTACCCAACTGGGCTAATTGCTATGTAAACAGTGTTTTTTTTTTTTTTCACCAACGGCACCGACACTACTTTTACCCTCTGTGCATCGAAGCGTTGGGGGATAAACATTCGTCTATGGGCTTTCCACGCACTTCTCTCACCTTAACGTCATTTTTGTGTACTTTAATCAAGCAACCGTTGCCTTTGTGTTTGATCTTCGGCCCGATGAATGGTTGCTTTCTTATGGTTATGTTTATTTGGCCAGCGCCTCCAGGGACCTGACCTGATCTGGTATGAAGGCCAATTCCGAGAGCCCTGGAATGGTCCTGCTAATCATTAGACTAAATGGCTGGTTAACTCATTGTTCTCTGTGTTGACACATGGTTGCAAATCGGAATGTAATGTGTCACACAACTGAACCCGTTATGGTTCTTTGTTCAACATACCCTGGGGACTTTAATGAGACATGTTCCTTCCAATAAGCTTTCTTATCTGGGAATCCGTAGTAGCAATAGCGGAATCTTGAAGGGGTGCGTCGTCCAGCGTTGAAGCACTATTACCGCCCTGGGGATAGACACTCAATGGGTCGGCTGACTACATAGTCCTGATTTGACTTGAAAAAATTTCTATTGTGGTTACCAGGCGGGCTCATGTTTCGCTTGCTAATGGTCACTTTGTCAAGAAGAACCTACCGAGCGTCGCCAAGGTAACAATCGTGTATCCGTGGGGGAGTAAAGTCTAATTCTATTTTTACACCGCCTCTTTTTTTTTTTTGATCTTAGCTATGTGAAGATGTTGACTCAAGGCCGCCAAGGTTGATTCATCAGATAAAGTCAAGCTCTTACTGGATTTGGTTTGTGGAACATGTATTCTTGTTTTGCTCCACAAAACCGTTTTCAAGGTGCTTGCCTTGGAGACGTCCAGCGAAAAGCCTCTAAAGCTCTTGGAAGTGCTTGTCTTGCTGTCAAGGTTCCTCTCGGCTATGCTTTCTCTTTTTTGAGAATGTTGGATAAACCGTTGAACGTTGCATATGTAGATGGAGGAACCAAGCTGGGGTGCTTTGGGATATGTCTGTTTTGTGATGAGCGACTGAAAAATACTACAAGTTCTTTAAACTAAGTGAATTCGTGTATTGATATGTAAAGATTGTTCAGAATCTTGAGCTATACAAATTGCCTTGGTAACTTACTCGCTAACTATGAGGTCACATTCTACGTAGAGATTGGGATACTACAATAGCCATGACTCTACAACACCTACTAGATGCCCTTCAGATTAGACCACTATTGGGAAACGCCGAACACATCCAAGGCTATGTTCATTTAAACATGACTGACTTCATTCGCCTCTTTTCAGAAGTCACGATATAAAACCAACCGTCGCCCTTGCCTTTTGCGAACGGCATCGCTGGACATCTGACACACCTATGCTGGTCTTTTATGCTCGGTAAGTAGCTAGAAAGTGAAAAATTCCCATCCACTGCTCCAACACTGACCGTGTGGCCACGTCAACTCTCACTTCAGGTAGGCCTCCTTTGGTCTTTCCCCAACTTCATCGTTCCATTGGCTTCTCTTGGGTATGGCCAAAGAAAGTGGAGTAGGCAAATTCGACTTACTCTAGTGGGATCTAAGGCATTACTTGTTTGGGTTTCCAGTGCCGCCGGTGCTCGACTTTCCATTTTGCTCGCTTTGTGAAGTTGGTCCATGAATAAATCCCAAATTTGCACTCATCAAAATCATCATTTTTAAAGCTTTTTTAAACAAAATTAGTATCAAAATATTCAGAAAATATTGTTTTAGACCATTGGTCTAAAAAGCTGTTTCAAAAAACCGTTATTTGTTGAGCTACGAATTTTCAAAGATTTTGCAATTTCCAGAAGGTATAAGCACCACCAGCAGACACTCCCTTTACAACCTTCCCTACTCGATCAACTCTCCCATCATTCTGGTCATTCATCCCAGAAATTTGAACATAAATAGAGGTGGTTTTTCCCTCCATTCTGTTTCTTCTTTACCACTTTTCTTCAGCATTAAAGTTTGTCTACCAAAGTCTACAACACTTCAGTACACAAACACAATACAACATCAACAACTTTACAATGCAATACACTATCAAGCTTCCTCTCAGTAATTTCGGAGGCTTTACTAACAGTAGTCTTTCGGCTGCCCACGAGTTTTTGGAAATCCAAATGGAAGACCAAGAGCTCAAGGAATTCTTCACCCATTATTCCGAATCAACCTCTAGTCCTCATGCTAGAACCCTTTTCCAGTCCAAAGTCGACGCCAAGTTGTGTGAACTTCTTGCTAAACGTCGTTCTTCGGCTGCTCCCGTCCCCGCTACTGATTCTGAGGCAGTCTCTAGCGATGAATTTAATGTCTCAGGGTTGGGCTCTCAGCCTGACTCTTCTTGTACTTCTGGCGCTTCAGACGCTGATGCTTCAGGCGACGACAAGGTTGTCCCTGAGCCAGTTGAAACGTCTAAGAAGCCTTCTAAGGCCTCAAAGAGAAAACGCCAGAAACGCAAATCGTTCAAGAAGTCTAAGGCTTCCGGTTCTGCTTCTCCTGTCAAGGATGGAGCTCAGAAATCCAAGAGAATGGCTGCTCTTGGTCGTAAAGTTGTGCCTCGTGGTACTAAAGCTCCTCAAGTTGAAGATGTAGAGGAGGTAGATTTCGAAATTGGTCTTAATGAATCCAGGGAATCTAGAAAGACTGAGCTGGCAGCTGTTATGAAGCAGCTAGTCTCTAAGGTTCCGTTTGGTCCTGAAGAGGCCAAGGAGGTGGTTCTTCCACCAATTGAAGCTTTGGATACTTTGAAGGCAAAGCTCTGGTTCAAGCTTTTTTCGAACCAGCCGGTCGACAGACCATTTAAGGTTAAGGCTCGTACTATCAGATCATGGTTCAATCCATCGGTCTTTGAGCCTTTTATGAAACCTGCTTCTGTTCAGAAGGCTATTGAGGGCCCAAAGAACACTAAGCAAATCTTTACCGTGCATGGTCCTTCAGAGAAGATTCTGAAGAAGATTGAAGGATCTTCCAAGGTGGACCAAGTATTGGCTTTCCATAAGGCCCAGTACTTCTACTCCAAGAGAATTCTCAGCTTTGAGAACCTCTTCAGCCAGTACAAGGTTAACTGGCCTAAGGCTACCAAGAGTCTTGACTTGAAGGCTTTGCCTGTTCCTCATACCAACAATAATTTGCAAGTTGGTCAGTTGTCTCAGTATCATGAGTTCATGAGACTCTTGAAACTCTCTGAGCTCTCTAACCCATTCCGGGAATGCTTGCCTTTACCAGGGGACAAAGACGAGTTGCCATTGAAGTCCTCTCTTCCTCCCCCATCAGCCCCTAAGATTGTTGAGGTTAAGGATGACAATGGTCCATCCAAGAGGGCTCTTAAGCAGAGAGCTAAGAGACAATCCAAGAAGGAGAAGAAGAAGAAGGCAAAGGCTACAAAGAAAGCTCCACGCCAGTTTAAGAGTACTACTAACTCGACGGCTAGAAGAGAAAGACGCCAGAATGCTCAGAGAAACACGGAGTTTGACATTACTCCACCTCCTCGTCCTCAAAAGATTGAATTGACTCCTGTGAGTCCAGTGGTCGAGGAGGCTTTGACTCTTCCAGTTCCTGTTATTGAGGAGCCAGTCAACCATTTACAAGTGGGCCAGGTATCACAGTACCACTACTTCATGAAGCTCCTTAAGCTTTCAGAGGAGTACCATGCCTACAAGTATGCTTCCCAGATTGCCAAGGTTCTCAGAGCTACCAAGCTTCCGCTGTTCATTATCTCTACCGTCAAGGATGAAGAGAAACAGGTTGAAGAGGTGACAGAGACTCAGCCAGAGGAGCAGGTGATCTACCCCATTCAGAGCACTTTGAAGCTTATTGAATGGGTTAAGGAGGAGAAAGAAGAATGTATTAAAGGTGAGGAGCAGAAGTCTGAGCCAAAGAAGGTTAAGAAGACGCCGGTTTCTAAACCAAAAACCTCAAAGGCCAAGCAGAAGAGAAAGAGAAACCAGAAGGCCAAGAGAAGCAAATGGTGAAATTAAACAAACAAAAGAACAAAAGACAATGCCCCTAAGTTAGCATTGCCAGGATACGGGGAATACATAGGTAGTATTTCATAGGATAGGTTAATAGTAATAAAAAAATAAAATAAAGAAAACAGTCGTTTGTAGGAATGTAGCTCTATGTTCTCACTTCATCCTCTGCTAGAAGGCCTCAAGTAATGCACTTCTGATGGACTGTCCTTCTACCACTGTGAACAGACATCCCTCATGAAAACAATACCCGATAACTCTGTAACTCTGCCATCCCCTCTTACAATCTACTTCGATCTTTCACCCATTGATAAAAGGTCCTTCCTGACTTCTTTGACTCCCATTAGGCCTTTTCGCAGCCATTCCAGTGCCCACTATATCCTCTCTAGATACACCAAAACTTGAAATGAAAGTCCAGGAAACTACCAAAAAGTCATTCAAATCAAATACAACAAATCCACCAAAAGTCATTATCCACCCTTTTCAGCATATTCCATTTTTCTCTTCCTCCCATCAACACTTCCCTGCCTCACATACACATCGCGGGCGCCATACTACACATCGCGAATCATCAACACACTTCCCACCAACAACCCCATGAAACCATGTCTAAGCCGTTTCTGGGCCGCACGTTCTGCTGTACAGGTCTCCACGGCCATGAGCGCCACGATATGGCAGAAAAGATCTTGGCCTTGGGCGGAACTCACTATACTGATCTTATGAGTCTGGTGAAGTATCTTATTGTGGGGAACAGAAACACCGAGAAGTATAAGTATCTGATCAAGTATCGACACGATGTGGTGTTTTTGCCGCTTACGGCGGTGACACGGATCCACGAGAAGTGGATGGCTGGCGACGATACGGGGCTAGCGCCGGAAGAGTACCTGATGCCTGTTTTCCAGAAGTTCAATATCTGTGTGGCAAGAATCGATAGACCTGACCCTACGGTGGTGCTGAAACTTTTTGCAGAGCGATTTAGGACACCTTCGGCTGGCGCAATGCCGCCAGATTCGTTAACAGACGCGTTTCTGATGGAGGAGGTATCGCTGTGTACTGAAAAGAAGGGTGCTCAGGTTTCAACTACACTTACACCCAACTGTGATGTTGTAATCAGCACGGAGCCTTCCGGGAAGAGATACACTATGGCACGGCAGTGGGGCATACCCGTGGTGCATCCGCTTTGGGTGTACGACTCGTGTCTTCGAGGAGCTGCTTTAGACTTGGACGATTACGTTCTCACGTCTGATGGGAACAACCTTTATAACAGCGCGTCGTTCGTGTGGAAGAAGCTTTATTCAGCAAGAACGGAGCAGAAAGCTCCTGAGAAGCCGGAGAAGATTGTGGATGCTGAAAGAGCGCCGTTGAAGAAATCGTCTGAGGTGTGGAGCTCCATCATGAGCCATTCACGTTCTCGCTCGGCCCGTGTCATCAAGGAAAGTCTATGGGAGGAACCGTCAGAGGATAATAACGATGATAGTCTGGCTAAAACAGGCGCAACAGCGCCTACTTCAGCTGCTTCGCCTTCTGTGAAGAAGAGCTCGCTTTTCGTTGGGTTTAATTTCCTTCCAGTCGGCTTTTCGATCCCACAGCAAAAGGTGCTTCGAAATGTGGTGGAATCACATAGCGGTGAGGTTGCCGAATCATCAAGTGACGAAACTGTGTCTCACGTTTTGCTTTTAGTGAAGAGTGGCCCTCAGGCGAGCTTGATGCTTCTGATGCTTCCAAGTACTATGAAACGTCGCATCAATACTAAAGAAGTTCATGTCGTTACAGACTGGTTCATTGAAAGATCAATTTTTTACAAGGAAATCCGCCACGACAGTTGGTGCAAACCTTTACAGGGACTCGTACCGCTGCCAAAGAAATTCAAAGTTTGCATAACAGGCTTCACGGGCGTGGAGCTCTTACATATTGAGAAACTCATTGAGTATCTCAATCTCGAGTTTTGCGAGACCCTTGCGTCCAAGCGAGACTTGCTCATTGTCAACATTAATTTATTCAAAGATAGCCTTCAAGAGAAGAGCCCGTCACTTTTCAAGTACAGATATAAAGATGTGCTTGATTGTCCTATTTACACCAGTGGAGACCGGCTGTCGTCGGTTTCGGTGATGTCTTCACACAATAAGATGAACGCTGCCAAGAAGTGGAACATCCCCATTGTTTCGGTCGCTTATTTATGGGAGATGATACAGAGACTGGCAGGGAAAGCCAATTTACAAATGCCGGATATATTCGATCTCTCCTGGTGTATCTATGCTCCTCGCAGCATGACAAAGCCAACTACGCTTCTTGACTATGTTAGAGGCATGAATGATAACTTTCTGACCCAGAAGCGCTCTGCCGAAGAGATGGAAGAGGAAGGTGAGTCTGTTCAGCTTCCATCTCCACGGAAAGCGAGAGAGAAGCAGAAGTATGGTCGTTTGGCAGGCAGCCGAGAATCGTTAACCGAAAAGCTCAAGAAAGCCCAGGAAGTGTCACAAGAGAATGGAAATGACGTTCCATCAGACGATCGTCCTCCTGAGAGTGACGATATCATGACACAAGTTGGTTATGTCAATCAAGACTCAGTACAGAATAATGAAGAGCTCATGAGGAAGCTCGGTGAAGACGTAGACCGTCCGGCAAAGAGGACAAGACGGGCCAGGCAATAAATAGACTTAATTTCACGATTTACGATTCATAAAAGCAGAGTAGGGAGGAAGTTATGTTGGTGATGTTCTTTGTGATATTTTTACATTGTTTCATTTAATTGCATATATGTTGAAGAATTGCAAATGGCTGCGAAATACAGTAATATCTACAGATATGTTTCAGCACCCAGAGATTAATGGAACTTACAACATCAATGTAAAAATCAAAAACAAAGGAAATTCAAACAAAAAAAGGAGGCATTCGATTCTCTGGCCTTTGAAGAGCCATCTGAATCTTTTTTAGTTTGTTAGCAGTGATATTGACAGAAATGTTGGTGAAAATGGTTTTGGAGCATAAATGAAGAGGCCAGAAGGGGACCCTAGGGGTCAATTCTTCAAGAAAAGGTAGCCTTTGAATGGTTAATGGTTGTGTAATGGAACTGGCCAATTCTATTAAGCTTAACGACTGTTAGAGCTCTCAGATGCATCTTTCAAGATGGTATTAGTCCAATTGGTAGTAGTATAGTAATGGAGGAGCCATTAAGGGTGGTTTCAAACATCTTTTTGGAAGAGAAGAAAATGAAATGATGCTGAACAGCCCGAATTAGTATTCAGAGAAGTATGCCATGACTGTTCTTTATACGGCTCATTAGCTGCCTCGTTCCGAAACGCTCAGCATCAGCCGCTCCCTGAGCATGAAGCGTTCAATACCACCAATTAGACAGAGAGGAAAGAGAATCAATGACCTTCTAACCAAATCTAAAGGTCAACTACATGGATATGTTCCAATGAAGGCATACTATGGCGACTATTGTACGAGACCTAAATCACAGTAACTCCATGACTTGCAAACCTAGATAAAGAAGAGTCCAATGGTCAATCGCTACTAAGCCATACAATTACTGAACAGCCCCTGGAATTGTCCTTTTTACTGTCCTACTGCAATACGGAAGTGTACTTGTGCTTGGATCATCGGTTGCGAAAAGATAAACCGTTTACGTCATCGAGAGTCCAATTGGGACCGGAGAAACTGAATGACCTTTCTATAACAGGTGAAATTCCTTCACATTTCTATTGGCACCTTTATTTCTTTCTTTTTTTCTCGCCAATGCCTTAGGTTGTTTGCTGAAAAATTGCCTCGGTACTATCGGAGTTCCAGGGCTGAGCCCTCACTGTGCGCACGTGCGGGGCCCACCTCCTTCCCCGCCACCCGTTTTCACACCCCAAACCCACCAAAAGTACCCCTCCATTCCAGGTACCGAAAGGCAAGTCAAAAAATCGACTAGCTATGCCCATTTAAGCTTCTAGCCATTCTAAATCGTTCTTAGAAAACAGCCAATGCATGGGCATGCGGCTCAAGAAAAAAAAAAAAAAGAACACATATACATGGCAAAATGTCGCACTGCCACGACACCGAAATTGCCAGCATGATCACCAGGGTTGAACATGACACAGAGGGAATTAAGAATTAAAAATTAGATCACTAGAACGAGAAAAAACGAAGAGGCAAAACTATATCAATATTTCACCTTACTTAGTCGAATCAGTGCCCCTTTTGTAGATCTAGGCCATTGCCAAATGTCGTGCGATGAGGTATATATGCAGACATTTTCACTTCAATTTTTTTTTCCCTCCCGCCGCAAGCCTCTGTTGCGAATATAAAACCCCATCGCCCGCACCATTTTTAAAATTTTCTTCAACTATCTAAAACTACATCACAATGGGTAAAGAGAAGCAGCACGTTAACTTGGTTGTCATTGGTCACGTCGACTCTGGTAAGTCCACCACCACCGGTCACTTGATTTACAAGTGTGGTGGTATTGACAAGAGAACTATCGAGAAGTTCGAGAAGGAGGCCGCCGAATTGGGTAAGGGTTCTTTCAAGTACGCTTGGGTCTTGGACAAATTGAAGGCTGAGCGTGAGAGAGGTATCACCATTGATATCGCTTTGTGGAAGTTCGAGACTCCAAAGTACCACGTTACCGTTATTGACGCCCCAGGTCACAGAGATTTCATCAAGAACATGATCACTGGTACTTCCCAGGCTGACTGTGCTATTTTGATTATCGCTGGTGGTGTTGGTGAGTTCGAGGCTGGTATCTCCAAGGATGGTCAGACCAGAGAGCACGCTTTGTTGGCTTACACCTTGGGTGTTAAGCAGTTGATTGTTGCCATCAACAAGATGGACTCTGTCAAGTGGGACAAGGCCAGATACGAGGAAATCGTCAAGGAGACCTCTAACTTCGTCAAGAAGGTTGGTTACAACCCTAAGACTGTTCCATTCGTCCCAATCTCTGGTTGGAACGGTGACAACATGATTGAGGCTTCTACCAACTGTGACTGGTACAAGGGTTGGGAGAAGGAGACCAAGTCTGGTAAGTCCACCGGTAAGACCTTGTTGGAGGCCATTGACGCCATTGAGCCACCAACCAGACCAACCGACAAGCCATTGAGATTGCCATTGCAGGATGTCTACAAGATTGGTGGTATCGGAACTGTGCCAGTCGGCAGAGTTGAGACCGGTGTTATCAAGGCCGGTATGGTTGTCACCTTCGCCCCAGCTGGTGTCACCACTGAAGTCAAGTCTGTCGAGATGCACCACGAGCAGTTGCCAGAGGGTGTCCCAGGTGACAACGTTGGTTTCAACGTCAAGAACGTTTCCGTTAAGGAAATCAGAAGAGGTAACGTCTGTGGTGACTCCAAGCAGGACCCACCAAAGGGCTGTGACTCTTTCACCGCTCAGGTTATTGTGTTGAACCACCCAGGTCAGATCTCTTCTGGTTACTCTCCAGTTTTGGACTGTCACACTGCCCACATTGCTTGTAAGTTCGACACCTTGGTTGAGAAGATCGACAGAAGAACCGGTAAGAAGTTGGAAGATGAGCCAAAGTTCATCAAGTCCGGTGACGCTGCTATCGTCAAGATGGTCCCAACCAAGCCAATGTGTGTTGAGGCTTTCACTGACTACCCACCATTGGGTAGATTCGCCGTCAGAGACATGAGACAGACTGTTGCTGTCGGTGTCATCAAGGCCGTTGAGAAGTCCGACAAGGCTGGTAAGGTCACCAAGGCTGCCCAGAAGGCTGCTAAGAAATAAGCGACTTCCGGTCTGTTTGATTTCTTACATATTTTATAATAGGATAGCTAAAAATAATCTGATTGTAGACCCTGGGGACTGGAAGTGATGGAAGATCAAGATTTAATTCTTGATGGGCATCGTTTTATTGTTCGTCGACTGAAGTATTAGGTCAGTATTACCACTGCCCATGTGGCCCTGCTCATGAAGTAGGTTCATAGTAATTCTAGTTAATTCCCCACCCTGGAAGCCAAAACCAAAAAGACATACCCATAGTGCCTTTTCACTTGAGAACCGAGTCTATCTCTAAAAAGGCTTGTGCCATTGATCTACGAACAATGCAAGGGAGCCCTCGGCTCATCTGCTAGTGGTGGTATTCAGTATAAGGCTCACTGCAGCCATTGTCTTTGGTCCAGCGAGTGAAAGATTTGGGGCTAGATAAGAGGTGTTTGGGGTAAAAGTAGGTTACCTGAGAGCTGCTTGAGTGAACAAGACACAATCTCATGCTTTTGGAAGAAAACTGACTCAAAACTGGATGCTTTCATGTACTGACATTTGCAGCCATTACTTTGTACTGCATACAACTCTAACCAATCCATCAAGCCAACCGCCCTTCCATAACCCAACCAAGACCACAACTCCTTAAAGCACCCAAACACAGGCTACCAATCTTACCGGACCCCTTTAGTTTCCCAAACCACATCCAATCTCCACCCCATTGAGGATGCTTCCTCCAAACACTGCCTTCTTCATATGCCAGTACTGCACACAAAAGCTTCCCTCGCTGTCACCGCCAGCCGTTTCTGGTTCCCTTTTCATTCATCAACAAGTACCTCTAATCCAATGTCTACCGCCGACAGGGGTGCTCCCCTCTTCGATCACCAAAGGGACTATAACCATGCTACGGATAATACATACAAGAACTTGCGTGACAAGGCTGACCAGATGTACGAGAAGCGTAAGAAGCTTTCCAACCAATCGCAGCAGGCATACCAGAATGGTGATGGACAGAAAGCCCATGAGCTTAGTGAAGAGCTGAAGAAGGTTTTGGCTCAAGCAGAGAGTTATAACCGTCAGGCGGCAGAGTACGTTTTCCGTGAAAACAACGCAGACCTGGCTGAAGATGAGATTGACTTGCACGGGCTCTATGTTAAAGAAGCCGAATGGATAATGCAAAAGAGATTGTCTGAATGTATCAAGACCCACCAGTCTCACTTGAGAGTTATTGTGGGTAAAGGCTTGCACCTGGAGAACGGTATTGCTAAGCTTAAACCGGCCATTGAGGATTTGTGCCGTGAGAGTAATTTGAAACACCATATCGACCCCAAAAACACTGGTGTGATGGTCATTGACCTTGCCAACTCCCAAGGTCTGCTTCCGTCCCACTGGGACCAGTCCCCAATTTCCCAGCCTCTGTACCACCAACAACAACAGCCTCAATACCAGCAGCAGGGTCATGGGCCAAACAAGTACCAGAACATCAAGACAGGCAACTCTCTTGTGGACGGCTTGTTGCGCTTGTTCTGCCAGTGTATCAACAAGTGAGGTGGTTTGTATTATATTGGTTTTATGTATGTTTAGCTGGCTAGCCAGCACCGGACGGATCGTGCTGGCGCCCATAGATTAGATTGACAATTGTTTAGAAAATGTACTTGTATCCTACATTGAGTAATGATAATAATGTATTAGTGCCGCAGCACGGATGTAATCCAAGCGTCACAGGCAACAAAGTCTCCAGGCACCAGCCTTGCGATGGAACGCATTCCGACAGCACAGCTATCAAGAAGGAGTCTATTTCAGCACGCACAGCCACTGGACTCGTTCTCCAGATGAATGTTGATAGCATCGTTATAGTCGTCGTTGATGTCGTTTCTCGAGCCTTCGTTCAACTCCTCCTGCTGTAAAGCCATCTTGGCCACAACTTCAAAAGCCAGCTCCACGTTGATGGAGTCCTTAGCACTTGTCTCGAAAACAGGGTAGTTCATACCGCCAAGCTGGTTGTTGGTGATATTCATCAACTTCTTCGACAACAGCGGGATCTTCCGACTCTCATCCACATCGATCTTGTTGCCTATTATAATAAATGGGAAATCCTGTGGGTTCAGAACGTTCAGCTGAACCAAGAACTCGTCCTTCCACAGCGACAAGTTGTTGAGTGACTTTTCATTGGTCACATCGTAGCAAAGCACACAGCAATCGGCGCCTCTATAGAAAGCCACACCCAAACTCTGGAACCGTTCTTGGCCAGCGGTATCCCAGATCTGCAACGAGACCGTCTTGCCATTTATGGTCAAATCCTTAGTAAGGAAGTCTGCGCCAATGGTGGCCTTATATTGCTGGGAGAATTTGTTATTGACAAACTGCTGCATGAGCGAGGTCTTACCCACGCCCAGGTCGCCGAGGATGATGACTTTGAGGAGTGTTTTCTTGCGTCCAGACATTGGTGGTTGGGAGTAAGCAAGAGTTGTTGTGTATGAGTGAGTGTGTAAGTGAGTTGAGTGTGCGAAGATAAGAGGTGCTGGGGGAAGACCGATGATGGGGGAAACGGTCTGGTATTTATAGTTGAGGAGGGAAAGGAGGGGTTTGAAGGGGAAGTGAGGTTTGGAAAGAAGCAGGGTTTTTGTTAGTTGGTTTACTTTTTGGTGTTTGGGCTGGGTACGGTGTTCTGGATGTTCATGGGTTTTGTGGCTTTATAGGCAGCGCAGGATGATAAGGAGGCGAAGGAAGGGAAAGAGAAGGAAGTACTGAGGAGGGTGGAAGGAAGTGAATTGGATTATGAAGTTAGTGGTATTTATGCTTTGGAGGATGGTGTTTTATGGACTGGAGGGTTCAGGGATAGCTGGGTGGATGGAGGTGTGACCAGGGCAACCAAGAGTGAAATGGACTGTTTCGGGCCATTGGCGACTTGAAGGGGTTGTTTAGTGGAGATTGGTGAATGTAGGGGCTACTAGAAGCTGTGTTAATGATTTTGGTGGAAAGGTAGTGGTAGGAGTTGACGTTGGTGTGGTTAATTGGTTGCTTTTGGTTGATCCAGTAGGTAGATCATCTTGGCTAGTTGAGGGCATTATTGTAGAAGCTAGGAAAAGAAGTAGAGCTTGGGGTAGTAAGAAGACTGAAGTTATGGAGATTGGCTTGCTGGAGGGGCTATAGACCTGACTGTTAGAGGTTGGCTGGGTGGGACAAGTCCAACGAGATAAAGCCCACTGAAAGGCTTTATTTTCATCTCAGACAGGGCAGTGAGATGCTTTGAAAGCATTATAGAGTATGGATTGAACTTACATTGATTTGGAAGAGAGTGGGCTGTCAGTATGGTAGATATCTATGAGGCTACAACAGAGATGGCACTTGTGTCCAAGATTCAGTTTTTGAAGCCACATCGAGTTACAGGTAGTCCCAAAAGGGTACTTAGAAAGTGATTTAACTAGTAGTTTACCATAATTGACGTTTCTAACTGTTACTTTGAGTACCCTGGCAACTGGAATTAGAGAGGCAGTCTTCAGACCATTGTACTCACCAACCACTCAACCATAAACATCAATTGAGACAAATATGACACCACAGGAGCTTTTTAAGACACCTTTACAAAAAACGAAGCCCTTATCAAACCATTTCTGTTCATCTTGTCCCATTGACTCCAGAGTATAAAAGGCCCCTTCTTCGCGGCATACTTAGTTCCTTGTGACTACTCCCTTTTCCTGGGGTGTCACCAAAAGTCTTCCAAATGCAAGTTATTTCTCTTGAAAGAATGGCGGCGAGTCTACTTGTTAGAACTCTTGTCGCCGTCTGTTCATAAACGGTTTTCTGGACCTAATTGGTCACTTTTGGTTAAGGTCCGTTTTTGCAGCCAATGCCGCCATAATGAACATCACCAATTCTTAGGCTTCCACCTCAGATTTTGTTCATTGGTTATTGGTAAGGAAGACGTTGCTTCCGCCTAGTCCCGATTGACCGCTCTAGCCTCCTTTTTTACTTTAGTTGGCGCAGGGTTGGTCAAGGGGGACGCTCGACCTGAAACAGCCATGTCTCAGCAGGGTTTCAAGTCTACAATGGCCTTAAAAAGGGGCCGCCTCAGTCCGCCAAGGGCGGTCCTTATAAGGATTGTTACTTGTTTCCCTTGTGTTGTTTCCGTTAGGTCATTTCAGACCAAGTGAGTGATTGCGTGGGGGCGTCAGTGTTCTCCACATCCGTGGAGAATGGATGCTTCCTATTGATATCAAGCGATGGGTACTTATTCGCCGAGCACGTTGGGGTGCCCTTGGGTCTTGTTTGAAGCTTATCTGGCTGGTTTACGTCGTTTTGTTCCAGGGTCTTTGGATCGCCTGGCTACAGTCGAGAACGCTTCACCCAAGGGCTATTGATGTCGTAGGTGCTATTACTACAAAGGTCTTTTCCCTGCCAGATCGTCAATCAAAGGCAGGGACGACGCTGAGATTGTTGTGATGGGTTTACCTGGTACTAGTGATCTAGGATGAAGCTCGAGGGGCTTGAGGAGGGAGAGGAGTGGCTTGTTTCTCTGTGATTGGCAAAAGAGGGTAAGATAGTGATGATTCTGGTGGCTAATCGGCAAGAAAACTTGGCCAGTGTTCTTGTTGGATGGCTGCTGTTTAAGAAACAGAGCTATTGTGGAACTTTGCTTGCGGTTTATGAACGGTTCAGACCCAAGCTTAGTGAAGCACGAATCTGGAGCTGAGAGCATTGAGACTGGTTACTTTTTGATTTCTTCATGGCACCAAGAGCTTTGCTCTATGTGAGTTTGGTTTAGACGAGTCTGGTTTCTTCGAAGAGGGCCCCTTTGGAGTTACTGGATAAGGCTTTGCCTGATTTCCATCTCACTAGTTACTAGGCATGGTGTTGGTGTTGCGATTGGGATATACTCTTGCCGGTGTTGGCTACTGACTCTAGTCATCATGCGGCCCTGTGGGCTTATATAGTTTCCACTTTATGTGGGGTTTGTCTTTGCTAGGTGGGGCCATCCTAGTTGAGACGTGATGCTGAAAGGCAATATGGTCTTCCTCATCATTTTGAGGAGTGTGGGTTCTGGGGGACGGCCATGAGAAGGGAACTTCTTGTGGTTTCTTCCTGGCCAACAAAGATCACATTGGCCAGGTCGTAGTCTTTAAAGACATCTGTGATCCCTTCCATTAACTGGAAGGTGGGTACTGGGGGAGAGAAGTGGGGCCTTTCGAAGAGGCTCGGGTATTGACGGGACTTCCTGACTTAGTGGGATCACGCTCGGTCAGGTTGGAAAGATGGTGTTAAGGTGATCTCTCTCATGTGAATGAGAGGAGGGTTCTGGGGGTTTACTACAGCGGTGTTTGACGGGACTTCTGGCGGATAGATCTTCCCAACCAGTCGTATTGTGTTTTTCCAGGACACGAAGGTCTCCTCGATCTGGTGGTCATGACGGATCGTTGTACAGTACAAGTGTTTTACTAATGCTAGTGCTTCATGTCCAAATTATGGGAGGGCTATTTTCCAATAGTCCACGGGTGGGTTTCTTGGAGGACCTCGATCTGGTTGAATCATGACAGTCGAGGGAAAGCATTCGTCAGGAGTCAGCTGGCGTCTGCTTGGGTATGATTCGAAAGAGTGGTGCTTTTAAGGTACCATTCTTGGAAAATCTGGAACTTTTGTGGTTTCACAACCAGGTCTTCCTTGGAGTTTGGCGGCTCCTTTTGCGGAAGCAAACCGTGGTTGATTCTTTCATGGAGAACAGCCACGAAAAAGGAAACAGATTCATTTTCTGATTCCTCCACGTAAGGCTACGTGGTTTTTTTTTTTTTTTTTTTTTTTTTTTTGTTTTTTCTTTTTTATAGTATTTATATAGTTGGTGGAGTTGGTTGGTTGTGGAGATCTGCGAGATATGCGAAGCAGTGCATTGGATATGCGGGATCATGCAATGGCTTGAGAAGAGTCGATAACAACTACGAATGGGGTTATGATAAGGGAGATTATCCGGCTGAGTCTTCGGATAAATTGTCAATGGATAAATCAGACGTATATGGTTATGCCAATCGGATTATCTTTTGTTATTCCGACACTTTCAGTGACTGACAGGTTGCATAGATAAGAGGACAGAGGAGTGAACAAGTCTTGAATAGAACGGTGCTTAAGGTCAACGAACCATTACACTTGCCAAAAGAAGAAAGCTTAATGATCGATATTGTATTGACGGCACTTACTAATAATACAGTCCCCGCATCGCATGACAAGCGGATAAATGCACAAACATGTCAATGCATCTCGGGCAACCTTTCCGGATAAACCTCAAGATTCGGATCATCTAGGTTTCAGCTCGAAGAAATGTCAAGTTCTGAACTGTGGAGGGCCCCTAAGTCATTTGTCCCTTTCTTCCACATCCATGTATCGTGATTGAGATTCTCAGGTTTGGGCACTCAAGGTGGGCCCATATGGCCACAGTGTCACGAAAGCAACAACAGATAGAGTTTAGCTTTTTTTTTTTTTTTGAGGAATGTGATGTGTTGTCAAAGGGGTTCACAATTTAATTCCATCTTATTTCATAGGAATCTATGGTACACCCTGATGGCTGCAAATTGACATCTCGATGCTACCTCAGAAGCCAACAACGAGAAAAGGGACACCAAAAGCAACAATACCGAGAAATTGGCTACAAAAACCTTCCTTTTAAATTCCCGAAAGTAAGGTTGTCAACAGGATGGGGCCCACTCCTTGGGCTTATTATAGCTGCAAGATCACGTGGAAAGCAACCTTGCCGCCACTGTTCCATGGAATGTCATAAAACCCTGCTAGTGGCACCAATTTTCTTTTAAACCAAAAAAAATCCCCCAAAACATGTCTAACATTACCACCTCAAGACAATTGACCCGTACAACCCGCTACAGGCTCAATAATGGTCAGCACATTCCTGTAGCTGCCTACGGCGTTTACGCCATTCCTCCAGCCGAAACCCATGACTTGGTCTACGAAGCCTTGGTTCAGGGTTACCGTCACATTGACTCTGCTGTGGTTTATGGAAACGAAAAGGAATCTGCTCAAGCAATTGCCAAGTTTATCAAGGACAGCAATGGAAAAGTCCAGAGAGGTGATATCTGGTTCACCACCAAGATCTGGAACGGCGACCACGGCTACGAGGAAACCAAGGCTGCTGTTGAAGCAATTGCAGGCAGAGTTAAGGAATACCTTGGCTATGTCGACATGGTCTTGATCCACTCGCCAAAGACCAATAAGGAAAAGAGATTGGGTACATGGAAGGCCTTACAGGAGTTCCAGCACGATCCAGCCAACAAGACGCTACAGATCAACACCATTGGTGTTTCCAACTACGGTATCAAACATATCGAGGAGATCTTGAACTGGGATGGTTTGGTGGTGCAGCCAGCTGTGGACCAGTTGGAGTTGCACCCTTGGTTGCCTCAGATCGAATTGAGAGAGTACTTGGCTGCTCGTAATATCTTGGTTGAGGCTTACTCGCCACTTACTCAAGGCCACAAGTTGCAAGACCCAGAGCTCCTAGACTTAGAGCACCGTTACAGAGTGCCCAAGATCGAGATCTTGTTGAAGTGGTCTTTCCTTCAAGGATTCATCGTTTTGGCCAAGACTGCTAAGAAAGAGAGAATCCCTGAAAACTTGGCTGTTTTGCCAGAAGCCAAGCCACCTACTGATGCTTTGGACGATACTTCTCACAGTGGTAAGATTGACTTGGATATCAACATCCTTGAAGCTTTGAACAAGCCTGAGTCTCACGAGGTGTTGACTTGGGGTAACCAGGACCCTACCACTTACGATGGTTAAAGCTGGAAAATTATTTTTATAGCATTCAAATGAGCGATAGACACTTGTTGGTAAGGTTTGTATGGTAGAAGATTGGCCATTTTGCAGCCATTCAAGGAATGTCAAGTAATGGAAGTGGCAACGTCTCTTAAGCAATAAGAAAACTTAACTAAACTAAATGAGACACGGAAACCCCAAAGGTTCCTTCCTATAGCCCTTTTTGCACCATAGGGGTACCCATAAAGTATGGACTCTTCGTGGAGTGCACGCAACACATACTACTGAAAAGCGACAAATTGAGAAATTATCAACACCTTCTAAACGTCCAAGCATGTCCAAACCCCAGAAGCCCGTCAGGCAGGACTACATCGCCAAGGCAAGGTACATAAACAACTTACCGCCACCGCCGCTCAACCCAAAGTTCCTCAAGTACAACCTTACTGAACATGTTCTGGCCGAAAAGGAAAGTGAGCAGCTCTTGAGTTCTCTCTTTAGAAAAGAGAATTTCACACAGTTTATTGGCCAGGTTGACGAGGAATACGGCATGCCGCTTAATCTTCTTCACAACGAAGGGTTTTTGGATGGTTCGAACGAGACAGCCATCTTTGGCCTGAACTCGTCTGTGCCATTGCATCCCAAGGACAGGATTCTTTTGAGAGACGCTGGTATTGGTCGTGTGAACAAGTCGGAGCCTGGAGTTTCTTTCTTGAGAAGAACTGAATATATTGCTGAAAACAAGGCCGCCAATAAGGCCGAAGAGAATGCTGTGGAAACCAAGAAGGAACAAAAGGAGCTCGTGGATCCAGATTCTCAGCTCACGGCAGTGGAAGAAAGCTTCGATCATGCTCAAGATACGTTGCTGGATCTTTCCAAGATCAAGCATCCAAGAAGAAAGAACTTGCGTGCGGTTTCGGCCTGGCCGCTTCTACCAGACACTTCGATGATGGACACGAAATACTTGAGTATCAAGTTTTCTGGCTCAGCTTCGCTCTTTAGGGAGTTGCAGAGCACCAAGAGGTTACAAAAGGATGCTTACGATGAGCAGCTACAGCAAGACTCTTTAACTACTGCCATTTACAAGCCTATAACGTCAGAAGATGGAGAATGGGTCAGTTTCTACCAGGCCAAGGATAAAAAGGCGTTGGCCTCGTTGAAGGATAAATTACAGTCTACCGATAGAGAACAGCCGCTGAACTTGCTAGATGAGGAAGAGCAGGATTTGGAATCATACCTGTTTGCCCACCATAAGAACTACGATATGATTTACCATAGATTCAACAAGCCAGATGAGGAGCTTGCGTTACGGTTTGTTCCTGAAGAAACCGGCTCTAAGAAGCGAAAAGCTGCCTACTACTACCCTATCTCTGGCAGAGTGGAGCTCAAGAAGCACAGAGCATCTACAAATACCGAAATCAACCGTTTCTTGCGGGACAGTACATATGACGTGATTGACTTGAAGGTCAGAGAACCAAACACCAGTGAGTTGAAGAGGATGGACAATATTCGTTCTGAATACGATCCGATGGAGTATGAAGGTGAAGATGAAGAAGATGAAGAGGAAGAGGAGGAAGCTGATGGTGAGGCTAACGGTCAGGACGGTGAGGCCAATGGCGAGGATGGTGAACAACAACAGCAACAAGAACAACCAGAGGAGCTGCCAGAGAAAGAGTCAGATAACGACGAAAGCGAATAAACGGAAGACAAAAATTATGTATAGTTTAGCATCTATAATGTATCATACAATGACACACAGTAGTTTCCCCTTCTTGGGAGGCACGTCCAGCTTTTCCTTCTTCTTCTTTTCTGTCTTTTCATTCGGAAGCACTTGAGGACGTGAATTAGAACTGTCTCTCTTTTCATACCGCAGTTGCATTCTCTGGGCCAATGCAGCATCTTCCTCCTCCTGGAGCTGACGAACAAGCTCTAAATCTTCATTGTTGGTGAACCCTCCCACATCTGAATTATCCAGAATGGGCACGAAATCTCCTGAAAAGAATAAATCGTCACTACCAGAAACCAGAATCACCAGCTGCCACACACACCGACCCAGAAGCGACGAATCCGTCACGAGCAAGTATAAATCATGGTCGTGAGCTTTATAAAGCGTCAGGAAATGGTTATTCCTGAAGAAAACCGCCAACGAATCCGGTTCCATCTTCTCATCAATCACCTTCAACCCATATGCTGTTAACTGTGTACTGTGACGGTCAAGCCATTGTTGAATATCAGCCTTGAGCCGTGGATCCTGCTTAGGATCAAGCAAGTAATCCTGAATCCCATCAAACGTCTGCAATTCCTGAAACTGATCTTTATGAACATCGTCTTTAGGGTCCCAAAGCCAGCCATGCATGAATGGAAGACCAAATGCATCAAAAATGTCCGTGCTCAAGTCCCTGGGGAATCCGCCACTATAAATATTTGGATTCACGCTCAATCCCGTATGAAGAAGCGGGAGATTCTCCAAAAGTCGATTCACCACGGCAAAGTCATGGTTATAAACATCAAGCAAAACGTCACCCAAACATCCCAAAACCTCATCCAAAGAGACTCTCTTATCCAAATGACGATGCAAAAGTGCCCTTATCTTCGCCACACTCTCTCCATGTCTAGCAGCACCGCCCACATTGTTACTCTTTGGGTTGAATCCAGCTTCTCGTTGGTATATGTCATTCTGTAACAAAAGTGTGTTCACAAGCGCTATCAAGGGACAAGGTCCATTTGCTTCTTGAAGGAGAATTGGCGTTTCGTGTTCGTACTGGGACCAGGTGATCCGTTTCACCGGGAAGCTAATTTGTTCGGCCATGATAAAGAAGAAAAGAAGTAGGTGTGTTGTCTGGCTTATCTACTCCTGTACGCCAGACCTACATTTATCACGGAATGATTAAAATTAAACTACATAGCCGAGCCGCGCGGTTCCTTAAATGACAAGTCCTCTCAAAGATTAGTTGAGGAACCAGCGAATGATACTGACAAGGGCAATCAAGGCGGCAACGAGCGACATATCACACATGGCGCTTTCGGAACTGACTTGTTTGGCGATTGTCATATCAAAGTCGCCTCTTCTTAAAATGTTCTCTGCGATAGGCTTAGGAGCCTTGGTCACACCATGGGGGATGGCGCCAGGGCTGGGGTACATTTCCTCGCAAAACTGTTCGATTTCACCAAGCTTGATGCCGATTTTCAAGTAGTTTGGGTCTCTGACATCCAGCTTCTGGTTGATCACACGAACGTAGTGCCTAAAGATCTTCACCACGTCTGGGAGCGTCCTCGAGTTGAGAATAAGCTTACATGTGGTTCCCTTTCTGATCTTGACGTTGCGTTCCAACACTTCTGTGTTGTTGAAGATCTCTGCCAACGTGGCAATGGCCATCACTTGGGGAATGGCACAGAAATTGAAACTCGTAGACTCTGTGATCAACGATAAGTATGTCAAAACGTCCGTAACGTGGCCCAACGCATTCAACACCAAATCGTTGATGCAATGCACACCTGCTTCTCTTTCGTTGATGTTCTTGTGGAAGTTGGGCAACGCCTCAGTGTACTTGGACCACACGTCTCTTGGGTAGAACGACCGTCCGTCTTCCAAGTCCTCGTGGTAGTCTCTGATAATGTTTGTTTTTTGCAAGAACAATCCCATGCTCTCGGATAAAGCATAGTCGTCAGCTTGCACTTGGGCATCGGCAAACCCGGCCAAAACCATCAAGTCAGACAAGCCTTCACCGACCAAGCCAGCCACGTAGTGACAGTACAAGTCAAAGTCGGCCACCGTGGCCACACCGTTGGTGTTGAAGTTTTCATCCACAATATAATCAGCCATACCGTTACCCATTTTACGAGTGATTTTCTTCACAATGTCCTGGTGCTCTGGCTTCAACTTATGGTACTCGGTCAAAATAACATCAAACTCCACCAACACCGCTCTGTCCTTCTCGTCAGGCCCGCTTCCCGTGAACGTCCAGTCCTTTGTGTTAAGCTTTTCATGGAACTCCCTCAATAACGGCACCTTTTCGTGTGGGTCGATTGTCATGTCATCTTCAACGGTGTCCAAAGCCCTTAGCACCAAGTAAAAGATCATAGTGGAATCACGTAACTCAGGATGCAATTCTTTGATAACCGCAGCGAACGAACGGGACGTAAGGTCCAAAAGCTCGTAGCAACGTTTCAACGACTGGGGAGCTTCTGAAAGGTCATGAGGATGAGTGGATTCCTTGAACACCTTGAGCTGTACGACAGCCTTGAGCTCAGTAGGATGTGAAAGCAATTGAACGAGTTTTCCCATGACTTGATAAGAATATCTGAAATGTTTATGCCAGCTTTTGTTTTTTCAAGTATCAACTGACGCGAGATGAGTGGAGGAAATTTTAAACGTATTTCAACTTTTGATCGGTCGCGCTCCTCATCAACAGTTTATACGCTAAACGAGAATGGTAACGATAGCAGGGGCCTCTAACGTGCACACCAGCACACCAAGACGTAAAAAAAGACAGGAAGGTCCAGCAGAGGGGACAAGGAAACTATATAAACTCCCATTTCTATGTAATTATTGGAGCAACAAGCAGGGGCCGTCTATTTGGCATTTTCTATCTTTTCAAACCACCGGCGGGCCGCCTTGATGTTTTCGAGAATGACAAGGTCTTCGCGTGCATTCACGTAGTTGGGCTCGGCCACCCGGTCTTTAAGCACGATCATGATAAATAGATTGTCTGTGAGTACGTCCACGTAGAAGCTTGTGCCGTTGGAGCCCCGAATCACGAGGTTGTTGAAACTCGTTCGTAACTTGGTAATCGACTGTTTGTAGGTTTTGATGATGTTGGAGATTTTCTCAAACCGCTTAGGGTCCAACAGCTCCACCGACCCATTGGCGGCGGCAAGCCCGTTTGGTGGCTGTGTAGATTGTCGCTGGATCGATGCCGTTGACGATATAACCAAAAATGTCGTTTTCTCAAAGAGAATAATCTCCTCAGCGTCCAAAACCTCATTGAACCGTAACAAGTTGCTATTGAAAAGATTCATATTCGGAATCAACAGACACACAATCAGCGACCACGCTTTATAAAGAGACTCGTCCCAGATAGACGTGGGGAAACCCACTAGCTTGAACTGGAACGGGTTCGAAATCTTTTGAAGCTTATCCATCATTATCACAAACAACTCTTCTCTCTTGTCTATCTGCACCAAATCCATTTTATGGAGCAACACGAAAATCTTAGCGTCCGGACTGAACTTCTGAAGATTCGTAAGCGACTTGACAAATATATCAATGTCCTTATTGATGGACTTGGATTCCACATCAAACACATGTATAAGCACCTGGACCATTTTGAAAATATGGTCTTTCTGTGTAGTGAAATAATTATCCATGAAAACATCCTGACCACCACAATCCCAAAGATTAAGCGTCATATTACCTAGAAACCGTAAATGGGAGTGTTCCACGTCTATGGTGGCACCCAACCGCCTGGTGTCGAATGCTGAGTAATTGGAAAAGATGATGGACCGCATGGACGACTTTCCGGAGCCGGAACGGCCCATCAAAAGGAGTTTCTTTCTGGAAGACAGGGACATGGATAGATGATGTATGTTTAACTTTTGAGTTGGTATTGATAAGACCGCTTCTATGATGGGTTCTAGACCCGTGCATCAGATACGGCAGTTACCGCTTGTGGTTTTGGTCACGTGCAGATATGCACGTGTAAACATTCTAAAAAGAATGATAACCACCAAAAACGTCCCTGGCAGGGACTAAAAGGTAGAAAGAGAATACTATTATTGTTTCATGGGAGAGCTGGTTACTAGGGATGTCTTGGGGTATGGAAAAGTAGCGTGGTTGTGGAATAATGGGGGCTTGAAGGTGCAGTACTGGACGAACCCTGGTATTTTGCAGCCATTGGCATTCCACGATTTACATGATATTTATAGATTTTGATGGGTTTAGTTCAATCTGTAAGCAGAGACATTTTGTTTGAGTGTATGGTTATAGACTTCTTGCAACTGGGTGCATGGAAGAGAGTACTATGCCACCAGGGAGATTCAAGAGTGGTATAAGAGTATTTAGAAAGAGATGTAATTACTGGAAGAATGCCAGAGTCTTTTCTTCAGGAGGCACTGTTTAAAATTACATAAATACTACAAACGTTTAATCACTTCACGTTATCTATGAAATCTAGTATGTGGTGTATCCTAAGCCTACCGTCTAAGCCCCAGGGTGGTCTATAAATGGATGGCATCTTATGGACCCTAAAGACTTGAATTTTTTGAATGTAAAGAGAATAGGTGATTTTTGGGTAATTGTATTTGAGCTTCTAGCTATTTTGGTGTCACACTGGCGTTAGATATGGCTCTGAGATACATCGTCTAAACAACTTAACAACTATAACATCAACAACAGTACAAAAGGGTAATTGATCATTTTTCTTCCAAACTGTTTAGGTTACCTCCTTCAATTCAAGCATTCTGAAATCTTCATATTCTGGGTCTTTGTACTCTGGACTCTTTGCACTCTGGAATATTTCGAAGCTAGTGTCTTTTCTCTGATTAAAGAACCAAAGAACGACTGGCCTCTTCTACCCAGTAAAAGGCGAAGGACGGGAATTTCAAATTTGACTTTTTTAAATTAAGCGTTTTAAAGCATTGGTTTGAACAGCCACAGAAAGTTTCTATAAGGTTGGAATTAGTACACTCAACCAAAGCATAGATACGAATCAACTTCATTGTTGGACCATCAAAAATCATAGAAAACATCATTTATACCTAAATTCTTGGATATTTCACCAATTTGACTTCCCCTGACCTTTGAAACCCCTTCACCCACAAAAACCACGTCTTTTCTTCTATACTCCCCTCGCGTTCCCAATACTCCCTCTATCTCCCTCAAAGTGCTCAAAAGTGCCCCAAATCCCCCCAAAATTTCACATCCACCTCACCAGCCCAGTAGCTGCCAGCTCATCAAAAGCATGTTTTCTTCCCCAAAACCTTCCCACTCCCCAAACCCCCATTTTGCAGCCAAATGTATGGAAGCCTGTCAAAACATAGAAGGCGCGCATGGGATCAATGAAAAACCCTCCTAGTCTTCTTCTTCCATGGGCTACGCCGAGTACGACCCAAAGAATGTTCGGCTCCATGTGGTGGCTCTAAAAGCGTTTCTTCTTGGCGCGGTGATTCTGGTTTCAGCGGTGTTTTTGGCGTTCAATTTCAATGAAAACTCGTTTGGTTCTCGAGCGGCTATATATATCCTCGCCAATGGCATCTTCTATATGCTTGAGTTTCTTACCACGGCGGTGTATAATAATGGGACGGTGGAGGATGATCTGTTTATTTTGAACGATATGGAGCTTCATGCTGTGCATGTGGCGTCGTTGGCGGAGGCGTGGTTTTTGCATAAACACTGGAGGTATAATGTGGTTTCGTTTTGGACAGGTCTTGTGGTGTTGCTCGTGGGCCAGTTTTGCAGAACGTTTGCCATGTATACGGCGGGGACGTCGTTCCATCATTACGTCCAGAAAGAACGGTCTCAGAGACATGTGCTTGTGGAGAAGGGTATCTACAGCTATTCAAGACATCCAAGCTACTTTGGGTTCTTCTGGTGGTTTCTAGGGTGCCAGTTACTCCTTCAGAACGCTTTTACAACGGTGGTGGGTACATATAAACTACAAAGGTTCTTTGAGGCACGAATCGAATACGAGGAAGAGTTTCTAGAGTCCTTCTTTGGCGATAAGTATAGAGCATACAGGCAGCGGACAGGGACGTGGATCCCGTTCATAGCATAACCGATAATATAAAAACATTGACGTTCTAGCAAACTCTATAAACACATCTAGTTCTTCTTTGGATCAACGCCAATCCCATTCACGTTTCTGTACATCATCACACCATTGTCACCATCAACAAACTGGCACTCTCTAGCGGATTTCCACAAAGAAACCCACATGTTCTCGTCAGAGTGCTGGTAGTGATGACCCATGACCTTCTTAATGGCCTCGGAAGCTTCACGGGCATTGTAGAATGGAATTCTCGAGCAGTAGTGGTGCAACACGTGGGTCTCGATGATATCGTGGAAAATGTGCTTACCGACAAAACCAAATTCTCTGTCAATAGTGGCAGCAGCGCCTCTGGCGAAGTTCCACTGGTGAGCCTCGTAGTGAGGCATCTTAGGGTCGGAATGCTGAAGAAATGTAATGAACACCAACCAGTGGTTAACGTACACGTAAGGAATGGCCCAGTGGACCAACACATTGAAAGCGCCAAAGTGCTTGTACCAAGTGTACAAGACAAAACCCTGGGCCAAGATACCAATGTCACTCATGATAATGTACCAGTAGTCTCTCTTTTCGAAAAGGGCCGAGTTTGGGTTAAAGTGGTTCATTTTCCAAGCAGAGTCAGCCAAAGGCTGGCCAGTGACATTGTTGAAAAGGTACATGATCCAACCACCCAACTGCTGTCCGAGCAAGTGCAACAAGGAGTAGATTGGGGAATCGCTGGCAATCTCTTCCAAAGAGTGAGCATGGCGTCTCTCCACAAAAGTATCCTTTCTTGGAGGCACAAACACAGTGTCTCTGTCCAAGTGGCCAGTAGCCTTGTGGTGCTTACTGTGGGAGAACTTCCAGGAAAAGTAAGGCACAAACCAGTAAGAATGGAGCACCCAGCCCACGGTATCATTGACCCAAGCGTAATCAGAAAACGCCGTGTGGCCACACTCGTGAGCCAAAACCCAAAGACCCGTACCGAAAAGACCCTGGACATACGTGTAAGCAGCCCAAGCAGCAAAACGAAGACCAGCATAAGGCAAAAGGTGGATATAGTTCTGAGCCACATATCCAAACGCAGTCATACAAGCGATATCTCTGAAAACATAGTAAAGAGACTCAAACACTCTTCTCTCGTAGCAATGAGAAGGAATGGCTCTAAGGATATCCTTGATAGAGTAATCTGGAGCCTCAAAGGTGTTTCCAAAAGTATCAACGGCAGTAGCATTCAGCGAAAAGGAGGCAACGTTACCTCTCTTGGTGACAGAAGCCGAAGCAGAGCCCGAGTTCGGGCCCGAGCCAGAAGCAGACGCTAACGTGCTGGACATGGCAAATGAAGAAGATGTGTAAAAAAAGCTTAACCAATAAATATATGTGCGGTTGGATCTAATATATAGTGAGGAAAAAGAAAAGCACAACGGTTTGGTCCCACGCAGTATGAAGAGAAAGGCACAAGCAGGAAGCGAAAAAAAGAGGACAAAAAAGGAAAAAAAAGAAGAAAGGCGGCAGACGATTTTTTTTATTAATAAAGAGAAGGACAATAGTTGGTGAAATTGTCCTGTTCTGGAAACCAAGCGGATCAAGGGAAGACTTGGAAAGGTAAAAGGTAGTGCTGATTTTGCGCCTCACGGCTGGATCGATTGACGATGGTGATTTTTTGGTGGGTACTTTTTTTTTTTTTTTTTCAACTGGTGAGTTGGGTGTTGGGTGGCACCTCTCTTATCCGGATTTCAGAGAATTAGTAAGGGAGGTGATGAAGGATGGACGGTGAGGGAAGGAAGGTGATTTAGGGAAAGGAAGTGGTTGTTTTGCAGTGGATTGGTGAGTTTGAGAGGGCTAGATGGTGGAGGTGGAGGGGTTGATGGGAAGTAAGAGAAAGGCTGATAAGGAATGGGGAGGTCAGTGTGGAGGGAAGATGTGGATTTGGGTGGATTAAGGAGGTTTAGAAGTGGTTTATTTGGATAGAAGAATTGGTCTTTTTGCTGGATCTTTTGCTGGTTTCGTGGGAATTGGTTCTTGGAGACTGGTCAACTGGAGAAGACTGCTGTTTTGCAGACACAGAAAACTCCATGGCAAGAAATAAGCATTTGAGAGGTAAATTTAATTAATGTCTTTGAACTTAGAAGGTATTCTTACTTTTAGAAGGAGTTCAGTATACTTGGAAAGCCCTACTGGTGCTATCTACTCTCTACCTTCTCTATAGACCTTCCCAGAAGTCAACCAACAAGAACATCCACTTTCCTCCCAAGTCATCTGAATTCATATTCGAAGCCCTCCAGCTAATCTCCAACTCTTCTACCATTCTTCCTGGCAAACCTTATTACTTCTCTTCCTTCCTTCCTTCCACCATCTACATGTACCACCTACAATCTACAGCCAATAGAAACCGTCCAATTGAAATCCACCAAAAACCATCCCTTCCAATTCCTCAAACAATCTCTTCCTCTCCTTATCCACCCCTTCCAACTTCCACTTCTACTTCACTTTATACTTCTTCGACGTTGCCAGGTGCTGTGGGCTTCCCCATAGTGATGAAACCGCAGTGGCTGCAAATCATGCACATTCTAGTTTCGTCGTATTTTGCATCGCCCCAGATAACCAGAATAATTTTTCACTTCCAGCCTCATCTAAAGCAAAAACCACCAATATATCTATTTCTTTCACTTTATCCAGTTACTATTGGGCCGGCGATAAGTTGCCAAATTACCGATTTCTTGGCTGTGGGTTGATAATGCACATGCTGAATAAAACTTACACAATACTATAATCAGCTGTTTGAATGTGCCCCCTTTCACTTCATGTGCTTACTTTAACGAAGAAAACGTCCATTTCTTTTTCACACACGGTAAGCCTCCATTTGCTCATCTGCCATTTGCCAATACCAATGGAAAAGACCTTCACATAGAACTAACCTTTGCATCAGCGTATCAGATGGGTTGGTCAAGTTGGGTGCAGGCGGCTCATGCACCTGTCTTATCCGGATTTTGCACCCAATAGCACCACCTCCAAATGTCAAGTAGATGGGATGGAGATAATGAAGAGAAGATGGGGGTACTATGTGGAGATGAGTGGGGTTTGAAATATGAACAATGCTTGGTTGAGATGTCTTTATGGGATGGAGATTCCGCTTTTCTGTTTGGGGATAATGAACGATAAGCCAACTTGTTGATCCAGAAGACCTACAGATCACTTTGATCGTTTTGATCGCTTTGATCGTTTTGATCGTTTTGATAGGTGATAAAGCTAGGACATTCTCCGTTGTTTGAAGGCTTTGGCTGGGACAATGCCTCCTTGGCCTAGACTACTTGTTATTGGACCAAATAAGCTTTCCATGCGAAAGCTTAATATAATTGGTTAACCGACGAAGCCCTTAGAGGGGAGGGAGGGAACGGAGCATGTTTAGACTGAAGTGGGAGGATTTCAATCCATAGGGCATGAAGTAGGCCAACTCATTGTAGTTATATAAGAGGCAGTATCAACAAACATGGTTGTACTGTAAATCAAAGCCTACAGCTTCCGTTTCCCACTCCAAGCCTCTTGCAACCAAAAGTAAGCCAATCCATACCACCATCTCCCGCCCCATCGGCCTTGTCCGTGGTGAAAAGGCTTCCAACGCTTTCTCTTTGTTTCTGCACTGTTCCTTAATCTATACCAAGAAAACAAGAAACAGTGCAGCCAAGGCCATGGGCGACCTTAATAAAGCGATGCATAGTGTGATTGCTGTGGCTGGATCCAAGTGGCCTCGTTAATAAACCATGGGGCGATGGTTTCTAGGTTTTTGGTGGTTTGATGTAGGGTGGTTTTTGTGAAACCTTGAATGGTACAGTTAGGCTGCGATTAAGGCAGAAAGACTGCCTTTAGCTCATGAAAGTAGGCATCCCTTGGTAATTGGAGACATTCTATTTGCCAGTCGTCCGACACTAAAACCTCTATTTTCGTATATCTCTTCTTTGAATCGTTCAGCCGCACATAGTGTTGCCTTCAATGCCTGTGATATATGTCATTTTTCAACCATCATGGATGCAGTGGACAACAGAAGGGGAAGGAAGATAAAGTAGGTTTGGTTTATGGGCACTTGGTGACCATCAACCTTTGAGTGGATGCAGAGGGTGTTGTTCTGAGGAGTGCTGAATTGGTTAGCTCTTTTGACTTCTTACAATACATAGATATAAGCGGTGATGCTTGATTTCACTATCTAGAGATCTATATATTCATTATTCTGGTTATAGTGTTAGAGTTAAGGCAGAATGGAGTCTTTAATCAACAAGCGTTTGTTGGTATCATGACGAAGAATTCCATCCTTTAGATATCCCTCCATAAAGAATGAAATCAAGGCATTCGACCATTTCTTCTCTCAATTGAAGATAGCTTGGCAAACATTCGATCACTTCTTCTCTCAATCGAAGATAGCTTGGCAAACTTCATGAAACGAAGAGATACTCGAGTGATTTGCAGTTATCTTTAGATTGTTCAAGAGTATCTACAAGCCATTTGATGTTTATTCATGAGCTCAGAACACGACTTAAGAAAAGCATAACTTTATGCAATGGACTGAATAGCATGCATTCAAACATTCAGCATACTACTAAAGCACGAACATGCTTTCAAGGATCGAAGCCCATCGCATCCTTAACAGCGGCCACATACGTTACCTTCACGTCTACAACAATCAATATATCTACACTCTAGGCACCACTCAACCTGCCAGCGCCAATCCAAACGAACTCAAAGACTCACGCGACATAAAAAGTATATTCTCATCCCAAAACGAGCGTTTTTCGTCTTTGTCTTCGTCCTCCACCTCATCACTACTAGCGCCCACAGACCTTCAATCTACACCCAGCCAAAGCGACACCAAACCCACCAAACCACCAAACCTCCACCAACCTTGCAACCCCCATCAACCCTCCAACCCCCATCAACCCTCCAACCCCATCTCACCAGTTCCCCCACGCCCATCCTCCATTGGCTGCAAAAACAACCCGTTCCACGTCAAAGCGCACCCCACTGTATGTTGCTGCCTCGCGTCCCATCCAGACCCTTTGATTCACTGAAAACCCCCACCAATTCCCCCAAATATCCCATTCCAAATGACCTTCCATAGTCCAATTCCCCGTAAGAGACCTCTCTATTTGTTCTGACTTCCCTTGACTCTCTCTGGCCCTCTCTGACTCCTCTCGTTCACCCACTTGGCCCTCCCCCTTGCCATTTTGCAACCGTCCTCCAGACCGGTGCGCCGCGACTTTCTGACTCACTCAGCCAGGCAAACCTCTTCCTTATATATCCCTGCTTCCTTATATACTTTTCTTTTTTTCGAGCCCCCCCCCCCCCCCCTTCCCCACGGCTTCCCCTCCCAATTCCTTCCTCATCACTACTAACCAGGTAATTTCCATCGCTGACTCTGAAGAAACACTACTTGTTCCTGGTTTGGCCGGGCCCTTTTCTACGGGAACCGCCGGGGTCGCGCTGGTCCCCACCATCTGTCGCCCTGTTGTGCCCCACTATATGTACTCCTGCAACGCCGATAACGCTCATATGGTAAATTGTCAATAGTTTTTCAACTCTTTTTTTTTTCACCAAATCATCAACCATGTCTGAAAAGATCGAAAAGAAGCCAATCAACTTTTCCAACATCCTCTTGGGTGCCGGTTTGAATATGGCTGAGGCCACCACTTTGGGCCAGCCTTTGGAGGTGGTCAAGACCACTATGGCTGCTAACAGAAACATTTCTCTTCTTCAAGCTACCAAGTTGGTTTGGTCCAGAGGTGGCGTGAAGGGTTTCTACCAGGGTTTGATTCCATGGGCTTGGATCGAGGCTTCCACCAAGGGTGCTGTGTTGTTGTTTGTTTCTGCCGAGGCAGAGTACAGATTCAGAACCTTGGGTCTTAACTCTTTCCTCGCAGGTATGGGAGGTGGTATCACTGGTGGTGTGGCCCAGGCTTACCTTACCATGGGTTTCTGTACGTGTATGAAGACTGTGGAGATTACGAGATCCAAGCAGGCTGCTGTGGCTGGTGCTCCTCAACAGTCGAGTTTCCAGGTGTTCAGGGAGATTTTCAGAAAGGAAGGTATCAGAGGTATCAACAAGGGTGTCAACGCCGTTGCTATCAGACAAATGACCAATTGGGGTTCTCGTTTCGGTCTCTCGAGATTGGCCGAGGAAGGTATCCGTTCGGTTACCAACAAGGGTAAGGACGATAAGTTGAATGCTGTGGAGAAGATTGCCGCTTCCACTTTGGGTGGTGGTTTGTCTGCCTGGAACCAGCCAATTGAGGTTATCAGAGTTGAGATGCAATCCAAGACGAACGATCCTAACAGACCAAAGAACTTGGGTGTCATGACTACTGCCAAGTACATTTACTCCAACAACGGTATCAAGGGTTTGTACAGAGGTGTGGCCCCTAGAATCGGTTTGGGTGTTTGGCAAACCGTTTTCATGGTTGCCTTTGGTGACATCTTTAAGAAGATGTTGAACGCTGACGGTGGTCACTAAACATAAAAGGAAAGTTTTTCCACAAAACGACAGGGAATGGGCTCTATAGACGCGCTACATATATTCAATTCCATTCTAGAGGCATGTGCCGATTAATTTATAAATATGCTATGTTCCGGATCTACTGTTTATGGGTCATTCCCCATTTGTCGTAGCAGTATAAGCCCGCAATGGTAAGAAGCACACCATAGCTCTGGTAACCCACAAAGCTGAAAGAACCTTCCCAAACGAATGCAAACATAATGACAACGATACGCTTCATGATGTTAGCGATCGAGTAGTTGATAGGCGAAATGGTGCCGAGAAGCTGGAAAGCGAGAAGCGATTGTAAGAAGTGGGATACGCCGTTCAAAACGACCAAGGAAACGAGTGGAAGTGATAACTGTCCAAGGGAGAACACTTCATTGCGATATTCGGAAACAAGGTAGATTGGCATGGTGAAAAGGAAGCCAATAACCGAGCAAAAGAGCAAGATGGTCAACTTGTCGAGCTTCTTTTCACCACCGGCCTTGTAAGATGGGAGAGAAGTTGTTTCGTCCAGACTCTTTACGGTCAAGCGCTGCTTGGCAAAGATATTCTGGGAAACGAAAATTAACATGGACACGAATGCATAGCCCAATCCGCTAAAGTAGCCTGGGGCAGTGTTCAAGTTCTTGGGTTTGTAGCAAGTAAGCATGATACCGAAAATCAAAGGGAGAAGAGTCACATAAGTAACAGTTCTAAACTTTGTCCTGAGAAGTAATCTATAGATCAACACAGTTGAGATAGGAGACAAGGACTTGATGGTGTGCACAAGTGACACGGGTATCATGGAAGTAGCCTTATGGCTTGTAATGTGGCCCAAAAACTGGAAGATGCCCATAGGCAAAGTAGTGGAAATGATGAACGCGTTAGGCGTGAGGAACTTCACGACAGAACGGTCGAGAGCATGCAAATTAGGGATGGAGGCCTGGGGGAAGTGAGCAGCCCACGAGGGAGCCACGGAAAGCACTGCAAAGAGGCCGATGCAAAGACACGCGTTCAAAAGAAACTGAAACTGTGTCAAAGTGACTGGGTATGAAAACCGCAGAAGGATAGCCTTTGTGGAGTTGTTTGACACGATGGAAAAGCCATACCATAAAGCACACAAAGTCACCACCTTCACGTCAACCTCCGGAAGCCACGAGGCCCAGCCGGTAGCTTTTGTCTTTGGGATTTCTAGACTGGTAGTAGAAGGGTTAGCAGAAAGCGTAAAGAAGCCCTCTCTGCGTTCAGCCACTGGCGTAGATGAGTTGGACGCTGGTGGGGTGATTTGCTGGTAAGACCCCAACGGGCTCCTCACGGCCTTGGGATGGTTGAGCTGGAAAATGTTCGTCGTAGACATGTTCGGGTTGATCTGGGACGTCCTCTGTGGGTACGGATACCTGTGGATATCTTCCACCGAATGGTTTACGCTTAACATGGTTGGAATGAGATGGCGTTTCAGTGGAACGTGGGGAGGATAATTAGGTGATTTTTGGAGAAGGAGGCGTTTTTATTGTGATTTAACAATTCCCCTGGGATTCAAATGGTACGCCTTTTTCTTATATATCTTCAGAACAGCAGAAGTTGCTTCTTTTAAATGTCTGGTTGGAAAACCCTTTTGTTTTGCGATGCAAGCCAGGCGAAGCTGGCAATCTGCTGGCCGAGTATTGTGTGTAGTGGATTATCTGCAGGAAAAGAAAGCAAAAAAGAGAAAAAAAAGAAAAATCAATACAGGTTTCCTCACCACGAGGCTTCCACCTAAAGAAGCTGGAAAGGTAACAAAACCAGAAGCCCCTTGAGGAGGCTTGCTGGAATTAAGTTAAGCGAATTGAGAGGTCTCTTAACGGGATCTTACGAAAATAAAGATATTTTAAGGGTCTCTTTATTTTATTTTTACCGTCTCACAGCTTGCTCTATTTTCACTTGCTGCAAAAGAATCAACCATTTTCATGTAAATTTGCTGCCCGAAACGTCTTGACAGCGTCCACAATCGGCCACAAAAGGGTAAAAAAAGCCTTGTTTTTTACGGCAGCGCCACAGTGGAAGCGTAAAGGTTGCCATAAAATTAAGCTTTTAGAGTTTTTTGGGTTTATTGGGAGCCCCCTTTTTTTTTAGACTATTAATAGAAGGTTCTTTTTTTCGTTGTTTTTTTCTCACCAGGGCTCAATGACGTATGGCTGCAAAATGTGCGCCTGAAAGTGTCAGTGATGCGGCGTTCCGAAGGTTTTTCAAGAAACAGGGGTAGTTTGGCGACAAAAAGGCAGATAAGAAAGATCAAAGTTCTTGGTGGAAGGGTAAAGGCTATGTTGAAATTTGGGCTTGGTTGCGCTGAAAACGGAAGCGTTTGGCCTGTTTGGTGAATAAGATTAGGCTCAGATAAGGCAGTGATGGATGGATAGGGTAAGGAGAAAGATGCAAGCAAGTGAGTGTAATCTTAAGACTAAAGCTCGTGTGCTGGTAAGATAGTTTCGTCTGGAGAGGGCTTGGGCAAGTGCATGGCTTAGAGGCCAGGGGTAACCCAGGCTGAGCCAGCAGCTAGGGCTTATAGGGAGGGATGGGAAGGTTTGGATGGAAAGGGGAACTGTGTTGACAAATTGGGAAGAAGGGGATGAACGGGATGGCGATGATGGAGATAGGGGGAGATTGTAGGGTAGATAAGGTAGCGTTTGATAAGATAGTGGATGTGTTTGGGCTGCTTTGGAGGTAAGCGTGTGGTTTATTGTATTGTTTTGATGAAGAGGATCAAGTGATATTGAGAAGTTTGGACTGCCATGGTCAATTTCCTACGTTCTTTCGTTACGAAAAAGGATTTGTTTCATTGGGTGGCTCAGAATTGACATGGCTTATTAACTCTTGGCTGGGCTGTGGGCTGTAGGAATTGATAGACAGATGACTTGGCTCTTTGAAACTCGATAGGGGTGCTTTGGTCTATAGTTGCCCATGCTTCGTTACCTAATTCTTGCTTCATATAATGCTAGATCAAAGGCATATACTGATTGCCAAAATCTTTGAGCTGTTATCCAGCTTTGTAGAAGCAGTAGAAGTAGTAGAAGCCTGATATCAAAAGCAATTAAAGTGAACCTCTTAAACATAAAATTGGGTTGACGTTCTCTGAATAACCTTGCTGTTTTAGCCACCTTCAAATGGAAGCTCAGTTCACCTATTCTCTGTAGCCGTTGATGCTGTCGAAGACAAACTTCTCCCCATTTTCTGACAAAATCGGTCACTATTACTAGATTAAACTTCCAAAAAATCTTTGTTCAGGGAATTTTCGTGCTTCTACTGGTCTTTTTCTCAGGCATCACTTCTGAGTCACATTGGCTGCAAAACATCAAGTAATCCACACCGTAGCACTCCCCTACTTTCAATTTGACTAATCCAACACCGATGCTCTTATTTAAAGCCAAAATAAATACAGCCAACAAGAAATTCTCGAAGTAACCAAACCATATGCCAATAAATGTACCCTCTAGGCTCGGCTCTTCACGTAGACTGCCGATTCCCTACAGTAACCCCCACATCTCTCCCAACTAACCCAAAACAGTCACCAAAATAGTCCCAACCACATCCACCATCTCATCCCCAACACCGTCCAACCAGAACCAAAAAAATCAGCACGCTTCGTCGTCGTCACCCAACCACTCGGCTTATCTCAGACCTATCGCGTCCAACCACGAACCACCATCCCAGCCGACTCGCCTCCCACACAAAAGGCCAAAAATCCAAGACCACCATAAAAACCGTTTTCCCCTAATCCACCAACGTAATCAAATTTTTCACCCTTTTAATTGCCCATTCCCCTAATCCCTTCTCCCTCTGCTTCCTCCCAGCCAGAGGTCCTGCAGACCAACGCACCGTTAACGCTGCGATCACGATAAGTAACTCTAAACCTCAACTCCATCTACCAACATATCTGCCTAAATCTCCTTTGATGCTAGCCAATGTTACAGCCGTGATTGCGAAACAGGCAGCCGTTAGAGGTGTCAAGTACCTTCTAAAGCGTGTGGTGGACGACGAAGACGAGATTCCCGATGTGACTACTCCTGATCCCGAGGAAGATGCCGACCCAGTGACGGAGGAGATGTTTTCGTCGTGGGCGCTTTTCATTCTTCTATTTCTTCTTTGTTCGGCGTTGTGGTCGTCTTATTATCTTCAGCAAAGACGTATCAAGGCCATTCATGAGACGGTCTTGTCGATTTTCTATGGTATGGTGGTGGGCTTGATCATTAGAGTGGCCCCTGGCCATTATATCCAAGATGCTGTGAAGTTCAAGTCGGGGTACTTTTTCAATATTCTTTTGCCGCCTATTATTTTGAACTCGGGGTACGAGCTACATCAGGCGAATTTTTTCAGGAACATAGGTTCGATTTTGACGTTTGCAATCCCGGGAACGTTTATATCTGCCATGGTGCTTGGTATTATTTTGTACGTGTGGACGGCTTTGGGCGTGGATGGAGTGAAGCTTGAGTTTGTGGATACATTGGCTGTGGGCGCTACGCTATCGGCCACTGACCCAGTCACCATTTTATCCATTTTTAACGCATACAAGGTTGATCCTAAACTTTATACCATTATCTTTGGCGAATCGCTTTTGAACGATGCCATTTCCATTGTCATGTTCGAGACATGTGCTAAGTTCCACGGCAAGAACGTGACGTTTTCGTCGTTCTTCGAGGGTGTGGCTTTGTTCTTGATGACTTTCACCATTTCCACTTTTATCGGTATCGCTATTGGTATCATTGTTGCGTTGATTTTGAAGCATTCTCATATCCGTCGCTACCCACAGATTGAAACGTGCTTGGTGTTGCTTTTCGCTTACCAATCGTACTTCTTTTCCAACGGTGCCCACATGTCGGGTATCGTCTCGTTGCTTTTCTGCGGCATCACATTGAAACACTACGCCTACTTTAACATGTCCAGAAGAACCCAAATTGCAACAAAGTATATATTCCAGTTCCTTGCGCAACTATCGGAGAATTTCATCTTCATTTACTTGGGTTTGTCCTTGTTTACTGAAGTTGAATTGGTCTTCAAGCCCTTGTTGATCATTGTGACCTTCATCTCCATTTGTATTGCCAGATGGTGTGCTGTTTTCCCACTCTCCAGATTATTGAACTTCCTTTACCGTTCCAGGTTTGAAAGGTTCAGCAGAAACACCGTCATGGCAGGTGGTATCTCGTCTCAGTCACAACCAGAAGATATCAGCCATCCTTATCAAATGATGATTTTCTGGGCTGGTTTGAGAGGTGCTGTCGGTGTTGCATTGGCTTTGGGTATCCAGGGTGAGGCCAAATGGACTCTTCTAGCCACCGTCTTGGTTGTTGTCGTGCTTACAGTCATTTTCTTCGGCGGTACTACCGCTTCCATGCTTGAAATCTTAGGTATTAAGGTGGGCTGTGTCGAAGAGAATGACTCAGATGATGAATTCGATATTGAAGCTCCTCGTGTTGCCCTTGAATCTACTCCTAACGTCAACATCATGGGAAGCAGAAGATATGAAAATGCTCCATACGGTAACGGCAACTCGACCTCCAACTACAGAACTAGCAGCAACACGAGCCTTCCTTACATTAAGGGATCAAGTCAGAGCTCAAGGAACAACTCGAATCCTGAGCTTCCGCATGATGATGACGATTTGAATGGAAGCGATGCAGATGATGTCTTCTCCGCTGGCACCAGAAACCCTGAAACGATGCACGCTGCATCGGCTGCTCTTGCACAACAATCTACCAATGGTATCTTGGGCGCTTTCCTAAGTGCCGAGGAACATGCAAAGTGGTTCACCAAGTTTGACGAGGAGGTGTTGAAACCAGTTCTTCTCGACAAATCACCAGGTCAACGGGGTAACGATGACGAGGAATCTAACGTGTAACGAGACTTCTTCATCATTCTAAAATTTTACATGGCTTATAAAAAATTCACTACGCTAAAAATAAAAAATATACATGTTATTAAGTGTTAAATTAGTAATACAAGTCTGAAGATTCCTTCTCCTTTTGCTGCTGAGCGATTGAAGCATCAATGACCCATTTTGCGAGCTTGAAAGCTCTCGACGATAACAGCAAGTCGTTAAGCTTATGATTGTATTTGACACAGAGCTGGAAGAACTCTTGGATCGTCAAATCATGCAAAAGAGCCACAAGATGGCGTTTTGTAGCTTGTTCGTTTTCTCTTTGCTCTTTCGTGAGGTACACTGATGCCGGTAACATGTCAGTGTAGTTAGCGCATGCTCTAATTGGTCTTTCCAAAAGATTCAATACTTCACTGATATGAGCACCAGTGACAGTGTTATTGCGATCTTCCTCAACAGCATGGATCAAAATGCCTGATAAAGCAATAACGGCATTGCCGTAATTGACTGGGTTGACAACCCTCGACTCAGTGTCCCTTTTGAGAGTTATTCTAAAGAAGACTCCTATACTAGATTCGAGCAATTCGTTACGGTACTTGGCGTAGTATTGCTGAATCAAAGCGAGCTTATCAGTAACGGTCTTTGACCTCGACTTGGAAGTCTGAGGATTGAGGTAAGCAGCCAAGAACTTTTGTGTTGGAATGACGAGATGATTAATGATATGCCTACCAAGAGCGTTATTCTGTAAGCGAGTGTACAAAGACGAGCTTGAAGGAGCAACGTCTTCATATCTTCTAAGAGGGCTGGACGACGCATCGACCATAGGCTGTGTCGTATCAGCTGTGCTCGTGTTAAACGAGTTACCAAAGAGGAACGAGTCCTTTGTTTCGTTAAGTGGTTCCTCTGGCTTACTTGGTGGCTGGGAGCCTCGAAGCGCCTTCATATCAGACTGAGATCTGTAGTTGACTCTGGATGAGGTTTCCTTGATCACCAAAGCACATTCATCAAGAATGGCAGGCCAAACAAATCCAGCCACTGAATGAGCGCTATATATAGCTTTTCTTCTTTTGGCACCCTCAGGGTCGTTAGTTGTGGCAAGGTAGGCCAACTCTTGGAAGGCTGTCAAGCGGCTGATCTGGTTCTCAGCGTCCACATCACGCAAGCATGACAATATGGAGCTAATTGGGTCAGGGCTATAGTTGCTGATAGGTTTCTTTCCATCTAAGCAACCAATGGTAGCATAAGTGTCGTAAACATGGTTGACAATCTCCCAAAGCAAAAACACAAAAATGAAACAAAAGAAATGTTGATCAACGTCCAGAAGCCAATATGAAAGCGCGGGATGGTCGAATCCAAGGAAAGCATCGCAAAGAACAACCAATTGATCTTATAGATGATGGACCTGATGACCCAGTAGATGATGGGCGACGAGATGGAAGAGACGGTATTGAAAAGCAGCGCATGGCCCAAAAGAGCCGGCAATTTCAGGAAAAGCACCGAGTCTGGCTTTATATGGTTGATGCCGTAGCGAAACTGAAGCCTGTTCCTCTGGAACACAATGTGTTGAACAGTATACAACAAAGCAACAAAGTACGCATGGAACCAGAAGTACACCCACTCGTCATTGATAGCAGGTCTCTTTCTAAACTCCTTCGCCACAATGCTATACTGAGACCTCAAGGGCAACTGCAACATAAACAATGCATAGATCACATACGAAGAGCCCAAGTAAAAGAGAAGACTAGTCACATAGCGACGAGTAAACACACTTCTCGCAATCTGCTGTGCCAAAGTCTTATTGCTGCTGTACTCCACCGTCGAATTGAAGTTTCGGCATAGCTTCACAAAGTACAATGCCAAGTATATGAGGGGAGCTCTGAAGGTAATTGTATAGACAATGTTCCACCAGATGCTGATGTAGGGAAAAGCGAGAATGGCGCTGGCGGCGATGGCCAAGAGGAACAGGATTTTGTTCCAGTAGCGCAATCGCTTCTCATAGACTTTCTTGAAGTAGTATTGGTACGACGTGATCCGTTTTTGGGGGGATTTGACCGAACCAGACATGCTGCTTTAAGAGTGGTAATAGCGAGTAGTGAATGGGTCTTGATGAAGGCAGTATGGGCCACTTGTCTGCAGGACACACTCTCTATTTCACCGATTAGAACCACCAAAACGGCATCCTTTTGTTCCTTGTTGTTTATTTTGCTTCGCCTAGAAAGGTTCCCGTATCGTTGGAGACCTTGTAGCGCTTCTATGTACATGTTTACGCATCCTTGTTGAGCTCCGACTGAGCCTCTCTCTTGAGCTTCTCGTTCTCTCCACTCAAAGTATCCTTCACCGTCTGGAGACCTGGCTGGCCATCGATCTCGCCAAATGCAGCATCCAAAATAGCTCTCTCGTTGGCCTTGGATTTGGCATAAACGTTGCTGAGACCAAAGAGCTTGTCTTCGACCAAACGCTCGTTGCTCTCGAATTGACCAACCTTCACCTCGAAAGCCTCTCTGATAGCTTCACTCAACTCTTCTTCGGTAGTGATGAAGTTGGCAGAGGCGTGGTACAACTCCAATAACTCGTTGGCCTTGGCCTCTTTGGCCTGCAACGCCTGGACTCTTCTGTTCAATGCTCTTTGTTCCTCCTTGATAGCCTGCTCCTCCGGCGTTCTCTTTCTCATGATTGGTCCATTAAGGTAGGAGTCAATCGTGGGCAAGGTCAACTTGGTGGCCTCACTCTCTTCGTGGACCTTGTCTTCGGCAATCTGCTTCTCCTCCAACTCGTGCTTTCTGACTTTAAGAGCTTGTAGTCTTTCAAGACGCTTAGCTTCTGTCAAGTAGGCTTCCTTCAAGAGATCCTTTCTGATCTGATCTCTCTTGTATGCCCATAACTTGTCGCCTTCTAGTTTGCTGACATCGACAGCTGGACCGCTCTCGATTCTCTTTTTGATGACTTCCTCAACTGGGATTGGCTTCGTAGGCTTAGGCTTACGGGCTATACGGCGGCCGTCGACCACAGGTGGCTCCACTCCCTTGGCATAACCTTGTTCTGTTTTGGCTTCTTTCTCTTTGATGTAATCGGGTATTGGCAAAATAGGGTGTTTGAAGATGGGACGTAATTTAGGCAATAAACCAGATTTGCCTCCGTATTTAAGGGTACCTTTACCCAATACAACAGTGGAAGGATGCATATCTGGGATGTCTGATGCTTGATAGTTGGATTTGATGCTTGGAAAAAGTTTTGTATGTACATGTCGTGCGCGCACCATAAGCTCGCTATTCACTCTATGCCCCAGGTCTCATATAAGGCTGCCAGAGGAGCCTTACCGATTTTTTTATTACCAACCTGGTCATTGAAGAGTTTGAAAATAAGGTTTCTTTTTTCTTCTTCGGCTAATTTTTCGTTTTCCTGGTAATATTCAATGAGTCGCCTTGGGGTCTGGAAATGGCTTTGTAGTACTACTGCCTTCTCTAGAGAGATTCCTCGCACCAGCATAAGCATAAGAATGAACATTTCCTTCACTGTCATCATGTCAGATTTGGATAAAACAGCCTGGTAGGTCGGGAACGTATGAACACATTCATATGACGTTGATCTGTTTTCGAATTTTTTTCTGAACTTCTCTAGCATTTGAGAGTACTCGGCTTGTGTCTCTACAGACAGTGGTCGAAGAACCATGAGTCGAGTTTTGGCGTACTTTTCTTTTAAAATGCTTGTGGTTGAAACGACCCAGTCCACAATATCGTCAGACTTTCTGAATCGTTCGAAGAATAAATTGGAAACGGTCATAACCATCGAAATGGCGGTCTGGATGGAACTTTTCATTTCCAAAATACGGTCCACATCGCAAAGACCACCTTCTTCCACAACGTAGTAAACGTTCTTAAGGGCAGACTTCTGAAGACGGTTTTTTTGCTCCACAAAACGTCCGTCCTTGATGGAAATTGCCAAATCATCAATTCTCTTACGTTCACAGACGTAGTTAAGCACGACTTCCTTGCCGGTATGCTTATTCTTCGCTATCCACAAGATATCTCCCACCGAAAGAGCTCTCACGTCACAGGTTATATCATGGTTGGCAACGCGCTTCTGGAAGAAGTCTCTTTCGCTTTGGGAACGCATCTCTCGAGTATCAAAGAGAACAGCCACCTCAAAGTCTTCTGGTTTCCAGATATCATAGAGAACTCCATCATACACTTTCCGATTGGCATCATGCACGGCTTTACGCCGTAGAGGGCTCGAAGGAGGATCAATAGGCGCCATGGACAGCTCAGGAGTGACGCGTATACCGTTATCATAGCTCAAGTCCACTGTAGGTGCTGGAGAAGAATGGATATTTTCTTGTTGCATAATTACCTTCGCCATAGCAACGCCAGCCTCCGTGAGCAAGTAAAGCTTAGGTGCTCTTCCCACACATTCGACCAATTCACGGTTGAGTAGCGTCTTTATCCCGTCCCATGCCGAATAGAAGTCTCGTGCAGCTGGGTTAGCTGTAAATGAACTATCACAGTATCCAGAAGCACTTTCAATGACATCTTCCTTTCGTAGACCCTTTTCAGACCCGTTATTCTTATGCAATGCTATGAGAATCGCCCACGATCCCGAACGACGTTTAGGGACCCACGAGCTTCGTCTCTTGGTCTTCTTCTTGGAGTTCTCGTCATCTAGCTCATGTGCCCTTTTCCCGCCAACACGTTCCTCCAAAAACGACGAAAACCCTTCAGGAAACGCCACATCCTCTGTCTGACAATGTTTCTTAAGCTTGGAACAAAGAAACTCAAACGTTTTCTGGCCCACACAGCTGATCTGTCGTAGCTGTTTCGCGTCTTCAATGGCATCTGGATGGCTCTTCACCTTATCAAACGCCTTGCTGTATGCATAACCTAACTTTGAACCCTTCTTGGTGAGTTCAGCAGCCTGGATTTCTAGCCAGCCTGCAAATAGCAGTTTCAAGTCGAGTTCTGCCATGGAGCAGAGTGGTTTGTTGATACCAGTGTGCACAGACGGCGCGTAGAAGATGTAGATGGAGTAACAGGAAGGGAGGGAAAAGGTGGAGAAAAGGGAAGGTGAAGGTAAGGAAAAGTGATTTCTGAGAGATTTAGAGAGGACTTAGAATTGGAACAATGGATGGAAGTATTTTGCTTTTCTTGAGTTTACGATTTTATAATGGTTATTGTTGGTGTCTGTATAACTTCAACTGTACTGTGCGCTTTCTGTAGTAACCTTGTAAATACCCCAGTCATAGATTCACCAAACCATAGAAATTTCATAAAAAGCATACAAATACAAAAATGGTTCTTTCCAGAACAATTTCACCAAATATCAACAAATTCCATTCATTTGGGACTCCAATACTGCTCCATATCTGGCGTTTTGCAACCATATGGACTGCATGGCTGGACTTCACATCGCAGCCATCACCAACACCACCTCTTCTGCTATGCCTCCAAAGCCTTGGGCCAATTGGCGAAACCAGCTTCCTAAGGGAAGCGAAGGCTTGACTTTGATGATGAAAGCCGAAAAGAGCCAAAACGGGAAGCTCAAAGCGGTTCTGGTGGTACATCTACAGCTGACTCCAGAAACGTGAATAATTCAAGATACAACAGACACAATGAGGAAAGTAGGCCTAGGGAAAGGTCTACGGGGGAAAGGGGTTCTGGTAATGGCGGCAGCGACAGGGGAGGCTCTTCTGGAGGTCTTAACACTGCCGTGCATCCTCTTCTTCGAGACCTAGCTTCTGTTCCTCAGGCAGCCAAACAAGGTCCTAAACGCCAGAGAAAACCACGAAGCATATTTGACCCTGCTTCGCTTAATCCTTATCTCAATCAGGGAGACGTTTCTGGTCAATCACATAAGCCCAGACCGCTTCAGCTTAATCCACAAGGGAAATACGTTGCTCAGGGCGAACAACTACGAGAAAGACTAAAGAAGGAGAAGGAAGAGGAAGAGTACCAGCGCCAGCTTGCACTGAAGAATCTTCTACCAGATGAAAACCTCGGGGAACAGCTTTATAAACCGCAGTGGCCGCCATTGATCGAGTCTTGGGATAGACCTTACCTTCAAACACGGCTGTATGATGACTTTAAAGGTGAGTTTGTCTACGATGATGAAGAAGCGCCAGTTTCCATTTACGTACAACATCCTGTGCCCGTTCTGGTTCACAGACCGGAAGTAGAACTGGCATTGCATCTTACCAAGAAAGAACTCAAACGGAAGCGTCGTAATGAACGACTCGCCAGGCATAAAGAGAAGCAAGATAGAATTCGACTTGGGCTCGATCCGCCGCCACCCCCAAAGTTAAACTATCCAATTTAATGAATGTCCTCACCAACGAGGCAATCAAAGACCCTACTGGTGTGGAGATGAAAGTGAGAGAGCAAGTCGAGGAAAGACACAGGCAGCACATGAAAGCCAACGAAGAAAGGCAATTGACGCCAGAGCAGCGGCACGAAAAGACCAAAGAAAGGCACGAGCGGGACTTGGGCCGAGGCGTCTTCACCACCGTCTACCGAATCGATTCCCTTGAGAATGGTCAGCACCAGTACAAGGTTGATGTCAATGCCAAACAAATGGACCTCTACGGCATGGTTCTCTACAACCCTCGGTTCAACTTGGTCATTGTGGAAGGAGGGGAACGCGGGATCAAGTACTACAGGCGCTTGATGACCTCGAGAATAGACTGGACCCAAACAGACCAGACCAAACAGCAACAGAGTACCACACAAGGTGGCTCCTCACACATTTCGCAGCCATTCCTGCAAAGCCTGAACCGGTGCACCGTTGTTTGGGAGGGACAGTTGCGGCAACTCTCGTTCAAAAAATGGTCGAGAATGTATACGTCTTCCGATGACGAAGCGTGTGATTTACTTGCTCGGTTTGGCTTAGAAAACTATTGGCGGGAAGCGGCGGCGGCTGTGTAGTTGGAGGTTGTTACAGTGGTGGAGGGAAGTGGAGGGAGAGACACACCCGTGCACCACACCTACTTGTCTGACCAACCATTCTTGCTCCATGCTCGGAACCCCATCCACAGCATATAACTAGCACTCTTTTCCCTAAGAAACATAGTTAAAAACACAATGGCAGGCGCAGAGTATAAGATTTTTGGCAAGCCAGTGAAACCACATGTGGTATGTGAGGATTTTTTTTACACGCCAGACACACAATGGCTCTAACTAGACACAATAAGACTAACCCCAGCTTTCACTCATTACTTTAGGTAGCGTGGTTGCCATTGCCTGCTGGCCTCAGCAGAAAAAGGCTAAGGAGGAGGTTATCAAGCAAACCACCGAAGGCCCTAAGCCAGGCGACCAGGACGAATTATACGCGTTCCAGAAGATCATCAAGTATGTATTTATAGAGACTTGTTGCAAGCTTATACTAACCACAGCGACTTCACCAAGGACGAGAAATAATTATCTCCACGAAAATAAGTATATCTCAATGCATTTTGCTTACGAATTGGTTGTTTCTGTAGATTTGTGGGGTAAACGTGGAGGAGGAAGAGGAAGAAGAAGACGAATTACGGGAGTGATTTGGGGTCTAGGAGATGATGGTTGAAATTGGTTGGATACTATCGAATTGAATTGGATGGGAAGATACGAGAACGATTGGAATACGGTTTGCTTGGCTTTTGGTCAGTCTGGCTTACCTGTTCCAGTCAATGGCCTCAAGTTGACCATTAAAGCTGCGATATCACTCAATGGACCATTTGGGATTGCAATAGACTGGAATTCCTGACGTACTCTAGCACATCCGTTGGTGAAGTTCGAGACACTGCAATGTATGCATATCGGCTATCGGTATAAAGTTTAACCCGTCCCAACTATACCTTTCCTACAACATATCCAAGCTGTCTTCATGCATCTCGTTTTACTATACAACTATCCATCCCACAACATCCAGAGTTGAATGTGCCTATCAAGTGAGCTCTCCCGCTCACAATTTCTGTTTCTGTCCTGGCACCATCACAACTCTACCCACAACTTCTCCCCTTTCCAATTTCTCCATCCATTCAGGTAACTCCTCCATAGGCGCCTCTTGCACGATAGGGTTCAAGAGTCCACGCGAGATCCAGTCGAAAATCTCCATCTGTTCGGCAGATGTACCGCCAAAGTTGTAATGGATCGTCACGTCACGTCTGGATAAGTCATAGTTTGGCAACATCAACTTGGAGTTACCCATTCCAACCACGACAATGTGGCCATACCTACCAACGTACTCTGCACACTCAGCAGCAGTAGCCTGGTAACCGACAAAGTCGAAACAAACATCAAAAGTCTCCACACCGCCCAATTCTTCAGTGTCAGAGTAAAACTCATGAGCTCCAGATTCCAAAGCGAGTTTTTCACTGGAAGCCTTCTTGTCAATACACACAATGTGACAACCATAGTTACGCAAGATCTGAAGAGCGTTAAGTCCCAAACCACCAGCGCCAAACACCAACACCTTAGCGGTTGGGGTAAGAACATGGCGAACCTTCTTGATAGCGTGGAACGGCGTAAGAATGGCATCTGAGGCCAGCGCAGCCTGTGCAAACGAAACGTTATCTGGAATTGGAAGCAAACAACGCAATTGGCTCACCACAAGGTACTCCTGGAACCCACCATCGCTCATGATTCCAAATCCTCCAGTAGCCTTAGGGCACTGGTTATCTTTACCGTTACGACAGTTGTCACACAAGCCACAGGCCATTCCAATCAACAAGGCGTACCTTCCACCAATTTCAAACGGCGAGTCCGTAAGCGCCAGGCCAACCTCGGCAATAGTACCACACACCTCGTGGCCCATCACCATACGGTCAGTTGGAGGCGACTGGGCAAGGAGAATATGAATGTCTGAATGGCAGATACCAGCAGCAGTGATCTTAAGCAACACTTCATTAGGGCCAGGCGTGGGGATTGGGCAGTTGTCCCAACGCTGGATCTTCTTTTTCCCTCTTTCGAAGCCATAGGCGGTCTGAGTAGCAGGCATGGTTGATAATTATTAAAAATCTTAATCTGGGCAGATTCTCTGGGCATCCTTGTCTTTATATAGTCTGGCGGGCGCCCCGGATATAGGAATTTTCCACCCCCGCAATTCGAGATTTTTCGCAGCCATTGATGGACCTGGGAAGGCTAAATACTGGGGAAAAGAGAGATGGAATATAGGCAGTATAGGGAGATTTCTCGGCCTGGATGCTGCTGCTGGATCGATGCATTGTGCCTTTGGGGAAGCGAGGCCAGAGCTCGAAACAGGGTGGATGACGGTGGGAGAAGACCGGAAAAAATGCCATTTTCCCGAGCCTCATCGGTGTACCCCGATGCGATGGGCCTGGGGAAAGGCAGAAAAAGAGGAAAAGAGAGTTTGTGTTATTTTGTGGAGTTAGGAGAAGAGGGATCTGGGGGAGGTATTTGGAGGGGTTTTTCCTCGGGACGTTTTTGGGGTTTCTTGGTTGGTGATGTTGGTATTCCTCGGCATCTTCTCGGAATGCGGAGTTGCTTCGAGACTGGAAAATTGTGGAAAAAAGGGCAAGGCTGGAGAAAAGTGGGTTTGATAGGGGTTGTGGGTTTAAAAGCCTCGGGGTTCCAATGGAAACTTGGTTTTATGGGTTTTTGAGGAATTTGCTTGGATTCTGGAGTTTCCTTTGAGTGTAGGGTAGGCATTTCATGAAGTGCAGTGCAGGTGAAGTTTGGAAGGGATAGAGCGTTGATTTGAAAAATTACTATTATGTTTTAAAGGGTCCAGAGTTTAAGTTTTACTTCTTCGACCATTCTGTTCCAGCCATAACATGTGTAGCCATAGAGTTGAACAGGAGATCAGTTCCTATGCCAAGTGACATGGAAGTAAACGTGGTCCCTGATTGCAAAATAACCTCTATTTGGAATAGTAGACGTTCTTAGTTTGAAAGTTAAGGCAGCATCTCTCAGACTTGGAAAATTCAGGTTTGTGGCCAGTGTCAATTGTCCACTAACTCTCGTACTTAGACTGAACGGTAGCTGTTTTGGAGCCTAACACTTACATTTCCAGACCAATGGACCTCCCAGTTCGCAGCTTGGGCCAATGAGCACCTTTTATGGCAGCATGTAGATGAACATGGAACGGAATGGGCAGTAGACACCAGTGGTTTCTTCAAAACTACCTATGTTACCAAGTAGCTCCCCAGGCAATCCAAAACACACTATCTCTTGTTGATTTAAAGGTGACACAAAGAGACAACTACACCAGCATCACTCTCTATTGTGATTAGCGAGCCATTGTAAGCCAGACCGCATTGTGTTGATGGTGTAGCCTGGCAGCCCAAGAAGACCAGGTCAGAAAATGACCGAGCCAGGCAAAAGGGAAGATAAAGGTGAAGGCTGGTTATATTCTGGATACTTTTAAGTAACTTAAGACTCTTTCGATTGTAGAAGCTTAGTTCTAAACAGTCCATGGCTACCAGTGTCTCAGACTTGGACCAGACCAGACCAGCAGACAGTCCAGTAACTAGACCAACAAGTCAAAAGCTTGTATGGCTTGCCTTGAAGTGCATCCGATTCGCCTTCAAGTTACCCATCAATGCCTCCTGCTTTAATATCATCCGTCTATCACCAGACTCAAGCACCTGTCAGTATCCACTTACACCATCTTATATCGACTCATAGTACCACCACCATTGAACACCTACAACTCAATGCACCAACATGTGACGCTGAACTACCCATATCCTTACCTTCGCCGTCTCCGTCGGGTGACCTCCTTATCATCCTTCAACCCCACGTTCTGGATCCACACTGGGTGTTCCACAATTCACGTTCAAACGACATTCCGCAAGCAACCTTGGCCAAACAGTACAAAGCAGACCCAAAGAGGGAGCAATAGCGATACAATTATCTTGCCCAAACAGGCAAATCGTCAACAAGGACGTATCGAGGAAACACGTCTGGGCGTCGCGTCGACCGCGTTGGTCGAACGAGTTTCGAGGGTCCAAAACGAAGAGAAAAAAGGCATAAGACGTGTAACTAAATAAAAAACCCCAAATTTTTTTAAAATTAGGGATTTTTTCGTAAAAAAACCACCCCAAAAGCACCCCTTTACGTGTGTTCTTGTTTCCAGATCTGTATTGTTTGTTGATGTCTTATCTGGCACAGAACAATATTTTGCACCCACGGCAGGTCAGGGCACACAAACAACCTGTGTCGAGTTTCAGTCCGATCCGGAGCCGCCACAGATAAGAGGAAGAGAAGGAAGGTTTGGAGGGTTGAGGATAGGGAACGGGGGAAATTTGGAATGAAAAAGGTCCATTTACGGGTAATTGACTGGTGGTGGTTGGCCCAGTATGAGCCGTACAAGGGGACGTGAAGCGTCACCATCAAGCGTGAAACACAAGGTATTTAACAGAAACGGAAAGAGTGTCTCTCCTAATCAGAATCTTCCTTAGTATAGTAATCTACGTTTATTATCACGTCCAAGTACCACGTCTTGGACAGCTCCTCACTCCCGTTTACAGCCATTCCAGGCCATTTGTCAGCCGTCCTCTACCTCTCCCCAATCTCTCAATCTCTCAATCTCCCAATCTCACTTTTCTCTCAATCTCTCTCAATTCCACTCTAAACCAATTCCCTTTGGTTTTGCCTCTTTTCTTTTCTTTTTCATCCCTTTCTCCTCAGGCCAATGGTAGGGTTCTCCGAACACTGGCAACCCAACCCACGTCTATTGTCGCGCGACACGCCTTGCTCTACGCCCTAACGCATACGCCTCTATACGGGTTTGTTTTGATTTGTAACAAAAATTTTCTGTGCACACGCGTACTATATAATCGTGCCTTCTGCTCAGAAAAAATTCCCTCCAGCATCTTTTTTATACGTGAAACTACTATTACAAAATGTACGTCTACAAAAGAGACGGCCACAAGGAGCCCGTGCGCTTCGATAAGATCACCGCCAGAGTGCAGAGGTTGTGTTACGGTTTGGACACCGAGCACGTTGATGCTGTTGCCATCACCCAGAGAGTCATTTCGGGTGTTTACCAAGGTGTGAATACTATTGAGTTGGACAACTTGGCTGCTGAGACTGCTGCTTACATGACGACGATCCACCCAGACTATGCTATTTTGGCTGCCAGAATTGCTGTTTCCAACTTGCACAAGCAAACCACCAAGCAGTTCTCCCAGGTTGCTAAGACCTTGTGGGAGTACGTCAACCCAAAGACAGACTTGCACTCGCCTATGATTTCTAAAGAGACTTACGATATTATCTGTGAGAACGAGAACGAGTTGAACTCGGCCATTGTCTACGACAGAGACTTCAACTATAACTACTTTGGTTTCAAAACCTTGGAGCGTTCCTACTTGCTTAGAGTCAACGGTAAGGTCGCCGAGAGACCTCAGCACTTGCTTATGAGAGTCGCTGTTGGTGTTCACGGTAGAGACATCGAGCGTGTCATTGAGACTTACAACTTGATGTCCCAGAGATACTTCACCCACGCGTCTCCAACCTTGTTCAACGCTGGTACTCCAAGCCCACAGATGTCCTCTTGTTTCCTTGTCGCCATGAAGGAAGACTCCATCGACGGTATCTACGACACCTTGAAGACCTGTGCTTTGATTTCCAAGAGTGCTGGTGGTATCGGTTTGCACATCCACAACATCAGAGGCACTGGTGCTTACATTGCTGGAACAAACGGTACTTCCAACGGTATCATTCCTATGGTCCGTGTGTTCAACAACACTGCTCGTTACGTTGACCAGGGTGGTAACAAGAGACCTGGTGCTTTCGCTCTTTACTTGGAGCCATGGCACTCGGACATCTTCGACTTCATCGACATCAGAAAGAACCACGGTAAGGAAGAGATCAGAGCTAGAGACTTGTTCCCTGCCCTTTGGATTCCAGACTTGTTCATGAAGAGAGTTGAGCTGAACGGTGACTGGACCTTGTTCTCTCCTAACGAGGCTCCAGGTTTGGCTGACCACTACGGTGACGAGTTCGTTGAGTTGTACGAGAGATACGAGAGAGAGGGCCGTGGTAGATCCACCATCAAGGCTCAGAAGCTTTGGTACTCTATCTTGGAGGCTCAGACCGAGACTGGTACTCCATTCATGTTGTACAAGGACGCTTGTAACGAGAAGACTAACCAGAAGAACTTGGGTATGATCAAGTCTTCTAACTTGTGTTGCGAGATTGTTGAGTACTCTTCCCCAGAGGAAGTTGCTGTCTGTAACTTGGCTTCTATCGCTTTGCCATCTTTCGTTCAGAAGGACGCCAACTCTTGTTGGTACGACTTTGACAAGTTGCACGAGGTCGTCAAGGTTATCACCAGAAACTTGAACAGAATCATCGACCGTAACTACTACCCAGTTGAGGAGGCCAAGAGATCTAACTTCAAGAACAGACCAATCGCTCTTGGTGTGCAAGGTCTTGCTGATGCTTTCATGGCTTTGAGATTGCCATTTGACTCTCAAGAGGCTAAGGAATTGAACATCCAGATCTTCGAGACTATCTACCACGGTGCCGTTGAGGCCTCTATTGAGTTGGCCGTTGAGGAGGGCCCATACGAGACCTACGAAGGTTCTCCAGCTTCCAAGGGCTTGTTGCAATACGACTTGTGGGGCAGAAAGCCATCAGACTTGTGGGACTGGGACACATTGAAGCAGAACATGGCCAAGCACGGTCTTAGAAACTCGTTGCTTGTGGCTCCAATGCCTACTGCTTCTACTTCCCAGATCTTGGGTAACAACGAGTGCTTCGAACCATACACATCTAACATCTACTCTAGAAGAGTGCTTGCCGGTGAGTTCCAGATCGTCAACCCACACATGTTGAAGGATTTGGTTGACTTGGGTATTTGGAACGACTCCATGAAGAGTAATATCATCAGTAACAACGGTTCTATCCAGTCGTTGCCTAACGTGCCAGACGAGATCAAGGCATTGTACAAGACCGTTTGGGAGATTTCTCAGAAGCATATTATCGACATGGCTGCCGACAGAGCTGCTTTCATTGACCAGTCGCAGTCGTTGAACATCCACATCAAGGACCCAACCATGGGTAAGTTGACGTCGATGCACTTTTACGGATGGAAGAAGGGATTGAAGACGGGTATGTACTACTTGAGAACACAGGCTGCCGCCGCAGCTATCCAGTTCACCATCGACAAGAGCAGTGTTGGCGAGGCCGGCAAGACGATTGCCTCTTTGGAGAAGTTGAACCAGAGAAAGTACCTTCCGAAACGCCTTGTGGAGTCTTCTTCTACCCCATCGCCCAACGTCACCAGCGTGAGCGAGGAGAACGCCAGAGCCGTATCCACAGAGCCATCTCTGTTGGAGAACCTGGTTGCGGAGTTGCAGCTTGAAGACAAGACAGAGGAGAAGGGTAGCGGCGAAGAAGGAGCCGGCGACAAGAAGGCCGAGGAAGGCGAGAGTGATATCTACAGCTCACAAGTGATTGCTTGTGCGATCAACAACCCAGAGTCGTGCACCATGTGTTCTGGATGAGTAATAGTACCCTATGGCGTACAGCAGGAAAGAGTATTAATGTAAGGGAATAACCATAAGGCAAGTGTAAGCTAGTTTAGAGATTCCGCATACCAAGCAGCAGTGGCACGACATGTGGCATCACGTAGTGCATCCACGACGCTGTCAAAAAGCATAGATAATAAGTAGCGAGCGCAACCTAAGCCCCTAGCAAGCCACGGCACCCGGCCCCAAACCGTACCGACAGAAGCCCCCAGCAGCTCCAAACCAAAAGCCCAAACCAGCATCCCCACCTTTCCAGACAATCCAAATAACACATCAAAACCACTAAGTACCTCTCAAACCTTCCCATCACTTCTATTCATCATCCTCTCGGCCCGGTTCCGGAACCTGCCACGGCACTGGACCTTCACACAAGGCACCCAGCACTGTCTGTTCTCAAAATTGTTTGTCATTTTTTCCCTCTTTTACCCTGGCTACGTCACAGCGTGCATTTCGCTTCGGCTTGTTCCCACACCGCGGAACTCAGCAAGGCCGCCCATCTGTACGGCTCCAGATAACAGATATCGTGTGTGGCCAATCGAGATATGGGGAATGGATACGAGAAGGTGACGAAACCAGGGAAACAGACCCTGGCGTTTCTCCTTTTTTTCCCCTTCCGTTTGACACTTTTCTTGGGGGACGTTGACGTTGACAGGTTTTGGCTTGGCTGGATTTTTCACCTCCCACTTTCTTGGCTTGTCTAGCACTTTTTTTTTTTTTTTTTTGGTCGCCCCCTCCCGCCCGAAACGCGACCGAGTGGCTCCCTGTGGCTCTCTTTTTCCCCAGCCGTACACATTTCCAGATCGATCGGTACGATGGGAAGAGACACTACTCTCAGCGTCTGTTAGCACCTCTCACTAAACTCTCTAAAACGTCTATTTTCTTGGTTTAAACGGTTTTTTTATATTTCATGTGGTGACACAAAAATCACATCGGCAGCTTTGTAACCGGTAGTGCCTGGGATTTCACTTTTTTTTCCTTTTTGTTCAACCTCTTCTGTGCATCTTCGATGCGTTTGGCTGCGGCGCCCCAGCGATAAGCTCCATATGCATCGATCAGTCACTACGGCATTTTTTGGCCCTGGGGAAATCCACAAATATATATTTATGGGGGGCCGGCTGCTGTTTGTACAAGTTCAGCTTGTTTTTTAAGTACTGCCATGGAAAAAATCAAGGCTACGCTTTTCAACGAAAAGCAGGTCGACCTCTCCAGTGAAGAGAAGAATGTTTCTGGCTCTGACTACGAAACGCCGGTTGCGTTAGCGGTTTCCAAGTCTCAGGAGTACGACCCTATTGACCATGCTATCGCTGCTCAGATCTCTAATGACGGGTACGCTGCTATCACCGTGGAGGACGACTCTCCATACCCAGAAGTTAGAGCCTCGGTGCCTTCTACTGACGACCCGGCGATTCTTCAGAACACCATTAGAATGTGGGTCCTCGGTACGATTTTGACCACCTTGGGTTGTGGTATGAACTTGCTTTTTTCTTTCCACAGACCTTCGTTTGCTATTACTACATATGTGACGTCTATTTTGGCCTACCCTCTTGGTCGTGGTTGGGAATGGGTTGTTCCTGATTGGAAGATTTTTGGTGTTTCCTTGAACCCTGGTCCTTTCACTTTGAAAGAACACACAATTATCACTATTATGGGTTCGGTTTCGTTTGGTGGCGGTGCTGCTTACGCTACTGACATTCTTTTGGCTCAAAACAAATTTTACAACTCCGACTACGGTGTGGGTTTTGCCATTTGCGCCATTCTCTCCACCCAAATCATCGGTTTCTCCCTTGCCGGTATGGCCAGAAAAATCTTGGTTGAAGCGCCATCAGCAGTGTGGCCTGCCAACTTGGTTACGGCTACTTTCTTGACAAACATGCACGTTAACGAGAACCATACTGCCAACGGCTGGAAAATCTCCAGATACGCTTTCTTTGCAATCGTGTTTATGGTGTCGTTTGTCTGGTACTTCTTCCCAGGATTCATTTTCCAGGCCTTGTCGTACTTTGCCTGGCCAACATGGATTGCTCCAGAGAATGTTACCGTCAACCAGGTGTTCGGTGCTGCTACCGGTATGGGTTTGATGCCAATCACCTTTGACTGGAATCAGGTCGCTGGTTACATTGGTTCTCCTTTGATTCCACCAGCATCTGTCATTCTTACTATTGCCCTTTCCATTGTCATCATTTACTGGATCTGTACCGCTGCCCTTTACTGGACCAACACCTGGTACGCCCAGTACATGCCTTTGTCTTCATCTGACTCTTACGACAGATACGGTGAGGTTTACAATGTTTCTAAGATCATGAACGTTAATGAGTTGACTCTTGATGAGCAAGCTTACAAGAACTACTCTCCTTTGTTCATGTCCACCACTTTCGCCATCTCGTATGGTGTTTCCTTTGCATCTATTATCGCTACCGTTGTTCACACTGTGCTTTTCCACGGTAAGGATATCATGAACCAAATCAGACAAAAGGAGAAGCCTGATGTGCATCAGAGATTGATGAAGGCTCACTACAAGAACATCCCAGAGTGGTGGTTTTTGATTGTGTTCCTTGGTGCTTTTGCCCTTTCTATCGTCACCATCAGAGTCTGGAACACTGAAATGCCTGTTTGGGCTCTTATCGTTGCTCTTTTGATCGCTGTCTTCTTCTTGTTGCCTGTCGGTATCATTTACTCCATCACTAACATTGCTGTTGGTTTGAATGTCGTCACTGAGTTTATCATCGGTTACATGGTTCCAGGTAAGCCTTTGGCTATGATGTTCTTCAAGACTTACGGTTACATCACCAATAACCAGGCTGTTACTTTCGCTCAGGACATGAAGCTTGGTCACTACATGAAGATCAAGCCTATTCTTTTGTTCTGGGCTCAGTTGTGGGCCACCGTTTGGGGTTCTCTCGTCCAGATTGGTGTCTTGAGATGGGCTTACGGTAACATTGACGGGTTGTGTACTTCAACACAAAAGAACGGTTACTCCTGTCCAAACGGTAGAGTGTTCTTCAACGCTTCTATCATTTGGGGTGCCATTGGTCCAGGCAGAATGTTCAGTCAGGGCCAGATCTACTACCAGTTGTTGTTCTTCTTCTTGCTCGGCTTGTTGCCTGTGGTCAACTGGCTCGTGCTTAAGAAGTGGCCAAACTCTCCTATCAGATGGCTCAACTGGCCGGTGTTCTTCTCTGGTACTGGTTTCATTCCACCTGCCACGCCGTACAACTACGTCAACTACTGTGCTGTGGGTATCGTCTTTGGTGTTTTCATCAAGAAGAGATTCACCCACTGGTATTTCAAGTACAACTACTCTCTCTCCGCCGGTTTGGATATTGGTTTAGCTTGGTCTTCCTTGATCATCTTCTTGTGCTTGAGTTTGCCAGAAGCCGAGTTCCCTACCTGGTGGGGTAACAGCATCTTGAACAAAACTAGCGACATGTTGGGTACTGCCGTTAGTAAGACCCTTGCTTCTGGCGAAGCTTTCGGTCCTGACACTTGGTAATGATATTCTAATTCTTTTTGGTACATAGCTAATCTTTGATGAAACGATTATGAGTTGGTACTGTAGATGCACCATGGGTAACTCAGTGGTGTGTTTAGAGTTGCTTACCATAGCGCAACTGCTAAAGTAGGTAACCGCCCAAGTGGAACGTCATTGGCTGAAGATACCTATCAAGACGCCACGTCGCCAGTTATCTGAATGACCTTCAATTAAAAAGAAACGAATAACACTGATTTCTATTTGTTTGGAGTGGTTTCTCTTTCGATCATTACTTATCAGTAATTGGTATCTACTGTGGTCCATGCGCCTCGTCTAGTAGTGAAAGAACTCCACCAAAACAGACCAAAACTACCTAAGAAGCCTTAAAAGGTCCAATTTATTCCTCTATAACTTAATTGTTGAAATTCATTATTAAATTATATACCATAACTCTCTTGTCTCTTTTCCTCTTATCCTCCTCTGTTCCTTATCTATCTCATCAAAAGAATCCGCTATCTCAGCCCACAGACGTCCCATGACAAATCCAATTACATGACCAGAAACCTCTCGTTCCACTCAACACAACCATATAAATCTCCCTCTATCCCAACCATCTCTTAGCTGTTTTGATCCTCCTTCTTCCCTCCCGCCTAGATCGGTCCGGCACAGGAGTCCGGACCAGAAGACCGAGAAATCTCCAGCCCATCCCATTTATAGATATTCACCCATAGACATCCACCTTCGTGCTTCATTCTCCCTAAATTCAGCCTTTTCAAAGCCATCATGCCCGACGAACAAAGGCTGTCTTTACTAGCAGGCAACAAAGACGTGGACATCGATCCTGAGCAGGAAGTTGGAGGCCCCTCGACGATCCATGAAACAGCACAAGACCAAAGCCCAGATGGATCGCCAGACCCAGAAGATATAGAAATAGCTCGCTGGGGAGCCTTGCATCCCAAGACATGGAAAGATTCCGTAAAGAGGTTTTTTGTTGCTTGGGTTAATGGACCTGCTCATCCTCGTGATGACCCTCCTAGACCGATTGGAAAGCTTAGACAGATTGAGCTTCTTCCGGATCGGTTTCGCTTAAAGGTGTCTCCAAGTGTGCGTTACATTGTGTTTATGATTTATATGTTGGTGTGGATCGCCATTTGGTCTAGAGTGTTGCTTCCTTACTTTACTGAGATGCCTGAGGTGGCTGGTGATCCTGATGCTACGGTTATCTCACTTACATGTTCTGATTCATATGATTTCTGGAAGGGAAAGAACGCGGCGTGTGGGCTTGATGCCAAACTGTGCCCAAAGCTTCATCAGGATAAAGATGTCATTATAAGGTGCCCTGCTTTGTGTGATCGCGGTAGCTGGCTCTACTCGCTGAGAGCTGTGGGAGACCAGATGGTTAAATATAGAGGATTGTTTGTTGGAGGCGGTAAGAAGGATAAGGGCGACGATGGGACTATCACTTATCCGTATAGAGCTGATTCTTTCCCTTGTGGTGCTGGCGTCCACGCGGGTATCATCTCTCCGTTTTATGGTGGTTGTGCTCGTGCTTCTTTTGCAAGTGGACCACAAACATCGTTTCCAGCGACGAAGGGTAAGTATGGCGTGTCAGACTCCATCCAGTTCAGCTCGTTCTTCCCTACTTCATATGTGTTTCAGGAACTTGAGGCTTCTGTCTCGCATTGCAAAGATCCTAGACTTGTTGTGCTCATCATGAACATTATTCTTGGTCTACCTATAGTTGTTTTGGGCTCGTCTGCGGTTTTTGTATGGACTATTACTTCTGTTGGGTTTTGGACGATTTCTTTGGCTACAGATCCGCCGAAACTTGTGAATCCAGCATACCTGGAAACTTTTTATGAGTTGATTTCGCTCAGTTTGGGGAGATTTTTGCCAACCTGTTTTGTCATGTACTTCTTGTGGAAGGTAAGTATCAAGCGTACTTTCAGCAAACCCCAAGAGACTATTCACGAAGAGGAGTATTCTCCAGGCTTAACGCCTTCTAGTTCTCCAATGTCAAGAATTATTTTCTGGTACCCATTCTTCTGGCTTGGAGTACTCAACAATATTACATTTGATAGATTACCTGTCGACAGACTTACGTGGAAAGACTTGCAGGCTCAGCCTGGAGCTCTTCTAACTGTGTCTGTATTCGCCGTCATTATCATTGTTTGTGTGGTCACCCAAGCATACTCTGTATGGCTTTCTGGAAGATTCAACAAGCTCATTAAAATCTACATCATGATGTTTGCCTCGTTGTTTGCCATTGCATGGATACCTGGTCTCACTCTTCGTATTCACCATTACATCTTTGCTTTGATGTTTATCCCCGGCTGTTCCACAAGAGGGCGGACTGCCTACGTTTTCCAAGGACTTTTGCTCGGACTATTCCTTTCAGGAGTTGCTCGTTGGGGCTATGCTTCGATTGCCGAGACCAACTTATCTCTTTTACGTGGCGAACCAGCTGGCAGGGTCACTCCACCAACGATATTTGATGTTAACGCCACCGAGGGAAGAATCTACTGGGAAGACAGTTTTGACGCTAAAAAGAAGCCTATTGATGAAAAAGTGTTGCTTAAAGAGCTCACCAAGTATTCTGAGGTATCTCTTTTGATCAATGATGTTGAGCGTTACCGTGGCAAAAACGAAGGTAGCTTGAACATCACAGAGCTCGTTGAAAACAACAAGTACTTGAACGATCTCGTTAGCTTGTCTATGCTGCAAGAAACCACACCAAGTGACGTTGATCTTTATTTGCGAATTGCAAGGTACGATCCTAACGGCAAACGCCACGGAGACTTCACCAAAGCTTACATCCTACAATACCCTAGCTTTAACCTTACCAAGGCCGCTGCTGGAGTGACTTAACCGATTTAGCATGACAATTTTTCAAAAGGTTTCTGGCAATTTTGCAACCGAATTTGGTGAGACCTGTATATAGTACATGGTTAAAAGATACTACTCTCACATATACACGTCGACAGAAAACAAGTATAGACCACACCGTTACAATGGACGACTTCAGTGACTCAGGTGAATTGTACACAATCAGAAACCAGTTCTTCACGAGCCAGCATCACAAGGTCGTCTCTTACTCTTTGGATTCCTTTTCGACCGAAAACAAGCTCAAGGTTTTGGAGTTCCAAGTGAGATCCAGTGTAGCCTTGTCCCAAGATGCTTCCCAGTTGATTGACTTGGGAAAGCTGATTTTCCCTGAGCAGACTGATATCTTTGATGTTTTGCAGGCATGGAATGATTTGATGACTTTTGGCATTGACGAATCTACATACTTTGATGATGTGGAGGACGCAGCTTTCGAGTTACAGGCCAGTCTAACCGCTCTTTACTATGTCAAGTTCAGAAAGGACATCGCCCTGGCCATCCAGCTTCTTGTGAAATACACCAACTACAACACCAACAATGTTAAGGAATTAGAGCCATACTTGATTCTTGTGCAGTTATACTTGGTCAAAGAGAACTTCTCTGAGGCCTTGAAAATCTACAATGGATTCCAGAATTTCCCACCACAAGCAAGAGATAACATTATTTACCAGGTTTTGGAAAGTTGGATCTTGTCTATCAAGGGTGAGACTGACAACATTTCCAACTCTTTCTACTTCTACGACGAGATGTTGTCTACCGACTTTGATGACGACCCTCAAGGTAAGTTCCGTATTTTGAATGTTTTGTTTGTGATGCATATGCAGTTGAAGCACTTCCCTGAAGCTGAGGAGTTGTTGAACCAGATCAATGCTCTCAATTACACGGGTAACGAGAACGACGATTTCCTTGCTAACCAAGTCACATTCGATTACCTCACAAATAACGGCGCCAATGTCGGAGCATTGTTGCAGCGTTTGAAGGAGTCATACTCTGAGCACCAGTTGCTTGCCGACTTGGAGGATAAGAACGCCAAGTTTGATGAGATCGTCAGCAAGTACCAGGCTGCCACTTAGAAGACGTTTCACTGTACACTAGATATATATCAAAATAAAAAAAACTACCGGCAAAGGCATTGAATCATGTAGAATATTTGCTATGTTGTTGTCCCTAAAATTTACTCGTCTATTTTGACCACTTCACCTTCATCGTTGAACTTCAATCCTTCGGCGAGTAATCTCTTCTCAATCTCCTTCAACTCGTTCTCCCTCTCCAAAAGTTCCCTTCTCTTGTTGACCAAATCCTGGTGCACTCTCTCTTCAAACTTCTTCAATCTCTCTTCCTCCAACTTGATCTGCTCTTCCTTCATTAGATAGCTTGACTCGTCATCCTTCTTTGGACCATCTTCTTCCTCCTCTTCGTTATTGCTGTACGAGAACTTCTTGCCCGACAAGGCTTCCGTTCTGTAGTTTTCGTAGATGACCTCGTGAGTACGTTCCTTGAATTCATTGAGATGTGTGATCAAAAGAATGTTCTTCAATATCGTGAAATCGTTGAATTCAGGTAACTCAATGTTGATGGGTTTGGCGTAAGCAGGGTTCAATACACGCAACTTCAAAAGATCGTCTTCATCTCCCAGCTCCTGGAACTTGTTAGCGCCAATGACAGCGAATGGGATCAATGAGTTGAGGTACTTGTTGTACTCGATGATCTCGTCGTCAATGTAGTCCTGCTCATACTCGTACTCGTTGAATTTGTAGTAGGCAATCTTGTAGTTGTTAAGATCCTCCAAAATAAGACGTTTGTTCAATTGCAACTCTGCTGGAGACAAGGAGTCAGCCTTGGCAATCACTGGAATCACGTTGACGAGCCCACTGACGTGTTGTAAGAACTTGACATCAATCTCAGAAAGACCGTGGCCCGTAGCGTTAATCAAATAAATCAACACGTGGATTCTGCCATCCTTAAAACGTGGATTACGTTTAACTCTGCTTTCCTCCAAAAGCACCTCGTCATATTGGTGCCTTATAAAGTCCACGATGATCTTAAAGTCGTCATCACAGTCAATCGCATTGGCAAAGTTGGGCGTGTCGATAATGTTCAAAGAGATCTTGTGGCCATCGTTATCCTCCAACTCGACGTTCTCGTGTCTCAAAGTAAGCTTTTTCAGGAAAGGGTCTTGCAGGGCAGTCAGGGACGTGGGCACGATGGAATTTCCACCACATAAAGAGTTGATCAAGGTGGAACGGCCCAGGCCCGACTCTCCTATGATCATGGCCAGGAAGTTGATGGACTTTTTGATCGTCCTCCTCTTTCTCAACGCCGAAGACGACGTGTTGTAGTCCTGGTATGACATGGTTGGATGGGTGAAGAAGTAGGGTTTGGTTTTGTTGGTGTTTACTCGCAAAAGCGACACGTCTGGGGAGTGCAGGTAAGCCTTCCACCGCCCCACCCATTGCACCTCATCTGAAGTAGCCAAGCACACGGGAAGTAGAAGAGGACATGAATTAAGTGAAATGAACCTAAATCACTGGCCTTAGGGACCGTTGGCGTCGGTGGTGTTTGAAATTTGGTCTATGTCACGTGACCGTATCCACGTGCACAGATTTTCCTCGTCTAGATCGCGATATTCATAATTCGCAGCCAGGGGTAACGGTGCAAGCGAAGCAGGCGAGGATCCCATAGCCTTGAAGTACCTTTACAGGCGGAATTTTTGGTTACCAGTACATCCAAGAAAAGACAAGTAGCGTAAAGCAACGTGAAAAAAAAAAGTCTAATTTACCCGTTTCCGCTTCCGCTCCAACCCTGTTCCCTTTCTCTCCAGTCTAATTTCGCAACTTTCTCCCAACGGTGCACATGCCCAAGCGCAAAGCCAGAAAGTAAGAAAAAAACCACCCCTACCACAAAACCACAACGGAAAGTGAAAAAAATGGAAAAACAAGCGAAAAGCGAATCTTCAGCGCCACACAATGCCAGCCAGCGAAAAATATCCCTCTTTTTCATAACCTAAACGGTAATTACTGGGAGGTTAAGGAATATTTGCAATTTCCCGTTACGCTGTCACGTGTGAAAGCACACCAAAAGACATACCTCTTGTGTTTAACATTTCAGGAAAAAGAGGCTCACCGAGGGGAAACCCATACCTGTTCCTATTGTTCATTGATACAAAAACAGGAAGTCCCCTCGAGACGTTTGGCCTTCCGTTGGCCCGAAAAATACCCTACATCCCCTTACTTCCCCCTACATTGATTATTGCGTTTTTTTATTTTTACCTCTTGCTTAATTCGGAGTTTATCGTTTAGCTGGACCCAATTTTTCTCTTTCCTTTCTTTTTTTTTTCGCAACCGCTCGCCTAAAAATCACATTCACCCTCCACAAGTGAGGCATACAGCTTACGGTTATATAATGCTGCCATCGCCTGCCTCCACCCCAGATTCCCGGTAAGTATTTATCTAGCGTGGCTAGTTTTGCGGGATAGTTGGTTTTTCTTTGTGTTTTGTTCGTCTACTGAAATTTCACCATGCCTGATTATCATTTGGTTGTGCTAGTGCACGGAATCTGGGGTAACTCTTCCCACATGCTGTATTTGGCTGATCAGATCCAGCGCCAGTCCAAGGCTGCCAATGCTTCGGAAAGCGTGGTGGTTTATAAAACGGGCTCCCATTCGGGGTATAAGACGTATGACGGTATTGACGTGAATGGGAAACGTGTGGCAGATGAGATATTTGCTGAAACCTCCAGGCTTAATGATTCGGGTCTGGGCAAAGTGACCAAAGTATCTGTTATCGGGTACTCTTTGGGAGGTTTGATGTCTCGTTACGCTCTTGGAATCTTGTACCATCACAAGTACTTTGAAGATGTGCAGCCGGTGCATTTTGTCACCTTCTGTACGCCCCACGTTGGCACCAACAGTATAAGCTCGTCGCTATCGTCTAAGATCTTTAATCTCGTGGCTCCATACGTGTTGGTGTACCTGGGCCAGCAGATGTTTTTGAACGATAAAACTGCTGTGGTGGGTAATGACGATAAGTTGCCTTTGCTTGTGTGGATGGCTGACTCTAAACTGCCGTTTTATAAGGCTTTGGCACGTTTCCAACATCGGTCGCTTTACGGTAATGCTATCAATGACAAAAGAACCAGCTGGTATACCACATTCATCTCCAATGTCGATCCTTTTAATACCATGGTTAACGAATCGCTTAGTGCCTACAACTTGGAGTATATCCAAGGCTACGACCCTAATGTCATTGACTTTACCAAATCTATTTCGTTCAGCAAGATCGTCAAGCCTAATAAACAGAGAGTGAACCCTAAGCGCTGGGCCTATAAGGCATTCGTATGGGCTAAGGTTTTGGCCTCTTTGATTGTCATTACGCCCGTTTACTCCATTTACCTTTTGAGCAATGCCATTTGGCAAAGAGTTCAGCTCAATAGAAGAATCCGTAACTTCTACAAAGAAAGCCCCAACAGTCTTGCAGTGTTGTATGACTTGGTTGATAACGAGAAGGACCTTGAAAATGGTCCTACTTTAACCAAGAAGGAATTCCAGGACTTGGAGAAGCCAGACCTGGATCATGAAGAAACATATTTCGAAGCTATTGAAGAGAAGATGCATGACAGAGCTGAGGTCTTTGTTGACTCCATCTTTAAAGCTGTTGACAGTGCCAGTTACTATGACTACCACTACAGTGTGGCCAAGAAGAGATCGCCATTGTCCAGACCATCATCAGAGGAAAACCTCTCCAGTGAAGAAGGAAAGCTTCTTCCGAAGCCAGGCTTGGTGAACTTAAAGGGCAAAGAGGTGAAGAACGACTTCAAACTCAATTTCAACTGGAAGCAAGAAAAGATTGTCGAGGGCTTGAACACTCTTCAATGGGACAAATACCCAGTAATCATCAGAAACACAAAGGCTACACACGCTGCAGTGATTCACAGGCACAATGATCCCACTTTTGCCGAGGGCAAGGTGGTGGTGCGCCACTTTATCGAACAGGTTTTCAGGTTATAGGGTTATAGAAAGATGGATATTTATTGTACAACAGTCACACGTAGTGTAATGCAGAGAAGACGGATCAACGTTCTCTAGATGTTCTCTGAACATTCCTAATCATAGTTAACAAATAGTTTAGATCAACTCAACGTAGTTGGCAGGGAAGATGCCGCTAACGCCGTTGTTTCTGCCGGTCCACCAGTCATCTGTGGTTTCAGACTTCTTCAAGATGTCAATCACATCACCCTTCTTGAATGGCAAATCACCCAGCTGCTCGCCCTTGAATGTGAAAAGTGCAATCGCCTGCGAGGAATTGGTCTTTTGAGCACCACCAAAGTTTGGCTTTGATGACGTTGGTCTGGAAGGGCTGTCTGCCTCTCCGAGTCTAGTTCTGCTGAGCCTCAGGCCAAGGTTATCCACGTCGGAATCGCCGCGGCTGCGGCTTGGACCGTCATAGATGTTGTCCTCCCAGGCTGAGCGTCGACCACCTTTCGAGCCTCGGCTGTAAGACTCTGTGCGGTTGTAAGGACGACGAGGTTCGGGGTCATAGTCATAGTCATCGTCCGAATAGTCGTCTGAGTATCTTCTGTTTCTACGAGCACCTCTTGCACCAGCAGCGCCACCAGCGGCTGCACCGCCTCTGGAAAATTCAGAAGCCAGGTCTGAAAATTCGTCTGGAATGTCATCATAGTAGTCATCGTCAAAGTAGTCCTCTCCGTCGATGTTGTAGTTGAACACTCTACTCTCCAAGACACGCATGAGAGGTTCACAGGCAGGAGGAACCTCCACCTGGCCTGCTAAGATGTTTCTAGCCTTGCAATTACTGCCGTAGAACTTTCTGTTGGCCTCTCTTCTCTCCACAATGGCGGAACCTTCTAACGAGACACCAGCAAAGAGACCCTTGGTCTTGGAATAAGCGAAAACCGCCGAAACCGAACCCATCGTGGCGGTACCAGCAGCCTCGGCATTTCTTCCTAGAGGACCAGCGGCCACCGAGATGTTTGTACCCAAAGTGACCGAGCCCATCTGGGCAAAAGTGTCCACGGCCGACTTTGTGTTCAAGATAAAGACGAAATCGGTGAGTTCGGCACCAATCTGACCACCGACACCGGCACCTGCGGTGACGATAGCAGATGGAGGAGACCAGGAACCGTCAGGCAAACGGGCCACAATGACACCAGAACCTGCTCTACCGGAAAACAAAAAACCGGCTTTCAAAACAGTAATCACAGCCAAACCCTTAGCATTCTTCAACACATGAGGAGGGATCACCTGGTCGGCGCCAACAAACTGGTTAGGCTTGATAAAGCTGGCGAGAATCTTCGCTGCTTTCCTAAAAGGTTAGTATTTAAATAGCGACACGTATTTCAATGTTACATACTTGGACTCGCTGCGCAAGCTCCGTGGAATTGGGTTGTTGATGCCCATGGCGTAGTAGGTAAGATAAGTGAGTTGTGCTTTCAGTTGGAGATTTGGAGCGGTGAGTGCAGGCGCGGTTGCAACAGCCCACAAGGAAAGTAGACAGAGAAGGAGCAGAAAGGGGAAGGAAGAAAAGGGTAATTAATAAAGAGAGGTCTTTTTATTTTAAGGGTTTTGAGAGAGTTGGCCTTTTCTCTTGTTTTATTTGAGAGGTGGTGGAAGGTTTTTGCTGGAGAGGTAGTCTCCTGGAATTTTCGGAGCTTCCGCAATATGGCCGTCGGCGCCAAGCCAGAGACCAAGGAGCTGTGATAATCCGAGGAGCAGGCGAAGGGAGGGCATAGTTGGGGAGGCTTTGATGTATTGGGGATATTGGGGGAGCTTGGGGAGCTTGGGGGTCATTGAGGGATTTTGGGGGACTGGTTTGGGGACATTATGACCTTTGAAGAATCCCTCAAAATGGCTAAGAATGGCTGCAAATGGCCAGTTGGGACCAGTAAAGGTAGATAACTAGGCACAATAAAAACAAAAAACCCAAACAAAACCTCACATTGACGTTCCATTTTCTCGCTTATTTAATCTGCCGACGTCTCTACATTCTCTTCTTCCCTCCCTTCTTTATCTCTCCATTCTCACTCCTCTTGGTCGAGCAACCATCTGGTTATGAGAGTTGCGGAAAAATGATGGAATCTGGCGCCGCAATTCCACTGGTCTTCCACAGTTCTTAGGACATGCTAAGTCGACAATTGTGAAGAAAAGTGAAGTTGCAAGTTGTTGGTTATTCGGTAAACTCTAATGTTTGTTGGTTTCTTTTGACGTCTCCTTATCGTAGAAGCTGCCTGTTTGGGACCCTGGACGATCTCATGGTCTTCAAGGCAATGCGTTTACAGGGACCCGAGGGGAACCCTCAGAAGAGGTTGCAAATCTATGTCTCTGGAAACTGGGAGGACAAGTAGTGGAAGAGCTGAAAGAGGGGGTTGAGGTTTGATGTCGTGTATTCCTAAAGACGACTTTGTCTTCCCTTGACTTGTTCGAGTGATCATTGAACCTTAAAGTTCCGCTGTTGGTCTCTTGAGACCTGGCAGCTTATCTATGGCCTCCTTGAGCTGCTCGTCTCATTACCTGAGGGAAAGCCCACCTCGTACCCTCGTACCATCTATACGAGCGATGTGGTTTCACTTTGAAGGATATCTTCCGGAAAGGCTTTTCTGGTTTCTACTGGTGATTTACCTGGAATGGTCTTTACTGGTAGGGTTGTTCCCCAGTTAGTAGGTCTATGGCATTGACATTCGCAGCCAGAAGGAACCTAACAACTCACTAAACAATGACCTGCTAAGCCAAAACAATGATTTTAGGAAATATTGCACTATATGTCCCTTCTTTCAAATTCTATTTATATAGTTAGGGATAAAAAAGAAAAAAGAAGGGGGCGAGCTGGGAATTGAACCCAGGGCCTCTCGCATGTTTGTATGTCAATCTGGTGAACCAGATCGTCGCCCAAAGCGAGAATCATACCACTAGACCACACGCCCGTTTCTGAAGGAAGGTGGGGAAGGTAACTACCTGAAACACAGTTTGGTCAAACGGCTTATATCTGAAGGTTCAATTATTTCAAAAGGTGTATTGAAAGCTTATCTACCTTCTGTAGAGCGGAAATTTGCGTATCTCAAATTTTGGAAGAGTTATAACGTTTTTTAGTTTTGTACGACCCAATAGTTGTCTAAATAATTCTTAAATTACTTCAGTGTGTTTTATAGCGTCTCTTTTACCTTTTAGACGGCTTCACTGGCTCCTAGAACCGTTTGTGGCTTCAAACTCCAATCTTGGTCCTTACTCGGTCATTCCCGATATTCCCCAGATCTCCTCCAATTGCCCTCTAAGTGGTCAAGGATTCTTCCAGTCATGAATTGAAAACAATCCAGGCCACTAAGATAGGGTTTCTGGCTGGTTGAAGTGTCCTTTGCTGAGATACGTCCTCACTGAACACCTTCTCACAACACATATCCACCGAGACGTCGTATCGAACACCCAAAAGCAATGGAAGACATTAATAGAACTCTAAATACCCATTTCCATTCCACAAGCCCACCTATAAGCCCAATTTATTGAAAGCACCTCCTCCCTGGTCTTCTTAATCAGGGTAACTCACCACTACACTTACTCCACCATCAACCGCCCATCCACTCCAATCCACTCCAAATCCGCCCTTCAATCCACCAACCCTCCAATTCCTCCTAAACACATCTATCCTCCCAATTTCACCACCAAACCCTTCCCACCATGTCCACCCACCGGCCCCACCCCAACACATGTTCACGGTTTTTGGCTGCGAAAGCAACCTTACGACATACTCACAAACCACCATAACCACTGCCATAAATACCCCTTCAAAAAATCCAAAACGCCTGCTTAACAATCAGCAAAGCCCCAATATTACCATACCATCCCCCAATTCTCCAATTCCCTTCTCCCCCTGTTCCCTTCCCTTCCACCACCCTCCGCCTATCTACACCCTTACAGTCCTGTCACTGATAAGGCCCAGCGCACCGTGACCAGCCACCACCAGCAAAGCCATAACCAGGGAACGAAAACGAAGCTTTTACACGTTTCCAGAAAACAAACCAAACTCTCCTTCCAAGCATACACTCCCCAGATCATTGTAAGGTAACTCTTTGAAAGGACATTCTTCTTCCTACTCCTCCCTCGCTCATACAAAGGGCGCGTTCTGAAAGCCAAAGTCAAGTTTTTTTTTTCTTCCTTCTCCTCCCTCAACTTCTACAAACACCTTTTTACCACCCCACCACTTTCCCCCCCAAATCCAAGCAACCACACGTTTTATCGCAATGGGCGTATGTTGCAGCTGTTTTTCGTCCTCGAGTGGCGACGGGAAGTACCCGCCGCTTCTTTTGGCTGAAAACGAAAGGGAGGCCATAACTGCTCTCCTCCAGTACTTGGAGAATCGGTCTGACGTGGACTTCTTTAGTGATGGGCCTTTGCGTTCCTTGAGTACCTTGGTGTATTCGGAGAACATTGACTTGCAAAGAAGCGCTGCCTTGGCCTTTGCCGAGATCACCGAGAAGGATGTACGTGAAGTGAACAGGGATGTGCTTGAACCTATCTTGATTCTCCTTCAATCCAACGACACCGAGGTGCAACGAGCTGCCTGCGGTGCCTTGGGCAACTTGGCGGTCAACAATGAGAATAAGGCTTTGATTGCCGAGATGGGCGGCATTGAGCCTTTGATCAGGCAAATGATGTCGTCTAACATCGAGGTCCAATGCAACGCTGTGGGCTGTATCACTAATCTTGCTACTCAGGATGATAACAAGTCGAAGATCGCCAAGCTGGGCGCCTTGATCCCGCTTACGAAGCTTGCTAAGCTGAAGGATATCCGTGTTCAGAGGAATGCCACCGGTGCATTGCTCAACATGACACACTCGTTTGAAAATAGGCTGGAGTTGGTCAATGCCGGTGCCGTGCCCGTGCTAGTGTCCTTGTTGTCGAGTGACGACGCTGATGTCCAGTACTACTGTACCACCGCTTTGTCGAACATTGCTGTTGACGAGCTGAACAGAAAGAAGTTGGCCGCTACGGAGCCTAAGCTTGTCAGCCAATTGGTGATCTTGATGGACTCGCCTTCTCCTAGAGTACAATGCCAGGCTACCCTTGCCCTTAGGAACCTTGCGTCCGATTCCGGCTACCAGGTTGACATTGTCAGAGCTGGCGGTCTACCTCACTTGGTTCAACTCTTGACATGCAACCACCAGCCTCTTGTGTTGGCCGCCGTGGCATGTATCCGCAACATCTCCATTCATCCATTGAACGAGGCTCTTATAATCGAAGCTGGCTTCTTGAAACCATTAGTCGCGTTGTTGGACTACAATGAGCTGGAAGAGATCCAGTGCCACGCCATCTCTACCTTGAGGAATCTTGCTGCTTCCAGCGAGCGGAACAGATTAGCGTTGTTGAACGCTGGTGCCGTCGAGAAGTGTAAGGAACTCGTCTTGAAGGTTCCATTGTCCGTGCAATCCGAGATCTCGGCTTGTTTTGCAATCTTGGCTTTGGCCGACGACTTGAAGCCAAAGCTTTATGAAAGCCATATAATTGATGTCTTGATTCCTTTGACTTTCAGCGATAACGGCGAGGTTTGTGGTAACTCAGCAGCTGCCTTGGCTAACTTATGCTCTCGTGTTTCCAATGAGCACAAGGATTACATCCTCGATAACTGGAATAGCCCTGATGAAGGTATCTACGGTTTCTTGATGAGATTCTTGCAGAGCGGAAGTGCCACTTTTGAACACATTGCTTTGTGGACCATCTTGCAACTTCTCGAGTCCAACAATGATGAGATTCAAGCATTGATCAAGGAGAATGAGTCCGTGCTCCTTGGTATCAAGAACTTGAGTGAAAGTCAACAACAAAACAACGCGGCTTTGAGCAATGCCGAACTGAATGAATTTGATGATCCAAAGGTTGAGCTCTATAACTTGACTCAGCAAATCTTGCAAATCTTGGGTTGAGTATGAGCGAAGATTGAGAGGAATGAAGATGGCCACTCGTCGCTAGCAGTGCACAGGCTATAGTAAAGTATAATTTAAACGAAAAAAAGAAAAAACGAAACATTTTACAGTGTAAACCTACAGTAAGTGCCTTGACGTAACTCATCAGAAATACAATTCGAACTGAAGCTATATGCTTAGCTATGCAATAATTGAGGAGCCTCTTTCTCCTCTTTGTTCTCTTGTTGCTTGGGTGGTGATGTATCCTTGATATTCAAGTTCTCCAACTTCTTCTGAAGTTCTTCTGGGGTATTTGACTGTTGTGAAGGCTCCTTCTTCTGGCCCAGCTTGGCCTTCTCTTCCTTCTCCAATCTCTCCAATTCATCGTCAATTTCTTCTTCATCAACACCATCCTTCAGAACAACCAAAGCGTCAGAGACTGTGTTGGTAGCAGCGATCTCCTCATCGAGTTCGACCTGAAGCTCATCAAGCTCATCCAAAGATACCTTCTCGTTCAAAGACAGAAGTGTTGATTTGGTAGACTGCAAAGTCTCATACAATGAAGCATTGCCTTGAGCATCATTAATCGCTTCCATTACAGATGCAAGTTGAGTAGAGGCCAGGTGACACTTCAGAAGAGACTTCTTGACCTGAGCTTTTTGGATGAGTACATTTTTGAGTCTTTCTTGACGAGACGAGTCCTTTAGCTTGAGAAGATGCTGGATACGCTCAGGAATCTCCACGTCCAAACGATGTTCCAACAAAGCGGTTCGCAGAGCGACGCTTTGAATGCTGGACTTCAACTTGATGATGGAGATATCATCTTCGGAGATCTCAGCCTCACTGGTGCCAAACTTGATGTAGATCTTATTTGACTTGCTATTTTGCTTGACAAGAGTCATCTTGCCAGCGTCCCGCGAGATATAAGTGTAAAGCACCTCAATGTCCGAATCACTGATATGGTCATGCACTTCTCTCACAACAGCGGCAAACATCTCGTCGTCGAGTAACCTGCTCGAATAAACGCCTTCCTTGTCTAGCCTCAGCAGCACTAGTTTTGTGATCTTGTCACCCACGGCCGCGAGATGATCTATGTGAATGTAGCTCTCAGGAACAAGATGTCCAGTCTTGGAACTGGTTTTGAACGACGAAAGCTTCATCAGAGCCCAGGTCGCCAGGAGCCACTTCATTGGTGAGATATAGTCCGCTAATCTGCGGGCAGAGTATGGCGAAGTGTCCTTGTAGATAGACAATGGAATGTACTTCTTGGATTTGATGAGCTCCTCCAACACAAGCGCCAACGCTTTGGGTTCGCCATGGCTGGGAAGCGAAAGTTCCAGCGGGAGCCCAGCCGAAGCAATTGACACAGAAGATTTGAAAAAATGAGACCGAAGACCCTCTAGAAGTAGAGTTGCCCATGCATCGACGTTAGCCGCAAAGCCCTCAGGGTTGATTTCCCGGAGCTCAGTGAAATCTGAGAACAAGGACGGAAGTCTCAGCTCTTTGAAAGGAGGCACCCTCTTGACTAAATCGTCCATTGGTGAAAAAGACAGCCGGAAAGTTGAGCTCTCTGAGGAAGATATACCCCTAGCAGGATCAAGCATTTTAGACGAAGGCGTTTTCGCGCAGGACAATGCTGTGTGCATTAGCCACATTTGCAACCAAAACGAGATCTAAGAAATGGTTAGTTTGTCTAGGCTAACTTCGACCTGGTCCTGGAGTCTTTCAACAACGTCTAAAATAGCAGTAGAAGCAGGAGAATCCGCGTAGTCGTCAAAAAAGCTTTCTCCGTTATCGCAGGCCCGCCCAATACGGGGGTCTAGAGGCACCGAGCCTAGGAACGGAATGTTCATATCCTTGCAGAGCTGCTCACCCCCTCCCGTTGTGGGTTTGAAAATTTTCAGCTCGCCGTGGCAACTAGGGCATACGAAGCCCGACATGTTTTCCACGAGGCCCAAGATCTTGATATTGGCCTTGCGACAGAAATCAATCTCTTTTCTGACATCTAAAAGGGCCACTTCCTGTGGGGTAGTGACGAGGAGAGCACCGTCTATACCAGCATCCTTCATGTATGTCGTGACAGACAAATGCTCGTCACTGGTGCCAGGAGGTGTGTCCACAATCAAATAGTCTAAATGGTCTCCCCAGTTGACGTCTTTAAGGAACTGCTTAATGAGCCCGTTTTTCTTGTTGCCTCGCCAGATGATCGCCAGGTCGGGGTCGGGAAGCATGAACGAGATCGACATGAGCCCAAGGTTGTCTGCTACATAAACAGGTGACCAGCCTGAGTTGGACTGGTGGATGCTTTCACCTTCGGCGCCAAGCATCCGAGGAAGCGAAGGCCCACAAATATCTAGATCCATAGCTCCAACTTCGAGCTCTTCGTCTGCTGCTAGAGCCCACGCTAGCATCGATGAGAAGGTTGATTTACCTACACCTCCTTTACCGGAAAGCACTAAGATCTTGTGTTGAATGTTCAGAAGTCGTTGTGTGATGGCTGGAATATCTGGGTCTGGACCTTTAGGAAGCGATTCACATATGTTTTGGTTTGGACAGCCTTTACAGGCATCGCCTTGGCCAGCATTTTCAGATTCTGGGCCAGGACAGTGTTCTGGTTCTGGGGCTTTTAAGGGTATGGCGGAGGCCAGGACTTTTGCCAGGGCCACTTCTGCCGATGGCGCCATGTGCTGTGTAAGGGTAGTAATTTTTGGAGTAGAAAGAAAGGAAAAGATCTATGGCTAGGGAAGCTTTAGATATGTAGTTGCAAAAGATAAGATGATCTTACTAATTAGTATACATGCTGGTGGTGTACGGGTGTGCACACCGATGATGCGGGCTCTTTCTCCCACTTCTACTGAGTGGCTGCAAAACGGCTGTCAAAGTAAACCTTTTCGTTTTCGCCCATGTCGATCGCCTGCAACTTCTCCTTTAAGGCATTAAAAGGCTCCTTTCTGTCCAACGCAGCGTCACCAACAGTCTTAAGCATGATGTTCACGGCTGCACGAGACTTGAAACGGCCTTCAGTGTCAAACTGAGCAAGGTTTTCAAGTAAGAAAGTTATTTTCTCTGGGGAAACCTCTTCAAACTTCTCAAACGCTTGCAAGGTCTCGAAGTAGGTTGAGAAGAGACCACCACCTTGGTTCCACGATGGGATAATACGGCCATTATCTGGGAATCGATCGATCATGGCAATAAGACGACTCCAGGCACTGTAATCGCCTTGGATCACAGTAGTAGGGCCTAGTTCGGCCACAATGTTCTCGTGAACCCTGTCCCATAATTCGGCAGTGACCAAGGCATCGCCCTTGGCCCAGAAGTCTTTCTCACGGTTCTTTTCCTCAGCAACTGCCTCGTAGATCAAGCTTCTTGGGATCTTGAGCACATTGGCCAAGTAGTCTTCTTCATCAACAGTATCACCCTTGATGTGTGTCACGTTGCTCATCACAACATGCCTGAGCTTCTCCAGGGCCTTGGTGTCGTTGGTGATCATGGCGTAGATAAAAAGAGCTTCTTTCCAAAGACCATAAGCTTCCAATCCTGAACCGAACTTCTCGCAGAAGAAGTCATTTGACGTTCTATCGAGATCTAAGAGTTGTGAAAGGGTCCACTTGAGTGAAACCTTGGTTTCAGAGCCTTGAAGTTGACGGCTAGCTGCTTCTTTGCCGTTCTTTTGATATTCTTTGTAGAACTCAAGGAGACTTGCTACTTCACTGTCGTCGTTGGCAAAGTCAACGTTATCCAATAATTCTTGGACTGTGGTGGTAGAACTTCCATAGTTGACAAGCACAGCAAACTTCACGATTGGAGAAACAATAGAATCCAAAGCACTAAAATCTCCACTCAAGATGTGGTAAATGTTCAAAATAGGCGCTGGAACAAGGTTATCTTCCGTGGGCCAGTCTTCAAGTTGGGATCTGGCAATTTCTTTAGCTGCTTTATCATTAGAATCAAGAAGAGTCAACAAGACTGAAAGGTGCACATTCCTTGAAGAAATTGCAAGCTCGATAGCCTCCTTCAACTGACCATTAACGACTTTGATGAAAACGTTATGCAAGGTGTCACCCGAAAGCTGAAGCTTATCTTTATTGTGACGCTGGAGCCATCCAGAAAGGGCCGTCCTTTGTTCAATTTGCTGTAGACGGTTGACAAGCTTGTTGTCGGTTTCATCGACGTCTTTGTATTTTGGCGAGTTCTTCACATGGAAAGGATCAAACAAAATAGATGCAAGCTTCAACACCTCCGAGTTATCTTGATCGATAGCGGCCAATTCAGCAAAAGTGATGCTGGCTGGCACCTTGATCAACGGAAGGTTGTTTGACCTGCTCGACACAGGCGAATTAAGTAGAAGAGTCTGAACAATACTGGTGACAATCCTGCTATTGAGCTTTGGTTCTTTCTCAAAAACAGCCAAAGGTGCTTTATCCTTGATAGGTGTAGACACTTGATCAATGCCAACCGAGCTCTTGTTGAAATCTGAGAATAGAATGTCGTTCACATTTCGAAGAGCCAGTCCAGATTTACGTGGAACAGCAATATAAGGTGTCAATGCAGAATTGAGATCATTAGACATCTCAAGTTGAACAAGCCAGTCTTCAGATGTTGGCAAATTAGTTGGTTTGTTCAAGTTGAGGAAGGCATTCTCACTGTCTAGCACAGGCTCGTAAGCTTTCTCATCCACAAGACTCCTCATGTCAGTGTAAGGAGGCAACACACTAACAATCTGTTTAAGGTAGTCAAACTTGTTGTCGTCGCCATATGCAGCAGGAACATCGACCAGAATATCATCTTCTTCGTCTTCTTCGGAACTTGACTGGACAGTGATATCACTGACGTTGGCAGCCAAAGCATTAGCAGATTTGTCTTCTTTATAAGACTTCACTTGCCGCGTAATTTCATCCTCAACTGCCTGTTGCTTCATTGCAAGAGAAGTGTCATGCTTTGCTATACTGCCGTAATCCCAAGCTCCTGGAACGCCTTCACTTTGTCTGATAACCTTCTGGCGCTTGAGCTCTTGTTGATATGCTGGATCTTCGTAGATTCTTGAGTATAACCTAGAAGACTCTTCCTCCTGTTCATCTTGTTTCTTCTTGACCGCACGTATACGCTTACGGTCCTCGGTTTCGTCAGCCTCATCCTCACTGTCATCAATCAAACCCCAGACACTGAAATGCTTAACCTTGAAAGTCCAGTAATATTCAATAGGGTCATACGTGACAAACTCTGCACCCACGACATTTTTAAGTCTCTTAATATGCTCATCAAGGGATCTCTTCTTAGGCTCTGACTTCAATGTAATGATAGCAGGGACGTTAAGTTCACGACTGATGGGTGGTTTAGCAGCTTCGTAGTCAAAGTATACCTTCACAAAGCCGTCTTCGATTTTGATGATATCGTCAAAAAGAACAGATGAAAAAGGAACGTCATTCTGTCTGCATCTATCGAAAATAGTCGTGAGATCGACAGGGAAAACGTATGCAATCTGACCCTTCGACTTTCTGCCGACTATGAAGCCATCCACGGAAGACAATTGTTCAGGGCTCATCTGTTCTAATGCTTCTATTGATGGCGAACACCAGTATCCGTTGGTATCAGTTTGCTCTTCTTGCTTGGGTTCTTCCTTTTGCTGTGGAGTCTTTTCCTTTCTGAAAGACTCATCCTTCAGCTGTACGTTTTCATTATCGACATCAAATTCTTCATAATCATTACCGATGAGATGGTTGTCAAGAGACAGCACCAAAACACGACGCTTCTTTGCGCTAAAGACTTTGTCGGCGTTAATTTGGTGGAATTTGCTGGGCCTTGATTGAATGACAAGACGCTTGACTTCTCCCACTGACTTATTTTCTATAGGTAAACGAGAGAATCTCTTTTGCGGTTTCTTAACACCCAAATTCAGACGATTCTGATGAGGTCCTTCACGAATGTAATTCAGCTGAGTGAAAAGACCTTTCAATTTCCCAACGCCAGAGTTCGAGCTTGACATGTCGGTATTGTAACGGAAAATATTGAACGTCTGAGCCAATCTACCTAGCAAAGACGATTTTCGCTGTGGTTGCTTCGAAGGTTCTGTAATGGAAGGCAGGCGAATGGAAGAATTGGCGAAAAGCGATCCCGTAAGCGAAGCAGGCATTGTATTTGTTGAATTCTGGATAGTGGACAAGATCTGGCCTGAGTTATAAGGATCGGCACTGTTAATTGAAGCCTGTTGTGGTTGCTGTTGCTGTTGTTGTGTGGAAGAGGAGTTTCCAAAAAGACCACCTGAAGTTGCTGGATTGCTGAACATGCCGCCTCCAGAGGTATTAGAACCTCCAAAAAGACCACCAGTAGCTGGTTTCTGAGCTGAATTTCCAAACAAACCTCCCGAACCAGCAGTATTACTGGATCCACCGAATAAACCTCCAGAGCTGGAATTGATACTAGAAGAGTTGCCAAAGAGACCCCCACTAGGAGCACCACCAGTTGCAGGTTTATTGAAAAGTCCAGGAGCAGATGGAGCCGCCGTATTGGTCAGCGTAGAAGAGTTTCCAAAAAGTCCACCGCCAGTCTTATTAGCTGAGTTCCCAAAAAGGCCTCCACCTGGTGCCTGAGAAGATGTAGATGAGTTGCCAAAAAGACCACCAGATGGTTGGTTACTGGTGCTTGAACCAAAAAGACCCGTACTGGCTCTCTTGTTTGAACCTTCCTGACTGTTTCCAAAGAGACTGCTGCCAAGACCCTGCTGTCCTGGTTGAGTGCTGGAGGTGTTGTTTGGATTGTTGTTTTGCGTGGAGGAATTGCCGAATAAACCACCGCCAAGAGGCGCAGAAGTGGCGGTTGGGCCGCTGGAATTGGCATTAGCGCCGAACCCAGTCGAACTGCCCCAACTAGAGCCACCGAAATTCATTATAAGGGGTGCTTTTAGGTGGATTAATGAGAATGTGAGGAAGCACAACACGAAAAATTTAGTAGGTAGTGGGACTCGCGCATGCAGGATTTTCAACTATAAGCTACTGGTGGGAGTCGTTAAAGGTTGATTAATATACACTAGGCTCGGGTAGCCTGATTAGGTTTTTTTTGTTTTCTTTTGATATCACTGCTCAGCAACTCCAAGACGGACATACAGCTCGGCGCAGTACCAGAATTTGTCGAACTTTCTCACACTTGCTCTGACATTGTACAAGGCATTAGGAATGCCAGCGTCAACAACGTAGTGAGACACTTCGTCGTGGCCCACACCAATCAGTCTGTTGTTGTAAGCATGCAATAAGCCACTGATGGGTAGTCCTAGGGAAACAACGTAGCGACTCTGGAAGAGAAGTTCAGGGTCCAGCACTGTACCAGATCCACCATCAATGCCCGAAGGAATATCTAGCGATAACACTCTAGATCTCTGTTTTGGCTCGTTTGCCCAGCGAGAAAGCTCCTTGAGCGTTGTGAGGTTATCTTCTGAATAGAACATGTCGAGTAAATGGCCTTCGAAACCTTGTAAGGCGTCGATGATCAATTCCACTGGCGTTTCAAGTTGGTTATTCAAAATGTCCAACAAGACAGGGAATTCAGCTGAAATGCACTTACCGCCGAACTTCTCAAACACTTCAGACTCACGACGGGTTTCATCGTCCAAGTCAGCGTCGTTGATCACATATGCTAAAACACGAACACCGTGGTTCGCCAAATGACGCCCAAGAGCGAAAGCTCGGCTGCTTGATCTGCCATTGCCAATCAATAACAACACCAAGGGTGGCAAATTGTGGTTCTTTCTGTTACTGAGACGGACAGCGCCTCCAAGAATCTCCTTGACCACCAAGTTGTATAAGTTGATGGCAGTAGCTTCAATCATGGACTTTTGGTCGTAAGCGAAAGTGGTACCAGCGATTCTTTCTATCTCTAGTAACTGAACTGGTGATGCTGTGGGAACGGTTGAGTTGTCCGAGAAGATAAACTTGTGTGGTTTAGCGGTAAACAGGTCTCTTGCCAAAAGAGATGGAATGCTGTTTGCTCTCGATCCTTCCAAGGGCAGAGCGAGTCTCTTGGTGGAAGATCCGAGATTATTCCAGTTATCCTGTTTACCAGCTGGGATCACCATTTCATCATTATCGAATTTATCATTCTGCAGAGGTTGCTTCTTTGGTTTCTGAACATTCTCCTTCTTGTTGTGACCCACAAGTCTGTCTTGCAGACTGACCTTGTCGTTTTTCTGGAAGTCAGCAAAAATAGAAGCTTTATCAAACATAGCCAAGTTAGCAGCAAAATCAAAGTCCTCAGAGCTTTTGATATCTTGAACGTTGGACGGCCATTCAGGTTGCACCCCATCCCGTGGTTTTGGCGTGCCACTTCTAGTCGTGCTCTTGGAAGCAGAAACAATGGCATCATCGATTTGCTCCAATGGCTTCTTTTTCTTCTTCTTCTGCTCTTTAGCAAAGTCGGCCGGTAACTGGTTCACCTTCAAATCCTTGATTTGAACATTGGGGTAGTTCTTGTTTCCAAGCGTAATCAGCGAGCCGTCAACATGGGAAATAACACCCTTCGTATCGGTACCATCTTTGAACTGAAGCGTGACCTCGTAATTGAGAAACTCAGTCATGGTTGTTGCGGTGATCTTTTTCAAATACCTGTTTTGTCGCTGCTTATACTTACCGAGCGCGGAGGTACGGGTGTGATCTAGAGGACCTTCTCTGGATCAAAGAGAGAAAGAATCTCCTTGACACGGGTGTTTTCCAAGGCACAGGTTTTGATAAATGGGTCCATTTGCTGTTTAAGAAGGTTCTTTCTTCTTTGAGATTCAGCTTGGCCAGATCCAAGGAGCTCTTTGTGAAGGTAAGTGTTTTGAGCCTTGAGCTCCTCAACCTGCCTATTTTGCAGCAGAAGTATAGACTTGAGGTATTTGACCTCGAAGTTCTGTTTTTGGGCTTCACGGTCGAGGTACTTTATAAGTGAAGCTGTCTCGACTGGCGTATCACTTCTGGCCTCATCAAGTTGTTCAGTAAGATCCCGAATACGGTCTTTAAGTGTCTCTACCACCAGCTTATCCATTTCCTTGAACTTCTCCCATTCAATTGGCGCCGAAGCAATACTGGAAGTGTTGGCCTTTGCTCTTGTCTTGATGTTCTTGACCTGGTTGGCGTAATTGAGTGTCTGTTGCGTTTCTTCGTAGTCGAATGGGGAAACACAGAAGATCATGGCGGTCTTGGAGTTTCCAGCTAGGTTCTCCCTAAGCAAGTAGGTGAGAATTGAGTCTCTATACGGCACAACCGATGGCTTGTTAGGGTTATTCTGTGCCAATATATTGATACAGCGTCCCAAGACCGTAAGCGATTTGTTGATTTGAGTACCTTCTTTCATTCGGTCTGCTTGTCCGAACAGCCCTGTCTTGTGGAGACGTTCGGAACCAGCTAAATCGACCAAACGAATACTCGAAAGCACCTCTTCATCCGGCTCGCCAACGTCAAGAGCGTCTTCAGAAGTATACTTTGTCTGTTTCAAAGAAAGCGTGATAACAGCATGGGATCTGGAACTCGAAACGTTCATCTGCGTAGAAGCCACTGTTCTGTTCCCATTTCCCTTATCCAAAAGCGCCATAAACTGCTCGTACAGTCCCACAGTAACCTCAGCAAGGCCTTCCACATACGATCCCATCGTAGGGTGTTCTCTGACCCTGCACTGCTTCGAACCATTAAGCAAATCCTTCACTTTCTCATTGTATATCTCCACATACGAAAGACAAAGCTCACAGTTGATTCTATTCTGAACAAGGTCCTCCTTGTGCCGGAGAATGTCTCTAACCATAAGTGGAATCAACCCAGGGCTCTTCTGGTGGCCCATCATAGTGTATGTCTTTCCCGAGCCAGTCTGACCATAAGCAAGAAGACAAACGTTATAGCCCTGAAAAAAATGTTCAATAAGCTGAGGCCCCGAAGCCCTATAAAAGTCAGCATTATCCATATAATGCTCCTCGGCCGTACTATACGAATATACACATTCGTCGAAGATATACTTCTTGGAGGCTGTTTCTGAGGTTTTAAGTATAGTAGAGCCCTTTTCACCGGCTGGCATTTCCACCAAACACTCGTCCAGCCCCTCTTCCCGAGGAAGCGGCGGGCGAAGCCTCACAATGACCTTGACGTTGTTGCTTTCGTTCATAGTGGGAAGATGTAGTTGGTGAAAGATGGATGTAAACATTGGGCCTGCACTGAGAAGGTAAACACTGGGGACGGATGCCAGGACGAGTGGAGTGAGTGAAGTGGTAAAGGAGGAAGAGAGAGAGAGAGAGAGGAAAGAAAGAGATTTGAAAGATGGATGTTTTGAAGGTGGTTTGAGTTACTTTTTTAGTCTTTTTCGTTATTGTCATTGGGTTTGGTTGGTATTGGTGGTTATATGGGGTCTGGGAAATGGCTGCGAAAAGTGGATTACTAGTATGGAGAAGCCATGGGTGGGTAAGGAGGCACAGAAGGCAGGGAAGAAGGATAATAAGGCTCTAAGAACGAAGATAATCGAATATAGCTAATACTGGGAAGTTTAGAGAGAACTTAAGTTTACAGAAGATGCAAGTACTGGCGATTTGTGGTACCCTTTCTGTACTCTCACTGCTCCATACTAAGTGAGCAAGAGATTGTCAAATGAATACAGCAAATGTAGGTAGTACTCCAAAAAGATTGCCAAAAAGAGATAGAGTAAGATTAGTAGAGTCAAGGAAAGCGACTGAACTAGCTTTTAACTTTCTTCTGTCAAATACTAATGAAATAACTGGACCCTTAGAGACTCAGTACTTGGGGCTACACGTCCAGCCTAACTCACCACCATTACCTACTCATTGCACTGAAAGCACCCAAAACCAACCATAAAAGAGTAAACCATCAATTCATACCACTCCAAAACCAAATCCACAAAATCTCCCAAACCCACTTGCTGAGCCACAACTGCCACAGCTTACTCCAGTACTGCCACTTCCATGCGCACCTCCAACTACCACCAGCAGTAGACATCCTAGGTCTGTCAATACCATATTAATCACCTTCCAACCGTAATATACTCTTTACTAAAACACCTTATACCATTTCCACTCGATGCCCTTAAGCTCTCTTTCCCAACTACTACCAACGATCTTCTTCCCACTCTCACCCTCCAGCCTCCTCTCACTTCCTCCACCATTTCTCCTCCTCCCCACCCTTCCAGGCCCAACCAATCAAAACAAACCCAAATCCAACCATTCCCATTCCCCTGCCTCCCATTGGCCCAAATCAACCCAAAACCGCCCCCTCCTTCGCCTGCTTCGCCTGGAACCGTCCAAATCCCCACCCTCGTCTTCCTCCTGTCCTATCTGCTAAATTGCTTAGAGGCGCATTTTGACAGGCAATTACGGGCAACCATACAAGCCGAGTTGATCAATGGACGCAAGTATTTTGCAGCCAAAAACAAGTGGAGGGGGAAATTTCCAGAAAGGGCGAAGCCCAAGTACTAAATTCCCCAACATGTTGAGTTTTTTGTTTATATGGGGATTTCTTACATTTCCTGGAATCGGCTGCAATTCGGGTTCTATCCGGAGCCGAGCACGCACTCCAGGGCCCAAATCACAAAAACACGCTCAGATCTGGTGGTATTGAAAGACGTAGATGACAGGTTTGGTTATTTTTGGGGATTTGGTGATTCCAGTGGATTCCACTGGACCTCTTCGTATCTCGTGAGCCTTCTTCGTGTATAGTGTCCCCACTTTATTTCCAGATCTCTAGACATTGAAGCACTGCCCCAGCCTCGATAAGGGTACCACCATTTTACCAGAAAATGCCCAAAAACGGCCAAAAAAAGACCAACACACTCTGCTTAATCTCCTGGTTCCAAAACACTTCTTCCCGTTTCTCTACCACCTCTCCTTCTCCCAATTCACGCTGCCATAGCAACGAGCAACCCTCCTACATAGCCTGGCGCACTTCCTGTCTGGTGAAGTCATCCATTTATAACCATCTTTTCTTTGTTGGAAAACCACAACAACTACTACTACACACCTTTTTAGGCACTATGAAATCCCTTTTTTCGCCGTCTTGGGACGCCGCCTCGAGGGCTTCGGCCCTTTTGCGCCAGCCAATGTTCGTTCACCTTTCCGATGGGGACGACATGGTGAAGCGGTATATTGACCTGAACGAGACGTACGACATTGCTAAAGCGTTGAAACAGAACTTTGTGTGTGTGACACAGCACGAGGTGGTCGTGGAAGAGCTTCAGGAGGTTCAGCGTCCGCTGTTTACTATTTATGACTCGGGAGAGATCAAGGGTACGTTTGTGGATGGCTCACGGGAGGAATTTGAAGAGTTCCTTCGAAACTACGTTCCACAACTCCCAGAGAAGCACAGCAGGGAGGCTAGGCTGCTGAAAAGACTTTCAGAAAGAGAAGAGGACCTTTCCAGAATACGAGCACAGATCGAGGCCGATAAGAAGGAGAGAGTATCGCAGAGGAGGTATTCCATGGAGAAGAATGCTGTAAAACCGCCAAAAAGACAAAAGTCGCCGGTTTCAGACACTCAGTGTAAGCTTTCCATTCGTCTTTTGGATGGCGAGACCGTTCAGGGCACGTTTAGTTCGTCGCAAACGCTTCGTGACGTCAAGAGATGGATCGAAAGAGAAAGAGGGTTGGTTCTTTCGCCGGAGAGAGACGACGCCTTGCCTTCGTTTGCACATACATCCGCTTTGGCCTTGAACCACTACGCCTTCTGCTACCTTGGAGTACCTAGGGTGACGTTTTCTGTCGGTCAGGAACTTACGAAGCTCGGAGACCTCGGGTTGAGCCCTCGTCTGGCGCTTATATTGAAACCAGTTCAGGGTGATTCCAAAAGCCTGCCTGGCTTGTGGGCTTCGCTTACTGGCAAGGCAAAGTATGTTACCAGTGCATTGTATACCTTCTTTGACTATGGTCTTGAGGATGCTGAGCGTGACTTTTCCGATGCTGTCGATGATGCCCAACCGGCATTCGTCGTTCCCGAGAAACCCGAAGAGATTGAAGAAGAAGTCAAGGCCAAGCAGAAGACTGTTTCGGCCACGGGGTCCGCCAGAATGTCTCCAGTGTCTGGCAGAGGCAACCAACTGCACGTTTTGCATGACCGAGAGGCCCTTGAACAGCGTCAGTGATGAAGCGATCGGATCGTGCGGGCACGAGACTGGCGCTTCTCCGATCACTATCACTGTGTCACTGACGAGAATGTAACGATAAGTACAGCATTAATGAGAATGAAGGAACCAATCACTGGTGCTTGTAGTGGAAGAAAGACCAACAGAGTAAGAAGAAGTTACTTAATCCTATCGACGTCTATGGAAGTACTATAGGGTATATCATGAAGACATCTACTTCTACGACTACCTGAGACATAGCATATACATACTTACTTCAATAGCCCCTATTTCTTGGAACAACCAGGAGCTCAACAAGAGAACTATTTGTCTCTTTAAAGGAGGAAAAGCTTTAAACACGCCAATAACATTTCATGAAGAGGTTTCTTAGACCACTGTAGCTTCTACTAGTACTCATTTCGCAGCCATTCAGATATAGCCAATGCTACCAATAGATCAGTCAAACGAATGGATATATACTATTTTAAAACTACTTTGAATCAGCCAGGGAACCCTTCATTACACATCCAACGCCCTTGGCCCCTTATATTGAATTTATGTAATTTTTCACTCACAGTAGTCATTACCTACTCTACTGAAACACTCAGTACCAGCCATCACTAACCACCACCACCACCACCCCAGCCTAAAGCTAAACTACCCAAAAACAAATAGAACCACCAAAACCACCAAAACCCTTCAACCATCCAACCCTTTATTACCACCCACCTCACCACCACTCCTTGTTCCTGGCTCCTCTATCTTCCCCATATTTCGCATCGCACCTTATCAACTACACATACATAACATTCCATGGATGTCAAACACTCCAAGCTAGAAAGCCTCCTACGGCTTCCTGGAGCCGATCCCCCGGGCACTATAGTCGCCGACGCTGCTGTACTCACATGTGGATGTCTTGTTTCAGAGATGCAGTTTCTTTCCAGTGGAACCAAACAGTGCCCAGTGTGTGGAACTGAAGGTGAAATACTCAAGGCCATTGCGCCATTGCGGGAACTCTATAAGCTTTTGGACCCGAAGCTGAGGAGGACGTCGTCGCTGAGACACAGTTTACGGAAACCGTCTGTGGAACTGACCCACGGAGGGCAGGCCGAGTTGGACTTGCTGGGGCTCTTCTGTAAGCTAGCGAGGGAAGAGAACGAGGAGAAGACCAGGGAGAAGGAGGCTTCGAGTTCGCCTGAGGTGACGAAAACGCCTAGTCTTGGCCAGATGGGTCCACCTGTGGCCCAGGCAGTGGAGGAACAGGAGTTGGAGAAGAATATGCTTCTTGGGTTGAACGAACAGGAGGAGTATAACTTCAGTCGGTGCTTTCCATTCCACCGCAAGCTTACCACGTTCCAGGCGTCTACTAATAGGTTTCGGAAATTGTCGCTTCGCCTGTCGATCAAGCTGTCTCGGTATAATGGTTCTTCGTTGCATACTTGGTACGATAAAGCCACTGGAGAGGAGCATACGTCGTTTGTGTTGATCACAGATAAACGCTGGGAGTTGTATACGTATACGCCTAGCCAGGGAAAACCGGCGCTTTTGGCTTGCGGTAAGTCAACAGGCGAATACTCGTATCGGTCTGCTGAGTTCAGGTTACCTTCAGAACGTGAAATCACCGTGAAGAACGATTTCGGTGGGAAATCTGCTACGAACGACCTTAATGAAAGCGTGAGCTCAAAACTAAAGCTGTGGGTACATCTTTCATGCTGCTTGTCTGGACGGTTCCTTATTCTTTCAGGAACTAGAGGTGTTGTGCGTGTTTTGAACGCAGATCCAGCGTTTGGCGATGTTGGTGCTCCAGTGTACACGTACTTGACGAACTTTCCAATCCGGTGTGTCTCTGTAGCGCCCAAGGAAAACCTTGTGGCGTGTGGAATCACTGCTCGTGAGCGTATGTCGGGAAAACAACAACCATTTATTATCCTACACCAACTAGAAATGGATCCTTCGCTGCAAAAGGTAAAAAGTGTCCATCCAATCACCATCACCATTCCTTACAGAGACCCACTTAAAGTTATCTCCTTCAACGCATCCTCAACACATCTAATATGTTCTACAGTCTACGAAATGCGGTATTTCATCATCCGTCTCAGGCCTACGCCTACAAGCATTTGCAAGAAACCCATGCTTATCTGGTCAGATATGCGAGTCGCTTCCCGGCAAAAACTAGACGAAATGCCGGGAGACAGAAGCTACGACACCAATCTCGACGACCAGGTCATGGACAGTGAGGGAATCACAGATATAAAATTCGGTCTTCCAGGAACCAACACAATTGGCATAACTACATCCTCATGGAACAACCGGCCTTCCCTCCTTGTCAAGCTTGAAGGACCTTCTATGGATTCTTTAGGTGGAAGTACCCTGAATATTTCTACCGACCTCTTAAACGAAGACGAAGAGGAAGTCCAGGACGACAGAGGCATGCAAATCACCGATTACGACATCATATTGAAAGTCCCCGAAATCGGATCTTCCATCTACCGTGTTCAATTCTCCCCTCGTGGCGACAGCATTTTGTTTGTGGACAAATCAGGACGTATCTTCCTTGTGTCTACTCCGAATGCACGAACAAGCACAAGATCTCAGACCAAAAAAATCATTGTCTTACTTGGAGAAGCAGCCAACGCCGTACGGCCCAACGAAGCAGCATCTGCGCTGTATTCGTCAGATGGAGGCAAAATTTACGTGGTTGACCGAAGAGGTCTTTTCCAGGTTTTTGATTTCACCAAGGGCATTCCTGGAGAAGACCCGGAGGTTATTAAGTGCAAGATCGTGAGCGTTTAACTGTGGCGCAGGGTCCTGCAAAGCCAGAAAAGACGAAAATGAAGCTCAAATTTGGAAGATATATTCATCGAAAAGCAAAGAAAAAGGAGTTCAATTTTCACCTCCAGACCTCTCCCTATTCCACCAAGGCATGTCCGATTCCGTTCGTTTTTTGCTCCCAAAGGTTTGGTCTCACTTGGTGCAGGACCATCACTGGTCCCCATCACATTACGAGGTTTTTTCGAACGGAACTCATTTCACCATCACCACCATTATGCTGCCTCTTCCTCCCCTTGCAGATGACGTTCTCGAGTTCATCGGGAACACTCCCATGATCAAGTTGAACAAGATTCCTCAGTCCTTCGGCATCAAAGCCAAGGTTTACGCCAAGGTTGAGTTGTTCAACCTGGGTGGCTCCATCAAGGACAGAATCGCCAAGAACATGATTTTGGAGGCTGAAAAACAGGGTAGAATAAAGCCAGGCTACACTTTGATCGAGCCAACTTCGGGTAACACCGGTATTGGTTTGGCTCTTGTGGCTGCTGTTAGAGGCTACAGAACCATCATCACTTTACCTGAGAAGATGTCCAACGAGAAGGTGTCTGTTTTGAAGGCATTGGGTGCAGAGATTATTAGAACTCCTACTGAGGCTGCCTGGGACTCTCCTGAGTCTCACATCGGTGTTGCTCAGAAGTTAGAAAAAGAGCTTCCCAACGCTGTCATCTTGGACCAATACGGTAACGAGGCCAACCCAAGAGCCCACTACTACGGTACTGGTTACGAAGTGTGGGAGCAGACCGAGGGTAAGGTCACTCACCTCGTTGCTGGTGCTGGTACTGGTGGTACCATCTCTGGTATTTCCCAGTACTTGAAGGAGAAGAACCCTGATGTTAGGATCATCGCTGCTGACCCTAAGGGTTCCATCTTGGCCCAGCCAGAGTCTCTTAACACCACCTCTGACGGTTACCTTGTGGAAGGTATTGGTTACGACTTTATTCCAGACGTTTTGAACAGAAAGCGTGTGGACCACTGGATCAAGACTGACGATGCTGAGTCTTTCAAGTTGGCCAGAAGAATCATCAGAGAGGAGGGTATCCTTGTTGGTGGCTCTTCCGGTTCTGCTTTGCAGGCTGCTTTGGAGGTTGCTAAGGACTTGACTGAGGACGACACTGTTGTTGTTGTCTTCCCTGACTCTATCAGATCCTACTTGTCCAAGTTCGCTGATGACGAATGGATGAAGATCAACGGTTTCGAAGTGGATGAGACTAACACCGCTGCCAACAAGACTGACGACTTCTTGCACAACAAGACCATCGCTGATCTCGTTGCTGGTAAGCCACCTGTGGTTACTGTCACCTTGGCTGACACCGTTGGCAAGACCTTCGAGTTGCTCAAGTCTAACGGTTTCGACCAGTTGCCAGTGTTGAGCTCCAGCGGCAAGTTGATCGGTTTGGTCACCTTGTCCAAGATCTTGAAGTCCTTGTCTACCAAGAAGGTCCAGATGACCAACTCCATTAGAGGTATCTTTTTGGACTTTAGAAAGTTGGCTGACTTCGAAAAGTCTTTCAGCATCAGCAAGGAATCCGGCTTCACCAAGAAGTCTTACGAGCCTATCACTATGAACACTCCTTTGGCCCTCTTGAACAAGTTTTTCGAGACTCACTCTAATGCCATCATCACAGACGACGAGTTGAAGCCAGTGCAGATCGTCACCAAGGTCGATTTGCTTTCTTTCTTGGCCAAGAACGCTTCCTACTAATTAGAATCTTTCGACTTTTTAAAATTATAATACACAGCGATATTCCAAGAACTATACCGATCTCCTCTTTCTCTCCTGTCTGAACATCCTCCTGAGCCCTGTCCGTCATTCTGACCGTATCTAAGAAAACTTCCAGCGGTTGCCACAGTTTTCACAAGTACAAAACGTCGTCAAAGGCTCATCGGCTGATCTAGTTTGCATCTGGTAGTAACTGACCCTCTTGTGCTTACACTTTCCACACGTGAATCTATCTGTAACTGCTCTTTTTTCCGTAGCTCCTTGGGCATCGAAGAGATTCTGCTTGTGTAACTTCTCCATTTCCTGTCTCAAGGCCTCTGGGGCCATTTCGTTGGGGGACATCTTGATGAACTTGTTTGGTTTCAACGATCCTGTCAACAAGTTAGCCCGCAAGTCTGGGTTCTTCTTGTTCCGCAAGTTCATCGTAAGCGTCCGCAACTTGTTTCTGTACCCATCATTCACCTTGCTGTACTCTTCAGCAAACACCTCGCTCTCTATCTTGACGGCGACATTGACTATCGTCTTGGAGTCATCGTCTCTTTCTATCGCCAACGCCGTGTACAACGCGCTGACAGAGGCGTTACGTGTAGAGTCGTCATAGATAGTGGTGTCTACGCCATCAGTCTTGGGGTTTCTGGGCCCGTTGTGGAACTTGCCTCCAGTCGAACCAGCAGCTGGTCTGGCTGGGGTCGCTGAGCCAGAGTTGTTGGATGAAGAAACGTCCTTGGCCTGGGCCTTCTTGGCGTTCTTTTCGTTCTGAACAACCTCCTTCCATTTCTTGATCATCTTCTTCACCAACGTGCTGATTTCGCCGTTCCCATTGGATCTGTACTTGTTCACAGCTACACCGACTTTGGTCTCTCGTAAGAGCTTTTCGGTGGGCTGGATGCCGTCGTTGAGGATATTCAAAAGCTTCAATATCGTGGCATCGTCGCTGGACTTCTCCAAGTTGGAAACAGTCGACTTGATCTCTTTCACGTCCATGGCAAGCTTGAGAGGGCTGTAGTTCGTTTCAAAGCTGGCTTGAGTTTTCAAGAGCGCTTCATATCTGGCTGCACATCCGTACACCCCAAGGCTTCCCTACTCCCAATATCCGTTATACCCGGCAATTCCGAATATTTAAATTTTTGATTTGGGTTGGGCAAGTTGATTCGTTGACTGCTTTAGGTTCATAGTATATTCGCTTTCTCAATGGAAGGTGGTGGTGTGGCTGGTGTGGCTGGTCTTGTGAGATGGCTTATGCTGCACACGATGAAGCGATGAGGACGTAAGGGAAGTAGTGGGGTTGAAATAGTGGCAGGTTAGATTTATTATGGTTCTTAGAGGGAGTCTTATTAACAATGAAAATGAAAAGATGCTTATTTGGCACATTTCCCTGTGTACTTGTTTATTGCTGTGTCACAAGACATGGCTGCAAAATACAGATGCCATTGAAAGCCATAGTATAAATTGATGGAGGTATTAATTCTAAGGTTATAAATTATATTGGCACTACCTTTAGCATCAAGCAAGTACTACCTTTAGCATCAAGCAAGTAATATTGGACTCTTTTTTAGACTACCTAACGTTAAAGTTGATATAGCATTGGGTATTGGTCGTCTGTACTAAATAGTAAGCCAGATGCCAGTCACATACAAAAAGTAACATTCACCAATTTTTGGACAGCACTTCAACGACCAAGAAAGCTCCCAAATCGTAAACATCATCTTCCTACATTTAATAGAAACACTTGTTTCCTCTCATTCTCTCTTTCTACTTACTCTCACTATGGGTAGCTCACTGGCTGCGAAACACCATAAACAGACTCCACTCTATTCCCACCAAGCGCCCCAAAACCTCGAGATTTCAGCTTTTGCTGAAAATACTTCAACCGCTTAATCCAGAAAATACCCTCTCTCCATCCCCCCTCTCACCCCTCTCTTTATTCACTTCCACTCCAACTCCCTCTCAACCTCTTACTAACTCGCGATTCTTCATATAATGCCATCTTCAACTCCATCTTCATCTCCAACTACCCCATCAAACAGCCCACTCTGCCATGGAAAACCAGGCTAGAACCGTCTTTATAGCCAGTATCCCCTTCGACTATACCGAGGAACAGGTGCTTGAAATAGCAAAGTCGGTGGGACCGGTGAACGACATTAAGCTTATATTCGACTCGTCTACTGGTAAATCCAAGGGAAACGCTTATATTCGGTATGGAGACAGTGAAACGGCGCTTTCTGCTGTTCGTAACCTTAATAACATGAACGTGGGAAATAGGTACTTGCGTTGCACGTTGGCATCAGACGAGGATGCCCTTAATCAGGGTTTACTGGGGAACACAGGTAAACTACCGCCTTTGCCTTTGGGAGTGCAATTGTTCCCGGGCCAGAACTCCCAGCAGGCGATTTCAGAGCTATTATCTAGACTAGACCTGCAAACGGCAGGCCGTATTTTGAAAGAGGCCAAGTCTATGAGTTTGGAGAACCCGGTGCTTATGAAAAAGCTTCTTGACCAGTGTCCGCAGCTATCGCATGCTTTGGTGGAAACAAGCTTGATGATGAACTTGGCAAATAAGAATCTTGTCGAGTTGTGTCTCAACAGAAGACAGCCTGACTTGGACCAGTTGACGACAGACCATGTGGAGCTTCTTAAGTACGTTAATGGGTTGACTGATGAAGAACTCGCTTCGCTTGATGCGGATAAGAGGAAGATTGTCAAGGACATTCAGACCGAAATCGGCAAGGGCTCTTATGGTGCCATCGAGGGGTAACTTTTGAAGGAGGTAGTGACCATGGCTACGTTGCAAGAAGAGTTTAAATGGAATTTCGTGGAATGGCTTTTCTTTGGCTGATCCTTCAGGTTTGGCCTCTGTATACTAAAATATAGCATAATAATAGTATTTAAGAAGTTGAATCAAGTAGTTATTTAGGAACGCTGTTGGTGTACTTACTTGATGCTGGCTTGTTTTGACCTGTGATCAATTAGAAATTTATTTTGTGGTGAACTCAAAATTTATTTCAAACTTTTTTCATATTTCATTATATTTTTCTATTATGTGACATATTTGGTAGTATTCTTATCATTATACGTCTACAGTCAAATGGCTGCGAAAATCATAAAAGTAGAAAAGTACCATACCAACTGTAAACAAACATTTATAACCAAAGATTCTGAAAACTCACCACCCTAAAACAACCCCCAACCCTCCAAACCTTCATTTCACCCAAATCCCACCATTTTCACCAAACCAACCAACCCATCTTTCTGTGCCGCACACGACCATCAACATAGTATGCGACCCATCGTTTTCACCACTGCAGCTATAACCCTATTTCCCTACCATAACATGTCCAGAAGAGCAGGTTCGCCACCACAAGGTGCTCCAGGACCCTCGTCCATTCTCTATATAGGTCTGCTTCCCTTTGAGTGGACCGAAGAACAGCTACAAGCGGTTGTTACCAGCATAGCCAGTGTGCTAGATGTAAGACTAGGTTTCGACCATGTGGGCAAAAACAAAGGATATGCATTTGTAGAGTTTGAAAATCCTCCCGAATCCCAAAGAGCAGCCGTGTTGCTTGGCCAGATCAAGATTAATTCCCCAGACGGAAGACCCAATAAGCGTCTTCGAATTGAACTGTCCAAAGAAGGCTTCCGCACAGGCAATAACGCCAACAAGCAGCCACTTCCTTTCATTCCATCAAATTTGCCTCCATACGTGGAGCTTCCACCCAATGCTCAAGTGAGACAGCCTTCTGGTTTGCCTCCAGTGCCAGGTATGCCTCAGAGACCACCAGTTCCTCAAATGTCACAGGCCTCTCCAGGTCCTCAATTGCCCCCAGTTCCTGGCTCTAATGGCACCCAATTCGCTGGCGTAGCGCAAGCAAACGGCGCCCAGCTTCCAGAATCGCTTCTTAGAGCTTCCCAGGTGCTCACTACGCCAGCAAAGATCCCTCTAGAGACTCCAGATAAGATTAACGAAACGCTAAGCCTGATTCCTCCAGCTCAGTTGATTGAGCTCATTGCTAATTTGAAGAATATCCTTGCAAGCAACAATGCTGGCAGAGCCGCTGAAGTGTTTCAGCTTTCGCCAAACTTGGCTGCTGCTGCAGCACAGGCTCTTCTACTTATGGGCTTTGTAGATGAGGAGGTGATCCAAGAATCAATGAAGTCAGCATCTAATACGCCTCAGCCACAACAACCTACACCTGCTTACCAGCAACCACAGCAACCACAGCAGTATAATAATCAGGGATACGGCCAGCCACCTCAAGGATACAATTCCTCTGGAGGGTTCCCTCCAGGACTGGCGTCGTTGCCTCCTCCACCACCAAGACCTCAACAATCACAGTTTCCTCAGCAACAGCTGCAGCCGCCTAGTAAATGGGGTAATCTTCCTTTGTCTACGCAGATGAAACTTGGAGCCTTGCCTCCGGATCAGGCCGATTTGATAGCGCAGGTTTTATCGCTTCCACCAGACCAGATCAGTTCGTTGCCTCCAGACAGGCAAACCATGGTTGCAAGTATCAGACAGCAGTACTTGTAAGACGAAGATTGGCGAAGGAGATTGGCGACAGCCAATCGATATCTTCAAGATAAGAAGTCGCTGAGCAGATAAGGCTAAACGAGATTTGTGGCGCATTAGACAACAGAGATCACTTCTACAGAGCAACCTTAACAATGCAACAAGCTGAAGAACAACTCCCCCCACTCCAGAGATCGATAAAAATATACACTCCACAAATCAATGTCACAAGCTAAACTTTACTTAGCATACATACATCATCCAGTGTACTGTCCCAAATGTAGTACGTCTCACAGTACTTCCACTTAAATGAGCATCCATGACCAGAGGTCATCGATAAATGCCCATACTAAACTCTCCATTTCTTTTCGACCTCACATTCTCTCTTTTATATCTCTTTTTTCTCTGCACCCACCTTCTTCCATTATCTTCCACATCTTCCATCTTCCACAGTGCATGTGTGCGAAATCGACTGACAGTCTCAAACTATCACCAAACCAACTACTCTTCTTCAACCCACCATGAACATCCCAGGACTACAAGGCGGCGCATACACTGCAGTCTTTGAAACAGACGAAAACGGGAACTTCCATTCAGCGAACGGCAGCGTGCCAGGCTGGCTTCGAGACATGATAGAGAGAGCATATGCCAATAGTGGGCTTCGAATGAACAAGAAGGTGGCGTCGCTGGAAGCTATTGCATCGCTCGAGGAGGTCCCTCCTGAGCTACTCAAGGAGCTGACGTGCCCGATTTGCTATGAAAAGTACGAGGTTGATCATAATAAGAAACAGAAGATGGACACTACAGTGCAGAAGGAAGAGCCACAGCCAGAGACATCGTGGGCGTATGAAAACGTATATGTGGAGCCTGAACTGAGCAGGCTTAAGTTTAAGGATCCATCTCTTTTCATGGCGGTGGACGCTGGCGCTGCCAATCCACTTAGGTTCCCTCAACAGAACCTATCGAACAGAGAAACCGTCACCAATGAAGAGATGTTCCCGTCATTGAACGACTTTAAGAAACCCGTGAAGGCCAGCAAAGAAACCAGACATATTGCGATGAAAATGCCCAATTGTCATCACGTATTTGGGAAAACTTGCATTATCGAATGGCTCAGAGGCCATGTGAGCTGCCCTCTTTGTCGTAAGGAGGTGGAGAGCGTTCGTGACAGTGATCCAATGGCAAAGAAGATGGAGACGCTTTCGCAGAATTGCAATTTTATCTTTGCTGCTGATCAAGACGTGGTGATGAAGCACATTCTTCGTCGCCTGACGAACGTCTTTGAACCATTCAAGAAGCCATACAATCCGGCCGTCACGCCGCTTACAGACACTAGCGTGCTGCAGCATTGGGCACGTCCAAGTTTACCTGAAGGCTTTGCTCCAGACGTGACAGAGAATGCAGATCCCCAGCTTATCATGGCCCGCAAGTATCCGCTTTCGAACTTCCAGTCGACGCCACGAAGGTCGCTATTTGGACGTCGAAACGAAAGGGACGAATAGCTGGGGTAGAGAAACGACAGGGCATAGAGAAAATGACAGGACAAAGATGGGCAGATCGATTGAAGCATAGAGCCAAGTGGATAGAGTATTTATATTGCATGTGAGGTCGGATGTAGATCTGACAGTAGCAAGGAAGAGGTTTGGCGATGGGCCAGCTTGGGTTGCTGGCCAAGGGTACCGAAAGCTGGTATGACGACATGGTCTACATGGATTGAAGACAAGGGCTGATTGGACATGGTTGAAGACATGGACAGAAAACGGACACTACAAGGCTTTTGAACATATTGCTTATAAATCAACCACAGCAACCAACAAGCAAAACGACATCTCCATACTTATCGTCCCACAGTGCCATTCTCCCACTTGAGGTTCCATTCGTCCCTCGGTGACCAGACCACATCCCAAGACTATGTTCAGGCCAAACCACGCAAAGTGCACGATTTCTTGGAATGTCAAGGAATGTCGAATTTCATTAATAAGCCTCCTTCTGCCCCTAGAGCCTCCTCCAAAAGAAACGAAGAAAAAGAAACACCAATCAAACGCGTTCATCTGTCTTCCCCAGATATGTGTTTTTTTTGCAACCTAAATTAGGCCACCTCTTCCCCAGTTCAGGCGGGGGTGGCACAAAACCTGCACACAAGCACGAAAAACGGTCTAATGCTCCAATGAAAGCCGCTTCGGTCACGTGAAGAACCTCGGACTCTCTCTGCTCGGTACCACACCTCTGACGCAAAGACTTATTAGAGGTATTTGGTACACATCACCAGTTTTTTTGGATATAGGTATACTGGAAGCCTCCTTCGATCGCTGAATACTGGAGCTTTTACTTTTTACCTTTTTCCTCCAACACCTCCATCACCTCCTCCAGGGGAACAACCAGCCCTCCTCATCAACAAACGCCTCATCATGTCTCATACCAGGACCATTTTGAGTTATATCCACCAAAACAGCCCGAACAAGATCACCGTTTCAGATCACAAGAGTAACGATAAACCACTTAAGGTGCCGCCAGCGTTTACTGAAAAAACCAGAGATTTGAAACCCAGAACTCCACTTGCCAAGAGAACCTTTTTTAATGATTGCACAGACAGTTCTCTCAAGGAGTCTAAGAACTCCATCAGAGACTCTCTCAGGTACTCTGTGAAAGCTTATACGAGCCACGAAGCTGGTCTTTACCAGATGCGTCATCTTTTGGGTGCTGACGATGGTCGTAGGCAGGTGCACGTGGCCACCACCCAAGTGCCAGAGCCAGAAACCAGGCCTAGTCTTCGACACATGTCGAGATCGCCATCGATTTTGGTCAAGAAGGAGAGTCCTGCTCGTGACAGGTTTGTGGACCAGTTGCGTGATATCATTGCACGTTGTTTGAAGCGGAAGCTTGGGTTGAGTGACTTTCAAATGCAAACAGAGTTGGTTAAGGAGGCATTGACGTATTCGAATAACTTGTTGCTTCAGGATATGAAGTCGGCGTCTACAGAAGAGCTTTGCCTGGAGTTTCTGAACTTGAAAGCGGCAGACGACATGAGAGAGTCGTTTGATGATCTCCCGTGTGACTTTCTCGATAAGTATGAGCTTCTAGCGCTTGACCATTTTGAAGATATGATTTTCGAATCGACAACCAACTCCTTGGGCTGGGCCCACGATAGTGGTACTCTTCGTGATCCAAACTCGTACCAAACATTCAAAGATATCTGGATGCTTGACCCGCCCAATTTTGCCGAATTCGACGTGCACGCCTTCATTTCAGATGTTCTGGACACCAACGAGTGCCCGTTTTCGTTCAACTCATACAAAGAATCGTTCATGAACCATTTTGGCGAAAGTGCCATCAAGATGAACATTCTTCGGTACTACTACACTTATAGAAGCGAGTTCTACACCCACCAGCGTGCCAAGAAGGAGCTACCCGCCGGAAGTTTGAGTGAGATGCCAGAGTTCGAAGGGCTCCTGGAGCTGGTGGAGCAGTTCAAAGACTCCATAGAAAGCGACGAACGGCTGAAACCTCGCAAATCATTAAGGTTTGCTGACGAAATGTCGGTTTGATTTGCACCCATATCTGCACATCTGCATCCCAATTTTGCACTACGCGAGCGCACAGCATTAACTTCATCACGGCGCCACAGAGAAAGGAAATAAAGAATATTTTAAGCGGATAGAAATATTTGTCATCTACAGTTAACGGCGTTTAATTTGATACATTTTCCATATCGGTCCCCGTTGTGGTCGGACTTGACTAATCTTGTCATGCACATACGCAACCGAGCCAGTTTATAGACAAGAGCGACTCCAGTAATACAAGAGAAGCTCTAAAATACATAACACATCAACGCATCCCGTTGCCACCATGGTAAAAACGGAACCAGTCCACGAGGATGACTCGGTCCGCAAGAAGAAAAGAAGAAACCTCGGCCAGTTCCCTTGCTCCCAATGTAGCAAGGTCTTTACCCGATCCGACCATTTGGCCAGGCATTACTTGAACCACCAACCAAAGGAGGTTTACGTATGTGAAAAGCTTGTTAAAAACCATAACGGCGAACTGCGTGTGTGTGGCAAGACCTTTGTTAGAAAAGATTTGAAAGAGAGGCACCTAAAGAGGCACAAAATGCTTGATGAGCAGGATGGAAAATGGGAAGATGAACTGGACCAGAGTCCGCTGCAGCTGGTGAAACACGAAGAGCTACGAGCAGGTGAGGTTCAGGAGGAGGTGGAGATTCCACAGACACAGCCGCCTGTTCATGTTCAGAATCATCAAAACCATCAACCGGTTCAGCACCAGCAGAATCAACACAATGTCCATAACCAGCAGCTTCAGCCACTTCCGAACCAGGGCGTGCAAAACCACCCGCTTCCGAACCACCAGATCCCAAACCAGCCTCTACAGGGAGACATGAATGTTCTTCCGCCCCAGCATCAAGGTATGCCTCCATTTGGTGGACCACCGCAAGTCCACTTCCCAAACCATAACCCCAATATCCAAATCCAGGGCCAGATGCCTCATATGGGTCTTCGACAGCAACAAGTGGCTCCTCCGCCTCCGCTACAAATGGGGCCTTCGCCTCCAGACATGTACCGTATGAACCCAAACATGCCTCAGTCCCAGACGGATATTTTGCTGTGGCTCTTTACAGACCAAGATCCTGGCTTGCCCAAGGACTTAGTGCAGCCTTACTCGTCGTCTTCTAACATTTCCATGTCTCCAGAAGTGGCTGCAAACGGTATGCCTATGGATATGACCCGTCAGATCTCTCCTAGACAACATTCAGAGATCTCTCCCATGTACTACAACGCTGTGCCCGAGGCTATGATTAATATGAACCTTCAAGACCTCAACTTCTTCCTGAATAATGATAATCCGCTAGACGAGGTTTTTCTACGGCCATCCACTGATCCTACGCATTTGGGCGATGCTACTGCTCCCAAAGGTCCTTGGAATATAAGCTCCACCAACTCCAGCACTCCAAACACAACCGATACACTTACGCCGAGATCTGTGGGTGACCACAGTCCTGAAGCACTTACTCTGGAAACCATAGAAAACAGAGTGGCCCACCATACTGCTAAGAACATCGCCAAGAATAGGCATTACCATGTGGACGCAGTGCTAGTTGAACGCTTGGCTAGCTGTCTACCTGGCGTCACATTGGAGTCGCTTAGCAATATTCTTCGTTCGTCCCCAACAGATCCACTTGTCCATGACAGACTATCGTTCTACTTGTATGGGTACTGGGAGATCTTCCATCCAAAGTTTTCTATTCTACATAAACCTTCGTTTGATACGAAGACGGCAGAGCCTTTGCTTCTTTTGGCCATGATTATAGTTGGATGTCTGTATTGCAGAGGCTCTACTTCTCAAATACCTAGACTCAAGCATTGCCCAGAGTATAATCTTGCAACGCTCGTTGCTTTGCCTTTGCGTTTTACGCTTTTCCAGCATGAAGATTTCAGGTCTCCAGTGAGAGTATGGATTCTTCAAACGCTCAATCTCCTAGAGTGGTGTGAGAAGAATCGTTTACAGAGACATATGCATGAGAGGGCCCATATTCACCACGGAACTACAGTGCAGTTGTTACGTCGTTCGCCTTTCTTAGGTGGAAATCCTACTGTGGCCAATAAAGAACTCACTTCTGCAAGTGAAGCCAACACAAGTGCCGGTGAAGAGGATGGAAGCATGACTGAGGATATGGATGAAGCTGCACGCTCCGACCAGGCGTTGTTCAACAAATGGGTGGAGTCTGAATCTATGAAGCGTGTCACGTTCATGACGTTTTACTTGGATGTCATTGACTACATCAAGTTCCGTCATAATCCACAGATTCCATTCTTCCAACTCCAGCTTTTGAACCTTCCTTGTGAGGAGGATGCATTGTGGGCCTCTTATGATATCAACGGGTCTTTCAAGAAGACGATTAGAAGACAGAAGAAGCTCCAAAAGGCAAACCAAAACCTGAATGTGCGTCCACTTAAAAACCAGAACCAAATCAAGCCTGGAATGAACTTTTTAAGTGCGCTCAAGAAGATCATGAAGCAGGGTAGCCCAGAACGAGCAATGTCAAAGGTTTCATTCTTCACGAAACTGATTTTATTTGGTGGTATTGTGTCTATCATGCATCTGATGCAACAGACCGAATTGCAGAGTAGTTTCTCGCAAATCATGTCTTCGGAACGGTACGTGAAGAATAGAAACCAAAAGTGGAAGGAGATACTCACCGTTGTTTTCGACGAGTACGATCACGAAATTTATGCTGGCCTGAGTGGTTTTACGAAGGATGCCTTCTTTAATGTTAACCGCTGGCAATGCAAGTTCCCCATGTACCACTTGGCACAGATCATGGGCATGTCGGACTTGAATCATTACGATATTGCCATCTACGGTGGTTCTCCTGCCAACATGAGTGTTGATGCTACGAGCAAAGATTTCTCGATAGTACAGAAGAAACTCAACTCCATGTGGACGAGGTCTCTTCCTTCTGTGAAGAAGAATATTGGAGACCTCATCAACTACAAAAGTGTCATTCACTGTTACTGGCTCTTGTGGGGACTTATGCTTACTCCTTTAGGTAAGGACGGCAATCCTACTGGCCAGCCCTTGACTTATGATTGGCGTGTTGAGCACGATATTCATGATAGTCTCTACGCAGTGAGTGTCGCTACGATGGTATTGTGGTGTTTTTGCTATTCTGTTTATGGACCTGAGTCTACAAAGTTTGCTGAACACGGTGGACACCTTTCGTTAGAAGATACCAGAAACCTAGATAAGATTGCCGGATTCGCTGGGGAAGATGGTTATCAGTACCTTTTCCGAATCCGCCAGGAGTTCACGGAGAAAATCAAGAGCCAGAATCTTTTGAACGAGTGTCTTCTCCATAGCACGCGTTCCACCGATGAGCAGATGCCCACAAGCCAGATCGTTCACAAGTACAGCGAGATCTTGCCAATGATCAACAACAAGCAGAACATCAGCGGCCTCTGTTTCCTTGTGGGCACCAAGTTGTTGCGCAGCGAGTGGCTGGTGCTCCGAGAGAATGCCAAGTTGATCATCAACTGTGGCTTACGATCTGCTGGCAAGGCGGAAGTGCACTGCCCAGATCTTTTCAAGGATGACTTTGTGAACTGATGATGATAATGACCCAAAATAAAAATTTGTAAATGCAAGTATGTAGTGGTTACACCAACAACACGGCGTTCACGCAACCGTCTCTATCAGGCTCGTTCGTTACCTGGGCGTACTTACCCCAGACAACCTTACCTCCAGCAGTAACCAAACCCAATTCAGACACGTTGACTTCGATGATAGTACCCTTTGTCAAGACACCCAACTGTGTGTACATAGGAGACTGGGGGTTCTTCTTGACACCCAAAATAGGCAAGAAAACGGTAACGCCAAGCTCAGGATGCGTCACGTTGGCCTTCTTCTGTCTCAAGGCAGATGGTCTGATGATTCTCTCCATCTTCACCGGACGTCTAGTGAAACCTTCACCAACAAAGGTATGTTTCGTGATCATACGCTTCCACAGCTTCAGCTTCAGCTTACCTGTCTTGATCACCTTGAACATCTCCTCCTCAGAGATACCCTTCACCTTAGGTAGAGGCACCGAGTACTTGTCAGCCTTCTCCAAACGCTTCTGCTTAATAGAAGAAGAAATAGCCTTGGCTGAGTTGTCGTTCTGACGGTCCAACAAATACGTAGGAAGCGCCTCGCCATCGTCCTGCTTTGGCGTAGATGGACCTTTCACCTTGGACTCCTGGTGGGCCTTGATCTTCTTCTTCATAGCCACCTTTTCAGCATATCTCTTCTTGTTGTACTGCTTGGCTCTCCAACCCTTGAGGTTCTGAGCATCCTGAGCGACTCTGTGGCCCTCACGGGCCTCTCTCTTTCTCTTTCTCTCTTCGTAGTCGAGCCTACGACCGTGCTGCTTGATGTGCTGCTCAATATACTCGTTCTGAGGCATTTAGTGGGAAGAGATGGTTGAAAAGATGCCATTTGAAAAGCATCGCATCTCATCACTATATTTCACACCCGTACACCACACAACCCCATGGCCCCCAGCCCTCCACCAAAAACGCCCAAAAAGGGTATTAGAAAGTAGAAGAGGGAAGGGAAGGATCTGTGAAGCCTGGTGGATTTGAATTACGGTTCTTTTGCTCTACGGCTTGGTGTGCTGGGCTTTTGGGTGGCCCATGTGCAGATGAGACATACAAGTAAAGAAGCAGTATGTGAAGAAAAATAGGGTAATGAAAAACCAAAGAAGACTATTATACTTTGACTTATTGGTCAATTTATGGAAAGAAATGATTTCTACTTCATTTCTTCTGTTTTCGTCCAAAATTCATCTATTTATGGTGATTCCTTGTCTTCACCATTCCCTCAGTTTATGCAGATGAAGACTTTTTGCACCCAAACAGTAAACAGGGAAAACAGTGAAAACACTTAACAACTCAACGAAAGTCTTAAAACCAACATAGTAGAAATTGGAAGCGTCTCAGGAAATAAAGATAGTTCTAGTATCGATTTCCACCAATTAGAGGCACCTTTTTTGGCTTCTTCTCTGGGTACATCTCCATATCTCTACACTGCGATGAGCAGTGGTAACCACCTCCAAAACCTAAACCAAACAACGAAAACAAAACATAAAAATATCAACTCACTGTCTCCCAAAGCCATCTAAACAGCCAATCAAATTGTCTACCTCTTACGTTCCCTCCCCCTCTGCCTTGCACCCTCCTATGTAACCCCATCACCAGTCCTGTATCTACCTATCTTCATCAACTACTCTTCTTTACCATGTCTTCCGTCAACGAGCTCCTAAAAAGCATAATGGCGTCGCTAGAGCAAACCGAAACCTCCGTAAAGGATGTGGATACGAAATATATCGAACACGAAAAAGAGTACCTTCCCACGATGATCCAGGACTTGATCGCCAAGTCTCCCTCATCGCAGCTCGAAGGCATGTCTTTGCTTTCGTTGAAGAACGAGGCGTTGCTTTCGTATGTGAACTCGTTGGTGCTTGTGCTTTTGAGTCACGTTGAGCGTCTTCGGGAGCTGGCGCTGGAGGCCAAGGTCGAGGCGCTGAAACGTAAGGCGGTGGAAAGTTCTGTCCAGCAGAGAGTTACTTTGGAAAAGGGTATCAAGCCTTTGGAGAAGAAGCTTACGTACCAGCTTGATAAGATGGTTAGATCTTTCCATAAGATGGAGGAGGACAACGCACGTATGGAGCAGAAGGTGGCAGAGGATGCCGAGAATGGAGCTGAGAGTGAAGAGGAAGAGGCTGCTGCTGAAGACAGCGAGTCTGAAGATTCAGAGGAAGACGACGACGCTCTTTCATATAAGCCAGATGCTTCTGGATTGAAGAAAATGGCCAAGGCTTCTTTGGCTAAGGGTAAGGCTGAAGGAGACGGAAAGTATAGACCACCAAAGATTTCTGCTGCTGCTCCACCTACAAACAACTTCGACGACCGTGCTATCCCTGCCAAGAGCAAGAGAAAGCTACAGAGTATGGAGGAGTACCTCAGAGAGTCTTCTGACTTGCCACAGGCCGAGGCTTCCATTGGTTCTGCCATTTTGGGCCATGGTAGAGGTGGTGTAAAGACCAATAGAGACAGCCAGAAGGAAAGAGAGATCCAGAGATACGAGGAAGCCAACTTCACGAGATTGCCTTCAACGGCGACGAAGAAGACGCATAGACAGAAGATGGCCGAAAGAGCCAACACCTTTGCTGGTGAAGATTGGTCCATGTTCAACAATAGCAGAAACCTTAAGGAAGGTACATCCAGAAAGAGAAAGGCAGGAACTGCTTGGGATAGAGCCAAGAGATCGCATCGTTAAAATAAAAGCACATATATTGCAAAAGTGGAAGGTATAAAACAAGCTGACTAAACATAGTGTAGTACTCGGATATGGCTGCCGCCGGAAGTATTGACAGACGTAAATGCTTTCGAATGTGGGGATTTTTTTATGCTTTTTGGAGGTTTTTTTTTATTGTGGGGGTTTGCTGGTCAATACTTCACGACTTTGCCTTTCAAATGATGGAAATAACATGTTCACATCGCTGGCTCACTCTTTGAAGAAATCCATGCTTCCCGAGTAAGAGGCTTTTTGGGAGTGGCTTTGTGGGAAGCCCTGGTTGTTGGTACCACCGGAGTACAGAGGTAACATCCCGGTGTACTGCAACAGGTTCCTAAAGCCCTCGTGGCCTCTGTCAGATTGAGGTGTATATTGCCCGTTGAACAGAGATCCTGCTCCCGCCATAATACCCGGATTGGTCATGGGATAGCCAGCATTTCTCGTGAAGTCGTTAGAAATGAAGTTGGAAAGTGGTGGATTGGCATTATTGTATGATACAGGGGATTGATCGATCGGAGCCAGGACTGGAGCCGATATATGCAAGTTTGCTAACAGCGCTGTAGCTGAAAGACTTGGGTTAACAAGCGAATCGAACGAAGCCTTTGAGTCTCTTGGGACCGGCGAAGGGCCGAGGCTATGGTTGCCGACGCCATTGTTAACAGCGTAACCGTCGTAGTACTGATGCAGAGGGTTTCCTTGACGATTGTTTCTTTGATACCCATTGTACCCTCTGGTATTGTATCCCATTCCATTACCCACGTTGATGTGGTTGGCTTGGATAGGATAGGAACCAACTGGAGCACGAGTTTGCACAAATTCACCGTTGGCGTTCATGTTCTGGTTAGGCAAGGTATTAGCAGGAGGAATAACCATGTTGCCATGGTTCTGCTGGTACTTGCGGCCGGAAGCCTTGGAAACGCCATTCAAAATGATATTGATCTTCAGCTGGATACGCTTGCCAAAGGAAGAGACAATCTTGCAATTCTGGAACCAGTTCTTGATGATTTGAATCTGCAAGGAGTCCGAGCTGAGATTATAATTCTGAGGGAGAAGCTGCTGCAAAGAGGGCAAAAGAGCACGCTCATTGCCCTGGAAGTAGGAGACGTTAGGGTTGATCAAAATGTCTATCAACGTCTGTATGACGTAGTTACCGTAAGGATCGTTGATGAGTTTGTTGAGATCAGTGTTGAAGATGCTGGCGATGATGGAGAACTTCAAGTCCGAGAACTTAAGCAGTTTGGGCTCATTGTGGTAACAGTTCTTCATGAGCTTTTCGACCACGTTCGATGAAAACTTCAAGTTGCACAAGTCGTTGATGCCATACTTGAGGAAGTTCTTGAAGAGAGCACAGTTCACATCGGCCGAGTCGATAGAAATGAGGTACTGCAAGACGTAGTTACCAAACTGGTCGTTGATCAAAACCACAAACACATTGTACTGCAAGATCTTCTCTGAAAAGGCCGAAAGCTGAGCCGGGTTCACATGGTTCAAGCACTTCTGGAGCACGCAACAACCGTGTTTGTGAGTGGCCACCACCAAGATATCGTCAATGATGGAGCTATAAATGAACTGGCAGTTATCTGGAGGGTACTTGTTCAAGATCTTCTGGATAACGTGGTTACCGTTCAAGTCCTTGATCAACTCGATGATATACGGCTTCAAGCCCTTCATCAAAAGCGCCAACTGGTGGCCATTCGACATGTGGTCAATGACTTTCTGCAACGCCCTGGTGCCATGCTGGTTGATGGAAACCAGGAACAAGTTGTTCTGCAAGATTTCCAACATAAGATCAAGGTCAGTCTCAGAGCAGTAGTCCACCAATTTCTGCACAAGGTAGTTACCAAACGGATCGATAATAAGCTCGTACAACAGCGGATGGACTTCTTTAAAGATCACCTCGAAATTGGCCACACGGGCCAGGCGGCTGGCCACCACGTTCTCGTCAATGCGTTTCTGAAGAAAACGACACCCATACTGGTCCTTTGCCAAGCGCAAAATGTGGCTTCTCAACAGCGTCAACGGAGCCTTCAGCACCAGTGCCAAGTAGTCCTTATCGATTTTCGCTGGCGGAGACGAAGCCGAAGCGGTTTCCTTAGCGTCCAAGCTGAAACTAGGCAAGGCCAACAGGCCATTGAGACGCTGGTGGTCCCAGAGCTTCGAGTTGGTGGTTGTCGATGGCGGGGTGGTGGGTTCCACGATTGAAGAGATCGAGTTGATCAGGAGGTTATGGGAATGCTCTCTGGGCTCAGAGGCCTGGGGAGAAGGAGGCATGGCTCGTTCAGACGAGGGCAGCTGAGGGAGTGTGAAGAAGTGGTGGAAGTCCCCAACAGGCTCTTAAAAAAAAAAAAAAGCTAAGGGTGACAGGCAACTGGAAATTGGGAATGTGGGAAAATAAAAGTGAAAAATCTCCTAACAATCAAGCACGCTTTATAAGTAAAAAAACGAAACCCGACTTTCTGTTTGGTGTTCAGGGTGACGATGAAAAGAGTGTTCTGGTTTGCTTCGGCCCAGGGCCTGATTCAGCCTGTATGGCGCCAGAGACATCCAGGCCAGGCACAATCCTGGCGACACCGACATTGTGAAGGGGCGGTCCACATAATACACACAAACCGGAAGCAAGGGAGGAACAAAAAAAAAAAAAAAAAAGGATTAATATTTTTACCCGTACCGCGCAAGCGCCACAAATAGAAATAATAATGCTTTTAGCGCAGTGGAGGCAACGCTTTATTATTTGTTGGTTTCAATAGAGCCATTTGAATTTCGCAGCCACCCACGCAGCCAGGCAATACAAAAAGTAGCACAGTTGGGGTGAAGAAGGCTGGCAATTTGCTTTCTGGTGCCTGTTTTTGGCTTTTTCTGCCCTTTTTCTTTCTCCTTCCTCCATTTTCTTCCTCCCTCTTCGTCGCCATTTGTTTGCGTTCTGCCATCTCAAACCTCCTCCTCATTCCTCGTCTGAAACGAATCTGGACCGTGCGACATCGCCTATACACAATTCCTAGCAACGCCTGCAACAGCCACCGTGCTGATTGGCCAGCGTGCTTTGTGAAAGCGAGGTTTAAGATTCTGGCGGGTTGGAGCTTCTCCCCGGGCAGAATGTAAGGGTGGGTTTTGTTAGGCGGGCCGAGCTGGGGGGCGGGTTTTGGCCCTGGTTAGGGTTTTCATTGCCTGTTTGGGTAATCCATGCTTTTTGGGTGCAAATCGTATACGGGAGTTGCTCAGGCAGTGGCACTGGGAGGGATGAATCTCTGGAAGTTGGAGATGCTGTTTGGAGCTTCAGGTGCCCAGCTAGAGCCTGTTTCGGGTCGTTCGGGTCGTCTAGACCTGTAGATCGATGCAGTCAAAGTCACCATTTTGGGATGTTCTTGAAACTGGAAAGCGTACAATTGCAGGTCTGCTTCGTATATCTGGTGAATTGGTCGGAACGTCTGGGGAAGCCAGGGGCCCGGCCAAGCCTTTATTAAGGGACGCCACGTTACGGTGTGGGCCGTCAACTGGACGAAGTCAACCACAAAACACACTAGGGCATTCCATGGGAAACCTTATGCTTGACATGTCTCCTGTTCCTGTCGATCCCGAACACACTTTCGCTGGCGCTTGTAGATCCACTGCCCAAATAGAAGAAGCGTCAAATAGCACCACTTGGCCTGGTCGTTTTCAGATGCCGCCTCTACTTCGTGTACTGGCCCCGGGCGACATACTGGTTCAACACATCTTCGTAGAAGATAAACTCTCCTGGCGGTGCTGCCAATGCACTGGCCAACCTTCTCTTCATTCTCTCTTCGGCACGTTGCCGGACTGCCTCCTTGCGTTCCTCTTGTTCTTGAGTATCAGGGAAACTGCCGATCATGAACCCTGGCGGTGACAGGTACTTGTCCATGACTTGGGACCTGGAGAGCTCTTCTTCTTCCTTTTCGTCTCCGTCCCAAACCGGGCCCGTAGGAAGAGCTCCCTTGCCAGCCTGGTAAAAAAAATCTTGGAAATTGCGTTCTTGTGCTTTTGTCATGACTCTTGGTTCGCCTTTCTTGGGTCGTTGCCAGTGTCCGTTTGGCCTGAAATCGTCTTGTGTCCATGGTTTCTCTGTTATGGGATTCAATGCTAGTTTTACTTTGAAACGCTCGTCGTCAAGCTTCATTCGGTAGTACTTTCGTAGGAAAGCTATCCTCTGGAGGGAAGTGTAATGCAGGGGAACTCCCACTTCTTTCTCGTCAAGAGTCTCAAACTCGTCTTCGGAATTCGCCACGATTCGCTCGTTAACAGCAACAAAGTCTGCTTTGATAGGTGAGGAGTTGGCATGAATTTCACGTTTCTTAGGCAGTTTCTTTGGCAGTTTCTTCGGCAGTTCTATGTCTGAATACTGGGTAGGTAGTCTGTTAAATTGAGAGCTTGTAAGATCTTTTTTGGAGGAATCAGCACCTGATTCTTGGGAAACACCCTTCACTGGACTTGAAAGTACCATAACTTGTTCGTCGTCGTTGCCTGTTCTTTGTCTCTTTCGTTTCGTAGGTGACACATACTGTAGGTTTGGAATGGATCCTTCGGATTTCGTGGGACGAGCTTTTGAAGGGCTATTTTGCTCATAAACGGCTATTTTCTTCTTGAGTTGCTTGTTTTCTGCCGTCAAGTCACGGACCTTGTCTTTCAATTCACGAAGCTTTTTGTTGAACTCCTTGATGAGCAGTGTACGGAATTGTTCGTTGTCGGAGTCGAGATTCCGCACTTCAGCGATGGCAAGGATTCTTTGTAGTTCATCATTGATGTTGGCCACTGCTGACTTGATCTGCTGGTCGGGATCCATCAGGTATTTCACGCCGTTTCTTCTCGAGGATTGAAGTGGATTACCTTTTGTTGACATTATACGGCATATAGAGACGCGATGCTATCGCGTGACGCGTCATGTGTATTTGGCTGCGAAAAACTTGAACGTTTGTCCTGATAAGAGAGGTCTAGTTGGTACTGCAGGTAGTCATCCCTCCCGCAGCTAACCACCTTTCTAGTTTCTACCTGATTCGGAGTCAGATTAATCCGAGATTTTATATGTCGGAGTTTTAATGCACGAACGGAGCTAACTTTTAATAAGGGCTATATTCTAGTTTTGCTTGAGAAATACATAATGTCGAACTATTGACAGTTTCATTGTTCCAATTGGAGTCCATATTCCTATTGAACTTGTCTGTGTACTTAATTATAACTCAAAGTATCGAGATGGCTGTTAAGTAGACCCTCTGTAGAGCACGTTCCTACAAGAAGATAATAGTTATATGCTTCAATGAATAACATCATCTACCTGTTAAGAAACAATTTATGTATTTATTGGGGCTTTTGGGGAAAAAGAAAACATCGAATTGGGTGTACATTCGGAAGGGAGCATCTCATCTACTTACTACGTTAAACATTCGTCACAATCCTACTTAATTACTTCTTTATGGACCTTTAAATAGCTGATTAAATTGCTGGAGAAGTATAACAGCTCTTAAATACCCTTGTTTATTTAGAAGTTAACTAACTGTTGCCTGTTGGCACTGAACAATCAGAATGGGAGCTAAATGGTATGTACTAATCTGCGAGCGGTCCTTTATCACCCTTGAGTATTTTAAATATCTAGTCCCTTTTCTCATTAGATTTGAAGCTCAGTTGCTACCTAGCTCATATCTCTTCCCTTTATAAAACAAAAACAGTGGTGTGTTGGTATCAATGCCTACTAACGATATGGCTCAATTGTGACTAATCATCCTGATGTTCAAGTTCACAGAAGAAATAAGATGAGTCTGCACTCATAAGCTTTACCAACTCGGTGTTTCTACTAATACAAATATTTCTAATTTGAAGATTTCAAGTTCCGCAGGCTGGATTTGAAGTAATGATACACTCAATGATACGGTCCCAAGCTGACAACCCACTCTTTGATGACGTATTCATATCAATAAAGCTGTCAATGTCTATTTCCCAAAGCCTCAAAGTGAAGTTTTCCTTTCAAATCTTCAAAATAGTCCTAAATCCCTCTTCGTTGTTTCTCTGCCTGGAATAGGCCTGCGCACTACAACATCTGCTACATCCACCAAGAAAGCAAAAAATCCATCTCAACTAAACCAATCAGCTTACTCTATTTCATAGATTATCTTCATCGCCATTTTCCTTGTACATCCCTCACATTGCTCCCGTTTCCATCCAATACACCACCATTTTGCAACCATTACCCATTCTGACCTGCACACAACAGCTTCACCCTAACGAAAAAAATTAACCTCTGCAACAACAAACATCACCAACCAAAACCACCTTATATCTTCAATTCCCCATGTTTGGAGCCTCTGCTAAGCCTGCTTCGAGCTCTTTCAGCTTCGGCTCGTCCCAGCCTTCCTCTGGCTTTGGCGCCTCAGGCAACTCAGGTTCTGGTGGTCTCTTTGGACAGCAACAGAAGCCACAGACATCCAACCTTTTTGGTGGTGGACAACAGAATACCTCTTCAGGCGGCCTTTTTGGCGGTCAGAATAATACTTCTAATACTGGTTCAACTGGGTTTGGTGCCTCCAACACCGGTTCAGGAGGTGGTGGTCTTTTTGGCCAGAATAACCAATCTTCAGGACTAGGAAACACTTCAGGTAACACTGGAGGTGGCCTTTTTGGTCTGAAACCTGCTGGTTCAAGTCAAGGGTTTGGCGGTAGCAGTTCGGGTGGTGGCTTGTTTGGCCAGAAACCAGCTGGAACTGGAACGACCGGTGGAGGACTCTTTGGTGGTTCAGGTCAGCAAGGCCAGCAGCAACAACAACAAGGTCAGCAACAACAAAGCGGAGGCTTGTTTGGATCGAGTAATAATACCGCTAACCAGAGCTCTGGAGGTTTATTTGGCCTGAAACCAGCTGCTCCATCTGGCGGTCTTTTTGGCTCCAGTAACCAAGCATCTACAGCTCAGAAACCACTCTTTGGCGGCTCTAATACATCTACTGGTGGAGGCCTTTTTGGTCAGTCATCTAACACAAATACTACTTCAGGCGGTGGACTCTTTGGAGGCTCTTCAAATACCGGAGGTGGTGGCCTTTTTGGCGGTTCCTCGAATACTAATACTGGAGGTGGTCTTTTTGGTGGCCAACAGCAGCAGCAACAACAACCCCAGCAACAGCAGCAAAACGCACAGGCCACACAATTGACTGCCATGACAAGATTTGGTGATCTTCCGCCAGAAATCAAGAAAGAATTACAAGAATTCGACCAGTACATCAGTACTCAACACCTCATAGCGACCACGCTCAACACTGACCTTCCCAAGCATAACCAACTCGTCAAGTCCATTGATTCTGATGTGGGCTATTTGCATAACAAGATCTCTACAATCAAGCAAGCCTTGAAAGGCGACAGCAATCAGTTGAAGGCATTGAAGACTGTGAACGATGAACTAACAGAGGATATCGGCAACATCATGCAACTAATAATTCAGCTCTCGACGCCAGGTACTAAGCTTTCTTCTTCGTTCCAGTTGAATGAGTTCTTTGTGAAGAAGATCAAGCACTACAGAGATGTTATGACCAGTTACGAAAATGTTATTAAGGAAGGTGAAGACGCTGTACGTGGATTACAGCTCTCATGCAACGACACCATGGGCAGCATCTACGATGTCGTTGAGGTTGTGAAGAGTCAGTACAATGTCTTCATGGAGCTCTGCGAGACTCTAGCACAAGTCCACAGCGAAGTCAACCACTTGAAGCGCTAGACGCTTGGAGAAGCACTTTCCTTATCTACAACAGCCATATTATCTTTGTCAATGGTAAGCTCGGAGCAATTCCAGATTGTCTAGGGTCATTGATGAGCGCCAGTGCGACTTGTTGAGTATCTGATTCCCATCATATTAAGACGCCACTGGGATTCCCATTAGATGATAACGTTAGAAGTCGAATCGGTAGTCCCGATTCGCCACTCTATTTAACTGTGACACTATTTCACAGCCACAATATATATGTACTATAAAGCTCATCGTGATAATCCTGCGTATACATTTCATCAGTAAACACCATCTCTTCATGTCAAGGGCAGATTACCTCGCCAAATATCTCTCTGGAGGGCCGGAGAAGAAGAAAAAGAAAAAGAAGAGCAAGTCCCAAGCCCCACCTGTTGTTGTCCAGCAACCAGAACTTCTAGATACCCAGCCACAAGAACTGTTCAATCCAGAGTCCGAAGATGAAAGTGCTCCTGCCATTGCTCTGGAAAAGCCATTACGAGAAAACAAAGGCTTTAAAAGGATTGATACAGGTGTGTCTGTTGACCTGAGTCAGGCTGTATCTGCCCCAGAGCCGTCTGCGTTGGAAACTGCCAGATCTGAAAACATGCAATCCACAGTCTACAGAGACTCTTCTGGACGTATTGTGGACCTAGAAAAACGCAGTGCTGAGATCAAGGCAGAACGGGAGGCCAAAAAGCAAGCAGAGATTGAAAAACAACAAAGGGTGAACCAATCTGATATGGGTAGGCTACGAGATGCCGAGATGCAAGAGAAGCTCAATAAGGCCACTCGATTTGACGTTTCGGCCACTGACAAGGAGTATATTGCTCATATGTCGCTGAAACAGCGCTTTGATGATCCACTTGCCGCTTTTGGAGAGCTGACCAATGCAAGTGAAGAACCTCCAAGAGGTACAAGACCATCATACAATAAAGGCATCAACCCAGGCAATAGGTTCAAGATTCCCGCAGGCTGGTTCTGGGATGGCGTGGATAGGTCTAGTGGGTTCGAAGCAAAGCTTTTGGAGAAGCGTAACACGGAACACGTGAAGAAGGTTGTGTCCAAGGCTTCTGCTGAGTCGTATACTGAGTATGACTACGACTACGATTGATGGATGAGCACTGTTTTTTCGATTGTGATTGGAGGTGTCAGTGAATCGAGGATGAAAGATTTGGGGATTACTGGGGAGGAACTGAGAGGCTATATTGGACTGGAAGCCATGGGGTTCTCTGATTTTCGATCTGAGGCCAATTTTCAATTGAATCTCCTGCCCATTCATATCGCCAAGACGACTCAGTTCGAGACAATCTCAGCAGTTGGATTAGTCTAAAGTATTCGGAAACAGCCTGGTCCAGCTATTCACAGCTGACTTGTCCATTTTGCAGCCAAAGCCAAGTTCAAACTTCTTTTGTCAATTCGAACAAAACACCAAACGAGGAGGCCATTGTTGCTTTCCCAAACACTAAAACATCACATTTCGATCCAAATCAGCCTCGAATCTGAGTTCATCCATGAGCAAGCCAAGTCTCCAATCTACCAGATCAGCTGCAGGCAAGACTAAACACATCTTTGGCCAACCCATCCAAACAACCCCAAATCCAATAAAAACCAATCAATTGAACCCAATTCCTACCCCACAACATCGTTATAAACTTCTTTTTCCACTGCCACTCCCATTGGCCATACTGGCCCCTTTTCATTAATTTTCCAATGCATCTCTTCTCGCTGGTGCTGCATCGGAACCATCCATCGCTACACTATATAAACCTCACCTGATCCCCCCTTCCCAAGTCTCTTACATGTCCAACGAACGGGCCCAAGAAATCCCTGGTTTAGTTTTTGACGAAGAGCGAGGACGTTATTTTGCAGTGACCCACGGGGAAAGCCGTTTCAACCAACAATACACAAACAACGCTGTCCAGGCGAATAAACGGAAAAAGCGCCAGGAGAGAAGAACTAGGCAAAAGGAGAAAGCCAAGTCAAGGACCCTGAACTAAAAGCAAATCTCAGTATGACTGAACATCCACAAGATCCAGACGCAGCTGATTTAGCTACAAGACTTGGAGCAAGTCCTTTCTCGTTCTTTACACTGGTGGTGTCGAAGCTTAAGAACGCTAAGGTCGACCGGAAGTTAGACTATGCCATTCACCCGTACCCAAAAGGTCTGGAGCAGCCAGAAAACCAGGTCATCTACTACGATCCGCTGCTGCGGGATACTGGCACGGCACTTTTGCCGCTTGGTCTGGCTCCATTGGCTCCAAGGGGAAATTGCTCTTACACTGCGTATACGTTTACCGGAATGGTGACGAAAGATGTGGACTATATCTTTCATGATAGTTACCCCGCCCCTTGGTGGGTGTGAACCCTTCAAGACAGCGCTTTGATGTGGACTTTGAGACTCTTCTCACTATGGAGGCGGTTGACCCTTATACCACTGATCCGACCGATTGGGGTCTTATGTGTTACACTGTCACACCCACGCAGTTGCTTCTTATCACGAATCAGTCTGTAATTGGGCTACTGCTCTTGTCGTTTGACGATGACCAGTTGCCTGGTACTGTGCTCGAGTTCCAGCCCGTCTTTGGAAACCTACAGGATCCCATTGCAGACCGCGGTGTGATCTCCTTCTCGTACCTGAAGACCATGTGCGTTGTTAATAGCAGGAAGCTTCTTACGTGGGAGGTTGGCCATGAGATTTATCGCCACTTCAGATACGTGCTGTTGGTGGAAGGAGGTAGATTGTTCACGACGTTTGTCTTGGTCACGCCAAAAACAGTGGAGATAAGAGAGCTCTTGTCTGAGGTTCAGTCCAAACCGAATAGGTGGACGGGGCCACCCGTCTCGATTCCTCGCCAGGAACATAACAACTCTGCTCCAATCTTCTTCCTCCACGAAAGCGTGGCGGTGGTAGAGGAAGACAACGGTAATTTCTTGGCTATCGATCTTAAGACTAAGAGACTGGAACGTTTCTTTTCCCAGGCCATTAAAGACATCAAGTTTGAGTCGTGGGAGCCCAATGTGATCTTCTACGAGGACGAGGTGTACCTTTCATCTGAAAAAGCGACATATGTGTTGAAGTAAGACTTTTACACTGCCAGTCAAATAAGAAAGCCTCCAGAAACACGATGAACCGCTTTTGTATAGAAAAATCAAATCTTTCAAAATGATGCCCCGGATCTGATAACCACGCGGGTTCTGCAGCGCCAGCCGCAAGTGTGAAAAACACCGTAATGGTTGCAAAAACGGCGGCTCTGCAGGAACATCAAGTTATCGACATTTCCACCTCCACGTCTCTTTCTCATGCCTAATGATCATAAAGCTGTGGTGGCAGTTCCTGAGTATGTTCTAAGCGAAAAGCCTGAATACACAGTTGAGCCACAGAACGCAGCCGTTGAACGAAGCGATAAGAGACAATGCACAGAAGTCCACTCTGATGATAACGAATGTCTAGTGAAAAGAGCCAATACGTGCTCTCACTACCACTTTAGTCTACCTCACATGGACCTTTCGCTGAGGCTAGGATTGACGCTGTTTTCGTACCTTCCAGTTTTGATAGGAAGGTTGAGCCACACTACACCACTGACTCTTCATGGTGTTGCAATGTACCCATTAGCTGCGGGCCTGGAGCTCGAGCATGAGAGGATGATATGTTTGCAGCCACAGAGTGGAGAGGTGGTTACCACCGAAGATCCTTCGTGCTTTGACTGGATTCGGTCTAAACATCGGTTTTTCACTTTAGAAGATGGAGTCGAGCTTCTTGGAATGAAGTCAGAAAAGGGAGAGTGGCTATTTGAGTTTCAGCCTGAAGGTGACTTGATAGCTGTGAATAACGATGGACATGACTATGTGGTTCCTGGCGATATCATCCAGGGCGTGTACCCAGATGCAAATAACGACGATAATCCGTGTTTCCAGCACTTTGCAGTTTCACGCAAGAACGTTTATCTACTCATGTCTGATTGTTTGTTGACCATAGCGCTTGAGGAACTAGCCAGTGCTGAAATGCCGGTAAAGAGAATGAGACTTTCGCCAGTGATGGGTGCCCCTCGAGACCCAATTGCTGAAGATGACGTTATGTCGTTTGTAAGGTGGAGAACTATATGTTTGATGCATAATGATAGAATGATGCACTGGGAGTTGCCCAAGTCTATTGTTCGCCATGTCAGGTATAAGAAGCTGCCGAACTTGATCACCCTTGTGGTGATGACCACGAAAGCTATTGTGCTCCGAGACTTTTCACCCAAAGAGCTTCAATGGGAAGGAGACAGTATATCGATTCCTCGAAAGAAGTACGATAACGGTCTTCCCATGCTCTTTATTTACAAAGACGTTGTGATTGCTGAAGAGGATATTGGATGCTTTTTGGCTATCGATCTCAAAAGCAGACGTACTGAGCGGTTCCAATGCCAGTTCATGTCGTCGTCGCTCAGTCCATTTCCATTCAGGATGTTCAATGACAATTTAGGTTCGTTCTACTTATCCCTGGACGAAACCACATGGGTTTTCAAATAACTGGCTTATATGGATACCGTGTACCACAGTAATTACAGTTCAGACGTTTGCAGACAGTCAAGTCTAATTTGGCTTCACTATACTAATACAATAACCTCTATCTACAACCACTGGTTGGTCTCAAAATCTCTAAATTATAAACATTCTATGCTTTTGTATTCTGAATGACATATAAAGACAGGTTTGAATAAATTCGTAAATGGACTCCCACGGGATTGAAAAGTCATGACACATGATTTTAACGTTTGATGAATTGTGCATACGAGTTGTAGTCGAAGTTGCCAAACTTGTAGTCAATATCTAACAACAACTTCACTGCATCCAGGGACTTGTAGACGTAGTCAGCTGGCAACTTGATCAAGGCATTAGTCAAGTCCTTACCTGGACCGGCCAAACCATGCTGCTTGAACAACTTGTCCTGGTTGAAGTACATGATTCTGGACTGCTGGCCGTAAACTTGGTCATTGGTCAAGTTGTACACACCAGGGTAGCCGCTGACGGCCTTGTAGTTGGACTCTCTAGTATTTGGAGGGTGTAATGGGAATAATCTCTGTAACAACTCGTAGGAGGCCAATGTGAAACCGAACTGTGGAGAAGATCTGAAAACTCTAGCCAAAGAACCCTTGAAGAAAGCAGAAATACCTTCTTCCTTCATGATGAGACCAAAAGCGTGGACAATACCTCTATATTTGACTTCGCCGTGTTTGGCCTCAACTTGCAATCTAGTCTTGATAACATCGGCTGGTGTGGTGAAGAAGGCAGCTGGGGCACCAGCCAAGGCACCGGAAAGCAACAACTGCCAAGTACTAAGCGAGTGTCTCTTGTTAGGGTCATGTGGGTCGTAGTTAAACAAGTGGTACTTGATGTTGGCATACGTTGGGAAGTAGATGGCAGAGAAGGGCACATCTCTCAACAAACAGGCGCTAGCACCCTTATAAAGACCCTTGACACCCAATTGTCTAACAATTTGAGCAGCAGTCAATCTCTTGTGTGGGATCTCACCGGGCTTCAATTCCTTAGCTTTACCACCCTGCATTTGCAATCTAATCTTGACAATCTCCAAAGGATTAGTGAAGATAACCTGACAAGCACCGGCGGAAGAACCAGCGGTAATTTCCCAGCCCATAGTAATAGAACCGTCGTCGTTGGAACCAATACCACGGACCAAATCGTTAACAGTCAACTTAATGGCCTTCTCTGGAGCCACACCAACCAACTGGGCAGCCAAACCAGAGTACAAACCCTTGAAACCTTCTTTTTAAGAATCTTCTTGAAACAATCGAGAGAGTTTTCATAAAGGGCCTTGTGTTTCTGGGCCTGCATTCTCGTCTTAACCAAGTCAATTGGGTAAACGACAGTTGCACCTATACATCCAGCAATAGAACCCAAGAAAAAGGAGTACAAGGAGTCGAAAATTGGCCACAAGGAAAAGTTATCTTCCTGAACAGGCTGAGCAGCTGGGTGGTCAAAGATCGAGTACAAGGTTGGCTCGTTGTTGAGGTAGTTGGGGTTCAAGAAGGAGATCAACTCCCTGCGAGGGATGGTTTCCTCGTTACGGTCGATCAAGTAGAACAACAAGTCGATTTCCTTGGTGGTGATGGGCTTGAAGTTGGAAGACTTCAAGAGGTGATCGTTCAAGTGGGTGTATAAGTCTTTCTTGTTGATCAAAATGTCAGCCTTGTCCTTGGTGGTTGGCGGCGTGTTTGCAATGACCTCATTGACCAAATCAAGCTTGTTCAAACAGTTGTACACGAACAACACGTTCGACAAGGTGAATTGATCGGTGTTGAAGTAGTCAGGCAAGGAAGCCAAGTTCTTCTGCAACTTGATAGACAACTTATGGCTCAAATTGCTCTGCAACAAGTGGTGGAAGTCGTCCTTTGAGATCACACCGCCTCTGCCAGCTCTAACTTCGAATCCACCAATCAACTTCGTCACAGGAAGGTAGTTGACCAAAGAAACAAAGTCCTGGAAGTCAATCTCGCCATTTGGAGCAAAGAACCGTTCAAGGTACGCCCAGTTCAACTTCAACTTCTTAGGCTGGTAGTTAGGATCGATAGCCTTATTCAAAGCATTCAACATGTCAATACACCGAGAATAAGACAACTTCTTGTTATCGTTAGCCAAAAGGTTAAACAACAACTTGAACTCACCGTCGCGTTCGGTCATAGTCGTGGTGAAGTTGACAAAGTCACCCTCGTCCACGTAACCCTTGCCGCCTCGGTCAGCGATCAAGTAAAGCAACGAGTATGACTGGGAAGGGAGGTCATTGGGGAAAGGAGCCAAGATGGAGACGAACTCGGGCAACGAGAGGAATTTCTTGTTGGAGACCGGGTCGTACGTGGCGAACTGGTCGAAGATTTCCTTAGCTTTATCGGCCATGATGGACGTGAACGTGCGGTTGGAGGTGGAAGAGTAGGAAGAATCTGTAGTTGATAATGTCGATGGTCGCGGTATACGTGGGGGAAAAGTGCGAGGTGGTTGATCAACGTGATTTTGACAGTTTGGAAGTGCCAGAGAAAAATGTGGGGGAAAGTGAGAAATACGAGGACTAAGTGGCCAATTGGTGAGGATGAAGTGGATTTAGATTTACGTTTTCTACGACTTTTAAGGTGCTTTTGGGTATCTACGTTGGGTGGTCCCCTCCAGTTGAAGTGTTCGTTGACCGGAAAAAGTCGCAGCCGAGTGAAAAATCGTCAAGGCGTTTTTTGTCTCCGCAGTACAACGGCCGAGAAACGGAACTTTTAGGGAACGACAATGATGGCGGTAAAAAGCGTGGTGGTGAGTTTTGGCGGTCTCGGCGTTAGCCCTTCGGGCGGGGCCAGCCTGGGGCCAGCCTGGGGGGCTGAAGAAAGGCCTATCGCCGAGACACGAGGGCTTCGTTGCCTGAAAAGGTCTCGGCGGCCGGCTGTTAACTATGGCCATGTCACAAGACCTTGGCCAGATCCGGTTACCCGAGTGAGGGGGCCGCTAAGTGGGCCGGGGCGCCGGATGCAGAGATATTTTGCTTCGACGCACTTTTGGTTGGAAAAAAAATGTGGAGACTGAGCCGCCAGGATACCTCTCACAAAACAGTTAAAAACAGCAAAACAGCAAGTAGAGAGAGAGTTTGAATCACCAAATCTTACGTTTCTAAAGAGTCTTTTTCACGTGATCCACTCCCACTCTCTCAATTCTCTTTATTTTCATCTTTCACACGCTGTATTGTATTGTTTGTGGCTCGGTTATTGGCGTACTTTTTTCTTTTTCGGCCTCTTTTTTGTGTGCTTGGACGCCTCGATGCAGAATTGTGTGGAGAATGTACGAGCCTTGCAAACGGGACCAATTTATTGGAAGAGAGGGAGGGAAGAGGTGGAAAGTGGATGGTTGATTGTGAAAGAGTTAAAAGTGAAATTGTGGAAATGTAAAAAGGCAAAAAAGGCTGTTAGTTTTGATGTTTTGTTTTCAAAAAAATCTAAAGTATTGGTGCTTTTGTGTGTTCATTCTTTCTCTGGTATTGCAGTATTTCACCTTTTTCAGCCACTGGCTGCGAAATTGTGGAAGGCCCATGAACGGTTGGAGAGAAGATGAACTTACGTAGTGATTTGACAGAAACCGAAAAAGATGAAGTTTGGAAAATCAGTGAATTAGGTAACGGTGATTGGCCTTGGAATGTTGCTGAAATCCACATATCTCTCTTCTTTCTTCCTTTCTCTTCTTCCCTTCTGCACTGTGTGTGGCTCTGGGATGGAGAGGGCTTTACTGAGGGCGGTGGGTGTTAAGCGAAGCAGGTGGCCTATCGCCGAAGGATAAACGTCGAATGGGGAAAACAAAACGGTGCCATTTCAACGTTTTCTGAGTTTGGTTGGATTTCATGTGCTTTTTGGAACTTGGGTGGGCATGGAATCAAACGGTGAATGGCTGCAAATGGGTGCAAAATGGCTTCCATGGGCACCCAGAATTCCCTTAAACGTCTATCAACGTTAAGTTGAACTTTCTTCTTTATCTCTAAATCTGTCTAACCCACTATTTGTTTCTGAAGTTTGCTGTTCTCTGCGATCCGGGGTAGTTCTGGAGGTACTCACTGACCAGCCGAGTACTGATCAGCGTTAAGTGTCACCACGGGTAGACGACTAGTCTCAAAACTACTCCATTGACTACGTCTCTATCTTTAAGATAATCCACACCCTCCTGGAGGTGTACCTTCCACGTTTGTGTCCCTGGCGGTCCAGCTTGTGTATCCAAAGAGTGCGCTAGTGAAGAGTGCAATGGAAGTCCAACAACCAACGACATTGACAAACAATTAACAAAATATTTCTATTGAGCCTAACATTTTTCTATTCCCTATTTAGTTTACATTATAATCGTATCTTTCGCCAAACCCGCTAGGTGGTTGCCAGACGAGTATACCTGAATAAGTAGGTGCAAGCGGCAAAGTTATTGCAGAGGCATGTCACAGATTCTTTCGAAGAACCTAAATATCACGAATACCTGCTAGACGCCTTTCAGTTGTAGAATAGATAGTTCGAGTTTTAAACTAGGAAACATGTTGCTGGAGTATATCTTGTATGTCTCATTTTGCAACCACACAATAGGCAGAGAATACATAAGATGGCGGCCAGAAACCAATAAAAGCAAAGGAAAGTATAGCACTACACCATTTTTTTACACAAACATAATCGAAGATAAATGACTTTTTTAAAGGAAAAGAATCACCACACATATTCTTGTTAACTCATCTAACCCTTACAATATGGCCTAGTTGGACCCGACAATCCCACTCACACACCGAAACCACCCCAAACCTAAACCCTCCTACAACACCCATCCCATTAAAGACCCACCCACCCTCATCAAACCCAAACCCGACCTAAATCACCTTCCAACTCCACCCATAAGGCCTTCTGACGGAATATCCTGCACACTAAAACATCCACCTGCCATATCTGCCCACATTCTTTCTATACCTCCAACTTGAATCAATACGATATGGCTTCCGGTGCACCAGGTATGTACACCTCCTTATACCATTCCAAACATCACTAACATCAGGTGGAAACTTCAGAAGTTGGACTCCAACGCCGCCCGAAAGAGGCGCTTTCCCTTTGGACCATTATGGTGATTGTAAGAACCAGATGATGGAATATCTTAAATGTATGAAGTTTACCGAGAACAGAAACGCTCCAAACTGCAGAATCCTTGCTAAGAACTACCTTCAATGCCGTATGGATAACCAGCTCATGGAGAAGTCCGATTGGGATACTCTTGGGTTGGTAAACCTTCCAGGCGAAACTCCAAAGGAGAGTTCAGCCAATGACATCAAGGAACCTATAAAGACGGCAGATGATCCGCCCCAGAAACTGCCTGAAAGCAGCTCATCTCTGTAAATGAACCATTTCCATGTAAATAATATCATCCCATTCGTCCCGAAGACGTTTGTACATAGCTAAAATCCATAACCAAGAGATACATGTAAACTACGCTTCGCTTTTTAAACAAATTTTCAATATTTAATTAGCTAATGATAAGCTGTCTTTGCCTATTGGCTGTCCTGTGGGGCTTTAGAGTCACCTCTGCCGCCTCTGCCTCTGCCTCTACCTCTGAAGCCACCTCTTCCACGACCGCCTCTGCCGCCACGGCCGCCTCTCGAGGAGCCTTGTCCTTTATGTTCATTGTCTCCAGCTGGCCCAGTAGGGGTAGATGTCTGTTGATGCTGTGCTTGGTGCTGTGCTGGGGGCTGCTGTCCCTGTGGAGCTTGCTGGAAGAACTGTGGAGGTAAGGGAACTCCTGGAACAACAGGAATCTGCTGGCCTTGTGGAGGACCTTGCTGCTGGCCCTGTGGATGGCCCTGTGGAGAACCTTGAGGAATACCTCCGTACAAATGAGGTGGAAGAACCATACCGTTTGGTGGAGCGCTTCCCTGGCTCATGACATTGGAGTAGATGTGACCATAGAGTTGTCTCACACGGTTGGCATCATGATGAGCGGCTTCCTCATTGACCTCATTTTCTTTGCTGGTGCCTTCCTTGTCATCCTTGTCACCAGCATCATCCTTCTTCTGCTTAAGCAATGAGAGGATCTCATTTGTATGTTTGGTAGACTTTTCCTTTTCAGCCTTCTGCTTGGCTTCGGCTTGCTTGGCCTTGGCTGCTTCGGCTTGCTTGGCTCTTGCTGCTCTCTCTTGCTCAGTCAATGGCTTCTTGTCCTTAGAAGCCTTGGAGTGGAACACAAGCTGTCTATTGGTGATGTTCAACACGAGAGAAGAGTCAATGATCATTCCTCTGTTGGTCTTCAACTTACCATTCATGTTGTTACCATTCACAAGAGGTTCGTCGAAAACAACACCCAAAGAAGTCTTAGTTCCAACAGCTGTGATGCTCACAATTGTACCCTTGGTCAACTTAGGCACCTTACCGGAATCTTGAACATAAATGACACGGTCTCCAAGATCGTACCTCTGGTTACCCAACAAGTGGTACGAGGCACTAGGATTAATGATAGCCTCTTTAGGAACACCCTTGATGTCTTTATTGTCCAAAGGAAGTGGTCTGCTCATGTAGTCCTCCATAAACTCTTCAATGGCAGCAATACTGAATCTCGTCAACGACTCGGATTCCAAGGAGACCTGGATCATGTCAGCCTTTGCTTCCTTCAACCACCTGCGTACTTGCTGAACTTCTTCTTCACTGCTAACCTCAGCGATAGGTGGCATGTCACGACGATCCTTCAAGTTGAGGAGGTTCTTGAAAAGCTTAGGGAACTTCTGTTGGTAATCCTTGATCAACTTCATTGCTAATGGGGAATACTCCCAGAATCTTCCGTCTTTCCTGGTATAACCCAAAACCTTCAAACGACGAGCATCGAACTTGATATCCAAACCGACATTGACACGGCCTCCCTTCTTATCCCTGAGCATGAACGACCCAGTGATCTTGGACAAAAAGAGACCGTTCACTCTCAACACCTTAGCAGCCTCATAGGAGGTGAGGTATCTGATTTCACGTTCTTCGATGTCAACACGCTTCCTACCGATATTAGGCTCCAAGGTAGACTGGATCTTCTCAACTCTGACATTGATCTTATCATTCCCAGTGTAACCAGCGACTGTAGCTGGGGCACCGTAAGCGAAAGCACCCAAGAATACAACTGGCAAACCAGTAGGAAATTCTTCATCAATTGGCAATGGAGGCTTCACGGCATATCTCTCATCCTCGTTAACAACGTCTTCAACAATCATCTGAATAGGAACAGGCTCCAGATCATAGGCAAAGGCCTTGACGTAGGCTCCAGATTGAGCCCTGACCATACCCTTGATACGCTGAACAAAGACAATTGCGTCAATTTCCTTGAGATGAACAGCCTTGGTCTTGGCATACTCACCACGGAGACCGTTACTCATTTGCTTGAACTCCTTGATCTCGTCCGGGGTCAACTCGTTCACCACAAACTTACGGCCAGTGCTAACCTTAACCTTTTCGTACTTGAACTGACCATCCCAAACTTCAGTCACTCTTGACTCGGTCAAGAAAGGCCAGTTACTGTAAACGATCTTACCCAAGAACTTTTGACTGAATTGCTGGGTGGACATGTCGTTCCAAATGTTTTCAATCTTAAGGTTCATAGACTCAGAACGCGACGGGAAGTTAAATACCTTGACTTCCAGCAAATACAATTCAGATGCAAAAGGCACAGTGTATAAGGTAGGGAAACCGGCTAGTAGCTCTTTGCCCAACTTAGCTCCCTCTGGCAAAGCAAACTTGAACTCTGGATCTAAAACAGGCAAATCAAAGTACTCTTCGTAACATCTGTCATGCTCAATATCGTGGAAGAATCCAGGGAGTGGCGTTGGGTAAACAGAATCGTTCTGAGGATTGAAGATAAAGATAATGTCCTTGCCGTGGCTATTTCTCTTCGCTTCCGAAGCCAGTAGCTTAGGCTCCACTGGCTTCAAAGCCTCGAGAAGTCTCTTTTCATCAACAAAGTCCAACAAGACAACAGCTTCCCAAGAAGCCGTCTTACCATTAAGATCAATGTCCACCTCATGTGGATAGAAGTCTTTGATTGGCGAGTGTTCTTCGGTCATCAAGGGCCTATACACATCGGGCATTAACTTTCTGGATCTTGCAGGCAACACAGCCATGAGCTGTTCGAATGGTTTGAAAGGAGTCGATTGATCGAAAGGAATCTCTGTTTCACCCTTTTCAACCATATCCTTGATACCAACAGCAATATCGGAGATTCTAGGCGCATAATGGAATCTGAAGTACCAACTCCAGGAGCGGCAACCCTTGTAGTAGTAGTACAACACCCATTGCAAACCTTCCAAATAATGTCTAGTCAAGTCAACCATCTTGTCCTCGTCGTGGATGGAGAAATGTAATTTGTCTCTGTAGTACTTGTCTTTCCAATCCACGAACTTAGCGTCATACAAATCCTTAGTTTCCTTCATCAACTCTTCAGTAGCAAACATGTTGGCGTTCTGGTACTTTCTAATTACCTTCTTCATGTCTGCTACTCTTTCGTTGTAGTCCTCCTCACTTTCATAAGGAGAGATGCCATCAACATCAATGATAGCCTCGTAAGTGTCGTTGGTTCTAGAATGAACAATGAGGAAGCCTGCTTCTAAAGCGAACTGCTTAATAAACGGAAGATGAGCCTCCACCTCTTCCTTTGGTAACGGAAGCAGTGGCAACTTCTGTGCATCGGCAAGTTCCAAGAGCTCCTTCACAGGACGATGACCGAGCTCCAATAGCCATGGCTTTATGAGATAGACCAACTTCTTTTGGTCCTTCAAAACAAGCATCTTACCTGATCTTTCTCTCTTCTTTTCTCCAGTGATGGAAATCTCTTCCAATCTTTTGTTAAACCATTCCACATCAACGTCTTGTTTCTCAAAGTTCTCCAACTCAAACTCAGACAAGTACTCAAGCCAGGTGCCGAACCTCTTGAAGTTGATCTTACCACCTTCATTCAAGTAACCATCCGAGTGTAGCATACTCTGCTTGAAAGTACCAATTAAAAGAGGGAACGCACCCTTATTGATATGTAAATCAGGCAAGTTGGGCAAGAAATCGTTACCGATAACGTACATGATCAAAATAAAATCGTCCAATACACGCTCAAAGTCGTACTCGAAGGAAATGTTGTTTTCCAAGTCTTTAAACTCCAAAGCCAAGTACTCTCTAAGCAATGACAAATGCAATAAGAAAAACTTTTGGTCGTGAACATCGTTACTCTTATTCTGCGAGCCAGGGCCAAAAGTGACCTCTTCACGCAACAAAGAAAAGTGGGAGTCGTGGGCAACCAAACCCAACATGATCAAGTCGGCATCCAAACCGTAAATACAGTGTCTCAAGTTAGGGTTATAGCTGTCCTGGGATTTCATCGTTCTAATGAACTGCATGATCTTGTGCTCTCCCTCTCCGGGCACCTCGTGGCCCGAAAGCACCACTTTTATACTGGACCAGCGGGTATCCTCAGACATCTTCTTGTGAATGAAATACTTCAAGTTGTCGGTCAAGTTGGCCATGAACTCTGTACCAGGGGTAATCGAGTTAGAGTCGAAAGGGTCCTCCTTTGGAATTTCAGCACCACTTTCAATAGCCTTTTTAAGATTCTCTTCTGCCTCAAAAGCAGTTCTAAAACGTCTTGCACGCTGCTGGTTCATTTTCGCCCTCGGAGCTACACCATCAATGGCCATATAGAACACTTCCTTGGGCTTTATAATATCAAACAAATGATCGATGTAATTAAAAATCGACGCGTAGATCTGATCGTCGCTCATTCTGGCCAAACTCAGGCTGTTTCCGTGCGTACATGTATGGAGAATGGAGTTCATGTCAAGATACAAATTGTCAAACTCGGGAACGTTGTCCCCTTCCACCAATTGGGAGATTAGGGGCCATCTTTCTGAGATGAACCTGAAAAACTTTGGAATTCCTGGATGGTTAGTAGGGGGTCGTTTGGCTGGTGTGGTTTGGTGTACATACCCATAGTTAGGTGGTTCTTAAGGTGAAGTGATTGGGCCAACGTTGAAATATCCAATCTACTAGGTAGTAGTGGGTGGCGCACGACCCTCACCAACGTCGTGCTTACTCTATACCAGACCAGCCACCAGCGCTCTTACAGCTTTTCGCAACCAAAAATATCTAATAAACACTTACAACTATACCGTTGATGCCGGCCAAAGGGCGCCTCATTGGCCAGAATGAGTTCCTTTCATAGTCCAGCGGCAATTCGCCCTGCTGGTATAAAGCTTGAGCCACATGTTCCAGTCATATCACTCGCAGTGTGCTTTCCATCCATCCAATAGCTGCAACGACCGCTTGTACAAGTCCCTGCTTGTGTTATCAATCGTCGTCTTGATGGAAGGTGCTTCCCGAACAACCTTTTCCCACAACAGGTGGGCTTGTGTGTTCATCTGCTGGGACCAAGCGCCAGCATGACTGGCAGCGTCCTGCGCTAGCACCTTTGAGCGAGCTCCCAATGCATCTGCAGTTACTTTACTTTGCTGGAAAGCATCCTTGATGAACGGAATAGCACGATCATTACCGAATTCCACTGCTTTATCACGAGCGTCAGCTACTGCTGCTTGGAAATGTTGCGTTTCTGCCGAATTCTTGAAGATACTCCACTGCGTCATTCCCCATTCAGCGCTTCCTTCAAAGAACCGTTTGGTGGCCTCAGTGCCACTAGCCCAGAAGCGGGGCCCATTCTCCACAGCATGCTCCCAGGCTTTAACGACTTTCAACTGACGCTGAGGCTGTTCGCCGCGAGCAAACAAGAACAGACGAGATTTCTCGGGAGCAATCTCCTCGTAAGCAAACTCTGTCCAGAAAGCATTAAGTTTATCCGCAAAAGTCAACTCTGGCGGAACCTCTTTAACTGGACGGAGCACTGCCACGGAAACAATCGACACAGCCAATCCCACGGCATAATACAACAAGAAATCCTGATTACGGTTGAGGGTTGACAAGATCGAGTAGCGGGCGTGCTGGAGGAAACTAAAGTCCCAGAGCAACTCCCTGCGCTTGGTGTCGATAACCTGGTATGAATCAGCGAACAAAACTCTATAGATCAGTCTAGAGGCGCTCCTGATTTTGGAATCGATAAGCGAAAGGGTCTTGCCGAGGCAAAAGGCAGAACAGTGTGGGGCAGCCGGTGGCGTTTCAATGGCTGGTTTCTTCTCGGTAGGAAAATCAACCTGAGGAACCTCTGGAGCCTCTGCAACTGGTGGGACCTGTGGGACCAGAGGAAACTCAGGAGTCTGGGGCACCTGAGACACCTGGTCTGGCTGATCCACCTGAGTCTCCTCGGCCTCTTCATTCTCCACGGTCTCACGAGCATCCCTAACTCTCTCAACACCCTGGTATCTCAATTCCTGGTCCTCAGCAGTCCCATGGGCCAGGTCCAAGTCCGAAGTCTCAGGAGTGGAGATCGAAACAGGTGTGGCTGCCTCGTCGCCCCTGACAGCCGTATCCTCAAATTCACCCGTCTCCCCCTTCAAATCGCCAGTCGTCTCGTGGCCAGTCAACGTGTTCACGGAATCAGCAGGGGGACCCAAATCAGGTCTCAGGGCGGTGGCGGAAGGGTCCAACCCCATCAGACCAACCGCCACGGGCTCGGAGTCGCTCTTATCATTGCACGAGACCGAGGGCGACTCGTCGTCAATGTCGGAAGAAGAAGAAATAATGGACCAGTCCTCGTCGGCAGTAATAGACGTAGACATTGTGAAATTAAAGAAGTTGTTTCAAAAGTAATCTGTGGTGAGAATGATAGGGAGTACAGATAAGGGGCGGTTATCGAGGGGCAGGTCAGGGTGAGAAGCAGGAAATTGGTTACGCCTGCGAAACACAAAAGGGAAAGAATAGACAAGAGGTGGCAGGAGGATGCAGAGGGGAAAGAGAAGGTGGGGGAGAAAATTGGGGAAGAATAGGAATATGTAGTTTTTTTCTTTTTTTTTTTTTAATACGAAATACATGGTTTTTGGGGAAATGCCTTGGGGAGTGGTAATCAGGTACCTGCGCATTGGCTGCAAACTGGGAGGGATGTAGAGGGAACGAGATGGATGGAGGGGAAGGAATAACGATAAGGGTGGTCTGAAAGTGGGATAGGTTTTCTGGGACCGTGACGATTCGAATGATATAATTTTTATGTGTATACGGTTTATGTGGATTCTGCTGGCTGGCCTATCTGTGTCTCAGAAGTGTCGCATAGTACTACTGTGGTGCCTATTAGAGGAGGGTTTACGTGGGCCGAGGGAATGACTGTGCCAGGCACTTTTTTGCTTGTTTTGGTACGGGGTCTGGCACTTTCCGAATCGTAAGGTAAAATCTTCTTCTTTCTGGACTCTCTTATTGGCTGGCTGGTGGCATGTTTAAGTGTGTGGCAGGTGCGGTGTTAGCGTACCACTTGGTCTGGTCTACCGACCGCTTTACCTAGGGAAGTGGAAATAAGCTTTACGGCTTGATTTGGGGCGTTTAGGAGTTTCTGGGGTTATTGAGAGTAAGTGAATTAGGTGATGTTTGGGACTGGCTTGGCTGGACTGGGCGTGGGTTGTAGGACTTCTACTGCCTGGGACCAATATAAGAACACTTGATAACTCCAGCAGGCCATTACTATACCTCCTTTAAAGTAACCCTAAACATCGAAGTCAATTTGATTTCCACTACCTAACACTACAGAACTCCTATCAGTAAGTTGTACTGTCACCTCTGCATGGTCTAAAAGGCTATCGTAAACAGACAACCACCCACCTTGGCAAACTGGTCCATAACCACAATATAATCTTAGTTCCTACGTCAACTAATACTCCTTTTGTCACCCAGCAATTGGCAACGGTAAGCGCCACAAAGCACCCGAAAAGAGCAATGTAACTACTACTCTACCAACAGTAACCCTGCTAGTACCTGATCCCTGCTGGACCAATTCAGATCAAGCCCTTTTTCGCTTACACTCGCCTAAATGTACCGTCAAAGTAGCAACACTGTCTATACCTACACACTCGCCACAAGTGACCGATGACCTAATACAAAAAATGCACAATATGCCTCTTTACTTATGCCGCCACAAGCCCATCATATCTCCTACATCGCCACGGCCTCGGATATTGCTCTCCGGCTACCAACAGCAGCAACAACGTCGGTCCAATTAATCACGCAATGCGGACCAAACGGAGTTCCTTTTCAACGGCTTTTTTTCTCTTTGTCATAGGATGCTGTGTCAAGATGAGGCACAGGTTAGTCATTGAGGCGAATGCTTTTGTGTAACATTAGTTGATCCTGGTACTACAGGTGTGCCCATGAGGCTGCTGTAATAGAACGCCCAAACGACGCAGAATATGTGTGGAAGCGATAGATGAGATGGAAGGTGACATCACCCTGGGCTTCCACAAAGCTTATACTGTCCAGCTGATAAACCTTAATATGCTATTTTGCACCTCAAATGGTCCTGGATCCGGATTCCCCCTAACTCCCAGACCACCAGCAATGGTTTTACGATTCTGAGTTGTGAGCCTAGATGTAATGTAGGTGACGCCTCGTCTTCAAACCAGCCCAGTGCTCGTAGCTCAGAGTGACATGGCCAGCAATAAACAAGAAAGACCAAGTTCAACTCTTCATCGTTAATTAATCAAGGCCTTTTTCTGGATGTGGCGGTGAAAAATGCAAGAAAAAGAATGCAAGCACAAGCATAGAACATTCGACGCCAAAAAGTGCCGATGGGCGGACCAACTGCAAGATAGAGCAAGAATTAATATGAAGTCGATAAAAAGAAAAGATAAAAAAAGCACAGAATTGAAAATAACAAGTAAACATATTTTCGTCTGGAGAGACCAATGACGTTCCAGGAATCGATGGAGGCTTTACCAGGGCTTCGCTCAACCTCTACTTCGTGTTGATAACCTACCAACTTGAAACCACCATCGATCTCTAACCGGCTAGATATTCCTCTCTAGGCTTCCAGATGTTTCGAGCACAGAAAGCCGCCACACATGGACCAATTTCACTTGGTCTTGTTCTCCTTTTTATTTTTTTTATTTTTTTTTAATAACCGACTTTTCTGGACCATGCATTTGACTGCAACCAGACTTGAAACCTAATAATCAGAAAATCTGCCCACTCTCCGGGCGTCGCCGATGGAAAGCACACAAAGCATGGTGTTTTGTTCGTCTAATTAGGGGCGGTTTTTTTCCATGGCATTCGATGTGTTTCTATGGAGTAGCTTTGGTAGCTGATTGGTGGTTTTGATGGCATTTTGATGTAAGTCGATTATATCTGCAAAAGTCAAAAAGTTAGTAACCAATAAACAAAAAAGATCAGTTTTAGGGGACCATGAGGGTCCACTGTTTCTTTTTCTTTGCCTCTTTACCCGATGCACAAAGGGTTAAGTTTCACCCTTCCTCAGTGCACAGTGGCTGTTTGGTAAATGCTTGCTACAACCTCAATGTAGAGTACCCTACGTGAGTTCCCATACCGATGATAATATTACATTATACCCTAGTAGCGTAACGTGCTACGGCCGTATGCAAATTGTGTGAGGAGTTCTAGTCCCCTCTGCTTCTCTTCCTGGGAAGCATCTCCTCCTCAGGAGGTTCTCTCTTGTAGCCCTGTTGAGGGGAGGTGCTGCCAGTGCTTTCCAACATTCTGATTCTGCTATCCATGCTGGCAAGCGAATCTTGTAACAGGTTGGTGTAGGTAACAAGATCGTTGTACTTTCTCATCGAAACAAACTTGTTAGCCCTGTCGGGGAGTTGTGGCTTTGCCACCCAGCTGTCACTGTGTGCCGCCTCAGAAGGCTGAGATGAACTTCCTCCCTCGCGTGGTGCCGGCGTCTCTGGCTTTGAATGCTGTGAACTCCACCCGGGAGCAGGAGCGATCTCTGGCTGACTCTGGCTACCAATGTAGGGAATACGCATGCCCATAGGCTGGTGCTGCCCATCCTGGTACGACACAATGTAGAACTGTTGATTGAAGTGATTCTCCAGAGGTCTCTGTTGCATCAAAAAGTGAGGCGATTGAGGATTCAGCGAAGAAGGAACAGCAGGAGCGTAAGGAGTGTTGTTCCCACCGGGATGATTGTAAGTGATATGCTGTACCGGTGGCGAGTTCTTTGGCTCCTTTCTTCCACGAATGTCTTTTGGATAGTAGTCATCGTGTTTTCTGAAGTGACCATCTGGACGATACTCACGATCAGAAGCAAGGCTCCACAGTCCTGAAGACGGCGTCAACTGAGGCTTTTCCTTAGATGCTCTCTCCTCGTCATGATGATGGTGGTGGTGGTAGTGATGGTGATAATGCTGGCCTTGACCGTTTGGAGGATATGATTGAGTCTCAGTAGCCTTTGGTCTGTCAGTGTCATGAGACTTGCGGTGACGAACGTGGTGGTACATTGTGCCAGGCAACTTCTCTCCGTCATGCAGCTTTCCCTCAGTAGTCGTTGTTGTCGTAGTTGTCGTAGTCGTCGTGTTGTAAGGGAAGCGAGAGTTTTGAGGCTGAGAGCCCTGTTGATGTTGGTAGGCTCTCCAGCGATTGATGTCATAATTAGATTTCTTGATCGTATCAGATAAGCTGCCCAGAGATTCACTGCTAAGGCTTCTTGGAGCATTCCCAGTGTAAGGCTGAGTCTTCATGCTGCCACTGTTGTCGGAACCCGATTTAGTCTCAGTAGGAGTGGTAGCACTAGAAGTAGCAGCTTTGATGGAAGAAACGTCTGGAGGGACGGAGGATGCTGAAGAAGACGAAGAGATCGTCTTCATTTGTGGCTTCAAAGCGTCAGATGCCACTTCAGGCTTAACGCCATCGGGGGCAAAGACGTCATTCTTCAGCAGAGCCCGGCTCGGCTGAGGTTTACCAGGACAAGCGTTTGGAGAGTTCAAGTGACGGGTAAGAGCATCAGTTCTGGCGAAGCGACGAAGACACTTCTCGCAGTGGAATGGCTTTTCACCCAGATGTAGCTTCTCGTGACGCTTGAGATCATGAATTCTTCTGAAAGAAAGGTCGCACACCGTACACACATGTGGCTTCGAGCTCAGATGGATGAGCTCATGAGAAACCATATTGTGTTTACGAGTGAAGCCCTGGTTGCAGATCTTACAGAAGAACTTCTTCTGCTTGAGCATATCCTTCTTGTTGATGTCAGGATCTGCCGAGTCGGGTTCGGCTTCTTCCTCATCCTCTTCATCGTAACCCTCGCCATCAACTTCACCCAAGCCGTTCTCGGTCAGGTCGGTGGCAGAAGGGGCCAGATGAGAGAGCAGTTTATCAGAATCCGACGTTTCATTGGACGCATCATTGGACAGTTCTCTGTCGCCCGGTTCTTTGGACTTGTGGATAGGGATGGAGGAGTTCTTCACCTCAGAGTCACTGGAGCCCAGAGAGCCAGGCTTCGTCTCCTGCGGTGGCATGGGATCGGAGTTTTCTAGATTTCGAATATTTAGTCTAGAAGAAAGTGGAGGCATGATGTGACGGGTAGCATTGAAATGAGGAACTAAGGACGGGAAAGTATGATAAATATCTGGGGACGGGGAGGATGATGAAGATCGAGACGAAATATTAATGAATAGAAGTAGCTTCTGGAAGGTTGGTGGTGGTTATAAAAACGAAAAAACTTCAGTTGATGACCAGGGTCCAAAAAAACAATAAGGTTGACAAAAGAAGCAGCAAGTGGACCGGACCAAGAGGGATATATAAAGCGCGGACCAAATTGAGAGGGAGGGAAAAAAAAAGGGTGGGCCTACAGGACCAAAAGAAAAGCGGGACCACTTTAACAAGCTGTGCATGTTATGCGTCAGCGTACTAGGTGCGTTCAGCGTTTAAGCATTTGTAGAGGGTCATTTGGGGAGACTACCTGCATGGGAATGCACGGGAACTTAAATAATTGCCTCTGGTTCAAGCTCAGGCTGGAGGGGGGAGGCACAAGATTTTAGTCGCTGTGCTGCGACCAATTTGCTTTTTTGCTCAGCCGCTGGGCTGCTGGGCAGCTGGGGGGCCCAGGTTGTGCACATGCGGAGTTCCGTTGTGTGGCCGAGAGCAATGAAAAAAGTGAGAAGAGGAAGTACCATGGTAGCGCCACGAGGTGGCTAGAGAGGTGGCGGGAAAAAATTGGTTCCGAAGTTGGGGTTTGTGAAGAGATTGACGTTGGGACTAGGGGTTTTTGATGGCGGGAACCTTCTCGTTTGGACCACTTTCGGTGCGGCTTTGGTCAGCGCGGGACCAATCCCAAAAAAAAAAAAAAAAATTAGGTAGACACACACAGGCTGACAAAGTTCAGGCATGCGCTGCTGCCAGCCAAACACAGCTCCAGGACCATACATATCCCCTCCTCGCTTTCTCCTTGGACCAATTAAGCAAAGGGCAAGTATAGCCAGGAGGTAAGATGTTTTTGTGTCAACCGATTTTGTTCTTTTCCTTTTTTCTTTTTTTTCAATGGTATCCTTCAACCCAATCAAGACTCTTCCACTGGTTATCTCTCCGGGCCCTCGGCACCGGCTGGCCTGTGCTTTTTACTAATCTCCTTCTCTTGCTCAATAATCTTTTTTGTGTGTGTTCTCGCACTGTGGTCTGGCACTTGGCGTCGCACCAGCCATGGAAAGGGTGGAGATTTGGCCAATCATGGGACACACCGAAACCACCTTTTTTCAACCTGAGTAGCCCTTTTTAGACTCTTTTTGTTCAGAAAAATCTATCACGGCTCGTGGCAGTATTCGGTTTTGTCCTGGAATCCCGCCACTGTGGAATTTTCCCGGATTTACCCCGGCTGCTGACCGGCTATTTCGCTCGCCACACGGTGCGGACCATGCTTCATTTTGAGACAGGACCAATCCTTCTTCGCTAGGCGCCCTGCTGCTGGTCTGCAGGTGTAACGGTTTGGCGGGTAAAGTAATTGGTCCAGGTTTGCCACAACTCGGGAGTGGCTGGTGGTGGCGGGAAACTGAAACCACCATTCGATTCGCCGGGGTCGATTTTGGGGGTGCTTTTGTTTTTCCGGATTCAAATCTCAAAGTTATGGTGCTTTTAGTGGGGCTTATTGGTGATCGGATTTCCTGATACGCTCGCACCAAACCTAATCGCACCCTGTGTTTGTGCATTCTCCCTTCTCTGATCCTGGCTACTGCCTGCTTCCTCCCTAGATTTTTGTATCTCGTGCTGCATCGTATGAGTAATAAGTGGCTTTGTTTTCCTTTTCTTTTTTTGTGTTTTTGCGCTGGCTGTTTTCGTTGGGAATGGCCCCCACCCCCCTTCTCTCGCTAACCTCGCCTCGCACTGAACAATGCCTGTCACTGTCGATCGATGTAAGTCTATCTTGACATATATTGTCAATCAGTTTTAGACTTTTTTTGCATCAAAAAAAAAATCTTCAAATTTCCTTTGTTGACACCTCATCGTTGCTTCGTCGGTCGCCACCGAACGTGGGCCCAGCAATCTCATTTGGCGCACCATGTCTGTCAACGTAAACCGCATTGGCGAAGCTCGAGCCAGTCGCAACATTCCAACCGTTTTTTCGTCTTTTCTGGTCCAAGTCCATCTCCTTCTCGGTAGTCCGTCGCTGTTCCGGTCTTGCTTCATCTTTCTTGTCGCCTGGACTTCCGTAGGTTGCTACCGGTGTTCGGAAATCCGAATACCGATAAGAGCTCAAGCATGACCACAATCCAACCGCGAATGGAATTCCGAAGATGAGTTAGATCTAGGCGGGACCATTGGCTGCGAAATGTGTGTCTCAGAAAAATCCAGGGGACATGTCTCACCTGGGTATCGACTCTCTTTTATATGTGCCGACTGAACTCCGCCTGGTCTGGATATGGTGGTGCAGATGGGACAAAGATTATTGGCCCCTATATTTCAGGGATGGGGAAGAGCATGGAAAGGCAAGTACTGTCTCTGCACGCCATGCTGGCTGACTTCCACTGTCTTGTCGTTGGTGGTAGAGAAGACCATTTTGACACACACAGATGAGTTCTCAATAAGCAGCAAACTGGTAATTTTCACTTTTGTAGGGATAATTGATGAGTGTTTGAATTAACACTCGCCTCTTTCGTGAATAATTCGCTCATTTGGTGTTGGGTGGATTCTGACAATTTCTTACCTCACAAGGTGCGAGGACCCGTTCTCTTATATATCCCAGGCAGAAAAGCAAGAAAGAGGCTTTTTGAGACAGGATATTCTTTCTTAATGGGCGTGTTTTGCCTTGGAAACCTTTTTTTTGTATGCAAAATGTTTAACATGGGAGGAAATCCGCCCCAGTGTCTCAAATGCATGTCTGTTAATTGCCGCGGGCTCGTTATATGTTTCCACATGAGATACTTTTTTCACAAAACTAAGAAAAGAAATTTTTATGGATTGATTTATGATTAGGTGTCCAACTTTGCTTCTTTTATTTGTTTTAAATATCTTAGACGCCTTAAAAAACTGTTCTTCACAACCCTCTCTCACCTTCCACTTTTCAACATCTGAGACAAGCTTTTTGTCGATGCCTATGTGTAATAATGATTTTGCATACGATTAGAATTAACCTACATAATGTTCTGGTGATGTTACCAGGCTTTCTTTTGTGGAAGAGCCCAACTTGCATGGAAGGCGACAAATAAAAACTGGAAGAGAAGCTAACAGCTGGTCTAGACATAAGCCAATCGGCTATTTTCCTGAACTGTCGGGGATACTTCCTGAATGTGAATTAGACTCTTCATCAAAGGAAAGCTGGCTGTGGAAACTTTAGCCGTTGGCATATATCATACTCAATATCTGCTGGATATTCTTCTGGAAGAGCGTGGTGACTGGGTCAGGGTCGACCCTTACTAAGTTAGTGAGAGCCAAACAATATATATTGAGCACCAATTCATGATCTTTTAACAGTCGAACCTCCCTTATGCAAGCCGCTTTTCTTTTCTTGATCAAAGGGCTCTTCACCAGCACATAAATCCGGTTTACTGCTCAAGTGTTTGAGCTCTTGATGTGTATTCAACCCTGCCACATAAGTCTAGACTACTTCAAAAAGACGAGAGCTCTGAATCACACCCATACTCCATATGTAGCAGCAAGTTTACTCAAGTGGAGAATCAACTCTCTTGTGCATTTATCTTGTTCAGGCTACCGTCCGTACATGGCGTATGTGGTACCCCTGCAGCCCAAGTTCTGGTCTTGCCGTAGTTATTTTTGTCTTCAGTCACTGATAAGTATCTGAAACCTCATATGAGGCAACTTAGTACTAGGGCACAGCTGGAGAACATCCAGTGCTCGGTAGAGGGCTCTGGGTGGGGCTGTGCTTTATACGATATAAAGCAAACTGGATCAAAACAGCCAGATAGTCCAAAGCATGGCTTAATGCAATATCACATTGGTGCATCTTTCCTTATAGCATCGCTCAAAGCTGCTCATATGGTTATCCAGGGTGATGCTAGAATGCTGTTTGGAAGCCACTGACCTTATAAGTCATCCTATGCTTTTCACTCGATTAAAAGGACCATAGTATTGGAATATCATTAACTGATAGGTAGTCCCTTGACGTACTTTGAATCATTTGCTTAACTTTACAGAATTATTGCCCAAGAAGTTGACGTCACCAACACACTCTAGAAGTCCCACTTCGACACTTGCTACATCGATATCCCTCTTTTTGCTTATACCATTAAGTAGAAAACAATATGTTTTAACCTTTTTCGGTACCTTTCCCACCATTCAAAACCTTCCTCAAACCTCCAAAACCATCCTCGCACTTCCAAGTTTGCACTTTCTTTAAGTATATGCTTCTGCACTAAAGAACCTACAATGGTTAGGCTTTTTCGCAGCCATTTTGACACAGCCAACGAAGAATACAAACAATACAACCGACGATTTCCGAGCCCCAAATCAACTTCCACGCCATTTTGACCCGCCCAGACCAGAAAAACCAACTTTCAAAACAAATCTCTTGATAATAATATTCCACACGATCAGTCCTCGTAGCTCGTATTTGCGGCCCGCCGCACCCACGGGGCCGCCTCATACCACCACGACATTCGGGCCACAAACGCCCACAAAAAGCCCAAAATTAGCTAATACCAATTCCAGGCTTCTAGCATTCTAGAGATCACCTTTTCACCAAATTCTTTCCATCTTCTGGTCCAGTTGTTGCTCCTGTTGGACTGGTGATCTTAGGGTGCTGCATAGACGCCCTGAGCCCCACGTGATGCTCCCACCATGGAACTGGCCAATAACAACACCACCAGAAATGGCAAGTCCATTTAGGCTTGGAATTTCCAAGTGGAACCATTCTAGACCATGTTTCGATGGTTTCACCACCATACGAAGCTGGAATGTGCACGGAAAATGTCTCTTTCCCGTGTCCTTATCGGTCATGTCGCGGCGTCGCTACAGCAACTATCGCTATCTAGCATTATCGCTTAGTGAGCATGGAATAAACATGTAATAGTGTTCCGCTTAAACGCTGCAAAAGAGCAAGTTTGGTGATTCCCACTATGAACATATTATTCTCTTCCTCCCCATACCCCGTGCCGCCCGTAGAAAGTCGTAATTCGGCAGCCAGCCCAGTTTTTGTTCGCGCACGACCTCGTTGAGGAACCCCTGACTTTCGATGTTTGGTCAGCGTCGTCAACGCCATCTTGCCAAATCTACAGACTTACTGCTCAATCTGCTTACGACAGTTAGAATTTGACCCCCAGCTTACCCCTACCCTGCTGCTTTTCTTCAGAATCGCGGACTTTTTGCCGTCATCTACCGCAATCTGCGATTTGCTACCGTCCACTTTCTGGTCATAGGTAGCTACTTTTTGCTTTTCCCCGAAATAAAACAGTGCCTGGCAGTCTTCTAGGTGTCCGGCAAGTGTTTGACGTTTCTTTAGCTGGAGCGTTATCTGGAACTTCTGGATAATCATACGGTCATCCCCCATCGATCCAGCAGTCCCTGGTTCGGCCTCGGACTTGCCTACTTTCTTCATAAACATCCACAATTACTCCAGAACAAGGTTCATCTTCCCATTCAAACCATCCTAAATCTGCCGGTGTGTATTCGATGTCGTTGATTTCCAACAGGAAGAGACCAAGAGGGTTTAGTGAGACCTTTGATTCCTCCCGTAAAGCTGCTGCTTCGGAAGGTGTCCCCAACGCCTCCACGGCTCAACAGAATAAGGTTTTTGATAACATGTCGCCTCTGTCGGTGTCGACATTTAACGAGTCTCCAAACCTCAACCTTAACATCACATTGAACAACTCCGATACCACCAATAATCACAGTTACGATAAAGCGCCTAACGGCAACGTCTTGGTGGAAGAAAACGAGGATGATTTATATGGCGAAGACGATGATGCTTTCGACTTAAATGACGAGGTTGTGTTTCTTGAAGAGCGGAAAATCCAGCCTTCTTTTGCCCAGCGCCGTCAGCATCGGAATAATTCTGATTCCATGCTTCTATTGGACCAGGATGTCCGTGATGCTTACAATATGTTTAATGTGAACAATATTAATGGTAATGAGGTGCCTAACGATGGCAGGCAATTCGAGATACCCCAGCATGCCAACCCAGGCGTCAAAAAGCAAAGAACAAACTCATTGCCGCAACTACCTCAAGCAAAGTGCTTCTACCAAAAATTACCCAGCAACTACATCCTTCAGCATCCTAAGGTAGGCAATGTGAAGACCCACATTATTCCTCACAAGCTTAACCTACCTCCTTGTGATGACGAAGATGGCCATTATATTGTTAGAGAAAACGATGTGTTTGCTAATCGTTTTATCATACAAAAACTTGTTGGACAGGGTACATTTGGTAAGGTTGTTGCCTGCTACGATAAGGTCAACCGTGACACTGTTGCTATCAAGATTATTAGAAACATCCCCAAGTACAGAGACGCCGCTAAGATTGAGTTGCGTATCCTCACCACGTTGAAGAAGTTCGACAATGACAACAAGAACCATTGCATCCACCTACGGGAATGTTTCGACTACCGTGGTCATATTTGCATTGTGACAGATTTGTTAAAGATCTCACTTTACGACTTTTTGGAGAACAACAAGTTTAAACCATACCCTGGCTCGCATATTCAAGCCATCTCCAAGCAACTCATCCGGTCAGTGACTTTCTTCCACGACCTCAACCTAATCCACACTGATCTCAAACCCGAGAACATTCTATTGCATGATGACTCTTACCTGCGCAAACAACTCAAGAGCTCCACTATCATATCCAGTTACTTCAATCTCAATTCTGGTAGCGACAAGCGTCGCTTAGACAAGCCACCCAAGTTCCTGAGGATACTTAACAATCCACTTATTCAGATTATTGACTTTGGATCGGCCATCTTTGACGACGAATACCATTCATCTATAGTGTCTACGCGACACTACCGTGCTCCAGAGATTGTTCTAGGAGTCGGGTGGTCGTTTCCATGTGATGTATGGTCAGTGGGTTGCATTTTGGTTGAGTTGGTGATTGGAGAGCCAGTGTTCCGGACTCATGACAATCTAGAACATTTGGCCATGATTGAGAAGATTTGCGGTACAAAGATAAGTAAAGAGATGGTGAGGTATTCGAAACAGAAGGAGAATGAGTGTGGGTTAAAGTTTTTCACCAACGACTACCGCCGTCTGTATGGCGAGCATTTCAGTGACGATGACGACGATGATGTTATCATTGACGATGAATCAACGGAAGATAACTCGCTCTCGTTGATTTTCCCCACGCCAAGCACGCCGGAGAAGTTTATCAAGAATGTGAATCTGCTACTGCGGATTGACTTGTTCATCAGCGAACGGATCGGGTTGAACATCAACTTTGACTACTCGTTGAGCGAGAACTACCAGAACAACTGGCACTTGATCAACTTTGGCAACTTTACGTTTTGGTGGTTTTTCATTGACTTGTTGCGGAAGATCTTTGTGATTGATCCGAACGAGCGAATTACAGCGCTCGAGGCGCTTGAACATCCGTGGTTCAACTTGGGAATCGAGGATGAGGGTACTATTTAATTCTAGACAAGCCTATTGGAGAGCAGAACGGCGTTCGGGGCTCCAGATGGCTTTCGCAGGCAAGACGCACGCATGAGTTACGACCGTTTAACTGAGTGTGTTATTGGCTGGGATTCAGACAGAGATAATGATTATTAGGTTTTATTTTTTTTTCGCCATGATGTCCAGAGCGAGAGAACAGGCGCCTGGCACATGGAAAATTGTTTAAAGGAATACGAAGGCTGAAAGTAGCCAGTGACGAGAAAAGTCCAACAAACCAAAAAGCAAGGACCGAAACGGAACGATACACCTTTTTTTGCATCTACTTTTTTTTTTCTTCGACGTTTCGGGTTTATGTAGGCGCATGTGGATAATATGACTTCCAAAACGAGGTGAATGCCATGCGGCGCGATGGCCACAAAAGAAGCAGGAGGAAATGAAAAAAAGCTTTTCCTCATCCTATAGCATTGGCGATTAATACTGGAATAGGAGAAGGGGGTCATTTCTGGCGAAAGAGTGTTGCACTCTCCTACTGAAGAGGCTTAGAGTAGAATGTTTAGGGAATAGGTAAACAGCGCGAGAGCAAGCGAGGCTTAATTGGAGCCAAAAGGGCGTAGCAAAAAACAAACGGGCTGCGAAGCAAAAAAAAAAATAACAGGGCAAACAACAAAGGCAGAAAAAAATAAGAAAATGCCCAGTGAGAGTGAAGAAAAAAAAAGTAGTAAAACAACCGCTGGACATGAAGATTGTAGGAAAAAAAAAATCCAGGGAATCGAAAATCACTAAGAATCAAAGGCCAGTGGAATTCAAAAAAACCTCCTGTCCACCCTGCAATTCCATTTACGAACAGTCTGTTGTCATGTGTGGCTCTGGAATGAAAAATGGACGGTTTCAGGATGAAAAAAGGCAGAAAGGCAGACAGGCAGGCAGGATGGGCCTGTGAGTGAGGAAGGAAAGATTGGCGTGTGATTGGCGTCTGGGAAGTTTAAACAAGAAGAAATAAAAAATGTAAGGGTAATTCGGGGATTTACAGAGGGGCCCCTTACGTTATTTTTGTTTCGAGAATGAGTTGGGTCCGTGGTGGAGGGTTGGTGAGATGTAAAAGTGAGAATGGGAAAGTGAGAAATGCCAGTGGCAGTGGAATTTTTCAGTTTGGCAGCCAGTGCGAGACGTAGAAGAGGCAGCTTTTATTGAAAGTATCGTTATTTGTAGAGATCACTGGAAGAGAGGTAAAGAGATGGAAGAAGCCCAACGGCTTCTTTTGTTTCTTTTTCATTTCTTCCTTCTTCTTCGCTTCCTCTTCCTTCTTTTCCTCTCGCTTCCTCATCCTTCCATTTTTCTCTTCATGAACCAACGCTACTGCCTCGGGCCTCCCCAGACACGCAAAGAGAACCCTGGAAATGCAAAGAATACGAAAGACCATAAATGTACCCCAACGTAGGCCACAGATGGGCCACACCAGCGAGACCAGACCACTCCAGGCCAGGTGTTCTTTGCAAAAGAAACGATCCAAATGCATAAGCGATTACACGGCTGCGAGGCAGAACCCACCAGAGGGTCCACACCAGGGTCCCGAGGCGACCCCAGGCGTCCAAGGAGTTGAAGTAGTGGGAAGATAGAGATATAGTTTTGAAGTCGTTAGTTGTAGTTTTCGTGTAGTTGCCTAGTTTGAATCAACTGGCTTGGATCGACTGGCTGATCAACTGGCCTAGTCGACGACCAGTCCTCTCTACCACTGGTCTCTTCTTAACAACCAAGAAGCCGTGGTTGCAAAAAAGCAAGAAAAAGAAATGGGACTCCGACTACGACTATGACTATCGAGTCTACGACTGGCCAAAGGTAAAGTGGCTAAGTAGCTAAGAAAAAAAAAAATGGAGTACAGTCTGGAGATGAGACGTCTAGAAGCTTTAAGAAAGCAGCACAAAAAATGAGCCCTGGAGTCCCAAAACCGAAACCTAATTACTCCAGAGTTGCTGGAAACCAGACCTTCAAATCAACCTTTTCTGGTCCCTCTTGGTCCTCCTGGTCCTCCACGGCCTGTCAGACTGGAGGCTTCATTGACAGAGGGGCGCCACCGTCCAAGCCCAAATAGCGAAGAAATATCGCAGCCACAGACGCTGCCAGCGATTCCTGGCGTCCCAGCTAGCAGCACACGAAGAACAACGGTCCAGCCCTCTAACAGTATCGAGTGGCACCGATCCGAAGCTGCTTTGTGGAGTGTGTTAAGCGCTTTGCTTCAGGTCGCCGAGGCCGAGTGTCTAAGGCGGGGGGGCAATGCTATACTTATATAGGAAAAACGACCAGATTCTGACTTGAACTGTCACCTTCAGCCAGCCACCTACTACCCATTCCCCACTGTCAATAAACAAACAAAAATGACAGACCGTGAAGCCAAAGCCATCTGGTGGCTGCGAAAATAAGCATTGGTTTCAATCCAATGATTTTTTTTCCCCTATGTATGTCCTGCAGAAATCAATGGTGCCGCGACAATTAAGCCTAGTTTGGTCGTTAATGACAGGCCAATCCGTCAAAGTCTAGACCCCTGGGCCATGCGCCTTTTCTCATTTGTTGTCATTTCCTGCACCCACGACGCACAAAAAAAATTGCAGCAGCAAAAAAAAAGAAAGAAAAGAAAAACACTCACTGGTGGTGCCTTTCTGCCATCTCCTGCCCGAGGCTATATATATTTACACGGTTTCTCGCACCAAAGCCCACTCCTTTTTTTTTTGTTTAGATCCACGGTCCATCACATTCCCTTACGAAAATAAAGGCTCAGCATTCCTTTCCCCCGTTTTAACTTCCAACTACTTTCTTTCTTTCCTTAAATCGTTTGGACGTCCATTCCTTAGGTTCACTTTAAACAGTCTTAGTGATCTTGTTCCAAACGCTCCCCAACTATCGTCTTTCCTTAGATCCCAAGTTAAAATGAGAGCTTTTATCGTATCCACTCTTTTGGCCTCTGCCATGGCCGCTCCATCCGGCTTCCACAAGCACCACCACCACCAGAACGAAGCTAGAGCTGTTGTTACTACCTTCAGAACCGTTACTGTTGGTGCCAACGGTCAGCTCAAGGAGGCTGCCACTGAGACCTCCTCGGCCTCTGCTGACTCCATCACTACTTCTGCTAGTACCGTGACTACCAGCTCTGCTGCTGCTTCCTCCTCGCAGACTTCTTCCGCTTCGTCTGCTTCTTCTGCTTCCTCTTCGTCTTCCTCCGGCTCCCTGCCATCTGGCGGTGCTGGTGGCATTCGTGGTGACCTCGCTGACTTCTCCGACCCAACTGAGAAGTTCGAGGATGGTGTTCACGACTGTGACTCTCTCCCAACCGGTCAGGGTGTCATTGGCATCGACTGGTTGTCTGAGCTCAACGGTGGTTTCTCCTCCATCATGGACATGGACGGTGAGACCTCCTCCACCTGTAAGGACGGTTTCTACTGTTCTTACGCTTGTCAGGCTGGTATGTCCAAGACCCAGTGGCCTGAGGACCAGCCATCTTCTGGTATCTCCGTCGGTGGTTTGTACTGTAAGAACGGTAAGTTGTACCGTTCCAACAAGAAGAAGGACTACTTGTGTGAATGGGGTCACAAGGGCACCAACTTTGTTTCCAACATCAAGAAGGACATCGCTATTTGCAGAACTGACTACCCTGGTTCTGAGAACATGAACGTCCCAACTTTGTTGGAGGCTGGTAAGAAGGCTCCTGTTTCCGTCGTCGACTCTGACAACTACTACATGTGGAAGGGCGGCAGATCTTCCACTCAGTACTACGTCAACAACGCTGGTGTCTCTGTTGAGAAGGGTTGTATCTGGGGTACTGCTGGTTCCGGTGTCGGTAACTGGGCCCCTGTTGTCTTGGGTGCTGGTAACACTGCCGGCAAGACCTACTTGTCTTTGATTCCTAACCCTAACAACAAGGATGCTCCTAACTACAACATCAAGATCAGAGGTACCAACGGTGCTTCTACTGTTGGTGCTTGTTCTTACGAAGATGGTAACTACAAGGGCGGTCACGGTAGTGACGGTTGTACCCTTACCGTTGACGACGGTGAGGCTGAATTCGTCTTCTACTAAGCTGCTTGCATTTCAGATACCCTTCGCTTATACCTGTGAATGTATCAAAAGTTTGAATTTCGTTCGCCTACAGTATTGTTCTTGTATACCTGAGTCTTCGGACTCGCTTTTTGTTAGATATGTAAATGTTAAAATTGTTTGAAAAAAAATCATTCATTGGTGTAGTTTAAACGCATATCTGTTTCATCAGTTGCCATGATCAGCACCCTCTCCTGTCGGTTTTAGCCGAATGCTATCGTCTCACAATAGCCCAATACCAATTCCCCGTTACTCAGGAACAAATCATGCAAATCGCCTAGTTTTTCGTCTGGATTAGGCTGGAACGTGCTCAGCACGTACAAATGGATGTGTTTTAGTCGTAGCCTTTTCATAAGGTAACTCAGCACGGTGGCAACTGTCTGGGAGCCAGATATCTTGAATATGCTAGGATTAATGCCAGGCGCTGACCCGATAGGATGAAAACGAAGAGTGACCTTATCGCTGCGAGGTTCCAACAACTCTTTCAATGGATCTTCTTTGTTCTCTTCGTCCCGTTTCGGGAGCACCATTGATGTTGATAACGGTACCTTAGCTTCAGCAGCTTGCGCCTCAAGCTCCACCAGCAGCTCTACCAGCAGATTCAGCAGCTCAGCCAGCAGCTCCAACGGGTCCATTGAAACACTTCAAATCAAGAAAATAAACAAAGTCAGTAATGAATGCCTTTATTGGCTGAACCAGTGCGTCTTCTTCCCTATCTCTTTCACCCTGGGTAATGCTTGCTCTCGAGTAAACCTAGCGCCAGCGCTTTCTCTCAACAGTAAAGAACCCTTTAAATGGACACAATCTTTTGTACTCTCTGCTGCCAACGACAATTGTCAAACAAAAGAAAACACCTCTTTCTTCACTGGTGGTATACCCAAAACCCGTGCCACCAGTTTATACGATAGTGAAATATCCGGGGCGCGGCTAACATTTCAAGTGGATTCTCCATCACCAACCCATCTTCCTTACAATGTCTGATACCGAACACGACCTGGTTGCTCTGGATACCACAATTGAGGCGCAGGAGCTTGAGAAGATCTTTGAGGTGTTTGAGACGGCCGCCAAAGAGGCCAAAGAGACCGGCGACTTCTTGTCGTATTCTACCATTCTAGACATGTACTTAAGCGAGCCTGAACGGTATCGTATGGAAGAAAGAGACCAGATCTTGGGTCACTTGCGTAAGACTTTGGATGCTGATCACGATTTGGTTTATGAGATTGGCTGGGACTTGCCGGCTTTGGTGCTTCCATTTGTGGAGTCCAACTATGGGTTTGACGGTGCTCTTAGAAATGCTCCATGTGTGTATAACGTGTGCAAAATCTTTGAGGTTTTGGCCCACCATGGAAACCTGAAGGAATTGTTTCTTAAGAGTACTGAGCTTTTGAGCTCTTTGCGTGAAAACGATGCTCGTACTGATGATGATCTCCGCAGAAAGAAGTTTTACGATGTGAAGCTTTACTGTATCTTTGAGTTGGTCGATAGTTGCTTGCGCCGTATCCATACGCTTTATCCGTCCCGTTTCTTGGGAATGACCGTGGCCAGTTTCATCAACTCGCTACATGGCAATCCTGTGGCTGATATTGAAGAGGCTGACTTCAGGTGGAAGAGAGTCTACAGCTTTGCAAGGAACTACCAAAGACCTCCTCTTCCAGAGAAGATCGAAGTTTCTGCTGAGGAACTTGAGAAGATCAATAACGACGAGGACTACTTGCAGCGTAAATTGTTGACTGGGTTTGTCACTGAGGCTGTTAATTTGGTCACCAAACGTACGGTCGTTGGCTATGCTACTGACTTCTTCAACCATCTCCAATGTTTGAGTAGGGACCCTGAATCAGAGCACCAGCTCGAACTACCGGTTCTCGATCGTCTCGTGGAATTGGCCTTGTCTTTTGATGTCGACTTGACTGCTCATTTCAGAGAAATCCTAGATGAGAGCAATGACTTGGTGGATCCTCTGGAGTTGGTTGGCCAAGATGACGAGGAAAAACATGGCCACTTGTTTGAGAAGTTGGTTGTCAGCTACCAGAAGAGTATTGTTGGTTCTTTGGTCAGTAGTGAAGCAAAGGCCGTACATGATTCATCAGCTGGTATCTTGGTACTTTTCACCCATGCTGTTGGTCCTACTCGAAACATGTCGAAAGTCACCGTCACAATCAGCGAGGCTGTGGCTCTCACTCTTCGATTGGTGGTGCCAGGTATGATTCACACCACCTTCTTCAACAGAGGCTTCACGGACGTGGCTGTGTTCTGGTCGTGGTACGCGATTCATCAGGCAAGCGTTGACAAGAGAAGCCTTTCATTGGAGCTCTCAAAGATCCCATCGCTCATACTTCTGGCCTACTTCCAAGCCTTGTTGTTCATCTTGATCTCTAGTCGTGAATCGCCTAACTTGAGATTTGTGGTTCTCACCCTTTTAACTAAGGTTCTTGCCCATGCTCCTGAGGAAACAAGTTATGCCTTCTTGATCGACTCGTTGAACGACTGTCCTTACGAGAACCTCAAAACCGCTTTGGTGGGCGTCTTTAAAGAGTTAGTTACCAAGGAAAAGACCGACCTTTGCGACTTGTCAAGAAACTTGAGCGAGACTACCATCACAAGTTCTGAGGAAAGCTCCAAGCCAAAGCCTCCTCCTCTCCCGAAGAGAAACAGTTCCAGAAGTACCAGATTCATTACCTTGACTGACAAGAGAATCAAGGAACTACAAGATGTCATTCATAAGACCATTGACCGTACGTTCGAGTCCGAAGAAGGAACTACGACCGTCAATAAAGAGTCTTGCAGCACGCTAATCGCCCTCCTCAGTCTCCAACATGTCCTTCAAAAGTCAAACCTTGTCCAAGACGAGACTGACGGATTAGTCAAAACCTTGAAGGAGAAGGTTCTGAATCTCGAGAAAAGCGAAGACCCTACTTCTGCCAACATGGCTGGCATCTTGAATATCTCTCTTGAGCGTCTTTCTAGTTAGAGACGTAGACTTATTAAATATATATATTATTTCTTACCCTTGGCAGCACCCTTCTTATTCGTAGACGTCGTAGCTCTGTCTTCAACCAATGGTCCCCAATAGACAAAGAAGCCTTCTTTGGTGGTGGTGATTTCCTCTTCCCATTGAAGCTCTTCATCATCAATGAAAGGATCTTCGTAGTCGTATTTACCAACTTTCCTGTTCATCCTTGTCTCTTGTTGCCTGATCAACTGTTCTTCTGTCAACTCTTCGTTATTGGCCTTCTTCTTTGTTAATGCATTACCCTTTTCGTCGACAACCTGAAGCTCGTCGTCGTCATCCTCATCAGCTCCGTCATCTTCATCATCGAGCATCTCATCCATGAGGTCGATAGCTGACTTGGCATTGGGATGTATAGTGTTCCAACCGTACTTCTCTTCTGCAAGCTTTAAGACATTCACGACAACCTCAGCCTGTCCAGGTAACGGAGCTTTGGGGTCAAGGAGGGGAATGTTCAATGCAATGATTGGTGGTGGAGCCGCCTGTTTATCTTTTTTATCTTCTTGTGGAGACTCTTTCGTAGCGTCTTCGTTCTGCTCATCTTTCTTGAGAGACATCATAGCAGGCTTATCTAGTTTCACTGGCGGATTCTTCGTCTTTGCTTTATCGGTAGTGGCTGTAGGGTGAATTGAAGGTTTGTCAGCTGGCGCAATGGCGATCTCTGGAGTCTTCTTTTTACTCTTAGGGCCTGGTTTCTTGGGCTCTGCCTTGACTTCAGTCTTTGCTGTCTTTTTTGCTGTGTCTACTTTAGCCTTCTTTGCTGTACTTTCCGACTTGGTCGATGATGCTCTCTTCTTCTTGTCGGCTCCAGCTGGCGCTGGCAGTATTGCACTGCTTTCTTCAGAGTTGATGATGGAGTTGATAGATGTCTTGCTGGGCCCAGATTTCTTCTGTTGCCACTGCTGTTGTCCTGTTGCTCCGTTATCCGCTAAAGGCTCCGTTGAAGTCATCTTGAAGTTACTTTGAAAGTTCTTGATGTAGTCCAGTACAGCTCCAGGCGGTTGTTCACCCATTTGTGAAAGCTTATACGCCAAAGGTGATGGGCGACGATAGGAGGGTGCCAATGGTACGGGCAGTCGCAGAGCTCTTTCGTTATCGTCCACAACAACAATCTCTGGCGGCGACGAACGTTCGTCATCTATGACTATCGGTTTCTGGGCAGAATTGGGCCTTAGTTCTCCCAGAGGCTGAAACTCAGAAACAAGACTCAGAATAGGATTCGGCTTGTAAGGAGATGCCGAAGATACAGATGGAGGCGGGCTCTGGGAACCACTATGGGATGTCTGAGGAGCTGGAGTTTGGTTCTGTTGGTACGTCTGTTGATGATTGGGCTGCTCACTGTTAGCGTTTTGCTCCTCGCCTCCACCGCCTAAAAGCAGCAGTATGGGTACGTTCCGCTGGCTCATGGGATATATTTATTAATGTGTTTTTTCCTGTTTGGTGGTATCGTTGACACTTTGATTATGGTGAAAATGCTAACTTGATAGTGCGCACAGTATTGGCTATGTAGACTACGCTCTATCTAACTGTATGACGTTTGAATGGAAACCGAGCTTACTCAACTCGAGACAGGTATCGCTGCCGTAGCCTTCGATGGAGTTCATGCTGAGGTTTCCGTTCCAGTAATCGGCGTACACTTTGCACATGGGTAAGCCGAGACCAAGCTTGAACTTGTAGTTTCTGTTGATCAACCTGTCTAAGGTTGACTTCTTCGTTTCAGGTGATGTTTCTGCCATAGATGTGCCTTGAAGTCTGTCTTGTGGTTGGATAATGGATGACCCTGCTGGCGTGACTTGCAAGTTAGAGTACATTTGGAGATCTGGAATGGAATGGAAATTGGCAAGACTCTTTCTGGCATGGCTGGGAGACTTACCAAAGGACCAGATCGACTTGAGTTTGTCGTGGCTGATTCCACCACCTTGATCTGAGATTCTGAAAGTGACCAGCTTCTTGGAATCTATGATTGTAACTCTTATAGGTGGGAGTTTCTTCTGTGTGTGGCCATGAGTGGTGATGGTAGCTTCTAACGAGTTTCTGAGGATTTCACCAAACAAGTAATGTAAATGAGGCACCATGAACGGGAAGCTCAACGAGGTATCTCCTTCAACAACCAAATCAGGCATGAGGTCCCGTTCTGGGAACGCGTCCAAGGAAGAATCCTTGACCAACTCATGGACCATCTTAAAGTGTTCAGCTGCATTGCACTGATGGAAAATCTCACCAATGTAATCGGGAGATTTCCTTTGGTATGGATGCTTTTTATAGATTTCAGTAAGAGACAAGTGCTCCTCGACAATGACTCTTCTACTGATTCTGGATCGAAGCATGGAACTCATGAAAGCGTCAAGCTCCGGCTGAGGTAAGCTCTCCAAGATGGAAACCTCTAACGCTCCCATCATCAAGTGGGACAAGTTAAACACGTGTTGGTCTAAAAGAATGCTAATATCCTCGCAGAACTTTTCATTCTCTGCTGCAGTGGTGATATTGGGGATCTTACGGAAAGCATTAAACAGATGGTAGTAACTCTCGTAGATCTGGGCAAGATGGAAATTGTTAACCACGCCAAATGGAAGCGTCTGTAAGTCTCTGATTCTCATTGCCAAACGAATGGGAAGCTCTAGTCTGACGAAATTGGCCGATGCAAGAATCTTCTGTTTGGTAAGAGCCTTACCGTAGCCAGCCAATTGCCTCAAAGACACTGGGTGGGGCAGTTTTTCGGAGTATTTCATCAATACTTCATTCTGAAAGAAGTGCTGGGGAGTCAAGATCAGCGAGTATGATGGGTATGGGCCCAAATCTTCAAGGTGGTCAGCAATCTTCTGTTTGCTCACTAACGAAAGAATATCGTCGTCGATATAGGCGTGAGAAGAAAGCGGCGAGCTGTTAACAGACTCTTGTGACTTGCTTGAATATAATCTAACCCCTCTAGCCCCCTGGATGGAACGTAGTGCTATGTTTCGTTGTAGCATATTGGATAAGAAGTAGTGGTATCGCAGATTATCATGAGACTGGAGATAAGACCCAGTGACCAACAGATAATTGAAATTGGGCTAGCCGAGGAAGGCAAAGTATAGAGGATAAAGAGAGAAGTAAGAGAGTCGATTTTTGTCGGGTTTGAATATTTTTTCGATTTTTAGTACACTTGTTTAGTTTCTTTAGTCCAGAGGTTTGGCTAATGTATGTGACTAATTCGCAGCAATAGGCAAGTGGAACCATGCGAATGCAAAAACTAGTGTTGATAGAAAATACCACAAATATTATAAAGAAAAATTAAAAAAAGATCCAACCGTTCTTGGACTCTCCAGCAACTAATTCATCCTTCATTTCACTCCCATTTACTGAAACCCATCAACTGGTCCCCTTGACGATGGTGGTACACTGCGATTGTTTGATTGTTTGCAGCCATTCTAAACAAACTACATGGGCTTAGTCTGCCCCCTAATACAAACACTACCCAATTTGAAAGCAATGTTTTCCATAACAGGCAACCCAGACGAATGTGGCCTACCATTCCCAGGCTAGACCATCCCTGGCCAGCCCTGTCGTCACTATCTCCCAAACGGCTTATCTCGTGTCGACTGCAGAACAATGCCAAATGCTAATTCACTTACTGGGAAAGGAAAAACACGAAATAGACCGTGAATATGGAGGGTCCCTGAAATGCAAAGCTTATCTCTCTGTGGTACTTCCCTCTGAACATTGCGGCGCGACCTGTCAAAATGGGTGCAAAACATAACCAACCGGGGAGGCATCACCAGCCAAAGACATCTCTATAAAAAGCATTAAATTTATTATCATCTTAAAGAGTGTCTTAAAAACTCAAGAGATCTCTTTTTCAACGTCTAATTGCCACTTCTCGTGTAGGTGGATCTGGGGCTGCTTGCAGGACTGTTTACCGTTCCCCAGATCAGCCAGCCACCCTGCTACATCCATCGTCAGATCGTAGTTTGTTTAGACTTCACACTTTAGGTCCATTTTTTTTTTTCTTTCTTTTCCTGCCAGTCGCCATGAACGTCTCCCGAACCGGCTACTTTTCTTCCGACTACTTGGACAGGCGGAAAAACCACTCGCAGTCTACTTTCCACTCCAGAGCCAGCCTGATGTCTCCTCGAGCGACTAGCCCAGATCATTATTCAGCAGCATCCACTCCAAGAAGCGAAAACCCAGATGATCTTGATGAAGCAATCACGCCAGCGCATCTTAATTACCTCTACAAGAAACAGCAGCGCTCGGTAGACTATTCTGACTATTATAAGCCAAAACGGAAGCATGACGATAGTTCCTCGTTCCACACCCAGGATCTTGAGCTGGTTACTGAACAGCCAAGGAAGATCCCGGTGGGCTATGAAGGTTATTATATGGACCAGAAGAAACGGTATGAAGAGGCAGAGGAGGTAAAGCCTAAGATGTTCACGCATAAGACATTTATGGATGTGTTTGATAGGGACCAGGACGAGCGTTTCAACCCGATCGACGTTGTGTTTGATGATCCTGAGAAGACCAAAGAGCTTGAAAAGAAACAGAAGTTTTCTAGAGCCATGAAAAACGTGCAAAAGAAAGTTGGTTTGAACGACTACAACTCGTATGACTACTATACGCAAAACGAGATAGACGATGCCAGAAGAGCCAAACGAGAAAAGGAAAGAGAGGCCAAGGCAGCGAAGCAGAATAGTAAGCTGGAGAAGAAAGCATTTAAACTTGCATTGAAGAGGAAAAAGAAGGAAGAGAAGGAGAGAGAGTTGTTCGTTCAGCATGTGAGCGACAACTCTGACGATGAAGAGATGGAGGGTTATGAGGAACCGCAAAACGAGAATCTCAAGAAAGCTTGGAAACGGAAATGGAAGAACGCTAAGAAGGCGCTTGGTGATGATTATTTCGACAATTACAACCGAGAAATAGAAGCACGCCAGCAACTTAAGCAGCAACCCAAGGAAGAACAAGAAAGAGAGGATGTTGAGCAAATGGCATCTGCCCTGGGCACATTAGGCCCCAATGCTGGTTTTCATCCACTCTGGAACTACATTCTTTCATGGCTAGTGTATACTGCTCCTTCAAGCCAAAGCACAACAGCTCCAAGTGGAAAGATAGTTGAGCTTGACAGAGAAGCTGCTGTTGTTCCTACTGAAAAGAAGAAGAAGCGTACGGGCAATGGGAACCCATTCAAGAACTACAAAAATAAGATGAAGAAATGGAACCAGCCGGCTTCGGCATATTTTGCAGGCGTCAAAGGCATGCCAGATTCAATGTCGCTTCAGCGGTTCGACCAGGGAAGCCAGGCATCTACAATCTACACCTACTCCGAATTCCCAGACGAAATCGAAGTAAGTGACGACGGCAATCTCAGCGAAGAGATCATCATGGGCAACGACAGCTTGGACTCGTACCACGGGTACCCTCCCACATCAGCACAGGCCATGATGACCAAAGACGGAGCCCTTGGCAGGCTACATGAAGGTGGACCAGTGAAAATCGTCTCCAACATCAATCTGTTGATCAAAAGCATCAAAATCATGAAGATCATCTTTGCGCCCATTGACATCATTGCAGTGCATTTCCCTTCGTTGCAGACGCTTGTGATCCTCATTGAGTTGGTGATATTCATGTGGATCCTCTACGAGCTTTCCCTCCTCATTGATGCGTTATGTATGGCGGTCAAGGCGGTATGTGCGCCGATGATTGCCATTGGAAAGTTCATGAATCGGATAGTATAAGGTAAAAAATAATTTAATAGGTATTTAGGAATTAATGTTCAGCACTGTTGGGTGCTGATATTGGGTGCAAAATTCATAGTACTACATCTGGTCGCAGTTTTTCACTTCTCCAGATCTCTCCATCAACTATGCTTCCGAGACACATGAGCACACAGATGCTCCTGAGAGGCTGCAGATGGCCTAAACAGATGAATTTGAGGTTTCTTTCGACGCCGCCTTCAGGTGAACCCACTGAGAAGCCTCAACCAGAGAAGAAACTCTCTCCTGAGGAGGCCAAAGCGGAAGCTGCCAAAGTCCACGTTCAAACACTTAAAGACATGGGATCTATTTTTTCTTCAGAGGGAAACGACGACGCTACCCAGCCCATTGATACGGCGCCAATCTTTGAAAACCCTAAGCTTTTTGGCCCCTTGAGTCTTTTACACCAGGGCCAGGTCTTGAAAGAGCTCCAAGATAAGTACGATAAGAAGTGGAAGAAGCTCACAGAAACTGATAAGAAGCTTGGATACTACATTGCATATGGTGATTGGGGCGTACGTGAGAAGTTCACTAACTGGAACACGTTGGAACCACCACTTGACCTTCCCTTTACTGTTCCATCTAAGATCCGGACCGCTACGCCTAAACCAAGTGATCCAATCAAGAAACTCGAGCCAGTGATTCTTGCAGAGACTCCTGTAAGAAAGGAACAGTTTGATATCAAGAAAATGGACCCTGTGACCAAGACGTTTATTTACATTACCGTTTTCATAGCCATGTTGGCTCTTGCTAGAGATAAGAAGATTGGCGAGGAAGGCAAGCCCACTGAAGTCTTGATTGAGGATAAACAGGCTATGGAAAGGGCGGAGAAGAGAGCCAGGGAAGAATTGGAGAAGAAGGTTGAGCCCCCTAAACCTGGCAAAAAGTGGTACTACTTATGGCTCAGATAGACACGGCTCAGAAGCACTGGATGAATTTGACACCAGCTTAAGAGCGTGAATGTCTCCAAAGGAGACACACTAGAAACAGAGGCCGCTTGGCCAGCACCCTCTACCTACTCTCCCTCACCTACACCAATTTCTAAGGTTCGTATATGGACCAGGCGCCGCCCGCCACCCTTGTATATACACAGTCTAATTAACGAACATGCATCGCTCATTCGGATTCGTCCTCTGAGTCATCGTCGTCGTCTTCATCATCCTCGTTCCAACTAGTCTCCACGGTTTCCCTGACTCTCTTGATGTACTGCGAACGATGGTCCTTGTATAAGTTTGCCGCCTCCACATTAGCCGGCGACGAGATATTAGGGTCATTAAGCAACGACTGGATCGATGTCAAGATACTAGATACATCATACGTAGGCGACCAACGGTTCTGCAAGATATCTAGACACAACTCTCCACTGGCATAAACATTAGGATGAAACATTTCGCTTATGAACTTGACAGTAGGAGGTTTGTTAGGGTATTGCTCGTCAAACTGTAGTACTAGCTTGAACGTTCCATCTTCGAAAGGCGTATCAGCAGGTCCTATGATGACAGCATTCCAGGACATGACGTTATCCGGGAGAGGAGAAGCGGAAACTCCTGAGGGAGCATCCAGCTGCATTCTCTTAAAATCACGCATTAATCTTCTTTTGGCAGGGGTCGACATTCTATAAGGGTAGTTGATTAAAGGTGGAAAGTTATGGAAGGTGGAGCGGTTATAGGCTTTGTAATCTTGTGAGAGCAGGTGGTGCACCCGTGCACCACGCCACCATCACCAGCCCTGCTACTACTTCTACTACTGCTACTGTCGCGCCTACATTTCTAGTTTATCGTGTCGTATATCAAACTGGCATTGCTAGCTCTAATCTATAGAACCTAATCCTTGTTGTAGAGGTTTTGGACCAACTTCTTCACGTCGTCGACGATGTGAGAAGAGTCCTTCTCAACCTTGGCGAGCAACTCGTCAATCTGGGAACCCAAGGTGACGGTCTCCTTCAGGTGGACCTCCTCTTCAGCGGCCTCACCACCCCAGAAGCTAGTCAAGTTGTGTCCAGCACCGTTAAAAGCCAAGAGGTTTGGAGTTCCGTCATCTGGGATGTCAGACAACTTGTTCTTGGTGGCGTAGTTGACCAAGTTCTTCTTCAACTGGCCTGGAGAAACGCCCTTACCGGAAACAAAGAACTCAGAGTCGGCGCCTGGCTGCAACGACACGAAGTAGGCCAACAAACCAGCAATGTGTGGAGAGGCCATAGAGGTACCACTCAAAGTAGCAGTGGCAGTGTCGGAGCCAATGTAGGTACTCAAAATGTTGAGACCTGGGGCAAAGATGTCAACGACATCACCGTAGTTGGAGAAGTAAGCTCTAGCGTCAGAGATGGTAGAAGCACCAACGGTGACAGCCAACTCAGCGGAAGCTGGAGAGGTGTTGGAAGCATCCTGGTTCTCGTTACCAGCAGCAACGGCAAAGTGAAGACCGGCCTTGACGGCAGCATTCACAGCCAAGTCCAAGGCTGGAGACTTACCACCACCCAAAGACATGTTAGCAGTGGAACCCTTGAATCCCTTCTTGCCCTTCTTGGCATCCTCCTGGTGGGACTTTGCGGCAAACTCGACACCCTTGAGGACGTCAGACATGGAACCAGAACCGTTGGAACCCAAGACCTTGACGGCAACAACGTGAGCCTTCTTAGAGACACCAAAGTCCTTGGAGGCAATAGTACCGGCACAGTGAGTACCGTGGCCGTTAGCGTCGTTGTCGGTGTCACCGGTTGGGATGGTCTTACCCCACTTGGCTCTACCCTCAAACTGGCTGTGGTCAACAAACACACCAGTGTCAATCACGTAGGAAGTGACACCGTCACCACCCTCAGTGTCGTGAAGGTATTGGTTGAAAGAGCTCAAGGAGAGAGGTGGTCTGTGGGAGATTCTAGCCAAACCCCATGGAGCACCCTTCTGCACGTCAAACTCGTTGGCGTAAACCATTGAGTCCTTCTCAACGTGAGCAACGGCTGGGTCACGACGGATCAAGTCAACCATGGAGTCCATGAAGTAACCGGTGTAACCAGTAAGAAGGTCAGCCACATCGAACGAGTCGGTGATGCCGCCCTCAGTCTTCAAAGCCTCCACAGCAGAGAAGTATGGGTGGTTCTTGTCGGCCTTGCCAACCAACTGGGCGTGAACGTCAGCAACCCACTTGGAGTGGAAGTCAGCGTAGTTCTTTGGAATACCTTCCTTGAACACCACAATGTACTTGTGTGGAATTACGTCACGGAGACCCTCCTTGGACAACAAAGGAGCAGCCTGGTCAATGGAAACCAACTTTGGCGCCTTCAAGTCCTTCAAGTCAGCAATGACATCACCAGCCTTGTGGGAAATGTCATCCTTGAGAGTGGCCAAGTCGGTGTTCTTGAACACATCGATAACGTCGCCAATGTGGGGGATAACGAGACCGTTAACGCCCAAAGTGGCCAAAATGGAAAGAGCCACAGTACGGGAAAACAACATGGCTAATTGAGGAAATAAAGAAAGTTTGTAAAGCGGGTAATTGGAGTGTTAGAGGGTGAAGGTGGGTTTTCTGTTCGAGTCAGATAAGGAAGAAGGAGGAGCAGTGGCGATAAGAGGGTGGGCTTTTATAGCGACCGAGCAGTGTGTGTAGGAAAGGGGGCCAGCCATGTGGGATGCACGGGTGTGGCTCTACCCAACAACGGTTGCAAAAAAGGTTCCAGCCAAACTGGGGGAAAAAGAAGTGGAAGAAAAAGTAAGGGTATAGAAAGAGAGAGGAAGTTTCGTAGATTATTTTGGTGCCCTTATTTTTTTATTTTGTTGCCTTTCCACCATGTTGTCTTATCTTTGCTCGTGTGCTGATAAGCCAGCCGAGGTGCGGAATAAACGATAAGAGGAGGAAAGGAAGGTTGAGAGATGAAGATGGCAGTGTTAAGTGGAAGAAAAGAAGGAAGGTGGAATGGGTCAGGAAAAGTGGCACTTTTCGTTCGTTTTTTTTTTTTGTTACTGTTTTGGGTATGTTGGGAGCCGGTGGGCCGTTGGTCCTCCAGTGTTGCTACTAACTGTGGAACTGAGGCTTTTCGCAGCCACTCACAGTAGACCACACAGTGGAGACAGTTAGAGGAAGAAGAAAGCAGAGGAGGAAGTGGATTTGTGTTTACTGAAATTTGTTAGGGCCAACTGGAAATGAACCCTCTTTGGTTTCCAATGTGGTTCGGGTAGCGGACTCGGGACCGAGCCCGGTGTCATCCACACTTGGCTGTACACTACTGTATAACCTTCGTGTGGGAGAGGCAGTTGGAGCTTCTTTTTTTCCTACATACTCTTATTGTGGGCTCTCCTTTATACTGTGGTACTTTATAGGTGCTTTCCCGTGCTTTGGAGTTACGGGTTTATCGGTGACTCATGAGTGGCTGTTGAAGCTGGCTAGTTTCACCTGAGGAGGGCAGGGAACGATGGGACCAGCTATCTACCGAGGCACCTGACTTGTAGAATGGGTATTTTCTGAATCATTGTAATTGCTTTAGTATTCCTCGAGGAGGGGTTCGTGGAGTGGGGTGGATACGCTGTTCTTGCGTAACTACCCTGGTGATCATCTACAGTGTAGTTTGTACTCCATAGGTCTTGCAAATCGGCCAGTTGGCTTTCTAGCATGGTTACAGCCAATTAAATCGGCTACTTAAACCACTCTGAACCAACCGTCCAATGGCCTGCTGTGACTGGCGTTAAGTGTGGCTATCTATCGCAGCCATTAGCCCAGGTGCATAGTCCTAATTGGGACTGTGAGCTGACTGATATGCCCCAATAAGTACTGTTTCAGATGCTGGGCAGTAGACTAGCAACCAACGCCTGGAGTGGTATAGAGTGTACTATATTTAGCTTGGTGAACGGAAGGGTCTACAGACGAATCATTAGGGTGGCTTGAATTGGTCCACTATGCAATTAAGTATATGCTGTAACTGAGAAGCTTAACCTACCGCCTAACTAACGGGTATAGCGTTCTTGGAAAGCCAATCTCTGGCGGTGTCTTCGTCTCTCAGTTTATGAACCGCTCTAAGAGCCATACTCTTTGAGTACTGGCCCTCGTCGGTAAGATGCTCCACGAGTCTCTTCTTATTATTGATGCTTTCGGAGATACAGAAGTAGAACTCGTTTCTGTCAGATTTTTTGCCATTCTTCTTTGTAATTGGAAGTTCAGGGTTAGCCACGAGCGGCAACAACTCTTGTTGTATTCTACGAAGCAGGTCCTTGATAGGCTGGGGTTGAGTTGCCGTGGCACATTGGGGATTTTGGCACCAGCTGTTGCCACAGCCTTTGGTAAGCTGAAGCATGTAGCGACGCTCAATACGATTCTGTAGCTTTATGTGGGTAGGGTCAAGTACAGTAGCGAACAAAGGTCCATAGCAAATGTCACAGAGACCGAGGTCATTAGAAGCATTGTCAAGCACGTTGACGCAATTGGCGTTGGCACACTTGTCTATCGTTTCTGTATTAAGCTCAACCTTATCCATATAATGCATCCGCATATGGCTCTTCAAGTCTTTCCTCTTCAACACACGGTGGCACTCGAAACACTCTGTTGTCTTGTTTCCACATTGGTTTTCATGGTGAGTGAGGTTGGTAAACCGATCCTCATAAGTCTCTTCTTCTTGTGGCAAGATCAAGTGGCAAAACATACATTCGTGCAATTTTGACGGACAGCTAGTCAGCTTATGATGTTGCACCAACAGCACGAAGTCTGGATATTCGTCAGATGAGCCACACACCTCACATTTATATGGCCCGCTGTGCTGAAGACGATCGTGCTTAAACTTGAAAAGCGTACTGTTACCAGCCACTGGAGGTTCACAGACATCACAATGCCAATGGTTGGAGGGTACCTCTTTGGTGAAGACAGACCCACAGGAGCACTTGACGTTATTTCTAATGCAAAACGCCTCGTGAAGGGGCAACTTGTTCTTGTCGATGAACTTGCCGCAATGACTACATGCTGTTTCCGTAGCTGTCGTCTTTGCAGGCTCAGTGTGACTGGAGAGAGGAGCCGTTTCGAGCTTCACTCGGGCATTGTGGTCCCAAGCAAAGACAACAGCATATAAGTAGCACGAATCCTCCTCCTTGTATTTCTCCATATGATTAATAATCATATCACTTTTCATATCGATTTCCACTTTCTTGTCGGTATTTGAAACGACCTTATCTTGAGACATTGTCTCGAATGCAAAGTTATCGAGCTTGACAAACTTATCAAGCGCCACGAGCAAGTCCACATTATACGCCTCCTCTTCATTTTCCGATCTAAGTACCAACTGAAAGCTCGATTGGACTTTTCGAAGGTTGATCTTGAAGATCTTAGGCACAGTAGTCTGGTTAAATGGTACAACCTCCAACACTTCGGATTCAGAAAGCTCGGGGATGTTCTCCAAAGCAGACGTGGCTTCTATCTGGTTGAGCTGCTGAGCTGCCATGATATCGTTAAGTGGAAGCACATCCAAGATAGTATCTGTATCCACGACAATGACTGTCTGAGCATTAGCATCCTCCACATTTACCTCCACCAAGCTATTAGCCACCCGGTCATCAATAAAAAACGACTTCCCCTTGCTTAAAGTAGTATAGTTCTTGCTGAGCTGTGATTCCAAGTAAAACTTCCAGTTGGTGATGTGTGGGTAGAACTGAGCAGGCTTAAGCTGGAGAAAAGTAGCCTTGGGAAGCGAAGAGTCGAGCGACACCGAGACAATATCATTCTTAAGTCTATCAAAAATATACTGTGGAACAGCTATCGTGCCCTCGTCAGCAGTAAACTCTCTAACACCCACAGCTATACTTGAAGTGCCATCAGATACACTAAACACCAAAGGATGCGGTAGATCAGTGACTGAGTCGACTATAGACTGAAGGAGGGAAGGAGGAAATAAACACTTGTCTGAGTGGTTCGGAAGCGTTTGTGAAAGGTGCACCGATAGTTCCACGTTCATGGATATGTTTCTTTGGTTGTTTGTAAGCAGTGGATGGTGATAAGCAGATGCATATCGATGGCAACGTCTTCGGTTCCACTAAGTGCACGTGACAACAACTTTAAATCTACCTAACCGAAGGGATCATAATATAAAGAAAGGAAGGAAGGGAAATTTGAATAGAGCTAAGAATCCACTTCCATAGGTGGTTTTGGTGGTAGCTGGCGATGTAGGCCAATGCGGTACGCAACCTCACTACCAGAGAGACAACTGCAGAGTTGCCTTTATCCCAAATAAAGAACCCAAAAAGACAAATATAGAAAGCTCTTCCAGTTAGGCAAAACGCCATGCCATGTTTCAAACGGTTATGACATCTTCAGGGGCGAATAAGCCCGATTATCAGCCCATCTGTGGCATATAACGCTGGGTACGTAAATTCACACAGTTTAGGAAACACGTACACAAACAAAACACGTCTTTACACTTAGATTACCCAGCAGCATCGGAAACTCACTATAATTTCACATCCGGCCCACCTCCACCCGCCACTCCGTTCCACCAGGTTCCACCACGTTTGCAGCCATTTCGCAACCGTCACTGCGGCTGCCTCATTACACTACAGATACACACTTGATGTGGAAGACAGTTGTCACCATGTTTAAGCGCCATGCTTTCTTCCCTATCGAACACGCCAACGCGATAAACGTTGACATTCCACGAGACCTTCGATAGCTATCTTCGACCAATTGGCGAAAGTATAAAACTTTTCAAGCCCCAACAGCCACTTAAGCCATGGTGGTTGTACAATCAATGCAAACATGGTACTCATTTGCAACCAGCAAGAATCTCACAAACTGGCTGCGCCTCGAGCCAAGAGCTATGGGCTTAGTACGGATATTGTACCTCGGGTGTAGGAGTTTCCGAAAGCAACCATGGGAATTGCTTAGCGACAAGAAACACCTCATATTCAATGGCCCCCAGAGTGTAGGCTATGACTTTCAAGGCCAAATAGGTCTTGCTTCAATTGGCCTGGCTATGTAATACATCATTGAACGTGCTGTTCATGCACGGCTTTCCAGGACAATAAGTCGAGCAACGTGTGGCATTCCATCAACGAAGAAAATGCATAGTGAATGTTGGTTTAGTGACACCATTCTGGCGCCAAACGGGTGTATTTGAAGCTGGAGCCAGCTTTGAGTGGGTGCGCTGAGGATACAGATAAGCCAGGGGTGGAGTGTTTTTCCCCACACAAAGACTGAAAATAGAAAAAACAACCACAAAACTGGAGGATCTCAATACAATACGATCCTTCCATTATGAAGAAATTTCTCTGGCTGCTTTGTTGGTTTGTAGAATTGGCGGGTTTTTGGTAACTGGTCACGTGACCTGAATTTCCGACCTGCATACAAGCCACGTCCAGGCGAAGCATATACCTAATGTATGCGTCTTGAGCAATTGATTAGCACGGCATATACTCACCAACCCCATAGCCAACCATAGTTAGCAAGAAAAACACTAAAGACAAAAAATTAGCCTTCCATGCTTTTCAGGCACATATATAAGGGAAAGGTGCACGGGTCTTTTCTTCCCATCCTACAAGTCCCCATCGCCTTTGCCCACCAACATCCCCCCATAATCCAATCCCTCCCTTCCAGATACGCCTCTTTTTGACGTGCTATTGTTCCACCGTTTTAATTTATGCCACGTTTTGAGGCTTAAAACGTGCGCTTTTTTGGGTGCAAAAAATAATCAAAAACAGACCCTTTTTGCACAATAACACCCTCAAACGATTTTTTTTTTTTTTTTGGTTGCATTTTTTGGTTGCATTTTGTTTAAAGTCGTACAAACTTAACTTAATGCTGGTTCCTGAGGCGTTTCTTTCTTTTGCTTTTTCTTATTTTTTTTCCTTTTTTTCCTTCTCTTGGCTTTTTTTTTTTGCTAGACCCTGCTTAATTATCGCTGGGCCTGCTGCTACTGGTTATGGAATAAATCTTATCTTTTGGCGTCTTTTTTTTTTTTTTTTTTTACCAAGACATCTCGCTGCGTATATTACCCAGCCGCCTCGCGCCTTGCAAGTACCTTTTTCCTATTACGTCTTTTTATAAAACCCACGTCAGGTCCTCCCTTAAATAACACATTCGTTTTTTTTTTTTTTTTTTCTTGTGGGAATGCTGCTGCTAGCTAAATTTGCTGCTCTGAGAGCAGGCATCGGGTCGATCGTGGCGGTGGTGATTCTTCTAAATATCGCCATTTTTAGCAGATCAGACTCCGATTTCTATACCAATGCATCCGATGGCGGCCTCGAGCTGAGTCTAGAGGTGCTTACTTCAAATGAATACACAGAGCTGCTTCGGAAGGGCTTGCTAGAAGCCAATAAGGAAATGGTCCTCGATAAGATCAAGCAGGACTTGAGCAGGTCACATAAGGATCAGTTCATGGACGACTTGAGGAAGGAGATCAAGAACGAGTACGAAAAGGATTTCATCAAGCAGCTCAAGGAGAAACTCGACCGTGAGTTCACGAAGTCTTATTACACGCTAAGAGAGAAGCATTTTGATATTTTCCAGGACTTGGAAATGAAGTACTATGAAGAGAACAAGGAGAAGCTCAAAAACTACGAGATCTTCTCTGCCATGGACTCGGTTCTTGGGCCTAAAGCATCCCCAGACCTTAAAGAAAAGGTCCGTGCCCAGCTTGACGACTCCATGTCTCGTAAGAACTACTTCAACTTTGTCTTGAACGACTTGATCATGAAACACGCTCCGCTGATGGGTCCATTAACGAAACACGAACGCGGTAACGATTTACAAGGCTGCTCCTTTGTTGTCAACCCAGTCATTTACGATGAAAACAAGCTTGATATTGTTCGTTTCGAAAACGACCGTTTCCAGGATTTCCAGACCAAGCACGACGCCATTGTGCTGCAGCTTCGGTTGTTGAGCACACCGCCTCCTCATATCTTCAGAGGCGACGGTATTGTGCTTAGTGCTGGTGGAGCCTACTTTGCCGGTGCTATGGTTGCCATTGCTCAGATCAGAGAAACTGGCTCCAAGCTTCCTATTGAGGTCATGATCAATACAGCAGAAGAGTACGACAAAGACTTGTGTGACACTTTGAAAAACACCTTCAACGCTCAGTGTGTCATCATTGAAGATGAAATAGGTCCAGATATGTTGAAGAAACTCAGGCTTTCCAAGTTCCAGCTTAAGATCCTTGGTCTTCTCGTTACTTCGTTCGAGAACGTCATTGCCTTGGATGCCGATAACATGCCTTTGATGAACCCAGACTCCTTGTTGCTGTCTCCACAATACTTGGACACAAAATTCCTCCTTTGGCCTGACCTCTGGCAGCGTACGGTCTCTCCAACTTACTATGACATTGCCAGAATCGTTCCAGGCATGCCTGTCAGAAGACACGGTATTCCTAATGACGAAGACGCCAAGGACTACTTTTCTCGTAACCCAGAGATTGTTCATTTCCACGATCGGGAAGGACTCCCCAACGCTGTATCTACAGAAACAGGCCAGATGGTTTTCTCCAAGAGAGAACATTTCAGATCGCTTTACTTATCCCTTTACTATAACGTCTTTGGTGCTACTCATTACTGGAGAATGTTCTATCAAGGCAGTCCTGGTGACGGTGACAGAGACACTTTTGTTCCTGCCCTCCATGTGTTCAATGAACCATACCATGTGGTTGACAGAGCTACGTGGTTGGCTGGTTTCAACGAAAAGGGAGGCAGGTTCCAGGAGACTACCATTGTTCAATATGATCCTGTCACCTCTGCTGGCTTCCTTCGTGAATGGAAGAGATTCCTTCAGAAGAAGAACCAGGACATGAGACTTACGTTTGACCAAAATAACGATGCCACAAGAAACCTTCTAAAAGCTTTCCAGGAAGAAAGAGGCGACGAAATGCCTCCATTACCTGAAGTTATGTTCCTTCATGTTCACAGACCAAAGATCAACCCGGTCTTGGAAACCGATCCCGAAGGGTACTTCGATTGTTTCTCCCAGAGAAACATGGGTTTGCCTGGCAGATACGAAGAGCATTATGGCAAAAGGGATTGGGAACTCAGATTCAACTTGATCTCCCGCTGGGCCGCTTGTAAAGGTCTCGGCAGTCCACTTTGGTGGAAATCAGTTAAGAGAGACCAGACTAAGGTCTGCCAACAGGTCTCTGACTACGTCAAGTTCTTGGAGAAGGATTCCAAAGATCCAAATGCCCACAAATTTGAAAACATCATTGTCGACTTCTAAGGAGTCTACCATTTCGCATATAGTCCAATCATTTTTGCATGACTTAATCTATCCTATATACCATCTATGTAATTCTAATCTTCATCCTCAGACTCGGAACCCAGAGATTCGTCCGAATCATCAGACTCTCCAGATCCTTCAGATTCTTCCCCTACAGATTTCTCAGCAGCTTCATCACTAGCAGCATTAACCTCTTCCAAGTCAACCTCGTACCCCTGCTTCTCCAAGAACTCTTGGAACCCTGGAGCAGTCGTTGTAGGAAGACACGAAAACAAAAGTGATTTCTTTGGCTCAAAGAGAGGCACGAAGAACTTCTTCAAAACATCCAACAAATCCTGTTTGGTCACGGAAGTAAGACTCTTCAAGAATGTTCTACCGTAATTTGGACCTCTCTTCTTGAAGATGTTATCCAAAACCTTGTTAACAGCAGCATCATGGTTGTTAGATTCTGCTTTGACAAGCGAGTTGACAATTCCAGCAACGGCATTGTCAATAGCGATCTGGTCAATTTCAACCTCACCAGAAGCATGCTCGTGAATGATTTTCTTTGTAGTTTCCCATGCTTGTTGGGCATCTGATCCTCTGTAGATGACGAAAGTAAGGAAACCAGACTCCACCATTCTTCTAATGGAAGCATCGTAAGCAAGACCCGAGCCTCTGATACCTCTCCACAATGGACCTTCCATTCCAGATAATATCTCACTTGCCAAGGCGATTCTTGCAATGTCGATATCAGAGTAGTCTGTTGGAATTGGTGTCATTGCAATCAAGTGTGTAGTATCACTGGCTGGCGTTGTCACCAAGAATGCTTGTCCAGAACAATTTTGTCCAATTTCAGACTTGAACTGGTAAGATCTTGGAATTCTCTCAAGATCTAAGTCGGCTTCAGAAGCGGCACCATCGAATTCCTTGATAAACTTCGACCATGAGGAGATAGGATTTTCAAGCTTGGAACAACCTCCGGTCAAGAAAAGCTTCATGTTGTTCACATTGAAGAGCTTCTCTTTGATGGTATTGATATCAGAGGTGATCTCGTCAAACTTACCGTCTTCAATCTTTTGCATCAATTCTCTGTAGAAGTTCTCGGTGTAGATAGAATCTTGAGATTTCCTCAAAGAGGACTCCTTGTATACGGTTCTGTATTGTGAAGAGTACATCATCAATTCGTCATTTCTCTTCTTGTCAGGAAGCGAATTGATAAGCTTCTCGATGATGACTCTGACCCTGGATTCTTCAAAGACAGAGTATTTGAGAACATCGATCAACCATTGAATAGCCTTGTCGTACTTGGTGACTTCAAACTTGACAGTGACAGTGATGAGCTCAACAAATTGACTGTCAAAGCCGTTATCCAAATCGAAATCAAGCAAGTCGTTATTCAATTCCGTGATCACCTCCTCATATGGCAAAGAGCTGCCATCAGGCTTTGTGATAGAAACAGAGAAGATATCTTCAATGAGTGAGAAGTATCTTAAAAGCTCTGGGGGAACGACTGCTGAAGAGAAGACCAATTGAGCAGTGACAAATTGAGATTTGTAGTCTTCAAGATGCACATACAATGGGAAATCAGCAGGAGTATCCTTTTGGATGATATCGTAAAACGAGCCGTCCTTCTTATAGAAGGGTAATTCAGTCTTATTGTTACCAGCCTTATAAGATTCAGTTTCAATGAAATCAATCTTCGATGCATCAGGTTTACCAAACTTTGTAAGAACTTCATCAGGGATTGGTGCATCATTCTTCTCCTGTGCATCATTAAGGGTCTTTTGTAACTTAAGAAGACCTTCTTCGCCGTGATGCTCTCTGATGTCTTTGTTGCGTTTACGGTTTCCCGCTTTATGGTCCTTGATAGCTTGAGCAGAAGGCTTTCCAATGATGGTAACTGGTTTGCTGTCAACAAAGTTGGTCTTGATGAAGTCACACCATTGCTTTGCAGACCACGTAGCTAACTCATCCTGCTCCTTCAAACTCTTGGACCACTTGCTCAAGTCAGAACCGTCACGGTTACCGTAAATGACTTCCAGAATGGCAACATTGGAGAAAGTAAGAGGCGAGCCTTCTGTCTTGGAAACAAACTTGATCTTCTGCTGAGCGACAATCTGTCTCATGTATGTGAGATCAAAATTCTCCTCCTTTGTAATGCTGTCTAAGAGTTCCTTAATTTTCTTGTCAACGTTGTACAACTCGCCCACTGGAATACCTCCAACATAGAAATTCGTACCAATTCGGAGGAAGTCATCAGAAATGACATCAATATCGGTGGCTGAAGGGTTTTCAACTTCAACCAAATGCTTGTTCAACAATGAAATAGGCGATTCTGCCAAGTAGCATCCGACCATGTCCAACGCCAAAACTGCAAGAGTGTCCTCAGCAGATGGACCTATCCAGCCAATAAGAAGTTCACCCATGGTCTCATCATCATCTGGGAACTCAACTTCCCTAATCACAGCTTCTGTGAGAGGAAGGTCAACCTTTGAGTCGATCCACGGACGTTTGTGAGGAGTCTCTGGCAAAGACGGAAGTTCAGCATCGAACTGTTCCATGGTTTCAAGAAGCTCTTTCTCGTCCACAGAGCCTGTAATAATCACACCCACGTTATCAGGTCTATACATGGCCTTGTGGAAGTTTCTGATCTGATCCCATGTGAGGTGGCGTAATTCAGACATAAGACCGCCTGTTTCTGAGGAGTAGCCAGACTCCTTGGAGTAAAGAGCACGATAGTATTCCAAATAAAGCACAAACCAAGACTGGCTCTCAATACCTTGCATTTCACTGAAAACCACACCTTTCTCTTTACCCTTACCGTCAATGTGGTAAACCTCGGTAAGACACGCCTCGTCATCGATAGTAGGATTGAAAACATGATCCAAATAAATAGGCAAGAGTTTCTGGAAACCCTCCCAGCCTGCCGTGGTCAATGTATACACGGTTCTGTCAATGGCAGTCCAGGCATTGGTATATGAAAAGAACCGTTGTCCCAAGCTATCCAACAAGCCCTTGTATGGGTACTTCTTGGAACCCATAAACACAAGATGTTCCAAGGTATGTGGGCATCCCGAGTCGTCTGGAATCTCTGTCGCCACAGCAAAGTAGCCATTAACCATTGGGGTTGGTTGGTTGACATATGTAAGCAGCAAGCCTGTTCTCTTAGAACGCCACTTTTTTATGCTTGCTGGAGCATATTCCACATCGAAGCTTGTCTGAAGAGCAAACTGGGAGCTCATTCTACGGAAGGTTTGGAAAAGCAGACGGATGTTAGGCTGGGTAGTTAAAGACGGTGATGCGCCCAATTTTCAGTCTTCGCACTATGGTGGTTTTGGCGCCTACCAGAGAAAAAAGAGGTAAAATGGGAGGAGACAATAGGATGTGAAGGTTTTGTGGAATCGTAGGTTTTAGGTTTCTTGGATTTTGATTTGTGGAGGTTTTATTCAAGATTCATGCAAAATGGTGGTGATGTGCTTCTCGTGCAGAATGGTTGCAAAACGGTGGAGTAGAGGCCTTACATATGCGACTAACCTGAGAGGTGGATTCCCAGAGGGAGGTTGGGTTGTAGTTAGAGGTTCTCTGTGATGCTGGTTGAATTTTGGATGATAGGAAAGTCTTCTCGAGGGGCAGTTTTGTGGTTTTCTGTTCTTTTACGCTTTCTTCAAGGTATGCTTGTAAGAGGTATGTTGGGTGAAGAGCCATAGTTAACAAGAGAAGCATCCAACTTTTTTTTAGCAAAACCATCTTTCTTTTCGTCGTTAGAGCTCTCAAATGCTTAGAATCACTTAAACTGCTGTTTTCACTTCCAGATTCCAAAAATCCACGTTTCTCTGTCTTTCACTGTCTGTAAGTGGCACGGCCCTACGACTATCCATTTATTTTCACCGCTCTCTCAGTAACCCCTAGTATTTTCCCCGCCACCCAATCAAATCTCTTGAAAATTTACCATCCCCAAGCCCCACCATCCAAAACCCCAATTTCCCTCTTTCAACGGAAAACACCCAATCTCCACCGAAATACATTGCCTACCTCTAAATACCTGTCCTGGCTTGAGAGCGTCCCACATCTACTGCACCTACACCCGTGCACCACGATACGCTATCACAAACAGCGCGCCTGTAATAACAAACATAGAAAGGAACCTCAAACAATAACAACGCCTATTTTACGCCCACCGTCGGTTCATGGAACGTAAATGTCCCTTCATTTCACAACAGATGCTCCGTTGTCTGTCAAGAGGCGGATGCAAGACGACGACAACACCTTCCTCCCGCCGCCTCTAAGCGCATACGGCCTTGCACTGCTCAATGACAAGTCCGAAACAAAGAAGAACTTGAGCTCCATGGAAATCGGGGAGAACCATGCTCTACGAGCGAACTTGAAGAATACGCTTTCCGTTCATTTTAACGAATCCTCGCTGCACGAATCGCATGTTGAACATCAAAACAGAAGCATAGGCTCGCAGAACTTTTCGAATCACGACGTCAGCGGGTCTAATATCAGTGGGATGAATATGAGCAGTCACAATATCAGTGGTACTAATGTCAGCGGGAATAACACTGGGCATTCCTTCAGCTCCAATATGCATACAGAAGAGAACGATGACCTCATGGATGCCAATGATGCAAGCGCCAAATCAGCACATACAACTGCCACGACCCCAGGCGGGTCGCAACCAGGTTTGAACAGATCGAATTCACTTGGCTTAACGAAAAAGTCCCGCTTTGCGAGACGCTTTGCCAGATTAGGGCCTCCAAAACGTGCTTCCGAAGTATCACCCCCAGGAAAAGAAAAACTGCCTCTGCCAGGCGAACAGGAGAACAAGCCTTCACTTTTGAAGCCCCAGCCATCTCATGAGCTCCTCAATGCCTTCAAAACACCGCCTCTGTTACAGGGCCTCAACCAAGGTCAAAATAGCCGAGGCTCACCTCGCAGGGTAATCTCCAATGAATCTACATTTTTCAAGTCTTTGGAGAAGCTTCGGAGCAATAATAGTACCGAAGGTCGCTTTAGCCCTCCCTTCGCCGAAAAGCAGCCACTCATATCACTGTCAAGAACATCTCGAAGCAGTACGCCTCCTCCAAAACCCAACGGCTTTCAAGTTTACGTCGATAAGCCAACTGATCAGAGGCCATCTTCTAGAGGGACATCACACAGACCGTGGAGTAGGCCGCCATTATCCAGTATATCTCCAAGCAAGATCAATGCTGAAAGGGATGCCGATATATTCAGAAAACCAAAACTACCAAAATTGTCAACGCACTCAAATCCAGCTCCTCCTCCAAGGTCATCATTCATTACCCCACAACAACCATTGCAGGCTTCTTTCCCTCATATGGCCAACAACTCCATACAGCCCCGCAAGACCATGCAGATCACCCAAGATCCCTGTCGAGCGGCTCAGGTGGCGTTGTTGAAGATGGTAAACGGAAAAAAATAATCTATGTGAATAATTCACAATATGAGAAGCTTGAACTTATAGGCAGAGGCGGGACTTCAAAGGTCTATAAGGTCAGGTCACTCTCTAGTAAGAAGACCTACGCAATCAAGAAAGTCACATTTGACCAGTTTGACGAATCGTGCGTGAAGGGATTCAAGGGTGAGATTGATTTACTTGCCAAACTCAAGAATGAATCAAGGGTTGTGCAGCTTCACGAGTTTGCAATCAATGATGGCAGTATTTACCTCACCATGGAGTGTGGTGAGTTGGATCTTGCTCATGTGTTACAACAAAGACAGGCCATGGCTTGTTCTCTTGATTTGAGCTTTGTTAGGTTCCATGCAATGGAAGTTCTTAGATGCGTGGAAGCTGTTCATCGGGCTGGAATTGTTCATAGCGATTTGAAGCCAGCAAACTTCTTGTTCGTTCGTGGAATAATGAAAATCATCGACTTTGGCATTGCCAACGCAGTTCCTGATCACACGGCCAATATTTACAGGGAGTCACAAATCGGTACTCCAAACTACATGGCTCCTGAAGCTCTTGTCGAAGTCAACCATACCCTCAACTTGGCCAAGGGCAATACAGGCAATACCTGGAAGGTCGGAAAACCTTCCGATATTTGGTCATGTGGATGTATCATCTATCAAATGATATATGGACGTCCTCCATACGCTTCCTATGCGGGGCAGCAAAGAATCATGGCTATCATGAATCCCCAGGTCAAAGTGCACTTCCCATCCCATGGCCTTGGTGAGATTCCTGTTCCACGAAGTGCCATTGAATTGATGCAAAAGTGTCTTGTGAGAAACCCGCATGAACGGTTTACAGTTCAACAATGCCTCACATCAGACTTCTTAAAACCAAAAGCAGTAAGCAATGGCTTCGTTAAAGATGTCATCAAGTCAGCTGTGAACTATGGCTATAATAGACGTCACCAGGGAGATCTCTCGGACGACGTTCTTGACAGGCTCGTTGATAATATCATCGACCAAATCGAAACTCTTAATTACGCTTAGACATACAGACTATCGTACGCATACGACTACCTAATTACATATAGCATTTGCATAATAGATCGCATGAAAGACGTTTTATTGTATTTAAATTCATGTAGTCGTGTTTTTGTCGCATGTGCTCTAGAGTTTGGTGTTGATTAACGTGGGCCCAACTTCTCCAACACCCTTGGACCTTGCTCCTCCCATTCCTGCTTGGAAATCCACATGTGGTCCTTGTCAGACATAATGTTAGCTAACACAGCACCACCAATGAACACCATGTGTCTTCTTCTTGGAGGGTCCTCCACTCTGATCTTGAACTTGTCAAATCTCTCTGGGTCACCCTTCAACACTCTCGTTAACCACAACTGCTTAATTTCTCTCTCTAATCTGGAAGGCAAACCAGGATACATAGAAGAACCACCAGACAACACAATGGCCTTGAAGAGAGAGGATCTGATGTCAACGTCGGCAGCTTGGATGGTGTTGAACAATGTCTCGCCCACACCAGGCTGCTCGACATCGACCAAACTAGGTTGGAACAAACACTCAGGGGCTTCGAATCTCTCCGAACCAACCTTGATAACACGGCCATCTGGCAATTCGTAGGATTCAACCAAAGTGGTAGTTTCCGTGGCCAATTTCGTGTCCAAAGCCAAGTCGCAAGAAACGTAACATAACTTTTCCTTTATCTGACGAACGGTTTCAAAATCAGCAGTTCTGTTAAAAGCGTAACCTCTGCGCAACAACAAGTTGATGAGGTTTCTGGTGACATCTCTACCAGCCACGTCCAATCTTCTGGTCAAGTGGTTCAAAACAACCGACTCGTAGACTGGAACAATATGTGTAACACCATCACCAGAGTCCACCACAACACCAGAACTCAAACCTTGAGCATATAAAGCCAACACAGCCTGGATGGCCACGTAGACACCACCAAACTGGTATTTTTCAAACATAACGTCGCACATAGTCTCTCTGTTCTTCAATGGGTTCATAGGAGGCTCAGTCAACAAAATCTTCTTGCCCTCAGTAGGAGTTCTCATCTTCTCGTAGAAAGCATAGTCCCACAAGTGCTCCATATCCTCCCAGTTCTTGATGATACCATTCTCCATTGGATAGCTTATCTGCAATAGCGATCTGACCTCGCTGGCCTCAGAACCGCACATTATGTCTTTGATTTCAATGTTGTCAGGAACCAACGCATTTCTCTCCTCAGCTCTTAAGATTGGTCTACCGACAAGCGAAGGGAAGGTGTGGTCGGGGAAATTAGTGCCGGCCCGGCCAATCTTGACAAACCCGGTACCTTGATCGAGGACTGGCTGTTAGTACTGGGAAGGTAAAGGGAAATTAACGCCCTGAGGCGGTGCAGGCCAAAGCCAATAAAAGTAACATACCAATTGGAGTTCCGTCCATTTTGCACGAGGTAGTAAGTCTATAGTACAATCAGTTAAGTACCTTTGGTAAATGCTGTAGTGTCCGCAATTTCTGGTTGATAGTAGGTTTCCCAAGTGGCCTTGTGTGCAGTCCACACTGGCCAAGGCCCTATTTCTCGGACATGTTTTTGCAACCACTCTATACTACAACCACGTAACTATGAATATGCATTATTTTTATGTTCTTTGCGGTACGAGGTACGCAAACGTGAGGTAGGAAGTGTGAGTTTTAATCTCTGGCTCGATTTTCGTCACCTGCTTCCACTGGAACTGGTCGTCTCCCTCTCTGATTCTCATACCTTTACCGAATGGGTTGAATCCCTTGGGCTTTGGGTCTGGCAGAGCCGTTTCGTCGCTTTCAACCTCGTCAATTTCTCTTTTAACCCCCTGGTTTTCCTTCCTTTTGTCTCCTACCCTGGCAAGCCTTCTGCTTTCTATACCCAGCGTCTTTCTGCCTTGAATGTCTTTAAGTCTCTTCACCACATCTCCAAGGTCCTTGACCATCTCCTTCCTGGCCTCGTACCTGCGACCAGCGATTTCTGCCATTTCAATCCCCGTCCAGCCGTTAGCTTCAAGCGCTTCTATCGTCTTATCCACTTGTTCTATGCACGGGCTGAAGCAGCAGATACCCACTCTGGAAGTCTTAGAAACGACTTTGGGCAAATGTGGGATGGCTGTCCATGGCGAAGGTAAATCAAGGAACACGGCATCTGCGTCAATAGAGTCATTTTGGGTAAACTTTTCTGGAAGGTCGGCGATTTCAAATCCTCCATTGCACACATCGCGATGCGTAGCGATGGTGTTTACCTGGAGAAGACCGTGCTCCTCCAATTCCTTCTTGGCCTCTAGGTACCGAGGTTCATGGAACTCGTATGTAAAGAGTCTACCGTCTTCAGCAACTGTTCTTGCAAAAGCGTGTGTGAACGAGGCAGAGCCAGTACCTGCTTCTATAACTCTGGAGCCGTTGGTGATGCCTAGTCTTTGCACAATGTAAGACGAATCTGGCGTGTAGACAATCTGTGTTCTGTGTGGCAACGAAATGGTCCAGAGTTCAGGCGTAGGCTGAAGAAGATGGACGAATCCCTTATCTCTGGCACCAGCCATCTGGGAACCATACTTCATGCCTATCATTCTGTCATGTTCGAAGTTACCGAACCTCGTGTTCAAGAATTCACCTTTGGTGACATAAAAAGGCTTTATAAGGCCTCTGCTGACGAAAGCAAGTACTAGGTCACCTTCTTCAATGGTATCCTTGCACTCGTAGAAAGACATGTCTGGCTGGTGGTTGCAAGAATTTCTCATCGCAGACTGCACAAGTAGTATGGTGGAGGAAGAGGTGGGCTTGATGGAAGACTTGATTGAAGACCTCTTACATGGTCAAGGAAGAGTAATAATAATTTCGATTTTAATTTCGATGTCGTTTAGTTCACGTTGAAACGAAAAAGTCTTTGTTGAATTTGCTGTAAGTTGAGATTAAATGGCTGCAAAATATGAGATGCGTCTAGTATAGCTTCTGGCTCATGAGCAAGGACCGAGAGATCTTTTAAGAAGCCAAACATTTATTAAAAATAGGTCATGATTAATAAACAATAGTTTTGGATATTCTTAAAAGCATTTATCTCTTTCTACTAAACTTAGGAGGCGTCGATATTCGAAGGCTGTTATTGGTCGCTTTTAAGCATTCCTATAAAAGTATCACAGCTACAGGCTTCTAATCATGATGCAATACAGGCTTCTCTCATCTCTATAAGAATCTTTTTGTTCTGTTAAGTTATATTGGTTACTTGTATTTATTTTTCTTTTTTTTTTGTTTCTTCTTTACAACTATTTCACGAACTCAACTGTCTATTCATATTGGGTGCAAAATATCCATGCGAGAGCAAAACCATAAACCCGTCAACAAATAAATAAACCAAAGACAACACTAACAAGCTCATCAAATCCATTTACATCTTTTCAATTAAAAATCAACTCCAACTCCCTATATCAAAATCATTGTATGAATTGGTTACTAGGTGGTGGGACGTGCGCAGGCCAAAATCAAAGGTCGAAAAAACTGAGCCTGAGCCTAAACTTACCATCTACAGAGTACATCAGTCAGGCTTCCCATAGATTATCAAGACATTGCCATGGCTTCGGTTCCACAGCTGCAGCCTCTGTCTCAGCAGTCACAGCAGTCACAAGACACGCTGACTTCCAACGAAGAATTGTACCTTGAGTCGTATGCATTTACCACAGCAGCAGCGATTGTCGGTTCAGTAGACAGAAAGATCTTTGTGTTGTTGAGAGACGGAAGAAACGTGTTTGGCATTTTAAGAACATTTGACCAGTTTGCAAACTTGGTGTTACAGGACACTCTTGAAAGAATTTACTTGCCTAAGGAGAATGAACAAGCCCCAGAGAGATTCGGTGAAGTGCCTAGAGGTGTTTTCATGGTGAGAGGAGAGAACGTTGTCATGCTTGGAGAGCTAGATATTGATAGAGAAGACGATCATTTGATGCAAATGCAGCAAATTCCATTCGAGGCTGCCGAGGCAGAGATGAAGGCCAGAAACACTGCCAGAATCAAGGAGGAGTCCAGAAAGGCCAAGAACTACTTGAACAGGGGCCTCATCCACGATTTCCTGAGAACTGACTTGTACTAAGGCCAATAGACATGGCACTAAAAAAGGAGCATGAACGGTTTCATTCACTTCTGCTTATGTATTTCATGACGAATATCCTCAATCACGAACGATCGGAGACATATTAAACGTAACTTATAATTTGGACACTCTGCCGACATTGCGCTCGTAGTCCTCAAAGAGCTTCTCAATGGCTGGGAACTTCTTCACCTCAGCTCTACCCAATTGACCCAAGTGTGCTTCGTCTGGACCATCTGCAATCCTAAGAGTTCTGGTCATAGCGTACATTCTGGCCAATTCAGTGTCCTGGGAAACACCTTCAGCACCAAACATTTGGATACACCAGTCCAATATGTGAAGAACGGTTCTGGGGGTATCGATCTTGGCCATAGCGATCTCTCGTTGTGCCAGTTTAGCATTTCCAAGATCAATCTTATGGGCAGCATTGAGCACTAACAATCTGCAACGCTCAATGGCAATTTTGTGTTCGGCGAATGCCACTTGGAAGGATTCACGGTCTTTCATAGGCTTACCGAAAATAAGTCTTTTGCTAGCACGCTGAGCCACTCTTGAAAGAGCGAATTCACCAACACCGATACTTCTCATACAATGGTGGATTCTGCCAGGGCCCAATCTCGACTGAATAATTTCAAAGCCCATACCGTCCTTAGCCAAGTAAATGTTCTTCATGTCCTCGGACAGAACCTCGTAGTTATCGAACACCACCTCGCAATGGCCATGAGGAGCGTCATCATAGCCAAAGACATTAAGTGGTCTCAAAACCTTGACTCTGCCAGTAGCAATGGCTTTCTTAGCGTCAATCACCAAAACCGAGTGGTTCTGGTAAGGCTTCTTCTTGTCGTCAGCGGTCTTACACATGACAAGCCAAACAGCGCATCTTGGATCACCGGCGCCCGAGGCAAACCACTTGAAACCGTTCAAAACGAGGTTCCCGTTGGCGTTCTTCTTAGCTGAAGTAGCAATGTTCAACGCATTCGAGGAAGACGTTCCCTTCTCAGTCATCAAGAAAGCCGATCTGATGTCACCATTAAGCAAAGGTTTCAACCATTTATCCTTCTGGTAAGGAGTACCGTACCTGGCCAAAATCTCCATGTTACCCGTGTCAGGAGCATTGGTATTCGTAGCTTCTGGTGCCACATGGGCTCTACCCAAGTACATAGCCATCAAGCCGTACTCCAAGTTAGTGAAGCCACCTCCCTCAGCATAGTGTTTGGAAAGAAACATGTTCCAAAGACCCAACTCCTTAGCCTTCTTCTTGAGTTTTTCAGTCACTTCAGGCGTCAGTGCCCATCTCTTTGCTGGATCGTCAGAGAGCTGCTGGTAGTACACTTTGTCAGCTGGAATACAGTAGTCATTGACAAAATCCTTTGTTTTCTGGATCGCTTCCAAGCCCCGAGGACTCAATTGGGCAAGAAAAATCGCTGGAATATCTTCGTTAATAGACATGTTGAAGAAAGAAAAATCACTCGATGAACAGGGACCTGAAGAGATTCCCTCCTATAAGTAGGATTACCCCACCGTTTTGGAGATGCAGGCTGGGCGAGATTCCGGGGATTAACTATAGGTCTGGAGATAAAGGTGGGGGCACGGATGGGCCCACCAGGGCAGTATTTACGTTTTTAAGGGGTACTTTAAGCGGGCTAGGTAATTGGAGAGGGAGATATTTCGGCCCGAGGACGAGGAGAATAGGGTTTTTAGTGAAGATCGATGGAAAAATGGCGGGATATTGGGGTACCGAGGGTCAGGGAGGACAGAGAGGGACGGAAGGGAAAAGAAAGAGAACTCAATTGATTTTTATGTACTCTGACGTCAAATCATGTCGTTGGGTGGTTGCAAAGGGTGAGGCTCCACGATGGTTTCTGTAGACATGCAGCGATCTGAAGTGGATGTGGATCTGGTTTCGCAGCCACCGAGGAAGTAGGAACAAGGCTGATTTGGGTATGGCATTCCCGGTTATGGTAGTTTAATGATGGGGTTTTCTGGGATGGAGGCGAAGTGGAGGGTGTTGCTTTTTGACTATTTTACTATAAGCATTCGATGGAGGAATGAAGGAATGGAGGGATGGAGGTGGCTCTGAGCCTACTCTATAGACTATCAAGCATTGTAGGTGTCCACTTTGAGGAATACCAAGGCTCAAAAAGCTTCGTTGGTTGGGTGGTTGTTTTAGGAATGTGTTACTGTAAGTAGGGGACTTATTGTCGAGTCTGATTTTGTCATTAACAGGAATGGATCTTGGTATCTAACGTCGCTTATTTTGTCTATCTCGCGATTTTGCAACCATTCAAGAGCGCTACCAGTACACTGAGTACTTGAGGTCAACACGAAATAAAGCTTAAAGAAGAACCAAGAAAAAGAAAAGAAAGGTTTGATTATTTCTTTTTTTTCATACCAATGTGCCTTTTAATTGTGGATATTCATAATTGTACTTCACCTACATAAGTCAGTGCTTACAACCGCTCTATCCATACCGATCCCATTCCAAATCCGAATCAGAAAAAAAGAAAAGATCACAGCAGTGAAAACCCCTGAACAAAAACTAGAATATTTTCAAAAGCTCCTACTCTAATGTCCTGGTTGTTTCTGCTCCTTTACTGCCCTCTGGTAGTCTGATAGTGGATGTCCTACATACATCGTCACCTCAACCTTCGTCTTTCTCAGACTTTGGCCACTGTCAAATACATCCCACCGCCATGGCAGAATTCGAATCAGACATCCCCAAAATCCCCGACTACACATTGTCGGAGAAGCAATTTCTCATCACCAATGGTGCTGCCGAGTCCCAGACCCTTGTGGACGAGATTCTCGCCACCATCAAGGAAAACAACATGGCTCCATACTATAAGTACTTGACCACTGAGTTGCCACAGCAGTTTAAGTTCGACGAGTCGTTCTACAACTCGATGGAAAAGGTCAACGAGGAGAAGATTTCTGCTCTTAAGAAAGATGTCCAGGAGGCAGAGGGTGAGGAGGAGACCGAGATTGACCTTGTGGCTAGTTACACCAAGCTTGCAGAGTACTACACTGAGATCATCGACAGACAGAACGCTTCTACTACTTACAACAAGTTGCTTGGGTTGGCACAGAGTACGGGATCCAAGATTGACATTTTGTTGACATTGGCCAGGTTGGATTTCTTCTTTAATGACTTTGCTGCTGTTTCCAAGACGTTGAACGAGGTGGAGACTTGGATTGAAAAGGGAGGCGACTGGGAGCGCAGAAACAGAACGAAAACGTATAGAGGTATCTACCACTTGGCCACTCGTAACTTCAGCGAGGCCGCCAAGTTGTTGATCGACTCGTTGGCTACATTCACATCTACTGAGTTGTGCTCGTATGAGCAGATTGCTCAGTACGCTATCATCGCTGGCGTGCTTTCTTTGGACAGAGTTGACTTAAAGTCGAAGATTGTTGACTCGCCAGAGATCTTATCCATATACTCCAGCGCCAAGCAGTTGGAGCCACTCGTGAGCTTGACCAACTCCTTGTACACCTGCCAGTACAACTACTTCTTCCAGTACCTTTTAGAAACGTACGACCAGTTGTTGTTGACTAACAAATACCTCAAGACCCACGCCAACTACTTTATGAGGGAAATGAGATGCAAGGCATACGCTCAGCTATTGGAATCATACAAGTCATTATCGTTGAAGTCGATGGCCCGCAACTTCAGCGTCAGCGAGGAGTTCTTGGACGCCGACTTGTGCAGATTCATACCCAACAACAAGTTGAACTGTTACATTGACAAAGTGAATGGCATTATCGAGACCAACAGACCAGATAACAAGAACAGCCAGTATCACCAGTTGATCAAGCAAGGTGACGGCTTGTTGACCAAGTTGCAGAAGTATGGAGCCGCGGTGAAGTTGAGCGGTGCCGAGAGAGTTGCCTAATGATATAGAACGAAGATCAAAAAGAAAATAAAAAGCTAAGATCTGCTTGTAGCGTGTGATGAGTAACCGAAAGGGCAAGTCTAATGGTGCTGAAAAACGCAGGTCCCTACGTTTATTCGCAACCACCAAGAACCCTAAACCACGCCCGGTTTCATATTATATCAAAAGACAGAGATTCAAGTAGCGATCTACAACCACTGAAAACCTTCTTCACGCAAAAATCCATCCATCAAAGTCTCTTTGTTCTCTGACTCTTTCATACCTGAAACCCCAGATTCGCAACCACACCAAATAGCAAGAAACACCGGCAACAAAAGAAACCACAATAAAAAACGGCCGTTATTAATAACCCACATATTCCAATCAGATCACTCCCTCCAGCTACCATTTCCAAAAAATCCACACCCGTTTCACCCCCAGACGTCCATTCAGTCACGTTACTACCCATAACCTGGTTCCGTGCGCCACTGTCACTGGAGGCTGCGAAACCCCCACTTACTCACCTTATCTTAGCAAAAGTAAAACAGTATACCACCACAATAACCAACAATGAGTTCAAGAAGACGCATGGAAAAAGACGTTATGGATTTGATGATGAGTGACCACGAGGTCAACTTGATCGAGGATTCGATGCAGCAGTTTTTTGTCATTTTTAAGGGTCCTAAAGATACGCCATATGCTGGCGGTACCTGGAAAGTGAGAGTGGAGTTGCCGGACCAGTATCCGTTGAAACTGCCTTCGATAGGGTTTGTGAACCGCATCTACCATCCTAATATCGACGAGTGCTCTGGATCGGTGTGTCTTGACGTTATCAACCAGACATGGTCACCGATGTTCGGGCTCTTGAACATCTTTGAGAACTTCTTGCCTCACTTGTTGCGGTATGCCAACCCCAGCGATCCTCTCAATACGGAGGCGTCGAACTTGATGAATAAGGACGAGTCTCGTTATACGGATATGGTGAAGAAATACGTGCAGCAGTATGCCCTGGAAGACCTTCTGACCAAGGAGGGCGAGAACTCCGAGGAGGAGAACGAAGACGACGAGTTGAGTGATGTGGGCAGCTTGTCGGAGGACGACGACGACTGAGGAAAGCGTGTGTTGAAGAAAAGCTTCTCTGAGGACATTCGTTTCTCTCGGTACCGTAAGGTGGTATGCATTGGACTGGTTCCCGTATAGAATTTGCACTACATAGCAATCATAAGCATGGAAAGACGTGTAGAGAGTGGGGGAGGTCAGAGAAGGGACGAATAGGTGAGGAGGGACTTACTTGAGGTGATAGTTACCCAGGGGCTTTGGTGACATTCAGGCTGGACACCTATAAGGTGACATTTAAAGGAGGCAACTACTAGAGATGCATAGATATTAGATGTCTAACGTCAGACATGCAAGTCCCTGTGGAGTATGTGGCAGGAACGAGTTACGGATGTCTTGCCGAGCCTGTTATCTGACGTCTTTTGCCAAAGTTTTGCACCGCAGATGAACTGCCTACCTGGGAGTGATTCGCCTATCTACCAGTTGGATACTTAGCCCAAAAGGAACTGCCTATTTCTTTGTTAGCTACGGTTGGCAACCTAGATCAAAGCTGAGCAGAATCAGAACTTGAGCCCATAAGCACCTTAAAGGCAGCCACGTCTTCCAGATCTACTTAGTAGAGCATAGATAATGAAAGTTGGTTTTTCCCTGTGTTAGCTGTAATCATTCTGTAGATCTTCCACCTCAGATGGCTGTTAGTACCCTACCATTTCCAGAACAAAAGCCATGGAAGAGTGTAGCCATGTTTCGAAAAACACAAATACCGTTTCGATTTATCTAAGATCCATTCAAACACAATCCAGAAACGCTTCCAAAGTAGAAAACCGTTTACCAATCTTCATGTTGCCTCACCACCTTCCCTGGCTTCACTACATTAACTAGTACTCCCACTTGTATCCACCCACTCCATTCCCGATCCCCCACATTTTCCAACCAAAACACCAAACGTCATCCATTTATCCGTCGAGCATATCGACCACAAACCAACGCTTCACACACCCTAACGGTATTTCCATGGCCAGCAGCCGCCTTGACGTACCCCAGTGGCTGCGAAAAGCGCTACTTTCAGCCGCACTAGTAGCGGTACCACCACAAGACATTAGCGAACCGCTAACGATTTTTGTGGCGAGATACGGTTTGATCTTGGGAGTTCTCTTAAAGGAATGATGGTTAGGAGAACTGAAGAATGGAACGAAACTGGTGGTCTGGAAGCGTCCATTGTGAACCACGTCAGTGCTAAGCGAGCACGACTAACAATGTCTACAAGAACACTGTAGATATCACCAATTACTGCAAAACGTCTGTAACCTCTTCCTTTCATCCACCTCGATTTCATAAATTCTAGGCAATTCTGAGCCCATAACGTAACGCCCACAACGTAAACACCACGCCCGAGACTTTGTGTGCGTTTTCCGCCTACTGGCCCGATTACCGCTAAAACGGTTCTTTTAGCACCCACCACTTAAACGCCTGGGAACCGCCCAGCCTCCGTCCCACCCGTGTGTTTTTCACCAGCCAGCCATTCAAGTTCTGAAGGTCTTAAATGTGCAATATTTACTTCATAAAGGAGATACACTAAAGGATAGAATGCCAACCATATACCACCACCAGCTTCTGCCAGTCAAGCCTCACTAAGCTCTCCAGCCAGATCTGATGTCAATCAACTTCTCTCACTTTCTCTCAACCTCTCTCACTTTTTCTCTCTCTCACTTCCTCTCAACCTCTCTCTACTACCTCTCACTGCCTGCCTCCCGCTAACTTTATACCGTTTTGTGTCCTTCTTCCACGAGCTTTTGGTGGTTTCTCGTGCCGCTAGCAACCCGCTAAGCAGCGCCTAACTCCGCTAGCGAAAAAGGAAACTGTCTACGCGGGACACCCCCCACCTTTTTTTTCCACCGATTGTGTGTCTCCTCGATGCACTCCATTGCTGTCCACCTTATAAACCGGCTATCTTTCCTGCCACCCAAGCATGGCATCTATTAGACGGTTTTCTACTATGGTTAAAGACACACTTAAGAACAAGAACTTGTTCAGAACTCAGGGTTATATCAATGGACAGTGGGTCCTGCTGGACACCACCTTGGACGTTTTCGACCCTGGTTTGGTTCCAAAGCCTGAGGCTAAGATCGCACAGGTGAACACTTTTGCAACCAGCGAGTACGACAGGGCCATTGAGGCTGCCCACGAGGCATTCAAGCTGTTCAGAAAGACCAGCGGCAGAGAGCGTGCTGCTTTGCTTTCTAGAATGCACAAGTTGATTATGGACAACCAGGACGACTTGGCTAAGCTTATCGTGGTTGAGAACGGTAAGCCATACGCTGATGCTTTCGGTGAGGTTGCTTACGCTGCTTCTTTCTTCCAGTGGTTCAGTGAGGAGGCTGCTCACGTTACTGGCGATATCATCCCATCTGCCAACCCTTCAAACAGAATCTTGTCCATCCGCCAGCCAATTGGTGTGTGTGGTATCATTACTCCATGGAACTTCCCTGCTGCTATGATCACCAGAAAGTTGGCTGCTGCTGCTTGTGTGGGTTGTACCACTGTGATCAAGCCTGCCTCCGAGACTCCTTTGACTGCGTTGGCTTTGGCACACTTGCTGGAGGAAGCAGGCTTCCCTAAGGGTGTGGTCAACGTGCTTCTTTCCCAGAGCTCTTCCCAGGCTGGTAGAACTATCTGCGAGCACCCACTTGTCAAGAAGGTCACTTTCACTGGTTCCACCGGTGTGGGTAAGGTTTTGATGCAACAGGCTGCCTCCACCTTGAAGAAGTGCTCTTTCGAATTGGGTGGTAACGCTCCATTCATTGTTTTCGACGATGTCGACCTCGACAAGGCCATCGAGGGTGTGCTCATCTCGAAGTTCAGAAGCAGTGGTCAGACATGTATCTGTGCCAACAGAATCTTTGTTCACGAAGACGTTTACGATGAGTTCGCCAAGAGATTGCTTGCTAAGTTGAAGGAGACTGTTACTTTGGGTTACGGTTTGGACAAGGGCGTTACTCACGGTCCTGTCATCAACACCAAGTCCTTGGAGAAGGTTCAACAACACATCAAGAACGCTACTGACAAGGGTGCTAAGCTCTTGTACGGTGGTGAGGCTAGACCTGACATTGGTGACTACTACCACGACCTTACCGTTTTGGGTGATGTTACCAAGGAGATGGAGATCTTCAACGACGAGACTTTCGGTCCAGTCTGTCCTTTGGTCAAGTTCAAGACCGACGAGGAAGTTCTCGAGTTGGCTAACGACACCGAGGTCGGTTTGTCTGGTTACTTCTACACCAACGATGTCAGCCGTGTTTTCAGAATCGGCGAGGGCTTGGAAGTTGGTATGATTGGTATTAACACTGGTGCTATCTCTGAGGCTGCTCTTCCATTCGGTGGTATCAAGGAGTCTGGTTTCGGAAGAGAGGGATCCAAGTACGGTATCGAGGACTACACTATCATCAAGTCTATGGTCATTGGTGGTGTGAATTAGATTATGAAGAACCTAATGCATGGAATATGAAACTTCTAATACGTAGGTCCCATCGAAGGATCGTTGTAGTTTGTGCTTCCCGTGTAGCTTGGGTTAGAGCTATAGCCTGGGCTTTGGGTGTATCCTGTGTTTTGATCGTAATGTGGGCTGGCGCTGGCATTCATATTGAGCGGGACGTTGTTGAAACCGTCGTTGCCCAATGGGATGTCCATGGCAACGTCAGGAGGTAGGTCACCGCCTAAGGATGTAGAAAGATCTGGAGGGAGTTCATCAACGTAGGCTTCAGAGAAATCGTCAAGCGGTTGCTCGTGGGCGTCAACATCCATAGCGGCATCGTTGGCTCTTTGCTCCAATTCACGTTGTTCCTGTTCCTTTCTACGCTCATTCTCTTCCTCTCTTCTTCTTTCTTCAGCCTTGGCGGCATAAATCGAGCCATCAAACCCCTGAACGTCTTCCATTCTCTTCACATCAACCGGAAGGGAAACCTTTCTCGAGATTCTGTACAGTTCGTTGTTGAAGCTGATGTTCATGTCTGGGTACAACATCGTGTAGAACAGCTTCAACTCGTCGCTGTATTGTGGAGTGACCTCCTTGCGCTGGTTAAGCTCGTCGTCTAGCCTAAGGTTAAACAGCGAGATCTTTTCATCATTATCTTGATTCCTTGTATCCTTGCGGTTCTTAAACTCTGCAACTTCTTCACGAAGTCTGTTTATCGTCTCTTCCTTGATCCAATCTTTCTCTGAAATCCGCAGAAGATCAGCTTCCTCGCCAACTATACAGCTTCTTACAGTAGATAAGTTATCCACGAGCTTCAGCGCGAAAATAGATTTGTATGTTAATGAACGAAGTCCACCTTCAACAGTGTCTCCATTGAGCACAGAAGAAGCGTAGCCTAAGGGAGTAGCCTTCTCATTTGGTTCTTTAAACTTTGGAGGTTTTATGGCTGACGCAGCAGGATTCTGCGTGCTTATTTGTGACTTTGGTGCAGTTCTTTTGACCATTTTGGGGAATCACTTGGTTAGCGCTGTTTTGAAAAACAAGTATGTGAGAGATTAAGTTGGAAGCCTTGTATGCACAATTCTCACCAGGATTCACTGAGTAGGTTTTTCGCAGCCATTGGAGCCGCTATTACTTTAATCACAAGAAAAATAATATATCCGTATAAATCTCATTACATTGTTCCTTCCATCAAGGAGTTCTCGATACCGTCGATGAGGCCGTCGATGTCCTCCACCCTTAATCCGCAGCTTAGGCTGATAAGCTTTCTGTACTTGTTCATCTTTGAATTAATGGCCCACTCCTTCACGCCTTGGGCGACCTGGTTCACCAAATCGTTACGTTTGAGCTGCTCCTGAGTAAGCTCCAACGCTAGTTGCCACTTGTCGGCTGCACTGTCTGTGTCTGATGTAGGTGAAGTGATCTCTTTTTCCTTCTCGTGCACGGTGTTGGCCAATTCAAAAGCCTGTACTTTTTCAAACAGGCATAGAAGCTGCTGTTCCTTATTTTGGAGGTCTGCCTTGAAGCCATCAACTTCTTGGTCAACGATTTCCTTTGCTTCGGTAAAGTCTGTGATGTCCTCAAACCCGTTCTTGGACAACACTGCCTTGACCTTGTGAAGACCGGCCAGGTCTGCATCGTTCTTTGCAACTATTTGTGCCTGAATTTCCTGGCCATCCTTGGTCAATCCTTGAATCTCATCGCGATAGGAATCGGTGAGAAGAGTGACCATACCATGCATCATGGTAGAAGCATCACCAACAGGAAGCTTGACATCTGGGTCGTTTTCCAAGTCATTCTGAGTCTTTTCAGGCTTGGATTCGTTAGCCGAAGAACGTGGAACGAACGACCGACCGGGCGAAGATTTGGCAAGAGGAGAGTTCTCAACGGTAGCTTCTGATATCACACCTAGCACGCTTTGCTTACTAGATGAATGCGGGCTAGCACCAACTTGCTTGGGTGTGGACATCGCTTCGTAGTTGACCTTTGATGGATCTTCGGTGAACACGTTCTCCTTGTTCTCTTCGACAGTACCAGCCTGTCCTTCCATGAGCATCCTCAAGTGTTCTTTGCTAACGCGGTCGTTAAGCTCCTCTTCTTCATCGTCTTGAATGGTTGTTCTTTGAGTGTCCGGCGTTTCGATGCGTCTGCTATTGAAGGGTTGAATAGGGGTTCCAAGTCCTGGTTGTTGGTGGGTTCTCTTATCAGCGGCATCGACAGCATTGGATGGAAAATATTGCTGCATATTTGGTTGTTCCTGGGTTACGCCAACGTTGTAGATGACAAGGCCCAGTTGCATAATGATACTTTTGGGAGCCTCATTATTGACGTTCACCAAATCGTCTCTTGCACCATTGCTTAGCAAGAATTTGACAAATTGACTACAGCCTGCCCAAGCTGCAAGGTGAAGGCAAGTGTCACCGTTCACATCCTGATGGTCAACGACATTTTTCAACAAATTAACGCCTGATGAGCCGTTCTTAGTGGTCATGATCGTGAGCTTAGAGAAAATCTGCTCGAGGTAATGCGTGAGCGACGCGAGTTTGGAAGTCATCTTTGAGAATTGGCAGAGATAGTGCAACGGGGTACGACCGTTAATGTCAGTGTGGATGAGACAAACCTCAAGGGCATCCAATATTTGAGGAAAGTTTCTGAGCTCGTGGCAGTTGTTGAAAGAAATGCATTTCGACAACGCATTGAGGCCGTGATTGTTCACCACAAGCGCGTTAGCACCTTTAGAAAGAAGCAAATGGACTAGACTAGCGTTACCAATTGAAGCAGCCCAGTGCAAAGCCGTGTGACCCTCATCGTCAATGGCCTCATTGATGTTAAACTCTGGTGGGGGGTTGTAAAGAAATTGAGGGATGGGAGAGTTATCATCGCTGAAAAATTGCAACAATTGAGCTGCAAAAGTGTCCTCTTCGGCAGTTTTCTGGTGGTTACCGTCCAGGGAAGAGATAGAAGTGTCAGAATCTCTGTGAGGCTCCTCCTGTGACCAATTGGCGTCATTGGTCGATTGCGACAGGGTGCCCTTCTGGTGTTGTTGGTAAAGCAATTGCTGCTGTTGTTGCTGTTGCAGAAGGCCATCATCCTGGAAAGCGTTCATTTGACGCGCTGGGTATTGCGAGAAGTTCTGCAATTGGTTTGGGAAGTTGCCAAATGAAGCTTGCTGGGAAGAAAACCCGTTCATGTTGACTCTCAGCGAGTTAGCATAATTGCCATTGCCGACAAATTCCTGCGACTGGAAAGTAGGAGGCATTGACTGAACAGGAAGCTGCATTTGGTTGTTGTAGCCGTGTTGTGAAGCCAATGGAGACTGGCTCATTGGAAGATTGTCTCTGGGAAGCGAATGTTGGTAGCCGTCTTGGGTGAATAAGGCTTGCGGCGGTAAGTTGGAATTGTTGAGACGCATCTTCTTTGGTGTATCGTCCTTTTTGTTTTTCTTAACGTACTTACGCTTCACAGGCGTACCGTCTTTGTTCACACCACCTGAGGAGGACGACACGGGGGGCTTCGACTTCTTTGGGATGACAACTGAAGTGTCTGTAGGGTCCACATACAAAACAGGCACCATTTCTGAAGAAATGCCATACTCATTGGCAAGATTTCTGGCGTCAGGCAAGGGAATCCATGTACCCTGGAACCTACCATATCCACCTTGGACCTTTTCATGCTGGCCCTGTTGCACACCCTTTTCAAGGATCTTGGTACGTTTGGCCTTGGGAAAATTGCACAACTTAAGGATCTGTGTAGCATTGACCCAGTCATCCTTGCATCGTCTCATGATGGGCATGTCATTGACCAAACACTCATAGACCTCTATCTGAGGAAGTTAGTAAAAAGGAAGCAGAGAGTAACACCGGGAGTCGGCAGACGAGTCGGACGGTGAAATTGAAAACAAAGTACATACATTCGAGTACGTCGCTATGTACACGGAAGGATGTTCGTAAGACATGATGGGAGGAGGTCTTAGAAAGAGTGTAGTGAACGGAAGTTGCAAAAACCAAGAAGGAAAAAGGGCCTTGATGCGAACAATTTGACAAAACCGGTTTTAATTAAACGCGTTATCTGGGACTGTGTGGTGCACGGGTGTGCTGGTTAGCTAGCTCTGCCTGAGTCGAGCGATGAATGCAACGCGTTAGTATGTTGGCTGGGTTGCAAAAAAAGTCAAAAAAACGAAAAAAAAAAAAATTAAACAATTAAAGTATTAAGGTAGCTTTGAAAAAAAACTCAAATTTTTTAACTAAAATATGCAAATCTTACTTGCCTCTGCCCTTTTATGGCCTCCAAATGTCTTCACTTATTTCTCTATGAGGAGATGGAGCCCCCTGTGCAAGGCCGAGGGGAGAGCATGCCAGCAACGTCCGTAGTTAAGGAAGCTTTTTGCGGAGCTGGCCAGGGCAAAGGAAAGTAGCCAATGGGCAGTTGGCAAAGAAAGGGTCGGATTTTCGGACTTGACTAAAAAAGGCTTTTTTGCAGTGCCACCACACTTTAAGCTCAAGGTTTGCTTTTTCATAGGGGGTTCTTGCGTTGGGGTGCCTCTTTTTTCATGTATGGCCTTCTTGCGGTGCGTCTAAAATTTGCAACCATTTCGAGGTGCCAAGGCGGGCCGAACATTGTGCAACACTAATGAAAGTTAGGTATCCGGCAATTGTGGGAGAAATACCTTCTTTAAGCCACTAAAGAGAAGTCTAAATTGTGTTTGTCTCGAGGGGCGGCTGATCTGAGGATTAGCTTAGGGGGTCACTAGCCACAATGAAGCTTATCAGGATGATATACCCAGGCGCTGTTCATACACTGAGATGGTGATGGTGGTACCCGGGACAACCCTTACTTGATGGTCACAGCTAGCGCTTGATGATTTCAACAATAGGTGTATTTCGGTAAACGCTAACGTAGTGGCACATTCTCTAGATCTGGGTGGGGGGTAGTCAGCCAGTTGCAAAGTACCGCTTGAAAAGGCTCGCGGGGAGTGGTTGCAAAAGTACCTGTTTAAGTGAAAAAGGGAGTGAAAAGCAAGAAGTTTGGCAAGGCGGGACTCTAAAAGGTTTTCGAGGCGATTTACGGCCCCTTTGGTTTTATTGGGGCCGAACACAGATCACAATGGGCCATTGGGTTGTATTGTCACTCCCCTGGTGGTAGCGTTGTTCGAGGCACCCAGAAGCTGGAGGTGGGAACTTTTCACGTAAAATACTCTGGAACTTCAAACAAGCCTCTACGGATGGTTTGAAGAATGTCTAGGTGAAGTTGTACCAGTAGGGAACCCACAGAGCACCATACATCATCGGAGCCGCTTTCCTGTGGTTTCTGGAAGGCTCAGACAAGTCGTACGTCCAGCCAATCAACGACGAGGCTACGAGAGTATAAACTTTTGATCCACCAAAGCATAAAATTCACACTAGCCACAAGGCACTTGAGCCCTCCCTCGTGCCTTGATCATACATGACATCATGGCTCATAGCATTATTTAGGAATGTGGAGAAAAAAATAGCATAACAAAACATCGCGATCAAGAAAAAAGTAAAAAAGAAAACATGGTTTGGAGAATTCAGCTGATAAGATGCAAAAGGGAACATACAACCCTAATAAACTTCCCAGATGACCTCATCGTCATGATTGGCTCAGTATAAGAATTAAGCTACTGCGAAACAGCTCCCACGTTATCTGATCCAGGAAATGGTCACAGAAGGATGACGTAGATAGAACGCTGTTCCTGATCTCTAAGCCATGTTTCCCCTATGCGTTCTTGTGCATCCACAACGAAGGAACCGAAGCCTCCCCTAAAAATATCATTCTTCACGCGGTGGAGAAGCTGTGTATTTCTCTCGTAAAAGAGTCATGTGGGGACGAGCCCATTCATTATCAATCATTCTTTTGTTGGAAAATGCCTTACCAAGGAAAAAAAAAATGGCTGCGAAAAAAAGGAAAATGCTCGATTCCGAACCCGGACCAGCTGTATTTCCTGGAATTCCATATCTACAGAGAGCTGCAAAGATGGTATGAATCCTGGGATAAACTACAGAATTTCGCTATTTTCTTCCTTCTCTCTTGTACTTTCCTTGCGAATTGTCTGCCTTTTCTTTGCCTGTTATTTTTTTTTTTCCTGCCCTCCTCATCTCCTGTAACCTCTGTAGTCTTCGCATGCACCCCAGAAACGAAGAACACCACCAAAGCAACAAAGACAAAGCCAACGTGAAAGATTATCATACTGTCTGTCGACACCTCCCGGTCAGGCTGTTTTATTTTGCGAGGTCATCTTCACAGCCCTGCTTATTTTTTTTTCTTTTCCTTCGTTTTCCTTCCCAGCCTCTTGCTCCCCTCTTCCCTGTATTTGTTGCCAGTGGGAACTTTTCGCGTGTTCGATCGGAACTGTATTTCTTGTGTCACAAACATAAAACTGCCAAGTCTGCCCACTTTGAAGTCTTCCACACATCTTTTTCTTTATCAAGAAACCGCTTTCGATGCCTCGGCTTGGGATTATTCCCTGCGATCGCAATGTCACCGGCACCATCGCCATGATGGAGGACGACTCGGCCGCCTCTTCGGCTGCTGATACTGCCTCGATGAAGCGTACGGAGACCGGCATCATTTTGCACCCACAACCCCATGACAACCCAAACGACCCGTTGAACTGGCCCACTATCCGGAAGGATATATGTTTTTTGATCATCGGATTCCAGACTTTTATTGGTGGTGGTCAGACGCCTATCTTGGCTTCGGCTTTTTCGTCGCTTGCAGAGGAGTTCAATGAACCCATCTCTGTTATTTCCTACTTGGTGGGTGGCTTTATGTTGGCCTTGGGTGTTGGTTCGGTGTTTGCCAGTCCCACCGCTGTTCTCTACGGAAAGAGATTAGTGTATTTGTTGGGTATTTTGATCTTTTTGATCGGTGCCATTATTGCTGCTGCCGCTCCAAACTACGGCACCCTTATGGCTGGTCGTATCTTGACTGGTTTTGGTGCTTCTCCAACGGAAAGTTTGACATCTGCAAGTTTGAGTGAGTTGTATTTCCAGCACGAACGTGCTTATAGAACTGGTCTTTACACTCTTTTGCTTCTAGGAGGTAAGAACATCATCCCTTTGCTTTCATCCTTGATGTTTGAGCACTTGGGCCGTCATTGGATGTATTGGATCTTGGCTATGTTCCTCGGCTTAAATCTTATACTTACATTTTTGTTCGTTCCAGAGACTTTCTGGGAAAGATCTCCAACTCCGAACAAGCGTTCCCTCCAAGAAACTGAAGCTGCTCGCCGTGCCCGTAATTACATTCCTCCAGAACAGAGACCACATGCTTATGCTCTCCCGTCTTCTGGTAACGTTGTGGACACGGACAGCTTGGCGTCCTCTCGTATGGACACCACTATTCATGAAGATGGCCATAGAGAACCCGTCGGTATCATCAACGACGCAGAAACACATATTGATGATGGCGACTCTCTCGCTTCTACTCCCAAAAGTTTCAAAAATAGATTGGCTTTGACTTCGGGAAGACACACCCCTGACAAGTGGTGGCAGGTTGCCTTGAGACCATTTTTCCTTTACTTGTATCCCTCTGTCCTTTACGGCAGTTTGGTTTACTCCATGGCTGTTGTGTGGCTTATCGTCATTTCAGAAACTGTCTCTGAGATTTTTAAAGGTGAAGAATATGGCTACTCGCTGCAAACTGTTGGTCTCTTTTATTTGGGTCCATTTATCGGTGGTGTGCTCGGTTCCCTTACCACGGGTTTTATCGGAGACCGTCTTGTTAGATATTTTGCATCTAAGAACCATGGCATTTACGAGCCTGAGTTCAGGCTTATCATGTTGATTCCTGCGACAATCCTTGAGTGTTTTGGGTTGATGGGGTACGGCTGGTCCGCCGAGGATACCCAGCCATGGATTGCTCCGGTGATTTTTTTCAGTTGTTTGAGTTTTGGTTCGTCAATGGCGTCCACTACCGCAATCACATATACTGTTGATTGTTACAAAATGTTTGCAGCCGAAGCTTTGGTTTCCTTCAATTTCGCTAAGAACTTCTTGGGTTTCATCTTCTCCTTATTCAATACTGACGTCTATTTCGCCAGAGGTGGTAAGGATACATTCGTTATCTATGGTGTTGTCCAGATGTTCCTCAGTCTTTGTGGCATCGGCATTTACATGTACGGTAAGAAGTTCAGAGCTTGGACCGATGATAAGGAGTTATTGAGAATGCTTTATGCCCATCCTCCATCGTCTGAAGCCCATGAAGAAAAGGAAAAAGTGAATGAAGAAGAGCATAATGAAAGTGAGACAGAACTAGCTACGCCAAGCTCACCTGAGTCTTCCGCTGACTACTCAAGTCCGGACAAAACGTCGCCACAGCTGCATAAATCGTAAATTCTTAATTAAATCTATATCCAGTCTATCCTTTCTAAATCTAGCTTTAGTGAATGTTTATCAGTGTAGTGGTGAAGGCGATCTTTAATGGAAGTACCGTTCCAAATCTCGGTATCTGGTTCCCTTGCAGGCATCCCAAGCTTCTCAACAATACATCCACTGGCAACATTACCAAATATCCCGGCTACTAGCCAATCTTGCTTCGATAAATAAAATGCAGTTGCGAAGGCCCCACAGAATGTATTTCCACCGCCAGTTACATCCACCACCTTCGATTGGTCGTCATGATAAGCCTCGAGCATGAACCCGGCTGAATGCGTTTTGATATAGCATCCCTTTGCACCACATCTAATCACAACACCGCCATCTTTTGGCGAATATTGAATAAACTGTTCCGCCAACTTGGCAATGCCGTTTTCTGTGCTAGGGATATCTAGGCCGAGGAACCCAGCTGCCTCTTCCAAGTTCGGACTAAAAATATGCAACTTCGGCAACAACTGTTTCAATGGTTCATAGTTCTGTGGAATGCAAATATCTGGGAAGGGCTCGAAGATATGTATAGGAAGCTCCCCATCCGTACCCTTCAACTGCTCAGCAAAACAATCAATAATCGTACCACAACGGTCAATTGCACAACAAGTGTGAAATGCCTTCAGTCTGATGAGGTTCTCGGTGTTGACTATATCATAGTCCTCGATTCGCTTCTTAGGACTCCTATAGGCAAACGAACGGAAGCCATTCTCCTGGTAGACATTGGCTCCCCTCGTGGTCAAACGATCAGGGTTCTCACGAAATATAGGACCTGCTCCCCAGCTGTTGATTTCATACTCCACTTCTTGCGGAAAGTCGGTTCCCTTATCGATGATACCAGTGATCCTCTTCCCTAACGAAGGACCACTGGCAATTCTTCCACCCACAATAGCATACAGAGCGCCTCCACCAATGATATTATATTCCGTCTCTCGCTTCCATGACTCAGGATATATGTTATCGTCTATGATGAATAGCCCTAGTGTTGTAAGAATGGGGTCTGGAGAAGTCATGGCTGCGGCTCTCTTTTTCGATTCAGTGTATGCGCACGATAAAGAGTGAAGCTATCAACAAGTTGTAGAGGAAAGTGCACTCGAAAGATCGAGCCAATTCATAGCAAGATTTTATTGGATTCTCGGCAAAAATAAAGGTGGTAGTAGTTTGGTGGGTGGATGTCGTTTTTGGCAAATCAAGCTGATTTGTTCTGTATCTTCGAATCCAATGTGTTGCAGCAAAGGAGGGTACCACGGCTTCTTCTGGACATTACGATGCGACTGAGCTAGTCAGATAACCTATAGATGCCTCAGTGAATGGATAAGGTCTGGTAGATCAGAATTTTGATCGGTTTATGGGCTTTTTTGTTACCAACCAAGATGGAAAAATTCAATCATTGGGAGTTATATTGCCTATTTTCGACATTTCACGGCCACCATTGTGTTGCTGGAGTTTTTCTGATCAAAACGATACTATGTTTGTGGGGAATTTATTTTTCAGTGGCACGTGAATTGCGAAAAACACTTTTGACCGCAGAAGATATTAAAACATTTGCTGGATGCAAGTAAACGCGCCCGCTTGGCCAAGTGGTAAGGCGCCTCACTCGTAATGAGGCGATCGTCGGTTCGAATCCGACAGTGGGCACGTAATTTTTTTTTGCAATTCTTGTCTACGTTCCCTTCAGTTTAAAATGTAATTGTTCTACAAGTGATTATTCGGTCGAAATAAAGGGGGCGTACTTTTTTATTACTTTGCATGTTTATCCTCTAGCGACTTTTGGTGGTGGGGGTGGAGGAGTATCCTCGGCAACTTCTCCATACTTCACATCTGATGCCTTTGACTTATCTAGTTCTTCGTTCATAAAATTGGTTAGGTCGACGTTTGCAGATCCATGATGCTTCTTCTTCTTTGCAGCTTTCGCTGGTGGTGCAACTGGAGGAGGAGCAATAGGAGCCGCCAGTGGCACGAATGATGGTCCTGATGACGATGTAGGTGGCGCTGCCGCACTCTGTCCTTGGTCCGATGATTCATTAAGGTTATACTTCAAATCGACGTTATTTTCAAAAAGAAGGTCTTCGATGGTCTCCATATTGTCGAACTTTCCAACCACTTCTGGTATACGATGAAGCCAGCCGTATCCAACATCACAGCCCAAAATACCTCTAGCTGTTCCACTGGACCATTCTCGTGATAGGTTGACGGTCACTGGACGTAAAATATCGTGGTCGTGGTTGTAGACGTACAACAAAATGGGGACTGTGCCTATCTGCTGCAGCGAACTGTGGTGACTGTAGTAGTTTGAAACTGTCTGTGAGAATAATCTTTCACCACCATTGGACAAGAGGCCCTTGCCGTGGCCATCCTCCTCGAAAAGTGAATCACATCCAATGACGTAATCGGAATGAGGAACAAGTTTTGCATCAAAGGCGGGAGAGCCTGGATGCGTGTTAAGAATACGCCAGACATAAGTAGCGGTATTCAAGTGTTCTGATTGCACGGTGAGTCCAATCTGTTGGAAATTATTAAGATAAGCCTTTTCGTCTGCACCAGTGTCAGCCAGGAGTTCTTTTTTGAACTCGTCTAGTGGAATACGTACTTGACGAATTACTCCACCTTTAGCATTCCAGACTTCGAATTCGACCGTTCTCGGTCCATTATGATGCGCTATGTTCTCAAGTTCCAACGCAAGAGCGTCCCAATCTATGATACCAGCTTCCTCGGATCCCTGGCCGTAATTGACAGCACCATCGTCATTGACGCTATAGGAGCTATTGAGGGGATATTTCATGGGCAATTCATTATTGTTGATTCTCACAATGTAGTCAAACCACGCCTCTAGTCCAAGTCTGTGAGCGCCAGAATGTGGAATAACCTTGAGGACACGGAGGCCGTAGCCATTGTTGTTGATTTTTAAGGTATCTTTAAAATATGAGTTGTCTGATTGGTGTTGCAGAAGATTGGAGCCGTCGAGACGGTCAACGAGCTTTCTTGCAAATGAAAACATGCTGCTGAAGACACACTGGAGAATCACAGGTGAGCGTCTTCTGGAGGTTTAGATATTGGCCTTGTGTGCAGTCCAGACCAACCCCAGCCTTCAAAAACTACCATCCTTCAACGGGTTTTTCTGTATAATAAGCTATACTGATGTCTTTAATCATCCATTGCTTTTGAAACACTTGATTCTCTTTTTTACTACCCCTTTGAGTGTGGTGGACCAGTTGTAGTATTCCGCGCTTAGTCTGTACCGCACTATACTAGATAAGCTTCGAATCAGTATCACCAACATGTCTTCTAGCAGAAAGGTAGTGGTGGTAGGCGCCGGCGTCGTTGGGCTTACGTCCGCTCTCCAGCTCAAGCGTGCTGATCCAAAGTACGACATTACCATTGTGGCTGCACATATACCAGGTGATTTGAGCTTAGGTTACGCTTCTCCATATGCTGGAGCCAACTGGCACTCATTTGCCGGGAAGAACGATAAAAGACTTCAGGAATTGGATGAACCGGGATACCATGAGTTCCAAAAGCTTGCTGATAATCCCCAATCAGGAGTCTGGCGTCGTCCTAACTCTAATTACTATACGCATCTTGCTTTGGCAAGGGTGAATGGCGACTCCTCCGAGTATAACCATTGGTTTGGTGATTTTGCCAACGAAAGAGAGATTAATAAGGAGGATCTTCTCCCAGGTACTGTCTACGGTACGGAATTTGATGGCGTGGTCATTTCTGTACCTATTTATTTGAACTACCTCTTGCAGGAGTGTTTCAAGCTTGGGGTTACCTTAAAGAGAATCAGTTTCCTAACCAACATTGACGATGCCTTACACCTTCATTCTTCTGGTGAGAAAGCAGATCTAGTCATCAATTGCGCTGGTCTCATGGCCTATAGGATTGATGGTGTTAATGACGCAAGACGGAATTTCCCAGTCAAGGGACAAGTCCTTCTCGTCAGAAACAATATCAGCAGAATCATCTGCGTTGAAGGGTTTGAAGAGCCCAATGAAATGCTTTACATGTTCCCACGTAAAGAGGGAGGTACTATCATTGGTGGTAGCTTCTTGCAGGAGAACTGGGACCCTCAGGAGGATAAAGCGCTCTCGGTAAAGATCTCACAAAGAGCGGTAGCATTTGCGCCTGAGATCATTGACCCGGCAAAGAACAACCCAAATTTCCTCGATGTCGTCCAAGTGAACGTTGGCCTTAGGCCGTTCAGAGACGGAGGTATGCGTATCGAGGTGGACACCAGACGCAAATGGCTCATCCACAACTACGGCGCTGGCGGCGGTGGATACCAAGGCAGCTACGGGTTTGCCAAGCGTGTGGTGGAGTTGGCAGCACAAAATTTACCCAAGCTTTAATTAGTCTTATTAAGTATATAGTACAAGAACAATGGCAATGGCTGCAAACGAGCGTTCCTAGTGGTTTCAATGGCACAAGAAGCGGAAAAGCATGTTGAATCCTCTCTTAGCACCCTCCTTAGCATACTTCTTCTGGTGTTCCGTGTCTGTGTGAGTGTTGAAGAACTCCTTGGTCTTACCCTGTCTTCCGGCAAGAGGCGTAGGTTCATCCTTGTATTTTTCCGTATGGATCTCAATATCGTCGTATCCGTGTTGCACGCCGAAAGGACCTGGATTAGCAGGCTCCTCTGGAATCTTAGCTGCCATGACAAACAGTTATCGGTGGTTATCTCAGAATGGACTGCAAGAATGTCTTATATACCCAGACCAGGTTGCTACTCTTGACGGCCTAGTACCCCCTGTGTACAGGGTAGAGTGTGTGTCCCTCCGTTTGCTCACTAGATAGCGCCTAATTGCTAAAAGTTACTATGGTACAAGCGTTGTTCGCACTACATGTGACAGGTTTTTGCAGCTGGTAGTGCTTCCAGCGCTTGACACAAGATTGATAGAAGGTTGGCACGCAGTTGACGTGTGAAAAAGATACACAAACGGAAAAGTAGTGAATTCTGGTTGGTGGAAAGTCATGGGGATTATTTTCTGGATTCTGAAAAAAGCCTTGTTTTTATGCTCAGGAAATAGTGGCATGGCCAGAAGTGGGTAGATGGATAGACCAATTGGGAAATGTAAGGGGACTAGTGCAGTGTAGTATTTGATGAAGTGGACAAGGAATTGGTTGTTAGCAATGGTAGTACTTGGCTTGGTGTATTTTGAATGATTGTGGTTTGAGAAATTAGGGGGCCAATAAGGCTTAGACACTGGTGGATCTCTTAAGTAGAGGACGTAGTGCCAGTTAACTATAGTAGACTAGGTAGACTTCTGCAGTGATCTAAATTTAATTAGTCAGATTTCATTTGAAATTTTGTTTTTCACTTGCTATTTCTTCTCTTCATTCACTTTTTATGATTTCTTTTCTTTATTTTACGTTTTTTATATTTTTCTCAGCACTTGTCTGTTTCACGGTTTCTCAGTCTCCAGTGGATTCCACCTTCGCAATATACAATTTTCTTGCGTATTCACCAAGAGTTGCAAAAACTCAGCTCGCACTACATTCTTTCACACCAGTACACCACCTACTACTGAGAAGACAAAATTTTTACACCAGCTAACCTAAATCAATCATCCTTCAACACTGGTAGTTCACATTCGTTAGAATTGCTTGTGCTTGATTCATCGTCATATTTATAAACTATGAAGGCATCCACTATCCTCAGCTTTCAGCAGTCCACAAGAGCCAACTTGAGAAGGCCGTGGCAGACATACAGAGACGGTCAGATCTGGTATGGTTACACGAAATCTGGATCTAAGAGACATGCCCTCTACACCAAGCTGGGAAACAAGAACTTCTACAAAGGTACTCGCTCGTCCGGTGTTGGTAACTTGACGAAACACGGTGACTACATGGTCAACTGGGAGAAGGTCAGAACATACGTTGTGCCCCCGGACTTGGCCACCACCGACCTTAAACCATTTGTCTCTATCGACGTTCCACAAATCTGGCAGAGAACTCCTGGCTACAGTGACAGCTTCAAGAGTCCTGAATTGGCATGGAACAATATCAAAGACTTTATAGAATACGGCGAGAACTACAATGACGTGGATTTGGAGAAGAACAACTACTTGGAGGAGTTCGTCAACCCAGAACGTGCACAGGCCGAGGCAGAGAAGAACTCTGTCATTGTCAAGGACTAACTTTGACAGTAACACTCCCCTTCATTTCTGGGTGCAGCAACGCATAACCTTTTCTTTTGTAAATAGCTCCACGTCACGATTTTAATGATATTTCTCTGTCTTCAGAGCCCCATATTGATACTTTTATTCGTAGTATGCTTTGGCATCTTCAACAGTACTCATCTCTGCATCCATACACCACTTAAGTCTCTAGACGCGCTCCTACAGAATCAAGACCTTCCAACATAATGTCCTCTTCATTGACAAGTTCACAGAAAGCAATGTCCGAAACTCCTGCGACATCGCCTTTTCCACTGGAAGCTTCGCCTGCTCCAGACGCTAATCAGGCTACTGAGACCACCGAAGATGTTACGATGACCGAGGCTTCTCATGAACAGAGGGACACTGAGCAGGACGCGGATGGAGAGGTGGACGACGACGCAATGGCTGTCGATGAGGCTGTCATGTCGTTGCCTCTTTCGAAGATTAAGAAGATTTTCAAAATGGACCCAGACTATTTTTCAGCTTCTCAAGGTGCCGTGTTTGCTACCGGCGCAGCCACCGAACTTTTCGTGCAATACTTCATGGAACATGCTTCAATGAATGCTAAAATGGAAAAGAGAAAAAAGATTCAGTATAAAGATCTAAGTACTGCTGTGTCCAACCAAGATGCTTTGCAGTTCTTGAGTGACACGATTCCTAAGACTCAGCCTGTGGGCCAAGCGATCAAAGAAAGGACTATCAATTTGCAAGACGATGACAAGAAGAAGTACTCCGAATCCCACGCCCCAGAGGAACACGCAAGTCCGCAGAAAGCAGCAGCTGAGCCTGAGAAAAGCACTGTTGAGGTTTTGCCAAAGGGTCAGCAAACACTTTCTTTTGAGCCGGTCAAAAAGCCAACGATAAAGAAGGCAGTCATCCATGACTTGATGAGTACTGAGGATACTCCTAATAATGATGCTATTACTATTGATGATTAGTGGTCTATCTATAATTCTTGATCACCCATAAAGAACTTCTAATATCCCTGCTGAGATTAAACTTGGTTTCATTAATGCCCAACCTCACACACACTCTGGCAATCTCAATTGCTGTTTGATGCGGTATCTGGCGTTCATAGTTGTTGAGTGCTGTGACAAAAAGCTTCACATATGCAAGCCGTACCGATGGGGCCACAGATGTCGAAATAACGGCTTTTGATTTGCCAGTGTCAGCCTTAGTCTGAAAGAAAGGGCCTTTTTTGGAGAGGAACTCCCAAGTGTCGAGGAATCTCCTGCTCATAAAAGACCCGTGTTTTGAATCCTCTTCAAATACCACATTGGCAAACTCTATTGCAGGCTCCATAAGCTGTCTAAATTCTGCGTCGCGATGTTCCCAATCCGAAATAGTGCTAGTACCAGAAAGCTTGGCCATAATAATGGGCCAGAATTCGGCCATGACTGGCATTAGTTGGTCATAATTAGAGGCCACCATTATATACGCATCTTTAAGCGTTTCGAATATAGTAAGCCGAAGCTTTATAGACGGATGAGTGAGTAACTGTAGACCATATTTAAAGATCTGAAGAACAAGGTTGTATGTCTCTTTGGGAATTGGTGAAGGCCAGGGTTTGTCTTCGTCCTTTGTGGGTGTATTGGACTGGTCGTCGTCGCTGTCATCATCGGAATCTTGATCACCGAACGGTACCCCAGGCTTCCTCTTGAAGTATTCTTTTTCCGGGTCGTAATCCGAGAAAGGATCTGCTTGTCTATTTTTTTCGTCGATGATTTCAACAAATTGGTTTCTTGACCTCATTCCCCAGGGCTTAAAAGGCGATACTTCTGTACTTGATTTCAACTTATTGTGATCAAGCAACTCTTTCGAATACATTTTCTTAATCAAAGCGATGACCTCTTGGAACACAAGAAAGAAATTCTCGACCAAAACAGAGTAGCCGTGGAAAGAATCGATCGCTAGGAAGACCTCGCTTAGGATATCTGTAAGTTGGTTTGATTTGACCAAGTCGGCACCAGAAATTTTGAGTACGAGCAACATGATCCCAGGAAGTGAAGGTGTTAAATCACTCATTACAGAGAGCTTGAGACTCAAGGAGTCAATCAAGTAATCTGAATTTGCTTCAATTAGTTTTTGTAGGCTTCCCTCATAGTACTCCTTAGTGATGCTGAATAAAGCCTTCTTTGCCAGATGATGAACAATCGAGTTGGGACCTTGAGTCATTGCTTCAAGTAAAAGGTATAGATTGTCCATCAATACATCACTTTCAAAGTCACGCTTGCTTAATACTTTTGAAAGAGACCCGAGGGATTGAAGAGCAATCGCATAGCTCATTTCGTCACTACCTTGATGACCTTTGATGTCTGGAGTTAACCATTGTTTGCGAGCATCGAGGGCTTCATCAAAGATTGTTCTAGCGTAGTCGAGAATCAAGTATCCAGCTTCCTCTTCTTCACTATTATTCTCAAGATCGTCCGAAAAAGTAATAAAATCGCTTATATCCGCTGCCTCACGCTTGGCCCTCGAAGACATAAGAAGGTGATTGGACAACCATAGAAATACACCCTTACTCTTTATCAGACCATCGTCTTCCAACAGTAAATTATCAATGAGACTTGTTATGTCTTCCGATGAAGCCCCGATGAAATTGACGAAGTTTTGGAAAGCATCATAAACGGAAGTAGTGAAGGAGGACGAGAAGCTTCTGATCTCTGCCGCATCCTCCATTTTGTTCATCGAGACCGAAGTGCGTAATAGCAAGGCTAAATTCGTTTCTCTATTTTGTAAGGGTGCTGTGTTTGGGGCCAGGAACTTCTTCACACTTCTAGCATTGATATGCAGAGGAAGAACGACAGAGTCCAATGTGTTTTGCAGTTCTTCGGATACGTCACCGATGGTGTCTGCTGGCCCGTTAATCCCAGAAGCAGTACGTCTTTTGCCATCTGTGGAGAACTCCAACAGGCGTTCCTTGCTGAGAATACCTTGGTATAACTTTTGCACAGCCCTGAGACGAGGTTCACTCCCAGAAGAGGTGATACCAATGCGAGCACTTAGCCGATCCAACAACTGTAGATGGAGCTGAATGCTAACAAGAGTGAGTCCAATTTTGTCATCATCAGCTGATAAAAGGATACGATCTAACTGACTGGAGATGAGATCATCTGTTTTCTGAGTCAAAACCTTGTGCAAAAGAGTTAAATAGGATGCGCTACCCACGATGAAGAGTTCAGTACCCTTGCGAAGTAGTATTTCATTAGTATCGTGGTTTTTGGAAATGCAATGGATGAGCAATGAAGTGAAATCAATGCTTGTTATGATAATATTGGCGAAAAGAGACTGCGAGCATTGCGCATTGATCTCTTTGATAAAGAGGAATAAAGCATCTTGTAGCTTTTCGTGGGACACAATCTTGTCTCGAATACCTCCTCTTTTAATGAGGATGTGTCGAAACAATGTTATTAATGCAATTTTGAGCTGCCTTGAGGTAGCTGAAAGCCATGATTTTGTCCTGTGGCTACTCTCTGGAGTGCTGATTTTGATGGAAACAAGCTGCTCCGAATTAGCACTATCGGTGTTATCCGGCTTCTCATCATAAAGCGCTTTGAGCGAGCTTAAATCAGCGATATTCGGCGACAGGTCCAAAACACTTGCATCCAAGGAGGAATCAGAAAATACCTTAATAATGAAAGTCTGTAGTAGCTGAAACACTGTTTGTAATGTATTAGCATGCAAGTTTTTGGAAGTAACCACAAAGTTCACCATCTTCGAAATAACTCCAGGAAAAACGAAAGACGTTTGTTCAGAGGTCACTCGGACAGAGTATAGCCATGTAAGACAAGTAATAACATTGTCAGCCAATTCGTTCTTTTCTTGATCAAGTGGTTGCGGTATGTTGCCAAGAATATCAAGAAGGATGGTAGTTATGTCCCCTAGTATGCTTAATCTTCTTTGCGTGTCTCCAGTGTAGTAAGTTCTCGGGAAGCAGTGAACGAGACTATTGAGACAAAGAACGACCTCCTGTTTGAACTGAAGACTTAGGGTCGAGACCAGAGCTTTATCTGGCTCCAGGCTTGTACCACGACATAGAAACACGATTATTGGTGACAATTGGTCTAGTAAGGCTTCATTGATCTGGTGCATCCAGGAATTCTCTAAGAGAAACGCAATGATATGGAGAACATGCTTCGTTGCATCTGGATCTAAAGTGGGTTGTTTCAACATATTTGTCAAAGGAAAGAAAATATAGTCGGCGATCTTCGACGATAGGACGTATTCGTGCTTATCATAACGGTTTTTGTGCTGATCGAGTTGATTACATAGCGTCTGGAGGTGCTGAATGAGTAATGGGGACTTTTCATTGAGATCAGCGGGAGGTAGGGAAGAAACTTGTGAGAGTTCCACACAAGTGGGCTTCACTAGGGAGAAAAGCTCCAGCGATATTCGCCGCTCGTCTGCCATCACTTGGACCTCTTGAAGTAGTCTTGATACTATACATTGAAGAAGATATTCTATGCAAATTCTCGCACGTGACCAGATTCGGACTTTTTGGTGATTTGCAACCATTTCTATTTACATGAAGTTGGTTATAATTTGAAAACGTTCGAGTTATCCCAGCCTTTCTTGCCAAGAAGACCAGCCACGTCTCCTTGCTCATTAGTTTCAAGAAGTTTTTTGCCCGCCACATAGTCCACGTAGCCATCGGGACCACAGACCACTGCAAGCGATGGTGGAGTCTTTGGCTCAGCAGCTGTATGTTGAGCTTGATGAAGAGCATTTTCGTAACGAGGGACCCGCTGGGTCTCTTCAGCTGGGACTGTATCTTTGGACTGTTTTTCTTCCTTAGTATCACGCATGATTGCCATTCTAAGTTTCAACTTGTCCTCTTCCAGTAACTCTTCCTTTTTCTCCATCAGCTGTTCAACCCTCATAGAACTCAAAAAGTTTGGTTTCAGCGGTTTCTGGATATCTTTTGATGAAAGGGCAGTTTTTGGTTGACTATCGTAATGAGTTTGAAGCCTGATCCTATCAAGCTTCTCTAAGAAGAATAGGTATCTTCTAAAAGGTTCTAGTTCTGATGGCTTGTGGGCAGAATAGTGAACATCCACAAAGCCTCTGTATGGGTTTCTGGAAAAAAGACACTGAAGAATAGGAGCAAGGCCTGTACCAGCACCAAAGAAATTGAGGTTATCAAAATCAGGTAAGTTATTCTCCTTCTTCAAAACAGGCAAAAGTGATTCAGCCTCGACCTTCGATGGTAAGTCCCTAAACATAGGCCTCTGATGAAACTGTTTAAGTGGGTGATGTGGAAATTTGTAGTCAGTGTATGGGCCTCTAATATCAATAATATCGCCCACTTTTCGAGAAGTGAGATATCTCGACATTTCTCCATCATCGTACTTTTTGATATAGAAAGTCATGACTCCACCCTTATCATAATCTTCTCTGTCATTGTCAATGATTCTAAGGAGCGGCTCCTCTTCTCCAGACCGGGTTCTCTCAGATTTCATGAAGTATAAAGGTAAAGGAGTGTAGGATCTCACGATCTGGATCTGGGGCTGCATGATCTCAACGGACCAGAGTCTATCTCCATTCCAGATCGTCTTTCCTTCGTAGTTAGCATAGTAGCTGTATTGCCAATTCTTGAATTTAGGAACAACCTCAATCAAAAAGTGATCCTCGTCAACCTGCTTGACATGAGTGACCTTGAATGGATGGAAATGATCCGGGTCCAAGAGTTCTTTACTATCTGAACCCTTTTCGGATGGGAAATACCACACTTTGACGGTATAGCCACCCCATAACACAAGCAAAGCCGCCAAAACCTTAGGCATATATCTACTCCAACGAGTTACTGTCTTTGGCTTTTGCACTTTGTTGGAGAACTTCGTGAATTCGTCTTGATTTGGCATTCCAGGCATATCGTACGAGAGCCTGTCGTGTCTTAACTTAGGCACGTAAGGCTTGTTGTCTTTTTTCATCAAGCTTTGAATTCCCTGATCAATGGGCATATCAGCGGGCGCTGATGAAGATGTCTTTCGGTTCACTTGGAATACAGCCTTATCCTCATCCTTCTTAGCTAGTTCTTTATCTTTGTCAGAATTGTCATTTTTACTTGAATAATTTAATTTTGAGAACCGTAGGCTAGACACGAGTTGCCTCCTGAGTTGAAAGGTCGACCTTAAATGGCCCAAGCTATGCATTTGGTTGTCTCTAATCCATGCATCTCTCCAGGTATCAATGAGTAGATGCGGTGCACGGGTCTACGTATTTGCAACCCCAGTAATGGCGACAACCCAACGATAAAATCTATTCCAGATGAACATAATAAAAGTAGCATTATGAAAGCAAGCTATACCCGTTGGACGTTAACTTCGAAGTTTTGCAAGTACTTTGAAACCCTACAGTATCTAATCAGCCTCTGTGTTTGTTGCCCAGCCCGACCTTGATTAGTCGAAGATAAATGTGAAGATACTCAAATAACCAATGTCACTTGATTTAGCTACTCATATATATATTTCAGCAGCATTATGTTCTCTGGTTGTCCTTTATCGATCTCTAAACAACTCCAAACGAATTCACGTCACGTGCAGAATTTTCGTGTGGTTCCTGCAAAAATCTAGGCGAAAATTTTTTCTTCTCACAGTAACCACTAAACTACTTTCTTTCCATAACTAATTGAAGTATGTATCCAACATGCTACAATCAGAAGGGCTGATGTTGAGGTAAAGCAATCAACGAAACAATGGTATAAGAATTTGATGTCTTGAGCAGTTTGACACCATCATTTGTTTATCTTTACGATACAGAAATGACAGTGAAGGATCTGGTCTCCTGGTGGATGGACACTTCATAAGGAAGTGCCCAGAGACAGCAAATACCTTGTATCACTTTCTTGCTCATGAATCCTTTGGGACACTCATGCGGCTTCTGTTTTGTTTGGTTGTAATTTTTTATACTAACTCATTTCTTAGAAATGACTAGAACTTCCGTTTTGGCTGATGCCTTGAACTCCATTAACAACGCTGAGAAGACCGGCAAGCGTCAGGTTTTGATCAGACCTTCCTCCAAGGTTATTATTAAATTCTTGCAGGTTATGCAGAAGCACGGTATGTTATAACACACTTTATACTTCCTGAATTGTTGCCCTTTCTACCAACACCCAAAACCCGAATTGATAACTGGATGGATTGAACGGTATCAGTCCCTTTCTGTCTTTTAAGTATTCGGGAGATCGAAGAGGAGGTTCTCTTACACGATGTTGGGCGGTTTTACCTACCTCATTATCGTTTATTCTTCCTCGACATTTTTTCTCTATGTTGCAACGTTCAGTTTTTGTGGATTATAATACTAACTTAAAGGCTACATTGGTGAGTTCGAGTACATTGATGACCACAGATCTGGTAAGATCGTCGTTCAATTGACCGGTAGATTGAACAAGTGTGGTGTCATTTCTCCAAGATTCAACGTCAAGATCGGTGACATCGAGAGATGGACTGACAACTTGTTGCCAGCCAGACAGTTCGGTTTCGTCATCTTGACCACCTCTGCTGGTATCATGGACCACGAGGAGGCCAGAAGAAAGCACGTCTCCGGTAAGATCTTGGGTTTCGTTTACTAATTGTGATAGTAGGGTAATAAAATGGACTAATCTGAATACAAATGTGTAGTAGCCGTCTCACAAAAGAAAGTAGTGACTGTTGAAGACCGAATCCAAGTAGAAAATGTAACCTAGGCTGGAGATGTACTGATGGCTGTTCCTGGCTTTCGAGCGGTTGCAACCTTCCGGTTCATTTTGCAGCCGCTCCGCGAACGGCACCAAACCCCAACTTCCAACTATTCAACAATCACCACATTCGTTATGGCAGCGTACGAAGTAATTGACGCTTTCGTGAGTGATGGACTCTTAAACCAAAGAATTGCACTTTCTGTTCCACTTTCATATTCCAAGACTTCTGGAGAGAAGATCACTATTGTCGCTAACATTAACCAGAAGTACGACAATAAGCTCCATCAGGACATCCAGAAGGTTGCTTTTCCCAAAGATGCAAAGCCATTGGCCTATATCCAGGGAGGCCCAGGGTTCCCATGTGCTGTTCCATTGACAAATAGTGGCCTCACAAAGATCTTAACTGATAATGGCTACCAGGTGATCTACTATGATCAAAGAGGGACTGGATTGAGTACTCCGATCGAGACAAAGCTCTTGGAGTCTAAAGGCTCTCCGGAAGCCATTGTGGAGTATTTGACTCATTTTAGAGCTGATTCCATTGTGGAAGACTTGGAACACTTGAGAGAGACGCTTTTTGGAAAGTCCAAATGGCTGATCATGGGCCAGTCGTTTGGTGGGTTCTGTTGCTTCACGTACCTTTCTTTCCATGCTGATAGTTTGGAGTCTGTCTTCGTAACAGGAGGTGTTCCACCGGTTGGGTTCACTGCCGATGACGTTTATACTCAGACCTATAAACGCACTGCTGAAAGAAACTTCCATTACTATTCGAAGTATCCTGGGGATAAGGACCGTGTGAAGAAAATTTTGCAATACTTGAATGCAAACAAGGTTTTGTTACCTGATGGAGGTGAATTATCTGTTGAACGTTTCCAACAATTGGGTCTTAATTTTGGGGCTTCTGGAGGAACCGATGCTATTCATCAGCTTGTGGTTAAGTTTGCCTGGGACTTGGAGACATTTGGAGAACCAACATACGCAGTTTTGAGTGATGTACAACTGAAGCATAGTTTCGATACGAATATCTTGTATGCCTTGTTCCAAGAATGCATCTATGCTGATAACAAAGGAAGTGCAACAAACTGGGCGGCAGATAGGATACGGTATGCTGAAGGAAACGAGAAATTCGTCTTCAGTGAAGACCTTTTGAAATCTGATGATCCAGTCTACTTCACTGGCGAGATGGTATTCAAGTCGATGTTCCACGACTACGCCCAGTTGCGTCCTTTGACAGAAGTAGCCCACGCTCTTCATTCCTATGAAGATTGGACCGCTCTTTACGATGATACAAAATTCTCTGCAATTACTTGGGATACATTGCCTGTCGTTGCAGCTACCTATTACTATGATCAGTATGTTGATTTTGATCTTACCATGAAGGTGAAGCTGAAACTTTTCAAAGAGAATGGTAACTTACGGCAGTACATCACGAGCGAATTCTTCCATAATGGTCTTCGTGCTGACCCAGAAAAAGTCGTTGGTAGCCTACTCAAGTTATTAAACTGCGAAGTCGATTAATTTCTACCAAAGTATGAAATAGGAGCAAACCCAACACGGCGAGGACCGTCACTCTTTGTAGCGCCAACAAACCAGTTATCACCTTTTTCACGATGAGAAATTGTGCACTTTTGAAGATCGACTATAACTTGAAGAACGTCTCCTTCTTTGAAGGAAAGATCCCCCGGCTCTTTACCATCGAAGTCTCTTGTCGCAACCCATTCTTCTACCTCATTCAGTCCATCAGGGTAGCTCAAAGCAGTATCGAAGAACTTGCTAAGCTCTAGTAATTTGTAGGAGACGGTATTAGTCTTATCGAAAACATTCTTTCTGGTGCTGAATTGAAACCACTTGGATGTAGTTATTGGCGCAACCTTAATGTCGTTCTTCGATTCATTGTAAATCGACTTGAGTTTTTGTACACTTTGATCAGGAGTAACGTTTGCAGCAAGCATGTCGGATGAAAGCACCGATTCCTCATCGTCACTTTTGTCTGATGACAATGAAAGTTCCGAATCAGAGTCTGGCTGATCATTGGAATCAGTGACATCACCCCAAGATCCAGGATTTGGAGAAGCCATCACACCGATATGTGGTGACAATGCAATTGGATGTAAATCATCGCGAGGTGGGAGCGGAGGAGGAGCCTTGACATCCCTCTCTGGAACATGGACGTCAGTATCCTTTAATGTCTTGGAAGGATGGTAGTCTTCAGACTGGTTCAATTCTTGGGATTCGTATTTGAGGAAAGACTGGAGGGGATCAGCAGTAATATCTTCATTAAAGATACCATTCACATGGTCTTTTGGTTTCAATTTATGCAGCCTGTCGGTCACTTTGTGGGCGGCCAGCAGCCAGGCTTTGTACATCTTGGATGTATTGTCCTTATCCTCAATATCCTCGTCAAGCTTTTCAGGGTTCCTGTCATGAATTGACGTCACAAAAGACTCGATTCGAAGTCTAGTTGGTGTTACCGCAGTTTCCCATGCATCTATGAGAGCCTGATACTGTTCAGAACCTTCAAGCTTCTCGTGTATAGCAAAGCCATGGAACACGGAGAATTCACGAATTTCCGATTCAATCTGCTTGTATGTTTCCTCATGGCTGCTGATAATGACCTTGGTTATGGTATCAACGTATTCCTCAAGGAGTGCAACGGTCTCGGGAAGTGTAAGTTTAAGACGTGAGTTGATGTTTTCATACTGGTTTTTGGCTTCTTGTAACTTTGGTTCGAGCGAATTGAGCTCCTTTTGGTCCTTTTCATCCAAAGGAACGTTCTTTTTCATAAGTTTCTCCGTTTTCCTCTGAAGATCAAGGTACTTGATCTTCCGTTTTGTTCTCAACTTCAACAGCTTCATGGAGTATTTAAGTTGTTGCCTCATTTCATCGTTCTTCAGATGAACTAGCTTTGCGAGCTGTTCAGAATCTAGCGCAACCTTCTCTCTCAATTGGTCGATTGTGAATAAGAAGTTAGTCAATGCAAAATTCACACTAGGAATTGTTGGCTGTCTTTCCTTTGGATGCATAGCAAACAGTTCCAGGAACTCCAGCACCTTATCAAAAGCGTCATAGTATTCGGCAATGTCTTCAAACTCCAAAGAGTTCTCGCCCGTCAAGTCTAGGAAACCTTTGGTTGCCCTGGTCATCGACCTAAACACAAAAGGCCAGTAACGCTTCGAAAAGCGATCTGTTTGTGCACTGATATACTTCAATGCCTTTTGGGACTGCTTCAAGTTGTGGTACAAGTGATCTAGTAGGTCATCATCCACGTTATAGTTCTTCCTGCGGTAGGCGTGGTCTTTCACGGATACTCCAAGAGAAGAGCTTTTGTCCTTAACAGTATGGCCGAAGGACGTGCTCTTATCCTTCACGGAATGGCCAAATGATGACAATCCCTTTCCCAAGCCAGACATGCTTGTAGTACTAGCCAAGTAGTTTCTCAAGCAACGGTTTCTTCGGCTATGGCGGAGCCGAGCTCATGCAGGGGAGGCCCAGAGAAGGATATAAGACACAAAGAGGAAGGTAAGAAAATAGGAGGGAAAAAAGGCATGATTCGATGATACCAATCGAATTGGGACCCTCACAAACGTGAATTGCCCAAGTTCAAAAATATGTGATTCATCTAGGTGGGACTGATCTGAGAGGCTTAGAACCGTTGAATCAAGTTCTCATTTACCTACAAACGAGGGCCGCAGACCACGAAATATATGCCAGAATCTTGGAAAGTCTTGGGCCATGGAAAATTCGCCAAACACCGTCTATCTGAATTTAAAGATGATCTTTATTTCCTGGCAGGCCCACCTAAAGTGTCCACCCCACCGTACACGATTCCCATTGTAAGGTTGCAAAAAACCATAAGGTGACAATCTCTCAACCTTAAGTAGCCAAATGCAACGCTACATTTTTCTCACAAACATCCCCAGATGGTCTAAGCGGCATTTTGAACATCCACAGCCGACCAGTAAGTTTGACGTTGCCCGTGCTTAATAATGGCACTCTTTATCTGGGGAGTGGAGCTTGGTGGGGGGCCCTGGACAATGGGGTGTGGAGAAAGATGGAGCCGAGAAAGCCGTGATACGATGGACTGCCTCGACTGGATAAAGCTTTGCAAAAGGAGAAGATTGCCATAACAATGCATGTATGGAGACAAGGTAGCAACGTGAACAGCACTTTACAAAAACGGATTATGCCAGTCCCAAAGTAACTTTCTCTAGAGTTTGGTTACACTTTAATACGGGGAGCAGACGTAATGGTACTTCAAGTGGCCTGTCTTCTCTTGCGCCATATCCTGCGGCACATGCTGGGGTAAACGGTAAGTCTTATCTGCTGCAGAAATACTAACCCTTTCTTTATTGTCTCTGGTAAAATACTCGGTAAATTGAAGTGTTTGTGGAGACAGCGCTTCAACCTTCCTTGTGGTTGCTTGCTTGAGCCCCACCAAGCTGCGTAACGGTTGCAAATTACCTGGCCAAATGCCTCTAAGCTTCTGCAAGAACGCCTAACTGGAAACACGAGAGATTAAAAATGAATGGGGTAAATAACCTGCTTAATGGAGGAGGTAACAGAAAGGAAAACAACCACAAAAGAAAATAAAAAAAAGTGCCATCACCATTACAGCTCGGTTGCTAATGACATTGTTACGTCGATCATGGTATTCATGGCATCTCCACTTACCCCAGTTTGCACAAACCGAGCCTCTTTTTTAACGGTTTCTTGAACATATACCTTATTATACAAAGCAGCCTGGGATTTACCAGCCCTTTCCTCCCACTTCTTCCCAATCCGTATGCTCTTTCATGTCCCTGACGTCAAGATCGCGCCATTTGAAGGTTTGCAGCCATGCGTTTAATGAGGACGGAAGCACCCAACAAACAGTAACACCAAAAACAAATCGCACATATATAAAGCCCCTTACTTTCCTCCCCTGAAGCGATAAACCCAATTAAGTCTTGACCTTTTCTTTTTTCCCCAGATTTTCTACGGTCTTCTTGGTCCTTTGCTTACTCGGTAAATGGGAACCGGCATCAGTGCCCCGTTTCTTAAATTGTCCCCGCGAAGAAGCGCTTCTTCCTACATAGTTCGGGTATCCCATTTCCAGGCTTTATTAAAGCCCATCCTTCCTGTCAGGTTTTTTTTTTTTATTACTAATTATCCGTCGTCTTTTTTTCCTTTGAGGAGATACTGAAACTCGCTTGAACTGTTTCTATTTCACTGTTATTTCCTTTTTCGTCGTGCATCTGTTTCATCTCCTTCTGGGTTGCTTTCCTATCAGTAAGGCGTCCTATATTTCTCGTGAGCATGCTATCTTCCCTAAATCGTCGTCGAACGAATGAGTCGGTGCCCAAAGTGAAAAAGTCGGGACGAGTTGAACAAAAAAGCTCATCGAAGTCTTTCTCCGCTACGTTTTCTCCACCCATGCTGACCTCCTCCACCTTCAAACCGGCTTCGCTGACTAACGCTTCCGAACCGATGAAAAGCTCTCGTTCAGCGGCATCAAGCGTTTCCACCTACAACAAGACAAGCACGCTCTCTCGCTCGGGCTCTTCGTCGTTCGACTGCCTGGATTGCTTTTCAGCTCTTGAGCCCGTTACTGAGCCAGGCAAGCTGGTGATCGGCGAAGACTATGTCACCTTGGCGAGTAAGCCCATCTTCGACGGCGCAAACGGCATAATCTTCAAGGCCTCCGACGCTAAAGGCACTGTGGTTGTTGTTATTAAGACCGTCAAGTTCCAAAAGTCCCAAACACCAGAAACTTATAGAGCTCTGGTATTCAGAGAGTTTGACAATTTGAAGAAATGTGCCGCAAGTAAACAAGTGGTGGATGTGTTAGATGTTGCCCGCTCCCGTGATTCCGAAGAGTTGTCCCTCATCATTCCGTACTACGTTCATGGTGATCTCTTGGATTATCTCTGTAAACTTCGGGCGAAGAAAGTCGAAATTTCTCTGAATTTGAGAGATGCTATATTCAAACAGATGGTGAAAGCAGTGGACTTTTTACATCGTCATGACATAGCTCATCGTGATGTGAAGCCTGAAAACTTTCTTCTAGACTCTAAAGGAGTACTTAAACTTAACGATTTTGGATATTCAATTGATCTCACAAAAACGGAGGAACACGCCAACTTAAGTGGGTTATCATGCGGTACTACTTCTTTCAAAGCCCCAGAGTTGATCCAAATTGAGCGTGATGTGAATGAAGGTAAAGAAATCGATGTGTCAAAGATCAACTTCAAGGCTCTAGATATTTGGGCGCTTGGCGTTGTATACTTTCATGTCTTCCTTATGTCTGTGCCTTGGTCTACCGCAAACACCTCTACCGATGATAGAAATAAGGCGATGGAAAAGTACATTCAACGATACCCCGAGGGCGAAAAGCATTTGGATGCGTTGGTTGATAAACTAAATGACCGGAACTTCAGTGATCCACTGAATCCAGCGTTGGCCTTATTTAAAAAGCTTCATTATGATGCTCGTGGTTTGATTCTTCACGCATTGAATCCTAAACCTGACAAACGTTGTTCTTCAGGCACACTTCTTGAATCCCAATGGCTTACACAAGTCTTCGCTCAAACGAAAGATTTGTTAGACCTAATCCCAAAATAAGAGAATCGCCTTTATTCAGTTCTATTTTTTGTTTGGTTGCCTTGCTTTTTTTGGTGTTCTTTTGGGTGGTCGCTGGGTTTGGGATTACAAATGGGTCAGGATAATGGTTTTAGTTTATATAGTGACAGTTTTCAATTTATTTATCACAGGTAGTACGCTCAATAATTATATCCTGTTTTTCTATATCTTTTGGATGTTTTTTCTGGAAGCAGACGGGATCGTCATGACATCCAGAAGAGTACTATTCAAGCAAATAAAGAGATGAGTAATTATGAACATTGGAGTATAAAACAACTATAACATAGTAGTGCAATGAAAAATACTTAGAATAATACAAGGCATGGGCTAAACAAGATGTAACCAAAAGCATGAATCGTAATGATGATGACGATGATGACGGGGATAATGATTAAATCAATGACAAGATGATGGGCAATGATGAACTGTAAAAGGAAGCATGATGATGAGCTTGCATGAGTAATGATGACTAGCCCTGGATGATTAAGTGATGATGAGGAACAATGTTTGGATTATGATGCGATCTTGATGGTAGGCTCTTCAATGAAAGTTTTGGTAGCCAAAGTTTCCAACATTACTGTTTGTTCCACTGTTAGAACCTTGCTGCGAAGAGGATCTTCTTGGATTTCCAGGACCTCTGACACCCAATGGGTTTTTAGAGAAAGATAACCTTATGCCACCCTTACCATTGCTACCGTTTGGTCTGGGCAAAGCTCTTCCGTACAACTCAGCCAATGCGATGGTGGCATGAGCAACATCTTCGAACTCAACAAAACACATTGGTCCATGATTGTGCGAAGATGAGCTGGAACTTGAGCTGGAAGATTGGTTCTTTGTCCTGAAAGACAATCTTCTGAAGCCTTTCTGTGGTGAGAACAAAGTACGAAGCTCGGCTTCAGTAGCATCTGGAGGAAGGTTACCGACATACAAAGTGTTGCAAGGCGGGTTCTGATCCGCAGGATTAGCAGGTGGAGGTACTCTTGCCAACAACGACAAGTCAGGAACGTCCTTTGTTGATGAGCGAGCAGCACTGGTTGGAGTAGTAGCAGAGTTTGGTTGGGATGAAGGAGCGTTCTGTTGGGTGCCCGATGGAGTGGAGGCAGATGGTGGACCGTTTCTATTAGCCGAGTTTGATGGAATAGTCAACGGCGTCAAATTGCTTCCATTCGACTGCGTTGGTCCCTGTGATAAGATGGCAGCTACAGTCTGTGGTTGCTGCTGATTCGAAGGTTGCGAAGCCGGCTGGGCCTGAGACTGGGCCCCGGAACCGTTGGTGAAAAATGCTGATGAAGTTCTTCTTCTCTCTCCATTGAGGGAGCCTGGGGCACCAGCAGACGCTGGTGCGCCACTGCTGAGTGGAGTACCTTGCTGCTGCTTACCTTGGTTGCCTTGTTGGCCAGATTGCTGCTGTGGGTTTTGCTGAGACTGTTGTTGTTGACCTTGTTGGGGTTGCTGCTGAGACTGTTGCTGGGATGGCTGTTGCTGCTGTTGTTGCTGCTGCTGCTGCTGGGAGCCAGAACCGACACCCCATTCAAAAGAATTAGGAACGTTCATGCCAGGAGTTTCAGGGGCTGAGCCAAAGTTGATAGCGTTTTGTGGTTGGGAAGACCATGGATCACGAACAAGGTTTTCGTATTCTCTGGCATCATTATGCGATTCCATCATCAAAATTGACTTGCCAGTAATGTCACTCAAATCAATAGAGCCAGATGGAGCATTAGCATTCGTTGGAGTAGTAGTGCCTGAAAATGGATCGCTAAAAAGGAATCTGGATCTCTGGTTACCCACCGACTTGCGTTTCTGGAAATCGAAGGATCCCTGTTGTCCAGACTGGGATCCAGATAAAAGCTGTGCCGCCAGAGGAACAGTATGGGAAGATGGCGGAGAAATGCCAGAGGTGGATAACCTCATGTTGTTGAATGCACTGGAAGTGGTTGCCATGGACACATTTGCATCGTATTCCACGTTGACCTGAGGCAGGTTTTCACCAAAGATGGGCTTATGCTCGAGAAGTTTCCCCGTGGTAATGCAGGTGTTCAAAGACTTGAATACAGCTGTGATGACTTGGTCCTTGAGTTCAACACTAGCGATGTCATCGTTGACCAAAGCAAAGATGAGCTGAGCCTCTCTCTCCGACAAGTCGGCTGGTACATTCAGAAGCTTCAAGGAGAATTGCTGCAGCAGAATAGAGCCAGAAGAGGGCTGTTGATGACTGCTGGCCGGCTGGGACATGGAGGAGAAGGAGCCCGAGAGGAGGTTGGGCTGACCAGGCAACGAGGAGGTCGGGTTAAGATTTGCATTCATCATGGGTCCTGTTGATGCAAATTGTAGATTAGTTTCTGAAGTCATGTGAGGAATTGCTTGAAGGAAGCTTGATGGTCGGTGTTAGGTTTGGGAAGATATGTGATAACAGAAACACGGGATAATGAGGGATGATGTGGGTAAAGAATCGACAAGAGAAGATTCAAATGAAACAGGTCCTTTCTTAGCTTTTGGATGATGGGAGGACCAGTAGGAACGTAACGTGTTATGTGCTTATTTTTTTTTTTTTTTTTCTTCAATCCAGTTCAATAAAAAAAAAATAGAAAAACAAAAAAAACCGACGGATTGACTTAAAAGATTTCGTCTAGGCGACCAGGAAAGGAATTTTGGGTATTAAACGAATATAAGACGTTGATGGCTTTTCGCTAATGTCGTTGTTGTGGAAGAAGTATGTAGTAAGTTGGTGTTGAAGTTTCTCAACAGTTTTTTTTTTTTTTAGTCTTGTTTTTTAGGTTATTTTCCTTTTGGTGTATTCTCGCTACGGAGACCGGAGGCAAACAGTCGAGGGAAAGAAAAAAAAAAAAAAAAAAAAAAAAAAAGAACCGGTGCGTCTCTCGTGCGTCTACCATGCTCACGCCCTCGAGTCTGCGGTTTCAACCAATAATATCGCAGCACCGCCACCGGATTGTACTCACATTTACGCACAAGTATCCCTTTCCGGAACAAGCCAGCACAATACTAAAGGTGCCACCGCCAAAGTACATCCCAGCACGGCTGGCTGACTACCGACCCGGGAGCGAGAACACGGGTCCCCGGCTGGTTCTGCCTGTTGTGGTCAGGGCGACTCATGAATTTTCTGGGGCCCCCAGGGCCCTTGGCCAGCCTCACACGCCCCAGGTTCGGTTTGTGGTGAAAAATGGGGAAACCTTATGGATGTGAGAGAGCTTTAGAGAGGCATAAAACGACAGTAAGGCTGATTTCTTATATTCTCTTAAAGTATCTTATTCTGATGCCATTGTTGGGGAATTGCAGTATTAAAGTATTTTAGTCTCAACGGTCAACGGTTTACGGCTAAGCCAGACTGTGGGCTCGGTTATGTTTGGTGCGTCGATGAGAACGTTAGAGGAGGTGAATCGAGGAGGACCAATTGCCTAGGGGAGTTTGGGCCAGAATTTATAAAAAGATAAAGAAAGGCAAAGGAGGGGTAATAAGTAAGAGAAGTCGTAAACGTTGTATGGGCTCTTTTTCTATCTGTGTAGCTTGTTTCTTCATTGGCCTTATGGCTGCAAATGTCTGCGCTGTAGGATTTGCAGACACCTACATGGAACGATCATTGACACGTCCAGACCAACGCAGGACACATTTGTTGATAAGTTATAAATGGCCTCTGTGGGTTGCTGAGGCTTGAAAGTGCCCCTTCTATATATTTTGCATGTTCTACTTGGATACTACTACTTCTTTCATCATCGTATATTTAAGCCATATATACTAAGCTATACCGGTAGGTTGGACCCGCAGTCCAGTTCCTACAGTTCCTACCTCGCAAGGACACTTTCAAGCACCTTGCCGCTTTTCTTGCTGAGGTATTTTTCCAACGAATCTTTGGCATCATGCTCAAGAACTTTCCGGAAGTAGCATTGCTTGTACTTCTTCTTGTTCACGTCTTTTGCTCTGATGCAAATATCGCTGGGTGCTAGTGTTTCTGGTAAGTAACACTCGATGCCACCGTATCTCTTCCTCTTCGTCCCCATCACCGGAACGTGTGACAATGTTTCCTCTTTGATGTCGGTATTAATAAACCCTAGAACTGCCTCGTACTCGCAGTTCTTGCGAACGAAACGAAGCTTGACAGAACTTTCATGCTTGTTGGTGAGCCCGCCGTCATACTCGTCTGAATGACTCAAGAATTGACACGAATCATACGGTATGACAAGAAGAGGTGCTCTTCTCTTTCTTCTGCGGGACTTAAGCTCACAAATGCATAGTGTGCTTTCGAAGAAAAGAAGCAATGCGGCAGTGTTGGACATGCTCCAGTTCTTGCCTGACATGTACCAATCTCTCCCAAATTTTGGCCATGTAAGGCTTGCGACTGAAGCGTACTTCAACTTACCATAAAACTGAGGGCATTTGCCAATCGTGTCTTCGAAGCGGACTAGCGATGTGATATCAACCTCAGTCTTGGTTGATCTTGTTTCCAACTCGGAATTGATCCGATGGAGGCTATCCTTGACACTTTGTAAGCATTCAGCTACTGCAGTGTTATCTGGATTAGCCTTGGATAACAGAGTAATGAGTAGTTGGTACTTTACAATGCGAGACATCGGTTTTTGGACCAACAGAAGGACGGAGAGGTCCAACTTAGCGTTATTCTCGTCAGCTGCGTTGGCTTTTTCCAACTTTTCAACAATTGACTTAGTGAACTCTGGAGTAAATACGACCGGTGAGTTCATGATTAGATACGAGAATGCATCAGCATTGACATAGTACTGAACATATGTTTCTGTATCTTCGAGAATGCATTTAATTTGGTTAAGAAGCTCTTGGCCCTTAAGTCCTTTCAAAGTGCTGTGCTTTGATATGACGCTAGACGCCAACGTTGCGAGAGCCTCGAGAGGAGCACAGCGGGCTCCACTTTGCTTGCATCTCTTGAGGTATGGGCGGATGACATGATCCCGGAGCAAAACGAGAGACTTCAAAAATGTGGCTTCCGTCTCGATAAGCTCATCCATGATGTAACCCAGTTGGGTGTTGGCGAAACACCCGAGGCTGGTGCGCTCTCGTAAGGTCGAAGGAGGACTTGTTCCCCTCGTGTCCGTCTTTCTTGTTGCAAGACGGCCATTATCAAAAATGCTTTCATTACCATCGCTGGTCAAATTTGAGCATCCTGAAGTACTTTCTTTCTTATGGATATTTTTACCGCTGCATTCCTCTTCCCTCTTCTGAACCCGCTCTGGTACTCTTGGGAAAAGATGATGCTTTGGTTGGCTTGCTGGCCAAGTATAGGTATATCTAAGCTTTTTAGGGCATAAGATATTCAGCTGACGTGGCTTTTTGTTTTTAGAGCGTGTTGGAGAAATGGCTGCAAAACTTGTGCTCCATTGAGTAGTTGAGTGCGTCATGGTGAAAGCTTTGAAATATATGAAGAAAAAGATAAAGAAAAGAAGAATTACCAAAAGACAAAAACTTTTGTATCGATGTGTTCAATTTACATCCTTCCATCGCTACTTCTTGAAGAATGCCTTCTTCCCTGTTCATACCTTTCTCAGCAGTATCGCCAACTAGGGTATGTGGAGGGAAACATCACCACCTCCCGCACCAGAAAAGGAAGGCAGTATCAGAGAGACAAGGCACCAGTGTGACCCCACAATTATTACCCTATGGATGTCCTTGACTCGCAAAAGCAAATCAACGGGATTTGCCTAGACCTCTTACTTCAAGAAATAGTGCCGCTATCGCTAAGGGTGACGCATCTCAATGCCGAAAAGAGACAGCTGCAAGATACTGGAAAGGATTGCCAAACACGAATTGACACGCCTCTACTGAAGATTGCTGGCGACCTTCCTGGCCGAATTGCCATCTTTGAATCTGAACACTTGTCACAAGATGAGGTCACGTTGCGTGTTGAATCCTACGGATACGCAACTGGCCTCCGTCTCACCGAGGTGTTGATGTACAAATCAGAGGGACAGCTCAGCAAAATAGTTGATATTTTGGATGTAATGAAATTTGTGTGTCGAGATGTTTGGAAGAGTTTATATAGCAAGCAGATGGATAACCTTCGGACCAACCACAGAGGCACTTTTGTTCTCATTGACAATGAGCACAGACTCATATCGGGATTGAACAGTTCCAAGGGGAACCCCGATTCTATAAGTAAGGCACGTACTTACTTGTGGTTCTCCTGTGGGCTCATAAGGGGTGTTCTTATGAGTTTTGGAATAGAGGCATATGTGGCTGCTGAAATATCCCAATTTCCAGCTGTCATCTTCAACATTCAGACAAGCATAAACAATTAAAATGGCGATTGCCTAGTATGAGTCTCGATAGGTTCCCGGCTACGAACCAGTTGATTTATAGTACTTAGTGCATTTGTTGTTCGTCTTCTGAACTGGTCGGAAAAGCACGCCAACAAGAGCCTTACTTTATATAGCTACTACAGAGAACATACCTAGTAATCTTAGATAAAATTGAATGTAGATGGTCGAAGGACTGGTTCTTCGGGTCTTCATGGCACTACTCCTAGGCGTTGCTCAGTCTCATCTCAAGCTCATCCATATCTCATACAGTACATACTAAACAGTTCTTTCTAAGATGGCCAGATGTTTCGGCATGTTGTTAGACATATAGCGACAACCGCTAGGTTGAAACAGGTCAGTACTGTCCTCCAAAGAACAGATCCTCGGCATGTACTCAATACAAGTTTCGTGGACACGATCAACGATATCGCAAGCGAGCAGAAGAGATACACAGTCACGAACTATGAAACTAGGATTCGAGTGAATCACTACCTACAGGCTGTTTTCCAAGGAGACACAGCTCATGCTTTACAGTTATTGGGGAAATTCAAAGACAAATGCAAGTCAAATAGAACGCATTCATCGTTTCCGAGGAATGTCCAGATTTACATTTCTTGTTTGAGTACCTTGGCTGCCCAGCTATCATCATCTTCGGGTGGTTCCGATCGTGATTTTACAGCAATACGACGGACTATTGACGAGGTTGCCTCAATTCCTGAATATATTTCTCTGGACGTTGATGAATCTCAGTTAACCCGAATCTGGCTGCAACTAGTGATAGCTCTAGTTCGCCATTTAGACCATCTACCTTCTGATGACCTTGCTAGGCGCCATCGAATCCGGAAACTTGCTTTAAACCTAGTTAATGAGCAATGCATTTCCACAGAAAGCTTAGAAAAGCTCATCGAAACCGACTACCCCCAACTTTTACGTTCTTTAAATTATATTTGGCCATTTACTCAGCACAAATCTACCGAGGAGACTAAGATTAATGTTCTGCCCTTTTTAAACAAAGACGGCTCCATGAGTTATCTGGGGTTATGTGATTTTATCGGATCATCAAGGTATCAATACAAATCTGATCAGCGTCCCATGTTCGAAATTTATGACTCGCTAGAAGGAAGCGATAAAGATGAGTTCTTCAAAGCATATTTGGATTACAATAAGGCCCGCCAATTGGAGGTTGAACACTACTGTGGCTCCCTTCAAGAGTCTTTCTCTTCCGACCAAAACGGTCAAAATTTCCGAACTTTCAATTCTTTGCATGGCGAACAGATGATTCAATGGCACCATCAGATATGTTCTGCTCTTCAGAGTCTTGATAAAAGCTCTCACAAGAGCCTCTCAAAATTCGAGTTTTTCTTCACCGTTTACCCTGTCGAAAAGCTTGTCTCTTTGGTCCTTACCAGAATGATTTCCTTGACTCTTGCCACGGGCCAGGTACGGACTATCACTCTTGCACGGTCGATTTCAAGCTCTTTTAAATGGTCATTCTTCACTGAACCTACTCTTCGACCTATGTTGCAAGACCTCGATCACTACCTCAATGATGAAGATGCTATAGAATTCTTCTGTGGGTTAATAAAGGTCGTTGTCGATACATGTGTATTGAAAAACGACGATGAAATCCGAGGGACCAAGTTGTTTTCTGGTGAAAAGACTAGCCGGCCTGTTTTTTCAATTAGCTATCAAAGGTTTTCCCCAGACAGCTCCCCTTTGCATAGGTCTGGGATTATTTTGCTCGACCAGGAGATCATGCTGTATTTCCAATCTCAGAAGGAAATCTTCCATAGCGATTCATATCTCTTGCCAATGCTTTGCCCACCAGTTAATTGGACCTCGCCCATGAAGGGAGGTTTTCTAGAATCTTGTGCTCCATTGGTACGCTCGCCTGATGAAAAAACGACGTTCAAATTTATGGAAAAGGCAAATGAAACTGGGCAACTAAGCTCCCTTTATCGAAGTCTAAGTCTACTTGGGTCGGTTCCCTGGACTATAAACCGTGGAATGCTTGATGTCTTTAACCATGCCCTAGAACAAAGTCGAGGATTCTTGAGTATTCCTCCTCCTCTTTCCGAGTTGATGGTTGAGAAAGTACCTACGCCCACACAGAACGCTCCTGGTAATCAGGATGACCCCAAGCAAGCTATGAGAATCTTCAAGCGCCTAAAAGAACAAGCTATCCAGACCTATAATGATCTTCGAGGTCTACGGATTACCTATGAACTCATAAACAAACTGGCAAACTCTTATGGTAAAAATGGAGACATCATGTACCTTCCCCACAATGTTGATTTCCGTGGAAGAGCATATCCTGCTGTTTCATTCCTATCACATCATAATGAGGACTTAGTTAGGTCAGTACTAATGTTTTGGGAAGCAAGGGAACTCGGTCCTAATGGATATGATTGGCTCAAGTATCAGTTGGCAAACCTTTACTCCAAAACAAGTCTCACGATGCCCGAGTCTATACACTTTGTCGCCTCCAATATGGAAAACATCATAGAATCTGCGCAGAATCCTTTCGGTGGCTCCATGTGGTGGACGAAAGGAGACAAGCCTTGGCAGTGTCTCGCACTTTGCAAAGAACTTCTTCTGATAGAGAGTTTCGATGGCCCACCATCTACCTACAAATCAAGGATCCCTGTTCATCAAGACGGTACTTGCAATGGTCTTCAGCATTATGCAGCTTTGGGAGCCGATGAAGAAGCCGCAAAGTCCGTCAATTTACTTCCTAGTGCTCAGCGACAAGATGTATATCTGGCCGTTCTCGAGCTTGTCAAAAAACGAGTTCACGAAGACTCTGCTAGTGAAGATGATGATTTGAAGCATCTTGCTTTGATCAGCAAGCCTTTGCTCTCGAGAAAGCTCATAAAACAAACTGTTATGACCACAGTGTATGGTGTGACCCTATTTGGAGCTTCACGCCAAATTGAAGCCAGAGTGCAAGACGTTACAAAGCATTTGGATAATGATACTTTTGAGTCATACTCCAGAATGCAAGTTGCATCTTACATTGCCAAAACTGTGTTAAAGACGATCACGGAATTATTTTCTGGGGCGAAGGCTATTCAGGATTGGCTAGTCCGTAATTGCATAAGATGTATCACGTCCTTTCGCTCGGAGGATTTAAACTTCCAGAATGATGTGGATTTTTTTGGACTGAAGTATTACAGACCAATGATGTGGAGCTCTCTATCTGGCTTTCCTGTCGTTCAGCCTTACAGGCATTTCAAGAAGAAAGAGATTGTGACGCCTTTACAAAAAGTCATGATCCACAAGAAGTCCAGTCTCACCCACATAAATGTCAGGAAGCAACTCAATGCTTTGGCGCCGAACTTTATACATTCATTGGATGCCATTCATCTTCAAATGACATGTTTAGAAGCTAATCGAGGTGGTATTAACTTCGCAGCAGTGCATGACTCGTTCTGGACTCATGCCGGTGATGTTGAAATTTTAAGCAGAGCAATTCGTCTGGAGTTTGTTAGATTACACAGTTCCCATATCATCCAAAACTTGAAGGACGATTTGGATTTTACTAATCGTGACGCAATGCAGGTTGTTTGGGCTGAAAATCAAGAAGACCCACTTTTCATCGAAGCATTGCAAACAACAAGACAAGCTTACAACATCGATGAACCCAAGCAGCGAGGGGCCCGCTATTTTAACAAATGTCTAATGCATGAGCTCAAGGATCCATCACAAGTTTCCGCTTTGGTAAGAGAACACAGCCCGAAGCTCTGGTTCCAGCCAAAGAACAACAGCAAAACAGCAGAACGCTATGATCAAGACATTGAGGGAGTCGAGAAAGTATCTCCCAAAACCCACACACCGCTCTTGGTGGCTGTCAAAATACTCCCAGAGCCACCAATCGGAAAGTTTGATGTTGAAGCGGTTCTTGGAAGTAAATACTTTTTTTCATAGAAACATTAACTTTCATCAATCATTTTTGTAAACGTGAAAATATCCGGTCCCGGTGAATCGCCAACTCGCTGTCTCCTTCATCTTCAAAAAATCTCTGCCGTTCAAATGTTTCATCCGGATCATACAGTTCACTATTGTCATTTAATAGTTCATCATAGAGATTGTCGAACTCCTCGGTGCCCCGCAGTAGATGGCTGGTACCTTCAAACTCCTCAGGTGTTTCTAACACTGCCACGGCAGGTTCTTCTTCATCTGCATCATAGCTTCCATACGTGTCGCTAAGTGCTCCCGCATCCTCATCTTCAGGATAATCGTTCTGATAGAATGATTCAGCATTTGAGTCCTCGTCATCCGATCTGTTCAGATTGACATCATCATCTGAATGCATGAAGTCGTAATTCTCGTCATCAAAGAAGCGAATGTAACCGATCTGTGATTTAGGGTAATTGGCTTCTGTCAATGGCTCCAGCGCAGAAAGCTTATATGTGTCAAAGACGTAGTCTCCAGTTACATCGCCAGACGGCTCTTCTGTGGTGGGTTCCTTGGGCTGAGACGTAGATGGAGGCCCTCCTGCGGCTGCCCTTCCAGACTTCCGCTTCTTTCTTGTGGTAGTCTCATTAATACTCAAAAAATCGGCTACCATGTCAGTTAACTCATGTGGGATAATGGAGTCCTCTAGGGTATGCTTCTTGGGAATCACAAATTGTCGAGCGTCTCTTTTATTGTTCCTTGCTTCTGTTAGAAGAGAATCCGTAATAGTATTCTCTTTGTTGAAATCATCCGTACTGTCTAATTCGAAATACCAATTCCTTGTTTCGGCAGATGGAGATGGTTGCCCCGATGCGATTGGAGTCGCTGGTTTCGACTTCTTAGAAGGCTGCCTCCCTTCCAAGATCAATGCTTGCAAGGGGTCTTCCCCTCTTTTTCTCTTGATTCGAAGGACCAGTGGTGGAGTGTGAGACATATTGTCTGGTTTGTCTCCCCTTTGCTGAGAGTGTGGGGTCTGATGATTTTATCTACAAAGTATGTAGGATGGTTGAGTGCGCGGGCCGTCTCTTTTGCAGCCATTTCTACAGCTCCTACTACTTCTTAAGCCATCCCATTGAAATGTCGTCGTTCGCTAATTCCTGCTTCTATTCTGTTCACCGCCATTTGAGACGGCTCTCGCATCTTGTTGTTGGTCACCTGTTCGAGAGTTCGAAGGACATAGTTGTTGTTACCGGTGGTTCATCAGGGTTGGGGAGAGAGCTAGCATCTCTGTTTGCGGCCACCGGTGCCCAAGTGGCCGTCGTCGATGTGAATCTTCCCCTGACAGAAGCATCTGTTCCTTCGGTTCATTATTTCAAATGTGATGTGGGGCTGAGAGAAGAAGTCGAAAGCTGCTATGAGCAGATATGTGCCACAATGGGTGTTCCAACTATACTAATCAACAATGCTGGTATTACGGATGGAAAAACCATTCTTGAGATGTCTTATCCAGATATCGAGAGGATTATCCGTATCAATTTGCTTCTGAGCTTCTTCACTATTAAGGTTTTCCTTCCTTCTATGCTAGCCCAAAGACGTGGCTACATTGTCACTATCGGATCCGTCCTAGGCTATATGTCACCGGCGCAGCTCAGTGCCTATGGAGCATCCAAGTCTGGCCTTGTTGCAATTCACGAGCTGCTCACGTATGAGCTCGGCCCTCCTCTGCTCTGTGTGACCGGAGTCAAAACACTCCTAGTATGTCCCGGAAAAATGAAAACTTCCATGTTTGACGGGGTGGTAAGTCCATGGCGTTGGTTAGCACCAGAGTTAGAGCCCCTGGATGTTGCACGTACTATTCTCGAAGCACTCGAACATGGACGGCGTGGTGAAATTAAACTTCCATTGTACGGAAACTTCTTGCCTGTCTTTCGAGCCATGCCTTGGCCCATCACTGAATTAGCAAGACATGTGTCAGGCATCGATGAGAGTATGTGCACCTATAAGAATGCACCAAACAAACAGGCATCAGCCATATCTATGCCCCGTTCTTATTAAGCCCATGTAAAACCGGCAAATCAGAGTATTTCATTGATCGTGAGATTTTGGGGCAGCCAAACGCAGCCACCCTTGGTCTCAGTCAAGACTAATTGGAGAGGTATCCGTCTCGGCTTCCTTTTGTTAAATCTAGTCTGAATGTCTGGGAGCTGTGTGTATAGTTGTTCAGCGAATGTCACGCCAAAAAAGCCTAGAAGATTATCGGAGGCTATATGAATAGTGAGGCTATTCCGCTGTGTGAGTAATGTCGATTCGCCCAATGGGTCTGGTGAAGTATCCGCGATGATAAGTTCTATTGAGGATGTCAGCGGATCAGTCAAGCTGAGTTCACCATCAATAACCTTACAGCCTTTGCATACAGTTTTCAGAATAGCTGGGATTGTACCAGCCACTATTGCCAGTGTATGATAGATCTTGTCGTCTGGACGCAAAGGAAGCTCATTGAGCTCAGAGAGTTTATAGTGGCTCTTGACGCTTCCATTGGAATCCAGAGTGAACGACAAGAGCTGCTGGTCGTCTCTTTGGTCGGCCAACAGAGCTTGAGAATGAGGAAGCTGAGTTAAGAATTGCGTGCCATTGTCCATTTCTTGATTCAGCAGCAGTTGGCCCGCTTGCAGCGGCTGTGAGAGTGGCAGGTCGTGTAAATATTGCCCATGGACAGAAGCAGGGATCTCTTGTTGTTGCAGAGTAATTCCTGACATCTTCCGCTCCCCTTCACTAAATTGGGAAGTAGGCTCAAGAATATCCTGCAATTTTGTCTGAGAGTCAAGGTCTGAATCCATTGTCTCAATCTTAACAGGGTCTTCAGTTAATTCATTCCCTAATGGTTCTGAGGCAATACCTTGAAGACGTTGTAGCACCTCTGATGGTCTGAGATGAGTCTGTCCCGGTAAGTTGACAAAGGGCAGGCATAAAAACCTGTTCCAAAACTCTGATGACTGTGGACTGTTATCAAGATCGGCTATGTTTGCATTTGTCACTCTTCCGGTCAATTTGCTCACAGTTTTGCGGAGCTTGACCTCTATACGAGTAAGACAAAATCTTTCACTCACATCGATCCAGTTGTTTTCTTCGCCAGGAGTATCAATGCCTTCGAAGAGTGCTTTTCCATTATTTTTGGCATGAAATTCCGAGCATAGGCGACGAACAGTATCTAGCGGCATCTGTAGATGAAGGAGCAGATCATGGGGAAGTTCGTGGCCGCCAAAAACATTCATACGATTCCAATCGCTTGCAACATTGGGATTGCTAGAATAGTCTGTGACTATGATGTCTGAAAAGCTTGAGGTATTTACACGAAGGGCAAGTAAGTGCACGAACAAGTATCCAGATTCATAGCCCCTGAAACTCTCTCGGTTTTTCACCTCCAAAAGTGTACTCATGGAGTAGGTTCTGTTGATGCAGGAGTACGAGAATGGTGAACCACCCAAACGCGAGTTTCTAAGAACATCAACAGAATGCGCTGAAGAACAAACACGATCATGTGACACCAAAGAGAATCTCTTATCAAGGATCAATTTTATTTTGAAGGTTTTTATGGCAAGCCTCACAATCGAAAAAACTAGATAACTTCTTTTTTTTTTTTGTAATCACTTGGCGTATTTCACTTTTAGACGGATTAGTGAAAACCAAACTTCTATACATTTGAAGAGTTTCGTGTGGTCTAACATACTATCTTTTTGTGTGGTCTTCAAAGGAGAATGGCCCCAAGAATCTCATGTCAATTTAGTTTTTCGAAGAGCTTTACTTGGAAGAACTTCCGAACTTTAGTGCTGTATAAGATATATCAGTACGAGTGTGATTGAGCTAATTGATCTCTAAATATATTGAAGAAAGCCATTTGGTGCACATTCAACCGTGGCTTGTACATCGAGGACGTTCGCTGCAGCAATTTACAAAGCGATCTAAATTGTCTATGAACGGTAGTCAGCGTTTATAGTGACATATTCATGGGTCAAGTCGCATGTCCAAAAACTTGCCTCTTGTCCGCCTCCTGTGCCCAAGGAGACGTGAACCTCTAAATCTTCCTGTTTCAAAATCTGGCTAGCTCTCTCTTCGTCGACATTTTCAGGCTCGCCGTTAATCAATAAAGGAAGCTCTTTGCTGCCATCTTGCGGGATGAACAGCACAGAAGTGCGTGTAGGGTTGATTGCGTTAGGTCCCACTTTAGAATACCCAACGGCACAAAGAATCCTTCCCCAATTGGCGTCATTACCAAACATTGCGGTTTTGAAAAGAGATGAGTTTGCAATTGACGACGCGATTTCTTTGGCTTCACGGTACGATAACGCATCAGTGACTTTAATGGTGATGAACTTCGTAGCACCTTCACCATCGCGAACCACTAGTTTCGCCAACTGTTGAGCAAATTCGGTCACTTCTGAACGAAGAATAGAAAACTCTTCTGCTGTCTCAGCCGATGCATCGATAAGATTTCCACCAGCGGCACCATTGGCTATCGCGGCGATTGTATCATTGGTAGACATGTCACCATCAACAGATATGGAATTGAATGAGCGCTCGACAGCATACTTTACAATCTGATTCAATGCATTTGCAGAAACAGGTGCATCAGTAGCGAAGAAGCCCAAAAGGGTAGCCATGTTGGGGCATATCATGCCAGCACCTTTGGCTAACCCTGCGAGGGAGTATGTCTTTCCTTGGAGTTCGAATTGCTTACTCACAAGTTTAGGAAACGTGTCTGTGGTGCAAATAGCCTTTGCACAAGCGAGCCAATGTTCGTGGGACGAGCCCAAATTGCTAAGTGCTAATTTGGGCACTCCTTGCAAGATGTTGTCAATGGGCAAGTTTTGTCCAATCACACCGGTAGACATGACAAGCGTTGAGTCTTCTTCATTTTCTAAAACGGCGTCAGTTACTCGTACCATATCTTGAGCATCCTTAATCCCCTGTGTTCCAGTGACAGCGTTAGCATTGCCGGAATTGATAACGATAGAGTCAATTCTTCCATTCTTCCTCTTGATGAGTTCGGACGAAACTTGGACAGGAGCCGCCTTGAATCTATTGGTGGTGAAAACCGCTGATGCTACTCCTTCATTTCCAGAAACATTATGAAGAATAGCCAAATCAAGCGAATTTGGGTTCTTTTTCACTCCACAATGAATACCTCCAACAGCGAAGCCCTTTGGATACAGACCCAGTTTGGCAACAAACCTTTCTGCTTTGGAAAGCGAATTGAATAGGCGACAGGAACTCTTCATAAACCCTCTGTGCTTGACGATAATAATGGGTGGAGGTATCTTTCGCGTTATGATATCTGAAGAGTCATAAAACCTCTGCTGCGATAGGGCTATGATAGCGCACCGCGCTACTGATTGTTTCCGTTCTGATCACAGGAGCTTATTTGGCCAAAAATGTTCAATACATGTCTCATTGTTTTATTGTATCGACCTTATTCGGTACAGAAGAGGTCTGGTTTCGTCCTGGCAAATAAACTTCCCCAGCCAACATTTATTCGCTTCCTATATGTTTCTCCTTTCACTTCTTGCTTATTCGCCAGACGAAATGTATAATCTAGGCCATCATGATGCATAGTTCATTCTTATTTTGAAACAATTGATCTTCCAGTATTTTCATCATAGTTTGCCCCCGAAAAGCTAAGAAGCGATCACCATCTGAATACCCACATCTATATGCTCGAGCTTACTCTCAGTGACAATGAATAAGGAACATATTGCATACCATTACGAACTCTATTTCTCCAAAGATCTCTCATTGCTATTAGATTCATGGTTCGCTTAATTATTTTTATTTTTTTTTTTAGTTTGTTTGAGATCTTCTTACTCTTTGTCTACTAGCTGAAGCTCTGGAGCCTTCCTGTAGGAAACGCTCACGTTAGTACCATGGAAAAAAAAAAAAATATGTAGGTCAAGTTTAGCATCCATCATAGCATTTCCTTTGAACAAAAAAAATGTCTGCTAAAATGTTTCAAAGGTTGCCCACGTCGTCACTTGCCAAGCAGGTAAGTCGACTTAATTTGATTGCAGGCACGCCAAAGACGGCTTTCAAGTTTGGCGAAAGTACGAAGAAGATCGAACTCGTTTTATTGGAGAAGAACATCGCTGGTCCAAGCATCGGATTGAAAAAGTTTTGGAGAGTTCATTTGCCCACATTAAAATTCCACAATGATGACGTTGAATTCTTTTGCACTAGAGTCAGAGCCACTACCAAAGAAGAAATCGCCAAGGTCCCAGCTAAGATCATCATCCACGACACATCAAACAACAAGACTGAAATAGACTGTTCTTCTCACGACAAAGACAGAATACTCAGAAAGTTGGTAAAAGCCACTGGAGCATCGCCTGTGCCAATGGATGATATTCCTCATATTCAACATCCACATCTTGCATTATGATCTCCCTGATACTTGTACATAGCTTTTAACCGATTTGATATATTATGCGTATAGATTAATGTCTTTAAGACTAGATTCTTCCCATCAAAGGCCTTCTAACTCCTGTGGGAATCACCCTAGGACTCAAGAAATTGGAGCAAAGCCTTGCGACCTTTCAGCTCCATCAATGCTCTGATCTTACGAAGTTCTTCGATCTCTGACTCTGCAATGACCTTGCTTTGATCCTTTGTAACCTCCAAGTCCTGGTTTTTGGTAGCTACTGCAACAAGCTCATCTAGATTGAGAGAATCCCGCGATATTTCCAGCTTCGGAGGCCTGTTCTCGTGCTCATTAAGAAAACGTAGATTGTCTACCGCTTCTTCATCTTTAGACTTCTCCGAACGTATTCTCAGTTGATAAATATCCAATTCATCAAGTACTGAAGCCTTGCACGATCTGCTACCCTTGCAGAGAAAATCGAGAAGAACTTGTCGTTCTGGTACACGATAAATGAAGGGTTTCTGATCTTTATCATCTGCATTTGTCATAAGCAACACCCGAGCAAGCTTCTTTGATGACTTCGCAACCACCTTGTTACCCACAGTGTAATTCTCTAGGTAATCGGGATTTTTGAAATTGTGGACGGTATCCTCATCGTTTTCAGACTCCAGAGCATCGTCATATTTTGATGAATATTTTGCCATATAATCTGACTTGTTTGATATGAAATCTTCTTTCTCGAACAGAATATAATCAGATAAAGTAGGCTGCTTGTTCTCACGGATGTACCCCTGATCCTCAAATTTCACTAAAAAGTTGCTAGCCTCCAATATCTTAAGAAAGTTTGAATGAAGACCTGAATCAAGTACTGCGGAATCCCTAAAGGATCTTCTATCAGACCAGCTTATAGGAACAAGATTCTCCACGTGGTTGGGACATCTCCATTTGAGACCAATCGTCTTTGCCAGAGAAACTGGCTCAGGCAAGCAGTCCAAATGCCAATGTAGAGGGCAATAGTCGCATGATACCAAAGTTCTCCGTTTGAGGCCTGACTCCCTACACCGGTGGCACAAAAACGGCCGGCCGCTTTTATCGTAAAGAGATTCGACATCTAAATCTTCGTTCTTATTGTAGCCAACAAGCTGTGAACCATTCACTTTGCTGTAGGAAAGTTCGGGCTTTAAATGCGAATCAGTATAGTTGTCATCCGGACCGGTAGTCACACCGATGAATGTGGCATCCCTAAGTTTCTTTGGCAATTTATATTCGGTCGGATTACGAGCATGCATCGAATTGATAAGGGGGCCAAACATACCGCAATCGTTAAAATATCTCCTTGAATCAATTCCTTGGGCCGCTCGGCATTCATTGCAACTCCAATTCTCTTCGGGTATGTCTTGGATGGGTGGCTCACAACATAGTAGATGGAAAGACTTAGGGCAAGTATCACAGCAAATAAAAACCCCGGTTCCACCACATGTAGAGCAAAAGTCGTCATTAGTGTTCGAGTCGTCAGACTCGGGAGCCAAGTCAGTCGCTGGTGCCAAGCCTACTGTTGGCTGCTTCTTTGGAGAAGTGATTTTGATTCGTTTGACACGAGATCCAGACGATGAGCCCGGACCACTCAGGCTATCTGCGGCCCTCTTTGACTTTGGAGTGGCCGGAATTCTTATTTTGAGGCCCGAGGGTGAAGAAGCCACGTCTGAGTTGGTCGCCCATTTTGGTTTTCGGCCTCGTTTCTTGCCTTTCAAAGGAGTTCGTATCTCAGATGCAGACAGGACAACTTCAGATTTCGGCGTCTCAAGCTGAGCCCGATACTTATTCTCGACCTCCTCAGTGTCTGCTTCACTCGGTGTGGGCGTCGATCGAAGCAGATCAGCCTTCGGTTTCCTACCTCGTGGGTTGCCTGAAGTTGGGCGTTTAATCTTGTGTTGCGGAGGAAGAGCCTCCAATGGATAGCCTGAGTAGCCAGGCTGTGGGTTTGCAAGTTCAGGCTCTATAAACTCGCCTGGTCTTCCAACTTTCTTGGTACCTATGTCTTGCGACAGGTCGGACCTTCCAGAATAAAGCGGATTTTTCCGAGTTGCCGGAGCAGAATCGGAAGACAAAAAAACATCTTCAATATATGGTCCTCCCTCAGATCGTTTTAGAATCCTTGGACTGTCTTGAAGTGATTTTGGTGTGGGAGAACTCGATTGAACTCTTGCTGATTTTCGCTGGGCTGCCAATTTCTTCTTCCCCAATGAGCCCGGCTTCCTCCCCCTTTTTTTGGGCTTTTAGGTTCATCTGCTTTCTTCAACAGTTTGTCGAGTTTAGGTCGCCCTCGCCCTCGAGGGGGGTTGTTCTGTTTGGTTGCACTGGATCCACCATGCGATCAGGAAGGAGTTGATACAGACGCTCCCTGGATAATGACTTCGTTGTCGAGACAGACTATTAAATTGCACGTATGGCAAAAATGCTTAATAATTAATGCGAAGAGGCCGTCCACGCGATGTTATCTTGATATTTCCTTGCAGGCGAAAGAGAGTAGGACGAAATTTTCCATCGCGTTTTGTTGGTGATGTGTGACAGATTAGATCGTTTCACGACAATAACTGGAGCAAGAGAAGGCTTCCGCCAAGTTTAGTGAATAAAATGATTTCTTCCATTCGCAGCCTTTCTCTTCTCTTTTTTCAACTCTCTAATTTTTTTTTTTTCTTTACAGTTCTTCTCTTTATTTTTTTTCGTTTGCTCCTTCTATTATTATTCGGCCTAAGATTAATCTCACATTATTCTTCTTTGTTCCACCAAGAATGGGATATACAAGCTTTTTTCTATTAATCTGATTGAAAACGTAGAGCAAAAAATCACTGACATCGAAGTAGGCGTTATGCTGGCCCTGAAGGTCGAATCTTCCTTTGTCGAGGTCAATAATGTCTTGTCGCTACTAATAGCAGGAAGTCGATGTGACCTTGCCACAACGCTATAATGCTCTTCTTAACATTTATATCTAACAAGCAACTTACTTAGGATTTTAATTTAAATAAAATATAAAAGAATGAAGGAATGATATGATTCTATTTTAGAAGGCAAGAAAATTATAAAAACAAAAATGAAAGACTGAACAGTAGAAGACACGCTTTGTGCATGCTTCTAGATTATCAGGGCAACCAATTAGTTCTTGATATTACTAGATTTTTTGTTCTCCTAGTTCCCAAGAGAAAAGAAAGAGAATTATTAGTGACAGAGTGGTAAGGCGAGATGGTATTCAGACTATGTAACTCTTCAGGCCAGGGGGGCATTCGACTTCTTTGCAGACTTCTTCTTTTTCTTCTTAGGCTCAGGCAAAGGTTCAGCAATGACTTTGGCAAGATCCTCGTCCTGAACCTTTTTGTCAGTCTTGTACAACTCAGGGTTAAAGAATGGGGTGGTGTATTTGGCAACGCCTGTCTTGGTGATTGCAATAGTAGTGAAAAACTGGGCAATGAACGAATCAGATGCGCCTTCCATGATATCATATGGCAAGACGACTTCGTGATTGCTGCATTCAATCAAGCCCACGCGCACCTTTCTTGGATCATCAAAAATCTTGACATTGGCAGGAAAGTTGCCCAGAACCTTTTCTCTGAAAGCATTTAATGCTAAACGAGAAGTGTTCAACTTTAATGAGTAGTTGTTACCTGTCAATTTGTGCAAAGTGGTCTTGAAGTTCGACTTCTTGACCTTTCCATCTGATGATGTGGAGATTAATATATCCAAACCGTACACTTCCAACTCTTCAAACCTATGGGTGTCCATCTTGTTTTTGTGTTCTTTAGCTGGGTTCAAAATCACCTCCTTTGGACCATACAAGACGTCACGCTCCTGGTTGTGGGTTAACATGCTTTGGACTGCGGTTACTCCAAAGTCCTTAGCAATTTTATCCACAACATTGGTAACATCGAAGTTTCTATTGCCTGGCTTGAAAGTCCTAATAGCAGCCTCAGATGCGTTCCATGCGGCATGAAGCAAATCAGCTTTCACCCCGACAATAGGTTCCTCGGAACTTTCGCCAACAATCAAAGTGTCCGCAACGATAGCAGGAAATCCATCAATCTGAACACCAAGCATAATGTTAACAACGTCACCATTCTTGAGGGTTAAGTTTGCATCATCTTCAGCAGATTCTGGTGATAAATGTGCTGGAATATTGTTTGGATTAACGCAAGTTGGGAAAGCAATACCCTTCTTTGTTTTGTTCTTTTTTGAATTGTAAACTTTCAGAAGCTCTTCTTCCATAATCTTGTCACCTAATTCCGAGATATCGAAGATCTTGGATCCGTCTTTGACAGCTTTTCTTACCTCGGACAATACAGCAGAGGAAATGGCTCCAGCAGTCTTATACTTTTCGACGACATCAGAATTGTTGAGAGAGTAATCAATTACCTCTTTTTATCTTCGGCTATATTATTAGTAATGTTTCATCAAACATTGACTGCTAGTATCACACATACGTTTAGTTGACATTATTACTGTTGAAAAGAGACTAGTAAAAAGCTTTTGCTAAGTTGGCAAAAGATGCAGGTTAGTGAGAAAATGTACTTCAGGCTTCTAGCATAAGGAAACCAGTGTCGGAGAATGTCAGCTGTCGACAAACGAACCTGATTGCAAGAACTCCCAAGTAATCCAAAGTTTTCAGTTCTCAACAATCACTTTGGAGACTCCTTCATTGGTTCTTGTGTACGCAGCGTAATACCGGAGCATTCCAAGAAGGCATCCGATCTATATACAACTTTGGGCCATTTGTTTTGCAAACCAAATCTATTTCTGGATTCAAGTTATCTGTATGTTCAAAGCGGTCTCAGTAGATTACCCAGTGTATCACTAAGAATGGCCTTAGCAAGGGAAACATTTGGGGTCACGTGCCTTTAGTGTGTCTAGTAGTTTGGTACATGGGTGGAGCCAAAATGTTAAGGCTAAGATTTGCTTCATCACTCTGAATCATCGATCTCCTACTACCCGTACAAACCCCTAGTTTGTTTCAGGAAATAATGGATAGGGAAAAACGCTCCTCCAAATTTCTAGGGAGTCGGCTATCTTCCATCTTTGCTTCACTGGATTCGTCTCAGCATCAGCAGGAACATCACCAAGCCCGTTCTATTCACTCAAAACTGTCATCAGGAAGCCTTAACCCATTGGCCAAAACTCCACTTTCCAATACTTCTTCATCTCAATTGAGCGCTCCATCATTCCCGAAAGGTGTCAGGCATGGCATGGGCCACTCCTCAGAGCATTCATCTAATAAAACATCTTTCGAAGAACGAATACTCCATGACAATATTAACTCACCCGTTCCAACACGAAAACTTACTAGGAAACCGCCTCCTCCGGATGGAATTATAGATTCTTCGAGCATTCAGAGAAATCAGGAATTGAATGACGGCGCTCTGCTGCTCAACCCTACTGAATTGTCTGTGGTCGGGAAAGATAGAAGCCACATTGATGGTCTTGATGACATAATCGGTACTTTAGAGGACGAAATTCATCAAATGATGAAACCATCCTACGAATCTTTTTCGACACAGTATTCGCCCGCCAAAGAAGGGAACAGTGGCCAATATGAAAAGCATCCAGATTCTGTTGTTTCGGACGATACTGAGGTATATGAGCATAAAAATAGCATTGAGCATCCAGATTTACCCTCAGCATCCAAAACATTCCAGAAAAAAATGACATCTGCAGATTGGGGCTCCGGTGTCAGTCAGCCCACATCCCAATCTGATGGTGATGACGCCGGCTATGAAAACCTTCGCAATTCTAGCTCTTTCATTGAAAAGAATAAGAGCTTCCTGTCTGGTATACACTCGCCAAACCATTCAGACGCAAACCAATTTCCGAAAGGCATGGAAGCAGCTAGTATTAGCGGTTTTCCAAATGCTCATGCATCTCTGGCGAGTGTAGACAGCCTTCACTTCTTAGACGCTGGTGGAACTTATTCAGGTGAGCCGCTACATACTGTTGAGACTACAGGCTCTTCCTTAAGAAGTAATGTTCTAAGCACAACTGACTCGCAATTCAGTATCAGCCTGCCTAACCGTATTGTTAGCTATGACTCAAAGGGCACGCCAGAGTCAAGTAGCCGTGCTGCTATCACTTCGAGTCATTCTGTCAACTATGAAGATTCTTCTTCGCTTCCACAATCTACATATCCCACAGAGCTCCTCCATGAGGTTCTCACTACGGGAACTGGAGGTGGAAGCACTGCCAACAATTTGAGCAACCCAGCCTTGGGTAGGGCACAACCTTCGACAAGGTCGATCCCAACGTATTCACCGCGGACTCCACTTAAAACATCCAATACCTTCACATCAATTGCCAGTGATGCTAGCTGCCCGAAAGGTCTGCCCTCGATGACCAGTGCCAACACGTTCCATAGAAAATCGCTGTCTATGAGTTCAATTTTTAGCTCTAACTCAAATAGGCACATCACATTGGGTACATTGAAGAAGTCTATAACGCTACGACCTGGAGAAGGGGAGCGCTCCAACTATGTGCAATCAATTCGACGCAACGCTGGAACATCGTATAATGACTTGGGTCCAGAGACGTGGAAATTGCCTGTCGGAATTCTTCCAGTTGACAAGCGACAGCTTCTTCCCACAAACGACAGATATAACCGTTTGCGTGGCAACAGAAAAAATCAATCAAGCGGCGTTGGCTTGAAGCACGGTCACTTAGCACCTCGACTACTTGCTGCAGAGGTTGACGAATCTGAGGGACTGAATAAGTTTGGCTCATTGGGAAGGTCAAGCACATTCCAGAGACATGACAAAAAAGATGTCAGTGCAGTTGCACTGTCGAGACTGTCCATTCCATCAACCGTTGTTTCACGTGGGAACCTGCTTAGGCAAAATAGCAATGCACCATCGCGAGCTGGCTCAATTGCTGGGTCATTCCTGAGCTCAATCATGGCTTCAACTGATCCGTCGACTCCCAAGAGAAATTCGGGTATTCATAATGGGTACCAGCCCATGATATCAAGGCATGCCCTGACATCATCTCGAATGTCTGTCGGTAGTATCAGCGATGGTCGGCTCGTCGAGGGGTACTATCAACACCCAGGTTACCGCTACGAAGAAGAAGTTGAAAACACCGAGGGAATCAGCCCGTCCACCGAAAGAACTATGCATCACGATTCTGATGAAGATAACGATGAAAAGCCCCGGTTAGTACTCGCTAATCCTGATAGTGATAGTAGCGATGATTAGACAACAATTCGTCGGGCAACGAGGTAGTTAGAAAATGGCTGCAAAACAGAACATTAATTAGCAGTAGAGTAAGTCTTAGCCTTAAGGCGCACAAAAAAAAAAAGGTGATTTTAATCATGTGATCCGATTCTTCGCGATCCAACCTTTCCACCCAGGTGTTAATATCCAAAAAATCTCAAAACATCTTTGGTTGAATAAGCAAATCTTCCATTGAACCGTTGTTGTTTGCCAAAGATTAATCGAGGCGCATAGGAAGTTCGGATCAATTGGGAAAGTATGTCGGACGCTGGTTATATGCTCATCTATGAGCCCAACACCGCGTCAAAAACCACGGTGTCGGAATTGAAGACGCTCTTGGAGAAAAGCAAGGATGAAGTGAAAATTCTGGCCATGAAGCGTATCATCACAGCGGTATTAAATGGTGACCCGATGCCAGAATTGTTGATGCACATCATCAGGTTTATCATGCCCTCCAGAAATAAGGAATTGAAGAAGTTGTTGTATTTCTACTGGGAAGTTTGCCCCAAGTTGGATAACCAAGGCAAAATGAGGCATGAAATGATTTTGGTGTGTAATGCCATTCAGCATGACTTGCAGCATCCCAATGAATACATTAGAGGAAATACGTTGCGTTTTCTTTGCAAGTTGAGGGAACCAGAATTGTTGGAAACATTGATTCCAAATGTGCGTCAATGCTTGGTTCACAGGCATGCCTATGTAAGGAAAAACGCCATCTTCGCGCTTTACTCCATTTACAAGGTATCTAGTCATCTTATTCCTGATGCTCCTGAGTTGATCTACAGCTTCTTGGTTGAAGAATTTGACTCCGTTTGTAAAAGGAATGCTTTTGTTTGCTTGAGCGACTTGAACAGGGATGCTACTTTACTGTATATCCAGGAGAACATCTATCAGATTGAGACATTAGACCCTCTCTTACAGTTGGCCTTTGTCGAATTCATAAGAAAAGATGCTCAATCTGCAGCTAACTTGAGACAGCAGTATGTTCTTTTGATTTCAGAGATCATCGAATCGTCTTCCAATGTTGTGGTGTACGAAGCAGCTATTACATTGGTGTCATTATCCGCCTCTGCGGAATCAATGGTCTTGGCTGGTAATAAGTTCGTTGAACTTGCCACGAAAGAGGCCGATAACAACGTGAAAATAATCACCTTGGAGCGCATCAGTGAGTTGAACAAAAAAAATCCCGGAGTCTTGCAGGGTTTATGCTTGGATATATTGGGAGTGTTATCTACTCAGGATCTTGGTGTTCGCAAGAAGGCTCTTGATGTGACGTTGCAGTTGATAACAAGCAGAAATGTGGAGGATGTCGTCAAGTTGCTCAAGAAAGAGTTACAGAAGGCTTCCTCTGCAAACGAAGACAATGCCGCAGAGTATAGACAGTTGTTGGTTAACGCCATACATAAGCTTGCTATCGATTTCAGTGAGGTGGCGACGAATGTTATTGATTTACTTTTAGAGTCAATCGGCGATCTCACCAATGCCGCTGCTTATGATGTCGTGACGTTTGTGAAGGAGGTTGTTGAGAAATTTCCTGATTTGCGGGAATCTATTATTCACAAATTGATCAAGAGCTTAGCTGATATTAAATCGGGTAAGGTATTCCGTGGAGCATTCTGGGTATTGGGAGAATACTCATTAAGTGAGCAATCTATCAAAGATGCTTGGAAATTCGTCAGATCAAGTGTTGGCGAAGTTCCAATTTTGGCAAGTGAGAAAAGGCAGCTCGAGGGATATGAGGAAGATGATGCAGAAGAAGGTGAGGACCAATCAACGAGCAAGGTCAAGAAAGGTCCTGTGGTTTTACCTGACGGCACATATGCTACTGAAAGTGCATTGAGTGCCACCAATGTCTCAAGTGAGGACGAAGATGCCTTGCGGATCCGTAAGCTCATTTTAGGTGGAGACTTTTATTTGGCATCCGTTTTGGCTTCTACTCTCGTGAAGTTTGTGTTGAGATTAGGGCGTCTAGAAACCGCTGATAAGCATCTCAACGCGTTGAAGGCTGAGGCCTTGTTGATTATGGTCTCCATACTAAGAGTTGGAGAGTCTAACTTTGCTGTGAAAAAGATCGACGAAGATTCTGCGGACAGGATTTTGGCATGTATAAAATTCTTAACCGACGACCAAGACCATGAACTTATTGAGAAAGGTTTCTTGGAGGACACAAAAGACGCCTACAGGAGCCAGGTTCAAACAGCACAAAAGAAGCAGGCAGAGGCCGATGCCAGAGACTTACACCATAATGCAGAGCACGTTGATGATGCTATTACTTTCAGGCAGCTTGACAAAGATGGGGGCTCCTCGGAAGCTCTTGGTGATGATCTTAATGCTGCTTCAGGCGTCGTCTCTAAAAAGGAGGCATTATCATCAAGGCTCAACAAGATTTTACAGTTGACTGGATTTTCTGATCCAATTTATGCGGAAGCATATGTCAAAGTTCATCAGTATGATGTTACCTTGGAGGTCTTATTGGTCAATCAAACAACTAACACTTTGAGAAATCTTTCAGTCGAATTTGCTACATTGGGAGACTTGAAGGTCGTTGACAATGGTGCCACGGCCAACATTGGGCCCCACGGGTTCTACAACCTATCAGTCACCATCAAGGTTACTAGTGCTGATACTGGTGTAATTTTTGGTAACATCGTGTATGACGGACAACACTCAGATGATTCTACGATTGTCATTCTCAATGATGTTCATGTGGACATAATGGACTACATCAAGCCAGCTACTTGCACTGAAAGTGCCTTCCGTAAAATGTGGAACGAGTTTGAGTGGGAAAATAAGATCACAATTAAGTCAAAGAAGGCGTCATTAAAGGAATACCTAGATGATTTAATGGCTGGAACCAACATGAATTGTTTGACACCTGGCGCCATCATCGGAGAAGAGTGCCACTTTTTGGCTGCCAATCTTTACTCTCGTTCTTCCTTTGGCGAAGATGCATTGGCAAACTTGTGTATTGAGAGACTGGCTGAGGGCACAATTATCGGGCACGTTAGAATAAGGTCGAAGGGTCAGGGCTTAGCTTTGTCTCTTGGTGATCGCGTTGCATCCATTTCACGGAAGTCCAAAGAATTAGAAGTCTCTCGTGTGTAATGTATACGATGGAGCCCTTAGTCCTACATGCTTTCCCCTATAGTTGTTGGAGAAACGAAGGAAATGCTCACTTAGCTCTCAGAAACACCACTAAGATGATTCATATTATAAATAAAATTCAAGACCCCTTCTTTAGCTGTCTGCAGCAGCGCGTCATTCTCAGTCGTTTCGAACAAATGATCGTAGTCGTGCAGTCTAATCGTGGGCAAAACTTTTATGTTTCTCTCGTCCTTGTATTTCTTAAATGGAAACTGGGTGCATAAATCCCTTGCGGTGTTCATCACGTACAGCAAATCGCCCTTCAATGTCACAATATTCAAATTATGATTACAATCGTATTCGGAGAAATCGCAATATGTTTTCTTTGCCGCAAAAGCCTCAAGCAGTGACTCCCTTGCTTCTAGCAAAATGTCGATCTTGTAATTTTGCGACTTGAGCGTGTAAGACTGATTATTCAAAAGATTGTTTAAATCGCTTGAAATTACAAAGCTTAAGTATGCTAATGCAGCCAGAATTTGGCTCACGGTCCCGTATAAAGTCACAATGCGGTCGACACTATATGGACTGCTTTCAGAAAATGAAACAGAGCTGAGGTCAAAATCTAGCATAAGTGTGTTTTGAATATCTGGACTAAGCTTTTGACACTCGGAATTCCCAAGCAATACCCTCATAAAACTAGAATGCAGCCTGCTATCCTCCTCATACATTGTCTTTCTTAAGTGAGCCTTAACTTTCCCGGGCTCCACGATACTTTTGGAAGATTCGGGAATAGTCGGGTTTTCGAGAAGTAGCGGCTTATATGTTTCAGTTCCACTGATTGCTCCATCGTTTCTGCGCTTCCTGTCCTTATGGTTGCGTAAATTGCTTCTTTGTCCCTTTTGGTACATAGTGGTGTTTCTGAGATGATTAGATGGAATGTTTTATTGAGAAAGCTTGTCCAATCAATTATCTTGCATATTCAGTTTGAAGATTGCTGTTTCGTCTAAAAAATGCCTAAATGACTAAATGGACAGCTGAAGGACAACACAGGATTACAGGGTTCGAAATACTTATGGATCATGGCAGAAGTACTACGGTCTGATGTACAGATGTTGTGCACGTGACCTTAAGCTAACTTCAATCCTTTCGTCTAGGGAAATTTCTTTTGGAGCAAAAGATAATTTAGATTACTCGGCTTAGGCATTGACAAGAAGCCTTGAGAAGCATCGAATAAAATTTTGAAACTTCCAGTATTTTGTAAGAGTTTGTCCATAGAGTACCCAGACGGGTTCAATGTCTGGTCTTTCCAGCTCCTTAATATTATCTTTTTTTTTTTCTATCTAAAGATTCTTATAAAAAAGGAAATGTATTTGATTTATTATTACTTTTGTTATTAGTACCTTCTTTTTGGTTTCCTTGCTCAGTCGTTAGATATGAAGAGGCTCTTGAAGGATTTGACATTAACATTCGCAAGTTTTGCGATTTTTCGCATTTTATCGCAAAGTTAGGTACTTGAGAGTGAAACTTCTTTCGATTAAAAAATGAAAACAAAGAATTGATAGAAAAACAAGATTAAAAAAGATGAATTCGAGTTTAAAGAATATTTTTTCGGAATAAAAAAGTAAAATTGATGTTATAAGCAAGAAAGACGAGTGATTTGCAACTGGTATGATTCTCGCTCATAGTGAAGTGTAGGCGCACCGATCGAGGTCTAGATCCGTACACCTCAACATCTCATCTCTTGAAAATTTAGTCTACCTTGAGGTCATCAAGCACTAAGTACCCAGAGAATAACATGTCAAAGAAGGACAAGGTCGAAGAAAGCGGCGAGGACAACTATGATAAGCGCATGGCAGCTGTTTTGCCTTTTGCCAAACCACTTGCATCTAAGAAGGTGAACAAAAAGGTTCTTAAAACCGTGAAGAAGGCATCTAAGGCAAAGCATGTCAAGAGAGGTGTTAAAGAAGTGGTCAAAGCGTTGAGGAAAGGTGAAAAGGGACTCGTTGTAATTGCAGGGGACATATCCCCTGCTGATGTCATCTCTCACATACCTGTTCTTTGTGAGGATTCGTCTGTTCCATACATTTTTATCCCATCCAAAGAGGACTTGGGTTCAGCTGGAGCAACCAAGAGACCCACATCATGCGTCTTTGTTATTCCAGGTGGCGGAAAGTCGAAGAAAAACTCCGACAAGGCCGACGATTACAAAGATTCTTACGATGAGCTTGTGAAGGAGATCACGTCCTTAGAATAATCATACAGAAGGGAAGGTTGGTCAGACTTGCTCTTGTAGCGATCTGCAAATTGGATATGTAATATATTGGCATCTATATCATCAAATTACAAAGAAAAGTTAAAAGTCACAGACGTCGTAATCACGGTTGCTTAACATAATGCGAGACAGAGGCGCCAACCACCCCTTCGTCAGAATTGGCATCGTCAAAGTTCGCCTGCTTATACTCTTTCAAATTCTTATCCCTTATAGTTAGTCTCCAGGCAATAATCGTCATGACCAATCCAAAACTAGCAAGACACGCTGTATATGTAAAACCGATGAAGTATCTTGGCTTGTCCGAAGTATTCCATACAAAAATTGGTGTCCATGCGCCAGTGACATAGGCCAATGTATTTGTGGCAACAACAACGAAATTTCTTTTCATATCATCCTCGAATAAAAGTCGGTTCACCCAAGAAAATATGAAAGGTTGTCCGTAGGATGTAGGAACTCCAACAAGAAAGTAAGAGAACCAATGTAAACCTCTCGGGATATGCCAACGTGAGAGAAGAGCACAACCGATGATTAAACATATAAAATAGCTCATCACATAAAAGTGATTCTTTTTTCCCCCAATGAAATTATGGCTGTAGGCTAAGATCAACGTTGTGCCAATTCCACAAGCAGTAAGTATAGCGGGATAGGTATTGTATTTGTCAGGAGATAATCCGAGATCAAGTTTCATCCAGGTTTGAAAAGCAGGCTGTGCGTTAGCATGGCATGTATTGTTGTAAGCTAAAAACAACAACGGAAAGACGTAAATGTGCCAAGTGTTGAAGAAGCCTTTAATCTTTTCGAACAGGTATCTTTCCCTCGTATTTAATTGAGCACCTATCCGTCTTCTTCTCTCCAAGCCTACCAACCGATCCTCTTTTGTGAAATAAAAAGCATCTGTGGTACTAGGTGTGTTCGGATCAACAATCATAGTATAGATCCCTACTGGAAAAGAAATGACCGCATCAAGAACGAACATCCATTTAAAAGGAGGCATGGAAGAATGATTGAAATGCTTCAACACTGCTAGCTGTAATGGACCAGAAATCAATCCTGCTGCATTTCCGGCCACAGCGAAATACGCCGATCTAGTCGAGAGCTCAGATGCCGAGTAATTACTACCCACCAAGTATTCTAAGCCTGGGAAGTAGCCTGACTCCAAAAATCCAAGAAAAAATCTCACAGCATAGAGGGAATTGATATCTTTGCAAGTGATCATTAGTAATGTTAGCACAGCCCACAGAATTTCGAGCCCACCTAGGTAATAACGTGCCGAAATCCTATGCAAGATCAAATTCGAAGGTATTTGGCCAATGATATACCCAATTGTCCAGAGGGTGATGAGATAGTTGTATTGATTTTGGTTCATCTGATAGTACTCATCCATACCATTAACATAGGCGGTGGTGATATTCGACTGATTTAAGTTCTTTATGAAATATCCTAACATCGATGAACTAAGAAGAAAGAAGTCCAATTTACAGAGATACTTCTGCTCTTTTGGATGCTTGTTAGTTCCATCCCAGAAAAACTGCTTTACTTTGAAGCTTGTAGACGTTTCTCTATATTGCACTTCCTCCGGGCTGAGCTTGAGATCAAGATCGATGTAGGGCTCATCGATGTCTAACGGTCCCTCCTCGATCACATAGGTACGATCCTTATTGAGACTGCTCTTTGAATTATGATCAGACAACAGAGGAGACAAATCTTCATTCACGATCTTTCTTGTCTCAGTAATTTCTGGACCCTCAAGTTCCCTCTTGAGTTTGCTCCAAAATCCCATCTTCGTGTACCTTATTTTCTATTAGAAGACTTAACTTTTCTTTTATAATAAATTTGGTATGTCCGAGGTTAGCCATCGATGGCAAACGGATCTAATGCATTTAAGTAATGATAATGGCTGCGAAAAGGTGTGGTTCTGTGTAATTAATCCACACTTGAACATCAGGGGTAAAATTACGTGCTGGCGGGACAGAGCAAATTCAATGTAGATGCTACACATTAAAGCTATTCTATACATACTGTGGCTAGTATCAATGCAACGAAACCTATATTGTATCGTCACACGTGAAGTACTCGAGATTGATAAGATTGATTGTGTAACGCCATATCCAACGCTTGAGCTAAAAAACAATCAGCCTAGAGCCTTGTGCTTAATAAAACAGTCGGCTTTCCAACAAATGGGCCTTTTTTATTGGAATTTTTTTTTTAAAGAGCTTGTCTTTTAGAAGAAAGGGATGCAGACGAATTATAATCGTGTGGTAAAAGTACCCTACTAACTCACTCGAGATGAACACTCTGCAATTCGCGAAATTGCACGTGGATAAAGACATGCCACTGTCTCATTTATGCGGGACGTCTTGTCTTGAATTCAGGAATATGTGAGATAGGAAACAGAATTTGACAAATGATACTGGCTCCATAGAACCGTTTCTTTTGCGAGTTTGGAATCATGTTCCCAAAGTTCTAGTGAGCGACACTCCTTAAAATTGAAAAGCTGAGCTTTATCAAAACCAAGTCTTGCGACTTGTGTCTATACACCGTTTACTGAATGAGTGTCCCAATGTAATCCATTTAAATGCCGCTTTAAGAACGAGCTTTATATCGAGCTAATCGTACAACGCTTACGATTATTCGTGATATAGATTCCGTCTTCTCTCGATCTTCTTCATCATTGCCTCATTGGGCTGTGTTCAACTGAGACCTGCAGTATATTTACCAAAAGATAACTGAAAGCACAGTGTCTGGTTCGCCAATCTTCAAAATTCCTTCCAAAAAGCTTCATCTCTAACTATTGCATCCTAAGTTCGAAAATGACCGAACAAGACTCTTCTTATTTTCTCATAATCAAATGATTTCCTCTCTATGGGCTATGATGAACATGAGGGCCAATGTATACAACTCTCATACTTTCTCGTTCATTGCTATCAGAGAGGCATCGATCATCAGAGCAGTGACTTAGAGACATATAATATAGTCATGCCATAGCTCTGAATCGACTATTACCCGAGGGTTAGACGGTTAAACCCGTAGCCAAAAGTTTGAAATTAAGTCTACGAGGGCCCCCTCATCATATTAGAACTCAAACCAACAGCGGTAAAATCGTGGTTGTTATTATCACCAGGGCCATGAAGGTAACCACAAGGACATTCTGTCGCTGTCATTGAAGTATCCATCTTGCTATCCTCCTCATCCACTTCGTGAATACTCAGAGAAGATTCGAAGGTAGGCTCCGTATTTCTCCCCACCTCCTCACTACTATTCAACCTTCGACGTTTGACGTCCCTGATCCCATATCGTGGCGGCAGTTCACCAGTTGCTATCATTGGACTTACTCCTTTTATTGTGGAGAATGGGTTCAACAAAACGAGGCATCACGACCTGGGATACGCATGCGATGCCCTTATTCGAAAATGCAGGAACATACAAATTCATGACAGCGAGACACCAATTATAACAAGTTCATGCAGCGTAGAACATCGAAATATCGTCCAATTTTGATCTATGATAATCTGTGATCAAAATGTTCCTCTTATATTAAATGGAAATCTCATAAGACACCCTCTCCCGCTCAAAAAGTTGCATTCGGGTACCAAAATCGGATTGCTTTCAACAATGCTCTTTGCAAATCGTGGCATTGACAGGTAAGTGAAGCTTGGTCTTGATCCTGTCAGCTTACTTTAACACAGCCGTAGCAATAAAACCATGACAGTGAATATGTATCCAATATCGCTTGGTCACGATGTCTCTTCCTGTGTACAATCGCACAGCCTAAGGAACACACTGTCACACTAAGAATCCGATTGAGATAACTACTACTCGCTCAACATGGGGTTAAAGAAAATGTTCAAAAAAAAGGATCCAACTGAGGAGGAGTTGGTGGACACGATGCAAAAGGTTGGTATCACCACTAAAACAGCTAATAATCGGCAAGAGAAGTTTGGTGCTTTTAGACAGTACGCCCAAGAAAGACAAGGTGTAAAGCCGGGAGCAGCACCACGTAACCCTTACGCAAATATGGCTGACTCACGAGCTAATCCTTATGCCACTGAAGATCTGACGAGTGCACCCTCATCTAACGGAAATCCCTACGGAGAGCAGACACATGCTGATTACACAAGTCAAAGGCAGAATCCATACGCCAAACCTGCGGAACTGTCCCGCTCCTCATCGTCAACGAGAACATCTCAAGTACGTCTGCAACTGTCCAAAGGATATGCATCTGAACTGCCTGGTGCTAGTGGAGCTTCCAGAAACAATCCTTATGCATCTCATTCAACCAGGACGAGAGCTGATGACGAACTGACCCTCGATCTCAATGCGATACCGACTGGAAAGACCTTTTCTGGGCCTAACAGATCGAACAATCAACAAAGAGATGTGGATACCTTAGATTTAAATGCGGACCCCGATGAAGAAGATCTAAATCTTGAAGTTGATGATTTTCTACCGGAAGATGAACAGGTGAATTCTGAGGAGGAAGAAGTTGAAGGTATTAAACAGGATATCAGGTTTGTTAAGCAAGAATCGGTTGCCCTGACACGTAATACTTTACGCATGGCGCAAGAGGCTGACGCTTCAGGAACAAACACGTTAGGAATGCTTGGATCCCAATCAGAACGTCTCTTTAATGCCGAGCAAAACTTATTGCTTGCGGATACTCAGACCAAGATAGCCGATGATAAGGTGGCAGAGTTGAAACGCCTCAACAGATCGATTTTTATTCCTGCCTCGGGAAACCCATTCAACAGAAAATCACGCTTACGTGAACAAGAATCGAAGTTGAAGGCGCAAAAGGAGCAGGAGAAGTATCTTCGTGAAACAAATCGTCAAGGAGTGTACGCTAGTGAACAGCGTGTGAAGCAAGGTATCTCCAACAACTCCACACAATCTGATACCTATAATAGATATCAAGGAGAAAAACACTTACAGCAAGCTCAAAGATATCAGTTTGAGAATGATTCTGAGGATGACGAGATGGAGAAGGAATTAGCGTCTAACTTGGATCAAATTGCTTCTTACTCTAAAAAATTGCGAAGCACAGCTACTGTTATGGGTCAGGAGGTTGGGGCTCAAAATGATAGGTTAAGGAAAATTGAAGAGGATGCAGACCGCTTGGATATTAATGTCCATCTCAACAGTACCCGTTTGAACAACATCAGATAAATCGAAGAGATTGAGGAATTTCGATGACTGACGGTCATTCCTTGTCTATGGAGGCCAGTAACTCCTCGTCAAATTAATTGACTCATAAAGCGCTCCTCAATTATCTGGATATCTCACCTACCAGCTAGACTGAAATGTATCAGGCATCAGAATCCTCATTTACCATTTCTATTTCAGACTAGAAGAAGAAAGTAATGCGTCGGTGTTCCTTGCTACTTTATCACAGCGCATATGATATTTTTTCATAATTTCTTTACTCATATATATACCAAAACCGCCGAAATTTACCATATAAGCCCATTATGGTTCGGGTTGTATGTAATTGATAACTCGGAGTTTTATCATCCGACATTCCCAACAAGCCAACGACATAAAACACGCATCAATAAGTTCACAAAGAAGGTGAATGACTCGTTCCGGTAGACAACTCTTGCGCACACCACCAAAGCGCTGCGGCTTGCCCCAACATCAGCGGCTCTAAGTAGTCGAATCACAGCCGTCAGTGTAATATCTCAAAGATAAAGTGTGCAAAATTAACAAATGTGTAAAAGAGTTTCTCAAGAATATTGGTGCATTTGGCGGCAAAGCAATTCTACGATTGTGACCATGCACTGTATCTTGGAACATAAGCAACGCGGTTGTCTGGAAGTATTATCTTGCATATAAACAGTTGTAATCAGGACGATAGGAAATTCCTAGATCAAAAAATCACGATTCATATCAATTGCTCACCAGAGTTGAAATTCCACTTCTTTTGTACTTTCGTTGGTTTTCAATATGACTAATCATCAAATTAAGGAGTCGTTCCTTGTCGGGAGGGCGCTCCTAAACTTCACGTCCATCTTTGTTTCCCTAGGCGTGTTCTTATTTGGCTTCGAGCAAGGTTTGATGTCTTCACTCTTGACAAATACCTACTTCAAGGAGTACTACAATTATCCAAGCCCCACAGCTATAGGTACAATGATAGCTATATTAGAGATAGGAGCTTTGTTTTCTTCTTTCGAAGCGGGGAAAGTGGGAGATAAAATAGGTCGAAGACGAACTATCCGTTGGGGATCTTTTATTTTCGTCGTCGGTGGCTTGTTTCAAACCTTTTCGCCTGATATATATGTGCTAGGTTTTGGACGACTCATTTCTGGTATTGCCATTGGGTTTCTCACAACTATCATTCCATGTTATCAGTCCGAAATCAGTCCCCCTGATGACAGAGGCTTCTATGCATGTCTAGAATTTACTGGCAATATTGTAGGGTATTCCACAAGTATTTGGGTTGATTACGGATTCTCATTCATCGAGAATGATTTTCGTGGCGTTCGCCCTTATTTGTTCAGTGCGTAATGGGGTTTATGCTTTGGCTTGGGACCTTTGTGATAGTTGAGACACCGAGATGGCTCTTAGACCATGACCATGATGTTGAAGGTATGATTGTTATCAGCGATCTATACGCAGATGGCGATGTAGAGGATGAGGTCGCAAAAGTTGAATTTCGCCAAATCAAGGAGAGCGTCCTAATCCAGAGAATCGAAGGAGGTGAAAGGTCTTATCGCTATATGCTCACGCGGTACAAGAAACGAGTCTCAGTTGCGTGTTTTTCACAAATGTTCGCCCAATTGAATGGTATAAACATTGTTTCCTACTATGCCCCGATGATTTTGAAAGTGCCGGCTGGATCGGTAGACTGGCTATATTGATGACAGGAATCAATTCTCTTGTTTACTTGGCTAGTACAATACCACCGTGGTATCTAGTCGATGGCTGGGGCCGCAAACCATTACTCTTGACTGGTGCTGTTGTAATGGCTTTTTCCCTTTTCTCGATTGCCTATTCTTTATTTCTAGATGATACCTACACTCCTCAAGTTGTTGTTGCATTCGTCATCATCTTTAATGCAGCATTTGGAGCCTCATGGGGCCCAATTCCTTGGATGATGAACGAAGTTTTACCCAATTCTGTCAGAAGTAAAGGCGCTGCGATGTCTACGGCTACAAATTGGCTCTTTAATTTCCTTGTGGGTGAAATGACTCCAATTCTTTTGGATCTTATAAAATGGAGGACCTACTTGATACCAGGATTCTCGTGTGTGCTTTCGTTTTTATGTGTCCATTACTTGTTTCCTGAGACGAAGGGTTTATCCTTAGAAGAAATGGGTTCAATCTTTGACGATAACTCTTCCGTTTTTTCCTTTCATTCGGGATATGGATCTACTAATGATACAGAGTCCAGAAGAAGTGTTGAACCTTCGCAGTCAAGTGGCGAGACTCAGCCGTTGCATCAAACAGCAGCACAACTTGCCAGAAACCCGTCTTCCATGCGTAATGAACCTGAAGGCCTTATCACTGGCACACCACAGCTACCTCCATTGGGCGGTAATGACGCAAGTAAATCTATTAACTCTGGTACTTCAGGAGGTGGGGGGCTTAACGATGATGCAACTGAACCGCCGTCCTTCGAAGCTATCGTCAACTTTAAAAGACGCAAGAATGCGCAGTCGTGGTTTTCCTGGGCGCAGCAGAAGAGCGCAGACTATGAGCTGCTTTCATGAGAGGAGCCCATTTGTGCGAACCATAAGCTGCTTCTTTATAGTAAAGACCTAGAATTGAGTCAGTATTTGCGTAGCATCAACCAACTTTTTCCCGTTTAGTGTTTGCAAATGAAACTTTAGACTCTTACAAAACTAAGCCATTGGAAGCATATGAGAAGATTTCGCGCGAATCGAGACAGGTGATTTGATTATGTGAAACGAGTAGCTCGAGGCACACCATACTAGTCATGGATACCGCCAAGTATATATACGTGTTCTCAACAATGCTTCTACAAGTATCTCAAACAAATGCCTCAAATGGAAGACGAAAGACAACAAAAACGAGTATCAAAGATCGATTAGTTGCTCGCTTACCATCCATGTAGCCGATAAGGAGTTATGGTTTGTGCCTTATATGTTATTCATTCTTTTGTGACACAGCGTCTCCTTACATTTTAGTTATGCCTTCCATCCAATCAAAACGCGAATTCGCATGAAATGTATGCATAATGACGTATAGCCTGTGTGTAATTCAGGTACACGACGCTTGTTTACTGGATCTAAAGACATCGGATTGTTTTCTCAGTAAAAAAAAAATACAAAGCCCCCTACGCATTCCCGATTGGTGCACACATCGCCGTGCGTACTTAAAGCGAAGAATGTCCCAAAAACTTCTTACGCTAACTAAATTATCTATCATTGCTTTGTGAAAGGCACTTCAAAGTTTTAAAAGAACTCAACTATCAATTTGCCCATTTTCGAACAACAGCAGTCTCCAGAGTCTATTTTTCCAAGAAAATCACTCCAATCAAAATGTCGCTCCTTCTAGATACGTCAACAAGTTTTACTGCTACTCCTTCCGTCAGTTTCTTGCTGGGCCTAGAACCTATTGCGTCTAGCTCTTTGGGCATTAAAAACCCTTCCGCTACAGATTCACAAGCAGCGGCTCAATCCGTCAATGCCACTTTGCCAGGCTCTTCATTATCAAATTCAGCATCACATTCTAGTTCTGCCCCTATTAGCAACGCGTCAGAAACATCCCCAAGTGCTAGTGAAGTTTCTAGCGGTTCAAGCCGCGTCACCTTGAGTTCTACTGTGTTGATCCTGATGCTTACTTGTCTATTAGTTACCATGCTGCATATCTCATGATGAATTCATGACAGTTCGCTTTTTTCACAATTGTTCAGAGTGAGATACACTTTGGCGGTTTCATAATCAGGGTGGTCAGAATGATCGATGCCACGTAAGTGAGAAGCTGTTTGGGTGATCTCGTTTGTATTTTTACTCTATCATTGATCCGTATTCACAAAGAGTGCAAGCCTAGCACAAGCTATCCAAATAAACAGCGTTTATATTTTTAATCTCTGTAACATACAAAGTGGTTGTAGGATACCCGTTGAGCTTGTGGTGATGGCATGAAGTTCAAAGAGGCCCGTACACCTTTTGGTCGACTCACACTTACATATTTCTGTCAGCTAGCTAGGAAACCGTCATCATGGATAATTCCACCATCATATTCATAGTTACCCTCGTGGTAGCATTCGTTTTTTTACGCTGGCTTATCTCTCCAATTCCTCAGTCTGTTGCGGGAGAGTTCAACCTTCCCGATCCAGATGAAGCTGCGGACGAGAACGATAGGCCCAGGCCACAGAGAAGAAGGGGTGCTAGGGCCGTGAACGATTCCATGATAGAGGTAGTCCAAGCCATTGGCCCGCAATTAACTACTGATCAAATAAGGTATAGCTTGGAAAGAACCGGATCAGTAGAGGCGACTGTGGAGGAATATATGGCGAACGGAGCTTTACCGTCGCCTCCTGGGGAACCCTCTAGTGTCGCTCCTCAAGAAGCAGACATCCAACGACTGAAATCCAGTGACTCTCAGACATTGCTTGAGAAGTACGACGTGAGTGGCCGAGATGAGATACTAAACGAAGACGAACCCGATGTTACAGGAACTTGGGGCAAGGATAAGAAAGAGAGGTTGAACATTTTACAAAAGAGGAAGGAGAACATGATTATTCGTGCAAGGCAGAGGATGAAAGAATCTTTGAGCAATGATGTTGTCTCAGATGGTCTTACTATTGGAAAGAAATGATGACATGCTTTATTGAGGATGATTAGAAGATACTTGTGTAGGTTGAATACGTCTTTTCTTCATTGCTTCTCTTGTTGTATCCAAGGGCGTGACGGACTCCAGGGCGATGGGGTCCGATCGAATTTCTCTGAGTGGTGGCTCCATAAATTGTGATCTTAGGTCTTGCGTGCGTTTCAATTCTTCGCATGAATGAGCTCCAAACATAACCTCCGAATCAACCCTGGCCAGTGAAGTCTCTTCTGTATTTACAGTCAAGGAAGAAGCTTGCGTCTTCAGAGGATTCTTTTCAAGGGCACGCACCTCGGGGAATTGCTCGGAGGAGTCATTGGGTTCGTCGAATGCGAGAGAAGACTGCTCGGTCGGGTCAGGGATTGACTTCTTGGACTGCCCAGAATCAATCGATGACAACGGTTCCAGTGTTGCTTCTTCTGTAAAAATCTGTTTACCTTGCTGGGATATAGGTATCCCTAGTCTCTCAGTTATGAGTATAACGGAACAAAAGCCTTCCGCCGATGTAACTATAAGACTGCGTCCATCTCCAGACCAGGTGAGGTCGGTGATGGTTGAATAGTGCAAATTCTTCAGTAAACTAAGAGGTTTACCCTGTTGTGTGTCGAATATGAGCACTGAATTTTGTGTAGCAACGGCAAATATCATTTTATACGGTAGCGCAAACATCGATTGCTGCACAGTCGAATCCAATTTGTACAATGCTGGACTAAACTTCACTGCGACGGTCGGCTTAGTGAAGCCTGTGATATAGCATATGGGAGGATGATCAAAACCAGCACGTGTATAGATATACACTGTGTTCTGAAAAGATTCAGTGGCTTCATCATCTTCAGATGTCTCACCTTTCTTTAGAATGCCCAGGGGCGTAAGCAAGAGACTACCGTCCGGTGAGAATGCCAACCGTCTGAAAAAAGATTGCAAAGACTCAGAATGATAAAGGCTTGCGATCTTTGGTTGGCAACTGGACACCTTAGAAGAAGGTGTGACAAATTGAGTATAAGGTTGTTCATTGCATTCGCTCAGTGGATGTAAAACAAGAGAGTCTCTCCTATGCGGCATGGTGGAGGTCAATTCATCATGTGGCGACCTCTGAAGTAGCTGCCCGTTAGTGATGGGCAATTCTAACTTTGCAATATTTTGTACTAATGTCGGAATGATTTGCTGGTTACTACTAGAACAATGCTTACTGCCACTCGGCCCAGAGCCTGTCTTACCCGCTGTCAACCGATAGACATGAAGGGATCTGTCGGCACTCTGCGTGGCTAAGTATTCGTTCTTCGGATCCCATGAAATCCCTTGAACATAGTGATTATGATTCATAAGGTCTATTACTTTCGATCCAGAATGGACATCAAAGACACGAACAGAATTGTCCATAGAGCCCGTGGCAATATACTTCGAGTCTGGTGACCATGTGAGGTCGTAAACCTCAGAATTGGTATTAAATAGCTTTTCAACTCTCCAACTTTCTTTCAATTCATCGTCAGGGTTGCCAAAATCTTGTATGATCTCATCTGCTAGCACCCAGATAATGATCAAACCATCATCACTAGCAGTGGCTAAACGAAAACCAGAAGGGTCAAATCGTACAACATTTACCGCTTGAGAGTGCTTTCTTAACGTTGAAAGATATTGTACAGTTGTCGAACTAGCATCTAACACGTCCTTGGGTGTTGTAACTCTCCAAATTCGCACATTGTTGTCCCCACCACCAGTAGCTAATCTCGGGGATTCTGTGGATAATGACGGTTGAAAATCAGCAGTATATATGGGCTGATTATCGTCGTGCCAATGTACTGCAACCGTGGCAGCATCAATCATAGCTCACCCTTATTCAAGAAAGTTCAACAGTCTTACTGTTTCCCTCGCGTCCCGCACACATACACGCACGGACGCACACACTCACTGACACATACACACTCGCTCACTCACACCTAATAAAAAAAAAAAAAGAAAAGGCATACACTCAGGATGTAGAGAGAAAATGACAAGTTGAAATCAACATCTTACTCTAAGAAGCGCACGCATCTTTTGTAAACCTCTTTCGGAATATTCTGTCTCTTAATTTCTATACCAAACTGTCGAGTGTTGTGAACGTACAATTGTTGACTAGGAGAACATACGAAAGCTTCATGCACATTTGTTACTTGGTCATTTCAGTCTGTCTCTGAAGTTTGTTCATATTGGCGGTCAGCTGCAGCAGTTAGTCGAAGAAACCCACTGAGAACTCGATGCCTCATTTCGTATTAGTTTTCAATGTGGTGGTGGCAACATCTACCCCTTAGGCTTATCCTCACTATCCACGTACCAGCTTCCTAAAAGGTTAATCAGCTATACCGCAAGCCAATCACTATCTGCCATGAACAGAAAGAACGAGTGCGCTGTAAGACTACTTTATTAGTTCAGCAATCATAAACGCTTGCAAATAGATTGTCTCAAAGCCAGCCTCATCATGCTAATGCAACAAATCTATCCGACAACCCCCGAGCACACCTGGCATGAGGTAAATTCGACACATCGCCTGGTTCTTGGCAAGTAGCGAAATCTTTCATTCTCGAGGGCTGAATCACTATAGGATGTCTAGCTTAAGGCATTTCCCAGATCGTGCTACAGTGAAATCATTCAGAAGCTGAGCTTGAATTCTTTGTCTTCGTTTCTAACCTTGTACAAAAAACTTGAAATGATCTCATTTTCACGGCATGGGGCTCCTAAAAAGTGCTTCTGGCAATGAGATGCAACTTCTGGCTTTGAAATCCTTAGCATTTGAGCCGACCTCTTCGAAGTGTAAGTCTTCTTGCCGATCTCTGAACGCAAAATATCTTCGTTAGTCGTCTGAATTGGCAAAAGATTCAAAGAATATTTGCGGTTGTACGCTTCTAAGGCTTCCTTTGGAAGATTTAAAAAATCTAGCGGGTCCACCTTGGGCCTATCATGAGGGCCATTAGAGTGTATGTGTTTGGATAAAAGTTCTTGTTGGGCAGCAACGGCCACGGCATTTCGAGCCTTATTAGCCGACCTTGAGTTTGGTGCTGACTTTACGTCGGCATCGCTAGATATATCCTTGTTCTGGACCCTAGGTGGCATCTTTCTGGTATTCGATGTTGTATTTATTGTAAGGTTTTCCCATGATGCTAATTGATAGCGTGGTATGTATATACAGGCATGCACTGGGGCTTCTCTAGGGGTCTCCATTCGACGACGGGTACGCAAGCATTACTCTTAAACAGCAGTCTTAAGTATGATGTCTCGTCAGTTAGCTTTCATTCTAATATCTGCCTATGTTTAATCCTTCACTGCAGAAAGCAATTCTAGCTGTTTAGGTCAATAGTGTGGATATTCCTTAATGTGAACCATCATTGGTCAATTTTTTTTTTTTTTTTTGTTTTCTTTTTGGCTTCACGTTCAGATGCTTGGCTATTCCTACGAAAGTATGATGTTTGTTCCAAATAAAAACTCGGTTTTGAGCAAAGTGGTGAGACGCTAACTACGTTCGGTTGTCTACGAACCTTCAGAGCCAGTTGCTTTGTGTTTACTCCCCAAACTTGTAGCTGTCCTCAGCGAACATTTCAAACCATGATGCCACGGTAGCTCTAAGAACGACGCAACAGCAAAGGAAATCAAACTATTTAAGATTATCTTGGTAGGCTCTGTATGCTGTGGAAATATGCGAGTCGGTTCCATACTACATACGAGCTCCCTGAGCACTTTTACCACTTGACAACGGCTGCGCGCAATCCTATCGATGTATGCAACAAGTGTCTTCCCTTGGTGATATGAAAAGCTGCATAACCTTGTTTTGTCGTCCGCAAAGCCCATTAACTCTATCTTCTAACCTTTGCCTTGCATCTAGCTGATTCGAAATCTTGTACTTGTTGGGTGGAAAATTGCACATGACATAGAGAGCATGCCGGGCGGAAGATTGTCGCCGGATACCATGGTAAAGGTCCTCGTTAGACAATTCGGAGCCTTCTTTTCCCTCTCTCGCGGAAGAAAAATGTAGTGAACTTTACCTTATTGTCACTTGGGTGATACCAAAGGTTACCGTTGTGAAGTGAAACCCTAATTGTTGGTGTTTTATTTTTTTTTTTCTTCCATAATGCGCGTAGCTGCATGCGGTAAGAATTCAGCCAGCCCGCTTGATAAAACATTGACTTCTAAAAGCCTGATTTCAACAGAACGGTTTGAAAACCAGCTTTGGCTTGAAACTAGCGTCATGGATTTACATGCCAGGCAGCTGAATTTGTAAAAAGCGTTCATTTATTTGGTATAACCCGTGGGGTTTTCAGGATTCTACCTTGCGGGACGCAGCGGGATTGTCATGCATCAAGTGCATCGCGCATTAACCAGCCGCAGCTCCATGCGTTAGCACAGACCATCGATGTGACATCGAACTACTAAACTGGCAGCACTTGACAATGGCTTTTAAAGACGCAGACTCGCATCTTCGACCAGGTAATCCCTAATCAAGCTGCTTTACTGACTTAGATCCATGGCATATAGGACTGACCACTGTCCCCAGTATTGCTAGAAAAGAATGGAAAGAATAACAGAGTTCTCACACAACCCAAGCTGCAGAACATATTTTGGACTGGTACTTTCACTTCAGGATGCCTTGTTGATACTAGAGGGAACTCGCCGGAAAATATTGCCCGATGTCAAGAGGCGACTCAATGATGAAGAGAGGAAACAAATTTGTGCTGGGGCTGTATACGTCTGGAACGAGAGTGAATGTGGCATGAAACGATGGACTGATGGAAGAATATGGCTGGCCTCAAAGGTGAAGAGCCCTTTCTTGACATATCAAGAGTTTGATGAGACAAGAAAAGTCAAGAAAAATGGATTAACAAAGCAGATTTTTTCACTTACCACCAAGCAGAATGCAAAACTACATCTTATTGCCTACTACAATCCTACCGAAAGGTTGAAGGGCCATTTCGATGATGCTACACCATCCAAGGACCCTATACTTAAAACCTTATCTCTAGATCCTGAAATTTACCTGAATGATGTCCTCGGCTGTAGTTCCCTGCTTAACCGAGACGAATCAAATACTGAAATGATCGAGACAGGCAGAAGAGCTTCAGAAGAGTCATTCCTCCCAGGCTTTCAAGAGCAAAATACCTGGCCATCATCTTGCCAAACCTTTCCCATAAAGCTATCGACTTTCGAATACTTTCACCAACCTAAATTTTGCTCCGAAACGGCGAATTCGAACCCCCGTCTAGGGGTCATTGATCCCCCTTTGGTAAAGCCAATCCCAACTATGTCTTGGAAAGATATTTCAGCTTCACCTGCACCTCTACGTGGGCAGCTACTAAGCTCAGTATCCTCACATCGAACATTCTCAGATAACATGTCATCAGACTTACTACGAGCCATAAACACATCCTCTGGTCCAGAAATTAAAGCTTTCGGACAATCGCCTTCCTTGAAATTGACTTCCTTGGAAAATGGGCTACTGCTAGGGCTGAAAAGAGCCAAACTTAGCACCAATAAAATACCTCAGCCACGAGCAGATGATTCAGTTCGTTATACAAGAGATGACCGTCTAAAACTCAGTGCCCTAGATAAAACATTCATGGTTTAGATTGGAAGGCCAGCATGGTATATTAACCTTTTTTTTTTTTTTTTTGAAAAAAAAAAAAAAAAAAGAATGAAAAACAAAAAACTACATTGGTCCTTTTCCACGGAAGCCTACAGAAAAGAATACCTACGTTCGCAGCTTGCAAGGCTCGATAAAAATGTGAGACGAAGTATTCTATCTCCAACTTTTAAGTTTTTTCTCCCATGCGTACATACCTGACTTGACTAAACCAGCAGTAAAAACCCCTTTGATGGTCTGGCCAAGAGCGGGTCCACGAATTGTAGTCTGAATGGCGCTGCCTAAACTCTGATGAAGCCCATCGTTCTCAGCAAGCTGTGATACTAGATGATCACTTGACAATCCAGAAGGCATTTCCTCCTCTGAAAGTATTGCACCGTCTCTTGATGCATGCTTCAATAAAAGACGACGCTTAAATTGAAGAGGTAGTCTATTAATCATCTCTGCCTTCTCGTGAAAGCCAATTTGTATTCGAAAACTATCCTCGTCCAACTGCTCAATATATTTTTTCTCAATGGCTTCTTCAATGAACGGACCATATAGTGTGGCAAACTCCGATTCCTGCCTTGCTACAATGTTCTTGACCTTGTTAGGATTCTCTCCTCCAAGTAGCATGCGAGGATCCCCCATATATGAAAGCAGCGTTATGGTACGGTAAAGTTGATTGAAAGAGATTGTATTTCCATGCTTTGCGGCCAGGAGCATTAGGAGCGTAACATTCAAAGCGCTACTTAAGTTGAACTGATTTGCAGCTAACAAAAGCCCATCCTCCTTGTAGTGCCTAACAGGTTTCTGAAGTCTTCCAGCAACGTACATGGAAGACCACTCACAGACATCTTCCATTGCATGCTTCGCTGAGAGCACTCCATACTTGATCATTTGTCTTTGCCCACCAGAGTCGCAAATTGGAACATACGGGTTGAAATAAACCCCTGCCCCATATTGCTGTATCCTTTCAACTAAGTCAATCCCTAGAAACTTGAGAGAAGAGTAGTGTCCTGGGAACATCTTCAAATTTTTTTCATGAAATTCTTTTGTATTGTTGGCAATAATGATGACATCGACTTGCGGATCAACGTTATCATAACCTTGTTGCGGGAGTACGCCAGACCCGTACCCAAAGACATGGCTCAAATTGTCAAGGCCAATTTTTTCAATTAACGTATCCACACATGCATTTCGGGGGCCCTTTTGCACCTGGTTAGAAAAATCCATCTCTCGGTAGGTTGCAAAAGGAGTGTCCATACATCTGGCACTCATGCTATAATGAAGGTGTTGCGATAACTTGCGAGAAGTGACCGTTAGGGGCTTTGACGACCATAATAAAGTATTACCAACCATGTGTGAGTTGCATTTCATGGCTAGACTGAGGCATTTGCGTATGGAGGGCACAATAGGTGAACTTTATGTACATATCACGTGTGGATGATTCATTCTCAAACAAGAAACAAAAAAAAAAAAAAAAAAAAGTTGTCCAACTGATAGAAACACCTCCCTCACTAATACAGAGTCTTTCTGCAAGTTTGTGTGTCAGATTTAGGTGCCATTTAAAGACTTTTATTTCTCATTATGGCATCAACATATAGGTCCACTCGTTGCGCCACCGATCAAACTTTGTCGTTTGAGGATGTCGTTATGACTGGCTTGGCTCATGACGGTGGCCTTTTCGTCCCGTCTACCATACCAAAATTGAACACCACCGTGCTTGAAGAGTGGGAACATCTCAGCTTCAATGAGTTAGCTTACGAGGTGATGCGTCCCTATATTTCGAGAGATGAGATCCCCGAGAGCGACCTCCGTGACTTGATAAGCAAGTCTTACTCGTCTTTTAGGAGTACCCAAGTCACTCCACTCAAAGAATTGAACAAGAAGCAAGGCCTTTATTTATTAGAATTATTTCATGGCCCTACCTATGCTTTCAAAGACGTTGCTTTACAGTTTGTGGGGAACCTATTCGAATACTTTTTAGAAAAGCATAACAGAGGAATTGACGACGAAGGACATAAAAAGAAGATCACTGTTGTGGGTGCAACTTCTGGAGATACTGGCTCTGCCGCTATTTATGGTTTAAGGGGCAAAAAGAACGTATCTGTCTTCATCTTATATCCGACGGGCCGTGTTTCACCTATCCAGGAGGAACAGATGACAACTGTGGAGGACGCTAATGTACACACATTTTCTGTTAATGGAACGTTTGATGACTGTCAGGATATTGTGAAACAAATATTTGGAGACCGGGATTTTGACCAGAAGTACAACGTCGGAGCTGTGAATTCGATCAATTGGGCCCGTATATTGGCGCAAATGACGTACTATTTCTATTCATTTTTCCAATTAAAGAAATTGTTAGGACCTGATGAAGAAAACTCCAAGGTGAGATTCGTTGTCCCCTCTGGTAATTTTGGTGATATTCTAGCAGGATTTTACGCTAAATCAATGGGTTTACCTATTGACAAATTGATTATCGCCACAAATGAAAATGACATCTTGGACAGATTCTTGAAGCTGGGAAAGTATGAAAGAGGTGGAGAAGTGAAAGCTACCTTCTCACCTGCGATGGACATCCTTATTTCATCTAACTTTGAACGGTTACTATGGTACTTAATTCGCGATAATCTGGCTAGCAAAAGCGACAATGAGGCAGGTAGAGTTCTAGTCGACTGGATGCAGCAGTTGAAGATTTCTGGCTCGTTTAGCGCGACCGATCTAGTTGTTCAACAGGCAAGAAAGGACTTCGAGTCCGCAAAAGTAACGGATAATGAGACCATTACAACGATAAGGGAGGTTTACGATTCTGATACAACAAAGTATGTTTTAGATCCGCACTCTGCCATTGGTGTGAAAGCTACCTTCGACTTCATGAATCAAGACATCGAGGAAAACCTCAAGAACATCAAATACATCTCTTTAGCGACAGCACACCCAGCAAAATTTTCAGAGGTCGTGGACAAGGCTCTTCTGTCTGTGGAGGGCTATTGCTTTGAGAAGGATGTTTTGCCTGAGGAACTTAAGCAACTATCGGAGAAAAAGAAACGAATTACCTTAATCGACGATGTTTCCGTCGAGCAGGTGAAGAGAAAAATCATTGAAAAATTATCTTAGGCTTCACGCGTATTTTCGAAATTTAACACTACCGTTTTCGACATAGGCTTCAACCCCGGCTTGATTTAAAACTGACTCGTCCACGACTTGTTGGGCCTCCAATTCAGCGACGAATTTTTGGTTCGCCGCATTGCCTGCGAGTGCATACTTGATGCAAATAATTGCACGTTCCTTGATGTATGGGTTGTAGTCATCTATAATGCAGCTCGATAAAATGTACTCGAGAATATACTCTTCTCTAATGATTCGTTGAACCTCGGGATCGTCGAAACATAATCTTCCCAATATTTCTATCACGAGGGATTTTACCATCGGGTATTTTGGAAGTGGAGTACCCTCTTTCGATCTTTTTCCTAATGTCTTCGTCGCTGCTTTGTGATGTGTTACTTTGAGTAGCTCTCCAAGGTACCCAACTATTTGCAACTTTCCGTCAAAATGACTTAGATCTAAATCCTGTAGTATATGTGACACAGCATCTAAAACCGCGATGGTTTGCCGATTTGCATAGTTGATATCATTTTTGTCAGTAGACTCGCTCAATACAATAGTAGTTTTCATTGTAAGAACACCCAAGGCTGGTATTAACCAATTTAGACAAGCTATCCAGTGAGATGACATGTCTAACACGTCCGCTGTTATAAGCAAGCGGCATGCATTAAGAAGCACAGTAAATTGTTCGCTCGAACGTGTAGAATGGTAGTTTTGGAGAAAGGTACCGAAGGCTTGGTCGATAAGAAGTTGGCTAAAAGCTTGTAAGAGCAACTCATCTTCCACCGAAAATTGGTCTGCCACAGCGAGACGACCTACTTCCAAAGCCATATCATCGAGGAGTGAGTTATTGTCCAAGCTCAAGAAAACTTGTGGAGCATCTGATTGTTTGATCCAATTTTGGAAGAAACGAATGAACGGATTGTTAAATTCTCTCATCCGCCAGGTGCTAGACTGGGCGCATAGATCAAAAAAATCCCCTAAATGGCATCCGTCTAATTCATGAATGGCGGAGGCAGAGACCAGTAAATTAGAGAGTAGTTCAGCATAAGACACTAATGTCTTCCACTTCCAATATTCAAGATCACCAGTAAGTTCGGAATTGAAGCATTTCCAAAATGATAGAAGGCATTGAAGTATGGTAGAACATTCTAATATAGAGTACAGCAGAACACTCCTCAAATAGAGTACCACGCCACGATAAACCCTGAATTTTAAAGTATCGGTTGCATTATTCTTCAAGATCGGCTTGGTTTTTAGAATTTGCCAAATAACGTCTGTCCCCCTAACTCCTAGTCTGCTTCCTCTCTCGCTATCCTCCGAGGCCTGTATCATATGACGCAAAACATCGAGCAGATTACATAGGCTCTCTTGATCACCATCTTCTTGCAAGGTCACATAAATACCTTGAAGTGTCTCTGGACGGGTCATATCTAGGTTGGATGAGACTCATCGATCTGTAACCATGAATATATATGTCCTGCACATTGGGCTGCTGTTTATTTTCTATCGCAGTGTGTACCAGTCCATAGTCATGAATGTTCTAGTGATCCTCTTCCTGTTGGAAGAGAACAGGAGCGATCAACTGACATGCTTCACGCCTCGAATGAACACAAGCATATGGTGCCTTTTAACTGTAATTTTGACACAAACATCGAGAAAGAGAAAAAATGAAAAAAAAAAAAAAAAAAAGAAAGCGAGTCGATTTGTTGATATATGAATGTTAAACTTTGGTCGACAGCAGCTATCACTTTCTCCTATGAGTGTTAGGCAGAGTCAGACAACTGGGCATTGAGACATTTTGCAACGAGAAATCACAGAGTGCAAGCAAGCTTGTGACACTCCTATCGCAACAACCGATTGTATCCGGCACATGATTTTCAACGGTATGCTCCGTGACCTTTCACGGTATTTCCTTTCACATCTAACTAATCCATTATCAAAGCTTCGTGTATGAATTTTCACTAATGTTCTTGAGTTCCAAAGAAAATAAATTTTGTGCCTTTTCTTTCATGGTTATCCTGTTTGTCGAGCTGTGAACAAACGATTGCTCTGCTTATCATATCCGGCCCTCACAGTAGCATGTGCAGGCTCGCAATAGTTCTATCTCCTATTCCCTCTCTTCCTGCATCACGTAACACTGAAGTCTTTCCGATCGATCCACAGCCCGTAAGATGTCGTGTTGTGTAGCACCTGATCGCGGCCATCATCTACACTTCTTTGCTACTCAGGCTTGCTAACTGTACTACTATTCATCGATACTGCAACACAAGAAGAAATAAAGCCCCTTCCTCCCCACAACGATAGATCAAATCCGAATCTCATACAAAATTGTATCGCTCGCTTCTTGTTTCCATTTTTGGATCCCCGTTTCTAGAAGTTAACCGTTCTACAAAGGACCAGCTTTTGGGAGACAGAATTCATTTAATTTTGCAAGCGTCAATAAATTCTTCGCTAGAACATGATACGGTTAGTCGAACTTGATGACGCTAAAAGCGTACCACATATCTTATCAGAACATTGGGGAGAACCATTTGCTTCAGGAAGGCCCGAACCGCTAGTAAGCGTGAAATATTCGGATTCTGAGTCTTTTGACAGCGACAACGATATCACAAGCCTAATATCTTCGGTTGCTTTGGATGAAAGTAACAGTGTACCGCTCACGGCTCCAACAACTCAAACAACTCATGACTCCGATGTCTCGTTATCAAAGGATAACGCGACTGATGTTCCCGAAAAGATTTTCGATAGTTCTATCTACCGAAGCCAGGAATCGTATTTACAGTTTATGGAGCCATCGCCGGTTTATCCACCGCATTACAGTACGTTGCCCCCAGGAGGATGCCCAAGGTACCCCGTACTGGAATCTGTCCATCAGTCTGATAGCTTACCACCGTATTCGCCAGCCGCTTATAAGATCGGAATGGTTGCTAAAAAAGCTGAGTGGCTCTCGCCCTTTCAGCCAGCTTCAAGTCGCTCGTGGAAAAACATCATCATTGAGCTTAACTCGACACAAGTCAACTTATACCGAGTGCCCTCCCATCTCGAATCCTATTTGAGGAGTGCGTATCGCTTGGAGGATGGGTGCAAAGCCTTTGGCGAGGTAGCTCTTGAGTCCCGCTTCACGTCACAGAAAGATAGGCAATTTCACAGCATTTGTTCCCAATTAGGAGTTTTGCCATTGGATGATACTGGGATGAAACAGAGCTCGTCTCGTATATTTCACAAAGCCACTTCTCAAAGTCATCTACTTCGATCTTATTCACTCTTGCATGCCAAAGTAGGGTTGGCGAGTGACTATTCCAAAAAACCTAATGTTCTTCGGCTTAGACTAGAAAACGAACAATTCTTGTTGCAGTTTCATCTGACTAGAGACCTTATAGACTGGCATCTTGGATTATCTGTGGGTCAAGACGTTTCCCCAGATATTCAAGCGAGGGAAGTACCAAAGTATCGAACTGTTCCAAGGCGGAGGCGGGGCCAAAGTTGTATAATCAACAGTGCTCCTTTTATTAATAATATGCGTGTCAAGCGAGCCAGATCGAGCTCGATGCCGAATACTTCAGGTCGCTTACGAACTAAATTTCATGACGTCAAGCAACGGATACGTTCCAACAGTACGATGGATCGTACTACTTCCAATGTGAACATGGATGAGAGTTGGAATTCAGAAACCATTATGGAAGTTCAGCAGTGCATTGTGGCCCCAGTTAATGAAACAGAAGGAGTGCCAAAAATAGAAGATAGAAATGTGCATGTATTTGAGGACGACAGCGAAGACATACGGAATATGAGTGATCTTCATCGGTCAGATGACGATGACGAGGGTGATGACGATGATGATGATGATGAAGAAGAGGATATTGATGATATTGAAGGACGTAATGCTGGTTCTATTGGTACTTATGGCAATATTGGTCATGGTGAGGGTCACGGACATGTTGCAACCGATGACAGCGGCTCTAGCAATTCAGCTACAAGGTTTACACCGGTTGAACGGCTATCATCAACAATTGGTCTGCAAGTTCTGGAAAGCAAAGTGTCGAATGTGACACAAAAAACCGAAAGCGAAAGGAGGTTTTTGAGGAATTGTGTCAAATGCATCAAGCCATTATGCTTCGATGAACCTTGGACCAATAAAACCTTGGTCAAGGCGACTTCTGCGTCCACAGTTACTATGCGGGACTCGAACCCGTGCCATGTGGATTCTGCTGTCCAACATCGGGAGACAAGGCCAGGTTATATCTCTGAAACGAAGTCGTCTTTCCGGTCCAGGCGAGGTCTTTCGTTCACAAGAAACGCGTCCGACAACTGTGAAGTATCTGCCGCTTGCACACCTAGTCACAAATTACGAGAGTATGTCGTTGGGTCACATCTGCTTGTGCCCAAAGAGAGCTGATACAGCGTTACTGGTCCTTCTCGTTTTGTTTTGCATTGGCCCGTCGAAGAAATGAATCTACCATAATTTCACTTACTTGGCTCTGAAATATAGAAGACACCGAATTAAAAAGCGGATTCTTAAATCGGTATTGTAGGTTGAGGCTCACCTTCGTAATCGCTTTATCGGACGGTCCGCTTTGAACTGATTCGAATCTCCATTCATTTTGAAGAGTATCAAAAACCATTGAGGAGGTAACTTCTGAGAAAACAAGCTTGTCCTTTTGACACGTCACATCACAGACCATGTACTCGTCGTAATCTTTCCAGCCAATCCTGAAACCTGCTTTCTGTGGTAAATTTGTGGACAGGTCATATTGACTTATGAAAGACTCGGTAACAAATGGGATAAAATTCTTGTAGCTTTTGACATCAGAAACGACTTCGAAAAGAATATTGGGTGGAATGCCCACATGTCTAGAAATACTATACTTATGAACCGGATTGGGGACAAATGGCAAGGATATAAATGACCTTCTGGCTAGTGTTTTGGTACAGAACCTGATCATGAGAAGTAGTAGTCGACCTATAGTTTTCGCGGCTTTTAGTGTCGGGTTGAACTACACTTCGATTCGCAAGATAGCGTGGCTAAAGCCCGCCACTTTAAAATTCACTTTACAGACATTTATTGATAAATTTACTAAGCACGGGTGTAAATAGCCTGCTTGGAATGCTTGGAGACTGGCTTGATAACACCATCGTCCTCCAAATGTCTCAAAGCAATTCTGGCCAAGGAACCACCGATCTTCAATCTGTCCACCAAAACGGAGACAGACACGAACTTGAAACCTGGAACTTCCTTCATGATTCTGTCATACTTCTCTTGGTCCAAGATAACGACATGCTGGGCCTTGTCCTTCACCTTACCCTTGTTCCACTTCTTCTTACCCTTCTTACCACCAGCCAAAGCAGCAGCAGCCTTGGCGGCCTTGGTTTGTTGAATCTTTGGGGCCATCTTTAACGTTAGTATATAATCCTGGAAAATTTCAATTAAACAAAAATCGCTTCATCAAATGGAGCATCTATCTGACATACTTTTGTACTGTTGTTGCAGTTCTTCAGTAAAAGTTTGTCCGGGAATGAATTTTTTCTACTTGAGGATGAGACTGCGCAGTTGATCACATGACTCGATTGTAAAGCGCACTTGTACCGAGTATCACGTGCTTTGTAGGGCTTAAGCCCTCCTCTTACTCAGCATGGATGGCAATAAACTACTTGTACGTGTGTGTCTGTCTACGAATGGTTAAGCGTACCGCAGAACGACAGATACGAAAAGATGAATCGCCTGATGATCATGATGATGGTTTCGAGGTTCCTGTAAACGCTCTGGCGGACGTTTTAGCAAAAAGACGAATCTTGCAGCCAAAAGGTAGGAGCTTTCTGTTTCCCAAGGGCCCTGTCACGTCTGGTTCGACGCTGAATAGCTCAAGCAAAATTTTGGCACTTAACAAACAGTTCAAAGCTTCTGTCTTGAAAGCCATCGATAGTGATGTCCTCGATCTTCGCCCGTTGGTGTCAAAATATCTACAGTTTTATAAAGTTGCCCAAGATTCGGCCACAACTGCGGGGGATGAGGACGAAGTGGTTCCAAACACCAAGAAGGCTACATTAGGATGGGTTCCTGGGTCACTGTCGTCTCTCTCGGCGTCAAAGCTATTCCAGAACTCAAATTTTAAGCTTGACAAAGTGGAAGAGAAAGGACGAGGAGTAGAGACGACTGGACCATCTTTCACTTTCAACAAAAACATTGATGACCCTGTTTTCAAAGTCGGCCATTCAGCGGAGAGTGGGAAGATGAGCTTCAGCCAGACAGATTTATCGGGGGCAGGCTTACCATTGCGGGAAGATAAGATTGACATTGTTGAAGAAGACGAGACTGAAGGAAATTTTAAACCGGTTGTAAAGCTTTCAGATAAGCTAGACAATGTAATGACCGGAGAGGAAAACGAGAGCACATTGTTTTCTTGTAAGACGAAAGTTTTCTTGTACGACAGTGAAACTAAGGAGCAGCCTTATAAGAACGTCGGCATTGGCGAGTTAAAGGTTCTCAAAGCACAAGACGGGAAAAGTAGGGTCTTAGTTCGTGCGGAGGGTAGTCTGAGGGTTATTTTAAACGCATTATTAGTGGCGCAAGTTAGCTACATCACGACTGGCTCCAACGTGAAAGTACCCGTCGCAACCTCTGAAGGGAGTATCAAGATGTACTTAGTTAGGGTGAAGACACAATCGCTTGCAGAAGAATTGTGCCTGATCTTGAACAACGAGAAATAATAATAATATACTGTTATCTTGCTATGTACAAGTCCTCTTTTGTCAAGGTTTGTTGCATCTGTCGAGGCGTGACATCTCTGGATCTAGCTTTTTTCATCTTTAAACTTAAAGAATTTCCCAAGGATGTTCTTGATACTTTCGAGCTTCGTGGGATGATGATCCTCATCCTTAGCAGAATTTCCCATTCCCTCGCTCTCTTCCTTCGGTGCCTCCGACTTTTTAGCTGTCTGTTCATTGAAGGAGTCCGCCAAAGCCTCGAGCAAAGCAGTTTGTAAAGCGGTTTTTGGTATAGGCGTCTTGACATTGAGGGAAATGATCATGTCGCCTCTGTTATCAATGTTTCTGTTGATTGGAATTCCTTTATGAGGGACAGTAAGTTTCCTTCCTGATTGTACTCCTGGTCTAACCTTTAATTTAATCCTTTCTCCATCAATCGTAGGAACGATGATTTCTCCTCCCAATGCAGCAGTAGTCATTGGGATGTCGTGGTTGATAATAATACGGCTATCCTCTCTCGTGAAAAGAGGATCCTTCTTTACATGGACACGAACGATAAGGTCCCCATGAACTGTCTGATTATATGGGTCCTTTGGAGTGAACGGAGCATCACCCCCACCCGGAATTCTTAATCGTGTTCCGTCTGATATTCCACATGGCAACTCTACTGACCTTGCTTTTGGAACCTCATTCACACCTGTTCCATGACAACTGGAGCATTCGTCCGCTTTGTTTATGACAACACCAGAGCCAGCACATGTCGAGCATGTGGATGCCATATGAAAGCCTCCGATGACATGTGTGTTCTGACCAGTACCATGGCAGCTTGGACAGGTAGATTTCTTCTTTCCTTTTTTAAGCCCAGAACCAGAGCATGTGCCACATGAATCCACAGCTTTGTAATTCAAATCTATCTTCGTACCAAATACAGCATCCCGAAAGGAGATTGTTTTGAGAACTTCAATATTATCCCCCACATGTCTAGTAACGAACGGGCTTTGTCCAGCCCCGCCTGACTTGCGACTGTTGCCACCTCCTGTAAAAGCTTGTTTGAAAAGATCTTCAAAATCAAATCCCATGCCCCCAAAAGGATTCCCCTGAGCTCCTCCAAAAGGGTTACCCGAGTGAGAAGAAAACGGGTTTCCTCCAAATGGATTTGCATTCCCGTTTCCATCAAATCCGGCAGCGCCATATTGGTCGTACTGAGATCGCTTATCTTTATCACTAAGAAGTTCGTATGATTCTTGAATTTTGTGAAAACGTTTCTCTGAATCCTTCTCTTTATTCACATCTGGATGAAACTTTTTGACGAGCTGATAGTAGGCCTTCTTGATGTCGGATGAGCTCGCACCCTTATCAACCCCAAGAACTTTATATGGATCAAAATTTATGCGAGATGCTAGGCTTGGGTGGAAGTATCTACAACTTGACCTTGGTATCCGCAGAGTACGGAGGCAAGCTTTTCGGAAAGTTGGGATTAACAACATCCTTGAAAGAGGTTGGAGTTTCTCTTCCTTGCGATGAATTTGACTGTCTCACTTACAAAATCTTCTAGAATGCACTACATCACGTGATGTGTAAAGTACGCGATTCCACTTATTTAAACCTTTTAGGATCATAAACAATCTATATTAAATCTCCATTTGGAGCATCTATTCCCATGAATCTAACTTCATCGTACCATTGTTTTGCAAGTTTAAGTGCATCTTAAAAGCATTTTGCAACATATGAGGCTCATGCATGCACTTTGACCTCTTAGCATAGTGGCATGCCCGATCGAAGTAATCCCTGAGTTGATCTCTGTAATCTGGGTGAGCGCACTTTTCGATGATCTCTACAGCTCTTTCTCTTGGACACATACCTCTGAGATCTGCGAGACCTTGTTCAGTCACGATCACATCGAGATCATGCTCGGTTTGATCGACATGGGTTGCAAATGGAACTATGCAAGAGACGCCTGTAGGGTCAACCTTCGATGGTCTTGCAGATGGTGTATGCATAATGGAAAGCTTAGCATTTCTTAAAAAGTCGGCCGACCCACCGAGCCCATTGAGCATCCGAGATCCCATCACATTTGTAGAATTAGCATGCGCATACATGTCCACTTCGACGGGAGTATTCATAGCAATAACTCCGAGCCTTCTGATAATTTCGGGTGAATTAGATACCACCTGGGACCTTAGGCAGAGTTTTCTAGAAAATTCTTCCCAGTGCTTGTCAAACCTATCAAAACCGGCCTCAGTTAAGCGAATTGAAGTTGCAGTTGCGAAGTCCAAACTCCCTGAAGCAAAAAAGTCTAAGAACGAATCCTGTAACACTTCTGTCCACACGGTAAGATTCTTGAACTCCGATTCTGCCAAACCTTCAACCACGGCATTGGCAATGTTGCCAATACCAGATTGTAATGGTAACAAATTCTTTGGAAGTCTTCCCATCTTCACTTCGTGTTCAAAGAATTCTATGAGATGCGAACCAATCTGTTGTGAAGAAGCATCAGAAGGCGTGTTAGGTGGAACTTTATCGCGTGTTTCAGATTCAACTATGGCAGCAACTTTGGATGGGTCAATAGGTATTGAGGTTCTTCCAACTCTGTAATCTGCCGTTACATGCGGGTAAGGAGTTCTGAAGGGAGGGTTCACCGGCAAGTCTATATCGTGAATGCCTTCGAAGGACGGAGTTTTGGTGTTGACTTCTATAATGATCTTGTCAGAAACAGACAACATTTCTGGAGATGCCCCCACAGCAGGTCCAGGAACAATTGAGCCGTCTTCTTTAATGGCAGTTGCTTCAATAATGGTGTAATCGAGTAGGTCGTTGCTCTTTTCCTTCGTATAAAACCCATACGTCAAATCCTGGGGGAACATGGATAAATGCTTGTCAAAAAACTTCGTCCGTCCATCATTGATAGCCTGTGCAATTGGCTTTCCCACTTGATGAGGGGATCTACGCAAGATCATAGAATTATCAGCCCATCTCGACTCTTCAGGCCCAGCAGAAGCACCAACAAAAAGATTGAAGGCTAGTTTACCTTGCAAGCTATTCTTTTCGACGTGATCGACAAGAGCCGCTGGGATGACTTTCGGAGCTCCAACACCAGTGAAACCTGACCAACCAAGGTATTGGCCGTGTTTGAAAAGGTCGATACACTCTTCGGCTTTCCTTAATTTTTTCAAGTAAGGCGCATATCTCACACGTTGCTTTAATATTGCGGACATTATTGTTGCTTTTGGTGGTAGTAAAGGAAAGGTTAACTATTTAAGGCCTTTTACCAGAAGAGCAAGGAAGATGTGCAGTTAAATACATCGCCATTAGCGAAGCCGAGGGGTCTGGCATAATTGTGTGCAGACGTGGACAACAAGAAGCGCGACCTGGAGTTTTGGGTAAGCCAACAAATGTACTACTGTGAAGCGAGGGGTTCTGCCATTCCTTTCTGAATAAAAATGTATGCATATTGTTAACATCTGTGAATGGACTGCCAGTTATTGGGGCGAATGCATAGCAATCTCACAACGATAGTTCCACGGAATCGGACCGGATAAATGCAACCTGTATAAACTACCGGATACTGTTGAATTTTCTCGGAGCTGGATTCTCAACCTATCATACGGAACAAAGTTAATTCACTGTAAACAATCACCCATTTCTTGGTATCCTGCAAGTCTATGCATTTTCAATTAATATATATATATATATATATATATATATATGTAGGTGTATCTAAGAAACCTATCGATTGAATTATAAGTGGCCCGTTTCGTTGTTGCGCAAAACATGTACATGCGTGTGTATGTGGACACTCACAACGTCTTTAACCGTTTCTGGACTTTCGCATTGATCTAACAAACCGACTCCCTGTGCGTTCCCTCGGCTCTATTTCGGTTTTCAGCTCTTCGGAAGAGCGTCTTCTCAATGCCAACCTGCGCTTCATTAATTCATACTCGTTCTCAATTTCTTGGTTAATACTGTTGGTGGTCTCGACTGGTTTCTCGCTGGCATCGTTTCTCTCAAATATTGTGTCTTTTAAAATTTCGCTGCTTTCAATTGGAAGCGATTTCGAATCATCATCATCGCGAGCATCAAGGTATCCTAACCCTTCAACATCGTCGATGAGAGGCCCATCATGCGTGTTGCTAGTATCGTACATACTCTTGTAATAATTGCGTACTAGATTCTGCATCTCCTCTTCCTCTTTCTCTTCCTTTTCCTCCTCTTCCTCTTCCTTTTCCTCCTTCTCCACCTCTTCCTCTTCCTCTTCTTCTTCTTCTTCTTCTTCTTCTTTTTCTTCTTCTTCTTCTTCTTCTTCTACTTCATGATGCTGCTTTTTCGCTTCATTTGCTTCTCTGGTATCGGTAGTGTTTCGTTCGACTATCAAATCGCCCATGACGCTTTGGTTTTCGGTAATCCCTGCAGCTCGTCGAGAAGTGTGATAGGAAGGCCCACGCTCTAATCTAAATTTCAGGGCTCGTCTTCCTGGGGACGTTGCGCCGGATGGATCTTCTTCTTCGATAGTCTTGATATCAAGCTTTTTGCTAAAATGTACATTCTTTTGCGTGTTTTCGGAAGAAATTTCACCCGGGTTTGATGCTCTTGGACGATACTCAACTCTTTGAAGCTCTTCCCTAAGTCTTTTCTCGATAGATCCATGGGAAGGCACAAGAGACATCCCAGGTCCAAAAAGAACATTATCAGAATATTCTTCATCACTTTGACTCATCCAATCTTCCTGATGGGAATCTTGATCATTAGCATCTGAAGAGTCATTCATGATCCAAGCTTCCTGATCGTCCGTTTCGTTTAGTTCACCTGCAAGTAACTCAAACTCATACAAACTATTGTTAGTAGGCTCTAAATTTGAAGTGTTGGGGTTGAATATATCGTCCTTGTTATATAACTCCCTTTGAAAGCTTTTTGGGTCCACCTGCGCTTCCGAGTTTACACTTGAAGTCAACTTTGTATTGGGCGACAGCCTTTCATTAAAATCCACGCTATCTTTGGTACTAATTTTTAGTGGGACTTTATCACCATTAATTCTGACGTCAAGAATGTTATCTTCTTCATCGAGGTGTTCTAGAATCTCCACGGTCCCTGCTTCATTTGACGTGAAAGAAGGCTGGGAGACAATCCTCTCACTTTCGTTTAAAAAGTTGCTTTTGTAACTCTTCAGTTCATTCTGACAGTATTGAAGCTTAGCTTCAAGAGTCTTGGTGAGCTTTTCCAAAATTTGCGTGGCATTCAGGGTACTTGTCCTAATCCACAAGGATTGACCTAGAGACAAAAGACATGACTCATTGCTAGTGAGATTATTTGAGACTGCAAGTCGGCATTCAGAAAGCTCTCTTAGTCTATGAATAATTGCGTCAGATTTGTGAGCTAGTAACCCAAGGTTGTATTCCACGTCAACTTCCTGTTGTGGCATGTTCCCGTAAGAAGAAGTGAAGATCAGCTACATCGCGCATATGTTGGGGTCTCGTCCAACAGAAGAAGAGCTCCTCGTATGATCGAGATAAGCCTCCATTTCTTCTATTTTAGGTTCTTTCTTTCCCCTTTCACCAGAATGGAAACCGAATTTATTTTTCAATCCTCGTATCGTGGCTAATGTGCTCCGTCCTTTCTGTGATGGTTCGTATTTCATGTATGAAACTGGTTTGTATGCGCAAAAAACGTCTTGCAAAAACTTTCTTAAACGAAAACAAATGGCACCTTCAACACTACAAGTCTTGACAAAGGCTATTCAACGTCTTGAAAAGGAAGGAAACCTTTATAAAAATGACATCGCCGAGCAAGAAAGAGAAATGGAGACTTTAATCAATAATAATGCAGATGAGGTATTGATCAGGAAACATAGAGAAGTTCTCGACGAATCGAAGCGGATGATACCTGAATTAAACCGCAAGCTCTCAGATCATAAGAATAGGTTAAGAGTTTTTTTACAATCATATTCGGGCGATGAGGATGTTCAGGCTGCTACATCGTTGATTAATTGAAACATGTTTATGCGTCACTGGGTGGATGGGTTCCACCAATGTCATGAAACTCGTACTAAAACTCATATATAAGTAGCGTTCAAAAATGTTCGGGACAAGTTGTGGTCCATTATTGTTAAAAATTAGAATCGGCTTCTAGAGGTTGTCGAAATTTTCTATGACCGGCTCGAAGTGTTTGATGCTTCAACATTAGTATATACTGTTACTTACCCTTTGAGAATTATCCTTTGTCTCCCAAACTATTGTAAGACTAATTTGAATTAAATCAAAGGTATACATCTCTACTGTCATGACAGGGACAGTGGTGAAACATGACGAGGGCCTCGACAGACTCTTCAGACAAGGCCGTATTCACGACTGACTGTAAGAATGCATTTCCAAACATCGATGAATGCAACAGGCTCTGTGACTAGAATTATCATCTTCATGAAAGTCGAATGGCAAGAGCTAGCTGGTATGACAAGAGCTAGCTGAATGCCACACTGTAGATCGGTTTAAAGATACTGAGGGACATGACTACCAGTTAACATGACCAGTGACTCCCCAAACTGCTGTTACTATCCATAAATCAAGTATGACACAAAGAATTATTTGTACTGTAGACCATCAAAATGTTCTTTTTGGTCTATCCAGCGCTCCTGGAGAGTAGGCTCATCACCGATGCGACGTCCATTGTGAACCGCCTCTTGCCAAACGGTATCACCACCGATTTCATTTGTACCGAACACATAACCATTTGACTTATCGATCTTCTCCAATAGATTTATCATCGAGCTCTTATCTTCAATTGACAAGACGTCGTACCTTATGAGACCAAAATTCTCCACAACTTCGCCAACAAGCTCAGTGAGCCTTGTAAAGTTTCTCCCTAATTGGCTTTTCAGTTCTAGTGCAATGTAGGGGTTGAGAAGATGAAGGTCTTCACCTGCAGCATAAAAATCTAGAGGTAATGCTAAAGACCCGTATTCTTTTAATTTATCAATCTTAGATATGACATTCACTTGTGGCAAACCAAGTTGTAGCATGGAACGTAGACACAATAGCGTAATAGAAATGTATTGCGATGCAGATGTCAAGTAGATCGAGTCAACCAAAGAGACAACGCATAGCCTTGCGTCGAACTTGGAGACGAGTTTGTGGAAGATGCGGAACAATGAGTGTTGATGGGTGAAGAGCTCTACCTGGCCAGGGCAATCGAATATAAGATAGTTACCTGCCTTATTCAAATTAGCAACGGTATTAATAAAGCGATCTAATGTAGCACCATCAATACATTCTAAAGCATAAAGAAGGGCCCCATTTGGACCAAGATTATTTTCCCTCATGATCTTCTCAGAAGATGCGAGGTCACGAATGTCCAAAGCACACAGAGAGTATGATTGATATTCTGCAGCAGGATCGAGATTCACAATGCAACACTTTCGCCCAACTGCTGATAAAAATTGTAGCATCCCGTTGCAATAGGTAGACTTCCCTGAGCCAGGAGGACCGACCACGATTTGGCCAAACATTATAAATGAATTCGCGATGTATTGATGTTGATTTATTCAATGAGTAATTATGAAACGAAATGAGTAACTGCCACGATCAATTTAGACACTAACAGAAGGAACGATCGCTTCAGTAATACTCCCAGAATATCAAATGACGAGGCAAAATGTCTACGTCAAAGGAAAGAATAATGTTGAGACAATAAATCTTATCTGAGAGTCACGTGCCTGCGAAAGCTATATTAATGTCGAAGGCAAACTAAATACCAGGTAATACTACTACCGTTAACACCTGTAGGCAATACAAATAATGCCGTCATCATCCATTGAGTCCAACTCAGTGAATCATACAGTGACTGTATCGCCTCTTGTTCTTTTGTCCGTGGCCGATCATTTTGATCGTGTGGCAAAGGATTCCAACAAAAGGGTAGTTGGAGTTCTTTTAGGATATAACTCATTTGGAACGATAAAAGTGACCAATTCATACGCAATCCCGTTTGAAGAAGATGAGAGAAATTCGTCAGTTTGGTTCTTGGACCACAACTTCATTGAGTCAATGGGTGAGATGTTTAAGAAAATCAATGCTAAGGAAAAGCTTATCGGGTGGTACCATTCTGGGCCGAAGTTACGTGCCTCAGATTTAAAAATCAATGATGTTTTTAAGAGATACACGCCTAACCCATTACTCGTTATCGTTGATGTACAGCCTAGATCTGTGGGCATCCCCACAGATGCGTACTTTGCGGTGGACGACATAAAACATGACGGGTCGAAAGCAGAAAGGACCTTTGTGCATGTGCCTTCTCTCATTGAAGCTGAAGAAGCTGAAGAAATAGGTGTTGAACATCTTCTTCGTGATATAAGAGATCAAGCAGCCGGAAATCTTACAATTAAAGCTACTGAAACATATAAGTCTCTTCTTGGATTACATCAAAAGTTACGCGAGATTTCAAGCTACCTTGAAAAAGTCCACAGCGGTATAATGCCAATCAATCATTCCATTTTGGGAAAGCTTCAGAACGTTTTCAATTTGTTGCCGCAAATATTGGTCGATGAAAGTTCTGAAGGCTCTGACGGCCACATCCCTAGATCAAATGAAGAGTCCACTGATCCTTTAACAGCCGCCTTTATGGTGAAATCGAACGATCAGATGATGATGGTCTACGTGAGCACTTTAGTCAGATCTATTATAGCTTTTCATGATTTGATTGAAAACAAGTTAGTGAACAAGTCGGACAAGGAGAAATAGTAATATAAGCTTAGGCATTTGGTTGACCTTAGATTGGAAATTTCAATGTTGTATTGGTGTACATCCGCGAGCGACATTTGAAGGTAGTGTGCTCGCGAATCTAGTTCATCCATAGTGAGAAATAAAAAGAAGCCTGTCCCCACAATGATAGCTAGGAGCTCAAGTATGTCATGTATCGGGCGACTCCCAAAGATGGAATATTTTTTTTCCAATATTGGTGCAGTGAAGACCTTTGATTTGCTCTATTCGAACCAATTTCTTCAACGAATGTTCCAGAAGCGTCAAGGAAACCGGACACATGTAAGCCCCACTTACCGTCGAGTCCTGGCAAAATTAAAGGCTCCCAACTTATTGAAACACGATGAAGCACTGCTGCAAAGAAATGAGCAGCGAGAAGTTCCGTTCTCTGTCACTCCCGTTGAGAAATCGAGAAGACATCGCGATGCTAAAGTTAAAAAAGACACCCTTCTGCAATATATCAAGTTAACCAAACCAAACCTAACGGTTCTCGTTACTTTGAGCTCCATTTGCTCCTATGCAATTTCACCTAATACAGCAAGCGTGTCCGAATTAGCTCTCTTGACTTTAGGAACAGCCCTTTGTTCCGGTTCTGCCAATGCCATCAATATGGGCCGCGAGCCTGAATTCGATAAACGAATGCTTCGAACTTCGACAAGACCAGTAGTCAGGGGTATCATAACACCCCGTCAGGCTTTCATTTTCGCTGCGGTAACCGGAACTGCGGGTTCTCTCATACTTTTATCAGGGGTTAATCCCACCGTCGCAGCTTTGGGGTTTTCTAACATACTCCTCTATGGATGGTGCTACACTTCTTTAAAGAGAAAATCAATTCTTAATACGTGGGTAGGCGCGATTGTTGGAGCCATCCCACCTTTGATGGGTTGGGCCGCCTCTTCCTCTTTATCTCATCCAGGGGCATGGTGCTTGGCCTCATTGCTCTACGCATGGCAGTTTCCGCATTTCAACGCTCTCTCGCATAATATTGCTTCTCAGTACAAACAGGCAGGTTACATTATGACAGCTGCAGAGAATCCAAGATTGAATGCTAGGGTTTCTTTAAGATACTCACTACTAATGTTTCCTATTTGCTTCGGTTTAAGCTACTTTGAGGTGACTGATTGGTTATTTTGCTTGGATTCGTCTCTTGCGAATGGGTGGCTTACAATTTTGGCTTATAGATTTTGGAGACAACAAAATATAAATCACTCTGGAGTAAAGCCCATTTCCACTCAGGCAATTGAAGCTGCAAACATAGCCGCAAGAAAGCTATTCTGGTGCTCCGTCTGGCAGCTTCCAGCCGTGCTTGTACTTGCAATGCTCCACAAGAAGGGCCAATGGGATCGGCTACTCAATTCAGCTGGATTTTCCTAAGTCCAGATTTATATGTATATGTACAACAGAAAACGATAAACATCGTCCTAAACGCATGCCTACGAGAAGATATGTAGTATTTCACCTGCATCGCACCAAAGTGGGTATCAAAATCGAGTAAAAAATGACTCCCCGAAGAGTGAACTTAAAAAACCTCGGTTGGTCTGCACTATTTGATATCACCGATTTAAGAGAGCAGTATAACCAACGGTGAGAACAACTACTTCGCACTCAAGTCTCTTCTACGTAGGTAACCCCATTTGAAAAGGATGAAATGAAAACTCAGAAAATGCATATCAAGCAAACACGTTTTCACACAAATAAATTTTCCCAACAGCATCATACTAACCCAGCTGAACCCCCAACCAAAAATACAAAACACAGCAATGGTACAGCAGCCATCCTCGAAAATAGCGCGCCGGAAACACATCGGAGATCTAGAGAATAGAAACAAACGGATCAAACCTCGCTATGGATAAGGAAGTGCAATTTGGGTTGTCTGTGCCAAGTACTACCCGTTCTACAGAAAATGCTATAGATTGAACAGCCAGCGAGCCATAAGATAATATGTTAGCAGGAAACAACTCTATGTCAAGATCTAGCTTGTACAAACCAATCTGCCTCGAAAGGTAAAAAGAAAACGAAAGACAGTCTCCTCCCTATCAGCGTTATCTTGAACAAGACTCTTGTAGCCAAGTTATATAACTACAAAACCTAAACAGGGTGATTACGAGACTTCCAAGGCCTGTAGGGCGAGCGTAAAGTCCCTAACTTCTCTTGACTTAGAATTTGATAAAAGTGAACCGAATTACGATGAATCGAACTACCGACTGATGATTAGAATGTTCGCTCATTCGACCAGATATTGCCTTTGTCACTTCAAGCTTAGCTCGGTACCTGAAAGCTCCACGTGTGAAACACCATAAATCCGTGTCTGACGCATCTGGAGGTTGTAGCTTGTTTGTGAGTTTTCTTATTAAACACGCAAAACGAAGTGGGACGACTTACTACGAAAAATGATGACTAATATCGAAAAAGAGAACCAGTCCACCCAAATTACCGAGAATCGATGACACGAGTGGAATACACCGACGAAAAATAATAGATAAAGTCTTGTAGTTTAGCTGAAGCTTCTCGTATGGAAAATCTCATAAAAATGATCTCGTCAAGATCTTTATGTAGCTTCAATTATGAAGTATGCCACAAGAGACCCACTAAAATAACCGTACCCAGTTTTCGATATAGAAGATCCGATATAATGTAATTGCTAGCCTAGTTCGTTCTCAGGCAGCAGATCGGGATTTCTCTATGGCTGTGGTACATGATCAATTCAAGAGGAATATTTATTAACTAAACAAATACTGCTTGCCAGTAGACTAAATCATTTTTTTCACTATGGTTTATAACACAACGATTCTATTGTGACACCTCTATATTTTTAAGTCAACAAGCTAAATGTTTTTTTCCCATTCGTTCTGCGATGTTAGCTATTTCGAAGTTTCTTAGTTTCATCGGCCACACTTAGTTCGACTCGTGGGTACAGGCACTAAGTAAGACTTCCCAGAAAGCTCTACATGTTTAATATCGATCAAACAGCGTTGCCGTAACATCGCGATCCTCTCTTGTATTCATGTGCGTCCTGTGCGGGATAACTAGTCAGCTGTATCTGATACCTACATTTATATATATTGCAGGCAAACTACCCTCAAGAGCGGAATTTTAATTATCTGATTTTTAAACCTGGCCCGTCGTAGCCACTACATTTAATTGCATGGCCATTTGAAATCAAATGGCAGGTAAACTTCAGTTTTTTAGGTAGACATTAATTTTTGGACCTACAGGGAAAGATCAATTATCTCTGAATTGTTGTAAGGAAGGAGGTTCTGAAGTTTAAAACTCGGTGCGCTGTCTTTTTAACGAAGTTTGCTGGTTTCATTGCTTGTAAGCGTTATCCTATGCTATCTAACCATTCAAAATCCTTCCAAGAGGTTCAGTTTGGTTCATTACTTTGTCCGTGCGAGATTGGCGTACCACGATTGTTGCTTGGCAGTGATAGCATTTCTACAAGAGGCGCCTTTCATAGTGCATGTGTTTTCGTTCTTATTCGTGGCTGTTTATCTTGTTTTGCTATTTTTTCTTTTTGTTTTGCTTATATATATATATATTTATGTCCTTCGTTGTTTACTTTTTTTCATTAAACCTTCTTATTTAAAACTTTGGTTTGTCTTATCTCATTATGGGCAGAGAGTGCAATAAAGCGATTTCCTGTTCTTGCTTAACTTCAGTCTCGTTTCGTAGTCCTGCATACTGATGTTTCTATGGCCTGCATAATGTGGTTATCCTCGTGAACTAGCGTGATAATAACAGGTACATATTAACCTCCACGTAACATGCCAATTACCTCGTTAGAATCTTTCTTATTCGAACGGAAGCTAGTAAACGTTAGCTCTGTTGAAATTCTCCAGAATTCGACACTTGGAATTGATGTTGAGCACTACTTGGGTCGGATTTATACATATAAGAAGGAACAACTCTTGTTAGGTATTGGTGGTGTGCCAGTCTCACTTAAGGCTTATATTGAATCGGACCTAGCAGTCTTTAAGGAATATAACATAAGACCATTGTTTGTTTTTCCTGGTTTACTGATACATAAAAGCCAAAGCTCATCAACTCACGAATTAACAGATGCTGAAAAGCACCGCGAGCTGACCTGGTCTCGTCTTTATGCAAAATTATCAAGCTCCTCAGTGAACACTTCGACACACTTGAATGAGTCATTTCGTCTTCACAATGATCTGATCTCTCCTCGTCCCATGACAAACGACCTTATAAAATACTTCATCGAGTATGGTATTGATTTTTTGGTTGCACCAAATGATCCTTCTCATCAATTATCGTACTTATATCACAGTGAGGTCATTGATTGTATCTATGGCTCAACCGATCTACTTCTCACCCAAATCGATAAATTTATCTTGGGAATGGAATTTCTTTCAAAAGACTTTAGGTTTGTTGATAAACAAAAAGTCCTTACGGATTTGAACTTGACCGAAAGACAGCTTTGCGACGTCAGTATTGTGTCGGGCTGCTCTGTACAACCTTCAACCTTTTCGACGCTTCCCCCAATGCCCAAGCATAACCCAGTTTCTCCATTCCAGCAGATGACACAATTCAAATATGCTTTGGATCTCATGTATCAGTACAAGTCCTTTAACAACGATACCAATCTTTACAATTACGTTTCTGCTTTCAATGACGAAGCTCTCTTGCAAACTTATTTAAAAGGTAACGCAGCAGTCAAATACATGCCAGTGATGGATCAGAATGGAGATGTGGGTCTATACATCTCTGATATGGCGCAGCTACAAAGCTTCGCAAGTCTCAATGTTTTTCAGGAGGATTTAAACGATGTTTCAGATAATGGAAATACTATTGGTGAGAGGGATAAGATATGTGTACCCAATGAGGTTCATGAAGTCGTGTCCCAGCGTCTTCCATCGGAAATCTATTTCTACTTATCTATTGGCCTTTTACCCACCCGGATACTTGAAGCTATTACTCTCAACGAATTGCATATACGGCCGCCGCTCGAAGGAGGCCAGAGCGAGGGATACAAGAAGCTTGTACTGTCTAACTTCGCTGACAACGCTTTTGATGCCCAATTGAATTTGGTTACCCAACTCTTAGCACGGTATTACCAGGTGAAGCGTGTTCCCGTAAAATATTGGTTTTCGGAAGAGCCGCACTTTCTCAACAGCAGAAGAAGCATTCCGTTGTCGACTGACCTTACACGTTTCAAGATAGCAAGCAGTGAGAACAAATTTTCAATAGCTTCCTTCTTCAAGGACTGTACAGGCTTCAATGAAGGCTCGAAACCTGAAATTGAACTCATAAAAATGAGTGATTTGATCTCAACATCCATGCTCAGAGCTCTTTACTTGCTTGACTTATCTCAGCCGCATCTTTCAATTGCCAAAATAATATTGGGAATCCTAAAGGGCCTACTTTCCAAGCATCCGGACTTAAAGAACGATACTCTCGAGGATATTATTCTTACGATAGTTCTTGTTAGGCTTCAATTCTTTGATTTCTTTTCATTGGATAAAAACTATCAAAGTGTTCCCAGTGTGTTTAAGAGTGGCTCTCAATCCACATCTCAACTTTCTTCTAACACAAAAGCTCAAATTGCTTTGATCTCTCGGGTTTTTTCCTTTCGCAGATTAAAAATCAATCCGATAAATTATCAGGGTCCAATCTCGCGAAGTTTGTTGAGCTTTAGAAGTCATCATCAATTTGTTCGACAGATATTGGGAGACTTTGTGAGAACCTCCCTTGTGGACTTGATAACAAGGCTGCAAGGCTTGAAACTTCTGTTTGAAAGTAAAGATGATTGGTACTCGCTCGTCGACCAACTTCCCTTCTTTAGTGATGCCAGCAACACATTACTTGGCGTTGTTTGTGAAATCTATCTCGAGGGCTGTTCAAGCCTTTCACTTCTGGGCGTGAGCAATGAGGAATGTAGTCAGCGTTCGTTGCAACATTTGCTCAATAATGTGATGCAGAACACCAACCCGGCGTTCAACATTAATTTGGCGAGCTCGAATAGCATTACTGCAGAACAAATGGTATCCGATTTACAAGTTGGCTCTGAATTCTGGTCCTACTTTGTCTCAGCTATGGAGATCGGCAATCAGTTGGATAGTTCTTTTGTTGATCTGAAAGCATTAAGCGCGATTCGGGAAAGTGATAAAACTGTCCTGGCTTTTTGTGAAGCTTTACTGACTGGTACTATTCCTTAGTAACAATCGACTAGCCTTTCGATCCACTATATACTTCTTTTTTTTTTTTTTTTTTTTTTTTTTTTTTTTTTTTTTTTTCACCTTCTTCGGTGTATAGACGAAATATTTTCGTTGTATCCATTTCATGCATTGACTCAACAGGCGTCGAGCAGTAGGATGTACGAGTGATTCAACGTGGGAAAGATGCCAACATGGTTGTGTCCCTCCTCTTCATTTATCCCATAGCAATCCTTGCCCCACTTTTCAATCATTTGTCATCTTTCGATTCTCTTCCTTTGATTCTCAATCCTTGGTCACGTTCCTTGGGTTATCTTCCTGTGTTATCTTCCTTGGGTTTCTTAGAAGAATTGCTGAATGTTTTCTTCAGAATTTTGTTTTCTGACCCACAATGTCCCGACCTTTCATTCAACTCTCTTCTAACTTTAGTTAAAAAAAAAAAAAAAAAAAAAAAAAAAAAAAAAAAAAAAGAAGGAGCGGTTCCTATCTCATTACAAAGACTGTCAATAGATATGCAACGAGGCGGCACTTCTAAAGGTCTGGAAAATTCAAGAGAGGTGAAACTACTGTCCACAAATTCTCATTCTCTTGCATGGTAGAGAGGAAGACAGGCAAAGTGTAACTATCAGATTTATCTTGATCAACGCTCTCGAGTTCACGAAACGCTCTGTAGAGCACCATGTCTTGGCCTATCTCAGTCTCGATTCTTAAAGATATTCCAGGTGCACTTCAAAGAATTCCGCTATGTATTTAACTTTCGCATTAAAACTACATTTTAGACAAGAACAAACAAAAATAATAGCGTACAACCAAAAAAAAAAAAAAGAAATAGAGAAAATGGTGATCATGAACTTCATATCACGCCGATTTAGTCATGTTATGTCGAAGCCCGAGGTTACAGGATCAGGTCCGTTTATCTCAGAGCCTTTGTTTACTATTCTAGGTTCTCCCAGGAAGTCTGTGAAAGTAGATCTTCCTAGAATGTCAGTTTTATGTACTAAAGATGTCACTGTGAGTGTGTTAAATGGTGATGTCGAGAGTTTTGCTACGAAGGCCTATCTGTCAAACGTTCTCAATTACCTAGAAACGGTATCGCATACTCCATCATCATTTATAATATCTTCGACTGGGCTCTCTGCTAATTTTCATATGTTAAGATCTAGATCAGGTGATGTATGGAGGTTTCCCAAAGCGACATGTTTCACAGCCTGGTCAGGACTGAGCCCAGTCTATGACGAACTGTCATCGATGTTTCTCGTGAAAGGAAAGAGTCAAATTGTCTTAAACGCACTCGGCCCACTATATCATGTGGAGTTAAGTGAATGCGAGGACGTATCTGTCCCAACCAACGCGGTGATTGGGTACACCGCTTTCCGGTACAGGAGGACAGAGAACCCAAAACCAAAAACGGCTGTCGGAATACTTGAGAGTATCAAACAGATTCATTGGACAAAATACTTCAAGAACTTCGGAAAGGCGACTTTGGCCACCCCGGGCAAAGACATTTTAACATTTACTGGTCCAGGAGTCCTTCTCATTAGTGACCGTTTTTGATCGTCCCTGTTTGCAGAGAATGGAAATATCAACTTGTACCTCACCAAATGATTGGCTTTTTTTCGCTCAAGGAGGAGCCAACATATTGTTGCAGTATGCTGGGCATGTTTCTACTTACCAAGGGAAGCTACTTCGCTTGAGAAGAACGAAGTGTCTGGTGGATCAGATGAGTAGTGCGCATGTTTACGACTTCATGCTCTCATTCGAAGAGGAGGAGGTAGGGTCATTCTTGATTGACTGTCAACTTGTAAACCTAGATGACAGGTATGTTCTGGCACTACGGCATAGATTCGACGTGCTTAGAGACTCTAATGCTCTTGTGGTCGAAAATCTAGTACAGGACAGCCAAAATCACACAAAGCTTTCGAAACACACATGGATCCATCTCACTCTACCAGATGATGGTGCCACAGGGTTGGATGTGGTATTGGAACTAAAACCGAAATGGTTAACGAGCGTAGATTCAACCTATTGCAGGAACTGCTCCTTGGCACAAGCGCGAAATGAACGGAGGCATTTCTGTCCGCTAGACCTCGTCAATGAATCCAATATGCAACAGGGGGTTGCAGACCTTTTGAGGCCACTTCCCTCACAATTAGAACAATACTTGGATTCGCAAGGTGTTTGCCTTCGTGCGTTGCTAATGGGCTACTTGAAATGCGATCAGAGCATTTTTAAGAAATTGCAGCAAATGCAAAATAGATATCCTATTCACAATTTTAACGCCATTAAGCGAGATGATGATGTTTCGGACACCATTTTGAGAGGTATGTCTTTGCGAGACGTCGGCGTTTTCGTAAAATTTAGTATACCCCATGTCCCAACGGAACTGAACAGGGTAGCCTTCCTGTCACACATTTTTGATTTAGATCCCAAAGAACGTTCCCGCTTATCGTACTGGCAAGATACACAGGATAAATTGGAGGCATTTGCCAACGCAAAAAATCCAGGCTGGAGAAATTGCGGTTAATGAATCATTGATTAGATATATCTATAGCTTAGGAAATGCAATATAGGGAAGATTTTAAGCAATGCGGTGAGTTCACCACACATCTTCTTGGTAGCGATTTTGAACCTTTAACGATCTGACCAATTCTGCAGCCTTCTCCTCTGGAAGGCCCCTCTGAGTCGATATGATTTTGACAAAAGTTGACTGTACGTCTCTTGCCATTTTTGAAGCATCACCACAAACATAGACATAGGCTCCATTCTTCAAAAGCTCGTCGACAGTTTCAGCTCTAGCCAAAATCTTGTCCTGGACATAAACTTTCTGGTCTGTTTCTCTTGAAAAGGCAACATCCATTTCAAACAGATCTCCCAATTCCTTGGCGTATTCAGGCCATTCTTCCTTGTAAAGGAAATCCTCCTTCAGATTCCTGCAACCATAAAACAAAAGAGTTTTGCCAATAGTCACATTCAGATCCTGCTTAAGAAGCCTTGTACGTTCTCTCACAAAACCACGCATAGGCGCGACACCAGTTCCTGGTCCAACTAAAATGACAGGCGTTCCAGGGTTGGATGGCAACTTGAATGTGGACCTTCTGACGTGAACTGGTAACTTGAAACCACTAAACTTGTTTTTAGGGCCCTTTAAGTCATAGTTAATATTGTGCGCGAACTTCGTAGCATTTTGATGGACCTCAATATCCTTGAGTAAATTCGTCGCCACACCGCTTACGATATGGTCATCGAACTTTTCAACCTCAACAACAGCGGTTACGTGTATGGAAGTCTTTTCAGACAAGGATGATGATGAAATCGAATAATAACGGGGCTGCAAACTGGGCATAAGTTCTACTAGGAAGACAAATGGAACAGAATCCCATTTTGTACCCTTAGAAATTTTCAACAAGGCATCTGATAAGTTTAAGTTGCAATCGTGAATCTCCTTTGCAAATAACACCTTATCACCACCCAATCTTAAAGCCTCCTTCTTAGTTTCTTCGTCAGGTGCGAAGGGGGCAATAGAAGCCAACGCTTGTCTGGAGATTGGCCCTGAAATCTCCATATGATGCCTCACAGCAGCCTCGTAGGTTATGGGTACGGGAAATGGTATCAGTACCGTTGTATCCAACGCTTGGAGTGAAAATACCTCATCCTTCCTTGCGGAATATCCGAAGCACTCGAGGAACCGGCTCACATTGTTGTTAGAATTTGAGGGCCAAATAGCCAAATGATCACCAGTGCTGTATCTTAGGTTAGAATCTGATATGTCGAATTCAGCATGAACACAAGAGCGATCATTGGAAACAAAAAGCTCACGTGTTGTGCTGACAGGCGCCAAGTATGGATGTGTATGGTCAAAAGGACCCTTGCTTAAATCTTTAGACATATCAACGTAGGCCTTGTTAGGCTCTCCATTAGAAACGCCATCGGCGGAGGCTACCTGGGAGTCCTGTTCGATTAATTTGAAAGAGGGCTCATATTCGACCTCACGTTCCTCTAAATCCAAATTATTCTTCAATGAGTCGAAGCATTCTTCTTTCCAGGATAAGAAATCCTCATCCATGGTACCAATTCCATCGTCGCCTTGCCCATATGGGGCGATACGTTCAGCACCCAATGCTTCGAAGCGGTCATTCAACTTGGCCCCCATGGCGTTGTAAAACTCGTATGTTGAGTTACCTAATCCAAAAACGGTATACTTCACATTCGTGATTTGGTCAGCATCACCTTCTAACCAATTGAAGAATTCAACAGCATTATCTGTTGGCTCACCCTCACCATAGGTTGCAACAAGAAAGAAGAATAGATAGTCCGAGTTCATGTCTTGGAAGTTATCATAATCATAGTCCGCCATATCAGCAATTAAGACGGACAATCCGAACTTCGAATGTAATTCTTTTGCCAACTTAGTGGCGTAGTCTTCAGCGGTACCCGTTTGAGAGCCAAAGAAAACCACTGCATTCTTGTTGTTCTTTTTCAACGTGGCCTTCAAGTCACGATCGTTGTCATCACCTCCAGCGACAAAGCCAGCGGAGGTAGCTTGATCAGCACCGAAAATAAACTCTCTGCCGAAGTAGAACGCCACAGCCAAAGCTAAACCAGCTATGACAGCAAAATCCAAGGTATCTAAAGCCATTTCAGTGAGAAATTAACACGAGGCCTAAGGGTTAAAAGTTTTCTTTTTGTATTTGTCTATCAAGACCAGCAAAAGAGTTGAGTAGCCCTATATAACGAACGATGGTAGAGGGGGAAGGTCAGAAGAGGACACCTTTATAGCACATGATTTTTGTCGCGTCGAACGTCGCTCGTTTAACTCCCCAGGAAATCACATGTAGCTTCCTTCACACATGTCCGGTCTCGCATTGGGATTCTGAGGAATTCGCATGCCAATATTTCGGATTGCACGGAAATGGTAACTCCTAACGGGCAGCCCCTCGTTCCGCTAGCAAATATCAGAGACATGTACTTATGACATACATCGATAAAGAAAGAATAAGACATTTTCTAGCTTTTCATAAGTTTAGAAAAAATCACTCATTAAGTTGCAAATTCCAGGAAGCACCGCTTCAAGCTGATTTCAATTTTTTGCGACCATTCATCTCCCATACCGAAAATACTTTTTATGATTTCTTGCAACATAACTGGTGAAAAGCATTGGACTGTTTTATTGCCCAAGCCGTAATGAATATTTATGCTGCTTTTATCGCTCCCTTCGACGTTTTCTTGACGTAGATAGTCCTTCCTTACCAAATCATGAAGTATGCCCTGTACATTAATATTACAATTAGGTACGCTCAAGCCCAAGTTACTCGGGACTCCAAATTCTGCAAGGGTCTGGAGAAGTGTCAGCTCCTGGATGTTGCCTTCACTAACAATAATTGTGCAAATTACCATCATAGTCAAGCCGCCATGAACATAAGCCAATGAATCTAAGGTACCCTCGGACTTCTTACTTTGCGGCAAAAAATACAAGTTCGATAACCGATTCCTCACAATTGAGGGCGGATATCCATCTGAATCTGAATGAAGGAGTTTCTGTAACAAGAATCGCGACCGATGATCTAGATTAGAGTTTATTTCGAGAGAAGACTTCTCGAAGAGAACAGACAACCCAAAAATATCTCTTAGCTCAGCGTCAATGAGGGGCTCTTTCGTTCGCAAACTAGCACCTTTCCCATGCTCTTTAAGTGCCATGCTGACATGTTCCTTTCTTGTCTTGAGGTTGCGGGACTCTCTGGTGACTATCATTCGCACGATGGGGCGCATAACGGTATCGTCCACACTAGTAGTCTGCTCATTGGAGTCGGCCTCAAGAGTGTTAGACGGAGAGGTAGGACCATAGTCCCTGTCTTCGTATCCTCTTTTGGGCATCAGTCTCTTGTCTGTGTAGCTTGTGTGGTTAATTTTTCCTGTCGCGCGCCGCGCTTCAAGCTTTCATATAATAGTACCCCCAGATCTTACCAACCGGCCTATTTATCGATGCATCATTTGAAATCTTGCCAAACACCGCGACATGCAATACCTTTTTCATATGAGTTTTCTCTTCCTTTCTCTCTCTCTCTCCATCTTCGTTTTTTTTTTTTTTTTTTTTTTTTTTTTCTTTCGAATCTGTCCGGTAAATGAGGATGCTAATGACGGAATTTCTCAGCTTCCCCGCTGGGTAGTGAAGAGACTGCATTCTAATACTCTTAACTCTGATCAGTGAATTATGTTCAAGTGCACCAGGTTATCCATCTTATCATGACCAGCTTACTGGCGCCCCAGCATGCATTTGATCTTACAGGTGAATCTGCAAAACCAGATATAAGAAGTGCTCGCTATGTGGATTGCACGGACCACCTTCAATGTCCCGTGTGCAAACAGCCATTCGTGAACCCAATGACAACAATTTGTGGGCATACTTTTTGTCAAGATTGCATTGAAGAATGTTTGAAAATGTCGAAATCACCAAGCAAAGAAGAAGGATTCTGTCCTCTTGACAGGACGCCACTTAGCCGACATAACATTCATGACATCTTTCCCACTCCGCTTTTGATCGCAAATATGGTAGATGAATTGACCGTTTACTGCTTAAATGATGAACGCGGGTGTGAGTGGACGGGAAGAAGGTGGGAATTAGAGTCTCATGTGACCCATGATTGTGGCTATACTGGTGTTGTGTGTAATGGTAAAGTACCTTACGAATCTCCTGATACAGAATTGAAAGCGACGGACGTATTGGACAGAGACGCAAACACAAGGTGTGGTAAGATAGTGGAAAGAAGATACGTTCTGGACACCAGTGAAGATACCTGTGTCCATGAAAGATTCCCCTGCCGTTACTGCTCTTTTCCGATAGATAAGGTGACAGAAGAACACCATCTTAACACCATTTGTGATGCTAATTATACTACATGTGACCTATGTGACAACGACTTGATACCAAAAAAAGGGTTAGAGAAACACAAAGCGAACTGCAAGAAGACTGGCGTACTCGTCTGCCCCGCTCGTGCCATTGGATGTGATTGGGTGGGGCATAACGAGCCTTCACTTGAGAATCATACTTCAAAAGGTAATTGCGCCCTATTCCAATTATTGCCGCATTTTAAACTGCTTGAAACTTCGCTCGACCGTCTTGGTTCAGAAAATACATATTTGCGAAACCTGATGAATAAGGTGCTTGACTCTATTGTGCTGGGTAGGGTGACAAACCTTGGATACTGCGAACCTATCGAGGAGATCGGTGGCTTCTATGACTCTAGTCAGCCGGAAGACACGAGAGAGGCTTGGTTGAAGCTACGATGCGACTTCGAAAAACACAGACTTGAAGTAGAAGAGAAATTTATTCCTTTCATGGAGAGAGAAAAGAACGCCATCCCCGATAGAGAGGCTATGATAAGCTCTCTAGTGAACGAAAATTTTGTGATGAAAGATGAATTGAACCTTCAGCGATCACTCGTCAACAGCCTACGAAAACAGGTCCAATTTCTTTTATTTCAAAGAAGACCACAGCCACATTTTTTTGAAAGCGAAGAACCCTACCTCGACCATTCATCACGAACAAGTTCAGAGGAACGTTTGAATTTGAAGCTCTAGTACGACAATTTAATGACTTATACACGCATAACCTAGCCTCTGATGGTTTCTAGAGAAGGTTTAATTTCCCCATCTTTTCTTCTTTCTCATTTTTTTTCTTTTTAACTTTCTTTTTATACTATCAAAAATATTTGTTTTGTCCTTGAGCATTACTACCAAAGCTGCTGGAGACCAGACCAATCTTGTTTCTTTCTCCTGTTCCAATAGCTGTTGGAACCGTTATCATATATCCATTCCCCAGAATCCGGCAGAGAAGTATCGCCTACCTGCTTAAAGAAGACAGGCTTATGAGTCTTGCCAGCCAGTTCCATTTCAGCACGGCGAGTACGTTGATTCTCTTCCAACTTAACTTTCAACAGTTCTGCCTTTGGGACGTCACCACCTTCGTACGCTCTCATATCCGGCCTTAGCCTTGAGTCGCAGGGAGGCAAAGCCTCGTGCTCCACAGTAGTGATCTTGTTCAATGATCCAGCGAATTCAGTGAAGCCGAACTTCTTTTCACATTGAGGGAGAAGTTTTCCAGCCGTCCAAATAACTTTCTCAGTATTGTTGGTCTTTAGGATCATGGACTCCGTCCACTTACCGGCGACAGTGTAAGGCAACTGTTTTTTGGCGGAATTGAACGCTTTAATTGTAAGGTCTTCAGACCTACCACTGAACATTCCGCCCTTGGAAAATTCCACAACAGCCTTCTGACCAGAGCTAGATTTGACAACGATAGACAGAGATGGTTCAGTATACTTTTCACCAGCGATTATGTTCTTGAGGAGACTTGTTGGTTGCGACCATGTAAATACCTCTCCAGTGGACTTCACAGTGAGCTTCACAGTTCCTTTGGTACTTATCTCGTAAGTCTTTCCCCAGAACTTTTGAGATGGAGACGCTGAGAAGCTAAGCGTCCAATGGCTAGATTCCGCAAAAACGGCAAACACAGGCGGCTTATGCGACACCTTTTCACTTATAAGACGGAATCCCTTATCTTCTCTGACCAACTCGAATGTCTCCCCCAAGAGAGGGTTGAATGGCTTACGCGTGCTCCTGACTTTCTTTCTGAACGAGGAAAGGTTACTCACAGCGAAGGCGGCGATCCTAAGGATAAGTTCTCCCGAGTCTTCGGGATAAGTTCCATCGAGAGCGTTGTCAATCATCTCCGAATACTCAAATTGCTCAGCATACTTTTGCAAAATAGTAACGGGTTCATTCATGTCGACTGGCATGGAAATTGACGATAAGTCTTTGCCAACATTTTTTCTAACAAAGGAAAGAAGATTGGGGGGTTCATGGTCACATATCGGAATATCACAATCCCTGGTAACTGGTTCCAAGGGCAATGGATAAAGACAGTCGTCCATATTCACATCCTTCCCTTGGACCGATTTTGTCTCGGCAATGGAGGCAGTAGGAGCAGGAAGATCTTCAGAATCTGAATCAGACGACAGATCAGACTCTTCATGTTCTTCCTCATAGTCGTCTTCAGATTGCGGCTTTCGGTCAACTCCATCCATAAGGACCACTCCTCGAGATGATTTGTCTAAGGTCTCCTCTGCATCAAAGAATTCGGTGTTAGAATGAACAGGGGTCAATTCAGAGTCTCCTTGTTTCTCGGCTGAGACTAAGTACAGAACACTGGTCGATATCTCTTGCAAGCGAAACTCAAGTTGATCTCTATCTAAATCAGGGCTGGCCTTCAACAAACTTGTTAACTGTTCGTTAATCTCTTCAAGGCGAGGTAACCCTACAGAGGTTGGATACTGAACCGCATCTTTTCCCTCTGCCAGCTCCATAGAGCTTGTACCCCTTTTGACTTTATCGAAGGCATTAACCCACGCCTCAAAATCGTCCCCATTGAGAGCCTTCAAATCCCATACTTCCATTCCGGAATCGATGAAGATTTCTCTCGTCCTCGAGTTAGCACTAACAATAGAGTGAATAATTGGCATTTGGCCCCTCAATTTGTTATCATTGACCTTGAAGTAAGATAACGTACTATATTTGAAGTTCAACACAAAAGTCCTTTTGGTGAACCCTTGAAGCTTCTTTCTTCTTCTCTTGAGTAAGGTGCTCATCATAAGCTCTCCATCGTCAAGACTTTGGCCATTTGGCGCATTTGTAACGTCACCGACGGTATCTGTCAATTGGCGCCCCTTCAGGCATGTATTTGAATCCGAAGCAATTGAGTTCTCAACATTGGTAACAAGTTTAGAGCTAAAAAGAACTTTCTTGCTCACGGCTTTGGAGAAAGAATTGTCAAAAATAAAGGCGTACATACCTTCTTTCTCCACATTAAAGTGTCCTCGGACGAGTTCACCAGGGACAAGCTTGAAATAGTCCTTGACTAAAACCAAATTCGAGCCGCTTAAGCTATTTGAAAATGTGGATGACCTAGATTTATTTCTAAGCGAGTTCAGCTGTGTAATTTGATTTACTGAAGCAACCGATTCTGATCTCAAGCGGGAAGCATCTGCCAGATGCTCGCCAGAATTGGGAATTGAAGTTGAGCCTTGATCCTGTCCTCCTAAATCTTCGATGTCATGACTATTCACGTGGCTCTCATCCAGGGAATCCCCGATTGGAGATCGCTTGTAAATTGAGAAGTTGATTGACTTCTTCAATGGCTTTAATTGCCAAACAATAGATGAATCATCAACGGCATGGACCCACTTGACGAGAAAATCCTTTGAATGAATCTCCAAGGTCTCCATAATGTTGCTTCGAAAAAAATCTCTTTTGCAGAAGTTGCTGTTTATATAAGAACAGTGACATTATTCATATGGTAGGGAGCTGCCAACTCCACTTTTTAGTATATGCAGTATTATGACACAAAATGAACATAACCCTCAAGTTCGGGTAAAGACCGCCTCCTTTTTGTTGATGTATCACTCGTCAATCGACATCACATATTTGCTGCAATTGCATTTTTAGTAGATCCCTATTCCTCTTTGCAACTTAATACTAACTCCATCTAAAAAATCATATGCATGGCAAATACGCGCGGCGACAGCCAGGAAAAGTGCTTGAGTCGGAAGTCCCAAGTTGCCCAACAATGGAACTATTTCTGATACCCTATCTGGAAACAGGAATGTTCTGTGCGTTGAAACCGGACGCGAAGCGACATGTGCAACACTTTCTCGAAGGCTTTGTTTCCAGTCCATGTGTTCTTTATGAAACATAAGCATGGCTATTCGCTTATCAGCTTGCCCACTTGCCCGTTATGAGGAGGAGTTCTCCACTTCCTAATGCGCGAAATAATTCTTTTCCGAACCAAAACTTATTACAAATTTGAAAACAACACTTGTATATAACAAGCTAGCTATTGACTGAAAGTCCACTAGGGGCTAAAAAAAGAGAAATGATCACGCCCAGGCTCGAACTGGGGACCTTCTGCGTGTGAAGCAGATGTCGTAACCAACTAGACCACGCGACCACGATTACTTTCATGCGCAGGGAAATTTATAGCTCATTACAACTCAAACAGCTCACATAAAAAAACAATAAATTGACATTTTTGTAAGAACAATTTAGTGTAGATCTTTAAAACTACAAACTAAAAAAGGCTTATAAGCCGAAAAAAGTGCTTATAAGACTGCTTTTAACGATCAAGAAAAAAAAAAAAAGATTGAAATCAGTTTGATTCACTTAAAAAAAGAAGAATAGCAAAGAGGACTCTCAATAAAACTTTACCAGACACATAAAACGAGGGATTTGCATGACCATGAGCCAACATGAGATGATTATTCTTATTTTTTTTTTCTTTTTCTATTCTTTTACTCCTTTTTTTATATGTATACATAAACACCAGAAAGATTTCCTTCACTATCATGCGCCGGACGGCAATGAGGAAGTCCTTGTAAACCCGATGATTAAGGGGTTGTGTTTTCTATAGTGATATAGTTTTCGTGCCGTAAGGCGTCCTCTTAATACACAGTTAACAAAAAAAAAAAAAGAGAAAGTCCTCTTAATACATAGTAACAAGGAAGGAAAAGAAACAACATTTTAATTCAGGTTACTTTCAATACCACAAGTCCCTTTCCATTTAATTGTATTCAAGAAAAAAAAAAAAAAAAGTCCCTAATCCTCTTCTGCAACGGCTCTTGCAAAAGATCATGAGACAGTTAGTGCCATGGGCAGATATCCGCAACAGGTTTCTCTAGGGATGACCAGAGATTTCGATAAGACCTATTAGACAATCCACGGTTACCTTGTCTTCTGTACTTCAAATATAGCTTGTCAAAAATAAAAGAGCTCAAAAACTATGTAAAGTTGCCTTATGAATTGTTTTGAAGCTTTGCTTGCAACGTGCTGTAACGTACCGTGGCCACTTAATTTTACTATTTCTAATATTTTTTATCATCCTTTTTTCTTTCAATATTTATAGTTATGCATCGAAAAGACTTTCTATGTCTGTTGTTACCGCTTTCTCTGCAGCCCAAGAGGTTTGTTACTAAAACGAAGTTTATCTCTGTCGCGTTGTTTGCTGCTTCGCAAAGAATAAGCCTACAGATTCCGAGTCTTCGGAAATTCAAAAGCTTGACATTTCTGAATCCGATATTCAAAACTTTTAACGAATAGTTTCTAGAGAAGATGATCGAAAGACAATTCACTGTGCCCTTATCAGTTACCCCTCCTCAGTACTATATCACCTAGCGACGCGAGGTGTCGCGAAAAACCTTGGAAGACAAAAAGTAAATGGGATAAAAGGAAAAAAAAAAAAACCAAAAAAAAAAAAAAACATTATAAACAGACGAGAAGAAAAAGCATTAACGATAAAGTATATTATTTCTAATGACCGCACGAATTGACCTTTCTCAAGGGGAAGATATCCCTGCTTTCAATGCATGCATCTTGCCTGTTTCGATCAAACATAATGGAAAAGTCAACGCGGTTCAGTTTTTTGGATCAACGTCAACCAAGGAAAACTACATGGAAACAAACGTGGATGTCCGCTATTTTCGAGGAATAAAACTCATGGGCCGACTGGTTGACTTCGATTCAAAAAAAGCATATGTGCTCAATGACTTCGAGATATTACTGCGTGGGGACAACGATGAGGAGCTAGCGACAGTGAAACACTATCAGGCTACTGCAAAAATAGAAACGTTGAAAGTTTATGGTCACGACAGCATTCCTCCAGAGCACGATAAGTGGATTCTTTCCAATGAATGGGGGCTCATCGCAGATGTTCTCCACAGTGACTAGCAACTTTATGGTGGCCCTCGCAGAATCCTCACCCTTCTAGACCATTTATCTCCCAGTAAACGAGCACCACTCGTGGAAACCTCCAAATTTCCTGATGTTAACAGATAGATTGCTTCAATAGCGTGGTCAGAAGCTCCTTGCTCGTCTTGCGGTAACCATACGGACGGCATTTGCCATTTATAGGATGGGTGGCAGTACATCAAATTGTCTTCCAGTACATCAGGCTGTTTCAATGTATGACATGGAGCACATATACTTGTTGAATTAATGGGCGAGCAAGTGAAATGCTTTGAATATCTTTCAGAGATACTTCTGTGGAACGTTATCGATAACAAGAAAGCTGCCACAATGGTGAGGCACTGGAGCTTACTGCAAAGCTCATCCTCTCCAACAGCTTTTCTGAATATTATGCTGACCATACAGAATTCGAGACAGTATACTCCCCAGTATAGCTGCATGAGAGCTCTCAAGTATAGTTTGCCGTATGTCTCCGAGGGATTGCACCGGTCATAGACAAACTGAAGAGCGTATTTATAGTAAAATAATAAGACGGATAGGCCAGAAATGACGAGAGCAACTATAGGAGGTGCTATCACACAATAAGTCAATCCAACAATTCCGTGTACTGTAACAACAGGATACGCAAGTCCCCACTGGACTCTTGGAAGTGTCGTGAGCAGCATGAAAACCTGTCTAGGGGTAGATATAACAAAAAGAGCCCGCATCGAAATACGGACTAGGCTCCCAAGCTGCAAGAAATTGCTACTACACAGAGTGAGTGCCGTAATGATTAAATGTCTGTAGAAAAAAGCCACTCCACTGGGGAGGTTGACAGACAAAATAGCTGGAATTCTTGTTGGGTGTTCGACTATCTGAAATAACATCGAAGTGAAGCTGGATGAAATGGAAACGACTAGGAACTGATGAATGAATAAGATTGAAAAGTACCATTCTTGTGATAAAAGTTGAAGTTCGCTACCTGTCCAAACATTATGGCGGATAAGCAACGATTTGATAAGCCTTAACTGGGTTGCCGTCAAAACGTTCAACATCAACGAAGGAAGAAACCCGGAAAATATTTGGCGGAGCTCCCCAGGTAGATTATTAATTCCCCTGACGCAAAGAAGTATTCGGGACATCGAGTGGGAGAAGAGACCCACGAGTGCAACAGGCAAGACGTGAAGAAGAATCACTGAAATGAGCAAGATATCAATCAATAAGAGTTTAAATTTTACCAACACGCCATCTCTTCTAAGCAAGTTATTCCAAATAATATCGTCGGGGTTCACATCTGCAACAGCTTTTTCAAAGTGCTTCGTGGATGCTAGAAGAAGGGACTGATATGCCATACGAGCTGACGTATGGTATCTGAATCTGATGAAAACTTTATCTATCTTTTCAGCTTTATCTTGCAAATAACGAATCTTTTCTTTCTCCAAACGATCACTAATGAGCTGAAGCCGATCCAAGAGCTGTTTTCTGAAAGTTACATCGTAAGGTAATGGCCTGAATGGAAGAACTAGAAGAATTTTTGTCTTTATATCTAGATTGAGTAGACGGATAAGATCGACACTGAGGCAGAATGGTAAATTAGTCAACAATTGCTTTTCTGGCTTGAGAATATCCCTTGTTTCGAGGCTTTCGAGGGTTCGGAAGGCTTTTTTAACAAGCGCTAAGTCATTGGCATTCAGAAGAAAGTTATCCACGAACCAAATTTTTTCCACACCACCAGGAAAGACAGAAAATAATGAGACGAGAACAGTGTATTCACGCATATTATGCGGCACCAGAGAGAATAGGATAACCCTTGAGGATATTTGGCACTTGTATGGCGACGACTCCATGAATGCATGTCGGATTTGAATAACTGACTCAATCTCCTTTACCAACATGAACTTGAACAAGATGATTGTTACGAGTGTGCAAATGAAATGAAGATGAAGAGGATAGGGATGTTTCGAAGTATTGACAGTTATAGTCGTTCTCTGAAGTATAGAGGTGATATCCATTCCTTGCGAACCCCACACATGGACTGGGATCAAGACGGTCATATTAATGGCGCCACAAATGATAAATAAACAAAGAAGGAAAACGATAAAGCGAAGGAAGAAGTAAGAATCAAGACCAGAAGAAAGATATTGCAGTAACAGAGGCCTCAAAGTGGGAATTATCCATTGAAATAAGCCGTTTCCTGGAGCCTCAACCCTCTCATTTCTTGGAACGTAGAGGCATCTTGGTTGATAAAGAGAGCTTAGAATAGGGCGTAGGTAGCAAAAAGCCATCAATTGAATGATTGAGAAAGTGAAGACTGCGACCAGTATTTTGAGTAGATGGTCATCTTCTTCAACGGATAACTCTAAACCACGAATGCTTTCAATAAAGCCTCTGCTAACTTGAAATCCATCCATCGTGGGAAAATATATGAAAACAAACAATGTTAGAGGCGGAAATTCGAGATTCCAAGGAGACGAACAGCAGGTGTAAAACTTGCGGTGCATTTCGCAAGATATGATTTTCGCGGGGAACCATTTCCCACACTTTTGGATTTCCTCTACGTGCGGCCAGCCTGTAGAGTTTAGAAAAGGCGAGACACAATCGGACCTCTATCATGTACAATCGCCAACGCGGCTTATCGGGACTACTGATAATAATGGAATTATCTTTCATATTTCCAAAATGTTAGTATCATAACCCAAATAGCTTTTTCATTTTTTTTTCTTTTTGGTATTCTCGGGCGATCTCTTCATATTCTGCTTCGAACTACTTCAAAAGGCAAGCGACTCAATATGAACTGCGCTAAAAATCCTTGATCTATGTGGTTTTGACGAGGCTGAACTACTAACCGTGCGCAAAATGAAAGAAGTGACAATTGAGTCCTGATGAATTGTGCTTCGCTTTCTGGAGCACTCAATATTGGAGCCTTGGCAATAAAACTGCCAAATTCCGTACTTACAAAAAGATTTATTAATCTACCTCTTTTCTCTTTTCTCTTTCCTTTTTCAACAACTCTTTGGCCGAATTGCATTTACGCTAGCCCGGGACTTAGATATGCCGCGAACGATAAACCTCAAGACATGATGATACTATACCGGCCCGATGGCAAGATAGCCATTGTCTTGATTTCTACCCCATTACGTCAAAAGGTTTTCAGGATTTCTGGGAAAGAATGGTGTCCTTTTAGTCTTGCTACAGTGGAAAAATTGATATTTGAAGCAATTTGAAATAATTTTAGAAATCTTAGATTTTCTGCTTCGTTCTTTCCTTTGGCGAACCCAAGGTTGCTTGTCCGTTATTATTGCTCAAATGTACGGGATGCATGTAATCAACCTCGCATCAGTGTATACCGCCGCACCTACCTATATCAGCTCACTAAATACGAGGCTCTGGCTCCAGGGTGCGTTTCTCAGTACGGAATGGTATACAATGAAGATCGTTTATCTTACCCCGACATATAAACTCCATAAGATTGGTTCTGATCTACTCAAGCCATTCTTTTCATTGTGACTAATCCCGCTAATACTACTACTACTACTACTACTACTACTACTACTACTACTACTACTACTACTACTACTACTACTACTACTACTACTACTACTACCACTTCACCTCTTCTTCGTGATTACTTGTATTTCAGATTCACTCAATCGGCAAAAACTTTCTTTCTTTACAACTAACTGAAGTCTTTTCTTTTTTTGTCCAATTCTTTTTTTTCTAATTTTCTTGTTTGTTTCCTCACATCAAGCCATATACCGTCAACCCCACTCCCTTGTCTTTGGATTGATATGAGTTATTCACAAATGGTCATGCTGACATTATGTCGCTAAGCTCGTAAAGATCTATGCAATCACTGTAGGCTCTGTAGTGTTGATCGACTGTTTGAGGAGAGGTTGAGGACGTATTGGGAAAAGTGGCAGAGCTGGCTAGGGAACCCTTTACCGAATCTATTGTTCTCCCAACATTGCTTTACGAGATTTCAATCAAAGAACTTCTACATCGCAGATGGTAATGATGTGTGCCTTGGAGTGAGTATTAAAGCTGGCAATAGAACACACATGGTGCCAGGTGGGTCTTAGACCCTTTCGCTACTTTTAGCTAAATTATATCTCTTACTGTCATCAGGGAAGGCTTTTTAATTGTGTTTCGAACCGAGTGTGGCTTCAATAGCTTTCTGCAGAAAACTATATGGAAGGCATTGTGAAAACATGGCTCATGGGGTCCTAAAAGTATAATCCCACGCTTCAAACCCAATGCAACGCAAATCATACATTCCACGCACCTGGGGTGCATTGTACATGCAGCGAACGTAGCCAGCTAACACGACAATGCTTCATCAGAGATCCTTGATCATTCCTATTGTTGTAAAAGGCTTTCGTAGCGTATTGTTCGGATCCTTTTTTTTATCTCTTCCACTGCATCCATTGTTGCTCTATCTAGATTTTGAAAATGAAATGATGAGGCCGTATTAATTACCAAAGCACTTTTGTCACTGTTACGGCCTCTTTTGAGTATTTAAACCCTTCATCGATACGTTTAGCCACTCTTCTTCTTCTTTTTTCTTCTTTTATTATTCCATATCATCAGACTATTATCAAGATGAACTTACGAAGTTGGCTTGCAGCTACCGTATGGTTCACCACCGTTATCAGTTTGACTATCACTGAAGATACAGTTGTTGTATCTCCTGTGAGCTTATCCATCGGGGACCTTACGATAAATCCAGATGTTTACTACTCTATTGTTAACAATTTACTTACAACTCTCGGGGGTAATTTGGACAACCAGGGTGGCTTCTATGTCACGTCATCCAATGGCTTAGCCGCTTCGGTAACAATTGTTTCAGGAACGATCAAAAACTCCGGTGATCTTGCTTTCAACTCATTGCGTGCAAATGTTGCCAGTATCTATAACCTCAATTCAATTGGCTCTTTCGAAAATACTGGTAACATGTGGATAGGAATTAGTTCATTCTCAGTGACGCCCCCAATCATACTTGGGTCGGCCCTCGACTGGGATAATTCGGGAAAGATTTACCTTAGCCAGGCTGCGGGGACACCATCTACAATCACAATCTCACAAGCACTTGGTTCTGTTAACAATGATGGCACAATTTGTATCGAACGTTTGCTTTGGTTGCAGACAACCTCTATCACAGGTTCAGGGTGTATCAACGTTATGGATGATGCTACACTTCAACTTCAGCTCAGTCCATGGAATGTGGCGGACACAGAGACAGTTTATCTTTCTTCGGAATCATCGTTGTTATCTGTTCTTGGATTAGCAGAAGGACTTACAGGTACCAAGACCTACACGGTCGTCGGTTTTGGAAATGGCAATGAAATCAGAGTGAATACCGGCTTTACATCTTGGAGTTATTCAAATGGAATTTTGACACTCTCTTTCTTCTTGGGAGTGTTCAGGTTAGCTTTTGACATAGGTCCAGGGTATTCAAACTCAGGGTTCTCAACTAATGGCGTTTTGGGAGCAGGAACCAGGATTTCATATAGCGACGCATACCCTGGGGCTGTCCCAGATATATGTTTGTGCGCTGATTTCCCAGAGCCAACCACTACCCCGTTAGCTTCTTCTACAATTGAAAGCTCGAGCTCTGTACAGCCTTCTAGTGAGACAACTGACGAGAGTTCAACAGACGAAAGCTCAACTGAGCCGGCATCAAGCAGTGAGCCGGAATCAAGCAGTGAGCCGGCATCAAGCAGTGAGACGGCATCAAGTAGTGAGCCGGAATCAAGCAGTGAACCCGCATCGAGCAGTGAACCCGCATCGAGCAGTGAACCCGTAACGAGTGAAGAGACAGATGAGAGCACCACTGAAGAATCCCCAAGCTCACAGCAGCCTTCCAGCGAGGAGGAATCATCACTGACGGTAGATCTGTCCGAGCAGTCTTCCCTGACTGAAGATACCACCGAAGACACCGAATCATCTGGACCTCCATTCACGACGTACACCACTACCTGGACTACTGACGATGGTGAGGGTAATCCTGTCACCGACTCTGGTATCGTGATCGTGACTACTGATTCGGATGGATCGTTGACGACTACTACTTCTGTGTTCCCACAGGACACCGAATCATCTGGACCTCCATTGACGACGTACACCACTACCTGGACTACTGACGATGGTGAGGGTAATCCTGTCACCGACTCTGGTGTCGTGATCGTGACTACTGATTCGGATGGATCGTTGACGACTACTACTTCTGTGTTCCCACAGGACACCGAATCATCTGGACCTCCATTGACGACGTACACCACTACCTGGACTACTGACGATGGTGAGGGTAATCCTGTCACCGACTCTGGTGTCGTGATCGTGACTACTGATTCGGATGGATCGTTGACGACTACTACTTCTGTGTTCCCACAGGACACCGAATCATCTGGACCTCCATTCACGACGTACACCACTACCTGGACTACTGACGATGGTGAGGGTAATCCTGTCACCGACTCTGGTGTCGTGATCGTGACTACTGATTCGGATGGATCGTTGACGACTACTACTTCTGTGTTCCCACAGGACACCGAATCATCTGGACCTCCATTCACGACGTACACCACTACCTGGACTACTGACGATGGTGAGGGTAATCCTGTCACCGACTCTGGCGTCGTGATCGTGACTACTGATTCGGATGGATCGTTGACGACTACTACTTCTGTGTTCCCTGGTGGTCCAACTGACCATCCATTCACGACGTATACCACTACCTGGACTACTGACGATGGGAATGGACCAACTACCAAATCTGGTGTCGTGATCGTGACTACTGACGCTGATGGCGCCCTTTCAACTACGACATCCGAGTTCCCTGGTGGTCCAACTGACCCTCCATTCACGACGTATACCACTACCTGGACTACTGACGATGGGAATGGACCAACTACCAAATCTGGTGTCGTGATCGTGACTACTGACGCTGATGGCGCCCTTTCAACTACGACATCCGAGTTCCCTGGTGGTCCAACTGACCCTCCATTCACGACGTATACCACTACCTGGACTACTGACGATGGGAATGGACCAACTACCAAATCTGGTGTCGTGATCGTGACTACTGACGCTGATGGCGCCCTTTCAACTACGACATCCGAGTTCCCTGGTGGTCCAACTGACCCTCCATTCACGACGTATACCACTACCTGGACTACTGACGATGGGAATGGACCAACTACCAAATCTGGTGTCGTGATCGTGACTACTGACTCTGATGGCGCCCTTTCAACTACGACATCCGAGTTCCCTGGTGGTCCAACTGACCCTCCATTCACGACGTATACCACTACCTGGACTACTGACGATGGGAATGGACCAACTACCAAATCTGGTGTCGTGATCGTGACTACTGACTCTGATGGCGCCCTTTCAACTACGACATCCGAGTTCCCTGGTGGTCCAACTGATCCTCCATTCACTACTTATACCACTACCTGGACTACTGACGATGGGAATGGACCAACTACCAAATCTGGTGTCGTGATCGTGACTACTGACTCTGATGGCGCCCTTTCAACTACGACATCCGAGTTCCCTGGTGGTCCAACTGATCCTCCATTCACGACGTATACCACTACCTGGACTACTGACGATGGGAATGGACCAACTACCAAATCTGGTGTCGTGATCGTGACTACTGACTCTGATGGCGCCCTTTCAACTACGACATCCGAGTTCCCTGGTGGTCCAACTGATCCTCCATTCACTACTTATACCACTACCTGGACTACTGACGATGGGAATGGACCAACTACCAAATCTGGTGTCGTGATCGTGACTACTGACTCTGATGGCGCCCTTTCAACTACGACATCCGAGTTCCCTGGTGGTCCAACTGATCCTCCATTCACTACTTATACCACTACCTGGACTACTGACGATGGGAATGGACCAACTACCAAATCTGGTGTCGTGATCGTGACTACTGATTCGGATGGTGCCCTTTCTACAACAACATCTTGGTTCAAGAATGAGCAAACTACAACTCTTCATACCACAGATCACGAAGGAAATCGTATAACGAAGACTGTCATCGTGTGCGAGAGCACGTCACCAGGTGGAGTCGTGGCGACCTTGACTTTCCCAATTCCCCTGACTACAAGTTTTGTGGAGACTAGACATGATGGAGCTCAAATCACATACACTGGCGCAATTATTGAGACAATAAAGGAGGGCAAGTTGACTTTTTACACATCGATTTGCCATCCAGTCCAAGATATCACTTATGGAACGACTTATGTTATTAGTCACGATGGGAAGCTTGAAACTACCTCCGAATTGGTCATTATAGGCACAGATGCGGACGGAAAGCTTCATACTTCAACAGTTGCAGGTATTGCTGTCGGCGATAAACCAGCGCAAAGTACCCTTGAATCAGTATACACTGGAGCCACTCTGTACCCCATTGGAGAAATCTCGACGTACGAGGCTTCAGGCTCACTCAAAACCCTTTCGCTTCTTTCATTCGTCTTTGGCATTATTGCCTTTATTTAAGCCCGCTGATATGGGTATGATTTGATTTTCAAGGATTTTTTTTTCTTTATTCTTTTGCCTCCAAGATTAAGATTTTGACGAATAATTAATTCGCAACAAATCACCGTTTTCCAAAGACTTTTTCAGTCACTTTCAGTTTTTTATTTCGATTATACCTAATCAATTGTGTTTTATCCAAATTTGTATTGCAACTGCTGTTCTCTACTATGTTTCCGCACCAGAATTCATTCAAAAGATAGCTCTATTTTTTAAAAGCTACTTCTTCGGGAAGTACAAATGACACGCAAAACATCGGCTTTGTTGGAGCCACTTTACGTACCATATGGAAATTAAACTCCAGGATGGGCAATTCAAAATTGATTTGCTCGATGATACGTGCATGTACTCTCCTGTGAAGTTCATCTAAAGTAGGTTCAGGAGCATCGTGGGAGAACTTTTCGAAGCAGTGGACATTAATAGTAGGAAGCCTGAAGTTTTCATCAGCTCTGACCAAATTCTCCACATCCAGATTCCGGGAATATAAGCCCACAAACTCGTTTAAAAACTCAATTGATGTTCCTGGTAAATTCATAACATAGTTGGAGATAAAAGACGGTATTGGGGTCTCAGTGACTTCGAAAATCTTGGTTTGTGCACCATCTAGCCCCTTCGAATTCGTCTTTCTTTTTTTCAATGTTTTTCGTTGCTCTACTTTGCCATCACCCTTTTTCCAATCTAATAGGAATTCGGGCGAGCGCCTAATAAACTCACGGCCATCTAGGTTGAATCCCTTTACAAATGCCAGCACGTTATTGAGTTCTGCGTTTCCCGTGAGAAACTTATGGGATTCGGGGTTCAAATCGTTGGCCAAGACCAAGACGTTCTTCTTGCCCGCTGGAATAGCGAAAGGACCAACACCAGCAAAGACATCAGCTACCACATCTCCTGGCTTAAACTGACCTATGAGTCTCTCGTGTTCAGTGTTCAAGCGTGAATTCCAAAAAGCAGTGCTGAAATCAAATCTGAATTTACATCCACTTTCGTGCTGTTCAGTCATAAAATTGTCTTCACCAGCGATGAGTTTCATATCAAAAACTCTGTATTTGTTGCTAATCGTGTCAAGCTTGTCAACAACCGTCTTGATAGTTGGATTTTTATCTAATATAACCTGCCCAATTAAACTGCCGTATGGTTTGAATTCATTGCGTAAATTTAGATGTGCGATATGACCAGCTTGAGCGTACCCCGAAGGACTTTCTTGTATTAAATCCTCCGGCAAGATGGCTTGAAGAATGTCATCGGCCTTCCAAAAGTGGTAGTCAAGCTTCAAAGTATAGGGCTTGATCTCAATGTTTTGTTTTTTGATAAGATCAAGAGCTTCATCAGGAAGAAAGGTTTGATATGTGTCAGGATCATCGATATCATCACGGAGGAGGACACCTTTAACATCGTCGATTGGGACTATATGCTTGACATTCGGGATGTTCAATAGCTCATTTTTGCATACTTTGACAAACTCACCTACATATCTAGGGTTGGGGAGCTTAGCAACGAGCAATTTGACATCCTTCTGGAAAACTGACCTGTCCAATTCCTTCATGCCTCTGGCAACAGGGCATAAGAATTTATCGCTCATCGTAAATGGCTTAGCTCTAAGTATAGGCACTGACCTTGGGATCTGTACTTTTTGACCAATAGGAGGGGTACTGAATAATTTCGCTAGAAAGCTTTTTAACATACGATAAAAGTACCAGGAATCGTATTGAAGATTGAGGATAGCAGGGAAAAATAAGTCAAAAAAAGACTCGACGCATAATGTACGCCTTATGAAACCCATCGCGCACTGCACAGACTCGCTTACCCATATCGAAAAACCTCAAGGCGAGGTTTAAGAACAAATTGGAAATGTCAGAGCCCGTGATAAGCATATATCGCCCTGTTAGGAATCTGACGGCGATAGACTCCCATGATGACGTGCACATGGACTCCGAAGTGGAGCTGGATCAGGATGGGCTTGACGGAATAGATAAACCTGATATGAGAAAGGATAGTTCTCGTAGCTCTGTGGTTACGCCTGGTGAATTGATAACTGATGACCCTGTTTGGATGAAGGGACATGGCGTCTATTTCTTGGACAATATGACGTATTCAGCTGTGGCGGGTAATATTTCACGAGTGAATAGATTATTGAGTGTGACACCTCTACGGGGCAGATATGAGCCTGAGACCGGAGACCATGTGATTGGCCGTATTACAGAAGTGGGTCAAAAGAGATGGAAAGTCAACATAGGGGCAAAGCAGGATGCAGTGTTGATGCTTGGTTCTGTGAACCTTCCTGGAGGCATATTGAGACGAAAGTCCGAGAGCGACGAATTACAAATGAGAAATTTCTTGAAAGAAGGCGACTTACTTAATGCTGAAGTTCAAACCATTTTCAATAACGGAATGGCCTCTTTACATACCCGCTCTTTGAAATATGGTAAGTTGAGGAACGGTGTTTTCTTGCTGGTACCTTCCAGTTTGATCATCAAACAAAAAAATCATTCATTCGACATGCCGGGGAACGTAAGCGCGGTAATCGGAATGAATGGTTTCATTTGGTTGAGTAAAACACAATCGGAATCCGTTAAAAGCAAGTCTTTTGCTGGCGCTTTGCCCGGTGAAAGCAAATTGGCAATTACAAGATTAGAAGAAAGCTCATCATGGGAGATCTACAGTGATAAGAACGATCCAACTATAGATGAAAACATTCGCAATAATATTATCAGATATTATAACGTTTTGAAGGCGCTAGCTTCCTGCGAATTGGGTATCACGGAACCAAGAATAAGAATGGGTTATGAGGGAAGTATGATGTACTCAGAACCGGGGGCAATAATTGCAGCAGAGTCTCAGAGAAGCATTTGTGAAGATATCATCAATAATGAGAGAATGAGAGGGACTTGAAGCTCCAATATTGTCGGCTAGAAACGCGAGGGGAGATTAAATTAATGACCGATTATTTAATTGGTAATGTTGTTGTGACAACTATATTATCCTTTTACGCTTCAAATAGAATTTGAAGTATGTGACCTGCAACAAACCGAAGACGCAAATGGATGCTAATATAGCGACAGATGTCGTCGTGTACTTTGCGAATATCGCTTCGTTCACATCTCTGAGACGTGATTCATGATCCTTCAAGGTATTTAAGATGTCCTCCGAGCTTCTTAACTGTTCCCTTATTTTTTCTAGCTGAACAGTTAACATGTTGGTTGCTTCCTCGAAGTCTTTCTGTGTAAAATCTAGCCTCACGTCTTGAGAAGATTCCGCTCCCCTGTCCTCTGCAAGAGTTATTCTTCTAAAGTATTTTGCGAATTCATTGTAATTAGTTTGCAGTAAGGTAGTTGCATTTTTGATTTGGACGCGAAGATCAATATCTCGTGTTTGCGGCTTGAAACTCCAAGATCTGTCGTAGTAAAGATTATCGAAGCAGATGTAAATAAATGAGCTTCCAGAGTATGGATCCAAGAGATCGCCATATTTTTCGTCGACGGGAGTTTCTTTACTGTCCCTTTCTCGTCTGGGACTGAAGCGATCCAAGAAATTGAACAGCGTGTCCTCCTTTATCTGAATTGGATTGTTGAGATTGGTAAATAGAAACGAAATCTCATCTGAGATGTCATTGGCAGCCCGAAGGACATTATTATCACTGTCAAGAACTTTCAAGTTTAGCTTCTGTGACGGTTGTCTGTCCCCTGTTTTTAATGAGACGAAAATGATGTCATCCCGGGATGTCCTATAACCTACACAGTTAAGGAGATTCTCTGAAGAAGTTAGAAGTTTCGGGTTCGCCGAGCTGACAGCAGGTATGGTAATACCGATCGCTAGAATTCGAGCCAGTAGGATGAGAATACCGTAAAGTATAGCCCATTTTGAGCTGTTATGTTGCTGCATGAGTAAGGTCAAATGATCCGGTTCAAATGACTTATACGTGAATGGGAATGAGGATGTATAGTTGAACTGTTTAAGTGAGTCTGACGACGGTAATGTACAAAATGAAACGGCATGCACTTATGGCTTGTGGGTAAACACGGTAACGACACAAAAAATTATGCGAGGCCAAGAACGAAGAGTAGCACAAACGAGGGAGGGAAGAAGGGAAACCTAAACGCTGATGCTAGTTTATGGCCTCGGAGCTGCTTTTCGTTACTCGTTCAATGTATGGGAATGGACGGACAAATGCTGAGATGTGATAATACCAACGAGGTGGAATGCTAAACAACCTGGAATAACGGTGAATGATGTTGTCAAGATAAAGACGATTGGAAATGCTCTTTTTAATTGGGCTGACCTTTGCCCAGTGAAGTTTCCAGAACCTGTAGTATGGGTGTGGTAGCCTGTTTATAGTTTTTTTTTTTTTTCCTCTCTTTTTTTTTTTTTTTTTTTTTTTTTTTTTTTTCAGTCTCAATTCTGGTATTCTTGGTGTTCGAATCCAGCTGCATGTTTCCATAAATGGAGACGATCACTTGATGCGTGTCAAAGAGTTGAAGGAAGACTGACGAGGGAAAATAAAAAGCCCACTAAAGAATAAAAGAAGAAGATGAAGAAAGTGAACGAAAGAAAAGGAGTTTCACAGTTTTATCGTCAAAGGAGTAAAAGTCCCTTCTGTTATGAAATTTCAGGTAGACAAGTGAATGTATTCAAAATTTCCTCTTGATATCAGTTAACAGAGGCGGTTAAGCCCAGATTTACGTAGACCACACCCTTATTCTTCTTATTTCATTGCCAAAATTTTATGGCAGTTGAACGGCCTATGGCAATTACTCCTTGTACGTTAATCATCCCTGTGATATGCTTCCGTCACAAAGTTTGTTTCGTCAAGAAGACGCACTCTTGAATGTGGTAACTTCCTTGTGAAAAAAGATAAATAACGGAAAAAACAATCGAGACACAAATACTACGGTTAGTAATCGTAGGGCGAAAGAGACATTTGGTTGAGGTAGAAGCTTTAGATAGGCTGGCCAAGCAGCATCTGGTTGGGGCTTCCTTTTCGCCTGCACTGAGGCAAGTTGAAAATGGGTTTGACCAGGGAGAAAGCCAAGCATATTCGAAAACCTTGGATGCAATTATGCCACGCTGTAAATAGTGAGTTACTTTGAAGGCGTTTGTGAAGCCATAAGAAAGGCAAGCAATCGTCTACTGACCACAAGCAATGTGTGATATGTATTTCTTGATAACGGAAATTGTTCTGGGTACACAAAGTGGGGTCGTCTTGCTGTCCTCACAGCCTACATGATTTTAAAGCACGTGACTTACCGATCCGACCTTCTCTTGCTCACAGACGTCATCCTACTACACCCCTTTCTTGCTTGTCTATTAAAACTCAGAATCCACTGCCAATTTTTTTGCAAAGGCGATTAACTCAATTCTTTAGATAAGTTCATTCTCAAGGAGTCTCGATTCTTCTACATGTCTCAACAACTAAGCGCTTCACTTTTGAGGCTAAAGCTCTTAGACGCCCTTCGTGCCGGGGATGAAGCAAAAATTAGCTCTGTTATCAAAGAGCTTGACTCGGTAGATTCAGTCGTTGATACCACTGAATTGGTTCGCTTACGAGAGACGGTTCTTCACTATGCTGTCCAGGTCGCCCCACTATCTACCATCCAGGATTTAGTAAATGATACTACCTACCAGTTTGATGTTAATGCCCAAGATACAGATGGAAATACTCCATTGCACTTGGCAGCAGCAGCTTCCCGCTTTAATGTTGTGAAATATTTGCTTTCATTACCTGATATCAACGATACAGTTGTCAATGCCGACAATCAACAGCCAGTGGAACTTGCCAAGGATCCGAACATCGCTCAATTGATGCAATTTGAAAGAGCAAAATTCGTGGAGAAATCTGCAACCCAGTTACGCCAGTTCTTTAGTGCTAGAGACTTTGAAAGCTTGGAACAACTCCTAGTCCTCAATCCCCGCGCTGCTGAACTCTTAGATATCAACGGTGCTGACCCCGAGAGCGGAAATACAGTGCTTCACGAATTCATCGGGAAAGAAGACTTCGAGATGTGCGACTGGATTCTCAAACATGGTGGTGATCCTTTCAAACGCGATAAGAGAGGAAAGTTGCCCATCGATTTAGTCAGCAGAAACGATCCCATCAGGAAATTATTGAAGCATGCTTCGAAAGACTCAAACATCATGGATTCTGTCGTGAACTCAAGCAACCCAATGAAGACTGGGAGCGCTCCAACCTACAAGGGCTATTTAAGGAAATGGACCAACTTTGCTTCAGGTTACAAGTTGCGCTACTTCGTGTTAGATCAGTTTGGTATTTTGTCTTATTACGCTGACCAAGGTGATACAAATAATGCATGCAGAGGCTCCTTGAATCTTGGTTTCGCAACGTTACATCTTGATTCTTCCGAGAAGCTCAAATTCGAGATCATTGGTAAGAACGGAATAAAGTGGCATTTAAAAGCAAATCATCCAGTTGAAACTAACCGCTGGGTATGGACTCTACAAAACGCTATCACTATTTCGAAAGATAATCTCAGGCAAAAGCGCAGAGGTAACAGCGAAGGTACAACTGCAAATGAATCTACCGCCAACCGCGAGTCTGTGGACGATGGGGCCAGATCTTCTCTTGATGAATCTGGGGTACAGGCAGGAGAAGATGAAAAAAAGAAGCGCTTACTACACTTACCACGGCGCAACAAGCACAAAAAAAGTTCCAGTCAAGTCTCCTTGAATTCATTCACTGGCTCAGATTATGATGAGCAATCTTCAGTGACTGCATCAGATCAAAAGAGTGCCGTTGCTTCTCCTAATTTAGGCCAGATAAAGGAAAATAAGCCGGCAGAACCGAAGAAGAGCTTGGACGGTGCTCAATCAATTGTGACAAAAGAGGATTTTGATTATGATCTTGATCATGATTCCGAAGATTCAGAATCGCTTTCGGTTATAAACGGTGTGAGCGATCCGACTCTGGAGGACGCCACAAAGTTATCGAGGGATAGTATGCTCGCGACGAAAAGATCTCTTTTGATAGAGATATCGAGTCTCTTGGATCTTTTTAAAGCTATCGGAGATAAGATTGATACAGAGCCGTATAATGTGGGTCTCAAGACACTTTCTAATGTTCACAGTTTGATTGAGCAGTACGACCAGCTGGTACAAGGCCGTGAAAGCAAGCTTCTTAAACGTATCGAGCGACAGGATGAGATTAACAAATTGTGGGAATCATCAATCCGTCAACTTGAAACCGAAATCCAGAAACGTGAACAGACATTGGCTCAATTTGAAGGCAAGAAGTATAGAATTAGAAAGCTTCTTGAGTCGAGAGGTATCTCATCTCCACAAGTCTCTAATGAGCTGGCAAATGGATTCTTTGGTGCTAATCCACCAAATGTTGCATCGAATGAGAACACCAAAGAGCCTGAGGGAGCTACTCACCGAGAAGATTCGGCTTTGTTGGAAGAAATCTTTCATGATTCAGATGATGAATTCTTTGATGCGGATGAGTTTGAGGGACATTCAGATAGAGAAGTTACCATAGGCGATTCGGAAGCACAGACACGTGGTGCTGATATTTCGGAAACGCCTTCTAGTGGGGCCATTGCAGGGACCGGCACCCTCGCATCAGGCGCTGGTACCACGTCTTCCCAACCCGCTTCTCATTTATCAACAACTAATGCACAGGAGCCAGAGTCACAGGGCCAAATTGCACACGAAGCTGGAAATGTCCAAGAGAAGAGTACGGATGCCCCTTCGCAACCAGAACCTGAGGTAGCGAAGGATAGAGAGGTAGCCAATGATGCTCAAGAAAGGGTGTTAAGCGCCTTGATGGAAGAAGGCTCGTTTCTTGGGTACGAGAAACCTCCGAGATCAAAGCTTGCTTATGATGAAGACAACAGACCAAAAGTGGGCTTATGGGGTATCTTGAAATCTATGATTGGTAAAGATATGACGAAAATGACACTTCCTGTATCTTTCAATGAATGCACTTCATTGCTTCAAAGGTTAGCAGAGGACATTGAGTATAATGACTTACTTCAAAAAGCAGCGGCGATTGATGACTCGACTTTGAGAATGGTATACGTTGCAGCATTTGCAGCTTCAGAGTATGCATCCACAATCAACAGAATTGCCAAACCATTTAACCCATTGCTCGGCGAAACTTTTGAATATGCTCGTCCTGATCAAAACTTCAGGTTGGTGACGGAACAAGTAAGTCACCATCCGCCCATTAGTGCCTGCACGGCTCAGTCCCCAAAATGGGATTATTATGGTGAAAATGCGGTCGATTCTCAATTTAAGGGCAGATCATTTGACTTCAAGCATCTTGGTAAAATGTTTTGTGTGGTGAGGCCTGACAACGGCGTAACTAACCAAAAAGGAGAAAAGGTCGAGGAAGAGTTGTACAGTTGGAAGAAAGTCAACACATCAGTAGTGGGCATAATTATTGGTAATCCTACTGTGGACAATTATGGAAAGATGGAAGTCACAAACCACACCACAGGAGACGTTATCGTCGTTGAAATGAAACAGAGAGGCTGGAAAGCATCTTCCGCATATCAGTTATCGGGCTACGTGCACGATAGGAAAGGCAACACACACTGGGCAATTGGCGGTCATTGGAATCTGAGGATATTTGCTCGTAAGGTATCGGAAGTTTCGGACAAGGGTAGACGGGATTCGTTGATCGACTCCCAAGAGGACAAATCCGGTGGGGATCCCTACTCAGGTTCGAAATTCCTCGTTTGGCAAGCTGCTCCAAGACCCAAGGTTCCTTTCAACTTGACTTCGTTCGCTTTAACCTTGAATGACCTTCCCGATTCGTTGAAACCATGGCTTCCACCTACTGATACAAGATTAAGACCGGACCAAAGAGCCATGGAAGATGGAAGGTATGATGAGGCATCCAACGAAAAACACAGGGTGGAAGAGAAGCAGAGGGCTGCTAGAAGGAAGAGAGAAGCTACACGTACCAGCTACAAACCAAATTGGTTTGTTAAAGCGCAGCATCCAATTACTGGAGATAGTTACTGGCAGTTCAACGAGAAGTACTGGAGGATGAGGAAAGACAAGAACCTCGAAGGAACTGGTGATATATTTTAGATTTTTATACTTATCATGTTGAATCCTATTTTTAATTTTTTTTTTTTTTTTCTCTGTATTCTACTCTATCAGAGCGTGATGTCTGGATCCATGATGAGGCGCACAAAATGCCATGAGACTGAATTATAGAATGTTCGCGATGCCCATCGCCATTTCCAACAAACATCTTTTTCATCGTGATGGCTAAGAAAAGAAGATCTCTTTTGGCACTGCTTAACAATGAATCCAATTGTCCTCCAATTCTCGATATGCGTTTTGACGAGCCCCTATTTTCTTCGGCGGCTCACCCGACGAGGCCAATTCTAGTGTCGGGCCTTGCGACTGGACATCTTTATTGCCATACTTATGATGCAGATATGCTCGAGGAAAAGATGCGGCAAAAACAAGCGGCTTTCTTGAAAGGAAGTAAAAGTCTTCCCAGAATTTCTCAGCTTTCTCAAAGCTGGTGGTCAGAAATAGCGCATACTGACTCTTCAGAGGCCGTATCCGTAAACTGGAAAACCAAACGTCACAAGGGCTCCTGTCGATCAGTCCTATTCGATGTTCAAGAGAATTCAGTTGGAGAGTACATCTATTCAGCTGGAACGGACAATGTAATTAAGAAAGCCTCCACGGAGACAGGCAAAGTTATAGGGAAACGTGAGATAAGTACCCATTATGATGACCCAAAGGATGCGATCACTACAATGGCAATTTCGACAACGCATCCGTTTCTTTTGACAGGGACTGATAACGGACATGCTCTTGTATTTGACACTAGCGATCTTGGCCAAAGCAAGCTTAAGTTCAAGTTGTCCCAGTTGCACGAAGATTCAGTGAACAAGATCCTCCCTATGCCAGCTGTCTCTCCATATCATTTTTTATCTCTTGGCTCAACAACTCTTACTCATTTCGACATTAGAAAAGGGCCAATCACGCAGTCTGACGACCAAGAAGATGAACTACTCTCGATGTGTTATCCCACCGAGTTCGTGGATAAGGGAAAAAATGATACTGTTTTAGTGTCACATGGTGACGGTATCGTCACTCTTTGGAGAGAAAGTACAAACAGATTATCCGATCAAATTCTGCGAATAAAAGTTAACAAGGCAGCTTCAATTGATGCCATTATACCTACTATGAATGCTGGTGATGACGATATGAACGACTGTGTTTGGTGCGGAGATAGTGAAGGTCTTCTTCATCGTGTAGACTACAAAAAATCCAGAGTCGTTGAAACCCGTGCTCATTCAGCCCTGATGGGAAAATTAGGCGCATCAGACGAAGTTGGAGGACTTGATATTGACTTCGAATATCGACTCATAAGTTCAGGAATGGAAGGATTGAAAATTTGGACTGACCAAGGTGAAGCGAATGGGTGTGATGATGAAGAACACAATTATAGTAGTGATTCGGAGGAGGGCTCTCTGTCCGATACTAGTTGTGACTTAGATTCTAGTCAATCTGAATCAAACATTGGGTCGGATCTCGACCTTTCTGATGAAGGCTCTGGAAATGAAAGAGCGGTTAATTTGGTCAAAAAGCGCCGTCAGCCAGTTCAGACTCATGATACGTCGCAGAAAAAGAAGAAAATTGATTTAAACAAGATCACAAGAGAAGATACGGCCATCAGGGAGACGGAGATTGACAACCAAAAACAGAGCAAACGAAAGGAGAAAAATTCTAATAAAGGTGCGAAGTCAAAGACAGGTAACAACGGGATTATGAAATTTGAGGGTATGTGAGATAGTGATAAACGATAGTTACTTTTACTCAACTATATGTGCCCTCTACAAGTTCATGGGTTTTGCGAACTACGTTTGTTGAAGAAGAAGTAAAATATAATACACGAAAAAACGACCCAATATCACATTTTTTACTAATCTAGCGAGTTTCTGGTGTTCTTTTTTCTTTTTTTTTTTTTTTTTATTTCATTTTTGTATCTTCTCCCACCGGTTTACAAATACATGTCAGGGACTCCACACCACAGTTGTTGGTAAATCTGAGGAGTGCGACTAGAGACAAAAAGAGAATATCTCACAGATACGGCCATCTCGCTTATCAAGCGCTCACTCTCAAGCTATTATTACCAACACCCGCTCTAAACAATTCATGGATAAGCTGAAAGTTTTCTCAGTGAACAATGTTCTTTTGGCAAGACGAGGCCATTACATTGTTGGTTCTCTCCTTTTATCAAAGCATCATTTAGTATTCACGTTTCGGCCAGACCCATCACTGGAACAACAGAGAGATATTTGGATCTGCTACCCTATAATTGAGAAGGTGACTAAGTCAAGAGGGCCATCATGGACAGGTATTACTTCAAGCTCTCCTTCTGGAGCGGAGTTGCCAGTCCCAGCACCACCCGACCTAGATAACTTTGACAAGTACCTGGCATCTCATATCAGAATCTTCTGCAAGGATTTTACTTATTATTCATTTGACTTCCCCAACGAGACTATGTGTGCTGATGTATTTGGTAAGCTTAGCAAGTTGTCGATGTCTGCTAAGGTGAGTGGCCTGAAGAAAGAACTTTATGCATACGAATACCGGCCCAACGTCATGGAAACAAAATTGGACGATCAAGGGTGGGATCTTTATAATGCTGTTCTGGAATTTAGGAGGCAGGACCTACTTTCTTCCAATGACTGTCGTGAAGGCATGTGGCGCTTATCTGACATCAACATTGATTACAAACTATGTCCTTCATATCCAAGACATCTTCTCGTACCATCTTCAGTTTCAGATTCTGTTTTACAACACGCGAGTAAGTTCAGACTGAAGCAAAGAATACCAGCCGTTGTTTACAAGCATAGAGGAAGCGAAAATGGCAATGTCATTGCTCGTTGTGCCCAGCCTTTGGTTGGCCTTAACTTCCAAACACGGTCACTTCAAGATGAAAAGTTAGTGGAAGAGATCTTTAGGTCTCAAGAACGCGAGAAGAAGTTACAGCTAAAGGACGGCTCCATGTTTGTGGAACAACCTCAGCGAAACTTAATCGTCGATTTACGTCCTATAACGAACGCCATGGCGCAACACGCATTAGGTGCGGGAACTGAGAATGTGGAGAACTACAAAGCGAAGAGAAGCGAGGATGAGCTGGCTGATGGGCGGCTTAAGGCGACGCAGACTGTCGATAAAATCTTCTGTAACATTGACAACATCCACGTCATGCGTGACTCGTTGAACAAGCTTGTTTCAATTCTCAGCAATCTTGACAGGTATCCTATAGTTGCCGATGGATCTGGAAAATGCCCCTACCCTCTTTTGCAACAGGCATTGACAAAGACCCAATGGCTCCATCGGCTTTCCATCATCCTACAATCGGTAGATCGAATCACCAAGTCTGTTCATTTGAACAATACCAATGTTCTAATCCATTGCTCTGATGGATGGGACAGAACTTCGCAAGTGTCTGCTTTACTGCAACTATGTCTTGATCCATATTACCGAACGATGAAAGGTTTCATGGTTCTTGTGGAAAAAGAGTGGGTAAGTTTTGGGTTCAAGTTTTCTACGAGGGCAGACCATGGTGCATGTATTGGAGCAACTCTTCCTCCAAAGGATGATCAATCGAGTGAAGCTAACTCCGAGAATGAAGATTTTGGTACGGCTAATCTTTCCACTAATACCCGGTATGGAAACTCGTCTTCGGGAGTATCGCGTGCTAGCGTGGCAGCTTTCCTACTGAAAGCAGCATCTCATATCAAGAACACTGCATCAGCTGCAGCATCTTCTGCGTCCGAGCGTGATAGTCAAAACACTGCAGACGGAGTATCAAGACAGATATATAATGGAAGCAGCGAGAGATCGCCAATATTTCATCAATTTTTGGATTGTGTCTACCAAGTACTTCGACAGTATCCAGATCAATTTGAGTTCAACAGCAGGTTTTTAAAAAGGCTATTTTACCACCATTATTCATGCCAATACGGTACTTTTCTTTGTGATTCTGAATTGGAGATGTCGCAGCTTTATCACATGAAAAATTCAACGGTGTCAGTCTGGGATTACTTCTTGTCACGCCCATCGGAGTTTGTAAATCCGAAATATAGTACTGGTAATGACGATGGCGTGCTATTTTTCAATTACTCTGAGGTGAAGTGGTGGTACGAGCTTTATGGTCGGTCTGACGAAGAGATGAACGGCCTTTCCAATTCTTTGGATCGTAAGTTCGCGCAATTAAGACTTGGCTCGACACAATCGTCATCGGAATCGAGTTCCACAACTCTAGCATAGGTTTTAGAGAACTGGCTAAATTGCATGGCAATATGGGGCCACTTTTACGCATTATCTAATCAAAAAGATCTAATCGGTCGCGAAAGGCACTGGTGTTCGTCTGTAGTTATCTCAAGCGAGTGCGATTCCCGTCTCGGCCTAATAACAGGCGTTCTTCCTTTGCATTTACATAATTTCGACAATGTTCCATAGACTAATCTCGGGAAGATCTTCACGCTTCTATAGCGTTTACTCCACGGGACCACAGGGAGTGGATGGTCGCCTCCCTCATTTTCAGGTGACGAGCAAAGTTGATAACGCAAACTCGGTAGTCATTACCGATCCATACGCCATATACCATAATTATGCCCTGCTGGGTCTCTTGGAAAAGGACGAAGCGCAACTACGAGTTATGAAAGAATTCCAAAAACTATATTACCGAGTTGTTGACTACAAACCCCCTCAAGATATGGCGATTCGGACGTCTCTACTTCTTCGAAAATTAGAGGTAAGGCATGCCGAGGAAGCCATGAAGCTACAATCACTAAGAAATGAGCCGTTTCACAGAATTAAGGGCTGGTTCAGGAAAGATATAGAGGCCCAGAAGAGGGATTTGGTCCGATACATGACTGATGAGGAAGAATTACAGAATATTGCTGCTCCCCAAGGTCTCCTAGTCAATGGAGAGGTTGGGTGTGGCAAGTCTATGTTAATGGATATTTTTGCTAATTCTCTTCCTCATCATTCTAAGATGCGTTGGCATTATAACAACTTTATTCTTTGGGTTTTTGGAGAGATTCATAAAATACAAAAGGAAAGAATGCTCACTGCCTCGGTACATGGAAAGCACAAGATGACAATGGAGAATGAATTCATTCTATTTGAAATCGCTCAAAAGATGATCAACCGGAGCACCATTTTTATGCTTGATGAATTTATGCTTCCAGATGTGGCTTCTGCTCAGATAGTGCGTATTCTATTTACGTACTATTTCAAATTGGGAGGTGTTCTAGTTGCTACAAGTAACAAGCTTCCGGAAGAATTATATTCTACAGAATTCAACAAATCTCGCTTTAAATCTTTTGTCGGCATCCTCGGCTCTCGTTGCGTGAGTGTCGATATGAAGTCAGGCAAAGACTACAGGCTGCATTTAGCCGATTCTCTGTCCAAAGCAAAAAACCATGTGGTGATATCGGGTGATAAAGGACACGAGGAAAAATGGAACTTTCTTGTCAAAACTTCAGCCTTGGATATCGACGAGGCATCGCCTTTGATGAATTCGAGTATCAAAATAGAGGATTTGGATCTGCGACCAGCTTCGATCACAGTTTACAATAGAGAATCTGAAATCCCTCATACTTTTAAAAATGGGTCGGTATGCTATCTAGATTTCGACTATATTTGCAAAGGTTTGTTCTCATCATCTGATTACATTACACTTGCGTCTGTATTCAAGACAGTTATTGTTGACAATGTCCCTATAATGACGACAAAAATGAAAAATGAGGCTCGCCGCTTTATAACTCTTCTTGATGCCATATATGAGGCAAAGTGTCAATTCTTCATGCGCAGTGAAGCAGATATCGACAGATTATTTTTCCCCGAAGAACAGAAAACATCTGAAGACAATTACGATGCTGTTCAACAGGAAGAAATGTTTGCGAAGACAGCTATTGCAGCTATGAATCCTTATAGGCCTAACATATCCTCATATGACCAGGATTATGCAAAGGAGTTTGAAGATATGGATGCCGAGAAAGGTAACCCCGTGAACTTTGGTAACGTGAAAGCTTTCACGGGTGAAGACGAAAAATTTGCTTACAAACGAGCTATTCTGAGGATTGCAGAGATGGTAGGATCTGACCACTGGCGAAGTGCTGACCGTTGGATACCCATAGATCAGAGCATGAGACCTTGGGAGGGCAATGAGGAACCGAATTATGGAACTTACCCTTCTTTGCCCATAAATCAGGATATTGAGAATGATTACAAAGAGCTGGGAGCTGGTTTTCATCCCCGGGAGTTGAAGATAGCTCTTCTGGAAACACTTCCTCGTGACGCAAGTGCACATTACAACGTGCCTTTCCGGGAATTCAATCGCAAAGCTGCTCCAAGTTTTACGAGCCTACAGCATTTTTGGGCAATGGGCTCATGGACGCTTGCCCAGCAAAAAAAAATTAAAGACAAAATTGCGCTGTCTTGGATCAGCGGAGGTATAAGAGAAAAGTAAACTTAAGAGGTGAGTATGGTTTGTATATTACGCGCCAATTTGCATTGGTTGGTACCCCACAAAATTGTTGACACAAATAGACTACTCCTTCTATGAGATTCAATGTTCGTAGTTCCGGTTCCTTCTATACTCAATTTTCTTCTTCTTCTTCTAATCCTCTTTGTACTGCTTTCCTCTTTATTCTTGTTCTCGTTGCTTTTTTTCTTCTTTTTTCCGAATATACCACATCTACAACTTCCGAGGAACAATCATGTGAATGCGCAGGACTTCTCGGATATCACCTCCTTTATCTCCAGCCGTCTACACAAGATTATTCTACACAACTTAGTTTTTTCTAGGAGCATCAGCATGGTTGTTCTCACCGCCGAAAGACTTGTAAAGCTTGCTTACAAGTACCCAACGCTTCACAGCAACTGGTACATCATCGCGTCCACAGCGTTGGCTGTGGTTAACCAGCCTCAAGAGATTGGAAAGGTTCTTCATTTTGCATTGAGACAACAGCTTTTGGAGTCGCTGAATCCTCAAGATAAGCCACTTTTGACCGATCCATACTTGTTGAAGCTCGCAGAAGACTCGATTTCCTCTGCAGCCAAGTTCGACGAATTCACCGCCGTCGGCGTAAATTTGCCTGATATCTTGATACCTTACACTTACCACGACAAGCTTCCACTCCCATATAAGTACTCGAGAACCGAAGACATTACTGCTGCTCAAATCCAGGTCGCTGCTAGAATTCGTGAGGCTCTCTTAAAGATCGCTCCAATTGCTGGGTTGCCCAAGTCTATCAATGCTTTGACTGCGCTCCACAAGGTGACCCCATCTACCGTAAGGGCAGCTAATAAAGCAATGAGGCCTGCAACCATACTGCCAGGACATGTCAATTCGTCTTCTATTGTTCAAGAAGATGTCGCAGGTACAAGATTCGAAGACCAGCTGATCGACACTAGAGATACAATTGATGGGCCAATTTGCAAGAAATCGGTCAACAGCCAGCAAATTAGTGACAATTTTGTCCGGGGCTCCGCCTTCTGGGAAAATGTTTATGGCAAGGTCAGTAGCCGTGTGAAGAATCAGATGTTCAGTGCTTATCCTGATTTATGGCAGTATGCTATTCACAATGTCTATTCACCTATCTTGAGCTACGAAGATATCTTGCCTGCCAAAGAAACATCTTTCTGCGTTGTGACTGCTTTGATACCACAAGATGTCCCACCAACTCTCAAAGGACATGTCAGAGGTGCTGTGAACTTGGGCGCCACCAAAGAAGAGTTAACAAACATCAGGCTTCTTGTCTTTGATGTCTGTGATTGGAGTGGTAACATCACCTGGAAAGGCGGCAAAGAGAGCGTATATAAGCTTTGAGTTTCTGTTACTGTAGACCACTAGATAGCTTTCTTAGTATCGAAATATTTTACAAATTCATATGATAACCTTAATCTATTGATATTTGAGCGAAAAGAAGTGAATGACGCAAGCAGAAACCTTCGATTTAATTATAACTTGATCCTATCCTGTCTTTGAATCAAGAGCACCTGGCAACCACAAAAGACGAAGAATGCTAAATAAACAAAGACAGCACCAAACACAGTGTGTGCAACGGCGCTGCCGTCCTCGGGGTCGTTGATGGAGCCCATCATAGACTCGTGGCCAACTTTAAACAACCAGCCAATGACAGATAGAATGACAATGCCAAAGGCGGACAAAATCGTACAGAAGTAGGCATTGCCCGTGGATACCACAGGTTTCATTTTGTTAGATGGGAAAGAAGCTGATAACCGTTCAAGACACCCGGTGAGAGCTACTCGGAAGTTTGTTAGGTGTAAGATAGAACGTATGCAGGGCATACTTAGTAGGTCGCCTGTCAATACTTTCGTTGGGGAAGAGAGACCCATAAATCATTCAAAGCTTGGATCTACGATGCTTTAAAAACCTTTCGGCTGTGCCTCTTTTGTCTTTCACGGTTTCAGCTGCTTTTTAAACCATGTAGGACGATGTTGAGCAACCTCAGGACGGATATATGCTGTTTTATGTTTGCAATTCCTAAATTGACTCTTCTCAATCATAAATTTTGGTTTCGTTACATTTACATAAAAACTTCATTGGCTGTTATCATGTCAGACTATACTCTTCTTTTTTTTTTTTTTTTTTTTCCCCCCCCGTTTAAATTCTTATGTGGTTAAGATTTGTACTTGACACACAATTTTCCTATTTTGCTGCTAATTACCAACAAGTTGCGAAATTTTAAAATTGTAAGGCCAGTATTAAATCAGCATGTAGCAAAGAAGCGAATTCAACCAAACGTCCGTAAAAGAATGAATTTCTTGAAGAGAGAAATAGAATAAATTACTGTAAAACAAAAGAGCACGAAGAACATGCCAACATCTCTAGGGTACGAAGTAATGCAGCAGAAGTGGAGCTCGATCTATTCGAACTACAACAGGCACATGTTGCCCAGAATATATACAAAATGACAATCGTCAGAACCTAAGAGATTGGCTGTATGCCTAAAGTGCTAGATCAGAGATCTCGTGCCCAATGCAAGTTTCTGAAGTGCCTACGTCAGCCTTGAAAAAAACGCACGCGATTCAGGAATTTACAAGGGGACATTCATTCAAAACACAAGAAGGGTAATAATGAGTATCAATACAAATGAATTTCCGCCTGGCTTGTCTTTAGAAGATGTCGCTAGCAAAGAGAATATCCAGCTTTCCAAGTTTGATTCAGATATAGCATGGAAGATCGGAACATTGGCAAAACAAAGGGCCATTGACTATCGTCTTTCCAGACCAATTTTGATCGATATTACTACAACAGATGGGACAACTTATTTTCATAGTCCATCAAGACCTTCGACTGTAAAGGACAATGATATTTGGGTAGAGAGGAAGCGGAGAACAGTATTCCGTTTTGGCTTCTCCAGCTACTACATGGGCCAGAAACTTAAGCTGAAAGACACAAAAAACTTAGAGGAAGCTTTCTACATCAGCAGTATTGATTATGCTGTTCATGGCGGGTCTGTGCCTATAAGACTAAAGAACTTTGACGGTGTTGTTGCAGCCCTTACCATAAGCGGCCTCAAACAGGAGGAAGACCACGCGTTTGCCCTCCAGATACTCGAAGAAGTTAGTAAGTCTGTCGAATAAGTTTCTCTTAGTTTGAAGCTCCGAAAAATTAAGCTGTTTGTTTCTGAGAGATTCGGTTTAGAATGACACAGGCCTTCTGGGTCTTGATATGCGATCTTTAATGGGATCAAAATCATGTGGTATGCATCGTATACAAGGAAGAAACTATCTTGTCAAAATGTATCTAGGGCAAAACGTCATATCAATACCTATTTTTATCCGTTACATCTAGCGTAGATGTTAATTTGTCTGTCCTAATAACTTTATTTCTTGACGAGTTGTGCTGAAAGGAAGAAGCAATTCTTAGATTAAGCGATACTAACCCTTAATATGTCGCATTAAAGAATTTATCGCCACCCAGAGATTTCTAGAGAACCTCGCTATGGTAATCGGCATATGGATGTGTCTTGTATTTCTTCTGCTTTGATAGTAAACCTGAATATTGGCCAAGAGGAGGAGGAAGAGGAGGAAGAGGAGGAAGAGGAGGAAGAGGAGGAAGAGGAGGAAGAGGAGGAAGAGGAGGAAGAGGAGGAAGAGGAGGAAGAGGAGGAAGAGGAGGAAGAGGAGGAAACAAGTGTGAAATTTCGGGTCAGTTTTACCTATAAATGTTTTTATTTTGTCGAGTAGATGCTAAATTATGCTTAAGGAAGCCGAGTGCCTTAAGTTGTCATCATTCTTTTTCAAAATTCGGTCATAAATGGCCGAAATTTTTTTTTTTTTTTTTGTTAACTGTGTATTAAGAGGACGCCTTACGGCACGAAAACTATATCACTATAGAAAACACAACCCCTTAATCATCGGGCTTACAAGGACTTCCTCATTGCCGTCCGGCGCGAAACACCCCCGTCTGAACTTCAGCTTGAGTGTCTCTATAACTCTGTCCTTGCGTTGTAGCCTGCTCGTATGGTCTTATATTCCCATCGGCAGAACCTTCTGCATCGCTGATTTCATAGCTCTAACCAGCAAAGGAGGGTTTATAATTCCATCCTTAGCTGTTCTCCGTCGTCGCGAGAAATTTAACCGGACGACTTTAACGAACCAATTCAATCGTCTTAGGTTCCCAAAAGTCACATCCTCAGGAGCTAACATCTCCCGAAGATTCATGGGGCGTGGGAATCCCATTCGCCCCCACCAGAATTTTGAGACATGGCATTCATTGTAAATGTGACGGAGCATATTGTCCTGTCTGTGCTGTTGTTGGCATAAATGGCATAGCGTCATTCCATGAGCAGGTTTGTCATGGATAGGAACATAAGATCCAAAGTTGAAATGATGAATGGCCCCAAACTCATTTCTCTTGAGCCATTCCTCGCGGTGTAAACTTTTCCAGAATTTGTCCCATCTCTTGATAGGTCGGGCCTCTGGGCAAATTTCTCTGAATCTTCCTGGCATAATTGGTGGTTTCTCTTCTTGTTTCTTTCGGCTTCTGGAGGTGAAGATCCCAGTATTGAGCTGCTGAGATTCATGTGGTCTTGGGTGGCCCGGGATCCCCAAGATCAGCTCCACATCCTCCACTCGAACCCTCGAGGCTATTGTGGCCGGGTGAGTGGTTCGAGTTCCTTTAACTAATTTCTTCCAAGCTTCGATATACTGAATTTCGTTCTCAGTAAATGTCCACTCCAAGTTCTCGAAATAACGTCCATTGGCTTCAAAGAGAAATTCTTCCCAATAAAGCCCATGGCTTTGTCTTATTTTGGCACGTCGGTTGTTATGGAAAATCTTCACAACGTGGTGAAGCATCTTCGCCCTCAAGTATTTGATGAACCACAGCTGATCGTCACCAAGTGTTCTAGCTAACACCTTGGCACGATGTCCTTGTAACTGTGAACTCAATTCAATGAGGCCATAACCGCCTTTCTTTGGTCTAGCATATAATTTTGGTGCCAGGACCCCTTTAAACATTCTTTGAATAGCATCGTCAATATTTCGAAGTTCCTTCTCTGTCATACACTGGACCAAGTCCTTGTATATGGTTTTGGAACTCACGAACATGTTGGTCCCGATAGTCTTACTGATGATATCCAATCCTCTGTATCCTTGCTTGTAGGTCATAAATGGAAGGTAGTAGATGAAATGCCGCCAGTTCACCCCTTTCATGCTAATCCCCAAATATTTTAGCTCTTCCCGCTTGATATAACTCTGTGGGTAGGGCAAAATATCTTGTTCTTGCTCGGGATAGTCACGCCTAAATCCTATGAGTTTGGATTTCGATGCACTAACCTTACTATTACTGGCTCTTTCAAAACGTTTAATGCACTTGGCGGCATGTGCATAGTCTCTCAAGTTGGCTAAGTAGATGTTGACGTCATCTGCAAATGCATGGTATTGCATTCGCCCAAGTTTGATATCACCATAGCTTAGCTTAATTCCTTCTAGTAGCTTTAAATGCAACAATAACGGCTCCAACGCGATGTTGAAGAGTAAAGGAGAGAGTGGATTCCCTTGCCTCGTTCCACAATCTAGTGGGAAATGAGGCCCTCCGCAATTGTTCATTCTAATCTGAGCAAACTGGCCCTTAAGCAACAGCATAAGCAATCGGCACATTTTGGTCCCAATGTGCATTTTTTCAAGAACGGCTTGGATATACTGATGAGAGATGCGGTCAAACGCTTTAGTAAAATCAGCCATCAAAATAGCCTGATAATACGAAGCTTTGGTCTTCTCTCTATTGTCCTGGATAAGCTGGACCATGGTGAAGAACTCCATGGTATTATGATTGATATGGCGACCTTTAATGAAACCTCTTTGGTAAGGACCTATCAATTTGTCAAGCACTTTCTGTAGCCTATTGCAGGCTGCACTCGACACCACCTTAAGCGTCGTGTTGGTGAGTGAGATAGGTCTAAGGTTTGCAATTTCCGTAGACTGGTTTTGATCACGTTTAGGAATGAGCGTAATCAAAACCTTCTTAAAACTCTGTGGTAACTTTCCTGTCCTCATCATGTTATTAGCCTCGCGTGTGAGTATGGGGCCGACATCCTCCCAGAAGTGTTCTAACACTGAGTTCTGGATACCATCGGGTCCTGGTGCTGAAGACTTCTCCATTTTCCGAAGGGCTTGGAGAAGTTCATCCTGAGTAAATCGTCTGTTAAGGGCGGCCCTTTGTGAGTCTGAGAGATTGTCTCCCACTGGACTCAAAAACCTTTGCATTTGTTCTGGTTCCACTGTTGGGGGTGATTGATAAAGTTCCCTGTAATAGTCGGTCGCTATAAGAATCATCCCTAACGTATCTTCTGCTTCTCTCTGTTTCTCCGAATTCGAAAGTTTTTGAGTAACAATTGGATCTGTGCGCTTGTGCTGGAAGAAGAGCTTTGTAGATTGATCAATATGACCGGCCTTCAGCATGTGAACGCCCTCTTTGATCAATTGATTTGCCACTTCTGGCTGCCTTCTCCGCACTAAGCTCATAAACTTGAGGTGGTCCATAGCTTCGCTTTTAATCTGAAATATAGCCTCATCAATCGTTTTATCATGTGGTATTCTCCGAACCTCTTTATCAGAGAACGGAGGAAGGAGCCGTCCAAGTGGAAAGACAAATCGTGGCTTCCCAATGTGGAGGTCCTTCTGAGGGTGGAGGTGAAAACGTACCGATATAACGACGTGAGTGGAAGTGATTACAGGATGCTTGGCGGTCAGATACCGTCTTGCTCTGAGGCGCCAGCTCCTTGGAAAGTAAAAACGATCAATCCTCCGATTGGATAGATAGGATGTGTTAGTTGGAACATCCGCAATACGCCTGTCCCAAACTGCTAAATCTTCTGTGTTGCAGGTGTTGTCCAAATCTTTGATAGCCAACCTAGCGCGTACCTCCGCTGGCGTTGAGTCTTCCACCGAATGGTTTAGATCACCACCATAAATTAACTGTAAAGTTGGGTATGCCTCCCTGAGGCGGATAAACCCAATCGTCGTATCATCAATAATCTCTGCTTGCTTGTTCTTGTCTTGAGTCGGAAGATAGAAATTCTGGAGTAATATCTGTTCCCCCATTGACGTTTCAATCCGTATGTCGGTAGATCTGTGATGAAACACAGAGTTACTGCCGAGTTCATACTCCCCTAAGACTTTGAAGTGTCTTTGCTTGACAAAAATCCCAGTGGTATTGAATCGTTGGGCCCTTGCGGGTGTGGAAAAGAAGTCTAAGCCCCTTGCCCTTGCGTAATCTTTCATGGCTGCCACGTTGCTGTCGGTAGCCTTGAACTCTTGAATGAATAGAATGTCAAAATCTGCGGCTAGATGTGCCACTGTAACTAAATTATTTGTTTTCTGGATATTGAAAGAGCCAAACTTGAAATTGGTGGTGGAAACACCCTCTCGTCTTCGAATTGACGGGTGTTTAAATTGAATGATACGCTCCTCTATCATCAATATTTCCTTGCACGCTGCTTCTCTGCTGCGTGCTCCGTGGTTAACTCGTCAATAAGATCGGTGATCCTCACGGCATCCAGCACTTCGGTTGGATCCCTAGCAATCGAGGGGCGAGCTTGGCGAGTTGGGGATGGCGACCTAGATCTCGTCCGGGAAGCGATGGTCCCCCTCTCTGGCGAGAGAGCCACATCGTCCCTCAAGGGGCCGAGTTTAGGTGCCGGTTTGCGTCGAGAAGGAGTAGCTTGTTTTCTTGTAGAGCTTCTCCTAGTTGATGTTCTTGTAGACCTCGACGCGTTGGGGTCGGTGTCGCAGGGATAGAGACAGCCTCTTCTCCCTGTTCATCCACGTCCGTATCCATGTCTTGGTCAAGAACTTCTGGGGCAGCCACGTCCTCGTTTTCTTGTGAGGTTGGCTGAGGGTTGGTTTCCGAAGCAAATGGGTCTTCCTCTTCGGATACAATGGGGATCACTTCGGCTTTCTCTTTAGCCAATGTGGTGTTGGGGTGGGTTGGGAAGGTCAACCCGGACAAGGAACCCTTGTAGACATGGAGTCTTGAGATGACTCCGAAATTGGAGCAGCGGCTCCGAGAATGCCCAGGAGTCCTGGCATAGTGGACATAGTGTCCTGAGTGGTCTGGGTGGCATCAGGGACTGTAGCGACGGTGCTTTCCCTTTCGGCGACAGATGGCAAGGTGGAAGGAGTTGGTTCTGGCAAGGTGGAAGGAGTTGGTTCTGGCAAGGTAGGGGAAGGTGGAGCACTTGGCGAGGAGTCCAGGACCATTTCCACCGATTGGTCCATGGCGTCATCCCCATCTTCATCTTCTGAGGGAGCCTCATAAGATGGGGTGGGTTCGACCGTAGTTGGAGGGTCGTCCTTTCTGGTACCAGTCGAAACTGGTGGATCAGAAATTTTTGATTTTTAGCTGAAATTTCTCATGAAGCTTAAAACACCACAAATAATTATGGTGAACTCTTTGAATAGGCATTTTAAAGCTGGAGACTCAAATACTAGTTTATAATTAACAGTTTTTCTTAGAAGTTAAAAGTGGCTTCACTAGCTCAGTAGGCAGAGCGTCAGTCTCATAATCTGAAGGTCGAGAGTTCGAACCTCCCGTGGAGCACTTGTTTTTTTCCCAATTTAATATAGTGCACGGAAATGTTATAAATTCATCTTCGAGACCTTTGGTCACTCTAAAGAATGTTTATGGCGTCTACGGTGTCCGTTATTAGGAGATGCGGATCTGCTGTTTTTCTCACAGGAATGCCAACTGTGTGTGTGTGCGGCGTCTCCTTTGAGGCGTTCCCCGTAAGCGCATGGGCATCGTAGAAGAGTCAAAAGACCCTAGACCGGGAACGCAGCTGATGCCGCACTGCAGGCAACAACCACATTATGAAGACAATTTGGTTTCCTTTTTTCCTTACGCTTGCATTATATAAAACGTCTCATTTCCTCATTGAAGCTTGAGTTGAAAATTTTTTCACTTTAAGGAAGTTGGATAATAATGGGCTCTATCAACGCCCCTGGCTATAATGCCATCATCTACATGACTTATGTCTTTTTGCTTGCTACTGGATTGTTCCTCGCATGGAAATATGGCAAACAAAGCAACTTCTTGTCAAGTAACAATACTCAAAGAGGCCTTCCCCTTGCCGTCAATTTCGTGGCATCAGGTATGTTTGTTTTACTTATTCGATGATTCTTATTTTTTTTTGCAACTTGCTAGCGGGTGCAGTTTCCGTTTTTCATACTAGCGTGCTGGTGTGGATGACAGGAGCGGCTGAGATTATACCGTTCGGACTTGATCAAGTTAGTACTTGTGTGAGGAGGCTCAGAGTTGCATTAACATTCAGCAGTTTACCAGTGATCATTAAACATTCACTACTGTAACCTGCTTGCTTGTGCCATGTCTCACATCCAATCTCGTCGTCGTGAGTGAGCTTCTCAGCTTCTCGCTTATCTCAGCAGTGTCCATGACACAGCGCCCGTAGTCTGTTGTAGATTTTCAACGCTTATGCTAACATTAGCCATGGGTTGTGGTATATTGACGACTTATGCTCAAATTGGTAACATTAGTGGACTTCATGGTCTATTGGTGTACACGCTTTCAGGCTCCCTACCAATCCTCATGTTTGCAGCTGTCGGCCCGCTAATTCGTCGAAGATGTCCTGAAGGCTTCGTTTTCACTGAATGGGTAAGGCAAAGGTATGGCGCCGTTGCATCTTTGTATCTTTCGTTCTTCACTTGTCTCACCATGTTCTTGTTCATGATCGGTGAGTTGTCAGCTGTAAGAGGCGCTATCGAAACACTCACTGGCATTGACGCTTTGGCTGCTGTCATCGTTCAGTGTGTGGTGACTACCATTTACACATCTTTTGGTGGATTCAGAGTCAGCTTCATTACTGACAATTTCCAAGGAGCTTTGGTAATTGTTTTGGTTATCATCTGTGCTGCTGGAATGGGCTCATATATTGAAATTGATACCTCCGCAGTCGGGCCATCTGGGTTATTAGAAGCCAACAAGTTGGGCTGGCAATTGGTATGGATTTTGCCAGTGGCCATTTTTACAAATGACTGCTTCATGGCAGGTTTTTGGTTGCGAACCTTCGCTAGTAAAACAGACAAGGATCTTTGGATTGGGTGCTCAATTGCGTCTTTCGTCACATTTGTCATTTGTACCTTGGTGGGCACCACCGGTTTCCTTGCTGTATGGTCTGGAGATCTTGAAAGAGGAGATGACGAGGGCTACAATGCCTTCTTCATTTTATTGTCTAAGATGCCTGCCTGGCTTTCGGCGTTTGTGTTGATCTTTGTGATCTGCTTGTCTACATGTACTTTTGATTCTTTACAGAGTGCTATGGTGTCAACTATTTCAAATGATGTCTTCAGAAATAGACTCAAAATGATTTGGGTTCGTGGCTTGGTCGTTCTTGTCATGATTCCCTCTATTGTATTGGCGGTTAAGGTTGCAGATGACATCTTGCAAATCTACTTGATTGCTGACTTGGTTTCGGCGGCAATCATTCCAAGCATTTTCCTTGGATTGAGTGACAGATACTTTTGGTTTCTCAGAGGCTGGGATGTCATGGTAGGTGGTCTTGGGTCTTTACTTGGTGTGTTTGTGTTTGGAGCAGTCTACTATAACAGTGCTGAAGAGGGTGGTAAACTCATGTTGATCTGGAATGGTCTTTACGACCTGGAAGATTGGGGCCCCTTCGGTGCGTTTACGGTCACATTCTGCGGTGGCGTTATCTTCGCTCTTATGTTTGCCGGTTTAAGACTTGCTGCGCTTTATATTTACTCATGGATCACCGGGAATTCGTTTACGGCTTGGGACAGAAAGGAGACGATGCTTGATCTCGTACCACACGAATCGCCATCAGTAGATGATTCGAGTATCAAGAAAACCTCCCTGGTTGAGGCATAATCCCGAGAATCGAACCAGTTCCGGTGAAGTGCTCACACATCCCGCTCTCGGATGACATAATAATTACATAGAACATTAATTTGCTTCACTTCTTCATATCAGTCGAGGTACTTTGTATGGAAAAGAGATAAAGAAGAAATCTGGTTTCCAAAAGCTGCATCTCTTGCCTTCTTGACTAAATCCTTAAAATATAAATACTAGCCTTCTAAAATCCAAACACCATCAAAGCATCCTTCTTCAAGAAGATCGATTTGTCTTCATATTTTTTGTGGGATTTTGTATCTATTCTCATTTTGCTCACGTCCCTCTGTTTGGTGTGGAGCATCAACGCGCGTAGGTTTGTATGCGCCATCAATTAACCAAACACCATCACTGATCTGATCTAACCCCACGATGACGACGTCAGAACCCGATGAAAGTTTAGGGAGCTCTGATGGGGAGGTGCCCAGCAAACGGGCATTTGAAGTGGAAGTATGTATAAAACCTCAAATAGGACACTTTCGATTTGTTTACTAACTCTTAGTCTGGGCAGTCTGCTGAACAATACATGTCCCAACTATTGGCACAGAAGCGTCGTAAACTTGGTGATGATGAAGATACAAGCGACGATTCGGAAGATGAGGAGGAAACAGACCACCGTAACAAGGCTGGGTATATCAAGAAACTCATTCTCAAGAACTTCATGTGCCATGACCACTTCGAATTGGACTTTGGCCCTCAAATGAACTTTATTATTGGAAGAAACGGGTCCGGAAAGAGTGCTATTATTACTGGTATCTCTGTTGGTTTGGGGGCAAAGGCAACTGATACCAGCAGGGGTTCCTCCATCAAAAGTCTTATCAAAGATGGAAAGTCCACGGCACGTATCATTGTGGAAATTGACAATGAGGGTCTAGATTCTTTTGAAAAGGGTGTCTATGGATCTAAGATTATTGTGGAACGTAAGCTTCTGCGTGAAGGCACCAACAACTACTATATCCGAAGCGAAAACGGGACGGTAGTCTCCACGAAAAAGAAGACATTAGATGAGATCCTTCAAAAGTTCTTCATTGTTGTCAATAATCCGCTTTCGTTTCTTTCTCAGGATAAAGCCCGTGAATTCATTGCTAGCAGTACAGAACAATCACGATTTACCCACTTTAGTGAAGGTACCAATATCCAATCAATCCTTCTGAACTACCAGGATGCCTCGAAGAATATAATGAACTTACAACAGAGGCTGAGAGTAGCGAAGGAGTATTTTGAGGATGCTTGCCAAAAGTACAAAGAATGTGAAAGGACTTATCATAAGTACAAGCATTCTCATAATCTTCGAGAGCAATCTGAACGGATAAATGGTAAAATGTACTGGTATAACGTTGAAGTCATGGAACGAAGGCTCCGAAAGAAGCAAACTGAGATTGACAAGTTATTCGAAGATGTCGCCCATCTCAATAGCCTGGCCGACGAGAAAAAAAGCACCATCACTGTTCTCGAGGAGAAGATGATGAGCCTCAACAAGGAATATGGAACGATCAGTGAGTTGCTTGAAGTTAAACTAGCGGAAGTGGAACGCGCTGAAATTGAAGCAAGTGATGCAACGAAACAAACTCAACATCTTAGAAATGATTTGAACACCTATAAATTGGAAGTTGATGATTTTAACAAGCAGATCAGGGATTTTCAGGCGCAAATTGATAAAGAACAAAAAAAAATTGATGAAATTAACGGTGGATCTAAGGAGCAAATGAAGGAAAAACTCGCTGCGCTTCGTTGTCGCCTGGAAGAGCTTGTCAGCCAAAAAGATCAGGCTCAGCAGGCGTTAACTGAGGTCGATGACGAAAGTCCTGAATTAATGGGAGTAACCAGAAAACTACAAGACATAAGGTATCAGAAGCAAGGTATCGAGAACCAAATCCGAAGTATCGAGAAAACGAAGAACGATAAGTATGCTGCATTTGGAGTAACAATACAATCCCTCTTGAGGGCCATAGATGATGAAAGAAATTGGCATCATAAGCCCATTGGACCCGTTGGCTGTTTCGTGAGTGTCAAGGAAGAATACAGTCGCTGGGCCGACTTGATTAACGCCTTCTTACAAAGACCACTTGATTCCTTCGTTGTTAGCGACGAACATGACAGAAGACTTTTAGCTGACCTCATGAAAAGCAGAAGAATTCACAAAGGCATTATCGTGAGAAAGTTCGAAAAGTTTAATTACTCTACGGTTAGCGTACCTGATTCCGTCACAGTGTTGGAGACTCTCGATATCCAGGTTAAGGATGTTTTATATACCCTCATTGATTTGAATAACATTGAGGATATGATTATATGCGATACGATCAGTAAAGCAGAAGAGCTCACTCGTGTCATGGAAGTTAGAAGCGCATTTTGCCTTAATGATAAAAAGTCCGGTATTAGGTTGGCCCGTGGGAAAGGAGGCGGCATTACCAGAGATCCTGTTTTCTATTCCAATGACCTCCGAAAGCTTGCTGGCAAAGCATCGGACTCGGGCTTACGGACCGATCTAGAAGACCTACGCCAAGAAGAATCTCGGTTGCAGCAGGAAAGAAATAGAATCAAAAGTGCTTGGAATCAGAACAAAATTGCATTACAACGTGAATTTAATGAAAAGCGCCAGCATTTGAAAGAAATCCAAAATCAAATTTTTTCTACTGAGAGAATATTAGCCGAAGAAGGTGATTTTGGAAGAATCGAAAGTTTAAAATCGCAGATTGCCAACTTCCAGAACCAGATCAAGACTCGGGAAGGTATGTTTGTTGAGGTTGCTGAGAATGGCAGGGAAGCTAAACGCATCGAGAAGACTAAACGCTCTGAACTTGAATCGGTCCAAAATGGCAAAAAAGAGATCAACGACCAAATGGTGGTCATACAACAACAGATCTCGTCGGTGAAACAAGAAATTGATAACGTGAAAGCGGATATGGAGGCAAGCAAATGCAGAGAAGAAGAGTTAAGACAGGACATTGAAAATCGTACAACGAAAAGAGCTGAGGACGAAAAGAAGCGTGACGAATTATTGTCAGAAGCTCAATCTCGTTGCACCAAAGAGGAGGCAAACATTGGTGACAATGATACAACTGAATCTATCACTACAGAGTATGTCAACATCCAACAGGCTATTGAGGAGGCAGAAAAGAGCAATAGTAAGACATTTGAACAAATACTGGACGAGCTAATTGAAGCGAGAGGGAATAAAAACAAATGTGAGACAAGCTTAACAGATTTAGAGAATGCGAGAATCACTCTTGAGAATGATCTCAATTCGAGGTTTGAGAATCTCAATATTACAATCAAGGAGAAGCTCACACGAGCCAAACTGTCATTTGAGCATTGCCTTGCTTTGAGAGGCTTCAAAGGCAAACTTGAGTTTGACTTTGCCAAGAAGCGTGTCATCACAGAGGTCCAAACGAAAGATGATAAGCAAAGTAGAGCAGTCCAGTCCTTGTCTGGTGGTGAAAAGTCGTTCACTCAAATTGCATTCCTTCTTAGTATATGGAAAGTTATGAAGCCAAGAGTGTGTGGATTGGATGAGTTTGATGTGTTCATGGATTCTGTGAACCGTACTATAGCGATCAGGCTTTTGATACACGAGCTTCGTTCATCCAATGCTCAATCCATTTTTATTACTCCTCAGGATATCACAGCGGTTGGGGATCTTCAAAACAGCGAGGATGTGAGAATTCATCAAGTAAGGCCCCCAAGACAGGATTAAGGACAAATTCTATGTTATATTTACAAGTCTATATAGAAAGTGGGGGACACATGAGATAGAAGATCATCCCCAACATTAAATGCAACGAGCTTTTCGTAATCGCTCTTGTTTAGAGCATAATGCAACGTAGATGTAGAAGACTTATTGAAGGATTGATGTTCGGCGTTCCATTCAAAAAGAAACTGTCTTAAAGCATCTCTAGACGTCGATGGACACGCAAGAAGAGCCTGAAGGCAAGCAACACGGCACTCACGAGGCCAACCATTATCAGACACTTTCAGACAAAGGTTACGACAAGCGAGCAAGATGTCACCCAATTGCCGAACCTCTGGGTTAGTGAGACGGGATGATTCAAACTTGGCTTTCGCAGCCCTGAATGTCATAAGGAAGACTTCTCCACCTCGTAGAAAAATCTTATCATGTAAACGAGGGAATGCAGCCTGAGTTTGAGTGAGAACAGCCCATGCCTCGAATACTAGGCCATCCTTGTAAAGAGCGGCCATGACCGGCTTGATTAGGGCATGGTGGTTTGAGGCGACGAAACTAGCGAGCTTTTCGGTAGAAGAGCTGCGGTCAGCAACCACACGCGAGACATTGCGGTGTATGAGTTTGTTAAAATAGGGTGTATCAGCTATGTTGATCACCCCATCAAAAATTGCATTGAACTTCTTGCCTGGAAGGGTATACTTGTTATACTCTATGGATGAATCATTAAGGGGATCATCGCTTGCCTTGATACGATCATGTCTTTCCTTCAGGTTTTGTGCCACAGCATACTTGAGATTATGCTCTAAAATCTTTCCTTTGACGAGCACATTATGTCCCCTATGTTGCCATGCCAAACTCACAAAATCAGATAAGGCATCAGAAAATTTGCCCGCACAAGCAAAGGCTTCCACCTTTGCGATAGCAATATTTCTATAGATGGTTCTATGCCAAAAGTACGAGTAAAACCTTTTGAAGTATTGCTGAATGCCAACCACAGCCGTATAATTGCCATTACGCATGAATATGATAGCTAAGCGAGCTAGTATATCAGGATATAATAGAAATGGGATATTGGGATTGACCAATCCATTGTACTGAGAGTCGGAGTAAGCCGTGATGGGATCAATGACTTCGTGATAGACCAAAGATGCTGCGCCATAGTGACCAAGTTCACAAGCTTTAGAGGCGACAATAGACCACGTCTGGTTCGAAACACAATAGGAAATTCTATCAACTTCGAGCACGGCATGAATCAAAGATACTGCAGCGTTCAAATTCTCTTCAGCTAAGAGCCTCCAAATGTACTCCTCAATTAAATGACTGCTGAGCGTACCTTCTTTCCTCCCCGACAAATGATCAATGATGTGGGTGAATATTGAAATGTTACTTCCGGAGCTTGCTAAATTATGAAGTTTAAGGTTAGCATAATAAGAAGGATGGAGCTTTTGCAGCAAAAGCTGCTTTTTATATGGCCCTGGAAGCCTGTCATAGTCTTGAATGAACTGGCCAAGGCCCTTCTGGGTGGAAGGGTTGCGGTCCGTACGGGCAAGCCACAGCACCGGATCAAATCCAACTGATGAGTTCTGCCGTAGATTTAGTTTCACACAACGAGTTGACTTGAAATTTTTCATCAAAGGGAGATTGAAGATGTTATGTGATATATGTCCTTAGTATATTGTATACACCACCAACTAAAAACGCCAGTTACAGGTCAAGTTTTTCACTCAGCTCTCTATCGCACATCTCATCAAGTTATAATGTTGAGGCTTGCAGCTTCCAAAGCAGCCCCGGTTAGATCTCTTTTGAGATTGTCACCTAAGCATTCTAGTATTCAGAGACCCGTCTCCTTGATTACTCCATTAGGTCTCTCGAGCGCTTCATTGCAGAGAACGTCCATTCGTTTGAACTCCCAAAGTACTGGTTCAGAAATTCAGGATAAGTTGCCCTCCTTTGATGCTGAATCCGTCCTGGAAGCCACCAACCTCACTTCGGATTCTTTGGGTTACTTGGACTCGATAGGTATGGCTCAAGGCTGGGGCTTGACGTCCTGGATGGAGACTTATCTTGAGTATATTCACGTCTATAGCGGTTTGCCATGGTGGGGCACCATCGTTGCATCTGCCCTTTTACTACGTGTTTGTCTCATCCCGTTTTATATCAAGGCTGCTGTTAACAACGCCAAAATGGCCGTCATTCAACCTCAGCTTAGTTTATTGATGGAGGAAATGCGGGCAGACGACAGTAAGAGAAATATTGTTCTCGCTGAGAGAAGAGCACTCATGAAGAAGCACGACGTCTCCTTGCCCAAATCTATGTTAGCATTGTGCCAAGTACCTTTCGCATACGGTATTTTTCAAGGCCTCAGAAAGATGGCCGCATACCCTGTTGAAGGCTTCCAGAACCAAGGTGCCCTCTGGTTTCAGGATCTTACCCAAGTGGATCCATACTGGGGCTTGCAAGGTATTTCCGCTCTTTTTGTTATGGCTATGATCAGATTAGGTGGTGAAATTGGAAGTTCAACACAAAACCCCTTGATGAAAAAGTATTTCTTTGTTTTCCCAGCCATTACTTTCGTGGTAACGATGAATTTTTCTGCTGCAGTCGCTCTCTATATTGGAGTGGGTACCCTTTTCTCGGTTGTTCAAAGTTTGGTTTTCAAAACTACAGCTTTTAGAAAGTTTTACAACCTTCCCGAACCTCCGAAGCAGGATCTTCTGAAATCGCCGAAAAACTTATCTGAGTGGTTCCACCAGATGGCTGACAAGCAAAGAGTATCCGCTAAAAGCAAGATGGAGCAAGCTAACAGAAGATTGGAAGCTCAACATAAAAAGCGCCATGGACGGGATGGATTTGTTAAAAGACATTAGGCTTGGAGCTTCTGACAGAGATATACTTGTAGATAGATTTTATTTAGCCGTTACATACGAAATGACTTCATTTCCACAATACTTTCGACTTCTTAGTCATCTTCTCTCGAAGCATTGAAAATAGCGTCCCAATGGTCAATAAGTTTTTCCATCACAAAATTGATGAATCCAAAATTGCTAACAAGTGCTTCCGCAGAACTAGCCTCTGTTAATGCTGGCCCGATAACAGTTGCCAAGTTGGATGCCGTCATCTTATTCTGCTCACTCCTAGTTGACACTCGATGAAGATGGCCAATAAGATACTTGAGAGTGTAATAATTGTGACGAGGCAACTTTTTCAACACAAAAGAGTATGGCTCCGCAAAGAAGCCATTCCCTGACATCCCTTCCGTAAGTACTTCACTATCATTTTTCAATTGGAACAACTCCCTTATCACCTCGTCAGTCAAGACAGCTTCAGGTAGTTCTCTGAAGAACAGTTTGACACAACTTGTAAGCGCGTGGACATCAAGCTGCCTAGCATGAACATCAACCGACCCTGTCCGATCGATCTCTTGTTTCAATGCTGATAGCTCCGATAGAGAAGTACTTATTCGGTATAGTCCAACATCCTGTAGGCCATCTTGCTCGATAGCTTCGTAAATCGCATTCAAGAATAAGGGTGCCTTGGCCTTGTCCCTCGCACAAACGGTTTCTAGGGGAATATTAAATGTTGTCATCAGCGAAACGCATTTAAAGTTAAGTGTCCTTGAATAGAACCAATGCCTATTGGCGAACGCCAATTTGGTCGACCAGTCCATCATCTCCTCGTCATTTGGCGCCCTAAGATAAAATACATCCCCGGTATCAGAATCAACCTTGAGACAGTTTGAAAGTAGGTAGACAGGGAATATCTTATAGTCCTTGAGAAACACTGTATGCAATGGTTTCGTTTTAGGGTCTATCAAGGAGTTTGGTTCCGGAAGCTCCTTATAATCAACGACTCTTTCGCTGCTCCCATTATTGAGCCTATTGAAAAGGCCACTAATCTTGAATCTCGACGATGCATTTGTCTTATAGTTCAATGATTGTCTCCTTAAGCTATTAGACAGCTTTTTAGTCCTTGCGCTCTGATAATCACCTGCCAGAGTTTTCGAGTTCCCGCCCTCCTTCTTAAGAATCTCAGCCTCATTTATCTGCATTTGCGCTTTTATCAAAGGAGCGAATAGGCTATGCTTGTGTCGATCTGACGGCAATATATCAGTCACCTTTATAGATTGGCATAAGGATTCGTCCAACTTGAACAAAAAGTGAAACTCTCCAGCCTCAAGATGTGTGTCGTCGACATCTTCAACACTAAGCTCCTTAATGAGCTTGTAAATCAAATATCTCTTATTGAAGTTGATGCTGCTTCCATGGAAGTTAGGACACTTATTTATATCAAGAAGTAACTCAAAGATCCAACCAAAGCACGGCAAAAGGGGCTCTTGAGCCATCATCATATCTTGGCTCTTCAAACCGATTGGAAGAAGATCATTCACATCCTTGAAAGAGTTTTGTGAAGTAAAGTCATGGTAGGAAGAATTAAGAGCATTAGCAGCCCTTATCCAAAGTGGCGAAAGCAGGCGACTTGCTGGATGGTAGATAACATTAACAATTGCACTCTCCATACATGAAGGTATACTTCCAGAGTTCCCTTCAAAGACAAACTGGCTATCTCCCATTTTTATCTGAGAGATTCTCACCATTATTAACAACGTTTTCATGCGATCAAGCCTCTCTTCCACAGCTATGTTCGGATCACAAAGTTGAATATAGACGTAACACTTGAACTTGTGATATAGCTTAAAGAGTTTTCTGAAAACGATTGGAAATTTACCGATTAAGAACTCATTATCAGACCCATCGTGTAAACTATCGAAATAGCTAAAGATATTTGCAACCTTTACCAGCTCCTCGTTAGAATTTCTGGATATTGAATAGTTTAAGAGCGAAAAGTTTTCAAACTGATTTTCAAGGATGTTGAATGTCTTGAACCAATCTTCCGGTTTGATTCCCTTGTAAAACAATGCTAGAAGCTTGTTAAACTTGTGAATAAACTTTTCAACTTTATGAATGTTCTTATAGCTTGGTAAATTGCGATTCATGGGAACGTCATGCAAAACATTTGAGAACCTGAATTCGTGGGTGAGATATTCATCGAACTTCAGGATCTCTGCTGGCCTATATGTTTTCTTCACAAACGATTTCTTAAGCTTTTTGTAGTAGTTGACCAACTCTTCAAAATATTTGTCCAAGTGATTATCAATTTTATTAGAATTGTACCACTGAAGGATTTCATTTGTGTATAGCTTGAAAAACTTAATCATAGTGCGCTTGTTGGTCAAGTCATGAGCAAAATTTGAGTAAAAGTTGTTGAGAAGCACAAGAAGAGCCTTCAAGATATTGACTTGTATCTTTAAAAGTAATTCATAGTCAACATCCCCCAAGTCAGCTAGTTTTACGTCATCGTCGACGTCCCAATTAGGAAACCTTCCAAACGTGACAGGATCAAACTCACCCTTCTTGACAAGATGCTGCTTTTTCATGATGGAAATGACTGCGTTACCAGAATGAACGAAACGGTGCGCCAAGCTATCAAGGAGCTCTTTGGTAGACATAAAGGAACTGTAGTTTAGCAAAAAGACGAAACGAAACTCTGTCATGTCAATCGGATGCAGCTCATCAAAATATGTGGAATCAATCAACATCATATCAATAAGTGTATCAATTGTGGCGAAACATGGGATGTACTTTGAGGCTCTCAAATGACTTACTCGATTATTTGAGTAGTTAGACACCAAGCCATAGCTACGGTGCCTCTTATCCTTAACTGAAGTCTGCGTCTCCTCACGAGGTTCTTCGGAAATTGATAAATTCTTAAACTTGTCAGAATTCAAGATATCATCAACATCAATACCGAGACCGTCTTCATCACCATCGGCTTTATCATCATCAGATTTATCTGCTGATGATATCGTAGATGACGCATCGAAATCTGGAACGAAGTCGTCTATCCGAAGCGTCAAGTCATTATTTATAACGATCTTATTGGTGTCTTCATCGACAGAGCTCTGATGTTGCATCATGTCATCGTACTTCGAAAGGTCAATTCTGAAATGGTTGTTGTTAAATGTGGGCAATCTTGCTTCTGGAGAGATTCTATGGCTTCCCATAGCTGATGCAGAATCGTGCTCATGTAACGCAGAGACCCCATGACCGGAAGAATAGCCCGAGGAGACCGAATTGACAGAAAGATTCGAGGAGCTTAAATTCATCTGCTGAAGCCTGTGAACCGATCCGGTTCCTATGGTTTCTGGCTCGTGAGGCTTGAGATACTTCTCAGGGAGACCTGGCTCCATCTTTAAGGAGCTAGCCATCACGTCTGCTAACCCTGTTGGCTCCTCATTGAGTTCGAGCAATCGTAAAAGAACGTTTCGTAGCTTCTTTTTCGTACCGGCGGAGAATGTATCAGACGACGCACTGTCGTTGGATGAGAAGGCCGAGGGAACATTTTTTTCATCTTTGTTTGCACCGAGATAAAGAACTTGATTCAAACTCTCATTGGAAACAATGAAGCCCATGGAATTATATCTTCGCAAGACATCCTGATTATAACCGATGATATCTGCCAGGTTTGTGAGATTCTTTAAGTAGTCATTCCACCTATCAAAAGAATAATTAACCTTCTTCCATACTGTTTCGAGATTAGATACATCTCCGTGAGGAATATTGTTGATCAAGAGATCGCCGAAGTATGGAATCACAGTATCTTTGGAATATATCTTGCCTAAACCGCGAGGTGCCATTATGTGATATGATTCCTTCGAAGTCAGTAGGTCACTGTTTTCTTCACCATAGAGGACAGATGAAGATTTTCCGAAATCGATGCTTTCGTTACTGGTAGCCAAATACCGTCTATCAAGCTCAAAAAGTACTGGAGACCAATCATTTCTCAAAAGTTTGATATAGTCTTGGTTAACATAGGACCATACTGAACGTAGGCGTAAAACAGGTTGTGATAAGACTATTGATGCTATGCCCAACCAAGATGACATATTACCAGACTTGTCCAAAAGACACCCCAAGTCAATCCACCGCTCAAGAATGCGTGCTCTTCGCTCAGGTGTCTTGTTACTCGTGTCCTCAGCGAATAGATGAAAAATAAGAAGCCTTGCTAGATAATGCACATGACTATCATTATTGAATACCAACGGATTCTTTCTGAAAAATCTATCACCTGAAGAACTGTCAGCAACCAGCGACGATAAAAGAAGAGATTTATCAATGCTTGAATTCCATGATTTGAAAAAGTGCAAATCTAGTTCGGTTATCAAGGAGGCAAACTCGAACAAGTTTACGTCATTCATGAAAACAGAGGAACTTACCTCAATGAATGGATCAGGGGGCTGGGTGGATGCAAGGTCAGCAAAGTTGACGAGGGAAAGTAGATCTTGCTGTTTAGTAAGCATGTTTGACTTAACGGAAGCCAAGTTTGCGGGCGAGACCGTTGCAGCATATTGATCAAACAACTGTAGTGTTTTTAGCATCATGGAACCTTCTGCTTTTTTAATAAGAACCCGCCGAAGTGTTTAACCACATGATCAAAAAGCCCAAGTACTCGATCCGTGAAAGGCTTATAGGATGAGAACTGACCGAATTTCTGCTCGAATATTGCGGAGAGCATGGCATGCAAGGTAGAAAGTACTTCGTTGAAATTTGGTAACATGGGGAAAACTATAGTCAAGTGTGAAACGGGATCTTGTTCCAGAGCGATGTTGTTTGCAAAAAGAAAGTGATGAACCAACGCTTCCGTAGTGTTGTTGGATAAAAACGTATTAGACAGGGGATCTAAACGTAAATCTGGATGAGGGACACGACGATCAAGAAAGCGGATACTATCAGGATCGGAAGACGCGTCATCAATAGTTGGAACGATGGTGTTAGCAGATGTCACGGACCTCGTTGCCATAGAGACGTTTGTAGGATTGTGTGACAGAGCAGACGGAGCAATCTTGGCCGCGGAGAGTGGGCCACTAATGGATGAAGTGGATGTGTCCGCTTGGACTGTTGAAACAGAGCCCGATATGACCAGAGAACGGCGTACGGGCCCCAGCGTACCATTACCAGACGAGACAGCTGTGACATTCGACTGCGCCAGAGAGGGCACTTGATGGATCAGAGATCCATCAGTGACGCGTTCGGAGCTGCCTATACGGAACAGACGAGCATTGAGCAGCGATGGAGGTTTGTAAAGATGCAATATGGAGCCCTTGAGCTCAGCCCTATAGAGCCTGAAGGACAGATCTGGCAGCTCCAAAGGGGAAGGCTGATTGATGGCCGCGTTTATCCACGCGTGCTTGACAGTGACAGAGTCATAAGCCGGAACCACAAGGGAACGAATGATGTTTGTGGACCTCGAGCCCGCTGAACGAATATCCAGTTGGTCTTGAGACTCGGGACGAGGGTCCAGATCGTCTTTGGAGGCCATGGCCACCGAGCGCCGATTCTTGCGGAAAATGGACTTCATCCGCAACAGCGATTAAAAAGAACTGAAAAGGGAGCACAAGCGAAGAAAACTTCGTGTTCAATTGGCACTCGTTAGAAGGTGAAAAGGTCGTTTCTGGGTGAGTCGGTACTTTGGCGTGTTAGGAAAAAAAGGCACAAGGTGCGGGTGCAGGCGACACGAGCGGTTCCTTCATAGGTAAGGAATGTTTGAGGACAAGGAGACGAGACGAGGAGAGGAAGAGAGGGGCGAGAGACGAGAAGGCAGGAAAGGAAGGCAAAAAAAAAAAAAAAAGAGGAAAAAAAGAAAAATAATAGAAAAGTTATACTAACTTCAGTAATAGAGTAGACAATACGACTAAGACCAAAAACTTGACAAGCCACCATAGAACGAAGATTGGTCATGTCTTAAGTATGGTTTTTGACGGTGACGACTGGGCTAATCGAGCGTCTCGCCTACAGGGTCCTACGATATGGCTGCGGCCAGGAACAGCGAAGATAGAATTTTTCACACGGGCTTTTTTTCTTTTTCTCTTCCATATTCTTTTCAATCTGTAAGACTTTTGCTTCAACGAAGAATCTGATTCATTGTCTTTGGCCTCAGTGAAGAATCAGGGTGGCTTCGATCGAGGAGAAGGTCACCGCACAAATGTCGAATCATGTCACATACGAATATGGATTAGCCTCGGATCTTGAACTGAGATGCTACGCAAGCAAAGCCCAGAGAATCAGGAAATTTACTAAGAATGTTTCTTCGAGGCTCGAGCAGTGGTGGTGCTTGTAGGGGTACTCCCCTCCCGAAGCCTTTGTTCATTGAAGTTTATTGAATGCGGAAATGATCGCATTGTCCCGAATACTGATTCTTCGCTCTAACTTTGGCACTATAGTCAGCCTCTAGTCTTGTAAACACAGCTATTTTTCGCGTCTGGCGGGACAATGATCATCATTAGTGGTGGTTGGGCCATGTAAGGAATGGTTTAGGTGTTCTTGCCTTGGCAGTGACCCCACAAGACCTTTTTGTGGTAATTAAGCTTCTACTTTCGTACTTCTGATCTAAGTCTGCAAACTGCCTGAACCCGGAAAGCTTCTTTATTTCTCTTTCTCAGAATGTTCGGTTTTAAGGGAACGGTATGGGGTATCTAAAGTCGATGTTCGTGTCGCTTGTTCTAGCCAAAGCTAGTCTTTGAGCGACGTTCAACTTATCAGAATGAACAGCTTATCCGGATTCTAGCTCATAGCGATTTGTCCATTTCGAAATGTCTCGGTTGAGATAGTTGCAAATTCTTTAAATGGTTACGCGTAGTCTCGTATGTACAATATGGCTAAACCTAGAGGAGGGTCGTCAGCAGACCATTCATCTCTCTAGAGAATGGCTCTTACCTAAAAAAGTTTTACTTAGTTTCCAATTGAAGTCATGACAGCTTCCTGTATTCTCAGGACGTCATAGGTCGTCCCTTCACTACTGCTTTCTTTATGCCTTCAGGTCTCAGATGAGAAAAAATCCACTTATCGTAACCAAAAGCAACTGAAAACCAACATATTGGCAACAATTTTATCATCAAGGTTTAACAGGACGTGTTGAAAGTCTATGGTTTAAGCATTTTCATCAAGGTTCTCTGCATCTGCTCTGGGCCGCGAGTCTCTGAAGATCGCACAGTGAGATACCCTCAGTAGTTATACCAATGCTTCTAAGAAGCCGTTCACACATAAGCCGGGCCGCTTTAAGGCTTTCAAAAAGCTCACGAGCGTATAGTACAGATGAGGTTGCAAAGTATGCCCAGAGAAAAAGCATTGTGGCCCAAAATCCCAGCCAATACTACCCACCCATTGGATCAACCAGGTCAGATCGTCCCGTGCTACGAGTTAATGAATTCGTCGACAAGTTCCAGACAACCAATTTTGACGAATTACCCTTGAAACGTCTTCCCGATACCGTTCAATTGGAAGGAAGAGTCACGTCTGTAAGACGAGCAGGCAGGGCGTTGTTTTTCTTAGATATCGTCCAGGATGATACCGAAGTCCAGATATGTGCATCCAATAAGCTCTTGGGTGACATGGATAAAGAAGAGTTTTCGGAAATTCATTCTTCTATACGAAAGGGAGACCATATTTCATGTGTGGGCTTTCCGTCAGTTACAAACGTTGGCGAGTTAACTCTAAAAGTGAATACACCTATCAAAGTCTGCAGCCCATGTCTCAATTTGGCAACTTTACCAAACAAGGTACAAGATAGACTGTTGATAAACAGTGATCGGGTGATGAACTACTTGGTGAACCCAGAGCTGAAGGAGCGTATCCTTGTCAAGGCTGCCGTCACCCAAGCGATCAGAAATTTCCTTAATGACCGAGACTTCACTGAGGTTAGTACACCTTTAGTAGCAGGCGCTGGTACTGGTGCAAATGCTGAACCTTTTTACACTGAGCTGAAGGCAATGCCCGAAGAAAAGTTACAGCTTCGTGTGGCGCCCGAACTATGGCTCAAGAAACTCGTCATTGGCGGCTTTGACAAAGTCTTCGAGATTGGTCCAAACTTTCGTAATGAAGGTATAGATGCTACACATAATCCAGAATTCATGACTTGCGAATTCTATCGTTCCTTTACGTCTTTGGCAGAGTTGATGAAACTTACGGAGCAAATAATCGGGCACATCTACGAGGAACTTTCCAAAAAGCAGCTCAATATTAGGGTTCTTACCAAGACACTTCCGGAACTAGAGCCGTTAAGACTGCCAGAATATGACAAATATGAATTCATACCGACAGTTGAACAACGGACAGGTGTTAGATTTCCCAGTGAACTTTCTATCGAGTCGCTTATGGACTATCACCGAACCATTGGCCTTACTCTTCCTGCGACTAAGTCGCCAGCCAGTCTTTTGGATAACCTTAGCGGAAATCTCTTAGAAACCATTTCGTTGAAAAAGCCAAACACGCCTATTTTTATCTACAACCAGCCTGCATTGATGTCTCCCTTGGCCAAATCTGCCACTGTTGACTATGATGGAAGAAGTTACGAAGTATCAATGCGTTTTGAGCTCTTCATCAACGGTAAAGAGTATGTCAATTCCTACGAAGAAGAAAACTCACCATTTGCTCAAGCAGACAAATTCCAGCTCCAACAACAGGCAAAAGCCGACTACAACGATAAGGAGCTGCTTATCCCCGATTGGAACTACGTGCAGCTGATGGAGTACGGTCTTCCTCCTACAGGAGGTTGGGGATGTGGTATCGATAGACTCAGCATGCTTTTCAGCGGCACGTCAAGAATCGAAGATGTTTTAACATTCGGCGTGCTTAAGGATGTTGTAAAACAGTAAAGTTTCACTAGTCGTGATTCTGGACAAAGCCTTCGCGAGCACCGTTGAGGCCATTGTCTTTATATATATTGCACCCATATGAGTCGCACAGCTCTCCGGATCGGAGCATCATATCTCAAGGAGAAGCACAAGTTGTAAATAGAGAAATTAGAGCACTACCTATCTACTTTGGTAGTGATCCATGAAGAAACTGGAAAATTTGAAAAAAATAAAAAAGAAGAAAAAGATCTTCATGCAAGACTTTTCCAGCTTCAAAAGTTGCAGCCATCTCGTGGATCACTCGCACGAGTGGAACCGAGGCAGAACATTTCTTTGCGCGAGTCTGATGAACATAACCATCTGAACTCTTCACTTCAAGCGTTTCTCCACACTACTCTCCGTCATAGGTGGTTGAACACTCTTCCTGAAAAATCAACAAGATGGAATTCGAGGAGAAGGAGGATATTGACGGTCTTCGTCTTTCCTGGCACAATTTGCCGAAATCAAGACTCCAAAGTCAACATAACATTGTTCCCTTGACAGCATTTTACACTCCATATAATGATAAATCGCCAGTTCGTCGGTTGGGTATTCTGCACATGCAGCAGTGCCGTCAATGTCGAGCGATCTTGAATCCTTATGTCACTATCAAACCCAATCAGCCTGAGGTTTGGCATTGCCAGTTCTGTGGATTTGGAAACAGACTCACAGTTTCCGAAGACGGAAGTTACTCAAGTGCCCTTCTACCTGAAAGCACCACAGTTGAGTATGCTACTGGCCGTACGGCGGCACTTCCACCTATATTTTTTACTGTGTTGATACATGTTTTGAGGGAGAGGATGTGACCGTGGCTTTTGCTCAATTGAAAGAGTCCATTCTTCTATCACTTTCATACCTTCCGTCACATGCATTGGTTGGTATCGTCACGTTTGGTAAGCACGTACAGCTTCATGATTTGCTGGTCCCTAACCGCAGCTACACGTTCAATGGGTCCAAGGAGTACGAACTCAAAACTATAGAAACCATTCTAGGTCTAAACGTGGGTATGGCGGCCCAACGTCAAAATGCTCAATTGAGCTCTGTGGCTCAAAGATTTTTACAGCCGGTAGAATTTGCTGAGTATCAGCTCTCTACCATCATTGATAGATTACAGAATAATGCTTTCCCACAGATACTGCCAAACCATAGACCAGAACGTGCCACTGGCTGTGCTGTCAATGTTAGTACATTGGTTCTTCAAGCAATTTTGGGTAAAGGTAATTCTGCCGGAGGCCACCTTATGTGCTTCATTGGAGGTATTGCAACATATGGACCTGCAAAGGTCGTGGGTACGGCCTTGAAAGAGCCCATAAGATCACATCACGATATAGAAAAGACTCTGCACACGACTATACCCAACTTGGCTAATGGTGTTGCTAAAGTTGATCTACTGCTATATAAACTGGCCAAGGCATTTTATGAGAAGATCGCACGAGCACTTGTCGATATGGGCATTTGCTGTGATATATTTATTGGCAGTTATGATCAGATTGGGCTTCATGAAATGGACGAGATCTCCACTGCTACAGGTGGTGTAGTCGTCATGAGTGATTCATTTAGCACTGCTATTTTCAAGCAAAGTTTAATCAAGTTCCTAAGACGCGAGTCTGCAGACGAAGAAACCGAAGAGTTGGGTATCGAAATGGCACTCAATGCCACATTGGAATGCAGAATTACTTCTGATCTTCAAATCCAAGGCCTTATTGGTCATGCGACAGCATTGCCTCTCCGAAAGGACAACACATTTATAAATTCAAGCGTCTCACCGCAAAGCATTGGCCAAGGAAATACAAACGCATGGAAGCTCTGTGGCGTTAATCCTCAATCCACCTACGCCATTTACTTCGATAAATTAGATTCGCCTCAACCAGGGCACGCCTTCATTCAGTTCAGTTTCCATTATCAGCATCCATCGGGCGAGAAGAGATTAAGAGTGACTACTACTCCTTTGGCTGTAATTGCAGACACCGACCTTGTCAATATGGAAGCAGGCTTTGATCAAGAGGCTGCATTCATGTCTATTGCCAGAAGTTCCATTGACAAACTACAGACTCAAGTGTTCAACAGCACCAAAACCATATATGACCATACTGACGTGGTGAAGCACCTCGACAAAATACTAGTTGATTTCTGTGCCCGTTTTGGAGTCTATCAAAAGAAGCAACTCGACAGTTTCTGCTTGTCAAGCAAGTATTCGTTATTGCCCCAGTTCATGTACCATTTGCGCCGATCACCGTTTATTCGCGTGTTTAACAACTCTCCAGATGAAACGAGCTTCTTGAGGCATGTGTTTATGCACGAGGATGTAAACAACTCCTTGATCATGATCCAGCCTTCGCTCTTGTCTTATGACATTGATACATTCGGGGCCGAGGATCCCGAGACAGGAGAACCCAACACTGACCCGGAGGCCGTTTTGCTTGATTCCATGTCTTTAGGAGTTACCAAAATCCTCCTTCTAGACACATTTTTCCAAATTCTCATTTACCACGGTACCACTGTCGCTCAATGGAGGAAAGCCAACTACCACAACATGGAAGGCTACGAGCACTTTAAAGAGTTCTTGGAAGCACCAAAAGAAGAGGCTTTGGAAATCCTCAAGGATAGATTCCCCTTACCCCGGTTTATTGATTGTGATGATGGCGGGTCCCAGGCGCGGTTCCTCATGGCCAAGCTCAACCCCTCCACAAGCTACCTGACAAACCCTAACCATATGTACGGAGGCCAGTTTGACGTCATGACAGACGACACAAGTCTTCAGCTGTTTATGATGCATATCCAGAGACTTGCTGTTTCGAGATAATCTACCCGTGGGGCTTTCTTGTGGATAGCTTGAGGGGTCAAGTGGAGAAGCCGGCTTGATGCGGAAACCCGGACGAAAATAAGCTCCCTCAGGCCCGACGCAGGGTGGTGAATAAGAGATCAGTGGAAGGTGAAGAATGAAGCAGGCTTAAAACTGACCAACCAGAAGTGAGCATTAATAATAGAAGAAGAGAAAGGCAAAGGTAGTGTCGTTCTTTGGCATTAAGATATTATTTACAAGACCAGTATGTTCTCCCAGCGAGGAGACCGAGGTCATTCATTTACTTTTTTCTGAACTTTCGCTATAGCTAATCTGTCCAAGGGGAGAAGGTCCAATATTGTTCGTTCTCAGCACTCTTTGATTGTTTCCCTTGTGCCGTCTTTACCCCAATTTTCAGATCTACCCCATCTTTTGCATCATATAAAACAATTCAAACATCCATACTTAATGACAGATTTTCGCGCGATCGAGAAATAAAAGAAAAGCGAGGAAAGAAAAAAAATTGTCAAGGCGATGAAGCGACGCGGTGAAGACCCTGTCGTCCTGGAGCGCCCCAATTCTTACTCCAATTCAGATGATCTAGGGCTGGCAAAATGTATTAAAACGACAGCATGTCGAAGGATTCCTCCTTCGTTTCTTGAAAAAGAGGGCATCCCACTAGACCTGTGGGTTCAAGTTTCTCTCCAGCAGGTGATGGAGAGCACAGCGACGGGTACTTCAAGAATGGATATGGAGCATGTGGATAACCTCAACTTTCTAGTCTTTTTGGGTGCCCAGGGAAAGGAATATATCGACGTGATTCGAGATATGTTTCCTAAGCATTTTGATCCGTTGGTGTTTGTCTCTCTGAACATCGATAGCCGCTTTACCGAGAACCCATACTTCCATTGTCTGGATACAGAGACGTGCAAGGAGCTTGCTCGATACTTTGAGATCATGGATCCGCTTGGAGGCGGTAATTATCCGCTTAACTATCTTATTGTCATTGACTCTGACCTGGTTGTCAGATGCAAGCTTCCCATTCGCATCGGTTCACACTATTGCCCACACCAGAAGTTTGGCGTGAGTCTACCTCAGCTTAAAGGTTTGATTGACGAGTTTTTGGACTTCTTTATGGAGCACAGTATCACCATAATTATGTAACGACTTAATGAATTGTTTGTTTGATCATTGTAGCAATGCAGCTTTTTGTTGTTCGAGTTCTTTATATTCATGGCGCTGCTTCTCGATCTCATCCTTGACCTTTGAGATGTAAACGTCTAATCTTGCTAACTCGTCAATCTCGTCAGTTCTCAAATACTCTTGGTCCCGCTTCTGAGGATCAGAATACTTGAAAGGTAGTAAGTTCAGTGGTTTCTTTGTGAGAATCTCAAAGGTGGCCTCTGTAGGCTCGTTAAACACTAGCTCGTCAAAAGAACAGAGTAAACTTCTCCATTCTCACGTTTTGGTGCCTTTGGATTATATGGATGAAGTTTTAAACCATGGAATATCTGGAAATTCTTCTCGTTGATACCTAGTTCTGCACCGGGATGGAAATGGACTTTGATGATAATTTCGAACTCACCCCAACCAGTTTCAGTGACCTGATATGGAGGATGCTCCACTGAACGAACAGGGTTTTCATATGTCTCGTGCAATTTAAAGGTAACCTTCTTTATAAGAGGTGTTAAATCAACATTGTCTAACACTGGTTTAAAGAAGACAGTCCATTCATGCGTATGGTCAGCGGGCGTCTTCTCAGTTCTCTTTTCATCTGCCAAATGCTTGGCTGTGTTGCCGTAGAGGATAGGCACCGATATAGAGACGTTTTTGATTCTCTTGGACATTATTCAGTATGGGGAAGTGTTACAGATGTTTGTTCTTTCGTTGTTACTGAGGTTCAACTTTTATGCAATATGCACACTATGTAGTCTAAAGAGGTATAAGCATTTAATTAAGAGTCTATTGAGGAACCAATGGCTTCCAATCCGTCATTTTACCTCTTTGGCTCGAGCCGTTGCTGCTACCGGCTCTAGGCGGTGGCGGAGGTGGCGCTCTTCCACCAGCTGGCTTTTGCTGCGAAACTTGTTCAACCTTGTTAGTGGACAAAGCCTTTGGTTTTGAAGGCTTCACAGGCTTCATGTCAGAAGCAGATCTAGCTGGCGACGAAGCTGCCGTGTTGGATACACTTGGCGACATGGAGCGTGGAGTGGAAGGTTGGGAACCGGATGGAACGAGGGGAGCAGCCGAAAAAGCCAAGTTGTGATGGCTACTTCTTGAAGGAGGAGCCGAGTTTCTCGAGGGAGGAGGTGGAGGAGGAGTGGAAACATTCGGTCTTACCTTCGAAGGGGTTTCCCTCGCTGGTTTCTCGTCTCTGTCATGAGAAACTGTCTTTCTGCTAACATGAGGTGGCGGCACACGTCTTGGTAAAGTGTCAACAGCGCGAGGTTTTGGTCCACGTACTGGTGGCTTTCCGCTTGAGTAGTCATCATCTAGGATATTCATATCTGAAAGGGTGTCTGAAGTAAATGTGGAGCTTGCAGTAGTACCTGGCGAGGAAGAGTCACTATTTCCAAACTCGATCAAGCTCAGACTGGATCCGAACTCTTTTTTGTAGGCATTATAATACTCCTCTGTTAACTTGTTCTTCTTGGCCTTGTTGACAAACTTGATGTTGACTTTGAATGTGGAGAAGACGGGTTTGTGGTCACTGACGAAGATATCCATCACTGATCCGTAGTTCAAAGCCTTCATACCATCCTTGTTGATGCTTCTGAAAAGAACTCTGTCCGTCCAAGAAGGCACTCTCTGCTTTTCGGATGTATCATAATTGGAGGTACCTTTGTCGAACTTGTAAGTTGGGTAGAACCTCAAAGGACTTTCTCTAAGTTCAGAGAAGGCCCACCCTTGGCCATTTCTGCTTGCAACTGGTCTGCATCAGTCAACTCATCAAAAGATCCCGTCTCGACGAGATATCTGCATCTATCGTTCGGGAGTTCCACTCTATAATTCAAATCACCGAACCAGATGATGTTGTCGTGATCACCGATTGTGTAATTCCTTGTAAAAGTGAGGCCTTGCATAATCAGCATATAGTCATTATATCTTTCCACAGTAGCAGTGACACCTGCAGCCAAGTGGGAAGTAATTAAAGCAAATGAAGTGGATCCGAATTCGAATCTGACAGCACAGGCACCCTTATTCGCAGTCATACCACCGAGACCAGTTTTCTTAGATGATCCAGAAACTTGAGTGACTTGTTGAACCTGATCTCTTCTGACGAACAAGTACATACTCATGGAAGCAATAGCTTCAGTTCGGAGCAAATAGTAGTCCTCTCCCTTGGATGAAAGCTGCTTTGCCAAAAATTCTCCCCATGCCGCAGGTTTGGATGAGTCCGATGTGAGGAACGATCCCGCGTTGAGCTCAATCAACTCTTGAAGACCAATTGCATAAATCTCAGGGGCTGGGATCTTGCTATTGGCAGAAGGAAAGAGCCATTCTTCGAGACTTTCACGGATTGGATGTGACGCAGCGCTGACATTGAAAGTACCGACGAACATGTTAATATTTTTGTAAGTTGTGAATGCCGAAGAGTTCTGCTGGAGTTTCTCATGGACAGACTCATAAATAGGGTCGAAAATTTTGACTGCTTTTCCATTCTTAGCATCTTTTCCGAGTAATGTATCCATCACCAGCTGTTTCTTCGAATCCACAAACGTGTTCTGATACATTCTGGAGACTGACTTGGTAACATCCGAGAGTGCACCAGCGAAATTCATTTTACCTGACCGCGAGAAAGAAGATTTCAAGGCATTCGTACCGGTGTAGATCTGAGAAATTGCATCACCATTATCGGCCCAAAGAGCGTTGTGTTTGAGAGTGAGTTCTTCGATAAGTTGTTTCTCACGGGGTGATTTCCCGTTACCAGGCATCTGGTTCTTGAGAATGTGGCTCATTATCCTTTGACAAACCACCTGCTCAACAAGATTCGTCCTATCCAAACAATCCAAACAATTAACACGGAAGACACCATCCTGGCGCGTCACCACTTCGTTTTCTTGGATATCGAAGTCATACCATCCAAAAGACTCCAAAGACTCGTATAATAAAGGAAGAATCTTGGTTGCACCTGCGAAGCCACCGCTCAGCTGCTTTGTCTCTGCGTGGAAATCAAAATGACTGTATGAGAGTTCCGATCTATGGGGCGACTTGTCTAAGAGTTCTTTATAACAACGCAGCACATTAACCTCTTGTGTCTTGGTTTTGGAAAGAAGATTGACGATGTGGCAGACACCATATTTCTCGCAGACCTCATCAAAGTGCTTATTGAAGGCAGGCTGTGTGGCTTCACGGGATCTAGTGATCGTAATCTTGGGGTTGATCAACGTAGAGTCCTGTTCCCAGAAGGCTGGTACAGAACCTCTGATCTGAGTAAACGAAAACACCAGTCGCAGGGAAACATTGTTAAAGATAAAGTCAGATTCAACAAAGTTGGCGACATGGCCATCATCATCTATACCTCTGGCATTGAACCGGGTACCTGCTCTCTTCCACGATTGCTTGGAGATGATACTGATTGTATCGCCTCTTGAATTCAAACGTACTGTCTTTGCAAATCCACGAATCACCGTTGTCAAGAACCTATTCTTGTCAATCACTTCCATAGCGAGGTCATCTAAATTAGCTCTAAACTTCAAAAGCTCTTTCATCAAAAACAGGTTCCACATGTACTGCTCTTCGTAGTGCTGTAAATTCACTCTGGTTATACTATCAGCCTTCTCAGAGTCACGAGCCGCCTTATCAAATTTGGCGGAATCAATTCCTCTATTCTGCAAAGTTGAGGTTAAGTCAAAGTCATTCGAGAAGTAGAAAGATCCATTAGATAACAACTTCTTGATCTCAAAACAAGGATGCACGACTCTCAGACCACCACTGCTAGGATCGTATTCGTCAGGTTCTTGGGTCTGAATTGGCATTCCACCAGAATCCAAATTGACGTAGTCCCATTCGTTGCTTCCCAACGAGACAAAGTCCACTGCGTAAATCTTGTCAACCGATTCATACGGAACAGGACGGGCAACATTCGTTGAAGCTCCAGTGATTAAAGCCAAGTAGACCTGTTGGTCAATGGTAATAAGACCTAAACATCCGTGAATGTCTCTGTGGATCAAAACCTTATATTTCCTGTTGTGCTGGAAGTTGGAGGTCGGCTCAAGCTGAACTTCTACCGAAGGACTCTTTTTGGGGTCATCCAAGTTAGACGAAAGCAAACGGAAGGTGAGAGCATGAGTCTCAGAGACCAAAGCAATGATCCTGGGCTCCTCACACAACAATACCTTCATCAGTGGAATTTTTCAAGTTAAGTACAGCTGGTCTTTGGACCGATCTTACTTGGCTCACACGCAGCTTGCAGTTTAGACCCGTACACCTGCAGTTTTGTGCTACGGGAAAGATTAAGGCCCCGAAGTCGGTTTTATAGAAAAATAAAAGGTGTAAAATGCCAGTAGCAATCTTTAGGAACTAAGAGCTTTCTTTCAGTTCCGGAAACGGCACAGCCATGGTAGAAGTGGTAGTTTATGGTACATCAGTGCACCATCATATGTGAGAAACTCGGCCTAAAAATTTCCAGTAAATCAACGAATCACCTCCACTCGATATCTACTATTGATATATAATGGCCAACTATCAAATCACACTCTCCGACGAGTCTAAGGAGACCATCAACAAGGTCTTGGACTACTCCAGAACCGTTGCTCACTATGGTTTCATCCCATTCATCTTGTACTTGGGCTGGAAAGGCTCTACTCACAAGCCAAACTTGTTCAACTTGTTGAGTCCTGTTCCTTCCGTGTAAGGAGCATCTTCCATTTGTACATAGCAATATAACCATAGATCAGACACCGTTGTAGTGCTGGTTTAGCTCGATACTACGGATGGCGATGGATTGCTTCTAATTGTGGAGTGACCACAGCAATAAGAGCAACCATGCACCTTGTAGCAGTGCTTCGAGAGCCACCATCTGGCTTTGTGAAAGAAAATAAACCTTCCCGTATTTCAAGTTTTCTTTTTTGGTTGCCGGGTTGTATTCATTCCTTTGAAGCGTACTGCGTTATCGATGAATCCATACTGTCCTACACTAAGTCGCATCTCATCACTACTCTTGTTCAACATCCATGTCTGAACAATGGTCGAGACGCCAGATCGAGGTTGTGTCCGGTTTGGTAGCTGGGTTCTCGACTACTCTAGCAACTCACCCATTGGACCTTATAAAGATCAGGTTGCAGCTCGCTGACAAACTGACATCCAAGCCATTCGAACTCATATCAAGAGTATACCACGACATCCAAAGACTGGCTGCCAACGCCTATCAAGCCAGTGACAAGAGGTACCCAAAGGCATTCTACACCGTACAGCAGTATTATAGAGGTGTGGGGCCAAATTTCATCGGCAATGTGTCTGCCTGGGCGATCTACTTTGGTCTATACGCTGAGTTCAAAGAGATGGTTGCAACAGAACACTCAACAAATTACTTCGCTGCTTCATCACTAGCTGGCCTTTCAACTACATTGCTTACGAACCCAATTTGGGTTCTAAAAACTCGAATTTTGAGTACACCTAAAACCAAGAACTCGTACTCGTCTCTTTGGGACGGTATCAGAAAGATATATGTCAATGAGGGTGTGCGTACGTTCTGGAAAGGTACAGTGCCCAGCTTGTTCTCGGTGTTTCAAGGAAGTTTGCAATTCACGTTCTACGATCATGCCAAACTATATCTCACCAAGCACCAGGAGAAAGAACCTTCGAACTACCAGTACACTGGTCTCTCCATGATGGCAAGAACATTGAGTATGGTCATAGTGTATCCCACACAGGTCATCAAATCAAGACTACAGAGCTACAACTTCGGCCAAGAGAAAAGAACGATGATATCGATTATTCGTCAGATCAAAAATCTGGATGGAGGGCTACGCGGATTGTACCAGGGCATAAGCGCCAACCTCATTCGTGTGCTTCCCTCGACAGCAGTTATGTTCTTGTCTTACGAGACTACGAAGAAGTATATGAGCCATTGAGAGCGGTTCCTGCTATTTACCATCCAGCATTGCAAGCAGGTGAAGACTCTTCAAGCTACAATTCAGAGTTGATGACTCCATCATCGTCACTCTATACCAAACCTATGCTAATTCCATTCGTATCAGACTTGGTACGTCTGGCTAATTCCCCCCATGGTGTTCCCATATACTAACTGCTATCGACCCGTGCCTTGTCGTTATAGGCATGGACTGCCAACTCATTCCTAATATTTATAGACGCTTCAGTTCTTGTATTTAAATTAATGACTTCAAATCTTGTATTAAAATATTACAGTCTTATTTGTAAGCCGGTCTCTTATCGCACTTCTGCCTTGCAAATTCGTCCCCATACATTGCCTGAACGCGATACATTATACGCGTTGTTTTCATCATAAAATCAACACTTCATGACTACTTCAGATGAGCCAAAGGCCAAAAAGGCCAAGCTTGATGATGGCATGAATATCGAAAAGTGGGCTCCAAAGTCGATCACCGAGATTAAAGATAAGTTTTCATTTAACTCCACAACTTACCACTCCCCGATTCCTGAGATAATCGCTAAGAACCCAAGAGAGCCCATCGTTCTCGGTGTGGATGAAGCTGGAAGAGGTCCAGTTTTAGGGCCTATGGTATATGGTATCTCTTATTGCACAGAAGAGTATCACAGTCTGCTCAAGCTGAAGTATGGCTTTGCTGACTCCAAGACGCTTAAAGACGCTAGACGTCAGGAACTCTTTGAGCTCATAGATGACGAAGATCACGAACTTTACAAGAATGTTGGATGGGCAACGTGTACAATGACTGCAAAGGATATCTCGAGTGGTATGCTTCGAAGCGCATTAGGGCAAGGTGCTTACAATTTGAACGATCAGGCTCACGACACTACTATAGCACTTATCTCAGAGGTGATTAAATCAGGCGTGAACGTCCGCAAGATTTTTGTTGATACTGTGGGCCCTCCAGCATCGTACCAGGCAAAGCTTCAGAAAGTATTTGGTGGAGCTGATGTGACTGTCACCAAAAAGGCCGATAGTATCTTTCCCATTGTCAGTACAGCTTCTGTTGTTGCCAAGGTAACAAGAGACTTGAACTTACAATATTTTAACAAACACATTGAGCTGGTTAAAGGTCACGAGCTAGGGTCGGGTTACCCGTCTGATCCCACGACAAGCCGGTGGCTCAAAGGAAACATTGATCCAGTTTTTGGCTGGCACCATGGCCTTGTAAGGTTTCTGTGGCAGACAGCTAAAGATGCGCTTGAGAAGGGCGGAGCCGTCAAAGTAATCTACGAAGAAGAGTGTCTTAAGGATAAGGGGTATAAGGACGTCACTGGTATGTTTGAGAAGCCAAAGGGATTGATAGATCAGCTGTTCTATGGAAGGCCCGCATCACTATAGACTACAATAGACCCGAAACATTACGCCGTTTGGATAGAAATGAATGATAATTTAAATGAAAAGATGTATCGGCATTTCCATCTGCTCACCATATACTATTTCTGAGCCTCTGCCAGCCGTTCGACTTTGGCTGCGAAAAAGCGACTTGACCCAACAACTGTCAAAGTGACGTGAACCAACGAACACTTACCCACGTGTATTTACTCTTTTAATATATACGTATCTTGATCGTCCACCACATCTTTCAAGAAAGTTTAACTTCCCTCTTCACTTTTCATTTTACTTATTCTGACTTTTGGCTTCTTGTTCACCTTGCTATGGTCCTCTCTTGTTGTTGGTTGTCCATGTGTCGGAGTCATTGAGCTCCGAGAACTGTCACATCCTCCATTCCACCAAAATAGTCCGGTAAAAATCCTCAAAGCTTAAATTCAGTTTCCTTGGGCGTTCAAATTATTAAAACATTCCCCTCATTAAATAACCTTGACTTCTTCCATCTGGTTGCCTGCTATCGCTTTCTCCCGGCTGTCATCGGGGTCCGAAACGGTAGCCTCGCGCACTCCGAGCCCGCCAATTCCGAGCACTAATGTCAACGAAAAAAGGTCCTAAAGTATGGAAAATATGTCAAAAAAGACGGAATCAGATAAAAGTGACCTCTATTAAATATAAGAGGAATTTTCTGATAGAAATTCTTAACATGCCGATGAAGATCTCGATATTACATTTTCTTTCAACTTTGTCCACGTGACTCGGTGGTATTCTACCGAGCAACGGAAGACAACCATGCGATGCTACCGTCCTGTACCGCAAAACTCAAACCCACTTGAATAAAAACTTCACCAACTCATTCTTCCCATGTTTGCCCAAAGAGCCTCTTCGGCATTGCGTGCCTCTGTGTCCCACGCTGCTGTGGCGTCCAGATACTCTGGCGTCACTGCTCCTTTCCTTGCCTCTAGAGTCTCCCTTACTATGGCTAGACTCTACTCCTCCAAGTTCCCAGACCACACTGTCATCCACATGCCTGCTTTGTCGCCTACCATGACTCAGGGTGGTATTATGCTGTGGAGCAAGAATGTTGGTGACGAATTGGCCCCAGGTGAGCCCATTGCCGAGATCGAGACCGACAAGGCCTCTATGGATTTTGAGTTCCAGGAGGAGGGCTACTTGGCTAAGATTTTAGTCGACGCTGGTGCCCAGGACGTTCCTGTTGGTAAGCCTATTGCTGTGTATGTTGAGGAAGCTAGTGATGTTCCTGCTTTCGAAGGCTTCACTGCTGAAGACGCCGGTGAGGGTCCTGCTCCTCCAAAGGAGGAGGCTAAGGAAGAGCCTAAGGAGGAGGCCAAGGAGGAGCCAAAGAAGGAAGCTGCTCCAAAGAAGGAAGAAGCTTCTAAGAAGGAGTCTGCTCCAACTAAGGCTCCTGCTGGCAGAATCTTTGCATCTCCATTGGCCAAGACTATCGCTTTGGACAGAGGTATTGCTTTGAAGAACATCAAGGGTTCCGGTCCTAACGGTAGAATTGTTGCCAAGGATGTTGAGGCTTACAAGGCTCCAGCCACCGAGACCTCGTCTCCTGCCGCTGCTGCTGCCACCGCTCCAGCTTCTTACGAAGACATTCCTCTTACTGGTATGAGAAAGACAATTGCTTCCAGATTGTTGCAATCTACCCAGCAGTCACCTACATACATCATTCAGTCGCAGCTCAATGTCACCAAGTTGTTGAAATTGCGCCAATCGCTTAACGCTACCGCCGAGGACAGATACAAGTTGTCTGTGAACGACTTGTTGATCAAGGCCGTGGCCTTGGCTTCCTTGAGAGTTCCACAAGCTAACTCTGCTTGGTTGGCCGATGAGGGCGTCATCAGACAGTACAACAACGTTGACGTTTCCGTCGCCGTCGCTACCCCAACTGGTTTGATCACCCCAATCGTGAAGAACGCACACAGCAGAGGCTTGGCTGCCATCTCTAAGGAGATCAAGGAGTTGGGCAAGAAGGCTAAGGCCGGTAAGTTGGCTCCTGAGGAGTACCAGGGCGGTACTATCTGCATTTCCAACTTGGGCATGAACAATGCTGTCAACGCCTTCACTTCTATCATCAACCCACCTCAATCCGCCATTGTCGCTATTGGTACTACCGACAAGAAGGCCGTCCCAAGCGCCGTTAATGAACAAGGTTTCGTCTTTGAGGATGTCATCACCATCACTGGTACTTTCGACCACAGAGTGATCGATGGAGCCGTCGGTGGTGAATGGGTCCGTGAATTGAAGAAGATTGTCGAGAACCCATTGGAGTTCTTGATCTAATGCGGATCTCTATCCTATTCATCTACGTATAAATAATGTGCCTATAGATATAAGAATGTAGCATGGTGCAGTTGCATCAAGTGGTTTCTCATCACCTGGTTCCTCCACATGGGGGGGGGGGGCATAAATAACGAGCATGGGCCCGAAAATCTAACTAAAACAAACACACATCCTAATTCGATAGACTACTATAGATGACCCTTAAAACTATTTATATTGCCCGCCATGGCTTCCGGTCAAACTGGTTGCCTCCACCACATCCACCAAACCCCACAGGAATTGACCTGGATCCTGCCTTGGCTCCTCATGGTGTGGATCAAGCGGTTGAATTGGGCGAGTACTTGGCCACACTTCCAAAAGATGAACAACCTGAGTTTATTCTTTCTTCTCCATTTTACCGCTGTGTGGAATCAGCTAGGCCTTTTGCTGAAAAACTGGGCCTTAAAGTCCATCTAGATAGGGGAATTGGTGAATGGTTCAAGAAAGATAGAGGTGTGGTTCCTGTTCCTGGTGACTACAAGAAATTGGGCGAGTTCTTTGCTGAAGTTTTGGGCGAGCCAAGCACCTGGGACTCTGACAGTGGCGTTATTCCTCATAACCAGGGCGAAAGCGAAGAGGACGTGCTTGAGAGATCCCACAAGTTTTGGAGCTCCTTCATCCCAGCTTTCGAGAAGAAACACCCAGATGTCACTAGAGTTCTTCTTGTGAACCACGCTGCCACAAAGATTGCTTTGGGTATGGCTCTTTTGGGCCACAAGTCCCTTTACGACGAGATAGACTTCAAAGGAATAAAGACTAGATTGAGAGCAGGCGCATGCTCGTTAGATAAGTTCGAGAGAGACAATGACCACTGGATAATGTTGGAGAATGGTAAAACTGACTTCTTGAAGGATGGTGAAGAAATGAATTGGAACTTTGACGTGAAAGTGGAGGCAGGTTCCGACGAGGATATGAAGAGGAGAGCCGAGGAAGCGAAGCAAAAGCAAGGCACCGAGAATCCTTCAAAACCTGAGAAAGAGCCATTGGAGTACGAGGTACGTAGTAACATGTGAGAGATTGTCTTTTACCATGAAAAGTAATTACTAACCTTTCAGGATGTGTATGTTGCAGTTGATGTTCCAATTGTGGCTCCGTCATACTATGACGACAGCGGCGACAGCCGGGAGCTTAGTGAACAGCTTTTTATCAACCCCAATGCCAAGTTCCAGCTAACTGGGATTGAAGAAGATCGACCCTTGTTTAAGATAAGTGACAATCTGGTCGCAGGGGCAGATGCCGAGTCAGCTTCCTTCAGTAACCTGAATGCAATCGATGGACAAATATATCAAGCACATTGGAAGAAACTACTAGGGACAGAACTTATCTTCGATGATGAAGGAGCGGTGATTGGTACCGTTAGAGAGCATTTGGTGGCAGAGCCTTCGAACAAGGCTCGGAAAAAGCCTAGCAACTCTGGTGGTGATAAAGGTGATGCTATGGATGTCGATTCTGATAGCGAAAGAGAAAAGGTTGACACGAGGACAGCTTTCTTGAAGAGTGCCATTGCTACCGCCAGGTCCAAGGCGATGTCTGGATAGATCTATGATGTAACATTATGTAATGAACGTTGACGTTCCTTCTGACGTACGACACTAACTGTCCTCTAGGATGGTCAAATCTTCATTTTCGTTTGAACATGCCTTATTAACATCCTTCGTCTTTTCCTGGTTTTTAGCATGTAAGTTTGGAGGCCACTAGGATCCATTGGGTGCAAAATCCTGCATTCCTATGATATTCCGTACTTCGAGATCGAGTACCACCAAGAACTCCCACCATGACATTTAATCATCCATTATACGATCAATTGAAGAATTACAATGTGGTGCTAGGCCTGCTGTCGCCACGTAGGAAGGAAATCATATCAGCAAACGTCGGAATCAAGGATTTCACTATAGTCAAGTCGACGTTTGAAGAAGACATCACCAAAGAAGGTCTTTCTGATCTAGAGTATGTGACGCAAACAGCAGGGGCCAAGATCCCAAGTATACTTGAACAACTTGAAGGAACAAATAGTGTCGTGATTGCCGCAGATACAATTGTGTCCTGTCAAGGAAAGGTCTACGAAAAGCCTGGTACACCACAAAGACAGATGGAGATGCTCAAAGACTTCCGTGAAGCAAGACATGTTACAGTTATTACTTCCGTTCATGTTATTGTTATTAAGGATGGCCAAGAAAAGCGTGTTTCTGGCTATGAGGTGACTGACTTGCAATTCAACAGTGACCTTCTGGACAGAGAGCTTCAGAACTACGCAGACTGTGGGGAGGGCTTGCATGTTGCAGGTGGTTTCCAGTACCAAAGCATCGGAAATCTCTTGTTCACCGGTCTTAAGGGTGACTACTTCAACGTTGTGGGCTTACCTGCTTCAAAGACTTTCTCCTTGCTTTGCGAGGCCCTTCAAGTCAGATCTGCTTAGGTATTGTGATACCAGGGATGCATTGTCTTCTTGTTATCATTCAGTCCTCAAGATGATAGACCCAAGTTATTCAAGTAACTCTGACGTTCCAGCTTGGAAGCACTTTTACCCTTCACTTTAGAGACAATTGGGCAGGTCGAAATTGGATGGAAATTTATTCTCGAATAGCAAAATTCGTCACATAAGGCTTGTCAGTGTCAAGCTTCCATTATAAATGATAGTTTTGCTGCCGCCTAAAAGAGCCTCAGATCGCCTTCTGTGAAGCGATACCGATTTCGCAGCCATTTGGACCATAAGGCAACGATATCATATCTGTTGGTTTACCATGGAAACAGAAAGAAAGCAACTAATGTAACTGAGAACTTCAATTTTTTTCACCATAAATCTTTACAAGCCTTTTTTTTTTTTTTTTCTTCACCATTTTATAAGGGCCCTTTCTAGGGCGTCAGTTTAACTACTTGATGTGTACTACATATGAGTATGTGGTTTTTTCACTGCGATGAGATGAGCCTCAAAGTACTACCACTTCATATCAAACATGGCCAAATCAGTTAGCCAGAAAAAAGCCAAGCAGGCGAAGAAGGAGGAGCCAAAGGTTCAGGAAGAAGAAAAGATACAACTACAAGAATCTGCTGATTCTCTGAGTGAAGAGCAGTTGTCCAGTGATGAAGAAGAAGTTGATATCGAAGGTCTCGAAGTCCCTCCTCCAGGTGCCAAAGATACACAGAAGCTCGGTGGCCATGTGGTGAACTTTGAAACGTCAGAGAAGAGTAAACCACATATTAGCACCAAGAAGAGAGGAGTTATTTACATTGGTCGTCTCCCTCAGCATTTCCAGGAGAAGGAAGCCAAGAAGTACTTCAGACAGTTTGGAGACATCACCAAATTGAGAATCGCTAGAAACAAGACTACTGGTCGCATGAAGCATTACGGTTTTATCGAATTCAAGGATGAGGAGGCTGCTAAGGTGGCTGCCGAGACCATGAACAACTACCTTATCATGGGCCACATGATGAAGGTTCACGTTGTCGCTAACCCAAGAGATGACCTTTTCCCAGCCAAGTTGAAGAGCACTTTCACCGAATTTGACTGGAGAGCCAAGGATTACGCTGCATACCACGCAAAGAAGACTTTGGCTGAATGGGAGAAGAAGCAGGCCGAGTTCGAGGCCCTGAAGCAGGCTAAGTTTGACGAGTTGAAGGAACTCGGGTTCAACTACTCGCTTGAAGCATAAGAGACCGGTTGTGAACAATACTAGCCATACAAAGGCTCATGGAGCCACATCCTTGCATTTACATAGGCAGCCACCAGGCGACACATGCCTTGGTGAAGAGCTCCTAGATGGGCTTGCAGATGTTTCAGGCAACGAAGCATCATTGTGACTATAGACAAATCATGTAATGATAAAACAAAGAAGTATAATGCGTGTGTAAAGTAGACATCGTATTTGGTCATTCGCCTACGAAAATACGACCCGATTTCACCGAATCCATAGCACTCATAAGATACTTGTTGATAATCGCTGGCATAGACCACCAGCATGTGAACAGATAATGGTGCCACCAACCCCACACCAGAATACTCTTCCAGTCATGATCCTCGAAATCAGCTAACCCGAGCAACTGACCTTCCATATCTGCCCATTTCATGCTTCAGCAAAGAAACTAAAACATTCCTTCAGATACCAAGCAACCGTTTTCGCAGCCATTTCTACAAGGTCTCTTTTCACACGACCTTAGGGCTAGCCCCACTTAAAGATCAGAAAGGAAAATATGGCACCGTTGGTCACCGCCACAATGCGGACATAAGACTTAAGGTACTAAGGTCCAATATGGTCTGTGGGAATAAGCACAATGGCGCATGGGAAAGTGCAAGCAACCCCCGCAGGAGTGTGAAAATAGTCCATGGAAAAGGAAGAAAAGGAAGGTATCGAATTGGGGCTTGCTGGTGTAGAGGTGTACGTCTGTTTATTTTATTTTATAGTGGCAGATGTACGGGTTTCTTAATCAAAAGCTGTTTTCTCTTTCGGCAAAATCCAGCCCGTCTCTCCTGACATGTCTCGCTCAGCGCTGGGGCTCAAGATGGGTTCTCTTTACCCTTTTAGCGCAAAACTCACGGCAGTAGCCAAACTCGCACCGCAGCGAAACTGACAATCTGGGCGACTGTGATTGGGTGTACTGCATATAGACAGCGAGCAGACCCCAATTTTCTCTCCCTGGCGACAAAAAACGCCCATAGTAAACCTGCCCACCTGATCGCATTTAAACGGTTGTTTCCTGCCTCGCTCGCTTTCACATGTGAGCTCAGCTTTCGTTCAACATAAATTCATTCTTCTTCGCGAACTATTCCATCTTCCATACTTCTCCCTTCTCCCACCATCATGTCTGAAACCGAAGGCTCCGCTGTCGAGGACAAGTATTTCTCCATCGAGGAGGTCCAGAAACACAACACCACCGATGACTTGTGGATCGTTTACAACGGCCAGGTCTACAACGTCACTCCATACTTGGATGAGCATCCCGGTGGTGAAGAGGTGATTGCCGATGTGGCTGGCACTGACGCCACTGAGGCCTTTAACGACATTGGTCACTCTGACGATGCCCACGATATCTTGAAGGGTTTGAGACTCGGAAAGTTGGAGGGCGGTACCATTGTTGAGGCCCAGGGTGTCACCTCTGCTGGTGCTGCTGCCGATGTGTCTGGTATCCCATTCCCCTTGTTGGCTGCTGCTGTCTTTGCCTTGGCTGCCGGCGTGTACTTTTACCTAAACTAAACGAGACATCGTGATAGCTTTCACTCCTTGGTCATGATATTCTGCTAATATCTCATTAGAACCGGGCTGGAAACCGGCTCCAGGACTCATCCGCTCCGCTCTGGTTTCTTCCCTATAGCATACGGGTTATATAATATATTACATTCTTCGTCCTGTCAATTGCTCCAACACGAGCTCAGCATAGGCGCTGGCTGGCACTTGCCCCTGCTGCCTTTTGCATCCTCGTAGAAGTGAGGCTGCTTTGCGGACTCTAGTGTTATCCCATCGCGTGGCTCTCTGCCTGTAATCATGTGTTGTCGCTGCTGTTGCACTTTCGTATTGCTCGTATACGACAGTACCATAGACATATCCGCTGTGGCTATCTTGCACTTTGGCACCATCAACGGCTCCAAACACTGCCATGATCTCTGCAAGCACAGCATCGTTGATTTGGGCTTCTTTCTCCTCTCGTAGTTTCCATTTCACCTCGACTACCCTATCTCCACTAGGGTCCATCGCGAGGCTCGTGAGTCTTCCACTGAAGTCTAGGTCTCTATAACTGACGTAGCCAGAATGTTCAACATTTCTCTCTCGTTCGAACTGGTATCGAAGATCTTGGGCTTCTTTTTGTAAGAAATGGATCTTCTGTTCCCTCATCCCAGCATCTTCATACACTTTGGCTTGTTGCTCCTCGGCTCGGCGTAGCTGTTCCCTGAAGCGACGTATATCTTCATTTAATCCCTCGTCTTTCGCCTCCTTCTGTTTTCGTAGTTTCTCATACTGCTCGCGAAGCTTCAGGTCGCTTAGCACAGCGTAAATAGCTGTAAGAAGCTGGAACTTATGTTTGGCTTCAGCCAGGGGATTTTTGTCAGGATGAAATTTAAGGGCTTTCTTTCTATACGCTGAAACGATTTCACGTTCCGAGGCTCCCTCGGGAACGCCCAATTCGGCGTATAGATCTAGATTCTCTAGCTCCATAGTGGTGGGTTGTAGTTGATATGATCATCGCGCATAGTACATCTTCGTGTTGATATGTTCCTGAAAGAGCCAAAGATAAGTCTAATTAGGATACGTAGGACTTCGAGCATTTTTATTTTTGGTGTACTTGGCTTAAAAGACTCTACTTCCCCTTGAAGTTTAGAATTCGAATTATAAAACACTCTTTAGTATTTTTGGGATTTTAAAGAATCTCAGAGGTGGCTGCAAAATGCACTATTCTTGCCAAATGTCAAAGATAACGTCAATTACAACTTTGCATACATTTCTTCAAAATACAAAATATTCTTCGAGAGGAGATAAATCTACAATTCTTGCTTTGAAGATTGTAATGATTGCTCTTATCAAGTAAAAATGTCCAGGAGGTCAAGAACGTTGCATTCCATATTGAAGGTTTCATCGCGTGCGAGAAGTGTGGCTCAGTGAAGCTTGCCCAAAAGGACATAAGAAGAACAAGAATACTCAAAGAGAAAGGACGTATTTAAAGGCATCTCAATCATGTAAGCTTAGAGCCACATATAATTTATTCAGGTTTAGGGTTTCAAGCTGTCTAATCTTCGTTATCAGCCTCCAAGTCTAATTTAAAGATGTCGCTTCCACTTCCGATAATTATAAGACGGCAAGCGTTAAGTTCCGTTAAAAAGCATTTTATCGAAAAGGTTTTTCTGTTTTTTGTTCGAGATTCCGTTGGAATAGAGAATCTATTGGTGTACTTTCGTGGTGGATCTCTTTACCTAAAACTACTATTCGCTCCGCACCCCACACTAACTGGTCGTTGAACAACACACCAATAAATGAGGTATATACACAAAGCAAAGAGCTGACCTAGAACCGAGCAACAATTGTTTAATCAACAAACTGAATTTTAAATAATTAGCCAGTTCCGTTTCATTTCAGTTGAAGTACTACCAATGGCACTTACACCCGTGCACCATCACCACTATATTGTCGAAAAAATTCCACTACGACTCAATCGAATTATACCTGTCCAGCATGTCAATCCAGACGCCATTGGCCACAACATACGGCGCCCGTCTAAGCGCATACTTGACCACATATGAAGACTTAAAGAAGCACAGAAAGAGATTGAATAAGGCTTTGGTCAAGCTTCGTCACAATCTCGACATTGTCACAAAGGACACCAAGAAGTACAGTGAAAAGGAACAGACCAAGGGCATTAGTTCCGCACAATACGACGAGGATGAAAGGAATGGATTGCTCTTGCTCTTAATCGCTGAGCGTGATTCCTTGTATGCCTCTGAGATCAAGTCATTGCTTGAGATCTCTGGTTCGAGACTATCTTCCTACAAAAAGCTCATGGTGTCCAGACTCAAGAGAACCGTCCAGACAAGCAAGAAGCTTCTTGAGGTAACTCAGAATGAGAAGAACTCTGCTGTCAGAACAGAGCTCTACATATACGCAGCCTTGGCCCAAGGCTTATACCTGGTTAACAAAAAGAGATGGTCTGAGGCTCTCCAAGCTTTCTCCATTGCCAGATGTGGTCTTGAACTCATAGCATCTCAGAGTAGTGAAGATGCTGAAGGCGAGAACTTCAACAGAACATTGCTGGAGGAGTTGCTTGACACTTTAGTCGACCCATCGTTGAACTTGGCAGTCTCCCAGAACGACCAACACGAGTCATCTGCTGATATCATTACTGTCGCTAGAAAACACTGCCACGATAGTACTTTACCATACTTGCAACCAGCAGTTGAGCTTATAGCTTCCCAGGATCCTCAGTTTGTCCAAGAGCCAGAGGAAGAGGAGCTTTCTAGAAAGGTGACCTGGAGAGAGCATGAAGCTAACGTTTACAATGATGAATTGGCAACCAAGATTGCTCGTCTCAATCGCGTTGACTGGAAAGAATTTGCTGAGGCCAACGACTACGATAGCTTGTTGCAGAAGTGGACTGCCCTTGTGGACCTCCACGAATCTGACATACTGAAGAACAAAGATGAAGACGATCTTGACAAGGTTCAAGATGGCGCTATTGTTTTGACATACCTCAAGTATAATGTTCACTTCACAAAGTTGAAGAGAGATTTGCTACTCATTGAGCAGTTAGAATCCCAAAAGTTCGCTAGTGTTGCTAAGAAACTTCAAGCACACCGTGACATCCTCAGACTCTTCGATTCTATTGTCTCCACTGTTGAACAGCTTAAAGACTTGCCCGGTGTATACAACGATGAGGAGATGTACGAATCGTTAGAAAACATGGAGCGTTTCTTTGTTTCCAAGAGAGCAATTGTCGTGGCCGATTCTTATGCACTTGCCAATAAGCTTCCTGAGGCACTCAAGGTTTACAACCATCTTTCAAACACCTTTGAGGCAACCTCCGATTTTTACAAGATCGAGTCATTCCCTTACGAAGTAACGAGTAACGACCAGGTGAAAGAGCTTGCGTCTACAATCCAAACCAACTTGTCCAAGATTCATGTCATGGCACAATTCCACAGTGAGCAAAACAGCCAGAGTAACCTTGTTGTCGACAATGTTTTTAAGTTCCCACTGTCCGACGGATTAGCTAGAATCACAAACGCTGGAGACAGAGGAGCTATCAAACCAGTCTTGAGTAAGGCCGTTTTGTTCGATGTTGCATTCAACTACATCAGCTACTCATCCAGAGCAGATGAAACAAGTGGAGGCGAACCAACTGAAGATAAAAAGAAGAGCGGATTTTTCGGCATTTTCGGCCGTTAAGTAATACCATAAAGCATTAGTATTGTGCACTTAGCATTAACATGTACATGTAGTAGCGCGCTGTTTAAGACATACTGGAGACTCCATCAACACACACTTATTCCCACCATATATCCGCCCAATGAAGGAAAGCTCGGTATTTACGCTCATTTTTTGTGTGCTTGGTCTTTACGGCCTGTTCCTTTCATGGTCGCTTCTTCAAGAGAGAATCAACACCAAACCATATGAAATCATTGGTGGATCACCTGTGTTCTTCAAAGCTCCATTACTTGTCAATACTATCCAGGCGTTTTTTGCATGTCTTGTTGGTCTTCTATATTCATGGGTGGCCCATAGGCAAAACCCATTTGCCATTTTCTCCAGTAAAAGCAGCAAGGACACCACTGGCGGTTCAACATACGTGAAATTTTTCATAGCCATAGCTATCACCTCGACCGTGTCTTCTCCATTAGGCTACAAGGCCTTGAAGCACGTTGACTACTTGGCTTTCTTACTTGCAAAGTCTTGTAAGTTGCTTCCTGTGATGCTAGTGCATTTCGTGCTTTACAGAACGAGATTTCCACCGCACAAGTACTTGGTCGCTGGAATGGTTACATTTGGTGTGATCTTGTTTACCACCTGCCACAGCTCTGGCAAGTCTAAAGCTTCCATAAACGATGGCAATACGCTTCTTGGTATGGCACAATTAGCGGGCTCGATGCTTCTTGATGGCTTGATGAATTCAACGCAAGATCAACTCTTCAAACTTCCTAATCGTCAACATAAGCTTACTGGAGCCTCACTCATGAGTATCCTTAATCTCATGGTATTTATTCTCTCGGCAGGATTCATCTTGGTGTTTCAGTTCCAAGAGGAGGCCGTTTATACATGGAATTTCGTTCACAGGTATCCACAGCTGCTTATGGACATACTTGCATTTTCACTCTTTGGAGCTGCAGGGCAGGTCTTTGTGTTCCTCATTCTCGAGAAATTTGATTCTCTCATCTTGGTTACTGCCACAGTCACGAGAAAGATGATAAGTATGATTCTTAGTGTGGTTTTGTTTGGCCATAAACTTTCATTGGGCCAATGGCTAGGCGTGCTTTCAGTGTTTGGAGGCATAGGTTATGAATCCTATTTGAAGCTAGCATCCAAGAAGCAAAAACAGGCATAGATGGTGGTTTGCAACCATTTTCTCGTACATAGCACAGAGAGATCTCTCACCTAAAAGAAAAGAAAGAATATCCTTTCCGGACATTCAGAAGCATCTTTGTTTAGTTTCTATACAAAAAATTCATTTTTCTATTCTATTTTCTGGTCAATCTCGGTTGCCACCTTAAACCTGTTTCTCAGCCTCAGCCTACATCCTGGTCGCACACTGTTATCATCAAACCGATCCATGCTCATATCCCATCCTTCTATAATGTGGACCCATTCTTCGACATGGACCAACATAGAACTGGCTCTATGTGCGTTTCTATCGCTATTTCCTAAAGTGCTTGTCCTGGCGACCATGACTTGGGGCCTTTGGGCTATTTATACACAGCTGCACAGCATACCAGAGCCCTGGGGACTGGTAGCAATTGCAGTAGCCGCTGTTCTATACGGCTTGAGCATATTTGCATATTTCCGTGTCATCTATGATGGACCAGGATCGCCAAGTGATTATCCAGAACTACGATGTGCTCCACAGCCAGACCCAGAACACTATGGTAGATCGCCATACGATACTGGGGACTACGCCCATCCGTACACATTGGAAACACCAAGAGCAACCATTCCTCCAACAGAAATATATTCGTCACATACGTTCCGTGATAACCAGCCGACTTATAAGCTGTGTCATGTGTGCAATACTTGGAAGCCTGATAGGTGCCATCATTGCAATAGTTGCAAACGATGCGTACTCAAGATGGACCATCATTGCCCGTGGTTTGCTACCTGTATCGGCTACAAGAACCACAAGTACTTCATCCAAAGCTTGTGCTATATAACCTCGTTTTGCGGCTTGCTTTTGTTGCTTTCTGGCTACGAGTTATACCGGTTCTTTGCGGACCAGGAATTCGACTTGCATTCATACCTCCTGTTGAACTTGGTATTCGTGTTTGTCTTGTCCTTTACATTCTACGTTGCAGTGGGCATCTTTTCTGCATTCCTGGTATACTTGATGGTCCGCAACTACTCAACAATCGAGTTCCAAGACAGCCGGTGGAACTACTCTGGAGATGACGCCCAATATGAGTTCGATTCAAACGGAAAGAGAAAGAAATTGGGACATCTCTATGACTTGGGTATCAAAAAGAACATCCGTGCAGTGATGGGAGACACCTGGGCAGCATGGCTCTTGCCAATTAGAGTGACAACGGAATCCTTACTGGCAGGAACTAGAAATGGCGTACACTTCGAGATAAATGAAGACGTTTACGAGAAAATGTGTACCAACGCCAAGCTCCAAGCTCAGCTTAACAGACAACTTGCCGAGTACAGAGAACGGACACACCACGGAAATGGCACGCAACAGCAACAAGATATCGTGTAACAGACAAGACAGCCTCACTAAATGTCCACGAGAGATGAACAGAACCCTGCCAGCACAGATACCGATAGAATATGATTTCAGATATGATTTCAGATATGATAAGCGACGCCAGCTTACTAAAGGCAACTTTTAAGCGCCTTTTCAAATCGATCAGGAGCTAACTGTATTATTTTTTCCCACTATTACTTCAATGTAGAAAACTTTTTTTTTCTTCACCCTTTGCCTCGGCCTCTTCCACCCACCAGTATTCTTCCAACTCTGTTCGCGAAATTATCAACTCACATCTCATATCTACTATCTTCAACTCTTCTCGAAAAAAGTAACTAGCGGCAATGTTCGTGCAAATGCCCTTCGACGACCTCAAGGTCGATCCCAATAAGAAGAGAAGAGTGGCATACTTCTACGATGCTGACGTTGGTAACTATGCATATGGCGCTGGGCATCCCATGAAGCCTCACCGTATCAGAATGGCACATTCGTTGATCATGAATTACGGTCTCTACAAGAAAATGGAGATCTACAGGGCCAAGCCTGCTACCAAACAGGAGATGTGTCAGTTTCACACCGACGAATATATCGATTTCTTGAGCAGAGTGCTGCCGGACAACTTGGATATGTTTGCCAAAGAGCAGGTGAAGTTCAACGTCGGAGACGACTGTCCTGTTTTCGACGGTTTATTTGAATACTGTGGTATTTCTGGAGGTGGTTCTATGGAGGGAGCAGCCCGTTTGAACAGAGGTAAATGTGATATTGCAATCAACTACGCTGGTGGTTTGCACCATGCGAAAAAATCCGAAGCCTCTGGGTTTTGCTACTTGAACGATATCGTGTTGGGAATAATCGAGTTGTTGCGTTATCATCCCCGTGTGTTGTACATTGATATTGATGTCCACCACGGTGATGGTGTTGAAGAGGCTTTCTACACCACAGACCGTGTCATGACATGCTCCTTCCACAAGTACGGTGAATTTTTCCCTGGTACTGGTGAGCTTCGTGATATTGGTGTTGGTAAGGGTAAGCATTACGCTGTGAATGTGCCTTTGAGAGACGGTATTGACGATGCTACGTATAAGTCAGTGTTTGAGCCTGTGATTTCCAAGATTATGGATTGGTACCAGCCATCGGCAATTGTATTGCAATGTGGTGGTGATTCTTTGAGTGGTGACAGGCTAGGCTGCTTCAACTTGTCCATGCGTGGTCACGCCAACTGTGTCAACTTTGTCAAATCGTTCAATGTTCCTCTCATGGTTGTCGGAGGCGGTGGTTACACAATGAGAAACGTCGCCAGAACGTGGGCCTACGAGTCCGGTTTGTTGAACGAAGTGAACTTGCCTAACGAGTTACCGTACAACGAGTACTATGAGTATTATGGACCAGACTACAAACTCGATGTGAGGCCGTCTAACATGTACAACGCTAACGCTCCAGAGTTCATGAATAAGATCTTGACGAATATTATCGCCAACTTGGAAAACACCAAGCACGCTCCTTCTGTGCAAATGAATGAAATCCCTCGTGACGCGGAAGACTTGGGTGATGAGGAAGAAGACTCACCCATGGCTATTGACACCAAAGGTGGTTCGCAACAGGCAAGAGACGAGAGAGTTGTTCCTGAAAACGAGTTCTATGACGAAGAGGACAAGGATATTGGAGACCGCCACATTGGTCCTTCAGAAACCTCTACTGCTGGAGAGAAACGTGAAGCTAATGGTGCCAGCGAAGGAGGTAATGATGAACCCGCTACAGAGAAGAAAGAAGAGGAGGAAAAGCCTCAATTGACAGAAGACGAGCAGAAGGAGATCGACGAACTCAACAAGGAAGCCTAGCTGTAGACAGCAGGCATGTAGTATAGCTAGACAAAAGGACCAATAAAAAAATGTATTACTTTGTTGTATGCGTAGGATATAGGATAAAAGTTTGCAGCGTTTGGGGCGCTCTCTCCATATAAAAATAAATCATAGACGAGTGGGAATTACATGCCAGAGAAAGCCATTTGGCAGACTTCATGGAACGACACCAGTACGAGACATGCCTCCAGGGGACCATCTCTGCGAGCTGGTTCGTATATTAGGTTGACAGGATGCGGTTAACACCTTTCCTTAAACAACACAACAACAAAAATAGACCAGAATCAAATCATTATTGAATCTCTTAAAGTCTTAATATTTTAGATGTCAACCGAAAATTCCCCGAAACTATCATATTTCATGGTTATATGCTTATCGTCGGCACTGGGTGGGCCGTGACTCATGCAGTATATATCGAGCGACAGAATCAGTAGATTCCACTACTGATACGACGCCCAATGAGACATTCTGCTATAAACTCCATAGCCAGAGGTCGAATACTGGCTGCCAGCATGCCATTGCGTTCATTGGCGGTACGCCATTTCTCAAGACTGTCTTCATCGTCGTTCTTCCACTGGGGCCACAGAAGAGCTGAACCGCTTACGCTAGTTGCATCTACAGATCCATTTAAACCACGAACGTTTACTTCATCTACTAGTCCTCCTATAGAAGTGAAGTCTTGCCAGCTGCTAGCTTCTGCTACGGCTCCTGAATTTGTTGGATCTCCACATCTGAAGCTACACAATGTTGTGTGGAGAGATCCAGTGCAGAATATCTATATTGTGAAGAAACCGTGGAACGATGCGGTGCTAACGGCAATGGTTCAATTTATCAATTTCATTCACAACGACTATCCAAGTCTTAATGTCATTGTGTCCCCGGACGTTGCTGACGAGCTTAAGACTGAGTACCAGAAGCAGTCGGTGCCTAAAACCCGTATACTCTATACGGGATCGGTTGAAGAAATTGTTGCTAAAACAGATTTAATTGTTACTCTTGGTGGTGATGGAACTACACTTCGGGCGGTGCTGGCCTTTCTGAATTCCAGGGTACCTCCAGTGCTCAGTTTTGCATTGGGTACTCTAGGGTTCCTCTTGCCATTTGACTTTGCTCACCACAAAAGAGTCTTTCAGACAGTCTATGAGTCAAGGTCAAAGGCACTTCACAGAACAAGACTCGAGTGCCATGTTGTGCGTCGTAAAGAAAGCGAAGAACGAGAAAGGGCCGGCAAGAAACCAGAACAGGTTCGTCGCTATGAACTCCAGCATTACAAACAGCATCATAATGCCACTATGCTCCATGCCATGAATGATGTTTCGTTGCATAGAGGGTCTCAGCCCAACTTGGTGCTGTTGGACATTTATATTGATAGCGAGTTTCTCACCACCACTACTGCTGATGGTCTCGTCTTTGCATCTCCTACTGGCTCCACGGCTTACTCGCTTTCATCAGGCGGGTCAATTGTGAACCCATTGGTACCATGTATACTACTTACGCCTGTGTGCCCGAGATCGCTTTCGTTTAGACCTCTCATTCTACCAACTACATCGCATATAATGGTCAAGCTACCTGTGACAAACCGGAACAGCCTGATCAACCTCAACATTGACGGTATTCCGCAGGCGGAGCTTCATCCAGGAGACGAATTGCATTTGGTCAGTGAAAACGGAACAATTTACATCCCTGGCAAACACCAGCCACCACATACTTTGGCTGCAAAACAAGGATTCGACGACCTTTTAGAGCCAGGAGCTATGACGATCAAGGAGAACCCAAGTAAAGGAATTTATTGCATTGCCAAGACGGAAAACGATTGGACAAAGGGAATCAACGAACTTTTAGGATTCAATAAGTCGTTCAAGGGAAAGATGAAGATCTAACAGATGAGATAGATAACGCCGTTTCTAGCGGTAGCCAATAAAGGTAAGGCCTTACTTGTATAAATAGAGAATTAAATCCAAGGCGCCATCCATAATGTGGCCCCCTTCTGCAACAACATTTTGACAAGATGTAAAGTTCTGGGGTACAGTTTGACAGATAAGCGAGGGAGATCTACAAAGGGTCAGCGTTGGACAGTGATAAGTGCACATGGCAGGGACAAAAAAGAAAAGAAACGGAGCGAGTCAAATAAGGTGCGCAGATCTTGTGAAAAAATAAGAGGAAACAATGGCGCCGAAAGATTCTGGAATTGTTGCTATTTGGGATAAACAGGTGGCTGGCGTATGCGGTGGTGGGGCGTGAAAAATGTCACGCGACAAAGCTCACGTGACCAAAAGTATGCATGTTTTACACTATTTTCGAAGGCTCGGCAGTGACCGATTCGACGAGACCCAATACCCAAATGCTCGCGCCCGCGCCCGCACCCTTACCCCTAGTGAGCATGGCGTGGCCGTTGTCACCCCTATTGCCCATTAAAGCAACGTGGGGTGCCGAGCATGGGGTGCACAGGATAAGGTGCAAAAACAAAAAAAAAAAAAAAGGTGTGAACGCGGTGAGCCGGGACCAAACCCCACTAACCATCATGTGATGGCAAAAACACCCACCCAAAAAGTCGAAATACCCTTACATTTCCTTAAGTTCCCCTGCCACCTGAAATTTCGCTTTATGACGTGCTGACAGTAGCGCACGCTGCATACCCGAAAATAGCCGCATTTGCGACTTTCCGAGGCCGCCTGGAGTACGCAGCAGCCATGGAAACATGAGAGAGTTGGTGCCGGCAGCGCGGCTCGAGCCACTCGTTTAAAACAGCAAAGGTGGCACTTGTCGATACACAATCTGCCATTAAGCCTTTTGGGGTGAATGGGAGAGGAGAAGATAATGGGGAAAATGAACGTCGGCATTTATTGTGACGATGACATTTGCATTCTTTCTTTTTTTTTTTTTATAGATTTGATTCCTATTTTGTTACTTCTCTCGTTCTTTACCTGATATCTCTAAATGATCCAACGGTCCAAAGCCCAAGCCATTGTCAAGAAACAACCGCCCCTTGGCTCTTTCCTTTTTTGGACGTTTCAGTATCTCAAAAACCCACCACCCACTTGCTCACCAAAATTCCTCCCAAAAAACGCTGGGTATTCTTTCTGCCTGGGCCCTTTTTTCCATTGCTTCGGCCTGTTTTTCTGTTATTTTTTCTGGCCCGCACCTTCGCTCGAGTTTAGCTGCATTGGCTTTTTCGTCCATTCTTTGTTCATTCTTTTTTGTGTCCTCACGCATTATTTGCCTGCCTGGCAGGACAATTTTTTTTTTTTTTTTTTTTTTTTTTTTTGGCCTTTTTCGCTACTGAACTAATCTTCTGTGGCCTCCTCACTCTGACAAAACTTACACTTCTTTTTTTTTCCTCCCCTCACCCACATCACCAACTTGCCAGAAGGACCCTTTTTCAACCCTTTCGAGGCTATTCTCGCAATTTTCGCCATCCATAATTGTTCTTAAGACTTTCGAATTATTGGTCTTTTTTTATTATTCGAATCTCCGCCCTTTTCTCCCGGTCCTGTCCCTTCATTTTCATTACTTCAACTAGCCGCCAGCGCTACCAACTAATTTCCCTTCCATCCGCCTGATGTCACTTCCCGTGCAAATGGCAATGAAACTGTCCAATGGCGTCAACCCTTCTCCAATCATGCTTCCGCTCCAGCAGCAGCAGATGCAAATGATGCCCCAGGCCCACGCCCACGCTGCTCAAGCTCAAGCCCACGCTCAAGCTCAGGCTCAGGCTCAAGCTCAGGCCCACGCCCATGCCCACGCCCAGAACCAGGCTCTTGCAGCTCAGCAACAGCAGCAACAGCAGCAGCACCAACAACAACTGCAGCTGCTGCAGCCTCCCCAACAACAGGCTCAGCCGCTCCAGAATGGTGAACGTTCCATTCTTTCCGAAACAACTTCCCAAACCTGGCTTGCCGTTGGTTCCTTGGCTGAATCGCTCGGTGACTTGGAGAAAGCTCTGCTGGCTTATGATGCTGCCTTGAGACATAACCCCAACAATCCAGAGGGTCTTATTCGTATGGCTAACATTTACAGATCTAGAGACCATTTCTTGAAGGCTGCTGAGCTTTACGAGCAGGCTCTTTCGTTTAACAACGAGAATGGTGACACTTGGGGTCTTTTGGGTCACTGTTACCTTATGATGGACGACTTGCAGCGTGCTTACGCCGCCTACCAAAGAGCTCTCTACTTCTTGGACAATCCTAACGTTCCTAAGTTGTGGCACGGTATTGGTATCTTGTATGACCGTTACGGTTCTTTGGAGTATGCCGAAGAGGCCTTTGTTCGTGTGTTGGACTTGGATCCAAACTTCGACAAGTCCAATGAGATTTACTTCCGTCTCGGTATTATTTATAAGCACCAAGGTATGCTTCCTTCTGCTTTGGAGTGTTTCCAATACATCTTGTCCAACCCCCCTCATCCATTGACACAACCTGATGTCTGGTTCCAGATCGGTTCGGTTCTTGAACAGCAGAAGAACTGGAATGGTGCTAAAGAAGCTTACGAGAAGGTCTTGGAAGTCAACCCTAACCATGCTAAGGTCTTGCAACAATTGGGTTGCTTGTACTCTCAAGCCGAGTCTGCAACCTCTCCCGGTGAACAGGCACAGGGTGCCCAGGGCCAACAGCCTTTCCAGCAAGATCTCAATATTGCTCTCAAGTACCTTACTCAGTCTATTGAAATTGATGCTGGTGATGCTCACTCGTGGTATTACTTGGGCCGTGTCCACATGATTCGTGGTGACTTCAATGCTGCCTACGAGGCTTTCCAACAGGCTGTTAACCGTGATGCTAGAAACCCAACCTTCTGGTGCTCCATTGGTGTTCTTTATTACCAGATCTCCCAATACCGTGATGCTCTTGATGCATACACGAGGGCAATCCGTTTGAACCCATACATCTCCGAAGTTTGGTACGACTTGGGTACCTTGTATGAGACTTGCAACAACCAAATCAGCGACGCCTTAGATGCTTATCGCCAGGCCGAGCGTTTGGATCCTGGCAATCCTCATATCAAGGCTCGTTTGGAGCAGTTGATCAAGTATCAGCAAGATGGAAACACCCATCCTCCTCAGCCTCCACCAGTGAACCAACAACCTCGTTTACCGCAAGGTATGGTTTTGGAGAGCACGCAACCTCAACAGCCTCAGCAGCCTCCTGCTCCTCAGCAGTTCTCTCAAGGACCACCTCCACCACCTCCTCAGCTCCTGCAAGGCCAACGTCCTCCACAGCAACCGGTAGGATTCCCTGGTCAGGGTATTCAGCCACATCACCAGGCTCCTCCACAGCAGCAACAACCCCAACAACCACAACCCCAACAGCAACAGCACCAACAACAGCAACTGCCGTATCAGGTTGGTAGACCTCAACTCGGATCGCAGCCTCCTCATCTCCAACAGTCAGGCCAGCCGCTTCCGCATCAACAGCTTCCTCAACCGCAAGCTCCTCAAGGCGCTCCTCAATTTCCCGGACATCAAAGTAACCCTTCACTGCAAATAGCTACGCCACAGCATCAGCCCCAACCGTTAAATCAGCTTCCTCCTGTTAGCGGAGTGGGCGAGCATGCTGGACAACATGTTGGATCTTCCACCCAATCTCCTGCTTCTGCTGCGACGCTTCCTCCAGTTCAATCCCGTCAAGATACTAGAGAACAGACTCCAGCTCATCCATCTGCCGAGTCGAGAACAGGTGAGCAGACTGCTTCGGAGCCATCAAAACAGGCTACTCCAATGGATGTTGAGAATTCTGCAGCACCAGCTCCAACTGAGACTAATGGATCCCTCAAACACGATCTAGAAGAGAAAGCTGATGATAAAACATTGAAGAAGCCTTCTGTTTCCAAGGGCAACACTCCACAGCCCAATGACGCTAATAGCCAACAAAACGGTGCTCCAGCTAGTGCGCGTCCGGAACAAGCAAGAGAGCCAGAGAAGCCTTCTGAACCAGTTGCTGCAACGAAACCTCCAGGCCCAGCTTCTGCGCCAGGTCCCGGAGTTAATCCTCAACCTATAGTGACTGGGGAGACGTCTTCAAGTAACTCTACTGCTCCTCCCAAGTTTTCTAGCGCCGTGACGGAAAACGAAAAGAAGGAAGAAAACGAAAAAGACAATGAGAACGATGAAGAGGATGAAGAAAAAAAGAATGAGCCTGTTGAGCCACCTTTGCGTAAGGTGGAAGAAGACGAAAACTACGATGACGAGTAATGATGTCGCTATGGACTTTCCCTGCTTACCGTCAAGTGACGGTTTGAACTTTGTGTATTATGTACGATTAACCTCTGTTAAACATTTACTGGTTAAATGCTCCTGGAACAGACGCCGTTTGTGTCGGCGTTGGTGATGTAGTTGTACTTGGTCTTCTTTCTCTTGATGTGACAATGGTCATGTTGGATAAGTGGCCTGCTTTATGGGCACTCAAATATAGGTTAAACATGTCTTTGAGGAAGGTTACTCCAAACATACCTATAAGGTTAGCCAAGAGAATCAATTTTGTCTTCGGAACATGCTGGAACCAAGACGACCTCAGAAGCATTGTAAGTATTATTCTGCCAACATCAGCCGCAAGGAAGGGCCATAGGAAGGTAGTCACACCAGTGACGACTCTCAGGTTTACGAGTAACGACGACGAATAGTCGTTCTTTAGGCACGCAAGAGATTTGAACAGCCAAGATTGAACCTTAAGCTTGATCCAACGCCATGCAAAGTCATCTTTGAATATAAGCAGCGATGTGAGAAGCTTGTGCTTCAAGGCTGTTATCACCGGTGACGTTGAACCGACAAAATTAGAGTTACGCTTCGCCTTTCTGACCTTGTCCCGCAATTCAAAATGAAGCTTTCCTAAACGATTCTCGATGGTTTCGTACCTTGCAAGCTCACTTTCACTGAGTGAGTTAGCAATGCTCTTTGGACGCACAGCCATAGAAAGATCGAAATGGCGCTTGTTAACCGTGAGACGGAACAACAAGTCATAAAGCCATCTTGCAGGCACCATAGACCCAATCATAATATTAGGATCCCACCAGTTGATGCCTTTGGTAAGACCAGTCCAGCCAAGCAAACCCAAAGAGCGGGATCTCCATGCGGAAACAAGACCTTGCTTGACGTTAGCATACAAGCTTTTGGCAAGCATATGATTACCCAAAGAAGAAACGTATTGGCAAACAAGGAACTCATTGAATACATCTGTAAGCATCGACAGGGCTGAAGTATTGAAGATGCATCCGAATATCGAGGAGAAACGCATCCGGAACAAGACTAGTGGTAGTAAAGGCACAAGCTGAAAGCGGAAGTGACTCAAGACATTAATATCCCATTCCATACGGTCCGCCAGAGGTACCGCCGTACTCAAAGATGATCCTGGCGCTGGTGGTGTTTTCTTTCGAAGCAAGGAGACCAAAATTGATTCTGGAATCATTACCTCAAGCATGTTCACACCACAACGAGTGAGACCAGCATATCCTACCGTCACTATTCCAATGGCAGCTCCCGATACACCCATAAAGACACCCAGGTACAGAACCATGTCTTTGATAGATGATCTGACTAAACTGTTGAGTGCAAGGAGCGACGAATGAGACATCTTGAAGACGATTTTGTTTTTACATTGAGGGCAATCTGTGGAAAGCATGATGGAGGTGTTGTCACCAAGACCAACCATTTCTGAAGAAGGCGTGTAGACATATGATTCGGTGCCAAACTGGACAAGAAGGCTACCCCAGCGGGAGTTGAAGTTAAACATGCCCTGGTCGTCTAGGTCGTCTTCATCAACAGGTGGAAATACACCCACATCGCCATTTCTCCTGTTTCCATTATCACTTCCATTATCACTATTAGTTGGAGTTGGCGCCCGGGCTCTTCTATTAACTCCCTGGGTTTCATCCCTAAACGTTCTAGTCACCTTAGAAGGTGGAAGCGAGTTGAACCACTCCATAAGGCACATCTTGTGAACCACCAAGGAACAAGTGGAACATGGCATAATAAGGTCCTCAGCATCTTTTGTAGTGCCAAACGATGGGATTTCCGTATCGTCGCCTAGACAAAGGGCACAAATGGAAGTCATGGCGAAAGAAGGTAGTAGGAAATCTGGGGAAGTGACATGAGATTTCGCACTCACCTGAGAGAAGTATGGGTGGAGTGATAGAGAGAGAAGATTTGATGTTTGGGTGAAAAAGAGGAATTTGGCATTCTATCAGATCAAGTTCGATCTTAAGGATTTTGGTTTTAAAAGGTTTGTTGGGTACCTGGTGGTTGGGCGGAGGCCAGTGGTTTGTTGAGTACTGGACCGGAACTAATGGGACCGAGGTAGTCAGGGTGGGCGATAAGCTCGGTCTTAAGTAGTGGGGGTTTTGAGGCTACCAAATGGAATAGAGGGTGGAGAAAAGCAGGGAAAATAGATTGGTCGGTTTTTGTAATGAGTGGAACCAGAGTCTTAGTTGACTCTGTTGAAGCTGCCATGTATGGTGGTTCCGCAGATTTGCAGCCATTTGTATGGACCGAGGAGGAAATGTGATAGAAGGTGAGATGGGGATAAAGGACCGATTTTTCGTTTATTTGAAGGTTAATGTAGTCTGGAGTTGTAAGGAGATGATTTTTCATGCTGACAAGTAATGATGGGGGTTTAGACCGAGTCTCGGTAAGTTTGTCAGTGTGGTCGTGAGACCAAGAAACAGCTATCTGGAAGTCTAATACACTTTTGGAGTAGGGTCTGGGAGATAAACTTCTGAAAACAAAAGCAATTATGTCGAGTTTGTGACAATACGTAGGGAAACTTCTAGATAACGTTAAGCTGGGTTTACATGCTGTCTGCTAGCGTGAACGACCAAGCTAGCTTACGATAAGCTAGAATAGAAGTAAGGGAGGCACTGAATTACACTAAAAATTCAGTTTAATGCCTTCTAGAGGTTCCTAAATGTCCTCAAGAGAACTCCCTAGATCACAAACTGTCAAATGGTTTTTCATTCGTATATTCGTCGGGCCACGGGCCCTTTTATAGTTTTAACGAGCTCCCCGATGGTAACGTTCTGAATCTACTCAAAGGCCCTTTTGGCCACATCAATTCCAGCAGCAAAGTGGTACAACCTGGCATCCACAACGCAGCCTTCCTTCTTGCACACATCCTCAAGTCCCTTCAAAAGATCGTTAATTGGCAACGTGAACACCTCAATGAACTCTCCTTCGTCGTTCTGGGGCTGAGGGTTCTGGTTACGTGGATCTTCCATGTCCACATCCACGGTGACTAAAGCCATATTAGCGTTCGTAAGGCCTGGGTCACTAAACAAGGTAATGTTATTATGAGAACCACTGGTTGTCTTTCCGTGATAGCCAGTCTCTTCAATCAACTCTCTCTCAGCAGTAGCCTCCACCGACTCATTAGGGTCAATGAGACCAGCAGGCATTTCAATCACCACCTTCTCACATGGAGGTCTGAATTGCTTAACAAGCACAAGGTCACTTGGATGTCCCTTCTTCTTAAGAAGAGCAAAGATAGACACAGCATCCAAACCAGTAGTTTCAGTTCTCGTCGTTCTCACAGCCATTTCCCAAACCCTTTCCTTGCCAGCGGGATCAATCCAGTTGATCTTTCTGGTCTGGATCCACTTGCCCTGGTCCAAAGCCTCTACGGACTTGATCTTGGCGTTGTAAGGGGAATTGCTCATTCTAGTAGTACTTAGTGGGCGGGAAAGTCTGTTGATATGGGTTTTGCAAGCACTTGCGATCCTTTTCATACAAATGTGGTACACAGAAAGTTGCTCCTTGAGTAGTGGTACTGGCACCGGTATCGCACTAACTGTACCCAGTGCAAAAACCCAAAGCTACTCACCTTAACATAGCTCTTCTGACTAGCCCAATATGGTTGACGACACAGATGCCATCAAGGCGAAAATCCAGGACCATTTGGTGTCACTGGGCAATTACGAGATAATATCCAAGCATCTTAAACTCAAATTGTATGAGGCAGGCTGGTTTGACGAGGTTTCTCAGATCGCTAGTAAAGAGCTTCAGAAACCTGGACAAGAAGGGACGAACTTTGAGAGTTTGTATGAGTTCTTGAGGCCAAAGGCTGAAGAAAAGGTTCCAGAGTCGGTGAAGGACGATGTTTTGAATAGAATCAAGGAGTACCTTGACGACGCGATTCAATAGAGATGCGGTTGATGTTTGGATCTGAGAATTCCACTACTATGGAAGCAACTGGACATTATGGTGTTAAGTGATCTGAAGCGGTAGATCTAATTATATCTGCTTTGAGTTTGATTGACAAATATGTCGTGTCCCAGCGTTGTTGTCTTATAGAGTGTTGCTTGACGATAATATGTGACAGAGAGCGATATGAAGACCGCCATCGGGTCATGTCTGAAGACTTTCATTTGAAGATTGAGCTTGCTTTGTGGCCCAAATGAACGTTCTAAGTTGGCAAAGGCAATACATAGTCAAATTTCATGGCTCGTGATACATCAAACGGTGATGCTATAATGAGTCAGTGGAACAATTCAGGGCACTTCTTTGACTTAAAATCAGACCTTCAGTCCATATTCAATTGCCATCAGTCCTGAGTCACAGCTTATCTTTCCATGTTTACCTGCTTCCAATGGAAGACCTTACATTGCGTTGACATATGATGCTACCGATTCCGGCCTAGCCGGCAATGTTTCAAGCCTACTCATATACTGGCTTTTGCATAATTACATAACCAAAATGCATTCATTATCTACTGGACACACGAGTATCTTCTATAAGTATCTCTACGACTTCCGTTCTATCAAATCTAGCATTCTGACTCTGACAGAGCACCAAAACACGCCCATTTCATACCAATTCTTTCTTACTTCTCTTCAAAAAACCCAAACTAGTAAACCATGACCATCCACCAATTCAATATTAATTCCCTAAACTCCGATCCCGTCACCCAGCTTAAACCCTCTACTGCTCACTATCTAGTCCATCTATTGAAGTCGCATTTTTGCAACCAATCCTAGCTCCACCTTTAACTTGCAGCTACCGATGACCAGAACCAAAACGTGCCCACAAGGAAAAATCCAAAAACCACTAACATTACGAAAAACCTTGCAAACTCCTAAACACCTTCACACACTTTCTCCTCCTAATTCCTCCAAATTACCCAATTTCACTGGACCAGTAAACAGTGAAAGAGAGAAGCTGCCTCGAGCACACCCGTGCACCGCGCACGCATCCAATCAGTTTGCTCTAATATGTGCTGATTGCAACTCGCAAAAAAAAAAAAACCTACTGCCTAAACCAACACCGTTTCTTCATTACACCTTTTTCTCATAACAATGTTGCCGGTTGCTAGAAAATCGCTTGCAACGATTCCCAAAGCATGGGCTCTCGGAGCTGTCCGCAGCCAAGCCCTCCGCATGGCCTCCACTAAACAGATCGGTGGAGGAGGTGTCCCAGCTAAGGATTTGACACCAAGAAAGTTGGAAACCGACTTCACACTCATGTCTGAGAAAAATGCATCTTCGCCGGTCGATTACGCCTTGACGTCGCTCGACGCCATTGCCATGTGGGCGAGAAAGTCTTCTTTCTGGCCTGTCACTTTCGGATTGGCTTGTTGTGCCGTCGAGATGATGCATGTTTCCGCTCCAAGATACGATCAGGATAGATTGGGTATTATTTTCCGTGCCTCGCCACGTCAGTCGGATATTATGATTGTGGCCGGTACCGTCACCAACAAGATGGCTCCAGCATTGAGACAGGTGTATGACCAGATGTCTGACCCTAGATGGGTTATTTCTATGGGCTCTTGCGCCAACGGTGGTGGCTACTACCATTACTCCTACTCTGTGGTGAGAGGTTGCGACCGTCTCATTCCAGTTGACATTTACGTGCCTGGTTGCCCACCTACTGCTGAAGCATTGATGTACGGTGTTTTCCAGTTGCAGAAAAAGATGATGAAGACCAGAATCACCCGTATGTGGTACAGAAACTAATCATGTGGCTCTCTTCTGCCACGGCATGACATGTGCCTTGTATACTATAGCCTTGGCTGCTTTGCATGGCAATACTTGTATTGCTAATATATATTCATATCCGAGATGAGTGTAGGGAGTTGTGACTTTTTAGAGGCCTGATTGAAAATGTAGGCAATATGTCTAGAAGGCTCAATAGAAAAGAACGAGGAATCATATTTCCTGTTACTACGGCTTCTACAATTCGGTTTCTCTGATGGTTTAGGACCATACCTATGGTTCATAACCCACCGATCGGAGTTGCAACAGAAACAGCAATACCATTCGCTGTTCTTCCCTACCGTTATCAAAGCATTGAGAGTGTATGATATCAACAGTATTACGATATTTGGAGCCGTCTAACGAAGTATCCTGTTAGCTCGGCTTGCTTGACAGATGTGTGGTCACGAGTCGTCTTCCATGTAAACCGAAGTTCCAGGGTAATAACAATGGGGACTACATTAAGCATTTGCCACCCGCCTGATGGAGAACAGAGGCTTTTGATAGATGGCTTCGGAAGCCCGATGCTCCACTTTCTGGTATCTCTTTCCTATACCAAGAGCCACGGAACATTAGAGGCTTCGACCCGAACAAACCAACCAGAAGGGTCTAGAAGGTTTCTATGGTACTACGGTACTTGCTTTATCGTTTCCTTGGCTGTATGGTACCATTTGCTGTTTGATGGAGGATGGATCAATGTAGAACTGAAAGCACCATTATCTACGTCAGTGATGGATGCCCACGATCCCGTCCTGGGAACAACCTTCCACTACCAGGCCCTGTCTACTCTAAATTTCAACATTCATTTCAGCTTCCAAAGTATTCATTCCCTGAATTTCATGGTTCACTTCATACCATCAGTTAGCAACTGTAAGCGGTGCACAGAAATGGGTGCAAAATGAGAACCCAGTAGTAGGACCCAGTAGTAGAAGCCAACCACAACAGAAAGAATACAAAATAATATTAAAAAATAATATTAGATAATTAGAGAAACCACCTCTTTATCAACCAGTATCATCGCAGAAATTCCTTAGACTACAATTCAACCATTCCTGTAAATGCTGTCTCCTCTCTTCCTTATCAGTGCCACTTTGTGTGGCTGTCTCAGGTCGAGACCACACGCCCAAGTGAGCCTCAGCAGATCCTCTCAAAACGTCAAACAACGAGCAAACTCACCAGTACCATCAAAATATAAAAGATTTAATTTACCACCAAAACACCCAAACATCCTTAAAACCAACCTCTATCCTTTCAAATCACCATGTAATGCAAGATGGCCCATGCTTCCTTCAACGGCTGCTCGGTGTTCCATCCCCAGCTTATGTGAGGCGCACTTAGACTTCTTTTTTCGGTCATAACTTACATTTCCTAGAACGGTGCGCCTGATGGGAATAACGCAATATGATTGGCCCAAAGCATCTTTTTCTCCCCTTGCTCGTTTTTCGCCTCCCTCGCAATTTCTCTCGCTCCCTGCCTCCCTGCGCCCCCGGCCCACCTGCTCGTTAATTTCCTTTTCTCTCTCCTACTTCTTCTTCCTCCACATCAACAAGCAACTATGGCCAGAACAAAGCAGACAGCCAGAAAGTCTACCGGTGGTAAAGCCCCAAGAAAGCAGTTGGCCTCCAAGGCCGCCAGAAAGTCCGCCCCAGTTTCGGGTGGTGTCAAGAAGCCTCACAGATATAAGCCAGGTACCGTGGCCTTGAGAGAAATCAGAAGATTCCAGAAGTCCACTGACCTTTTGATCAGAAAGTTGCCTTTCCAGAGATTGGTTAGAGAAATTGCCCAGGACTTCAAGTCCGACTTGAGATTCCAGTCCTCTGCTATTGGTGCTCTTCAGGAAGCCGTTGAAGCCTACTTGGTCTCCTTGTTCGAGGACACCAACTTGTGTGCTATCCACGCCAAGAGAGTCACTATCCAGAAGAAGGACATCCAGTTGGCCAGAAGATTGAGAGGCGAGAGATCTTAAGCTTGTCTTGTCCCTCTCTACTTTTATATCTCTCTAGTTTATGTTACAGTTTAGTTATGTTGGTTTAATGATATTTGTTCAGAAACAAAGGCAAAGCGTAGAACTACAGTAATAATTTTTTTTCTTCTTTATTTTCTTATTCAGTTTCTTTGACGGGTCCAGCCCAAGCTACATTAGCAGCATTCTTGTGGTTTTAGTAGGAACCAGCCCTCTCTCATTCTCTCATGTCGCATCTGCTTCTCCAGCAAGACAGACGCCTCAGGTCGGCTGCTCTCTGTTAGATGGTTTATCATTCTTGCTACTAGCAGTCGTTGGCGGCGTTCCAGCAGCTGCTGGCGCATCGATATTGAGCTTGTCAAATGTAGATGTCAAGTTATCGGGATTGAAGTACCCCAGCTCGGAAGACTCTTGATGACCTTCCAGCCCGCCTTGTGTCGTAGTTGTATCAGCTGAAGTGTATTCTTGCTCTTCGCCATTAACACCATGCTCTGGAACATCGTACGAAGGTGCTCCCATAGGGTGCATCTGTGGTATTCCCATGGGCACTGGTGGATAACCAGGCGAACTACCTGGAATTGTGTTCTGTGGCGGTGGTGGCGGTGGTGGGTATCCGGCAGCAGCAGCGGCAGCGGCAGCGTAGGCAGATGCTGGATCCATTCCCATGGACATTGCAGCTGCCGCTTGCATCTGTGCCACATGGGCAAACTGTTGTCTTTGATGATGATACTTCTTGTTGTTAGGAGAGACTCTACCCCAGCCTAGACGGACACGGTTGCCACCAATAATAAAACCTTCCATGGCCAGAATAGCCTCTTCAGCCTCCTCTCTGGTGGAGTACTTGAGGAAGCCGCAATTCTTTCCTTGAGGGATTTTGATTTGTTGAATAACGCCAAACGGCATGAATAGCGTAAGAAGCGTCTGCTCACTGACATCAGACGAAAGCCCACCTACAAAAACAGTGGTATTAGCAGGGTCGGTGTATGCTTGACCCTGAGAAGACATACTCTGGGGAATGCCATAACCCAAATCACTAGAGCTCTTGTCCCCCATCATCGGCAGAGTGTAGTAGTATCCTGATGATCCTGGTGGACCTGGTGGAGCTCCATGAACAGGAGCATTGGGTCCAGGACCCATGTACATGTAGTCTTGCTGTTGATCCAAGTAAGGTGTCGTAGCAGCCAAATCATTGTTTCTAAAATCAGGTTTAGGCGACCTTGATGGCATGGATGCGTTTCTTGGAGTTGCCAAAGCGACTCTCAATGGTCTGCCACCGAACCAAGCACCATTCATCTCCACGAGAGCACGTCTACGTTCGGCATCGTCTGTAAAGCGGACAAAGCCAAAACACCGTGACTTTCCTGAGACTGGATCGGTCATGACACGGACCGTTTTAATGGAATTGGGGAACAGCTTCTGGAAGAACAGAAGAAGGTGGGCCTCAGTTGTAGAAGCACTCAAATCACCTACAAAGAGCGAATACTCTGGAGAGTGAACAATAGGTGCCAGAAGAGTGGCTCCTGAAGCCCAATTCAACCTAAAGTACTTCTTTTGGTTATCCGGGTTATTTGGGAAATGACGCTGTGAAGGCATTGCGATATCTGGGAGTAGCTGGCCATTGAGAGTCAAAGCCTGCTGTGCATCATCATATGTTTCAAACTCGACGAAGCAATACCCCAGATGAGTCAAGCCCATGTATGGAGACTCGGGCTTTGGATTCTTGGGCTTGATGACCTTGACATTTACCTTCTTGCGCAAAATCTGCCACCACAAATCAACAATGGCAGATTCATCAAGCCAAGTATCTAAATCACCCATCCAAAGGGTTCTGGGTTGTTCCTGTGGAGCCACGTTGGGCTCTGCCTCTGTCTCAGAGGCAACAGTGGATTGCTGTGTGGACATGGGAGGTTTTGGCACGGAATACGAAGAAAGCATTTCTTGTTCTTGTTGGTGTTGTTGGGAGGCCGTACTAGAAACAGCAGTCGGGTCGACCAAAAGCGGTTCTTCTTGTTCGTAAGACATGGCAATATGAAAGATGAAGCAAACAGGTGATCAGTAAGGGAAGATGAAAAAATGAAGGCAACCAGAACTCCAAACAAAGAAAGCAACAAAGGGAAAAACGCCGGAACTGCCCGAAAATGTGAATTGAGTTTATAGGAACACCAGAAATGCACAATATAAGTGTTGGTATAGTTCAACAAGGGAAGACGGGTAGTAGTGGTATATGTAGTTAAGGTGAGAGAGGTCCTGGATTAAGTGAGTATTGCCGTGAGGATGCCACGCTGCAGCAAGAGGCGATACAGAGGGGAGTGAAAGGGGAAAGTAGAGAAGAGAAATGATGGATATTTTGCTAGCAAATTGAAACGTGTCTTTTTGATAATGGTTTGAGCTTCTGGGCCTTCCGTTTCTCGGCTTCGGTGTTGGTTTCGCAGTGCTGAGTGTGGAATGTGGAGCAGAATGATCACGAAGATAGGAGAAGCGATGAGCAGTTGAGGCAATTCGGAAGGTAAAGGCGGCGTTTGTCTCTTTATTGCTTTGGTGTGTTTTTTGGTGTTTTAGGCAACGAGTGGGATTGGCGGCGTTTTGTGCATGGAGATGTAGGTCTATGCTTTCCCTAAGGAGGACTAAAGTGAGTGACTGGAAGGAGGCGTTGATCAAATAGCCATTACGAGTGTTCCGTGTGTGTGAGGTGATGTCTTTTGCAAGTTTGGGTTGTTTTTGCTGTTTCGGTGACTTCTCATTGAACTCCGAAGTTGCATTGTCATGCCAGGGGAATTTGAGGCTATAACGGTCGGAGTTGGTAGGGTTTACGAAGATGTTAAGTTTACGATATTTGTGATACGTAGCTGGTAATATTGGCGTCTACCGAGGTGTTTAAGGCTAAGATAATGCCCCGTTGGTCTTGGTATGGTGGGACGGGTCAGCGATGGGGTTGGCTGAGAGGCATTGGGGGTGTAGAGCATGGAAGGCTTCGTTTGTACTGTTCTAAAGGACTGGAATGGTAAGAATCGGCTAGTTTGCTAACTTTAATGGTTTCTTTTCATTACGAAGGTCAGGTAATGAGTAGTCAAAGGGATATCTAATTAGTCTTCATAATTAGAGGCCACGGGATGTGTTTCTTCACCTTCGTGACTTGAATTTAATGACATAACCAGTAAAAAGCCCAAAAATACCACTTAATGAAAACAGTCCCAAGTTCTTTAGACGTATATTGCCCAGTCCAGTTATTAGTTGGGATATACTACCTTTCTGTGAAGTAACAGTCTTCGTGGAAGCCCACGGCCAGCTCTTAAATGGAATATGGCACCCCCTCATCCTAACCATCTACAAATCAAAGAATCACAAGTTTTCTTTTCCCATTCCACCAAGGCTTCTTCCCATCTTATCACTCTCTACAGCGTTTTGCAGCCATTCGCAGCCTCACCATTACCCCATAACAACACACGTAGTCCACCTTCCAGCCACCCAACCAAAAAATCCTATTTTCTTATTCATTTCAAAACCCAGCCCTTACCTCCATTTCAACGAACCTTTTCTTTACATCTCTTTCTTAGTATTCCCTCTCATGTATGGCTGCTCTCGCTTAGCGTCCCGTTGCACGTCTCCATACAACCCGCACTCAAAACATAAACAAACACCATCACCGAGTCCAACACTCATGTCTGAAGACAACGTCCTGCAACTGTCAACACAGAACGGGTCACGACGCTCTGTTAGAGAAAATAACTTTCCCAATCCTAGAAATACGGGAATGAGTGGTCACTCTGGCTCGCCTAATCTGCCTCCTCATTCGGCCTCTCTGGATCATCTTGATCTCAGATCAACTCCTCAATTGGACGTGCCGTTGGCCCCTGAGTCGGGCGCTAAGAGCACTTATAAGGAGCTGCTTCGGTATTTTCCCAATTCGGGCTTTTTGGGGGAGAGTAGTACTGTTGGCGTTTCAGTGCCAAACACATTTAAGCATAAGAAGCATCCTAACGCCAAAACAAAAGATCGTATAGGCATGGCTCCCGTGGACGAGTCCAATGATTCCGTTAAAGATTCAGCTAATTCACAACCGGTGAAAACAAGCACCTTGAAGGGTCTTGTTCAACAGGGAACTCAGGAATCTTCAAAGCATAACGAAACGCCGTCATGGATGCCCCAGGTGCTCAGAGAAGAGTGGCTGAAGGGTAACGCTACTGAATTCGAGGACAACGCTCAACCAACTAATGTACCTAATCTTGACTTCTTGGGCGCTCCTGAAGCTAATACTTTCATTCATAACCCTCAGAATTCTCAGGAACAACCCGTCACACCAATGTGGAAACGCATGTCGAAAGATTACATGCTGAACACACGGGCCGAGCCTCTCCAAAGCATATTTCAGTCGAACGACGAGTCCAAGCATTCTTCCAACTTGCATCCCTCCCAATCAAAGTCGATGTCACAGCTCAACGTGAAGAACCAGAATACTTCAAGAAACGGCAACTCGGCGGGCTTCTCATACTCGTCCGCCTTCTCCACTCCTGTCGCCACTAAAGATGGCGATATTCACTTGACACAGCAACAAATGAATCAACTTGAAGATATTCTTGAGAAAGCAAAAGACAAGCCCGATGATTATGAGATAAAAGGTTCTCCACTAAAATTATTTGGCAGCGACTACGACACTTTCACGAAGGTATTTCTTTCTAAGTTTGTGGACAAGGTGCGTTCCACCACGAATAGTGCCCAAAGGACCACGCGTAGTGTTTCCATTCTGCAAGCACCTGTTCCCAAGCTAGAGATTCAAAAGTTCACCAAGGCTGGCGATTACACAGACCAGGATTTCATGAAGAATGCCAATAATGTTTTCGCTCACATCCAACAAAGAGGTTATAAGCCAAATCATTTTTCAAAGGGCTCGGACCATAGCATTAGCTTTCAGCGGTCCATTGAACATAATACTGTGACATCTACGCCAAAGGCTGATAAAGTGAATGACATCGACGTAATCGCTCCACTTGATGAATATTCCTCGTTTTCCACAAACTTTGGAGATAGTTCGAATGACTCACAATTGCATCACGATCCTAAAGATTCCACTAATCATCAGAATGACTACACGTCGTTTGATAGATCGCTCACTTCAAAAAGCAACCCGACTCATACCGAAAGCGGAGCTGATCAGCCTGCTGATAACGTCAGTGTTTATACCTTTGATGATGCAAGTGAAAGCGAATCAAACGGGCCACCTTCAATACCCGAAGAACCCACCTTGGAATATGATGAGCCCCTCGAGAACACTAAGATTAGGTCTCACCAAGGCTCCGATAAACTAGATGTTCCTATCCCACCAAATCAATTCAGTAGTTCAATGTCTTCGGTTAAAAGACACCTGAAGGACACGGACAACCGTATCAACTCCATGGAGAGAGATTTTGATTTTGATGATGAAAGGATTGTTCCTCCAATCGTTTGGAAGAGACCCTCTCGCTTGAAGCTTTCCAAGGAGCAGCAACGAGTGATGCTGAACAGCAATCTCGGCAACCAGATAACAAAAGGTACGGTCAAGCCTGGTAAGTTCCCTGAACAGTATGGAGATATGATATACGATAATCGAAACAACAGATGGGTCTCTAATGACAAAGAGAACGATTATCCAGGAAGTCTCGATTCAATTCTTGATTTGCCCACCGAGTCTCCGCTTACACAGCATGAAGTTGAAAAAGATACAAAAGAGACAAGTATTCTCAAACTGTCTAGAAAGCCGTCTGCGAAAGACAGGAACTTGGAAGTTTCATTTCAAATTCCTGATAGGTCTGTTGAAAGTGTTCGTGAAGACCATGCTGATCCCAATGTCACTAAACTTTCCGACATGGGTGAAGTCACATTCTCGCAAACACACAAACGTCTTGTGTCTTTGGTCACTGGTCTTGCTGATTCTCATTTATGGAACGAGATTGCTTTCATTGACTTGTCCGGTAACCAGCTTGAAAATGTGGAAGGCTTGCAAAACTACCTTCCAAATGCCAAGAGACTTGATTTGGCCAACAACTACATCAGATACCTCAAGGGTCTTCCACTGGACTGCCTTGAACTAAATGTCTCGCAGAACTCCCTTGACGGCATGGCCTCTTTTGCCGAGTTTCACGATTTACAAGTGCTTGATATCCTGGCAAACTCGTTCGAGAATCTAGAGACCCTTCAAGGAAACATCCATATGACGAGACTCGATGCAAGCAATAATATGATCAGGTCGATGGAAGGAGTAAAGAAGTTGAGCGGGCTCACTTATTTGGACCTTTCGCAGAACGGCCTTGGTGGAGAGATTGACTTTTCGCAATACGAACTTCCGAACCTTCAAGAATTGAATTTGTCAGAGAACAAGATCCGTTCAGTCATTGGTATCGAGAACCTACCCAATTTGAGGATCCTCAACTTGAATGAAAACAACTTGACGAACTTGTCGTGTCAGGGATCCCATCCTCATCTTAAGAAGCTTTTATTGAAGTTTAACCGTTTAAGGTCGCTCAACTTGGATCTGTACCCGCTTTTGAGAACCTTGAGAATCGATGGAAACGCACTCTCAAGTATTTCGAATCTTCGGAAGCTCAAATTTTTGCAAGAAGTTTCAGCCAAATGTCAGGATAAAGCCGAGGTCGCCATGAATATTTTCCACGGGTCCCTTGATGCAGTTACCATTGATCTTTCTGGAAATACCTTCGTTTCCAATATGTTCCAAGCTGCAAACTCAGGTTCGATAACGTTGGATCCCTTCATGAATCTCAATCGGTTAAATCTATCCGCTGTTGGTTTGACAAGTATCCCAGATAGCTTTGGTGAAATCTATGCAAATGTCAGAGAGCTCAATTTGAATTTCAATAAGCTCACTGACATCAGTGGTCTTGGTAAATTGAGACGCCTCAAAAGCCTCAATCTCTTGAGCAATAACATCGAAAGAATCGAGATGGTCCTTACCAGCTTGAACAGCTCCCGCAGAACTTTGAAAGTCCTCGATATGAGATTGAACTCCATGAACTTCGAGTTATACCCTTATGTCTTCAATCCCTTGGAACGCGAAGCTACGATTGAAGCAGGTTTGCAGCTCAAAACAGGGCCAATTCAACTTGAAGCATTGGATGATATAGAGAACTTCTCCATCCACTACAATTCATTGATTAAGAGCAAAGAGGAATGGCAATTGCGAGACGAGGATTTCTTGAGAAACTTGCAAGCCAGAAACGGCAGTAACAGGGTTTCTGAGAGAATGAACTACGAGGCAATTCTCATCAACTTCTTTACTCACATGAGAGAGCTCGACGGAAGTACTGTGACATCGTCAAAAAGAGCGCAATTGTTGGAGCGCATTCAAGAACGCGGAAGCGATTGAATCAGTGCGCTTAACGTGGAGTAAGCGGCTTCCATTTCCGTACAGTCTTGACAGGCTATCGCCTAGAAGTCTGTGTTCTTCAAGCATTACTTTTCCTTCGTTGAAATGACTTTGTCGACAAGAATATACATCCAGCGTCCCCCAGATCCTCCCGCGGAGACTACGCATACATTAGTTTCCACATCACCAGCGAACCACTTTGTTGACTGCAGAATCATAAAGGAGCGGCTCCCACATGTCCAAGAGGGCTCAGAGCCTGAGGATTTCGAAAAGGTCTTTGATTGGGTCATGACAGGTACGGAGGTGCCAATTGAGGGTACTCATAAGATCCACTTCAAACATGATATCAATCTGAAGGAAGTTGTGGAGTCTGTGAAAAGCGGTAAGCCAATTGAAGAGTGTAAGGATGAGGAAGATATTGGAGAGTTCGGACCTGTTGAAGGTAGTGAGGACCGCCAGGAAACGGGAATTCTGACCCATCCAGTCACTGGTAAGCTCAACCCGTATGTTGAAATATGGAGGTCATTGGACCCTGACGAGTACACTCCAGACCAGGAGGTCAGAGAGAAGGATAAGCTGGTGAGAAGTGTTGTTTGGGAAGTTGCTCTGCCCGATCATAAAGGCAAATTGGTCAGGCTTGGAAATTGGGTTCAAGGCGTGATTTATTCCTATAAGGAACCAGTCCACAGATTAAGCATCTTGCGCAGTTTCTATAACAACCAAACGCAGAAATGGGAACCACAAATCAAGTATGGCCTTTTGGAATTCCCTAAAACATTTGACCAGCAGGTTGGAGAAGAACTTATCGCTCAAGGAGTCAAGTGGCAGTGTGTGGAGAGTGCTTAGCTGAAACACTGTGGCAGAGCAGTGCAAGGCAACCACAGCGCGTGCGCGACAGCTTTCCCTATTGGGCAGTCTAGCAGACCTGACCCTCTTCATCGCACTATCTTGAACTTGACCGATTTCAAAGCAAAAAAGCGATATCGAGCAAACATGTCCGGAGAGAGCTGGTATGTAGATTAGCTACTGAAAGAGAAGAAAAAGTTTCAAATGTCGTTCATCGTTAACTAACATTAGGTTATTTATTTTCGCTGTTATCATCAACATAGTGAACTTGTTCACTCAGGTGTTTTTCACCATCATGTACTCCGACTTGGAGAGTGACTACATCAACCCAATTGAGTTGTGTAACAAGTTGAACCCTTGGTTCATCCCAGAGGCTTCTGTTCACATCTTCTTGAGTGCTCTTTTCTTGGTCAATGGCTTCTGGTTTGTGTTCTTGTTGAACTTGCCATTGCTCGCATACAACGTCAACAAGTTCCTTAGCAAGAACCACTTGCTTGACGCTACCGAAATCTTCAGAACTTTATCCAGGCACAAGAAGGAGTCGTTCCTTAAGTTAGCTTTCCATTTGGTCATGTTCTTCTTCTACTTGTACAGAATGATTATGGCTTTGGTGTCTGACGAGTAAGCTCGTTCTGACTCAGAAGCTATTGCAAAGAGACAAAGGTAAGGCCAGCGATCTTGTATCAACAAGATACTTGTCATGCTTGTATTTTACATTGTCACATTTCTAAATAACTTTTCCATTCTTCATCAGACAGCCCCAGGCGTCATTAATAAACACAACTTGACTATGTTCTGCTTTCGAGCTTTTTCGCTAGCTCGTCATTTATGATCTGTAGTTGCTGCTGAAGCCCCAGCTGCGGATGATATACTCGAGATACATCTGCAAGCTTTAGCATGACGGTATCACTGAGACTGGTATTTCCTTGGAACGCCTCTGGATTGCCTGTAGCTTCTTTCAAGGCTGCAAGCGCATCAACAGTATTATTGAACTGAGCTTGCTTCTCCTTATGCAAATTATGCTCGTTTCGTAGTCTATTAAGTTGTTCTCCAACATTAGCATGTTCTTTCTTGAGCTCAAGAATATTCTTCCTCATCTCTGTTTTCTGTCGTTGCACCTCCATCACATCATGGCTGATATCCTTGGTAGCAGCATGTATGTCCATTAGGTGACTGATACTGTAGAGTAAATGAGCTTTGAACTCGTACAACACGGCGGATTCGTTGATGATTTCATTCTTCACTGCCTTTGGGCTCGTTTCATCAATGAGCTGCCGAAGAACATCAAGCGTGGTGAGCGTGAAACGTTTATCCCTTGAGCTGGCAGTATGTAGACGCTCAGCGTCCACAGTCAAGGGCTTCTGGCGACCCAGGGCCAGTTTTGTAATCAGATTAGCGGTAGGTTCCGGCTTCGTTTCGCTTGAAAATGTCTGTAGCCCAAGTCCTAACGCACGAAGTGGTTTGGGTATTAGCAGAATGGCGGGCTCAGGGGTATGGTGCTTCCGAAGATCTGGGTTCTCAACAATACGCTTAGACCTTCTGGTAACGGTCATCAGCTTCTTCTCTTGTTCGCCCTTACGAGGCCTGCCTCGTCTTCTTTTCACTGGCTCAACACTCTCCTCCTGTTGTAGCTGCGGGCTCTCCGGTTCAGCCTTGACCGTAGCTTTAGTCTCCTCCTCATAGTCTGGTGTTTGGGAAGCATTAAAGTCTAGCATTGGCGTTGGCGAGAATTCCTTCTCTTCATCTTCGTCGTCCGAACTGAACATCAGCTTCCGTCTATCTCTAGCAGCCTGGTAGTTCTTGCGTGCCTGTGCTTTCGTACTTGATGTTTGTGAATGTCTTCTAAGCTTGGGTAGATCAGTATCTTCAGGCTTTATTAGAGCCGAGTCCAAAGACTCTAGTAGTTTGGTTCGCTTTGAATCCGGCGGGCTGATGGTAGGAACGTCATGGTCAATTTTGCCCTGGACTGGCAACTGTTGTTTGCGTTTCCTAGGAAGCTCTGGGGAAGCCAAGGGAGACTGTTCCGACTTCTCTGGAGACTTGATACTAAAGTCATCAACAGAGTATTTATTTCTAATGTTAGTACAAAATCTATGACTTTCAAGCTCCTCTTACATACCCTGCACCTCGCGTTCGTGCCTCACGACGCTCGTGCTTGTCGTCCATGGATGGTATCAGTGGTTGTGATGTCTCTATGTTTTGGGTGCGAAAGTGTGGTTGTGATGGATTCGATGGTTTTGATGCACCGTGTATTGTGGGAGAGAAGAAGGAAAAATAAGTCAATGGAGGGCTTTCTGGGTTGGTGCAACATAAAAAGTAAGGATTTTTGGCTTATTTTTTGAATTTTACGTTTATTCGGATTTGTTATGGACATTTGTGTTTTGTTAGTGCACGGCATATCTGGTGAGAAAATATGTATGATAAGCATAAATGTAAGAGAAACAGTAGTTTGAGTATATGTTTAATAGAAAAACAAAAATAAACAATAGTTACATCAAGGAATTTTTTTGCTTGCTAAAACGACAAGGAAACTATTCCTGGCAAAAGAAGAAAGAAAGCTCTTTTGAAGCCTTACGACCATCATGGTATCAACAATAGTGTACTAGAAATGGCTGCGAAAAGCTGCCCATGTTATTAAATGAAGACTACGACAAAACGAAAGCCTTTAAGCACATGACAAATAAATGGGGCCAATCGACTATTGTTCATCCTGGATTTAATACATTTGGACCGAAAAGACACTTACGAATCAGAAGCCTTTTTATAGATGAATATTACCTCGTTGATTATGACGCTAGCGTAGTGACGCAGTTCCAAACCGTCTCTGTTAAGATGAGCGCATCAGAAAAACCTTTGATCCATCTCATGCCTAAATATGCCTTGGTCCCTCTTCATCCTTTGACTACTTGACTCGAGTCTCATGTCACACGCAACCATTAATTCTACCATTACCTTCACGATCTTCTTCTACAAGTACATTCAATATTATTTTCACAGATGTGGATTAGTACAAACACTAGAAACAGCGTTCACAGCGTCTATCTACAGCTGCTAGCGTCAGTGCAGTGCACTTACTGCTGGGAGAAGTGCTCCAACAAGACGTTTCTCTCCTCAGAGTCAGCACCCCAGTTCTTGACAACAACACAAGAGGCACCAACGACCTTTCTGGCGTTACCCTCTCTGTCCAACTGGCACAAACCGGCCCACTCTCCCAACAACTTGGCGTCGGAAACCTTGATCAATGGGATCTTCTCGTCACCCTCGTTACACAAAGCCTCAACCAACTTGATGATAGAAGCCTCGGTGACAGAGTCACAGAGAACACACAACTGGGCCTCCTTTCTGGAAAGAGCCTTAGAAGCTTCTCTCAAACCTCTGGCCAAACCATCGTGGACAAGGGAGGTTCTCAAGACAACCTTCAAAGCGTCCTCAATGGTGATGGCGGCATCCTGCTGCTCAACGGCAACCTCCTCGACAATTTGTTGTTCTTCGACGTCAGACATGTTTGTAATTAGTAGTTATTAGACTTCTTCGACAGTAACCTGCTCAGTGGAGAAGAAGTTTTTTTGAAAAATGCGAATGGGTTATAGGTGGTGATGATGGTGTACTGCAGATTGAGCCTACTAACCACCAGGGCCGCGCTGTCTAGGGCTCGAGCCCTAACAACATTCGAATACTAAAAAGCTACTTCCAACCTACTTTATCTTCGTGAATCATTATATTTCTAATTATCAAAGCAGAAAAGGCACTGCTGCGTGCCACCAGGGCTGAAATAAATTACTCGTGCTGTGTTGCGATGCGGGCCCCGCATAGTCTATAATTCCATCGCTCCAGCACCAAAGGGCTCATGGTGGACAGAGTCGTAGTCCAGATCGTCATTAATGTCCAGCTCGCTGTCAATGACTGCAGATGTGGATGCAGCCGCTCTTTCATATTCGTCGTCTTCATCTTCAAAGTCGACATCGAAGAAATCTTCGTCACTGCCTGTAATTCTCTTGTACAACATCTTCACTTCGCTGATAATACCATCGTAACTGATTTCTGAAGATGGCATGTTCAGGAACATAATGTCATCTGTATCAGACACTGTTGCCTGTGTGATGTTGTTGGTGGCATTGGACGAAGACAAGACGTTTGACAAGTCTGGGTTGACATATGTAGTTTGAACGTATCCAAACTTACAAACGATATCCAAAGTCTCCTTAGGAACAAAGCTCTGCAAAGACTCACCAAGCTTGAATGAATTGACAAGCATTGGAGTACCTCTGTCATTAACGACAAAGTCCTTCTTGTCGAGCAAGTTCTCAAGGTTAGTAGCGCTCTCTCTTAAGATAGCATTCTCCATCTTCTCGAAAGCACTTTCCAAGTCCTTCTTTGCCTTTTCAGCATTCTGCTCACAAGTGTGAGAGTACCAAACAGATTGACCTTGTGGACAAACACCAGATCCACCGTTCTGGATCACAACTTGAACTGTGTGAGCGTTGTGAGTAGGCAAAGACTCAGGTGGGAAAACAACCACCGCAGAGGACTCATTCTCAGACATCCATTCTCTGCAATCCTTTCTGACGATAGTAGTGAGTCTTGTCACGGTGAATGGATGCAATTTCTCAGAAGCTTCCTTGTATGAAGTGGCCAAGAACTTTGGAACTTGGGTTGGAGCTGCAACCACCTTTTCTTGAATCTTGACCAGTGAGCCATCACTGAACTTGGCAATCTTGAGCTGTGGGTCAAAATCAACAAGCGTGGTGTCGAGCTTGTAAGTGGTACCAGCGACAGCAGCACTTCTGCAGAAACCTTGGGAGATTTCGCCGGGACCGCCGTATTTCGATACCATTACAGGGAAGTTACCATACACATCGAATGAGACCAAGAAACGCTTGATACGAGCCACAGCTTCTGGGGTTCTGGTGCCGTTTCTGTTAGCGAGACCGATCGAATAGATAAGCTCGTCCAGCTGAGGCAGCTTCAAGCCGAAAGTGTTGGTCAAAAACTCCTCAATAGGAACCTGAGAGTTATCCAACAATAACTGTTTCTTGTCTGGATCATTGTTGTCCTGAAGGACGAACTTGAGGAACTTCATCAACAGTCTCTTAGTAGTCAAGGACAACAGCTGGTCTGTGAAGATATGCTCTTTGGTGGTGTTCGAGATGTTGCTCTTGAAGTTGTCATTTTCAAAAACATGGAAGTTCAGCAAGCTCTGGAACTCCAAGTACTTATAGACCCTCGACTTAATCAATAGAGCCAAGAGGTCCAGCTGGGAGAAGACGATTCTAGGCGTCAAATCAATGCCATAGTCCTTGGAGTTGAACTCGTTAGTCCGCTTACCACCAGGGATATAAATCTGAGCGTCCAGGAAGTGACGTACTTTGCCCTGGTTCACTTCCACACACCACTTCTTAATCTGGTCAATGGTCAATGTAGAAGAAGAGTCGCCATAGTAGTTATTATGGTCAATGTGAAGCACCTCCACGCCTTGCCAGGCCAATGAAGCAGCCAAAATAGACTCCACAAGACCCGTACCGAGAATCAAAATGTCACAGTGATCGAGCTTCAATGAATGCTCATTGGGTTTCTCCAAACCTGTCAAATGGGGAATCTTCAGCGGGGCATACGAAGCACTAGGACGGCGCTCGGCCATCGACTTACGGCGTTCGTTTCTGTTATATGCTGGCATGATGAAAGGGAAATATTAGGAAAGGCTTCTTGACGATTAGGCCTCGGGTTCAGTTATCGGGTATCGACGCCACGGGAAGTCGAAGAAAAGGAAAAAAAAAAGCACTAAAATGTAACAAAACAAGCTATGGGGAATAAACTTTAAGCAGGAATTGCTTTGGAGGGAAACTTAGCTGGTTTATGTATTGTTTGTTCTTTGTGGCTGAAGTATTGAGAGATTCGGGAAAGACGTTCTGTGACACTGTGAACTGACGTTGATATTTTTTTTTTTTTTTACGTGCTGCATGTCTCGATCGTGGGGATCCTGCATAAGCCACAAAAAGAAACCTGATAAAGCCCCATCAATCGGTGCCATCGAAGAAGACGGAAGCAAGGAAGAGACCTTACAGGTAAAGTAGCAGCCGAGAGACCCAGATTTGCCTGTTCTAATTCTGCCATCGGGCTTGGGTGGTGAAATAATTGGGATTTGTCTCGACGCATCACGTGACTTAATCACCATGCTCGAGCCACGAGGACTCAGCCTGACTCACCGAGGCACCCGATAAGCCCATGTGGAGGGGTGGTTAGGGACAAAAAAGGTTGAAAAATATTAAAAGACGGATGGAAGCTTCTTAGTTAAGGTCAAGAAGAGGCTTCGACGATTTTTTCTTTGCTTTTTCAGTCAAAGGTATCCAGTTGTAGTGGACCCTTTCTGAGACTGCCTTAGCCTCAATTTGCACCCATTTCGCAGCATCGCTTCTCCAGCCAGAAGCCACACTTACGTCTTTTGCAGCCAAATTGGAATGTTCAAAATAATAGTAGGACATGGTTCATCTGATAAACTTTGCTTGATTAAAGCAATCTTGGGGTTTCTTCAATGTGTCGTTTCCACGTGACTTTACATCACCTACTTGGTATACCTCCAGATGCAACCTCCATCATCCAGTCTACTCCTCAATGAAACATCCTGGTTCTTTACTATTGGCCTGGCAGGTCAAGGATAAGCACTGTTTAGTGATTGGAGGCGGCGACGTGGCCTTGAGTCGTGTGCACCATCTTATCAGAGCCCAGGCTAAGATTACAGTGGTCAGTGGGCCAAATGTACACCCAGAGATCTTGGAGTTGGAGGAGAAGGGGGAGCTTTATAAGTTATTGAAAAGAGACTATGAACCTGAAGATTTGCAGATGTACGAGCTGAAAGAACAGCTTTCGTTAGAGTCTTTTAAGGACATTGACGAGTCTCATTATGCTCAGATAGACGACCAGGTTAAAAACCAGGTGTTTGCATGTGTATGCTGTTGCATTGACGACCCTGTGCTTTCTGGAAAGGTGTATTACCAGTCTAAGTACCTTCGTTTGCCTGTGAATATCGCTGATAAACCACCGATGTGTGACTTCTACTTTGGCTCAATGTTCAACCAAGATGCTCTTCAGATCATGATCAGCACCAATGGTAAATCTCCTAGGTTGCTGAAGATGATTAAGGACGATATTGCTAAGCAGTTTGCAGGTATCAAGCTTAATGATGCAGTTGACACTTTGGGTGATATTAGAGCCAACTTGAGGGCTAGAAAATTACAAGATAACAGCCTTGAAACCATTGAAAAGAGAATGGAATGGATCAAGAAGCTCACAGATTTCTTCACGCTTCGACAATGGAGTCAGCTCGAGCTCTCCGAGCACCAGGTCGATAAGGTTGTTGACACATACCCAGATTTCCCTCCAAACGACTACGATAAATTTCTTCACTTTGTATCATAGATAGCTCAATACATACCTCTAGTATTCGAGATCCTCGTGCACAAAGGTCTTGCTGCCGCCAGCGCCAACGTACTCAGAGGCAATGTGGCCGTTACCTCTCAACTGGTACTGATAACTCATCAAACCTTCCAAGCCCACAGGGCCTCTGGCGTGGATCTTGTTGGTGGAAATACCAACCTCAGTACCGAAACCGTATCTGAAACCATCGGCAAATCTGGTAGAACAGTTCCAGTACACACCAGCAGAGTCAATACCCTTCAAGAACTTCTCAGCAACCTCCTTGTTCTCGGTAACCACACAGTCAGTGTGCTTGGAGGAGTGTTCATTAATGTGAGCAATAGCGTCACTTACATCCTCCACAGGCTTGACAGCGATATCAAAGGACAAGAACTCAGTGTCAAATGCATCTGGCTTAGCGTCCTGGACAAGCTTGGAGTCAATGCCCTCGATCTGTTCCTTGATCTCTGGAACAACATGAAGAGTGACCTCAGCAGCAGCGAGAGCGCCCAAAAGCTGGTTCACCTTCTCCTTGTCAGAAGCAATGTCCTTGTGGATCAACAATTGCTCCACAGCGTTACAACCAGCAGGATAGTTTGTCTTGGAGTCAACCACGATCTTAGCAGCCTTGGTCAAGTCAGCCTCCTTGTCAACGAAAACCGAGCAAATACCATCGGCGTGGCCCAAAACAGGAATCTTGGTGTTGTCCTTGATATTTCTCACCAAAGCATTTGAACCTCTTGGAATGACCAAGTCGATGTACTTGTCCTGAGCCAAAAGATCACCAACTTCCTCTCTCGATTGGATCAATTGAATAGCGTGGGATGGCACAGGAGTCGATTCCAAGGTCTTGTTGACAACATCACTGATTGCCTTGAAAGTCTGGTAAGACTCCTTACCACCCTTCAAAATGGCACAATTGCCTGATTTAATAGCCAATGCCGAGATGTTGGCAATAACCTCAGGTCTACTTTCGAAAATGATGAGCAAAACACCAAGAGGAGCCGTGACTCTGTGCAACTCGAGACCCTCGTCGATCTTCTTAGCCATGGTGACTTTTCCAACTGGATCAGGCAAAGCTGCCACGTCCACAATGCCCTGCAACATGGTCTCGTACTTATCGTTCTTTCCCAAGTCCAATCTCTTGATCAAAGAACCAGCCAAGTTGTTCTTTTCAGCAGCCTCCATATCTTGCTCGTTGGCTTTCAAAATGTCCAGCTTGGCAGCCTTCAAAGCGTCGTGAATCAGGTGCAATGCTGCTGATCTCTGGTCATTAGAGAGAGTCTTCAAAACACCGAATGCCTGGTTAGCGTCTTTTGCAATTTGTTCAGCCATACTGAAAAGTGTACTGTTTGTTGAAGTAGTAGCTGGAGGTAAAAGAGGTGAGAAGTTATGTTATGTGGGGTCAGTTGCGCACCACAAAGTAGGCCCACAACGTGCTACAAAATGGCACAAAATAAGAAGCAAAAGAAGAGGTGTTGAAAGTGAAAGTCGTTTGAAGAGAAGGTTAATAAGAGAACTGTTTTTGTGGATTGTTTTTGGTTGGAAGAGTAAGGCTTTGGTGGCTGCGAAATCAGTAGCAAGCGAGGCGCCGGTGAGTCAACCATGGAGGTGGAAGAGGGAAAGTTATGCAAATGGACAAAAAAATCGTATGAAGGAATAATAGAAAGCCAAGTATGATGAAATGGCTGGAATTTTTGTTTTGGAAGAATGGGAGGCCATGGAGTGGTGCTTCTTGGTGGCTGTATAGTATGGGTGATTTGGGTAGTAGGACGGTAAAGATATAACCTCGAGAAGGTGAATGCTTACTTTGTTGGAATTGAAAACAAGTGAATTAGCTAAATGAAGAATAGCATAGATCAAGGAGTCGAGAGACCTTATGGTAACCCCAGGGCACTATTGCACTTGTACATATCCACTGCGTGCTTTATTCCCTCTACGGTCCATTCTTCTATTTATTTATTTATGTTTATTTTCTTATTTATCTTATAAATATTTATTCTCCGACAATGCTAACGTAGGGGCATTGATTTCTGTGCTTCTATTTCCTCCATTGATCGACTGGCTGGGGCTTGCTCATGCTATCAGACGTAGCAAAAGGTCTGATAGCAGCTGAAACATTACTTGTGGTGTTGGTGAACTCGCGGGATCTCTTGGCTTTCTGCTTCCTCTCTCTTCTCTCTTTGGCCTTGGAGATTTTTGGCTTCAACACCGGCGTCTTCTTTACCTTCTTAGGCTTTTCTGAAACCTTTGGTTCCTCAACAACAGGAACCTCAACCTTGACACCTTCTTCCTTCTGGACTGATTCTTCCTGGGTCCACTCAATGAGCTTAAGTTTGCTCTGAATTGGGTAGATTTTCTTCTTGACTGGCTCTTCCTTGACCCATTCGATAAGCTTCAATTTGCTCTGGACTGGGTAAATCACTTCCTCAACTGGTTCTTCGTTGATCCATCCAATGAGCTTCAATTTGCTCTGGATAGGGTAGATTACTTCCTCAATTGGCTCTTCCTTAATCCATTCAATGAGCTTGAACTTATTCTGAATTGGGTAGATCACTTGCTCTTCCTTTACCTGCTCCTCCTTCACCCACTCAATAAGCTTCAACTTATTCTGGATTGGATAGATCACCTGCTTGGCTGGCTTCCTCTTGGAAACAAACTTAATCTTAGCTCCACGAAGCACCACAGTGGAGACTTGGTTCAAAGGAAACTCGATAGTTCCGAAGGCCTTCTCGAACTCAGAAGTATATTGTTGAACACGACAGTGCTTGAAGAACTTAAAAAGCTTCATGAAGTGGTGGTATTGAGACAACTGGCCCACCTGTAAATGGTTAACCGGCTCCTTAACAACAGGAGCTGGAAGAGTCAAGGTAACCTCAAACACTGGAGTTACTGGAGTATAATCAATCTTCTGAGGACGAGGAGGAGGAGCAATACCAAACTCTCTATTTCTCTGAGCTCTCCGACGTCTTTCTCTTCTAGCCATAGAATTAGTAACACTCTTGAATTGGCGAGGTGGTCTCTTTGCAGCCTTCTCAGCCCTAGCCTTCTTCTTCTCCTTCTTAGCTTGTCTCTTAGCTCTCTGTTTAAGAGCTCTCTTGGATGGAACATAGTCGTCCTTAAGCTCAACAATCTTAGGGGTTGATGGGGGAGGAAGAGGAGAGTCCAAAGGCCAATCGTCTTCGTTAACCGCTAAGGGTAAGCATTCCCGGAATGGGTTAGAGAGTTCAGAGAGTCTCAAGAGTCTCATGAACTCATGATACTGAGACAACTGGCCAACTTGCAAGTTATTGTTGGTATGAGGAACAGGCAAAGTCTTAAAGTCAAGACTCTTGGTAGCCTTAGGCCAGTTTACCTTGTACTGGCTGAAGAGATTCTCAAAGCTGAGAAGTCTCTTGGAGTAGAAGTACTGAGCTTTTTGGAAAGCCAATACTTGCGGTACCTTAGTAGATCCTTCAAACTTCTTCACCACAATCTTCTCTGGAGGACCATACACGGTAATGTTCTTAGGAGCCTCGATGGCCTTCTGAACAGAAGCAAGCTTTTTAAAAGGCTCAAAGACCGATGGGGTGAACCATGATCTAATAGTACGAGCCTTAAACCTGAAAGGTCTGTCGACCGGTTGGCTCGAGAAAAAGTTGAACCAAAGCTTTGCCCTCAAAGCAAAAAATGCTCCAATTGGTGGAAGAACCACACGCTGGGCCTTTTCAGGACCAAAGGGAACCTTGCAGACTGGCTTCTTCGCAACAACAGCCAACTCAGTCTCTGGAGAAGATTCCCTGGATTCATCAAGACCAATTTCGAAATCCACCTCCTCTACAACTTCAACTTGAGGAGCCTTCGTGCCACGAGGCACCACTTCACGGCCAAGTGCCGCCAATCTCTTCGATTTCTGGGCTCCATCTTTGTTAGTTTTCACAGGAGAAGTAGGAGAAGAAGCCTTTTGGGTCTTGAACTGCTTACGGTTCTGGCGCTTCTTTTTAGAAGCCTTGATAGGCTTCTTTTCCAGAGGCGTTTCTGCTGGCTCAGGGACAACAGCCTTGTCGTCGCTTGAAACATCAGCGTCGGAAGCGCCAGAGGTGCAAGAGGATTCAGGCTGAGAGCCCAAACCTGAGACATTAAATTCATCGCTAGAGACAGCCTCAGAGTCAGTAGCGGGGATTGAAGCAGCCAAAGAACGACGCATAGCAAGAAGTTCACACAACTTGGCGTCGACTTTAGACTGGAAAAGGGTTCTAGCATGAGGACTAGAGGTTGATTCGGAATAATGGGTGAAGAATTCCTGGAGCTCTTGGTTGTCCAATTGGATTTCCAAAAACTCATGGGCAGCCGAAAGACTACTGTTAGTAAAGCCTCCTAATTTACTAAGGGGAAGCTTGATAGTGAATTGCATTGTAAGTTGTTGATGTTGTGTTGTGTTTGTGTACTGAAGTGTTGTAGGCTTTGGTAGACAAACTTTAATGCTGAAGAAAAGTGGTAGAGAAGAAACAGAATGGAGGGAAAAACCACCTCTATTTATGTTCAAATTTCTGGGATAAATGACCAGAATGACGGGAGAGTTGATCGAGTAGGGAAGGTTGTAGGGGTACTGTCTGCTGGTGGTGCTTATACCTTCTGAAAAATGGCAAATCTTTGAAAATCTGTAGCTCAACGGATAACGGTTTTTTGAAACGGCGTTTTAGACCAGTGGTCTAAAACAGTATTTTACAATTATTTTGATACTAATTTTGCCTAGTAACGATCTAAAAAGGCCGATTTTAATGGGTGCAAATTTGGTATGTATCCATAGTGGAACCTCGCTACTTGAGAAAAATGGAAAGTCGAGTACCAGCCATTGCGAGGACCGTCACGTACGCTCAATGGGGCAATGCCCAAGATTCAATTGAGGTAAGTTTAATCAACAACTCCGCTCGGCACTAATTCTACTTCATATCAGCACGGCATTTGGGGAGATGACAGGCGGAGGAAACGAGAAATAGTTGAGGTGTTCATTCAAACTGAAGTTTGCAATAGTCGAGACTTTCCATCAAGCTGGCGTGGCATGTCCAGTTTGTTACAAGTCCAATGGAGCTCAAGGAAATGAACGTATATTGGTTTGGCGGAAAGTGTATGTCGAATGGGAATGGGCTACCCTGGATCGTTCGGTGATCGATAAGCAAGGCATGTTTTAACATCAGCAAGTAAGGCCATGAAATCAGAGATGTTCCCAGTACTCCATTTTATAATGGCATACCATCCATCTGTAGTAACATCTCAGAGTGAATCTCGTCCTGGTGGTACTACCATTGAGGTATAGGACCAATGACTGACACCATGTTAAGCCAAAACTCTCATTGAACATCATAAACTTCACTCCCCTGCTCCTCGTAATTATCCATCAAAAGGCTTGTCATATACACATGAGCCTCAGGCGACAATGTGATCGACGCTAGGTAGAAGATAAGCTATTTAGAGTCAGCTCGTGTCAAAATATTATACATTAAATTGAGCCAAAAATCAGTATTTGCCTCGAATATATAGTGCTTGAACTAAAATGACTGGTCATCGCCATTTCCTTTGGTCCAGGCGAAGCATTTTGGTCGAAGCACGGGACTTAGTACGACTCCAGCCCAGAGATAACGGCAACTGACAGAGCCTAAGTGGACTATCGCCGTGAAAGTTTCAAGAAGAGTTTTAGACAACTGAGAATATAAAGCTCTGGTAATTTGGATACTACTTTTGGAAGCATTTATATAGACATATATATAACTGTAGAGAGAGAAGGAGAATAGATGTAAGTGGTGAAACATCTACCTATTTGAGCTGGACTCATAAGAAATAGAAGCTAAGAAACGCCAGAACGCCTTAAGCAGACCAACCAAAGAAATTTTCAGCGCCCAAATTCAATACCATAAGCTCATCACTATTTAGCATGCTCACCAGCCATACACTATAACCTACAACAACTGAGCATTTCCAGCTACACCAAAAAACCACCAAATTCCCCAGAATCACGAAAAAGAATATTACCAGAATACCAACGCCTGATTCACTTTAGACAATTCCCATACCACCATCCCCAAATCCCTTATCACCAGTCTTACATTCCATCTCCACGCTCTTCTCCATAGACCAACGCGAAAGCGACTAAATAGTACTAAATAAGCCTCGACCAGGCGCCAATGATACACCATCGAAATGCGCCAGAGACACCAGAAAAGCATGGAAAACACACCAAACCACCCAAACATCAAAAAATCAGAAACCCCCCAAAACCCACTTATCGCCGCAATTCAACCCTGAAAAAAAGTGCCCATTTCCTGGAGTTTCCTCGTTTTGTGCTTCGCCTGGCTCGGCACCCGGTCGCACTGACGTCGTTTTGCAACCAATCGCTCAGAATGACCAGCCATCCGTTGGCGAAATTGCACGCCAGAGGTTGGAAAAACCACGAAAATCAGGGAAACAATGGAAAACCTCTTAAGTTCGCCAAAACATATCTCTACGTTTTTTAAGACACTTCTTGATACCTCTTTACTGGTCCCACGGGTCCAGGTATACCCCTGCTGCCTGCAGTCCTGCCCCAGCCTAGAAAAACCAACCACCTTTACCTTAAGAAAAGCCTATAATAACACTTCACTGCCAGCGCCGTAAACGTCCCGAAACAGCATGTCCAATAATCTGCGGCGGCCCAATGGCGCCAGCGCCCCTTCAGATGACCCGTTCACTGACAGAAACAACCTCATAGACTTGGACCTCGAATCCTTGGATCATCATCCTGGCCAGCACTACCCATCCTACAGCGAGGCCATGCCTTCGATTGAGGATCCCGATCTCGCTTATAACGGTGCCAGAGGCGGTTCTGGGTATCAAGAGAATCCGTTTGACGACAATTTCGTGCTTTCTGACGAAGAGGACTCATATTATCATCACGATAACTCCAGTGCTAGAGCTACCAGCTCGGGTACGCGGCAGGTTCCATTACTAGGCACCGATAACGCTCCACCAACGCCGAAAAAGGGCTTCTTTCTGTCATTCAAGGCTAGTATGGAAAACCCACACCTGGCTCTGTACCAGGGCATGTCTGACGATATGTACGGTGAGAGAATCAACGATGCCAGTGCTGGAAGCACACTGTCCGACTTTGACATACGGAGACTATACAGTAAGCTCAAACTGAAGATTGGCGGTAAACCGCCTGATGTGCCTACTTCGAAAGGACCCCGCCAGATCTATATTCTTAGTGCTTCAATGAACTCAGCGTTCAAGTACTATGGTAACCATATTTCCACGACAAAATACAACTTCGCTACGTTTATACCGAAGTTCTTGTTCGAACAGTTTTCCAAATACGCCAACTTGTTTTTCTTGTTTACTTCCATTATCCAACAAGTGCCTAATGTTACCCCTACGAATAGATACACCACTATCGGTACGCTTTCTGTGGTGTTACTTGTTTCTGCCATCAAAGAGATCATGGAAGATTTAAAGCGTGCCGGTGCAGACAAAGAACTAAATAACACGCGTGTTTTGGTGCTAAATCCTGACACTGGCCTGTTCGAGGAGAAGAAGTGGGTCAAGGTGAAGGTTGGTGACGTTGTAAGAGTCAATAATGAACAGCCTTTCCCTGCTGACTTGCTTCTTCTAAGTTCTTCTGAGCCCGAAGGATTGTGTTACATTGAAACTGCCAACTTGGATGGTGAGACTAACTTGAAAATCAAACAAGCAAAATCTGAAACATCCTACTTGGTGAATCCAAACTCCTTGGTCACTGACTTATCCAGATCTGAAATCTTGTCTGAGCAGCCAAATTCGTCTTTATACACTTATGAAGGTACGCTTCAAGGTTTCGGCAACAATGGCAAGATCCCTTTCTCCCCTGATCAGCTTTTACTTCGTGGAGCCACGTTACGTAACACCCAATGGGTCCACGGAGTGGTTGTCTTCACTGGTCACGAAACTAAGCTCATGCGTAATGCTACCGCTACACCTATCAAGAGAACCGATGTGGAGAGAATTATCAACTTACAAATTATTGCATTGTTCTGTGTTCTTATAATATTGGCCTTGGTTTCGTCCATTGGTAATGTCGCTAAAATTCAAGTCAGCAGAAGTGATCTCAGTTACTTGTATTTGGAAGGTACGAATATGGCAGGTCTTTTCTTCAAAGATATTTTGACATACTGGATTTTGTTCTCCAACTTGGTTCCTATCTCGCTTTTCGTCACTGTTGAAATTATCAAGTACTACCAAGCTTACATGATTGGTAGTGATTTGGATATGTACTACGCAGACACGGATACTCCAACGGGTGTTAGAACCTCGTCTTTGGTCGAAGAATTGGGTCAGATTGAGTATATCTTTTCTGATAAAACAGGTACCCTCACGAGAAACGTTATGGAATTCAAGTCTTGCAGTATTGGTGGCAGATGCTACACTGAAGAGATCCCAGAAGACGGCCAAGCTCAAGTGATTGATGGAATTGAAGTCGGATATCACACATTCGCTGACATGGAAGCTCACTTGAAAGACAGTGCCCAGCAGCAATCTGCTATAATTAACGAATTCTTTGTCTTGCTTTCTACGTGTCACACAGTTATTCCAGAGCATAAAGAAGACGGTGGTATCAAGTATCAGGCTGCTTCACCAGACGAAGGTGCTTTGGTGCAAGGTGCCGCTGACTTGGGTTACAAATTCACTATTCGTCGTCCAAAGAGTGTCACCATCCACACTGCCATGACAGACTCTGAATCCGAATATGAGCTCTTGAATATCTGTGAGTTCAACTCTACTAGAAAGAGAATGTCTGCTATCTTCAGATGTCCCGACGGCGTCATTCGTCTTTTCTGTAAGGGTGCCGATACGGTTATTTTAGAACGTTTGGACAGGGATGAAGTGCAACCATTTGAAGCTGCTACTATCCGCCATTTGGAGGACTTCGCTTCTGAAGGTTTGCGTACTTTATGTATTGCATCAAGAATCGTCTCTGACGAGGAATACGAGGACTGGGCCAAAAAACACTACGAGGCATCCACTTTGTTGGAAAACCGAAGCGAAAAGCTTGACGAAACAGCCGAATTGATTGAAAAGGATATGTTCCTTCTCGGTGCTACTGCCATCGAAGATAAACTTCAAGATGGTGTCCCAGAAACTATTCATACTTTACAAAACGCAGGTATCAAGGTTTGGGTTCTTACAGGTGACAGACAGGAAACTGCCATCAATATTGGTATGTCTTGTAAGTTGCTCAGTGAGGATATGAACCTTTTGATTATCAACGAAGACAACAAGGCTGACACCAAATTGAACTTGCAAGAGAAATTAGATGCTATCATGGAGCACCAGCCTGAGTTGGAGGCCGGTGCATTTGACTCTTCCTTGGCTCTTATTATTGATGGACACTCGCTTGGATTTGCACTCGAGCCTGAATTGGAGGATATCTTTTTGTCGTTGGCTACTCGTTGTAAAGCTGTTATCTGTTGCCGTGTTTCGCCATTGCAAAAGGCTTTGGTGGTCAAAATGGTCAAGAGAAAGAAGAAGAGATCTTTGTTGCTCGCTATTGGTGATGGTGCTAACGATGTTTCTATGATTCAAGCAGCGCACGTTGGTGTCGGTATCAATGGTCTCGAAGGTATGCAAGCCGCTAGAAGTGCTGATGTCTCCATTGGTCAATTCAAGTACTTGAAGAAGCTTCTTTTGGTGCATGGGGCTTGGTCTTACCAGAGAATCTCTCATGCTATCTTGTACTCTTTCTACAAGAATATTGCATTGTACATGACGCAGTTTTGGTTCGTGTTTGCGAACGGATTCTCTGGTCAGTCGCTTATCGAGTCTTGGACATTGACACTTTATAATGTTTTGTTTACCGTGTTCCCTCCATTTGTGATGGGTGTTTTTGACCAATTTGTTAGTGCACGTTTGCTTGACAGGTACCCACAATTGTACCAGCTTGGTCAACAAAGAAAGTTTTTCAACGTTACAATCTTCTGGGGCTGGATCATCAATGGCTTCTACCATTCTGCTGTTACTTTCGTCTGCTTGATGTGTCTTAATAAGTTCTCCACCTACCTCCCAGGTGGTGATGTTCCAAACAATTGGGCTTGGGGTACCTTGATTTACACGACATGTACATTGGTTGCCTTAGGAAAGGCTGCTCTTGTGGTGACCCTTTGGACCAAGTTTACGCTTCTTGCCATTCCAGGATCTTTCATCTTCTGGTTACTTTGGTTCCCTGCTTATGCTACCATCGCCCCTAGAATCAATGTTTCCAGAGAATATTTTGGTGTTTTGGGCTACACTTACCCTAGCTTGAGTTTCTGGGCGTCCATCTTCGGTGTTGCTTGTCTCTGTTTGCTCCGTGATTTTGCCTGGAAGTTCTTCAAGAGAAGTTACAGTCCGGAGAGCTACCATTACGTCCAAGAGATCCAGAAGTACAACATTCAAGACTACAGACCAAGAATGGAGCAATTCGAAAAAGCTATCAGAAAGGTGAGACAAGTGCAGAGAATGAAGAAACAGAGAGGTTTCGCCTTCTCCCAGCAAGACAACCAGAACTTAGAAAAGGTGGTGAGATTGTACGACACCACCAAACTGAGAGGTGCCTTTGGAGAACTCAGCGAAAGCTAAGTGAACCGCGAGCGATAATTTTGTTGCACATCTTTTGTGCTCCGCACGCCTGCATCAATAGAACATAATGACTAAAAAAATGTACTACTATGAAACACTGTAGGTGCCTCTATCCCCATAAAACATCCCTAATATGAGCGAACCAGCAGCTGAGACTCCAGCACAGCCCAAGGCTCCAGCCCAGGCTAAACCGGCAGCCGAGCCAGAGAACAAGGCCCTTTCCAACAAAGAATTGAAGGAGTTGAAGAAGAAAGAGAAGGCTGCCAAAAGAGCTGCCCAGAAAGAAGCAGCTGGTATTTCTCCAGAACAGCAAGAACAAATGGCCCAGCAGAAGATGGAAAAGAAGAAACTGCTGGCCACAAACACAAACCTCAAAAAACAATTGAGCCAGGCTGTCGTGAAAGACCAGAGCATGAAGATTCCAGCCCTCTTTAGTCATTTGGAAACCAGAGAACAGCGTAATGCTTCTTCTCCAACGGTTTCTCATATCGTGCATCCTTCAATTTTGACGCTAAGCTTGCATTTTGCTAACCACAAGATCGTGGGCTCCACTGCCAGGTTGAGAAGCATGTTGGAGGTCTTCAAGACGGTGATCCAGGACTATAAGACGCCTGAGAACACGACCTTGACTCGTCATTTGACTGGTCATCTTTCTCATCAGATTGAGTACCTCAAGAGTTCCAGACCGTTGAGTATGTCTATGGGTAATGCCATCAGGTGGTTGAAGCAGGAGATTTCACTTATATCCATCGATACTCCTGAGAAGGAAGCTAAAGAGATCTTGAGCGGACGTATTGACGATTTCATCAGAGAGAAGCTTGAGTTGTCTGATCAGCTTATTGTCGAGAATGCTTCTCAGCATATCAGTAATGGCTCCACGGTTTTGACCTTTGGTCATTCTGAGGTTTTGCTCAAGTTGTTCCAATACTGTGCTTTGGAACAGGAAAAGAGCTTCAATTTGGTCATTGTTGACTCTAGACCTTTGTTTGAAGGTAAGAAATTGCTCACAGAATTGGTTAACACCAAGATACCCAATGACTCATCTAGAACAGACCTTGACGCTGACCTGGAGACAAGCTCTGTCATTGCCAGACGTTCTGCTCCACAAACTCCAATTACCAAGGACAGAATCAAGGTTAATTACGTCCTTATAAACTCTTTGCTGTCTACCATCTTTGAGGATGTCGACTGTGTCTTCTTGGGAGCTCACGCCATGCTTTCTAACGGTCACTTGTACTCTCGTGTTGGTACTGCAATGGTGGCCATGATGGCACACAGAAGAAACATTCCTGTCTTGACTTGTTGTGAGTCTATTAAGTTTTCCGACAGAGTCCAGCTAGACTCTGTGACCACTAACGAGTTGGCTGATCCAGAAGATTTGGTCAAGGACTCCAGCCGTAAGCAGCCCCCTCAGCAGGGCTCTTTGGCTTTGGAGCAGTTCCTCAAGGAGGTTGAACAAATTGAGCATGAGAAGAAATCAAAGGCTGGAAAGAAGGACAAGGAGCCTCCAAAAGATATTCTGCTCGAGAACAAATCCCCACTTGCAGACTGGAAGTCTATTCCATCGCTCAATCTTCTTAATATCATGTACGACTTGACGCCGCCATCCTACATCAACAAAGTCGTCACAGAGTTGGGCTCTTTACCACCGCTGTCTGTGCCTGTCATTTTGAGGGAGTACAAGAGTGGTTGAAGGATATTGCATTAATCTATTTCATAGGTAACCTCAACCGGGAGCTTCAATTCAAGACCTTTTCTAGGTCCCTGCTTTGCCGTAGGCTTGAGCTTGAATGGACGAGGTGTGAAAGTGGGCCATTTAACCGGCACAAGTGGTGTTGTTGGCTGTTCTGGGACATTATCATCTACCAAGCCCACAGTGATAACATCACGCTTTTGAGAAACGCTCTCCAAGTAGTTACTAAGAAGAAGGATATCGTAAAGGGTGGTTCTGCGATAGCTGGCTGCTCTTTTGACTGTGTCTTCGGTCATTATAGAATGTATCTGTACATATTGGAATGGAGGTTCTTAGGTTCTTATCTATGAGCATTATCATTGAAGGCAACTCCTACACCATTGGAGATACCATTTGTAGAAAAGAAGGTGTTTTGATGACGTGGCATGTTGTTAACCGAATGAAGCAAACAAAAGGAGGAAGAATAGAAAGGTACAAATATCTAATGGCGCCCAGTTGTAGGAGTGAGTAGCTTTAATAGAGACATGAGGGACACCCAAAGTAGCAGAACTACACCAACTTCGTTCGTCTCCCAACCGCCTTCAAATTCTCCAATATATAAAATTGGCTTTATTTACCCTTCCTTTTTTTTTCCTTTTTTTTTTTTTTTGGTTTTCTTCATGTTCAATTTACACATTTTATGTTTTTCCACATTATGTACCAAAAAACAGTACGCACCTCAGATACTGAGAAATAGTGGTAATCCAGTCTTCAAAAGCCCCGCCAAAACCACCTTCCCTTCGAAATTTCAAAAAACAAAACAACCTATCCTCTTCAAAATCCTCCATTTATTCCAAATAAATCCTCAATTTTGTCTCCAAATCCCCATAACCATCTTTTCACTGACCCCTTCTTTCCCTTCCCTTCACCTCCACTGGCTGCGAAAAACTTACCACTAACTACTGGAAAAGACGCCACCGCCACCACTTACACGTGATCTCCATACCTCTAAACCACAAGACCAGACCACCGGAACTTCCATAAATCAAACCGACTTTTTCTTGATCTCATGGCGGAACAGGAATTGGACCTCGTGGGGAAAGTCGATCTTCGTCTTGCGCTTGCAGAGACGGACGCCGATTTGGAAAAAGCTGTTTCTTCTTATCTTCCTCCATTACTACTTAAACTCGCCAGTACTCATGGATCTGTACGCCAGGCGGTGTTTAAGATTATCCAGAATGTGTTTCCAAGAATTAACGCCGCTCGGGATTTGAAATTGCCTGTGGACGCTTTGTTGCTGCAAATCCAGGCTCCAAACGTCCCAGAGGGCTCAGATACTAGCCAGGTTAGGCTCTACAGTTTGCTTTTCTTGCTGAAGGGCATTGAACGTCTTTCGCCTGGTGAAAAACACCAATTGGCTACGAAGCTTTTGATCGGGTACCATAGCTACCCGCCAGCCGTTGCCAGCAGGATATTTGCTGCTTTGGTGAAGTGCTTGGAGTCGTATAAGGCTCCAGCCAGAGATAGCGACGAGTTCGAACAACGGAGAGATGAGTTGGGCTTTAAAGTGAGACCTGAAGATGAAAGAGCTTTAGTGCGTACTATAACCAAGTTCTTCTTGCTTCTCCCCAATGCAAATGCTCCAATCCAGACTCCAGGTATGAGTGTTCAAGATCTGGCTCTGTTCACCAAAGACGCTGGTGTTAGCTATAAGTCGCTTGGGGAGATCCAACTGGCGAAGTTGCGTGTTCTAGAATTTATCAGCGCCGGCTTCGAAGAGAGCTTGCTTGTCTTACCGCTTCTAATTGCATCTGCTGATTCACTGTCTTCCATTAACAACAAGGCCGAGCTTTGGTTCAAAAAATTGCCTGTTGACTTAGAAGACAAGTACTTGATTAATGATATGATCGAGCTTTTCCTTGGGAAACTGCAACCGTTGACTCCGCCTGTGGCTCCAACACTTCAGGAAAAGATCTTATCTTTGCTATGCAAGTCAAAGGTCGCCATGACACACGAAAAGACAAAAGATGTTTCTCAATTGGCACTCAATTCTGATTACAGTAAACTTCGGCAGACTGCCGTTTCCTTCATCCGGAAGGTAACAAAGGCTGCTAGTGATGCATCACCTTTTGGATCGACCCTGTCTCAAGATGAATTCAACAAGTCAATCTTATCCAGACTTAAAGAGGGTATTATGAGTGAAGGATGGCCTGAAATGGACACTACACAAATTTCCAACTACAGAGCAGCGGTAAACCTGCGTCTGCTTCAGTACGAAGCTATTGGCGATATATTGCGCCATTCGCCATCCCTCTGGAACTCAGACTTGGAATATATTAGGTTCCTTTTTGACTCATTGGAAGGCGAAAGCACTGAACTACGTCCTGTGGTCCAGGAAGTGCTATCAGGTCTCGAGCCTCACCTTTTACTCTTGTCAAGTGACTGTAAGGTGGAGTTAAAACGTATTTTGAGGAAATACTTGGAGTTTTCCAGCGCTTCGAACAACTTGGGAGCTTGCCGCTACTTGGCAATGAAGTTCTCTAACTCTGCCTTCTCATTCCAGGACGCAGAAGCACGCTACCTTTGTTTCCTAGGAACTGCCAAGTCAAACAATTCAGAGACTATAGAAGAAGCCAACAAGGGCTTACATCCATACTACTTCAACCTCCTTCAAGAATCTAACAAGCTTAGCTTTCAATCGTCAGCAGAATTTCTAGGCACCAATTCATCCGTGAGATTTCCATTATTTAGCGATCTTGTCCAAGTTCTCAAAAACGGATTATCACAAGCCGAAGAGGACTCGGTACTTTTCCAGTCTTTGGGAACTGCCGTGAGGTTTTTACTTCGTGCATTGGTTATGGAAGTGATCGAGGATAAGTCAACGGTAATTGTTGTTGATGAAGATTGGGACGCAAGAGTCGATAAAGCCTTAGAGATCGATGAAACAGTCAAATCCTTGATGGTCGAAGGTATTTCTGACGCTCGAAAACAAGATAGTATATTCGACTTCTTCACCATTGTCTTTGATGCCCTTTACAATCTGCATTTCGGTGGTGCTAACTATGTTGCTGACACAGGCTTCAGTACCGTGCTGGCTTTGCTAGTTTCCCTCTCGCCTGCCCAAGTGATTGCGAAATTGAAGCAATTCATCCCAAGACTACTTTCCTTAATCGAGGAGAAGGTTTTGGCAGAGAGGACTCTTCGCGAGATTTGTAAGACCCTTGGTGTCATAGTCACAAATCAAGAAGTAACTGACAGAGACTTGGAGACGATCTTGAACAAGCTTACTGATCCAGAGACAGCCAGCAACAATGCCAGCAAGCTTACTGGCCGTCTTCTAGCTCCAGCTTACATCATTTCTAGAATTGTGCTCGCTAACCGTGAGAATATCTTGAGTGCTGAAGGTGTTAAGACCTTCGTGAAGAGCCTTCGTGAAGCCATAAAAGAATCTCGCTATTATGATACTGTTCTCGAATCTTTAGGACAATTGGCAGTTTTTGGTGTTTTTGGACCGCAACTAGAACTCTATGATGGAGTCAAGGAAGATGTCGTTGCCTTGCAAGAGCCAGTCCAAGCTAAGGCAAAAACGTGCCATGAACTCTCTGTTCTCGCATTACTGAAGCTCCAACTTGCTATTGGATCAACCTACGAACATAAGGGGCAGGAAGAGCTTACTACCGTTGAAAAGATCGTTTACGATACTCATACTTCTAAACAGCTCGACTATACATTGGCCAGTGGTGAAGCGTTCCTGATTCTTGCTGGAGGTTGGAAGTCGAAGATTCTTCAACAAGAGGTAGATGTTCAGGGATCAACGCTCTCTCATATTCCGCATTCCACAGAACGTTTGCCTGTCATCTTAAAACATGTTCTTCAGGCTTGTTCGAACACGAAGCCAGCGCTCAGAAGGGCCGGTTGTATTTGGCTTCTATCCCTTGTACAATATCTTAGTGGGGAGAAGGAAATAGCTGAGAATGCTTCGCGTATCCATGTGGCCTTTATGCGTTTCCTTGCTGATAGAGACGAACTTGTTCAAGAGCTGGCCTCTCGAGGTTTGAGTATCATCTACGAACTTGGCGATGCTGACCTTAAGGAGACCTTAGTGAAGGGTCTTTTCAAGTCGTTCACCGACTCGGAGACAACTAACAATCTCACCGCTGGAACGGTGGATTTGGAGACCCAATTGTTTGATCCAGATGTGTTGAAAACCCACGATGGGTCTGTTTCGACTTATAAGGATGTTCTCAATTTAGCCCAAGATGTCGGTGATCCCGGTTTGGTCTACAAGTTTATGTCATTGGCAAAGTCCAATGCTTTGTGGTCATCAAGAAGAGGAATGGCTTTTGGGTTAGGATCCATCATGGCTAAATCAAGCTTGGACGACATGCTTCTCAGTAACAAGAACCTTAGCAACAGATTAATCCCTAAGCTTTACAGGTATAGATTTGATCCTAATGTTGCAGTGTCAAAATCGATGAACGATATCTGGACGGCTCTTATTAAGGATGGACCGAAGACTATACGGACGCACTTCGATATTATCTTGAATGAAATCCTCAAGACCATGGGCTCCAAGGAATGGCGTGTTCGTCAGGCCAGTGCAGCTGCTCTTGGAAACTTGCTACAGACTCAGCCTTTAGAGCAGTACGAATCCAGGCTTGAAGAAATTTGGAGCATGAGTTTCCGTGCTATGGATGACATCAAGGAGAGTGTTCGTAAGGAGGGCGCTCAATTGTGTCGTATGTTGGCCAGAACTCTTTCAAGACTTGCAGATGTGAGTACAGGTAACGTCACAGTTGCTAAGGCGACCGAAGTGTTGAATTATCTTATTCCATTTTTCTTGGGTACGAAAGGATTGCATAGTGATGCTGAAGACGTCAGAGACTTTGCACTTGAAACCATCTTAAACCTTTGCAAGGTTGGTGGGAAAGCGGTGAGACCACATGTACCTAAGCTCTTGGAGACTTTTATCGAATTGATGTCAACCCTCGAGCCTGAAGTTGTCAATTATCTTATGTTGAATGCTGAGAAGTACAACTTGAGAACCAACGATGTGGATGCCAAAAGACTTCAAAGTCTTAGTCATTCGCCAATGATGGATGCAATTGAGAAGATCCTTGCTATCGCAGACGAGGAGTTGATGCCACAAATTGTCAACTCGATTCGTAAGTCGGTAAAGAAATCGGTGGGGCTTCCATCAAAGGTTTGTGGCAGCAGAGTCATTGTCAACCTCATCACCAAAAACTACATGAATGCAAAGCCATACGGTGATAAGCTTCTTGAGATTTGTATTTCGCAATTGAATGATCGAAATGCTACTGTTGCTTCGTCGTACGCTGCTGCTGCCGGATATGCGTCCAAGATTGCAAGCCTCGACGCGGTATTGAATTACAGTGAGTTGATCTCAAAGACTTACCTTGAGGCTGAGGATGAAGCTCCAAGAAGACTCGCAGGAATTGCCTCAGAAAGTGTCAGCAGATATAGTGGACTGGATAGGTTTGAAGCAGTTGCAACAGCGTTCCTCCCCTTGGTTTACATTGCCAAACATGATGAATCAGAGGAGGTCAAGGAGATCTTTGAACGTGAGTGGATAGAGAGTTCAGGAGGAAGAAGCGCAGCCAAGCTTTACTTTGATGAAATTCTCAAGATCAGCGAAACATACGGCAAGCTGAACAACTATTATGTTCGCCAGGTCATTGCAAGAGCTATTGCAGATGTCTGTAAGACCGTTGAGATTGATTCTGATAAGCAGTTACAGACTCTCTTTACTTTGCTTTTGGAGTTCTGCAAGGGTAAGTCTTGGTCAGGTAAAGAATTGGTGTTTGAGGCATTGGTCGATTTTAGTGTTCTAAAGTCAGATTATGTCAGGAAGAACGAAGACTTACTTGAACAACTTTACAAGACGGTTCAAGTTGAGGGTAAAAGAAGAAACAAAGTCTACCAAGTCAAAGCCATTCTTAGTGTTGGCAAGTTTATCCACGAGTTCCCAGAGAACTTAGATTTGGTCGAAACTTACGTTGAAGTCATGGCTGACGTTCTCACAGAAGATTATCTAGAGGAGATTGATCTCGCAGAACATCAGTCAACTAAGAAGTTGAACAAGAGCCAGGAAGATATCATCTTTGAAGAGTTCAACTTGGATATCTTGAAGAATATATTCCAGTCTGTGTCTCCCAAACAGCTTCACAAGGACCTTCTCCAATTTGCATTCGAATCGTCAGCCAAGTTCAAGAACTCAAGCCATGAACAGTCATGGAGAACTTGTACAGGGTTCAACGAGAACTTCAAGTTTCTTTTGGAAGGTTTGGCTAATGAGAAAACATCACTTGGTTCGTCAGAACTAGATTTGTTGACCAAGGCCTTTAAGATGCTATTTGAGTTTGGCGATAAGGGAATGTTAGAGAAGAACCTTATTATGTTGGCTAGGAACTCGAAAACGTTCTTTAAAGTATTAGAACAGAACGGCGCCGTCAATCAAGCTTCATATGTCGTGGACAATTTGAAGAAGATACAGCAAGAATCGATTTCCACGATAACAGCGAACGAGGTGTCCAGCGCCATTGAAGCATTTAATTAATTCTACATTTCAAATAGTCTAATGATAGATTCAACACTATTTATATGATTAGTCATGCAACCGATCACTGACCGCCTCTCAATCTCAACACCAAGTGGAGAGTCGACTCCTTTTGGATGTTGTAGTCAGAGAGAGTTCTACCATCTTCCAACTGCTTACCAGCAAAAATCAATCTCTGCTGGTCTGGGGGAATGCCCTCCTTGTCCTGGATCTTGGACTTAACGTTGTCAATGGTGTCAGAAGATTCAACTTCAAGAGTGATGGTCTTACCAGTCAAGGTTTTGACGAAAATTTGCATACCACCTCTCAATCTAAGAACCAAGTGAAGAGTGGACTCCTTCTGGATGTTATAATCGGAAAGAGTTCTGCCATCCTCCAACTGCTTACCGGCAAAGATCAATCTCTGCTGGTCTGGTGGAATACCTTCTTTGTCTTGGATTTTAGACTTAACGTTGTCGATAGTGTCAGATGACTCAACCTCAAGGGTAATGGTCTTACCAGTCAAAGTCTTGACAAAGATTTGCATACCACCTCTCAATCTGAGAACCAAGTGAAGAGTCGATTCTTTTTGAATGTTGTAGTCAGACAAGGTTCTGCCGTCCTCAAGTTGCTTACCGGCGAAAATCAATCTCTGCTGGTCTGGTGGGATACCCTCCTTGTCCTGAATCTTGGACTTGACATTGTCAATAGTGTCGGAAGATTCGACCTCAAGGGTAATGGTCTTACCGGTCAAGGTCTTAACAAAGATTTGCATACCACCTCTCAATCTAAGCACCAAGTGAAGGGTGGACTCCTTCTGAATGTTGTAGTCAGACAAAGTTCTACCGTCTTCCAACTGCTTACCGGCGAAAATCAATCTCTGCTGGTCTGGTGGGATACCTTCCTTGTCTTGAATCTTAGACTTGACGTTATCAATGGTGTCGGAAGACTCGACCTCCAAAGTGATAGTCTTACCAGTCAAGGTCTTGACGAAAATCTGCATACCACCTCTCAATCTGAGAACCAAGTGAAGAGTCGATTCCTTCTGGATGTTGTAGTCAGACAAGGTTCTACCGTCTTCCAACTGCTTACCGGCGAAAATCAATCTCTGCTGGTCTGGTGGGATACCTTCCTTGTCTTGAATCTTAGACTTGACGTTATCAATGGTGTCGGAAGACTCGACCTCCAAAGTGATAGTCTTACCAGTCAAGGTCTTGACGAAAATCTGCATACCACCTCTCAATCTGAGAACCAAGTGAAGAGTCGATTCCTTCTGGATGTTGTAGTCAGACAAGGTTCTGCCATCCTCAAGTTGCTTACCAGCAAAAATCAATCTTTGCTGGTCTGGAGGAATACCTTCCTTATCCTGGATCTTGGATTTAACATTGTCGATGGTGTCGGAGGACTCAACCTCGAGAGTGATGGTCTTACCTGTTAAAGTCTTGACGAAGATTTGCATTGGTGTTGTGTAAATTAGTTGTTGTTTTAGAAAAAAAGTGAGGTGTTTGTGGCGACTTTGCCTCCTTATATACTACCAGATAGGGGGTGTAGATAGGGTGCGGGTCACGTGCGTTCTAGTGGTTTCTGGGGGAGTGGCCGCAGTGTGCGGCGAGGTGGCGACTGCAGACTAAGCTGAAAACAAGGGCCTGACAGAAAAAGCAATTCACACTCGCCTGCGAAAAAAGCAATACATGGCTGACTGACTGGTGAGCGGCTGGTACCGAGGCCGAAAGTGTTTGAGAAAAAGGTGCCAGTGTTGTTGAGAGAAGAGTGGAAATTTTTGGAAAAGAACAGTTTGAGGTGGGAATCGTGGGTTTATATAGTGTGGTTTTGGAAAAGACGGGTAATTTTTTCCAGGGTTTGTTATCTTTGTAGTTGTCTATTTAGCACTGTTTCTGGATCTTCCTGGATCTTCCTGACTCAGGTGAGACATGGCCAGTACATGGAAAAGATGTGAATATGAGAGAAAATGAATACCAAAATGGTTACTTTTTGATTTGCTATTTGGGGTTTGTGTTAGCTAAGAGTTTGTAGTATATGGGTTTTGTACTTATTTACTGGTGACAGAGTCCATACTGAACGGCTTAGAGTGGGATCCATACCACCAGGACGTTTGCAAAATCACACAAACAGCTAAAAATGGATCAATATGACGACCTTGTAGAAACCATTTGTTCACGGCAAATACCGTTCTTGTTCTCCAGATGCACTGCCACAGATTCAGCCGCAGCTTGTTGCTGTCATTTTGCAGCCATTGGTGGTCTGATCAGGCTGGATGAGCCTCACCATATAGGTGAAACATGAGACTGGAAGGAGTGGAGGAACCGAAATAGAACCAGTATTAGGGTTTTTGTGGGGCTCCATCTTCTATTATAATAAGCTTTATGACTGTGTTTGGTAGTGTCGTATAGAAGTCATGAAGGGTCCAGAAACCCCTAAACAGCGATGGTTGGGTTACTCCTGGTATAAGAAATGGTTCCAAAGCCTCTACGACAAGTCTTTCACACGTGTTTTCATATCTAATTGCTCTAAACATTGGGTGATATCATAAATCATTAGTCATTAGTTGTGGTAATTAGAGGCCCAGTGGGCATTTGCCGGATGGGACGGTAAATTAGGAACCCATCGGTAGTTTTTTTTTCTTTTCGTAAAAGTGTCTTTAGATTGTCGTTTAAAGGATAGCTTCCAAAGGGGAAGGTTTCGTTGTCAAGATGACCAGCAATGGCATCCAATTGAAGTACCGGAGGTCTCCAGTGGGGAATGATGCCCAAGAGTTAGTTACACCGAAAGTAACTGCATCCAGATGGCAAAATCGGCATCGTTCTTCACGGTTGATCGTTGAAGGGAATATGGTTGAATGGTTCTGCTAGGACAGCCAACGGTTCTTCTAGGACAGCCAAAAGGGTCTCAACATCTGCTTTCATGTTTTAGAACATGCCAAGATTCATACTCATGGCTGAAAAAAAGGCTTGAGATCCGTAGGATGTCAGAGACAGACGAATCTTCATCGTAGTGACAGCTCTTGTTGGCAGGTATCAATCGTAATCGCAATCGCATATCATGGTTGCTCTTCATACCCTTTAGCAGATGAAAACAACAGCCATCACCATCAAGAAAGCGTGTTTTATAGAAGTTTAACGCCCTTCATAAAGCAAAAATCATCATCTTCACCGCCAGAGTCGCCGATTGCTCAAACCCTAACTTCGCAGTTAACGGTTGCTAAAGTCCATTGGCCAAAAACAGCCCACTTCTTCCATGCCTTCACTTTATCTCTATCAATGAAGCGCCTTCAACTCCATAGACCTCGCGCCCTGTCTCATCTCCAACCGTAACTGGTCCAACGAGTCTCTAGAAACCCGTAAAGCCTCATCGTCTTCACAAAACCTCACAACCGAATCAACCTTGGCATAAACCGCCAGAGCATAGTTGGGCAGAAACGCCATGCCACCCAAAGGCTGGATGATCACCGTGTATCGGCGCCGAAGCCAATTCATAAAGCTTCCTGAACCCCATTGGCACAAGTAGAGCACCACCGTTAGACACTTGAGCGTAACGAGATGCTTCTGCTGAGCATACAGCGGCTGCAGCAACGTTTTTAGAAGCTTCTTCTCTATCACAGCACATATCGTAGCCATCTTGCGTGGCTCAAACGTGAGTATGGAAAGTTCAAGAAGTTCACTGTTATAAGGCCCAAGGGGCTCCAGAGAAAGCGCTGAGCGTTAGTATAGATCTTTAGATTAGCATCAAAAAAAGAAGGATTCATACCGTTTCTGATTTTCAGCTCTGAAGCAGAGCCTAGTCCAAACAACATTGAAGGTGGTTTGGAAAAGCACAAAAAGAGGTGGATCCAGCTTGGGTTTTGTAGCTTTTCTTGTCTGCTCGGCATATCGGCTGGATTAGGAGCCGCGAGGTAGCGCAAAAATGGGGTTTCAGGTTCGGAAGAACCGGATGAGTAAGGAACCAACCAGCCGGATAAGAAAGTGATTTGGCAGTGGTTTAAATATGGGAAATGAAATTTGGATCGGTTTTTGATCGATCTGACGTCTTTTGATTGGTTGATTTACTCCAGGTTTGGGATTATGGGTGGTGATTTTTCAGATGGTGCGCTGTATAGTGAGATGAGCTAGAGATGGATATGTAGAAAGGCCAATTGGGAATGGCTGGCCGGGTGGCGTAAAGAAGGAGAAGAGGGGGCCCAGGGGATGAATGTGATGTAAGATAAGGCAAGTGAAATTGGCAGCGGGAGGGGTGGATGTGGAAGAATGTGCTGGAGGTGGATGGAGAATGAGGTATGGAAGAGTGATGGATACACAAAATCGGATCGACGAGCAGGGGAAACGGGAAAATATGCAATTTAGCGGGTATGTAGAAATTTCTGGATTTTCTTGTCAACGATCCGGATTGCTTTGGCCAACGTTGGAATGGGGTTCTGGAAACAAGGCTTTATCTATAAGCCATGGTAAAGTGTACATTCACCGTTAGAAGCCCCATTTTCTTGTGGCTAGTCAGGGGCAGGGATGGGTGGTTGGTTTTGATGGGAAGGGGCTAATGTGGGTTTCTTTGGAAGCATTGTAGGTTAATATTGGTGTACCCACAATGCACAGCCGTTCTATTCAAGCCTTTCTACTAATTACGAAGTGGTACCCTACTAAGGGTTTAGTGGATGTTAGAGTAGGGTTGAAGAGGTACGTTAGACCGCTAAATGTACCTTATTTTTTGGTAGGTCTCTTTTTGTGTAGTTAAAGATATGCTTTTGGTCTTCAGGTACGGTCAGACCAGGAACGTTCAGTGTGAATTTTCCGGAAAAACCAGCACCCATTCTAAGCAACCTTATTCATCCACTACTTCGTCCTTCTCTTACCGTACCTACCCGAAACATCCGTTTCCGGATCCGAAGCCTCTATACCTCTCATTACTTCTCAGCCACTAAACACACACAAACTGGCATGAAAAACCTCTCATTCCGAAACAGCCGTTAAGGAAACAACAATTACGGCCTGGTTCGACGTACCACGGACTGTACTTGCCTTGGAAGCTCCGTGTGAGCCTCCTTGAAGAGCCTACTGTGGCACAGTTAGCTTGCTCATTTCAGGTTAAGCAGTAAAAACGGCCCGCCACACTTTAAACTTGCCTAGGCGAACTAGACTTGCTTTAATGGAATCGACACTTCTTTCCGTTTAGGAATACTGCTGAAATTGGCATTAGTCAGTGTTTGGCACTAAGTGTGGGTGCAAAAATGTCGTCGCATGGTCAGCACGTATTTCCACCCACAGACGTCGTAGGAGCATGAAAACAACACCATTCGAATCAGAAATCTCCACTCAACAAAACGAACCCATTTACTACTCTAATCTCCCACAATCGCTACTGTTCACTCGAGGGTTGCTGAGGCAGCGACGACATTGTCGCGTCTTCTGTTGATAAACCGCGGTAGCCACAATACCTTATCCAACAAAGAAAGCACGAAACACGAAACTCTAACAGAATACGAAAGCCAAAGACGAAGAAAAATCAGATGGCGTCACGTGATCAATTGCCAACCCAGCCTCCAAAAAACGCCTCTTTCCAAATCTTCCACTTTCCATGTCCAGCCCTCCACTTGCCTCAAAAAGTGGCCCCCTCCTTGCTCGTGCGTACAATTACCGCAACAGTTAACTTCTCAGAAGACCAGACTTGACGATTTGGGCCCAAAATGAGGAAAACGTCCTGCACATAAGGCGCTCAGCAGTGGGCCGTTCTTTTTTTTTTTTTTTTGTTCCTTCCTTTCTTCGCTCTTTTTTCTCGTTTTTCTCCAGTCCTATCGCTCTGCGCATTTCACTTATCACCTTTTCGATAACGACTCTTTCTTCTTTTTGTTTGCTTTCTTAACAAAAAGGCGTTTTTTCGTTCTTGCGTTTAAAAGCAAAAAAAGAAGCCCTCCAAGGCCTGAAAAACCCGTGCCGCCCATCTTTTAATAAAGAAGAAGGAATTCCCGGTTCTCTACTTCTACCAAAAGGCTCCATTCCAGAACGTCCATTGACAGGCAATAATTGATTGGCTTTTAAGGATCGATCCCTCCAAACAAGACTTGATCTTTTCATTTCCCCCTTTTTTCCACCTTTTCCTCCTTCTGCCCGTCTGGCTGATTAGCCCCATCATGTACTAGACCATGGTCTCCAGCCCTGATCTCCCCGACCAAGAAATCGACCGTTCTGAGCCTGAGCCGCCGCTAAGCGGGCCGTCCCATGGGACTAACGGTGCCAACGGCGCCAATGTGAGTTTCCAAGGGAACTCGGTATCGCTGCTGTCGCTGCAACTGTCATTTACGCTGGCCCTGCCGAAGAAACTGTCGCCAGCGTTCCACTACGATCCAGATATCTTTGCCAAGTGCCAGGAGTATCTCCAGGAAAAGAACTACCACGGTTTGGCCCTTATTGCACGTCAAAAGGGAATTCCACCGTTTCTCCGTTTCAAGGTATGGCCTGTGCTACTTAAACATCACCCTTATGTGCTTAATCCGTTTATCCAGCCGGATTCTCAACCGGACGCCGGTCTGGAAGAGAACCTGACGGAAACTTCCGAACTGGACGCTGATTCTGAGCTCCAGCGCAGAATTAGAAAGGATTTGCGTAGATACATGCATCGTGTGGCCAGTCCTTCGGATGAACCACTCTCTGAAACTGAACTGCGCTTGTTTGACACCTTGGAGAAGTCAGTACACAAGTTCTTTGCCAAATGGGGCAGAATCATCAAGTACGACTCGTCGCTTGCATGGATAGCGTTGGGTCTTGCCGAATGGTTCCCTCCAATCCCACATACTTCGTGGGTTCTCTTGGGCAGGGACGTTCTCTCCTCAAACAACACGCATATGGGTTCGGTTTTTGACGACTACCAAGAATATATCAGCTCGCTGCCTGGTTTGGACTCGTACCTAGAAAGTTTGGTCCAGGACGAAACCATCAGCAATATGAGCTTTCACGAAGTTTACGAAAGGCTTGTCCTCATTCTTTTGCATTCGCCTGAGCTGGCGAATAAGCGTGACATGAACTCGAAGCTGGTCAAGATCGATAAGCTGACGCTTCCGATCAATGGTGGCACCATCGAGGAGCGTGTTTCGTTTTTCATTTATGTGTTCCAGATTCTCTTGCCGGAACTCTCCGAATACTTCCTGGAGGAACAGATTTTAAATAAGTTTGGTTCCCATGACGACGAGTGGCTTATATGGTGGCTCAAGTTCTGCGGTGCCAAGGTCTGGTCTCGTGTGGACAGGGGTCGTGTTTGGGACCTCCTTGTTGGTTGGAGACTCCAGAGCAAGAAATCAGAGAACAACAAGCATTACTACAGCGACAAGCTCAACATTTCAGACCAGTTGCTCGACAAGTTGGGCCCAGACGTGTTCTGGACTGTCGACTACGAGGAGGATCAACCGGCTTCACCTTCGCTCTCAAAGAGGGATTCCTTCAAGGATCTTATGAGCGAATTACACATTGAACCACCAGGAAGCTCGGGTTCGAATGGCCTCAATTCTGGGCTTTTGTCTAACAATGACTTGCCACCACAACGCAACCATGACTCCAACGGCGCCTGGTCTTCTTCCCTGGGTTCGACGCTGCCGTCTCTTCTGCCACCTCTGGAATGTTCACTGACGTCGAGCTGCGGCAACAATGGCCCTATCATTCCATTCTCCAAGATTGATATGCACATCGAGCTTCTTTTCGTTTCGTTGGCTCTCTTGCAAGCGAAGGGAAACACTTTAGTGGAGCTTGACCAGCACGAGATCCGTACTTACTTGTCCAGACTCCCAGCCAAGTCCTTCAAGGCCAGTGACAAGTACAAACAGTACCAGGAGCAGAAAGACAAGGAGAAGGGCGCTGCACCTCCAGATCACGGCTTCCGCTACGACTACATGGACAGTATAATCTACGAAGCAGGCGAGCTATGGAGAAAATGGCTCTGGAGAGAACAGACATCCTAGAGTGCAAGAGACGTTCGCTAGAGTTCTCGCGGTGGGGTGGCATCGCCCTAGAAGTGGTTGCAAAGTTTACAAGAAATGAGCCAAGCTTTCATACTGGAAAGTTGCGATATCTCCAGTGCCTTTCTCTGGAAATTCTTCGCTCCCACTGGCCACATATATAGATTCTCCCTCCCACCACCATAACCACCACCACCACGTTTTACAGGTATGACTTACAAATTTTACGACTAACATTTTACAGGAAACCTCAACCGTCTCTGCTTTCTTCCTCTAACCGTTATTAACGGAACGGAACTAGTACACTTGGAATACTGCATGAGCCTTAAGGTGCATGGGGCCCTCATATAAGGATGTCCTTTCTCGGCTTTCCAGCTCAAGTACCCACTTCTGATTCCCATTTCTTGCTACGTTTATGGCGATGATTCTTAATCCAGGTTACAAAGTTCGAAACCTCCTTGCGCTTAACTTTGCAGGTTTTGCCTGTATTTCGCTTGTGGTGTTTCTTCTGGCTTCGCAGCCATTCTACTTATCAGATGTGATTGGCGTGGACCTGAAGAAGATAGGGTCTGTGGTTGGAACGTTGGGAGTTTTGGACGAATTGACTTCCATCTTGGTGGCTTTGTTCTTGGGAACGTTCAACGATAAGCTCAACTTTTGGGCGAGATCTTCAAAGAGGTTCTTTCCTTCCGGTCCCCGGATTTTGGAGTTTGCAGGGTTCATTCTTTTGGCAGTGGCTCTTTTGGGCTATGGAAAGTTGTCTCGTCATGTTTTTCCTGACCTTTGGTTCTGGAGAGCTGTTTTTGCCGTTGCTGTGACCGCTTGTATGAGTATAGTGACGGTGATGCTTCATGAAGCGAACAACTCTGATTTTGCATGGACAGACTTGGCTTTCTGGAAAATGTACCAGAAGAAGCCTGAACACGATGAGGTGGAGCTGGGACTCTTGACGGAAGAGCCTGTTTATGCTCCCCAACAGAATAAGAAGCACGGTAAGCTTTCAGCTTTGCTTGGTGTGTCTACTGGTCTTGGAGCTGTTTTCTCTGTATCGTTCTTTTTGACTTTGCCAGTGAAGCTTAGCGACCACAATTCTGACCTTACCAGAGCTGGAAGTGTGAAATTAGCCTATGTTATCTTGTCGGGATTTGCGCTTATTGCTGCCGTTGTGGTGTTCTTGTTTGCCTATGACAACGCTAAAAGCAGAAAGGAGCATGGCGACATTGAAGCTGAGCTGGCCAGGGAACTGTCCTACTTTGAGCTTCTCAAGCAGGGCCTTGAGGCTTCCAAGAACAATAGAAGAGTTCAATTGGCTTATGTCAGTACGTTTGTTTCTAGATCAACTACAGTTGCAAACGCTGTGTTCATTCCACTTATGGTGTTCAAGTACTACTCCGAGAACGGTCAATGCAGTGGTTCCGTGCTGGAATCCGCCAATACCCCACTGAAGGATGACTGTTACGATGGCTACGTTTTCCTGGCCATTCTTACAGGTGTTGCTCAAACCGTTGCGCTTATTTCTTCGCCATTGTGGGGTGTCTTAGTCGATTCAAAGCGTTTGGGTTGCCTGATGACTTTGCTTACTGCCTCTGTGAGCGGAATGATTGGTGCCTACGGACTTTGTCTTGCCAGTATTGGAGATGGCGGATACGACCCTAGAAACGCCTTGTGTTTCATTCTTGTCAGTTTCATTGGTCTTTCGCAAATTGGAACGATCATTGCTAGCATGAGTTTGATCAGTTCTGTTGGCCTGACGGTGGAATCTGCAGAGCATAAGGTTATTGGCAGCATCAGTGGCTGCTCCAGTGTATTTGGTGGTATTGGTATTTTGGCGATTACCAAGATTGGTGGATCGTGGAGTGATTCGTGGACATTTGCGCCATTCTTTATCTTGGGAAGTCTTAACGTGGTATTGGCTGGTTTTTCTGTCGCTGCCACCAGGAAATAAATAAAGGGAATATGGAAATGATATATGTCAGGAAAGAGATAAGGGAATGTAGACTGACAATTATTGAGAAACTAGTAAGCAGGGTGGTTAAAAGAGGCTTTGATTTGCTCTTGGTAAACTGTCATCGTAAGCCGTACCAGAACGGATGTGGTCTACATCAAATGTCACAAAACCAGAGAAGATAGACGTTTGTGTTAGACATGAGGCATCGATGGTTTCTCTTTCTTGGTGGTTGAGATATAAATTCCTTACAAGATCTAATGTAGACTCTCTGTGAATGTTGAACCTATGTCCAGCTAGGGTATTACCATTCACTTAAAAAGTGACATTGACAGATAACGAATTTGTCAGAAACTCAATAACGTACGTCAAAAATGAGCTTTTGTGGTATTCTTCGAAAAGGTTAGTATATATTAAATTGAATGTGTCACTTAGATATGCCGGTAAGTAAGGATAATATGTGGTATATCCACGGTATGAGACACTTCAGGTAGAGCAACTGGTATATCCATGAGTACCCAAACATCCACTAAAAGTCCCATAAAAATAGACGTTTATATCCACTGTCACTAAACTAATGTCCACTAGACCCTCATAATAAAATAAAAAATACATGTTATTATTACCTAAGTATAATAATTACCACCACTTGCCTTACCACTACTTTGCTTCTCGCACTGAAACAGACATCCACCAAACTCTCAGTAACCCCACCACAATCTCAAAATTCCATAATTCAAACCATCCACGACCAACCCCCAACTCCTAAAATCGACTTCCATCCACTAAACTCTCCCCCAAACATCCCCCACCCTTTGGTTGGTGCCCCCCACGAATGGTTGCAAATTCCTGGCTTCGGTCCTCCACACTGCGCACGAAAAACCAGACATCGCCAGATCAAAACCTATACTAACAACCACTTGCAACAGACAACTTACCCATAAAAAGGCCATGCTTGAGGTGCTTCTCACTGCAGTTCCAGCACTCTGCTGGCTTCTTTGCAGATGCTACCATCTTCTTCAGACACCGCTGGCTACGCTTTTCCAGAAACTCAATATAGACATTCCTCATGCTCCACAGGTGACCATCGACTCGCTTGGAGAGGACTATGTGATTCTTCATTGGGATACGGAAACGGCTTCTGAGAATATTTATTATGTGGTGCTTTTGAACGGACGTGAAGCGGCCACGTTGGCTGGGAAACTGATCAAACTCTGTGGGCTTCAGCTGGCTCACATGTACCTGGTTCGGGTTTTGGCGGTCAACGCTGCTACAAACTTTAGATCTCAGAGTGGCGCTGTTTACGTGACGACTACGGATTCAAAGGTGGATTTTGATGATATCAATGAAACGCCTGGATGGGCGGTTTCGTCGTGGACGGATAATATGGAGATCAGTGAAAAGGATGCCCAAGTGTCATACGACCCTAACGATTCCAGCCCAGAGCTGTTGCGCCGCCAAATTAGGTCTCATCAGCTTGAGTTGCATAGAACGAAAGCTGATATGGCGGCTTTTGCTCTTTTCCAGCAAACTGAGATGCTGCTGCTTCTTAGAAGCTATAACGAGTATAAGTATGTGTTGAGTGAAGAGCACGAGCAGAGAGGCCGCAAGGATCTGGACGTCAAGGAGCTTGAAAAGAAGAAGGACTCTTTGACGTTTGAAAAGCTTAAACTTCTGAAACAGCTTCGTAACCACCGCTCCCATAAACTGATCCATAAAGCTAGTTTGGCTGAACTACGGTCCCGTGTGACGAAACTTGAGGAGAAGAAACATCATGTTTTGAATACTGCTGACCTGGAACGTGCTCGTGTGAAGACTACTGTCGAACAGCTCCACCGGGATATCACTGAACTTAAGGAACAGTTGACCCAATTGGAGAACAACTCTAAACAGCTTAATGGCGAAAGAAAGGATTTGAGCCATCAGGTTAACCTGTTGAAACCACTTGTGGATCAGTTCACTGTGTTTAACCCTCAACCTACTGGTGAAACTTCACCTAACGGTTCTCAAACCAGTCTTTCTAGTGTGTTTGAAGTGTTCACTAGAGATTCGCTTTTAACTAAAGGTGGTGCTGAACTATTGAAGAGACTCACCACTCTCCGTCCTGAGTGGGAGGGAGATATCAATAGAGAGTTTGAGGCTCTTACTGCATTAGAACTGTCCTGGAAATCTGCCTACAGAAATGCCATTCGCAAGTTCGTCATGATCCACAACAATGCTGAAGTTGCTCGTGCTTCGGCTAATCCAGGATACCAGCCACAGAAGATCACTGAGTACCAGGCCAGCGTGGAGTTTGGAGGATTCAGTAATGCTTTGCCTAAATCGAGGCCACCTAAAGTCTACACTTTCATTGATGAGCATTCACCAGCACCAGACTCACCAGCTTCAGGTCCTGTCTCTCCACCCATTCCTGAAACTGAGAGAATGGCTCCTTTCTACAGCAGAGTCTACGATGAGCATGATAATAACCTGGGAAGCTTGGTTTCGGAAGCTCCTCCCATGGCTAGAGACTACTCTGAGGCCTCGAGAAACATGGAGGTTCCAGACATCATGGCTAGAGACTATTCTGAAGCTCCTAGAAATAGAGATATCCCTGATATCAACATGGGCAGAGACTATTCAATGTCACAAAGCAACAGTCTCAATGTGCCTATGATGGCTTCTTCGTCCTCGCTTGCCCAGAACCAACAGGCTATGGGGTACAATTCGGGCCATCAACAGAGTTTCTCACAGTCAAGTCTTCCGCTGGCCAATCTTGGAAACAACCTTAACCAAGGCATGAACGTGCCATTGGAACCTTCGGTTTCAGGCTCGCTGATTCAGGCCTCATTGCTTGGACCACTGTTGCAAAACCAAGACTCGCTTCTGCAATTTCTGTTCCCACTCCAGTCCAACTTACAGCCTGGAATGCAACAAGACAGGTCTCACCATTTGCAATCCAACTTGAATGATTCCCTTCAGCCTGGATTGCAACAAAACCTTCAGCAGATGCAATTCTTGTCGGGTCTTCCTTACGAAGATCAAATGTACGGAATGAGATCGCCTACTCCTGAAAACCCACCATTTGGATCGTCTACCCAGCAGTCCATTCCATCTTTGTGGAATACTCCAGGTACTTCTTCAAACGCTCCTGGCAATACCAACACTGGTGGATTCTTAAATTCAAGGCAATACCCTAAGCAAATGTCGCTTTCGCCAGGTCCTATGAACACAGAGTTGTCGCCATCCCAGTCCATTGTATCCCAGCCCAACGATGCCTTACTTGATTCCCTTTTACTTTCCAACAACTCACAACTCCCAGGAAGCTCGTTGTCTGGAAACTTACCACTGAATATCTGGCTGGACAGACTCAACCCTGGCCTTTCCAACCATGGCAGAGCGCTTTCTGGCGGAAACCATATCTGGAGAAATGATGTTCCAAGCGGGATGATTTCCCCAGATTTCCAGCCATTCCAGTCCAGAAAGAAAGAGCGTGACGATTCCGACGATATCCAGCTGTTATAGGTTATTTTGTTGACTGAGAACTCGTATGGAGCCGCCAAGAGTGGTTTACGTCAACGGTGATGTGCAGCTACTACGCAGAAGGAGTGCAAAATGAAGCTTAAAAACCACCAAACAACTACTTGTTACTTTAAAATCAGCTGCTTATCTGATGTTCAGACTTATCGCCCCCTTCAACGCCCCCACGCCAATGCTTGCCCAGGGCGTGGGCAATCGACATTGCCGTTTGAACCTTAGAGAATGCGCTGCGTCAAAATACCCAGCGCTTGAGGAACAGCTGAGGTGTGTATTTTAAGCCACACAAGGTAAACATGCAAATTGCCTTACATATTCGTCGAGGCCAGCCCAGGACCAGCCCAACAAACCCTTAAAACCAACCTGAAGTCACTTGTGTCACTTCTGCCCCTTACTTTCAGCGGGGTACCGTGACTTACCCCTTTCTTGAAGATAAGCTTGACCAGGTCAACTCACCGGCTAATCGCGGGAAGACTCACTATTTCGTCCAGTTTTTCCACCTTGTGTGTCTTTTTTTTCGCTCGGAGCCTCCATGCAGAGATTCTACCAAGACAAGCCAGAGCGAGCATGAACTAACTGCCACAAAGTACCCCACCTTAAGCCTGGAAATGCATTTCCGAAACTTTTTTGTTGATAAGTTCAGGATTGCACCGTTTGCGCCCCGCCCTTTTCGAACCTTTCGATAAGGCACTTGGCGCAGTTTGGGCTGAGGCTTCCTTTTTGAGGCTTCCTTTAAGGCTCTTTTGGGGCTCCTGGAGCTTTCTTTTTCGGCGTTTGAGGGCCATGCAGTGCAACCTGCTGCACTTGCTGCAAAAAAAATGGCTCGGTCATCGCAATCTTTTCCGAAGCAGTATTACTAAGAGTCATATAAATAAAGACGTGTCGTCGTTAAGTGCATAAAGTGTGGTATTTTTCACTTTTTCAATATGACCATTCTCGAAGATCGTGAACGGTTCACGATTCATAATGAGTTCAGAAGCGATACTTTCACTTTACCCACGCAGCACATGAACGAGGTGGTGCTTGAAAAACTCTCGCTGGGTTCCTTACTCATGGGTGACTCAGTGTACAAGGAGGATCCATATACGTTGGAGCTTGAACTGCGGTTTGCCGAGTTGACAGGTAAAGAGGCTGCGCTTTTCTGCGTTTCTGGAACAATGTCTAACCAGATCGGACTTCGAGCTGCTTTGCACCAGCCTCCATATTCCATTCTTTGTGACCATAGAGCCCATATTTTTTTGCATGAAGCCGGAGGAACTGCTACGTTATCGCAAGCCATGGTGCATCCTGTTATTCCAGAAAATGGCGATTACTTGACGTTGGATGATATTCTCGAGAACTATACGCCCGATGATGGCGATATCCACGGCGCCCCTACAAAGATTATCAGTATGGAAAACACTTTGCACGGAATAATCACCCCAATTGAAGAGATTCGTCGTATTAGCGAATTTGCTAGATCTCAAGGTATTTGGATGCACTTGGACGGCGCTCGTTTGATCAATGCGTGTGTGGCAACCGGTGTTTCGCTTAAAGAGTACTGCCAGTACTTTGATTCCGTCTCGATCTGCTTATCCAAATCCTTGGGTGCTCCTATCGGTTCCATTCTCGTTGGTGACCGCAAATTCATTGAAAAGTCCAATCATTTTAAGAAACAAGCTGGCGGTGGTATACGGCAGGCCGGTATGATGACCCTTATGGCGCTTACGGCTTTGGAAGATAACTGGGATAAGATTGCCATTGCCCATGACCTCGCCAGAGACGTTAGTGACTTTTGCAAGAAACACGATATTGCGTTGGAATCTCCTGTTGACACGAATTTCGTTTTGTCGACTTGAAGAAGAACAAAATGAACGACGCGTTACTCGTGAAGTTTGCAGAAAAACACGGCGTCAAGCTCATGGGAGGACGTATTGCCTTCCACTTCCAATTGAGCGACGAGAGCGTCGAGAACTTGAAGGCTGCTTTGTACGAGTGCAAGCAAGACGCATTGAAGAACCCTTACGAAGGCAGGCGGTGCAACAAGCAGATGTACAATGTCGACGTTATCAAGAACTTTCAGGAGCTCAGCGTGGCTTCTCAACCTAATTAGCATATCAGCATATATAACCTTTGGACCGGTGGCCTCCGCGGCAACCTCCAAGGAATGAATCACACCTTAATGAAGTTTACCATATCCAGCAATTGTAAAGAATCACGAGTCACTGCTGACTCATAAACCTTATCCGTTCGTCCCTGATCAGATAACGAACCTATCTTATCCGGCACTTACTCCGTGGATGGATCTCAATAAGTCAGCAAGCGAAAGTACACAAAACGCAAAACACAACGGTGGCTCCCCACATTTCAAGGTTCTCCCGTGGAAGCCAAATGCCACTCAGGTTAGGATTTTGTAAGTCAGCAATGAAAGACGAAAAAAGGAAGGAACCAATTGTGGGTATGTCTGACGTTGCCATATCCACTTTCTGTGAATTTCAATATACGAGTGGTTCCTTCAAGGAGGTGAATTTGAAGCCCCTGAATATTATTAGGCGTGTCAAGATCCCCCTAAAAAGACGTTATTCTTGGTTATCAGAGATCCTGACCGATGTCGGATAATCGTCCGGAACAACCATTGCCAAAAGTGAATGTACTTGCATATCCACGGAGGGTTTCTGCTGTCTCGGACGGCACATAGTCCGGAAAAGGAACCAAAACTTGGGCTATGTGCCGTACCCGCATAAAAGGTGCGTTCTCGGAGCACGGAATACGGCTGAATGGCTGCAAAAGTTGTGACTACGAACCACTATATAAGTACTTGTGTTTTCGTTGCTACATATCATCAACACTTCAAATCAATCAACAATCATGAGCAGCCTGGAATCTCTAAGTTCTCTGGAATACGTCCCCCAAAAGCTCACCATGGACCCTTCTGATGAAAGGTCCAACAGAAGCGTAGAGCTTACCAGAACAAGAACAGAAACTGCCAGATCGCTTAAGGAATTGGGAATCAATGAAGATATCCCCCAGCCTGACCTTAATATGCCTCCATGTCAAGATCCAATCTTTCCTGAAGAATATACACTCGAGACAGAAACAGGGTTGGTGCCAGTAGAAGGCCTTCAAAGAGTGGGCCGTGTCAAACTGAGGCTTTCAAGAGTGCTGACAGATAGAACTGCCACTTCTGAAATCAAGGAGCTTGATCCTACTATAGAGTTTGTCACTTTCAATATCAATGACCCTGAAAACCCACACAATTGGAATATCTGGCTCAAGTGGTTCTACACATTCATTTACTCCTGGGCTGTCATCTCTGCTGCCTATGGTTCTTCTTCCTTGGCTGGAGGCCTTGAACTTGTTAGTGAAAAGTATAATGTTTCTACTGAAGTGGCTGTATTGACGGTATCTTTAATGGTGATTGGTTTCCTTGTGGGTCCTTTGCTCTGGGCACCACTTTCTGAACAAATCGGAAGAAGACCGGTTTACTTTATCAGTTTTGGGCTTTATACGCTTTTCAACGTTCCTGTCGCTCTTTCTCCAAACATTGCCGGTGTCTTGGTCTGTCGTTTCCTTCTAGGAGTATTCGCTTCTTCTGCATTGACCAATGTGGGTGCCAGTTTAGTGGACCTCCATTGTGAAACCAGAGGCATGGCAATTGCTATTTTCTCGTTTTGTCCATACTCTGGTCCTGTTTTTGGTGGTATTGTCAATGGTTTCATTTCTGTCGATACTGGCAGGTACGACCTTATGGTCTGGGTGAATATGGCGTTTGCTGGTGTGATGTGGATCGCCATGGCCTTTATCCCAGAAACATATGCTCCTGTTATCTTAAAAAGAAGAGCGAAACGCCTTAGAAAGGAAACTGGTAATGATAGAATTATGACTGAACAGGAAGCAACGCCCATGTCGTTCTCTGAAATGATGAACAACAACTTGTATCGTCCCATGAAGTTCTGCTGGCAGGAACCCGTGTTGGTGCTTATTTGTGCATTTGTGGCGCTTATTTACGCTTTGCTTTATGCTTTCTTTTTTGCCTACCCTGTCATTTTTGGCGATCTTTATGGATATAAAGACGATAAGATTGGTCTTATGTATGTTCCAATTCTTATTGGTGCATTGCTTGCAGTGGCTGTCACTCCAGCTTTGGAAAGAAGATACTTAGCGTTGGCAAAGAGACGTAAAACTACTCCTGAAGATAGACTAGTGGGTGCTATGATTGGTGCTCCTTTCCCTTGCATTGCCTTGTTCATTCTTGGTGCCACTTCGTATAAGCATATCATCTGGGTTGGACCTGCTTCTTCGGGTATTGCATTTGGCTTTGGAATGGTGTTGATTTACTATTCATTGAACAACTATATCATCGACACTTATGCCAAGTATGCTGCTTCTGCATTGGCCACTAAGGTGTTCTTAAGAAGTGCAGGCGGTGCTGCTTTCCCCTTGTTCGTCACGCAAATGTACCATGGATTGGGCTTGCAGTGGGCTTCTTGGTTGCTAGCATTTGTATCATTGGCAATGATTTTGGTTCCTTTTTGCTTTTATAGATATGGTGGTACTTTGAGAGCCAAGCTTTGCAAGGAAGACTACTCGGGTAACCTCATCTGAGTTCCACTGAATGGAACTTCTATTTCCTATGCATTTTTTTATAGATCAGCATAATATACCAACGACTCAATGACGAATTTCGTGTAAAGCATGCAAATGGATGTCCTCGCTGAGAGCCTCCATATTGAAAGCACCCTTTGGCGAGTGCTCCACGTCCTTGAGCAATTTGGTCACCTCCGACAAGTCAACACCAGTAATGTTGGCCATGAACGCGCCAATCTCAATGTTCTCGTGATTACCGATCAAACCGGTGTATGGATCCCTCTGGTAAAGCTGCTTGTTAATCTTATCAGAGTTTGAGAAAGCGTAGATATTCACATCCACTGCAGAGTGGCCCAGAGTGCTCCATCCAGTCTGAGAACGCACTGAGATCATGTTATTAAGGAATCCCAACAACCGGTTTGGATCGCCTGCAAACTTCTTCACTGTTTGAATCTCCTCCTTGGTGTAGTCAGTAATACCCATATCCTGCTCAACAATCTCCTTGGCGATGTAGGTTTCCAAAGAAGCGTCATCCATATTTGTCTGACTCTGTTTGCTGATCATCTTCTTAACCAAAAACTCACCTGAATGGCTACTGTTAAGCAAAACCTCAGGGTACCATAAGTAATCAGGGTAGTTTTCGGTAACCTGTCTAGCAGTCACCAAGCCACCAGTCTCGTGGTCAGAAGTGGAGATCACAACCGTCTCAGTGTCAGTGTTGTCCACAAACTTCATCACCTCCTTCATTGCTTCATCGTATGCCAACACCTCTCTAACCTGAGCAGCTGGGTCATTCTGATGACCGGCGTGATCAATTCTAGAGCCTTCAATAAGCAAGAAGAAGCCCTCCTTGGAGTCCTTGGTAGCATCGGACAAAGAAGTAAGCGCCACCTTGACTTCCTCAGCCAAAGAAGGATGCACTGACGAGTCTCTATCGATATCAAATGGAATATCTGTAGGAGCCAAGAGTGAAAGGAGAGGCAATTTGACGTTTCTTCCCTCGTCCAACGCGTCAAACAGCTTTCTGTCGCCAGCGTAACTCCAACCGTTCTTCTGTGCTTCCTCGATCAAGTTTCTATCGTCGTTTCTACAGCCCTGGTTGGCTTTTGGCAAGAAATGGCATCTGCCTCCGCCAATCATCAAGTCAACCATTCTACCCAATGGATACTCACCCAACTGGTGCTGAGCAATAAGATCCTCTTGGAAACGGTAGTCAGCGTGAGAGCTGAATGCAGCTGGAGTGGCATCGGTGATTCTTGTAGTGACAACAAGACCCGTGTGCCAGCCACGCAATTTCAATGCCTCTAAGATGGTTCCGCATGGCGACTTCTCTGGGTCAACGCCAATTGCACCGTTGTAACTCTTCAAAGCGCAAGAGAATGCTGTAGCTCCTGCTGCTGAATCAGTCACCAACGAGTCGTTGGAACGGGTTCTCGAAGATCCAATAAGAATGGAGTCCAAAGCCAAAATGTCGTCAATGTCGAGCTTGTCTCTGTATTGCTTGAAAGAACGTGCAAGCGACAACGAAGCAGGACCCATTCCATCCGTCACCATAAAAATAACGTTTCTCTTTGGAGCTTCATGATTTCCACAGTTTGTAAGACAATAAGTAGCGAGTAAGATGAGGTACACTGGAAGCAAGACCATTGCCCAAATGGCTTTCTTTGGAAATGACTTTTTTTGTTGCACAGGGGTCTCGATCTCGTCTAAGCTGGCCTTCTCATCAAGAAAATCAGGGTCCCCTGAAGGAACTCTCTGGTAAGACTTCTTAAAAAACATGTTGTATGGAAGAAAGAAGACTGAGTGGGGTCTGATAAGAGAAGGTAGTCGACTGGCGGGCTGCCTGCAGGACATTCATGGGTTCCCAACAGGACTAGGAAGCCTAAATGGGGATTCGTGTGGCATGGTTGTTTTCAAAGGCGTGTATGGAGGGGGTAAATATGATTTCTGTTTGTTATAGGGGTCGAAATTGGCCTGGTGTTGGTCAGTTGTTGGTTGTAGGGAATGGCTGCGAAAACGCATAACCTTGGGCTGGGACGGTCACGTCATGGCTCGATAGATAAGATAAGCGTGTTTAAGGTTTGGTTTTGTGATACTTTGGATTTGGAAGTGGATGTTGGAGGTGAAGAAGGTGTTGGCGTGTGGTGTGGTACCTGAGAACGTTCAGTGTCAGCCAGCCAATGAAACAGGCTATTGGTATAGGTGAAACGCATTCTGAAAACAGCGCCAGGGCCAGTGCCAGTACCAGTACCAGTTCGAGGACAGGTTTAGTATGAGCATTCTGAGAGAGTCAGATAAAGATATTCCTTGTCCCGGTTCGTGGACGTTCTTACACATTCGTTTAGATACTTCCTTGTGTCCTCCAGAGGTTCAGGTAGCCTCCTAAAATCAGTGAACTTTTAGTCAAACCAACATAGGTTTAGTCAAAATCAACAGATGGAGCGTCGACGGCATCCAACATGTACTGGGCCATGTAGATATCCATAATGGAAAGACCTACGATCTTGGCAACGGTTATGCCAGACTTGGTAGTTGTTTTACCCTGAGCCTTTTCAGTCAAGTAGTCATTCAACGAGACAAGATTCTCTTCGGAGCTTCCACTCTGTACCAACTCACCGGCTTCAGACAAAGCGTGTGTCTTGGAGTCTACAATGATCTTGTACTCGCCTCTAAAGCTCTTCTCCACGAACTTTGGGTCAAGTTCAACCATGTGCGGTTTGTACGATCCAATAAGCACAATGAGCTTCTTAGAGGTCGTATCAAGGTACTCTTCCTTGATAGTGGGTTCCGTTGAAGGCACACAGCCAAAGATCACCTCGGAATTTCTAACCCTATCGCCGACCTCACCACTAGAAAGCGCAAGAGCCTCGGTTTTCACTCCATCCACCTCCTTAATCTCATCACAGAGCTTCTGGGCACTTTCCTGAGACCGACTTACCACTGTAACCCTCTGAACCTGATAAACCCTCAAAACAAGAAATACATGCCAGAACGCTTGTGGCCCCGTTCCAAAAACCGTAACATGGTCAATATTTGGCCTAGTCTTTACATCAAACTCCTTCCATACCACCAGAAAACTAGCCAAGGCTGTTCTGAACGCAGTGAGTGATTTGGCATTCACCACCCCAAGCAATTCTCCACTCCGTGGGTCCAACATGCCCGTAAACCCCTGAAACCCCAATCCCTTCTTGGAATTGTACGACCCTCCACTAATAACTTTCGTGCCCACGCTGTCTGGAGCAGCACATGGCATAAACAAGTGAGTGGTATCACAACCAGGGTAGTTTGAAGTGAGTACTGTTCTTTCAGGCACCACTGCTGGGTTTGCCTCGTAGTCGGCCAAAGCACGTTGGAGCACTGGAAGGTACTCGTTTCCGACCTTTTCTTTGGTCAATGAGCCAATAAGGTGCTTTTTGATCAGTTTATCTGAAAGAATCTTCATTGTGGAGTAGTAGATTTGTCAGTGCGAAGTCGGTGATTTCTGGGGTAAAAGTATGGGGTGATCAGGGAAGCAAAGATCGGCAGATTTGGGAATGCAAAGGAAGGGATGTTTGAAATGGAAGGTAATTGAGAGGTATGAATGGAAGCTTTAGCATTTTTGAAGATTTTTGGTGGTTTTGGTGGGAGTTGGTGGATTCCGTTTGGCTGCGAAATTCTTCTACTCTTGCCATACATAGACATAATGTATGGAAAAGATGAGTTTCGTGAACTTTATAGGTGGTGATATTTTGACTTCTTATTTTTTTTTTCCGTTTTCAATGAGGTCTTTGGAAGGTGGCTACTTAATGGCCTATATTTTTGATTTATTGACAGCTTTTGTGGATTCGTTGGAATTGCCGGTAATGGTAGTTAAGAAGTACTCATTGTCCATACTGGAACCACCAACCGTAAGCAAAACCTATATAAGCAAGGCTTCACTTGGTTTCAAGCAAGCACTTCAAAGCTTCTTATGTCATAAACGCTAGGAATTTCTTATTTCAATATCTTCTTGTAGATATGAGAAGCTTGGTAGTATCATTCAGACATCCTTTGTCTCACTTCTTCTACCTTCCACTTCCTCTTTTAAATTTTTACAAGAGTTACCAAAGACAAGCATAAATCATGAAGACCTGTAAGACCTTCCTACCATTCATTGCCCTTAAGTTCCCGTCTATGTCACACAAGTCATTCTACACCAGCTACCTTCCTACTCTTCATTCCCTTAATAACCTTTTATTCCTAAACTCTTTATCCAGTCATCCATTAAGCCACTTGCTTCTCTTATTTTCTCTGTATGACTCGTAAAAGTCATCCATGAAACTGCTGGGCTGTTCAGTGGGATTCACGATTCCATACTCAGTAGGAGCTCCAAAGTACCCAAAAGGATCATTCTGGTTATAAGCATCATAGTCATACTCACCCCGACTTCTCTTGAACTGCCTTGTAGAATCCGATTCCAACGGCTGGACATTAGTAGTATCAAAGACATTGTTGCCAAAGTCTTCCAGTGGATCACTGAACAACGAAGGTGGAGCCTGACAGTACGGGTTGTTGTAGAAGATTGGCTTTCCGTAGTTTTCCAGCAGCTGTGTAGACTCCAGCCATGTTTGAGTGTTTGCCTGCCAGACATTATTGGTCTCCCACATTGGGTGTACGTTTCCATTACGGTACGTATAGTTGGAGTCAATGTTCAATGGAACACTGGCTTGTCTCGAAACAGACGACTCTGTTCCATCTGGAGATGCACGCAACAGAAACGTGTCATCCTTAAACAGCGCCACCTCTTCTTCAGGCAGAAGCTTCTGTAAGTTCTGTTTCAGAATAGGTTCTGGAATGGGCTGGAGGTTTGGAGCGCTAACTACCAAAGCCTGCTTGACCTGTTCCATTTCTTCAAGCACCGCAGATAACTGGACGTCAAAGTCGTCAAAAGATGGAACAGAGCTTTCCTCCACCTTGGCCTTGGGAAGCAGCTGTGCTGGTTTTGGTTCATATCCTGGAGGAGGATATGGAGGAGGGTCGAAATGAGGAACCAGTGCTTGAACAACAGGAGCAATTGGAATATTTTGAGGGGCATAAGCCAGCGGCGCTTGCCTAATAGTAGGCGCCTCCTCTACTTGTCTTGGGAGCATTCCTTGCCTTAAAGAAGGAAATGTGTCCCTGACGTATTCCTCAAGCAGTCTGAACTCTGGCTCACCCTTCTCTTCATACTCTTCCTCTTCCTGAGGACTCTTAGGAGTATTGGCAGGCGGTGGGCTATCGACAAAGGTGTCTTCGTCGTAGAACTCAAAAGCTGGAATAGAGTCAAGATTGAACATCATATTGGTATTTGTAGGATACAGCATTGGAAGATGATACTGAAGAACAAAGGGCGGGAACAGGCTGTTGATATAGAAATTGGATAGAGCAAAAAATAATTAGAAATATGGCGCCTTCGTCAAGGCAAAGCAGCAATTGGGTAGATATAGGAAGCAAAAGAGGTAAGTGGTGGTTTGTGCTAACGCAACTCCAGCGTTTTGCGGGTATTTCAGAAACCCCAAGGCGATCGAGAGAACATCGTAGATTGGAATGGGGATAAAGAGGGGTGGATTTAAAGGGAGGAAAATGTTGTTTAAAATTCATAAAAGGTGTTTAATTGGTGTATGGGATCATTCTGGTGATTTATAGCTTGTAGCTATGCATCATAGCCATTTAATGACTCCAAGAATGGAAGTTGAACAGATACTGGAGCACCGCCTGGAAGAGGGCGAGGCTCAAGTAGTTCAGTGACTACGAGAGTATTACTTTTTATTATTCTGAAGGGGGGCGGAGGTTTTCCTGCCTTGTTGGTCAGCTATTGGGGCTCTTATCCCGCCCAACACCATCTCTCGTTTAATCATGTATTCATTATTTTTATCGTATTGTCTAGGCTCTTCTAGCATCGCTGGCCTATGCTAGGATCATGCCATTCTCCACTTCTGGTCCAGCCTGGGCCATTTCCAGACGTACAGATACGAGCATGTCCATGACGTTGGCCAAATCCTTGATCTCTTCCCAGTTAGGGAACTCCCGCTTTATCAAGCTATCCATAGCATTAATAAGAGAGTACATGTGAGCTCTGGTTGCAACACTATCTGAAGCACTGGCTGAGCCCACGTTGGCCACCTTACATCTGATGGATATCTTCTTTAGCTCAGCAAGAAGCTTAGAGCGGTTCCATTCGAGCTGCTTGGAAACTACTTCCTGAACAGGCCCTGAAGTACAGAGTTGAATGAAGGCCTTCTGCAATGGACTCAACTTGGTGTGTACCTTCATAGCAGTTCTAAGGATAAGGTCATTATTTCTGGACGACGACTCCCATATACTGAAAGTCGACCGAACATTGTTAAGCGATTGGACGTAGTAATGCTCGTCTCTCTCGGGATGCAGTAGTTGTCTGTAGTGTTCAAAGTAAAAGCGCCACACTATACGTTCATAGAACGGCAGCAAGAGTCTCAGCTGAATAAGTGGCAAGAAGACCTCCTCAAAATTCAGTCTCAAGATCTTCACCACCAGAATAGGCTTCTTCAAATCGTTATACTTCTTCATGAGCACCACGTTAAACTCCATAAAGTTCTGCTGAGTCCACCCGTTCTTCCGAAGCAAACTCCTATCCAAGTTGTCTATGTTGAACGGGAGTCTGTGGAGCAAAGTCAAGTGCTTATTTAGCAAAAACCGTGTGAGTAGCGGAAATGTAAGCTTGTTTTGTTGTAGAGACAAGCAAAGAAGGTCTATAAGCTCATCTTCGTTTGTAAGCGCCAGCACATGTTTTAGCATATTCTTATCCAGGGCATCTCTCGCTTTCGAAGGCAGTTTCGTCCCTGCTGCCTGGAGATCCAGAATCAAGAAGTTCAACTGCTTTGTATGGTCAGTGAACTGGGGCATGGACATCTCGGGAAGAAGCTCCCGCTTGATTTCAGCATAGTTTTCAGCAACGTCACCCTTCTGGAAGTGTCTAAAGATCAGCGGTTTATAGTTTGGCGTTTTGTTGATTTCATGTTTCCGGGGTGATAGTAGGCCCAAGGCGTTAGCCAAGAGGGCCGGGTCCCCGTTCTTGTTAAGGAACCTGGACGTGAAAAGTGTCCTTACAGGCGTTCTAGGAGGCATAAGGAGTAGCTTATATACTGGTTTTGGGGCGAATTGTAGGAGGTTAAAGAAAGATAGTGTAAGATGCGATGTAGTATTACTTGAGTTTTAGGCAGTGCGCAATATGTAACCAATAGAGGCTGGCCAGCGTAAGCATGAGTACAAGTCATTCTATCTCTTAAAGTTTATATTTACGTTTATTGGGTTTTATGGGGTCCGGAAAAACCTCTTTTTCCTTGTGGTTGCCCCGTATGTCTATCAATCACGGTCAATGGAGGAGTGAAGGACGTGCTCTCTCATGAACAAAGACGAAATGTATCCCAAGAGGATCATTAAACCACTGAAGACGAAAGCGCCATGACAACCAGTGTCGTAGGCTTGTCTGATCACTCTTCCAACTTCTGGGGCCACTTCCTTGGCGTAGTTGGTGTTTTCCAAGGCTCTGCGTAACACTTTCTCAGCCAATTCTGGGTCCTTCACTACACTATGGATGGTTGAAGAAAGCTTGCTTTCGGTGACGGTCTGGAAAATAGCACTGGCAATGGAAACACCCAAGGTAGAACCGGTGGCTCTGAAGGTATACTGGATGGAGGTGGTACATGCCTGGTACTTGAGTGGGACAGCAGCGATAAGGGAAAGCAAGGTGACGGTCAAAATACCCGAGTAACCGAAACCAAGAGGAAGCAACAAAGTGAACTGCAGAAGCAACGAGATGTTGTCTGTAAGGGCTAAGATTCTGACCACGCCAATAAGTGCAACCACACCAACAAGCACAGTAAGCATGTAGTATCTACCAGTTCTCTTCATGTACAAACCAGCACCAACAGAACCGATGGAAACGGCAAAGAAGTTGGGGATAAGTCTGGTACCACTCTGGGTGGCGGTCATATCCATGACGATCTGGAAGTAAAGTGGGATATAGAACAAGTAGGTGAAGAAACCCATGGTGTAGAACCAGTTAGCCAAGGAAGACGACAAAACCGTACGTTCCACGATGATCTTGACTGGAATAATAGGCTCGGCAGCATGGCTGTTCTCGTAGTAGATAAAAGCCACCAAGAAACCGCCAGCGACGACCATGATCAGAATAAGCGAAGTGGAGCCCCAGGCAAGCTGTTTACCGCCCATAGATGCACCAATCAAGATAAGAATCAAGGAAGTGACAAGGAAGAAAGAGCCGATGAAGTCCACTCTTCTGAGTTTCTCCTTGAAATCAGATCCGGTAGCTCCCAAACCTGGAGAACCTGCTGGAAGCGTAAGGTTGAAATAAATAGCCACACCGACAATAATTGCCAATGGCACTTGCAAGATAAACACCCATCTCCAGCCAAACAAGTCTGCAATCAAGCCACCGAGCACACCACCAGAAGCAGCACCAAGACCAAAGAAAATATTAGCCAATCCTTGGTAAAGACCTCTATCTCTTAAAGGAATAAGGTCAGACATGGTGATGGTGCCCAAGGTTGTGAGCCCTGAGCCACCCCAACCAGTGACAAACCTTCCAAGAACAAGAATCCAAAGGTTATCAGTAACACAGAGGCAGCAGCCCACGGCGAAAAACACACAGCACAACACAAGAAGACTCTTGCGGCCGAAAATGTCCGACAACTTACCGTACAACGGCTGGAACGCCGAACACGAAAGAAGGTAAGCAGTTGCAATCCATGAAATGTTCTCCACCGCATCCAACTCAGAAGCAATCACCGTCAAAAGCGTCGTCACCACCGTCGTATCCAAAGCAGCCAAAAACGACGCCATATACAAACACGTAATCACCGTATAAAGCTGGGCGTTTGGAAGAGCATACTTAGACTCAGTAGTCTTGGACGCATCCACCGAACCGTATCCAGTAGAAGAGTCAGATTCATTAATCAAGCTTCCATCCTCGGCAGCAATATCTCCCACAAACACTCCAGCCGTTCCAGTCGTGGGATCTGAGATCACGTTGGGCTGAATGTGAACGCCCTTCTGGTTTTGTTTTCCCATTTGTGGATGTAAAAGTGTGGGTGGGAAGCAAAGCGAGGGGGATTTTTCACGCTTTATAAATGCATGGAACAGTAAACGCGGAAAGCTTATCTGGGGGGATATTTTCCGTGGGACTGAGGCTGCATCTGCCTCGGTGTGGGTAGTTGTGTGCAGGAAAAGGGTATTTCGGCCATTGTGTTTGCCGGTAATTTGCAGCCAATTTGGTGGTTAGGTGATGAGGATGGTAGGTGGATGGAGTGTGGAAGATGGACGTGAGAGGTTGTTAAGTAGTGGTAGGTCAAGGTTGGTGGCAGGGGTGGAAAAGGTGGCGGTGGTTGGGTTTGTGGTATTTGGCATCGGCGGGGAAGGCCAAGAAGCACCGGCTGGGGGATTGAGGTGGACGAGAGACGTGGGAGATAAGCTGGGGAGGGAGATGGTGGGTTGAGGAGGAAGAGTATTTAGAAGAATGTGGGTGGGTACATATCGTAATTTGTGGTGTTTTATGTTATGTATATATATATATATAAATCTATGTATACATATATGTTTGCGTTGGAAGAGGGAGGTGGGAGATGGTGCGTGGCTCAGTGCATGGTACTTAGTGCTGAAGCAAGTACCCTAGAACCAGATCTGGAACTAAATGGTGATTTTAAGGAATGTGACTCTTTTTGGGGTTTAACTGGCCTACGCTTATCAACATTAAGTCTGTTAGGCTTCCCAGATCTCCATGTACGTCAAAAAGTGAATGGCTGCAAAATGCACTTCATCAGTACCATCCAACCAAGAAGAGTCAACATGAACTGACTTCCCCAAAGACCACTCCAACAGATCACCAAAACGTCATTTCTTTTTTTTTTTTTTTTTTTTTTTCATTTGTTTCTTCTCCAAACCCATTTCTGTTGATGTTAGTTGCAGATACTGCCCAATATTATTCCATCTCGTAATCTCCACCGAAGATCACAACGGCCCCACTCCGAGTTCCATTTCCGTTGAAACCCAAAAAAATATACTTGGAGCCAAAGTAGTCTCTTTAATTTGCCTTCTCTTCCCTTTGAATGCCCTTGGTTCACCAGTATCTCACTGTGACTTCCTGGACCGCTAACATAAATAGCCCACGATGCGTATTATCTTCCACCGCTAGCGTTTTCACCACTGACGATGTTTCGGCGGATCTCGGTGACTTCGGTCAAGAGTTCGGTGGTAACTCGGTCAAGAGTTCGGTATTAACAGAATCTCTACCAGATCTTGGCTTAGCGTTACTTTTGTGGTACTTTCGTCGGGTTACCAAATACCACAAAAGCCTACCGGCCAATCTTGACTCTACGATTAGCTTGTGTTCTACAACTGCAGCTCGTGATTAATAAATATTCGTAGGTATACCTGTAAATGCAATAACTACCATTCCTGGGTCTTGAGGCCAAACTTGGACTTCTTAGCGCCACGGATTGGGGTGATGCGCTTGGAGCCGCCCTCCAAGAATGAAAACTTGTCTCTTCTCTTCTCCTCGTACTTGCGGATGTACTCTTCCTTTTGCATGGTCAAGCCAATGTCGTCAAGACCATTGACAATGCAGTGCTTTCTGAACTCTTCGATGTCAAAGTGGTCCACCAAGACTTCGTCGGTTTCGCCGTTACGAATCTGCTGCTGGGGCAAGTCCACAGTAAGCTTCTTACCGGCAACAGCCAATGGGTACAACTTCTCCTTGATCACCTCCTGAGGCAATCTGATAGGCAACAAGCCGTTCTTGCACGAGTTGTTGTAGAAGATATCACCAAAAGATGGGGCAATCATACATCTGATGCCAAAGTCCTTCAAGGCCCAAGGAGCGTGCTCACGAGAAGAACCGCAACCAAAGTTGTCACCAGTGACCAACAAGATTTCGGCTTGACGGTAAGGCTCCACGTTCAATGCAAAGTCGGTCTCGACGTCCTTACCTTGAGCATCCTTGTTGAATCTCAATTCGTAGAAAAGACCTTTACTAAGACCGGTTCTTTTGATGGTCTTCAAGAACTGCTTTGGAATGATAGCGTCTGTGTCGACGTTGGCCTTGTCCAAAGGAGCAGTGATACCGGAAAGAACAGTGAACTTGTCCATGCCAGCAGGAGCTGACTTTGGAGCTGACTCGTCCACGGTGAGAGAAGCTTCTTGTTCCTGAGGAATGTCATTAAGTCTGTCGTCCGCAAGGGATTCGGAGGATTCAAGAGGCTGCTTCTCGTGATCGTAGACGGCGTCCTGCAACTCCTGGTCTTCTGGGCCAGAAGAGTCAATTTGCATAGCTGGCTCATCGGAAGTGTCGTAGTCCCAGTCTCTGATGTCAGTGAAGTGGCCAGTGATAGCGGCAGCGGCAGCCATGGCTGGAGACATCAAGTGGGTTCTAGACTTGGCACCTTGACGACCCTCGAAGTTTCTGTTGGAAGTAGAGGCACATCTCTCCTCTGGATCAAGAATATCTGGGTTCATACCTAAGCACATGGAACAACCAGCCTCTCTCCACGAGAAACCAGCAGCCTCAAAGATCTTATCAAGACCTTCCTTCTCAGCTTGGCGCTTGACAAGACCAGATCCTGGCACCACAAGCACCAACTTGACATTGTCAGCCTTCTTGTGGCCCTTGGCAACTCTGGCAGCGTTTCTCAAGTCTTCAATACGGGAATTCGTACATGAACCAATAAAGGCCTTATCGATCTTGATTTCCTGGAGAGGAATGTTGGGCGTGAGGCCCTGGTATGCAAGAGCTCTTTCCATACCAGCTTTCTTGATTGGATCATCGACGTTAGCTGGATCTGGGACCTTGGCGGTGATTGGCAAGGCGTCCTGGGGAGAGTTACCCCAAGTGATGGTTGGAACAATGTCGGCGGCGTTGATGTTGATGTCGTAGTCGAAATAGGCGCCCTCGTCACTGTGCAAAGTGCTCCAGTACTTGACAGCCTTTTCCCATTCAGCACCCTTAGGAGCCAAAGGACGGCCCTTAAGGTAGTTGAAGGTGATTTCGTCTGGCTTGATCATACCAGCACGAGCACCACCTTCAATAGACATGTTACAGATGGACATACGGGCTTCCATGGAAAGAGCTTCAATAGCAGTGCCAGCAAACTCAATAACGCATCCAGTACCACCAGCAGTACCAATGACACCGATAACATGCAAAACAAGATCCTTAGAAGTGATGCCCGGCAGCAAATCACCGTTGACACTAATTCTCATGTTCTTAGACTTGGCCTGGATAATCGTCTGGGTAGCCAACACATGCTCCACCTCAGAAGTACCAATACCAAAAGCCAAGGCGCCAAAAGCACCATGAGTCGACGTATGCGAGTCACCACACACCATAGTAGTACCCGGAAGAGTGAAACCCTGCTCTGGACCAATAACGTGCACGATACCTTGACGGTCGTCGGTCATGCCAAAGTAGGTGACGCCAAAGTCCTTGACGTTCTGTTCTAGAGTCATCACTTGAAGCTTGGAGTCTTCCTGCTCCACAAACGTCTCGACGTTCTTGAAGTTCGTACGTGGCACCGTAGGAATGTTGTGATCGACAGTGGCAAGAGTACAGTCAGTTCTTCTGACTTTTCTGCCAGCATCTTTAAGGCCTTCAAAAGCCTGGGGCGATGTCACCTCGTGAACGAGATGACGATCAATGTAAAGAAGGTAGGAACCGCTTTCATCTTTGTGAACAATGTGGTCCTCAAAGACCTTGTCGTAGAGGGTCTTGGGGGAATCGGAAATAGGCATTTTTTCTGTGAAGAAGGAAGTGGAGAGTGGATGGTGGGTTGGTCATATATATTTGATGAGTGGGTGAATTTTTCGCGGGGTCCGTCAGCGGGCCTGAACCGGGCCGGTACCGGCGGGCGGCGCGGGCCAATCACGGCGGGGAAATAAGTCATAATCTGGAAAAAGAGTCAGAGGGGCATGAACATGGGCTGTTTTGGGCTTTTGGAAAATGAGAGGGTGGGCTAAAAAGGGTGGTCGTTAAGAGAATGAAGAGATGTTTTGGGTTTATTTATTTTTTATGTTTTTCTTATTTTATTTTTTGTGATTTGTAAAAGTGACGTCTTTTTGGCACCTTTCGGTCGCATGACTGAATGGCTGCGAATTCCAAGGCTGCGAAAAATGTATAGAGAAAGAGTGTGGAAATTGTGGGGACTTGTGGAATATTGTAAATTTTGGAAAGTAGAAAAAGTGAAAAAGTGAAAAAAAAAAGGCGAAAATCTTGGTTTATGGAAAAGCTGGGGATATGTGAAAGATTGAGTTTTTGGTTCTTCCAAGAGTAAATCGGAATGAGAGATAAGATAAGACTGTAAGGCTAAGGCTTATCACTGGGAAAGATAAGATACTCTTGCTCTTTTCATTTCAGGGAAAGATCAGGTTGGTTTTTGAAATCTGTTTATATAGACGATTTTGTTATTGGTAGATTTGAAAGACAGTCAAGTGTTGCTAAGGACGGTCTAACCAACTCATCTCTTTATTCTCTTATAGTAGCTGATCTTTCTTGCAAAACAACAATTCCGTTGAATCGTTCCAATGCTTTTCATGAATAGCCAAAAAAAAGAAAATCAAGCTACTAAGACCTGTTTCTCTATATAGAATAGCCCATGAGTTAATCATAGATCGAGCTTATTGGAACTGCTAAAGCAGAAGGTTAGACCGGTACTAGTGAAACGGAACCGCCGGACATCATCAAGGAAATTGATCACTTCCCCCTTCCCTAACAAGTCTACCAACTGTATTAACTGTATGAAGTTAAAGACCAATCTTTGAAGCGACACCATTCCCTACTGATGCTTTCTTGTGCCCTCCAGAACACCTTCAACACCTATAAACCTCTAAAACTTACCCAACAGAAGATTATTTCAAACAAAATTCACGTTCTCCATAATTATAGAGCCCAAGACCCTCACTTTTCAGCCAAATTCTACATTCATCAATTCCCCATCTACCTCTGCCTGAGAACTATCCAAAATACACGTTCACTCCACCATTGAGGGGCCAAAAACACCCCAAGGACAAGGAAAGCAAATTAACAAAAAATAATGACTCATCCTAAGAAGCTTCCAACTTCTTTTATACCCTCCTTCCCTCTTCCCCTCCTCTTAGCCTTCCTTCACCTCCTGGTGGCCTTCCATCATCATCGCCTTAGCATAGCGGGTGTACGGGTGCACTCTCCGCCATATCGGTCTAAGCTCGATCAACTGCAAACGCCAAACCCATATAAGCCGTCCTTTCACGCCATGATTCCAGCTGGACAGAAAAGGACGAAAATCAGAGCCCCGAGAAAAATCTCCGTATTAGGAGGAGCCAACTCGGCAGACTCCCAGGTCGACTATGAAGCTTCCTGGGGCCTTTTGGCGAACGCGATCGCTCAGATCCAGCATAAGAACGTCTCCAACTTGCTGTACGAGCAGCTTTATCGAAAAGCGTATACTTTAGTGCTTAAGAAGTTTGGAGAGAGATTGTACAATGACGTGGCCAGCGCTATTGGGGTGCATTTGAGAGAGAGACAACGAGAGTTGGTGAAGATCACTGAAGCGAGAACATTCAAGATGACATGGAAAGAAGATTTCCTTAAGGCGGCAGTGGCCGAATGGGCCGAGCATCTACAGCTGATGAAGTTTATCAGCGACGTGCTCATGTACTTGAACAGGGTTTACGTGAAGGAGTGCCGTAAGCTCTTGGTGTATGATATGGGAGTGGTGCTCTTTGATATGAACGTTATTCGCCACAATAACTTTTACGTGTGCAAAACGCTCGTGGTGATTGTCATTGACGAGATTACAAAGGCTAGAAGAGGCCAGGTTATTACTACTAGACTGTATCTCCAACAGATACTTGCCATGTTTGAGATGCTTACCAACGACGAGCCCAATGTGGCTGCTTCTGTTCCAGGAGCCCCTGTGGGCGACAGTATTTACCTGGAGCATTTTGAAATAGCATTTTTGGAGCAGCTGCGGCAATTCTACCTGGCTTTGGCAGACGAGATCATGCTGCTGATGCTGGGAACCCGTTATTTGGCAGATACGCTCAAGTTTATGAATGACGAGGAGAAGCGGATTGCATACCTCTTGCCACAAAAGACTTCTGTGAAGGTTGTCCATATGATGAACAATATCATGATCAAGGAACGTCTTGACAAGATGGTTCTACTTCCTGCAGCCCAACAGGGTCTTATGTTCTGGTTAGATCCTCTCGTTTCCAGGGTCAAGGATAGTGTCAGTTCGAAAGGGACATCATCGTCTGCTCTGCATCTCCCACAAAGCTTAAATGAGCTTCGTACATTCTACATTCTCGTGGAGCGTGTGGATCCCGATAAGAAACTATTGAAGGTGCGCTTGAAGGAGGCTCTTATCAAGACAGGGCTTCAATTTGTGGAATTCATTACGAAGCATCTTGAACAGCAGCAACAGCAACAGCAACAACAGAGCGCTGCTCCTCCTAAGAAAGTATCTGTCAGTACGAGTTCTGCCACTTTCGCTACGCTATGGATCGACATGATTCTTGAGTTCAACAACGAACTTGCAGTGGCCATCAAGACTTGCTTCAACGGTGATGCCGATATCGCTCATACCATTTACGAGGCATTCAGGGAGTTCATCAATACTTCGAACCAGCCTACAAAGAGACTGGCCATTGCTCCATCTACAAACGCTCCAGAATTGCTTTCTGTATTCATGGACTCCCAAATCAAACAGCTTGTCAAACTGTCTGGAGCCAAGCGCGTTACTCTGGACCAGAATGCTAGTGTGGACGAAACGCAAGACTTTCTCCATAAAGCCATTTCATTCCTTCGGTTCATCAAGGATAAAGATGCATTTGAAGCCCACTACGCTAACCATTTCGCCAAGCGATTCCTCAACTCTAAAGGATCATCTTCGATCGTGCTGGGAGTTGATGCAAGGTACAATGGTGATATTGAGGAACTTGTTATCGCCAAGCTAGGTGAAGAATTGGGTAGTGCAACCATGGAAAAGATCATCAAGATGAAGAAGGACGTCAAGCTGTCTGGCGACTTGACAATGGAATGGAAGAACCATGTTGGCTCCCACAAACTCTCTACAATCGAGCTCGAGCTCAAGGTCTGCCATGTTTCTGACTGGCCTAAGAGTATGACAAGAGATTACAAGAGTTTTGCTACCACCAACGGCCAAATTGGGTTCATCTGGCCTAACCAGGTGCGTGAAACCATCAGGACATTCGAAGAGTACTGGCTCACAGGTAAGAAAAACGATAACAAGTCGCTCTTCTGGTGTCCTAAGTTTGGTCTGATGGATCTTCGAATCACTTACCCGCTGAGAACATATGACATCAATCTTTCAACTTATGCGGGTGTGATTATGCTCTTATTTGGTCCGCAGTCGAGCGATCCCGATGAAACTCCCGTTTCTGCCTTTGACCAAAAGAGAGAGCTTACATACGAGGAGATCCTCGAACTTACCAATATCCCCGAGGCAGACCTCAAACGTCAGCTTCAATCGATCGCTGTGGCACCTCGACTGCGTCTTTTGGTGAAGGTGCCAATGTCGAAGGAGATTCAAAGTGGTGATCGGTTCCTGCTCAACAGTAAGTTCAAACTGCCTACTACAAAGGTCAAGGTGCTTACGGTGTCTCTGGGCTCAGCGAAACTGGAGAAGAAGACCGAGAAGGCCGAAGAGAGTGAAGAAGTCAAGGCTAACATCGAAGAAGGCCGTAAGCACTTGGTAAACGCAGCCGTGGTGAGAATCATGAAATCTCGTCAAACCATCACCCACAACGAACTTGTGGCCGAATTGGTGAAACAATTGCATGGCCGGTTCCAGCCGCTGACGGTGCTTATCAAGCAGCGTATCGAGGACCTTATTGAAAAGGAGTACCTCAAACGAGACAACGACCAGATGGGGGTATACCACTATATTGCCTAATGTGCATAGTTGCTAACGCAGGCGGCTAAGTTATCTCGGAAAGCAAGCGACCAGATAGGAAATCCCGAGACAGGCGTTGCTGGATCCCCAGATCGATGAGGAGAGGAAATTTCACTGGACCAGGGGATGCAAAGAAAGTCAGGGGAAGAGGTAGCGTTGGACATTGGACATTTGCAGCCAGCAAGAGCAACCAATGCGAACCGACAATAGGAGAAGGTTTAGGGGGTAACGGAGGAGCACCGCAAACGGAGAGAAGGGGAACTCAGAGGAATTAATTGAATGGTTTACGGGGCAAATGTTAGGGCCAAGGCCAGGACTTCCCTAAGTCGACCCATCCTTGGTATTCAGCTGAGGCACCTTCCTGGCTCTACCGAACCGTCTGGGCTGTCAATGCACAGAAGGTGCGCACAAAGAAAGTTCTTGAGATTCTGGCTACCCATGTTAACAAAGTTTTTTTTTTTTTTATTTATTTTGCCCCACCGCAACCAATCCAGGCTGGGGCTTCTTTGTGTTACCGCAGGGGCGTTTTGTCGTTGTTTGGCGCGCCTGTCGTTTGTGTTTTGGCTTTATTTTTTGGCTGGAGGGCATTGAGTTCGCGCGGTTTTGGGCGGTAAAAGGTGGACGGGGCGCGGCCGCGGTGAGGTGGGTCGCCTTTTGGGGTGGTGAGGCCTGAGCGGTGTATGCAGGAATGGTTCAATTGCTACACCAAAAGAACATACATTTTATGGGTTTTGGAGAGATTTGATGGTTCCAGTGGATTCCCTGGCCTCAACTGCCCCACATTGTATGGTCAGATTATTTTTTTTCTAAAGAATATCCGTCCATTCCTGGGTGCTTCTATTTTTGGACCCTCTCCTCGCAAGCCTCATTCTCGTTCCCTCGCCTTTTTTTCCACTGTGTACACCGCGGGATCGGGCTGAAACATCCTTCCATTCTGCCTGCCTCACCCATGCCATTTTGGTTGCCCTGCTTCCAGACCTTGGGAGGTTTTTTGTTATTTTGAAACGAAACAACAGAAAAAAAACTGGCACAAGCAAAAACAGGGAGAAAATTAAGAAAAGGAACTTACTAAAATTTAAAGTCTACTACTTGCTGAAAAAAAGCTTTCAAGTCTTTTTCCTTTCGTTTCGCTACCAGGTTATTTTTTTTTTTCTGACCCGTGCCGCTACCGCCCTGTGTTTGCTTTTCTTTTCAGATTCAAACATCCACCATCTACACTTTTTTTTTTTGCAAAAACATCCGTGAAACTCCCTGGAAAAAGGCCTTTTCCTTTCCAAATCCTTTAAACCTTACCATTCGCTAACCAAGGCCGTGCCGGTTGCCACTCCCAATCGGGCCGTCTCCCTCCTTTCGCTATGCACCATCCCAACTACTCCTCCAGTTCGCTAAACGACCATAACTTGTATGAGATCTCGATCGGGAACGGTGGCCCTGCTTCCTCCAAGAAGTCTCGCTCGGGCCCCGTCAAACGTGTCGGTCTGATGTCTTCCCTTCCGTCGCTTAACGAGCTGAAAAGACCTGGCGAATACTATATCCAGAAGATCTCTCTGTCGTCTGTGAGTTTGAATAATGCTCCTGTGAAAACGCCGAAGAAGCCTTCTATCCACCCGCTCCCGGTCTCTCAGGACCTGTTCCGTCAGTATTCGGGGCCTTATAGTGCCGCTGACGTTTCCACCGTGTCTAACCACTCAGATGACGCCTCCCTGGATGGCTCCTCCCAGTTTGACTGTCCTGACTCCAGATTAAGCTCCATGACTTCCAACTCGCTATGCTCCAACCGTGGCTCTCATGGGTCTCAGAAGAGCGATATCAAGCCTACTCCATGTGACGATACGATCGAAGACGCCTCAGATGAAGCTTCTGACGAGTTGGGCCAGATGAACTCGTCTATTCTGACCATAACACTTCGTTCAGAAAGTCGTTCTGCGTCATATTCAGGTAATTCTCACCTGAAACCGCTTCCTCCAGTGTTCCCACGGAAAGACTCTGCATCTGACTTATCCCTGGCTCCTCGTCCAGGAGCCCCTAAGTTGCGTTCTGCTTCTACATCCAGCATTTTGCCTCAAAAGCCAGGCCCCAAACCTAACCTTCAAAGAGTTAACACGCTGACGTCGAATTTTTCATTGACTCGTTCGAAAACACGCTATTACAATCCTAAAGAGACTAAAGAGAGAAAGCAGCTCCGCAAAAAGCTTTATGATGATAACGACGACGATGACGAAATCTTGCCTAACGACTTAGACTTGGTATTCAACGTTCCTGTTATTAAGAACCACGCTGAGATCTACATGAGCCGCCGTGGCTCTTCGTCTTCATCGTTGTCTCGTAAAGACCTAGTGAACTCAGACGACGATCGTTTCAGCTCTTTCAACCACACTGCATCCATGAAGCCTTGTCCTCTTCCTGGCAAGCTTAGCCATCCGAACCTTTCGGTTGAAACCTCGCTTCCTACCATGCACGAGCAAGAAGAGAGATCTGCTAGAAGAAGTCCTACGGAAATTCAGGAGGAATCTGATGAATTTGACAACTCTTTTTCCTTCAACAATGATGGTGAAATTTCCCAGAACATCTCTGATTTCTACAACCAGCGCTCGGTGTCTTATTCTAAGATTGTCAAGGAATCCAGAGAACAGCAGATGATTTATAAGCTTCCCAACTATATCAAGTCTCAGTCATCCGTCGACGATTTATCCTTGTTCTCGCCTGAAAAGTTAGACGCCGTGGACCAGTCAAGACCTATCCACTTGCCTCCTAAGAGCATGAACGAGAAGCTGAAGCATAGCAAGGAGTTCCACAGATTCCTTAGCAACTACGAACTCAACACCAAGAACCAGACTCAATCGAGAAAGCGTCTGTGTGAATCTTTCATTCTTAACCAACAGAGCTGGTTTAAGTTGATGGTTACTGTCGGCGAGCCAAAGGAATTCACAAAGAAGTTAACTAATGAACGTGTCAACTTGCGTAAATTGAACTGGGAATCCTTGGTTTCTGACAAATTCCGTTTTGACTACTTCATGAAGGTGCTTACTACCAACTTGGGCTCTGATGTTGCTACCAAGATTCAAGAATCTTACCAGAGTTCTGAAAAACGCTTCTCTCAGCTTTCGGACAAGATGATCTCCAATAAGAACTGCTTATTTGACCGTATCATCAACGATGTTCTTCAAAGACCGCTCTTCAGCACATTCATGGTTGAAGCAGCTTCTACGGAGACTTCGTTTGATGCCCAGCAGTTTAAGGACAACTTCAGACACTTGCTTTACATGAAGTCGTTGTCTGAGGGAGGTCTCAAGAAGCACCACGAGATTTTCTTTATCCCAGTCTTCTTGATCTTGTTCCAATCATACGAGACTGTTGCTAACATCTTTGTTTTGATTGAGATGTTTGACAAGAGCATTCTCACTGATGACGTGATTGCTGATGTTAACAAATACTTTGGCAGATTCTCCAACTTATCGCTGATGTCTTCTTCCAGCATGCCATACAAGATTCTCAGCAAGTTTGAATCCTTACAGGAATTTGAATATTTGAACTTTACCAGTTTCTTTGACATTATGATCCAATTGAACGACAAGTTGCCTTTGAGTTTAAGTGCACCATCGACGCCAATTATTGCACAGGGAGCTTTTGGCCCACTCAGTTCTGCCAAACATTCTTCTGAGTTTTCAGAACAAGAACGCAATAGCAGCAGTGGACCAAACTCTGTTGAAAGTTTCAGCGAACTAGACATGAAGTCAAGCTTCTCGCTGTCCTCGTCCATGAGCTTGATTGGCATTTTCTTGCAGTTGCTCGTCATCTACTCGAATTCGCCAAAGAGCAAGAACAAGAACATCCTGAAGATCTTCCAAGGTTTCCTTCTTACCATCTTCAAGTACTACCATATCAACTGGAACAGCTATGCCGAGCTTGTGAGATCCAACAAGTCGATCAAGCTTAATAACAGCAGTGACCAGACGTGTAACTTGGAGTCCTTTGTTGACAAGTGGAAGGATATCTTCAACAAAATGTAACGACTTTAACGAACCCTTATCAATTCTACTACACATTTGAAACACGACTTTCGTCCTCCACTTCATTTGCAGGTTTATATAATACACAATAGAACTTTACATATCCATGTCCAAGTCAATAGCGTCTGGGTTTTCCACCGCTTTTGGCTTAATCTCACCTCCTTTAGTTTCTCCTTTAACGAAGCCCAATGGGTTGACTTCCTGTTTTGCTTGTTCAACTTCGACAAACTCTCTTGCAAGCTGTCTCTTATACTTTAACATCTCTTTAAACAGCTGTTCAACGCCGTATTGAACCTCAAACTTCTCCCAAGCAGACCACATTTCTGCAAATAGATGTGATTCTGGGTTTCCCAACAGTACAAAGTGCTTGAAAAGCGACCTGGATCTGACGATTTCTCTTCGAGAGATTTCAAACCTGACAAACCGAAGGCCAAGTTCGAGAAGTTGAGGCATTGAATATTGAACATCTTCGGCGGCAGCTTGAAGAGTGGTTCTTGTGAGTTGTGGGTCTTTGAGCTTTTCAATTCTGGTCAAAAGCTGGAGCTGGTAGTCGAACTTATCATCAACGATCTTGTTGAGTTCTTGTTTGGTATACTTCACCACTGGCTCATCGTAAGCGGCTGTAAGGTATGCAATTGCTCTTTCAAGGAGTTTGCTGGACTTCATCACTTGTCCATTCTTCTCCTCGAAAGCGATATACATGTCAAAGATGCTCTTAACAAGATGTCCAGGGAGCGGAATACCCGAAAGACACTGCTCAAAAAGGTGTCTGATTCGTTCAAGATTTGCCGATCCCTTGAGAATATCCTTCAAGTAAACCTCCCATAGTTCAAACTGAGCAGCTGGAGCCTGGAAGTGTCGAAGTGCTTCTTCGTAAAGCGCCATAGCACGATCTTGAGACTTTTGCTCTTTCAAAAAGCTAGCGTAGTCAAAAATAAGCCCCAAAGTGATTACTTCAAGATCAAGCATCTGCTGATACGCAGCGTGGAGCTTGTTCCAGACAAACTCTGGGTTTTTATCGTCAAGAAGAGCTTTGAGTAGATCAATGTAGAACTTCCACAACTCAGTACATTTAAAGACTCGTGCCTGGACGGGAACGGATGCTTGAGAAAGCTTAATTTTCTTATGGTTCAGCGGAACATGGTTGAAGAGTACATCTTCAATGTGTTCCAATGCTGATTCGTCAGACATTTGAAGGAGAGATTCGGTCCATGAAACATGAATGGATGCAAGGTCCAGAGGATGCTTAAATTGGGAGTTTGCAGCCTTTGAGTAGATCAAAACAGCTGTTTTTATATCTCCCAGGTCCAGGTAGACTTTAGCGTATTCGTCCCAAACGTCAACGAGACTCTTCTGGCCTGTTGCTTCCAAAGGATTAACGTTCATAAGGGCATCCACTAAGGTTTTGATTTTTCCAGCATTATCGTTGCCAAAGATAGCGGCTCTTTCAAGCCAGACGTCCACGTTATTTGGGCTTGCTCGAAGCTTGACGTCGTTTATAAGGAATGGTCTTCTGTTTATAAAAGTTTCAAGAATATTAAGGCGAGTTTCGAGCTCGTCCTCGTCCAAGCTATCCAAAAGCGAGTCTTCAAAGTCCACGAACTCGTTAAATGCTTTGGAAACGTCGCTGGCGGTTGTAACCAGAGAAAGCGCCAAGCTGTAGAAGTACCTGGCTTTCGTAACATCTCTGTCTTCGTAGTACCTCGCCTTACGAACAAGCACTAAGCTTTTCAACGTAGGCAGCCGTAGAGCAAAATCATCGCAAAGTTCGTTAAAAAGGTCTTCGTCAACCAGCAAGAACAGTTTACTGTGAAGAAGGTAATCTGCCAATTGCTTAGGTGCATCTGAACCGAGTTGTCTCTGCCAGATAAACCCCCACAATTCACGTATAAGCGAAGCATTTCCACTTCGTAGCACAGCATCAATAACTGTGAATGCATTGACTGGAATCTGAATATCCAATGCCTTGGCCTTGATCGCTTGTATGTATATCTGTGCAATGGTCTCTTCAGATTCACCTGATGTGCTTCCCGCATATGCCAAATACAATTTCCATACTTCGCCATGGTAAAACGTCGGTAGGTTAAACAATGCAGAATCAAACACCTGCTTTATATGCTCTTTCTTCTCGTCAATGAGTAGTCTCAAGTACTTATTCCATATACTTGGACTGGTATTAAGAACCCGAAGAGCCTTCTCGTAGGCTCCCTTCAAAGCAGTCTTATCGTGAAAAGCCGTCTCAAAGTATGCGTTCCATAGAAGTGTGGATGCTGGAAGGGTGGCTGTAGCTCTATTGAGTATCCCAGCTCTGTGGTGTTTGTCTAGAGTGTTTTCTGCGTATTCGAGCCAATTTGACTCATTATAGGGATCCTGAGAAAGCAGCTGCTCGTAGGGAATATCCTCTTCTTGAAGAACCCATGGCATGCCGTGATTGGTGGATTGGGGTGAGGATTTGGTAGTTGGTTTGGTGATTTGGAGATGGAGGTTTATAGCGATGGAAGTCACGTGTTTTCAATGGGAAGGAAATGAAAGAGAAAGGGAAGAGAAAAGGGAAGGTTGGGGGTCTGGGCGGTGATAAGGAATGTCTATTAGGGTAGAATAGGGTGGAAACGCTGTTATTGGTGGGCGTTTTGTTTAGTGGCGTGTATGGTTTAGGAAGTAGAGGTAGTTGAGGCCTCACTGAGAAGCACAAGATGGTAGTACTGCAAGTCAGGATGAAGTAAAAAGAGTACAGTTGGTGGTTCAGCTTCCTTATTTTTACATCCAATTAGGTACATCAATTGGTTCATGTCTTGCTATGTTATCTTTAGGTGGATGACATGTGAGCGCACAGGGCAGTCGGTGAATAGGACAGTAAGTAAGCAGGGCAACCAATAAGCCTTGGTATTTTGAAACGGCGCCAAGCTATAGTATTTGATACCCTAGATTAAAAGAAGTATCGATAGAAAAAATCAGATCGGAAAGAATCGCTATTCAATATTAATAACAGAATATTGAGACGGTTTCCCGAGAGCCATTCAGAGCACCAATTGCTATTTACTCTCTGGACTTAGGAATGTACCTTAATTCATATACTGAACCAGTCAGAATTAATCATTGGACGCCTGATACCAAGTACCAAATAATGGTATGTTCTGGTCTTAGTAGCTACACTGTGAACTTCACCTTCATTACCCGCTTCACTAGGAAGAAAACCATGGTGAATTTCAGTACCCAGTCAAATACAAGACACGGCTTTAGCAAAATCCTGCTGCCTACGTCTCCCTAATTTGCACCACTTCTCCAAACCTAACCTTCCAGGTTGCCTGTCAAAATGGCTGCAAAATAATGAGTATGTACCTGCCTCACGCCACGAAAAGACCCGTGCACCAGCTTACCCCAGGTGCTTCAACCCTCCGCCATTTCGACACAAAACGTCTCGTGCAGTATACTTGTGCGTATGGATGGCTTTGTACGCAAGCGTAGAAATGCATAATGTAGTTTTAAAGTTTCGGTAAGGCTGTGCCGACGTTGTTTTGTGGGATTGAATGTTGGGCGTATATGCAGGACCCACAACTATTTAGCACTTTCCCAAATTCAACCTTTGTCATTTACAAGCGAGTTTCCTGGAACGCTACGCTTTTGAACATCACGAGAAAAAATTGAGTAGTAGTTTCGGTGCTCCTAACAGGCGGGGACAATGGAAGAAGTGATGAAACCCGTACACCACAAAGAAAACCGATCATAGTTAGGGGCAGAGCCGTACGGCTCGGCAGTGTGGGCGGGTTGTGTATTGAAAACCCGTACCTCCGAATTCTCCATGCCCCTATTTTTCCACCCAACCACAACCAGAACCCCTAGGGGGATTTTCGTAGACGTAGCTAAAAGTAATTGGGATCTTCCTGACACGCCAATCGCCGTGTGGGCTTGCCAAAGTGGAGTCCTGGGCAGGTGATCCCCCACATACCTGCATATAACACACCTCACTATTATGATTCCTTTCCTGACCTAACTAAAAAGGTACCATCTAAAGGTCTGAATAAACTGGAAAGGAGGTGTTAGATCCCACCCACAAAACTTTTAAACCATATAGAAGCATTTATTGCGTACTGCATATTATAGGAAACCTTTCTGATTCCGCCCCTTCTCCAAAAAGCCTTCCCGTCCCCACAGCAACCCTTTTGAATGGTGTCGATATTCCATACTCCCAAACCTGAAAGCTTCCAGGACGAAGACGACCTGATCTGGAAACCGCCGGCGTATATTGAGGAAGGCAACTTCCAAGGCCCTTCTAGTGGAACAGGCAGCTCGAGTGTGAGTACGATCAACGGAAGCACTACGCCAGGAAAGAAGAACCGGAGACCGAGATCGATATCTGTTTCGAGGTTTTTGTTTAAAGACCACTCGGACGCTTCTGAAGCTGAAAATCTGTTTGAAGACCGTCGTCAAGCGAATACTGGAGGTATGGTGAAGCTCAAAAGCTTGTTTAAATTTGGACTGCCGGCTCCTTCAGAGACGGAACAAGGAAAAGACGAAACCACAGAGAAAGACGACAGGATCGATACTTCTGAGGTGGTTGGCGAGAAATCTAAGCCAAAGGACGAGTCCAACGCGTTCTGGAAGTTCTCCTTGGGCCGTAAACGGTCTGTTTCGGCTGCTCCACTGCATACCATACAAAGTCCAACCAAGACAGAAGAATCGCTGGAAGATAGCCCTATCGTGCTGTCCAGCTTGTACTTTGCCCACCAGGGCCTTCCTCCACACATGTCGAAACTGACAGGCGAAGCAGGTCTTCATTCGGCTCAGAACAACCTTGCAGTTTCCCTAAGGCACAACGACTCGGTCTTTTCTGTCAACAAGTCCCATCTGCATCTGAGCCAGACTCTGACGTCTCATGAAACTGAAAAGGAGCTTCTGGAGATTAAGGAAGTGTTGCTGACCAACACCGTCGAAGAAGAGGCTCCTTCTACAGCTCCATCTGCCCCAGCATTGAACGTTCCTCCTCCAGTTGGACCTGGCTCTTTCCAAAGGACCCTTCGAAGAGTTGCATCGGCTCCTTTGGTACACAGACTTTTAAATGACAACAAACTGCCCGTTCTCGAACCTAAGAAAGATTTCGATGTTAGAGACCATATTGGTGAGCTCTCTGGAGTGAAAACCAGACCAAGAACGTATACTCAGGGAAGAATGTACTCCCACCTGGCGACAAGAATCATGTCTGCACAGGTTGGTCCTGAATGTTTCGAGAAAGTGAAGCTTTTGGGTAAAGGTGATGTGGGTAAAGTTTACTTGGTCAAGGAAAAAGCTTCCCTGAGGTTATACGCCATGAAGGTGCTCAACAAAAAGGAGATGATCCAGAGAAACAAGATCAAAAGAGCATTGGCTGAACAGGAGATTTTGGCCACTAGTAACCACCCCTTTGTTGTCACGTTGTACCATTCCTTCCAATCCGAAGACTCGTTGTACCTATGCATGGAATATTGCATGGGTGGAGAGTTCTTCCGTGCATTGCAAACCAGAGAAACGAAAACCATAGGCGAGGACGATGCCAAGTTCTACGCTGCTGAGGTGACTGCCGCCTTAGAATATTTGCATTTGATGGGTTTTATTTATAGAGATTTGAAACCCGAAAACATTTTACTCCATCAGCTGGGTCATATCATGCTCAGTGATTTTGATTTATCCAAACAATCAGCCAAGACCAAGGGCCCAGAAATCCAGTTTGGAAAGTCTCATTCCCACAATAACCCTACCATTGATACTAAAGCATGCATTGACGGGTTCCGTACCAACTCGTTCGTCGGTACTGAAGAGTATATTGCTCCAGAGGTTATCAGAGGCAAGGGCCATACCAGTGCGGTGGACTGGTGGACTCTTGGTATTTTCATTTACGAGATGCTTTATGGAACTACCCCTTTCAAGGGAAGAGACAGGAAAGCCACCTTCAGCAATGTGTTGAAGAAAGACGTTAAGTTCCACGATGCCCAGCTGGTGTCGTCGAACTGTAAAAATTTGATTAAGAAACTTTTGATTAAGGATGAGACCAAGCGTCTCGGATCCAAGAGTGGTGCCTCTGATATCAAGTATCATGCTTTCTTTAAGAATACGCAATGGGCGTTGTTGAGACACCAACAGCCTCCCATGATCCCGGTGCTCACGAAGAACAAGAAGGTCGACAACAGAAAACAAGAGACGTTCTCGCTGGAAGAGCCCAGCGCGTCGTCATCCAATTCGAAGCCAGTTGATCTGAACCCGGAAAGTGACCCCTTCGCCCTGTTCAGTTCCGTGACACTCCACTATAACGAGACCGATGATAACGACCTGGCGTTCATGTTAGGCACAGAAAACTCAGTCAACACTTCTGTGGCCTATACCATGAACAGCCGGCCTGGCGCCAGCCCCAGAAAACAAAAAGGATTCCTTCGCAGGTGATACTGCTACAAGCACAAGTCATACCATAACACGTTACCTATATACCAAGAAACCTGAAGTGAACCTTCTAACACTGCACCAAGTCGATGATGCTCAAGTGCACCGGCTCACATTGCTCGGCGATGTTCTCGTCGTACAAGTTGTAGAAGTCTCCAGACTTGCACTGGAAGAACTCAGTGCCCTCGCCCAAAGCCAAAAGACCGTCTTCAGTGATGGACCAGCCAGCAGCGTAGATGGAGCCAGCCTGTGGTGGAGGACCATCAAACTGGAACTGTCTGTTGGAAACAATAGCACCGATTCTGCCAGCACCATCTCTCAAAACAGACTTTTCCAAAGTCATGGCCAAGTTGTCGTTACCAATGCAAGCTTTTGGAATACCGTTCTGTTCGCCTTCAGGAGCAGCAGGAGCAGCAGGAGCGTCAGTGGCCTGGATCTGACCATCGTCAATTTGACTAACATCAGCAGCAGCAGTAGTCTGGTGTTGGATCTGGCCATCTCCAATTTGGTTAATAACAGAAGCAGTCTGGTGCTGGATCTGGCCATCGCCAATTTGATTAACCACAGAAGCAGTTTGATGCTGGATTTGACCGTCGCCGATCTGGTTCACCACCGAAGCGGTCTGATGCTGAATTTGGCCATCGCCAATTTGGTTAATCACCTTAGCTGTCTCAGTAGGAGCCGGCGTGGCTGGAGGAGCCGTCTGGTGCTGAATCTGGCCGTCTCCAATCTGGTTAATCACTGAAGCCGTAGTGGTGGCAGACTGATGTTGGATCTGACCATCGCCAATCTGGTTAACCACTTCTCTCTTGGCAGCCACGGTTTCTGCAGCAGCTTCGGTGCTGGAAAGTGTCACAATCTGGATACCAAACTTGGCAGAGTAATCTGTGGTTCCGCTTGGGAAAAGGCCTTCTGGCTTCAAGTCTGTCCATGGTTCAGAAGGAACGTAGGCAGCGAGAACTGAAGAAGCAAGAGCTAGGAGGGAAAGTTGAAGTTGCATTGTTTGATGAAGATAGAAAAATCAAAGAAGACCATGATCTCAAGGGTCTTTTATACATCTGGAGATCAGGACCGGCCAGATCGGGAAGAGGTTGATTTTGTGCTGGCAGAATGACCTTCTACCTTTTTTTCATGCTGGCAGCAATACCTCTTTTTGGAACTGGCTGGCTTTATAAGCGGCACTTACGAAACGCCAGTGAGGAGCTAAGCGAGCCGGTTAATAATGGCTGCGAAAAATAAAAATAGCCGAAGCGACATGGAGCCAAAAAAAATGCTGCTGGTTAGGGTGGCTGGCTCTATTTATGTCACTGTACTGCACACAGGGCCGTCACCGCTGTCACTGTCACTCAGAGATAATAGACGTCAATGCATCTTTACGTCTTAGTTGGAGGTGAGATATAGCCAGCCATAAGTAAATAGAGAGATGTTTCCTGATTGGTTCGATTGGCGTAGTGGGTGACCAGAAGATGGTGGAAGGAGAAAAGTGCTGGAAAAAAGTGCCCCTATTCGTCTAGGGCAACTCGGGAAACTGGGAAATTCAGCACTTTGTTTACGTGGGTGTAGGTGGAACTTTTTGGTTACGAGGGTCTTTTTGAAATCATTAGAATGACCACTTGAAACTGATTTGACGCTGTAGAGGGTAATTTGTAGGCTTGGAAAGCCTGATCCAGGCTTATATGGCGATATTAAAAAGTATATTTCCATTGCCAGCATCAATGAACGTAAATCAGTGGCTTGAAAGTTTGACAAGCTCAAAAACCATTCAAGAATTACCTGGTAATTGTTTGTAGAGATATTTTCAATTCTAACCGAGAACCTCGATGTTATGGTGTTTTGGGGCTTTGGACGACATCAGGAGACGTCGAGACAGCCAAATCAAACAAGACCTTCCAACGAAGACTTACCATCCATAGAAGACGTTCCCCTTCCCACTGAAACACTCGCTCTTATTGGCTGGCCATGAGCTGAAATAAAAACCTCATTTCATTCCCTAGCCCAAATAAACCACAAACCACCAATGAAGATCACCACCGTCCTTTAAATACCCCAAGACATCCATCCCTCTAAACAGCATTTTTAGTGGAACCCTGGTCTTTCCAGATCATCTTTCGTTGATCTAAACCGATTTGCAACTGCTGCCCCATACTAACCTCAAACTCTCCAGATCCCACGATCTCTGGATCCACAATCACCAAAACCAACCCACGCCAACGCTTCGAAGTTTAGATCGGATCGCCAGACCATGCTTAGTCGTGGCAAGATTTGCTAGTGCCACATTGACAGATGCCTTGACGAGAGATCACTTTGGCCAGATATTATTTATGAGGAATATCAGATAACTAGTAAAGTCAAAGTATCTTGCAAAAAAATTCTCCCAGCAAGAAAAATAAACTCAAATCAACGCCAGCTGCTTTTCGGCTGAAAGCTGGTGCTACCGCCGCCCTCTCATGCCAAACCGTCGTACCGTGCCGGTGCCAAATAGGCGGGACCCGTCCATGAGGCTTTGGTCCAACCACCATAATACCTTTCCGTGTTTTAAGCTTCCCGCTAGAGCCACCCGGCACCCACACAATGGTCAGAGAAGTCAAGAGCATGGGAAACATTGGGGAAAAGGGAAAACCAGCGTGTAGATCGAAAGGCATTGATGAAGATCCGGGCGCAAATCATGCAAACATCACCACAATGCCAGGCACGAACGAAAAGGAAAAGTAAAACACGAAAGCGTGAACCGTCCGATTGGGGAAGCGCAAAGAATGATCAGAGGTATGGGTTAAAAAGAGGAAGGTTGGTTTTACGAGGTGGGGAGGGCCGTGAAGACGACAACCAGTGGGAACCATTGGGAACCAGTGGAAACCATTGGAAATCAAGATTAACGAGACAGACGAGCGATTTGCAGAGGATAGGAGGATTGACAAGGCATGAGCTTTTGGAGAGCTTTTGGCTTTTTGGGTACTTTGGGTAGGCATGCTGGGAATAAGGTTTCCAGCGAAGGTTTCAAGGCACCAGGACCAGCAGGAAGAAGCGTATTAAGGTTTGAAGGGTGTGTGTTGGTCGTTGGTCCTCGGCCCCAGGGGCATATATAAACTGACGAAACAGACAAGCCAATAGAGATAGAGAATGGCTAGTTAAGTGTAAGGTCCAATTTCATGCTCTGGAGCCAGGGCTCCATTCGTCTACACCCTTGCAGACTCCATTCTTCTCCTTTATCATGTTTCTCCAGCTGCATGGAACGCCAAAGCCTTATCCTTTAAACTCTGCCTGTAGAAGAGCATTTTGCCGATCAGCAGCTCCCCGAGAGATCCTTAATGGGCTCTCCTACGCTTTCACATGGTCCATGCGTAAAGCAAGAAAACTTGGTGATCACCGGGGCGTTCCGGCAAGCTTCCAGAAGGCAAGCTACAAGAGGGGCTTCCATGGAAAGGTAGCTGACGAGCACGAGGAGGATAATGGGGTGACATTGGATTAGGGAAAGCGACAATTGGGTGGTTGTAAACAAGCTTTGTGTGGCGGGTCGCTGGATGAGGCACGGCTGGTGAATAAGGTTTGAGAGAAGCCCAGGGTAGATTTGAAGTTTGGTAAAGGGAATGTATGGGTTGTAAAGGAGGAGGGTCTCGGCAGAATAGATGCCGATGTATGTATGTTTGTTTGCTGGATACTTGTTGTTTCTTTCAAGTTGATAGGCTATTGGTTGTGGCGGTGGCTGGTTTGGTATGTATGATTTGGATTGCATTTTGTGGATTCATGGACGTTTGAAACGGTTGTAAGTTGAAGCATGGCGGTTGGTGTGGCTTGGGAGTCGGAGAATGGACGATGTGGAAGAGCAGGAAGGTAGGCGGTGTGGAAATTGGCGGAAAGATAGTGGAAAGTGGAAGGGCAGGGGTGGAGTTTTTCACGGAAAGAGAGTGGTTTTTGATTTTGGGTTTTTGTATGTTGGTGGTTTGATGAGCTTGGGATGGCTTCTTGGATGGGATGGAAGTGAAAGTAAAAGGTGAAAAATTGGCAGGTTGCTATGGAATGGTATTTGAATAATTTTCTTAAGGAAGGACTTCAAAATAGTGACTCAGATAATTTTAAACGTATTATATTGGCCTGGTTCTACTCTTTAGAGTCTCTCCCAGAACCCTGTAACCACATCTCTTGACTCACTTCTCTGACTCTTTCCATTAACCACCAGTAACCATCCACCATCCCTTCAAAGCTTAATGAATATTATTTAACCAAGCCAGCACCAAAGGCACCAAAGGCACCAAAGGCACCGCCGTCACCTCCTTCAAACACTCCTTCCCTTCTGTTCCCTTCACTTCCAATAGTCCATGGACTGTCACCTCCATCAAAACCCACCAATCCATTTCTCCAACGACCACCCACTTTTTCCACCCACCTTTTCCAGCCCAGCAAATTCCCAGACCACTTTCCAGACTGCCAGGCACATCCTACGCTATTTATCTAATTTTTTATATCGCCTCACCGCCGTTCTAGCTTCGAGATTGGCACCGATCTGGCGATCTAAAGTAAGCGAGCGATCCGATCGCAGAATCCAGTGGGAGTTGAGTTTCACCACCATATGGCCAGCGACACTTAAGCTTCTACTATAATTTATACATTTGTTGAACACTAGAGTTTATGGTTACTGGAGTCCAGTGGTCTGTACTTTGAGCCCTGGCAGCGTAGCATACGTAAGGTAGCACCAATTGTGCATTCAGCAGAAGAAGGAATAATATCGGTTCTGGAATATTATTAACTCATCCACTGTATCGACCACTGGGCGGGCCGTCATTCCAGGTGCCCCTAAACCATTCCAGCAACTGTAAAAACCATATGCTACCTAATTTAGATGTACATCACCAAAAGGGCAATTTGGGCAATGCAATTTTCGCAGCCAATGAGTAAACGTTCGATTTCTGGAAAACCATGCTTTCCCCCCATTTACCCACCTATAATGGCTCGTAAACAACAAAGCTTTAGGCATGCTTCTTTGCATGAATTTCACCTCTCTAGCCTTTCTAGTGCTTTTGCGTATACGACGAGACCTTGGGGGGGTCCCTTGGCCCCCTTCCCAAAAGGGTAACCCGAGGGGGGTGAGGCGAGGCCAATTATTATTTGCACCTTCTGCCTGGCTTAACTAGGGTAGGTTTTGCCCAGGGTCCTGGGTGCCGTGGCGGCGTTAGCCAGACGTTCCAGCCGCCGCCAGGAAACAGGTTTACTATGGGCTTCCATGGCCTTAGAAACACCGTTGTTTCGGGTCTTCCAGAAGCCCCAACAATGGCCTTCCATACGTGGAACGTCAGGTCAAACCAACATCAAAAAACGACTTTTCTCTTAAACTAATTCTTCTGCTCTGTGTATCTCCGTTTTTCTCTGGCTAACTCCACTGGGCTCGGGCGACCTTTCAGCCCCAAACGGGAGTGGTCTACATTTATTTTTTGCCTACAGTTTAGCCGCCAGGCAGAGCCTTGCGCCGGTCAGGGGACCCCGAGCTTCCTAGCATGTACATGTAGATTAAATATTATTTGGAGGGCATGGACGTTTGCAGCAATCGAGGATGAGGAAGAAAGAAAGAGAACAGGGCTACTTTAAGCCTAGCAAGACTTCATGTAGAAGAAGAAGGAAAGAAGGAAAGTAGGAAAGGGATGGAGAATATTATTAAGCTTGTTTCTTCTTTTTTTGGTTATTTTTGGGATTATGTTTTCTAGACTCGGGCTCGGGATGTGGCCCTGAAGATCCAGTCTCCAGAAGACAGTAAGTCTCTCACGTCCATCTTCTACGTAGTTACTTCTCTTTAAGGATTGAGATACGTTTGATTGTTTCGGATCCGCCACCTTCCTATTTGGGAGCGTTGACCACGATAAAAAACATCGCCAGGTGGTTCGTCTGTGGTTGCCTTTGGAAACGAAGGTGCTGCCTCGAACCAAGGGAGTCTCGTTGGGGCTGCGCTCGTCTGGGTCGAGTGGACTTTTTGTTTTTTTCTGCGCCCGGCGCCGCGCACCACCCCACACATTTTAGGCCAGGACAAATTTGAAGAGAAAATGAAGAAAGGTTTTGGATGGCTCTTTATTTTTAAAGAAAAAAAGTAGAGATATCTATGGGGGATTGATGGTTTCCTGCATGTAAGTACCGGGCAACGGAATTTCCCACTCTTTTTCCGTCATTTTCGTCCCCTTCTCTACCTCTATTCGCCTTATTCTTGAAGTCTGCGGGCGGACCCTGGCGCCGCCGCAGTGTCTACCACACCAAAGAAAGCAACGGTTTGGTGGGGGACACTAGAGGCACGCGGCGAGGTGGGGAGTTTTCCGAACGTTATTTTCTGGACTCTGGCAAGCGAATGGTGGGTTTGGAGGGTTTCAAAGTGGTCTTAAAATCATAGAGTGAATAGCCTTTGTAGAATAGCCTTTGCCAGTGTTCCTCGGGCCAAATATGGGCGAGCTGTTGGTGCTGTGTGTGAGGCGTGGGGTGGTAAATAATATTTCGGTGGTTTGTTATGCCTGCGTGGATAAGGTGACGCGGTTATGAGCCCTGGTGGGGAAGGACGGTACAAATATGGGCCGTTTGGAGCCGGGAAAACGGGAACCTCGTAGGTGCCAGCTTACGAGCTGGATATGGCTGGCTTTCGGCACTGCCGAACCTTGGCTGAAGCCAGGGTTCTGACCTAATAGTACTGGCTATGGCCCTCCCTACATATAGCCCCCACACGGCGCAAATCGTTCTCGTGCCTCCAGCGCGCAGCACGCACCACGCAGCCGCATGCAGATGCACCCTCATTTGTGCGTCTCCTCGTGCATGCTACATGCGCCTGCAGCAGCAGCAGCAGCAGCAGCAGCATCCTCGCACATCGCTCTCGCTCTCGCTCTGTCCCTCATAGTCTACCCTCCCTCCTTCTGCTCTTCCTTTCTCTCTGCTCGGTACTACCCCCATGTACCTACCTACATACGTATGTACCTCTTCTTTATGCTTCATGCCCCTCATGCGTCGGCTGCTGCCGCCTATCCACCCACCGTGCATTCACTCACGCTCCTTCACTCACACACTCTCACTTACCTCACATAATTAAACAACTATATATACTGCCCCTCCCTCCTCCTAAAAAAAAAAAAAAAAAAACATCCAAACTTTTCATCCTCAAAAATCACCTCCCTCCAATCCACTTTTTTCCCTCCCTCCCTCTTTCCAACGCCCTCCTTCCACCATTCCACTATACTGCTCCCGCAAACATATGCCCCCGGACACGGCCAGGGCCAGCCCCAGCCTTCTGCTGACTCGGGCTTCCAATCACTGTCTTATATGGAACCTCTACTAGACGAGCTCCCGACGTATCCACCGCCTCCACTGGGGCACCAGCCACATCCACAAGGCCCTCAGCAAGGTCAACAACAGCGCCTGGGGCCCGACAGGCCTGCCGGTTTTCCACCTCCAGGCGGATCCTACGATTCCATGGGAATGGCTGTTTCTTCAGCCCAGCCTTCTCATAATCCCAATATTCATCATCTTGGCACGCCAAATAATCTAGGCACGCCAAACCAGCATCATTCTCATCCACATGCCCATCAATTGCATCCACATCATCCTGGCCAGCTAGGGCACCCAGGCCATCCTAACCATGGAATGCCAGGACAGCTTGGCATACACGGCCCGCTGGGCATGCCTGGGAATCCTACGAATCCAGGCAATCCAACAGCATCGGCGCCGCTTCAGGATGGCTTGAATACGCCTAATTCCAATTCTACTGGTCCTCCTCCAGCAGGTGCTTCTGGACCTCCAGGTGGGCCAGTGGGGCCTGGTGGCTCTGCTGCTGGTCCAGTCGCTGGCACGGGAGGCCCAGGCGCTGGCCCTGGCGGCTACTACGAAGACGAGATGGAAACAAAGTACGTGGCTAACCCTGTCAACACTTACCTTCCTCCAGCTGTCTACGAGCCCCAGCCACTTCCAGGCTACAGACCGTACGAGTACTATCACAACGGGCCGCAGGCGGCAGGCGTGTCTTCGTCGGTTTCGGGTCCGTCGTCGACGTTCCCACTGAATTCAGCTTCGGTGCTTCTGGCGCCAATGCCAATGGGTTCGGCTTCAAGCAGCGGACCTTCCTCGTCATCGTCCTTTTTGGGTCCTAAATCTGCTGGCAATTCTGGTCCTGACAATTCCAACAACAATAATAACAACAATATGTACATGCCTTTACAACAAAACTACTCGGGCCCTGGCGGCGGGCCTGGTGGTCAACAGTCTTCATCGCTGCCGGGCTTCAACTACCAACAGCAGTACCCGTACCGCCAAAGTTCTTCTTTCAGCGGGTACCCACAAAATTCTATTGGTGCACCTCCCGAAACGGGACGCAACAAGTGCCCTGTTTGTCATAAGGTGTTTAAGCGGCCGCTGTCGCTCCAGATTCATTTTTATATTCATACGGGCGTTAAGATGTTCAAGTGTGAGTGGGAAGGCTGTGGACGGATGTTCAATGTGAAGCTGAATATGAAGAGGCATTATAGGTTACACTTGAAGAGAGAAGAAGAAAAACGTATGGCTGAGCAATGACAGACGCCCACGCCAGTCCATGATATGCTTCAATTGAACGGTTGATACAAAATAGAAGATACCTAAGCCTGTCGATCTTGTCGGTTGACGAAGCTTTTAGTGATCGTCTTTAGCTGCCAACCCGCCGTCCACTCTTTCCCTTACAAATATGGACCCCACTGAAACTCAAGCAGCTTGGTGGGTGCCCAATAGCATTGATGTTTTTACATATCTCGCTTGCCACAAAGCGGGTCTCTGCCAATAGCATTAACAAAAAAATATAGCTTGCATTACTGAATCGTCAAAGGTAGACGGCTCCTCTCTACTGGTCGGACGAGACTCCAAAGCGAGACCAACAGATATTGGTCAGTTCCACAAAGGAGGCAAACTAGTGTGCAAGGAACCCACACAAAGCGCAATATTGTCTTTTCTTTATTATTGCATGCTTGTCATCCACAAAGGTGAAGCTTCTTCAATGGATAATTTTGGCTTTCTTGTTCCTGCGAGTTTTCACCTGTTGCCAGTGTGATGAAACCTCCACTGTTGCTCTTCCATCCGTCCATTCCACCAAAACACCAAAGCTTATAAGCTTTCTTGTTGTTTTCCTACCACGCCCACCATTACGTTTACTTGTTGCTTCTGCTTAGCGGCACTTAAGCCTCCCACGAGCTGCGCTAAGCCTTTCCAGCCATCTCTCTGGCCCACCTCCTACTTCGAGGAGAGTCCACACAAAGTTCCCTCGTTGGCGGTGGAAAGGTTAATTTATTGGAGGCTTAAGGGGACGTGAATTGCTTGGGAAACCCATAATACTTTCAAATGTTGCTTCCAGACGCCATTTCCATGTCCAAACCGCCCATTCTTTGGATTTCTTCAACGTTGTGCCTGAGGCGGTTATCCATAACGGCTGTCTAGTCATGGCTGGCCCGGATGAGTGACTGTTTTTGGTATTTTGTTTAGGATGTATTTGGAAAATGAAGAGAACGCATATAGAAGACAATGTGGACCCGCCAACATTGGGATCGTCGCCAGGCATAATAGGTTTCTACACAAAGGTGGTTCAGGAAGCAAATGTATTACAAATAAAAAAAAAAAATAAAAAAAAAAAAGGAAAAAAGGAAAAGGAAAATGTAAATAAAGAAGTTTTGGTTTGGATTTCGAGAATGACCGGAGAAAGTAGGGAAATTGGTTGGAAAAGTCTAAAATGCTGGAGCATCGATGAGAAAGAGAAGCATATAAAAAAAAAAAAACTGCCCACTTCCTGAAAACTCCCAGAAACTACAAAAAGCAAAGACTGGGAAATTGCATTGTCTTCCTTTTTTTTTCTAGCCCAACATCGCCCCTTCAACACATTTCCCTGTTTCGTGGAAGGTTCATGGCGGATTTTACATGAGCATTTCGGTTTCTGACCTCGAAGCATCGAAAAGGTTAAATACCAAAGAGCCTGGTTTCTGCGTTTTTCTTTGGAATTCAAACAAGGAGGAATGACAGAATGTGAAGCGGCAGCGAAGGAATTGGAAGAAGGTCGAAGTCCTTCGAGGCAGAAACGGTCACCACTTGAGTTTTCATAGACTCAAGCCTTTCAGGATTTCAAGAGGCTTCAGAGGATTGCAAAAAGAAAACCCATCCACTTGGGTTGGAAAAGAAACGATGCTGGAATTGGCGGGACCATGAAAGGCAGTTGAAATCCTGGGAGGTTCGTATTTCAGATGCTTTTCTTTTATGGATATGTGTATTTCCCCCCGTTGCTTATGATTTGTGAAAGTTTTGGGTTCTTCGGAACGGACGGTGGACGGTAGCTGGAGTTTAGAGGGCTTTGGGGTTTTAGAGCCGTTTGCACTTTGATTGCCTTTATATGTCCATTTGAATTATGGTTAATTAATTACCCATTTGTTCCAAAGCATTTGGTGTTCAAAACCACCCAATTCGTTCGAACCAAAAAGTTCCCGTCTAAACCTGACCTTTTGCAAACTTCCCATTTCTCGTCTATTCCACATGACCTTGCTTTCGTCTTTCCTCCTCCTTCCATTCTTCGTCCTCCAATTAAGGAAGATCGGTTTGGAAGCTTCGAATGGTGTTTTTTTACTATTGCTTCGTTGCTCGTACGCGAGCGGGAGGCTTTTTCTGATCGGCGCCTGGAACGCCCAACAGGGGCACTGCAGTAGGAGAAATGTAGGTTAGAGTAATTCATTGGATATTTGTTAGTTTTGTAGAAATTACTGGGAAATGGTTATATCCTCGGAATGGAGGAACCGGAAGTGGAGTGAGAAAGCCGGATATCAGAGTATTCCGAGGGCTTTAAAAGTCGGTAATTGGGGTGATGTGAGGGGCAAAAATAAAATATTAAAAAATAAAATAATATAAAGATGCACTGTACATCAGGGCGCAGGCAGTGAGGCAGAGGGTCTCAGGGCGCAGGTTGGCAGACGGCAAGGTGCGTGCGGCGCGACGCGCGGCCCAACTTACATGCCGGCCGCATAAATTGTCCTTCAAGCAGCGAAGACAGCCCTGGTGAAAGCCTCCGCATTGGGCTAAACGTGCATCGTCGTAAAAAAAAAAAAAAAAAAAAAAAAAAAAAAAAAAGCCATTAGCACAAGAAAGTATACTACCATGAAATACAAAAATTAGGAGAATTTCTATCACCTCTAAAAAGCTTTCCAAAGTATATGGCAAAGCCTGGTTCCGGAGTTTAGATGGTTTTCTTCCGAAACCAAAAAAATCTCCCCATGCAATGTAGAAAGCAAAAAAAAAAAGTAGAGCAAATCAAAGCAAAAATGGTGCATTTGTCCACCTTCCACTCGTATGGCTTCTGCTGGACAAATGGCTCAAATTTCCGTTCTTTACAAGCGTCAATGCTTCTTCCCAGTTGGAAAAACCTGCTTCTTGACTTTTCAATAAAACAAATGGCTTATTTTTCCCGGTTTTCCCGAAAATTTCATCCCCAAACATCTCACTACCGTCAAAACACCTCTCTCCATAACCTCTCTTGAATCTCTTTAATCAATGGCTCTTTCTGCCTCTCTGAGTCGTTCTTGATACCCAGGCAGGGAATGTTTCGTAGAAAAACAACCGAAGGCGGCCCTACCGCTGGTAATTAATATTCTTTAAGTCAAAGTCAAAGTCAAAGGATCAACACAATAAGTTTTATTTTTTATTGATGTATGGTCGTTGAGCCCCAAGGGAACAACTGCCGGGGGTCGGTTTGTGCTTATCTGGATTATCAATGGTGGAGGGAAGGTGGACTTGGTAAGAGATGGTTGTTGTTTGAGCACAATTTTTTTTTTTTTTTAATTGGGTGATGACGATATCACCACAGCCAGCAAACACGTTGCCATGGTATAGGGGCTTTATAGAATGCAGAGAGAAACCAATTGCTGGTTCTGGAATTCCTGGAATTGCCAGGTGTGGGTGCAAGTGAATCCCAGGTGGTTATGTATGTGAGTACATTTGATATTTATTATCCACCTTTAATGAATTTCACCAACGACCCCTATTAATCATTCAGCGCAATTCTCTACATAGCCCACTACAATTGCTATCGTGGCGGGCCCGCCAGTCCAGACTACCCTGTTGGCTCTGAAATCACATTCACATGACACCAACGGCTCTGTTCCACAACAAACCGAACCTAGAAACATTCTCGTCAAGCCCTTCCAACGTCAATACTTCCTACAATAGTTTGTTGTGATTTTCCGCTAGTCGCCAACCTTCCAAGCGCCAAAACCGTCATAAACCACGCTGATCAGACATTATTCCTGACAAGGGCCCATTGTACCCACGGCAATCCCAAACACGGCACTCCTAAACACTCAAGCCATTTATTTAAACCAGCATTAAACGGCTCTCTAAATTAATCAGTCCTCTAATTTATCTAATTACCTTCCTGCTGGTCCTCCTTCCCTGGCTCTTCTTCTTATCCCTCCACCATCCACCTCCCTTTGTGTCCCACGATCAGCCTTTCCATTATCCCCAGAATACCTCTTTTAGCCTAAACCTATTCTTTCCTATCTTCATTGTACGGCTCTATTCACGTTTGTGGTTGCAAGCGAGTCGCATGGCTGATCGGTAAATCTGTTTTCATTCCGACCTCTTCCGCCAGCACCGCCAGCACCTGGAGGTTCGTGACTTGAAAAGTTGTCTATCAGGCACCTCTATTGCTCCACTTGTTTTTATCCTTGCTCCCTTTGCTCCTCAAACTTGGAGAATAATCTCTCGGATATCGTCCCGCATGGACCCGACCAGGCCCGAGGCTCATAATATCACCACTATTTTTAAAAACATACATACATTTGCATCTCCAGAAGAAAAGAGCATCTCTTGTCCCTAGTGAAACGTGAAATTACGGACCTACACCCCCGTCCTTCACCCATGCAATGTAACATGAGGGTTCCCCTTTTTCCGTGGAAAGATCCACAGGGTTTCGTTGGCTGGCTGCAAATGGCGTTAAACGGCATAACGGCCACATCTCACCAGACCTAAGCGGGTGATCCCGATCCGCTACCCGTGAAAGGTCGCTTTGGGGGTTTTAGCGAGAAGGGTTTTGCAGCTGTGGAATGTTCCAGGCGGCGAAGACGCTGTGGATGCACAGGGAGAGTGGTTTCTAGAGGTGCTTGTGGTGTCAGTTTCTTTTTAAGTGTGGATGTGATGCAACGCTGGCAATGTAGAGTATGGCCTGGACGGGTTGACATGAATTGGATGCAAGTGGGATTGGTTGCTGGAGTGGTACAAGCGGGAGGTAGCAAGTTGAGGAGACATTTGACACAGCTATGGAACATTCTAAATGGCTTTGCTGATGGCCAGTTTCTTTCCTATCTGGGAAATTTACTACATTCTGGAAGTGTACGTTCCTGGAACTGTAGAATGGAAACGTCACCGGTAGAGCTTCTACCGACCGCCGTTCACGGCCGAAACGGTTCCGTGGAACCGACAACGGTTATTATTAGTACTGACAGGTCAAGAGGATCCCCCAACGTCCTCCAATCTCCCCCAGCATCCCCCAACGTCCCCCAATCTACATCCACCATCCCACTTGCACCGCGTTTGCAGCCATTTCTCATTTTTACATGCTTACAAAATATTCAGTGCCACATCTTGCCACAGTTCTGCGCCATTTTTCCCGTTGCCACTTGAAGACCCTGGCTATCTGTGGGCCAATTTCAGGTTCAACGTATTTCGGCGTTTACGTTGGTGCTCTTTTTTTTTTTCCTTTTCTTAACACAGCCAAACGGGTAACTTGGTCATGCAGAACCGCTGAAACTCCGGTTGAAATAAATGTCCTGCAGGCAGATGTCAGGCAAGAAATCCAAATCACTTTTTCCCCCTTTCATATCTGCCCCTAACGAAGCCCCTTTGGCCAACCTGAAACAGACTCACATATACTACCAGGGTCCCTCACCCGATTCGGGTGGGACACCCGTGCACCAGATACTCTCACTCTCTTCATTTTAGTAGATTTTCCTGCACACAGCCACTGGCCAACCATATCGCACTCAAAAAAAATCCAATAACCTCTGTTTAAATCTTGTTCAACAAGTCATGGCTGCCCACAACATCGCCAAATTCGTTCGCCACGCCGCCGCGGCTAAACCCCACGTCAAGCCTGAACAGTACTGGGGCGCTAAGCTCCTTGGAGCCACCATGTGGTTCTGGATCGCCTACAGAGTCAAGAATGACTTCATCGAGGGCCACCATTAGCATTATATTTGTACAATAGAGAATTCACGAAAAGAAAAAGGCATCAACAATTGGAAATTGAATTCTGTAGTCTAGCGGAGCTTTCCACGGGGCCTGAAGGTGCCTCCTCTGGATGTTTTGGTCGGGCCGCTCCGGCCTCGGCTCCGGTAATCCTTGTAGGTGCTGTTCAAGAGGTCCTTGGTTCTTCTGAGGGCGTCGTCTTCTTCAAAATACTCTTCTTCTTCGATTTCGGGCTCTTCTCGGCGGAAATTGAACCCAGAACTGTTGCAGTGCTCCAAGGCAAAGTTTCCGTTGTTCTTGAGCCTGAAAATGATAAGGTTGAAATCTTCTTCCTCGTCTTCGTCATCTCTGATCACATAGTCACAGAGATTGAAGTGCCACAAGTTGTAGTACGCGGCAAAGTACATGTCGTTCACCTTTTTGAGCGTCTGCTTGCTCATGTCCACATCGTCTTCGTCGTCTTCTTCGTCGTGTAATGTAAGACGCACGATTTTTTCTGTAGAATCACTAATAGTAATTGGTATCTTATCAAATACGGAAAGTCCAAGCTCCACGAGTTTCTGGAGGTCGGCGTTACCCGAAGCCTCTAAAACCCTGGCCACATCATCCTTGATAATCACCCATAACTCGCCCAAAATCATCCGAAGACGAGAAAACTTCAGTCTATAATTTTCAATGTACCCGGCCAGGCCGCCCATACTGTCCACAAAACTCATACCGTTTCCAGAAACGGGGTACCTAAAATGAAGGCCTTGCGAGATGGTATAATCAGCGCCAGTGATAATAGCAATATGTTCTAGAAGCGGGTTCTTCATCACTGGCGAATGAGAAACAAAGATATTCACCGCCTTCTCGTCCTTCAGGTCCATGTGTACGTACAATTGAGCCACCTGAGCTAGCGTGATCCACAAATCACCAACCTTTCCAGCCACAGAATTAAGCCCAAGCTTGCCGCTATCGAATAAACTGTGCACCTTTAAGTTACCTCCAATTCCATATAGTCTAATTGGCGGCGCCTTGGACTTGGACTCCAAAAGGTAACTATGGTTATGGTCGAGAATGTGCAATCCAGGAACCTGCCACGAGCCTTCCACGAACTTTTCCACAATATATGGATCGTCTAGAGGCCCAATCGTCGTATAAACAGGGCAAGGCAACCGTTTATGGCCAGCCATATAGTCGTCCAAGTGCTTCAACGGTGTCTCCAGTAAGAGCTTCAGTTTAAACTCTGCAAGCACCAGGTTTGCCGTTCCTAGATCCTGGGCGTTGTTTATCGTCAGCAAATCATTAAGCTCTGCCACAACCTCCTTTGGTAGCACCTCCAGAAAAGCCACAATCTGCTTTAAGTAGTTCACGTCAGTAGCTGATTCAACCGTTGAAGAGTTCCAGAACCCCAAGTTTCCCGTATGAACAATGGCCTCGACGTTCGGATGAGCGCATATAATATCATAAAGAGCGTCCCAGTTTCCCTGGAGATCACTCACCGCCAAAACTCTCATTTTGATGAAGATAGTGTAGAGAAGGAAGGAATGGATACGGTTGCAAAAGTAGTAGTGGTTATCTGGTGCGACCACAGAGGTAGTAAAAAGTGGCAGCACGTGATGCACCTTCCAGGCCCCAAAACTACCCAAAATGAAATATCAGGTTATTACTTCTCCTTAAAGAGAAGATCTCTTTGGATTTTTAAATAACGGTTGGTTTTTGAAATGTGTGGTGGGTTCGTCTGCGGCTGGATGCGGTCTTTTTTGCACCCATTTCGCGGCCTCCAAGGTTGATTTGGGGAGAAGTAGAGATGAAGAGAAGGGATTGGAATTTGAGTTTTTAAGGGGTTTATTTGGAATTGGGTGGTTTTGAGGAGAAGAAATGGCTGAAAAAAAGTGGTATTTTCTGGATGTGGTGGCGAGTTGTTGGAGGTGTTTTGTGGTTTGGTGAGGTTTCTGAAGGCGTGAAGAGGCAGTTCAGATTGGGGAGGGAATTGAAGGGAAAGGAGGATTATACTAGGAATTTTATTGGAATGGGTTTGGATTTTGGTGGATTTTGGAATTCTTAGTTGTCGTAGATGTTTACAGATTTTTGGGTTTATCATATTTTGTACTGTAATTGAGGAAGTGTAATAATGATACAAATGGTATACCGAAAACCTTCAAAATTCATAAAAAAAAAAGAAAAAAAATAAAAAAAAAAACCATAAAATCTTGATTAACATTGAATTCCATCAGATATTTACCCAAAACAACACCTACTTCTTTCAAAACATGTCCAGTGTCTTTCTAGTACCCTATCCTCTTTAATCCATCTCTAATCATTTCCATCTTCTCCTCTCCACCACTTCCCAAACAAGCTAAACAAGCCAAACAATTAAACCCTATCACTACATCTACAGATATCTCACATTGCATTGCGGCGACATATCCTCCAGCCTTCTTCATGTACATCTCTTACAACATCTCAAGCACACTAGAGCCGAGAACATACCATCCAAAGTGTACAACTTTAGTCGTCGACAATGGGAAACACCAGCGCCAGGGTATGCGGGCACCTGCTGCAAATTAAGCTCGTATATAGTACCATTTAGCTTAATTTGCAGCGTGTGTACCACATTGTGCACCTACTTAATCGAGCTGGCAGTACATATCCCTTTGTGCCATGAATTAATGAAAAAGAAAACAAACAAATAAAAAAAAAAAAAAAAGAACCATGAAAAAGAAAGAAACATAGAGAAAGCTGGCAGTCAATGGTAGATCCCAGGTTTGTTAAGTGAAGGCTAAAATTTGGGAAATCATTATGTTAAGGCAGTGAGATGTTAGTTACCAACCGAGGGAAGCCACTGAGACTCAATGAACAGCACCAATTGGTCCACAGGAAGAGTCCAAATTTAACCTGTTTCCTGGGCAGTCCAAAACCACCCACAATGGCACTTTTTTATGAATTTGGAGCCCTAAAAGGCCTAGCATGATTCGGCACTTCTCGACAACCCCCTCCAATTACCCAATGTTCCGTTGCAAGGTACTACAAAACCCTCATCACCACGGAAACCCAGCAATACTACATGAGTGCCTCGAGCCCTTGTCATTGTACCCGCATATCTGGCAGCTTTCCCTGCGGACCGTGAACAATCGCCATTTATGTCACGTCAAAGCCTACAATTTAGCTTCTGCCAAGTGCGTGTTTCGCCAAAAGAGACTACGGGCAAGTGGATGGGTTAAGCCTGGATTTCAGATGGTTCGTGTGAAGAAGCAGCGAAAGATTTGGGAAGAAGAGGATCTACTGGTTAAGTGGTAGGATGTATTGTTGGGATCGCCAGAGCAGGTGGGTAGCGACGAGGAACAATTTTAGTCTTCCTCGGTTAGGCTGTGTAAGATTAGCGAGACGAAGAAGAGGTAGCCAGTGGAATTAGACGGTTCCAGAATTGCCCGGATTCACCATACTTCAATATCTGGTATGATTGTTTTTTTGGGTCATACCGTGTTCAACTGACTCAGGGGTAAAATAAAAAAGAAAAGAAGTACCCAATTCAAATCCATCTAGAGCAGAAAGAAAATAAATTAAGGCACCTCTTGCCCTCCATCACTTGAAACATACATTGCATCTACATGCGTCACCGTCGTCCATGTCTAACTCGTCACTGGTACATAACCACCCTCGAGGCCCAATTGTACGCCTCCCATTGGCCACATAGAGGCTTGAAAGGAGGAAAAAAAAAACGCCCTATTCACATACTCTCGAGACAATATCCCATTGAAGCTGTATTGAGAGATCCATTGTGTGAAGCAGCTGTCTGCGAGCCTCCTTTTTTCCTTTGCGCCTGGGTTCTGTTGGAAGGGCTCAGTGTTTCAGATGCCGAACAAAGGAGGTGGCGCTTGAAGCCGACATTTGCTGTTTTTTTCCACTTTTCATCCCTTTTTAATACCCTTTCCATTGTTTCGTCCCCACCTGTTGCTTTCTTTTGATTCGCAGCCATAAAAGGTGGCTGTCCCAGGTTTCTAGAAGGCCACAAAATGGTGAAAAATTGAGCAAACTGCCAGTGAAGAGCCAATCATTCTCAGCAAACCCTGCGATTCCCAAAACTTCATTTTTTTTTCAATCCCACCCTTTTGTGTTTCTGTTTTAAATCACTACAATAAATGTCATTCCTGCATACACACCACACCACCATACTTCCATGCCTTATCATCACCAACCCGTTCCTTCCCAGTCTTTCATCTTAACCAGGAACCCCTTCAAATCCATCATCCCTGGGGCTTCCCCTGACCAGAACAATCCCATAAAACCCGTACACCGCCCTGGCCATGCGGGACCCTCCAGAAAGACTTCGAAAGGCTGTCATTGATGGGAACTTGCCCATCACGAAAAGGCTCCTAGCTCGGTTTCCGGAACTATGGCTTAACACTGATCCAGAGAATAAAGGATGGTGCAATTTGCATTATGCGTCGTACCAGGGGAATTACCTTGTGTGCTTTCATCTTATGTCGTTGAGAAGACGCCGTTTGCTGGGACCTGTTCAGTATACTGATTTGGATATGGTGACTTTTGATAACTTGACGGTGCTCCATATGCCTGTGTTTCAGCACCACCTGCAAACGTTGCATTACCTTCTTCAGGAGTTTGCAGGGCATCCGTGGATCAACCATAAGGGAGGCGAGTTGGGCCGTACGCCGCTTCATTACTGCTGTACTTGTTCATTTACAGATGGGCTTAAGTTGCTTCTAGAGTTTGATGCTGATTGGAAAATGACCGACCAGAACGGCGACACGTGTCTTCATTTGTGTTTTGCGTATGGAGATTTGGCCGGGTTGCGTGAATTGGTGAAATCTATAGTGGCCAAGTGCCTACGGTCACTTCAAGACGTGGTTGGCGAGGCCCAGATCTCTGGCAAGGAAGCTATTTTGGCTGAACTTGGAGAGTTTGAAGGCACAAAGAATAACCATGGTTTCCGTGCAATTGACTATGCGGCTTCGTTTGAGCTCCAGAGCCAGTATAAGGAATCCAGGTTGGCATGGGTCGAAGCTGCGTTTGAGGAAGAGAGCATACTACAAAAACTGCGTCTGGAGAATTGGGATTCGGTGTTGGCGTTTGCACCTTCAGATACGGCCAGAAACGATTCGGCTTCGCTTCACCCTTCTACTCAATCCTCTGCATCATCATTAACAGCTCCAGATTCGGCTTCATTTGCATTTTCTTCCGCTCCAAAGCCTTCGGTGCTGCCTGAAAAGAATGAAGAAACTGCCAAACTAGCACAAGCCAGAATGCATCTGGCATCGGTCGGAAACGACGCGTCTCATATATCTCCTCTGGATAAACTCAATTCCCGCAGAAGATCAAACACCGCTGCTGTTCACGGGTACAAGCCACCGCCATTGCCAATTTCTATCAATACTGGCGTGGCTTCTGGCTCTAAGAGCAGCGTGAAAATGTCAAGTCCAGTAACGCCGTTGCTGATTGATTTCCCTAAAACTCCATCATTAAAGTCGGTCACCATTTCGCCTTCCGTACGTGGTGCTAAAAGAAAACCCAGCATTAACAGCATGTCTACAGGGACTCCTGAAGTTTTAAAGGAAAATGAATCTTTAGATGAGATTGCAGTTCCCGTCTTTGCTGAAAGCCCTCTGCTTCCCACCCAAATACCATCTGCATCCGGTCCAAATCCCGAATCTAACCTGCCAGTGGCTGTCACAGCCGTTGCCTCACCAGATCCTTCCCAGTCATCGCAAAACAACTCTGCTGAAAGCAGACGCAGGTCAATGTCATCGGTTCATTCACCGCCCATTCGCTCTTCATCTTTCCACTTTCTGCCTCTTGGCATAACTCGCCGGCGAAGTGCTACCAGTGCTGCTCCAAATGGAAATAGCAACGCAGCTGCTCCTTCAGCTCCAGCAGAAGGCATTGATGGCCTGAGACTGTCGTCTCCATTGAGCGTTGAAACATCACGCTTCAGCTCAAGGCGCAGCTCGTTAAGACGAAACATATCTACACCTTCTGTTGTTCATTCGCTGGCTCTTGGGATGTCGAGCGCCAACGGCAGTTTGGAAACGATACCGATCCAGCAAGCACGGCCAGAGCGCCTTTTCCGTCATGCCAATGCATCAGATTCCATGATCAGATCTAGACCAACATCCCCCACTGAAGCCTCTGCAAACGATATGAGCAACCTGTTGGATACCATCAAACTCAGCATGCGCCGGCCACACGAAGCAGTGCCTGAAGATAAGGTCGTTCATTCATTTGTGGCATCCATTCCTCGTGATAAACTCAGACGAAGTAATACGACTTCGCCTGTAAAAGAAAAAGAACCACAACTAGGTTCCCTGGTGAAAAATAGACCAGAAAGGTCGTCGACAATGTCCTCGCTGACTTCCATGCATACACAGCGGGATCTAAACAGCATCAAGCTCACGCGGGTTCGTGACGATTGAGGACATTCCACGCATAACGATAGTCATATGAATTACAGTATGAAAGAAGACTTTTCTGTTGCATATATATTCTTTGGTACCTGTTTTCTTGAAATACATATGAGTGAAAGACCGTGTAGGGTTTAGGTGAGGTAGAGGGAAGCTACACAGTTTGATGGTCACTGGGTGATGAGTTTCAATGAAGAGTTAAAGAAGGGGAAAATGAAAAGCTTACAAAACAAGCCAGTTGCTGTATAAACGACTCTCTGACGTTAATTGAAAGAAGTTGTTTGAGTGTACTAGAAAGACTATCTACATATGGTTGATGGAAGAGCATAAAAAAGTAGCAAGAAAGGATATGACAAGGTCTCTAGCTCTTTTCCTTGTGACCTTAAGCTAGTCAGCCTAACTATCAATATGCCATTGACGAAGTTGACTGCTTTTGTTGAAGAATTATTTGCACTGGATGAAGCGTCTACTACGCCCAATAGATAACCAAAAGGTACCATAGAATTCATGCACTTCATGTCGTATATAAAAAATACTACCAAGATCAAGTACAACTGATGATATCCAGAGAAATAAATTCTTTCAGTATCCCTCCTGTTGGTATTTCCCCAGCTAGTAGACTCTACCCACCACTCTCATACATAGCTCCACCAGCCTCCCATACCCTGAAACACTCCCAAAACAAGTCCATAAAAAGCCAAAACAAGGCTCTGAGCAGCTTCAAAATAGCTTAAGGAATTTGATTTATTCACTTGACACATCAATTCTTCTCCTTTCTTCCCCTACCACCTTCTGACTGGCCTCACTGCTTCTTCCATATCCTCAGTATACATCAACCAGGCCACCCATAAAATCCCAAAACAACCCAGAAACCCCCCAAAAAAGACAATCCCTATATCCAAACCCCACTAATACCCTCCCTCAATCATTTCCACCAAAAACTTCCACCCACTGCTTTTCCCCCACCTTGTCCAAATGGCTGCAAAAACCAGTATATGTGCGAACGGCCAATTCCATAACCTGCCAATTGATCCAACCCATACTCCATTGAAAAACCCCAAAATCCATAAATAGCATCCAATTCCTTCCCAATGATCGAAACTCACCCTCACGTCAGCCCCATCCCGCTATTCACTGACGAAAGTCTCCCAGAAGCTGCTCGTTTCTTTTTACTAGCTCTTCAGCATAAGGCTACCTCTGAAATGGACCATTCGAGGGCAATTGACTACTGGAATCTTCTTCCAAAGAAAAAACAGGATCAGATTAATGAAGTGGCGTTTAGAAAGACCCAGAAAGTGCTTGCTCAAACGTCGATTCGGTTTCAGCAGACTTACTTTCGGTTTCGGTACCACAGACATCCAGTGCCTCGAAGTGTCTATAAGGGGTACTTTTGTATTGAAACAACGCCCAAAATGTGCTTGAATCTGGTGTTGGAGGTGATTAAGGAGTTTAGTAAGGATACGGAAGATATTTTAGTTAAACAGACGGTGCTGAAGTTGGAGAAACTGAACCTTGACCTGCTGTCTATGATATCGTTGAAGCTGACGTCTGTGTGTTATTTGACAGCGTATAAAGAAGCCAAACCGTTTTTTGATAACGTCATGTACGTGACAATGAAGGAATCATTTTTGGTTCGGATTCTAGCTGAGCCCGTGCCTGTGTTGTTCTACCTTAGAACAGTCAACCAGCCTAAAACTGTCATTGAACAGTTCTTGACCAGGCACGACGAGTACGACTACGAAGTGTGTGGCCCCAATAAGTACTTTGTGCTTGTTTTGTTTAGATCGAACCAAAGGCCCAAACCGTTTTGCACGAAGAAATCAACCTTGTGCTACTTGACGCCAAGCTTGGCTAGAAGAAAGGAGGCTACAGTGAAGGTTAAAGCAGAGCCTGACCCTCTGACAACCGAAGCAGAGGCGGAAGGGGAAGCAGGAACCGAAACAGATACTACCGTTCCTGATTTGGATGTACCTGGTCTTGATTTACCTAGTCCCGAGGTAATGGCTCTGGAGGCGGCAAGGTTGATTTTAGAGGATGAAAACGATAGCGCAGGAATGCAAGCTGTCCTGACTTTCAGGGAAGTCGCCCAGGCGTTATCGCTGCTTCCAAGAAGCTCTCGTTCTATGAATCTTATTAGAAGCGCCTTCAATGCTCTCCGTGGCGGTCCTCGGATGCCTGAAACTCTATATTCTCGTGCCAACCCAGAGATCGAAGCTATGCCTTGCCCAATTTCCAACCGTTCTTTTAAGCACTGCAAAACCCAGTTCATGAAGTTCAAGATGAAGAAATAAGCGTGCTGGAAGAGCCAATTGGTATGGGTTTCCGTTAAGAAGCTGCTGGCAAATTAAAAATTAATGCAAAATATTGAATTTACCGTTTATCATCCTATCAAGTCAAAGAACACATACCTAGTTCTACTGGTGTGCTCCATAAGTACTGTATGTCGCGAGAATATCAACATCGCCAAAGTGGTAGGCGAATTTGCAACACTCGATCTATGGCGAAAACACCCGTTTCGGCGAAGAAACAGCGTTCAATCAGCGCGTTTTTCACTCCTCGGCTGTCCGCAAAACCCGAAGTTCCGCCTCCAGTTGAAAAAAGCCCTTCAGATGAACCGTCAGCTACGAGAAAGAGGCTCTCTGAGTTCCAACATGCCTCGAACGGTGATCTGACGAAACCTCCAAGTCCCAAAAGAGCCAAACCGACGAGCAAAGCTTCTTCTAAGGCTACCGAAAAGGCACCAGCTCTGAAAGCTAGCAAAACCAAGCTCACACCGTTGGAGAAGCAGTTTGTAGAGCTCAAGCTGGCAAATCCAGATAAGGTGTTGGCGATCCAGGTGGGCTACAAGTTCAAATTCTTTGGAAATGACGCTGTAATTGCCCTGCAGCTTCTTAATATCATGCTTATACGAGGAAACCTCGAATTGGATGAAAGAACCCATGATAGATTCGCATACTGTTCGGTTCCAGATAACAGGCTACATATTCACTTGCAAAGGCTATTGAACCATGGAATGAAGGTTGGCGTGGTTAAGCAAACAGAAACTGCTGCTATCAAGTCGGCTGAATCAAAGCTGGGCCTTTTTGAACGTAAGATCACTGGCGTTTACACGAAAGCTACATACATGGGAGACGAGATGCTTACTGGTGATCCAAGCATCAACAGGTCAAACCAGGTGGACGAGTCTGCCGATGGAAACAGCTATATAATGGCTGTAAACGATGCTGACCCTAAAAATACGGCCATTGTGGCTGTCCAGCCAGTCACTGGAGATATCATCTATGATGTGTTTGCGGATAACAGTGCCAAAGACGAACTTGAGACGCGTCTTGCTTACCTTATGCCCTCTGAGGTGCTTATAATAAGTGCAGCTTCGTCTGTGAGCCATGATGCATCGAAGCTTATTAAGCTTAGGAACCCAGCAGCGTCCGTCCAGTTCAGAGCACAGAAGAAACAGCTGCAAGTGCAAGCTGACTTGGAATCATTTTTTTCGTCAATAGATACTGACGGGAAAGTTTCACATTTAACGGAGTTCTACCAGCTTAATTACCATGCTGCTGTCTGTTCTTGTATCAATGAACTTGTAAACTACCTTGCAGAGTTCCAGCTAAGCAATATCTTCACGATTCCCTCGAACATGTCGTCATTCACAGATTCCCGCAAGTATATGCTTTTACCTGCCAACACGCTACGAGCCTTGGATATATTCGAAATTGAGGATAACCCTTCAGCACGGAAAGGCACTTTACTATGGCTATTGAATCATACAAAGACTAAGAACGGCTCTAGACTTCTCCAGAAATGGATCTCCAGGCCCCTTGTTATTAAGTCAGAGATTGAAGAACGTTTAAATGCTGTTCAGACCCTTCGAGATGGAAGGTTTGTCCATATGCTAGACGTCCTCAAAAGCACCATTCAGAAGATCGGAAAGGAAAACATAGATCTCGATCGTCTTTTGATCAAAGTTCACTATTCAGCTGAGTACATGAACGACAAGATTGCTCGTCGAGATGTGTATCTCATGCTTCGAGGGTTTAGCGATATTCTTGAAGTGTTTCAGAAGTTTGGAGAGAAAGGACTAGCCGAGTTCAAAGCAGCCAATGTTTCTCCATACCTCCAAAGTCTATTTGAGAAGATGTCTGACCTTTCAAAAGAACCTCATGTTGGGGACTTGCTTGGCCTGATCAATTCTGCTGCAGCTATGGATGTCAACAATCTTAGTGACCAAAAGATGAAGTTCTTCAACTTGAATCATGAGAAATTCGATAGCATTCTTCTGGAACAGGAGCAAATCGCCATGACTGAATCAGAACTAGACGAGGAGTTGCGGTCCATCAGAAGCTACTTAAAAAGACCACAGCTCCAGTACGTCACAAACCTTAAGGATACGCATTTGATAGAAGTCAGGAACGGTAAAAGCGTTGACGCATTGCCCTCTGACTGGCTAAAGATTAGCGGTACCAAATCTGTATCGAGGTTCAGGCCTCCTGAAGTCGCCAGGCTACACAAAGAGCTCAGTTATCACCAAGATAAGCTTCTCAGGGCGTGTGACGAGTGTTTCAATAAATTCCTCAAAGAGATTGATTCTCATTACGAGTACCTCCATAACATTGTCAGCCATGCTTCTGTGTTTGACTGTCTTTTGTCCTTGGCTTCAGTTGGAGCAGACGACCAGGAGTACACGAAACCGAAGATTGTTGACGAGCAAGTCATTGATATTAAGGAGGGTAACCATCCAATCTTGTACGCGTTGGCTCAAAACACTACTTACGTTCCAAATGATGTGGACATTTCCCATGACCAGAACAGAGTGATGATCATAACGGGTCCAAACATGGGTGGTAAATCATCCTATGTCAAACAGGTAGCTCTTTCTGTCATCATGGCGCAAATTGGAGCATTCATTCCTTGCAAGTCAGCAACTCTAGGCGTTTTTGACTCGGTCTTCATTCGTATGGGAGCATCAGATAACATTCTTCGAGGAAAGTCAACGTTTATGGTTGAAATGGCCGAGTCAGCCAACATCATCAACAGTTTCTCATCGAAATCTCTTGTTATTCTTGATGAGATTGGTCGTGGTACGGGAACAAGTGATGGTATAGCATTGGCTTATTCCATTTTACGGTACATGATTGAAAGTGACGATAAGCCATTGACGTTGTTCATCACGCATTACCCTTCATTGCATGTTTTAGAGAACGAGTTTGACAATGTTAAGAACTTCCACATGTCGTTTGTGGAAACACACAGAGGACAAGATAAAGATTGGCCAGAGGTTGTATTCTTGTACAAGTTGGTTCAAGGCGTTATTTCAAATTCATACGGTCTAAACGTCGCCAAGTTAGCAGGCATCCCGTTGGACGTTATCAAAGATGCACACGCCAGGTCTGAATCAATGAAACGAGAAGTTGAACTTCACAACTTGATGCATGCCCTTGGAAACATTGGCGGCCAGGATGCCGCACAGGCTTTGCAGACATTAGTACATCTGCTCTAAGATGACTTATTCTTATCTAGGCCCAAAAACTTCAAGACCACCTTGTTAAACTCCTCGGGATTGTCCAAATAAATATGATGACCAGCATCTTTCACGACTGTCAAAGTCGCATTTTCATCACCAAGGTCCTTAAGCTTATCGACGCAATACTTTCCTCCTTGCATGTTCATCCAGTCCTTGTCTCCATAAAGCCACAACGTGTTGAGACCAGTGTCATGAATAAGCTCCATGAAACCACGATCGCAAAGTGGAAGACGAGCAAGAATGTTATGGTTGATGAGCTTCGTGATAGCAAGTTCACCAGACCCTTGGTACTGGTTGAACACGGAGAAGGAGTATTCGTGAAGCTTGTTGATCAAGTCAATATTGATCGGAGCGTCTGAATCTTCAGAATTAGACTTGAGGTTCTTGAAGCGCTGGAATGACCAGTACGACAAGACCTTAGAATAGACGGGGCCAAACACCTGAAGTATTTGGAAAGGCGAAACGCTCCATTCCCACATAGTCTGAAGAAGCTTATTCTTGGGAAACTTGGGTTCACCCAATTTCTGCCACAAGCGTTGTAGTTCTGGATTTTCATTATCGTCAAAGTCTTGAGAAGCAAATATCTCTTCAAGAGGGTCACCACCATCGTGGAAATTACGCTGGTGGGTCTTATTATTGATCAAGCTCACGCAACTCGATTCTGTGCCCATAGGGCTCACCACAGCAAAGTTCGTAATGATGTTTTGGTGGTTATACTTCATAATGTAGCAACTTCCGAGGTAGGCGCCCATGGAATGGGCTACAAGGTCAAACTGGTCAATCTGGCGTTTTTCACGCCATTGCTCGAACTTATCGATAAACCAGTCCTCTGCGCCAAGAACCTGGGACACTTGCCTAGCCTTTGAAGCGCCTTTAGGCGTTTTAAGCAACTCAGAAGGGAACTTTGGCCTTGCCGAGTTGCCGAAACCAGGCATATCAAGCACATGGACGGTCAAGTTGCCGTAAGACTTAGCAAACGCCTCAAAGTTCTTGACAAAGTAGCCCAGTGCCGCCATGTACCCATGGATAACCACGATTTCTCTTTTTGGAAGCGAAAGATCAGATTTGTTGGTAATTTCAAACTCGTGAATGTACACCAGAGGGTCATCTAGCACGATATCTAGGAAACGGGCCGTGATCGGCTTTTCCCCGTTATCAAGCTTATCCTCGCCAGGAGGCAACATCGACACGTCCAGCGACAAAATGGCCCGGTACAAGTCATACTCCAACCGGATAAGCCGTTTTCTGGCCAAAGCAAACTTCGGGTTATCAAGCCCCAGCGAGGGTCTTTTCAAGTTGGAGGAACAGTTCCACCAGTCCCTGACAGATCTGGAAAACTCAATAGACGTAGGAACATCGGCACTTTTATTCTTATCGTTTGGATCGCCCATCGTGGCGACCGACTGGGAAACCAAGCTGGCCATAGCAAAATGAATAGAAAAAGAAGCTGTTGGAGTTATCTATTCTTATCGGCGCGCGATACCGAGGAGGAAGCGAAAGAAGGGAGGGATAACGAAGAACGGGAGGGAAAGTTTAGGAAAGGTTCGGGAAGGGTAAGGATAAGGAGGGGAAGACGGGGGATGAAAAAAGTGAAGTGGAAAAAAAAAAAGTGGGAAAGCCCGTCTCTATTTATACTTCTCAACGGTTATTGTGTCATTCTGTGGGGCTCACTCTACAGCAATGCATGATCTGTAAGAGAAGAACACGAGAGGGAGACGAAGGGGAAGGGAGTTTAAGGAAACAAAGATGGGAAAGAGAAAGCGAGGAAGGGGATTAATTATGGTCGTTTAAATTTATTAATGGTTCTTTGGAGTGATCTTTGGTGGTTTGTTACTTATCAGTGGAAGGGCATTTCGCAGCCATTTGCGATAAGCAGGTGAGACATACATATTTTTGGAAAAGTGGTGGAAGAGATGAGAATTGTGTAAAATGGATGTGCTGGATTGGTAGCTTTTTTGGATGAAATAGGAAGGTAGGTTTATTTTATGGGAAGGGTAAGAGAGTTTGGAGAGGTGGCTGGAAGGGGTGTATATGGCTTAAGTGTCCCGGTTGGAGAATGTGGATGCTTAGCCGCTGCTTTAGGATCACAAGAGTCTGAGAACGGATAAAACAGTATTTAGAGTTTTGAGATAGTGTTTTTTGGCGTTACTGGTGGAGCTCTGTTGGCCCAGAATGACCAGAACGTATCCTAGAATGGCCATGCCAGGAGGTATCTTCTGTATTAGGGTGCTTAGCCCCTTCTGGGTCTCCAGAAGCTCAAAGGTTAGTCCACTAGGCCCACTAGAAGCAGAAAAGTGGCTCACAAGACACTTCTCTTTCCTGTCAACTGAGTACCTCTCTTTTAGTAGATCTTCAGGGTCAGCAACGTCCGATGACCAACCGGAACACCTCAGAAAGCCAGCCTCCATACCCAAAACACCAGCAGCGATCTCATCATCATCACCATCCTTTCAGTCCCCCTTCGGTTAATTTTCCGGGTCCATCCGGCCATCCATCCAGCCTCCTGACATCCACCTACATCGATCCCTGATTAACATGTATTAATGGGCGTTCCAGCCCTATAGATATAACAAAGAGTGTAACAAACGTAGAAATAAAATCCTGATCCATAAAACATCCATTCCGCAACAGATCAAGTCTACCTAGGAACCTCAGAGTAAGCTGGAGGGTTCGAGCCCTTCTTTCCAGCCGAAGGAGCCTGGTGAGGCGTAGTGCTTGTAGCACCATAGTTAGGACCAGTAATAGGACCAGGCTGCTGAGTATGGGTATGGCTATGCTGGTTACCTGGACCATGGCTGTGGTGGTGCTGGTGGCCATGTCTCTGGCCTTCCAAATCTGGACCATTCTCGTACACATAGTACACTCTGGCGTCGTTATACGAGCCAGGTGGGTACTTGGCGATAATGTACCATGAGTGAATCAAACCAGGCAAGTAGCCAAGAATGCAGAGGGCAATATTGATAAGGGAGTCTGAGGTGCAAACGCCACGACGGATCCAAACGGGTAAAGGCGGGAAAAGAACGGATAAGATGACAAGAAGAATGTCGGAAAAGCACTCGCAGGCCATGATGGAGGTTGGTTTTGGTGTATTTGAGTTTTTCGAAGTTGAAGGTGGAAAAGAGGGAAATCGGCTGTATTTATAGGGGCCATCCGAGAGTGATTGGGCCTATGGGGTGTATGCAGGTCTCGTACTTAGTAGGAGACTGACCTGGTTACGATTTCTCCAAAGGTGATGTTATTAAGTAAGACGGGAGGATTGAAGCTACTTCAGAAAGGCAAGGGTTCTATTGGTGGTACTTTTGAGTGAATATCTTTCGTATGGGCTGAAGTACTAAAGGATGTGTTTTTCGCAGCCAATGGAAGTACCAAGACAGATAAGCAGAGTTGCGTGGCACAAGGTGGCAAAGTGGCAATGTGGTTGATATTATTATTTAGAGAGGGATGTCTGGAAAATGATGGGCTGGCTGGTTTTTAAGTTCTGGGGTTGTGGTTGATGAAAGGTGTAGGTATGGTGGTTTGTATTGGGAGAATGAGAGGATGCCAGAGTTGACTGTAAGTAAGTGAATTAGCTGATTCAAGAAGTTGTGGAAGCGGAAGCTTACTGAAATCCACTTTTTTAGAGTTATTGAAAATACTTCTTCTTTCGTGTTTATCTCTTTGGAAGTGGTGATCTAATATGATTGTGGCATAAATTGAAGACTATGGCTGTACTCTTGGAGAGAACCACTTCTGACAATATGAAGATTTTAAGAACCTTTTCGGTTTAAAACATTCTTTTGCTTAGAGTACTATTTAAGTAAAATAGAAAGCAGCATTCCTTCAACTTGGCTTGGTTGTACAAACCTGCTGCTGTGGCTTCTACTGATTGTCGAGTGATAATAAAGTAGGTCTCAGGGATCCATACATTCAATTAACCTCTTAATGAGAATAATTAGGATGACCATTTAGATCTGTTCACCAAATACAAATGCTTCCTAAGTGCCATCAACGCATTGCCTCAGAATAGGTCCATCTATAGTGCCATGTAGACAACATGCTAGCACACAGAAAAAGTAAATTCGGAAGATACTGAGGCCAGCACTGACTACAAACGTCACAGAAAATACAATGGACACAAAAGCATTTAACAATGTGTCAGCAAGGACTACAGGTATGGAGCCTGAATGCTCTACTCATTGAGGTTCATACTTCCATGCACTTAAAACTGAACCGATTAGATTCTATTAAACCTAAGACTGTAATGAACAAAATAAACCACCAACCACCTAATAAGCATCGTTTGGGCTGTTACAGAGTCACTGGACTAAATAGTAAGTATGAGCACGAGGCCATGTCAATGCACGGCGGTATAGACGCAACTCTTTGGCACATTTCCTGTCAATCAACCACCAATTGGTAAATAATGGATAAGGATAAAGATAGCTTCTCTATAGCTTCCCATTCTTTTTGACTACAGCATTACCTCAAATATCTCTATTGAGATGGATCTCTAATGTCGTTTATATAACTCTCAAACCTGGACCCTAATCTCAGTTTGGCACATTCGGCGAAATCGTCGAGCTTAAGTTCCTTTGGATCATATAACGTCGCCAAAGGAACAACATTGTAATCCTTAATATCTCTGATCACAACATCATACTTGCTCAAGCCGTTCGTCTGAACATACCTGTCGCTAAGTTTCCCAACCACGACATAATCGTCTCCAACGTGGACTGTAATGATATAATCGTCCTGGCTCACTCGGAAAATACACAGTTTTGTATCCAAATAGGCCACTTCGTCGTACGACGCAATTGTGTCGTCAATATAGTCAAACTTGATGAAAACCTCTCCCTTCTCGCCAAAAGTGTATATCTTTCTGTTGAAAACAGATACATTGGGGTAAACGTTGACTTCTGGAATGTGTTTCTTGTTGAAATGGACCAACCATCCGTCTTCCCAAGAACTCATGACTGTTAGACCAAATTTAATGGACCCTAGAGGTTTATATACCCAGGGAGTCGAACAAAGCCGCTGTACATACGCATTGACAGATAAGCTCGGTTCGGTTCATGTGGACTAAACAGGACGGTGTTTTTGGACTTTCTAGCAAGAAGAAGACCTCGTAAGAAGGATTCTTCGAAGGGCTCAATTCTTAGACTGGGCATGAATCGAGAGCTTTTAAGAAGAGAACTTATCTACTCCCTCTATCAGTGATTGCCCTGGAGAGCCGCACTTTTGACGAATGGTATGGCGTTTTATTGTTTATCTTATGGACTGTGGTTCGGAATTTCGGAAAATGCATGGTGTCATAATTGGGGCTTTCGTGAATCCAGGAAGCGAAGACGGTTTCCTGTCATGTTTCTCTTCGGTGGCTCTCAGTGGTGAATGGTGGACAGTTCATGGTTTGGTACTGACAGTCATCTTTGTTCTGCACTTTCATAATATAAAGATGGGTGATCTAGGTAAATGTTAGACTTTATCTCTCTCTTTATATCTCTCGTGGACCATCCCTGTAATAGAAGTCTGGTTACTGTGGTTGATGAGTGATAAGCATTCTGTCTCGACCTTCTCTGTCAATGCTGAAAGAATGCCTTACAAAAGACATTTCATTAACACTATTCGGTGCGTCACTCCAAGTCAATGCAGAGTTGGAATTCTTGGTATTCTGTCTATTCTTCTAGAGTAGGCATGGTATGGAGCAGAGCATTAGCTCTTTCAAGAACCAAGCATGAAATGTTAAACCATGCTTTGATTAGTGCCATGTTCCCAGACTACCTATTGGTTGAATTACAGGCTTCAATTAGATGTTTAATACCACTGTCTACTAAGTAGTTCTTTGACTCAATCTAACCTACCACAATCAGGAGTCTAACTTATCAACCATAAATACCCAAACAACGACATTCTTTCAAGGCCCACCCCATAAAGCATATTCATCTACAAATTGCTAAATACCCGCGAATAATTGCCTTATCGTTACCCACTATCACTTCATGGAGACTGAGAGAGTGCCAGCTTCTGCGCCACATACACCATTTTCTCGAGGCAAATTAAGCCCATTCCAACCCAATCAGCCTCTTCAACTTCCTATACTTCTTTAAAGCATTTTTCGATTATTTCCATCGATATCTGCCCACTTTAGCATTCCCCATATTCCACTCTTTTCGCAGCCATTACTTCTTCACCACATACCCCACGTATCTCCACCACCACAGAGCCAAAACTGCCCAAACTTTCAAATCAAACATATAATCACCTTATGTAATCTCTCCTCCTCTTTTATGCCATCTAAAGGTCCTCCCCGGGGAATGACGTCCAGATCTTAGGCCTACCACTTTTAGTCTGACCTGCATACACGCCACATCAACCTCCACTTATCAATACTCTCCATCCCAGACACTTCTTTTCCCCAATATGTCACTTAGCTTCTCCATTGCATACAATCAGACAACCAAGAAAGTCACTTGTCTAAGATCAAGCACGGTCAACCAGTTGGCGTCGCTTGCAGCTGCCAAATTCGGCCTTCCAGCGTCCGCAAGTGGCACTTTATTCCACAATGGCAAAAAGCTCGATGGACTTTTGCCACTCAGATTAACTAATTTGGTGAATAACGCTAAATTGGCTCTTGAGGTGTCGCTGGCACTGCGTCCAGTGACGTTGAAGGTGGTGGGATCGATTTTGGGCGAACTGAAGCAGAAGATTATTAAAACAAACACTGATAGCACTGTGCAGCAGCTACTAGACACATTTGCATCTGAAACTGGGGTTCAGTATGGGGAGAATCGGATCCAGGTGAGTCTTCTTGATGCTAAGATTGATAATGGTTCTACTGACTTTGCCACTACGCTTTTAGGGTCTATCCTAGGCTCGGCTGATAACGCTGTGGTTAGACTTACTGTGGAGAGCCAGGATGCACAGAGCAAGCGGGAGAAGCTTCAGGCCGAGCAGCAGAAGTTGAGGCAGCAGCTTGAGGAGCATAAGCGTCAGGCGAGATTGCTAGAGAAGAAATTGAAGGAGGAGTCCGGAGAGACTGAGAAGAAGGAAGAGAAGGAGGATGAACAATTGCAGGGGGAGGGAAATGAAGAGGTTGGGATTGAGGAGAAGGAGGAGCAACAGCAAGCTCAGGTTGATGAAAGTCCCGATCTGTACGTCAACGTTGACTCTAATGATATGGAAGTGGATCAGCCTGAACCTTCTGAGTCACAAGTCTCTTCGTCTACCAGTGAGTCAGCCAGTGTTTCAAAAGCACCCATTGAGCCTCCTTCTGAACCTATCCCCGAGGAATCTTTCCAGGTTAAACATTTCAAAGAAGACACTGTTTACATTCCCCAGAACCGTTCACAGCATTATGAAAACCCAGACAGCGACTACAACTTGACGGTGGCTCAGGCAGAGAAGTACTATGGCATCATCAAATCCATGCAACAAAACAAGAAGCAGCAACCTAAGGAAGCCGTTCCTCCAAAGTCCTACACCATCAGAATCCGGTTCCCTGATAGAGCGCTATTAGATCTCCAGATCGATGATTCCTCTACGAAACTCGGCCAATTGCTCAAAAAGCTCGATGGTTACGTTCACGAAAGACATATCAACACTTACAGACTCAAAAACGGTGTTCCTCCATTCGAGGAAATTGCAATTGGCTTTGATGCCAACAATAAAGAACTCAAACAGCATAAGAACTTCCAGGACGAACGTATCATGTTGATCTGGGAACCTACGGATAAAGCCGCTAAGGCTCCGTACTTGAAGCTGGATATCAACACCAGAAGCCTTGACGATATGCCTACGATTCAATTGGAGACCAACAGAGGTCAATTGAGTGACGAAACTGAGGAGAAGAGAAGACAAAGCACGCTGGACCAGTCACACAGCGGCAGCGGCAACCCTGAAAAGAAAAAGAAGAATGGATTGCCTAAATGGTTCAAGCTGGGGAAATAACACAGAAGTGAAAAATTCTTGGGATCCAATAGTCCGAAACGCCCCGTTGCACAAAACCCAATTTTAGCCCCGAATAATGGATCTCTTGTTGCCACCAGATCAAAAGGGATTGTATTGAAAACGTCAGCACGGCTAAGCCCAAGCGAGGAGAAGAGGGCTTCATTGATTTGGCATATACAAAAGTGAAAAATTGGCTTAAACTGGCCGTTCTGTTCCCAATTGAGTTTGCCTTCCAGGAGTGTTTATTCAATTTTGCAGCCAATTAATTTGCTTGATGGCGAGAGGACATGTGATTGATGGACCCGCCGCTACCGCCCACGCCGCATGTTGACTCCAGAAGTCAATTAATGAAAACAAAAAATTAAAATACTCGCCTTATCATAAGCGCTGCTTAACTATGACTGGTGCATTTTTTACATGGATCCTGCAGGCAATGGCGGTGAAAATTTAGTACAATTACGAAACCACCTTGCCTAGCGGCTAGCGGCCTGTACTGCAGGCAAGACGGGGACCAAGGCCCTAAAGAAATCTTTCCAACAGCAGTCACAGACATTTACAGGAATGAAGGGGGCAGCCCTTCTGGTCCTTTAAGGTTTAGCTGCCCAGCTGCCTATTATTATGAATCATCATACAAAATGGCCTCGTTCTGGCACATGCCCAGTTTCGCAACCATGAGGGGATCCTCTGACTCATCGTCTCAAATAGGCAACTCAGACTGCTTTTTACGCGGTACGAGCCAATATCAAGCAGTTGCAAAAGCTCCTTCGTGGTGCTTACCTGCAGTACTGCCGTTTACGGCCCGCGGCTAGAAAGAAAAAAAATTTTCCTGGCGGTCAAAAAAAAATTTTACGAACCAACATATAAGGAAAGGATATCGCGCTTGAAAGAAAAATTCTTTTTCTTTTTCTCTTCTTCAACAAACATTCAAACAAACACTTCACACAAAATCAATTACCAATTATTATTTTACCCTTTTGTTTCCCGAAATTTTCCTTAGTTGATTTACTATTTTAAAATGTGTGCTTAAATTTTTTGTTTAAGATTTAAAAAAGATTATCGTTTTTTTGTTCTCCCCTGAAGAAACCGAAAAAGATTAAGTTATAAGAAATTCTATAACTTCCAAATAAGTTTGTTTGTTTAAAACCCCCCTGCCAATATGCTACTGTGATGATATACGTTTGAATATGGTGCTCCACCTACATTGTCCCCTTTAAAGATACTACTACTACAAGTTAAGTTATCCCACAAAACAACCCCCCAATTTTATTGAAAGAATCTTACCTTTACTAAATTAGATCTTTTATCCAGTTTTTACCCCCCTATTTCCCCAGATTATACAAGATATTACATTGAATATTATTAAAATGTCAGCTCAAACTCCAGTGATTTACAACGACTCCATGTCTGAGTCAGAATACACACAAGCTCCCTCTTCGACGATGCCAATCAAGTTGGAATCGATCGACGAGTTATCATGCCACTTGCCAACCAACCGCGATGTTGCCGACGTGAGCCCCGCGGGAATGGCTGATGCAAGTGTTGATGAGTCGCCTATTTTGGTTCATACTGATGTCTTGGATAGCGTGTTCAGCACCACCCTTGACCAGAATGACCAGTTGATTAGCCACACTCCTATGTTTGATGAATTGGATTTCATCATCGACGGCAACAAGGTGAACCTGAAGGACGATTGGGTGTCGCTCTTCAGGGACGAACCTACTGCTGGCGCCGTTGATGAGACCGAAACTCCCGCTGCTGCTGGTAGAGAGGAGGATTTGGGTGACTTGTTCGCCGATGAGATTGCAGAGCCTGTCTTTGCTGTCCCAGAGGCACCTGTGAACAAGCAGCTCGAAACTCCTATGACTCCCGCCTTGGCTACTCCTGTGTTGGACAAGAGAAGAAGCTCTTCGACAGTTTCTATCCCTTCTGCCAGCAAGGTGTCCAAGAGGAGAATCGACCACTTGGGGTGCACTTCGTACTCCAAGAAGCAGCGCAGCCAGCCCTTGAAGCCAGTTGAGATGGACTCTCAAGACCCAGCTGCATTGAAGCGTGCCAGAAATACGGAAGCCGCCAGGAGACTGAGGGCCCGTAAGATGGAGCGTATGAGCCAGTTGGAAGAGAAGGTTGAGGAGTTGATGCGCGAGAAGCAAGACTTGGCCAGCGAAGTGATTCGCTTGCGGGAATTGTTGATCGAGCACAACATCGAGTGTTGAATGGTGTAGACACCTTACAGTTATTTGATTTATTTTTGCGTTTTAGTTCTTTTTAAAATATAGGCCACTCATCAAATCTAAGTTGTAGGATTATTACTTTTTGGCATATGTTAGTAGGACGTCGGTGCCCAATTCGGTAGTATCGAAAGCTGAGAGACAAGCGGTGGCGGCGTCTTCGTTTTCAAAATTGATAAATGCAAGGTTTCTGGAGGGAATGGCTCTGGCGGTTTCGAAAGAAGCATAGTTTGAAAACCTCGTTTCCAAGGCCTCCGTAGAAAGGTGTTGTTTGTCGACATTCTGCAAAAGAAGCACCTTGTGAGCCGGCAACGACTTCCAGTACTTGACCTGGGACTTTGTGAGTTTCGACGTGGCGCCCAGATCCGTACTTTTCTTCTCCTTGGCCTGCTCTTCGTTCCGTTGAGCCTTCTTCTGCTTTCTCTCCTCCACAAGGTCTGTTTTCCCCTCTTTTAGTAATAGATCATCAGACTCGCTCTTTGCCAACGATATACTAATTGGTTTCTTGAAAAGCGGGTAGTTCTGAAGCTTTGCCATGGCCTTTTCTGAGCTTTTGGCGTCTTCAAAAGTGATAAACGCCTGGCCCTTCATTTTCAAATTCCCATGGCTTGTCACTTGCAAAACCGTACCGTAGCGGCCAAAGAGCCGTCGGAGAACACGCTGGAGCTTATGCTGGGCGATTTTCTCGTTGATATGGTTCACATACACCGTATGCATTGGAAGAAGATGTAGTTGATGGAAGGTGTTTTTGGCTACGTGCAGGTAAATCAACAACAGTAGTTGGAAGAGTTGGGTTGGACTAGGCTGGGCTGGGCTGGTTTTTGGTGGAAAAAAGAAGGCATGGATGGTTATTAAGGATGAAGATGTGGCTGTTTTGGTGGTAGGCTTGGGTAGGCTTGTGTTCAAAGGAAGTGTCTGTAGGTGACTCACAGTGGATCGAATACAAGGTGAGGTACTGCCAATTGAAGAACTGCAGTGGTGGATTGAAGTAAAAGGCTTTGAAGAAGAATAGGATGATCTGAATAGGAAGCACTTTTTTGGAATTTTAAAGTATATGTTTTGGGTACTTTCTTGGTTAGTTTCAGATACTGTGAGGATATACTAGGCTATATTGAACAAGCACTCAGTGGATGCTAGAAGTAGAGCTTTTGACAAAATTTGCAAAGAGCTCAGGAAAGGTATATTCAACGGAGCCTATTTCAGTTGTTCCTTCACTTTTTATACTGCTTTTTTAATTTGTATTGACTGTCCAATTACGAGATGTCTACTCTTTACTGCTTCCTACATTACGACTTCTCATGAAAGGAGCCATCCATTCACGTCAAGGAGCCCGAAAACCTAAAATTTAACACGATTGGCTATAGTTATATCATTCTAAGATAGTTGTCAGTTAAGCTACAAATTTATGCTTTATATGATTCCCATTACTCAGCTTCCACCGAGTATAATTTATGAGTCCACTGCGAATTGACTGATTACTGCCAAAATGGAAACCCACCACTGGAAAATTAAAAAGGACTAATTCAATCTTATAAAGCTTCTTTTAAAGGTATTTAAAAGATTGATACCTTCTGGTGGTAATAAATGTACTCCCTTCTTGCCTGGGGTGCCCTGTAGACCTCCATCTCGGCTTATAGCAACAGGTCAGTTACCACATCAACACTTTCCAAACTGCCACCACCAGGAACGGCCCAGACCAACTCCTTCCCCTCCTTTAACTTCCAAATCACCCAATCCGACCTTCTCTTGGCCAGCCAACAACCAGCCTGGAATCAGTTTCCACCCAACTTCCATCATTGCTACAATGACTTCCTGCGCTAGCAAGCATTCGGAAAAACTATTCTCCAAAACAGCACACCGCCCGCTATTCCTCTTGCATCGTCTACAGAATTACAAGTTTCAGGTTCTTAAGATGTCACGGTCGTTTCACCTGGTTAAGCGCTGGCGCATAAGCAACTTCGTAAAAGCATCCAAGAAGATCTAGTCTTTTACAATTCTTTTTCTGTCTAGCCTTTATTCTATATTGTATTTATTGTAGCCACATTAAAATGCCAAAAAAATGTAAACGTTAATGAATGATGATTTTTTTATGTTTTATCGTAAATGCATTAAACCTGTTCGTCAGCAGGCTTGGACTCAGAAGCGAATCCGGTGGTGGTGGCCATGGACTCGACAGATGGAGGAGTCCAGTTGCCAGTCTTCCATGGCACCACGTTGGAGGCGTACAACTCGTCGACTTCTTCCAAGGAAAGACCCTTTGTCTCTGGAACACAGAAGAACACAAAGAAGAAGGAGAAGATCAAGCAGCCAGTGAAAACGAAACCGTAGTAGAAGTGGATAGCACTGGTAATGAACGGCGTGAAGAAGGAGATCAAGAAACCCCACATCCAGTTGGCAGCAGTAGCAACAGACATGGCCTTGGATCTGATTCTCAATGGGTAAGTCTCGGAAACGATACAGTAAACACCACCGGCCCAGGTCGAGGCGAAGAAGAAGATAAACAAACAGGTGATGAAAATCAATGCGTTACCGGTTGGAGTTCTGGTGTTGTCTGGAGAGTTCTCGTATCCGTCAATGTACAAGTGGGTGGAACCAAGAACAGAGTAGATGATGAAACACACACTCATGGCAGCGGAACCGACCAAGAGACAGAGTCTTCTGCCCATCTTCTCAATGGCGTAAATACCAACGAAAGTAGAAGCAAAGTTGACAACACCCAAAACGATGGAGGTCTGGAAAGAGTCGTCCATACCAACAGCCTTGAAAATGGTGGTACCGTAGTAGAAGAAGTAGTTGTTACCGGTCAACTGTTGCAAGGACTGGAGAACGATACCGAGAATGACTCTGTAGAGCATCTTTGGCTTACCAGTGATCAACTCCATCCAGCCAGCAGTACCAGCCAATCTCTCACGGTCAATACCAGCCTGGATAAGCTGCACTTCGGTGTACACACCTGGGTCTTCCACAGAAACCTTGTTGGATCTGGCGATGGAGTTTCTGGCGTCGTCGATTCTGTTCTTCTCAACCAAGTATCTTGGAGACTCAGGCATGAAAGACATACCGCCAACCAACATAATGGCCCAAGCGAAACACAAACCCAATGGGATTCTCCAGGTTCTGGAGTCGTTGTAGGCCTCCTTGGTACCGTAGTTAGTACAGTAACCCAAGAAAATACCCAAGGTGATACACAACTGGAAGCAGCAGACCAAAGTACCTCTCAAGTGCTTTGGAGAAGACTCACCAATGAAAAGTGGACAAACCACAGACACAATACCAACAGCAAGACCAGTGATCAAACGACCAATGAAGTACTGGTACCAAGCGTCCTGGGAAGAAATCTGCACAATGATACCAACAACGTAGATAGCCATGGCAACCATAATACCCACTCTTCTGCCCCTCATATCAGCAACCTTGGACAAGAGAATACCACCGATGGCGCAACCAACGTTAAAGATAGAAACCATCAAACCGGTTCTCACATCAGACAAGTAGTACTCACCACTGGAGTTCTGCTGACCGAATCTTTGAAGGAAATCGTCCATGTTGACGAAACCAGAAATGGTACCGGTATCGAAACCGAAAACGAAACCACCAAAGGCCACAAGGAAACAACACAAGGAGATGAAGATGTAGTCCTTGGCGGCCTTCTTAGGCAAGGTAGGAAGTTGACCCTTTTCCTCTTTTTCAAGGATAGAGTCGTTTACTGGCGTGTGAGTGCCATTTTGGGACTGTTCAGATACAGACATGGTGTGAAGTTGTATATGAAAAAAAAGATACTTTTTAGTAGAGGGGACGGGGCATGTCTTGGTTTATATACTGGGCAGGCACTGGAATTGGAGAGGCGACCCCAGCGTTGGTGATTGCCTTTTTTTTTTTTTTTTTTTTTTTGCTGCCAGTACAGCTGCAGCTGCTACTGCAGATGCATCAATGCAGGTGCCCAGGTTTTTCCGACATGACGTGTGCGGCCGGAAGAATAAGAAAATTTTTTTTCTTTTTTATTTTGGTTTCCGGTTGCAATATATGGTTGCAACACGGGTTCCAAATTCACTGCTAGGCTATTGTCCTCCCATCTCCACATCACCCCTTGCTCTCTCCATCTCTTATTCGCCTTCCCCCTCCGTATCGCCTCCGGAAAAAAAGAAACGCTGGAAAATAGAAATACCGCAGGGTGACAGCACATGCAAGGCAGCTAAAGGCTTCGCTCCGGAACTTCTAAGAAATGGCGTCGTCTCTCCATAGCTTCTGCAGTCGCTTTGGCCCCGTTTCTGCCTTGTTTTGTTTGTCCCATGGCTGACCAGCATCATCGTACATACTTTTCGGCTGCTGGGACAGGATTACTAACCGGCAAAGCGTCCAAAAGCTCGAAATACTTTGCCCACTCAGCCCCGGCAGCGTCGACTTTTCTGCATCTTCATAGTGGAGCTGGCTTGGGGAAACCTTGGGGCAAACGTTGGGGGATACTGGGGCACGTTTAGTGTTTTTGTAAGAGCAAACACGAGACTTTTTTGTTTGGGAAGGAAAAGAAAAGAGAACAAGGAACGAGGCTGAGAGGCGGAAAGAGAGAGATAGAGGGTTAGTAGCTTATAGATCTACAACTAGACCATGCTTTGGATTGGTTAGGCTTAGTAAGGATGAAGGACTTTTGTTGAATTCTTTGGGGCTTCGAGAGGAGATGACAGGGCGAACGTGGTTTAGTGATTCTAGAGATCAAAATGTAAGATGCCACTTGGAGGAGCAACCTTTGTGTGAAACAAGCTGGGTCTTACTGCAGATAATCCGAGAGAACAAGAACGCTGCACACGGCGGTTATTTCTTTTGTTTCTTTTTTTTTGTTCTTTTTTCTCGCTCGTCTGGAGATCTCGGCATTGATGTTACATTGGGAGAAGGAGGGTTACAGGGGTGAAGAAGATGATAAGAAAGAAGGGAGTACTGTAAAGTGTTGATATTCGGATTAATTATTATTTTCATGAGAGCGGGGGATTTGCAGGGGGGCCCAGGTCTTCGAGCGTCATACCGCATGCCTCGGATTATTTGTGCAGCGTACATGAGGCCCAAAAAGTATCTGCCGCGTGCACCGAGTTTTTCCAGGTCCATTTTTTTTTTCTTTTTCTTTTCTTTTTTCTCTCTACTGTTCGGAAAAATCGATATACACTTCTTTGCTTAATGGAGTAGGTGACATCGCAGAAACAATAGTAGGAGCCATGGACCATGCTTTTTGCACCCCCGCCTTATGATCTTGCGATGACTTGAACTCAATGACTTTGGCAGCACGGCCATTTCGATATGTATGATTTTTCCGGTTCGGAAAAAAATGCTGGCATACACCGTCGGCCAAACTTAAGATACATTAGACTGGCTGCACATACGTGGATCATTTGTTTGGCGAACCAGAGGCCGAGATGCCGAATACGGTCATGGCTGGCGGCTCATGCGGATGAGTTGGTGAAGAGTGGAGGGTTAACCCGGACTATGTGCACACCACACATGAATATGCGTCAAAGCCCGGAACAATTCTTGGCCCCAATTGGTAATCGTCCCTCCCGCCCATGGCTTACCTCCAGACACAAGAAAAAGTTTCTCCGGACGGGGGCAGCGGAGCTTGTGGGGCCTGCGGGGCTGACCAATACACAGCTCTCAAAAATAAACCTTTAGTTATTCCGGTACCGTGTTTGTGTCATGCACCACACACCTCGGACATTTCCCTACCGAACTCGTATCGAGGCCTCAATGTCTAGAAACGGAGCATGTTTTTCCGAAAGATCCCCTCTTGGTCCCAACATTGTTCAATGTGGAACAACCTTACCACGATGACGTAGCTACCCCTCAAAGGTCCCCTAACGCAATGCAAATCTCTCAGGAAGTTCCGGATCAATAGTTGTTCCGAACTTGTCAGGAGATCTTTCCATCACCAATTCTCTTTCATTGGCCAACTTTGATTTTGCCCTGGACACTTCCCCGTACAGTGTTAGGCCACTCGAGCCGCAATCTCCAGCCAGTGAGCTGATCGAGTATTTAGAGCGTACCGCATTTCACAAACAAACAAGAAATACGAAGCCCACAGCTTGGCAGGTATTGTACTGGCAAGATCTGAAGAAAAGACAGAAGGGGGTTTAGGTGAATTGGAAGTTGACAAGGAAGTGACGTTGGAACAATGGCAGGGAAAATGTTACGTTGCATTTGTGTGGTGGATGCTGGACCACTTGTATAGAAAGTGCGTGTAGTATTAACTGGAAATAGAGATCCCGGAAGGGGAAGTGGTAAGAAAAGCAGGAATAGTGTGGAGAAGCAGAGTGGGGATGTGGATTTGTGAGTGTAGATGTGTTTACTGGAAAGTGCTTAATGGGAACCAGGAAGAGCTTAGCCAGTAATATAAAGAACAGAGTATTCACATTTAGTTACCGAGGAAAGAACATTCTTCCAAACGGTATAAGGCTCTTATTAGGACCTAATGAACAGTGTTTCAGTGAGATCTTCATTTTCCAAAGTTCTGGACACTCAGTGAGTGAATGGTGAGATAAGCAGGGGAAGTGTAAGGAAACATGAAGAGTCCTTTAAAAATCAAGATCTATATAGCTTACCAAATTCCTTAATATCCATTTATTTCATCCATTTTCCGTTATTCAGAAAGTCCCTTACAATCCATGGAGCATCTCATTTGAGACATTCATGGCCAACTGACGATGTCTTTCAATAGAAGTACCCTTCCAATATCCTCCATTTTATTTCCAACCACTTCCCCATCTTCCCTTCCAGCTCCACATCCTACTGCCCAGTAACATTATAACTTATTAACTATTTGCATGATCCCGTTACATTTTCGTTTCCCACACCTACTTCAACAAATCACCCTTGTTCACCACGAAAGCCTCGATCACTGCCATGGCAGCGTATAACCTGTTTTCGGCCTCCTCAAACACGATGGAGTTGTCGCTGTAGAAAACATCATCTGCAACCTCTTCCTGGTGTCTAGGCAAACAGTGCATGAACTTCCAGTTGGTGTTCACGCCAGCGTTTTTTACCATTTCTTGTGTGATCTGGTACCCTTCAAACTGTTTAAGCTTGGCTTCCTTTTGCAGTTCTTCGCCCATGGAAATCCAAGTATCCGTAACGACAACATTAGCATCTTTAAGAGCCTCAGCTGGACTGTTGACAACCTCAAACGAAACCTTGCCGTTACTTTCAGCCACCAACTTTTCAGCATCGTCCACAATGGTCTGTTCAAACTTCACAGAAGATGGAATAGACACAGACACAGAAATGCCCATTTTCAAAGCAGCAATGGCCAAATCGTTAATCACATTATTGGCATCACCAACCCAGGCCAACTTGAGCCCTTCTGTCTTACCGAACGCTTCCTTGATACTCAAAAGATCAGCAATAGCCTGAAGTGGATGGTACATGTCACAGAGCGAGTTGATAATAGGAACCAGCGAGTCCTTGCACAAGTCAGCAATGTCCTGGTGCTTATTGACACGAGCGAAAATACACGACGTCATCAGCGAAATCACCTTGGTAGTATCGTACATCAGTTCGTTAACACCCAACTGGATATCATCTTTACCCAAGAACATTGGCTGGGCACCAAAGTGAGCAGCAGCGCCTTCAGTGGAGATTCTGGTACGGGTAGACCGTTTGGAGAAAAGAAGGGCCACCACTTTACCCAAAAGCTTATCGTGGTTTTCCTTGATTTGAGCAATGGAGCCATTTTTCACCACTTTCTTAAGCGACTCTGCTTTCTTCACGAGAGATGCAAACTCTTCATTGGAAAGCAGCAGAATATTGACGAGATGGCGTGGGGAAGTCATTTGCGGTTTGGAGACGGTCTGACTGAAGAAACGTTTGAACATTGGAGAAGAAAAAAACAAGGCTGGGGTGGATTTTTCAAGAGTTTAAATAGATTTTGCAGTAGCATAAGATTGACTCATTCTCAATCGGGTAATTGGACGAGCGTAAGCGCGGTAAAAGATCTATGGGCGGCGCACGACCACAACCTGATTGGACAGAAATTGGTATTTTCCAGTGTCTAGCAGTCGCTGGAACAGTTTGGTACTGCAGGGCGTATACTACCGGTACCGGTTTACCCTGGCGTTTGCGTTTTGCCGAGTTTGAAACGCCGTGAGGCAGAAGTGGTGAATGTTCTGAGGTTGAGCTGAGAAGCAATTGAATAAGTTTTTCGTGAAGAGGAGATTTTAACGGAATTTGGGGATTTTAAAATTCGTTAATTCCGTTGTAAAGTGGTCTTAATATTCCTGGCTTGGGGTTTGGCGGTGGAGACGGAAATGTGGTATGGCTGCGAAAAGGATGATGTCAGACGAGGTAGAGAGGGCTTACAAGATTACTCATAGAAAGGAGAGAAGGTTGTTTTTCGTGTTTTTGAGTTACTTTTTGGGTTTTTTATTGGTATAGAAAAGATTTGCCAAGTTAGAGTATGGCCATTTAGATATCTCTCCAATTCAGGAAAGTAACACAACTGGTCTGGTGATTATACTCAAACATGACCTAAACCTCGTGTGATGTGTAGAGCCAGTTGATTTCAGGAAGGGAAAGTGAGTAATTTGAAGCTACCACCAGCAGACCATGAAGATTCCGTGGATGCCAGTTTCACTAAACAAGTGCCAGAGCCAGCTCTGACCTCGAAGAAGCCAATCAAACAGTAGTCTTTCTTCATCTCACGCAAAGAGCAGCATCATATCGACATCCTCCTTGCCTGGAGGAGCCACTGGCGATGCCACTTCAACCACATCACCAGATCCTTGTCTATACAAGTCCTTGATGAAACCAGCAATACCTCCAAATCCCGCCTCGCTTCCCTCCAAAACCAACTGTAGAAGCTGCTTCTTCTTCTCTTCCATCACCTCAATCCTCTTCCTCGATACCTCCAACTGCTGCTTTGCACGAGCCACCAGCTCTTCCGCTTCCCTAGTATCTCTCTTCACTCTCTCGATATATTCCGAAACTGAACCTGGAAGCTCCTTCACCGCCACATCCTCCATCTCCACGTCCTCATCGTCACCAGGAATCTCCATAAAGTACTGGTCTGGGTCCGCCAGCGGCACCGTAGTGTACTCTACATTAGGAACATCCATTTCATGGTCAGACTCGTCCAAAGCAGCCACAGTAGGCCGTTCTGGCTCGCTCCAGCCGTCTTCATCTTCATACTCCTTCTCCACCTCCACAGGCTTATCCCTGAAATGAGACTCTCGAAGCGAAAACGTCTTTGCTGGGTCTGGCAACACTGTGTATGCTGTATTTGTCCCAGACTCACCAGAATGTCCAGAACGACCAGAAACTTCCATTGGAGCGTCGAGTCCAGTACTAGACAAAAAGAAGCCAGAATTTCATCCCTCTTAATGTCACTCTCTTCCCCAGTGTCTCTCTTCAACGAACGGTACCGTAGTGCCTTCTCCATGGCCTTGGAGTTTGACCTGGCAGCAGTCGAAACTGCCCTTTTCTGTGGATCATCCAGCTCTTCCTCGTAAACACGTTTCACCGCTTTGGCCCCCTTGGGCTTTTTTTTCTTGAAAACAGGCCGTTTCACTTGCGTTGGTTCTTCGTCACTGAGATCCATAAACAACACTTTGAGATGCGCATCGTGAAAAGTTAACTACTACAACCATCTCCACCAAAGGGCACCACCACCAGCCCAAAACACCAAAATCCACCTATACTTGTCATCCATTAACCCAGTATGAGCCAAGCTGACTTGTTGCATCTGCGTATGGTCGAGGCGCCGGCCTCTAAGTTGTTCACTCAGGATGAGCTTATGGCGCTTATCAACGAGACTGAGTTGGATAAACTTCTTCTAGCCACACAGAGTCTTGTGAACCGTAAGATGATGAAGTTGGCGAAGGTGGGCGACGAGTTGCGGTTCCAGGCGATTCTGGCATCGGAAACGAAGAAACTTACGTCGATGACTGATGACGAACAGATGATATACTCGTACATTGAAGCCTCTGGAAGAGAAGGAATCTGGACGAAAACCATCAAGGCAAAGACAAACATGCACCAGCACATCGTCATGCGGTGCTTGAAGCTGTTGGAGCTGCAGCGGTACATCAAGCTGATCAAGTCGGTGAAACATCCTACAAGAAAGATCTATATGCTTTATAACCTCCAGCCTTCCATTGACGTGACGGGAGGGCCTTGGTTTACCGATAGCGAGCTCGATACGGAATTTATTGACTCGTTGCTTACGGTTGTGTGGCGTTTTATAGCGCTGAAGACGTTTCCTCTGGCTTTCCAGGAACCTCAGCGTAACATCAACGTCTTTCTGAGCGTCTACCCTGCTTCACATACTGGATTCGCCAGTCTAGACGCCGTGATGGACTTTATCACTAGCAACAAGATCACCAATATCGATTTGGCGCTTAACGATGTCAGATCGCTTTGTGAAGTGCTTATTTTTGACGACAAGATCGAGATCGTCAGAGATACCACCGATGTGTATAAAGCCACGTGGCAGCTGGTTCTTGAAGCTGGCTACGGCAGAGGTTACAGAGACGGGGCTCTAGATCTGGAGCAACAACGGTTCTTGGGTGAATTGGACGATAAACACCAGTTCAGTCTTTTTGACCATTACTCTGTGATCAACACGCAGGTGGACGAAGAAGACGTGGTTTACCTTGATCTGTGGCTCAGAACATGAGCCAGGACGGCAAGAGGTGCCGCTTGTAGCATAACATCGTAATAGCATGAATTCGTTACTTTGGCAGTAGCCATCTATAAATGAATGATAATAGAAATGATGAAATGTAAGTGTTAGAGGCCCAAGGGAAACTAGAGGATATCGTCAACGTTGTGGGCTTTGAATTTACGTCCTGAACGGTCGGTTGACCTGTGTTCGAACCGGGAGCCCATAATCGTGAACCCCATAGTTCCATTATCTGTCTCGACGTCAAACCCAAAAAGCAGCCCCTTCTTTGCAAGCACTCGAAGGCCTCCTACCCTTTCAGCAGGCGAAACTGCAGGCCCTTTATCTAGATCAGTCTTTTGAGGAACAACCACAATAAACGAATGCTGGGCATCGTACACCACTATCCCTTCAATTCCCACCATATTCCTGTTCCGTGACTCCAAAACACGCACAATACACCCGTTATAATCAGCAGTAGATAGCTTAGGCAACACCATACTCGTACTGGGAGTCTTGTTCTCGCCAAAAAGCAAGTCTGCCATATACTTATTCCACAACGAATGGAGCCCCGTATACTCGCTGTACCGAGGAATCTGCAACCGTTCAACCAACAAATCCACGTTCGTTTTCGGGTTATGCTGGACCGATCTGACTGCCCTCTTCTGCTTTCCTAGCGTCAGCTTAATGTACCGTTTAAGCTCGGCTCTGGTGGATTTCTTACGTTCCAGGGGAACCCTGCCGCCCTTTTTCACCAGTAATCCATCTTCCAGTAGCTTCTCTTCGCCTGGTTCACCTTCTGTAGGCACAAGTGGAATAAACGGTTTCTGACCGCCAAACACAGAATACCTCAGTTCCAAGAGTTGGACGATTTCTGACTCCGAATCGAAACTTCGACTCAAAAGGTGCTTTTCTAGCGTGAGATCTCTGTCCATTTTTTTGTCCTTTCTGACTCTGTAGCCCCTTTCACGTCTTCCTGGTCACTGGGCTCTTTTTGGTGATGTCTTCCTACTTCGCACTTGGCTCATCGAAACCAATTCCATGCTCAACAGGCTTCTACGAGTGCCTGCTGTGGCACGTGCCACGCCCGTGAGACGTCTCAATGTGCCTTTCCAAGATGATCTTACGCCAGCAGACGACGAGCTTTTCAATCTCGAGGGGTTTAGAGAGTATAAGGAGCTGCCTGAGGTGAGAGCGTACCGAAAGCTGTTGGGGTTTGTGGAGGGCGAAGAAGAGGAGCAAAAGGGTGGGAGACCGGTGGAGCCGACAGAAATCGGCACTTCGCTTGCCCTGGTGGCCCAGAAACCTTCGCCACTAGTGTTTGTGTCGAAATTGACCAACCCTTACCTTAACTTGGCCATAGAGGACTATGTGTATCATAAGATGCCTGTTCCTGGAGCTGGCGAGGCCAATTGCAATAGACTTATGTTTTATGTGAACACGCCGTGTGTGGTTATTGGGAAGAACCAGAACCCGTGGCGGGAAGTGAACATGCCGTTGCTTAATTCGCTTAGACTACCGTTGGTCAGAAGACGGTCTGGGGGCGGTACGGTTGTTCATGATACTGGAAATGTGAACTACTCGTTTATGACTACGAAAGAACGGTTTGACCGTAAGGCGTTTGCGTCTGTGGTGTGTGAATCTGTCAACGAAATAGCTGTGCCAGAGAAACAGATCATGGTTACGGAAAGAGGCGACATTGTCACGATTAACGACCAGCTAAAGGTATCGGGATCGGCTTATAAACTTACCAAGGGCCGGCTGTACCATCACGGAACGATGCTTTTGGACCTGAAACTAGATGTGCTTCGCCAGTTGCTTCATAGAGACGAGCTGGAGGTTGGCACTATAGAAAGCACGGCTTCGGTGGCTTCCGTGAAGTCTCCAGTGACTAATCTACATCTTAAGAAGGAGGATTTCATTGAAACAGTGAGTGCTGGGTTTAGGAATGCTTACGGGACGGTTAAAGAGTCCTCTGAGGAGAAAGAACCAGAGGATATGAACGAAAACGAGTTTCTCGGGCTCCAAGACTTTGTCAATGCCTTTTCAGAGCGTGAATGTGAGACGTTTGTTGTGGACGAAAATACTGAGTTGCCCCAGGAGATTGAAGATATGAAGAACGAGCTCACGCTGTGGGAATGGAAGTTTGGCTCCACTGCAAAGTTCACCCATCGTTTTGTGCATCCCAAGAAGGATTTGAAGGTGGAATTTGACGTTGTTAAGGGCAAACTAGGAGGGTTAAGGGTCCAGGGAGACGAGCACACCAAGGAGGCAGTTGAGTTTCTTGAGATGATGTTACAACGAGGCGATGGTGTTCCTTATACGGGAAGCGACGTTGCCGGGTTTATCACTGACGATGAGCTCAGCGAGTGGATTGGAAACGCCATCGATGGGCTGTCATAAGATGTTCAGGGTCCCGTCAGAAGCCCAAAACATGTAAATAATGCTTCTGAGGTCTCCTGGAGCGTTAGTGGTTGTTGGATCCAATTGGAACAGACAGAACTACGTTACGGCTACAGTAAGATGGTTTAGCGACGTTAGATGTTATTATTCTATTATTGCTGAAGGCAGCTATAGTATGACAGATGCTAGTTTTTGAATCCAAGGAAGGAACACTCGAACTGGCGATAGAGCGAAAACGACTTTTGGTATGACGATCTATGATGTTTGAAAGGGCAGCTGGGAATTGCACAGATGCTGACGGTATGGATGTCTTGTTGAAAATGAGTGGTGAATGACTCTTGGTAGAATCGAAACCCCTTAGTCTGGTGAATATCATTCACAAGCCAAGCTACCCGAATTAGCAGGCGCCTGGCTGGTGTCACCACCATTGATCGAGTAACCAGCACGACCTTCTTCCAATTCTTCAAGCGTTGGACCTGCTTGGTTAGTGGTTTGGGCGATGTAGAGCCAGAGACCGGCCATAACAAAGATTCCCATCAAATAAGTTATCCATGATAAGAGGGTGCCATATGGTGAAGTTGATTCTTTTATATAGAACCCCAAGAAGGTCATCATTGGAATGAATAGGAGGATTCCCCACAAAATCAACCAGTGGTATACCTTCATTTCCATGACCGCAGTCTTTACTCTCCTCATATAGGTCATAGTCGACGTCGTGAAGTCGTTCCATTTCCAGGGTATTTGGGCAGTCCAGCTCCATTCTGAGGGTGTATTAGGAGCATTGGTGTCTTGCAACAGGCTAGAGACCTCTTTTGTATCAAGGGTCGATTCGTGAGTTTCCTGTAGTTCGTAGCAGTCGCCTGAATTGACAATATAAAACGGCAGCGTAGCAGGTTTATCTTGTGTCATGGCAGCTTTTGGAGTAGCAAAAATAGTAGTAGGTTCCGCAAATTGTTGCAAAACCTGCTATTTGTACTTCCACCCTTGAGATCCTTATACCTGCCTTTCCTGCTGCTAGAGAGGCATAAAAATAATAAACGCCAACTGAGCCATATATATATAGTTCATAAGGGTAACTTTGGTTCTGCTTAGTTTAGTTCAGTTGTATCTAGTGGGCTAACTTGACCTTCGTAGCCATTGAGGGCCACTTGAAGGCTAAGAAGTTGTCGAAACAACCAAAAACCATCAGTCGTTTGGACAAGATTTGGCAACCATGGCATGTCTCAGGATGACTCTCAACTAGACAATTTCGGTGAGACTTGTTGAACTTACCGCATTAAGACCTGAGCGCTATGGGTTCCAACATGGCACTCCAAAGTCAGAAATACTGAAACCAACGATGTTCAAATAATGTCGGAAGAAATCTTTTTCTTATTTGAAAACCCCGGCCCTATCCACAATAAGGTTGAAGGATACAAAGCCCACCACTACCTTTTGAACACGACATACTCACCACATCGTTCCTTAACTGCAATAAGCTTCCTTCCAAGGCAACAAAAGCCAGTACTAACACGGAGCTATTGCAGCCCATCCCTGAGCTGATCTCTGTGGAGGTGATAGAGCTAACAACTTCTGTAAAGTATAACATCGAAAAAGGTTACACCAGGACGAACAAGATACTTTCAGAAATGATGTTTCAATCTCCATATTGCATGAAGCTTGAACAGGCATCGGGAACCCCACGGGAGGACGCAAGATACACCATCCCACGCTGCCTTTATGACTTCAATATCGGATTGCTTGGAGAGACTTCTTTCACTCCCAGCTTGATGCGAAGCTACGCAGTCAAGGTGGATGTACAAATATCCGTCAAGGGGAACAGAATAAACCTTCTCAAATATGTTGATTTAAAAGTTGCTGTAACGTTTGATTTCTTTAACAGGTTAACTTTCAAGGTGGCCAGAAAGATGGACAAGGTATGGAACTTGTTTCCGAAGAAAAGTAAGCAACCCTCTAATACAACCTATTCCATCAAGTGTGTGCCGAAGGATGTGTATCGGTCGAAACCATCGACCTGGAACAATTGGGATGCTGAAAGAAGTCTTCTTTGGTATGAGACTGCGATGGCGTTTAAAGACGAATTTATTTTGGTTGTGTCGGCCTTTCATACAACTCCACCTCTGGACTTACCCTAGTGAAGGTGGACATGCGGAAAGTTTGTGACACTTATGGAATCAACAGCTTCGACAGCTGGCCCAAAATATACCATGAAAAATGCTTCCTAATATGTGAGGTGGTATGAAGTTCGGTGCAACACGAAAAGCCGAGAAGCGGACACTTTATAATTTACCAGGGCCAGCGCCATGACTTGACTTTTCCTTCTTGTATTTTCTATGCCATCAAGCCAGATCAGCCCAGATACAACTTGTCAGATAAGCACAAGAAGAGCAATTGGAGCTTGTGGGTAGTGTTTCAAGAACATAAGTACTTTCATGACATACTTGGCAATACTGTCGTTCCTGGGATGAATCTTAGTGATATTCTTGTGTTTCACATGGGTGGTAAATCTTCAGATGGAGTTAACGTATATCCAATCAGTTCCAAGATCAAGCTTTTTGACAGGACGTATCAGAATGGTGTGAATGTGGCCGACTGCGTTAGTTTCGAGACCACACTATTGGATGAACAGTATCCTGTTGATAAGCTGGCCTATTACACGGCTCATCGTCATTTCAAAATCCCGAGAAGTACTTCAGTTGTACAATACCAAAGTTGGGGCCAAGTTTCCTTTGCAACGAGGTCTCTAGAACTTATCTATTCCACGTCGAATTCACGTTTACGAATACACGTGGGGACAGGTTCAAGCTAGAGGTTTATCTACCCTTTTCGTTGCAGCTGACCGGTGTGATTGCTTAATCAAAGATTAGGTACTTTCCTTATTAGTATGTTTATCAAATCTGTTTCTTCAGGTTTCTTCCCTACGACACCTCTTCTTGTCTCTGTATTGTCACCATACTTCCAGGGTAGCTTCTGTGGCATACACATATCTCATCAACAGTTGCTTGTGTTGCAACACTTTTTTCTATACTGTCCGTTGCGAGATTCCCAGTCAACTTAGTTCGCCAGGTAAACTGGAGTGTTGAAGCCATGGCGACCCTTATATGGAGCATACTCTGGCTCCTTCCAGTCATTTAAAGTATCCTCCTCATTATCCAACTTGTAAATCTCGATTCCTAACGGTCTACAGTTGTCGACCATTTTGGTATCACCACCTTCCTTCTCACCCCAATCCCAGTTGCTCAAATCGCCACCTGGACAAGCAGAAATAGCCACAAGCAACTCCTGCTCGGCAAACATTTCAAAATAGTCACCCTTCAGCGCTGGCAGGGCCTCCATAAAGTACTGGTCCTGTTCGGTCAAACCCGTCACTTGAAAAACGTTCAACACATCGTGAACGTCAAACTCGGTGAGTCCGTACGGGAAAACAGCACGAGTCAAGTTTGAGTGACAATGGAAATCGTTATCCTCGCCAGAAATAAGTTTATCCACATAAGGGTCGCAACGGGTGCCCAAAGTGTCGTGGATTCTTCCGCCCCACTCATCGTGTCTGCCACCCAAAGTATCAGCAGTGATTGTGGCCAACGGTCTCAAGAAAGGCAAGATCGACCACAACCTATCGTGGGTGGAAACGTGAGCCAGGTGCAATTGTCTGGTTCTGGCCGCCCAGAAGCGTTCTCTTGGGTTATGAAAGTTCCAGATGTTCAAGTCACACACCTGAGGCCCCTCGGGCGTCGTAAGACGAAACACCGACTTGGCTGGCACTCTCACTGCAATGCCCAGGCGAGGAGCACACAAATGAGACTCAACCTTGGTCTTTGGAGCATTGGCGATCTTGGTATAGAGCTCTTTATCAGCATAGATCTTCGACCCAGGCTGGGGGAAGTAGGCAGCCTTTGGCTTGGGCACGCCGTAGGTGGTACGTTCGGGAGTCTGGGAGCTCACAGAAGTGTCTGTCATGAGGAAAAGAGTGTGTTTCGGGTGGAAAGCAGCGAAGGTGGAATGGAAATTGGGCGTCTTGAAACCCAACCGCGAAACGCCGCCCACAGTGTGAGCCCGGAACCCAGCACCCAGAGAAGCGAAGGATGGAGAAACAAAAAAGGATGGGCAAAAAGAAGGTGGGAAATGGGTCGTATTTATAGTAAAGTAGGGGAAAGCGGGGAAGACGTGGAACACGATAGACGTTTCTTTGAAGCTACTTGTAGTTGGTTCAAGTGGACACTTTCCTGGAGCGAATCCTGGGGTGCATGACGGAAAGACGAGAAGTAGAATGGTGGAAGTAGAAAGGGTTTATGGATGTTTTTGGTTGATGATTTTAAGAGAGTGGTAAGAAAGGGGTTTGTTTATTTTCATCTTCTTCGTCTTCAAGTTGTAAAGGCTGGACCCTGGATGAGCTTTGGTGAAGCGATGCCGCACTGTGATGGTTTTGTGTGATATATGGAAAAGCCCAGTGATTTGGGCTCACATAGGGAAATATTGTAATTTGGCGGTCAAAGGGGGTCCTTCAATGTGTAATACATCTTTTTAGATGGTAACTAGAAAAGTTTACGTTCTCCAAGTGACTGGCTGAATGGGTGCAAATTTGTGAAAAGCTGCGGAATGCTCATAGTGCCGTATATAGTTGAGGTAAGCCAATGGGACGATGTGAGTGGAAGTGGTGACGTTTTAGGTGGTAACTTGGCACAGTGCCTTGGGTGGATCAAAGGAGGGATGTTGGGTAGAGGGGGCCTTGGTTGGTGGAGACTGGTGATGGTGGATGGGAGAGACGGAATTGACTGAAAGTGAAGGAAAAGGGTGATGAAGAATGGAAGTTCAAAGTTGTTTGTCCATTTGGATTCAAGTTGTACTTGAAATGACCTAAGGAGCTTTCAAAATACCTTCCAGAAGCGCATGGGCTGGCTATTGTGCTTTATCTGTCTGGTTGGCTCGAAAACGACAAGTTACCGATCTGGGTTTAATGTACGTGAAGTACTAATCGATTGACTGTAGGACGGTTTGTCAAATGCTATGATGCTTTTAATGAAGCCTTCGAGAGAAAAGCGTGGCAGATCTAGGTTTACATGGCCTGAAGGTAAAACTAGCATCTGTTACTTGTGTCCTTTGATGATTAGAACTTTCCAATGGGTTTGATCAGTTTGGCGATTGTCGACCCACCGGCGTCTTCAAGAGGACGAAGAGAGAGATACAATAAAGTGTACTACAACCGTCCATTCCACCAGTTGATAAATTACTAAGAAACCACCATAAATACCATCAAACACTACAATCCAAAATCCCCCACAGCCCTTTCACCCTATTCTTCCAAGCCCTAGCCACATTTCAATTCTACAAGGCCTCCTCTTCGACAGTTGGACCCCACATAACCACAGCAGCCTCAATTTCATGTCTGTGGCATCTCCAAGTAGCTTCTGCCGTGCCACAGGTGCACAGAAACGAAAGTTAAGGTTCTTCTGGGCCGGTCCAACCCTGAATCGCTATGCTTAGCTGCAAATGTGGCGCTTAGTGAGCGAAACAGAGCATGAAATGCAGACGTGAAGCACAAACGCTTAAATGACAAAGACCGAAGCGGCCATGGTAAAAGGGAAGGAAAGGAGGCCAGGGAGTGAAGGAAGGAGTAGAGGAGTCGGTAGCTAATCGAAATCAAAGAAAACGAATTGAACGTAGAGAACTAAGGTGACAGTCTATGTCAACCATTTCATACACCAAAGATGTACACTTTTCAAGAAAAAAAAGACACTCAAAAACCACCTGAGCCTTATCGATACCTCCTTTCCCGATTTCGTAACCTCCTTAAAACCACCCTGTCCAATGCACAATTGTCCGTTCACACTTTTCCCAGTCCTCTCCTTCCGTCCTCTGTCAATCCAAACTTCCTTAGTAACCAAGTTTCTTAGTAACCAAGTTTCTTAGTAACCACTTTGCCTTAGTAAGACTTTTCCTGAAAACCTTGTTTCTACCTTTTGCCACATTTTGATCTCCCCAGTCTTACAATAGAAAGTTTACTAAACCCAGATGTCCTGTGGAATGGCCTTGTTGGTTAAGCAGCGCCAGAGGTTCGCTTACATGATGCGCTTGCGTAAGCAGAACCTGACAATGGGGGAAGAAACAGCACATTCTTCTTTGCTTACTCTGTGGAAAATAGGAAAACCCGTGCACCTAACAGCATAAAACCCGTGCATCCTATCGTTTCCCCCTCCTTCCTTAAATTCCCTTACTAAACTGCCAAATTTCATCCCCTGTCCATTTGTCATCCATACTTAGCGAAGCGCTCACTGCTTACGCGCATATCGTATTTTGACTAAAATGACAGCGACATCCACAACCTCATGTCCTTATATGCAGTACCCACATACACCAAACTGTGGCTCCATTTGTCATCCCCAAAACCCATCCAAAAGTATATATACCCTTGTAGTTCCAAACACTCTTTTTTTTTTTTTCATCATCTTCATTCTCATCTTATCATGTCTACAATTGCAGTTTTCGGTCTTGGCGGTTTCCTCGGTGCTCCAGTCTTGGAGGCCCTCCAGTCTTCCACTTTCGCAGCCAAAGTCAACTTCCCGATCTTGGCTATCACCAGAGACGACTCCAAGTACAAGAGTACTGAAAAGGTCAAGTATATCAAAGCTGACACTGTCAAGGACGCAGACCACTTGATCAAAGAATTGAGCGGTGTGGACGCCATCTTGGAGCTTTTGGGCCCAGATCCTGAAGTGTTTGCAGCCACCGAGAAGATAGCTGCTGCTGTCAAGCCAAAGGTGTATGTTCCTTCCCAGTTTGGTGTTGACGTTGACCAGTCCCAGGAGATCTTCCCTGGCTTTTTGGGCCTCAAGCTTGACCACTCGCAGAAACTTAGATCTGCTGGTGTGAAGGTGGTGGATATTCCTACTGGTCTTTTCGGCACCAAGGACTCTTTTGTTGAGCACATTGCTCCATTGGTTGGTGCTGACGCCGAAAAGAAGCAGGTCACGTACTTGGGATCCCCAAAGAACGAGTTCTCTTACTCCATTCTTTCTGATATTGGTAATGTTGTTGCTGCTGTGGCCACTACTGACCCATCCAAGCTTTCAGACAAGCTCAGAGTCCACTCTGGCTCTATTTCCCAGGAGGAGATTGTGGCCAAGTACGCTTCTGCTAAGCTGATCAAGTTGGACGCTAAGGAGGTTTCCCAGGAGGACGCTTTGGCTGAGGCTAAGAAGGTCTGGTCTGAGGGCTTCAACCCAGAGAAGTTCATCTACTACTTGCAGGCTATTATCTCCCAGGGTAAGGAGAAGGGTCTTTGGTTTACCAAGGACGACAACGAGGTTGTCAACCCAGGCCAGTCTGCTTGGAAGTGGACCACCATCTGAAGTGAAGGGGTTTCTAGACTAGAGAAGTTATAATAGATATCTTTTAAATGAGGTAATGTAGGGTGTAGATTGTTGGTTTAGACGGTTTATGGAGTGTTCAAGAGCTTATTTTGTTGGTTTGGGTGAATAGCACTGTAATCGGTATATGAATGGAAGTCTCGTTTAGACGAAGCACAGGCAATGGCGTCAGGCTGTTTGACTAGAGAGTCTCCTTGCAACTGTAGCAAAAAGCACTTCCTTGTAGTTCAATAAACTTAGAGAAGCTTACGTTTACGGCATCTTCTACGTCGTGTACTGCTTATGTCTACACAAGCGCATTCAATGGTTCAGTGTGAACCAGTGTAACCAGAAGAACCAGTATATCCAGAAGAACCAAAGAGAAAGAGCTCAAAAGAGGCAGAAACCCATTCCATTGGTATCCTCCCCCGGCAATCCCATATACTCGGGATTCCCTCGTCTTCCCTTACTCTCTCACGACATGTTTCCCTAAACAGCTCCAGCACTCACCACCACCATCAAAACCCCCACCAATCCACTCCAACCACATCCAAAGCCAATCCAACGCCCCCTTCCCTGCGCTAATCCCACCGTACTCCGTTAATCTAAACCCACCACCACCCATTATCTTGTCGATCACCGAATCTTCGTCGACCCCGGAATTGCCAATTCCGCTCCACCATCACCAAACAATCCCCAGCACATCTCCAATTCCCGCCAATCTGATTCTGACCAGAAATAAGTACAGCCCACCCCTTCAGTTCTCTTTAGCAATGCCTCCACTTCCCTCTCTGGCTTTGCCCCTGCGGTAGCGGCATTTCTGCCGCCAGTGGTGAATTTTTCACTTCCAGGGTCCCAGCAGCCTTTCATATGCAAGTACCAGCACATGCACCAAGAAAGCGTCTCTCCAGCTCCCAAGAAAGCTTATCACTTTTCCACGTCTTCGTGTTAAGTAGTACCATTTAGCAGTTTCACCCAGCCCCTCCCAACCCAGCGGGTTCTTCCCTTTCAAGAATATAGGGGCCCCTCCTGGCCCATCCCGAAATCCTGGGGTACGCATATTTTCCACGGGTAGGCTCGGCTAATGCACGGAACTGTACAAAATGTGGGGAACCAAAAGATAAATAGAGGTGGATTTCCAGTGTTTTTCACTCACCAGCAAGAAATATCCTTAATATGTCTCTTCGGTTTGTTCGTGCTTTTTCCCACGCCAACGTCTTGAGAGCCAACTACGGCTTCATTGGTCTCGGCCAGATGGGCCAGCACATGGCTAGACACATTTACGCCCAGTTGGAGCCTCTGGACAAGTTGTATGTTTATGACACGGTGCCTGAAGCTACCAAGGCGTTTGTGGAGAATGTCACGTCGCAGAAGCCCGAGGCAAAACTGCAGCTCCAGACGCTTGATCTGATTCCAAAGTTTGTCACTGACGTGGACGCCCAGTTGGACTTTATTGTGTCTATGGTGCCTGAGGGTAAACACGTCAAGGGCGTGGTTTCTGAGCTCGTGGACACGTATAAGGCCCACCCACAGAACGCTCTGACCACGTTCTTGGACTCTTCCACTATCGACATTCCTACATCTGTGGAGGTGCACGAATTGGTCAAGAAGGAGCTTCCTTCGTTTGATTTCATCGATACCCCTGTTTCCGGCGGTGTCGCTGGTGCCCGTAAAGGTACCTTGTCGTTTATGCTTTCCAGAGCTGAGCACAACGACGTGGCTCCAGATCTCGTTAAGTTGTTGAACATGATGGGCTCCAATATCTTCCCATGCGGCTCGCGTCATGGTGCCGGTTTGGCTGCTAAATTGTCCAACAACTACTTGTTGGCTGTCACCAACTTGGCTGTGGCTGACTCTTTCCAGTTGGCCAAGGCTTTCGACTTGAACTTGCAACACTACGCTAAACTTGTGGCTGTTTCCACCGGTAAGTCCTGGGCTTCTGTCGACAACTGTCCAATCCCAGGTGTCTACCCAGAGAACAGTTTGCCTGCTGATGTTGGCTACGAGGGTGGTTTCATCACTAAGTTGACCAAGAAGGACTTGGTTTTGGCTACTGACTGTGCTTCTCAATACGACCGTGCCTTGTTCTTGGGTGACATTTCCAAGAAGTGGTACTTGAAGGCCTGTGAACGTGAGGACTTGGGTTCTCGTGATTTGGCTGTGTTGTACGAGTGGCTCGGTGAGCTTAAGAAGGAGAGCGGCGAGTACGTGGATAACAAGACTTCTGAGAAGTTCAACATCTAATCACCTTCATTTGGATATAGAAAATTACATACGGGATGTCCTTCTAGCGTAGCCTGCAAGCAGCTACTTCACGAGCTCCTTGACATCTTTGGGAAGACCATTGACTCTGAATCCTTCGTGGGCCTTGTTGCCTGACGAGTCGGTCACTTCACTGATCCACTCGCTCTGTGTGGAACTAGCAGTCAGTGATCTTTCAGCGGTACTTGACTGTGGAATGTCGCTATTCGGTATGACGCCGAAGGACTTCTGTCTGTCCTTGTCGTGGTGGCTGCTTGGCGGCTCCTCCTCTTCTTCTTCTCCTTGGTAGTGTTTCTTGAGCCTCGGGTTCCGAAAAATGTGGCTTTCGATCCCACTACGCCCAACAAACATATTGTTGTCCATGAGATCAGTCATGCTTGTATTGACGAAAGCACTTGGACGTCTGCCCTGGTCCAACAGGAAGTTACTCAAGTTGTCATCTGTGTATCCCTCGTTAAGCGTAAGAAGTGGAAGCGTTTGTTCAAGAGGAAGATCATCGTCGACTGCCAGAGCCACCGAGGATTCTCTTGATACCAAAGGTCCAATTGCAGGCGAAGCTGGGCCGCTGGTAGCCTGTCTCACGTCTGAAAGATCCATATCATTCTCGGATTCTGGAATTCTAGGACTCTTTGGACGAGGAATGCTGCTTGACTCGCTTACTCTCAAGTCGGATGGGTCCCGCTGCATCAGTGTAGACTCCTTGTTGTTTTCTGTCAACGTAGTAGCTGAATTGTTGGTTTCTCCAGTGCTGGTACGTGGAACAGGCTCAAACTGTTTACTGAGTTGATTTTTGATTCCAGATGGGTTCACGCTAGCATCCGTACTAGGACGAGAGAGCTCAATGGCTGGAATTGTTTCCTTGGCTCCAGAGCTCCTTTTCCGCTTATCAGCATTCACAGCAGACGTTCCTTCGTTCCTTACAGGAGAAGTAGCAGGATCGTCTCTTTCATAAGCTGGAGGCAACGTTTCATCAAAGTCATGATTGATGGCTTCGAATGATGGAGGATTCACAGTAGGGCGACGCTGGGCATCAGGACGGAAAGGTGCTGGTGAATGTGCTGGCGACTGCGGTCTCGAGAAAGGCTGGGCTTGTGGCAGTCCAAGTGATTCCAACACGTTAGCTTCGCTTGGAGAATAAAGGTTAGCCTCAAGATGAATGCGGTGATCTTTCTCTATAGGTTCATCACTGTTGGAAAGATGGCGAAACAGAAGTGGTGTAGCTGAACGAGCTTGACTTATAAGTCTTGAAGAGCCCTCAGAGGATGCTGGTGAGGATTGGCTGTTTCCATAACCTGAAAGAGCAGAAAATATCAGATGTCCCACACCTTGCAGCTGGTCAACCACAGTCACTTCTGGAGACATTGGAGGTGACAGAGGAGCGTACTGTGGCAAAGGCTCTAGACGTTCGGTACGGTTGTATGCTGGCAACAAGGTGTTGCAATGGGCAGCCAATGGGGAGCATAAATGGATTGGAGAATCGATGGAAATCTCAAAATGCTTACGCTTTTCTGGATTAGAAGGATCTTTCCGGGAAATTCTCAAGGAGATCTTTATCCAGTGGTCGCATTGGATGTTTTCGAAGGAAGTGTCTGGATGCATGGCAAAGTTGTATTTCTTGTTGATGGTGGAAGGGACAAACATTTGGAATTCTAGTTCTCTAGGGAGCACTTCATCTTCTTCTGTACCGACATCTGGCCCGTCATCTGTAAGGCATCCTTGCTTGGAGAGAAGCGACTTGTTTGGCTTCGCTTTATGTTCTAGCAAGAGAAACTTTCTTGTAGGTTCAGCTCTATGCACCGTTTTGTTGTGACAATAGTAATTGCAGTTCTCGGTAATGGAAACTCGGATTCTGTGTAAGGCAACCTTACCATAAAGCGGAATGAACTTGAATGATATCGGCACATAAGTATCAAGAACCACAGCCTTGCTACCCACAAGTATCTCGTACCGCAACTGGTCTTCCCAGTCACGCTCAATGAAAATAGGTTCATTTTCTTCAACACTGCTGTCTGAAGGAATACGAACAACACTCACAGGTAAACGAGCCGTGAGGTTCGTCTTGAAAGCGCCCATTCTGATCACGTTCGCTTCGAGGTTGTAAAAGACCCTACCAAAGTTGGTATCGACAGTTTCAGGAGACAGCGCCGGAAGCGGATGCTCAAAGTTATAGATATAATCACCAGGAGTAAAGTAGCCAGGTTTAGGAGGACCGTTAGCAATTGGCGAATCTGTGGCTGACCCTGCAGAACGCATCGTTGTAAGATCTTGCATTGACGACACTGGAGTGATACCTGGAGCTGGAGAAGGAGATGTACCTCTTGGCGAAGTAGCTCTATTGATCAAACTGGCCGCAAACCCCTTTGCAGTGTCCACAGGAGAAAGAAACGAGTCAGTTCCGCCAGTATGTGGATCTGATAGACTAAAATGTGTGATATCGTCCAGAGCCTTATGGGTATTTGCCGGAAGAGGCCTAACAAAATCAGCACCAAACGTAGGCGTATGCGTATCAGCATGGTAGAAAGGCCAAGTATGGTTGATCAAGTCATTCACCTCAGCATAGTTTGTTCTCTTTGGTGGAATACCCTCGGGCCATTCGGTACGCTGAATGCCCTTGAAATGCAACGAAAGCGACTTCACTTTGGCCGGTTTCAAGATTCGAAGCACAAGGCATCCTCGAAGCAACGAAGGAGGCCTATTTTCAAACTCGGCAGGCTTAAAGCCCTGGAGAAAGAGATGCTTCTCTGCTGGCACAATAAACACTTGCACTGACAGCAGCAGCGCCTGAGGAGCGTCCGGAAGGTTAGGAAGAAACACCTGTTCCTCTGGGTTTTCATCTCTGGCAGGGGAAAGCGCCAATGAAGCGTCTGGAAATAGGGGGATCTTGTGGCTTCCATGGCTGGCCGAGGAGAAACAGGGAATGGATAATTTCAGGATGGATTTGGCTGGAAATGGCCTGATGCTGGAAAAGGGTAGAATTATAAGGAAGCGTAAAATTGGTCACAGACCGGTGTGGAAGGTATATGAGTCTATATTTCTATGGAATGAATGGGGAGGTAGGTTGTATGGAGAAGTAAAATTGAACCAGTGGGATGAATGGTGAAGGGCAGGTGGTTGTGTGCAGGATTGGGCAATTTTTCAAGAGCAAGACCATTCCAAAAATCCCCCACCGGGGACAAAAGACGTGGGAAAAGTTATTTATGGAGGCTAATTCCTTCAAGAAAGCTTCCCTCCTTTTCGGGACCTCATTTGACGGAGAATGGTCCAGGTGGTGTGGTTTGCTGTGATAACAGACCTGCATGTGACGATAAGCTTGGGTTTCGGTACTATCACCGGAACGCCGAGAAGGGTCGTCGTAATCAGGGGAACATGGTTCCCAGGTTCGGCAGTCTCGGTAATGACAGCGACCAAAGCAACGTTTTTGTCCTTTTTTGTCTTTTCATGCTACTTTGCTGGACGAACGTGCGTTATCAATCTGCAAACAATGGCTGCGAAAAACACCCATAGCAAAGCTACTAACCGTGGAAGTGCTTTTGTGTTGCTTTTGGAGGAAATGAATGGATTGGGCTGGGAGTTGGAAAGGGTGGTCTGGGGGTGGATAGTAGTTGGAAGGTTTAGGTTTTTTTCGGGGTTTCAAGGGCGGTTTTGGGGGATCTATGGGAAGTGTGGAGTGGTTGTAGGTACTGAAGGGAAGTATGGGACGGTGGAGTTGGTGGATGAGTGAATGTGAGAAGAAGAAAAGAAGGAAAGGCGTTATTATGGTTAATTTAGGTGTAGGTTTGTAGGGAGGATTAGTAGATCTTGGTGGGTATTGAAGGGCGGGCCAGATCTGTAGATATACCTTCTTGGGAAGACAGTGAGGGATGTGACGATGGAGCTATAGGGTGGACGATCAATGAAGGTACTAGGGTGGTTTTTTGAAGCTGCTCAAAAGTACGTGTATCAATTTTTTGTCTCCTTCATTGTATATCTAGTTTATTTTTTGGACGATTGGTTAAGGTTTTGGTTGCTCTGGGTGTAACTTCATGGATGGTCTTAGTATGGCAGTACTAGAACCACCAATTCCACAGGAAACCGCAATTTTTGATTGAAGTAGCATTCATTGTCTTAACTGTGGCTATTGGTCAATAAAATAATTCAATTGGGTAATTTTGGGGAGGTTTTGGGCAAATTCATGTTATTCCTCAGATCTATGTATTTCGCAGCCATTCGACTTTTTCAGTTGTACTTGCAAAACTTACAGTATAATATTCATAAAGCTTTATAAAATAATGAAATATGGTAATTTTTGTAAATTGTTTTTTTTTTTTTTTTTTTTTTCCCTTGACCAGCAAAAAAACGACAAGAAGAAGAAAAGAGAGAAAAAGGGGAAAATGTGGAAAGAAGATCAAATGAGGATTTTCTTGTTGACCAAGCGAAGAGAGGATATGATAAGGATAAGAATTATCATGTCACAGTCCTTATGAAAAAGCTCTTAGACAGTGGTGCTCCAAGATCGGCTCTCAGCGCAGAATTGAATGATTTGCCTGATAACGCGATCTCTTACAAAATGGAAGTCACTAATGATCATGGAATTTCGGACGCAGCAATGACTGAAATGGTCAGGAACTGTGCTTGGAAGGAACACGATGCTTGCGTCAAGGACTTGGAGGATTATTTGCTTAATTACGACTTGAATGATCGGAGAATCCGTGGTGAATCGCCTGACTCAGTTGACCCCGACACGTGTACCCAAGCGGAATATAACCAAGAGTTGGTGGATTACAATGATTCTATCTTGGAAGTCAAGGAAATGTTGGTCAAGTTGAATTCCCTTATCTTGATCGGAAATGTTCGAATCATTGGCAACAAAGCTCATTTCTCTGGTGCCAAATGTAAGACCACTATCGGTTTCATTCACGGTCAACTCACTGATGGAATGACAAGGCTTTTCGAAGAACCCTTGGTGAAAGACATCATAGCTAAAATTCTCGAAACTTTAGATAGAAGAGTCTTCTCTGAAACGGGTGCCGACCCAAGATACTTCAAGTTATCCGAAAGCCATGTTACTTCTGGCAACTTTCTTTGGCTTAAGGCTTACCATGTGCCAAATAAAGGAGCCCAGCACGCTTTTGAGATGCAATTCTTAAGAGAAGGGGATAAGGTTACGCAGTTTGAAAGGGCCAAACACGTTGTGGTCAAAAATTCAAACCTTGTTCTTTCTAACGTTAAGATTGATCTTGGACTGGATGTTCTCCCTCCTACTAAGGGACGGAAGCTCATTTATTACGAGAACCTTAAAAGACTTGGTCCGGCTGGCCTCGTTAATGAAGTTCAAGACGCGATTGAGATTCATAAGAACAAATGTGCTTTCCCTCAAGACGAAGAAGAAGTAAAGGTTCTGAAGCAATTTATTGATGCTGCTCGGGCACAATTCGATCAGACTCTTGAGTCTCTCAAGGATTCACGTCCAAATGAGCAGACTTCTGACCCATTCCACTTCTCTGTGTCGGTTAAGTTTTGCACCCAGTATTGCAACATTTGTAACACTACCTCTCACTCTCTTCAAGATTGTGAGTACAGAGGATGCAGACTTTGCGGCGATAAGCGTCACCCAATGTGGAAATGTCCTTCACGCTGCCGCTGTAAGAAACGCCCTGCTCACTTGAAGAAGGACTGTCCTAACAGAGTGGCCGACACTGAAGTTTCGTCTTATGATGAAAACAATTTCCCGACTTTGTCAAAGCCAACGGGTAATCCATCCCCTGCAACTACAGCAGCCCAGGCGTCGCGCCCAAAGGATGGAAACAGGTATAACATGCTTAGAGAAGACACTGAGGAAACCGAGGATACCGAGGAAACCTCCATGTCAGGAGTGCGCCAAGTGGAATATTCCACTGGAGATGAGCCAACAGAAAAGCGCACTAGAGTCCAGGAACCACCTAACCAGGTGGCCCAAACCACAGCCATAGTCGAAACGACTGACATTCAGAAGCCTTTGCCTTCTACAACCGATGAACCACATTATGAATCCACCGATTCAGACACTGACATGGAGTCATCCTCTGCTCACGAAGAAGATGACATCAACATTCCTGCCTTCCTGGCTACACCCCATTCTTCAGAGGAGTCTACTCTGAAAGACACTTCGCACCCTGTGCAATCCGTTCATGCGCCTGCTGCTCAGGCCTTACCTTCCGATGCTGTGGTTATCCCACACATCACGTCCACTGAGGAACTCTCTAGTCCTCTAACCTCCGACCTTATTGCGGCTACAGCAGTCGCCAACACCAACACAGATCACCAACTGGAGGTTCCTCCAGGTGATTTGACAGATGCCGACACCTCTATGGGTGAAGGAGATCTGTATGTTGCCACTCAACCCGATTCAATATTGGATTCTCCAGAGGAGGACCCACCACAGGAAGCTCAGCGGCCTATGCCAATGAGTCGAAGTGGTTTGGGGGCCTCGGAAAATTCACCTCGGCAACTGGGTGGAATTCGGAAGGGACGTAACGTTTCGAAAACTGCGTCAACAAAGTTGACTGCGACACTTAAGGACAAATTCTTACCAGATAAACCACCGTTGAACGCCCCACAAAGGGTTCTTCGATCAGGCCGATCTCACACTATGAGAGAAGCTGAACTGGATCTCTGATATGAATAATATTGTCGAACAACGGATCATTGAAATCAAACATCCTTTTGGTTTCAGACGCACTACACAAGGACGATCTCCTATGTTAACTGTTGGGTCTTTTAATATCCAGCACTCGCAAGAGATTCCTACAATCATCTTTTTGGCTCGCCAATTTGATATTTTATTTCTTCAAGAACTTCCCCTTTCAGAAGATAAAATCAAGCAGCTTGAACAGCTCGCTCTTCGAAAAGACAGAGTTTTCATTTCAGGAGAAACAGAGGAAGGAACGCTCAACCATACTGCTATCCTTCTAAATCCTGCCAAAGTCACGGTGTTGGCCACGGCGGAGCTTAGTCAAAATCTGTTTCACAGCGATAGATTTACAGATGTTAGGGTCAGGATCACTCCGGGTGATCATCTTCTTCTTACAAATGTTTATCTTCCCACGTCCAATAAGGCCCTCCAAGCCTCTATTCTTTCGGAAATTCGTTCCTCCTACGTTTCGTTAAAATCTCAACACCTGGACCTAAATATCATCTACGGGGGTGATTTCAACCACTCAATGGAACATGAGATTCGCTCGGAAAGCCAAGCTCGTCATTCAATTTCAGCATTGAACAGTGTCGCGTTCACAGAAGATGTTGCTGTCTGTGATTCCCAAATTGCCCAGCTCCCGACCAATACACCGACCAAACAAGGAAATTCCTGTCGCCGTCTTGACAGGTTTTATATTCCTAGAGGTTGGCGTCACCGCACCAAGCAATACCAGATTTTGAAGCCTCAACATATCACTAGCACGCATCACCTAGTCAAAGTCACTTTTAGACTTGATAGAGATGCTAATGTTCTCATAGGCAAAGCACGCTTTCGTTATCCGTTACAGAGAATTCTGCACCCGTTTGATTCAAATCCTACTATTAAAATCCCAGTTTCGACTTCGCTTGATCGCTCGATCTTTCTCATAAAAAGTGAGGGTATGGAATATATCAATTTCATGGGGTATGTTCGCAAGCAGGATCCGCAGTTTGCAAGAACCATTCTTGGTGGTTCTCAGGATCTTCTGAAGACGGAACAGACGAATATTAACATGAAACTTTGTTTCCAAACAAAACGTCTTGATACTCAGATTTTTCAAAAGCTTGTTAGTGCTGATACTGGAACCACCGCGCATACTACCTTAGGTATGCTCAACATGGCCACTGAATACTACGCTGAACTCTATGCTCAACCTGAAGATCCACCGAGATTTGAACTACTTAATTTTCTCGACCCTATTCAAAACACGCTTACACGTGAGGACCTTAGGACTTTGAACAAGCCCTTCACCAAAAAAGAGCTTTACAGAGCCCTCAAAGCATCAGAACAAGCTTCGGCTCCGGGCCCGGATGGCCTTAGCTTCCCAGTACTCCAACACTACTGGTCGGAAATTGGTGATAAACTCACCACCGCTGCCAATAGCATGAGGACTAAGGGAACCCTTCCTAAATGTTTCCGAGAAGTTCTTATCACGTTGATTCCGAAGAGTGGCGCCAAGGCCTCGGACCTAGTCTCCGATCAACGGCCTATCCTGCTTTCTAATGCTTCACTAAAAGTTGTTTCGAGTGCAGCCTGTTCACGGCTTCAGTCGGTTCTTGACAAGTTGATTCGTCCAAATCAAAGGGGCTTTATCAAGCTGAGGAACATCCATAGCAACACTATGGAGTTCTTCTCAATGATACCTTTGATTCAACAGAGGCTGCCTCTGACGAGAGAAATTTCACCGAAAGCGATCCTCATGGCTGATTTCACAAAAGCTTTCGATAGGATCTCACATGTTTACATTCGGACTGTTTTGCAGAAGATGCGGCTAGGCAAATACATGATAAATTTTATCATGCTGATCCTTGAAGGTCAGGATGCCTACGTACGCATAAACAATATTGATGGACGCCCGTTCCCCCTTCGCTGTGGAACTCGCCAAGGCAACCCTCTTTCGCCTTTAATTTTCAACATTGCGCTTGAACCCTTTCTACGTCAACTTGAGACTTTGGAAGGGCTTGAATTAAGTTTCAAAGGCTGTTACTTGGAAACCATCCACTATCATGCTTTTGCCGACGATGTGAACATTTATCTCAATTCGCTCAGAGATTATAGGAGATGTCATGGTATAATTGCGCAATTTGAGACGGCCAGCAATAGTCGCCTCAATCATAGCAAATCCAAACTCATTGGATTCCACAGAAATTACCCCCAGCTCGAATCCAACATCCTACCATTTTCCAAGACCTCAGTGTATCATAATGATACTAAGTATCTTGGCTTCGCGATCACTGGCACTCAGTGGTCAACGCTCATAAGCAAGCTACGAGATGCTAGCAGACTCCAAGGATACATGAGCCTTAACCTCATCACTAGGGCTCTCGGTTCGAACATATTTATCAGTTCTAAAGCAGTCTATAAGGACCTAGTACACTGTATGTCACGGTCTGAGCTTACTTCAATGGACAAAGCGATCGAAGACTTTTTCCCGGGAATCTCGGCGTCCAAATTGCACGCCAACCCGAAGAATGGAGGTTTTGGTCTCATTGAGATGAAGATACAACTTCAAGGCCACAGAGCAGCAGTCTTAGCTGCCATCCTCGAGGATAAACACACTTGGTATGTGCAATATCTCCGACTCAAGCTAAAGCATCATATGGCAAAAATCATTTTGCAACAAGAGCATGTTGATATTCTGTTGGTCACCTCCCTAGACCCAGCGGACTTCTTATTCGAGCAATCGGATATCTTTTATCAACACTTACATTGGACATTTTCGGACAGTGAGATAGGGTACTTACGGGCGTGGCAGAAGGTGGTCCGACGCACCCGATCTTACGTAGGAAACAGCCTATTCACCAGCGAACCTAACCATCATGGTTCCCTACGTGCCTCTCTTCGCCGACAGCCGGTGATTTCTACAGGAGAGCAGAACGCTTGTCTCAAGAACCAATTTACGTCTTTGAGCAGACAGGAGCATCAAAAAGGTGGCCCCATCATTCCGGATCACCTTACGGACATTTGTCTTGCCTCTCAGAATTACACTCGTTGGAAGAAGTTTTGGCGGAAGCTATACAAACAGGAATGGCTCCATCACAACGACTTCTCCGCAGTACACTTATTCAACTTTGGATCATATGTTCCTTTACAATTTCCTCGCTCCAGTGACAAAACCATGAGATGTCACTTTTGCTTACAATCACTTCCAGAGAGGTTACACCAATTTCATATTTATTCACAATGTGAAACCGCCAAGTTTTGGTGGAAAGAATTACAGGGCACGAAGCCGATGGCCCTTGAAGCTATGTTAGCACCGACAGATATGTCATTCCATAACCTTCGCCAATTAAATTGGTTTTTTAAGGTGGTTCGCATCACTTATCGACAACGGTACAACCGGAGTCGGGATGCCTCTGCGCTTGAGCCACTTCTGCAAGCCGAGCTTACAGCAGCCCTCAAGCGGATTCCACCCATGGGACGATGACAGCTACAATACTATCTTTATGATGGCGGATCCTACTCCAGTGGCATTTCGGGGGACCATTAGGGTTCACACGACTTTGTCAAACGAGGAAGATCTGAATAATAGATGGTTTTTCTCTTTCAGATATATACATGTATAGAGCTTTCCATTTAATTGAATTCAACAAAAAAAAAAAAAAAATGACACTTCCAATGGCCCATCGATCGTTGAATACCAGCGAACGAGGCTCTTCACTACTTCGGTAAGACGAACCAAACAGAGCACTTATATGGTTTCAAGTCGGTTCAAATATTTTGATAAGCAGATAAAAACGACTCAAAAGCTTATATAATAGTTTTCAAGTGTTGGCAAGATAACTAGCTACTTCCATTGAAATGTGGTGATTTGCAACCAGTGCTGTCCCAGTACCACATACTAACATACTGGAAAAGAAGACAAAAACTTTGCTCAGGAAAATTGAATGAAGAGTTAAATTGTAAAAGTTCATATTTCAATATACTAATATTTTGTAGGTCTCCATGAATGAAAGTACCCCATGGCCCTTTAATTATGGACTCTGATAAGCACCAACGAACTCCCGATACCCATGGAAATGAAAGGAAGACATTCCTTTAAGAGTTACTTAAACAGTAAAGCAACCTTCATGAAACCTCTTTTTATCGAATTTTCAACCCATCCTTTCCATACCTCCCACTGTCCTTGCCTCAGTATAATGGGTGCAAAATGAGACTCTTCCTCCACCACTTCTCCACCAGAACCCCAAAAAACACCCCAAAACTCCACTATCCCCTTTCAGACCCCCTTAATCTACATAAATAAACCCTCTTGTTCCCTTTCCCACGCCCCTTCCCCCACATCCTTATCTTCCCTGGATCCATAATACACGCACTGCATCTGAGACATATAAACAACCCCAGTACTACTATCACCACTTCTACATCTCCAGACAATGCCTCGCCGAAACAGCGAAGAAGCTTCAGAATCTGACCATGATATGGACGTGTCTCTGGATGACAACTACCAGTCTGGGCTGGAGTTTGAGGGGGGCGTGATATCGGAAGACGAGGAAGAGATTGATCCTCTGCTTCAGTCAGGAAGACCAAGGTCAAAGAAGACAGCTGGCCAGAACGAGAAGATCAGCGAGTTGACGAGGACGATAATCAATGACTTTGAAGCTGATGATGACGAGGCGCCTGCTTCAATTGACTTTTCAGATGATGACGATGACTATGTACCACTCCCAGAGAATATGGATATCGATGTGGATGACGATGATGATCTTTTGAATAACTTGAGAAACGCTGCTCATATGAAGCGGAAACGGCCAAAGAGCGCTAGCAACTTCAAGCGCCAGGTGGTGAACAATAAGGACTTGGATCCAGAGAAGAGAACGTACATGTCTCGAGGAAACGAGGCTTTCGCCAGGGGAGACCTCGAAACAGCGTGGAAGAACTACGCAGAGGTGATTAAGATCGATAATAAGAGTTATAATGCGTATAAGACGTTGGCAGAGATTTGCCAGATGCAAAAGAAGTACAATAAGTGCTGTAACTATATGCTTATGGGAGCGCTTTCGAATCCTTCAGATACAGCTCTATGGGGCCAAGCGGCAGAACTAAGTGCTGAATTGGGTCATGTTGACCAGGCTATTTACTGTTATACGCGAGCAATTGCAACCAAGAACACAGAACACGACTATGAGTTCATTATCAAACGTTCCATACTATACAAGCAGAAAGGACAATATGGCCGTGCTCTAGAAGGCTTGCAGAGACTCAATCTTCAGTATCCAGAAGACTCAGCCATCACCAAGTTTTTGGCTGACGTTTACGTTCATCAGAAACGTCTTAACGATGCTATTGCGTTGTATAATCGTATTTTGGAGAAGAACATGAACCCTACTGAGACAAAGGTGCCTCGTTTTTCCTGGTCCGAACTTAACATTCTTACTGAGTTGTACATCTCCAAAAGATCATGGGTGGCGGCTATTAATACGATTAAGCTTGTTGCCAGGTGGATACAGAAGAGGTCGGATGAAACTTGGTGGGACGAACAGCAAGATTGTGATGCTGAGTTCGACGATAGAAGAGGCGAGATTATCATGAAGAAAAGGCCCAAGTACTACAATGAATGTGCTCATCGCCCTCACAATATACCCATCGATATCAGGTTCAAATTGGGATACTTGCGTCTTGAACTAGATCAGAAAGATGAGGCTCTCCGACACTATGACTTTTTGCAACTTGAAGAAGACAAACTGGAAGTGTCTGACTTGTTTCTTGATGCCGGTAAGCATTTGGAATCGAAGGGCTACTTTGAAGACGCAATTACCTACTTGAGAGAGGTGACCGATGAAGACCATGAAAATGAAGTTGAATATTTACTAGGAAAGTGCTATGCCGAAATCAAGGAGTATAGCATAGCCAAAATTCACTTACTTGAAGCTATGAAGCACGATCGTGATAACAACTATCTCAAAGCCATTTTGACCGAAGTGCTCTATTACACGCTAGATCCGGAAGATACTCACCTTGCTGCTCAATTAATGGAAGAGATCGACCAACAGAGAACAAAAGGTGACGAGGAAGAGGTCGGGAATGAATTTATTCCCCAAGAGGATGATGATAATATTGCTCTTATTAAGAACGCCAGGGAATACAAAGCTACCAAGAAAGAAACCATGACGGAAGAAGAACGTGAAGAAATTGAACAAAGAGCTACCCGAATGGTGTTGGACAAGTTCAACAGAATGAAGAGACTACAAGAAGCGATTGACCAGGGCCACAAAGCTGCTGCCACTGCTTGGATGAACATTGCATCACAACTTATTGACATGTTCACAAGTACCAAAGCATTCTTTCCCAAGAACAGAAAGTCAACTTTTAGAGGTATCGTGATGTACCTTCGCCGCAAACAAGATATGGACATCAACAACAGGTTGGCCAGAATCAATAACCTTTACGGAGGTATAACAGATACTTCGAATTCAAGGGTCACATTAACAGCACAGACCGAGTTCCGTGGACTCACGTACGACCAGTGGCTCTACATATTCATCCAAAACGCTCTTCTTGTTCGTCAGTTTGATGGAAAGCTAGATGAGGCAATAAGCATTTTGGAAGTTGCATTCGACGTTAATGTGTTTATCCAAGATAAGGCAAGAGTCATGATTCTAAGGCTCGTACGTCTTTCTCTTGCTATCAACCAGCAAGATTTCCTTCCAACCGTGTGCAACAATATTCGATATGTTCTTTCGTTGACGCAGTTCTCACCAACCATCTATGGCATCTTCATGTGTTGCTTTGGCTCAGGTATTGCAGCCTGGGCGGCGTTCAGCAACTATAACCACCAAAAGTACTTCTTGAGACAGCTTAAAGCGTACGACTCTTTGCTTACTTCCTCGAGTGTATCAGGAGCTGCTCACGTTACTGTTGACGTAAAAGGATTGACATTCAACAAAGAGCTTCCCCTGTTGCTCTACATCTACGCGTGTCTTTTGGGAAGCAACAGAGCATATTCTTCTCCAATTGTGTACCTTACAAGAGCTTACAAGAAGTGTTATAATGATCCTACGATATGTTTGATGCTTGGGTTGGCTCATGTCCACCGTTCAATGCAGAGAAACTCTTCCAACAGACACATGCAGCTTCTTCAAGGTATCAGTTTCCTCTTGGAATACAGAGAAAACAGAAACAAGAACAGCACGGTTTATGAAAAACAAGAAATCGAATATAACTTTGGTCGTCTATTCCACATGTTAGGGCTTCCAGCGCTCGCGATAGACCACTACAACAAAGTCCTCGATTTCCACGAAACGCTCCAAGACGATCCAGACTACGACTTGCTGGTAGACGCAGCTTACAACCTAACGTTAATCTACAACATCAATGGGAACTCCAAAATGACCAGGGAATTGACTGATAAGTACTTGACCATCTGATGGTGCACGGGTGTACCATTCTTATTATTCCTCACGATATGGGATCCACCATCACCAACCCTTTCATTTCCACCATGGTTCGTCTTAAACACCGGTACATTCTTTTTGATATTCTATATCCACCGGTTTCTGAGCCTCGAACAGGTACCCAAAGAGCAAAATTCTCAACGTTCTGCGACAATCCCAAAGATACGCTTCTTGCACTTCATGCCCCATCGCCAGCGTCTATCAACCCCAAAACCATTGTTAACATTTTGAAAAACGCTGTACATGAACATTTTGGTGAAATAAGTGCTGGTGGAGTCGGCCAGCTGATAATTGTCAAGTATTTCAGCAATAAAACGTCTACAGGTATAATACGATGCAGCCGACAGGACTTTCAACAAGTGATGGCAGCCATTGCGCTTGTGACAAAGCTCGATAACTACGATGCTGTAATGAGATGTGTCCATGTCAGTGGTACGATCAAGAAATGTGAACAATATTCCATCAGGAGGAACAAGCAGTTGATCATTGATCTTGGACGCGACAAGGAGATGGAATCTGGGCTCAACGAGTTTGTTGCAATGTTCAAGAAAGATGAGGGTGAAGACGATGATTAAGTGAAGGGCCTGAAGAGTTTTAAGCTACGGTTTGTCGGTTTTAGTGGTGTTTCGGGGAATTTGGTGGTGTTCCGGGGAATTAGGTGAGTCTACGAAGCTAAAGGTTCACGAAAAAGTACCCTTATGGACCATAATGGTCAGGTCATCGATGCAATAACACGCCTCCATCTCCCTGCCGTTTCTTTTTAGTCCATTTCTGGATATCTGGTGGTTGCAAAGATGGCTAGTTAAGTATGGCCTGCACCTGAGACACCAACGCACATCCAGCGATTTCAGTGATTTCATCATCACCAACACGGCAAGCAATGCCGCTCCTGAATATCCTACAACAGATCAAGCGGAAAGGCCAGATTCAGCGGCCTGGCCAACCTGCGCTGCCTCATTCAAATGGGTCCCTGCTGCCACAGCTGAGGGCCAGCTCCACCACTCCTGTACCTTCTGAACGTCCAGTGGACCCTGTGGTGGCAAGGCTTAAAGCAGCTCGTAAAGCTGAAAGAGAGAAGAAAGAGGCAGAAGCACGTGCTAAGAAAGGTCAAGCTCCTAAGAAAGAGACCAAACCAAGAGCTCCATCCAAACCTGGCCTGCGTCCAAGTCTGGCGCCTAGAGACAAGTCTAAGAGTCCTATGGTGGCTGGTCCTTCACCAGCTACGCGAGAGAAGAAACCCAAGGTATCGTTCTCACAGCTAATGAAAAAGGCGTCGCTGATCGACCAGAGCAAAATGTCCATCCATTTGAAAGCCAAGACCAAATCGCCAGAGCCTCGTCCAGAAAGGCGTAAGGCGGAAGGAGCAAAGCCTAGATCGAGTAATGGAGCTGACCCACGCAGAGAGAAGCGTCCTAATAGTGTTCCTCGTGAAGGTCCTCGTGGTCCACCAGCTAGGGAATCACCTAATGCATCAAGGGCTCCTATCCCTACAAGACGACCAAACTCGCAGCTCGAGCAGCGGCTTCAACTGAAGAAGCCTTCCGTGTCAGGTTCTAGAGGTCGTGAGGATGAGGACGAGGAGGAATACGAATCTGATTTGGGTTCTTTCATTGCATCGGACGAAGAAGAACAGGATATTCCTCAGGACTACGATCGTGATGAAATCTGGGCAATGTTCAACAAGGGCAGGACGCGGCAGTTTAATTATGACGATGATTCGGATGATATGGAAGCCACAGGTGCTGAGATTTTCGAAGAGGAAGCCCGGTCGAAGAAGAGAGCAATGGAAGAAGATCGCAGAGAACAGGAGGAGGAACAAAGACTTGCCGAGCTCAAAAGGCGCCGCAAGATGAAAGCAACGTAAGATCCCCGTGCATAAAGCAATTGCAAAGTGGTTGCAGAAAGCAGAAAGCAGAAAGCAGAAAAGCATATATGATACAAGGCCAGAGTGCCGCCTAATTGCATACTAATAAGGAACCGTCGTAGGATGGGCAATGAAAGGAGAGAGAAAGGCAGAAGAAGGATGAACCGTCTATCAACTGCATGCTCTCATCCCAACTCCCACATTCACAGCTTCTCCATTTCTCTATGGTAGTCTTCTCATGCACAGTTTCGCAGCCATTTTTCAGTTATCACCAAACTCCAACAACCTACCACTCCAAGCATCTCACGCTTGGTACCCTTAAAAACCCCAAAGTCCTCAATCTAGACCGACTTCCAATAAACCTAACCCAATCCTCATTGTCCCTTCTTCCAACATCCCCCATCACCTCCGATGAGCCTTTAACCACCATGAACAACTACAAAGAAGCACTCAAAGAGCTACGGAAAGAACCACTTTCCATACGTAACAGACTCTACCTGATACTCCTAGACGCCGAGTACGTGTCACGTTTTTCATCCAGTGGTCTTCCTATCGTGGCCAACGAACGCTGTGGGTTATGGTACGTCCAACCAGCTCTACTAGCTGAATCTGCGTACTTCAAGTCTACAGATGGCCATACGAACCAATGGAAGTTTTCGCTTCGACGTCTCAACTTCCATCTTTTGCCGCTTCTTCATACTCACGGTGGGCTTGTGTTGGTGGACTCTACGAGGAAAGGCAAGTTGATGCCTGATGCGTTGCTGAAGACAGTACCTATATGGTGTGCCGTGCTTAACTATATAATGTTTGAAGGCCAGGAAACCGATTGGGATTTGCAGAGGGAGAACTGGCTTCGAACACCGCTAGAGATGGTTCTGGAGAGCGAACATAGCAGCATGTGTAAGATGGTGCCAGGATTTGCAACCGAGCTTAAACGGCTTGGACTTATTACGAAAGAGGAGTTGGTGAAACGGCTTGGTGCTCAGAAACCTTTGGTTCCGGTTTGGAGACACCCGGGCCAGAAAACTGTAGATGTGCCTCGATCACTGGACTATTTTATAGTGGTGTGTCTTACAGCACTGGCTGCGTCTATGGAAAACTTATCTGGATGGCATTACGTTCAAGGAGCTGCTGATGACCATGAGCTTTGGGCAACAAAAGAGATTTGTGGCGGGAAACTTGATGCTCTGGTGTTCTGGGATGTTGTGCAAGAGACTAGTGAAGATAAGAGCGTTGTTGATTCCACAACCAGGAACCTCAAACATTGGCTTTCCGATGGAGAATTAACCAGACGAATTAATAGCATCTACGAAGAACGCAGTGCCAGCCATCTGGGCGGGTCGGATGCTACCGGTTTGGGCGAAACAGGTGTATCTATTGGCGTGATTGACGAAAGCACAACCTATGCTGATTTGGAGCTGTACGAGGTTGTCATTGTGCTTTCTAGTACCTTTAAAGTTGACGTTCCCCAGAAGAACACCACTGTGGTTCTTCAGTATCCCATTCCAGACGGAAAACCAGGCTCCAAAGAGCTCAGGACGCTTCTTCCCCAAATTATGACGTCCATTGGTCACCACAAAACGGTAGCAGTACTCTGCAACTCAGGAAAAGATATTTCTGTTGGAGTAGCACTATGCATCTTGTGCCAGAGATTCACCATCGACTGGCAGCCTTCTACGGGCCACCTTGTGAATAAAGACGTTGTCAAACAGCATCTCGGGAAGATTTCAGATTTTCGTAAGGTCAACCCGAGCCGAAACACGCTCCAGAGCGTGAATACCTTCCTTATGGGCCGATAAACCCAGCATGCATTTATAGATTCGATAAAGGTGGGTGGATAAGGGCCAGGAAAGACAAGCGGTGATGGAATAGAGTTTCAGACAAAGGAGGAACTCGAAGGTATAGGCAGCAGTGTCCTTCAATTTACCTTAACAAACGCCTTCCATCAACAGCCTTCCATCAACAGCCTCCCGTCCTTCCATAACTGGTTCTCTTTCGCAGCCAACCCATAGTAAGAACCCATCCAACTCCCACCAAACCAGCCAACTAAATCAAAAAAATAGACCTTCAGGAAATTAAAAAGCCTTCCCATAAATCATTAATCACCTCTTCCTCGTTTCTTTCCCTCCTCATCGCTCCATCTCTACTCACCACCTTTTCCACCTTTGGCTGCGAAACCATCCAAACCCATACTCCACCAAACACACTTCCCTTCCCCAAATATCCAGAATATCAAAACTTCAACCATTCCGTTGTCTCCAGCCACCTTTATTACATATTTCCCGTCATTTTCCCGCCATCTTTCCACCAAACTTCAACTGGTTCTCTGCTCCCCCACATATTTCCTATCTCCCCACACAATTCAGTGCGCTTCAACTTTCCATCCATCTTCCATACTACTACTCTATTTCCGTTATCACCGGTTCCCACCATGCCACGGTTTTTATGTCTTCCAGGATACTTCCAGAGCGGCAAGGTGTTTGCTGAGAAGTCGTCTGGATTCCGCAAAACGCTTACCAAGAAATTGGGCTACGAGTTGGAGTACCTTGATGCTCCCATTAGGATCGAGAAGAAAGAGGACCTTCCTTTTCTGCTTGGAATCAATGAAAAGGAGGCAAACGAGAAGTGGGAGTACTTGGTGAAAAAGAACGTCAACAGGTGCTGGTTTGACTACCACGACGGCATTTACGACAGGTTCCAGGAAGCGTACGACTTCTTGATTGACCATATCAGGAAGAATGGACCTTATGACGGTATCGTGGGTTTCTCCCAGGGCGCCTCCATGGCTGCTATTATAGCCAATTCTATCCATCTTCATCCAGACTTGCCGCCGTTTAAAGTGGCGGTGCTTTTCTCGGGTTTTGCATTCACTGTTTCTGGTTCAGACGCCAAATCAGATAATGAACTGCTTGAGGAGTTTGCTGCTCGTCTGTGGGTGAATAAGGATTATGAAAAGTACTATCAGCTTCCAAAGAGCTCGGGAACGACGATTATCACCGTTTACGGCTCGGAAGATGGCGTGGTGCCGCCATTGAGGACCCAGTACTTGACTTCGTTGTATGGTGAGGGGGCCACGCTGTTTGAACATGACGGAGGGCACTATCTTCCGAATAAAAGGGAAATTTTGGATCCCATTGTAGAGAAGATCAGAGGCGCCGTGGAATTGAAGGCTTCTCTATAAGAAGATGGGATGTTTGTGGTTATGAGATTTGATATATGGATACTACCAGGGCACGATGCCTTGGATAGATAATAGATATGCTTAGACGATGACCTTTACACTCTTTTAGATTGTTATGACCGAAATAATCTACGTGCTCTAGACTTCATCATTGGTGTATTCTTTCCTAAGCAGTATTTGAGATCTGGCCAAGGGAAACTATAACATTAGCATAAGTCAAATTCAAGGTCAGGCCACCCCGTCTCAGAATCAATTCCCTTTCATGACTTCTTCCCTGTTTATGGCCTGGAGTGTTGGTGGTTTCTAAACAAGAAGTAGTAGGTGCGTGCATACTGGGCCGTGTTCATCAACACTTTCAGTACTACAACATCTACCGAATGGCCGAATCACCAAGCGCCAGCGCATCACAAGATACAGAACAAACACATGGTCGGTCTGAATATGAGCCCCAATCTCTGATAAATGACTCTTCTACCGCTCAAAACGACGAAGTGGTCGATGAGAACACCAATAAGCGTCAGATGGAGAGTGAAGAACCAGAAGCCAAACGTTCACACCAAGAAGAAACCCCAGATTATATTCAAAGTCTCTCTCGAAAAGAGGATCTGTCTACGCCAGGACCAGCGTCTTCCTCGGTATACAAGGACCCGAAGAAGGAGATTCCAGCATGGATGAAGAGTAAAGCACAGCGGTCTGAAGCGAACAAGTATGATAAGTACGGTGGAAGATCTGCAGCTGCAAGAGAGCAAACAGCAGCAGCTTCAAAGTACGATAAGTATGCAAAGTATGGTGCCAAAGACGATAGGTACCTGAAGTATGGTGCTAAACCAGAGAATACGGATTCCAGGGTCGTTCGCCGTGAAGAGCCTGAGCCTGAAAGGGATCCACGTAGAGGGCCCAGTGCTAGAGAGCCAATTGAGCCTCAAGGTGATGGGGAGCCTCCTGTGGCAGCATACACCAGTGTTCCATCGCTCGGTGGAGCTGGACAGAAGAGCGAATATAGACCGTTCCAGAGCAGTATCGCTCATAAGGAGAACAAGGACATCAACAGCATTGTGAGACAACATTATAATCAAAGAACGTTCCAGCTGCGAATGCAAGGCTCCAGAACTAGGTCGCCTATTTATAAGATGAGAAACTTCAACAATGCCATCAAGTACATGTTGCTTGGTAACCATGTCAAGCGCCTGCTGCCTGGAGCCCAGCTTGTGCTTCTAGATTTCTGTTGCGGTAAAGGAGGCGACTTGAACAAGTGTGAATTCGTCCACGTGGATCAGTATATTGGCGTGGACATTTCAGATGCATCGGTGAAGGAAGCGTATTCGAGATACTCTCAAAACAAGGCAAGGTTTATTCCTCAGAACCCACAAGCCAAGAGGTCCAGAGACTCTAAGAGATATAACTTTGAGGCTTGTTTCGCTACTGGAGATTTGTTCACCTACAGTCTACCCGAGATTCTTGAACCTAACTTCCCAGGTATCATGGACGGGTTGTTTCCCGTTGATTGTGTGAGTGTTCAATTTTCTTTTCATTATGCATGGGAGACGGAGTCCAAAGTGCGTACCGTCCTTACAAACATCACTCGGTCGTTACGGCCGGGAGGTACTTTCATCGGTACAATTCCATCATCTGACTTTATTAGGGAGAAGATTGTGAACAAGGAATTTTACGAGAAGAACACATTCGGTAACGATTTATACCATGTACGCTTCGAGAATGATCCCCCAGAGGATGGTGTGTTCCGAGAACCATTCGGTAACCGGTATGACTATTTCTTGAAAGACGCAGTGGACGATGTTCCTGAATATGTGGTGCCATTTGAGTACTTCAGATCGTTATGTGAAGACTTTGGGTTGATCTTGCGATACAAAAAGAACTTCACGGATATTTTCAACCAAGAAATCCCAAAGTACTTCAACAAACTCAACAAGAACTTAGTCGACGGCATGAAACGAGCCGATGGTAAGTATGGTGTGGAAGGCGCCGAGAAGGAAGCCGTGGCATTTTATGTTGGTTTCGTTTTTGAAAAGCTTGGAAACTAGCGGCCAAAGTATAGAATGATCCAGAATAGCAAAATAAAGAACAAAAGCGTAAGACGGCCCTTTGGCGTTGTTCCGAACCACACCCCATAACCCAATATCTTATCCGCAAGTCTTCTAACGAATAACTGCTTAATCTTATCAAGTGCTGTGCACTTCATGTATACCATAGTAGGACCACTCACCGTGTCTTCTTCTTCCGCCAACAGCATATCCTGTCTTACAGAGTGAGCAAGGTGCCTGTTGGGCACTGCGCTGGGTAAGACGATAAGGTTGCCATTATGGCCAATAATGCTTTCAGGTGGACTGTGCGGTATGGAAATGTGTAAAAAGACAGGACGATGATCAGACCTCAAGTAATTGTCAATGCTGTCGTAAGTGTGGATCTGAGGATACCCACTACGATAAGTGTTCTGGAATAAGATCCTATCACACCACAGCGGACACCTGCTGGTGTTATAAATGGCCGTACCTGGATGATACTTATAAGTAGGAGAGAAGGAAATGCAACCTTCCGTGAAACCTGTAAACACCTCGCCGGTGGCCTTACCCTGAGTAAGTTCGTCGTACTTCACCACAAGCTTTTCGATCTCCTCCTTCAGAAAACTCTGGTGGCTCTGATCGTGCAAACGAGAGAGCTCTGCCGTGGGTAGTTCAGCCTTTGGTTGTTTGCATGTTCTGAAGTTCAAATCACCCATAAAGAAAGCATGGCAGTTGGGTTTAACAAAACTGTACCCGTCGCCAAAGTCCAATGCCCGCATTATCGTCCATATGTTGTTCACCCGTCTTTGGTAGTATGCTTCACCCTCGTAGGCTCCCAAATGAGCATTCGTAAACGTCAACTCGGTGGTTCCCGATTCCTGATCCACATACTTGAGTCGTATACCCACGCCACCCTTGAGAGACGTACCGCCATTTCCACAGCTTGCACTCGCTGTCTTGCAATCCCTAAACCTCAGAGGAAACGGCGTAATAGCGAATATGCCAGTTGCTCCCACATGGCTAAATGCAATAGTCGTAAACCGTAAAGACCCTGGTCCCGTGCCATACTTCGACTTAAGTGCATCAAGCACAATTCTATTTGCCTCGATGAGATGCACATTTGCAGATTCACTAAAGCATCCGTCCATCACAGTACAGAACTCCTGGAACCCAAACACATACAACTGGCATGCCTCGTCAGGTAGCGAAGGCACCAAGTTTGTGATATAATCAGCAGCGTTCAAAGGATGCTTGGCCACGTTGAAAGTGGTAAGGAAAAGGGGAATTTCGTCCAGCCCCATGTTTGGTCAATTGAGTATGGGGTATTGGTGATTCTGGAGAATGGAGAATGGAGAAACCTGGAGTATGATGCTCGGCCCTGCAGTACTCCGATAAGCCTGAGCCACTGGGGTGCACTTTGGGGGAGTACAACGAAGGGAATTGAAGGAAAGGGGTCGCTTTTGGATTTATAGATATTTCAAGGAGAAAATATCACTTTCTTTTTTAAGTTTTAGAGGGTGGAGTGGAGAGAATTGGAGGTGTTGAATAAGTGTGGTGTACGGGTCTTTCACTTGATATATACCGATGCATAGCTCTTCTCTGCTCGTACCTGCTCCACAGTATGTCACTAATAGAAGCCCAGCGGCAACTTCTAGAAGAAAATGATGCATTGGAAGTCTCTGTGGCTCGAAGGTTTCGTAAGAACCCGGTCTTGGCCCTGAAGTGCTCAGTGGACCAGTCCCATCAGCTATCCACCAAGAAGAAGCGTTCTCATAAGGAGATGCTACTACTGGAACACGAACTTAAGTTCTTTGAAGATACATATAAACAGAATAATAGCCGTCTTCGAGAACAGCTCAAGTCGAAAAGCGACCTACTAAAGGATATCCAGGCGTTCAAGGACCCAGATATGAAGTTCTACCTGTTCCTCGATGCCATGAAAGACCTCAACGACAAAAGACCCGATAAGCTTGAGTCCGCTAAGAATGCTCTTGCGTTTACGCTACCGTACCTGAGTGTCCCGGCTGACGAGAAAAGACCAGATTCGAATAAGGTCAAGAGGAAACAACTTCTTTCCAGTATGGGAGCTCATCTTGGCCAGCAGCTTGGACTAGTGCTTAATGATGTGGAGCTGTTTGGCCAGTATCTCGACATGTCGTATTTTTTTGACCAGTATAAGCTTTTGGTGCCTTCGAAGGATACGTATGTGGATTACCTTAGGAAGTTTGCCGACTTTCCGTATAAGACTAGTTCGTCTGACGAGTATAAGCGGTACTTGGCGCAGCTACATAAGTACTTGTTGAAGTTTTATGAGGAAACTCATCCACTTGAGGATATGCTGGAGTTGCTCAAAGACTCTGAAAGCAGAGAAACCGTGGAGGAAGGTAAACCGAACGATAAAGGTGAAGTCTACTGTAAAGCATGCGATAAGCTCTTCACCAAGGAATCCGTCTACAAGGGCCATTTGGCCGGGAAAAAGCATATCAAGAACGAAAAGGCGCTTAATGGTGACAAGGGTTCTACGAAAAAAGACACGGGTGCGTCGTTGGAAAGAGATGTATCCAAACTAGCTGCTCTGCTCAAACCTACAGTTGACGCAACCATAGACCACATTGAAAGACGAGCAGCAGCCTCGGAGCGTGAACGCATGATAGAAGACAAGGCACTTGCAGAAGAAGAATCCGAATTCACAGCCACAGATACAGATACCAGTGACAAGTCAGACAGCGAAGATGACGAGGATGATGATCTACTTTCCAAGCATCTTCCTCTTGGTACAGACGGCACGCCTATTCCTCTTTGGCTCTATAAACTCCAAGGACTCCATCGCAGCTATAATTGTGAGATCTGTGGTAACGTCAAGTACAAAGGCCGTCAGCAGTACGATAAGCATTTCCAGCTGTCCAAGCATATCTATGGACTCCAGTGTCTTGGAGTGGATGACGATGCGATGGTGAGCTTTGCGGGTATTTCCAGCATAGATGAAGCCAACGAGCTCTGGCAGAGTCTTAAAAAGGCCAAGAGGAACACAGAACAAACGATAGAAAACGCCATTGAGGTGGAAGACGAAGAAGGTAATGTGATGCCAGAAAAAGACTACCTTGAGCTCAAAAAGCAAGGTCTTCTCTGACAGCGAGGACGTCCCTTAGCCATCAGCACAATCAAAGTCAACCTCGGTATATATCCACGTATAAATGTATTATAGACCACCTCTTCCCTCTGGAGTATGTGCATTTTGCACCCAGTGCGAAAAATACTCTTCTCCATCTTCTCTGGATGAAGCTTACCCCCAGACTCACTCAACAACTCCTACGAATGACCGAGTCGGGCCAAAAAAGAGCTTCCTCGCCCTCTGGCGCCCCACCACTGCCCGTTTCCAAAACGAGACCTCCCCGTGGCGCCAAAAAGCAAAGAGACGACCATGGCTTCAAGATGAAGCAGCAGGCCATAGATAAGGACGTGCTTTCGTCTGAAGCACAGCCTGGGAAGACGATTTTCGAGGAGGAAACCGAAGGTGCTTCTTATATCATTGAAGGTCCGCTTCGAAGAACAACGCCCTACTACTTCACCTACTTGACGTATTGCAAGCAGAGATGGAGAGACAGGAAGATCTTGGATGTGTTCCTAGACGAGTTTCGGGAGAAGGACGGGGACATTTACCGGAAAGCCATTGCTTCTGGACAAGTTACAATCAACAAGAAACCCACGACGTTGGACTCGGTGGTGAAGAATGGTGACCTTATATCGCATCGGTGTCACCGCCACGAACCGGCTGTTTCGCTGAGACCGATAAAAATTGTGTTTGAGGATGATAATGTCATTGCTATAGATAAGCCTTCGGGGATTCCCGTGCATCCAACGGGACGGTACCGTTACAACACCATCACCAAAATCTTCCAGCATGAGTATGGCAAAACCGTACATCCCTGTAACAGACTAGACAGATTAACACTGGGGCTCATGTTTTTGGGGAAGAACGCCAAGGGCGCTGATTTTTTTGTCAAGCAGATTAGGGAAAGAAACGTCAGAAAGGAGTACATTGCCAGGGTTAAGGGCAGGTTTCCAGTGGAGCCTGTGCTGGTGGACCAGCCTCTTTATACTGCTTCTCCCAAACACGCATTGAACGTGGTGGACCACGAAAACGGCAAACCAGCAGTGACTGAGTTTAAGAGGGTATCGTATGATCCAGCTTCGAACACGTCTATTGTCAAGTGCCATCCTTTGACAGGAAGAACTCACCAGATCAGGGTACATCTCCAGTATATAGGGCATCCCATTGCCAATGACCCGATCTATTCAAGTGGGTATGTTTGGGGTAGTGATGACTTGGGCAAGGGCAATGAAGGATGTCCAGAAGAGGTGGTTGCAAGGTTGGACAAGATAGGAAAGGAGAAAGCGTGCTCTACATGGTTTCATCCCAGGAAGATGGTGAAATTCTATCAAAGGATCAGTGCTCCGAGTGTGAAATGCCTCTTCACACCGACCCGGGGCCAAACGATTTGGATCTTTGGCTCCATGCTTATAAATATGAGGCGTCCGACAAGCTGTGGTCTTACACGGCCGACTACCCTGACTGGGCTATCAATCCCCACCGCAAGTTCATGGAACTTGCCATTGAGCAAGCAAAGAAATGCGGCGAGACACAGACACAGTTCAATGTTGGAGCCGTTTTGGTGTTAGACGGGGAGGTTCTTGCAACAGGTCACTCTAGAGAGTTACCTGGTAACACCCATGCTGAGCAGTGTGCGTTGGAGAAGTACTTCAAAGAAAACAACACAACAGATGTGCCTAAGGGCACTGAGTTATTCACCACCATGGAGCCCTGCTCCTTTAGGTTGAGTGGTAACTTGCCCTGCGTGGACAGAATATTAGCAACCAGTATCAAGACATGTTTTGTCGGCATCCTTGAACCTGATACGTTTGTCCAGAACAACACTGGCAAAGCCAAGTTAACCGAAGCTGAGGTGGAGTACATTCATATCCCTGGCTACGAGGACGAGTGCCTCGAAATCGCAAAGTTGGGACACGACAAGAAAGTTTAGTCATCTTCATCTAGCTCCAAAACAACATCACGAGTTGAATACACGAACACGTCACGACGATTACGTCCGTTTTGCTCTGTTTCTGGCGCAAATGAAACGCTTCTGTCTTCTGGAGGATTACTTCTCGTATTGGCAACTCTCTCTTGGCTTGACTCGGAATTTGGCATAGTTGCTCTCTCTCTGGACCTTCTTCTTTCACTGGTGTGTCTCTGAAGTTGTGACAACGGTGCTTCGGCCAGTCTTTCAAGAGGCTGATGCTGAACAGGCCCAAAACTACTGCCAACACTGACCGAACGAGGAACAGCCAAACCAGTAGCAATAATCTTGTCTGTGATATCAAGGAACTTGTTCTTTGCAAGGTTCATGCCATTAGTGAATCTGAAGAATCTAGATTGGGTCGGCTGCTCCAAACTCAGGCTTTGTTCTCTAGTCACTGCTTTAGTTATCGTGTTACTTGAACTGGTCTGGCTGTGAAGAGGTGCTGATGGGCCGCTTTCATCGCCATCAGAATCGTCATCATGGAATGATGATCTGCGAGGTGTCTCGGGCGCTTCTTCTTCAACAAAAAACTCAAACCTATCAAGTTCATAGAGCTCGTCTTCATAAAAACGGCGCCCCAAAACACCTTCTTTCTCCATCATCTTCCGTATCACGTTATATTTGTTACACCATTCCCAAGGAATGACCACACAGATGACATAAGTGACCACCGAAAAGATTTCAGAAAGGGCATACACCCATGCGTTAGACACATCGGCAATAAAGAAGGCCACTGGAGCGTAAATAAACACTAAAGTGAGGAGCGAAATAAGCCAAATGTGTCTATTCGCAATGATCTGCTTTATCTTTATAAGTAAGAATGCTGTAAAGATAGCAGCATAGCACATACCCATGGCAATACGGATAAGGTAAGTCAACGCTGGGATGATTTTACCTGCTTCAGCATCCTCATGGAAGTTGTGGAACTTGGTAACGCCCCAAAGCGTCTGGGATACAATGGCAGCAGCAGTACCCACGTAAAAGATCAGACGCTTATCGCTCTGTCTTGAAAAAAGTCTCATCACCACTTGAACCTGCAATATGAGAAGAGAAAGAACGACTATCAAGTCGATGATGCTAAGGTATAATGTATCGTTCACAGCCAGAAGCACAGCTTCGCCGTGCAAAAAGCCCTGCCGCTGCTGGTTATGCAAAACAATAATCGACTTGATCACAGTTATTAGCATGTAAACAGATGAAAGTATCGTCAGCAGCTGTAGTAGAAAAGAAGGTTTGATGGTATAGTTTGTAAGGACAAAGATCGTGAAGAACCAGGTAATCACCGCCGATATAGCGATCGAGTACACTATCGGCACCACGCTATAAACGAATACACCGTTATTAGGCGGCGAAGTGAACTCCTCCCACAGCTTCCGCACAAGCGGTAGGGACTCCGAAAACGTATTAAGCACCAAGTTCACGTTCGAGTTAAGCATAGGCGTCGTGCCCTGGTAACACTTTTGCTGGAACACAGCTTGCCGTATATACCTCACGGGGCTGCTGAAGTCATGGGATATTATGAGTCCTTCACCTAGATCTATCGGTAGACACAGCTCATAGATTTTGCGGGATCCGCTGCTTCTCCAAAACATGAGTGGGTGGATTCTGGATGGGACAAATGCGGATAACCAGGGGTTTAAGTATTATTAGGGTTGGTTTGGAACGTCTAAGACGGTACTTCTGGAGATCAAAAGGGGATATAAAAAGAGTTGATAGTTGGTCTTGGCAAGATGGTGATGTAGTAGGCGAGGCCTGATATATGAGATCCGTACCTCCCCACAGTTACCCCAGACCCCAGTAACAGAAGTGGGAGAAGAGTAGAAGGAAGGGAAGGAAGGGATTGTTTAAGTATGTGGGATGCTTCCTGGCAGTCGGTAGTGTCCATTTGAAAAGTTTCAGCGTGATTGGGTTGGTGTGGGAAGTGTGACTGGATATGTATCTATTCCAGGAAGACTACACTGGAGAGTCATATCCAGGGTTTTATATTCAGTAGAGAGGGCTCGTTCTGTGTTTTTTATTAATAGTCCTCTTTGTTCATAGACGTTCGTAGGCCGTAAGGTACTTGGAAGGAAAGATGTTTAGCTCCTTCTTAATGTCCCTCCAGGTGAACATCCAGTAAACCTAAAAGTACCAGCCTTAATCCTGGGAAAGTAGCTTCTGCTTCAAGGGCCGCAAGGCACTTCAGACACAGTTTCTTATCGGCACTGCTGGCAGTGTACCGGCACTTATAGCTCTAACCATTGGCCATTTCTTCCCGTTTGGCTTTCTGCTCAGCAAGCGTTTGTTTCCAACGTCCTGGAGGGCCTAGGAGAACCAAAAGTAGACAGCCAAAGGCCAAGACAAAGCACACACACAAGGCTGAAATCTTAATGCTATCTTCAAGAGACGAATTGGAAATATAGGACCAAAGAAGCTGGAGAAATACCAACGCTATCGTCAGCCCTATATACAACCAGTAGTTCTTGAAACTCGCTTTTTCCACTAGGGCTAGCTCAGGAGCTTTTGTGAATACCATGAAAATTAACAAAACGCCGTAGGTGGCGAGAATATTCACTTTCCAGGCTAGAGGTATCCATACGGTCATTGCAGCACCTAAGACCATCTGTAAACCGAGCATACACACGTCAGTCACGCTCAAACTTCTATTTTTTAGGCTTGCAAAGCGATGTAGAACCGGATTTACAAGTCTTTCTCCAACAAAATATAGTATAATTTCAGCACCCCCAGCCACATCATTCGGGACAAACTTCCCAATGATAAGAATAAACATAACTGAAACATAAGCATCAAGATAGTATTGCCCCACCATATCATTTCGTATGAGAATAGACGATACTTTAAGTGCAAACATCACTTCTATCATGATGAAATATGGCAAGAAGGTTGGTTCTTTCGACAGTTCCCACGGTGACTTGAATATGCCCAGCACCGTCGCCAAGTCGAGAATGAACTGCGACGAAACCAACATCGCCTGGAACCTGAATTGGTTAAACGGCTGTACCGGCTCGTCCAGCTTTGCCTTTTCGATATCTGCCATGGAAAACAACGAAAGGTACGAATTGACGCTTTTTTTTTTTTTCAGTTTCAGAGCCGCGTGGTTGACAGGCCATGCATTACCCCCACAGGACAGACCTAAGGAGTAGGAGTAGAAATGTATTGGAAGAAGTGTTGGGTAGGATTTATTGAGTGAATGGTTTTTGGAGAATATGAATTCATGTCTTTTTTGTATTTGTGATGGGAACTCGAGTGATGGGTATTGGCTTGGTAAGTCGCTTAGGCCCCATGACGTCATGGAAGGATGCCACTACTACTTGCAATAACTGTGTGCTATGGTAAGAAAATCGAGGTAGAGTTTAGTGGATAGCAGAATATGTTCGTGGTAGAGTATATGGTACTTGTTTTCGTTGGCTTGCGTAGGTTGTTGACCTTTGGAGTGTTGGTATTAACATGGGGGGCAGTATCACGAAATGGACTACATCAGCACTTTCCTGTGAAATGATTACCAAAAGAGGGAATAGTTTCTGTCTGCTTGTCTTTGGTAGAAGCATTTTCATAGCCAGATATTCTGCTGAACTGGCCGTGGCAGCATAAACTAATGCTTTACGTGTGAAGGTTTGTAGAACGCTCTGGATACTATATTCATACGAAATGCCGTTTTTTACGAGCCCAAATTGGACATTCGAGCAGAAGTATCGAAATAAAGAAATGATCAAAAGCTACAGCTTCTGTAGGGTTATCAAGGCTTAAATTAGCGTCAAAGGAGCACAACTTATCATAGAGAGCAACAAAGTACTTCTCGCTGAGAGACATTTCAGAAAAAGCTATTGTCACGTCTCATCCCTGTAAGCCTTTGGATCTCGACCGTGACCCCAATGCTGAGGCTTCTGATACCCTGGAACTACTCTTCTTATAGAATGGCTTCGAAATGGCTGCAAACGCGGCTTAGATGGAATTGATAGAAGCATAAGTGAAATGTATTGGCAGGTTCAACAACCCTTACGTACCAGGAATACTCTATTCATGTTACTTAGCACCCTAAAAGATAACCTTCCAGCTTTGGCCAAGTTCGGACCATTTTTGCACCATTTACACTTACCACTCTGCCCCATACTTAAGCACTACTATAGCCAGTAACCATCCAACAACGACAATCCACTGTCTATATTTCACCTTAATCCTATTCACCATCTCTGAGCCTTCTCTACACCATAAAACCTTTCCCTACTCTCCTCCGTTCACATTCTTTCCACTAACTACCCCAATTCACATACCAGCTAACCAGCTAACCAGCCAACCAGCCAACCAGCCACTACCAAACCCTTTCCACCAAATCCACCAACTCCACCAAACCTCAAACCTCCAATTCCCAAGCTGATCATTTTCCTCCATCTCCAAACCTCTTTTGCCGTCCCTTCATGGGAATCGCTTGCTCCAGCAAACTCACACAAAGCACTTCAGCCGCGCCAGATCTGGAGCACAGCCAGAGCAATGCCAGTACGTCCACCAACGAAATCCCCCTATTTCCAAGCTTCTCTTTGACTAAATAAGCTTTTTAGCTTGTGCTTTGAAAGAATATGTAGTTTTTTCCAACCTTTCAGTGCCTTGACCGGCCCACCGGTGTCCCAGCCTGGAATGGGTGCAAAACCTCAAACCTCAGACCTTCAACCGTCACTTCCTCCAGCCAAACACGAAGTGTACCAGAAATTGCCCCAAAAAAAGCCTGGATTCCAAATCCTCCCATTCTCTCTTCACCCCCTTCCCATTCCATCCACCCTGCCCCTGCACGGCGTGTAAAACAAACTACGCTGCTGTTCATTCCTCTCTCTTTCCTTCGTCTCCCACCTACACATAACCTTCTCAGATCTTGATACTCTGAGCCTTTCTTGATCCCACCAAGTCCCTACCTTTTGGCTTCTTGCCTTTGGCTTTCCCTGTTTGCATATCTTTTATTTCTGATAATGGCCTCCATAGATGCTGCCAAAGACTATGGCCTGGACCATATGCCTTCGCCGCTTCCACGGAGCGAGACTGATGTGTCTCATAATTATTCATTGCTAGATTACTATGGCATGGACGGTTTCGATGTTCACGACCAGGGCAGCGAGACGTCGTACGTGAAGGTGTCGAAAGACGTTCCGTTGTCGAAAAACGAAGGCGACGGTGCTATTTTCCCTCCTCCCGTGGAGGTCACTGGCTCTGAGGAACCGCCTGCTCTACAACCTCCCACAGACTCCAAGCAAGCCAGCCTGGCGCTTTTATCGTATAAACCTGTGGTGCTGGAGATAGACAAGAAGAGCATTTTGCATAGCGACTACGACATGTACGGTTTCAAGAAGGACCTGTCGTTCTTTGACTCGTCCAAGAAGCAATATAACGAGTGGTTTGGCGAGTATGCCGATCAGCTCGTTCAGCAGAAGAAGAAGTGGAAGGTTCTACTTAAGAATAACGGGTTGGGCTACTCCACGGGCCTTCCTAGCCGTTTTCCTCCTAAAAGTGATAAAGCAAAGAAACTAGTGAGGAAAGGTATCCCTCCGGAATGGAGAGGTGAGGCTTGGTTCTTTTATGCTGGTGGCCTCGAACGTCTTCATAAGAATGTAGGCGTTTACGAGAAAATTGTTGCCGATACGGATGGAGTCACTAATAAAGATACAGAGGTGATTGAGAGAGACCTCAATCGAACCTTCCCAGATAACATCCACTTTAATTCGCTGATCTTGCTGGACGAAAAGATAGAAACGGAGAAGATCAAATCGCTTAGAAGGGTTTTAGTTGCATTCGCTCATTACCAGCCACAAATCGGCTACTGTCAATCCTTAAACTTTCTTGCTGGGCTTTTGCTTTTGTTCATGAACGAGGAGCGCTCCTTTTGGATGCTTGTCATTATGACAGAACGGATCCTTCCCAAAGTGCATTCTGCCAACCTTGAAGGTGTTCATACCGATCAGGGCGTGTTGATGCTCTGCGTCAAGGAATATATACCCAGACTATGGCAGATCATCGGCAAAAACTTTGAAGGAGCGGTTCTTTCAGATGATAAGATCCTCACTCGTTTACCGCCCGTCACTTTGGTTACCCTGTCATGGTTCATGTCGGTGTTTATCGGCGTGTTGCCTATTGAATCTGTGCTTAGAATATGGGATATTCTCTGGTACGAGGGTTCCAAAACCATCTTTCGGATATCCCTCACTATCTTCCGTCTTTGCTTGGATCATCCACAATTCCTGAACGAAGAAAAGAAGCAATCTGATTCTTCAGAGCTGGAACAAATAGAGCTCTTCCAGTTCATGCAAAGTTTCCCCAAGTCCATCACCGATCCGAACCTACTTGTTGATAAATGTTTCAAGAAAATTGGAGGCTACGGTTTTGGCTTCCTTTCGCAAGACGAAATCAACAAGTGCCGTGAGTTCGTAGCTCAGCAAAGAAGCAAGCTCCGTAATAAGGCGTTGGTAACCGCCGAAATGAGCGATATGGAGAGGGAAGCATTAAAGATCCCGGAAACGCCCGAAATCCACGACGTCTACGGGTTCCACAAATCTGTCATGAACGGAGTAGCATGGAATAAGCATCTCAGCAGCAAAATGAAGAGCAAATTCCGGAAACACAAGCCATAGAGTCGTTGGTTGCAAAATTCATCCGAACCAGAGTCACGTGCCGCCTGTCGAAACTTTGCGGGATCTCCAGCATCATAGAAATCCATCCTTCACCACCAACTCATGCAATACAAATACCTCATATCACGGGTGGCTGACCCTGTGCTAGCCATTGGTGTGGGTGTGGCGGCTTACTACGTCCATGAAAGACGTGTAGGTCGGCCGGAAGGACACTCCCTCAATGAGCTTTTGGCCAAGTGGTGGAAAAGTTAGAAAACCACCACCACCAACAACCCCCAATCCTACGACTCTTAACGCGAGCTTGATGACAGATAGCATACTATATATTCTACAAAAAATGAACTAGCATGATGACGATCAGACCAAAGTCTTAAATTGGGCCACGGCCTTCTGGGCTCTCTCGGAGCCAATGTCGAGGGCCAAGAACAGGCCGATTTTCGCCCATGTAGCTTCTGTAACCACTGGCTCAAGCACTGCCTCGTCTGGGTCTTCTGTAGCGCTTGGCGTGGCAGCTGGGCTGGCCTTCTCTGGAGATGCAGTGGGTGGTGACACCATGACAGTAATGGCAAGTTCCTCGTTTGCCTTGGCCACAGACCCAATCTGCGTCGAATCCGTAAGCACCTTTGCCTTAAGCATCAACTTCAAGTTGCTGGCGGTCGCTCCAGCCTCTTTAAGCGTAGCCACCGTCTCCACAAGTTCATTCTTGATATTGAACACCGTCAGTTCAAGCGGCACGTCAAGCGAAGCAGCAAACTTAAATGGCGGCTTGATACTCTTAAAATTAAGCTTTGTAGTCTCCCCAGCTGTCGTCTTAGCCAACTTGGGGAACCCAGCAGGTACCTGGGGTAGCGAAGGCCCCAACGACGTCAATTTATGGTAATCGTCCGTGGAGTAGAAAGTCTCAGGAGCAGCGTCCGTCAGCAACCTTATAAGCTGGGAGTATGTGGTGAAGAATTGTTTATCGTCAGCCGTTGTGGACATGGTGGGTGGAGATGGAATGGCTGGTTGGATCTATATGGTGTTGATAAATGGTGATTTAGAATTGAGTGCGACTTGGTGGAGGACCAGGTAGGGAGGCCAAGAAGGGAGGAAATGTAGAGGTGGGCCAGTGAAGAGGAGGGGGGAGATGAAGGTTGGTTTGAACGGGATTTATGGTGGCTTTTTTTTTGGCTTAAGTGGTTTTGGATTTTGGGGATTTTGGGGAGTTTTGGGTGGTTTGGTGGTGGATGGGATTGGCTGCGAAAAGATGGAAGGTGAAGAGCTGGAGGAGGTGGTAGCTGGGAGTACAGAGTGGAGGATTTTGGAATTGGACAAAAGGGTTACTTTTGAGTTTTTGGCAGGCATAAGAATGAAAATTTGAGGTTGCAGTTGGACGGCTATGAAGGAGGAACTATACGGTTGATGCTGGCCATGTCAGGTGCTTCCTATTATAAGGAAGTACAGTTAAGCCATGTTGTACTTTAAAGAGAACTGACAAGTCGCTCTTCTTTTTTCTTTTCTGTATATTTCTAGATCTACTTTCAACTGCTCAACTTCTAAATTTCAGGTCTTCAGTGATCTACTTATAGTTGTAAGGGTCTGTTGTATTGTCAGTTATTGGTAAGTGCTACGACAACCACAACTTACATAAATCGAAAAAGAGACGTCAGTAACTCTCAATTTTCTTCGACTTCTAAATAATATTTTTTGTTTGTTTGTCTCTCTATGGGATATCGTGCACGTTGAAAGTCTACTTGGAGTGCTAGTGTAGCCAGTTACATCCACCCTACGATGAAATATCATAAAAAACCCTTTTCAACAAAATCTGAGTTTATCTCTCATTCACATTTTCAGTTTCGTGCCTCAAAACCCTCAATTGATATCTTTGTATTCTTAAGAGCATACCTTGTTTGCATCTTTGGAAGTAGAGAGGACAGTGCTCAGTGCACCGATAGACCAACAGCCAGTGCCAGCTTCTCCCGCCTTCTGGAAGCCCTCTCCAATCAAATTTCAACAAATTTACATAAAAAGATCTCCTGCTTTCAATTTCTTCATTTTCATGTTTTTCCATAAAATTCTTTTCTCCATTACCCCAAATCACCTCCCTTTTTCTCCAACTATCCCACATTCTTACACATTCTCTCCAATTCGCAGCCATTCTTTGATCCACACTAAAACTGTAAACACCACCAACACAAACAAAAAAAAAAAACAAACACAACAACAAAGAAAACAAACTCCTTACCGCCTTCACTTTCCCAATCCCCTTCCTTATTCCTCTTTTTCCTCTGGGGGTGTCATTTTCTTGGAACTGTTTTCTTCCATATTCTGCCACGTGACTTCTCCCCCACTAAATCTCGGGACCACTTGGGATTTATCCATAACCATGAGCTTCTTCAAGTCTTTCAAAAACAAATACTCAAGCCTTTCCCAGGATGACGGGGCACCTTTGCCTCCTCCTGCTACGGAACCTCAACAGAACAATTTCCGTACAAAGTTGCAAAAACTCAATCCCTTCCGTTCCCAAAACGTATACCTAGAAGATGACGAGAACTATGTGACCTCCGAGCCAGGATACCTAGAATTGCTGAGATGGGATAGAATGCTCTTGTTTGCATTGACCTTTGGTGGTTCTATTGCCTGCTGGCTTATATGTATCTTTTTGTTCCCGGTGCTTTCACTTAAGCCCAGGAAGTTTGCTGTGCTTTGGTCGTTGGGATCTATCTTCTTCCTTGTCAGTTTCGGGGTCTTGCAAGGGTTCCAGGCCTACATTCTTCACTTGTGTTCGTCTACTCGAATCTTGTTTAGTATAACCTTCATCACATCCATCGTGTTGACGTTGGTGTCGAGTTTGTCGTTGAGGTCGACTCTCCTTTCTATAATCTTTGCAGTCATCCAGTTGATCGCTGCGCTTTGGTACACAGTGAGTTACTTCCCCATGGGCCGCCAGACATTAAATTTGGCTTCAACGGTTGCTAGAGGCCAGGTCGAGTCCTGGGTCAACACTTAAGCCTTCTTAGTTAGATGGGAAAGCGCTCTCAAGACCTTTCTGCACCACTTTGACAATTGCTGCGTTGGCACTGGTATCGTTAGCCAAAGCTTCCTGGAGCACCTTCTTTCTTTGCTCCACCTTTGGTGCTTTAGGAGATGCAAGCTTTGCCAAGTTCTTGAGCGCTTGCAATGCAAGCACGTACTTGGCGTCCTCAATATGTAAATCAAAGGCAAGCTCCCATGTACATCTGTAGCCGTCGGCTTCCGATGTCAATTGAGTCACATACTTCTCCATATCTTTGAATAAATGATCACTGGTCTTGAGGTCTTGTAGCAACTTGGCACCCAATGGATCGGCATCATCTTTTTCAGATTCAACCTTTGCAATCATCTCGCTCTTCTTCTTGACATTCAAAGGTTTTGATTTCTTAGCCTTTTTGTTCTTTGAAGACTTGACGTCGCCGTTTTGCAAGTCAGTCTTAGACTCGTTATAGATCTCCCAGTACAACTTGAAAAGACCTCTCATGGCACGCACATAAATAGGAGTGGAGTGAAGCTTGTCCTCCCATTTCAACGTGTCCACATAATCACGAGGAGTACCTCTTCTCATACAATAAGAGTGGAAGTCAAACTGGTCAGAGTTGAAAGTTTTGAATACCTTGACAATGGCCAAGAAACGCTTCAAGGCCAAACCTCTGTAAATATCAGCCAGATCCACCAACTCAGCAACTTCAGAATGAGGAGTGTCCTCAGCCAATGCTTTAATTTCAGAGAGTTTTTGCTCGTATAATCTCTGGTATGCCTCTGCACTCTCAACCAACACCCAGTTTGCTTGCATGGTGTGCAAGTCTTTAAGACCATTAACAGCGGTCTCGTCTAGCTTGGTAAACAAGGACACCACCTCAATTGCCTTATCCACATGGTTAGCTCTGAGAAGGTATTTGGCAGCCTTGGAGTTGACAAATCTATCTTGCAAGTCTAACAGACGGCCTTCTTCCATGATATCCTTTGCTTCTTCCAACTTACCCAAGTGTTTCGTGACTCTGGCCTTGAGAATATACAATTCGACGAGGGTAGGGCTGTGGTCTAAGGCACGCTGGACGTGGTCCATAGCTAAGTCCAAGTTGCCCAAGTATAAGTAATGCTGGGACAAGAAGTATGACACCCACACGAACACGGTTGGGTTCAATTTCGATACTTCGTTAGCGAGGAATTCTTCCACAATCTTTTGAATAACGGCGATCTTCTTCTTATTTCTGTAAAGTGGCTTGACATTCACAAATGTAGCTGGCACGCCACGCTTCAATTGGCTGGTGATATAAGAAGTGGCTCTCTTTTCGAACTCAGGATGAGCAGCCGGCAAGAAAGTCAAGGGCAAGTACTGAGCAGGGTCAGAGCGAGGGTAAAACTTGGCCAACTTATCGTAAAGAGCCAATCTGGTCTCCACTGGGCCTCCAACGGTACCCAAACAAGTCTCCAAGAGGTTATAGTAGCCCACATCGTCAGGGTTTCTCTGCAATAACTGACGGTAAATCACAGAAGCCTCTTTCTGTTGACCCAAAAGCATAAGGTACTTGGCTTTGTACTCCATGTACGAAGTCATATCTCTGATCTCAGCCTTATCGTTTTCCAAGTCCTCCAAAGCTCTAGCGTAGTTTCCAGCCTCAGCGATAACGTTGCTTTTATACAAAACACACTCATTCTGTTCATAACGATCCTGTTCTTGCAAGTGATCCTTGATGATGTTCTCGATCTTAGCCAAAGTACTAACACAAGCGTCGTAGTCCTTATCCAAGTGGTGGGCCACAGCGACCGCAGTCCAATTGGCTCTGTAGCCCGGCTGGGACTCCAAAAACCTCTGTCTAGAATCCTTCAAGTTCTTGAAATCCCTAACCTGAGATTGAAGAAGCGACAAGTCCCTCAAGAGCAAAGTATTAGGCAGACCGTTATCCACGGCAGCCTTGAACCATTTTGCAGCCTCCGGGTAATTGTCAATGCTTCTATAGTAAATACCCGCAAGATGATCAACCAAGTAGTTGCCCAGATCCTTCAGCGTGGCCTTGATGATATAAGGCTCAGCTTCACTCTTATGGCCCAAGTAGAAGTTGCAACAGCCCTTCAACGCCAAAGACTCAGCATGGCTGGAGTTTTTCTTAAGGTTCTGGTCCACAAGCTTCAAAGCCTTTTTATACTGTTTACTCTCGTAGAGCTTCAACGCCTCACGTGCGTTGGCATCCTCCTTGTTGGCGAAGATGGGCTTTCTAAGAACCATTAGTGGGAGATTGGAGTGGAAGTGGTGGAAATTTTATCTCGAGAGAGGTATTAGTGTGCACGACCGGGAGCCCAAGGCAGTCAGTTGATCCAAGGCAGAGTGGCCGGGGAGACTGGAAATGAGGTGAAAGTAGGAAAATGGGGAACCTGAAGATGGAAGTTTTTGGATCTGGTTTTGAGTTTTTAGGGTTTTTAGGTGTGTTGGATTTGGCTTGGGGTGTTTGGACAAGTGCACTGAGTGGTACAGGCTCACCACCAGTAGACTGTGATTTCTGGGGTCCAGGAGGTTTTAAGATTGGCTTTAGAGTAGGAATTCATGGTTGTAAGAGGTTTGGAGTTTGGAAAAGTGATGGAAAAGTGATCTCTAGGAGATTTGGGGATTTTGGTATATGTCTGGAAGTGGCAGTGGGATGGACATACACTTGGTGGTTCTATGCTAATGTTCCTCTTGAGATAATCGTCATACGAAAAGCTTTCCATGAATTGTTTCTAGCACTGGAAATTACACGAATAGAACACTTAGTACTGACTATCACACCAGGTTAGGTCATTTAGAGGCTTCAGCTGTCACAGGTTGTTCTCACTATATAATATCTAGAACGACCAATGACGTTCCATAAACTACCAGAATACCCAGAAACGAACGAATTGCACTCTCCCGAATTGCGTCTTCATCGTATAGCAGTACATTTCCCAAACGCCCTTCACTTCCACATTACTTCTTCATTCCCAACTTCCACTTTTCGCAGCCATTCTTCTGACACTTCCCATCCAAGCCACTGACGTCTCGCTTACGTCTGTCCATTTAAGCTTCCTGGCACTGTAGATCTTCAACCGAGACACTTCCTGGCTGACAACTTCACTCTCTCCAACCATTACTTCCAGAATTACTACTTTTACTATCCTAGCTCACTCACTCCATATACTCCAGCCTATGCCTCTCCAGTCCACATTTCCAGTCCACCTCTCCAATCCACCACTTTAAAAGGGTCCAAATTCACTTTCAATCCACATAAATAACCCTTTCTACGTACCCTTTTCTTGCTCAGCCTTATACTTTCTCTACAACGCCGTATCTACTTCATGCACTGTCACTGCTTCAGCACTGCCTTTTCCATATACAGAAGTATACGAGATGCCTTCCGGTAGTAACCTGCAAATGTCAAAAAATTTCACAAAAATATCTTCACCACGTTTACATTAACCCAGGAACCTGGTTCCAAGAAATTCCGTTAGCGTATCCTATTCCGTTGAATCCCAACACTGTATAGTAGAGTGTGTCTACGCTTGGCAGACTGTTAGATGTTCAGAGGAAGACTAAAGAAATGATAAAAAGTGGTAGAAAAAAAGACCAAACAACAAAAGAAGGATAAATAATACTACCCAGTCAAAAATCTCCTTCTATAAATATCCTTTCTTTGTCTTCCTCTTGTCCTCATCACCAAATTCCATCGTTTCGCAGCCATTTAAGCGAGCTGCTTCAACGCATGGCACGAGATCGATATACAGAAACGCATAGCCATCGCCTTCGCTTGCGATACGATTTGTTATATAGAGCATAAAAAACCACCGGTTTCTGATCAAAAAGATAAAAACACCCCTATATATCCCGGAAACCTTCCATAGTTGGTCCATTTTGCAACCGCGCCCTGTGCACACCAGTATCAACCTCTTCCAACCACCTTCTTTACCAGATATATCCATCTCCACCCCATGCCTGACGATAGGAAACGGATTCGTGTGGCCTGTGACGCGTGCCGCCGGAAGAAGATCAAATGTGACGGGAAAGTGCCTTGTTCCCATTGCAAGTCAGCCAATGAACAGGTGTGTCACTATGCTGAAAGACAACCCAAGAAACAGCGGAACCTAGGGGCTAGGGACTCGAAATTGCTGCTTAGTGCTCGTATGGAGCGTTTAGAGGAGATTATCTTGGATTTGAGTGACCGATTAGGCGGCCTGACCGATGCTAGAGATAGAATCGTCTCAGGAAGACCAAGTAACCTGGATTCGGAAGATTCGGACGATTCGGCCGAAAACGGCGATGCTACCTACTCACGAGTCGCCAGTGAAGCTGCTGACGGCAATACTTCAGGCAACAAGAAGGGCCGGAATGCTCTTCCGCTTAAGAACCTTGAGCTCTTCTTTGGCGCACACTCGTTTGCCAGTGTGGTGTCGAAAAGCTCCATCGACTGGATGATAGAACAGGTTGGAGATGAAAATAAGGATCTTATTCAGCCATTGTCGAACATGCCATTATTATTTCAGAGTAAAACAATGCTGTTCTATGCCAAGTGGATTGATCCACCAGCATTGTCTACTGAAAAGAAGCAAAAGCTCATGACTCGGCCATTCCCTGAAAACTCCACACTTGTATTTGGTATCTTGGATATGTTTATGACGCCTATACTCCGAATGGAGGGCGTAGGTGATATCAAGAGGATAAGAGGCATGTTTGAGAAGTATTACAATGGCAAGCAACGGTTTAGTTTGGCTGAGCTTTTGACCATGACAGTTTCACTTGCCTTCCTGATATTCATGCGCTTTGAAACAAACGTGGGCCCGCTAGAACAAGTGAACGACGGCACTGAATGGTCTGATAAGTCCCTTCGTCAGTTAGAGGACACTCTTATGAATAATGCCATTTTTTTCTACCACCGACTCAGCGTTGTGGGCGGTGGTATCGACACCATCGAGGCTATTTTGCTCTTTACAGGTTACTTGGAATGCCATTGGTATGCTCCCGAGGTCAACTACATGCTTTTGGTTCCTGCTATACGTTATGCCCAAGATATGGGTCTTCATAGAATCGAGAGTTACGAAATGTTGGACGTCGATACTGCCTCATATCGTAAGCGTATTTGGTGGGTGTGCTGTTACATGGATATGGAAATTTGCTTCAGGAACGGTAAGTCGCCGATCATTAACCGAGCCGACGTGAGCCCTGAGCTTCTTGACATTGACGTTGCCGAAATTGCTGTATCGGAAACGCCGCTCATTAGGTCATTGCACAAGTATTTCTCCAACGTCTTGCTGATTCGAGCACGAAGCTACGAGTGGCTTTTCTCGGCAACTGCAGATGTCGGGGACTTTGCTTCGCTTCTGAGAAACTTGGATGCCCTCAACGAAGAGCTTTTTGCTACGGCTGATAAGCTACCACCATCGATGAAGCCTGTGTTCTTCAACGACACTGCGTTCCATATTGTCAACCATAAGGATAAAGTGGAGAATGAGACGAGTTGGGCAGTCAGGCTTACTTTCTTCTACCACATTATGCTTATCAACAGACTCCCACTGATGTTCAGTTTTGAGGATGAAGACGTGGACCGCAAGGCTTACTACCTGAACCTCTCGCTCAATAGTGCTCGTACCATGGCCCATTTGTTGAAAAGCAGTGAAGGAGCTAACCTCAGTAATTCCTTCTTTGAATGGGTTCTCTTCTTCCCTTCCAGTGCCTTTTTGCACTTGCTGACGGTGATCATGAAGCATCCAAAATCACCAGAAGCCTATAGCGACTTGATGCTTTTGATAGAAACGTCGATGGATTTCTTAAACCGCCGTGGGTTTGACAGAGGCGCCGATTTGTTGAGCAAGTTCCAGCACTACTCATTTACCCTGGTAATGTTTAAGATATTGTTAAAAATCGTCATCACCATCTTCGAAAGGAAAACCGGGATTGTCGTTTTGGAAGGAAACCCCACGTTACAGGACCACTTGAACTCTGCCCGTGATATGATGCCTGAGCTCTTCGGCAGCGTGGAATCTTTCCGACTGACTGTTATTTCTGTTGCACCATTAGTGATCAGTCAGTCTCCATTTGTTGATGAAACCAAACCATCCCCCAGTCAATCGTCAACGTCATCATTTTCCAGTGGAAAACGCCAACTTCTCCATCCCAACGACCCCACAACACATCTCAACAGCCAGAACATCCCCTTCAGTCCATTTCCCTCATCTGGCCACTTCCAAGAAGACATTGATTCGCTCATTCGTGCTCAAATGAAAGAACTCCCAAACATCTTCTTCGACAACAGCCCGCAATTCTAAGCTATCCAAAGAAAACAAAAAAGAAAAAAAAAAAGAAAGAGGAGAATGTACGAACGCCCTTTTGTGCCCTGTCATGTGGCGTTTGCCTCTTTTGGCTACACCCTGTTTTGCTTATTAACCATGGGCCCGGGTGTTTTTTCGCAGCCAATATTTGTTCCGTCCGTGGCGGCTTAAACAGCACTACAGCTGAGCTGAGCAGGTCAAACAGTGACACACCCGTGCACCACGCACCCTCGGCCTGCGCCATCTGCCTCATCATCACATCCGGTGAAAGATTACTTATAACGAAGGTGCGCCCCCCTCAGGTCAACGAATAACTCCAGTTTTTCCAAGGTCTCTTTAACAGCCAAAGACGTCGTGGGTCCAATATGAGCGGTGTCGAAAAGAACAAAAGAGACCGTGTGGCGAAAGCATGCGCCACGTGCCGCAAAAAGAAGATCAAGTGTAATGGTAAGACGCCCTGCGATCACTGTCTGAATCTTCAGATTCCCTGTGAGTATCCTACGAACAAACCTCGAAAATCCAGAACAAAGGCGCTGCTGGAGATGATTCTGAGCAGACTTGACAGGCTCGAGTCGCTCATGTACAAAATAGCAGAAAGTGTTGGTGGAGGTGGTCTCGACTCTCGGAACGGTATTTCACCCAGTTCCGGGACTCGTTTGCATGGCGATCTGATGTCTACCCCTACTACAGCTTCGCCTGCACTGGATGTTAGCGATAAAGAAGCCGACGACGACTTGCGTGAGGACCAGGCAGACGGCTATAATCGTGCCGATAGCGCCGCCCCGCTTCAAAGCTCGAATGGCGACCAGTCGCCGGAAAAGAAGCCTAGGGATACGTTTTTCCAGCAGGCCAAGTCCATTCTCAATAAAACCATCGATGAAAAGTCCGATGGTGCTACGAAACCACATCAGATTCTTCAGTACAAGGGCATGCACCTGGGTATTGTGTTCATGTTCGGTTCGCAGAGTATCGAGTGGATCAAGTCTAGATTGAAGCAGGAGGATCACAATATCGTCACCCCTTTCCTGACCCTTATTTTTTACTTTAATGCTTGGAAACAGGTTTTCCTGAGTGTTTGGACTGATGTCAAGACATACCCCAAGGAGGATGTGAAAAAGTTTAAGGAGGGCATTTACCCACACGACAAGCAGCTTACCTTTGAGTTGCTTCGTCACTATAACTGTATCGCATTGGCAGACTTTGTTTGTCCCGTGGCTGATGTCCAAGCGCTTTTCATGAAATACTATGGCAACAAATCAGCTCCTAGAAAGAAGAGGTATAAGTTTTCTTATTCCGAGTTCATGTTGATGAACCTCAGTTTGGCAATCTCCATTACTGTTGCCATTGATGAAAAGAGCAGTGGTGTCACATCCCCTCAGATAGGTGAATGTCCACGCTTAGATGCCATGTCCATAGATCAGCTTACATCGTTACAGGAGGAGATGTTTTTGAATTCGGTGTTTTACTTCCACACAATCAGTGTTGTCAGTGAGGGAATGGTCACCATCCAAGCTCTTCTTCTATTGGCAACACATTTAGAAACTACTTGGGTCATCACTGATGTCAATTACACTTTTGTTGGCATGGCACTGAGATATGCACAGGAAATCGGTCTTCACAGGTACGAAACGTTCAATCACCTACCGGAGCTGGAGATACACGAGCGAAGCAGACTTTGGGCTGCTGTTCAGTGTTTTGATGTTGAAATAAGTCATCGTACAGGTAAACCTCCTTCAGTAAATATGGTGGACGTTTCGACCTTGACCCCAATGGACCCATGGTATGTTCCAGCACTTGTATCTCAATCTGAGGTAGAAAGATTACAGCAAATTTGTGGCGGACAGCAGCTTCCCTGGGAAGAGATTTACGTGCATTTCTACGTTTACAAGCTCTCCCAATTGAGAGCTTTCTCATACTTCCAGTTGTTCAGTGCTACGGTCAAGTATGACAGCCTTAAAGGCATTCAAGAAATCGTCACCTCTCTTAACCACGAATTGGGCAATTTCACCAACGAGCTCAGAGCAGAGTTTCGTCCCGTTACTATTACGAACCAGAATTCAGATTACTCATTGAAAGATTCACATCTGAGAAGAAGATGAACAGAGTCAACGATAGTATCCTAACACTCCAGCTTTGCTACTTCTATCAGGTGATGACCATTAACAAGGTGCCTTCACAGATCGAGCCGGAGCTGGACACACCGCCATACGAAAATGCTTGTTATAGACGAAACTTCTTGGACAGTGCAAGGACTATTCTCCACCTCATGCGTTCTGTGAATCGCCGAACTGTGCCCTTCTTTGGTGTGAACTGGATGATTTTCTACCCGTTCGTTGCAACAATGAACTTGCTTGCGCACTGCCTAAATCATTCGGACGAAGGTGACAGTCTTGACGATTTGAACTTGCTCATAGATGTTTCCATGAACTGCTTCAATCTCTACAGCAAGCAGGCTAAGCAGCCTGCCACGAGACTTTTTTACTTGAGACTTCAGTTGTTCGACGTGGTTGTGAGAATTGTCTTACGTATCACAATCAAGGTGTTTGAAAGCAGAACCAATATGGACATTCTTTCAAACAATCCTGCTCTCAGATCCCATTTGGAAGATGTCGAAAAGGAGTTTCCTCAATTCTACCAGAAGATCAATGACACATCTGACATGATGGATCTTTTGAATTGTATGCATCCTACTTCTGGTGTGGGCCTCTCCACCAATAAGTTCTCGCCTAATGGTTCGTGCGATTCAGCGTCTAATGCTTCCAATCCAGATTTGACCCCTGGCTATTCAAATGAAACGTTCGAGGGTCAGTCTCCAAGAAAGAATGATCCAACACTCTCAAATATCCTTCATCCAGTTGACTTCTCTGGTTTAAGAGACAACGACAGAAAAGATTTTAGCATTGATGACGATTTCCTCCTTGCTGCGGTTAACCAAGACTACCTGACGCTCCCTAATTTTTTCTTCGACAATGGGCTCTAATAATGTAAATAGGTTGGCATGTACGATCATGAGTATTTAGAATTAATTACACGAGTTTATGGGTTTAACGAGTACGAATAACACCGGCTGCGATCAAAGTGTTGATCTTCTTGGCCACCTCTGGGTTTCTCATGTGGTCTTGCAAAGCAGCTGGGTTCTCTCTGGCCTGGCCCAAGATACCTTGCATAACTGGGTCCTGCAAGATCTGAACAATCTCTGGGTCCTTAGACACTCTCTCCATGGTTTGCTCAGAAGTTTCACCTTCAATGGAAGAGAATCTTTGGGACATGGCCTTGTTCAGCAATTGGTCAATCTCACTGAGGTTCTTACCGTTGTTCAACTCCTGGTCCTTGGTACGGGCCTCGGTCAATGTGTCAATGACATGGGAGAATTCCTTCATGGCCAATTGGGCGTTGGCCTTTCTGATGTATGCTCTAATGAAAGTTGGATCCAATTTGATAGCCTTGTTGCAGTCTTCGACAGCGTCAGGGAATGACATTAGCTTGGCCAATGCAGCAGCTCTGTTAGAGTAACCTCTGGCGTCCTCTGGGGCTCTCTTGATCATTTCAGTGTAAGCCTGGACAGCCTTTGGCCAGTCACCCTTGGTGAAGTATTCCTTACCTTCTACTCTGGCTTCCTCGGCCTTCTCTGGGTTGACGTAGCTCTCTGCTTCTCTGGTCTTGATCTCCTTTTGAGTGTTTCTCAACTTGGTCAACACATCTGGAGTTCTGTGCTCAGTCAAAGACTTGTCAAAGTACTTGGCGGCGTTCTCCAAGTCGTCCTTCTTCAAGTAAGAGTTACCGATTCTAGCGAAAGACTTGGCGATAAGCTTGTAGTCAGCTCTCATGCTTCTACCTTCATCCACAGCCTTCTCGCAGGTGGCGATAGCAGCATCGTAATCCTGGTTCTCGAACTCAGCGGCAGCTCTGTTGTTCAAGTAGGTGATATCCTGATGGAGCTCCCAGGCCTTGTTGTATTGCTCAATAGCCTCGGCGAACTTTCTCTGTTTATACAAGGTGTTACCCTGAGCCTTAGCGGCATCGGCTTCGGACTTGGAAGAAGCATCCTCCATTTCAACATCCTCAGACTGAGTGGCAGCTGGCTCTTCAGCCTTGTTTGGTTCCTCGGCTGACTTAGACTCAGCTGACCTAGACTCAGTGGATGGCGTAGGCTCCTCAACAGCAGTAGCCAGGGATTCATTGCTCAGCTGGCCTTCAGCTGGTCCACCAGCAGCACCAGGAGCAGCATCCTTATCGAACATGTTCAAGTCAATGCCCATCAAAACACCCATGATGGTCATCATACGTGGGTCAGAAAGCATGGTTTGCATACCAGCCTTTGGGTTCTGCTGCAACTGCAAAACCTTGGTGACCAAGTTAGGGTCGTTCATCATTTCAGCAGTCTTTGGGTTGTTCTTCAACTTGGTGATCAAGTTTGGATCAGAGAACATCTTGCCCAAGCCCATGTCGCCCTCGGCATTACGGGATCTCTCGGCCTCCTCAACAGCAGACAAACCGCTCTTGGCCATAGCATTAGCCAGGTCCAACTCCAAGGCCTTAGAGTACGAAGACTTAGCGTCATCCAAGTTACCCAATCCGTACTGAGCAGCACCAACACGGTTGTAGCCCTTGGCCCACTCAGAGTTGACCTCCACACACTTTTCAGCGTCCTCCAATGCCTTAGTGAAGTTTTTCAAGGAAGCGTAGCAAGCTGATCTGTTGGAGTAGAGAACATGGTTAGGCACTTCAGAAGCTTCAATGGCTTTGGAAAACTGCTCGATGGCCTTATCGAAGTCTTTGGCGGCGAAGAATTTGTTACCCTCGGCTTTGAATTCATCAGCAGACATTGTGATGTGTTTTTTTTTTAAGCTTTTGGTGGTTGTTGGGTGGGACCAAAGTGGTGATGTTCAAGCGAATATATATCTGGGCCGGGTGCGCACCAGTGCATTTCTAGAAGCTTCCGAGAAGCTCTTTGGAGACGAAATAGGAAAACACCGACAAAGAATGTGTAAAATTATTTGAGGAAGTAGAAGGGGGTGGTTGGCGTTTTGAAGAAGTGAAAATTAGCAAGAGTGCAGTGTTTTTGGTTGTGAGGGCAGTTGTAAACGGCGCTCGACAGGCGTCTTGATCATAAAACATGTATGGTATGTGGTATAGCCTGGGTAACGGTTCCTAAGGGGAGCTGTAGAGGCTTTCCACAAGAGTAGAATATTTGAATAGGCTCCTAGATGCTGAAGAAGCTTGGTTTAGTGTCCTGTTGATGTTTTGGGCATCTGGGTTATCCTTTCGTCGAACCAAAGAATGGTTGCAAATTCGCAGCCATCTCTCCCGGCGGTATTAGACTGGTAGTCTCCAAACTGATGAAATGGAAGGTAAAGCCTCAAAGGCAAGTGAGTACAATCTCCACTGGTGTTATCCTGTCACTTCATTCCCTTCAGTTCTTTCTTTGCTTATTTCTTGGTCTCGGTTCTTACCTTCTCAAGTGCTTGTTCCACAAGGCGAAGCTCGTAAGCAGGACCATAGCCATGACACTTTTCACTTCCCTTTAACAACTGCATCACCTCGTACATATCCACGCCGTAGTATTCGTCTTCCTCGGCCTTGATCTGCAAGAAATCCCATACAGCACCAACTGCAAGCACCTTATGACCAGAACTCTCTGGCTGTTCGTAAACCTTGTTGATCGTGGCTGGATTCACGTTGTGCTTCGTACGATCCACCATCTGGTTAATAAACTCATCCTGTGAGCTAGGGAAAGAAAATCTTGAGTTCTCCAAATCCATAGAATTAGCAGGATCACGTAGAAGACTGTCATCAGACTTGGTCTGCTTGATATCCTGAAGAACCTGCAATAACTTCTGCCTTTCCTCTTCGCTCTGAAGCAACTTATCTTCCAAATCCTTCAACTCGGTCTTCTTCCTTTCACGGAACGCACGCTGGGCGAGTCTATTGTGAGCTTTCTTCTTGATCTTGAGTTCTTCCTCGTTAAGCTCCAGATCATCTCTATTCATTACGGCCTCCTCTCTTTCAGTCAAAATGAGAGCTCTCTGCTTCTTTCCTTTACCCTTGTCGTTTCTAAAGTCGATATCATTAGGCGAACCAGAAGGCGAGCTATCTGTCTGGTGGCCTGTAGCAGAGAGTGCATTACTGTGACCGTTCCAAGGCTGCTGAAGATTACCGTTCAGATCTCTCTCAAGCGACAACTGAGTAGAACTCACAGACTCAGCCTTAAAGAGAGAATCATCCTGTGGAACATTCGGAACGTACGCGTTCATCCCTTGAGGCACATTTCCATGGATCGGTGGCTGGAAATGCTGGTTTTGTGGAATACCATTATATTGGCCTTGCCACTGAGGCGTAGAAGTTGGGTTTTGTTCATAATAAGGACTAGGGCCCACGTGGAACACTGGAGACTCCTGGGGGTGAAACTGCTGGAACGCCTGGGGATGATGGTGCTGATGATTTTGCTGTTGTTCGAAAAGTTTGATGTTTTCCTGGTTCAAATCCAAAGGCTGGTCAATATAGTCACAAATATCATCCCTGGATCCAGATCCATTGTAGGGATGGTCGGTAACTTGGGAGTAGGACATTTCTTGGGGAATAGACATTGGTCTCGATGATGTATTAGAAGGATAGACATGTTCCAGTAGCTGGGACACCCGTACCTCCGAGAACGATTTTTGATAAGAGAATGATAAAAAAGCCGTTGGAGGGGGGTAAAAAGAGGTGATATTGCTATGGGTAGAGCGAGCTGTTCTCGTTAACCAATTATTTATCCATTATTGTGGCGATTCCACCAGGGGTTGTTTGTTTTGAGGGATCTAAGCACAAGGTGTAATAAACATGAGAACGGCTGCGAAACGCCACATATAAGAGTCCAGAGAAGTGAAAGCTGTAGGTTAGATAAGAAAAATGAATGGAGGAGGGTAGATCGTACTCTTGCAAAATGACAGATTTCTGGGGTATGTATGAGTAGGTTGAGTGGTTGAACTTCAGCCTTAATAAATATGCATCAGCTAGTGATGGTTGAATATGATGTAGATATAACGATGATGGGAATCGGCGTGTCTCGTGCTCGTTCTATTATCTGGGAGCAGCCAGGCTTCCAGAAGCACGAGTTATGGAGGGCAATTCATGATTTCGGTGATTTCCTGTGGGTATGCTTTATGGTGACTGTGTGGGGGAATTGGGCCAGTTTATGAGCTGATCGTACGACAGCGATATGGCAAGAGAGTGGTGGCACCGAAGGGAGGACAAAACGTCTCTTTTGTTCTTGACACAGGGTAAAACCAAAATAGCGTCAAATTTGAACGGTGTAATATAGCCAGGGATATGGCAGATGACGATGGGAGATGACGGACTTTGAAGCATCAAGACAGTTCTAGCAGCACAATTGGTCTGCTTCTTTCTTCCTGGAAGGCCAAAACCACTGGTCCCATCCAGAGCAGCCCATTTGCTCTGATAACTCCATAATAAACTTTAACTTTGGTCTAGGTTCCTTCACTGGCAGCCGTTCCTGGCCCAGTTCGAACCCAAAGTGTCCATCTCCTGCTAAATCCAAACAATTCATTCCTACCTGTGAACAAGGCTCACCCATTGGATCTTCTGAAGCGCCATCACCACAAGCACACATGTGAAAGCCACACCGGTAAGCACCAACACCGCCGTTCGTTGTCGCCTGCGGTCCCTTAACATATCCTTTCTTCGGCTCGAGCACTTCGCAAGCCCGTTCTTCTCGGGATCCGAGGCCACAGTAGGTTCCAGGCTCGTCTTAGCAGCCGTTTCTGCGTACCCTATAAAGTACGGCTCAAGCATTTCACGAGCCAAATCCGAATGGGCCACATCGTCAAACGCCTCTGAAGCGTCCACACCACCACAATCAAGAAGCACTTCCACGCCGCCCGGATGTTCAGGCGCAAAGTTCGTCACATCATACACTTTTCCATGGATTGTCATCCACAAGTCTTGAGGCAGCGAATGAGCCCGGATCTCCTGTGCCGAGTAAACGGCCGAACAGGACCCAGGCTTTGCCGAGGATCGTAGCTGGTCTGCTGCCATAAAGTATAAGGAGGTTGGGGAAAAAGAAAGATGACTTAAAAAGTGTTTTTGGAGGAAGAAGCAGCCAAGGTGAGTTCGTTGATGGAGTACTGTTTGTGGGTCGTGCGGTTCCCGAGATGTTATGGAAATGGAAATGGCTGCGAAAAAAAGAAGGAATTGGGCAGGCCGTTGGATGTCTAAAAAAGGCAGAAAACGGTGGATTTGGAGGGATTTGGAAGGGGATTTTTGGGAGGTTTAGGGGGGCCAGGAGGCGTCTTCGACGGTTAAATAGCATTTTTTTTTTTTGGAGAAAGTATGGAAACTTTTAAGCTTTAGGCGTCCACATGGGGGATTTCTTTTTGAGGCTTCCTCGGCCCCAGCCCTGTTGGTCCAGACAAACAGGAAGAGTCAGTCAGGGAATGCAGATTTGGTTTTTTGGACATTTAAATGCATTTATGGTGATTAGGGGGCCATTTTGAGCATTTTGGTGGTGGTTTGGTGAAATTTCACTGAATTTTGGTGCTTTTACAGTGCCCTATTTCCCTCGGCGTTTAGAAATGGTTGCAAAAGCTGGTGCCCAAAGATCTGCAAAGAAGCTAATCAGAGTTCAAACACTTCGCCTGGACCTAAAGAAGAGAAAGACATGGGAAGTGAGAGATTTGACTGGTGGACTGGGATCCAGTAAAAAAAAAAAAAAAAAAACTGGTTTGGAGTTTCTGGGGTTTCCCCTTGTATTTATACTGTTTGGATTAGTCTCACTATGTACTATGCCTACTACAAGTAGAATCAACCCCTGATCATCAGAAATCAATGTATTTGAAGTTGATTTTTTTTTTTATTTTTCAGGTATTGGGCGGGCTGGAGTGGCTTCCATTCCCTGGGGGATGTTCCACTAGCCTGGACCTTATTTTGTTGTTCTATTACTGATTCGATCTCGTGCCAAAGTCTATTTTTAAGGTTTAAGGCTTCTCTGAAAGCCAATCAAGATGGCTTTATTTGGTAGATCTTCGATCTGGCGGCGCCTTAGAGACGGGTGCTTGCTGTACGGAGATGATAGTCCGGGGAAGAGACATTCTTCGGTTCTTTTGCTCGATGCATTCCCTGGCAGAAGTCACTTTTTAAAGTTACGGTAGAAATGTGTCTACGTTTTGGAAGGGTCGCCAATGGAGGCTCAGCCAAGGGCAGTTTAAGGACTGTAGCGATGCTTCACCAGTTCGTAAGCGCCCAGGGAAAGGGGCATCAAAAAGTGACGTCTCGATTCTCTGGAAGTCTTCCTTTGGGCTCGGATCGTTCTCTACATCTGTACTATGTCATACGTACAGATCGTACAACGTATGATCAGACCAGTATCTTCTTCTGGAAACCTATCCGAGGGAATATGTTCTGAATTAGGCACTGAAATTGAAAGCCTCAGGCGTTCAGTTGATGAATATCAGTCGATTATATCTATACTAGGTTGACCTGGTGTGGATTAGTATGGAATGTGATACGATGTGGGAACAAATCGTCTCCGCTATAGGCAACATATCAAGCGTCGTTTTCGTTTGACAGAACCTGTCAGAGTCAATAAATTCAGTTATACCTAAATTCTTTGTTTCATTTATCTGTTCAATAAATAACCACCACTTACCAGCCCTCCACCCTCCACCGTCTCAACTCCCCTCCTGCTTTCTTTACCAACCATATACTTTTTCCATGGTTTTTCTACACTTCCTCTTCTCCAGCCTTCTCTCCATGCTACCAACTCTCCCCCAACCTCCCACGCCCTGACGATCTATCTCCCATTTCAGCACAATCTGACGCCATATCACGCCCAATCACCTGTAACTATCCTTCCAACATGATCTACACACATTTCCAGCCCCCAAACCCTAAACAACTCAAAACCAACCAAATCAATAAACCTCCATTTCATCACCCCAAAATGCCCCAACCTACCTTCTGCTCATCCCCATACTTGCTCCTACTGGCCATTTCGCAGCCATTCTTTAACTGACAATACCACCATAAACGCACGCCAAATGACTATTTCGAGCAATAAATGCATCATCGAACAAACCCTTCACCCTCCTTGACCTCCCTAAACCCTTCTATCCTCTTTTTGCCGACTTTGTTGTCTCTTGTGACTCGATCCCATCACCTACACCCGTGCACCAGCAGCCAAATCACTATCTCGAAATCGACAGCTTCCACATTCTCCAACCCTCCATCATGTCCCTTCCTTCGTCCAAGAAAACACACAGCGAAAGGCACAAGCAGATCCTAAAACTGCTTCTTCGTGAACCTGCCAATAAGACATGCGCTGACTGCAAAGTAGCCACCCATCCTCGCTGGGCATCCTGGAACCTAGGCTGTTTTGTGTGTATTCGGTGTTCAGGAATCCATAGATCCATGGGTACGCATATTCTGAGAGTGAAATCGGTTGATTTGGATGCGTGGACGGATGAACAGGTGGAGCTGATGTTGAAGTGGGGCAATAGCAAGTGTAACGCTTACTGGGAACTGAAGCTTCCTGAGGGGTACATTCCAGATGGGTCTAAGATTGAAAATTTCATTAGGACAAAGTACGATATGAAGAAATGGGCTGCTCTGCTGAAACCTGATCCGCTGGCGGTGCTGGTGCTGGCTCTGGCTCTGGCTCTGGCTCTGTCGCCTGCCCCGGTGCCTGTGCAAATGCAGAAACTGGCTCCTGCTGTTGTATCGAAACAGGCACTGAGACCGGTCAAGCCACAGCCACAGCTTGCTTCTGAGCTGCTTCTAGACGACGATTTCGGTACGTTTTCACTGGCTCTGCCTTCTCCAGCGCCTAAACCACAACTTCCAACTAAGGCTGCTTCATCTCAGCTGCTTCCAAGATCGCAGCCTCCAGCCGTGCCTCAGAAATCTGCCCCTGCTCCAGCCCCAGCTGCCCAAGCCCCACCTTCTAATGGCCGTACAGACTTGAAAAAGTCTATCTTGTCACTTTACTCGCTGCCTTCGTCGTCAAACTCCAACGTCTCTTCGTTTTCTAATTCTCGTGGCGCCTCTCAGCAGAACTTGAACCTGGGCTTCAATCAACAGGTGCCTCAACAAAACACACAGCCGCTCAGCGCAGGTCTAGCTGGCTTATACGCATCCAGAACGCCAGCATCTCCACCACCAAGTCGTGAACCTGTTGGCCAGCTCTCAGACTCCTTGCAAGGTTTGAATTTTGCACCTTCCACACTGAGCTTGCCTCAATCAAAGCCTTCATCGCAGCCTGCTCAACAATCTGCTTGGGAAAACAAGTGGAATGACTCGTCCTCTTCAGTGAACCAATGGGCTTCCGATACTGTTCTTCCTAAAACGTCTGTGGGTGCTACACCAGGCCAGTTCAGCCTGACCCTCGACGATGATTTATTCAAAAACGTGTGGAGCTAATCAAGCTCAAGAGCTGAGTGCAACTACAATGCTGTCAATGAAAGATTAATGATAATAACATCTGTTTAGTTGACCGCTGGTCTTAATCATCATGCATACTTAGTGCTCTAATGCCGCTATAAGAATTAGGACTTCTAGTGGCCGCCTGTAGTTGGCAAGCCGACGTAGACCTTGAAGGAGTCGTAGATCAACCATTGGAAACCAGTCAATGTACCGACCATGACAATACGAACAGGCAATCCGTTCCACACGCCACGGAATCCAATTTCACCATAAATTCTCTTCAATGCCAGGCCCAAGCTCTCTGAAGCTTCCTTATTAGTACTGATCTTGGAAACCATCACATCAGCAGGATGGGAAACCACAGCACAAGCAATACCGGCAATGTAACCACCAACAAAAGACACACCCGTCTGTTGGACTGGAGTGTAAGCAGAAGCAGGCTTTCCGAGGTACTGGTAGATCAATTCCACACACTTTTCAAAAGAACTAAACTTCACCATAGTGTAAGGGATCTGTCTAGCCCACAATGGGCCAATACCCTTGTACAAACCGTTGAAGCCTTCAGCCTTAAAGATCTTAGAGAAACCTTCACCGACGTTCTTAGCATAAGGAGGAATAGTCGTTTGGGTCTTCACCTTGATGGTTTCAAATGGACACAACATGATATCAGCAAGGAACTCAGCAGAAGCAGAGGCAGCAAGGAACACAGGTGTCTTATATTTAGCAAAGTTCTCTGGCCCCACAGCGTCACTATACGACTTCTTAAAGTACTCGTAGAAACCGTACTTACCGGCACCTTGCAAAGCGTAACCGATGAAAGTGGCTCCCACACCAGTAAAGATAGAATCACCCTTGGTCTTAAGAATCTTCTTCCACCCGTCAATGTTCGACTTGTAAAGCGCCAGGTCCACCTGACGACGACACTTGACCACATCAAGAGGCGTCACAGCCGAATGGGTAGGGCCACAGGCGACAATGCCTCCCAAAGTACAAGCAGCATAGTACTCCTTGGAGTAAAGCTGGATACCCTTCTTGACAGGTTCAGGAGGAGGAGGCGTAGAGCCGGTCAATTTGTTAAGCTGGTCAGCCACAGGCTGCACTATAGCGTCAGAGATGGAATCTTTACCCATTGAGCGAAAGAGAAGTTGTTGGTGGAAAATGACATGTAGATTGCTACCGGGAAGTACGGATAAATAGGGTGAAGTTTCTGGCTGCAGGTGCGTCCCATCGAAGATGAATAGAGTTTGCCCTGGCAGGATATAGTCAATTGAGGGAAGAGAGATCTTTAGGAAAAATACACTTTTCTATTTTCTCTCTTTTGTCACCAACCACGTTTCTTGTTCATGGCTCAGGTTCTTCCGTGCTCGGCTGCACTGACTTTGACGTGCCGGTGCGGCGGTTGCGATTGTTCCACTTGCAGCCGACCGATAAGAACCAGACATGGAGGTTTAGAAAAGGGGAAGGTGAATGGTTAGTGGTTGGGAAGCCCTGGAGGAATGGAAGGAAGGAAGATTTGGTTTAGGCTTTTGGGTTTTGGCGTGGATTGGATTGGTGGGTGGTTTGGTGGAAAACGCACGTCGCTTCGGACTTCTGGTGCTGCTTGGCGCCTACCGAGATGGAGGAGTTGGTGAGGAGGTGAAAAGGAGGAAGAAGGAAGAAGGTGGAGGTTGCTGGTGAAGGGTGAATTGGGGCTGGAAGGGATTTTTGGATTTGGTTGGAAAATAGGCTAAACGAAGGCTTTTTAGGGAAATGGTGATGCTGGCTTGTGGTTGATTGGTATTGCTGTGCTTAGAGGTTGAGGCTCTTTTGGTTGATCCACCTGAAAAATTGTCAATACATTTATTTCCAAAACAAAAAAGAACATACACATTAGAAGAGTCAAGGCAATTAGAAAATGAATTAACGTTATCTTTTCTACTTTAAAGGGTACTTTGGTGGCTTGGGTGATGCACTTATTCAGTGTTGATATAGTCAAACAGGACAGTCCAGTAGTCGGATCCAACTCGCCTTTGTTCTTGAAAATTCGCCTATCATTTTTCCTAAAGCATTCCTATGGTCTTCAATATTGACATCAGATCTCACATTCGTTCTCTCTCAGTGAAATAACTCGAATGGTATGGTCCTTCTACCATTAGTCCATTCAATTGAACAATCACTCATATCCACCTGTCCCAGGGCACTCTTCATCTGCCACGAAAATCCATGAAAATCATTCTTTTTACCCCTTAAAATTTTGATTTTTTATATTCTTCCTTCAATCCCAGTATTTTCCATGTTTCCATGTTTCCAGCTTTCGACTACTTCTCTCCCACTTATGTCAATGGCTGCGAAAAACGTCACTCTACTGGAAACCAGACACTTTGAACAAACACAAAATGGCAAATACAACAAAATAAAAGAAGCTATCCAACCTAACTTCTAACGCCAGTATCACTACATTCCACCAACAGACTAATCACTTCTTTCTATTGTTCATCGGCTCCGGTTGTGCCGAGCTCTATTTCAGTCACACTTGGCTGAACTACACATGTCCAGAAAACCACCACCAAATTCCAACCACCACAAATTGATACTCGGTTAAACAAACTGACATCCTTAAATTTACCCTCCACTTTGTTCCACCTTTCTACCTGCTCTGTTCACATTTCCTGGTGCTACCCTAGGGTCTCGCAGAAACCTTCCGTTTCGGGCCACACATCATCCAGCAAGCCAAACCAATAGCAGGCCAGCCAATGGGAATGGACGAGGAAGGGAAACCTAAACTTCAGAAATAACCAAATTGACTCTCTTCCACCTCTCACTGCCCTCTCTAGCCTTCACTACTTCAAACAATGGACTGATAAGTGGTAGTACTGAACATTGTAGGAACATCAACAGCCAGTGCCAAACGCCGACTACTGGGAACCACAAACACGAAAAACCTATAAACCAGCCCCCTTAACGCCGAAACCTTAACCAAAATAACCTACTTACCCTATTATCCCCCTCCCCTGATCCATTTTCCCGTCCAGCCCACTGAACCTTCTTCCTTCGCACCCGTGCACCCATCTACTCACAATACCACTATCAACTTTTTCGCTACCACCGGCTCTTGTTTTGACAGTACATGAGGGAGCCCGATAACGACTTTTCAGACGTCGTGCAGGGCATGGACCTAGAGCTTCGGCACCCTGACCGGAACATGTTTCCTGTGGCCAATCAGATCGACGCTCTGGGAACAGAAGCTCCTCATACTCCAATTATCAAGCGAATGTCCGAGTACCAGCTTGTTACTTTGGCAGGAGCGGCTTCCGGGTTCTTGGCCGGGGTTGTGGTTTGTCCTTTGGACGTGGTGAAAACAAGAATTCAGGCTCAGGGCGTGCTGAACCGATATGGTCTGTTCATACTGGCGTTCAAGACTATTTCTAGAGAAGAGGGCGTTAGAGGGTTATATCGTGGTGTGGTGCCTGTCACTATAGGGTACTTACCGACGTGGACTATTTATTTTACTGTTTATGAACGGGCCAAGAAGTTTTATCCTCGGTTTTTTTCTGAATCACTCGGTATACAAATAGACTGGCTCAACCACTTTGCAGCCTCTTTGACGGCTGGCTCCACGTCTTCCATTGCTGTCAACCCGATCTGGGTTGTGAAAACAAGACTTATGCTCCAGACGGGCTCGGAAAAAGTATACTATAAAAGCACCCTAGACGCTTTCCGTACCATGTACCGAAACGAAGGCCTTCGTGTGTTCTACAGCGGTCTTTTGCCCTCATTGTTTGGGCTTATACACGTGGGAATCCATTTCCCTGTTTACGAAGCGCTCAAGCGTACTCTTCATGTTAGCGACTCAAGCCAGATGTCTCACGGTAGCTACCATAAGCTCTGGAGACTAATAGCGGCCTCCACCGTATCCAAGGCCATTGCGTCTACTGTCACTTACCCACACGAGATTCTACGAACCAAAATGCAGATGCAAAAGAAATCCACGGATCGGTTTTCCTTGCGTAACTGGATACGAACTATTTACAGTAAAGAAGGCGTCCGAGGGTTCTACGCCGGCTATTTGACAAACTTGGCGAGAACCTTGCCGGCATCGGCAGTAACGCTTGTTAGTTTTGAGTACTTCAAAACGTACTTGTTAGAGATCAGCGGAAAGGTCTGATCCAATACCTATTCATTGCATGGCTTCGGCATTAGTATGAGTACCGGAAGTGGATGTTCTTCATATCGGTCAAGTCCAAGAACTGGTAATGAGCGCCCTTCTCGGAGACCCATTCGTCCTCCTCTTCTTTGGTGATTTTCTCCTTTTTCTTGTTCTCGTGTCTCGAGATGTAACTCACAAAAAGGACGATTGGGATACAAACACTTTCAATCACCAAAAGCGTCACCTTGGCAGGAATGTACCGTGGAGCATCACTTTCACGGAAAAGCTGTGGACCAATCAAACATCCCACGGCGTAAAACACCATAGTGATACAGTTACGCACAACTCGCTTAGTATAACCAGCGGTATTGGCCGAGTTCCACGAGTATATCATGGTGATGACGCAAGTTCCGACGTTAATAAGATACACAGCAAGAAGCTGTCCGATTTTATCGTGGCTGGCGACAAGCACGATATAGCCAATGATGGCAGGCACGAGCATAGAAATAAAGATCAAGTTACGATACTTGCCCTTAAAGTAGGCACACAAGTAGGTGCCGATCACGATTGCCAAGATGGTGGACACTCCCAAGGGCATCTGCATCAAGGCAGCCTCCTTATTGGTGAAACCAATGTTGGCAATGATTTGCACGGAAAACGTCAACACAGCTCCCGTAGGGATCATGGAAAGCAACGTCAAGGCAAGAAACACATATGTGTGTTTGTCATAGAGGAAAAGCTCCTTGACCTGTTCCCATTTGAAGGTATATGTTTCAGTTCCGGTATTATTGGCCTTGATATTCTCCAACACTGCTATCTTCTCTGGCTGGGTAAGAAACTTACACTTGACTGGCGAATCAGGAACGAAGATAGCCACCAAGATGCCAAACCCCAGTGTAATCACGCCCATCACCAAGTAGAAGATCTGCCAGCCCTGGAAATCTTCCAGCTTGACATGCTGGAACGCAAAACTCAAAAGACCACCAATAATCGTGGAGAACCCAGCCTGGCACGTCCACCAACACAACCTTCGAAGCTGCTGGGTCTGGTTATACCACATTCCAGTCACCAAAACACATCCTGGAGCCACACAAGCTTCAAAAAGCCCCAAAAGCGTCCTGACCACCATCAACGACGCATAACTCTTCAGGAACGCATGCCCAATAATCACAATGCCCCAGCAAAAGATATTAAAGCTCAAGAGTTTGGCAGCTGGAAGTTTCTGAAAAAGGTATGCGCTTATAGGCTCTCCAACGATGAAGCCCACGAAGAACATCGTTCCCAAGTTGGAAAACTGGTCCAGCCCTTCGTCCAAGTAGTCCTTGATGCCCATAACGCCCGCATAGTTAAGCAAGGACTTGTCGATGAACTGGAGAAAGTAGATGCCACAGAGAAACCAGGAAACTCTGGGGTCGACTTTGCGGTATACTTTGCGAAGGTCGGGTTTTTCCGATTCCTCACTATCAACGGTCTTCTGTACGTTTGCGAGATCGTATGCAGCGTCAGCCATAGTGGACGATAGTAAGGGGGAGATGGCAAGGCTGAAACGAGCGGAAAAACGTCGTTATTTATTCGTTTTTGTGGTGTGGTTGATATTGCCTCAGGGCTGGGCCGCGTAAGCGCATATGCGAGATCTATAGCCTTACAGGGACTGAGGTGGACATCCGTACACCAGCTATATTCAACCCTTCAAGACCTCCACCAAAAGCGGCAGTCATGGAGATTTGGGAAGATATAAGGTTTCCAGGGGGTGGCGAAGAAGCCAAGGAAGGGAGGGATGTAAAAAAAGCTGCAAAAAAGGGGGATTTTTGGTGGATCTGGCCGCCCAGATGACTCTGTTGACTCGTTTTGCAGCCATTGGTAAGACCGAGTCGGCACGCCCAACGAAGGCTTTTCTTAGACATTCTGATCACAATCGGGCGAGGGAAGAGAATGTTAGATAAGCTTAAAGTTTAAATTCAGATGTCGCTTTTGTTTGGTGGATACTAGGCATTCTTGGTGAGGTGCGGCTGTAGCTCACAGTGGAAGAATATTTTTTGGGCATGGCGGCATCACCACTATTTTTTAGATAATGTGTCAAGGGAAGACTATTTTTTAGATAAGGTAATTTTCACAAGATGGGATAGATAAGGAGGTGGTTTGAGGTTTGGTTTTTTTGTAGGTCAGATTCCCAGAAGCGTCTGTTTTGGGAGAGCTCCTCGTGCTTTGCTGGAACGGTCTTCCCATTAGGCAAGGTAATGTAATGAATAGGTTGTATCCAATTTTCGTATAAAAAACAACGACTTTTGAAGCTTTCGGCATTTGAAAAGTTAAATGAACAATGGGGGAATCGTTTGTCGAAGGATATCTTGCATGGAAGAAAGGGTCTTCATGTACTATTGTTTCTCTGGAACACGTTTGAAATCAATTATGGTATAATGGCAAATCAAGCAAAACATAACCACTCCTTTATGTATAAGACCAGAGCTACTAGTACAAATGGTACTCTTAAGGCTCAGAAGACGCATAGATCTCGCTTAGCACTAAGTGACCAGGGCTCATCATCTGGGTTGGTGCATTTGCCATTGTGAGATGGAAGACAAAGTGAGTTTAACCGGTGGAACTAGAATATATGGAAAATAAGCTGGGTAAGTAGATGAAAATGGAAGCAAAGGCATACTTCTAGATTATGAGTTACGAAAGCACCGACTCCATTTCTCTAACTGGTTTGCAGCCAGAGATATTGTACTATGACGCAGTGAAGTCAACAGTAAACTGAACCAGGTCGTTAGACGAAAGAGAAGTTGATTAGCAATTCAGAAATAAAGGCAAGAAAACAGCGTGCCCAGTTGGCCAGCCCGGTATCAGTAAAACAACTATTTCAGTATATGAAGCAGTTGTCTATATCCACTGAAGAAGGTGTAACATTCCATTGACGAAGTCAGCAAACAGCAGTCACACAATCAACATGAAACTGCCACAAGCATCACAAAACAGCAAGGTACCCACAACCCAAAGTCTCCATTAACAAAACATCTACGTCTCTACTTATCCACCCAACCCAGGCCATTTCCTACCATCACTTTCCACCCCACCTCCAGCAACCTCAAACAAACTCCACCCTCCACCAGTCACAGACTCCACTTCTCTTCTTTGACTTCCCCTTCTACTTCCACTTCCACTTCCCTTTCCGCATTTGACCCCAAACATTCCCTTTTCTGGAAACCCAGCCTCCAGCCTCCACCCACCAACTACCAACCACTTCCTTCCACTCCTACAGTTACGGGCGTCTTTCCATGCATGGGAGTATCACGAACTAAAACCCATCTACGAATCCACACGGAAAGATCGGCCCCCTCAACCTTCAAGGTGGGAATTCCACAACTGACCAAGCCCCTCGGCGATTAGCCCAAGGTGAAACACCAACGAAACAGAAGAAACAAGGAAGGAAGAGTGTGAAAAAATTATATCGATCAGGGGAAGCAGGAAATGGAACCTTACATAATAGAACCAGTGTTTGTATGCCACCGAAGAAAAAAAGCCTTTTTAGCCAAGAACCTCGCCGCCAGATAGATCAGCTCGTTCCATACAAGTGCCGCTTTACGAGCCCGCCTGGGCCCTGCCTATCGTAATGCCATACATAAACGTACATACTGGCGGAGTGATGAGGAAGAGGGAAGCTGGGGAGTATGGAGTAGGGAGTAGAACGCACAGTCTGGCCAGGCCAGACTGGAAGTGGACTGGAATAGAGTGGAATAATCGTTGTTGGTGACTCCTTTGATGAAAGGTGTGGTTATATGGTGCAGGTAGACAGGGGTTTCTGGCACCAGCCACAGGGCCAGGGAAGGCCAGGGAAGGCGAGCCGGGGACGCACGGGGCATTTTCCGAGGGTGTTCATGGGGGAACACGAAGGGCGGTGGTGCGGGATGGAGGTGCCAAACGCCGAGGCAGACAAAAGAGAAGGAGGGAAGGAAAAGGAAAGTGGTGACAGGTGGGGAGAAGCTTCTTAACGCCGAACGTAAATGTTCATTTGCTTCGTGCTATGGCTAGTAGTCCCCTCCTTGTATCTATTGCCAACGATCTCATTGTAATGCTCATACTAAACTGGCTTAGGGCTCGGTGGAGCGGACTGCGTAGGTGTGTGAGCGTGTAGGCCAGGGCGAGATTGTGTACGTGCAGCATGCATGGGATGTGCGTTCTAATTAATTTTTTTTCTCTTCTTTTTACTTTTGGTTACCTTTTTGCTAATAATATTCTGGAGATGGTGGGTCGCCTGTGCGTGGCCATGCATGAAAACCTTGCATGATGCGTCACGGGCCATCTGCGTTGCACCAAACAACCCTACAACGTGACGCACATCACCGTTCCACCATCCCAGAGAGCTCTACCTAGTACCTAGAAAGGGGACAGAAAGAAGGTAACTTTTGGGTGCCAGGGGAACACCCTCATGCACGTTCACGCCCTCATACCATTTGGTGAAAGTTTAAAAAAAAAGGGACTGGGTATCCTCACCACGTGACGCATGTACTGCACACATGCCACACAGCTGCTTATGTCGAGACCACCGCATCGGCACCTTTTCCCATGTCGCAGCAGCAGCAGCACTCCACTTGCCTCGAAATTCAATCACCTCTTCCATATATATCCCCCACCACCTATTACACTTACATGTACAACCAACAGCACTCATCCAACCTTTCCTCACCTTATTTATAAGCTTTTATTTTTCCCCAACCCCTCGAATTATTTCAAGTATTTCTTCGCTTACATTTTTCCCACATTATTATACCCCTTACACTTTCCGCCTTTCTGGCCCTTATACACGTCAAGCTTCGTCCTTCCCATCGTTCAACCTGTGTGTGGAACCAGTGGACCATAATAAAAAAGCACAAGCTCCTAAGTGTGTGATAAGCAGCGAAGAGGAGTTATACCCAATACGTTTTGTGCTTTGGCAATTGACATTGGCCAAGGTATTTAAAACAAAGTATCAGGAATTAAAACTTCTTTGGAAAGTTTCACAATTGGTAACTCCAGTGGCTTGAAAAGGCGTCATTTACGGTGCTTGGGGTTTCCATATTCTTCCACTTGACTTTTACACGGTTTTCGTTCTTCCGTGGGCTTATTTATACCCCAGATAATTATCACCATTTGGCTTACTCAAGCTGAAATATCGTATTTCACAATTCCATCCGGATCCCGTTCACTTTTAGCGTCGCCAGTCCTTTACCTTTCTTTGAAAGATACAAACAGCATATCCCATCGATTTACATCATTTCTTCCCATAATATCCTCATATTATTGCTCCAATGTTTACAGAAGATTGGCTCCCGCCAGATAACAGAAGAGGTACTCCTCAGTACGCCTACCCTGACCACAGAAGCCAGCTACATCCAGGCTACCTGGCGCCATTGCATCATCCCCAGTCAGCTCCACTGGGCTACTTCCAGTACCAGCATCTGTTTGCGTACCAGCCATACCTGAATTACCCAGAAACTTCATATGACCAGACGTCTCAGTATACGTATCCAATGCAAGTGCCAGCGTTCTGGCAGAAACAGGCGCCGGAGCCGTATGACGACACTACGTTGAAACCGTCCATGAAGGGCGATTCGACGGTGATTGAACGGCTCCAGCTCCTTCTTCCAGCGCCGCCATTGGCCAAGGCACCGCTTCGACCTGAACCACTTACAACCATGTCGCCTCGCCGAACCAAACGGAAACTGAAATTCACCAGAGAGCAGGACCAGCTCATCCTATCGCTCAAGCGGCAGGGCCGCCTGTGGGTGGAAATTGCCGATATCACTAATGTTGGCTCCTACTTGGCGGCTAGAAACAGGTACCAAGTCATTGTGGGACAGCAGGGCTCTACCAACTTGCTGTTTTCTCCAGAGAGTAAACAATACTTGCAAAAACTTCTTGACGCTGGCGAGCTCTGCAAATGGGACTACATTGCACAAAGGCTTTCGAGGTCTACAGGGAAACACTTTACGTCGAAAGCATGTCGGGAATACGCTAGGTTTCTTTTATTCAGCGACCCGGAGTCGTTGGGCGTGAACCAGCGGACGGTCCAAGAGCTTGAAAAGGAACATGAAGCCACAGATAAGTTGCTCAAGCAAGCCGTTCTCTCGTCGCCACAATAACTACAATAATCTCATGGATGGAAGCCCAAAAGTCAAAGTTTTCATATCGCTGCATTCCGAAGCGCCTCTAATTCTACAATCTTCTCCTGGCTCATGTGCTTCATATTCACGCTGTTCTATTTAATTTCAAAATGTACGATAGTATTGTTGTCTCCGGGCTCAATACAAGATGGATAAATCAACCAAGTGTAGACTGTCTCGTAGATAGATGGCGTTAAGGTACTAAGAATCTGGTCATTCGATGTCTTATAACGCCGAAATTCGTGATCAAGCGAATGACGATATATAGATCACAGCTACTTCTTAGCAGGCCATTCACGTATGAGGCCATTCCAAAGATGCGCCACATGCCACGCCCTTTGACCCTTTCAATCAATTGACACCAAAAGCCATTCCGTACCACGCCATAGAGCAAAGATATCAGAGCATATACTTCCAAATAAACTTAGATATCCTATTATTCGTACTCAATGAAAACAAACACCTCACTAAGCATCAATTGACAACATTCCACCCAATTCAGGCCTCCCGAAGCTTCTTCTCCACAATATCAATCTTATCCTGAGGCTGCTGTGCCTTATCAGTTCTCGTGCCCACTCTGATATCCAGCTGAATTCTCACCACACCCTTAGCATGCAACGCCTCGTGGAACCTTCCAATAAGATCCATCACGTCAATCCAAGGCCCAGCAATGGTTGTACCAGCTGAATGGAGAGTGGTATCAAGGTTCAGTTCACGTGCCATTTTGGTAATGATGGCAACTTCGTCCAGGACAGAAGCAGTTCCTGTACCAATTGGGATGAGACAGACGTCAGCAAGACAATGAATTGAAACAGCCATAGTGAAAGAAGGAAGGTAGTTGTAGATTAGGAGAAGATGGAGATTTGGAAATGGTGGAATAATGGGGGAGGATAGAGTGTGTGCAGGAAAGTTGGTTTTATTCGGACGATTCCGAGTACGAGGTATACAGGAATGGTTGCAAAAGTGGTCCAAGAGGGATAAGCTTTGGGTTTTACCAGGGACTTGGGTGGTCCGATGGAGGGTTTATTGAGAGGGTAGAGAGAGGATTTGAGGTTTGGATTGGTTGGTTGGTGGCTCGGTGTTGGGTTTAGGGGTGAGGGTAGGTTGAAGTCGGTGGAGGAGTGTAGATGGTCTGGAAGAAACACTTCTTGAAATGATGGTTTAATGGGTGGTATGTCGTTCCGTTACGTTTAGGCTTTTGGAGGCGAGGTAGGATGTGGTTCAGGCAAATACAGGTCTTGTTGGATGACTCGGTAACCAGGTCATGAGGAAGGAAGAGGTGACTATAGCTAGTTCAGTGACTATGGCTAGTTCAGTGACCATGGAAGATTGCAGCTTTTAATCGGATGTTTGGGACATTGGCAGGCTGCTTAAAGAGACAATGACATGTTATTGGCTTGACTGTCTTTTATGTGGTACGTTTAGCACAAGTACACCTTCATGTTGGACTTGAAACGCCCATTGAACAGTACCAACTCAAACTTCAAACCTGCTTCTTCTCGCCAACCCAGTAGCCAGTATATCACTTTCCATAACCCAACGACCTCCCTCTTTTCTTTTAAGGTTACTTCTCCCACTGCGGCTCTTCTAATTGGTACCCATAAATAACTCGTATACGTTCACCAAGACCCTCCAATGCAAGGCTCACCTGAAACGGACATTCATATCCGGTGTTCTTTTCCAACCTCGTATATCAGTTAATGCCCTGATTTCAATTGATACCGTAAGACCTCCCTACCCAACTTCATAGCTCTAGGCATACTTCTACCCATACTAGCCCACGTACTTCTCTCAATATATACCTCCTGGACGTTCCCCACCTTGTCGATGAATCAGATAACAGAGCCCCATTGAGGTACATGAACAGTATAATACTTTAAAAATATACCTAACAAATACGTCTACGAGGATCTCCCTTATACGGTAGTAGGAAGACGTCAAGAAACTATCCACCCTTCAGCTTCCTCCCAATTTCCAAGATCTACACGAAACCAAAATGGAACGACAAAAAGTGTACAGAAAAAGGAAAATGAAAAATAGACGAACCAAGCCAAAATAATATCCCCAGCCAATCAACGAAAAATGGCCTCCTGTTGATCCTAAAAAGTGGCCTCCTGTTGATCCAAACACTTGGCCATCACATCATATTTTTTTGTTTTTCTTCTCCTTTTTTTTATTATTATTTTCCCTTGCCTTTGTTTTGCAACCTCGTCTCCCCCAATTTCACCTCCTTTCCTCGGCACTTCCCTTTTAATAAAATAGAAGATCTGCCAAAGCGCCCCGACGCAACACTTGTATTTTCTTCATGCATCCTCTGCACCATGTTGCATTGTGGCTTCAGCACCTCGCACAGCCTTCCATGCACCGAAGACGGGTCAAGGAGTCAAGGAACCGAGGAAGCAAACCCTAGACAAGGACTAAAAGAGGTAGGTTAGATAACTTTCTTAAAGAGAGTAACTTTTCTGGCGATTTGTCTGGCGCTGGTTCAGGGCGGTGGTTGGGTTGGCGGGATGGTGGACTGCGGGTGCGGCTCATACACCATGTTGCAAAATCTCACCTCTTGGAATTCCAACCTGGGTTACATACGATGTAGCCGTGGAAAGAAAGAAGGTTTCTAAACACCGAAGTGCAGCTGGCGAACATTTTGAAACTTGGATATTATTGGGAGGTTGACTCCTGGGGTCCCAGGAAGCTCAAGTAAGTGCAAGGGTCTGCTGTAACTCATGGTGGTACCACTATTCACACAAGATGCTCTTTTTCCGTTGAGCTTTTGAAGCACAGTGAAGATGTCAATTCGTAATTAATTACAAGGGTTTTAAGATAGGTGATGGCTCTTACCTTTGGAAAACCTTAGTCGTAGAATGACAGAAGGATAGTGTATTTTGCAGCCAGCCTGGTAAGACAACAACTCAGATCTTCTACTGGAGACGACCTGTAAAATGAGATGGCCCCAAGTAACAACACCTTCAGGTACCGTTGGCATAAGGCATATCATAGAGAAAAATTGTCACTCATATTGGAAGGATCTTCGCCTGGTTTATAAGAGATCACCAGCGAGGTATCGTCTTCTCCACGTAAAGCGATCTTGTTTAAGGGTAAGAGTTGAGGTAAAGAACTCAACTACAAAAGTGGACTACAGAATACGATTCAAATAAGAGATCACTTCTTGATAAGTACTCTGCATGGAATCTATTATCGAAGGGCTAGCCATTACCAGCTCATCGTTCGTGGCAGGCCAACGGGAATATATAATACATTCAATGCTTATTGCATTATAAGACAAAACCATTCCAACGTGCCAACCGTTCACATCCCTGTAGGACCAACGTTTCATTAATACCTCTGCTCTTCTTGTCTACTCTTCGTCCTTGGTTTGTCTCTTGGATTGCAAGAAACGCAAAGGCATCTTGGAGACCTCTTCTAACAGTTTATCTGGGTTGAACTCCAGTCCTTCCTTGAACTGGTTACTGGCTTTTCTTAACGAGCGACCAGTTCCCACCAGCAGGATCTTTGCTTCCGCCTGGCCTTCTAACGACACACGGCGTTCTCTAGCACCAGTGTTTTCCTTAGAATAGCTCACTGGCTCCCATACTCTGGTAGGCTCCACCTTCTCACGTTCTTCCCATGGGAACACTTTCAGTGGAGCTTTAGGCAGCTCAGACACAGCCAAGTCCTCAAACTCAGGAAGGTTCTCTTCCTCCTTCGAGTCCCAAGCGTTCACCAACTTATTGAAGCTCAATTGGTGTGCCTCGCCTTGTGGTCTCAGCAAAAGATGTACTCTGGTACTCTCATCACCAAAAAACCCATCAAACTTCTTCCACCAGAGCTGTCTGAACTGCTCATCCCCTTCGAAACGAGCATGCCATGGCTTAGCGGCACCGATAAAGTGCACCAACTTAATATCGTCTCTAAAACGCTCCAATGCTGGCACATACTGGTAGTGAGCAGAGGGAGTCACATTATACACGAACGGAAGTCTCTTCCACGAGTACTCATTGTCTTGAAGAGTGAAAAACTCGTTCAAAAGACCCTGGTCGGCTCCGTCAAACGAAGGCTCGGCGCCCTTGGAAAACTCCACAATGTCTTTAAACGCACTTTCCAGTGGCTTAATAACAAACACGCCCAGGTTAAACAAGTCTGGCCATCCGATATCTGGAGCAGCAACAATGTCAGAGGTGCCAATTGACCCAAAATCTTCAAACAAACTGTCCAACAGCGTCAATGGCAAGGTATCGGAGTCAAGAAACACAATCTGGTCGTACTGAGTCAAGTTCCACAAGAGGATCTTGGAAAAAGTGATGGCCAACTCGCTTCTTCCTAGCTTCTGGGCCACACCTTCCACTGGTGCCAGCACCAGGGTGTCGCTAATGTCAATTACATCGTTGTAAACGTCTTGAATGAGAGAAACCAGTTTTTCGGTCAAACTGGACTTGTCTAGCAATATAGCCAACTGGGCACTGGTGCCATGTTCCAAAAGCGTTCTTCCAAGGGTGAGCGCACCAGCCACATAGTCTTCACCGTGAAGCAACGTTACATAGGCGACCGTCATGGTTTTCCAACAGAAAGAGATGTGCTACAAAAAATAGGACGTGGGACTTTTTCTGTGTTGCGACCAGGGTGCTGATAACAAACACATTGCCGAAAAGGGCACGCCCCAGGGGTTGCCCAAACAGCCCATGGGGTAGGATAGGCGCCGAGCGCGCAGAATAGAAGAAAAATAATCCACACTATCCAAGCACCCTATCCTGTTAATTTTGAAAAAATAACAGTTTTCCAATACATTTATTCCTCTACCATAGCTTCCCGGCTTTCTTTGATCTTTCTTTTTTCTTTTCGTCGGCTTATCGCTGTTCGTTCTTGCCGTCCACAAGACTCAGAACCATGCTGCGCGAGTTGCCAACGCCTTGCTGGTACACTGTGTTGTTGGTATTGGCGTTGGGAGCAGCACCTTCACCAACCTGGCCATTGACAGGCTCTCCAGCAGGAGCAGCACCGCTAGGTCCCATTGACGTGTGGCCTGGCGCCGTGCCTGGGATCGTGCCTCTGAGAACGTTGGACTGCCTGTTTGGGTTGGCAGCGTTCTCCTTCAATGCAATCAACTGCTTCGTTCTGAAACCCTCGTAGTGCACCAATGCAGTGGTCTCAATCAAGTCTTGCAAGTGGGTTCTGGTCAAGAAATCTCTCAAGAAGGTGAACTCACATTGGGAAACATCCTCAATGTTCAATGCACCCCATCTAGACTTTCTGCCTCTCACAAGCTCGCCATTGAGCTCGATCTCACGCTCCGATCCCGACACGGCAAATGGGATTAGCGACTTGATGTCGGCATTCAACTGCTTCTCGTCATCAAGCAAGTCCTCCGAGTCGTATGGATAAATGTTGAACTTGTGCTTGATGAAGTCGTTCTGCAACTGCCTCTTGAACGCAGTTCTCTCATTGAAAGTCATCGAGTCACTCTTGGCAATCACTGGCACCACGTTGGCGATTTCACTCAATCTCTTAAGCGCTTGCACGTCCAATGCCTTCAATTTCGTACCTGAAGGAGGAATAAAGTACAAGATACAGTGGACACGAGTGTCGGCAATGAAACGCTCTCTCTGGGCAGTCAACTCCTTACGCAAGTACTGCGAGTGCTGCTCCTTGATGTACTTGACGAGCGGCTCCCAGCACTTGTCGTTGTTGACCTGGTCTCCAAAACCAGGAGTATCAATCACATTCACATTCAACCTGACGTTGTTCTCGTTCAAAACATGCGAGTGGACCTTGATCTCGGTGGTCTTCTCGATAGGCGCCTCGGCAGAGCGACGGCCCTGGGTAGTGGCCAACTTCAGCGAAAACAAGGTGTTGACAAGGGTGGTTTTGCCCAAACCTGATTTACCCACCACCATGATGTTGAAGGAGAAACCTCTCTTCAACAATCTGTTCTCGATCTGAGAAGTGATGGTATCGAAACCCACGTACTTAATTGGCTGCGTCACGTTTTCTTCCACGGCAGACATGTTCGGTTTGAATATAGGGGCGGTGTAATTGACTACTTGTTCGTCTCTGTTGATGTTAGTGTTTTTTGTGCCTGGTCGATACGCGTTCGGTTCAGGCACACCCTGGCCATACTGGAGCCAGACAAAGGTCCAGGTAAGGGAAGGTGGGGATTGGAGTTAAGTGGAGAGGGAGAGTTGGTAAGTGCATTTTGGAGGTGACGTCTTTTTGGTTCGTTTTCTTCTTTTTTGAGTTCTTTGTGTTGTTCTACGAGACGGTGGGTCTTCACATGGAAGTGAGAAGAAGAACAAGAAGAACAGATGTATACTGAAAAGTACATATTTTCAGTTTTATTCTCTTTTTCAAAAACTAAGCACATGTTTTTTGATATAGATGTAGGGATCGATGAAGAATTGTATTTGAACTTGGAAATGCCTATGGTGCTATTCTTGGATGTTCTTTGGGATTCGCAGCCATTCATGTCAAAAGGCCAATGAGGAACACGGCCATAAGGTTACATAAATAGTATATCCATTATAAAGACCTGGTATAGATTTTTGATCTTGTTTTATTCGCTTGGTGCCCATTGGTGCTTTTGTTGACGCTTATATTGCATCGGTACTAATTGACACTCTTTGGCTGAAGAACTACAAGGCCAGCATGTGGGCTTCAGACACTACTAATGTTATGGGAGCAATTTAGTACTCATGAAGCTTGTCCATATAGCAAAGCAGTCCTCCTTCTTTTATTTAGTCTTTCCAACTAAGAATCTTTTTTCAGGTTAAGAGTAACTGGACGTAGCACTTCACTGTTCATCTCTTCTGCCAGAAGAAGAGGAAGTCTGTGTCCTCCATCGCCAAGTCAAGAGTCCACTATTCATTTAAGTTACCTTTTGTCTGTTCACTATAAAGAGAATCCAATACTTTTCATATTTTCTAAAAATAAATAGAACCACCTTTCCTCTTCACAACTCACTACTCATTCACGTTTTCGCAGCCAATATGGTCTTCTTTGTAGAAATATGAATACCCATCGAAACCACCAATACAAATAAAAAAGTGAAAACAATTAAAATATACCTACCAATTCCAGACAAAAAAGCATACTTCTTCCTGTTTTTCCTTCCTTTCCCTTAAACACCCATTTATGCCCTTCTCTTTCCTCCATCACCACCTCACTACCGCCAACCAACATCCACTTCCAACCACAACACTCCAAAACCAAATATCCAAAACCAAGCCATCAAACCGAAACAAACCTCCTTCTCCCCACCACCACCCTCCTAAAAGAATCTCCGTTCCCCTTGTTCCCTTCTTTGGTAGCCTCCAGTGGTGGTTCGCGCACGTGACTGAAAACTCTTCTGGCCTCAAGTTTTTCAAACCTTTCCACTTCACTCCATCCATCAATGTCTTTGTGTTTAAGGTTCGGGGCCATGTCGTTAGGCGGTGTTTCCGCTGCTCCTGCGACGCCTTCCATACTCAACGGCCTTGCTTTGGCCCTTCCACGTCTACCTTCCCTCAAACAGTTCCTCCCCAGGCTGCTCCACAGATATCCACAGACCCAAGACTAGAGGAGTTGAGGAAACAGATTGAGGACCAGGGCGAAGCTCCATTCATGATTGACAACGGCATGATCTTGAGAGCTGCTCCTAAGAAGAGAACATCTCACCGTAGAAGAAGAGAAAAGTTATATGCTTCTGGTGACAAGAAGATCAAGCCTTTGGAGAACTTGGTGAGATGCCCAGCGTGTGGCCACGTCAAGAGATCCCATTTCATGTGCATGCACTGTTTTGCCGAAATCAGAACGTTCTTGAAGGAGAAGAAGAAGGCTTTGTTCCCAGAACCCAAGAAGCCCCAGCTGGACTTGGATCCTGTGGATGAGAGAATCATTTATCCAATGAGAAAACTCAAACCTGAAGAGATTCAGCTCAAGTTGAGAGATTGGGTTCCTAAGAGAGAGAAGCCTTTGATGCATAACAAGGAGCAGACGAGAAAGAAGTGAGTGATGAACTTGTAAATATACGTATATATAAATGGACCAACCAAGCATTGCTTGACATGTGGTAAGATAAGTAAGGGGAATGAGGAAGTAAGATAGTGTTTAAATGGGAGCTATTGGATTACGTGGGAGTCCATGGCACGTTCTTTAGGTTTAGTTGCGTGAAAGAAGTCGTGGAAGTCATACACAAACGGTCGGACTAGGAAGAGGCTGGCCAGATTTTGCTTTCTTATGACAGAAAGATACCAAATTATCCTTCAAAAAACTGACCATCACTTGTTGTGCTGTCTAAGTCTCCGGTTAATATATAAGACTGATTACACTAGGTGATACAGCAAAGGGATCAGAGACAGATCCAAACTATAACTAGAATAAACAAGAGGCACTGCTCCAGCCTCAACTTAAACTACTATACATAGACAATTCAAGTGGATAGAAAGCCAGTCTACAAATCTGGATGTCTTCAGTTATAGGCTTCTCATCCAGCCCAGCCATTGCATCCAACCTTCCAGTCCAAGCATATACTAAATGAACCAAATTCTAATCCAAAATCTTGTCTAAAGCTTCAGAGCTCTCTTGCAATCCTCTAATAACCTTCCTTCTACTTGCCAATCTTTACCTTACTGTCTGGCCATTTCGCAGCCATTTCCAAGGGTCCATACTCCACCTCTTTCAACCCTCAAGCAACCATTCAACCGCCTAAGGAACCCCCAATTTCCCAACTTTCCAAACTAGTCATCCCCCTCAACATTCTCCAAACTCAACTCCATCCCACATCTTTGTCCTCCACTTCCACCACCTCCACACTTCCCCCACCTTCTTATATATAGTAGTGAGTGAGCCTCATCAGCCGTAAAAATACGACACATTGTTCGATTGCAGCTTGCTTAGACGAAAGGTTAACCAATATCGAACAAAACGGTACCGTCAAGGCCCCAAAAGCCACTCAAACCTCTCTCACAGTATTAATAAGACCCTCTCACGTCCCTCTCATCTCTTCCCATGCTTATCAGATCCATCGCTGCGAACTTTTTTTTCCATTTTTCACTCCTACTACATCACCATTCCATCATGCCCCAGCCTATACCCAAAAAGAGAAAAACATATACCAATAATCCCAGAAATGCTGCCATTTCAATGGTTTCCTCACAACATCCCCTTAATGTAAGACCTCTGGGTAACCTATACCTAGAAAGTGGCCCTGCTCTGGGTGCTACTAGAGAAGAGCTTATGGGAGACTTTGCGTTGTTCCCAGAAGAATTGCTTTTGGAGGTTTTGGGATTTGTCGATGACGCTCAGGCATTGAAGAACCTTTCACATGCGTCTCGTGTTCTATATGCTTACTTGTACGATGAAGAGCTCTGGAAGAAGCATTACACTCAGAAGGCACAGGCCCAGGAGAAAGAAGGCGTGGAACCTCCAAAGATTAAATGGAGAGGGCTGTGGAGACTCTCTATACTTGGCTTGGACGCTCAGTATGAAGCAAAGCCTCAGATTCCAGGAAACATGCTTTGTTCAGATGTGCTTTTCAGACCTTTCCAGTGTTCTCAGGTGGACTATACTAGTATATTCTGGAGGGTTATTAAGGAGGAGGAATTGTACCATAGAGACAGTTTGGCTACTCAGGAGCCGTTGGATGAGGTTCTTCCTTCAGGACGTATTCCTAGACTTCCAGAGCTGCTGTTGACGCAGGAAGTGTTTGATAAGTCATGGAGCAACAAGCCGTTCATTATGACCAATAGCGATTCGTCAAGATGGCCACATTGGGATTTAGCAGCGCTCTTGGAAAGGTTTGCTGATGTGAAGTTTCGTCAGGAAGCAGTTCAGTGGCCTTTGTCGTTGTACTCACAATACCTTGCTAAGAACAGAGACGAGAGTCCATTGTACTTGTTTGACTGCAACAGTAAAGCCATGCAAACGCTCAAAAGCGAGTATGTGGTTCCAGAAGTGTTCCAAAAAGATGCATTTAAAGTATTTGAAAAATGCCGTCCTGACCATGCCTGGTTGATTATTGGTTCCCAGCGTTCTGGCTCTACCTTCCATAAAGATCCTAATTGCACACTGGCGTGGAATGCAGCCCTCGTTGGAAGGAAACTATGGATCATGCTTCCTCCTGATGTTGTTCCACCAGGTGTGAGTACTGATGATGATGAAAGCGAAGTCACCAGTCCAGTGGGTATTGCTGAATGGGTACTTTCTGGCTTCTACAATGACTGTGTTAATAATACTTCGGCTCAGATTGGTATTACTTTCCCTGGCGAGTGCATGTACGTTCCTTGTGGATGGTGGCATATGGTGATTAACTTGGATGACAGTGTGGCACTTACACAGAATTTCGTGCCCAGCATACGACTTGGCAACGCCTTGAATTTTATGAAAAACAAGAAGAAGCAGGTTTCTGGATTCAGACCCGCTGAGGTGAAGAACGCTTTAGAAGAGATCTTGGCTGCCTGTCAGGATGACGAGGATGCCGAGACAATTAGAAACTGGGTTCGAAAGTTTGACGAACTCAACCTTAAAGAAAATTTACAAAACGAAGATTGCGGTGAGTTGTTGGAATCTGAGCTTCCAGCGATGCCCATTCTTGAGCTTTTCAAGTTGCTTCTCACGAAGAACGGCAAGACGGAAGAGTTGGCTAAAGGTCTTGAAGATTTGGCCAAGCTTGAAAAATCCGAGTTGGCCAAAGTGACAGGAAAGAGTGAAATGTGGACTAAACTTACGGAAGCTCCACTGTTCAGCTTTGGCTTTGCATTGAACGAATAACGGTTTACGGATGATGATAAGGATATGGGGACCAAAAAGACCCCAAAAGGTGGCCAGGGAGGCCACCAGGACGACCACAACAAATAGATGTTATAATTAATGATGCTTTTCTTTTTCTTTTTTTCAGTTTTCAACTTTTTCATATTTTGCACCCAAAAGATAGACATGCATTTCGCAGCCAAACCAGTAGCCAACCATATACCATGAACCAACCAACAAGCCTTGAACCAAATCACCCTAAATACCAAACCAAACTTAGCCCCTGACATCCCTCCATCTCGCCATCACCATACCCATCTCTTCACCTCCAAGCCTCTGCGTTCCTACACTCCACCCATTGTGACCTCACCTGACTTCGATCTGACTCCGATCCACATACCACCAGAACCACCACGAACTGGCCAAACCTAATCAAATATCCAAACCACCTTCTTCCTCAAAAAACCATCCCACCTCTGACTCAGAGCATCAACGTTGCTGACTCACTACCCATCTATCACCCCACTCCTGTATCTGCGCAGTCCACCATCACCATGTTTCGGAAAGCGTTACCCACTTTTCGTCTTTTCTCCAACCCCAGAGTCTTTTCCACATCTAGAATGACTCAGACCGAAAAGCCCATCATCTTTGCTCCTCCCACGTACCAATACACTAAGGGCCACTTGAACGAGCTGGAAATCGACACAGACCCTATAGAACAGTTCCACAAGTGGTTTGATGAAGCCAAAGCTTCCGTGCCTGAAGGGCTGTCGATAATTCCAGAGAGTGTCACGTTCTCAACGGCTAGGCTTCCTCTGGGAAGAGTTTCGCTGAGAGTGGTGTTGCTTAAAGAGTTGGATACTCATGGGTTTATAGTGTACTCCAACTGGCAGACATCAAAGAAGTCTCAGGACTACGAGCTGAACAAGTGGGCGTCGCTTACGTTCTTCTGGCCCTATGCACAGAGACAGGTTCGTGTTGAAGGAAAGATGGAGAAGGTCGAGAGAGATATCTCCCAGAGATACTATGATACGAGGCCTAGAGGGTCGAAGATAGGCGCCTGGGCTTCCCCACAGTCACAGGCTATCAAGAGCAGAGACGAGTTGGACACTTACTATAAGAAGTACGAGGAACAGTTCAAGGACAAGGACGACAATGGCATTGAATGTCCCGAGTTCTGGGGCGGTATGCGTATTGTTCCGTATGAAATTGAGTTTTGGCAAGGCGGAGTCTCCAGGCTACACGACAGGCTTGTGTTCCAGCGGGAGTCTCCGGACCAGGCGTGGGCCGTACAGCGTCTTGCTCCATAGGCTGGTTAGACAGGCTTTATAGGCTTGAATAGAACGTTAGACTGAACGCAGGGCATGCTTGGTATGTCTAGAAATAGAGTGAAGAGCAATTGACGAGGGAGCAGGTATTGGCGAGAGACAGAGGATATGGTTGCTGAACCAGTGCTACAAACAACAATTGGTCTGTTTGTGGAACCAACAGGTTCATCGCTTCCTATGCGTTTACATGGTCCACACATCAAGGGTATCAACGGAAGCTTAAAGTTTACCACGAAAAAGAAGGTTCTTCCCAAACAGCTCAACCACTATACCTCTCCCTAAGCCATGCAGCCCTTCCAGAAACTGCTTTGTGTTACTTTGAAGCGGCTGGGCACATCTCTGTGGCTTGAAATTGAGACTCCGTACCATGGAGATCTAGAACCTACAGAAACTTCAAAACCATAAAATGTTCAATTGATCTAAACAAGACGTCTAACCACTTACTTGAATCTCAGCACGAACTCAGCAAAGTTCTCGCCCTGGACCTGAGCAATCTGCTTCTCCAAGTCGGTTGGCTGTCTGGAGCCATCAGCACCAGCATAAGTACCAGCTCCCCAAGGAGAAGCGCCATGGACTTCTTCCAAGTTGGTAAGCAATGGGAAAGCCTTACCGTAACCCAATGGCACATATGTGATACCATGGTGAACCAAGGTAGACAAAGAGTTCAAGGCAGTGACCTCCTGGCCACCACCTGGAGTACCGGTAGACACAAAAGTGCCAGCCACTTTACCTTGCAAAGCGCCCTTGGCCCACAAACCGCCAGTGGAGTCCCAGAAGGCCTTCCATTGAGCAGGGAAGTTACCGTACCTGGTTGGAATACCGAAAACGAAGTAGTCGTAGTCGGTCAAAGTGTCCAAGGTAGCAGTGGGGAAATCAGGCTTTGGAGGGGCCTTCAACTTCGCCAAAATGTCTTCCGACAAGGTTTCTGGGACCTGGAAGATATCAGCAGAGAGACCGCCAGCAGCCACGCCCTTCTGGACTTCCTTAGCAAGCGTAGCCACATGGTGGTACAAGGAATAGATGATGATAGCGACTTTCTTTGTCATTGGTGGTAATTGGATGAGGATAGAGAACAGAAGAAAGAGGATTATAAGGGCAATTGAGCTTCTTTATATACCCCAAGCCCATCCCTGATCGGTCCAGAGCAACTCCATGTCTTCTAAGGCACAGGCGCTATGCATCTCTTTGGTGGCTGCGAATCCACACTATGAATGGAAGCCTGGCCGAATTAGTAGTGGTTTACTAAAATGGGGAATGTAAGGGGTTTGTCGAATATTAGAAGAACAAGGGGATGAGGGATTTATGTCGTTTGATTGATTTGACAAATCTTTGACGTTGGGGATCTGCGGAAGAAGACGATAAGCCACAGTTTGGTGTAAGCTGTGGATCGAAGGATCTGTGTACCTTGAGATGATTTAGATAGACGAGAATTGGTCTGGAGTTGTTGAATGACAGTGTTACTAGTGGTTTTGGGCTTTGTAGGTCTTTTGATGCCTCAATTGATGGCGTATTGCTTGTTTGCTGTCTACATGCATCGCTCACATTATGATAATCATTCTCTATTAATTTCTAAACCTTTAAACGCTCAAAGCTTCTGGACAGTCTCGAAGAAAGACTGGCCCTGGATCTTGGCAATGTCCAATTCCAAGCTGGATGGCTGTCTGGAGCCATCGGCACCAGCAAAACTACCGGCACCGTATGGAGAGGAACCGTGCACCTCCTCCAAGTTGGTGATCTGGCCAAAAGCCTTGGCGTAACCCAATGGCACGTAGATGATACCGTGGTGGACCAACACAGACAAGGCGTTGACAATGGTGGTTTCCTGACCACCACCTGGAGTACCGGTGGAAACGAAGAAACCAGCAGCCTTACCGTGCAAAGCACCAGAAGCCCACAAGCCACCGGTGGAGTCCCAGAAAGTCTTCCACTGGGCTGGGTAGTTACCGAATCTGGTTGGAACACCAAACAAGAAAGCGTCGTAGCTGGTCAAGGTGTCCAAGGTAGCAATTGGGTAGTCTGGTCTAGCTGGAGCACTCAACTTCTGCAAAACGTCAGCAGAAAGAGTCTCTGGAATCTGGTAGATGTCAGCCTGACCGCCGGCAGCCTCGACACCCTTCTTGACGGACTCGGCCAATGTGGCGACGTGGTGGTACAAGGAGTAAATGATGATAGCGACTTTCTGAGCCATAGTTAATTGAGGTTGTTGGTTTTTTTCTGGTGTTCGGAAAAAGTGGGAGGCACAACGGGTACTCTTATATTCTGGGTTGTTTTGCACCCGCCTTAATAATATGCCAGCTTGCCGCCAGGCCAGCAAAGGTGCGTTTCAGGCCATGACAATTGCAACTGTGCATGTAGTAAAGCTTAGTCAAATAACAAGAGATGCAGCGAACTCCAGCGAATGTTTGTCAAGATGCCGCAGCAGTCGTGCATCTAAGCGAGCTGGGACGGCATACAACCGCGGTTACAAACACGGTAGTAAAATATTTGTCAATGCTGCATTTGACTAATGTCTTAGTGGAGCCGATTCGCAGCCACGATTGGTAATCTACCAGCAGAACACCTAATCTGTTTGTATACGCCTCTTCATGTAGTCCGACTGCTAGCCGCCCTTTATCTGTTGACGTTTCCCACATTTCTTGTACCCACTATTTTTCGTTTTCCATCCATAAGATGAAGGTTGCTATTGTCTATTATTCCACTTATGGCCATGTGCTTACCTTGGCCAAGTCTATCAAGGAAGGTCTTGAGTCTTCCAAGGAGGTTTCCCAGGTGGACCTTTTGCAGATTCCAGAGACTCTCTCCAAGGAGGTTCTTGAACAATTGCATGCTCCAGAGAAGCCTGAGTACCCACTTGCAACCGCAGAGAAGATTGCCGAGTACGATGCTCTTCTTTTCGGTTACCCAACAAGATTCGGTAACTTGCCAGCTCAAGTGATTGAGTTCTTTGGCCAGACCAGTGGTCTTTGGGTTTCTGGTGGCTTGTACCGTAAGCCAGTCGGCGTTTTCACTTCTGTCAGCTCCGCTGGTGGTGGTCAGGAAATCACCATGAGAAACGTTTTCTCTTATGTTGCCCACCACGGTATGGTTTTTATTCCATTGGGTTACGGCAAGGCTTTTGCTGATATCACAAACTTGCAAGAAGTTCACGGCGGTACGCCGTACGGTGCTTCCACTTTCGCTGGTGCCAATGGCTCCAGAAAGCCATCTGAGTTGGAATTGAGAATCGCCAAAACTCAGGGTGAAACTTTCGCTTCTAGTGCTGCAAAGATCGTTGCTGCCTCCAAATCTTCTTCCACTGACACTTCGGGCCCAGCTTCCACCGAGAAGGAGGCTTCAGCTTCCAAGGAGAAAGAGGCTGTTGAAAGCGAAGAAAGCAGCGAAGCTCCAAAGACCGAAAAGAAGACCCCACAGAGAGTCCAGGAGTCTTCAAAGCCTGCTGCTAAAGAGGACAGTGGTTGCGGTGTCAAGTGTGTGATTGTTTAATAGATAGAAAGAGCCAATCCTGAAAAAGGGCACCGCATGGGCGGTGTATTTGTTAGTAATAGCCAATGTGCCAATAATAGATATACTTACGTGATGAAAAAAGATAACTTCCCACTACCGCTTCACCTTCAGCTCCATTTAGGTGCAAGGCTGTGATGCAGCACGCAATGCTAATGATGCCATGATCGGTGAGACCAATGTCGTCAGCCATCCACCTCAAATCCCAGACCCATTGAGTCTAATGCTTTCATGCTTTCGTACAAGTATGTGTGCACTGATCCATCCACCAGATTGGATAGCCAAGTCTACTCACATTGACTCAAAGGACCCTTCGTGGAACTATCTTCTAACCGTAGCAGGGCGTCTTGACTATGTTCAACTCAAAAATACAACCTATGATGAATGCAACAATCTTTCGTAAAGCCGTTAAGAGCTCTTTAGAATAACTGGGAGGCATATACCTGTTCGAGACCCGTGGAGGGTCTATTTTTGCATAGAAAACAAACAGGCCAAAGCAAAAGATCTGAGCACAGGATACGGAAATTTGCAACTGTAAGGGTTGAAACCAGCCAGAGGCTGCGAGAGCTACAGAAGGTGTTTTGCTTCCTGATGCCTTAAGCCCTTGCAAGAATGCAAATTTCGTTTTTCTCGTCACAGGTGCTTATGGGTACAAGAAAGCCACTGACCGCATTTGAACCAGGATACACAGCCAGTTAGGACATTCCAGAGCCGGAGCGACTGTTCAGTATTCGTTCATAGGGAAGTAAACTTCCCCTTTCGTGGACTGAACAGTCTATCTATGGAAGTCTCAGCTCGATACTTCGTACCAAACCTTTCAGGAAAATGCATCTCTACCTCACGCCCGTCAGCCCTTCCAGGGAGCCAAAAGTCCTCAGAAGTACAAGCAAGAACATCAAAGCAATCATGGAAACCCTTCCATACTCCCAATGGGTTTTCTTAGGTGTCTGGGTTTGGTAAACCGGGTGCCGAAGCCCAGACAGGGTCTAAAGAGCCCTGGCCATGCCTCAACGACTTGTACAAGAGCACATACCGAATCGGCAAAACCAGGCCAATGAGTATCCTCAAAAGTTGCATTCATCATAAAAAGAAGTACTTTTTCCTCGAAGAACACGGTCAAAACACGTCCACTAGGCTCTTAGATCAGACAAGGACAACTTCAGGCCATTGAACGCACCTCAGCTCATAGCCAAAGAGCCGATGTACTGCCAACTACCAAGCAGCCCTCGTAGAGCATGAAGCCATACATGAACATGTATGGGAAACAGTATATGGGAAGAAAGGGCTAACCTTTTTTGAAGAGTTGAAAGATCAACGAGCTCTGGTTATATACTTGTACACCCGTACCTCCGATGGAGTAGTAAGAGTAGTCAATGGCTGAACTTCAAGGCCAGAGGGGGCCAAGAGGAAGAGAATTGAAGGGCTTAGGTGTTAATATGAAGTGCATACATTTGCTAAAGTCTTTAATTGGGGTCTGTGGCATCTGGGTGAGTCCACGGTCGATTCGCATGGTTGCAAAATGGACTTCGAGAAGACCGACCATGGCTGATAGGCAAATGTTCTTACCACGACCCGAAAAATATTTAGTTGTGTTAAGAAATACCGATACATTATCTGAAGTGTTTTTGATACACTGTATTGCACGATCTCTATCAACGTCCAACAGACTAAAGTAGCTCCAAGAACACCAACCGCGTAGTACTAGTGAGTACTAGTGAGTACTAGTGAGTACCCAGATGTTACGTAAAGCATCTTCCACCTTTTGGAATTAGTTTATGGAAGTAGCTAGGAAGTTGTCCTCTTGTAAGCAGCTAGCTAATTAGCTGTATCATCCACCTTTCAGTAGTCCAGTGCCATACTAGTAAGTATATCCTGCTGGTTAAGCTTTACCCAACCTAGATCCCCATGTTACTCCTCTACCACCACAGCTACACATCCATATAAAGACAACGATTAACTAAACAAGACCAACTACTAAAAATCTGGCCGTGGGAAGGTCTTGATATAGTCAATTCCTCCCACACACTGCGGCACAGTAAGCTGGTTCGAACCAATAGCTCTATGGATCTTAATTCCCACATCCACAGTTCTCTTTGCAGAGTCATGTTCCAAAACAAGACCTCTTCCACCGTTATTCCTCTTATACAGCAAAATACCATTAATCACCTCCCTATCATGTTTACTCTCATCAGACACCAACAGCCAGTCCATGGTATCGTAGTCCCAAAGCACCAGCTGCATTCCAAACTGGCGCACGATAGCACGAACTCTGTTGTCAATACCGCCATAAGGAGGTCTAAACCATTTAGGCAAATGGCCATAAGTGGCGTTCATTGCCCAAATCGACCACTGGATCTGGGCGACGATTTGCTCGTTGCTAAGCAGTGGTAAGAATGGATGGGACCAAGTATGGGAGCCCATGATATGGCCCATATCAGCGGTATCTCTATAGATCTGAGGGAACCGTACCACGTTCACGCCAATAGTAAAGAAGGTCGCTTTACTACGAAGTTGGCTCGTAAGCGCTGGCGTAAACTGAGTAGGCCCATCGTCAAACGTTTGACTGAGCCTGGGACAAGTGTAGACGTCGTCAGCAGCCACACAGTTTGCACAGTCAAAAGAGCACACGGCGCCAGAAGTAACGTGGTGAGGGCAGTCGCCCAAAGTACGTTTCCAAGAATCCAGCTGAGGAGGCAAGTCATTGAAGTTGATGAAGTCCATAGGGATATACGGAGGATCAAGCCCAGGCCACTCAGTGATACCAGTAAAATCGGTAAGCCACTGGGGCACAGGCAAAGGAGAGCTTGCTACAGCCATTTTAGGCTGAAAGAGATTGATCGAAGACCGAAAAGAGAGCGCCAAAGAGGAGGCGAAGAGAAACGGGATGAATAACATGGGAAGAAGAAGTGGTTGGAGTGGGTGCAAATAATGGCTGCGAAAAAGTACAAGATATGGAGGTTGGAGAAGGACAGGGGGACGAGAATGGGGTAGCACGGGATGAGACTGAAGAAGGTAGGGACTGAAAATGGGTCAATTGGGTGGACCTAGGTGAATGGTGGTAATTTTGTGGTGAATTGGTTACAGTGGAAGGTAAATTGTGGGTGTGGTGGTGACAGTAGTGTTGAGGAAGATGATTGAGAAACAACCAACGCTACTCGTCAGGGAGAGATATTCCGAGAGTCTCTAAAGAGTGAAGGACATCTAAACTAGCATGTAAGTCAATTGGCTGCGTTTTGGCAGCTCTGTGGGCTTCATTAGTACATGTGTGGCATACAACTACTCCGAAAGCCTGGTCTACCAGGGCAGTATACTCAAGACACAGCTTACATGGCCTGGATCCTTCCCAATCTTGGTAATAAACAGAACTAAGAGTCTTCTAGGGCCTTTTAGGATTTAGATAGCTACTTCCTCGCATCATCCATGCCTAGAACCCATACTATGCATCATGTTGATGAGTCTCACCAGTTACACCATCACCACCATCAACAGAGATACAACGAACACTACCAACTCTAAAGTCTAACTAGAAGGCTTCGATTATTCTAGAAAATAAAAAAAAAACGCCTACCATTCAAGCCACGCCTTTTCTTGGACTTCTCCATCTCCTTCCTCTCTTTCCCTTCTACCAAACCTTCTCCACATTTCTTGTTCACCATCGCTGTGACGTCAGATCCACTAAGCACCGAAGAACAGTATACAACGAAAAATCTGGCCCCTGGACAATGAGTGTGCCTCTCCTGAGCCATTTATTTACCCCCTATTGACTTTTCAGAAATCAACAAAATGCATTGTCCCAGGTATTAATAGCTCACCTACAAAGCACCAAAAGCCCCCACCCCCAAGGTACCACCCCAACCACAACCCCATCCAATTTCAGGAAGTGGAGTCGCCGACAACTTCATTCCTAATATCCCAGGTAGGACCAAAGGAACCCGTTAGGTCCATGTCTAGCGGTTATCACCAGGAATACCCAAACAGTGAGGCCTCCATTGGAGAAGGAACTACAGACAACAGACGAGACTACAGGCATCAGACAACACTTAAAGTATTGTATCGTAAACAAAAAACCACCTACAGTCCTACTTACTCATTTCTTAACCTATTACTAATACCCTCTTCTTCCTAGACCACTTCTTTCTTATCGCCCTACCACTTTTCATATGCGGTGGGCTGGTCACTCGGGGTTTGAGGGGATTGGCGGGGCGGTTGGATTGGGGTAGGTCTGGGAAAAAAAAGGTGACGTTAGCGAGCGCAAAATATGCTGCTAGTTGGCAGTGACAGGGAAGCCTGGAACAATGGGCAGTGCTGCCTGGAGGTAAACGGTGGTGCTGCTCGCGCAACGTGGGGTCCACCAAAGGAAGGGAGAGAAAGGGAAGTGGTGTGAATTGTAGTAGTTAGGGGGCGTGGTGGGGAGGTGAGGGAAATTTGGCGCCGAAAGTGGGTCTTGTGGTTCGAATGGTGGGATTTTTGTGGGGAGAAAATGGCGGGAAGGGTGGTTCAGTTGGGGGTTGTTGAAGGAAGGGAGGGAGATGGAGATGGGGGGTTGTTGCGCTCAGCCAGCAAACCTGGGGTAAACCTACCGAGGGAACTGAGGCAGTGGCAGAGACAGAGGCAGTGGAACGAATAGGGGTACAGGATGGGAAGAAAACTTCAGGAAACTAAGTAACAGCATCGCTGTTTTTCTATTTCTGTTTCTGTTCATTAATACGTAGCAATAGGTAGAACCCGTGGGTGGTAATAGATAGGGGCCCTGTGGACCAGGGCGAATGAGAAAGCTGCTTGTATAGATAGCAGCATCGAATGCAAAACAAATCCAGCGTGGAGTCTAGTGTGTGCTGGAGTCTAGGGAGTGGGGTTATGGGAGTGGTAGAGATGGCAGGAGGGTTCATGGACTGGGATCGTAAGCTGGAGATGCCGTGGCTTCCAGCCCTCCATCGGCTATGATCCGTGGAAGCTGCTCCATCTGAGCAAATATCCATCCCTTACCAGAGAAACCACAGAGAACTGGGTTTCTCCATCCCTCATCATAGAAGCCACACCAGAGAAGTCACTGACGTGCCTTCTCCGTGTGTCTTCTAGAAACTCACACTTTCATACCTCCTCCGGCGCTTCTCAGCACGTAACGTCGCCACCTTCTGCTCCAACCGGTTCTCCATAGCAGCCTGTTCCCCCTGCATCACACTGGCTATCTGGGCACTGTTCATCTTGCCAAAATCCACCACCGTAGGCTTCTCTGCCTCTCTAGGCTCCTCATTTGCAGCCACTTTCCCACCTAGACTGCTATTCCTTCTGGCCCTCTTTCTAGGCACTTCAATCTGCCAATTCCCTTCTTCGCTCAACCGGCTGATTTCCCGAACATACTTCATCACCGCCGCTTCTTGTCTTCTTTCCATAAGATCAATCGTCTGTTCTCGTGTAAGCGTCCAGGGCTTGACCCTATCCACATCTCCAGCCGAGAACCTTCTAGTCGGGCGCATTGTAGACATTGTGAAAGTTTGTTATTCAAAAAGTGTAACTTGTGTTTCTGAAAACCAGATATTTTTCACTGGTCCGAATCATCCGGCGATGCTGCCTCTTTTATCTTATCGCATACACCACCAAAGGGAAACCTGAGAAAGCGTGCACAGTTGCTGGGGCTGAGGAGGGGGAAGGGTGTGTCTTTTTTTTTTGTCCCCGTATCTGCCTGTCTGGGCTTGTTTGGCCTCCTTTTTTTTCTTCGGTGGCCGCGGGGCAGCTTGGTCACTGGGCCGAAAAAATCCCATCCTGTCCCCATCCAGTCCCCTAATTCTGCCACAGTTTGGGGAAGAGAAGAGATGAAGAGATGAGAAGAGACGAGGGAAAGAAGACAATGGGGGAAGAAAGAGGTTTTAAAGAGTTTCTTTCATCGTAGAAAGTTCTCTTTATTTTCTGTAGTTCTTTTAAATATTTCTTCCTTTTAAACTTTCTGGGGTCTGCGGTTACGGTGGAATTTCATGCCTGGTGCTTTTTCTGAGTTTTCTGAGTTTTTCTGTGTTCTGCCTGGTTTTTCGCAGTAATCAGCCCAGTGTGACTGGGAATGCATCGTCTCCTCACACTTTCCTGGGGAGAGCCTTTCTTCTTGAACTTGCTGGATTCATGGAAAATGTAGAAAGATAAAAAAAAAAAAAAAAAAAAAAAAGAAAAGGGAAACTAAAGAAAAGGGATGAATGAAGAACAACAAGTTTGAAGTATTGGAAAGAATGGACCTCCATGGCAGTTGGTGATATTACTGCCTCAGGGCTCTGCTTGCTGCTGTGCTTATCAGTGCCATTTTCTTGTCCTTACTTCTGGTTTAGTGACATCAACAGGAAGACCTTGGCATGGCTTCCCTATTTCTCCCTAGATCACCGTTATAGATCAGATGTCTTGGATCGGCGACCGTCTCGTCGTCACTTCCTGATCCCGTAAAACTGCCCTTGGAATGTACCTGAAAATCTACAATCTACAATCTCCAATCTACAATCCGCCGTTCCGTCAACCCCATCTTCCGAATGCGTATTATTGTCGTTCTATTTGCTCCTTGGAAACCGTAGTTCTCTCCTCCTCCTCTTCTTCTCTATGCTATGGCCTTCTCAGCCTCGGACGACGCCCTGGCAATCAACTCAATCTGCTCCTTCACCGCTCTGGTCAAAAACTCAATCATTACAATATCCTGGTTGTGCGACTGGAAGTGCTCCTTCAACAGCCTCAAGTCGGCCAAGCTGGTAGGCTTGTTCACTAACGTGTTACTCAATGTACGCAACAAGTCCACATCAGCATCGCTTCCAGACACATTGTCGAGATATTGCAACAATTGGTCAACTTCTTTGGTAACAGAACCAATTTCATTCTGCAACGTATCCAAGCCCTGCTCGTGTGCTTGCAAAGTCACCGAGTTATCCTTTGGCGACGTGTTGTGGAGCATGTTCAACGCCAATTTCTCAGAAACAGTGTTGGTAACCACCTGGTGGGGAACGGGGCTGAAAATGTAAGAGTTGGTGGTGGCGCTGGTCTTCCAGCCGATTTTCTGGACTGGTCTGCCGATAGCAGCTCCAATGTATGTGGTCAACTGAGGCATCTGGATCTGCTCGTCCTTCAAGTACGACACATTCAAGTACACAGCTGGGAATGGGTATGCTCTGTCAGCACCCTTGGAGTAGAAGTCGTGGATCAAGCCAGTGGATCCGTCAATAACAGAAGACAGATCAAACCAACCAAGCACAAACTCCTTAGGGTGGGCCTTCTTGTACAATTGGTAGAGGGTCTTGTGAGTGTGTTCTTCGATGGAGATGGAGTCACCGGTTTCCAGACATGGAACCATGAAGGCGTCTCTAACGTCGACGCTGCTGCCGTCATCAGAACGAACACCGAGCAATGTACCGATTATTCTCTTGTTCTTGTTCTCTTTGAGCACCTGCTTGGAGACGATCTCGAGGATATGGAAAAGGGCCGAGTTGTGGATCTTCACAGACACGGTGGATGGGCCGGAGGGGGCTGCTGGAGCCGCCACGGTGGGCCTGAACAAGTGCATGTACGAGTCAGACATGGTTTTTTGGAGGGCCTTTTTTGGGTGTTATGGAACGATTGGTGTTTGAGATATTCGAGATGGATGTCGACTTTTTTTTTTCACTGAAGGTCACGTGCGCAAAGTTGGTCAGAGTAGGTGGACCAGCCTAGGTGAAAGTCGGTGGCAGAGGTATCTGTTGGTAGTTGGACGATTTTAAGTGATATAATATCTGAGTTGGGTTTGGTTTGGGTGGTTTTGGGTGTGGTTGTTATCGTGGTGGTGGAGGAGGTGGACCCTTTCGCAGCCATACATAGTAGATTGGAGAGACGTGATAGAGACTGAAGAGTGGGATGTAGATTGGAAAAAACTATCGTATGTGGAACAAAAAGATTACATTTTGCCTAGAAAAATCTTTTTATGGTTTTTTAACCTTCGAGGTACCTGATAACGTGTTTGGTTGAAACATGGTGGTACCCAATCTATAGACTCATAGTAGGAATACATAAAAGGTAGTGCTAGTCCTTCTAAACCATAAGAGCTATTTCCAAATTACTAGATTCCTTAGAGAACTTTTGAAGAAGAGAAATCTTGGCATATCGTGAATTACAACTTAACAACAACCTCCTTACAATTGGCTGCAAAATACATGTACTACCCATATTTAAGTCTTAAGGAAGCCGACAAAAGACAGCCAGGCTTGGATGTCTTTGAATACTAGCTTTCAAAGTAATCTTATGAGATCCACAAATAGTCAATTGGTGTTCCATTCTGAACTACCTCGTTTGTCCATACATAGAGCTTCAAAAGGGCCATACGAAACAGCTAAAGTTTCCATCAAAAATCACCAGAGCCTCAAAAGACACTTACCCCGTACCCAACAACGAAAAAGTATCTATCACTCTGAAAAAAACCATTATATTCCACGCCCCACACGTCCACCTTCGATCTACCCTATCTCTAGGTGTACTTCGCGAAACATCAACACTCATCACGAACTACTATGGCCGAGGAAACAGAGAGGGCGTTCCACAACACGTGGCTTTTCAAAGCTGACGATGTACTTAATCGCTCGCCGTCGCGGAAACAAATGACTGTGCCACAAATCTTAAAAGTTTATGAACTGATATACGACTTTCTCGTGAGACTAGCATCTGTGCTTAAGCTTGATGGACGAACCATATTGGCTGCAACGATATATATCCATCGTTTCTATATGAGGATGCCAATTACTACATCGAAATACTTTGTTGCATGTGCCGCTGTGGCCATTTCTTGCAAGCTTCACGATACTTATAGACCGCCTGACAAGATAGCACTCACAGGCTGCCAGATTAAGCATCCAGGGAAACATGTGGACCAGCATTCAAGCACGTTCTGGAGCTGGAGAGACCAGCTTCTATATCGTGAGGAGGTGATGTTGAAAAACCTCAATTTCGAAGTATCGGTGGATCTTCCGTACGAGATCACTGAGGAGCTTCTCAAGAAGAAACCAGAGGACCTGAAGGGCAATGGGTTTTATGAAAAACTTGCAGACATTCTCAAAATCACAACCTCCAAAATAGAGCTTCTAAGTGCATTGCCGGTTTTGCTTGTTTATGATATATTTACCTTGTATGGCGCCATGTTGGTTCTCACAGTTAACGAAGCCAAAGAGAAGTTTGAGGAACTTGACGCCATTAACTTACCAAAAGACTTTTGCAAAATGAGATTGGCGTCTCTGCCGATGAGTGTTTCGAATGCTATCAGTTTATACTAAAGCTTCGAACGCTCTGTGAAGACCCAAAACTCCCGAGTCATAGAATCTTGGTGAAGAAATTCACTGATATAGGCAAGGATGTCTTCTATAGTATCACCGACGGGAACTAGGGGGCATCGTGCTATGCATATAATTAATGGATTGGGACGTATCATCAGATTCACAAATCAGCTTTCATTCTTTGCTTCTGCCTCTACTTCTGCTTCTGGAGCTGTCTCTGCCTCCGCGTCTGGCATTGCCTCTTCTTCCACTGGGCTCTCTTTGGTGGTGGGCTCTTCAGCTGTTGTGTATTCTGTGGGCTGTTCTGGCTCAGACAGTTGCTTCGTAGACGGTTCACTTGGACCTGGTTCACTGGAAGGAGCTTCCTGGACTTCTTCAGTTGATTTCTTTTCAGGTTCGTCAGCCTTTTTGTCGTCAGATTCTTCATTGACTTCTGCTTTAGGAGCATCTTCCCCTGCTTCAGAAGGTTTGGGAACTTCTTCATCCTGTGATTTTTCAGCCTCCTGAACTTCTGTGGTTTTTGGTGCCGCTTCTTCGTTCTCAGTCACGCCTTCATTGTTATCAGACTTGTCAGCATCCTCCTTTTTTGGATCCGCCACTGCCTCTTCTTGTGGCTCATCCACATCCATTGGCTTGGGAGACTCCACAGACACCGGTGTAGCAGGAAGACCGTACTTCTCTGCATACTCAATATACTGCTGAAGATCATCGTTAAGTAACGAGTCCAGGTACTTGACATTATACGGCAAGGCATCTTTTAGCTTTTCAGATGGCTGGATCCTCGTAGTTTCGCCGTCGTCTGCCTCGTTCTCATCTGCATCCTGAATATTTAATATGACATGGTCGTTTCTGACGTTGTTATGAGCATGATAAAGAAACTTGGTATATGCGTCCTCCCCATCTTTGGAAGGATGGAATTTGCTATTCTTGTGAATGGGCAACACGGTGTCTTGAAGTACAGTGTTTGCGTATTGAAGGTTGTGGCCCAACTTCACATCCCTTTCAGCCAAGTACGCAAGCCATGAGAGCTTATCGTGTTCTGTAACCTCGGCCTCTTCTAAGTCGTCAGCCATACCATCAAACTGTGCATTCGCAGGGTTTTCTCCCAGTTTAAGTTGATTGTAGTATTCCTGACGCTCACGCAACCTTCGTTTCTTTTTCTCCTGGTCTGTCTCTGCAGAAGTATCGATCTTTCTCTTCTCCATCAAGTTACGCAATTGGGAATTAGGCACGTCGCTCAACCTCTTCGCTAGGTTGAAGTTGTCACTATACTGTAGCCATTTCACGAACGATTCTAGAGACTTGACATTATACTCAGTCTCTGGCTCCTTAGATACATCTTTAGGATCCAACAAACCATCGCCTGTCAGTGGCTTAATCAATTGAACATCTAGTAGAGCCTGTACTAAGTCAGGGGCCTCTAGAACATTCGTGCAGCTTGTGCGGGCCTGCCCAAATTTCTTAGCACTGTTGAGAACGAGCTCAAAGTGCTTGATGTATATATCTGTCATTGTATTTAGCGTCAGCGGTTTGCACTTATCGAAGCCAGAGGCTTTGAGGATTTGTGCTACTGATATTCGAAGCACGGCATAAAAGAAGGACTCGTCCATTGTGGGTGTGTGGATTGATCTGGTTGTAGGTGAAGAAGTTGTTGATGTTGATGTTTGTGTGTGCAGTGCAGTGCAACAAAACAACCAGTGGTTGCAAAAAGACCCTCCACTACGGGGTAAAAAAAGGTGATTTTTTTATTGAAATGATTAATTTTGATAATCTATAATCTTCATGAATATAGAATTTGAAAAAATGACTTGATATGGTGGATGTTCACCAAGTCGGTTCCCACTTGTTCTGGGTACCAGTACCAAAGTAACGATATACCATAGGATCTGCATATATCCCTTTCTTGACAGGTTCTAAAAGATATAAGAAGCAACGTATCATAAGAAGTGGTTGACTTATTGGATCATGCTCTCAAAAGCCACCCACGCTCCAACCTCCACTTCTAAGCACACCTTACTGACTAACAATCAAACATATAGTCTCTGCTCCATCCCTAGAGACTACCATGGCATTCTAAAAAAGAAGAAGAAAAAAAAAAAAAAAGAAAAAAAAAACCACATAGCCTTATGTGGAAGGAAACATGTAGTGTCTGTTTCCTTTTTAGACCTGATCGAAATCCAAAAACAGAAAGCGATCAAGTCATTCGCTGCCTTTAAGGAGCCGCCAAACTCCCCAGTGAAGCTTAACCTTCACATGAATCATACTTGGGCACCTAGGAGCTGACTCCTCCCAGATAAGTGTCTCGGCAGTTATGATTCATCCTGACTGAGACCCCAAGAAACCCATAGAAATCACTTAATGATTTCCCCAACAACGGGTCATAACCGACATCAGCTCTGTTAAGAAACATGAACTGTACAACGGCCCGTCATGCCCACCGTGCCGAGGTGACCAATTTGAAGAAAACAAAACTCACGACTCAGTTTAGCTGGTCCACTAAACCAAGAAGTCCCGTCAATTCCCAGTATTCAATTCCCCCAGAACCCAAACTCCCACAAGGGCGGGAGAGACCACTATCCACCAGTAGAACACAATACATCCGCTAAGCATGATCCAAACCTAGAAAGAAGTCCCGTCAAATCCCTAAACACGCCAACAGAGTCAGTGTGCTGTAGAATACCCCCAGAACCCACCTTTCAATAAAGTGAAAGGGGCCACGACCTGCGTTGCCTTGCAATCTGAATGGTGTGGCCTATCCATCCAGAAAGTACCGTCCCTGTCCATCCACATAAGTATCCCCCAGTACCCTCCTTCCATTATAGTGGAAGGGATCACGTTTGCCTTTCAGACTACGACCTGGCCAGTGTGATCTAGCTTGACCAGGAAGAATCCACTGGGTCACCACTCCAGTAGATGTATCGCCCCAGAAGCCTCCTCTCAATACGAGAGGGACCATTCGTGTCTAAAGACACTACGACCTGGCCATCATGGTCTTAGTCGGCCAGGAAGACCCACAATGCTAATTGTTCGACACGAATTACGAACCATTTAATCCCCCAGAACCCACGCTCCCCAAAATATGGGGAAGACCAAAGTCACCTTTCGGTGTTACGTCTTTAAACTAGCCTGGTCCATACTAGCAAAGAACAATGCCCACATACTGTGGAAAGACCTTGGAAGCCAGCGGCAAGGAACATCCTGGAGTCGGTCAAAGAATACCAGGACGAGAACCACCCAAGGTGGAAATGCAAACTATATAACCAAACCAATTCGACAAATAACAGTGCTAACTAGAGTCAGTAGCCAGCACCAGTCCAACACCAACAACAGAGCCATGTACTTTTGAGGGCTATTTAAAGTTCTCAAGCAGCCAGGAGCCTCAGAGGGGCCCTCTCCAAAACCACCCGACAGCCAGAACCGGAAACGCCCCAAACCAGCAGTCTTTTCTCATACATGAACAGTTTCAGAATTGTGTTCAGCCAGGGCTTGAGCTCCAGCCCATCTGGAACATCAAGCTAGGCTTCACAGTGGCATTGCTTCTTTATGGAAACCACTAGTATAGACACTGGCCAAGCATCTCCACCAAGTAGTCAACAGAAGCAACACCACCTTACCATCGTCCACTGAACACATCGATACTCCAGCCAATAAGTGAAAGTACCATGAACTCTGCTCAACCAGCAACGTACCTCAGCCCTCTTACCTCTAGGAGGCAGAGAAAGCCGTCATGAAGTGACTGCCTTATGACATCCTATTCTCCAAAGACTGATGTCTTCCCTTCTTAGCCAGCACCACAAAAGTAGCCACCAGCAGTGAAAGAAATCCAATTGACTCATTAGAGTAAAGTGAATGGCGCTAGAACAGTCCGTTCTAGCTCGATGTCAGTAGAAGAGCTTCTCTTCACCAGTGTAAAGAAAAGACACTCTTACAGCAGCCACCCTGACGGTAAAAATGACTTAACGAAACAACACAAGGCAGGCAAATAGCGGTACACCCTTCGAAAGTTGCCGAAGAGGCCACCAGTCCAGTCTGACTGCCTAAAAGTACGTAAGTCGCTGAGGTTGTGTTATTTCAAGTCGGTGCCCCAGTCAACCTTTACCAGCCAACAACAAGCATTGAAGACTGATAAGTAGGCGAAAGGGAGCCAAAAGGCAGCAAAGTCTTCCCGCCAACGATCGACAAACATAACCAAAGGAATTAAGCCTCCATAAAGTGAGTGTTCGTCGTGGCGACGTTGGCTGCAAAAAGAAGTAGGAAGAGGACCTCCACCAAGTGATCAATAATCATCAGTGTAAAACACGAAAAGAACCACAGGTAAGAAACATGGTGAAAAAGAGATCAAGCACAAGCTTTCAAATTAGAATTGAAGCTGGGGGAAGACTTTTTGGTGACTTCGTTAGGAAAAGAAAGTAGTCACAAGGAGTGGAAGTATACGCGCAGAGCTTCTCCTTATATAGTCTAGAGGTGGGAAGCACTGGGAGGGAAGTTGGCGTAACGGAGGGCCAAAAGCGATTTCGATGAACTGGAGATTTATACTGAAGGTGTTTTTTTTTAATACTTAGGGAGCTCTTTGTGGTGAGTACTGACGTTCTAAATAGGTACCAGATTATATGGGGTGAGAGCCTAGTTTACGTGGATAAACCTCGAAGAAGCTAATGTTAGACCATTTTAAGTAATATTATCTCACTATTGGCGGTTGGAAATCTAATTCAGTTCACCTAAAATACTGGATTCGTCAAAGCCTGCCTAAGGAACATAGCTAAGAATCTCTACCAGGAGACCACCAAGCATAAGCTTCGAGAGACAGAACAAACTACATCAAATATAGTCAGTACTACCATTTATCGGTAGCTACAATGCCCCTTCTTGTGCCCATCGAGCCTGCCTTTATGCCCCGGCTGGCCTCCCTCTACTGTCATCTCTAGTCCGTATCGATTCTTTTATATATATTACAAACCCTGCTGCAATCTCTCCTGGATCTTCTTGGATGCAAAAGAAAAGGCGTTAAAAACACCGGAGTCCATGTTCACACCAACAGTGTTGGAAGTGGTTGGTGGCTTGGTCACCCTGCTCACTATAATGGCTGGGTCAATCTCCAAGATGATTCCATCGTCAATGGCTTCGTCAAAGCACAAACACACCATATCATACTTCAGCAAAACCGTGGTCTTATCTAAAGAGTTGTCCAAAAGAATCAGCAATGCTTCGTTGATGTTGTTGGTCAACGAGTAGAGCATAGACTCGTTCTCACTGACTCCTCCCACAAGAACAATAATAATGTCATTTGTCTGCTTGTATGTGACCAAGTGGTTATCGTACAAGATCACGTCCTGGTGCTGTTTATTTATCTTGCTGAAAATGGCCTTTTCAAAGGCTGCTTGTTCTGCTGCGGTTTTGTAGGATTGGGATTCGTCGTTGGGACGGTAGTATTTGGCAAAAAGCCTTTGGCCTTCATTGCCCAATATTAAGGCTGCCGTGACCGTGTATAGGGAAATGTTGAGGGACATTTGTGGTGGAGAATGGCAGAGGCTGGAGTTGGAGGTTTTGGAAAGGTGTATCGTTTTGGTGAATCAAGTAGGGCGCGTGTGTGCAGTACAGACACTTAACTACGAGGCACCAACCTAGTAAATTGAAATTTCATTATATGCGTTTTTTCTCAAGGGGAAAAAAATAGGTGTAAAAAGAACTAAATGTTGATTATGCTCCGACAATGTAGAAAACATAGTCGAGGATTTTCTTCTGCAAGGGGTTGTTCTCGTAGAAGTCGTCAGTCAAGCCAGCCGCAGTGAACCCATTAGCCCTCTGCAGTGCAATAGCACGGAAACCATAGACAAAGTTGATGACAAGGCCAATGATAAGACCCAATGCCACCACCAATGGTCCAATGACATTATCCAAGTGTCTGGATGATCTTTCCATGATGATGTTTCTTCTTTGCATGAAGATGTAGTAGCCCCAGATACCTGAAAAGATGGTCAAGCCAAAGTAAATGTAGGCAAGGTACTCAGCCAACAGACTGGAGTTTGCTCTGCTGGTGGAAGAGTAGATGATGAAAGTCAAGGTCGACAATAAAGTGGTCACATGGAGCCATCTGTTGAAGGTACGCTCGTTAGCCAACCAGACCTTTGGTTCAATCTTCAATGGACCGGCGTTCTTGATGTACTGGTCCGGCTTGACGACACCAGCAGGCAAGTCAATCTCTTCTTCTTCAGAGTCGACATCAAGCAACTTGGAGAAAGTATTAGGCAACTTCAAGAGTTTCTGGATTGGAGTCTTGCGCTGCTCGTCTTCGTCGTAGTCGTCGTCTGAGGATTGATCCAAGTCACCTCCAGAAACTGGAGCATGGTCTGGCTCAACAACGGCATTCTCGGCAACTGAAGGTAAGCCGGCCGATTTTTGAGATGTTCCTTCCACGGAGTCGCCAAACGATTTTGGTTCTTCGAGTTCGCCACTCCCCAAAAGCGAACCAGAGAAGGACTTTGATCTAGCGGAAATATCTGGCGAGCTGGAATTGGCCAACATGGACTTAAACTTTCTCAAATTATCCTCATCATTCTGCAATTTGGCCAACTTTTCTCTAGTATCGTTGTACGCTTGTTGAGGGTCAAGCTTCAAGTCTGATTCCAATTCGTTGAACCAGAATGGAATGTTATCGAGCTTATCGTCTTCCAAGAACAAAGAAGCAATACCATGGATGAATTTAGAGAAGTTAGGGATCTCCTTGATCAAATGCGAGTGGACCAAGTCGTCAACCCAAACAAGTCTTCTTCCCTTCTTCTTGTTCTTGATCTTGATTTCCAACTCCGCGTAAGGGAATCTGACAAACTCGCCCTTTCTCAAGAGGGACATGGGGTTGTTGACCTTAGAGTCAATATCAGTTCTGTGCCACTTGGTAGGATCTCTAATTGGTCTCTGCTGGTCAAAGGCATCCTCTCTAATGAAGTAAATGTCGGAATCAATGACAACACGCACTTTATCGTCACCAGGAATCTGGAAAGCAGTACGCTTATATTGAGTTCGAAGACATGGTTGGACGTGGTTGTCCTTGATGAAATTAGACAAGGAGTCAATGTGTTTTTCGAGTTCCTCAACGAGTTCTGGCGAGTCACCCTTTCTTCTAAGCTTGCGCAAGTACTTTTGCTTGTCAAAGTCACCCTGGATGAAACCGTCCAAGTGCTTCTCCTTAAGGTTGATCTTCTCATCAACATCATAAGTTTCCAGGCTCTTCTCGAAACTCTTCTTTTCCAACGAGATTTGTGGCTTGTTGCTCAACTTGCCGACCCACTTGATTCTAAGCGTATTAGCATTAGGGCTCTTCACTAACTTGTTATTGTACAAATCAAAGTTTTCGTTGTCAAAGTACAAGCAATTGATGGTTGGGTCGTTTCTGGAGAATCTGAATCCGTCATCGTCGTCATCGTCATCATCATCGTCATCGTCGTCGCCATAGTTGTAAGCACTTTCGCTGTTCTTGTTGTTGTAAACGAGAACAGGAAGATGACGCAAGATGATAGCCTTGACTTCCATCAAGTTATCTGGGTGGACCCAGAACTTGTATGAGTTGTAATCAGCAGCAGCCGAATCGTCGTTAAACGAGCTCAATTTCGAAAGCGACTGGTCCACGTCATAGTTATCACGCAAGAACTGGAACAAAGCCAGGATCTTGAATAAAAGTGGCAGGTAGTCCTCAGAGTGGAAAGGCAACAGCTTCAAGCGCACGTTCAACATGGGCTTCACAGAGTACTTGGAGTGCAAGCGGTCATGCTTTTTGACAATCTTGATGAACCCCGTATAGTTCAATCTCTGGAAACGGTTCAATTCCTGAGCCAAGTTCAAAATCGACTCCAACTTGCTGCTGAAAGACTGAACGTCAAAGCTGGCAGTAGGCGATTCAGTAGCCTTCTGGAGATCATCAAGGTACTCGTTCAATTCGTCATACTTGTTCGCCTGGAACGAGTACACCTTCTCCAAATCGGAATCCAAAGCACTGACAAAGTCCTTCTCGTCCTTTTCCGACCAGGCGTCTTGGAGAATCACCCCTTCCTTCAAGAGCTTCTTCAACCTGAGGTAGTTGATATAGTGGTCCTTCCACGGCGGATATATCTCCAGCTCGAGCTTGCTTCCAAACAACATCTTGGATGGTGAGGAGTCCATGACAGAAAACTGCGTTATATAAGTAACTTGTGGCGGCGTAATACAATGAGTGCCCGGTTTCTCGATGCAATTAACTACGAGGTCCAATTGAAGCTTCCATGGTGAGGCTTGTAGTGCACAGTGCCGGTTTACTTAGTAGTAGATAACGCACCACGTGGGGTGGATCAAAGGGACGGTTGGCGAAACTGGGGGTATAAAAAGATGGTCGATTCGTGAATAAGAGGAAAAATTGGCCCTATTTATACCCCTTCAAAAGAAATTTTCTTCGTTGGTGTGGAGAAGTGCCCTGGGCCTTTTGAGTCTCCAATTTACCGAGAGTGCAGGAGAAAGATGGAGCTGCTCTAGGGCATAGATGAGCGGCTGCACCTGGTGTTATATTGGACATGTTTAGGTAGTATTAGGAAAAGGATCGTGGTTTGAAGGGTTGGCTATTTTGTGTGAGGTGGGGGATTAGGGAAAGGGATTGGCAGAAATGCTAGTTAGGTACTCTGTTTGGTGCATCTACTCTGGAGTAGGGCTTCGCATTTTGCAGCCATTTCTTTCTGGGACCTTGGCAGCTTCTATTATTTATACTTGACAGCTCTGGTTGACGTAGTGGCTTAGGGAGCTATAAAAGTGGTATTTGGAGCTGTCTTTTGAGTTTGACTGGTTTAGCAAAAAGGGTTTAAGGTTTGGCTGGGGCTAACAATGGGAGGCAGGGAAGACGAGTCGAGAATGGACAATTAGGAACATTCCCGGTTCTACAATGCGTTATTGTCACTTTTGGAGTTGATTCTTCACTTGCAGTATCTGAAGAGGGAATGAGTTGGTTAGGTGGAAGTTTAGGAATTGGTAAATGTCTGGATGCTGTTTTACTGGAAGTGGAATGGCTTTTTGTATACGGTTATAGGGTTTTGGCATTGATATATATTCATATTTATACTTATATATACGAACAGCAGTCATGACCACAAGCCAATAGCCTTTCAAAAAGAACTTTCCAAGACTCCCATTCTTTTTGGTACAGCTTTTACTACAGCCTTCAAGGATCCCTGGTTTGCGTTTTAAGAAGTACTGCAGTTTTTAGTCATGGCTGTCATAGCTCCTTACTAGTCACTTCCAGGTTAGCCACAGTTAAGCGGCATGGGACACGAGGACCAACCGCAAAACACTACTTGTCTTTAAAGATGGAAATGCCGCCGTTTGGCTATTAGATACCGTTACCCAGTGGTTGTGGGCCTAGAGGAAACTAGGATATGCTGATCCAGAAGCAACATAATGTAGAATAGGAAAACGCTCCTCGTATTGTAAAAAAGCTTTCTTTACATACTATATTTGGACCAGCATCCGAAGGACTTCGTTGAGCAGACTTAAGTGCTGTTGACAGGATTCTTGAGGGAAGGTTTGATAGCTCAAGGTCTTTATATGCTTGCCCTAAGCAATGAGAAAAGGCAAATACTTCGCGCCCATTTCCCTTTAGCGCTCTTCGTAGCCTTGATGATATTTTCAAGAGATCATAGATGTCGTTTGGTGCATTAGTTGTGGTCGGACTCCTTGGTTTCAACTAACTATCGTCTTTCACTAAACTGAGCCAAAATGTACTCTTTCTTTCAGATTTGAAAAATTATTATTATATAATGCTACCGAAAAAGGCCATTTTAGCCCCTTCCAAGCTGCTTCTCCTTCCTATTCCCAACACTCACTTACCTCTTTGGGTGCTCTATAATGGCTGCAAAACTCCATGCATCCACCATACAACCATACCCCCGACTGACTCCTCCCAACACACTCAACAAAGACAAAGTGCTATCTCCGCCATGCAAAAGGCTACCTATTACCCGAACCACCCCCTTCCTTTTCATTTCTGCCTCCCCACCACCAACACCCTTCTCATCTCCTACTCGCCATAGTTAACCAGCATTTCGCGCATCAACACTCACCTACAACTCTTCTTCACCACCATACCCCCATGTTCCTGGGTAATCCGCTCTCGACGCGAAATAGAGTCCAGTACGTGCCTCCTTCGAGGCCTCGGCAAGATCCAGAAATCACGATTGACCTTCTTTCTACAGAGAACAACGAAGTACATGAAGAAGTGACCCAGCAAAGGAATCGTGACAGACCCCAGGTCTTCTCTAAGGATGCCATCTACACGCTCATATCCACCACATACTCCCTTTTGGTTATTGCATTCTTTAAAACACTCGTGGATAAGGTTAAGCGCCGGTCGCTTGAACCTGTTCATGTGGAAGAGGAAGTGGAAGATCAACCCAAGGAATCAGAGACTGAAGAACCTAAGCCAATAGAGATCCCAGAACCAGCACCGTCTCCTAAACTAGCACCACTTCTGTACTCGCAAGTTACAAAACCAGACCCGTATGAATCGTTGTTTCTGATCGACTCAGATGAAGATATCGATGATAGTGTTCAGTACGGTACTTCGCTTGCAATCAGTAAGAATAACTTCAAGGCTAGAAACACAGAGGAAGAACACGCCTATCATATTCTGAACTCGACCACATTCCTTAATAACAAGTTCCTCAATTCAGATATTCTTACAGGTACCGATGATGCATCTGACTTCTTCTCCCTCTCCAAACCAACTGATGAGTACGATGCCGCTGTGTCTAAGTTTTACCAGCCATTCAAGCCGTTGCCAAAGCAGCAGAAAACCCTTACTGAAACTATATTAGCAGGGTTCCCACTGGTTACAAGTATCCTACGAGATGAACAAAAGAAGATCCAGAACCTCATCACCAAAGAGCGTAAGACCGTTCTGTCAGCTATTCCCCCATTGGCCAAAGACCAACTTGATCTTGTTAACAGCTACTGGGGCTCTCGCAACCCTAGCGTTCAGGTTGCATCTGCATACTCCATAGACTTGACCGTGAGAGACCTCTCCACGTTGGCTGACGGTCAATGGCTTAATGATAACGTCATTGATTTCTACTTGAACATGGTGACCGATCAAAATAAACTGGTTTACTGTTGGACAACACACTTTTACTCGACATTGAAGCAGAAAGGGTACCAGGGTGTTGCTAGGTGGGCGAAAAGAAGAAAGATCAATGTGTTTGAAAAAGATAGAGTTATTGTGCCCATAAACATCATGAGTACGCATTGGGCCCTTGCTGTGGTGGATAATAAAAGAAAAACCATTAGCTACTTCGATTCGTTAGCATCACGAGGAAACGTCTCTGCTGTGGAGTTATTACAAGTATACATGTCCAAGGAGGCAGAGAGGCTTCTGCTCCCACCAGTCACCTACGATCTCATACCAGGCGAAAAGACGCCCCAGCAACAAAACGGTTTTGATTGTGGAGTATTTACATGTACCGTTGCCAAATTCATGTCGAGAGAACAACCTCTCAGCTTTGGCCAGCAAGACATGCGCAATATTAGAAGGCGTATGGCTTATGAGATCATTCTGCAAACATTGTTAGATAATCCAGCAACTGCTGGCCCTCACCTTTGAGTTAATAGATTATACATCAGTCAGAATCCGAAAATATTCTTCTTCGGCTCACTTCCGATAGTAGCAACATCTTTGATTTGTGCCTCGTACTTCTTGATGGCATCGGTACTTGCGTTGATCTTAGACTCCACGAAAGTGAGTCTGTCCTTGAGCCAGTCAGAAGCGACAGCTTCGCCAATCTTACTGATTTCATCCTCCAACTGGGCGATCTTGACATTCTCTAGCTTGATCAAGCTCTTGATGAAACGGGTTTCGTAAAGCTTATATATAGCCTTGTCCTCCACCAAGTTCTTAAAAGCAGCCTTGTATAATGGTCTGCCTGTCTTGATGGTGCTGACAATTCCCTTGTCTCTTTGAAGCAAAATCAAATCATTCTTCTCCAACACAAGCAAGGTACTAACAGTTTCAGCACTGTCACCGAATAGAGGAGACTTTGTCAATTCATCAAAAGATACCAGCTCTTTGTTCGAGAGAAGTCTCATGAGAGCCCAAATCTGGTCTGTGCTCCAATTGTTCTCTGTATCGCCAGGCGAAACATTCAAGAAAAAGGTGGTGATCTGTTCAGCTGCCTGAGTGACCATCTGGTGCAAGGCATCTTCAGCTTGCTCGCCGGAACGCACACGTCTGACAAACGCTTGAAGATCAAGCATTCTACCTCCAATAGGAGCTAAGCAATGCTCAATCAGGGACTTCAATTCCATATCACGTAACTGGCTCATTACATACTGCTTGGCACTTTGCATCGTAGCATCTGCCAAGGAGACAGTCTTAAAGACTTGGTTAGGAAGAGCACTGGTTAAGTGTGTAGTACTGCTAGCGTCCAGGGTAACAAAGATAACATGGGCAGTGTTGGTTTGGATGAGTTGTGCAGCCCATTCAGCAATCAGCTTGTAGATGAAATCATTAGGAGATTCAGCCTTCCTCAAGAAGTTCTCAATAACGATCACTGGTTTTGCTTTAGGGTGCAGTTGGAGGTAATCATCCTCCTTAATCTCTCTCTCATATGAATCGTCGTCATTGTGTTTCTGCTTTTGCTTCTTAAGTTCAGCCTTGTATGAACCAAAGTTGGAAAGAGCCACTTTTCTGATAGCAGAAGAAGTTAATTGCAACATGTTCTTGAACTGAGTCTCCTTGGATTCACTTAAACCTGACTTCTGGCCTGTCAATCCCTGTACACCCAAGTCAACAAATTGGGAGATAGAATTGGTCCATGTAAAGATTGGGAAGTATCCAAGCTGAGATGCAGCATTCTTGAGGAAGGCATTATCACTTCTGGATTTGATCATCAGGTCACAATCAAGCTCAAGCATCTTTCTTCCAAAGTTTTCATCAGCTTGCAAAGCGTGGTCAATCACAAACTCCCTCTTGCCAGAACCCTTTGGTCCCTTGACAATAATGAAGGTATTAGCGTTCTCGTAGATCCACATTTTGACATCATTGGCCTTATCGGAACGCTCTTGTAAGAACATGTTGGACTGAAGGTCAACCAACGCCACATCCTCCTTCTCACCCTTTTCACCGGTGAAAGAACCAATGGAATCGTCAATGAAAGAAGTGGTGTTGGTAACCCAATTAGCAAGGGTTCTGTATGGAATGTAGAACAACTTAACAATCCAATGGTCCTTGTGGCTATCCCAAGTGTACCTATGCTTGATTCGGAACTGAATGAATTGTTCTCTGATTGGTTCGAAGATCAAAACAGCGATAGTAGCTAAAAGGGCGAGGATAAGAGGGATTGCAATCCTCTGGTGGTTGTTGATCATGTTGGCCAAGTAGTTAACTCTTTCCACTGGAATGTACTGGAGGTGTAAGGTCAGCTTGCCATCGTCATAGGGAATGCCAGTAACACAATTCTTTGCACGGATACAAGAGTCTGTGTACTTGAACACAACAGTAGCATATGGAGTACTTGAGTTTGCAGGGTGAATATCCTTGATTTGACCATACCGTCTGAACAAAAGGTATAACTCCTCCTCGTTAAGTACATCTCCCTGAAACTTAACCTTAAGCTTTGGCGAAGGAAACCTACTCAAATCCTCGATCCATGGCGTACCCTTAACCTGGAAAGCACTTGGATGAGGCTTAAAGAGTGCCGTTAGCGAGCTCAATGGGTTGGAATTCGTCGTTTTGCATGCCCTGATGTTCTTTTCAAGAATCTGGGTAAGTTCCTTGGGTGTAGACGTAGGAGGCACCAAGAACTTAATAAAAGCACCACCGTCTCTTCTCAAAGGCACAAACTGTTTAACAGAAGTACCCTCGGGAAGCAGGCGTTCACCATTCTCGACCATCCGAAACAAACTCTCCTTAAGCTTATCGTCGCCTCCCTTAGAATGCAACCACCGTGTAGGTTCAAGGTAACTCTTAAACATAAGACGTGCTACCCAGCGAGGGTAAACATTGTCAAAGAAAATCAACACCTCGTGTTGTTTCAGGAAATCAATCACACCAGTCGACTCGTACCCAATGTCAGAATCGTTCTGGGAAGTTTCAGATTTCAAGTTTTCCACATCTGAAGCATATCTTATCTGATGATGCAGAGGCAGTTGGAATGACCCTCCAAAAGCAATTGGCAACCGTCTTTGGGCCATCCATAGCTTTCTCAGAGCACCAATCCGATGAATTCCCAAACGAGGTAAACCCATGGGCAAATACAAATTGAATTGATGGAAACCACTCAAGAAACCTGGGGTATGGAGATGGCGATACTGTTGCTACTACTGCACAAATTAGCGCCCCTGGTATGGCTGCGAAATGGTGGGAGGCTGGTCAGAGAGGGACAAGGAATGGAATGTGGTTTATGGGAGTTGGTCAATGGAGGGCTCCATTGGGTTTAAGGTAAGGCGTTTGAGATAGACAACTTTTAATTTTTTTTATGTTGGGATATTGTTTGTTGGTTATGGCTGGTGGTTTGTGAGTTAGTGTGGGTTTGTAGGAAGTGCGTCAGTTAGGCAGTACATGGAGAAATGTTGTAAAGGTGTGAATGTGTGAATATTGTGAAATTAGAAATTTTGGAAAATTGTCAAAAAAGGTCAAATCTTAAGAGAGTAAGTTAAACTTCTCAATGCCAGAAACACTGAAAACTGGTTTATGAAGCTTATGGGGCTCCAGTGTACTTCGTTTGTCTCACTATAATCCAGCCAACTTGGTTGCAAGATGTGAACCATGGCGAATTAAAGCTGAGCTCATAAAAAGTAGCTAAGAAGTTCAAATAAAAGAGCCCTCTAGACCGTAATAGTAATGGAAACAGAGTCACTATACTACTGCCAAATAGGATGTGGTTCAAAGAAAGTACACTTGTAGAGCAATGAGAAGAACTGACGAAAGTCGACAGAAAAGCAAGAAAATGCCAATTGACTTCCTTTGACCTTAGCTAGCTCTGCCTTCTACATTGTATTGATAGTTTCAGCTTCACTGCCTTACACTTTCATTCAACCATCATGGCCAATGGAAGTTCGTCAAACAGAACCGTTTCATTCACGAAAATCCACAAAATATCAAAAATATCTCAGCACGACGGGGCCTCATAGAAGCTATGAAGCACAATTGAGCATTTTAACCTTGCTTTCGCCGATGCTGATGGTTGTTCTGGGCTTTCTTTTGAATCGCCATGCCACAGGGCAAACGACGTGGAGATCTTCGAAAAAGCCGGGTATTTTTCACAGCCGCCAGATTCTTGAAAGAGACAAAAGGACGGCTCTTGCATTTCCAAGATTCTGGCGGTATGAAAGTTGGAGAAAAAGAGAAGTAGTTGATGGTAGATTTTTTTTTTTTTCACTGGCTCATCTTATATGTACCCGCGCAGTGGAAAGCCCTTCACTACACACATACTAAAGCATACATGAAATATCTTCTATAGCTAATCCAAACCGTGATCGATTTCAATGAAATCCCGGGTTAGGAGAGGACGCACTTTCTTCTCGGTATTCTTCTTCTCGCCTCTCTTGTAGTTCTCCTTGAGGTATTCCTTCATCGACTTTAATGCTGCCTCTCTACACATCTCACGCAAGTCAGAACCACTAAATCCATGGGTGTTGTCCACGACCACGTCAATGTTGAATGACTCGTCAAGGGTAGCATCCTTGAGGATTTTCTCGAGAATGGCACGTCTCTGTTCTTTGTTAGGTCTACCCACGGCAAAACGCTTTGGTAATCTTCTCATGAAGGCTTGATCAATATCGTTCATTCTGTTGGTAGCGCCCATCACCACGATTCTACCATTCAGTAAAAGACCGTCCCAGAGTGTCATAAACTCTGCCTTGAGCAATGCAGACACTTCGTGGTCCGTCAGCTGTCTGTCCCTCAAGAACGAATCGATCTCGTCTATGAAGATAATGCATGGTTGTAGCTTGTTGGCAAGCGAGAAAATGGCGTCCACGATCTTGTTCAGCTCACCATACCACTTATCCATAAGTGTAGACATTCTGATCAGAAGGAAGAAGGCCCCACTCTCTTTGGCAATGGCTTTAGCCAACATAGTCTTACCACATCCTGGTGGCCCATGGAACAACACACCCTTAGGCAGCAGAACAAGCGACAGGTGTGCAGCGAAAAGCTCTGGTTCCGTCAAGGGTAAAATCACAGACTCATGAAGTTCATCTATGATAGACTCAAGGCCCCCCACATCTTCAAAACCAGTGGAAATGTCGTCCGGCGTGACCAAAGAGTTGAGCAACATCTTCTCGTGTTCATTAAGAGTGATTTTCTTGAGCTCTGGATTGGCTGCCTGGATCTTCTTGAGAATATTAGCACTGTTCTTCTTGGACTGCTTCGACTTGACCGAGCTGTCTAGGGAGTCTCCTAGTAAATGGCTGATCATATAGTACATGGAGAGGCCTGCCCCTGTAAGGAAGAAGATATCGCCTAGAAGCTTAAGGTCGACCTTGACCCCCCATAGATCTAGTTTGAACCTGTTCATAATAGCAAAGTTTGGTGGTTGATAATGTGATTTTGGTGATATATGGTAACCCTCGGTGGTACAACTGGTGCACGGGTGTATGTACGATCAGTACAGAAAGAGGTAAGAACAGTCGCCAATCTTGGTTTATAGGCAGGGAAGGATGCTATGTAGATTATTTTCAGAATAGGCGGTGATATCAGCAAGGGACGAAGTCTTTTTGAGGCAACATCTGATTCGGTAGGTGAGGTTACTTGGGGACGTTTCCCTCTCGAGGTTGATCCTCGGCAAACCAGACAAGTGAATTGAATAAGAAGCAGTTTTCCGATGAGAAAAAGCCATGAATATGATTTCCCTTTTTCTTTTATTGGCAAGAAGTATGTTTCTTATGTGTTTCACTGTAGCACTCTGTACTAGCTTTTCGCAGCCAAGTGACTGAGTACACCAACGAAACCCAGACTCAACACAGAAGGTCAATGTATAATTACCACGAGACATCATAGCATGTTCTTACTAAAGTGAACCAGCTCCTTCTTCTATATCGACTAAAATGGGCCTTTTGTAAGGGTTTCAAAAGTCCCACGTGATCTAATACACGTGCAGAAGTTGCAAAATCCAGAGATGCCTTGATGCATCTGATCCATCTACAACTACATGGCCAGAACAGAACAAGAAAGACATGGCATTAGTATCCCAGGCCAGGTCCTTGACCAAATCAGAGAAAGGGAAGATATAAATGGCGAAGACAGCCGATTCAAGAAAAAGCGGAAGCACCAGGCCAAACCGGTCTCTCGTAAAGAGAAGAGGAAGGAAGAGAGAAAGCTCAAGAAGCAGAAACGTCTGAAACAGCCCCACCAGCAGAATGAACAGTCCAAGCAAGGGCCTCTTGCCGCCGCTAAGCAGAAACTTCTGGAGAAGAAGCAGCTGACCAAGAAACCAAAGGAAGATCCACTAGCTGCTCTTAAAGCTCTCAAGGCAAAGAAAGGTGCTAAGAAACAAGAAGAAGTCCGTGTTGTCAAGGAAGACGATCTTGACGATGAGGGCTCTGAATCTGGAGAAGATGAGTTTGATGGTTTCGAAGGGGAAGAAGACGAAGAAGTCAGTGATCCTTTGGCTGCCTTGGCTGCACTCAAGGCTAAGAAGAACGGTAAGGCCAAACAGCTGGACGTGAAGATTGTCTCTGCTGAGGACCTTGATGATGAACTTTCATCGGATGACTTTGGTGACGCTGCTTCTGACGAAGAGGAGGAAGGGTTGGAAGACTTTGATGAAGAGCTTGATGGATTTGACGATGACGATCTTGATGGGTTCGACGAAGAAGAGGAAGAACCAGAAGAGGACCCATTGGCCAAATTGAAGGCTCTCAAAGAAAAGAAAGCCAAGAAAGAGAAGAAGGAAGCTCCTGAAGCTGATTTTGTGGATCCAATGGATAACGATATTGAGTACTATGCTAAGAAGCTTGGTCTTAAAGAAGGTAAGAAAGGAAAGTTATCCAATGAAGACGATGGTTTGGACGATTTACTTGACGGTCTTGATTTCGTCGACCAGCCAGGTAGTGGTGACGAAGAATCTGAAGGGTTCACAGCTTCGGATGATTTCGATTCAGACGATTTCGACTCAGACGGTTCTGACGATGAGTCTTCTCGCAAGAAAGAAAATCCTTTCGTTGCACCTACGCAAGCTGCCAGTGAGTCGGAAGGCGAAGCTGAAGAAAAGCCTTCAAAGTACATTCCTCCAGCACTTCGAAGAAAGATGGCGCTCGAGAACCTGACAGTTTCAGCTGAGACTCTTGCATTGCAAAAATCGTTAAAGAGTGCTATTAATAAGTTGTCCGAAACAAACATTGGTGCTATTGCTAATGATATCAACGGCCTCTTCCTCAATAACCCTAGACAAGAAGTTAACGAAAACCTCGTCAACATCCTACTAACCAGTGTTATCCAACAGGAAAGACTACTTGACACTTTTGCCTACTTGCATTCAGCTCTTGTCGTGGCTCTTTACAGATCCCAAGGTGCTGACTTTGGTGCATACTTTGTCCAGACACTTATAGAGAAGTATGATGCCTTTAAAAAAGAGGGAAGTAAGAACAAAGAGATTCTTAATGTGATCTCGTTGCTTTCTTCCGTTTATGCATTCCATCTAGTTTCGTCAAAACTTCTTTACGACCTCATTAAGGAACTTATTGCTAACTTGTCTGAAGAAACTGCCGAACACTTGCTAAAGATCATCCGTACCTCAGGTAACCAGATGCGTTCTGACGACCCAACATCGTTGAAGGAGATTGTCTTGGAAGTTACAAAGAAAGCCAACTCTTTGCCAAAGGATCAAGTGACACCAAGAATGCAGTTTCTTCTTGAAACTATCACTTCGCTTAAGAACAATAAGTTGAAGAACAACAACGACGCTACAAACCAGCTTTCCCTTCGACTCAAGAAATTCTTGGGTACCTACTCCTCCAGCAAGCTCACAGACTCGTTACAAGTTTCTCTTGATGACATCAGAAACGTCCACACCAGAGGTAAATGGTGGCTTGTGGGTTCAGCATGGAAGGGTAACGAAGAAAAGAGCCAAGGTGACGTTGTAAATAAAGAAGTCATGAACGATTTCTTGGACACCGCTGAGCCAAATTGGCTTGAACTTGCTAAAGCTCAAAGAATGAACACTGACATCAGACGTGCTGTTTTCATTTCAATCATGTCCGCTAATGATTATGTTGATGCTATGACAAAGCTTGACAAGTTATCATTAAAGAGAGCACAAGAAAGAGAAATCCCTCGTATTCTTATTCATTGTGCTGTTGTTGAACCAGCATGGAACCCTTACTATGGTGTTCTTGCTTCGAAGCTTTGTGATAACCACTCTTACAGGAAGACATTCCAATTCATGCTCTGGGATTTGATAAAGGGATTCGATGGAGTTGGTGATGATGAGGAAGAAATGGACGTTTTCTCTGGTTTCGATGACGATGCAGAGGACGACGAAAAGCTCAAGAAGATCCTCAATTTGGGCAGACTTTTCGGATACCTTTTTGCAGAAGGATCATTGGCGTTGCATCTTTTGCGTACAGTTAACTTTGTCACTGCCTCTAACGATACCAAGCTTTTCTTAGAAGTCTTGTTGGTTACCTTTGTGGACAATATCGGTAAGAAGTCCCAGGTTAGTGCTGTTGGTATGGGCATTGGCAGTAAGAAGAGCTCTCACGAGCAAAAGTTCGACGATAGGGTCTTGATTGAAAGAATTCTCAAGGCCAAGGAACAACCAGCGCTTCTTCGAGGCATTCAATGGTTCATTGGTAAGAGATTGAGAAACAGTGATTTTGTTACCGGCAAGAAGCAACGCAAGAGGGTTGACTGGGGTATCAATGCCATGAACGATATCATAGAAGAGTTTGCAAGAGAGGCTGATTTCTAACGATGACGATATACTATGTACATATAATGCAAAAATAATACTACTCCACGAGTTCAAGAATAGCCACAGACTCCACATGCTTAGTTTGAGGATAGAAATCAAAGCCCATTACGGTCTTGATTCTGTACTTGGTTGATGAGTTGCGCTGAAGAGCTTCAAAATCAGCCAAATCTCGTGCTTGCGTGAATGGGTTACAGCTGATGTAAACAACAGCCTTAGGACGGAACTCAAGAAGCTGTTTCATGAATGTTCGAGTTGAACCTTTCCTAGATGGATTCATCAACACCACTGCTTCTTCACCAACAGCACCACATTCGGCAAACTCTGAAGTTCCAAACATATCGTCCGAATTTCCTTCAACAAAGACAGCTTTCGTGGGGACGTGCAAACCATTTATCTGGGCATTATGAGTAGCGTACTTGATAGCTTTCAGAGCAATCTCAATGCCAAAGAGCTTACCGTTGTCCGGTAACGTGGAAGATAAGCCAATACCCAAAAAGCCAGAACCACAGTACGAATCAACAATATAGTTGTATGGAATATCCTTTAAGTTGAACTTGATGAAATCGAGTAGGGTGGGAAGAATGCTTCGGTTGTTCTGGAAGAACTCGTTCACTTCAAACTGGAATACGTGATCGCCAATCTTTTCAGTCACCACATTCTTCTTTTTAGTAAGACAAACCTCATCAAATTCACCCGTATTGTGATCTATTCTGATACTCAGACGAAGTGTGAATGTAGGATCAACCTTCAACTTAGACTCACCACTCAACTTCTGAGCCAATTCCTTATTGAACCGTTCTTTCTCCAATGGCAAAATGCTATTGATGACAGGAGAAGCCACAGGGCACGAATCAACATCCACAATCGGTTGACCTACCCTGGTGTCCAAGAACCCCACAGGAAGCGGTAACTCATCCTGAGTCAAACCCTTGGGCACAGTTGCATGAGGAGTAAGCTTGGTACGGTAAGCATATTGCATTGGCGATGGGATAACCGAAGCAAAGTCTGACGGTAACAGCAGGTAAATCTCTGGATAGAAGTACCGGTAAGCCTTTTCGATATTAGCCTTCTTGAACTCAAGCTGGTCGTCATAACCCAACATTTGAAGCTGGCAGCCAGAACAATTGCTGAAATGCTGGCAAACAACGTGTCTATCGTTCCGCTTGCTTTGTCTTCTGGACTTCCTGGAAACCAGAATGAGTTCTGCCTCTGCAAAGAACATATGATGTCTTCTCAACGAGATACTGACAATGTCTCCTGTAACCGTCTTGGGGATGATGACCACCGTACGTGCCTTTTCATCAGCGTCAGAATCGTACTTTGCTCTGGGCACTAGGGCAAGGCCATCACCTTCGTTGGTCATGTCTAGCACTTTCACCTCATCGATGCGTACTTCGTCGTACTTCTTGTGGAATAAATACTTGTAGATTAAATGCTCGGGGATCTTAACATCATCGAGTGTTATGTCATGCTGGGATTTCAATAAATCGTGTATTTCTCGTTGGCGGACGTTATCTCTGGACGTCTGGTCGGTGGTTCCTCTCTTGGTACTCTTCTGGAGAAGAGACTTGTAAGATCGCAGATGGCTGCGCAGGAAGCAGAGCGTCGAGGGTATACATAGTAGGGGTCTGGCTCGAGATGTAGCTAGTCGGCTCCATGGGAACATCTCATGTCTTCTTTGTTTGTGGAGAAATGCGATGGGCTGAAAAATCGCTTACTTTATCGCGAGTAATCAATTTTCAACCGCCGCGATTTGATGGGCTTCAGGCACCGCGATTGTTTCGTGCTCTTCAGGGTACTGTCTCAAATCAAGACTGACAGTCTTGGAGCAGTTTTCTCTTTGGTCTCTGTAGATACCAACTAGCGAGTCTGAATTCTCAAACATGGTGCTCTTTAACGAAATGACAATGAACTGGAAACTTGGACCGGCATTTTCCTTGATGTATCTTGCAATCTTCTTGACGTTACTGTTATCCAATGCGGCATCGATCTCGTCCAACACAAAGAATGGCGATGGTTGGAAGGAATGGATAGCAAAGAGCAATGCTAAGGCGGCCATGGTCTTTTCACCTCCCGATAACAACTCCATGTCTCTGAACCGCTTCAATGGCGGCATAGCATGGTACTTCACACCGGCTGCAAATGGCAGTTCATCGTCCTCCAACGTAAGGTATGCCGAACCTCCAAGCGGAGAGGCGTTGGACTTTGTAAGTGACTTGTATACCTTGTCGATGTTATCGGAGATGTGGGTAAAGGCATTCATGAATAATTCTTTCCTCTTGTCCCTGACCTCGTTGAACTTCGATGTCACCTTGTTCACTTCATGCTTGGCTTTGTTAAACTCTCTGTCGAACTCCTTTAACTTCTGGTCCACTTCTTGAAGTCTTTCAAGGGCCTTGGCATTTGGCGTAAGAGCATGCAATTCGTTTTCAATGGTTTCAATTCTGGCCTTGATCTCTGCCTCTGTTCTTGCCGAGTAGCTTTCCTGGTACTTGGTTTCGAGCAACCCGTAATCGATATGCACCTGGTAGGCCACCTGCGAAATATTCTCAACATCAAGCGAAATGGCGTCCAAGAATCCATCCTCCAATGGAAGATCCACATCTTCAATCTTACAGTTCTTGAGCATATTGAACCTCTCTGCATCAACCTTCATAAGCGCTTCCTCCAAATGTGTTACCTCACGAGTGATGCTCTTGAGCTCGTACTCAATATCCTTCACCTCTGACTCTTTCGAAGTCGCCTCTCGTATCTTTGCCTGTAAAGTGTCGACTAGCGTTACCTTCATTGTGGATTCCGCTTCGATTTCTTCTTCGAGCTTTTGCAAATTCTCTTCCGCAACAACGATATCTTCATTTACCTTCACCAATTCTTCGTTAGTAGTTGCATTACCTGCCTCAAGCTTAGCTCTTCTTGCTTCCGTCTCTTGGAGTCTATCGCGTTGGAACTCAAGTTGGTTTCTCAAGGAAGCTATAGATTTCTCGAACTCGGATCTCTCTCTCGATCTGGCACGAAGTGCTGAACCATGCAAAACTTCGTAGTCATTAATAGAACGAAGACCGTATTTTGCACAGAATGAAGAGTAAACCTTCTCTTGAAGATGCTGGATGCTTTCCTCAAACTTCAAGATTTCAGACTGCAATGATTCGAGGTCTTGCTTCTTTCTTTCGAAGCGGTCAGTCACTTCATCACCAGATTCTTTGAGGAATGCTATTTCCTGATTTCTCTCAAACACTTGGCGCTCAAAAACTGCAATTTGACTGGTGATAGAAGGCCTTTGAGCATCAATTTGTGAAATCTCCTCAGAAAGTGAGTTGCTCTCAATGGAGGATGGTTTCTCTGCAGCAGCTCTCTCCAATTCAGCTGAAATCTCGTCCTTTCTCTTCAAGAGTCTATTCATTTCGTCCTTGCTCCAACGTGCGGTTGCACCAGCACGCTTATCCTGCTGGCCACCGGTCATTAGACCAGCTTTATGAATCACTGAGCCATCGAGAGATACAACTTTGCAATGAAGCTCATTCAGAGAGTTCCACTTAACAACCCTAGCCGTTTCTAAGTTATCAACTATCATAGTGTTTCCAACGACATATTGGACTGCTCTTTCAAGAGCCGGGTCATCATACTTGACGACATCAATGGCAGGACGTGCCTCTTCGTGAAGCGACCTAAGGTAGTTCAAGTTCATAGCTTCATTGACAACCGAGTTCAAAGGAATGAATGACGCGAGACCAGCGCGTCTCTCCTTCAATGTTTCAATACATTTGTGGGCAGTAGCAGTTGAATCCACGATGATGGAATCAAAGTCAGCTCCCAAGACCGTCAGCAACGCCAATTCATATTTGCGTTGACTTGCGTGCACAAGTTCATACACAAGTCCTTTAATTGAACCCTCAGGCATTAAAGCCTTCAACATTGCAACATTGTCACGTAACTCTCTCTGTTTCTTAGATTCTTTCTGTTCAGATGATACTTCTTCAAGTCTGGATAAAACATCTCTGAGTTCAGTATTCAATTCGAGCAATTTGAAGGACACTGCTTCTTGCTGCTTCTGAAGAGCCTCTTTCTCCCTTAACTTTGAAGTTTTGATTTGTTCCAAATCTTGCAATTTCGCATTTAAATCGTGCAAAGCCAGGCCAAGGTTTAATTGAACGTTGGACTCAAGCTCCATGATACGCGTGTCAGATTGGTCTTTTTGCAATTCGAGGTCCTTTAGAGACATTTCGATGGTTGACTTGTCTGCGTGAAGAACAGCTAGATCACGCTCTAGCAGAGAGCCGGAATCAGCCAAGAACTGGTTACGGAGCTCTTCATACTCCTTGATACCTTCGGCGGGGATGTTAACCAGGCGTTCCAATTCAGCAATTTTGTCTTTGAATGCAGTGTACTGAGCTTCTGTTTCATCCAATTTAGATTGGAGCGCTTGTTCTTGATCAATTTGCACCCTGATATCTGCTTCTAGATCTTTGATTTTTCTTTCTGTGAGCGACATCTTGTTTTCGAGAAGTTTCTTACTTGACTTTGTAGGTAAAAGCGAACGCTTGGCCCCCTCACTGCTTTGTCGAAGTTGGGCAATCTTTGCTTCCTTTTGCTTCACCTCAAGCTCTTGTGCGGTACTTTCTGCAGCCAATGACTTGAAAGACTCTTCAGCGGCAGTAAGCTTCTGCTTCGAAGCTTGCACTTTCTCGGAGTTGCTTCTGAGGTCACCCTTGAGCCTAAAGTGCCTTCTCTCATTATGAAATAGCTTGTACAAGTGAGACACTTTAAGAAACTTGTTCTTGTCGCCCAACTTCTCCTCGAAGATCTCCCGTTCTCTCATCTGCTCCTTATACTGCTTAGACTCGGTAGTAAGGTTCCTCTTTCGTGAAAACACCTCGGCGTGAAGCTCCACAGCTTTTTCCTTCTCGTCCCGAAGACGATCATAGTCATTAGCATACTCTGCAGAGCCCGAAATAGTCTCAATCAAATGAGAGAGCTGCTTTGGTTCTTGGGATGCCACATTCTCGATATCACCTTGGAAAACAAGGAAGTTCCTGGCCTTGACCAAAATGTTCTCTCCCTTAAGCATCATAGTATACTGAAGCGCAGTCACGCTCTTATCATTAATCTTGTACTCACTGGTGCCAGCCGAGTTTATACTTCTCTGAAGCACCATCTGTTCACCTGTATCCTTTTCATAGATAGCCTTCACGTACGCCGAGTCACAGGCCTGGGTCGCCTCAGAATCGTCAATACGACCTCTATAAATCAAATCTTTAAGCCCAGAAGACCTTAAATGGTACGACTGGACGCCCAAAACGAAAGACATGGCATCCATCATGTTTGATTTACCAGCACCATTGGGACCAATGATGGAGGTGAAGGCTGAGTCACCAAGGCCGACGTTGGCTGTGCCTTTATAGGACTTGAAGTTGTGCAATTCGAGACCCAAAAGCCTTCCCATGTTGTATAATTAAGTGGTCCTTTGGGTTGTGATGGTTTATTTATGTTGATCTGAGGAAGACGCGTTGTTGATGTATGTGTGGTGCACGGGTGTAAGGTCTGCCCAGGTCTACCATGTCAGACTTGACCACCAGTCAAAAGTGAATAAAGTGGGTCAGAAAGTAAGGGGGAAGGGCTGAGGTATATAAAGGTGGACTGATTTAGAGCCATTGTAGCTTTTAGTTAATGATTGGGGTCCGAGATAGTGGTTTTCGATTGGACCTGTTTTGGCTGCAAAATGCAATGAAACGCTGACAAACCAATGGAAAAGCTGTTGTTTTATGAAGGAATTAAACGAGAAAGATTGGAAATCCCACTTTGATATGACATTGAAGTCGTGGATTAGGAAACTGGATTCTTTAGAGTATTAGCAGTAGCACAGTCTTTAGTTGAGAAGCAGCAAATTAGGGTCCAGCTCTTCCCACCAACACCAGTCATTTTGAATTTTTTAAAGGCGTTTTGCGACTCTTTAACCATAATTTAAGCCAAATGAGTATTAATATATTTCATTAAGACCACTTAACATCAAAAGTATGGGACTTTCTCGGTGGCCCAGATTCACTGGGGACCCTCTGAGAGAAGCTGCGAACTTGGAGTGATTCTAATGTATGGGTGTACGGATGTAAATCAGGACCCAAGAACCATCCCAATTTTGCACCCAACGTAAGTCAAGCAATGGGGAGATTATACGAGATTTAAGAGTTTTCGAATGTTATAAGTAGTGGTTTGAAGCTATTCTGCGAGTTTCGGGTGGAAATCACGGCTTAAAGTGCCCAAACTAGAGCCCTAAAATGCAAAAGCAACCATAGATCAACCTATATACATCCAATTTGAACCAAAATAAGGCCATTCGATAGCCAGACGTTTGTAAAATGTATTGACAAACGTTCAGTTTATTTACAACAGAAACTACATCGATTACATGGAGTCGCAGTTTCGCCCCATAGTTAAGAAAGTACGTTACTTTGGGGGGTAAAATCGCGATTTCAAGGGGGGACCCTTGGAAAACGGACCCATTTTTGAAAAAGTCGATTTTTGAATTTCGCCTCGAGCTCGAGGACCAAAAGTCAAATTTAAAAAACGTCAAAATCGACCTTTTTGAAAAAATCACGTGTACAGTCACGGGATTTCACAGGCTTCTAATAAAGATTGCCCGAAATATCCACAGAAATAGACCTTTTATTCTAAAAGAAAGGTATTTTGATATCTTACAGCGATAAATAGAGATTTAATGTCTTTGTAGCTTCTGATCAACATTTTTGGCAGACTTAAGGAAGTATTCTCCATTCAAACGAAGACAAACAGGGAACTTCCAGAAGAATGGCAAGGAAGCTGCTTAAACATGTTCTTAAGTATAGAGTTCCTCTTTTCTAGCCAACATAGAAGCTGTCTCTTTTTGTCTTTGATCAAAAGGTATCTTCCTGTTGTATCTCTCGCCTTACAGCCCTAAGTATGGTACTGGATTACCAGCCTAAGTGCATGACTGAGGTAAACATTGTCCATTTGGGAAGCCCAAGAATCATATCTAATATAATATCCTTTCTTAAGTCTTAAATTTCTTGACAAATCTCTCGTTTCATGCTTTGGTTCAAGTGCCTTAGGTGGTTTGAGCAGACACTTGTCTGGGCCCACCGGTTGATTTAGACGAACATTCATTACAGGCCGGATGCTATAACTTTTTTATCTGTTTAGTGAAGTAAAATGAAATACGACTTACAAGTCAGTAACATTTTGGCCCAAAGGTATAGTAGTAATGGTGAAGATGGAAGTGGAAGTAACAGCCAGAGAGCAGCCAGCAAGCATATATAATTACCAATACTTCTTTATACGTAAGTAGAAGGTAAGTGGTATTCAGTATCATAAAGCAGTATATGATGTACTTTCGCTATCTAATACTAGGCTTGTTCTGACTCCACTAAGTCAGCGCTGCCTACTGACTATGGCTGCAAAGTCTACACGGCACCACCCGCCAACTTAACACGATAACAACATAACAATAAAAACAATAAATAAATAATTAACTTCAACCCCTTCTATCCCCTTCATCCATTCTAAATCACTCACTTTTTTCCCCAGAGCCACCCACAGCTGGACCCTCTCTACGTAACCGCACCTCCTCCAGGTCCACTTAGGCATCGCGCAGTTAACCCAAACACACCAACCACCACCTTAATCATGGAGATTGACCCGTACAATGTGCTCCAGGTGGACAAAGATGCAACACCGCTAGCAATTAAGAAAGCTTACAAGAAGCTATCGCTTAAATACCATCCGGATAAAATCCAGCAACAGAGCCTGGACGAGGACAATACGCTATTTCCCCAGATCCAGTTTGCCTATAGCATTTTGTCAGATCCCGCCAAACGGAACCGATATGATACCACGGGTTCTTTAGGGCTTCTGGGCGAGGATCCAGATGACATTTTCAACTGGAAGGAGTACTTTGAGCTGACGACAGAGAAGATCACTATAGACATGATCGAGGAGGATCGGGCCAAGTACCAAGGGTCCGAGGAGGAGAAGGAGGACATTTTGCATAACTTCGTGTACTACGAAGGCGACTTTCTTCGGCTTTTCGAGGTGATTCCACATTTGGAGTTTGATGAGACCGAGGAAAGCAGGGTATTTGATATCGTGGATGCAGCGGTAGAGCTGGACGAGATCACTGTCGACAAGAACATCCGCAAGACGTGGGATAAGTATAAGAAGTCGAGAAAAACAAAGGTCAAGCAGATGTTGAAGAAACTTGCCAAGGAGGCAAAGCAGGCCGAGGAGATGTCAAAGAAGATTTCCAAGAAGCCAATCAAGAACGAGGGTGATCTCGCTGCGCTTATTAAGAGAAAGAACGCAGGCAAACTAGATGATTTGATCAGCAGCTTGGAGTCCAAGTATGGTAAATCTAAGGGGAAGAAGAGACAGGCTCCGGATATTGACGACGAAGAGTTTGAGCGCATCCAGAAATCGATGAAGAAGAAGCACTAATAAATACGTTCAACGTGAACGCTTTCGCTCAAAGATGTAGACAGTGGGAGTAGTGCTTTGGTAACGCTACTATTGCTGAGTAGAAACAACAACCCCCTCTTTGGTTACGTTTGGATGTGACTGAGGCGTGTTCGCTGCACCTGCTATTCCCCCTTGCTTCTCGATGTCGCCAAGGGGGTCTTCAGGTGATAGTTCAGCGATATACCTCAAAGCACACAACAAACTGCTAAGCCCTAACCAAACACTGTAGACGGAAAACTTGACCAAATAGCCAATGAAACAAAACAGTTGGCAGATGAAGACTTGCACGCGTCGAGGAGGGTCTTCATCATCCATGCGCTTGCTTTGATTATACATTAAGTCATTCAACCGCTCCATCCTATCGACGATAGGAGAACTTTGATAGCCATTGGCAAGAAAGTTTAACAACAATGACTCCCATTTACCAATGACCTCTGTAAGCCATATTCTGATGCCCTTATTTGAAATGACGACGATCACATTAAATGTACCAATCAAGACAGAGACAAGCCAGATGGTACGTTCGATCCAGTTCATAGAGTCTGGCGATTTTAAGCCAACAATACCGTAAAACAAGCAGAGAGATAATACTAATGCAAAGAAAGCTGGCATCTGGAGCTCAAAAGTGTTAAGTAGAGGCCTCCACCTATCCACATCAACCTGAAAGTCAGCGACAAATCGACGATCATCCAAGATGTTCATTGGGTTGTTCGTTAACTGGCTAGCCCAGTAGTCCACGTTCAAGATTCTGTTGTAGTGGTATTGAACCTTTTTATTGAGCTTTGGTAAATCACTGGCATCCACAGGGTATTGAATTAGCTCTTGTTTGATACAGCTAGCCTTAGCCAGTGACACGCCTAGCTCTTCAAGTTTAACCACGGCTTTTTCCATCACCATTCCAATTTCATTGGCCGCATCACCACAAGCACGAGCCTGCTTCATAGTCATACCGCTTTCTGTTAACTCTTCTGAGGTAAAGCGCTCTTTGAAGCGATTGGAAACTTCAAATTGAGATGAAGGATGATTCAGAGATGGAGCCAGGGGTGGATCCAGGGGTGGAGCCAATGGTTGATCCGTAAGCTGTCCAGCAGAAGGAGCAGACACTTCAGGTTCTCCGACACTACTACTTGTAATTGGCATATCAGAGATACTTCTTAGAAAAAAGGGCTTCTCTTGATGTGTTTTTGTAGAAGAAAGAAAAGGAGGTTGTGGAATTAGTTCTCAGCGGCCAGTGGGTGCCTTTTATATTTGCAGCCAAACGCGCTACCCTTAGATAGACATACACCTGGCGTAGGCTTTACACCATCTAAGGACTATCCATACCTTTCCCAAGACATTTATTTCTCTTAAGTACTTCAGCAACCTACATTTTTGTACTATTGAGCAATTGGCTTGGTGGGTGAAGTTTTGGGTGGAAGTCGGAAGCATGGAGCAACGAGGGTAGCATGGGCCAACATGAAGGGTATGCTTTCTGGTCGTAAAGGGTACAAGTTTAACGTTATGTACTTGTTATGTGAGCTTTCTGAAACTGAATGTAAACATTTCAGTACATCAGGATACATGAAAGTGCATGTCCTCGAAGGGCAAGTCCACCAAGCCAAGTCGTATATTTCCAGATTTCACCTCTCAAGTGAACAACGATATGAACAACTGTCGGCTTGAAACCTTTTATTTGTTTGAAGAGTTTACAAGCAGCTCTTTTAGCTACTCGAAAGTGGCTGTCTCTGTCTTTGAAGAACTCCAGAAGCTTCCATCAAGCTATGTGAGCCATACTACCAGACTATGCCACGTTAAAGATAGTGTCCTTGCGGTGACAGAGTTCCAAATCAAGCATGAAGGTGATTGCAATAAGATCGAAATATTGACCTCTCGTGAAGATCAGTATGACGATGTCGCCTTAATGGAACCGTCTATAGTGTGTGCCATTGTTGATACCCGTCTACTTACCGCCTATGACGACAGATTTCGTCTGGCTAGGAAGCCATGGGGCTGTCTAGTTACTGAAAGTCATGGTAATCTTTTTGAGTGTGACATTAGTGGTTCAAGCTTGACCAGATCATTATACTGTCCAGGCGATAAATTTCAGACCAGGACAACAACTGGTCTCGGTAACGATAGGCGTGGTTTTGTGAATTTGCAAGTCAAGTCGTTTAACCCAGGTACATTTGCTAATAAGACTCCAGACCCGATTATTGCCTGGGGTATGAAACTTTCTGAAGTATTTAGACTTGAGTTGCAGTGCCAATCCAGCAAACCATTACCGACGTCGCTGTTAGTTGTGACAAGGGTCACAACCGAGCTTTTGGAGGTTGCAAGCTATAAAGGCCGAGAGCAGAAATCATTTTGCGCTGAAGCTCCTAAATCTCTCTACGTTTGGCTTTTGCTGGAGAAGAGGTGTTTTGAGAAGCTTGGGCGCCCAGTGTTCGATACCGATACAGTTTTCCAGATCCCATCAGGGTTATACAATGGCACTCTACCTACTATAGAACCAACATCGTATTCCCAACTGATGGCAAGGATCTATGCAATTAAGTTCGTTGTTGAATTCGTTGACTTGAAGGATGAATTCGATAAGCAAAGCTTGGAAGCCATTGTTGACGTCAATATCGCTAAGATATACTCGGAAGACACAGTTCAGGACATGGATAGACAACTACATGTTTCCTCTTCTTCTGAGAGTGCCAGCAGCCATGAGAGGATTTACTTTGCGGACCATGATGGTATCTCGATTGATGTTTCTATGTTGCAAAGAGAATTGTTAGGTGAGAATGGATCTTCAGAATACTTGATCGAACGGTGGCAAGTGTGGGCCTTTCCAGTAGATCATCAATGGATATCAATTACTGGTATTAAGTATGTGAATGCTGAAGCAGAAAGATACCTAGCAAAGATACATCGGGCGTTGCTGGTAAGAAACGCCAATTCTGAAGCTGCAATAAAGTTCAAGTTCTTCAAAGGCTGGAGTGAGTCCCACGAAGACATAGGCTATGTTTTTGGAATGCCAATGGTGACATATAAGGGGAGGTTTACTTTCACCTTACCGGCAAGTCTTCGGCGTGTACTTGAAGCATTTTACCGGGGGCCAGCACAAACCCCTTCGGAAAGAGCGTCCCTTGTGGCTTCGCTGGATTCGCTGTTTGCAATTGTTAGTCAAGGGGTGAGAGTTTCTGACTTTTTGAAGCTTCAAGCGGTGTATGCTTTGCTTCCAGACGAAATACCGCAGGATCACTTCCGTAAGCTAAGTATGAAGCTCTTGATGGAGGAGTCCGAACTTCGTTCGACGGGTAGGGTGAATACCAAGAGCACTAAGCATGCAATAGGGTCAATTGACCTACTGCTGCTTCACTTTCAGCATCCACTGGACGGGAGCGAGGTGCATTGCCATTTTCCAGGACAATTTCTCAGCTTCCCGATCCCATCAGTTCCACCAAGCTACTACAGTGGGTCATTCTTACGACAGTACACTTTAGTCGTCGACGTATGGCCTGGACTGTGTTACGCATATGTTCCCATATACATCTGTGGAGAACGAATTCAGATTATTGGGCACAAGCAAACCGCCCCAGTGTGTGCTTTGATGAAAACGAAGGATGATTTGAAATGGTGTGGTTCTTTTAGAGAAATGGGGAAAGAGGGGCCTGTTGGCGTGTTCAGAGATGGTGATTACATCGACCCGAAACTTGCAAATCAAGTTAAAAAGGAGCCTCCCAAACCCCCTCCATCGGATCCATGTAGTATCTGTTGATAATAAAGTTTGATTTACAGTATATGATTATTTTTGCTTTCGTTGTAATCTAGCTATGATAGTGATAGAGAGTTTACAGCTGATATCAATACGTCTAAGTAGGGCACTCTCGAGTCTTTCGCAGCCACAACGTAACTAGCTCCATTCACTTCTGAACAATGCCTTACCAATAAAGCATCACTAAAAAGCACCAAGCGATTAAAAATCACCAAACGACGTCCTGAAATGTTGAATAAAATTTTCTTCGAAAGCCTAAAGTTAATTTTTCAGTACCTCCATTGTATAGTGTGGCTTCCCATATACTGCTCACCAGTCATGAACGGTCCGCCATTTCCACCCAAACAACACCAACAACATCAAAAAACGCCAATATACAAATCATTGGCCTCTTAGGTTCTTCACCACTCTAATCTCTTCCCAATTGGACCCCCACAGCTCGTAACCCAAAGAGCCGTACCATCACGTGAACCCCCACTGTCTGACTCTGCCTTATCGCCTCGCCAAATTTCATCAACACTTCCTTCTCTTCAACCACAATGGAGAAACAACCTCTTCTTGAAAGACACAAAGAGGAAAGAAACTGGTCCTTGAAGAGCTGGCTCACCAGCTGTGTGCCTTCAGCGTCCCAGGCCCGGATTCCAGACGACGAGTTGGCCTCAATGCTTACTTCTGATAGCCCACTGGACTCCGATCCGCTCCCAGAACTTCCTGCTACAGAGTATGTGATTAGTGAATTGGGTGCTGGGGAGAAACTCAAGAAGCTTCGTGGACTTATGAAAGAGCATAATATTGCTGTTTACATTATTCCTTCGGAGGATGAGCATCAGTCTGAATACACAGCTGTGGCTGATAAGAGAAGAGAGTATATATCTGGGTTCAAGGGGAGCGCAGGAATAGCTGTGGTGACTCTTGATGATCCAGAATCGTTGGAAGGAGAAGCTGCTTTGTCTACAGATGGAAGGTACTTCTTGCAGGCCGAGAAGGAACTAGATGAGCGGTACTGGAGGTTGTTGAAGCAGGGCCAGGTTGGGTACCCCAGCTGGCAGGAGTTTGCGCTTGGAAAGGCGTCGAAAAGTAAGGTTTCGAATGTGATTTCTGTAGATCCCAAGCTTTTGAGTCTTTCTTTGGGCCAGTTCTTCAGCAGTACGCTGAGGTATAGAGGAGTGGTGTTTAAACCATTCATTGACTACAACTTGATCGATAAGGTATGGGGAAACGAAAAGCCTTCGAGACCTTCCGATAAAGCGTATGTTTTTGCTCCGCAGTTTGCTGGCGAGTCGCCAAATGATAAGATACTGAAGGTGAGGAGTCTCATCAAGCTGAAAGACGCTACTCACCTTGTGATAACTGCATTGGACGATATCGGATGGTTGTTCAACTTACGTGCGGACCACTCGATCCCGTTCTCGCCCTTCTTTTTTGCTTATGCCGTCGTTACTTTAGATAAAGTGTACTTGTACGCTGACAAGTCACTCCTTGCATTTGTGCGTCCACATCTTTCATCCATTCATTCGTTGACCGTCAAGCCATACGGAGACTTTTACTCAGACTTGTCTACAGTCAAGGCTACTATTCATGACCATTCCGTGAGAGTTGTTTTGCCTTCGAAGAATGCATGCAACTATGCCCTCCTTTCATCATTGCCTCTGTCTGTATCAAGGCAGACAGTCATCTTCGACTCGGTCATCTCTGTGCTCAAGTTGACAAAAAACAAGACAGAACTCTTTAATGCCAAGATTGCTCAGGCCAAAGATTCTCTTGCTTTTATCATCTTCTTTTCTTGGTTGGAAAACGAGCTAATCCATAAGCAAAACAAGGTTACCGAATACGAAGCAGCACAAAAGATATATGCCATTCGCTCTCAGCTCCCTAACTTCAAAGGCTTATCTTACGAAACCATTTCATCGACTGGGCCCAATGCTGCAATTATCCACTACGCTCCTACTAAAGAGGATAACGCTGTCATTGACCCAACCACGCCGTACCTCATCGATTCAGGTGCTCACTACCTCGAAGGAACTACTGATATAACTAGAACATTCAAGTTTGGCCAAAAGGGCATCACTCCTGACATGAAGAAGTTCTTCACGCTTGTGCTCAAAGGTCATTTGGCTGTGGCATCTGCTAAATTCCCAGATAGCCCATCAGCTGGCACTATACTTGATTCTTATGCCAGACAACCTCTCTGGAACGAAAACTTAGACTTCAACCATGGCACTGGTCATGGTGTTGGTGCGTTTGGTAACGTCCATGAAGGTCCTTTGTATATACCGCTGGGTGGTGGTGATGTGAACTACTTCAAAGAAGGCGCCATTGTTACGGATGAACCTGGCTACTACGTGGATGGAAAGTTTGGCTTTAGAGTCGAGAGTGAGCTTGAAGTCGTTGCCACAGACAAGATCAATCCATTTAGAGGTTCTGATTTCTTGGCCTTTAACTATTTAACCAAGGTACCGCTTGGTCTCAACCTTATTGATCCAGAATACCTCAGTGCCGTGGAAAAACGCTGGATAAACAGCTACCATAGATCGCTTGTTTCAGAGTTTGGCAGCAAACTCCTTGACCTTGGTGAATACCGTGCTTACGCTTGGCTACGCAAAGAAACTGTCCCGGTTGTGTAAATTATACCCCTCCTGAAATGATAATAATAATACATACTAAAAGTGAAAATTTCATTATTTCAGCTCGAATGAAGCTGAGTAGAGTGGGGGAAATCCTAGATTCTTCCCACGGTTTTGAGGTTTCGAGAACGCCGGTCTCTGGAAGCTGCCGGGCTTCCTCAATGCTGAATGACCGCCAACGCTGGTGCCTTCAGCGAGCGTACCGACTTTGTTGGAGATGAAAGGCAGTGGTCCTTTTGGTAATGGTCCAGGGACTTCTTCCTTCACAGCTGAAACGGTACTTCTGTATGATGGCATTTTTAAGCCCGCATTCAAATAGCTTCCTGAAGTAGCACTAGAAATTGAACTTCTCAATTGGTCAATCTCAGATTGGATGCGTGACATTGAACTCTTATCCTTCTCCAAGTACTTGTTGCTTGACTCTCCAAGTTTGACCTTCTTGTTGTCGCTGTTGATGAAGTCAAGTCCAAGTCTCTTTTGAGAACTCCTTAAAAGCTCAAGCGCCGAAGCGCCTTTGATACTGGATGAACCACCTGTCAATGCTGAGATCCGGCTAAGGATATCCTTAGTATCGGTTGGCTGGGATATAGTTGATGCCTCATCGGCCTTTAGTAAAAATGATAAACGAGAGAAATCGCCAGTTTTAACAGTTGAATCAAGGATCGAGTTCAAAATCAGAGTAATGGCATTGGTGACTGTCTTGCCATCGGTGCACCCCATAGCAACAGCGTATGAGCTTGCAACAACCGCCAAATAGGCAGAAGCAGCGGTCATGATGGACTTCGGGTCTTCACGAGCACCAATCTCGGTCACCAAATTAAACGACGTCGTTAAGCGTTTAATAAAGACGCTGTCGTGAGCCAAGGCACTTGGATTCTTTGAAGACTTCTCCAAGAGCTCCTCTGTGAAAGATTGGTTTTCCGACGACTTGCCGTTTTCCTTCTTCTGCTTGGCCAATCTCTTTTCACGTCTGACGTGAAATTCTTCTTCAATCCAAGCCTTCTTCTCCGATGTGTTTTCTTCTCCAAACATCACATTGGCACGTTTGATCACTCGAGAACGCAAATCATTATCCTTGTTACGTTCAATATTTCCCTCTCTCCACTTCTTTTTCCGCTCTCTGTTGTCAATACGAATACGTTCTTTATATTCGTCCGACTCGGTATCGGGCTTCACTCCCAACACGGCATTCTTACCTCTTAAGGATCCAAACGACGTTAAGGTATTAAAAACTGAGCTGTGGAAGTCCAATAGATCATTAGGTTCTGGCTTTGCAACTTGGACGGTGCTGATAATCACAGGTTGGTTGTCTTTTGCCAGCAAGACTTCCATGACATTGTCTATAATGGTGGTGCCTTTCTGGGGCGCCTCAATGTCACCTCTGGTAAGAAAATCTTTTGCATACTTCAAGTTTTCGACATGAAACCTATGCACATCAGGCGACTCCTTTAGTGAGCTCGTGGTCTCTTGAACAAGAGCGCTTGTATGTACGCTGTTTTTGTTTAGCATCAAAGCATTGGTCATCTGACGAATAAGCAGCATCAAGTTCTGTGATTGGCTTCCGGATTGAATATGCTGTGATAATGAAGATAAGATATTTGACAAGTGTGGATTTGGGGCCTGAGGAAGACTCTTCTCTGCTTCGTCTGGCTTATCTGTAGCTGGCTTCTTTGAGCTCATGCTAGACCTATGAAACGCCAAAGTTTCGGCAATCGAAAGGGACTTCTTCCTTGCAGTTACATCTTCCGTAGGTTGTGTATCCTTCTTGTTCAACGCGTCTTTCACGGAAAGAGCAGCAATAGCGGCAGCAGTGGACACTGTCAGGTCTTTAGCTGAAGCAGCAGCCTCCTTGACTTCTGGAGGAAGAGCAAGTTCGGGTTCGCCTTCGAAAGATGTAAGAAGCTCTTGAGGATTTTGCATGGCCATATTAAACGCATTTTGAAAGATCTCGTTCATTTGCAAGTTCTCCAAATCCTGTTCTTCTGTCTCTGGGGCATCATCGGTGCCCTTCTGAGGAGCATTCCTGATAGCTGTTCTCACGGCATTCGCAAGAGCATTAGAGATAGCAGAGTCTTGTTGCTTATCTTCTTCCTTTTCTGCTTCATTCTGGAAATGCATTAACACATTTTCATCAATCAGTGGCACTTCCACCTTACGATTGTGATCCTCACTGCCTTGGACTTGATGCGTAATCTCTGCAGCCAATTCCTGAAGCACATCTTTTGGTATAGCACTTTCAACGTTTTCTGAGTCGCCTTCACCTGCCATCTGTTGCACAACGTTCGATACAAGTCCAGCTAGATCGATGTTATGGTCCTTGGCTTCGTTGACTGAATCCCGACGATCAGGGTCACTTAAAGATGAAAGAGCGGCACGTAACTCATGATCAGAAGCCTTTCTTTGTGGTTCTTGTTCTTCCCTTGGTGGCTCACGCTCATCAACAAGCGATTGGAAAGCAGCGCCAATGGCATCCTCAAGATTCGTATCTTCCTCTTCTTCGTGCTGAGGTTCTTGTGGAACTTCCTCAGGCTGTTGTTCTGGCTGTTCTGTGGTATGAGGTGGAGAGGCCTGCTCATCAGCACCACCATGTGCATGTGTTTCTTCAGTTTGTTGTTGTTCACCTGGATCGCCTAAGTCTTCCGCTATACTCTTGAAAGCATCGCCAATGACATCTTCAAGGTTAAGTTCTTCATTAACTTCCTCGTTCTTTACTTCCTGGTGCTCTTGTTCCTCTTCCCTTGGACTCTCATTCACTGGTTCTTGTTTATCTTCCTTGGGTTCCTCTTCCCTTGGCGCCTCCTGGCCAATTGAGGCAAATGCTTGCGAAACAGACTCTTCTAGGTTGAAATCGTCGTCATGGTGTTCGAATTGTTCTGGTTCCTGGCGTGGTTCGTCTGTTTCCTCCTCCTTATGCTCCATGTTTATAAAGCCAAACTGCTTGAAAGCATCACCAATGGCATTCTCCAACGCTGAGTTGTCCTGAGCGTCGTGAGCATTTTCGTCGTGATGATAAGGTTCAGTTGTCCCCCCAGGCGAGTTGGAGCCTGAGTGGTGCCCGTTATCGTTTTGAGACATTTGATAATATGGGGTACAGGGTATCGGTCACAAGGGCTCTGTGACTGTTTTTTTTCATCCTTCTCATCGGAAGGTGTTGGTACTGGGAGCTGTATATGCAGGTATTTGCAACCATTCCCAAGGACCCTCCCAAACCACCGACCCAAGCCAAGTGGTTTTTGAATATTTAGTGGTGGTGTGTGGAAAACAGGGTTTAAGGTATTGCTGGGCAGGTTTAATCTGAAATTTAAGGCTGTGGTGTTGAAAATACATGGTGTACTCAGATTGCCAGGTGCTATGGCCAATCCAAGACATACACTACATAATCACAGTCTAGCAACAGAAAAGAACCTGAAATTCGCTTGGTAGCCACTTCAAATGCTAATGTGTCTTTTCTGATGCTTTGCGGTTTGTTTGGGTGCATATCTGAATTATATCGTAACTCATCGTCTATAGGTACGGCTGCGAAAGACGCTCCAAGGACAAGGTACATGGAATTAGAGCATTCCAGCTACTCAAAACCAGTGCCCAACCAGACTTAGTTGCTTTTGTGAATATTGCTTCCTCTTCTGGCCCTTACTTTGTGCACAAAATGGCACCACATTCTAACGTGGCTTTGTCGTCAGGTGCTGGTCTACATGCCATATGACGTAGTATACACTGATTAACACCTACTGGCGAAGATCATCAATGAAGACTAGTATTAGTTGCAAGGATTAGCTGTTTAGATTCACATTGTGTTTGGTAGATTCGGAAGGCTTTAGTAAGTGCTTTTGCTTGGTGTGCTGTCGGATAATGATGGATCGCCAATTGGCCTTGGGACAATTCTTTGTTGTAGCTGTGGTACATAGATAAGGGTGGGAGGCTGTAAACTACCAGTGAGTGTTATATCTTTTTAAAATATACTTTCTTCCTTTCATATTCGTTTAAGAATACAATACCAGATCGTGGCCATAACAAGAGTAGAAGTTCAACTTACTCTTCTTTATTGGTTGGCAACGTTCATAGGGTGAGTTTCTGGAATAATGCCTTAATTCCCATCATCGTTGTCAACACTCGATCTCTACACTAACTTCTAAAAGAACTCATTAACTTAATAATAATTGATATTCTCGAAATACCAATTTCATGAATGAAATTTCCGTACTAAGAAGATATACTTTCCATGCTTGGGGTACCAGGCTCTTCGGACCGCAAGCGTCCACCCTAATACTTCCATTGCCATAACAAATCAAAAATATCTTTAAACTACAATTTCGACGCTTTACTGAATAGGACCGCAGAAATTGATCCCCTTCTTCCTTCTTCGCCTTTTCAGTACATTGTACTTGGCTCTACCAAACCTACTGGCCTCCACAACCACCACCAACTGGTGACACCACTAGTACGCCCATTTCACTCATTCCCCTTCTCTCTTTCTCTCGCCCTTCCAAATCCAACCTAAAAATCCATCCAGTGAATTGTCACAAAACTTCTCCAAAAATTACATCCTATCAACTCCTCCACTTCACACTTTCCATGGGTTTCTCCATCTCCACCACATTTCGCAGCCAAAGTGGTGAACCAGGCCAATACTCATAAACCCCCCGCCACCGAAAACCAATAAAAAATTCCCATCAACAAAAGTCAAAATCACATCTTTTCACTCTCTCTAGAACACCCTCAGCTCTCCCCCACCGTCGTTGCCACCGAACTAACTGGTTGCTTTGCTTAACTATGGGCGTGCACACTGGCCACCGGCTACAAGACATGATGTGAGACCCACAACTACTCTTCCCACAAATCACCACAATGCAAGTGACCTTCAGAGACTTGAAGAAACAAACAGTACAGGTCGATGTTGAGGCTTCCGACTTGGTATGTATACGAGAAATTTATGGTTGTCTGGTAATTGCTAACAATGCAGGTTCTGCTGGTAAAGGAGAAAGTTGCCGCCGCCAAAGACGTCGATCCACTGCAATTGAAGTTCGTCTACTCAGGCAAAGTGCTTCAAGATGAGAAGCCATTGCTGGACTTCAAAATCAAGGAAGGCGACTCCATTATTTACATGGTGGGTAAGAAGAAGACTCCTACTCCCCAGCCTCCTGCTGGACAGGCTCCTACCGAGGGTGTTGCCGCCGGTAAGTCTGACGAGGCCAAGCAGTCTGAGTCTACTGCTAAAGCCAACCCTGTTAGTAGTACTGAGCTGACTAACATTTCTACTGCTGGGGAAACCGGTAGTGGTAGCGGTACTGGTTCTTCTGCTGCTGACTTCAGTTCAGGCTCTGAGAGAGAGGCTGCCATTCAGAATATGTTGGAAATGGGCTACGAACGTCCTCAGATCGAGCAGGCCTTGCGTGCTGCTTTCAACAACCCTCATAGAGCTGTAGAGTACTTGCTTACAGGTATTCCAGAGTCATTGGCTCAGCCAGCACAGCCAGCCCAGGCTTCCGAGGGTGCCCAAGCTGCTCCAGCTGCCCCAGCTGCCCCTGCTGCCGAGGCTGACGTTTCTCGTGATGAAGATGCTGACACTCACGAAAACTTGTTCGAGGCTGCCGAAGCTGCTGCTGCCGGTGAGCGTGGTGCCGAAGCTCCAGAGGAAGCCAACCTTGACGACCACAGTAGTCAATTGGCTACTCTTAGAGCTGCTCTCCAGAACAATCCCGAATTGATCCAGCCAATGTTGGACCAGCTTGCTGCTTCTAACCCACAAATCGCCGAAATGATCGAGCAGGACCCAGAGGGATTCATGAGACATTTCTTGGGTAATGGAGATGAAGACTTCGAGATCGAGGGCGAAGGTGCTGAGGGCGAGCAGGAACCAGGCACTGTCCGTATTGCATTGACTGAACAAGATGAGAGCGCTATCAACAGGTTATGCGAGTTGGGCTTTGAGCGTAACTTGGTTATCCAGGTCTACATGGCATGCGACAAGAACGAGGAGGTCACTGCCGACATCTTGTTCCGTGACTCATAGACTTGAGACGATGGTGGATTATGTATATTATATTCGCATGTTAACGAGCGAAGCTCTACTTGAAACTCTGGATGATGATGTATTTCTGAACGTCCTCCTCGGTAAGAGGAGCGTTGCCTGGGCGTGCCACCACTACGGCCTCAAGACCAGCCTCAATGGCAGCGTCTATCTCTTTGGTGACGTCTGAGTAGAAGGTCAACTTGCTGGCCTCTTCGCCAATCTCTTTCACGATCTTTTCATACGAGGCCTTCTCTTGCTTGTATCCAGCAGTGCTGATATCAAAATAACCACTGATATGCGACGTCAAGTCCTTCAGCTCACCATTGACATCCACATGCTTGAATAACAAGATCTGTGCTGGAACAGAACCCGAAGAGTAGATGTAGACTTTGTTATCCTGGGAAGTAATAAGCTCAATAGCATCTGGGTACACGGGGGCCTTAATTTCACCCTTTTCGTAGCCTTCTTTCCAGACAGTACCCTGGAAAGCCTTCAAATTAACATCCTTAACGTCATTGGACACCAATTGTTTGATATGGTTCAATAAGTCGTCCTTGCTCTGTGTATACTCAGAAGGGAAGCCCAGAAGCGTCTTAGCAAGCTCACTTGCAGATGAGTCTATAGGGAAAGACACCGTATCCAAGTAGTCAGAAACCTTATTAGTGAAATAAGGGAACAAGGTCTCCTTAACAAAGCTTATCGGGCACACAGTGCCTTCTATGTCGAGGATAACAGTAGGCATTGATGTAGTAGGTAGTAGTAGGTTAAGCCCATTTATGTAGGATTCTCATGAGCCACAGTGGTACCTACAACCAACAACTGGGGAACCCAAGAACAGAGATCAATTGACATAAGCGATGTCTCGATTATGGTCACTTTTTGGCCGTTCTTCTACTGGTGGTTTTTATGCCTTTTGGGCGAAAACGCCTGGCACCCACATGGGCCTTGCGAGTGGAGCAAGGAAGATCACCATCAAGTTGCAAGTGACAATTAACGTGGAAACAGAGGATGTAGGGGAAGAATTGGAGGAGCTTAGGGGACCTAAGCAGGTTCTTGGATTGCCCAACAACCCCAAGTATCTTCAGAGTGCCATCAGGGGTACCCCCATGGACCCTTAAGGGGCTACTAAGGACCCTTAATAAGGTAATGTCTGGGAGTTCTACAGCCAATTGAACTGTTCATGTCAACCGGAAGGCCCACCTTCCCAACTTCATACCCCAGCAGACACTTTCAGATACATTTCGTGGACTCACCAGACATATTCCGGCCATGGCAAGTCCGAGCCGGCATTACCCAACCAGTCTTCCACTTTCAACCACCAATTGCATGTGCTAGTCCATAAGGTTACCCAAAGTGGGTCTTCTTCCACGAACCCCACCACCGCCAGGGAAGACCTGGAACTAATAAACACTAATTGTTCCACTACTAGTGGCCCATAGCCTCACATATACATCTACAACTACACAATTCCACCAGCAACCATCCCACATGGACCCCTTACCACAAACACAATTCCCCAGATAAACCGTTTCATCCTGACCAGCCACAAAAACGCTCAATACGGAATTCGCTTACCAAAAGGTTACCCACGGTTTAACCGACGTGCTGTAGTCTCAGACCTATGGAACAGTCCTTTTTTTTTCCAGACTTTTCAGTAAGCCTCACGAGGCCCTGTTTTGGCTGCGAAAAAGATCCCACAACGTTAAAACAATGCATAAGCGAACGTCAGCCACGATTGGAAAATGGCCCTTACATTCTTCCTAATTTTTATCCATGCTATGCATGCTACGCATGCTTAACTGGACCTGCCATTACTGGTTCCCAGCAACTTCTCGGAGTCACCCAACAGTGCGCATGTGGCACATGACAGATGCACCGATTGCTGATAGCTTCACAACCGGCCAATGCTCACAACCCGAAAACTCCAACATTTCAATTCTCCACTCACCCTTCCAGTTTCCTTTAGTGTTTCCTTCTTCCTTAGCTTTCGACATGACCTCGTCGCATATACCTCTTTTCGACGAGGAGTACACTTACGTCAATCGAGACGATATCCATTCCTTTGCAAAAGCCCTTGTGTGGGACGATGATGACTATCTCTCGTCTGCATCCACAAACGGTGTTCTTCCTTATAATGAGGTGAAGAAAGAGGCTGAAACCATTGATAACCAGGGTCTTCAGCAGAACGCCATGGCCGTGGACGATGTTCACGCAAAGGCGCCTAAGCCCATGATGATCACCTCCGCGTCAGATTGGTTTCCTATAAATGGCCAGGATAAGAAGAAAAAGGATGGTATTTCTACACGGGAGAGTTTTACAAACGAGTTTCGCCACCTGGCGTCTTATACGTTGCTCCGATGGCCCGTGCTTGTGTTTATCATCATTTGGGTCGTCATTTTGTGTGTCTTTTATGCCATTGTGAGAGGGTATGTTGCCATCTCGGAGTACCTTTTTACATGGACTGGACAGAGGAGGATTCTTCGGCAGAAACTTCGGCTGTCGAGGACGTATGACGAATGGGTTGAAAATGCAAAGGCAATGGATAGTTTCCTTGGCCTTGACGAGTGGTCTGAACACCCCAGGTTCTCATACTACGACTATAAGACGATCCAGAAGACAATCCAGAAAATACGTGTGCTACGGAAAAAGAATGATGTTTCAAACTTGATGGTGTTCTTGCAGGGCTGTTTAAAGAAAAACTTTGCTGGTATTGAAAATAAACAGCTCTATTCCCACAAGTACTATGGTACAAAGAATCTAGTGCACGAATATGTTGATGAGGTCATTCAATGTATTGACTGTGTCACCAATGCAAGCACGCAGGTCGTGCTGGCCAAAAAGAAGCGTCAGTTTTTCAAAGTGGTTCTGAAAAACTACGGCAAATCAGCCTTGTGTCTTAGTGGAGGAGCATGTTTCGCCTATACTCATTTTGGGATCGTGAAGGCGCTTCTAGATAATGACGTGCTTCCTCTGATTATCTCCGGAACCTCTGGCGGTGGCCTTATCGCCGCTTTGGCATGCACCAGAACAGACGAGGAGCTTAAGAAGCTTTTAGTTCCTCGCTTAGCTAAAAAGATCACCGCTTGCGAAGATCCATGGTATATTTGGATCCCCAGGTTTTTACGCACTGGCGCCAGGTTTGATGCTGTGAGTTGGGCTAGCAAATCCTGCTATTTCACAAAGGGATCGATGACTTTCCAAGAAGCTTTCAAAGCCACCGGTCGTCGTCTTAACATTTCCACTGTCCCCGCAGAGCCGCATTCGCCTGTCATTCTTTGCAACTCCATCACGTCGCCAAACTGTATTATTTGGTCCTCGCTCTTGGCATCATCAGCTGTTCCAGGTATTCTTAACCCTGTGGTGCTTATGACGAAGAACAAGAGTGGCGAAGTCATTCCCTTCAGTTTGGGCAACAAGTGGAAAGACGGTTCGTTGCGTACTGATATTCCTATCAACGCGCTTAACACTTATTATAATGTGAATTTCACAGTGGTGTCACAGGTGAATCCACATATTTCTTTGTTCTTCTTTGCTCCAAAGGGAACTGTGGGCAGACCAGTGGCGTCACCAAGAAGGAAGACCAAAAGACAAAAGTTTGCTTCACTTAGAGGAGGTTTCATTGCAACTGCATTGGAGCAATTGTTTAAGCTCGAGATCAAGAAGTGGCTTGAAATTGTCAAAACTCTTGATTTGCTTCCTATGTGGAGAGAACAGGATTGGCTGAATGTGTGGCTTCAGAGATTTACTGGATCGATCACGATATGGCCTCGCAATAAGCTCATGGATTACTGGTATATTCTCCTGGACCCAAATGAAGCTCAAATGGAAGAGTATTTGCTCAAGGGCCAACGCAGTATGTGGCCGCGTCTTCTTTTCATCAAGCACAGACTTGGAATTGAGCGTGCCATCGAAAGAGGTAAAAAGGCGTCCGTTCAGGACCAGAACCTTGGTGCCACTCAACTTTCCCCCACTGATTCCAATGCACTTCAGTCGGATGACTTCTCAGAAGGTCCTTTGAAAGACCATCTCAGAGCCAACATTAGCGACAGAGGTGACATTGACTCTACCGACGACGAAGTCAGACGTAACTTTGCGTCTCCATTCGACATAAGGTACGGTCAGCTAGAAGAGGACGACGATGAAGACTACGATGATCTGTACACCGACGAAGACTCCGAGTACTTATCGGATGATGGAGAAAGCCTGGTGAAGAATAGAAAGCCATCGTCTAAAGTTGGGTCTAGAAAGATCCGCCGAAGCACAACTCACTAATCACTTTCCTTACAAACTCTTGGTCACCAGTGAGTTCAACTTATTACAGTCTCCAACTTCGCCGTCGGTTTCTATAATACGGTGAACATACTCATATACGGCTTCCATGGCTGTTGGAATGGACAGCTTCTGTTCAAGCGTAAAGTCGGATAAAACAAAATTGGCCATAGCGTCCTTAGATGCGCCCTGTGGTTTGGGCCCGACTCCAACACCAAGCTTGTATACTTGATGTGGAAGTGATAGAAGCTCTTTTTGAACGGACTTGACTCCATTATGAGACTCGTTCTTCTTCAACGCTTGAAGACGGACTTTTGGGAGATCTAGCTCAAAGTCATCATAGACAACTACTATTGTACAGTTTCCTATCCTTTCAGAAGATAAAAAAGCACGGAGCAGCCTTCCTGACTCGTTCATGTATGCGTTTGACTTGACAAACATGATGTTATCTAGATTGGTGAGGGAGTATTTCCCCTTTTTCACTAACTGCTTTGTTTCAAATGCATCAGTGAGCTGCTTGAGCACCAAGTGCCCCACAGAGTGTCTGTTTTGCGGGCCTGGATTACCTATAGAGAAAAAGACTATAGTATTAGACATGTCAATAGAGGTTGCTAGATGTGAAGAATTGTACGCCTTATGTATGTGGGAACCAGGTATGCAGGAGCCATCATAACATGAGTCACCAGAAGCATCAATAAACGCCACCAAAAGAAAAAGTCCTTAATAATTTCAATCTCTGGCTAATTCTGTCTCTGAATAAGGCTTCTCCTGCTTTCCCTCCTCTCTTGCTTCTCTGGTAGGACGCTGGAAGGTGGTGGCTGTATGCAGTAAATTTGCATCTACTTCACGACGCCAAAATATACAGCTACACCAAAGACGCCAACTGACTATTTCCATAAAACGCACCATGAGCGAGGAAATTGATCAATCCCAGGAAATTTCAGAAATCAGCCATCACAGTGAATCGCCTTCTGGCGAAAATGATACCCCAAACGCTGAAGTTTCAGATGGTCAAGAACCAGAAGCGCCAGAAGAAGATGACGAGTTTGGATCGTTTGACGAGGCGTCATTTGATGAATTCCAAGCGGAAGAGCCCGAGGAAGCGCCAGCTGAACCAACCAATGCCACTTTTAGTAGTGCAGTGTTCCAAAGTGAAAGCCTAATAGACCAGAGAGTGGAGGAGACCCTCGATAAGATCTTTACTATACCAGAGCTTCTGTCACTGACAGACGACCACGAATTGCTTCGAAACGGTGCAGGGGAAAAATTATCAATGCTTTCCAAAATCCCCCATCTTCTGCCGCCAAATTGGACCAGGCTGAACATCAGACATAGACTACTAGTCAATCTCGGCATTCCAATCAACTTGGATGAACTAGAGAAGGGCAATGTTGCACAAATTAGCCATACGACTCCACATCCACGTAAGAAATCGATTTCTGAACATGATATCGATTGGACAGGTTTCCAAGTGCCTGGCATTGAGACTCTTAACCTAGACGACGAGAAGAAGAAACACCTTCTATCACAGACAAACACTCTTCTCGACAACATTGAAGAGTTCAATCTTCAGAACACGTCTCAACTCTTCTTGGAAACTTCTTCAGACGAAGGGTTAGAAGAAAAACTCAACAAAATGCGTGATAACCACAAACAGCTACTCGAGCTCAGTTCGATATGGCAGGACCAAATACGCGAGTTGAAGAACAGTCAAGAGATGTATGAGCTGGTGGTGCAAAATATGGTGGGCTACAGTCAAAGGCTCCGGCGAAACGAGATTTTGGAAAGTCTCAGTCGTAGGAAGCTGAAGAAAGGTAAACGGTCATTTTGATAGCGTACATTTATTTACAAAGCATGCCTTTTCCACCTTTACATAGGTTGGAAATTCAACAATGATCCCAAGTCATCGTTCAAGTAATTCTCCTCCTCTGCAGTAGCCTGAAGGTTCATATTTATGAACGAGCTGTCCATAAAATTCGTAAAGAGGTCATTAGGAGCTCCAGCGCTGGTAGCAGCTCCGAAAGGTCCACCATTTTGTGGTTGAGCAGCTTGCATTGGAATGTGTGGAGGAGGAACTTGAGTATCGATGTGTTCAGGTTGAACAGGATCGTCCATAGTAGGTTCCTCGTCTGTGGCTCCACCGTCGTCCTTCGTCTTGACCACTGGGGTCTGAGAGCGTGATGGTGGATGGCTGAAGTTAGCCGTTGGGAACAATTGCGTAGGTTCGAAATTCTCGAAGAAACCTTGTGATGGAGGTACCTTCTCTGTAACTAACGATATGTCAGGGAAGGAGTTAACCGAGGATGGTGTGTGTTCGCCATTAGAATGGCTGGACTTTGACTTGTGCAGAGAAGCTTGCTCCTGGCCGTTATTTTGTTCTTCGGATTCCTTCTTATTTTTGAACTGACGCACAAGCTGCTCGATATCTGGCTGGGGTGGTTTTGGCACCGGCTGCAGCGTTTGTGGGGGAGTTGTGTAGTTGTACGAGCTTCCACGAGGAGATACTCCGGAAGTGGCCAGATTGGCTGGCGAAACAGGTCCACCATGGGGATCTTTCTCATGGTGCAAACGCTCCAGGCGTGTAATCGTACTGTTGTCAGTGTATCTTGACTTCTGGCGCTCTTGGTGGTCCACGATTTGGTTGTTTCTCTCGATGACCTCAGCTCTCTTCATCTTGTCATTAGCGTACTTATCAAACAACTTAATAAGCACACTTGCGATAGACCAGTACTTGGCAAGTTCTTTCAAAACAGCTCTGGAGATGAATAAAGCGTCAGATGCGGTTGAAGCAATGACTGGATTTGTTGAGTCAACGTGATAAATCAACATAACTAAAGCACTGAAAAGAATGTAGACGAACATAACAGGACAGTACTTGAGCGCACCCTTATCAAGCAAGATCTTTGACACGATAGAAATCATTCTCGCAGCTTGGAAAGAAATACCCCAAGATGGATACTTGTAGTTGTTTGGATTGGTCGAGGAAGAACGGGCCATTCTCAACAAGTTTGCTCTGTGGATCAAATATAACCGGTTATAGTACTGAGCATTTAGAAGACAGGCATAGAAATTCTGCTTTGTGGGTTCCGTAAGCGAAAACAGTAGTTGAGGGGGCAAGTTTGTGAACCAGATACCCATGAGCATATCGCAGTGTTGGATAACACTGAACTTGTTGACGCGCTTCATCAGTTCTGCCTTTACTGTGTACTGATGCTTGATGATGATACCAGTGATCTCGGCCAATTTGACCAAGTGGATGAAGTACAACGCCTGAAGTTCGTTCACTGGGTATGGGGACACGAGACCATTTTCTGGTTCGTCCTCATTAAAATCTTCCATTGCGAGCATTGGCACGTCACAGTCAGTCAAGTTGATGGTTGGAGGTCTACCGAAAGCGATGGCCACATTACGATCCTTTTCAAAGAGACACCACCAAATACGACGCCAAACCTTCTTGTCAACCTCCGAAAGCGATGGAGATGCTGAGACGTCACGATGGAATCCGAAACCTTGAGCCAAACCTACACCGACTCGAGTCCAGTAGAACGAGTTTCTGGTGACATCTTCGGGACCTTCCCAATAGGAACCGATAAGAATAACGGTTTGGATAATCAGGACAGGATCACTCTCGTAATTCGTTTCGTACAAAGACTTTGCTCTGCGGAAGAAGGTCAAGGAAGCCAAGTTACTCTGACCCTTACTATCGAAAAGAAGCGGATTATTCAGCACACGCGAACCACATAATAGAACAGCTTGCAAAAGCATAAGCGACGGGCTATCGTTTGGATCATTAAACTTGCGCATAAACTCAGTTCTGTTGATCACAGGCATAAGTGGATGAATGTGCTCAAAGTACGACTCTATGATATCTAGAGCCAACTGCTTAGGAGGTAAGAGGAAAGCACCTCTCATCTTCAAGATCTCGAGCTCCACAGAATCGGCAGAGGAGTTATCGCTAGCTTCAAACAAGTCCTCTGTAAGTTGAACGTGGTTCTGGCCTATTCTCAGCGTCACAGCACCGATACTGGAGTGGCCGACAAAGGTAAGTGCCGCCTTGGCCTTGGAATTAAGCATATCTTTCTTGTGCATGGAAGGTCTTGTTTTGTAATTCAGCGTCAACGAAGGAGGCACGCTGACTTGGGAAATGTTATGGATGGGTTCAGCCGCCAGCAAAGATACAGCATTGGCGTTGGTCAAGGACTGGGACGGAGTCATCGGAGGGGCAGCCTCTGGGTGGTGGTGATGTGGGTGGTGTTGATGGGTATGGGCATGAGGCACAGGGTGGGTATGAGCCACGTCCTCCTTATCTTCCTCCTTGGTTCTCTTCTTCAGTGGTTTCAGATCTTGCGCTTGTCCCCTTTTCTTCGTTTCTGGAAGTACACACTCACAGCCAAAAGTAATACAGTTTGTACAAGGAATATGGATTTCAGCATCACAACGAACCTTACGGGCACGGCACACGGTACATGCTCTGGAACCCCTGGGTCTTTTGTACTTGATGGTGTAAGCCTTTGGTTTATCTGAGCCCTTGGAATCAGCGTTATTAGTGGTGGAAGTGGAGCTACCACCATTTGCCTTAGATCCTTTTGGAGCAGGCAGAGATTTGGCCACGCTGCCGTCCGACTCAGTTTTCACTTTCTTCATAGTGAAGGAAATGGGTTCCTTTTTTTTGGGTGTCGATGGGTTTTTACTGATGGGTCAGATTTTCGACCATACACTGTTTTGTTACTCTTAGTATGAGGATGATTACTCCATGGGGCGGCTCCGTAGTGGTTATCTGCAGGACAGAGCGTATACAAATTTGCAGAAAAAAAAAAAAAAAAAAAAACTATTCGCGAGGGAGCAAAAAATGCGCTGCGTCATACGCACACGAACGAAAAAGTACAGAGCTACATGGATCTACAGTTTAGTTCATTGGGGGAGAAAACACGGGAAAATCGATGTTTAATAGGGGCAGAAAAGAAGGGTTGCGATATGAGACATTAGAGGGTGGTTTATATGCAGGTGGCATTTCTTAAAAAATGTAAGTGTCCTTTTATTTTCAGTAGTTGACCGCTCAGCCTGGGTTTGTAGACATATACGAAGGAACTAAGGAAAAGTGAAAAAGTACAAGAAAATGGAGAAAATGAAGGAAGGAGGTGGAGGGAAGGTTTTGTCGGACGAATGGAAAGGCCAACGCCGGTGGCACAGAAATTCGGTACTTTTTGTGGATTCTCGGTTTCCCTTGTCCACTGCAAATGGCTGCAAACTGCCTGCTGAGCCTTCTGCTTGCTGAGGCTCTAAGACAACCGTGGGGCGTAAAATGCCCCCAGCAATTCGGAAGTTCGGGAGAAAGGACCGTTCCAGATTATTCTTGGACGTTTTGCCTACAGTTATTGTGAACTTTCCGGCCGGAGCTGGCGAAGTCCGGAACCGCCAATTGCGGTGTTTTTCGAGATGGAAGAAGGTAACCCAGCACAGCGGTTAAAGCGAACCGGCGAGAAATGCAAAATCAACGCCTCTTGGTTGGACGGGCAAAACGGGTGTTTTGGCGGTGTCGACATCGACGTGGACGGGAAAATTAAGCTTTCCATGTTCTAACGTGGTATGGGTGACCATATGGAGAATGTCCATACTGAATAGAAGACATATGGTGTGAACCTAAGTCCACGAGATATCTACATGTACAACGGTCCTGGACAAAGAAGGATGAAAAAAAGGGACGTTTTGCTGTCTCTTGGTTTGCCAATGGGGTTCCTCTGGATTCGACTTTGTGGTATTTTTAGGCAGTCCTTTTCATCGGGTATATCACAAAACCGTAATTGCTTCGCTCGTCGGGACTCTTCCTTGATTTGAACCAGTCGTGTCAAGAAGAATTCCTGGAGGCACCCCAGGTCTTGGCCTTCGCTGCCTAGTTTCTTATCTCCTGGCTGTCAGTGAGTCACGGTAGAGCCAGGCTATTCTTTGTTTTGCAGCTATTCTAGTTAGACCAGGTAGAGAGGTTTCATTAACAAAAAGCATAGAAGCGAAGCGCAAAGGGCAGGGGGATTTTCCGTGTTCTTTTCCTCGTTGGGAACAGTGTTGGGTCTGGGATGCTCCTGGATATCTAATTATATCGATTCTGGCCCTTCGTCGATGTAGACTACGTGATGTCATACAACAGAACGTTGGATTATTTCCTGGCACAAAAAGCTCGCTAACGTTCACGTTGCATCAGTTTCGGTTGCAACATTAGCTGAATACCGAAAACAATAACCGTAGGTGGGTTTATGTAGAGGTACTCGAGTAAGTCGATTTAGTGCACTATAGGCATTTTTCTTGACTATAATGACCTTGGCCTCGTAGATCTCTCGTCAAGGTACCGCTTGAATGGATATTAATGCTTTTGTACCAATTACGTCCGGATTTAATACTGTTGCAGGGAGATCCGGTTTTCAAGAAGCACACAATGTGGCCTACATTGGCACAAAGTATGATACAGGCACCATATCAGTAAAGTATAACCGGTAGGTGCTGACTCCATTAAATTTCACCGTAAACTATTTCCCTGGCATTGCCTTTCTTAAGATTAGTCAGCCTTCTGTCCTTCCTGGTATAGTGAAGTCTGAGAATCTCCAGGTTCATTGACCAATCAGCACCCACTATTCTTAACCAATCAGTAGACCGAATTCCCACTTTTCTTAACCCTCTTGGACCACCACGGGGCCCTCCAAGAATTTATTGGTGTTTCAGCCTTGGCAAGTTCCTACCCCCAGCCTTGATCTCCTGGTGCGCACACGACAAACAAACATATCGATACATCACCGTCATCCATCTGAATACACACAGTATGGATACAACAGCGGTCTTGGACAAGTACACGCAGGACCTCCTGAATCTACCGCTTGAGGTCAAGCATCTCTTTGATGAAATCAAGGCCAAGGATCAACAACTAGCGGAAGCCAGACGTCGCTACCAAAGCAAGGACTCCCAGCTCCATAAGTTCATACGTGCTAATGGCACGCTTACTAAGCACCCTAAAGAGGTGCAACTCAACCAGAAGGTAGAGGAGGAGATGAAGCAAATGCAAAGTATACAGAAGGAGAAGATTCTTCTAGCCAATACTGCCTTGTTCCTTGTGTCTAAGCATATGTTCAACTTCGAAGTCGATATCCAGAAACTTGAACGTGACGATCTACTTGCACCTGTTGACGAAGATGCTCTTGAAGACTCTGTTGAGGAAACGGCATCGGCCACTCCTCGCGATACTCCAGACCCAGTGAAGAAGAAGAGATCATACTCGGTAATGAGGCGCTACAAAAGACTCAAATCTGAGGACCTTGATGACGGCAGACTGGACGAAAGTACCCCAGAGGTTAGCTCCAGAGCGCATCATAATGCACTTGGCCCCAGGGCTCCATCAGGTGCTTCAGGCGAAGATGCCGATAACAACTTGTACTGTTTCTGCCAGCGCATATCCTTTGGCGAGATGATTGGTTGTGATAACGACGACTGTAAATATGAGTGGTTCCACTGGTCATGTGTGGGAATTACAAGCCCGCCCAAGGATGACGACATTTGGTATTGTCCTGATTGTGCGCCTAAGATGGAAAAGAGGAAGAAGAGAAAGAAGTAGCGGCTGAGTGTTGATAACGCTTCTCGGGATTTCCAGGCTATGCATGCCCACGCCCATAATATTGTTCAAGGATTGTGGCTTTTCAGCTACGCCCAATAGCTACTCTCAGACGAGCAACAGGGATTGGAATTCCACACTTACTAGCGTTTTTGCATCAACGCCAAATGCTCTTACTCCCTTAGCTATACAAGTTTCTGGGGCGAAGTGATCAATTTTTAGTACGCACCGCCTCTGGGAGTTTCAGGCGGGCGCAGCGTGTTACTGGTGAAAGACAGATCCAGCTTCATCAAAACACTCGTGGAACCGCAGGATTGAAGCGACAAGGGTGTTGCCGGATAATACAATTTGGGAAAGCGCAAATGAGGCTAAGTCCGACCTTCGCAAACACATTTTAACAAAGGCTGAAGTTTATTGACAAGGTTTCGCGGTGCTTGATGGAAATCCAATTCGGTGGTATATTTCCCTGCCAAGAGACGCTTCAGAGATGCTTTTTTTGGTTGTCTCAAGACGAGAAAGGAAACCCAAAACCAGCTACTTGTCAAACTGTGTTATTAAAAAAATTACGTCAACCGAAAAATCACCCTGAGGCGGCAGATTGCGTGAGGCAATTCACTACTGAAGCGACAGGCGTGAGTTGGGAAAGGGCTCCCGGGCTGCGCCTTGACGTGCTTAATATGGTATAGGGGGCTTTTGGTGTAACCGTTGTGGCCTAATTCTGTGGCTGGTCCGTAAACAGGTGTCACCGCGCGTTTTTTGACAGGCTTTATGCGTTTGCGCAGCAGGCCATGTGCGCTTGGAGACAGTGCGGCCTCCTGGCTGCAAAAAATAGCTTTCCATTGCACACACTGCCCATTCGCCAGGTGGTTGCTTAATTAAGCTTTGCGTTGTCTGCGGAGAGGGACGTGGTCCAGGGCTGTGTATCCCCGACGAGAATTGGGTATAAATACATTGTCCAATTCCCTCCAAAGTGAGCTTTTTCCTTTCATCATTACCTTCTATCAATCAATCCTTCAATAACAATGTTGTACTCCCAAGTTTTCGCCGCTGCTGCCATCGTCGCATCTGTTTCTGCTGCCTCCAGCTCTGCCTCCAGCTCTGCCTCTGGTTCTTCCTCCGCTGTTGCCAAGTCCAGCTCTAAGGCCAGCTCTAAGACCAGCTCCAAGGCTAGCTCCTCCAAGGCCAGCTCTTCCAAGGCCAGCTCTTCCAAGAAGTCTTCTGGTGCTGCCTCTGGCCAGACCGTTGGCGGTGTGCTTGCCGTTGCTGCCCTTGTCGGTAACATGATGCTTTAAGTAGATCGCTAGTCGATCGCGTGAATAGTCAATTGACCTTTACAATTTAACTTACGGTCTAGAATCACAGTTGTAGGCAAGTTTCATGCGGTAATTCTGTCGAGTGGTGACGAGCGGGCTATACATTCAGAATGTGGCCTATAATTGGAACGAATGTTATATTTATCCACCGTAGCTCAAATTACCTAATTAATGTTTTGTATTGTTCTACTAAATTTATAAAAAAAAAAAATAGTGTTGCCTAGACTTCAGGTTTGAAGTTGACTTCACTCAGCAAGCAGATACTATGTATGAATATGCATTTCAACTCACTAACCGAGTTATCTCCATATACCAATCCATTATTCCGCCTTATTTGATACAAGCCCTGCCTCCTTACACAAGGCATAAAACTCGCTTGAACTGTCATTAAGTAGAGTTTTTGGTGGACCAAACTCCTTCACTTGTCCATCTCCAACAACAACTATCTTATCACTATCCATTATAGTACCCAAACGATGTGCAATTGTGATGATCGTCTTATGTTTGAACTCCTTCCGTATAGTCTGCTGAATGATCCTATCCGTTGCAGCATCCACAGAAGCAGTAGCTTCGTCTAGCACAAGTACATTTGAGGGACTCAAGAGAGCTCGAACTAGACAAAGAAGCTGTCTCTCGCCTGATGAGAGATTGGAACCGCCTTCTTGGATTCCAGCATCAAGAGCGCTAGATTGCCCACTGTTATTAGGATCTGGAGTGGACTTGCTGGTAGCACCTAAGGTCTCAACGTACGACTTTAAATGAGCCAACTCCAAGACTCTCCATAACTCCTTGTCACTATAGTCTCCAAAAGGATCCAAGTTTTCTCTCACTGAACCTCTGAATGCACAAGTATCTTGTGGAATAATGTTAAGTCTTCGTCTCAAATCGAAAAGGCCCATTTTGTCTATACTGGATCCATCAATCGCAATCAGGCCATTTCTGGCTTCGATTATTCTGAAGAGAGCTAGCGCAAGTGATGACTTACCAGCTCCAGTTCTGCCGACGATCCCGATCTTCTCACTGGGTTCAAAGCGAAGGTTGATATTCTTTAAAGCGGCAGGGAGGTCATCTCTATAGCCAGTGGAGTAATTCTTGATATCGATGGACCCTTTTGAGGGCCAACTTTCTGATGGCCGATTGTCTTCAATGATAGCTGGGGCTTCTTGGGGCAAATTTGAATATTCAAGTAGTCTTTCAATGGAAACCAATTTGACTTCAGATTCGGCCGAAAACTTAATAATCATGTCAAGCATCAGAGTTGAAGATATGGCGTATGATAAAAGAAAACCTACCATCCCAGGGGAAAGTGGTCTTTCTGATAATAAGGTCGAAAGACACAACAAGCTGCATGCCAATATAACAGCAGCAGATATCGACAGAAGTCTCAAGGATAACCAGTTATTGACATTCTGGGTGATAATATCCACCTTTGCTATATTGTCAATCAACTTTCTGCTCAAAAACTCGAACCTTTCAACCTCATCATAGGCCCTAATGGTCTCGGAACCACCAATTGATTCATGGAAGTGGGATATCAAAGGACTGTTTAAGGTAGCCCTGAGTCTCTTCAACTCTCTCGATGCTTGAATGTACCACAGTCTGTAACTTGAAAATAGAACGGAGAGTACTAAAATGATGACTAGCATTACAGGTAAGGCAACCACTATTGTAGCAAGTTGTATGGCTGTCAGTAAGGAGAACTCAAAAAGGTTTGCAAAACATGGAAGCACTTGACTATCCAGACTAGCTATGGCTCCCGAAAACCGACTTAGTATTCTTCCCATTGGGGTTGTATCAAAGAATGACATAGGGGAGTAAACCACACTTCTGGATAACTTGTCATGAATAGTTTTTGCTCCATTTAAGGCACAGAAAGCCCGAAGAAGGTAGGTTCCAGCGAGCCTCAAGCCGGTAAACCCTAATCCAGAAACAGCGTAAATGATCAAGTAGAAAGAAACTTGGACGTTTCGTCCGTTTTCCAAGTTTTTCTGAGACCACTCCTTCAATAAGGCAGTACGATAAATCCCTGTTATAATTGCAAGAAAGATGAACAAAGCCCAAAGGAAAATAAATGGTAAGCGACAAGCTTTAAGATATTCAAGGAGAACCTCTTTTTTCACTTGCCCTTTCTGCTTTGTTTCTGGGATATTATGAGGTGTTGAACCATCAAGGTTCGTGTCATCCACTGCAAATGGTGCCTTTGATGCACTTCCAATAGTCTCTCTGCTGACCACGGTACTAAGTTTAAGACTTTCGTGAACTGGATCACATTTCAGATGCTTCGGTTCCTCTCCTGCCTCCCTAATATCATCATCAGAAAGCATTTCATGAAAGTCCTTCAACTCTTCCAAGAGCCAGCCATACGTTCCATGATCGATTATCTCTCCCTTGCTCATGTAATAAATAGTCGTTGCTTTTGAGAGAGCTCTTGAAGAGTTGGTTGCAAGTATAACCGTCCTCGACCTGAGTAAACCTCCAGGGGCCAAAACATGGTCGATTATTTTCTTCCCCACAAAAGCATCAGCTGTTGATAGGACATCATCCAATAAGTATATATCAGCTCTGGCGTAGATAGCACGAGCAAGAGAGACTCGGGCCTTCTGGCCTCCAGAAAGCGATACTCCTTTGTCTCCTACAACAGTGTTATCTCCATTTGAAAGAGCCTTGAGATCTTCTTGCAACTGACACGCTTCTAACGTTCTGTCATAGAAATGCTTTTCATATCGCTTGCCAAATAAGATATTTTCACGTATGCTTGAGTTAATGATCCATGCATCTTGTGAGCAATAAGCTAGACTTCCTTGCACATTGAAGTACCCACTCTTGATTGAAAGGTAAAGCTCTCCCATGATAGACTTCAATAATGTGCTTTTTCCAGAGCCCACTTTACCAACAATGCAAATCAAGTCCCCTTTGCGAGCTTCGAAGTTTACGTTCTTCAAAGCATACTTTACTTCGCTACTTGGTTGAACAGCATCATCTTGTTTCCAACAGAAAGTAGCGTTGTCTAATATCACTTGACCTTTTCGTGGTGTTGTGCTTAACTGACGCAGGTTAGAAACGATCTCTTCCATACAAAGAAAGCTTGTTAATCTGTCGAATACAAGTTGCATCTGGCGAAATTGAATGAACAAAAAAGGAATCCTAATGATTGGCTAAAGAAGTTGACCAAATAAATTGTATGACGAAAACACAAGATCTGGTGAGAGGATCCTTTTACTGTAGATGCCGAACGTTGCAAATACAGCATATGAGATCCAGTCAGGAATACTCTCCCATATCAATTGACTAATGGCTAGAGTTACTCCTATCCTCTTCTGGCACTCTAGCTCCTTTTCATTTCGTATGACGTCAAGTCTATCCAAAAACGGTCCTTCCCACGCATATAGTTTAATCGATTTAATTGAGGAGAGTATTTCAGACATTAGTTTGAGTCTTTCGTCTCGGTGTTGCATTTGGCTCTTAAAGAGGCCAGAAATTGAAACACTCATGGATGAAGATAATGGAGACATTACGAGAATGACAGCAATTCCAACCCACATGAAGTTCCCAAGAAGCTTATGAAGAGCTATTATGGATAATACCAAACGTAATGGAACGGTGAATAAAGACGCTATCAGCTCTAGGCATCCAGAAATCATAGTGATATCAAGGGAGACATGGTTAGTTATTTCACCAATTGTCTTTTCGGATCGTGCAGCATTCGATAGTTTAATGGACTTTTCGTAAATTGCAGTCGTGAGAGCTGACTGGATTCCAACCTTGATATTGCAGAAAGTTAATGAAGCTTGATTCCTCAAAATAGGCTGAACCATAGTGACACTAAAAATGGAAATGCTTAGCGCTATACCTATAATAAGTGGTGGACCCAGCTTAGAGTCGTTGCCATCAACATGCTGCGTAAAGAACTGAATAAACGCCCGAATAAAGAAAGGGCTAGCAATAGAGAGCATGATGTCACCTATCATAAACAGAACTCCTTTGACCATTTGTAACCAGTGTAGCTGAAGGAGAATCAAGAGTAAAGAAGGTTTTGTCTTGGACTGGAGGAGGGGGTAAACATTAGCCGGTTTCTTGTTGTCTTTCGAGGTTCTTCCAGCTTGCTTGAACCAAGCATCTTCAAATCTTTCCTTCACCACAACACTAGTAAGACTAGGCACTAAGTTTGGAATAAGCTGTATGGTAGCTTCTCCAGAGCTTCGAATTTGTTTCATAACAGGCACCACCCAACTGAAAGAAAGCACTTCAGCTAAGTTTTTAGTGGAAGAAACGTCCCATTCATTCAACGAATAATACTCGAAGAGTTCTTTTGATGGGAAGTAATAGTACCGTTCTGTCACGAAAAGGACAGTTGAGGTGAGTGTTAAGACAATTTCTATAGTCCATGTAATTGCCAAAGCAGCGTTGTCGGTGTGGCTTGCAAATACTTTACTTGAAGAGAAGATATCGTTAGTAGTTACCACGAGAAAAGATAAAGCTGAAAGCAACCAATAAGCCAAAAGAGAGCCATGGCCAACGACTGTGCGAGTAACTTCCAATATGTGTAGCGGCACCGCCAAAGTGAAAATGAAGGCCAGTAACGCTATGGCGGTCGTAGTGACCACAGTGGTAGCCTTTTCTCGTAACTTAACTTCAATGGCTAGTCCAGCTAGAATTGAGGCTTGAAGGAAAGCTAAAGACACCCGAATGAATTGAAACATCCCAACACTTCTTACTGAAAACGCGTTTCCAAACGAGTACTTAACTCTATAAGGGCCATGCTTGTTGTTTAATGTCACCATAACGATTTGGTAAAACATAATAACGGCAATGACTTCATGGGAGACCAAGACCACTGATGCCAAAAAACATGGATTAGGGAAGTTACCATTGGGGTCAACCAATGGATTGCGGATAGAGTCATGAAAAGTACAACCACTGCCGCCCGAAGAATACAACACCTCCCCAGAAAGCCCAGTCATCGTTAGCTGTAGGATTCACTATAATCGCCAGACGGTAGCCCATCCAAAGCAAAACAATTTATAAGTCACAAACTGTGTAAGTCATATTTCAGCGGATTTCTGTACAACGGCTATCCCCTGTCTCCCACCCGAGAGGTATCACTCAGTTTTTTAAAGCTGGATCGCAGAATCCATTGGTATGTCTGCTGAACCAAACATACTGGCCATGGCGTTCATTGTGGACTAGTTTTTACTTCTCCAACTCACCAGTTCAGTCCTTGGCGCCCTCGAGCGCATCTTTTGACAAGAAGCGACATATGCATAGACGCCAATTCTTCGGAAGTTATATGTCACATTACTATTGATAAGCGGCATTATCCATTGACCCTCGCGGCGCCAGGTGGTCCACAGTTTAAAGAGGGTTATGTAATAGACATATAACAGTACACTGTGCGTTAATCAGGAACGGCTGTTTCTTCAACTTTTAAGTAATTCGAAGGGAAGCTTGCGGGCTTCAAGGTGTCATAATCCCTAGTTGATGCTCATTTGAAGTCTTTTTTGCTATAACGAAACCATCATGTTCTTGATGGATACGTAGATTTGGTTCCCTGGCACACTCGTCTTGATTACGGTCAAGTGAAGCATGAGATCTGGCACAACTCCTGGTAAGAAGGCCAACCTCAGAAGTCAAACGCCTTCGTTGATCTTAATATGGACTAGTCACTTTTCGAAGTCTGCATTTCTACTACCTCTACTTGACCATAACCCACTTATGGAGGGCCAGCGGTACACATAATACACAAGGAAGATGGTAATTCGCTATTTTGAGTCTATAATTAGCCTCTAGCCGCTCTCATTAAGCTATTTAGCCTTAATAAAAGGATCGTTTATGTCCTCTCCTAGGCCTAAAAATGGGTGCAAACAGTGTCGTAGAGCACATATAGTGCCCGCATCCACCTATCCTGGTCCAGAAACATCAGAAACAAAACGTATGGTGACAATAAACACAACTCATCAGTAGTAAAATAACCCCAGAAACTTCTGAAGCTGTTCTACTTTTCATGTCAATGCTCTTCCTACTCCACACCTAGCTACCATCCCTACGAACATGCCCTGACAGTCCACCCTTCCCTAAATTCTCCTAGAAAAAAAAAAGACAAAACAAAGGCAAAACAAAGAAAAAACCTCCACCCACCACCCCAATTTTCCATATCAATTTCCATTCCCACTTGGTTGCCCCTCCCCCACCTCCATCCATTTTGCACCCATTGATGTTCTCCTACATACCTCCATCTCACCCACTGCGCATCTCATCACCAACCCCATGTCGTGGAAAGACTGGCTGTACGGCGTGTTGGCCGCGTCTGCGGCGTTTGCAGCGTTCACAGTATGGCAAAACCGACCCAAGAATGAACTTCTTCGACCAAAGACACGTGGAGTAGCTTCGCTTATTGGTAACACTCCGATGGTGGAGATCGAGTCGCTTCTGCGTGTTACTGGGTGCAAAATCTATGCCAAACTCGAGCTTATGAACCCGGCTGGCCTGGCCAAGGATAGAGTGGCGCTTGCAGTTATTAGGGAGAACGAAAGACTCGGACGCTTGAGACCTCATCATGGAGATGTTATCTTTGAGGGTACTTCTGGATCTACTGGTATCTCGTTTACGGTGTTGGCTAATGCTTTGGGATATACGGCTCATATTTGTCTTCCTGACGATACGTCGCCTGAAAAGATGCAGCTTTTGAAATCCTTGGGTGCTGAATTGGAGCCTGTCAAGCCGGCGCCTATAGTTGATCCTAACCAGTATACTAATGCTGCTCGGAACGGTGCTGCCAGAATCAATGAAGACGAGGGGAACGAAAGAAACGCTATTTTTGCTGACCAGTTTGAGAATGATTTCAATTGGAGGGTGCATTACGCCACTACTGGCCCAGAAATCTGGACTCAGATGGACCAGAACATCGATGCCTTTGTTACTGGCTCAGGTACTGGAGGTACCATTCTGGGAGTCTCCAAATACCTCAAAAGCAAGCTGCCGCTGGTTCGTGTGGTGCTCGCAGACCCTCAAGGGTCGGGTCTTGCGAATAGAGTTAACTTTGGTGTCATGTACGATACTGTGGAGAGGGAAGGTAAAAGAAGACGGCACCAGGTGGATACCATGGTGGAGGGCATTGGCTTGAACAGACTAACGTGGAACTTCAAGCAGGGAGAACAAAACATAGACAATGCTATCAGGGTGACTGATGACCAGGCGGTGAAAATGGCCAAGTACCTATGTGTTAACGATGGGTATTTCTGGGGACTGTCAGCAGCGGTGAACTGTGTTGCAGCGGTTAAAACAGCCCAGGAACTCGGCCCTGGCCATAATATTGTCGTCGTTGCCTGTGACTCAGGAGCCAGGCACCTCCTGAAGTTCTGGAAACTGGCTGCTGAGGTTCCATCTACAATCACTCTTGAAGAGGTGCTCGCATAATTACAGAATTTCGGCATTTAATGTATGTAAGTCATAACCTGGCAGCGCCACGAGCTCAGGTCTTACGGTTGCTCACCAACTCCTTCTTCTTTTCTCTGTACAATTTGACGGAACTGAGGAACGATGCACTGATGCCCATCCAGATCTGGACGGTGTCGAAGTGAAGTGCCATGCCCCACACTGTGTATGAATTGAACACAATGTCAGAGAGCGTCTTATAAATATCAATGTGTGCGTTCGTCTTTTTAAACATGATTTCCTTGAGTGCAATGGTATCCTTGGAGTCATCGTCTAGATTAGAGCTGGATAAGCTGGGTATAGGATTGTGTACGGACCCGCCGCCTAGAAGCTGCTTGGAAATAGCACGAGCACGCTTCTTCACCTGGATCTGGATCTTCACATCCATCTCTTGTTGCCGTAAATGCTGGAGGTTGCTGTATGCATTGTAAAGCGCAAACCACGACTCACAGTACCAGGCGTAGGACTCGTGGCGAGAGACAAAGCTCTTGACGGTAGGGTTCTTTAAGAGCCCAAGTTTAGACATTAGAATAGACTCGTCATTGACAGAGTAGTATAGCGATATGAGTTCACCCAACGTGGCGTTCAGAAATAGTTTGGGGCTGAAGTGCCATTTGGACGAGCTCCAGTCAACCAGTTCTCGAAACTTGCCGTACAAGTTACGTATGCGAAAGGGCGATTTTCCAAAACGGAGAAACTGTCTGTAGATACCCAAGGCAGGCACCACTGCTTCGAAGCGCAGGTTGAACACGGAGCAGATGAGAATTATTAGCACTCTAGCAAAGCCTTGTGGGTTCTGTAAGAAGTTCATCACCAAGTCCATGATCCGTTCAGTATTGGCGTAAGTACGGTTGATCAGTTTGATATTGACCATCTCGTCGCTGAGCCATTGCTGGGTATTTTTCAGATGAAACAACAACAACCTTAACGTATACTGGCCAAACTTGGCCATCTTATCCTTACCCACGATATCATTAAGCATGGCCCAAAGCACATCCACAGGCTGTACTGTTTTGCCCACTTTCGTCACTGGAGGCGGTGATGGAGCCGCCAGATCGGCCGTAGAAAGCCCAAACTTGAGATTCGTCGTTCCATGCGCTGGAGAGCTATTGGACTTGCCTGGAGTAAGAAGGTGCACTGCCTGGACCCTCTTCGACGGCGTTTCCACCATCGTGGCCGAAACCTTCAGTTTCAGCGGCAGCTCATCTGGCTCGTCGCCCCATTCGCTGGCGATATGCAATGGACTGTTGGACGCTGCCTTCAAGTTGTGGAAATATGGTGGATAGGACTGCGGGCCGTAAGCTTCTGCGTGCTGTACCTGGACCGATTCCATGGTCCTTGAAATTCAAGTGAAAAAAAAAAGAAGCAGGTGAAAACTTATAGGTTCAACTTCAACAGCTTTTGGAAAATCAGGCCTGGATTCCTTACAAAAGTGTGCTTGATCCGAGTGTTATGGTTGAGGGTTGTGAGGGTGGTTTTTTTGGTGAGATGTATCGTCCGGTATGTACTCGATGTAACATTGGTCTGGGGATCCAAACAAGACAGTGGTATTACGAACTGTGGACGATGGAGAGTTGGTAGAGGAGGTGGAGAGAGATGTGAGGATTTGGGGAATTTTGGTCTTTTTGGTTTTTCGTGATTTTGTGTGGGTGGTTTTTTAGCTCGGTTCTTTGGTGCTTGTTGGGCCCCTCACTGTTGGAACGCTCCGAAAGAGGAAGTTTTACGAGTAGAGATGGTGAAGAAAAAGGGGAGGAGTTTGATGGATTTGGTTTAGGCTGATGTTTTTGGTTTGTGGTGGAGTTGAAAATTTTTTTCGATTTTGTCGATGTTTCGATGGCTTGGCAGCTTCTCGGCTCGGACTTTTCAATGTGCTAAGTCCACGGTGAAGAAGTGTCCAGGGAACGTTATATGGCTGGTTTTTTTGGTGTATATGTACGTAATTGAGGCCAGTGGAGCCCATTAAGGTCGCTCAAACCAACTTTTTTGGAACTTTAATGGCACCGTTGGGCCTCAGGTGATGCATGGACCAGGACAAGAAAACCACCATTGTTGATGTTTAAAAAAACTCTTTAGTTCTTTCTCATCCACTCACAAAACACTTTTAAACCACTTAAAACCACTTCCTCTGGCATATTTAAAGCCTGGATGTCTCAGGTTATATAAGCTCAGCCAATTCTGTGGTGCCTTACAATAGTACCCCACAATGAATAGATTCACCTAGAACAGGGGCTGAAACAGGGTGACAAAAAAAGCGCAAAACAGCTACCCAATGCATTTCACAGATTTCCATAGAAACCTTCTTTTTTGGTTTTTCTTGCTTATTGCTATTCCCCAGCAATGTTCCAGTAGCAACCTCTCCCCATATGAGGATCCTCGGCTCTTGCAGTGGTTGCAAAAATGTCGTTACAAGGTCAGTCAAAACACTCAGTCCCGGGCCTAAACAAAAATACAAAAGACCAAGCATGTCCATTTTGGCCACCTTAAAAGGACCCTTCTACTCCAGAGTCAAAATTTTGACTGCCTTCTCCTCTTCCCAATTGGGCTTCCCCTGATCCCAGTCAGGCGACATTTGTCGCAGTCTTTCCCTACTTAAGGAGAAGAATTCCGCCCAGGGATGAGCTCCTCTACAACCACTTTTTCTTACATCCATCATTTTCTCTATAAATATTCTCTAACTCTCTTCTACTAACTACCGTCTTACGGCAATTCCATCCCAACATTGGCATCCTGATACCCAAATCAACAAACCATGCCAGCGAAAACCAAGAAACAACAGAACAGACCAGAAGAATCCAACTCAAAGCTTAGCAGAATGCTTATGGGATATTCCAACGATGATGAGCCCGAGCCGACCGGCCCGAGCCACGTTCCACGGAATTTCAATCCCAACTGGCAACCTCGGCTGAACCACCAGCCTAGGAACCAGCAGAAGAAGCATGCTAACTTACCCAGAAATACCCAAGCCAATGGTCACCATCCCAACCAGAACAACCACCCTAACCGCCCTAAGCACCCTAACCTGAACAGACCGAACAACTTGAATAATCCGAACAACCAGCAGTATGTATCCGATGGACCTGCTAATCGTCCGCTGAACAATGGTTTCAACGGCCCCAAGGGTCCTGCTAATCATCCGCTGAATAACGGGTTCAATGGACCAAAAGGACCTGCTAATCATCCGCTGAATAACGGGTTCAATGGACCAAAAGGACCTGCTAATCATCCACTGAATAACGGGTTCAATGGACCAAAAGGACCTGCTAATCATCCACTGAATAACGGGTTTAATGGTCCAAAAGGACCTGCTAATCACCCGCTGAATAACGGGTTTAATGGTCCAAAAGGACCTGCTATTCACCCACTGAATAATGGATTCAACGGACCCAAGGGGCCCAAAGGATATAAAGGTCCAAATGTTCCCAACCCTCCAAAGGCTCAAAAGGTTTCAAAAGGGCCAAAGCCACAAAACCAGCCCCAAAACCCCAAACCACACCCAAAACAAGGTAAGCAAGGTAAACAAGGTAAGAAGGGTAAACAGGGTAACAAGCATCCATCTACTAGTAACCAGGTGGGTCAAATTAATGTTCAAAGAAGTCCAAGCAGTCGAAGTCTCTCGCCCACGAGCAGTCAAAGTAATGTTCATGGAAAAAGACCTAGGATTATAGATCACCGTTCTTTCAGCGACAGTGAGGAGCCTGAAAGTCATGAAGCGGGACCGTTGCTTAAAAAGAGGAACGTAGAGAAGGAAAGCAACGTTGTATCCCCCTCAAGCACTGATCAGGAAAGCAGTGGACAAGCAGAACCAAACACTAATCAAGGTTCACCTAAGACAGGGCCTGTTCCATCAAGAGTTGTCAATGTAAGGCCTGCTTCTACTCCACCTCCTGTGAGAGTATCAGAGCCATTACCAGACTTTGTCAGTCTCAATGACGTTGACGACGGCTCAAGCTTTGTCGCAAAGAAAAGAGATGCTCCAGTCGCTACTGCTGAAACAGAAACTCAAAGCGACACCAAAAGCACTGAAATGGAAACCAAATCTGAAAATGAAGCCGGAAGTACGTATGCTACTGGTGCTAATATGAAGAAGGTAAATCGAGCAAAAAGAGGATCTATACTGTCAAACAGTTCTATGGAGATCGAAGACCGCTCAGATCTGGTCGAGTCGGACGACACTCCTCCCGTCGTCCAAGCCAGTATAGAACCAGGGCCTGTATCATGTGAGATCAATTTTGATTATATCCAACCGTCTCTGGTTCATGAAGTCATACTTCAAAAATGGCTCAAGTTCCTGTTCTCTACAGGCAGCCAAATACATATAGTAGGGGAGTTAGGTCTCCTCACAGACTTCGTTGCGAAACCTAAGAAGATCAAAACGCTTTTTAGGACAGTGATCTCGCCTGGTTACGGTACCTTATTTGCCGAGACTATCCAAGGTGACAAGATTAAGATGGAGAAGGTGTACTACTTAGAGGGCTGCCCTTGCGTGTTTCGTGGATTTGACACCTTCACTATAGACTTGAAAGAAGCTAAGATCTTTAACAAAGATAACAAGCTCGTTGGAGAAGGGAACAGCCAGGAGGGATATGTTCTCAAATTGAAATGTGACTTTTCACCATATGACAGACCATATTTCTGGGACTCACGCTTACCGATTGAAGAACCCATATCCATTTGAACATTTATGATGCTACGTTGAACTAATTGTGATGAATCTTATTTTTTTCTTTTTATACATGCCGCAAGCCTGCTGCGGTAATAAATAAGAGTTGGGAACCAACATCTCTATATGACTTTTTCCTAGTGGTGCAATTTTGCACTAATGATACAAGCATCCGTTATTGACATCGCCGTTGGGCCCCATCATAAACGCTCCGACACTACCCAAGTAACCCTCGTGTCTAAGGAAGTACGACTTCATGTCGCCCTTGGACCAGAAGTTAACAGCATAACTTAGGGTGTGGATTGTCTGCATGTGTCCCAGAATGTAACTGCCTCCGAAATAAATACGCTTGAGGTCGAACCGAAGCGCCTGCAAGTACGCAATCTGGCCTATGTTATTGGAAATCAGATACAAAAGCGACCGTGCAATGTCTTCCTGTTTGAACTGTGCTAACTTTTCAGTTGGTGTAAGCGGTCTGCCTTGCTTGGAGAAACGAAGCTTCTTAAACACTTTGGCGAAAGAAGATGCAATGTGGGTGGATTTCAAGCCGATCTTGTTGTAGCTGGTGCCGTAGATATCACCAACCAAAAGATCGATATTTTCGTTGTCGCCTCGTTGAGCCATTTCCAACATCTCTGTGTAGTCTTTGGCATCAGTGAGGAGAGAAAGGAGACCCCATAAGGTACCTCCTCCAAGGGAAGAACCCCCAATACGCTCGAAACCTTGAGGACCTGGGCCTGTGACTTTTATCATCGACACACCAGAACCGATGTTCACGAGCAAATACGGATAAATCTGTGCTTCGGTGGTATAAGGACTGGTGATGAACTTGATATCGTTGGCCACAAGGTCGTAAGTGAAAATTTCGTTGGGAATCTTGGTAATGAGCCAGTCGAGGCCTTTGATGAGACACTCCATCTCGTCCTTCCTGACAATTTGCATGGGGAACTTGTGTTTCTTGAACACTGACACCATCAACTTGCAAAACTTATGGGCGCCGCCTCCAGTAGCCATGACATAAGTAATTGGCGGGTTCAGCTTGTTGATGATGGACTTGCGAATGAGCTGTATCATGAACGAAAGAGCCTCCTTCTCGAAATTGCCCGTTTGGAAGTCCTGGAAATGCAACTTGCCGCCTGAATTCAGCGGGTCTTCCAGGTCAGACAGCGACGACGTGAAGTAGACCAATTTTGTAAGCGTACCGCCAATGTCGATACTCATGTGAATGATGTCTGAGTTATGCTGAGGTAAGGCAATGTTTTGGGCATTGACCGAGTCCGTAGAAGCGCTGACGCCCATCTGAGCAAACGACGCCAGAAGCTGACTAGCAGCCTCCTCTTCAGATTCGGATTCCGACGACTCAGGCGGCAGTGGCAGAGCACTGGAGCTCAGCAGGCCATACTGACCTCTGATTAAATGGTCATTGGCTATATATGCGCCCAGACAGTCGATTTTGATGGTGCCCACCGGCACCGAGCCGAAATCTATATTGTCGACGAGGAGCTGCTTGACCATCAAGACTTATTGGGAGGTTAGTTCAGGAAGACGTCTGGAGGTGGAAAAAAGAGACGGACGGGTGGGTGTGATAAAAGCTACGGGTATTTAAAGGTTTCGCACAGAATCTGGGGTGGAAAATTTTGTTGGGGGATCTGACTTATTGAAGGACGGGAAATTACTCCAGCAAACTCCGGCGGGTGTGAAGCAAAAAAAGAGAAAAAAGCCTCGGCAATTTAAAGCTGTTTGGTTTAATAAATTTGAAATTAATGTTTTTTTAGCCTCCTCTTTGCTTGCTTTTTTGTTGTTTTGGCTTTGTGAATTTGTTTGTTCGTCCTCTTTTTTTTTTTTTTTTTTTTTTTTCTCTTTTTTTCTGCTGTTACTTTTTCGGGCTACTGGCGCTGGGCGGTGCCGCTGGCTCGCTTTGGTTGCAAAACAGCCCACAAACGAGCAGTCCCAAGAGGAAACCCTACAGTGTTTGAAAGATACAACAAGTCAAAACGCAGCCCAGCTCGAGTCTACAAATTCCCAACGAATTCCATCGTGGTCGAACGGCCAAAAAAGTCTCGGGAAGTTCGGGAAGTTGCTTCCAGTGTGGGACGGTCTGTGGCAGGTGGTGGTCGCTGCTGATGCTGCTTGTGGAGGCCGTATGAGCTTGTGGGGACTCCGAGGCCGAGGAAGACACAGACAGAGGGAGACAGAAAGAGATACTTGTATGAACAATGGGCGGGAACACCGGCAACGGAATAAAGAGATTTCCGTTGGAAAGAGATCACTTTGATTTTGCTTTTCTATAAATTCCAGCATCTTTTCTGGGATTGCTGGTCTTGTCGGTGTCGAATGGCTGCAAACTAGGAGATCTCGCGCGCCGAGGTGGACCCGAGCCAGCCCAGGAAAGCCAAGGATGGTTAAAACCTTTGAAGGTTTGAATTGCATTGCTGACTTATTCGGGATATTTTTCTTCTTTTACGTTTTGGTTTCTTTTCTTTGGCTTTTTCCTTTTTTTTGTCTGTCATGGATGACGGCCAAATGGCGGCTTGTAGAAATAATAATCCTTATTTGGTCCTGGACGATTTTCGTCGCACCCTTCCTTTTTTTCCCTGTTTTTTTCTGTCTTTTTGGCAACCGGCCTCGCTCAACCGGATAAGGCACTAGCCACGACAATGGACCCTGGAAAAGGCACCAAAGTATCCTCGGTTATTTGGGAGATAAGGGTTGAGGAGGTTAACTACTTCTTTTGCAATGCTGATACCACCTGGTCATCAGCCCGTCGAAGGGAGTGGTCGTCGTCCGCCCGACCCAGTTGGGCCTGATGATCGACCCCTGCCCCCGCGTAATCCAGCGCTTCGCACTCAATCTGGCGTTCCAGACACCTCGTCTTCGAATCGAATTTCTCATGAAGCTAATGGAAACACTTCTGTTTCACAAACTTCTGGGCATTCCAACGAGACATGGTCAAACTCAGTGAGGGAATACACTACGGCAACTACACAGTTTTCATCTTCAGATGCTGGTTTTTCTAACAACTCTATTGGTCTTGGTGCCGATGAGCTGGATGAAAATTCTCAGATGAGTGTTGATGATGTATTGGACAGGACTACAGAAAATTCTAAAAAAGCAAAAAAAAATCAGGAAACCATAAAAAACCAAAAAAACAATGGTCCTAAGTCCCAATACAAGCTTTTTCCAGACTGGATTGGCTTCTCATCGGACAAAGTCTCCCCTACCAGTGATGAGGTTGAATTTAGAAGATCAAATGAGGATTTTCTTGTTGACCAAGCGAAGAGAGGATATGATAAGGATAAGAATTATCATGTCACAGTCCTTATGAAAAAGCTCTTAGACAGTGGTGCTCCAAGATCGGCTCTCAGCGCAGAATTGAATGATTTGCCTGATAACGCGATCTCTTACAAAATGGAAGTCACTAATGATCATGGAATTTCGGACGCAGCAATGACTGAAATGGTCAGGAACTGTGCTTGGAAGGAACACGATGCTTGCGTCAAGGACTTGGAGGATTATTTGCTTAATTACGACTTGAATGATCGGAGAATCCGTGGTGAATCGCCTGACTCAGTTGACCCCGACACGTGTACCCAAGCGGAATATAACCAAGAGTTGGTTGATTACAATGATTCTATCTTGGAAGTCAAGGAAATGTTGGTCAAGTTGAATTCCCTTATCTTGATCGGAAATGTTCGAATCATTGGCAACAAAGCTCATTTCTCTGGTGCCAAATGTAAGACCACTATCGGTTTCATTCACGGTCAACTCACTGATGGAATGACAAGGCTTTTCGAAGAACCCTTGGTGAAAGACATCATAGCTAAAATTCTCGAAACTTTAGATAGAAGAGTCTTCTCTGAAACGGGTGCCGACCCAAGATACTTCAAGTTATCCGAAAGCCATGTTACTTCTGGCAACTTTCTTTGGCTTAAGGCTTACCATGTGCCAAATAAAGGAGCCCAGCACGCTTTTGAGATGCAATTCTTAAGAGAAGGTGATAAGGTTACGCAGTTTGAAAGGGCCAAACACGTTGTGGTCAAAAATTCAAACCTTGTTCTTTCTAACGTTAAGATTGATCTTGGACTGGATGTTCTCCCTCCTACTAAGGGACGGAAGCTCATTTATTACGAGAACCTTAAAAGACTTGGTCCGGCTGGCCTCGTTAATGAAGTTCAAGACGCGATTGAGATTCATAAGAACAAATGTGCTTTCCCTCAAGACGAAGAAGAAGTAAAGGTTCTGAAGCAATTTATTGATGCTGCTCGGGCACAATTCGATCAGACTCTTGAGTCTCTCAAGGATTCACGTCCAAATGAGCAGACTTCTGACCCATTCCACTTCTCTGTGTCGGTTAAGTTTTGCACCCAGTATTGCAACATTTGTAACACTACCTCTCACTCTCTTCAAGATTGTGAGTACAGAGGATGCAGACTTTGCGGCGATAAGCGTCACCCAATGTGGAAATGTCCTTCACGCTGCCGCTGTAAGAAACGCCCTGCTCACTTGAAGAAGGACTGTCCTAACAGAGTGGCCGACACTGAAGTTTCGTCTTATGATGAAAACAATTTCCCGACTTTGTCAAAGCCAACGGGTAATCCATCCCCTGCAACTACAGCAGCCCAGGCGTCGCGCCCAAAGGATGGAAACAGGTATAACATGCTTAGAGAAGACACTGAGGAAACCGAGGATACCGAGGAAACCTCCATGTCAGGAGTGCGCCAAGTGGAATATTCCACTGGAGATGAGCCAACAGAAAAGCGCACTAGAGTCCAGGAACCACCTAACCAGGTGGCCCAAACCACAGCCATAGTCGAAACGACTGACATTCAGAAGCCTTTGCCTTCTACAACCGATGAACCACATTATGAATCCACCGATTCAGACACTGACATGGAGTCATCCTCTGCTCACGAAGAAGATGACATCAACATTCCTGCCTTCCTGGCTACACCCCACTCTTCAGAGGAGTCTACTCTGAAAGACACTTCGCACCCTGTGCAATCCGTTCATGCGCCTGCTGCTCAGGCCTTACCTTCCGATGCTGTGGTTATCCCACACATCACGTCCACTGAGGAACTCTCTAGTCCTCTAACCTCCGACCTTATTGCGGCTACAGCAGTCGCCAACACCAACACAGATCACCAACTGGAGGTTCCTCCAGGTGATTTGACAGATGCCGACACCTCTATGGGTGAAGGAGATCTGTATGTTGCCACTCAACCCGATTCAATATTGGATTCTCCAGAGGAGGACCCACCACAGGAAGCTCAGCGGCCTATGCCAATGAGTCGAAGTGGTTTGGGGGCCTCGGAAAATTCACCTCGGCAACTGGGTGGAATTCGGAAGGGACGTAACGTTTCGAAAACTGCGTCAACAAAGTTGACTGCGACACTTAAGGACAAATTCTTACCAGATAAACCACCGTTGAACGCCCCACAAAGGGTTCTTCGATCAGGCCGATCTCACACTATGAGAGAAGCTGAACTGGATCTCTGATATGAATAATATTGTCGAACAACGGATCATTGAAATCAAACATCCTTTTGGTTTCAGACGCACTACACAAGGACGATCTCCTATGTTAACTGTTGGGTCTTTTAATATCCAGCACTCGCAAGAGATTCCTACAATCATCTTTTTGGCTCGCCAATTTGATATTTTATTTCTTCAAGAACTTCCCCTTTCAGAAGATAAAATCAAGCAGCTTGAACAGCTCGCTCTTCGAAAAGACAGAGTTTTCATTTCAGGAGAAACAGAGGAAGGAACGCTCAACCATACTGCTATCCTTCTAAATCCTGCCAAAGTCACGGTGTTGGCCACGGCGGAGCTTAGTCAAAATCTGTTTCACAGCGATAGATTTACAGATGTTAGGGTCAGGATCACTCCGGGTGATCATCTTCTTCTTACAAATGTTTATCTTCCCACGTCCAATAAGGCCCTCCAAGCCTCTATTCTTTCGGAAATTCGTTCCTCCTACGTTTCGTTAAAATCTCAACACCTGGACCTAAATCTCATCTACGGGGGTGATTTCAACCACTCAATGGAACATGAGATTCGCTCGGAAAGCCAAGCTCGTCATTCAATTTCAGCATTGAACAGTGTCGCGTTCACAGAAGATGTTGCTGTCTGTGATTCCCAAATTGCCCAGCTCCCGACCAATACACCGACCAAACAAGGAAATTCCTGTCGCCGTCTTGACAGGTTTTATATTCCTAGAGGTTGGCGTCACCGCACCAAGCAATACCAGATTTTGAAACCTCAACATATCACTAGCACGCATCACCTAGTCAAAGTCACTTTTAGACTTGATAGAGATGCTAATGTTCTCATAGGCAAAGCACGCTTTCGTTATCCGTTACAGAGAATTCTGCACCCGTTTGATTCAAATCCTACTATTAAAATCCCAGTTTCGACTTCGCTTGATCGCTCGATCTTTCTCATAAAAAGTGAGGGTATGGAATATATCAATTTCATGGGGTATGTTCGCAAGCAGGATCCGCAGTTTGCAAGAACCATTCTTGGTGGTTCTCAGGATCTTCTGAAGACGGAACAGACGAATATTAACATGAAACTTTGTTTCCAAACAAAACGTCTTGATACTCAGATTTTTCAAAAGCTTGTTAGTGCTGATACTGGAACCACCGCGCATACTACCTTAGGTATGCTCAACATGGCCACTGAATACTACGCTGAACTCTATGCTCAACCTGAAGATCCACCGAGATTTGAACTACTTAATTTTCTCGACCCTATTCAAAACACGCTTACACGTGAGGACCTTAGGACTTTGAACAAGCCCTTCACCAAAAAAGAGCTTTACAGAGCCCTCAAAGCATCAGAACAAGCTTCGGCTCCGGGCCCGGATGGCCTTAGCTTCCCAGTACTCCAACACTACTGGTCGGAAATTGGTGATAAACTCACCACCGCTGCCAATAGCATGAGGACTAAGGGAACCCTTCCTAAATGTTTCCGAGAAGTTCTTATCACGTTGATTCCGAAGAGTGGCGCCAAGGCCTCGGACCTAGTCTCCGATCAACGGCCTATCCTGCTTTCTAATGCTTCACTAAAAGTTGTTTCGAGTGCAGCCTGTTCACGGCTTCAGTCGGTTCTTGACAAGTTGATTCGTCCAAATCAAAGGGGCTTTATCAAACTGAGGAACATCCATAGCAACACTATGGAGTTCTTCTCAATGATACCTTTGATTCAACAGAGGCTGCCTCTGACGAGAGAAATTTCACCGAAAGCGATCCTCATGGCTGATTTCACAAAAGCTTTCGATAGGATCTCACATGTTTACATTCGGACTGTTTTGCAGAAGATGCGGCTAGGCAAATACATGATAAATTTTATCATGCTGATCCTTGAAGGTCAGGAGGCCTACGTACGCATAAACAATATTGATGGACGCCCGTTCCCCCTTCGCTGTGGAACTCGCCAAGGCAACCCTCTTTCGCCTTTAATTTTCAACATTGCGCTTGAACCCTTTCTACGTCAACTTGAGACTTTGGAAGGGCTTGAATTAAGTTTCAAAGGCTGTTACTTGGAAACCATCCACTATCATGCTTTTGCCGACGATGTGAACATTTATCTCAATTCGCTCAGAGATTATAGGAGATGCCATGGTATAATTGCGCAATTTGAGACGGCCAGCAATAGTCGCCTCAATCATAGCAAATCCAAACTCATTGGATTCCACAGAAATTACCCCCAGCTCGAATCCAACATCCTACCATTTTCCAAGACCTCAGTGTATCATAATGATACTAAGTATCTTGGCTTCGCGATCACTGGCACTCAGTGGTCAACGCTCATAAGCAAGCTACGAGATGCTAGCAGACTCCAAGGATACATGAGCCTTAACCTCATCACTAGGGCTCTCGGTTCGAACATATTTATCAGTTCTAAAGCAGTCTATAAGGACCTAGTACACTGTATGTCACGGTCTGAGCTTACTTCAATGGACAAAGCGATCGAAGACTTTTTCCCGGGAATCTCGGCGTCCAAATTACACGCCAACCCGAAGAATGGAGGTTTTGGTCTCATTGAGATGAAGATACAACTTCAAGGCCACAGAGCAGCAGTCTTAGCTGCCATCCTCGAGGATAAACACACTTGGTATGTGCAATATCTCCGACTCAAGCTAAAGCATCATATGGCAAAAATCATTTTGCAACAAGAGCATGTTGATATTCTGTTGGTCACCTCTCTAGACCCAGCGGACTTCTTATTCGAGCAATCGGATATTTTTTATCAACACTTACATTGGACATTTTCGGACAGTGAGATAGGGTACTTACGGGCGTGGCAGAAGGTGGTCCGACGCACCCGATCTTACGTAGGAAACAGCCTATTCACCAGCGAACCTAACCATCATGGTTCCCTACGTGCCTCTCTTCGCCGACAGCCGGTGATTTCTACAGGAGAGCAGAACGCTTGTCTCAAGAACCAATTTACGTCTTTGAGCAGACAGGAGCATCAAAAAGGTGGCCCCATCATTCCGGATCACCTTACGGACATTTGTCTTGCCTCTCAGAATTACACTCGTTGGAAGAAGTTTTGGCGGAAGCTATACAAACAGGAATGGCTCCATCACAACGACTTCTCCGCAGTACACTTATTCAACTTTGGATCCTATGTTCCTTTACAATTTCCTCGCTCCAGTGACAAAACCATGAGATGTCACTTTTGCTTACAATCACTTCCAGAGAGGTTACACCAATTTCATATTTATTCACAATGTGAAACCGCCACGTTTTGGTGGAAAGAATTACAGGGCACGAAGCCGATGGCCCTTGAAGCTATGTTAGCACCGACAGATATGTCATTCCATAACCTTCGCCAATTAAATTGGTTTTTTAAGGTGGTTCGCATCACTTATCGACAACGGTACAACCGGAGTCGGGATGCCTCTGCGCTTGAGCCACTTCTGCAAGCCGAGCTTACAGCAGCCCTCAAGCGGATTCCACCCATGGGACGATGACAGCTACAATACTATCTTTATGATGGCGGATCCTACTCCAGTGGCATTTCGGGGGGACCATTAGGGTTCACACGACTTTGTCAAACGAGGAAGATCTGAATAATAGATGGTTTTTCTCTTTCAGATATATACATGTATAGAGCTTTCCATTTAATTGAATTCAACAAAAAAAAAAAAAGGGGTTGGTGGTTGGGGGTTTGTTGGGTGAATGGAATTGTTTTATGGTACATTGTGGTTGGTTTAGTGGTGTTTGTACTTTTTGGTAGGGTATGGGGATTTTATAGAAAGTTGAGAATACTTGGGTGGTTCCAAGTGTGACATGATTTATGAGTACCAGTAAAAATGGAAAGAAATAAAAAAAAAAGATACATTTTAAGTGGCAGTAAAGGGTTGGTTTTGAACTAAGGTTTTGATTATATGTTGACTGGCTTAGTTCGGGACTAGAGGTCTGGCGGTGGAAGGTTTTCTTCTGGACGACTGGCTGTTTTCCAATGCTCTGCCCTCCAGAGGTATAACTCCAGATAAGGCCAATAAACAAGTCTCTCTTCATTTTCCTCCTTCTCTTCTCCTTCTGAGCGTCCTTCCTCTTCTCTTCTCCCCCTCCTAAAAGTCTTCATAACGGGCCGTTCCCTCCCTTTCCATCTGTACAACAACAACTGTATCATTATAGTATAACTAAACAACGTAAATATCTAAAAACCTAAGCACATCCGTAGTAGTCTTCCTTGAAGAAGGGTTTTCCCGTACAGATATTCACAAGGTCAATCACCATACTGGCTTGATTAGCTTTGGAGTAGCTCTTGCAAACATCCATCTTTTCTAAAACATAAAACCCTTTATCTGATTCACATTCCTCGTTAAACGACTCAAAAGCTTCCTGGCTTTCTAGATCTATTTGGACATAACTTTGCATATCATCTTCATCAGTGAAGTTGTCAATCGGATCTGTTTGTTGTACCGCAACCGCTACAATACAATCAAGACTCTCGGTAGCCTCCTTTATCGATTTCCTATGTTCTCTTAGCGGATTGTTTTCAATCACCATCAACACTTGTTCATTGGTATTCTCTATAGCATCCTGGAGATCGGCACGGTGGACTAGTTTGGCGTAACTGAACGAGCTCTGGTCAGCTCGAGGTACCTTCTCTGGCGCCTCCAAAACATAGAAGATGACAAGTCTCATCTTTAAATGCTACAATTCCAAGCGGGTCCGCCCCCACATTTGAATGTTCTTCAATTATAATATTTAACACTAGCACTTGCCTCTTTCTCACGAGGCAGCATAGCCTTGCAGGGATGTGCTGGAACTGGCTTAGCCACCATCCAATTGCCCTAATGAGAGCAGGTGTGACCTGGACCACCTTTGCCGTTTAAGAGTTCGCTTGCTTGCAAGATTTGTAGCATGTTTTTGAAGTTGGTTTCTGACCAAAACTGGTTATACTTGAATAGCGTCAGTTCATATATTTTGAACACTTTATACTGACGGTCTATCTCAAAACTCAAGTCAAACGGTTGGAATTCAATTCTGTCCAGCAGTTCTGTCACGTCCACAAACCCCAGATCGTCAAGGCCTGCCTTGGTCTCTATCAAGTTCTCAAAATGTCTTCTTTGTTGAATATAGGCACCAACAGTACAGTCGATACCTTTTGTTGCTTCATGAATTGCCTCCCTGTCACGTCTCATGGGATTGTTTTCTTTGACAATGAAAACACCCTTATCTGACTTTTGAAGTGTTTGTCGAAGGTCCGCCCGATTAACTATGTAGCACTTATCAGGAGTATCCATATATGGAACCTTGGTAGATCTTTCAAATAACGCCTCCAGGATCAAAAAAACAACGATTTTCATGATGAAATGGTGATTTGAAATGGTGAGCGGTCGTAATAACCTTATAACCTCTAATGTCGCAAAATTAACCCCAGGTACTGGAAGCCTCCCTAGTATGCATTAAGGGGCATCAAACAGCTTTCTGTGGATGTGCGAATGCCCTGTTATCTTTTAATCCTAAAAAGAGCTTCCCTTTAGAATTGCCTTATATGGGTCTCTAGGATTGAACCTTGCTGAAGTAGTCTTCGATCTTCATTGGCTCTGTCCTGTTCGCTGGTGGTTGAGGCTGCACTGGCCTAGGTTCACCCGGGTGGTTACGTTTCTTCAGCTGTGGAGGTTTTGTTTTTGTCTTTTTGGGAGCGTTGCCGTTGGTCTCGTCGTGTTTCCTTGCTTGGCCACGCTCTTCTTGCTTTCTGGCTACTCTTTCTGCGTCTTTCTGGAACTTCTTCTCTTCCTCTGGAACTTTATAGTCTTTGACAGTTTGGATCACTTGCCTAAGTGTATCATCGTCAGGAACGTCAAATCCCACTCTTGACCCAAGAAACTTCAATACCGTCCTTAAGTTATAGAGCACAGACTTGTTCATATCTAGGTTAAGCACTTCTTGGAACTGAGAGTCTACCTCGTTGCTTGGATCATAAGGTCTGAAATCCTTGAAAAACTTCCCGCCAATCATCCGGACCATCCGCTCGTTCAGCCCGTCTATCGTCGGATGGTTTGTTCCCCTTGCTCTGATTCTGTCAAAGGCGATCTTCTTCACTTTCATAATATCCATCCGAGGATCGACGAAATTAACCAAAACAAGCCTCACATCGTAATACCTGAGATCTTCATAGATCTCTTGACGATGCTTGACCATATGGTTGTTTCTGTCTATTAAAACGACGGGATGGTCTTTCACGGATTCTTGTAGCTTGGTGGAAAATGCCTTCTTGGTCTTGAGACGGTCGTTTTCTATATGGGCAAACTCTGGATGAAGCGTCGTGAGGGCTCTAAAAACAGTCAGCTTACCACAGCCAACAGTGGAGATCGGAACAATCACCCATGTTGCACCAGACATTAGTGGATGGTGTTGGAGGACTTGAAATGTAGGGCCTAATAGTTGTGATGGTACTGCAGAGACGATTTGCAACCAACGAAGAGCCATAGCTGAAGAAGCCGTAATGGGGTTTTAGAATGGAGAGAAAGAGTGTTTTGTGTGTTCTTATCATGCTGTGGTTTGACCTATTAACTTTTGGCGAGATTGTCTCCGCCGAATCAAGAGTTGAAGGAGAACATAATGTATGCTTGTTGCTTCTCCAAAACCTGGTCAAGGGGAAAGACACGGGCGGTGTTCTTTTTGAGTTCGTAAGTACCTTCACCAATGTCGTCTCCGTAGCTTAAATGGAGCTGTTTCAAGAACGCATTCAGCTCCATCGCCTTTGTTTCGCTTGAAACAGTACCTATGGTAATATGCAAATGCTGGTTGAGTGGGTCGAGTTCTGGCTTTTGGATGACGATTTCTCCATCTTGGTCCTTTGAATAGCTCTCTTCGATCTTCACTTCAACAGTTATGAGTTTGTCGTCAAACACGACTGCTCTTACTAACCTCACATCAAAGTAGTGCTCAACAGGAACGTCCTTCTTATCTTCACTGGCCTTACGAACCTGTTGCATGGCGAACCTTCTTACCAAAATCTCCCACTTTTCCTTTGTTTCTGTGAACTCATGGATGGTATCTTTGTGGCCGATAGTGACATGGAATTCGCCTTGAATCCTCGAAGATGATACCAAGGACTTCCAGGTCTCCGTTTGAGAAAGCTTGGATTCCAATAACTCCACCAAACTCTTTCTGTCTTTTATACCAATTCCAAAGTACTCTGGTCTCTTTTGGCCAAGCAGCCTGTTGGAAATAGTCTTCTTTGTGGTGGGCTTGTATTCGAGGGCATCTTTATAAGCTTTCTGCCATTGCTCTTCACTTGGAGTTGCAGTATCCTTGAAATCGTTGTATTCTGACATGACTTCCCAAATCCTCTTAGCCACGTCCAAAGAAGATGAGCTTGTAATATCAACATTAATCATAACATCAAATGCATCATCTGGAGACTGAAGATCACTTCCCTGGATCAAAGGAGTGATTCCAGTGCCTTGGTCTCCATTTTCCACCGCGTGGGAGCCATTCTCAACCTCATCTTGGTCACCCAAGGGGTTAACCGCTGGTTGTTCTAGTCTGCCAGCCATGGTCAGTGCGATACGAAGCGATCTTTCTGGATGTGAAGCAGCATCAATGCACTGATGATTGTCGCCTCGAGAGGTAATACGGCCCTCCACGAGTTCGTCAAAGCCTTCCTTTCCTTTAGCAGCGGCAAAGTTCACTCCAATGAAACGAAGTCCAATGTTTGGCACCAAGTAAGAGATTCTTTCTTCATGGATACCCTCTATAAGTTCCCTTCTTTCTTTCTTCAGAGAGTTGTTGCGATCAAGCAACAAGACAGGCAGGTCAACGAGAGAGGATACACATTGTGTCTTAAACTGTTTGAAGTTGGCGCAATTATCGTTTTGAACATGCAGCCATTTAGGGAAAAGATTCGAAAGGGTTTGGAATGCAGTTGTTTTACCGCTGCCAATCACAGCGATGGGGCAAATGATGGTCCTGAATTCTACCTCACGAAAGAACTTCTGGAATTGTTCTGTAAGTTTCTCCGTCTTTTCAAGCTCTACCAACCCAATTCCTCTATTCTGTTCAAGGCCAACGTTCTCAAGGAACAAGTTTCTTACCTTTATAATGCCCTTGTCTTGAAGATATGCCTCGGCCAACTCGGGCTCTTTCTTAAAGAGATCATCCACAAAGTCAAGGTATGCTTGTAGAATAACTCTATGTTTTGGTTGCTTGAGAATTAGCTCCATCTTTGCCTTCTTCTTCAGGATAAGTTGCTTGGTAGATTCTCTGAAAGTACGGTACAAAGCATATGGCTCTTCAAACTTGTACTTAAAGAAAAAGTCTGAGTCCAGGCTATCCTTCCCACGGATAACAAAACCCTCAATTTCTCGTCCCTGGAAAGTACCGGTTTCACTACCCTTTTCTAGGAAATCCCATAATGAGTCAAAGGTGTTAAAACGCTCCACGTGCACCTTTTTAAAGCCAAACTCATCAGCAAATGCATATACGCCTTCCATAGGGTATGTAACAAACTTCCTTGTGTTTGCGTTGATGCCATGCAAGTAAAGACCTGCTAGCTCTTTGGGGTACTCTATAACATGCTCTTCAAATTCATCGTCACATAATTCGGCCACTGCAGTAGCATTGAGTTCATACAAGATCTTTCCCATCTCAGTAGGAGACTTCCCCAGGTTCTCAAGTTGTTCATATACAGCCTTCTTTGCCCTTTCACTGTGTTTCACGAAATTCTCCGTTTTAGTATCGACAACAGGTTCGCCAGTAACGTGCTTTGAACAAATAACTAGACTTCCATCTTCTAGACCAGAAATAAACACAATGCATCCGTTTTCCTTAGTTGTCACCTCAAAAGGGCCATGCAATTCTCGAAGGTGCTCAAGCTTCGTAGAGGCAACTTCATTAACGTTAAAGAACTTGTCATAACCACGAGCCACAATTTTTTGGTCTTGTGTGAAAAGTCCACGAGCTCTTATGGGAAGCTCGATATCCTTATCGGAATATGAAAACTCATTGAACTTCCATGAGTCAACTACCGTTTCGCCAGAACATGTCTTGATCTTGTAAGCCTTCTTTCGTACACGCTCTGCTCTTGGTTTCTCACGTGAGACCTCTAGAGCTATAAAGAGGTCTTTGAGTTCCTCCTCTGAGTCTTTGAAAGCCGTTAAGGACTCAAACATGGGGATTTGATGGAGACGATGGAAGATGACTCGAATATCCCATCGCTAAATGACTAGTCACATCCGTACACCAGTTTGCAACCATTACCCCAGGCCCAGGGGCAGTCACTTCCCAGGAAGAAAGTACACACTTAGGGGGAAGTCTGGGTGTTTGTTTTCTGTTTTTAAGTATGTTTATATTAGTAGAAAGTTGAGTAGTATCGCCCTCCGCTCAGTAATCCTGACTTGGGCGTGTATGGAAATTGACGTGATTTGCTACCCATAACACTATTAAAGATAAAGTAAGCAAAGGGAAACGAAGAATTACCACGTATAATCACCTAACCTAAACTATCAGCTCCCTCGCCTTGAGTTTACCAATGGAGTTGCAGATATATGGAGCTATTTGGATAATCCTGCATACACTCCCAACATCAACAGTTTCCAACACCACAGCGACTTCTACAACTACTAATCCTCGCCTAACATGCTCAATGTCGATGTAGACGAGGCCGATGTGGCTGTTCTTACGCAGAACCTTGCCAAATCAAAGGAACTATTCAATGATATCACGAAAAGACTCCATTCAATTTCAACGAAAACATCCTCAGCTTCCACCACCATCAAGCCTGTGTTATCTGAATTCAACACGCTTACTTCCAAAAAACGGTCAGTGGAAGAAGGTTTGCTGCTTCTTAAAGACGTTTCTGCCTACGCTGGCCGTGCTGCTGAGGCGCAAAGACTACTTACTAGTCCAATTGACACGGTAGGTACTACTCAGTATCTTCAGTGTTTGCAGGAATCACAAGAGTTACTGAAGCAGATGAAGAAGGACATTCGACAATTCGATGCTGTGGTCGTGACGTTTGCTAATGTTGTCGATAAGGCAGAGCTTAATGTGATTACCCATTTTACGAAGTTGGTGCTGTCTATTGGTCTAGGAGAGGCCTCTGTACCTAAACATGGCGATATCGTGGCGGTACTTACGTTTTTTGCAAACAAGGGTAACTTGCGGATGGCTCACGAGGCTATGGAGAAGGCCTTTGCAAGACAGTTATCCCAGAAGATGGCACCTTTCGAAGAGGCTTGTGTTTTCCAGAAAAGAGGCGCCAACATGCCATACGAGCGTGGCAGTAATGGTGTTGCCCAGTATGTTGAAGAACTCAACAAGGCAGTGTCGGTTCTTTTTGGGGTATGTTCAGAGCTTCTGGTTCTGGATACACCGGTTACCAGAAACACCGTGGCACAGTACATGGATGACCGCGTTGCAAGGATTCTTAATCTTTACTGCAATTTCTTGGATCAGAATGGCGTCACAGGCCAAGACCTTGTGATTTTGGATGTCTTGGACAATGTACAGATTTTAGACTCTCATCTAAATGAAGTCGCTAACTGCAGCTTGAGCGTTTGCAAAGTCGCCTACAAAGAATACGTTCGTCTTCTCAATATAGCCCAAGGATTATTGACCGAATGGGTGAAGTTTGTTGATAACCGTGTACGGTCGATGGACAAGTTGACGGATAATAACATCCCAGAGGCTGTGGTTGAGGTTTTATCGAAGATTCGTCGCATCACCGAATACGATTCTGTGTCACTATTGATTGAGGACATGAAGCTTGGCAGCTGGCTTGACGTAAAGCCTCCTTTGCAGTTTATTTCGGTGTATACCTCGGTGATTCCGGGCGCCGAGGCCGATGCCACCGACCACAAAGCATTTTTGATCTCATCATATGTTCTGGACCTTCTTGATGAGCTTATGATTGATCTTGAAATCGGTCTCAAGGAGCAATCTGGCGATAACAGTTTAAAAAAACTGACACAAGGATTTTTACTTGTTAAGAATGTCGTAATGATCGAGACTATCATCAACCGACTGGAAGGATTATACCGGAAACTCGGCGTTGTGGGCCACGAGCGGCTCCAGCGGTTGAAGAACCGCTTCCTTAAACTCTTCTTGGACGACTGGAATTACGCCTCGTACATAATCATCCGCGATATGACCCAAATTACCACGACAAATGCCCAGCATGGGGGCCAGAACAGCAACAAGGAACGTGAGCAAGTGAAGGAGCTCTTCAAGAACTTCAACGAGCTGTTTGAAGAGGCATTAAAGAACTACGAGAAATTCAATATCCAAGAAAGAGATCTCCGGTTATACCTTTCGAGTGAAATCAAAAAGCTCATTCTTAATGCCTACAATAAGCTCTATGACAAATACGGAAGCGGCGAGTTCACCAAGAACCGAGCCAAGTACATCAAGTATGACAAGACGCAGTTTGAAAGGTTACTAAACGAGCGGCTCTAAGGTTGCTAAATTTATGGTTTGAAAAGGATTTTTTTATCTATCCCATCTCTGGGAATGATGGCTGCAAATGGCCCTTTCCGATACTACCGAAGCGACCCGAGTCCTCTCCCGACGATGCTCCCCCAATTTTTACCGCCATGAGTGCGTGCAGTATTTGACTGGTGTTCTCTTTGCGGCTCGCACGTCTGTAGTTCGGCTCGGAAGCCAGCGTCAAACATCGGATGGTTCATGGAATGAAATCTTGGCTTCAAGAGTCTATGCACGATACCAATGCTGCCAAACTTTCTCGGCATTTGCCCCAGTGTTTGCGATATCTCCCTTGTACAGGGTTCTGGTGTCATGCAGAGGACAGACAGTTTTGGGGGTTCTGGGGGAGGAATAGGAGAATCTTTCAAGTTACGAACAGAGGCGGCCAGCTACATTGGGCGTGGCAGGCTTTTGTTGGAGAAACACAAGAAAAAAGAGAGAGACATGATTTCTTGTAAGTTTAAGAAACTGGGCTGCGCCATGACTATCTTTGCCAAGGACCACACCCCAGACACCCCGGTACCTCCGACAAGACAGGTGTCACGAAGCTGAGGCGCTGGGGCAGTCGCGGCTCTTGGCCCTGGAGCGCGATGCCTAGTTGGTGAGAGTGAAACTGACATGGAAGTCTGTCGGTGAGGAAGGGCGTCGCCTCGGGTACCTGCACATAGGGCCCTCGGAAGCCTTTTTTTCGTACCTCTGTGGGGCATATTGTTGCTGCACCCTAGGCAAACTTGAAAGGCTTATAAAGCTTTGACACATCCGACTTCCGAGGGTGGCACACAAGCGCGCAGAGGTTCGGCTAATTCAAAGTGGAAGCTCACCATTGAGCTTGGCGTTAATGTCAAGAAAACCAGAAAAGCACACATAAACAGAAAAAAACAAAAAAAATAATGGAAAGAAAAATGAAAAAGAAATAGGGATGAAAAACAAAAAAAGGTGGTTCAAGAAATCTGTTTTTTGCTCTTTTAGCCTCTTTCTCATCTCTGGGAGATGGCGCCCCCAGCCTCCGATCTGGCACTCTGCCAGTCAGGCGTCAGCCGGTCCCTTATGTTAGCAATGCTAACTATAGCTTTGCATATGTCACAATTTAGATTCTAAAGGGTTTGAGTCCAGACCTGCAGCCAACCCTCGTGCGACTTCCCCTTTGGAGTCTGCCGTTCGGCACACAAGTGCAGCGACATGCTGTCAAAATATGCCAAGGGCGTTTTCCAACGTGACCCAAAGGGTCCTCGAGAAGACCACGTTGAGGGAGGCCGAGGTATAGGGATCGGGAAAAAAGTGGGTTTCCCCGTTACTAAAATTTGCCGTGTCCACGCGGAATATTCTCCGTCGACGGAACGAAACGGTGGATGCTCCGTCTTAAACGGGAGACGGGCGCTTGGCATCATGCAATTTCCGAGGGTCAAGAAATTTCGCTGCATGTGTGCATACCGATTTCTTGGCATTCACAACTTTGACACTTTGACACTTTGACATTTGCTTGGCTTGTTTTTACGAAGCATCCGGCAGCTGCGCCTCTATCCGAGCTGCCATTTCCGTTCCCAGAAAATTTTGCCCAAGGAATAGAGTGACAATACTGGCCTTGGCCCTCTCTCTGGGCCTGGTTCAGCCTTACCATGCACTGTCGCGTGCTGGGCTTCCACGATTTTTTTAGTACGTGCGCCTGACACTCGCTCGCTCGCTCACATACAAAAAAAAAAAGGGGGGCAAACATTATGGCTGACAAACAAGAAAGAAACACTAGTTCGCGAGATCGAGGGGATCTGCATGGACTGTTATTATGCGTTATGCGCAGGCTCTGCGGGTGTTTCCAGACAGATCTGCATGCTGCATAACGATCTCCCAAGAAATTTTGCCTCAGCAATCATGTCTTAACAAAATGGGTGGTAAGTTTCTTGTCATGATTATAAAAGAAGCGCGATTCCCACCTTCTTGGTAACCCATCAGGATATATATTTTTTACGAACTATAAATTTGGTTCCACACTTTGCATTTTCACTTCTTTACTTTCATTTCACACACACACACACAAACTGCCTACCATGATGAACAACAGAGTTACCTTGCCTCCAATCTCGGATATCTTCACCAATAAGAACGTTGGCGCCATCCCACAACAACCTCCTATGGCTCCTTACCAGCGCCCAGTGGCTGCTGCTCCTCACGTTCCACCACCACCTCCTCATCACCAGCACACTTCCCCATACCCAGCCATGCCTGTCTACCTGTACCAGTACATGTACAACTCGCCACCACTGTACCACCACACACCTTATGGTAGCGCTTCTTACACTCCATACGCTAGTGTGGGCGCTCCATCAGGTACGCCGCAAACTGAAGGTGCTGCCGCTGCTGCTGCTGCCGCTGGTGGTGCCGCTGGCTCTAACCCACAAGGCTCGTTGCCTCTTTTGCATAGACAACTGACCAGCAGCGACCGTCGTCCACTGGTGGCGCTGCCAACGTCGCCAGGCCTGCCACTGTCAAAGTCTCTGACTCCAGAGGCCAGTGGTTTGTCTACGCGGGCAAGAACCAGAAACAACTTGCCTAAAGAAACCACGTATATTTTGTTGAAGTGGTTGAATGATCACTTGAACCATCCATACCCCAACTCGTTTGAAAAGACCCAATTGATGATGACCACGGGGCTTAACCAACAGCAGTTGAGCAACTGGTTTATCAATGCCAGAAGAAGAAAGATTAAGGTGTTGCGCCAGAAACAGAAACTGGCCTCTGCATAAGGGTCTTGTGTCCCACGCAAAATTAATTTTTTATTGTTATTGTTAATTATTTAATGTTGGCGGGGGGCCGGATCCACCACCACAAGACGAAAGGGCAGCAGGAAGCCGCCTGCTAATGTATATTACGATTAAAGGGATATAGGTTTAACGGATACGACACAGAACTTTGCAAGAAATGTAGACGGAACGGACGGAAATGGGTTCGCGTTCCGACCCGAGGTGACAGAGGGAGCGGCTTAAGCGTGTGTCATGCTGAGTCACGTGATGTGCCTGTCAAGTAACAATGGGGAAAGAAACTAAGAAAAAAAAAAAAAAAGAACGAGCCGAAAGCCCATGCACAGCCTGCACGGTGCCTTTCCCCATACAGGACATGGCGGGTGCCGCTATTTCCTCCCACTGGGCTCCCAAACCGCCCTACGCAAGCGAACCTAAATACCTCTTGTGAACCTCATAAAAGCCAAGGCTCCAGCACTGGCCATCCCAGAACGGCTAGCCGTTGAGAGAAATTAAAGAGAGTAGGTGAAATAGGAGGTATTGTGTGCAGGAAAATAAGCTTTTTTTTTTTTTTCTTTGCCAAACTTACTTTATTATACAAAAGTTGCAACAAAAAAGAATTGCCTATTCAATGCAGCCCATAATATTTCGTCGTAAATCACCTGGTCGCCCGCATGACGGAGAGAAAAGGCGGAACAAATAAAGGAAACAACGGAATAAGAGGATTATTTTGGAAGGACTGGAATTTAATTAATAATTAAAATATGGAACTAAAAGAAATGGATGGTCGCCTCGTCGCCTCGTCAAATACGAACAAAAAATGGTCAAAAAACGACGTCTTCTCTTTCCAGTACATGTCAATTCATGCTTTCTCGGGCAGCTCGCCAGTTGCTGGATTAGGCGAAAGTGGTAGGCCAGAACTTCCAATTCTATTTCCTTTTCCACTTTGATTTATTTCCTTTATTTCCCAATCCCTTCCTTTTCCCAATCCCTTCATTTCCCTTTAATTAGCAACTGTAGAAACTGGTTATGAGTTCTGCAAATGGGTTTGGGCGGTTCGAGCGTTCTTGACAGGTTGAGGTGAGGCTGCAGTTACCTTTTAGTCAAAGCCAGAATCCAGCTGGGTTCCAGCCGGGTTCGTCAGTTGGAGGCATTTACGACGTTTACGACGTTGCTGGACGTTCTGGGGACTTCAATAACACTTATCAAACAATTCTGGTTTGTCTGGTACTTTTTTTTTTTTTTTTTGCACCCAAAACCACCCATTCCTCAGTACCCAGTTCTGGTTGATGGGTAATCTGATCTTCATGGACGCCTGTCTAATTTGACTTGACGGAACGCCCACTCCGTCTTCCTTCTCTTCTTTTACTTCTCCGTCTTCCTCCTTCCTTTTCTCCTTCTTCACTCCGCTGGCGCCGTCGTCTCCGTCTTTGTTCCGCCTACAATGAACCAGATCTGGATCTGGATCTGTCATAATCTAACTATCCCCAGCCATCTCTATTCAGACGTCTTCAGATCCCTTTAGACTATTCTTGGGCCAGATTGGCCTGCCGTTGATCTGTCGATCTGGGATCTCGACGCAAGTGAAGTTGGCTGCAAATGCTCATATAGTGTTTCGGGTTTGCTTAGAACCATAAAACAAGCTTCCCATCGGCCCATTGTAGGAACTTTCTTTGTTCGAAAGAAGCTTATACGAGATGGTGGTTAGCACTGTGGGCTGATTCGGGTTGCCCACTGGAGAATGTGGGTTTCTCATGGTGTTTGAGCTGGCTATGTTGAAGAGTTAGAGAATTCCCAGAATGGTCTGGCTGGACTCAAACCAGAAGAAAGTAACTGCCACATTCTCTGGTAAATACTTTGCTTTACTACAACTGTAGGTTGTGTGGTGGGGGTCTCTAACTACGTCTCTCTGCCAGCACCAGTAGCTACTCTATCACCTAGATCCTATGGTAAGCCTAAAAGACGAATAGTCCTCTAATGCACCCAGAATCACTCCCTAACTCTTACTGGCTACCTCCTTCTAGTCTACCTCGGCAACCACTATCTACCCCATCTACCAGTTTCATGACCACGTTTGTTTTCATTTAACCTTTCTTCCACAAAGCATCGCTGGTTGTGTTCTTCCAAAGTCTGCTTTGTGCCTGGCGGTGACGCTGAGCCTGGAAAAGTCTAACCCACAAAAGAACAAACGCTAGCAATGGTTATAGCTTTGCATTTTGTGGTTCCTATGCTTATCATGAAACTGTACGTCAGACCTGAAATTGGACCCTGTGCCAATGGCAACTAAAAGGATAGGTGGGTTTCATAGGGCATTATTGATTGCTGGTCTCGATTTCAGGTGTCCCAGTGCTTTCAACTACCCATGTTTGCCTTCAATGCCCCTACTAAACACAAAATAAAGGTTGCCCTTTCCCCAAACGCCTTGTTCTTGGCTTGCTCTTGGCTTTCTAGTAATAGGAGAAGTCTTCAATCTTGTGTAATGTTACCCCAATCCGTGTGCCATTCTCGCCCCCAACCTGTCAATACACTTAACCACACTGCGTTTTGTGGCGTGCCATGGTAAGCTCGAGAGAAACACGGTTAAAAGGCCTTTGAAATTGGAGCTCTTCTTCGTGGTTTTGTATAGGCCAATCTTTCAGTACACCAAGCCGAGGCTTTTAAACTTGACGGATTTGCCATATCTCTAATTTCTCTCCTGACACATCGGGTTTATCGAGTCTGGTTTTGTGTAACTGTCTCATCGGAAGCTGCAAAGACGCCTTTGCGCCCCGAAATTACTCTCTTTGGAATTGTCTCCGAGAGGTAGTAGTAGTCCTATAACTGGCATATCACTATACATTTCATGAACTGAAATAAACCAGAACCAACCTCCATGCCTAGACAACTCCAGGTATCCAGAAAACACCCTCACATGCGGCGGCGAACATGAAACCTTGCTTTGTCATTATTCTTGGTTTCTGACATGATAAAGTTAACCGCTCGTGCTGAGTCGACTTTCGAGGGTACGATTTTGACGTTTTGCATCAATGGATATTCTCTGGGCATGCCCAAGTGCCACAATTAGGTCTCCAAGGCCATGGCACCATTCCATCAAAAGTTGCGCTGCGTTATTTAGCCGCAACACTTACTCACTGGCGGTTTGTGATAAGGCTACTGGAAGCAGCATCGCCTAAGCGACATGCTTTCAAGTCGGAAGTCGTCTGAATGCTTGGCTGCCATGGATTGGCATTAAATCAGCCCCTATTGGATTAGAAATTCGTTTTTTAAAGAACCGGGAAAACTTGCAATTCGTTGATACTGCCGTTACCTGTCATTGTTTTAAATATTTTTCCGTTTGGCTATTGTTTCTGCAAGGAAAAGTGTCATATAACCCAGAAAAGCGCTTGTCACATTTTCCTTTTGTGACATTTTGGCGACCTAGACGTGGCTGTTTGTTCGACTGACTTTAGTGTTATGAATACTGCTTGCTCTGAAAGAATTCTCTTGGTCTTGCGGCTAGCCCAATCTGGCAAATGACAGAAAACCGGTCCTGGGCATTTCTTGGGATTTGTGGCTCGGACCATTTTGTAACTCCCGGAAAGACGCAACATGATGGAATCCGTACTTACTTTGTGGATGGCTTCTTCCATTGTTGTGGTAGTTATGAACGAGTGGCCCAGGGGAATGGCATGATTGGTTTTGTCTGTTCGGATGAACACACGGGGAGTTAAGTGGTTGGTTGGAATGTGGGGGCTTTAATGGCACTATTGGAAAGAAATGGGGTATGTCTACGCTTCCGTCTCTGGTTTCTACTGTTAGTGTTATGTGGTAGTAGCCATATGAATAGCATACCAGTACTTCTACCAAACAACCTGTTCTCTCAGAAAGCGAAAACACGCCTATAAAAGTATGAAGATTAAGAAAACAAGTTCCTGGGGAAATCACTGTTGGGTGGACCAGAGGGTATCTACTCCCAGTGGTATCACCAGATCATCACTCCACCAAATGTCAAGAACGTCCAAAACACATGGTAAAGGGGACAATACCATCTTTTACCATTTTGAATAATTCCATGGATTTCTATATTCCTCCCAAAAATCTTCCACATTGTATTCTTCCACCGTCTATCCATTCCCTCTGGCCCATACATTAATGGCTGCGAAAAGCCATCAACAAGTCTCCAGAGAACCCCCCACAGCATAAAAAAATGAAAAACACTTAACATATCCCCCTTCCTTTCCCTCTTCCACAACCTCTCTCCACTCAAACCTCCATTCTTTTTAAACCACAACCATCTGCCTCTTCCTCTGTCTCCTCCCACCGTGTTGTCTCTGCTTCCTATATACACCGCGACTGTTTACTTTTCAGATGCACCATTCAGTCGATTTTCACAACCTACTACTCCAATCATGTCCACAGCAGACGCTTTGATCGCAGTGGCCAGCACGATCTTGTCTCGTGCAGAAGGCTTGCTGAAGGTTGAAATCAACAAAAAGGGCAGAAAGTTTAAGTACATTAATGATGCGTTCCAGAGAGTTCAAGAAGAAGACAAGCACTTGATCATACACCCACTGGACTTGGAAGAAGGGCTTTCGACGATTCTGGCGTATGTAATTCTTCAGAGCATTGACGAGCTGCTTTTTGAAAAGTTTCCTGACGTTTGCTTGACGGTGGTAGGTGCAGCTGGACAGATCGAAAAGAACGGCTGGTACGAGGAAGAACACTCTTCGGTGATTCCATATAAACAGCTGAAGTTTACGTATACTGCAGAGCTCAGGAAGGAGGCCATGGAGTTTGCTAAGCTGGTTACAGAGAAGCATTTGCATCAGGCCCAGGTTCTTTTATACTGTGCTAAGCTTAGCTTTCTTCATACGGACCATCATATTGGCAATAAGCTAGATGATCCGTATTCCAGAGAGTACGTGGAGGAGTTCTTTGGCGAAGACGCTGTGCAGCTGGCAGAGGTGATTCTGGCGCTTAAGTCGTTTGTGCATTGGGCCAATATCAAGGGCATTCTTTGGAAACTCAAGGTTCCGAACTTGGACATTGACGAAGCCTTGAAGAAGAAGTTTTCCAGTTACCCTGACCCTCCCGCCGATTTGCTTGAAGTGGTGAACAAACGGTACCCCAGTGGAACATCCAAGTACTCGCTTATCAGGAAACTGCTTGATATATTGGCAGATTACACTTACTCCAAGTTGATTCCATTCCCTGAAGGCCCCGAGTACGATTTACACTGGATCTTTGATCTATGTCACAAGATCGAGTCCGATCCAATCAAGTACCATTTACGTGCATCGCTGAAACGGTTATGCTCCAACCCAGTGAACCTAAACGACTTATCCAAGGACCACAAGTCGCAAGTACAGACGTTACTCTCGGTAGTAAGTCTTGTGCTTAACGTTTTCCGAGTAGAAGAAGGCGAGGCGCTTCTACTGAATTCCAAGATCCCCCAGTTCTGCGACGAGTTGATCGACGAGTACGAAGACTACTACCAGAAGCTCGTGGACGTTTTGACCAAGATCGACGAGTACATTGAAAAAGGCTGGGGCCCAGACGACATTGTGTTGAGATTATACAACAGCAACACCAGAAACATTCACGATGAAGTGAACCGCATGAGAGACGCCTTTGCCGAGGACTACGAGTAAGCCAAAGGCAACCACTACAGACACTTACCAGACACTTACCAGGATATTGATAAATTCACGATTATGACACCTCTATCTACCATCCACCTCCATGGCTGCAACCAGTCACTGGGTATGTTTTACGTGACGTTACCCCAGGTTTCCCACTCCCCACCTTCCGCCTTCCCACCTTCCTCCAATTCCTCCAATTCCTCCACTTCACTCCACATTCCCCCTTTTTGAAGCCTATTCCAGCCACTCCCCAAACGTGGGATTCCACTTATCTAGATATTCCGCGATCCTCCCACCCAACTCTAATCGCCTTGCCGCCGATAACCGCGACTGACAGTCTATGTGTTTTTCGCGGTAACTGCCATTTTTGGCCCACTGCCTCTTCGCGCCCTCCTACCGTTAGATGCCGTGGAGTCTCTACAACCTGCCGTTAGAGTGTTGCACTGCACTGGTGGGTCAAAGCAACTCCTCAAGTCATTCCTTGATCTTTATATATCAGTGAGATCCACGTTTTTTGGAGGTGTCCATTCTTTTTTTTTATTATCAATCGGTATGCCTCACAACGCAGAAGAATATTATCTCGACAGGCTTCACGACCTGCCATCAATCAACCACACTAGAACAAAGAACGCCCAGGCATGGAAGAACCTTTTGCCTGAGCAGGAATATGTGGAAAGAGAGTTTCTCCTTTCCAAGGCCAAAATCACCTCCTCGAAGGTTAACAGGCTTTGCGTGTTTGCATTGAAGAATAAGAGCTCAGGCAGTGTGGTGAGCTCGATGGAATTGTTGATTCGGCAAGCATGGCGTTTTAAGAAGGAGAATGGCGCTGTTTCCATGATCCCTGTGTTGAGTGGCTGCATTGGCGCTGTCTACACTTATCCAGAATATAGAGGCAACGGGTTTGCTGCTATGATGGTGAAGAAATGCATGGATGAGGTGAGATGCGATGAGTACCTTGGCACCAATGGCTTTACGTTCCTTTACTCGGAGATTGGCGAGTACTACGCTAACCACGGGTTCAAGTCGTTTGAAGTGCCTCTTACCAACATCCCGCTTTCTCCATCCAATGAGCCTCTCAAGCTCCCACCAGGTGCTTCCTTGGTTGAGTACCACAACTTTGGGTACCTTTTTGCACATTACAGGGACCATTTTGCAGCGCAAATGCGTTCTAAGGTTAATGAGGATGGCATTGAGCGTATATCTGTGGTTCCCACTGCCGACTTCGTGGACTGGTTCCACTTGCGTGCCAAGTTTCTTTCCACCAGGATCTTTGGCCACGACTCGGCCAAATTCGATGTATGGAACGACTCGTACGAGCACATTGTCGGCCAGTTTGAGGACGTGGAGCCCAAACACTTTGGTATCCGTCTAGACTGTCCTGAAACTGGTAAGCACATTGGCTTCATTGTGTGGACGTACGACTACGACTATTCTAAAGAGGAGCAGCATTTCCACAACCATGCCACCGTGCTTAAGATCCATGTGAACACCCCAGATTTTGATAGAGATACCTACACAGCTCAGCTTGTTGATCTTGCTAAGCGGTACTTGGAGCTGCCCCACAAAGCTGACCCTTTGAAGAACTTCACTTCATTGATTGTGTGGGAATCTGAGCTCTCCAACCACACGCAACACGAGTTTGTCAAGAAGTATGGCGCCGACTCACACTTGGAGAATTCCTCCAGAAGCGCCATAATGTATAATAACGATGCCGATGACGACAAGTTGAAGCTGGGTAACATGGTCTGGGAAAATAATACCAAGCTTCCATGGTTCTGAAAGCACTTTAGCATTCCAAATGAGTTAAGAAGTGATAAGAGGTAACAAAATGTAGATGACAGCTAGGATTCGTTGTGCCATGGCTTCTGGTTACTGTGATGTGTAGAGATATCAGGAACCATTTTCTTTGAACATCCTTCTAACCTTTCTAAGCTAAGATATCTTCTCATCCTCCCTCTCAGTCCAGCAGAACATGGCTACTATCACCATAACTTCAATGGCAACACATATCATGGTATGGCCCAAATAATGGGTCTTGACAAACATCCCCAGCAGCTTACCACGAATGGCACTGGCATAAATTAAAGCTGGAAGGTTACCCAAAATCAAAATTAGAAATCCCATAAACGTGAATAAAAAATGACGGACAAGAAGAAATATCGTTCCAAACCAAAAAAACACCGTCAGAACAATTAGTATTTGTGTAGGGTCATTCCAAAAGTCCCAATCAAACTCCTTGATAATGCCTATAGTAGATTCTTTAATTTCCCTTTGTTGAGTGCCATTCAAAAATCTGGCGGCATCTGGAATTTCCTTAACAGCTTTCCTAGCCTTGTCCAATGCCAGTCCCATGGCTTTTTCCCATGATAAAGCAATATGATTTTGATTCATCTTGGTGGTCTCCATTTCTTGTGCAAGCACCGTGCCGATATCGTAAACAATTCTTTTAAGAGGATTGTCTGAGCTTTTGTGGCACACGGTTGGCTTCTTTTCTGACTTTCTACAGTAACCATAGTAATGAATGTAATACTGTGTCTCTCCAAGAGGCCATTTTTCGGGAATAAACTCTGCCATTTTGCCAGTAGATCCAGGCGAAGCATCTTCAAACGTCTCTAAAAGAAACCTCGAAAAGTCATACCAATCTCCCAGACCTCCAACGCTGTATTTGAGAGTGGAAGTGGGAATAGTAGGGATCCATAGCCAGATTTGGAAGCCAAGGCAAACCAAAATCAAGAAAGCTCTTTTGAAGGAAGGACTTCTTTTCTTGTGCTTTTCTTTTGGTATCTTTTCTGGGTCATCAGGAACTTCAATCTCCATCTCTTGAAACTCTGGGAGTTTCTGGGGGATCTCGTCTTGAGAGTTAACAGGAGACTTTATATCTGACATGGTTAATGAAAAAAAAGAAATAGAGAAAGGCTTCTTTTATATATAATGGTATAAATAATAAAAGCTGGAGTTTCCGGTTTGAGTATTGGTTTTCCTGAGGTCATTTCCAGGGAAAGGCTTAATACGAATATATTAAATGGGTACGTTGACTTTACGTGACTTATAGAACTTCAAATGTAAAAAATAAAGGGATTCCTTATACTTTCCCTATTCATACTACATTCTTCGCTTTGACAAACCAGATACTAACTGATTACTAGCTCCGCTTCCTCAAATACCAAAAACACAAGGACAAAAACATCAAAGGAAAACAGCCAACGGTATGAAGCCCAATAAATGGCTTCTCACAATATCTCAAGTCAGTTTGCCATGGATCAGAGTAGAGAGAGTTATCTGTGGAAGAAGTAGCATCAAAAAGGCTGAATCCATCTACTTTTCGCAGCCAACCCGCCAGAATCCAGATTCGCACCCGTACACCCATACATTAGAACCCCACCAACCAGGCCCACTAGAGCTCCCACCTTTCAAGCCTGAAGGAGGTTAAGTCCTGAGTATGTTCGTTTTTCGGTAGCAGGTGTCTTTAGGAGTCTCAGGTATGATTATTGGATAAAAACAGTCAAATTTGGGTACTTAGAAGGCCATTCTTGTTAGCGAACCAGGAAACAAGCAGAAACTCCATATTCTGCCACTGACAGTTGTTCAGCAGTATTGGGGCCAATTCTGGGCTTCTGGGGCATCTTATGAATGTATTTGGTTAGATAGTGGTATCTTTAGAATATTTATAAACCACGCTTGAAGTTCACGTTTTGATGGCTTCTCGTAAAATGGCTGCGAAAACACAGAAGTAGTCTGGGAATGAACAGGTAGGTTGACCTGGATTCCATATAACTGTCTTGTTTAACAAAAATAAATGTTCTTTTCGTTCGAGACTCCAAATAAAAGAACTTTACTGGGCCAAATCTGTTAGTACACTGGTTTCCGTCGAGATTGGGCCAGCCCTCAATCTACTACTCTGGCCATGAATACCTAACTTCAAGATACGAGCAATGAAGGTTAAGTAAACAGCGGAAACAAAGAACAGTTGGTTAACCGTTAAGAAACTTTCTTCCACTACTTTAGAGCTGAAGCCTTTATTATTTAGTTTTAGACCTACTTGCTGTTGCTTCAGCTATGTCTACATGGACCCTAGGCAGCACAAAGCCAAGTCCACTAAGTAAGCCTTTCGAGCTCCAAGCGGCAAAAGATGCAAGCAAGGATAATACTTGCTGCCTCTTTTAAGGTAACACAACACTCGACTGTAATTACACTACCCTGGGGGCTTTTTATGGCCGTATGAGTTCCCATGAACAGTAATTCCCTTTCCTGCAGACAAGGACTTATATAAAGTCATTACTAAAGGTGGTGAAAATATATTCTGAGCAGAGATGAAGAAAAGTAGTATATAGATATAATATCAGGAATTGCAAAAGACCCAGATTATATACCCCGACAATAGAGGGGTAACTCATGAATGAGACTATGCCACTTCAGGGGTTAATTAAGGTTTGAGGATATATTTCCCTGTCAAGGGAGTGCATATAATGGAGATATCCAACACCCCTTCTTAGACGAAAACCTCAATCTATAGTATCAGTTCTTCTTGAGTATTCCTTAGTCTTTTAAAATCAGTTTGCTTCAAGCCTTTAGTCATGAGGTCAGCAAAATTGTTCTTTGTATGAACTTTCAATACCTTCACATTTGCCTTCTTAACTTCATCATTAATAAAACTAAGACGAATCTTAAAATGCTTAGTACGATCAGAAGTAAAATGCTCTTGGTCACAAACATCCTTACAACCCTGGTTGTCCACATATGTGATAATCCACCGCTGTAGATTCCAAAGACGTAATTCAGTAAGTAGAAACTTTAACCAGTTAGCACTTCTAACACATTCACATAATGCATAATATTCCGCCTCTAATGAAGAAAGAGCAACTGAAGTTTGCTTCTTAGACTTCCAAATAACAGGAGATTCCTCAATGAAAAATATGTTACCTGACACAGACTTAAATGTCTCTTTGCAGTTAGCCCAGTCTGCATCGCTATAACTTTTGATATCAACGTAACGTTTTGGCTTGCTGACTTTTCTGTAACGAATTGCAAAATCTGACGTTCCTTTGAGATACCGTAATATTCGCATGCATGCCTTATAATGCTTCATGGCTGGCTTACTTGAGTATCTCGCTAACGCAATTGTTATGAAGGAAATATCATACCTCACAGTCGTACAGGCAAATAGTAATTTCCCGATTATCTCTCGAAACTTAGTGGGATTGGGATAAAGTTCATCAGTCACTAAAGGACATAACAAGTCTGACCACTCTGAATAATAAGGTGTTTCACACGGTTGAGAAGACTGATCCAAATGCAAACTAATAAGCTTAGAAATGTAATCCTCCAAGGATAATGTAATCACTGAATCAGACTGACTAACATTCATTCCCAAGAACTTCTTCGCTGGACCAAGGTCCTTAATCTCATATGCCATAGACAAACCTTGCTTAACCTTTTCAATAAGTTTAATATCAGAACTCATTATCAACATATCATCCACATAAAGAGCCACTAAGAGCAAAACACCACTCTCATACAAATAATAAAGACAGGGTTCCCGGACACAAGGAACAAGTCCAATAGACCTTAATGTCTTGGACACTTCCAAATTCCAGACCAAGGGAGCTTGCTTAAGTCCATATAATGCGCGTTTAAGCCTTAAGACTTTGCCCTTATTCTGACTTGTCTGTAGACCTTCGGGTACAGTGAGATAAAGATCAAGACCTAGGGGACCATTGAGGAATGCCGTTTTAACATCAATCTGATGGACAGTCATACCAAGATTAGCTGCCAAAGCAATAGACAATTTAATAGTATCATACTTAGCAACTGGTGAATAAGTTTCTTGATAATCCTTACCTGGCACTTGTGAGAAGCCTTTCGCGACCAACCTAGCTTTATATCTACCACCGTCTTTAATGGTAAATATCCACTTATACTCAATCGGCTTACGACCTGAAGGTAAAGTCGTTTCCTCAAATGTTTCTTTCTCTCTCAATGAATCAAGTTCAGAATCTATAGCAGTTTTCCACTTATCAGCTTCATCGCATGAGATAGCTTCCTTATAGGTTTCTGGTTCAAAGCGAACTTTAGTAAACATAATTCTTGTAACATTGTTCCTCTCAAAAGCTTCAACAAACAGAGTGAGTGATTTGGAAACGTAATCATCTCCAGGAGTGACTGACAAGATCATAATATCTCCCCCTCTCAAAGAATGAACTCTGTTGTCTCTTTTGCCTGATAACTGACGATAGTTAAGTTTATGCTTCCCAGCAAGACGACTCAGCATACGAGGACTATGTTGACTTTCATCCTCAGTAGCCCGTCGGTTAATATTATCCTGTTCAGGAACTGCTCTAGGCAGCTCAACAGTCCCACTTCGTTCGCTTTGCGGGTGCAGTGCACCGTTATTCAAAACCGAATGTGACAATTCATTTTCCAGCCTGTCTCCGGAATCCTTATCACTCATGTTGGAAACATCCTCCTCACTTGTCTTATTTAAGGAGGTAAAACCACCATGCGGTTCAGTGGACTTTTCTTGCTGATTAGACACAACACTTTCATCAGTTTGGTCAACTGGAACATAATCTGGACTTAGCATTGAATCATCCTCTTCCTCAGGATCTCCGCAGAAATGGTTCGGATGACTCTCACTCATAATATGACTCTTCATAGAATCATGATCAACAGTCCAATGGACACCCAAGAATGGAAACTTCTTCAGTATAAATTTAACCTGATGAGTTTCAACAATTTGCTCAGTAAGTTTATCATTATCAAGGACTATAACTCTCGTGGCTTTGCGATTTAAAGCAGGGCCTAGCGAAATACACTTACCCCCACGAGGATCAACCTTCTTACCAGCATTCACCTTGTACTTTTTAAAGTAACCTAAACAACCGAAAGGAGATGCTTCCCATAGTTCAAAACGTTCATATTTTCTTGGGGATAAATATGACATAGGAATAATCCAATGATTCTGGGATTTCGGGCTGTTATTCAAGGTGAAAACAGCAGTCTTAAACGCTTCAGGCCAGAATGTTAACGGTAAACCACTCTGAAGTAAAAGAACTCTAGCTTTCGTCAGAATAGCACGAATGGCTCGTTCAGCGAGACCATTTTGATGTGAACTATAAGGTGTGGTAAATTTCAAGGAGATGTTAAAATGATCGAAAATATCTTTGTGTCCTCTCGAATACATTTTAGAACGAAACTCTCCACCGTTGTCAACACGAACTTGCCTGAATTTCTCACCGGGGAATTCATCAACTAACCTCTTAAGTATAGCATAAAAATTGCCAAGTGTGTCTTCCTTACGAGTCATGGGCGAGCAATAATACATCCTCGTAAACTTATCGACAACCACTAAACAAAACTTCAGACCATCAAAACCAGCTGGTGATATAGGACCACAAATGTCCGCATGCAAGTACTCCAAAGGATGGGTAGCAATGGTTTCTGATTCACGATCTTTACGAAAGTTGACCATGGTACCCTGTTGACATGCATCACAGTGTTCTCTGATGTCCTTATCAATATTAGGAAGAAAAGAAAATTTCTTCTGAAGTTCGAGATATTGTTGATATGTAGGATGTCCAGCACGAATGTGATGTTCCATATCCTTTTCTGCATAAGTTGCTTTTGTCTCCCACCTCACGGACCTTAATGCATACACATTGACTAGATTAATTTTCATGTCATCATGCGCTGCCTTGATCTCCGAGTGAGAAAGCGTCACTCCGGGATTGTCATGAACCTTGCAATCCAAATCGATCATATAATGACCAGGACTGCGACCCTCACCAATTTTGACTCCATCACTATCGAACAAATCCAGTCTATATTTCGAAACCGATAATCCGAAATCATGATAAGCCGAAATAACATTAGCAGAGGCATCAGGTATGTAATAGACGTTCGCCATCGTGATTACTTTACCAGAAATAGTTCTCCCAGTAACCCGGCCATAACCAGGGGCTAAATAATGGTGTGTGCCATAGTCACCAAAGAACTTCGGACATTTAACATAACCACTCAAAAGGGTCAAATCACTCACAAAATGTATCGGACTTCCCGAATCCCAAATGAAACACATTTTCAGACCACTAGATTTAGACAGATGAGGACTAACTAGAAATGACTTAGCAGTTTCTTCTCCCTTAGGCTTTTCTTGTTGGCTCTTGTCCTTCTTTGCTTTAGCTCGCTTCTTATTTTTAATTTCTGTCCAATGAGCCTTCTTCTTTCTCTTATTCGCTTCAGTTCGCAACTCAGGATGCTTTAAGAAACAACGGTCTTCAGTATGACCTTGCTTACTACAGTGCGTGCATGTTCTCACAAGATTTACCAGCAGGTTAACAGTGGAAGGAATAAAGCTCGTAGCCGAATTCAAATCCTTTTTCAAAGCCGTAACTTTCTCCCTCTTGCTAGGATTTTGACCTTCATATGCAAGCACCAATTCATTAGTAGGGCAGGCAGATTCTCCACACAGTTTGAAAAGCTTTTCTCTGAAATCATAGTTATCCACATTCATGGACCGAAAGAGACTCTTTATGATTAACTCATCATCATTATCTGGATTACCCAAGGCCAAAAGGTAAAAGAGTTCTTTCCCAGAGAAGGAGTGTGCAACGCACATACGGTACACATCCATAAAATCAAGCTCATTATACGCTCCGAACAGCACTAAAACTTGTGCAACCTCATGAATTAAATCCTTAAATTGCCTTGGTGTATACTTCGTCATTGTCTCATGCAAATTACACAAAGTGTCAAGACTTTGACTCGATACTTTAATACCCAGCAATATTGATTGATCAATGCCAAACATTTTCACACGTTGAGCAATATGCTCAGCATAACCATTCACGGGTCTCCGTTCTGGAGGTTGGAGATCTGAAATACTTCCCCTAGCATCCTCTTTCTTATGAAAGTAAGTATTAATATATGTTGCGGTAGGATCACCATAAACCTCTCTTATCTGCTGAATAAAGATTTGATACCAGTAAACATATTGTGTATGGTCTTTCAAAATAAATGGGAGTTTAAAGATAACCTCATATGGGCTCGTTGTCCCATCTTTATAAAGATGAACAGTAATTCCCTTTCCTGCAGACAAGGACTTATATAAAGTCATTACTAAAGGTGGTGAAAATATATTCTGAGCAGAGATGAAGAAAAGTAGTATATAGATATAATATCAGGAATTGCAAAAGACCCAGATTATATACCCCGACAATAGAGGGGTAACTCATGAATGAGACTATGCCACTTCAGGGGTTAATTAAGGTTTGAGGATATATTTCCCTGTCAAGGGAGTGCATATAATGGAGATATCCAACATCCCAACTCTTCCACGTGACTACTCACATGACCGTATCCACGATAAATCTTGAATCTTCACCAGCCGACTTCGACAAACCAAACCATGGAGCTTCTTCCCTCGGGCCAGCAAAACGCCGTTGAGGTGTTATGGGAGGACCAGCAGAAAATCAACAAGTTTTCGTCCCTCATTTACAAAAAAGATACCCTTTCGGAGCGTCTTGAAAAGCTAAAAACAGAAAAAGAGTATATCGACGATTTGGCCATTGAAATCGAGCTTTTAGACGAGGACGAGAAGATCCAGTACAAAATTGGCGATGCTTTCGTTTTCTTGAAAGTTGATGCTGCCGTGGAGGCCATCAACAAGCAGAATGAGTCCTTGGACACCAAAATCTCCGAATTGAGCGACCAGATAGACGAAATTGAAGACCAGCTAGCGCTGTACAAGAAGGATCTTTATGCTAAGTTTGGCAATAACATACAACTTGAGCGTTAATACTTTTGATCTTCTATATTTGTACATAATAATGACAAGCCGTTTTACGTATATACATTTCCTACCCAAAAAAAATAATAATGTGTTCACTCCAGATCGCTTTCCTCCTCGTAGTCAGGCATCATGTCTTGAAGCATTCTAGCCTCTTCAGGCCTGGCCTCGGCACTGCTATGTTTGCGAGCCTTCTTCGGCGTGTGATTATCGAGGTCAGAGGGGCGGCGCTTCTGTTGCTTAGGCAGCGAATTCGGCGACAGAACTCTGTGGTGTGGTTGTTGTGGATGTGGTGGTTGTGAATGCGTGCTACCATGTTGTGCCTGTTGTTGGTGTGCTTGCTTGGCCTTCTGGGCCCTTTCATACTCTCTCCTCTTCCACGATTTTTCGATATTTGGACAAGAATCAATGAGCTCCTTCTCGGAAACACCATCAGCGATACTGTGAAGAATCTTTTCGACAATGGTGTAGTGATTACCGTTGGATTTATCGTTACGGAATCGGAGCATTTCCCAAAATGGAGGTTTGGATATTTTCTTTCTGCACTCAACCACACGGCCTTGCAATGGCTCATTGATTCCTTTTAGCTGTTCCCATTCCTCTTCGGTGACGTCTAGTTCGGCGAATTCTTCGTAGTCTTTCCCACCTTTCCACACACTCAACTTGAACTCCTCAGGCTTGCTATCGTAATCAGTGTAGGTGGAATCAGGGTCACGAGGATCCATGTCAGGGTCTTGGAATTGTTTGAATACCATGTTCATTTTAAAGTCTATCGTATTCTCGTGGGCTGGCTTCCACTTCAAAAGCGTAGCGTCCGTGCCGAAAATGTATGGAGTCTCGGCACATGTAAAAATCAAACCGTCAGATTCATGGAATAGCTGGTCTTGCATGGATAGAACCATGTTTGCTCTGTACGACAGCTTCATCATCTTGAAACTGACTTTGAATGGAAAGTCAGCACCGTTAACAATCTCCGGGTGGCGAGCCTTGAAACTGTCGAATGGTTTCATCACATTCTCCGTAATGTAGCCCAAACGCTTAGGTAGAGGTCTGTTGGTGACATCTTTTTCGTTGACCACAAGAGCATCAAAAATGCAGTATCGAAGGAATGGCTCCAGGACATTCTTGGTCTCCAAAACAAGCTCGCCGTCTAGAAGAGTGCCGTGATGATATGTTTCACCGTTTTCTTCCTTAACTTCAGATGGAAAGTGGATGCCAGGTACGTGATAGAATTCGTTCTCTCGAGTAACAAGAAACACACCTTCACCTCTGGCGTTATCATGAACAAGGAAAAGCAAGCACCGCAATCCGTCGGACTTCTCACAAACAAAGTAGTCTCTATTTTTTAGAACCTCGAGATGATGCCTTTCGAAAGACACGGGCTGGGAACCAGGGAACAGGGTATTTCTTCGTTTGAGAAGATCTGCGAGCATGAGCCTCAACTCGTGGAGTTCCTCGCCGGCTAGTTTTGTGCCAGGAATCTCGGGCATATCCCGGTCTCCAAGCTGAAGCATGATGCAAGTCAACGAAAGGCTATGATTAAATGCAATGAATTATTGCCGGATGAAAAGTGTTGTTGATGAAGAAACGAGACTGCTGGAAGAGCGGTGAAAGCACGTGACCAAAAACCCAGTGCGTATAGTGGTCGTTTCACAGACTGGTGCTCTCTTTATTTTTCACCCACTCACCACAATATTTCACTCAATGTGATCATCGACCTTTCCACGTTTGGTGCCTCGGGCTGCTTGTAGACTTGCAGAATATGGTCCAGAGGATCCTGGAGGCCGAAATGCTCTGCTCTGATTGGCTCGTTGAGTTCCTTTGCAAGAGAGTCCCCTTCCAGCTCAGCACTGGCAATTCTGTCAATGTCCTCCAGAAGGTGACAATTACGACATCTGACAGATTCAGGGTTTTGAGGCGATGGCCACCATTTGGGCGAAGCAGTGATCTTGCAGACATCACAGGAAAGCTCTTTCTTCTCCTTCTCCTTCTCTTTATCCTTTCTGTACTCTGTAGGTGCTCGGTATCTTGCAGCCATTTCCTCCTCTGTCTCAGTGAACTTCTCCACCATCTTCATGTAATTCTGAGCCTTAAGCTGTGGCCCTGTGCATTTGAAGTTAGTGAGACGAGCAATATCCTCGATGAATAATTGAATCAACGGCTTGAGTTCTCCATTGAGAGTTCTCTTACCCAACGTTCTCATGTTGTGGATGGCTCCTCTTTGTTCGTGTCTAGGACAGAGTAAAATAGGCTCCAACTTGCCTGCTTCCTCGCCAATGTACGTGTTAGTGTTGGCTTTCGACATACGCTGTGGGACGAGCTTGAAACCAAGCTTGAAGTTGGGGGTATCTTGAGCACACGTTATGTGGAACTTCTCTTCCAGGTCCTTGCAACCGTCACAGTGTATCATGGCACCACTGAGAGACTTGCAGATGCTGCATCTGTTGGTATAGTTTTCGAGGAAAACATTAGATACACTTTCAATTGCACATCCAACCTGCTTGGTAGCAGTAGAGTTCAAAACGTCTTTGGAAATAAATGAAGGGGGTGCAATGTTCCTGAAGGAGATGTGTTTGTGCGAGAACAAAGCACAAAGCAAATGTGCCCATTTCCCTGAATCAAGCACAGGCATCAAAAAGTCTGGCTTCACCAACGGTGATCCTAAGATAGACATTTCATAGTTCAGCTCATTGGCAAGACAAAGGCAGCAGGAGTATGTGGTGGTATAATGAGGGCTAAGGTCGTTGACACAGGCATCACAGAGCCATTGCTTGACGGGCTTTTGCTTGCCTGAGATACCAATACCAGCACAAGATGAATGGACATTGACGCCACAATTCGAACAGATCAACATTTCTAGCAAAGAGTCATCCTTATCATCATACTCCATACAAACGCAGCAGTTTCTATCGTTGACAGAAAAGGGTAGGTCAATCTTGGCCTGAGAAGGAATCTGGAAAGCCAGCGTGAGCAGCTTGAGATCAACCAACTGTCTGCTTTTGAATGAAGTGATGAGTTCCCTGAGCAGATTCTCATCAAACCTCGAAGACGTCTTCTTGTCGATCTTGGTTACCGCAGTCGATGGAAGTCTATAATCACCATTGAGGATTGGACTGGCAACACTAGTAGACTCTGGGCCTGAAATGCGTTTCTGTCTCTTCTGTTTAGGTGGCTGGGCTGATGCTTCTTTAATAGGCTCTGCTTGTGGTCTTTTCTTGTTCATTGCAGTAGTAGCCTTCTTGGTTGCAGCATCAGACTTATCCTTCTGTACCATGGCCTCATCAGTGTCCTCCTTGTTCTCTTCCTTGATGGGTGACTTCCGTCTTGCCTTTGGCTTCGCCTCGGTCTTGGTAACGCCATTAGTAGCAATAAGAGGCTTTCTCTTCTTCTCCGCGGGCTCTTCCAGCTTGACTTCTGCATCTGCTTTTCCATTGGCACGCTTTGCTGTGGTATTAGTTCTTGCTGGTACATTCAGCGGCTTGACAGGAGCAGCAACTGGCTTAACCGATTTTGGTTTAGGTCCTGGCTTAGCTCTCTGGTAAACAGGTTCCGGAAGGCGAGTGGGTGCTGGAATAGAAACATTAGCGACGGCAGCAACACGTCTGGCGTATCCATTGGCAGTAGTATCAGGTATTGAAGTCGAAGAAACAGACAGTATCAGAACAGAACTCTCTCCTGGATTTAAGACAGCTGGATCATATGAAAGACCACCTCCCTCGGTCTGCGCTTTCATCAAGATTCTCTCGGAGTCGGTGACCAATTCAGCTTCAACCTTCTTCTTGTAGCCGCCAACACCTCTTGTATTCCTTTTCTCGACTTCTTGAGGATCCTCCCAGTAAACAGCATATCTTCTCCAAAGTCTAGCGCAACGGAAACATAAAGCATGCACAGCATCAGGGTCGATATCGTCCATTTCAGCGTTTTCGTCATACTTGGTATTTTCATCAAACCCCGTGATTCTAAACCATTGCGTTGACTTGTAGGTTTTGCAATGCTTACAGCGGAATTTGCGTCTCTTGACCACTATCTTCTCGTTTTCATAAGACGAATCATCATCGCTGTCAATCATCGTATCGACTTCCTTGGGAGGTTTCTCTTCTTTCGTGGAACTGGACTTCTTCTTCCTTCCAGGATAGTTACCCCAAATTTGTTTTCCTCTGGGCAGTTTCTTCCACAAATAGTAGAACCTCACCACCATGGAACATGGCTGTGACTTAACGAGCTTATAAGTTGGATACAACTCGCTACCATTCTTCTTGACACCATTCTCAAAGCGTCTGATCTCTTCTGCGCTGAAAGTAGGCTCCTTCAAGGTATCTCTGGTAAGCTGGGATACTCTCTCCATAGCTGCAACTGCGTCACCTTTGCAATCGAGCCAAATCTTTAAAATGGCATCAACGAAGTTGGGAGATGTAGGATACATATTGAGTCTTTGAGCAATCGGATTACAGGCTCGCACGTAGTCATCAAACTTGGAAAAGTTATCGGCGACATCTTCTTCTCTGTTCTTCCACAAGAGCGTACACGTTTCGCCTTCACCATCGTCAACGCCTCGCTCAATGTAGCCTTTTGGCCTTGGCTGAAGCCATTGAGGAAATTCTTTGGGTGGAACATCTTGAAACTCTTTCGGAAGGGGTAGTCTCTTTGTTTCCTCTTCTACTGTCTTCTTTTTGGCACCTCTTTTACCTGGTGCTTTCTTTTTACCGTTTTCGCCAGCCTTGCCATCGTCGTAGTATACGATAGGGTGATCAATGTACTCTGGAACGTTGGAGGCCTGGTACTTGGGTCCCAAGCTTGTAGATGCTCTAGGGTATGGCGAACGGTCATCTAGATCAACAGCGTCCTCAAGACGAGTATGGATACCCAAGTAACGCATACTCCATTCCTCCTTGAGTCTCCTATCTTCCACAGACAAGTCTGCATCGGCAATCAAGAAATCCTTGGCCATAATCTCATACTTTGGGAGCGAGATTTCTGGCGATTTCTTTGGCGCTTCTTCAGGCTCTTCAGGAGAAGAAAGCATGGTATCGCTCACCTCTGAGATTTCTCTCTCGTTGGAAGATCTATTATCGTGAGAAAGCATCACCATTTTCTTGCTTTGATACTCTAGTTCGTGCTTCTTAGTACATAGCGCACAAGACCAACTGAAACCTCTACTTGGCTTCTTTAGAAGGGGTGGGTCTAGACAGAGCATGTGGAAGTGTTTCTCGCAGCCAGCACAGGTGACTGATTCGTTGGGAGCACACCATTCGGAACACACGTCACAGTGGGAACTCAGATTGGACTCGAAGTTGTTGATGAACTGTTTACTGCGCGATGGTTCCATGAAGATGAACTCGAATCGTTTGTTGATGGCCAAAATATAGTTCTGACTATTGTTGGCGGTGTTGCTCACGTACTGGAGGAGCGAAGAGGTCTTGATAATGTCGTAGAACTTGATCATGTAACGATCAAACAACTTGTCAAAGTAGAAGCAGTTAGGGATGGAACAGTACGCTTCTAGCGACGACATGGGCGTTCCTTCTTTGGTGATTTTCGGCGTGGCGTCAATCTCCAGCTTATGTTTCACAGTGACAAGGCCCCTGAAACTCTGCAACGGACAGGTATCACTATGCATCGAGGCGTAGAGAAGACGAGAGTCAGAAGTGTGCTTGGAAATATCTCTAGGACGGTAGAACCACTGGATCTGGAAAACAAAAAACGAGGCATCCATAAGTTCAGGTTCTTCCTCGTCATCCTCCTTTTTCTGCTTCCTCGTGAACCCCATCACTCTGCCAATATAGTAAGGCTCTCCTGGCGGTTCACTGACCATATAAATGTAGTCGCCCTTTCGTAAGCAAAAATACGGGTCTTTCGTCGAACGACGACGAGCCTGGCCCCTTCCAGTGCCTGGTAGCAGCGGGTGCAGCGATAGAAGCTGTTGCACTTTACCTAGATCATTCTCAGTCTCCTTAGGTCCCACCGTCGGCTGCTCAGGACAGAAAAGGCATTGGAGGCGTGTGTTCACGTAGGCACCGTCCAAATTAAGTTTATGTGAAAAATAGTCTCCCGGTGAAGCTGGTGGCTGCCAGTTATACGGAAGCTTCCCTGTAGAAGTTGGCACTGGAGTAGATGGCTTTGCAGCACTCTTCTTGCCTCTAGTAGAAGAAGGAGCCTTCACGGGCGCCCCACTAGGCTCCATGTCGTCTAGAAGCGGCTCCTGGTACGCATCCGAGTAGTTTTTGTTCCCAGCGCCCTTTCTTCTGGGTCTTGCCTGAGTGGTGGTCATAGAGAACGGGCTGTTTTCTGGCAGTGGGCGGTTTTGGGGTGGAATTTCGGGTAATTCAGCGTCAAACAAGTGTAAAGACAGCTCCCACAGGGCACAAGACGACCTAGGGCTAGAGATACGTGGGGAATTCGGGAAAACGTTGGAATACGAAATGCACTGAGTGAGAAATTTGAGTGCGTCTATATGGGCCATGTCAGGATCAGAGGATCCCATTCAGCCACTGGTAGAGGGGACAAAACGGGGTGGATATATAGAAGAGATTGTTTTTTAATGAATGTTGAATGTCTACGTTCTTTTTGGTGCCCTTCAGGGCCCTTCGTTCGTCACTTCATATATTGGGGGCTCTGCCTTCTATAACTTCAACCCTTGAGCACCGCAGAGATCCGTTCCACCTCCTCTATGCTTTCTGCTTCTTCTAGTTGTCGAAGAAGATCGGCTTTTTCTTCGTCGCTGAGCTTCTTGACGGTATTCTCTGCCAACCGTTCCTGCTTGGATTTGGTTTCCACGGGCTTCTTGGCGCCAGAACTCAATATAGCGTCGAGGACTGGGGTGGCCTTTTCATAACTTTCCCCAAAGAGTTCAACCGCCTCGGCTCGTTCGCTTGCCTTGACTTTCTCTCCGTCTAGCACTTTTAACGTGGGCACGAGCCACACCACGAAAAGCCGGTAATTGTGTTCTTGCACAACCTTATTACCTAGAAGCACGAGATGCTCCAACTTCCAGTGCCGAAGAGGCTCCAACTGACTCAAGCTCGTCACGTTGTTGTTGACTAGCGAAAGTGACCTGACGTGCTCATTGTGCACCTCCTTCACACGCGAGATGTTGTTATTTGCTAGAAGAAGGGTTTCTAGTTTATCAAGGTTTTCGGGGATCCCACTGAGCTCTATGATATCGTTGTTGGTTAGATCAATCACATTGTAGGTGTTGTTGGTGGTGTCTAGATTTTCAATAAAGAGCGCTTGCTGGTCACGAAGATTGAGCGTGAGACGCTTTTCTGGATTGACATAAACAGGCGCTTGCGATATTAGCTGAGGCGTGAGTTTCATTGGAAGTGGTTTCTTTGGAGGGGCAGTTGCAGCTCTACCTCTGTATACCTCTTTCCTTAGTCCCTCATGCCATACAATGAGGCCTGGGTAGAGGTGCAGGACAGACAGTCTTAGTAGACCAAGGGCTATCAAAAAGAAGACGAAAAGGGGGATAGATGAGCTTTTGGGCCTTGTGGGGCCTTGTGGGGCATTGTGGGTTTTAAAAGTGTATGTTCGATGCTGCGTTCACTCAGTAGATGGTGACGTTGGATACGCAATTGTTGCTCTCAATAACTTCCCATATGCACCGGTCATAGCCGAAGAGCCTGGATTGGCCCCATGTCTTGAACTCGTTCGACGGTTTGGATCCGATAGACTCGGTAGACAGCATCTGAGTCGACAAGTCCAGCTTGCCGTTTTCTGTCACATGTAAGATCTCCAAGTCCTCGTCTCTTGTGATTTCTGACTCGTTTCGGTTGAGCAATACAGGATCTGTCTTGTGGGTGCTGATCTCCTTAAGGAAACTGCTGCTGAACTCGTGGAAGTATAACGACGAATCCACCGCCGACTTGCTCTGGGCGTTCCAGCGAATCTTCCAGTTGCACTTGTTCCATTGCATAAAGTCCAACGACTCCACGATCCCGCCGTTGTGAAGAACCACCTTTTCCAAGACTCCACCGACCTTTTCGTTCGGGTTTAAGTTGTAGAGTAAATCAATTCCTAGCCGGAAGTAGTTATGAAACTTGTAGACAGACCCTACCCGTTCACAGGGCGCTGCAGTGGCGGTCTTGAGATGCTTATGGATCAAAAGACGAGAGTCAAACTTGTTAAAGTATGCATCTGGAGGCCCTAGGATCCTAAGGACATCTTGTTGGGTACTCACCCGAGCTTTAGGTTCTCTTTTGGTCTTGCTGCGCCGTTATTATTAAAAAAAGCAACCTCGATATCGCCAGTTTCTAGCGTCACGATGAACTTCTCTATGGAAGAAGCCTCCGCAGCCCTTGATACCGTTTCCTTCTTGAGATCGTCCAAAAAGCTCGTAAAGTCCTTCCCGCTAAAGATAGCCAACGACTGGCACGCGATATCTGGCGCCACGTCCCAATTGGCCAACTTGGACAATATCTGGTTATCATCCTCAATCGACGAGAGCTTTGCAAGAAGCTCCTTCAGCCGTATCACAAACTTAAAGCTGATGCCGGGATAACTCAACACATACGTCTTCTTCTCCAAGTCTAGTATCCCCGGGTACGTGGGCCCAAAGATCTTATTGTAAATCACCTTCAAACACGGCGGCACCACCAGTTTCTGCAAAGGCGGTTTCTCTAGCGCATCCTCAGGCTCTGGCGCCTCGTAGAACTGGATCTCGTTCAATGCCTGGCCATTATACGAAAGCTTAAGCATTTCAAAGTTCATCACCTCTATAAGCCTAAGCTCCTGTCCCAGCGAGCTCAGGAACGTAAGTCGAAGTCCCAACGAAGGAAGAGTCACGAGAATAGGTGACTCAAGGTACTTTCGAGACGAGTAGGCGATTTTCATTTTATAGTCAGAAGCCCTGAGTTTGGCCACAGTGTCGTAGAGCAGAATGCCCAAATGCAAGAAGCCGGTGAATCCCTCACCTGGAGAAATAATGGACGTCATTGGAGGTAAAGTATGGTAGTTGGTGTTGTTGATACTGGCCAGTTATCTTGATAGACTGCGTAGTGGTGGCCCCGTGGAGCGTGTGCAGGGCTATCAGTTAGAGGGTATAGACGGTGGAAGGAAATGGCTGGAAGAAGGGTTTTTTGGGGTAATTATGAATTGGGGGAGGTTTATTAGGGGATTAGGGTTTGATGGGATGGGTTTTTGGACTCGTTTAGACTTAGTTTGGTGGTTTAAAGGGGACTGGTTAGTGGCTGCGAAATGCTGGCTGGAAGGAAGAAGAGGAGGAGAGAAGGAGAGATAAAGTGTGGAGGGCTATGGCCAAAGAAGTTGTCAAAGGTGTGTTTTAAGTGTAATTGACGTGGATTGTTCCTGAAGGAGGATATACACTTATCAGTATCATTTGGTGTTTGTACTAGGATGTGTGTCTAGGCGCCTGGGAGGCATAGATAGACATGCTATGCAAGGAAGTGTTATCTTGATACATATATTTTGTTTTTAAAGAAACCTGAAATGGATAGTTAGCTTCGTTTTATAAATGAATTCACATATTGGAATTATCAGCCAAGTCTGATATGAACCAACATGGAATACCAGTTACTAACATAGACCACACTAGAAGGTGATACTTAGCATTCAAACAATACGGTCTCATACTTAAAACGAATATCCATGACTCAAACCTTAATTTTTATCAAACCTGCTACTACATCACCTTCAACTATTACTGTATTAATCAGACATATTAAGGTATAGGTACAAAGCACTTACTGTTTGGTGCTGTGGTTTTCGCTGGAGTCCTCAGGGGAGAACTTCTCTCCCTTTTGATTAGTGCCTTCAATCGCTTCCTCTTCATCCTTGTGAGCGGCCGCCTTCAACTGGGCCACTCTTGGGTCGTTGGATCTGATTGGCTCAGCAACATATGGAGAGTTCTTTGTGCCCAAGGCAGACTCGTTGTCGCTATCATAGTAGGCAAACTCACCAATCTGGGCCAAGTCAACACCCATCAACTCTTCATCTTCGTGCAAACGCAATCTGAGGAATGGAATCTTGTCCATGATGAATAAGATGATGGCAGTGACACAGAAGGACCAGGCACCGTTGGAGACCGAAGCAGCCAACTGGTAACCCAACTGGATATAGTTTTGGTTCATCCAGCCGCCGTCGATTTCGGTTGCACCGTCCAAATGGGCAATGTAGTCAGCAGCAAACAAACCAGTCATGAATGTACCAATGAATCCACCCACACCGTGCAAAGAAAAGACATCCATACCGTCATCAATACCAATGAGTGTCTTCAAGTCCACAGCAAAATTACAAGCAATAGCTGGCACAACACCAAAGATGATGGAAGTGTAAACTGGAACAAAACCAGCAGCTGGAGTAATACCCACAAGACCAGCAATGGCACCCATACAAAGACCCACAGTAGACCATTTACCGCCAGTACGGAAGTAATCCACAAACATCCAGGTCAAAGCACCACAAGAAGCAGCAATTTGGGTGTTGACACAGGCGTACCAGGATCTGATGGAAGCGTTACCGGTAGAACCACCGTTGAAGCCGAACCAGCCGAACCACAAGAAGACGGTACCCAAAACAATGGAAGACACCGAGTGAGGTTTATACTTTGGCACCTTACCTGAAGTCAAAGGATCGTGTCTCTTACCCAAGACCATAGAATAAGCCAAGGCAGCAAAACCAGCATTCTCGTGCACGGGACCACCGCCAGCGAAGTCCAAAGCACCGAGTTCAGCCAACCAGCCGCTGCCTCCCCAAGTCCAGTAGGCCAATGGGCAGTAGACGACGGTCAACCAGATAAACAAGAAAACCATCATGGGTCCCAAACGGGCTCTTTCGCAGCCAGCGCCAACCATCAAAATAGCAGTAACACAAGCAAACATGCCCTGGAAGAAGCACATCAAAATGTCAGGAATAGAATCCACGACGGCAGGAGCCCCAAGCACGTCCATAAGACAAAAATTGTCCAAACTGCCAAGGAACCCACTACTATCGGAATGTGAAAAGGCAAGCGAAAACCCCCAGAAGAACCAGTGGAAAGTAGTCAAACTAAGCGCCATAATGGACGCCCACAACAACGAAAGCGCATGTTTCTTTCTCGAAAGACCCAGGTACAAAAGCCCCACGCCAGGAACCATGATCCACACAATCACACCAGAAATGGCCACCCAGACCATATCGGCTCCACCGAATTGAGCACTCAAGTCAACGGTTAAAGAATCACCGCCAGTACCAGTTTGCGTAGCGCCAGGAACAGAAGTCTCCATGATATAAAGATGAAGAGGAAAAAATTACACAAGGAAGAATAACCGGCTATATATACATTTTATGGACCATCCTCCAGACATTTGGCTGGTACAGTGATAATCAACAGGCAAGGGCCAATCAACGCGAGAGGCGCGCATAATCACTGATAAGCGAAGGTGCTAGATATCGTAAACGGCAGGAAAGGATTACTGATAAGGAGAAGGATGAGAAAAAGAAGGTTGAAACAACAAGGAATTTGGCTAAGGGCTGGATTTGGTGGTGGTGGTTTTTTATGGGATTGGGGTGAGGAGGTGTTTTTTTTTTTTTTTTTTTGGATCTTTCAGGTCTTTTGGTCTGGCTTCTTTCCATGTTCATTTCCTACTACCTTCCTGCAGCAGTGCAACACAAGATAAGAGACACACTTCTGGTCGGTAGATAAATCAATATGATTGGCCAGGACGACTTTTCCCCAGGGCTGCACATACTTTGTGTAATGTGAATTATTGGGGCAAGATTTCTCGGCCTGCCGTTGCTTGTGCTGGGTGTAATTGGGCTGTGAACGGTTATGCCAAGGCTCGAGAGGTGAAAGATAACGAGCAAGGAATGGGTTTGGAGGATTTTAGGAATGTGAAAAATCGACGCAAAAGTGAAAACTGTCGAGGCGTGTGATTTGTGGAAACTCTGTGATCGGCTAAAATTGTGCATGATTTATGAGTTACAAGAACAGAATTAAAATCGTATTTTGGCAAGGAGGCTTTGCTTGGACCGTTTGTAAGGCTGGCCAGGGAATCAGCCAAGACGGTGCTCCAATTATATGCCTTGTTGCAAAAGATAACCATGCGATAACCTTTGGTTGGTTGATGTCTTGGAACTTGGACAAACGGGTGTATTACTCAAGTGGGGAATTCAACCGGGAAAACACGTTAAGCATGGTCGGGTTGCTGACATCAACAATCGGACATTTTTGTCTCGACAAGCGTTTAGCCCCATGGGCAGAAAAATTACCTTCTCGCCGAAGCTCCTTGATAGCCGTGTTGGAGACGAAGCCATGGGGGATTTCTGCCTTGTCTTGGCCTGATGTGGTGGACAGTTGGTTACGTTGGTTTGTAGATACCTGGCAATACGGTGTTTTCCGTTATAGTTGGTATTGTCCTTGGAGGCTCGGTACTCTGGGTTTCTCGTCCATCATCACGAACCTGCTACTACTACTACTGTCATTGGAGGATGGTTGGTATAAGCCAAGGAAGTATAAGGAGGTTGGTTCCCGTACCGGTTGCGCAATTCAATGATCCAGTGGTTGATGTACTTCGCCAAAACCCAATCTGGTCTCCTTGGGCCGGTAACGGAGCTCCCCTTCACATGAGAGAAGAAAAAGGAAAAGATAGTAAAAATGGGGAGAATGAAGGGGTCATGGGGCAAATGGAATGCTGCTGTAAATGCTGGCAAAATGGAAGGACACGTAGAGCAGCATCCCTACTAGCATTTCTTTTACTCTACGGCTACACAAATAAACTTTGCAAGACCAAGCACGGTCTAGAAGGCAGAAGCAGCTCCCGTATATGTGAATCAGCTTCCAATGATGTCAGCGATCTGTTCGACTCCAGAAGCCGCCACAATTCACCAAACTGCCTTCAACGAATAACAAAAAGCCTAAGAACTAACCTCGTCTGCACCTTTTCAGAAAGATCTAGCGACTCTTTCTAGAACCTCCACCATGTACAGCTGCTTGCATGAAACCCCAAGAGCCAGGCCAAACTATGACGACAGCGGTGAACGTCATTACGCCAATGCCAACCGTCGAGTGACCAAAAAACCGTTATTTCCCAGAAATTCATATTTCAGAAAGCATACAATTGGATACTGTGAAATGGCCATTCTGCCATGCACCAGTCAACTTCCCCAACCTTTCACGTCCACGTCCCAAAGTACCAAAAAATACCATAAAATACCACCACTAACCAGGGAAGCCACCTTCATAAACAAAATCCACCATTTTTTCCAACCTCCAACTCCCTCCCACACACTAACCCATCTTCGGCTTCCGGCTGGATTGGTTGCGAAAAATCCACACACAGCAAGCAAACTCCGAGTTTCATCTTGTCACCAGAACACAAAACGCAAAGAACCAAGTTTAGCCCTGGACGCCATTCGGCCAGAAGGGCCCACACATCCGTACCCCTTGCCAAATGCCTCCTCTCTTCAAATACCTTCTCGTCTTCAGCTCGACCCTTGTCTAAACGGCTTCTAGAAATTCCTGCACGGTCGGCGTCACCGGCACATGTAAAGTATTTCAATCGTAAAACCATAACTTGTTACCTTTCCCCCATCCCAACCTAAATCTTCCCCCAGCTCCACGGAAATGGCCGAAAACTCAGAGTTCGCCACGACCATCTTGACGTCGACGCTGCCCAGCGATGTCGCCAACTTTATCCCCCACTCGTTGGACCTATCGCAGAATTTGATTGAGAAGAATTTGGTGGTGTGGTTTTCCAACTATACCAAGATGCTTATCAAGTATAACCAGGACTTGAACTTGTTGGTGGCCAATGGCCGGGACTTTTTCAGCAACTCTGGCCAGGAGTTTGGATCCATCGATAAGATTTGGAACTGTGTGGCTTCGTGTGTTACTTCGCAGATTGGCGCCAACGACTCGTTGATTAAGGTCATGAGGAACGATATTCTCTCTCAATTGAGTGCTGCCACTCGTGACGACGTTCGGTTTTCCGAGCTTGTGGTGAACTCGAAGGAATTGACGGAGATTAGCCAGGCTTTGGAGAAGAACGACCCCAACGGCGAGTACCAGTGGAACGTTAAAGCGCCAGCGGTTCTTTCAAACTTTGAAAACTTTAAGCGTAACGAGAAGAACTTGTTGTCGAGCAGTTTCTTGAGCTATATGAATGCGGTCAACTCGAAGACGTCTGAGGTGTTGCACAAGAACGAAAACGCCGTCAACTACATTTTGAAGGAATTCAACGTTGATCAAGAAATGAACGCGTATGTCGATTATATGGTCAACTCTAAGGTTCAGCCTCCTGCTAGAGACTTGGCTGCTGCCCAACAGGCTCCTCCTGCTGCAGCCGCTGCTGGTCTTGGCCTGGCTGCTTCTCTGTCTCCATCCAAGAACCACAGCTCCAGAGCTTCGGTATCTAGTGGCCTGGGTGAACCTAAGAAGAAGCTGAAGTTGCGTTCTAAGATGGGCTCTCTTCTTGGCCGTAAGAAGAAGAACGATAAGCATGCTTCCTCTACTCCGGTTGATGCTATCCCAGAAGACCAGTCTGTGTCGTCCGTTCCTTCTAGACAGAACACAAGCTTCTCGACCCGCCATTCGCTCGCTGAACAACCACTGCTGGCTCAGAAGCAGCCCCAGGTGGAAAGAGGTCTGTTTGTAGCCCCAGTCTCCGGAAACGGCCCATCTTCTGGCCAACCTGCTGGCCCATCATCTGTTCCTGGTCCTTCTGGTGCTGGTCCTCTGTCGGCCATCAGAAGCCAGACCTTCAATGAAACTGTTCCGCTTCAGCCAAGTGCTCCACAAAAGAAGGAGGAGCAGCCACCTGTGAGCCTGCGTTCGCTGACTCACGAGAGACAAGACCATGAAGGACCTAACCTCGTCAAGTACACCTCTTCCGACGAAGACAGTGACGGTCCTACTGATGCACAGGGCAACCGTTTGTCCATGTTACAGACTCACCAATTGGATCACCCACCAAAGGTTGAACCTGGCTCCGAAGACCGTTCTCGTAACACTTCCTCTGGAAAGTATAGCTTTGACTATGGTGATGAAGAGAAGGACCTTTCCGCTAAGGCTACTCCAAAGACGGCTAATGCACCTGATTTCCCTTCGTTTGGTGCTGTTCCATCAACAGACGCTACTGGTCGTCCTGGCCTGCTTAGCGATGTCCCACCAACCAGCGCTACTGCTGCAAACATTGCTGATGAAGTTGGCCCACCATCTGAGCCTCCTTCGTCTTATGGCCTGGAGGCTTCTAGCCAATCCAATAACCGCCAGTCTAACACTTTAGCTGGTGCCGCTATTGGTGCTGTTGCTGGTGCGGTGGGTGCTGGTGCTGTTGGAAACGCTGTTGGTGCTCAACAACCTCTGCAAGCTCCTCAACAACAACAGCCACAGCAGCAGCCACAACAACAGCAACCTCCTCCACCTCCACCTTCGAGAAAGGTTCACAGCACAGGAGATCCAAAGATTAACAGGAGAGATCTCCACTCTGGTACATTCCAAAATCTTCCTCCTGCCAGAGAGCTGATGATTCAGCCTCGTATTCCCCATGATGAGGCAGGTACTCGTACTTCTTTGGTCAGTCAAAACACTGGCAATTCTTTCTTCAGACATGACAACCAATTCAAGCATTTCGGTTCTAGCCAGGCTCTTGTGGACGAAGGTCTTCATACCTCCGTTGCTGAGATCATCAACGTTACCTTCAAGGATGGAAATGTGACCAAGGCTCACGTTCTTGGAGAAGTTGCTTTCAACTACAACTCTGTTGCTCAAGCCCACCAGGCCCAAGACATTGTCATTCCAGTGCCATTCACGAAGTTCTTGTTGAATGAGCAGTTCATGCGCCAGGTTGGCGAAAACAAGTACAGCTTGGATCTTTCTCAGATTGCCTCGCGTACATTGGGTGGCCTCAAATACATAGCTAACTTGAATGAGAGCCAGGCACCTGTCGTGGTCAGACAAATCTGGAAGTTTGAGCCACACCAGGCTAGTCTCATCATCAAGCTCTCGCATAACCCAGTGTTTGGCCAGCTGGTGCAACTTGAAGGATTGGTGATTTCTGCTTCCTTGGATCACTCTGCCCAATCCACCTCGGCCTCTTCGAAGCCTGAAGGTTCATTCAACAAAGACAAAAACAGAATTACTTGGAGATACATGAGACCATTGGTGTTGGATGGTAGTGCGCCAGAAGAAAAATTGATTGCAAGATTCACCACTAATGGTCAAGCATCTGAAGCTCCTACTGGAGTCCAGCTCAAGTTCAATGTGGTTGACCCACCAACTACATATGTTCCTATTTTGGATGTCCAAGGACGCAGCATCCCAAGCTTCAGGAGCTTGAGCACAGGTAGCTACATCTCCCATGCTTAAACTACGATTGATGATCAGACGAATTAAAACATAAAAAATTATTGAGATGAGCCTTTTAGCTAACTTAGCTGTACATTTTTGCAAATTATTTCTAGGCATTAAGTGTTGTGTATTTTACAAGATTATATAATTACTGACTCAAAGTAGCTTGGAGTGTTTCACGTCCTTTCTAAGTCTGTGGACGAAAATACTCAAGACAACAATGATGGCAATAACTGCAACCATGAACCATTTCAGATACGTCTGGAACGATTCGACTTTATCAGATTCAAACAGCGGGAAACGCTCGGTTTCACGTTTTCCACTGCTGGCAGCAAGCGATTGAACATGTCTTCCCAAATCGCCAAGCTCTTTTCTGTGATTATTGAACTCGTTAAGGATCGATTTGGCAATGTCGTTGTTCTGGCTTTGGATCAATTGTTCCAAACGCACGTAATTGTCCTTCAAAGTTTCAAGCACTTGGATTTGCTGAATCTGGGATTCCACAATTTGATTAAGAATCAGGAGATCAGGTTGGTTATTGCCAGATCCAGCACCTACCTGCTTAATCAAGTTCTCCAAAGAGCTAAACTTTTGCGTGATTTCTGAAAGATCCACCTTTGAAGGAGTCTCGATTCTGACTGGCTCCTGTTTTTGTGGCTCCGTCTTCTGCTGCTCTCTAGCCTTAGCTTCTTCTTCCTCTTCCTTCAACATTTGCTCCTTCCATTTTCTGGTTCTCTCCATAAGAGATTCCCTGCCGAAAGATGGCTGGTAGGTTGGCTCTTGTTCGTCTTGAGTAACGGTAATCACCTTCACAGCACCGTCAGCAAGGATTCCATGATCATCAATAGCATCTTCAGTGAGCTCGTTGTACACGGACATCTTGAGAATCTCCCAGTACTCCTGAGATTTACCATCAACAGAGCCAGTGACACCAAAATCAAAGTCCTGGGCAAGCTTGTTGAAGGAAATGGCATCCGTCTTGAAACAGAGGTTATTGTCAATCTGGACCTTGAACAACTTGTTCTTGGCAGAGTAGGAGATACGAAGTGTAAACGGCACCATCGAGTCGAGGTAGTTGAAAGAACACGTTCCAAGAGTGTTATCAATCTGGTTAGGAATCTCCTTGGTGCCATCTCCAGCAAACAACTTAAGACCAGGTTTCTCCTTGTTGTTTACCAAGAACTGGAAACCATCAAACACTGCCGGGCCACCAAAGTTCAGTGTATCCTTCTTAAACCTAGGCGTGTTCTGAGCCTGAACAAGCCAAAAGGCAAGACCGTTCGTATCAACAAACGAATGATCAGCGGTTTCCACAGACTCGGAGTTTCTGAAAACTGCCTCAATCACCCATTCGTCCATAGAATTGGCCAATGCCAGCTCAGACCAAAGAGCGCCCTGACCTCTTTCAAAAGCCAAGCGGCCAGCATCAAGCTTCAAGGAACCACTGACTTCCCATCCGTTAATATCGTTCTTGGAAGGAACAGTGAACAAGTTCGGAAGCGATTGACGTCCAGGATACACTTTAGTATCTGAAGAGATGATTCCCTCTGGAACAATGGCAGAAGCCACTGCAAGAATGCTGCAAAGGGACAAGAGCTTCATTTCTGGAGGGAAAAAAGTGACTTGGATGGTGTTGTCAGTTTGGATCAACTTTCGCTGGAAAATGTGGTTAAACCTGTGTGTGGCATTTATATGCGCAGCAACGTCATTTTGTGGAAAGACAGTAAAACGAGAAAGGCGGTTCGAGAGGAAACAACAACAAAAAGGGTAAGTGGGGGAGGTTTGAATATTGCTTTGTTGTTCAGTTCTCTGGGATTGGACTGGTTTTTTTGCTGGCAAAAACCCTTAAGTTTAGGCCTGAATGTCGTAGTAGCAAAGTCATTTGCAGCCAAAAGCCACTATGACTTCTGGTTTTTACGTCCAAGGTTCTTACGAATATTCCAGACTCCGCCAACTTTACTTAACGGTTCGGGAACAACGTATGGGATGTTTCTGCCTGTGAATTGAGGAACCAGAATCTCACCTGGAGGAATGGAGCCTTCTCCTTTGACAAATGCAAGTGTTTGGTTACTTGAAAAAGCTTGCTTGAGTCTATTGGTAGTTGTAGGGTCTTTAGGTAGATAAACGAGGTAGTAGCCCTCTTTGAGTTTAAGCGAATGAATGATGCAATGACAGACGACTGTGCTTTTATGCTGGGTAAAGTCGTCTGTGTTGATGAATTGTGGAGAAGTCTTTGAAAGACTCTTTCTAGGAATGTCAATTGCGCAAAGAGCCACAAGCGAGGCTTCGATGTAATCTTGGATGTTCTCTCTGCGTAGTGAAGTGATTGTCTGGTGGAGAGATGCAATGGCTGGAACAGCTCGAGGATCATTTGGCGAAAATGGGATCACCAGAGGAGGTGTTTGGACAAGAAACGATTGGACATCCCAACGAAACTGGGAAATTCTGTGGAAATACTGGATAGTGGCTAGTTCATGTGCAAGTGGGCCCAGGCATTTGGGTTTCCTTCGTGTGGCATGTACCTTATATGAGGATGTGTATGTCAAGTCAGCCAACACTTCGTCATCTGGATTATCCTGAACTTCGAACTCGTCAACGTCAAAATCTTCTATAGTGAGTGAATCGTTTTGTGAAAGGTAGACGAGGGTTGGATCTAAATCATGGAACATCTCGGTTATTCTCGCTAGAAGTTCCCTTCCGAGTCCTTTGATTGTGGGAGGTGCATTGATAATGAGCGGTAGGTGTTTCCACGTAGCCATATAAGCCTCTTTTAGCTGTTCAACACATTTAACATAGTATGTTGGTAACGCAGTTGGGTTGCTATGCCCATAGTAAACTGATTCGTTCTCCAAGCGGTCTGTTGGGGTATGGACACCAATAGATGGATGCGAATGAACCGTCAAGGCCAAGCACCCAGGGAACGAAAACTTTCCACTATTAGGGTCCAAATCTATAACCACAACGTCTGTAGACCCATTGAAGAGCAAGTAGTTGAGAAATGTATGAGCAAAAGTCAGTTTCCCACAGAAAGCAGCACCAACAACGAGCGAAGACTTGATCTCGCCGCTTAGAAGCTTCTCAGAAACCTCAGTTATCGCCCTATGCGTACTCAGGTTGACTCGAAAGCCCATGACATTCTCTTGTGGTTCCTCGACAACCTCAAAAGTATATGGAGAAGATCTCCCAAGAAAGTACGAATCACTGAGTTTCGGCAGAACATGCCCCACATGCTGAAGTCCCGTATCTAGGTTTGAAATCTTCACCACACTCGTATAAGCCGGTAGAATAGACTCCTGTTTCTTCAGGCTGCCTTCCATTCCACAGATCACAGGAAGCGACTGGTACGCATTGGTGATTATAGGGTAAGATTTCCCCTGGCCCAACTTGAACAAGTTGTTCACCAACACATCACCTTTGAGAATTGTTAGCTCGTAAGTGCCATTGACAATGATATAGTCGTCCTTGTTAAGACCTAGTATGATAGAGTCGTCTGCGAAAATGGAGTTTTTCGGATTGGCCTTGATACTGGATTTGGTTATAGTATTGGAAAGAGCTGCATTGAAAAGAGACGATTCCGAGGAGTTCTTCGACAGCTGGTTGAACGCAGCAAATGCACTCATTGGCCAGAAGCGTAAGCGTATAGTGCTTGGTAGAGTAGTACTACTGGCGATGGTGATGTATGGTTTATGCAGTGCCAACAGAAGGGAGGAAGAGAATACTCATAACATCTGGCAATAGAGAGGAGGTAGAGGAGACTTGAGACTGTTTTTGGATTAATTGGAGTTTGGTGGTTCTGGAGGTACTTCTTTTGTGGAGATTTGAGGCTTGCTATGTCTCTTTGGCATGGCTGCAAATATGTAGATGTACAGAAGACGTTCACTGTACTACTGGTTGCATTCACCATATTGTATTCATCATATAAACTAATATCCTGTCATACTCGGCAAGCTCAAACTTGCAATCCATATATATCTCTCTATAACATAGCTCTTTGGGTCATGGAGGGCTCGTCCTTGATGATATCTGCTACTACCTTGGCTGCCTGGACAACATGTTCGTCCATGTACCGTCTTCCAGTCAACTGCAACCCAATTGGCGCATTGATAAAGTCTTCCGGGCCAGTGTAAAGGTTATACTCGTACTCTTCGACGTCGTTACGAGGAGTAAATGAAGTATCAACTTTATCTTCAGACAGAACGTGAAGGCCAGTAGGGAACACCACATTCGGGAAGTCCAAGAGGTTCCACAAACAAGTATAGCCCCAGTAAGTGATAGTCTCTGGTTTTGCTGCAACAGAAACGTAGCTAGGAGACAAGATATAGTCCACACCCATCTGGTTCATGACGTCCATGTATTTGGTTCTGTACTCGTCTCTGGTAGCAATAAGCCTTTGGATCTCAAGGCCACTGACTGGACCATCGCCTTTGCCAAACGTAAAGTGTTTCTGGCTCAAATGCACCACAGGTTCGCCAGAAAGAGCGAGACGCTTCTTTTGACTGTAATTCTGGTCGTAGTTGTAGGCAACATAACAGGCATAGACGAGTTTCTCCACGTCGATCGATTTCCACTCAACAACCTGGATACCTGCTGCCTCGAACTTCTCTTTGGCCTGCTTGAGAGCTCTAAGAATAGGCGGAGTGGGTTTGACAACCCCATCGTCATAACAAATAGCAATTGTGAGTGTCTTTGGATCTGGCGGTGCAACATCTTTCCATGGAATAGGATAAACCAACGGATCCTTCTCCCAGGGTTTCTGTTCAATAAGTGCCTTCATGCATAAGGCAAGGTCGTCAGCGTTTCTGCCAAGTGGACCCAACGTTGGGTAGACAATGTCTGGCGACTGATCATCGTATGGACTGGCCACGCCAACCAAAGAGATTCTCTTTGTGGTAGGACGCAATCCCCAAGCACCGCAAAACGCTGCTGGAGCTCTAATGGAGCCGCCAATATCGCTTCCAATGCCAAAAGCACTGCCATTCATCGCTGCCATGACACCTTCACCACTGGAAGACCCTCCAGGCGTCAAGGTGGTGTTACACGGGTTTCTACACTTCCCAGTGATATTGTTATTGGAGCAAATGTGCATCAACATCTGGGGTTCGGTCGTACGCACGTAGAAGACAGCACCTTGGTCGTACAAGTCTTGTACTATGCTGGAGTTGGTTTTGCTCACGTTATCCAACTTACCCACGTATCCAGCGTGAGTAACCTTACCTTCGAAAGCGTAATGCTCTTTCATGGAAACAGGCAATCCGTGCAAGGGCCCGACGGTTTCGCCAGTTTCAGCAAAGTACGCATCGAGCTCCTCGGCCCTTTCCATGCCTTCATCAATAAACAACTCCATAGCACAGTTGGTAAGCTGGTGAGCCACCGTAGCTGTCTTTGCAAACGCCCTGAAAACCTCCACAGCACTCAACTGGCCCGTGGCCATGCGCTGGACCAAATCTGTAGCAGAAGACGTGGTGATTTCAATCTCCTCGCCTGTAAGCGTCTTTGCAGCCAAAGCCCGAGCGTCAATACCGTGACCAAGCTCCTCGTCGGTCGGCAACAGGTAGTCAGGCAACCTGAACTCGTCTTTCACGCCCCGAGCCAATTTTGCTCTGTAAGCATCGATTTTCAGCGCCCACTGGCTATATTTCACAGCGTCTTCAGTATCGTTCACGTACTCTCCAAACATACTGGACAATCCACTCCCACCAGGCCGCCCCTGACTATATTTGTACCTGGAAAGATAGGAGAATGCCCCAGATAACCGAGCCCCAGTGCCCGATCGGGGAATAAGGTTGATAATAAGCCAAATCGTTTTTGCTGATAGCGACGCCTGTCAAGAAGGTTCCTGCCTAAAAAATATGCCAATAGGGAAGGATACATGCATGAAGATACCGCATGAGGATGGTTTCGCAGCCACTGGATTCCGTCCACAAAGCGGTTTTGTGTGCTTTCCGAGCGCTTATACTGTTTCGGTACCGCCCAGTACCGCCCAGTACCGCCCACAGATAGCGGTTTTGATAGTAAGCGAAGGGCAAAAAAAAAAGGACTGGTAGTCATCGTCGGCTGTATGCACCCGGTAACGGGGACGAAGCCATCGACGTGGGGGGTTTGTGGGGGTATATTTTTGGTGGTGGTGGTTTAGTGGTGGTTAAAAAAAAAAAACGTCTTTTCGGTTAGAAAGTTTAAAAGTTTATTTTAAAAAGCCCCTCATGAAGAGTGTCAAGAAACGCACTCGTTCGGGGTGTCTAACTTGTATGTATTGTGAGAGGAATGTTCAAGGTGAAAGCATGGTATACTAACTGTCAGGTCGACGGCGCAAGGTCAAGTGTGACGAGGTTAAGCCTGCTTGTTCGGGATGTCGAAAGTCTAATATCAAGTGTCTTTGGCCAAATAACGAAAAACAGTCGCTTTCCCATGGCGAACAGTTCCACATCGAACGGCTACCGCAGACTAAGCGGTTCCAGTTTGTCATGTACCGTGGAGACCAGGATAAGGAAGTGCCTGAGCAGCCTGAGCAGCCTGAAGAACCTGAACAAGTGGTGGACCCGGCTGTGGTCGATTCACTAGAAGAATTGGTGCCTTTTGAGTCGGTGGTTTCGCCCCTGCTAGATGTACCTCTAGATAGAGAGTACCTGAATGCTGTGTACTCAATGGCGCCTTCAAACGCTTTGGTGGCTTGGGGAACAAGCTTAAGCACTGACAACGAGAGCCCGCTTCTATTCCAGGCGTTTCTAGAGGGTTTCCTTAACTCTGTGTCTCCACAGCCGTGCCACCCTCGTCTTCTGCCCCAGGCGAACTTTGTTCCTTTGGCTATGCTGAATCCTACCATGATGGATATATTTAACGCTTGCGGTGCATCTTTCTTGAGCAGAACTGACCCCAGTATGAGGGTTGAAGCAAAGAGACGGTATTCGTTATGCTTGACTAACTTTGCTAATTCCCTAAGTAAGGCTCAGGAAGGTGCTGAGGAATGGATGGCTGCAGCAGTAATACTTCTTTGTCTTCGAGATAAGTTCAGTGGAACTCTGCCTATAGTGCCTGCTTCACATCTAGCCAAGGCGCTAGAAATGATAAGACAACTTCGAAAGAAGGGCAAACTGAGTGTGATCTCACTTAAGTTTCTTGTGGAAAGCTTCCTCTTCAACTACACCGTTATGCTTCTAACAGGCACCCAGGAGGTTGTCCAAAGACTACCTTCTCCGTTTGAGGTCTATGACGAATGGAGAACTATCCTTGACTGTACCCCGTTCCATACGGCCCTACCGTTTATGAAATACCCTGTGTTTGGCGCTGCTAGACAAGTGTACGAGATTGCAGCCAAAGTATCCTGGCTATATTCTCGTCTTCCCTTGTCGGCTTTGGATAAAGCAGTGGCTTGTGACCTCCTACGCCAAACTTATACCACAGAGCTTCCTGAGATACTGTCTTCAGCCAAAACAGAGCTTCTACCTCTGGAACTCGTCCACCTCCAGGAGAGTATCTACCTTGCAGACATTATACGGAGCTGCTGTATTCTCCTTTTGCATAAGCTTCTATTCCCTAGACTCGAGAAGAACGACCCTCTGGTCCAGGAAATAGTAGGCAACATCATAAACCGGCTCTACGCATTGACTGCTGAATCTCCAATCTGGATCATCTGTGCGTGGCCGTTGTTGGTTTGTGGAATGGCTACTTCGGCTGTTTCCCACCAGCATTTCATCTATTCACAGTGCCAAAGATGTGCCTCTAGGTTCCAAATGGAGTTCCTAGATCAAATCGGTAAGTTTTTGGTATCTGTCTGGGGCACAGAAAACGAGCCTGGCATGGGCTGGGACTGTCTTTTCAATAGGGATATCATTCTGAGAGTGTACCTATAGAGGACTCATTTATTACATAGACTTCTTATGAACCTTTGTTTATAACACATCTTCCGTTGACGTAGACCTTTCTGGTGTTTCTGTCGTCGCCGGTGAAGACCCATTTATCAACAACGTCCTGGAACTTTTCCTTTTCAGATTCGTCTCCCTTTTGCACCTTTTCCATGTCTGGAACCTGGAAGTCAAAGATATCCAACGTAGGGCTCTTCGTCAAGTCTATGTATTGTGCATCCCAAGACTTTCCAACAGCAAAGGAGCCCACCTTCTTCTCCATATTGCAGACCTTAGCACCTCCCATGGTTGCCAAATACAAGCACTCGTTCACAGAAAGCTTATCTCTCAAAGACTTTGACTTCATGGCAACATGAATAGAATTGAGCACAGCATATTGAACTGTTCTTAAGATGGAAGGAGAAAACCCAGCTGAAATATCCGTTCCCAAACCTACTTTGATACCTCTGTCTAGCATCTTCCTTACTTGGGCCTCTCCTGAACCAACTGACGTATTTGAAGTTGGACAATGGGCTATTCCACTTCTGTTTAAGCTAACCAAGTCATAGTCACTTTCTGTTATTTTAACACAATGACCCAAGATAGTTCTTGAGTTTAAAAGACCATGATGATTATAGATATCAGAGTACTCTTTGAACTCAGGAAACACATCCAAGATCATTTTGCGTTCCCCATCTGATTCACACATATGCACTTGAATTGGAAGCTTTGTTTCTTCAGCAATTTCGCCCATCTTTTTCAACAAAGGACGAGAGCACTGGTCGGCTGACCTTGGCGCTAAGGCTGGTTTAATCACATTGAAATCTGGATCAAGCGATTTGATATAATCATGCATTTTCTGGTTCTGCTCAAGAGCATCTCCAAGGTCCTTATCCGTATAATAATCAAACCCTTTGTCCTGACAACTTCTTGCAATGTAAGTTCTCTGGCCATGAGCAAAGGCCTTATCGGTAAGAATCTTAGTCGACTCTAGATGTCTGGTTGCAAAGTATGCACAGAAAGTAGTTCCACTCTCGAGTGTTCTCAGCACTGTCTTTTCATATACCTTCTCTGCTCGTTGGGTGTCTCCCAAAGAAACTTCAATTGGGTAAGTGTATTTATTCATCCAATCCATCAACTCCAAGTTGTTGAAAGCTCCACAATTGGGATACTGTGGTGCATGAATATGAGCATCAATGAAGCCTGGGAAGAAGAACCGAAGTGGATGGCCAGTAATATCTTGGACTTCAATTTCTTCCTTCAAACCAGGAACTTGGTTCTTGGCTTCCTCCAAAACTGTTCCCACAAGTGGCTCTTTCTTAATATATGCTATAGTGCCTTCTTTATCTACTCCCACTCTGGCATTAAGGATAAACTCGATTTCCCCAAACTTAGGTGTATGGACGATGCTGCCATGGTAAATAGTGAACTTAACGGATGCTAAAGCTTTAGAAATAGTCATTTTGTGGTTACTAGGGAAGTTTAATACCGCCCCTTCTATATATATATTGGTGTGTTATACCTCGGTGGACTCCGATCTAGGATTTTGCAGCCATTCCGCACCTTCTTCATTTGGCCATGGGAAAGTATATACTTTGCCGAGAAATCAGTACTGGATGGATTTGGCTTTTCTTATTTCTTTGACTCTGATTTTATGATTTTTGTCGTTTTGCGTAGAGGAAACTCCTGGTGCTAGAGTTTCCTTAGATGACCCATAGAAAGCACTGCTCATGACCTCGTAACGCCAAAGTCCTTATAATTGCCTCTTCTTGAATCCAACTACTTCTTAATAAATATCTGTCTTCTCTCTGTTTATGTAGATACCAAACATGTCGTTCTTTTTCAGTATCAAGGCTATCCTTGTGGTGGTATTCTTGTACCTTGCTTATCAGGTACGAAAGATCGTTCTTCCACCTTCAAACTTCCCAAAGAACATTCCCACTATCCCTTTCTATGCCATTCTCGTGGCCAAATATAAAGGATGGGACCAGGAAAGACTATTCAATGAATACTATAGAGATTTGGTGGAGAAACATGGAGCTGTTAAGATGTACCATGGCTCTATGTGGAACATATTGGTGACAAGGCCAGAGTACCTCTCCCAGATCTTAAAGCAAGACCATATCTACGAGAAATGTGGAAATCAGATAAAACTCCCTTGGTCTATCTTTTCACAGTACACTGGCGATAACGTTATAAGTGCCAGTATGAAGAACTGGAAACTATACAGAAGCGTTATCACCAACAGTATACTTTTCCCTGACTTGGCTCCATTGAAGAAAAACACAGAAAAAATTTGTGACAAGCTTAAGTCTTTTACTGAAGCTTTTACTCCTGTTGCTGATATTCTCCAAAGGTACACTTTGGCAAATGTAGGAGAGTGTATTGTTGGGTTGGATTTCAGGACTTGGGACGACGATAAGCACGCTCCTCTTTACAACAACTTGAAGTACTTGAAGGAGCAGCTTTTCAAACCGCTTTTTTTGACTTTTCCTGTCTTGGATAAACTTCCAATAAGAAGCAGACAGAGAGCCAGGAAGTCAGTTGTCCATTTCAAGAAGAGTTATATGGAAGCCATTATGGCTGAACGCCGTCCAGAGAATGGCAATAAGCTTGGAGTCAGATTAGCAGAGGCATACGAAGATCGAGTAATTACGGAAAAGCAGTTCCAGGATAATGCTATCATTGCCTTGGTTGCTGGACACGAGAACCCCCAGCTTTTACTCACTTCTTTGATATATGCGCTTGGAAGAGACAAGAAACTCCAAGCCACCGTCAGAAAGGAGATACTTAACGCTAATAACTTTGAAGATTGTCTCTGGCTAAATACAGTTATTTACGAAACTCTCAGGTTATACCCTCCAGTGGCTCAGCTTATCAACAGAAGAACTACTACTGATACTATCCTTGGAAAGGATATACTCATTCCCAAGGGAACTTACGTTGGCTACCATAACCTTTTCACTCAAAGGGACTCCAACTATTGGTCGCCTGAGCCGGATAAGTTTGATCCAAGCAGATGGGGCTCGAATATCCAAGAGGTTCGTAAGTTTTACGCTACAGCAAAGAGTAGATGTACTTTTCCAGCGTTCCATGGCAGAGCAAGAGCATGTTTAGGAGAGAAGTTTGCTTTAGCACAAGCAAGAAAATTTATTGTTCTGGTATTGACCGAGTTTGAACTTGAATTAGAGAATAATGATTGTCCATTACCACCTGCTGGTGTTGTTTGTCCTGTTGGTGTTTCACTTAAAGTCAAGCAGCTTTAGATCCATATATTTGAAAAACTTCTATTAAGCCCATACTTGTAGCTGTTCGAAAAAGTCGATTCTCTTGTTTGTAGTGTCGATCTTTTCGACTACTGATCTTCTTAAGTCGTCGACCATGGCTGGATGACCACAACTAACGAAAGCAGCACTGTGACTGCACTCGTCGATTTCTTCCTGAACAATGTCAGTAATAGAAGGTCTGCCCACTTTGAAGTCAATATGAGGGAAATGGTCTCTCAACTGGTTGACCAAGTCGTCTGAGACAAAAGTGTACTCTTCCTTTTCAAGTTTCTTTTCCTTGTCTTCCTGGTCGTCAGAAGATGAAGTCTCTAGTCTTCGGCTCAACATAGACGAAAGCTCTTCGTTTCCTCCCAAATCAGGCCTGGTGATGTAAATGGTAGTGTAAATCTTGGTATGTCTTAAAGCCTCCATCTCTTCAAACATCCAGGCAACACTCTTGGGTTCACGGATAATCCACACAAGCTTGAGCATCTGCTTGGAGTTGTCTATAGACCTTCTTGCCAAGTCGTAAATCTCTGAATAAATACCTGGGATACCGTTACCACCAGCTAAGAAAACAGCACTGCTGTGTTTTGACACTGGACAAGACTCTCCATATGAACCTTCTACCGAAACACGACAAGTGAGAGTTTTTCCTGGAAGCAATGCCAACTCCTTTCCTAGCTTAGCTGTGAGTCCCTTCTTGACCTTACACAAGAAAACAATCGAGTTATCTTCAGTAGTAGATTCCAAGAAGGTAAATGGATGGGACTGCCAGAAGTACCAGCTGCGGCAGAAGTAAAGCCAAGCATGGCCTCCAGGCACCGAATGCCAGTATTTGGGTCTTGGTACAACCACTCTCAAAGTTTCGTCTTCCACGAGGGTGATTCGTGCTTTTGGAAAGCCAAACCAGACCATTCTGACTATTCTGACAAACCTATCGAAGGCCCATACAGCTACCGTAGCTTAGATAATTGGCAAGTACCCAAACTCTTTCAAATGGTGCCAGGCACCCACAACCCAACCCACTGCAAGAATAATATGAACCACCAAGAAGATCTCGTATGCTTTTCTTCTGAGGAAGAGCAAGCCTTGGAAACAAATGGTTCCACCACACGAGGTAGCCAAAATACCATAGATGATGTATGTCTTGCGCATGCTGTAAGCGTATCTTCCTCTCTTGACGTAGATTGCCGAGTAAAGAACTGAATGGATGAATACTAGCAACACTGTAAGCCTTGCTATCCATCTGTGGTACATGATGAACGTGGAAAACTTCCATCTGGTCAACCATTGCAAAAAGTTGTTACGACCGCCAATCAAAAACAAGAGCGGAAGAAGCACAGTACCCATAATACCTGTTCTGTCGGCTATGATTCTCATCAAGGCAATAGAGCTTTGTGGGAAGACAGGATCATTGGGCACTATTCTGATCTGACCACAGCAAGACCCAAATACCAACCAGAAGAAACCAAACACTATAAGCGATTCCATTCTGGAGGGAACAAGAAAGTTAAACAATCCAAGGTTCTTTTGGTGGTCGTTCTTCTTCCTTCTGACTAAAGCAGGTAAAGTGATATACTTCCTCCAGGCTTTAAAGATTGGCCCGTTGAAAGACATCCTCAAAGAAGGAAAGATAACCACAGACCAGTTTGCAATGATGGCAATTAAAAACATTAACGCCCAGTACCCAAGGGCACCAGCTCCGTAGTACATTGCACGATCGAAGTTACCCAAGAAGATATACTCTGATTCGTAGTATGCTTTGGCTGAGGATACATTCAGGCGAATGGGCAGATCGACCATTTTTGTTTTATTAAAGCCTTCGATATCACTTGGAAACTTGGCATTATCTTTATAGTACCCGTAAGATTTGTTCAACTCGTCCACAGTAAGCGACACATTATAGTCCTTGCAATACTTGATAACATATTCCAAAGCACCCTTGTTCTTCTTGCCTATATCGTCCATACAGCCAACCAACGAAGCCACTGCATTTTTGTCTTTGCAGTAGCATGAGTTATCACGATGTCTTCCCTTTGAAGCCTTGCAAAATGTGGCTTCTGTCAGAAGGTATGAAGTGCACCCATAGAACTGGTAAGCGTCATTACCATAGAACTCGTAGATAGCTCCATGAGCAGCTTCTGCCACAGCCAAAAGCGCAAGAGAGCAAATAAAAAGATCCAAACGCATTTGATGAAAAAAATTATCAATCTTGGGACGTCTACTGCTTTAGTATTTAAAGCAAAGCCTCAATAATACTAACTGGCCTCGCTTCAACCTAGGCCCTGCCATTTTTTTATTAGCACAAGAGCCAGGCACCCAATTACAACCAAGGTTATCTGATCCCATCAGTGGCTTGAACTAAAAAATCATGCATGTCCTTTGCACGAGACAGGTTCAGTCGTCTATGTCACCTTTGTGTCTTTCAGTTTTTGGCATATAAATGCACAGAGGCACTTATGTGCCTTGACAATCCTGTGGTGCCTTGCATCACCAGCACTGCCTTTTCAGTTGGTTTCTAGGAATTCAAGAACCTGACTGGTAAGTCATTTATCTGTATATGTCTATTATTCTTGGTTATACATCTTCGTGGATCGAAAATTCCAATACCAATCGTCAAATCTTACATTTAATCTTACACAAGATACTGTCAAACCATCGGCATCATCAGATAAGCCCACATGGCGGCAAAAGAAGTTCTTGGCGTTTTTGCAAGTTAGCAAAGCCCAACGAGCCGCACATCATTACAAGTGTTGGACGAAGGTGTTGGAAGAATTGAAATGAAGTTTTGAAAATCTAGCCTGAACCAAAGGGTCTTCATCTGGCATTCTAGAACACGGAATGTTCTTTTCAAGACCAGTCGTTAGCCGACCCCTCCAAAGAACATTTCATGCTGTCAAGGCTGTCAAAAAAAACGTACATTCCAGGAACACAACAGATGGCCGAGAACGGAGGTAGGCTGAAGTTATGCGGGAAGGTTAAGCCTAAGCAATAACAAAGGCACAGCCTTTGCAGAAGAGAACCAGTTGGAGGCGAGCAATTGGACGAAAGCATGTGGAAGTCCAGCACTTTCCAACGATCAGCTTTCGATCTTGTCTTTGTAGAAAGATATACTATTGTGGCCTTCCAAATCTATTCCATCAATCATGAGCCCTTGGTCAACTACACCTACGTCACCACTACTCAACAAGCCATACATGAAACAAGCACCAAGATGGCCTGAGTCCAATTGGCGACTTTAACACTTTTTACAGATTACGCTCAGGTACCTGGCTAATTCTAACCAATAAGCACCAGCCAATGCCGCCTCGTTGTGCCTTTTTCGTATGGGCATCTCTTTGCATGGGTGCTGTACGGTACCATGAGGCTTTGAACGTAGAAGGACCGAACATCGGCCATATAGATCATAGTGATGGGTTTCCAAGAGTCAAGGCAGTCTAGTATTATTAAGAGTTTGTTGGTTTTCAGGTTAATTCGGCCACCTGGTGTTCCCCTCCTTACCTGTCAAAAGCTTGGGGTTCGTATATTCCCTTCACTATACTTCTTGGCGCTGTCAACAGTATATGTACATAAGATGCGTCAAGTGGGTGAAATTTTTTTCTTGGAAGGTTTTTTCGCAGCCACTTGAAGGAAGTTATAAACGGTGCTTTGACGTGATAGGCTGTCTTTATTTATGGGAATATACGGGACCGTAAAGGCACTGAGAGTGTTCTGCTTGGGCTTTTGGAGAGCTATTGGGCGAGCTCTACGCGGCTGAACTTGGAACTGGTACTTTTGACGTAGCTGACAAGAATTAGGATATATCCTGAAACTCGCTAGTGCATGTTTTTGGCGAATTACGACGCTGTTGGGTGTGTTACGTAGGCTTGGGCAGTAGGTGACGAGTCAGTGGGCTGGATCCAGAGAAACGTGGTTTCTTCTATGCTGAGAATTTGGAATTCTGGAGAATGGAAGGTTTTCCCAGACTATATGTGGTATAGTCGATGGCCTTATACTTCAGTTTTTTTGCTGGACTGACTCAATCCTGGTGCTGTTACGCTGTTTTATAATAGACTGACTCAGGTGTCCAAAAGATGCCATGAAAATCGACAACTCCACGGTAGAGTCTTTACTTGTTGACAAATCTGACTCATTTGAGGCGGCTTATTCATCTGAAGGACCATTCCTTTCGTCCAACAAGACGTCTATTCCTCGTTTATAACCACCTCGCCAGATTCCCAATGCCCTTGCTCGACCATCTACCCAGTCTTCGGTACAGTTAAAACAAGAAGCACGTATTCTGGTTAAAAGTATTAGCTGGAAATCAGGAAGGCTGTAACTGTTGGTTTTTGAACCTCAATGAAGTTCGAGCGTTCAACGATTTATTGTTTGGTCCGTGTACTGTTGCCAATTGAATGCCACTAGTGGAAGAATTGATTTCATGGCAAATCGGTTACAGTGTATCCAAGCTTCTTCTTATACTACTTGTGTAACAAAGATCCCACTAATTGTCCTCAAACAAAAGTTCTGTTTTTGATGTTAGAGAATCGGCTCTCGAAGATCAAGAACGGGTCTCTTGGGCCCCGCTACACATATTCCACTGTCTGTGCAACTACTGTAACCATTCCAATAAATCAGGTATCACGAACTCAACTTCAGCATAGAGAAGGGACCATAAAGTTCTCCAGTCCCAAAAACGAACCAGTTGGGGCAACCGGGCTTTGCTGCCTTGACCAATCAGCCATGAGAAACCATCCCCCAATGGGTAGCAGAAAAATAAGCCCCTCATTACCACATCCCTATCTCTCCATTAGGCTCCGTCAGTATTTCAAAACACTGTTCTCGTCGCCCGACGTTGCAGCATAGCTTAACATGTGGAACCAGGCTGAAGCAGTACATATGGAGACGCCTACCCGTCATTGACCACCAACCGACCATGACCAACAGGTACCCGAAGAATAAGCAGCACGTTTGGTGGCTTGCTTTATCCCAGAACCTCAAATCATCAAGGCCCCAATATACTTTGTTCCTTCAACCTTCCACCCAACCCACTCCAACTTGTCCTCCAGATCTTCAAGCCTACTAAAAAAAAAAAAAAAAAAAAAAAAAAAAAAAAATCAACAAATCCAAAACCTCCAAATCCCAAAACATCCAAATCCAACTCCCTTCCATTCTTCACTCCCAACGGCCTCACACGGCGGAACTCGGGACTCGGCGCCGTGTTTCTCTACATGGTCACTGCCTACCAGCTCGTAAAAAACTGTCTGTGGAGAAAAAGGGTGCTATTTTGGTGACCGTGTCCTGCAGGAAACCCAACTTCACTTTGGCGCTTACATAAGCGCAGTTTTTCAAATCTCCTCGGAATGGTCAACCAGATAGAGTGTTTTTGGTCTCTTGCGTGATTTCTGTAAAAAAGTAGACCCTATATGGTTTGTGTCACTTTTCCTGTCAACAGCCACACCTCTATTTTTGGATTGCTTTTGGAAACGTCTCTTTGGAATCTTCCATGCCTATGTATGGAACCATCCTCAGCCAGACCAACATCCATACCATTTATACCTTTTATGCCTTTTTTGCATAAACCTAATCTTCTTTCTCTTAGCATTCTCTTCCCTCTGCCCTCCAAAATCTATACCTCAAAATATCAACACTGATTCCCTTTACTATGGTATTCTGGGTGGTTGCAAATGAGCGCTTACGTAAGCGCAAAGTCAGGCTCAGCCGCTTGGATGAATCTGCAAAAGAGGGTTACAAGCATAGATAGCATTATGTAAGCGGCGTTTTAGATTAAACGGGCTGATGATCTCGAACAATATAAATAAACGGCTTTTTCTTCCTGTCGTTTTTCTTCCTCCACTCATCAATCATGTCTGGTTTCGAACATACTGACTCGGGCATCGCAGGCTCTGTCTACCTTGCCTTGTACACTATCTATTCAGCGTTTATGATCTATGTGGTCTATAAGAAGGGCTTCAAAACGGTTTATACTGTTCTTTTAACTTTCCCGATTATTCGTTTTGGTTCTCAATTGTGTGGTGTGGTGTTTTCCAAGCTTGGTATTGAACAGCTCGACTGGCTTATTGCATACTTGGTCTTGGGTGCCGAAGGTTACTTTGTGCTTATTTTATGTGCTTTCAAGTTTGTTGCTCAGGCTCAGAAGGCAGAAACAGGGAACTCGTGGGTCGAAGATGAAGGTTTTGATATTCCTGGTCTTAGGTTTTTCACGAAATCCTGGTCCAGAATGTTCCACATGCTTCTTATCCCTGCCAACTCTTTGGTTATTGCCGGTGGTACTATGCTTACTGGTGTCACTGACTTGGAGAAGGAACACGATAAGGTTCAAACCTCCAAAGGCATAAGAACTGCTGGTCAAGTGACTTTCCTTTTCATGACTTTTATCGTGGTGGTGTTCTCCTTGAAAGCTTACACCAATGAAAGAGTCCGTAACCACTTCAACATCACCGTGTTGCTCTGCTGTCCATTCCTTATTGTCAGAGGTATCTTTGGTGTTCTTTCTATCTACATTGAGGACATGAACTACTTCCAGTTCTCCAATTACAGTGCTGACGGTGTTAACCATAAGTTGGTTGTCTACGAATACGTTCTCTCGACAACCATGGAATTCGTTGCCTCTTGTTTCCTCATGAGCAACTTCTTCCTTGAGAAGAGATACAAGAAGGACGATATAGAGAGCTGGCTGGAATCTGATAGACAGCAGGATGCGTTTCCAAGCGACAGCGGGGAGGATATAAAGGCATAGTTCAATAAGATTTATTTGCGTGATACAAGCGGTCAGAACTGGCTCGTGTTCTTGTAGACAAAGTAGAACATGGAAGCTTATATTGCTCTCTTTAGACGAACCAAGTCGGACACGCCCTGCTTGATGTCCTCTTTTAAGCCTGGCGCCTCGGAAACCGTTATCTGACAGCTTGACACATAACTATGATTCGTTCCACGGAATCGCTTTTACCGCCATGCATCTCTTCTATCTGTTATCGACGTCTAGGAAATGGTATAGACAGTGACCACAAGGAACTGAAGATATGGTTTCTCAATGGGTTAGTTCATTTCATCACCTTGACTTCACCGTTGGTATTTATGGGAAAGGCGAATACCCAATGCCACAAACAAGAACGTCAGCTTACAACCTGTGCTTCAAACGCTTCATGTGAAACTTCTTTATCTTTGTTTAATTCGGAAAATCGACCAAAGACGGTATAAGAAACGTTGGTGCCTAAACTCTTGACGTGAAACACTTTCCACGACATGTCACGGAAAGACGAAGCGAAAGCCGTACATGTACACGGACCCTTTAGTATGTGCTTTCATGCTTAGGAATATGCATGCTTGAATGGCACTGCTTTTATCAATAAAGCCACAAAGCTCGCGTATAGCGATTTGGTTATATGATTCGTAGATATATTCCGACTCATTCAACCGCCATGCTTCTGACAGATAGGACTTATGCTTTTCACTGTTTACGTGCCGTTCACTAACATTTGTTGCGTCCCAAGTATAAATAACTAGCCAGTTCCATAGAAGCATTAAATACCACCTATAATGGTTTCCTTCTATCCTCTCGTTGCGTTAGCGTTATCTGTACAAGGATTAGCTATTAAGCCAGTGGATTCAGCTCACCAGCCTGCAAAACGCTCTGAAGCTAAAGTCTTACAATTAGATTTTGACGTGGAAAGAACATACCCTTCTCTTCAACTTGCTAGAAGGGACTATTCGGGAGCTAAACTCAACAATAGCAGGGACGTGCGTTACTTTATGGATATGTACATTGGCTCCAACAAACAGAAAATCAGAGTCGACATTGACACTGGCTCTTCCGATCTTTGGGTCCACGATGAGTTTTATGGACCGTCCTACGAAGGTATGTTCAACCAGTCAGAATCTGAAACTTTCAATTACATCAATGAGTCTTTTAAAATCTCCTACAACGATGGAACAGTCACTTCGGGAGTCTACGGTAAGGATACCGTTTCACTTGAAGATGGTACTACACTTGATGATTTCCAGTTTGCAGTTGCTAGTAACTCCACAAACAAATGGACACCAGCTATCTTTGGTATCTCCAGGAAAGTTCAAGAAGCTGCTAAACAGGAGTACGACAATTTCCCATACGCATTGGTAGCCGCTGGTATTATCCCTAAACCCTCTTACTCCATCTACATGTCCAAGGAGAATGGAAACAAAGGTCTGGTGCTCTTTGGTGGCATAGACCAAAAGAAGTATGAAGGGGACTTGGTATCTTATCCAATCAGCGACAGTTGGTATGCTTCAATTGAATTGAAAACTCTTAGCTACGAAGGCAAAGACTACACTCTCAACAGGTCTGCCTTGTTGGATACGGGAACTTCGTGGAACTTCTTACCTAAAGATATAGTGATGGACATCTCCAAGCTTCTTGGAGCAGACACTTGCGAAAGCTGTGACAGAAACGTCCCTTGTGACCAGCCAAACGATAAGTTTATGACGTTTGACTTTGGCGGTCAGCAGATTAAGCTATCGTACGCTGACCTTGTTGTAAGACCACAGCCAGGTATGTGTCTCTTGGGACTTGATGTTGCTGGAGCAAACGACAATTTGATTCTTGGTGATGTCTTCTTAAGGCATGCTTATACGTACTATGACTTTGAGGAGAATACTATAGCTATTGCTCCTGCGGTTGATACTGAAGAGTCTGATATCGTCCAGGCTTAAATAGACAAAATAGAGATTGACCATTTGTGGTCTTTGGAGACTTTAATTGCAAGAAATCAAACGAATCTACAAACAAAGCCACGGTTGAAAACTAAATATTTTATTTGAATTTGCCCATTTTCTGATTTTTGGCAAGTGAGTGTGGTTTTCAGTAATCTCGGGATTACGTTTAAGAAGTATATAATGGCTGCGAAAGGGTAAAACAAGTATAAAACATCAACTTTTATCATTTTTTGAAAAATCATCGTTAACGAAAACGTCAGCAGCAACACTTACTGTCACCAAACTCTTTGGATCATCAACCGTCAGAAACGTAAAGTCTGTTACCAAAGTGTAATGGTGAGAGAGAACAGTCGTAGCAAAAGTGCTGAACGTCTGGGGCACCATAACCTCAAACCACTTGGCTGGGCATTGGAAAATGTAATGACATTGCTTACCGTCGTTTTCGTCTTCTTGGGAAATATGGTAAATTTCAAAAGTGGCCGCCTTGTTAATTTGCTGGTTCATCATCTCGTGTGTCTTTACAACAGTTGTACTGAGAATGATATCCTTGGCAGCGTTGCCTTGACTGTCTTCTGAATGACGGCTGTCTGTTTCTTTGTGTGTAACTTTAGGGTACTCAATTTGTTCCACAAGCCTTGACTTGAGTGTGTGGCAGTGTACTTTTATCTTATCGGGGAGACCCACTGTCCTTCTGGGAAATGATAAGCCAAGTGAAAAGCTGACGCTTCGGTTTAGCATATCTCCAGGCGCAAGATACCTTGTTAGACGGACATCACCTTGTGATTTCATGGGGTAGCACCTGAAGAAGGCACAAGCAGTCAACCTCAGTCCTAGAGAAATATCTGAACTATCCAAGCCAAAAGCATCAACTTTGGCCTTCCAAACAAGCTCTTGTGGTTTTTCTGTTTCTATCAGACAGAAATCACTGAATTCAGTCAAGTATTCTGGTGGGATGGTTGTCTTGGATGGAGTTATCTTCACCTGGCACAGGGAGTATGTAATTTTTGGATCAAGACTTGATGACATTGGATCGGCAGCTGCATCTTCATTGACAAGGGGAAGGATCAAGTATGAAATGGCAATAAAGTCTCCTTCTTCTGTCTCGTGGATAAACGAAGGTGGTAGCAAGAAACTAGGTTCATGAGGCTGTTCCTCTTCTTCGTCATTCTCAGAGCTCTTACCCATGTTAATGATACTCTCACAAATAGAATTCTTATCTGGAACCTCTACACGGCTTTCTATCTCATATCTGCCCGGAGACAACTGGATCTCTGAATCGAGGGAAAGCTCAAACACTCTAAGTAGAAACCTTTGACAGTAGTCATTGGCATGTGCTAACGAGCTTGACAGACATTCACTTTGCTTGGGTTGTTCAAACGACCTGGTAATTGTATATCCCAGAAGAGTCAAGGCAAGCTTTTGGATGACTATAGGGTCTTCTATTTCTAGTACGACCTTCACAGGTACAATGTCGCCAGACACGAAAGCTTCATCGCTGGCAACCTCAGCACAGACCTTATTCACCATGATTGGGTTTGATAAAGAGAGAAATAAAAATGGGATGGATCCAAAGTATATTGATTTCTTGATCTGATGGGCTGCTCATTATATATATTGGTCCCCTCACCATACATTGCCATCGGAAACGTCCATAGTTCAAGGAAACTCCAACAACCAGAATGAACACAAATATGCAAGAACATGTCCATAGCAGTAGGAGACGTCGATCAACAAAGAAAAAGAATTGCCTTTGGGAACGTTTCTTGACTAATCGTTATACTTCCAGACCGTCTTCCTGGTTGAGACCAATCTTCATATATATACCACTATAAACTACGAATGCACTGTTTCTGTTCCCTTGGGTGAAACCAAGATTTCAACAGACTCATGGCTTTCGTCATCTTCTTCGACCTCCTCCTTCTTCTCTCCTTTGCCAAGCATGACAAGCGAAACCGTCTTGATGGCCTCTCTTCCTTGCCAGAGAGGTACAATGATAATGTAAGCTGCTGCTAGAACCGCCCACACAATGTTGACAACAATAAAGAAGGTGAAGGCACCTCGGGTCAGCTCGTAACCGCTGCCATATAATGCAAGCGGGACAAGTATGTGGCAGCCGAAGAGAATAATGCTGTTTGCCAATGCACTCGTCCATACTTGCTTCTTCAAAAGGTGTTTCTCTGCGTCTGAAACCACAACAGCTTGTTTTCCTTCTTCATCTACATCATCTGCCATGGTGATTTCAGTAGCAAGAATATCCATATCGAAAGGTGCTGGATCAGGCGCCACAAGTGATATGATAGCAACATATATGGGACATGATCCCAAAGCAACAATATTGCCAATGAAGGTAGCTTCAGTAATCATAAGGGTGGATTTGTTCACCACGCCATCTCCATAACTGTAAGTAGCACCTATCCAGCACGCTACACCAGTAAGTGTAGCCAAAGGGGCACCTATGATGAGTGACTTTGAAGTCATTCTGTTCCAGAAGAGTGTCAATATAACCACACTCACTGTGGGAGTAAGAAGGATTCCCACAAAACTTAAAAGCCAGCCCACAGTCACACCAACGTAGTTTAACACTGTAGCCAAGGCAGCCATGAATATACCAAACCCCACAACAAAGCTATGTGCTGCAAGAACTAATTCTTTACCAGTTGCATTGGGCCTGAAGTAAGTTCTGTAAAGATCATAGGTGACAACAGAAGAAAAGGCAATGAGCTCGGCTGAAGTAGCAGAAGTTACCGACATGAAAAGCATCACTAAACCTGCTGCAGCACCACCTTTGCCAAAGATAGCTGTCATTCCATAGATCACTGGAAGTCCAGCTTCCACCTCAAAGTCTGTAAGTGGATCAGGATATGTCACAGAAACAGGGTTGTTCAAAAGAGCACGACATGCCAACCCAGCTGACAGTCCCAAAGCCATTGGAATGATCCACCAGCACAAACCGCCCATCAAGTACCCTTCAAACACCGAACGAGCATCAGCAGCAATAGCACGCTGGGCATAGCCAGGGTCTCCAAACACTGAGCAGAGGTTTCCAAGAGTCACAGACCAGGCAAGAAAGTTCATGTCTTTATCCTTGAAGCTGAGGTAGCTGTCTCCTGGAGAAGGATGAAGAATCTGTGCTTCTTTAAGGAGATCGTACATTCTGCTTGGCGATCCGATCAATGGTGACGAGCAGAAAATGTAAAAGATCAAAGCAAGAAGGATTCCATAAATAATGACCGTATGGATCCAGTCAGAAACAAACGTTGCTTTGAGACCTCCAAGAGCCGTATAAACAATCACGCCTAGCGGAAGCAAAAACGAAGCTGCAACGGTATGCATCCCCGTGGTTATAGCAAACGCCTGGGAGCCTCCTAGAAGAAGCAACGCCGAGGTAAGCACATTAGTAGCCATGCAATAACACAAGAAGACAATGTGGCCCCATTTGCCAAACCTCACATAAAAGATCTCAGGAATGGTATGAGCCGCTGGAGCCCTTCTCTTTATCTGAATAGCCAAAAACATAAACAAGGTTACTTCAAGCGCTCCTCCCACAGCATAAAAGTACCCTCCACTGATACCATGCTGGTAGCTCCAAGCACCAGAAGAAAGAAGCGTAGCAGGCCATGTCCACGCAGAAACAGTTGCAGACGAAATAAGACCAGCTTTCACGCTTCTGGAAGCCGTAGTGAATCTTTCAGAGTTTTGCACCTGGCCCATATACTTAGCCAAGACCTTAGTAATAAACACCATTAGAAGAGCAAACGCAGCACCCAACCCCACGGCAAAGCCGTAGCCGTAGCTCTGGCCGAGTATAGGATCCATTTTTGCCATTTTTTGTTTTTCGATTCAGTCACGGCCGATTTCTTGTTTTTATACCTCGGGTGCCCTCATGTTCTCGTATATCCACATTTTTTTGCAACCGTTATCACTTCCCAGTGTCTGCACTGCACACACCATGCAAGGGCCCGCATTACATAGTGGAGAGTGCATTGTCCAGCTACTATCAAGAATCTCCATAAAACCTCAATAAGGCAAGCCGAACTCCCAAGCCACCATAAAAACGGAGTTTCATTCACGAATTCGGGAATCGCCATCCGCTTACAAGAGGGGGTGCTCCATTATCCAACCAAAGTGTCACTACTAAAGCGCCCTGGATTCTCCTCTTTTCAGTTCCTCTGGTTATCGAGATGCTGTGGGAAGACATTGCTCAGCGTAAGCAGAATGCAATTGTTGCTGCTATTCCTGAAGAATGGCGAGACTCGCTGTTAAAGGCGAAAATGGATGCTTCTGGTGAAGTCAACACGAATATTTACTTGGATAGTGTGCTTCCAGAGAACGAGAAGGCTATCACGCACCTTTCGTTGGTTGAGCTTCAGCACAAGCTAGCTCTGGGGCAGGTGACGGCAGTGGAGGTGGTCAGGGCTTATTGTCACCGAGCCGCTTTGGCACACCAGGTTTTGAATTGCTGCTCGGATATTTTTTTGACGAGGCGTTGGAGAGAGCCAGGGAGCTTGATGAAAAACGGTCTGAAGGTGGGGTGGTGGGTCCTCTTCATGGTATTCCCATTTCTTTGAAGGATCAGGTGGACTTGGTCGGGAAGGACTCCACGTTGGGGTACGCGTCTTTGGCTGGGAAACCTAAACAGAAGAATGCGTTGATTGCTGATCAATTGTTAAAGGCTGGAGCTGTCTTTTACGTGAAAACGGCTGTGCCTAGTTCGTTGATGGCTTCTGAGACTTACTCTAATCTCAATGGCTATACTACAAACGCTTTGCATCTGGAGTTTTCTGCTGGCGGGTCTTCAGGTGGTGAAGGCTCTTTGATCGCTGCTGGTGCTTCTGTCTGTGGATTAGGTACTGATATTGGAGGAAGCATCAGGATTCCATCCTGTTTCCAGGGCTTGTATGCTTTGAAACCTGCAAATGGCCGTTTGTCATATATGAATGTCACAAACGCTACAAGTGGCCAGGAATGCGTTGTATCTTCAATTGGCCCAATGGCACGTTCTTTGCAGGATGTCAAGTACGTTACCAAAGTGCTAGTGGATCTGGAGGGTTGGAATTGGGATCCCAAGGTACTTGCTGTACCATGGAAAGAGGTTCCACAAAAGAAATTTGTCATTGGCATGTGGCATTCGTGCCCTGAGCTTAAGCCTCAGCCTCCGGTGGTAAGAGCGCTTGAGGAAACGAAAACAGCCCTACAAAGAGAAGGACACGAGGTGATTGATATAGAGCTTCCGATGCTGTTGAAAGCGCTTGCCACGGCTACAAAAGTTTACGTTGCAGATGCTGGTAAAGAGGCATTCGGCGAGTGTGCAAAAACAGGCGAGACCTTAATCAACGCGGTTCAAATTTGTGTTCCTTGGGAAACCTTTGATAAGCCTCTTTCTGTGAATGAGTGGTGGGATTTGTGCAACGAGTCGTACGAGATCAAGCAGGCCTTCTACGCTTACTGGCAGCAAACAGCAGAATGGACCACTTCCAAGAGACCCATCGATGCTATTATCTGTCCTATTTGGCCAGTACCGGCTGTTCCTAAGCATGGCCCCAATACAGAAAACTACACCATTCCGTTCAACCTATTTGACTGTGCAAGTACTGTGGTGCCAGTAGCCAAAGTCGACAAGCATAAGGACGCCAAAAACGACGCTTTCAAGGCTCTGAACGAAGCAGAACAAAGCGTTCATGATATCTACGACCCGGAACGGTACCACGGCATGCCTGTGTGTCTCCAGGTAGTGACCAAGAAGCTCGAAGAGGAAACACTGTTGGCAGTAGCAACAGCATGCGATAACGCCGTCAACAGCCACTAGACGTGTATTATAAGCCCCAAAATAAAACGCCTCCCACGCCTGTATCTCTTTTGTTATCACGCCATCCATGCTAAGGGTCCACCGTTTGTCTTATAAGCTGCACAGCACTCCATTGCTTGGCCTCCGGTTCTATTAATTACACAAAAGCATTCAAGATACCCCCAGCCGCCTAAAACCGAGCTTGGACAAAAATCACACATTGCGATGTAAAGAACAAAAAAAAAAAACGAAAAATCATTGCCTTATCGCCGTGTAAAAAATACATTTTCCTTATCCCCCTCTTGTCGTCTCGCTTACGTCTATGCTTCTTCATGCACAGTCTAGATAAGCGAGCCCTTTTAGTCGATAAAATAGAAGGAAACGCGGTTAATCCACAGAAACCGATGCGAAACGGAGCGTAAGTGAAAAATCCGATAATACACTCCGCCACGGTTGAGCTTTTTCCTCTGCTTTTAGCTTTTGTCCTCCAAATAGCTGTCCAACCATCCTGGGCACTGCCTCCGCCTCCTTCAAGTTCCTTCGCTTATTGTACAGCTTCGTTTCTGTGGTTGCGAAAAAAAAAAAAAAAAAAAAAAAAATTCAGCTCTTGGCTTTGCACGTGTATGCTTGGCTGTTTCCCATTAGACTGTTTCTGAGTTTGGTTCCTCAAGGAACCACTCTTTTTTCCTTTCATTATGAGGCGTCTGGTTGTGTTGAGGCTACTACCGTTGGTGTTTCTTTCTGTCTTCATCGTGATATGCATCTTGAACCTTTCCATATTGTTGCCTAGTGGTCGACAGCATAGAAGTCTTACGGAACCGCTTTTGAAAGTACTCCACGAACAGTCCGAGTCGAAGGAGCATTTCTGCAGAGCGTACTTTGAGCAATTGGCTACGAACTTGGATAGAGACTCGTTGCTTGAGAACGTTTCTGTGAGAAAGCCGTGGATCAGGACGTTTGTGGGCCATATAAGAGCATATGGAGCGTGTTTTCTAGCAGGGAACACCGAATTGGAGGATGAAATGGTTACGGGTCTCGAGCAGAAGCTATTCCCGTTGTTTTCAGGGAAGTATCCCGTGGTGACGAAATGGGACGGCACGGTTGAGCCATCGCCGGAAAAGACCACCAATTCGTTCTGGGGAAACAGAAAGGCAGCCTTCTCTGGAAGAGGCATTGTCTTGAGCATGAGCGATGCTGGGTTTCAGGAATCAAAGAGGCTTCTACGGGTGCTTCGGTTCCTAGAGAATGATCTCCCGATACAGATGGTCCATAAAGGTGACCTTTCCAAGTCGCTGATGGAACAGCTAACTCAGGTGGCTAGATCTGATATGGATCTTGAATACGCCAAATCATCCATTTGTCCACCACAAGAGATTTACTTCGTGGACGCCAGTGAGGCGCTTCTGGAGGGTGTTTCAAAGTACTTCATGCGTTTCTCCAACAAATGGATTGCGTCTCTATTCAACACTTTTGATGAAATGATACTTATGGATACAGATGTGGTGCCGTTTGTTGAACCGTCTGCACTTTTCGGCTACGAAACGTACAAGCAGACTGGAGCTTATTTCTTCAGGGATAGACTCACAAAAGAGGCAACATGGACTACGCCTATGGCATTTTTTAGAAGTCTTCATCCCACTGAAGACGAAAGGAAGGCCTTTCAATTGAACGACTACAGGCCAATTGCTGAAAGCACAGGTTTCTTCCAGTCCAAGTCGAAACATGTAATGGAAAGTGGAATGGTAGCATTAAGAAGATCCTCCCATTTCACTGGTCTTCTCATATCCACTGCAATGCAGTTTTGGCACGAAACAAGTGGTCCATTCTACGGCGACAAGGAACTTTTCTGGCTAGGCCAAGTCTATGCTGGACAAGAGAAGTTCGCCTTCAACAAGCATGGTGCTGCTGGTATTGGTGAACTCACGGAAACCGAGAAGACCTGGAAAGTTTGTTCAGCACAGCCTGCTCATTTTGACGATGAAAACAAGCTTCTTTGGATTAATGGAGGGTTACAGAAGTGCAAGAAAGGCTTCCACCAAAAAGACTACTCATCTCTGAAGGCCTTACGGGAGAAGTTCACATCAGCAGAGGACTTACACGAGTACTACCGTTCTCCTGCTCATATTACGGGAGCAGTGATACCAACGAAGAAACGGGGTTTTGTTCAAGACAGGGCACAAGGGTGTATTGGATACCTTTGGTGTGCCTCTGTTCCCAAGGAGGAGGCACTTCTTTCGGTTGTCATGTTCAGTCCGGAGCAGTTGGACAGAATCAAACAAATACAGCATTTATGGTATGGCCCAGAATACCAAACTTACGATTTATAGACATATAGCATTAAAGGCAAAAATGAACGAGAAGCTGCAGTAGACACTTTGAACCGAAATTAATATATTGAAAGCTGTATTTATCTAAAGAATTGCCAGAGGCATTAATGGGTATGAGCGAATGCAGAAGGAAAACAATCAAAGACAAGGTATGTCAGAAGTCATGCTTAGAACATGGCAAAGAAAGCAAAAGGAAGCAACCATTTGGCGCTGAATTTTGATGAAGAGGCACCAGCCTCATAGGAGGAGACGTTTGGTGGAGCTGCAGAGCCAGTCGACGTGTAAACGGTATCGAAAGTGGTCTGGTCGGCTGGGGTATCTCCGCCAGCTTCAGTGCCAGTAGGAGCCACACCAGGAGCAACCGATTCACCTGCAATAGTGGAAGTGTAAGGTACGCCGTCAGAACCAGTTCCAACGACCACAACATCCAGGGTAGTCTCGACATGGCCATCTTCTCTAGTAGTCTCATACTGCGTTGTGAAGGTAGACTTGACAGTTGGAGCAGAGTGGACAGACGTGAAGGAAGTTGGAGTGCCATCGATGGTTGTCTCGATGATGTCGCCAGTGAAAGTGGCTTCAGAACCATCCTCCTTGGTCGAAACAAACGTGGTTTGTTCGGGACAAACCGAGGTGTAGATAGTAGTAACACCGTCAATAGTAGTCTCGATAAGGTCGGCTGACACTGTGGTCTCAGATCCATCTTCCTTAGTAGAAACGTAGGTTGTTCTCTCTGGGCACACAGAGGTAGTGGTGGTCAAGGAGCCATCAGAATCTGTGGTTTCACAAACAACAACAGTCTTAGTCAACACATCACCATTAGGATCAGTGGTGTGGATGGTGGTAGTGTAGTCGGTCTGAGAACCGTCCTTGGTGTCGAACGCAGAAGTAGTGGTGTACAACGAACCATCGGAATCAGTAGTAATAATCACAACTCCGGAGGCAGAAGTCTTATGGCCGTTTTCGTCAGTAGTAGCCCAAGTCGAAGTGTAGTCAGTCAAAGCTGGACCAGTGGTAGTAATAACATTACCATCAGCATCAGTAGTCACGTAAGTCTGCTGGCCATCAGTTGCAGCACCGTCTGTTGGAGAAGCGCCGCCAGAACGAGTAGAGGTAGTTAACGAGCCGTCTGAGTCAGTGGTGACTATCACATTCGAGTCAGTCTGGGAACCATCAGGACCAGAACCACCATCGGAAGGAATAATGGTAGTCAAAGAACCATCGGAGTCGGTTGTCACAATAGCACCACCATCAGTTCCAGTCTGAGAAGCTCCTCCGTCGGTGACTGGATCGCTAGCCTTAGGGAACTGGGAGGTTGAAGTGATCAAGTTTCCTTCAGGATCAGTAGTCACAATCACCAAACCAGAGTCAGTCTCAATGTTTCCATTCTCGTCAGTAGTAGTCCAAGTAGAAGTGAACGACGTAAGTGGAGAGTCTGGAGTAGATTCAGCAGGGAACTGAGAAGTAGTTGTAGTCAAAGCTCCATCAGCGTCAGTCGTAACGATCACCACGCCGGACTCAGTAACTGGGTTACCATTTGCATCGGTGGTTGTCCAAGAGGAAGTAAAAGTCGTAAATGGAGGGGCATCAGTACCGTCTGGGTCAAACTGAGAAGTCGTGGTGGTCAAGGCGCCGTCAGCGTCAGTAGTCACGATAATAACTCCAGACTCAGTTACTGGTTCTCCGTTGTCGTTAGTTGTTGTCCAAGTCGAAGTGAATGAGGTCAATGGTGGAATCACAGATGTGGTTGTAGTCAACGAACCATCTGAGTCAGTGGTCACTATGATCACGCCTGAGTCGGTCACTTCATCACCGTTCTCGTTGGTAGTGGTCCAGGTAGAAGTGAAAGAAGTGAGGCCTGAGACATCTGGGGTAGTCACTGGAGGGAACTGGGAAGTTGTCGTTGTCAAGCCACCATCCTGGTCAGCAGTCACAATGACAACACCTGAGTCAGTAACAGGGTTGCCATTCTCGTCCGTGGTAGTCCATGAGGTGGTGTAAGTTGTGAAGTCCAGAGGGAAAAGGGAAGTGGTAGTAGATAAAGCTCCGTTTTCATCTGTAGTGACAATCACAACTCCTGAATCAGTGTGAAGCTCACCATCATCACCGGTAGAAGTCCATGTCAGGGTGAAGGTGGTGAAAGGAGGAGTACCTGGAGTGCTTTCAGTTGGAGAGCCTTCAGGTGGGAACACAGAAGTTGTGGTAGCCAAATCACCGTTTTCATCCGTGGTAACAATGACAACACCTGAATCGGTGTGGACATCGCCATTTTCATCTGTAGCAGTCCAAGTGGTGGTGAAGGAAGTAAAAGCCTTAGGCAACAAAGATGTCGACGTAGTCAATTCACCATTCTCATCAGTCGTCACCACAACAACACCAGAGTCGGTCTCAGGGCCATCAGTGCCATCAGAAGTCCAGGTGGTGGTGTAAGTAGTGAATGGAGAACCTGGGCTACTCTCAGATGCTGTAACCTCTGGAGGAATGATGGACGTAGTAGTGGTCAAGGCACCATCGGCGTCAGTGGTAACAATCACCACACCAGAGTCAGTTCTAACATCACCGTTTTCATCCGTGGCGGTCCAAGTGGTTGTCAAGGTGGTGAATGGTGGAACATCAGACGAGCTTTCAGTAGGTGTCACTTCAGCGGCAATAATCGAAGTAGTAGTACTCAAGTCACCATTGCTATCAGTAGTGACAATAACGACACCAGAATCAGTAACAGCGTTGCCATTCTCATCAGTGGAAGTCCAAGTGGTGGTGTAGGTTGTGAATGGGTTCTCAATGATAGATGTAGTGGTTGTCAAGGCACCATTTTCATCAGTAGTAACAATTACAACGCCAGAGTCCGTCACTGGATCACCATTCTCATCAGTAGTCGTCCAAGTAGTTGTGAAGGTGGTATATGGAGGCTCTTCAACAGCACTATCAGATGGAGTAGCTTCGGCTGGAATCAACGAGGTGGTTGTAGTCAAAGATCCATCAGCATCAGTGGTGACAATCACAACACCAGAGTCAGTCACTGGGTTACCATTTTCATCGTTAGATGTCCAAGTAGTAGTGAAAGTGGTGAATGGTGGAGCTTCAGCAGAACTGTCAGAAGGAGTAGCTTCAGCTGCAATGATGGAAGTAGTCGTGGTCAAAGCACCATCAGCGTCTGTAGTCACAATCACAACACCAGAATCGGTAACTTCATCACCGTTATCGTCCGTGGTGGTCCAAGTGGTAGTATAGGTAGTCCAAGGACGGTCAAAGAGCGAGGTTGTTGTAGACAACTGACCTTCGTCGTCAGCAGTAACGATCACAACACCAGAGTCAGTTTCAGGTCCGTCAGGTCCATCTGTGGTCCAAGTGGTAGTGTAAGTAGTGAACTGGTTAGGGATAATAGAAGTAGTAGTACTCAAGGCACCATCCTCATCAGTAGTCACGATAACAACACCGGAATCGGTCTCTGGGTCACCATTCTCATTAGTTGTAGTCCAAGTGGTAGTGAAGGTAGTGAACTGAGGAGACTCTGGCGAACTCTGAGATGGAGTGCCTTCAGGAGGAATGATAGAAGTGGTAGTGGTCAAGGCACCATTCTCGTCAGTTGTAACAATCACAACACCGGAATCAGTTTCTGGACCAGCCTCTCCATCTTGAGTCCAAGTTGTCGTGTAAGTAGTGAATGGAGCAGGGATGATAGAAGTGGTAGTGGTCAAAGCACCATTCTCATCAGTTGTAACAATCACAACACCGGAATCAGTTTCTGGTCCGTTCTCACCATCACTGGTCCAGGTAGTAGTGTAAGTAGTATATGGAGCAGGGATGATCGAAGTGGTGGTAGAAAGAGCACCGTCGCTGTCTGTTGTCACAATAACCACACCAGACTCTGTCTGTGCGTCTCCATTGCCATCGTCACTGAACCAAGTAGTAGTATAGGTAGTGAACGGTGGAGGAATAATGGAAGTGGTGGTTGTAAGAGAACCATCGGCATCAGTTGTCACAATAATCACACCAGAGTCTGTCACAGGATTACCGTCTTCGCCATCAGACGTCCAAGTCGAGGTGTAGGTGGTCCATGGAGCAGGAATCACAGAAGTGGTCGTGGTCAAAGCACCGTCCTGGTCAGTAGTGACTATAACAACACCAGAGTCTGTCTGAGGATTACCATTGTCGTCATCGGAAGTCCACGTAGTAGTGTAAGTAGTCCAAGGCTGGGCGATTGTCGAAGTGGTGGTGGTCAATTCGCCGTTTTCGTCTGTAGTCACGATGACAACACCAGAATCAGTTTCTGGTCCATTCTCTCCATCAGAAGTCCAAGTAGTAGTATAGGTGGTGAATGGAGCAGGAATGGTAGAAGTCGTGGTCGTCAAGGCACCTTGGTCGTCGGTAGTGACAATCACCACACCCGAATCGGTTACTGGGTTTCCATTCTCATCATCAGAAGTCCAGGTAGTAGTAAAAGTGGTCCAAGGTTGAGGAATGATTGATGTGGTTGTTGTAAGCGAGCCATCAGCGTCAGTTGTAACAATAACGACACCAGAGTCAGTCTCAGGTCCATTTTCACCATCCGATGTCCAAGTAGTAGTATAGGTGGTCCAAGGCTGTGGAATGGTAGACGTAGTAGTGGACAATGCTCCATCCTGGTCGGTTGTGACAATCACGACACCGGAATCAGTTTGAGGATTACCGTTCTCGTCGTCAGAGGTCCAGGTAGTGGTGTAAGTAGTCCAAGGTTGAGGAATAGTAGAAGTCGTTGTAGTGATTTCACCATTCTCATCCGTAGTAACGATAACAACACCAGAATCCGTCTCAGGGCCATCTTCACCATCAGAAGTCCAGGTAGTGGTGTAGGTGGTCCATGGCTGTGGGATCGTCGAAGTAGTAGTAGTCAACTCTCCATTTTGGTCAGTGGTGACAATGACTACTCCAGAGTCGGTTTCTCCATCACTAGTCCAGGTAGTAGTATAGGTGGTCCATGGTTGAGGGATGGTGGAGGTAGTAGTAGTCAAATCACCGTTCTCATCTGTAGTCACAATAATAACACCTGAATCAGTTTGGCCATCGGAAGTCCAAGTACTAGTATACGTTGTCCATGGAGGAGGAATGACAGATGTGGTAGTGGTGATCTCTCCGTTCTCATCGGTGGTAACAATCACAACTCCCGAGTCGGTCTCTGGTCCATTCTCACCGTCACTGGTCCATGTAGAAGTATAGGTGGTCCATGGCTGAGGAATTGTAGAAGTAGTAGTTGTAATATCACCGTTCTCGTCAGTAGTCACGATGACAACACCAGAGTCTGTCTCAGGACCATTCTCTCCATCTGAAGTCCAAGTGGTAGTATAAGTGGTGAATGGAGCAGGAATGGTCGATGTAGTAGTGGTTAAGTCGCCATTCTCATCAGTAGTAACGATCACCACACCAGAGTTGGTCTCATCATCTGAAGTCCAGGTAGTTGTGTAAGTAGTCCATGGCTGAGGAATGGTAGAAGTCGTGGTGGTGATTGCTCCGTTTTCATCCGTAGTAACGATAACAACGCCAGAATCATTTTCACCGTCAGAGGTCCAAGTAGTAGTATAGGTGGTCCAAGGCTGAGGAATGGTGGAGGTTGTAGTGGTCACATCTCCATTTTCGTCAGTAGTAACAATTACCACTCCCGAGTCAGTCTCAGGACCATCTTCGCCGTCCGAAGTCCAGGTTGTGGTATAAGTGGTCCAAGGTTGAGGGAAAGTAGATGTCGTCGTAGTCAAAGCACCATCTTCATCAGTAGTCACAATCACCACACCTGAGTCGGTTTGAGGTCCATCTTCACCATCTGAGGTCCATGTAGTAGTGTAAGTAGTAAACTGGGGAGCCTCAGAAGAACTTTCAGGAGGAATGATCGAGGTGGTGGTTGTCAAAGCACCGTCTTGGTCAGTGGTCACGATCACAACTCCAGAATCTGTCTCTGGACCGTTCTCGCCATCAGAAGTCCATGTAGTAGTGTAGGTGGTGAATGGAGGTTCTTCAGAAGAGCTTTCACCAGCGCTTTCAGAAGGAGTCTCGGCGGGAATTATAGAAGTAGTAGTGGTAACTTCACCATTCTCGTCAGTAGTGACAATGACAACTCCAGAGTCAGTCTCAGGTCCATCTTCACCATCCGAAGTCCAAGTAGTGGTGTAAGTAGTGAATGGAGGTTCTTCCGAAGAACTTTCACTAGAAGGCGTTTCAGCAGGAATAATGGAAGTAGTAGTAGTAACATCGCCATTCTCATCAGTAGTAACGATGACGACTCCTGAATCTGTCTCTGGCCCATCTTCGCCATCAGCGGTCCATGTAGTGGTGTAAGTAGTGAAAGGAGGTTCTTCAGAGGAGCTCTCCGACGAACTAGCTTCGGGAGGGAAAAGCGAGGTGGTGGTGGTAACTTCACCATTCTCATCAGTTGTGACAATAACGACTCCAGAGTCAGTCTCTGGGCCGTCTTCACCGTCCGAGGTCCATGTAGTAGTATAAGTAGTGAATGGGGGTTCTTCTGAAGAACTTTCACCAACACTCTCAGAAGGAGTCTCGGCAGGAATTATAGAAGTAGTAGTTGTAACATCCCCATTCTCGTCAGTAGTGACGATAACGACACCTGAATCGGTTTCGGGTCCATCTTCGCCGTCAGAAGTCCATGTAGTAGTATAAGTAGTGAATGGAGGCTCCTCAGCAGAACTTTCACTAGCGCTCTCAGACGGAGTCTCGGCAGGAATTATAGACGTAGTAGTAGTAACATCACCATTCTCATCAGTAGTAACAATGACGACTCCTGAGTCGGTTTCAGGTCCATCCTCACCGTCCGATGTCCAAGTAGTAGTGTAGGTGGTGAATGGAGGCTCTTCAGAAGAACTCTCTGAAGAACTAGCTTCAGGAGGGAAGAGCGAAGTGGTGGTAGTCAAAGAACCATCCTGGTCGGTGGTCACAATAACAACACCCGAGTCAGTCTCAGGATCACCGTTCTCGTCGGTGGTAGTCCAGGTAGTGGTGTACTCAGTAAGGCCAAGATCAGAGCTTGTTTCTGGTTCACTGGAAGAAGCTGGCTCACTGGAAGAAGCTGGTTCACTGGAAGAAGCAGGCTCACTGGAAGAAGCTGGCTCACTGGAAGAAGCTGGCTCACTGGAAGACTGTGCTGCTGACAGCGATTCAGAAGAGGTGATCAGGCTTGAAGATGGCACTGAGCTGGAGCTAGAAAGCGTAGACGAAGGCAATGGTGTAGTAGTAGGCTCAGGGAAGTCCTCACACTGACAAATGGAAGGAATATTGCCAGGATAAGCACCACTGTAGGAGATTCTTGTTCCAGCGCCCAAGACACCGTTAGTAGAGAAGCCCGAGCTAGAGTAGCCAGTACCAATGTTGAAAGCGATCTTAAAAACACCAAGGAAGAAAGAAAGTGTCAAGACACCGTTGGAGTAACTGTACGAGGTGAAACCAGTGTTGACACGGATCTGGTTGCCACTACCGAAACCAACAACGTGGTAAGTCTTTGTGCCAGTGATACTCTGCGAGAGACCAAGCACAGACATCATAGAAGAGCCAGAGGAAAGGTAGATGGTCTGTGTGTTAGCAACGTTCCAGGGACTGATCTGGAGCTGGAGGTGAGCGTCGTCCATGACGTTGATACAACCCGAACCGGTGATACTGGTTGTTTGCAACCAACTCAAACGCTCAATACACATTGTACCATCGTTAGTGACCGAACCCAAGGCCTGGGAGATGGTGATGGTGGATGCAGAGCCCGAAGTCTGACTCAAGTAGATCTTACCAGTATTCTGCCAATTGGTAGCGGAACCAAGGATAATAGGTGGCGTCAAGGAGTACGAACTGATACCAAGCCACATGTTACCCGAATTGACAAAGCTGCCCACGGAGTTCAAGTTATAGTTACTCACCACACTGGCCCTCAAGGAATTGAAGGCAAGGTCGCCTGAGTTTCTAATGGAGCCCGACACAATGGACACCGAAGCGGCCAAGCCGTTGGCAGAAGTCACATAGAAGCCACCCTGGTTATCCAAGCTTCCTCCAAGGGTGGTAAGCAAGTTGTTGACGATGGAGTAGTACACATCAGGGTTGATGGTAAGACTGCCAATTGATAAGCTGACAGGAGAAACACTGACGGTGTTTTCCGTGATGGTCAAAGCCCATACTGCCGAAAGGTATAAGGCAGTAGCAAGCCAGCCACGAAGTAATAGCATAGCAAAAGAAGGATGATGGGGGAAGGAAAAAGAGGAGGACTGGGGGAGTTTATATGGGGCGAAAAGGCGAGCTGGCTAAGCCAGGAAAATACGTGGGGGAAGGGCGATTCGCAGGAAGAAGCGATAGGATACAATGGTGATAATGGGACGAGTTGCCGAGGGATTTGCATGTTTGGCGAAGAAGGGCATTGAGGAAGAAGAGAAACGGGAGAAGGCGAGTGAGGGAAGGCTGGGAAGTGAAGTAGAGTGTGCAATGTAGTGCAATGCAATGCGGGATGCAATGCGGGATGCAATGCACGACGCACAAGCGCTAGAGGAGCGAGAAAGACTTGTTGAATCCTAGTTGTCCTGCATATATGCCATCCCACCCGTCGATCCCAGTGATAGTTCTCCATGCTACCGAAGAATCCAATGCACAAGAGTGAAATCAGAGATCTGAGGCCGATCTGAGAACCCGCCCAAAAGGCCTCAAACGGGTAATAAGGTCACCTCATCCACTTTAGCCACCCGTCCCTAGGCCAGTCCTCGCTTCTAAGCCTATTTGCTCAATGTACCGGTACATGATCCCCACAGTGCCCTTGCGCTGCCAGTGAACACTCAACGCTGAGATGCGTCACCAGGCGGCAGCAGCAGCATAAGCACAAGCACAAGCACAAGCGCGACCCTGCCACTTGCCCGTGGCTAAGTTTCACCACCAGTTCCATACTAAGAAGCACAGTTAACCGTGTTCACGAAGCCCCTTCTTCCCATAAAGCGTGTTTAACCTAAACAGACTACCTATCCACTGCTTCTGTCTCTGCGTCTACCATCCACTCTTACTTACTTCCACTTCCACCTCTAACTCCACCTCCATCTCCACCTCCACCTCAATGGCTCGCCCATGCACGGGATTCGATCGCCGCCCTAGTACTACTTAGAGTCTTCCTCTTTCTTTCTTTTTCCATTTCCTCCCGCCCAAACCCTCAAACTAGCTGTTTCTTCAACTTGCACTCCCTGGCTCTAAACCTTCAACAAGCCATTGGGGGCTCTTTTAGCCTGGCCTTGACCGACCATGGCTTTGTGCCGTAGTACATCCCTTGGACTGGTCAGTCTTCTCTAGTGTGCTCTGAAACCGGCGTTTCTTGTTTGCTGTGCTTTGTCCTGGCAAAGAATAATCCACAGTGCATCTTGGCAAACTGGTTACCTGGTTGATTTAGAGGAAGCGTAGAATGGGCCATTGTGATGAAGAAGAACTAACAATGAACTAACGATGAACAACCGATGAACTAACGATGAACTAACGATGACGACGAACGGTCCATTGTAGCCCCAAAGCTGTTTTCTAGTGCAAAGGTAAAAGAACCAGATGGAGTCCAGACTTGATCCATCCATCCATCCAACTCCGAAGCTGCACCCTGCTGCCTCTCCTTCTGCCTCTGCCTGTTTCTCCAAACCAGTCGCCCAACTCCACCTCCCTAAACCACCCCAACTCCACCTCAGTTGTCTCCCTCTCGCCTACTTCCTCGACAAACCCTTGCCTTGTCTTGCCTTGTCTTGCTTACTAGAGACTACAATTACCCGCCAAGCAGCGCAAACAGCGACAGCGCCAGCGACAGCGGAACGGGAACCACACTTGCCAGAAACATCCAAAGACGCTGACTCTGCCAATACCCACTGGCCCTATAACCTGTCGCTCAAAACCGTTCAGGGCAGAAAACCACGATAAGAACCCGCCAAAGCACCATCTAAGTGTTCATGTCATGTTCATGCCACGTCCACGCCACGTCCACGCCACGGCCACGCCACATCGCTTTCTTTTGGGTAAGCCCTTACCTAGAGCAATCCCTACGGCACTTTTTTGCATCTTACATTTCCCTATTCTCCATCTTGCAGCCATCCAGTACTCTACCTCACCCATTATTTTTCGCAGCCAATGCACCTCCCATTACCTAACCATCTACCTTCCACTACTTCACCTTTCACTTTCCACTACTTCTTCCACTACTTCTTCCACTACTTCACTGTTTCTCGGGTTTAGCGCACGGCGTCTGCCTCTGCCTCCACCTCCACCTCATCCTCGTCTGCTGGGTTGGTTTGCCCCTGTTACGCTTACCAGTGGGAAGGCTTAAACCACCGCACGGAAGCTTGCTCTACAAATCCGAGCGCGCTTAATGGGCACCCAAATCCTCCAAATCCACTACAACAAGATCCAGATCCAGTTGTATAAGTCCATGTAGACAAAGCCCTGGATGGTCTGTTGAGCCTCAGCCTGAACGCCTCAAGGCGTGAAGGCGTGGAAATGCAACCACTTGCTGGTGGTACATTACACCAGTATGGTTCTACAAAGGGAAGAGTCCTCGCCTAGAGACTAAACGCCTGACACCCTGAACGCCTGACACCCTGAACGCCTTAAGCGTGAAGGCGTAAACGTTGTCCCCACGACGTCTTTGTCCCTACAACCTCTTTATCCTTCGCTTTCTTGTCCTTACTTACATCATCCACTTCGTCTTCCTCTCCCTCCCGGGAGCAACCAAACTACACTTCTGCCCTCCAGATGTCTCAAAAAGCCTCAAGCCTCGCTTGTACCAAAACATCCACAAAAAAAAGCCTCCAGTAGGGAAGCCACACGGCCACCTTTTAAACCTTATATATGAGCAAACACTGGGATTGAGACACTTTTGGGGGCTTTTTGTGGCTCCTGGATTGCCAGCTGAAACTCATGTTCCTGGGCAAGCCTCAGGCACTGCTGGTTCTGTGTAACTTTTCAGATATTTTTACTTTTTTTATTGTTCAACCTATTTTTTTCATCCAAAGTTGGTTCTCTCGTAAAGCAATTATTTATTGGTGTCCTGCACATAGGACTTGGCACTTTTATTCGGCTGCAGTCTTCAATAGCAATTTCACCTCCCATACTATCCACTCCAACCAACCCCCTCCCCCCAATCCCCAGAGCCAGCAATGCCACTTACACCCACACCCGTGCCTCCCACTTTACCCTCCCATGCATTGACACTAAAACTAAAAACTCTCTTTCCACATCTGCTTTTGCACGATCTGGGGACGCCCCCAAAAAAAAAAGTCTATTTTCTTCCCGCTCCCATTCTACAATGCACGCCGCATAGTCTAGATTTCCCGAGGTGCATGGGGTGCATGGCGCGCAACCTTCTGCCTGCTGCTTGCGTGCTGCCTTGCTTCCTTTAGCCTGCTGTACCTAAGGCAACCTTGGAGTCCAAGGGATGAACAAAAATAGCTCCTAGTGGTGGTTATTCAGTTTCTACCGTCATGTCATTTGCAAGAATCTCGGGTTTATCCGTGATTTGCGCTGATCGCCGTGCGATCGCCGTACATGGATTATCTTTCTCTTTTTTGGGCGATCGGAGGGGCGGGCCAATTCCCTGAATTCCCGGTTCTGATATCTGCACTTTTAGTGTTGATCCTTTGACGATCACGAACATTCGGTGCTTCAACCATGGAATGGAAATTTCTACTCCAGCAGATCTACCCAGGAAGACCACCAAGGGTCCTGCCTTTCCTGCCAATGACCTCACTGGATCTACATTACCTAGTCAACAAACTCAAACTCCAGAATTCACCTCCCTCCCAACTATCTCTTTACCTGCTCTACATCTGCCAAGTCTGTTGGGTTATCCCTTTTTCACCTGCCATTGGCTCCCTTGAAACAACACCAATTGGGATACTCCCTCGACCGATTTGTCCATGCATTCACCTGTTCCACCATCAACAAAACATCGCCCTACTGAAAAAGCACCATTACCCACACTAACGCATCTGATGGTTTAGAATGCTTCGTCACGAATTGACCCGGGTGGCTTGTAAGTAAACCATTGCCTTTTGTGGCCCACGATTCAATCTGAAAAGCCTGCAACCACTGTCGTAGCGCAAGCACGGGCGGTTAAACCACATATGAAGCTAGGGATGGCGATTAGAGGCACTGGGGGGGTTCTAAGACACGCCGTGGGCAAGAAATGGGCAAAAACAGAAAAGTACAACCTTGTTGGCGAGGCTGTTCTTGGTGGGTATTCATGGTTGCTATTGCTGCTGGAGGGTCATTTGATGATGGTGTTGATGTTGAGAAAGGTAGATACTGACAAATTCACAGGAACCGACCCAAATTTTTTCTCTTTTGTTTTTTTTTTTTTTTTGTTTTTTTGTTTATTTCCCACGCGTTGCATTAGTCGGGTCAACCTTTCCGGGTTTTGTGTAGTTTTGATTAAGGTACTGTGGCTTGATGTAAACACCTTGCACCGATTGCCTGAACCACGTTGCATTAGTCACCGGGTTATGGCGATCTGCTCCTGAACCGGTATTGTGATACTTTTTTTTGGGGAGGTTTGGAGGGATTTGCGTGGTTTGTGGCATGTTGCTCTGAGACACTTGATGGTGTAGCTGCCAACTACTACTTGATGGTATGCTTTTGAGATATGGTTATGGGAATGTGCTGGTTTGGAGGAGCATATGAGAAGGATCCTCTTCGCTTGAATAATGGCATGTTAAAAACAATGCCAATCTCTGGGTATTAGCTGCTCTTTTGGGACCCCCTGGGTCTGGTGATACTGGTGATACTGGTGATATGTTGATACTACTTTTGAGTACATTACGAAGAACGGCTCTGGCTCCCATACTGCATTGCTAGAACCAGCAATGGCAAAGGACTTGCTATGCTGCTACGACTGCAACGGCTGCAACTGCTTCATCCATTGCCTACTCACCGTTTCGGCAAAGTCCAGGCTTCTACTCCGAATCTTTTCCAGTCAATACATATACGAGATTGATGAAGCTGCGGTTGCACCATCTTTCATTCAACTCAGACAATCTACTGCTGCATCAGGTTCCACTTACCTGTTTTGAAGGTATCTTCCAGAAGCCGCTAAAATTTAGTCTCGTCAAAAGTTACCCTAGCTCACAGTTACGGTGCAACCGAGCCAGCGTTCGTCGCCTAGACCATCGTGTGAGCTCGTATCTGGCAAGACAGCTAGCTACAACGTTGCTTCCCCTCCGCTTTACGGTCACCCCTTGTCGACTGCAACCAGAAGTTGCCGATGCAATAGAACATGAAGAAAGGGTGATGTAAGGAAAAATGCAGGGATCATGCAACCGAATGGTTCGCCGCAAGGACTCGCCAAAATAGAAGCCTTCGCTAAGACCCTGTAATGTACTTCAGGTAAATCAGCATGGCAAAGCCTAATTAAAGTTAAAGTTGATACTTTAACCCAAGATGCCTTGGTTCCAAGATTCTTGAGATAATCGAAAGCTTGATTTTTCGTCAAGCTTTTAGCCGAAAAAGCTTATTCTGGATAGCCTGAACCTATTATTTTATTTCCTCCTTCAAGTCTGGCCCAGCAAGTCTTTGGTCCATTTTCATATGGCTTAACCTTCAAGGCAAGTATCATAATCATATTGTTCTCAACATGACAATGGCAACCATATCACTGAAGCCCGCCCCTAACGCATGTTTAAAGTGTTATTTCTGTGGCTATACTTGCATTTTATCTTGCTTGGATGTTTCTTAACCGTATATGGCTGGCTTCTAAGAAAATGACCTTTTGGTGAACCCCAAATGGTTATACCTAAAACAATAAGGTCAAACCGTCCAATCAAGCCTACCGCTTTAAGCTTGCCGACAGAACCTCCACTTCCCTGTTCACCTCCTGTGCACCTTATCCCAGCATGTTTACGAAAGCCTCCCCACAATGTTGCTAACCTCATAGGGCATCTAACGGTTTGCAGTTACGCCCAGTGCAACCTTGCAAGGGACTATATTGCTAAGCGAGACTGCACGATTTTCCATTGTCATGTTCGATAGAACACAATGATGGTTAGCGATTATGTACCTAGGGTTAGAAGTGGTTATTTTTTACATCGATCCTTCAATGGGTCAAGCTTATCTGCATCGTGGTTGCAAATATGGAAGTGGTAGGAACAATGATCAATGAAACAATGTTTTAGAAGACGAAGATGTGTTCGGTTTCTGAAGGTGACAATGCAAAGAAAAGTCGCCTGGTGAGAGAATTTATTGGCGTTTCTCTTAGGTCTTCTATTGGTAACTCAACTGCTTTGTGCTTTCTTGGTGTACGACATCAACAATAGATAATACGACTTTGGGAGCAGTAGTTTTCATTCTATGCATCAATTGGTTTCACATGTTTGATTTCTTGGGCTTGGCAACATGTAGCTTTGAAGATTTCTACAGAATCCGAAATAAGATATGTAAATTGAATAAAATAGACTAATTCGAAACGAGGGAAAAGGGTATCCAAGGAACTCGCCACAGCGTGGAATGGCTGCGGGTAGAATGAGTAAAAATCCGGTTTAAAGTGGTCTCAGGCACTAGAAGAAGACGAAAAGACCAAGAGGAAGGACCCATTCGAGACCAAGTCTTGGGGAAGAGGCAGCGCCCTTGTAACTTTGAACACTAGCTGGTGGAGCAACACTGTTAGGAGAAGCAGAAGCGCTTGCAGCAGATGGGGCAGCAGCAGGGGTTGGAGTAGCACCAGGAGCCTTTGGAGCGCCGGCGGCTCCCTGTGAAGCCGAGCCAGAAGACAAGGTGGATGTGTGCACCTCTCCGTAGACGTCAGTTTGGACAACGACGGTACACAGGGAAGTCTCAACCAGGCCATCAGACTTGGTGTTCTTGTAAGTAGAAACGTAGGAGCTGGCTGGAGGACACACCGAAGTATATGAGGTGACAACACCGTGGATGGTAGTTTCGACAATAGCAGCAGTGAGAGTGGTCTTCGAGCCGTCAGCGAGTGTGGATACGAAGGCTGTAGTCTCTGGGCATACAGTGGTGTAAACTGTACGAACACCATCAGATGCAGTGGTGTCACAAACAATTGCAGTCTTCGTGGCAACATTACCCTTACCATCAGTAGTCTCAAGCGTTGTAGTGTATCTTGAAGGCTTGAACAACGAGGTGGAGGTTGTCAAAGAACCAGCAGAATCAGTAGTTACGACAATAACACCGGATTCAGTAACAGGGTTACCGTGGGCATCAGTAGTAGTGAAAGTCGTGAGAGCACCATTGATACCAGAACCGTTGGCTCCAGAGCCTGATCCAGAACCATTGGCACCTGAGCCGTTAGAACCAGAACCGTTAGAGCCTGAGCCATTAGATCCAGTGCCGTTAGCACCAGAACCGTTGCCGTTAGTACCAGAACCGTTAGATCCAGAACCGTTAGAACCGGAACCGGAACCGTTAGCACCAGAACTGCTAGAGCCGGAGCCGTTAGCGCCAGAACCGTTGGCACCAGAGCCATCTGATCCAGAACCGTTAGAGCCTGATCCATTAGCACCAGAACCGTTAGCACCAGAACCATCAGAGCCGGAACCGTTGGCGCCAGAGCCATTAGATCCAGAACCGTTAGCACCAGAACCATCAGATCCAGAGCCATCAGAACCGGAACCGTTAGAGCCAGAACCGTTAGCACCAGAACCGTTAGCGCCTGAGCCAGAACCATCAGAACCAGAACCATTAGCGCCAGAACCATTAGCACCAGAACCGTTAGAGCCAGAACCGTTAGCACCAGAACCGTTAGCACCAGAACCGTTAGCACCAGAACCGTTAGCGCCTGAGCCAGAACCATTAGCACCAGAACCATCAGAGCCGGAACCGTTGGCGCCAGAGCCATTAGATCCAGAACCATTTGCACCAGAGCCATCAGATCCAGAACCGTTAGAGCCAGAGCCATCAGAGCCTGAACCATTTGCACCAGAGCCATCAGATCCAGAACCGTTAGAGCCAGAGCCATCTATGCCTGAACCGTTAGAACCGGAGCCATTACCATTTGAACCGTTGCCGTTAGCGCCGTTACCGTTGTTGGCGCCATCAGATGGAGACGAGCCGGAACCATTGGAGCCGGAACCGTTCGAGCCGTTACCGTTGTTAGCACCATCAGAAGGAGAAGAACCACCAGAAGGAGAAGAGCCAGAACCGTTTGAGCCCGTACCATTGTTGGCACCGTCAGATGGAGAAGATCCGTCGGATGGGGAGGATCCAGAGCCGTTGGATCCAGAACCATTCGAACCAGAACCGTTGTTTCCAGAACCGTTGTTAGCACCGTCAGAAGGAGAAGATCCACCAGAAGGAGAGGATCCTGAGCCATTGGAGCCGGAACCGTTGTTACCGTTGTTGGCACCGTCAGATGGCGAGGAACCGTCAGATGGAGAAGAACCAGAGCCATTCGAACCAGAACCGTTTGATCCAGAACCATTGTTAGCACCGTCAGAAGGAGAAGATCCACCAGAAGGAGACGAGCCGGAACCGTTCGAGCCGTTACCGTTGTTGGCATTGTTAGAAGGAGAAGAACCACCAGAAGGAGACGAGCCGGAACCGTTAGAGCCTGACCCGTTAGAGCCATTACCATTAGAGCCTGAACCGTTGTTGGCATTGTCTGATGGAGACGAACCGGCAGAAGGAGAAGATCCAGATCCGTTAGAACCAGATCCGTTAGAACCAGATCCGTTGGAGCCAGAGCCATTATTTCCGTTGGCACCGTCAGAAGGAGACGAACCGGCAGATGGAGAAGATCCAGAGCCGTTCGAGCCATTACCGTTAGAGCCTGAACCGTTTGAACCAGTGCCGTTGTTGGCACCATCAGATGGAGAAGATCCATCGGAAGGAGACGAGCCAGAGCCGTTGGAGCCAGAGCCGTTGGAGCCAGAGCCATTGCTGCCGTTACCATTTGATCCAGAACCGTTGTTAGCACTGTCGGAAGGAGAAGATCCATCGGATGGAGAAGATCCAGAACCGTTTGATCCAGAACCATTGTTGGCACCATCAGATGGAGAAGATCCATCGGAAGGAGACGAGCCAGAGCCGTTGGAGCCAGAGCCGTTGTTGGCACCGTCAGAAGGAGATGAACCATCGGAAGGAGAAGATCCAGAGCCATTTGATCCAGAGCCATTCGAACCAGATCCGTTAGAACCAGAACCATTGTTAGCACCGTCAGAAGGAGACGAACCGGCAGATGGAGAAGAACCAGATCCGTTAGAACCAGATCCGTTGTTTCCAGAACCGTTGTTGGCGCCATCAGAAGGAGACGAGCCGGCAGATGGAGACGAGCCAGAACCGTTTGATCCAGAGCCATTCGAACCAGAACCGTTGTTACCAGAACCGTTGTTGGCATTGTCAGATGGAGACGAACCATCAGATGGCGAAGAACCAGAGCCATTGGAGCCAGAGCCGTTAGAACCAGATCCGTTGTTGGCGCCATCAGAAGGAGAAGATCCATCAGAAGGAGAAGATCCATCAGAAGGAGAAGATCCAGAGCCATTGGAGCCAGAGCCGTTAGATCCAGAGCCATTCGAACCGTTGTTGGCACCGTCAGAAGGAGACGAACCGGCAGATGGAGAAGATCCAGAGCCGTTAGAGCCATTACCGTTGTTAGCACCGTCAGATGGCGAGGAACCGTCAGAAGGAGACGAGCCAGAGCCGTTAGAGCCATTACCGTTGTTAGCACCGTCAGATGGCGAGGAACCGTCAGAAGGAGACGAGCCAGAGCCGTTGGATCCAGAACCATTCGAACCAGAACCGTTAGAACCAGAGCCATTGTTAGCACCGTCAGATGGCGAGGAACCGTCAGATGGAGAAGATCCAGAACCGTTAGAACCAGATCCGTTGGAGCCAGAACCGTTTGAACCAGAACCGTTGCTGGCGCCGTCAGATGGAGAAGATCCATCGGATGGAGAAGAACCAGAGCCGTTAGAGCCTGACCCGTTAGAGCCATTACCATTAGAGCCAGATCCGTTATTGGCGCCATCAGAAGGTGAAGATCCATCAGAAGGAGAAGAGCCTGAACCGTTTGATCCAGAGCCATTAGCGCCATTACCGTTGTTAGCACCGTCAGAAGGAGAAGAACCACCAGAAGGAGAAGAGCCAGAACCGTTAGAACCAGAGCCATTGCTGCCGTTACCGTTTGATCCAGAACCGTTGTTAGCACCGTCAGAAGGAGAAGATCCATCAGATGGAGATGAGCCAGAACCATTAGAACCAGATCCGTTCGAGCCATTACCGTTGCTGGCACCGTCAGAAGGAGAAGATCCATCAGATGGAGATGAGCCAGATCCGTTGTTTCCAGATCCGTTGTTGGCATTATCTGATGGCGAGGAACCGTCAGATGGGGACGACCCATTTAAATCGGATGGAGACGATCCATCATTGTCTGAAGGAGAAGGTTTGGCCGATGGAGAAGGTTCAGGGGAAGGAGAAGCCGATGGGGAAGCACTTGGTTCCTCTGGTAGTTCCGGAGGTTCAGGAATATCCTCACATAAACACTTGGTAGGGGTATCAGTGCCTGCAGGAACTGGACCGTTATAGGTGATATAAGTATGGCCTCCAAGAAGGTTTCTGTCAGTAGCAAAGAGAGCTGGGTCGTATCCCTCTCCAATCTTCATGTTGATTTTAAAAAGGCCAAACAATCCAGTAAAGGACAATGTATCGTTGTTGTAGGAGTAGTCACTGAAACCAAGATTGGTCTTGATACGGTTACCGTTACCAAAACCGCCAATAGTATATGTTCTCTGAGCAGCATTGTTAGCGTCCAAGGAGACGAGAACCAGCGAGTTGGAAGTAGACATGAAGAATTCCTGTTGAGGGTTGGTAGTGTAACCAGCGGTAGCAAGAGTCATCTGGGCACCTGAGCCAATGTTAACACATCCAGTACCGTCGATACCAACAGATTGCACCCAGTTAATGTTACCAAGACAGACAGCACCCAGATTGACAATACTTCCACCGCCAAAGATGGAACCAGTAGTAATGACAGCGGCAGAGGCTCTTGTACCTTGAGGTTGAGTCAAATGAATTCTACCAGTGTTCTCCCACTTACCATTGCTGAAAGCATTACCAGAACCAAGGGTAATTGCAGGAGTACCGAAAAGGGTAGTTGCAGTGAAACCAGGCAAAGCAATCCAGATGTTACCTGTGTTAACAAAGTCTCTGTCTGCGTTCAAGTTGTAGTAAGTACCAAACGTAGCTTTGGTACCGTTCAAGGCAATATCTCCCGAGTTGTCCAAACTTCCAGAATTAAGCTGAACCAGCGAGGCCCAGTTACTTGTGGATGTAACGAAGATCTGGCCCTTGTTGTTAATGTCACCATTGATGCTTGTGGAAGAACTTCCCACCACCGAATAGTACACACCAGGGTTGACGAAAAGACCATCGTTGACAACATTCCTACCACCACCACCACTTGTAGTGGTGTCTTGCAGGATTTGCAAAGCTGAAACTGACGACACAAGAAGTGCAACCGTAGCCCAACTAGCGGGATCAAAGAGCAACATGATATTTGAATCCCAAATGAGGTGTGAAGAAACGAAAAATGATGAGAAATGCCCATCTTTATATACTTCTTTCTGGAGTATACGAAGAATCGCAGGATCTCCCGAAACAGTCAACGAGTTACCGTAAATTGACTTTCAGGCCGCTTCAGAGTCAATTGCGTATAGGATTTTGCAGCCAAATGTTCTCGGACTGCATAATGGTCAACAAAGATGCATTAGTTATGCATGGAAAACAGTTATATCATGCACGGTCGATGTGTCAACGAATAGTATATGTACGGTTGGCTTGTCATCGCCCCTCAAATGAAACAGAAAAAAATCCCGTATATTGATTTCCTTGGTGATTCAGCCAGTCTGGGGATTGAATTTGCTTTGGTAATTACTATGGTGGTTTAAAAATGAGATATCAGTAAAAGAAAGAGTGTACGATAGTGCTCGCCAAAGCCATGATGGCTCAGATAAGTGTCAATGACAACGGCTCAGGAACGTTCCTACGATTTTCCCCACTTCTGCTTGCCCGTCAGCGGAGAGCGAGACCGGCGTAATTAGGAGGTTGTGCTTCAAATCTGTGGGACTAAATAGTTTTAACCGAAAAGGCAAAGGTTGCCTGAACGCGACAAGCCTCGTAAGTCTGCTCGGAAAAATGGTTATTTGCGAAGCGATATCAGGGCATAACGAGAAAGGACTACATGAGCAAAGTTTTTTTCTATCTTCTTTAGCTCCCACTACAATGTATGTTAAAGAGCAATACAGATAATACGCTGTGTCTCGTACGTAGATAGATCTTGTGTTACGGGAACGCAAGATACTTCTATAGGGGTTATGCATCTTTCATTAGGCGAATTGCATGTTCCAGCAAAGCCGAATCCTGATAAAGTCTTTCTGAATTTGGCCACGCATCAAAGGGCGGTAGACCAGTTGGAAGCCGCTAAACCCCAGTAACAATACATCTCTATTAATAAGCAAAAGGCGCTACTGTATTGCTGGTATAATGACGCAACTTGGCGGACTTGCTCAATTCAAACGTAGGATTGGTATGTTTTTGAAGAAGATTGCCAAGACTTTTAGGGCGTTTTGACAGAAATTACGGTAGCATACAACCATTCATTTTCTGGGGCTCGCAAGTATTTCACGTTTCTAGAAACTGTCCCCAGAAGTATGCAGCAAAGATGTTACGGGGAGCCACGGGTATGCTCGCAGTTTTCCTTGAGCCCCAGCGTTGAGCAATTTTTGATGAAAAACAACGACGTAAGAGCACCCTATAGAAGGACCATAATGTCCAACCGACTTTCGGTGCATTGGCTTGTGCCCTTACTTCTATTAATAAAGAGAAGGAATAAACAGCTCTTCCAAAAAAGCTCTTGCATTATACTTAGTATAACAGACAAGTCAAAGTACCTCTGAGGACATTGATGGGAACGTGGGTTGGGAACGCAAAAACCCAAGAATGGGGAACATCGTGTTTGCATGAATACCAAGCAATAATTCTTTCATTAGGGCCAACAAAACTCGAAGGGAAAATCACTCTGTCCGTTTGAAAGAATCCTTCACTGATGTATGGCGCCCAACTCTTATGCGATCTTGATGATTCATCCGCATTTGCTCTCCTATACCTGGCTAGCTGTCGAAGGCTCAATGAATGTTCGAGGTATGATGTAACTACGAGATATCCATTTGAATTTTTATCATTTGCCCTCTTGAAGAAGTTTTTGGTCTTTTCTGATAAGGATGGTGACATATGTCAAGGTATCTCTGAAGGTGCCACCAAAATACAATCTTCCGATCTTCTGTAGACCTCAACCCCTTACCTATCCTTCATTCTTTTCTCTTTGCCGCTCAGCTTGCTCGATGGGTGTCCATTTACGCGCATTCTGTTGTCGGCCTTGGAAGTCCATCAACTTCTAGCCTCTTGCTGGTGTCCGTAGTGAAGGCGGGAGAGTGAAACTAGAAATTTCTTGGCTTCACGGCTATTCTAGTACTTCTCAAAGCTAACATTCCACCCAAAAAAAGAATAAACAAGCAGCAAGTTGTCTGAATGGGAAGTCCATCTGTTAGGTGATTCCAAATGCGTACAAACAAACGCCTTTTCGGAACACGGACTGGAAATAGGGGGTGGTGTTCCGGACGTTTTCATTCGTCACAACTTAACTTATTTTTTCTTTCAGGATATTAATATCATTTGCTGTGTTAGACTTGCTGTATTAGACCATGTAAACCGTACGTCTAGACGAGGACTCCCACTCTGGGTTCAGGATGAGATGCCCACAGCTGGAACCAGTAAAGCAATGGTAAGCTTCCTACCAGGGGACATCAATTCACCTTAACATGAATGGGACTTTGGCCTTCGGCATCTGGTACACAGAATTGCCTCATTGAACTTGCCTAAACTAAACTTGAGCCCGCCAAAGAAAATTCAAGGCTTGACACCTTATGAAATACACTTGTTAAAGGCATCGTACAAATGTATTTACATCTCAAAACAGTCTTTCCAAGACGTTCCTTGCTTCCTTAACGAGATTCCTTGAGGTTAACTTTTTTGGTTTTTTTCGTTTCTATATACTTCAGACTTTCCGTATTGTAACAAGTCAGCTTGGGTGGATGTGGTTCTCCCTTACCATCTTGATCCCTCGAAACATCCACTTCTCCCTTTCTTTACTTTCCTAAAGACAGAAATCTTAATCTTTCAATTGGCTGCTCTGTTTATCTTCATTACTGGTGAGTAGAAGTTGTGACCTTCAACCTCGACCACCACTTTACACTGCTAAGATTGTATTAGCTCACTTCTTCCATCGTTTCTTCTCAGCTTTAAAAAATATACATAGTAATAATTGGAAATGCCGGCATCTGAATGCTCAGGACAAAAACTTATGCTTACTTGCATGCTTAAGTATGGATCAAGGCTGCGTTGGAAGAAACACCGCCAAAAGCTCAGATCACGGCTTTTGGAACCAAAACAGAAGTTCCTTAGAATAATTAAAGGACGAGGATACTGAATTTATAAATTATATTTAAAAAGCAAGTGTTTCCAATTTTTGGTGGACGTTTGTTTCATTTTTTCATAATGACTCTCAGTATTCGCAAAGTATATACAAAAAAAGTAGTCCTACTCAAAAGGTGAAAAAAACGCAAAGGTTTAACGAAAGAAAAAACCGATATACAAAAGAGAGAATGAATGGGAATTGCGGTTTACTTTGCTACTTCCTCCTCATGGCTGCCGTAACGGCGCCGGTTTCTTGGGCGCCGAGTCACTTCGCTTTCTGATTGGAAAACGGCTACTCGCTATAACCTTCTTTTTGCCTCCTTCGACGTTGCTCAGTATAAAGAAGGTTTCTAAAATTGACAGAGCTTACTCTTCTTGGCATTTGCTTTAAAAGGTTTTTCACTACGTTCCTTCGTTTTTGTGAATCGCAACTACAAACTTTGACAAAGTCCCTACAAGCTGAAGACTAGGCAAACGGCCTTTCCTCGTTACGGCTCAAGCAATCTAATCCCGGGCGGATAAAAAGTGCTTGGAAGCTTCCTCGTCAAAGTTCGCCTCATGTATTCGTCTAAGCATATTCTGTTTTGGGGCATTACGGGTTTGTGTAACTTTCTGGTGGGGGGATATCGTACCATGTTACGCAACCTTCAATTTCCTACTTTGGAGGCTTTTCGTAACAAGGTTTTAAGATGCAAAATGTCTTAAAGTATTGTTTGACGCTGATGCACGGTTAGGCTTCAGGAAACTGTGAAGCATCATGAGAGCCATCATGAAATTTTATTGAAATCGTACTGTCGACCGTGCATTCGTAACATAACTACAACCTATAGACGAAGTAAGGGTTCTTGTCACCCATCTTGAGGAGCTCTTCGTCCGTCATTCCATCAAACTCACCACTCTCAATGGCTCTCTTTTTCTTAGCATTACTCCACCTAAGGTTAAGTATACCACACAGTAATGCCACAGCACCTAACCCAACAAACCCGAGCGTCAAGCCATGGCCCATTACGTAACGAGGGCTGTCTTGATCACGGTAAAAGTTGGACACAAATGCACCACTGAAGTTACCCAACCCGATCTGGAACCCAATGCCAATAGCTCTCTTATATGTACCAGCTAAGTTATTGGAGTTCCAGACAATGGAAACTGAGGTAGCAGGGTATAACCCAATGGCGCAGATGTAAATACCGACGTATATACCCTGAGGATTAACTCTAGGGTCAAGTGAAATACACACCACGAATCCCACAATCATGCAAATGTAGTTAAACACAAGGAAGGGTGTTCTAAGTCCAGTCCAATCAGATAAGAAGGCCTCCACAACACTCAATATTGCTGCCAACACGTAGATAGGAACACTTAGCAATTGAGCAGTAGTAGCGGTATAGCCCAAGTTTCTGATAATCGTTGGAGTGAAGAGCGAGATACCATAAAGTGGGAGAAGGATACCCATATGGGAAAAGAGTCTGAACCAGCAGTTTGGATCCTTAAAAACTGCCCAGAGGAATTTGCGGTCACTCGAGGTGTCTTCACCTTTTGGTGCATTTGGATGTGTCTTGACATCGTTGGTCAGGTTGTGAACATTCCATTGAACGAATTCACGTTCTCTTTCTGTCAAGAACGCTGCATTCTTTGGGTACCTAGGAAACCACCAGAAGGAAAGTATGCCAAACAAGAAGGTGAAGATACCTTCAAGAATAAAGATCCACCTCCATCCTTCGTAGCCACCAACACCGTCCATCTGAGAAATACCAGCAGCCAAGAGACCCGAAAAGGCACCTGCAATGGAACCAGCCGAGAAAAACACCGCTTGACGAACAAGCAACTCGGTCTTCTTATAGTACATGGACAAAATGTAAGAGATACCGGGGAACAAAGCTGCCTCGAACACACCTAAAAGCGCTCTAGTGGCCATGAGCTGGGAATAGTTGTTCACTGTACCCATACAAGCCGCAACAGCACCGAAAAGAACAACCGTAAGTGGAACAAAGATATTGGGCTTCCATCTTTTCAAGATCATGTTGGACGGAATCTCCATCGCCGCATAGAAGATGAAGAAGATGGTGAGGCATAGGTTATACTGGTTACCCTCTAGGTTCAAGTCCTCTGCAAGGCCCTCGATTTTGGCATTTCCAATGTTTCCTCGGTCAAGAAAGCTTAGAAGGTATAAGATAGTGAATATGGGGAGTAGCCTGAGGTCAAGCTTTCGAAGAAGCTTCTTTCTGTCGATATCAGGAAACGAGTCTGTGGTCAGTAGTTCTGCGGTCAGAACAGAATCAGGGTCCTCGAATCTGGGCTTTTCCACGGAGTCCCGAAACCTAAGATCCGGTTCTTCCAGCGGCTGGACGTATTCTATCGTGCCCTTCTCTGGAGACATTGCAAAAAAAAGGCCACTACCAGATCATAATTCGACACCCTGACACGCTTTTATAAAACGTCCACTTTTGATAACCGCCCCGCCGCCACACCACCTCTTTGTGTAACTGCCACCACCTGAGACCCAGCGATGGTAAGCGGAATCCGCCTTACTCAACTTGGCATCCCCCACAGATAACAAGGCAAAAGAGTAACCGCAGACGACCATTCTCGGCGACTCCTCCGAAAAACTACACCACTGAAACGCAACAAAGCCCCAAGGGGCCCGGAAGAATTCATGGCGCCGTTCTTGGCCCCGAGATGGAACTTGTTTTGTATGGGCGCACCCAGTTTTCATCCATTTTTGGCGGCTTCTTATCAAGAATATTGCCTCATCAGCTCTGCAAGAAAAAAAATAGCGCCTTATGGACAATGTGAAATCGGAACGTTCAGAGTACATATACACACTGGCAAGTTGAAACGGCCCCACTTTTGAAGTGAAAAAAATGCCGAACGGCACTCCAACTTGGCGCTGTTATCTGGGGAAGATATGGGTTCCTTATAAGATGCTGCAGGGTCTCGCTTAAAAGGTGCCACATAGATAATACGTCAGATCCACCACAAAAAGAAAGAAAAAAAAAAAAAAAAAGAAGCCAACATTGAAAAAAAAAAGAAAGCCCTCCATAGATATCTGGAAACTCCATATCTACACTGGCTACGGCTTTTTTTTTTGACAAGAACAGCATATATTTGACTATAATGGCCGGCTATACACCTCCCGTCTTGGCACAACGAACTTACTCTTGAGCAGGCTCGTTGACCTCGTATCCCTTGCCTGGGGGAGCAGTGTAGACTGGCTGGCCACCGTTACCCTTGTTTGGCTGGCCTACAGGAGTAACCTCAGTAGGAGCGTTTGGGTCGTTCCAGTCGACTGGGACCTTGATGGCAGCGGCGACAGCGAAGATAGCGAGCAATGGAGTGAATAATTGCATGATTATGATGGTTTGGATGATGATGAAAAGGTAATGAATTAGTGGATTTTGGTCAGACTTATATACCACTTTTTTTGGGGCAACCTTTGGTGGCCTTCAGTTACTTCTGGCTGCGCCATTCCCGGGGAGTTGTAGATCCCACGCAAATCTGTTCCTTCGGACCTCTCCGGGGCTGTATGGAACCAACAAGGTATGTATATGTTTGATGATCCAATGTGAGGTTCTCTAGGCCGTTTGTAGAAGAATTGTGGTTTATTTGGTTGTCATGAAGTGGATGGAGTGAGCTGGTGAGGCCATTGCCTGGTAGAACTTGAACTACATGGACTTGCAACTTTTTCTACAGATACGGGTCTTGCTGAAGGCTGCATTACCGCTGCTTCACCATCCCTTCAGTAGACTACATCCATCGGCTAAGCATTAACCAGGGCAGATCAGTCGCTTGACCTAACCTGGCACGATCAACGTTTCGCTTCGCCCCATAACCCGTTATAACATGGTCGTCTATTATTTGCCTACTTGCTTGGCACCCCCTAATCGCTTAGCAACCACTAGGGATCCAACCCCTAACCGCTAATTGCTGATCTTCTTCAACTCGGTCATCACCTCCGGCTTCAACACCGTCTGGTCCAAGCCAGCCTCCTTGATCTTCTTCAATGCAAAACCAACGTGCTCAGAGAAGCCCAAATGAGCAAAAGCAAATGCAACATATGCCCAGACGTTGGCTGAGTCCTCGTTGATGAAGGTACTCAACTTCAAGTACCAGAGCACTCTGATGGCCTTGGACCAATCCTCTTCAGCCAAAGCAGCCTCCACCTCGGAGAATGCAGATGCAGTGTTGCTATCACGGCCATTCACAGGGGCCTTGGTGGCGCCGCTTTCGAAGGAGGTATCGAATTCACAAGGCTGCTTCTTGTTGGGGGCAATCTTCTTTCCTGCAGGCAAGGGGTCAGGTCTAGCCTTGACATTGCCTGGGACGCCCTGGTTGATTTGAGCTTTGAAGTTATCGGGAACAATGGACATTGGTGGGTTGTAGTGGATGCTGCTTGCTGGAGTAGAAGAAGTTGGATGGAAAATGAGCGGTGGCTGCCAGAAAAGCGTGACTTGGGTCACGTGATCAAGTAGCTAGTTGCTGGAAACACCTTCAACGCTTTTCACCGGTTGCCAGCGACCGCTGGGGGTAATAAAAATATATATAGGCGAAGAATGCCCAAAAAACGGTACATCTCTTATCTTACGTATCTACCCACAGTTGTTGCATTGCTGGGTGCTCACTGACCAAGTGCGGTGCTTTGCAACCAGAAGAAGCACCAACCCTGTCCAACCAACTCTACTGAAACCTCTACCCGTGCAAACCTTACTACAAAAAGCAACAAAATCCCAAGTTCGTGCTTACACCGCTTCCTTCCCCAAACCTTCTTTGTATGCCCCTCCCCCACAGTAGTGTAACCAACTAGAGCACCCACTACCATCCATGGCTTGTCCTCTATTAGCCCTTGTCCAGTGTCCTGCAAGGGGTCCTGGTTGTTACCATTATCATCCAGCTCCAAAGAAGCCCCAGGGCCGGTGAACCATGAATCTACTCTACCATCAACACATCCATGGGTCATATACCCGAGGCTGAAGTTATCTCCCGTATCTCCTAGACGAGCGAAAAAATTTTCTTAGACTCTCCCAGACATTACACTTTAAACCAAGACACATCGTAAGTACACACAAAAAGGTGATAAAACCTAGTGCAAGACAATGCAAAAGAAATAAACTTTTTTGACGAGACGATGACTCCCCTATCCAGAACCCCTTCTTCATTCGTTGACCGCAAACATGGCCATGGCGGCGATTCTACCGTCAGCGCTTCTACGCCCTAAAAAACAGCCGAGGTACATGTAAGCGAGGGAGGACCCAGAAGGAGGTGTGGAACATACCAACACAAAATGAAACAAAAAAAAAAAAAAAACCTCAAACCTCCAACTTCACCTGCCCAGCTTAGTCAGAGTCACAAATCCCAGACCAGTATTAGTCAGGTTAATTCCAGGGGATTAAGATCTATTGTTGGCCAGCCGTACCAGAACATCAAATCGGAACCAGGTCCGCGGTTGGGAGCACCCAAAGACGCACCATTACGGCGAGATCCCTTACGTATGATGATCAGTGTCACAAAAAAAGAAGAAAGAAAAAGAACGAAGCAGAAAAAGAGCAGAAAGAGCAAGAACGTCTCCAGAACCGAGGCTCTTTCATTGTCCCATTACACAAGCTCAGTTTGTGAACAAAGTGCGATGCGACATCACTGAAAAAGCATAATAGCATAAAGCCAATCCAACCAACCACTGGCCACGCCCAGCCTCTCCAAACCACCACAAACCCTCCCAACCAAATCGGTTGCGATATTCGATCTGTGGTTAAGAACCCAGTCTACCATTCCTTCCCTCCCCACTTCTTCCCTGGCTTCCCTTTCATCCAGCCTCGTCTTTGGCTCTGCCATGGGTTTCTTTTTCTGCGCGCCATCAGCTGGGGCGGGAGGGCGCAGAAGCGAAAAGGCGCACCGCCCTGGACAAGATGGGTTGTGAAGGAAGAAGAAGTTTGGGGTGGACTTGGCGATGAACTTCGTCTTTGTCTTTGTCTTTGTGGATAAAAGCAATTGAGGAAATAAGAAAGTTCAGTGCATGAAAGGAAAGCTTGAGTTTCCCATGAAGGTATTTCCTATTGTGGCACCTTTTTCCCAAAAGCAAGGGTCTTTAGCCGTTATGCGCGAGTGGCATGCAGATGCAAGCGAACATGGATCACGAATCAATGGTTGATTCGGCTCCACGCCTTGGACAAGAACTGGAGTGAATGGGCTGGGTTTGGTCAGTATAATGGTTCTAGAAGATTGTGGGAAGGCTTTTGCTGGGGTGTGTTAGCTCCGGCGGCCATGCTTTGTCAGCATGTTCGCTTCATTGGCTGCAAAACTCGCGGACCTAGCCGCTGTCAAGTACTAAGAAACAACTACGGCAGTACCTGTAGCACGGCTTATATTTACGATGCCTTGGTTGGTTGGTGAGGGGAGGCCCGGCCGCAAGCCTTGTTTTGGACACTTTATCTAGCGTCATGATTCCTCTACTTTTTTTTTCTAGACAAGTCCTTTTTTTTTTGTTTGGTTTCTTTGGCTAAGCCAAAATGGCATCCTTCCATGCTTTCTTACTTGCAGTGTCCCTCTGCGCCCATTGGGCTTTAGCCATCACCGTCTCAGAAAACGCCATTCAGTCTGCCGCTGGCTTCACTGTCCCGGATTTTCTCGAGATCAACTCGGGTGTTTTCCTCAGTTTACTCGACTCCAACCTGGTAGATATCAATGGGCCTCTCCAGAACAATGGTGAGTTCCATGTCTACAGTTCTGGCCTGTCTGCTGCTTCCTTTAACCACGTTGGTGGTCTGTTTACAAACAAAGGCCTTTTCGCCTTCAATTCCTTGGACTCGACTTCCTCCTCCACTTTTACCAGTAAAGGTACCCCAGACTTTCTCAATTCGGGTGACATGTTCGTTGGTATCAGCCAGCGGTCAGGTACTTCGCCCATTACCATCACCTCCACGTCCAGCTGGATCAACACTGGACGTATTCGTTTCGCCCAGCAGCGAGGTGACCCTTCAGAATTGGCCTTTACCAACTACATGGGCCCTTTAACGAACTACGGAACTATCTGCCTTGACAGACTCATCTGGAAGACCAATGAAAACGTCGTCGGCTCAGGATGTATCAACATTGGTGCCTCTTCCACCTTACTGTACCAGTCAGACAAGTACGACGTTTTACCGCAGCAGACGGTGTACTTATCGAGCTCTTCTTCGGTGATTTCTATTGAAGGCTTGTCGTTCTTTACCAACAGTTTCCTTGACTTAACCGTGGTTGGTTTCGGTGGCTCCAACTCCATCACCACCAGTCAGACTTTTAGAACCTGGAGTTACAGCGGTGATACTTTGACGCTTACTCTTGCACTTGGTTCAAAGCTTCGTTTCAAAATCGGAGAAGGCTACGATCCGAAGAAGTTCACGGGTGGCAGTATTTTCGGCAGTAACCACATTGAGTACTCTGGTGCTTACCCTGGCAAGGTCCCACTGAACTGTATCTGTCCAACGTTCCCTCCACCAAGAACCACTTTCCCTTCAACATCGCTGTCCTCCTCAACCAGAAGCTCCTCAAGCTCCTCAAGCTCCTCAAGTTCTGTTAGAAGCTCATCCTCCACAGTTTCTTCTACTGTGACGTCTTCGAGTGCCTCGAGCTCCAGCTCATCCCTGGTATCCACTCCAGCGACCCTGACGACTCCAACTGCTGTACCTTCAAGCTCTCTGCCTTCGAGCCTGCTGTCTTCGAGCCTGCTGTCTTCGAGCCTGCTGTCTTCGAGCCCTACTACCCCTCGGAGCTCAAGCACTGTGGCTAGTTCGTCATCCTCCATTGCAAGCTCGTCTTCCCCTTCAAGCTCGTCTTCCCTTTCAAGCTCATCCTCCATTGCAAGCTCATCGTCTATTGCAAGCTCATCACTGGTGCCTTCCAGCTCCTGGAGCTCACTGTCTTCGGTGGCTTCTCTGTCTTCGGTGGCTTCTCTGTCTTCGGTGGCTTCTCTGTCTTCGGTGGCTTCTCTGTCCTCAGTCGTCAGCTCATCCTCATCGATTCCACCAAGCTCCAGCTCTGCTCCACCAAGTTCCAGTTTTGTTCCTCCAAGCTCTTCAGCTGCTCCACTGAGTTCTTTAGCTGCTCCACTGAGTTCTTCAATTGCTTCCCTGAGCTCGGCTTCAAGTGTTGCTCCATCATCAAGCTCTGAAGTGGCTCCTAGCTCTTCAGCTGTTTCCAGTTCCAGCTCTTCTGTCCCTCCACTGTCTTCCGAACCGGTTCAGGCTCTGTCTGCCGAGCCTTCGCCTTCCTTGGTTACATCAACAGTCACTTCAGTTACGACTTCGACCACCACAAGCACTCTTTCAAGCTCACTGGAGGTGATTGAACAGTCTCTGCTGAATGAGCCTTCTGAACCTCCTGCTCCAAGCAGTTCTGAGGCACCTGAAGTGACTGAGCTGGCCTCGAGCATTTCTGAACTGGAGCCCACTTCTTCAAGTGAACAATCATCTGAAGAGGTTCCTGAGCCATCTGTTACTGAATCGTTGGAATCCTCGTCTGTTTCAGAGCCAGAGAGCATCACAAGCTCTGAGGAACTGAGTGAATTGTCCCAGAACATTGCACCAACCTCTTCTGCTGAGGCTTCCACGATTGAAGAGTCTTCAGTAGTAGGTTCTTCGACTGAAACTGAGTCTTCCACGGAAACTGAGTCTTCCACTGAAACTGAATCTTCCACTGAAACTGAATCTTCCACCGAGATTGCGTCTTCAGAAACTGAGTCTTCCACGGAAATTGAAACTTCTACAGAGCCTGAACCTTCCACGGGAATTGAGTCCTCAGAAACTGAATTTTCGTCAATAATTGAGTCTTCCTCAGGAATTGAATCTTCCACAGAAACTGATTCTTCGTCAACGATTTTGTCTTCCTCAACCACTCAATCTTCGTCAGCAATTGAGTCTTCCATGGAAATTGCGTCTTCCACAGAAGTTGAATCTCCCACAGAAAGTGAGTCTTCAGAAACTGAACCTTCGACAGAGACTGAATCAGTTATTGAGACTGAGTCAATCACTGAAACCGAGTCTTCCATAGAAACTGAGTCTTCTTCTGAGACTGAATCATCTGTGGAAACACCTGAGGAAACTCAATCATCTGTTGAAACACCCTTTGAAGTTGAATCAACCACTACTGAATCAGCAGTCGAGACGGAATCAACAACCGAAGTTGAGTCAGCTACCGAGCCAGAATTAACAAGTCAGACTGAATCTTCTGTGGAGACCGAATCATCTGTGGAGACTGAATCTTCAACGGAGGCTGAACCAAGCAGTGAAACTGAATCAGTATCTGAGACTGAGTTAGCAAGTAAGATTGAATCAAGTACTGAAACTGAATCAAGTACTGAAACTGAATCAAGCATTGAATCTGAGTCTTCTGTCGAAACTGAGTCTTCTGTCGAAACTGAATCATCTGTCGAAACTGAAATAACCATTGAAACGGAAACAGCTACTGAAACAGAAACAGCTACCGAGACCAAGACGGAATCGTCTGTTGAATCTGATCCATCGACTTCCTCCGAGACTTCTGAAACTCCTGAGCCTTCAGCCTTTGAATCGTCCGCTGACCCTGAACCTTCAAGTGATCCTGAGTCAACCACTGAATCTTCCACAGTTTCTGAACCTGAAGCAACCTCAGAGTCTTCTGAATATTCTGAATCTACCGAACTGGAAACCTCCTCGGAGTTGCCTACGTCTTCTGATTTGACAACTTCCGATTCCTTGGCATCGTCTACCTCATCGACTGAAGATGAGCCTACCGAGGTTCCTGAACCAGCTTCTTCCGAGCCATTGTCTTCCTCGGAAGCTGCTGAAACTGATACATCTTCTAGTGAAGTTTCTGAGACGCCAGAAGCCTCCCAGTCATTGTCTGAATCGGAGAACGAAGTAACTGAAACTTCAAGCGAGGAAGAATCACTGACTTCTATTACAGAGGTTCTGTCTGAAACTACTTCATCAGAAATCTCATCAGAATCCTCTTTGCTTCCATCTCCTACTTTGGATAGTTCTCAGGCCGAAGAGACCAGCACAGTTACTGAAGGATTACCTCTGTCTGATTCAATTGAGACCCTGGAAGCCCTGGAGACCACTGAAGAAGCTTCAAGTACTGAGGTTCAAGCTACTGAGACTTCTTTGGAAGAAGTCACCTCATCTTTGGAGGAGGAGTCTTCAGTTGATGCTTCTACGTCTGTTCCAGAGACTTCATCTACAGAAGTGGAAAGTACTACCTCTGAGTTGCCTCCTGCTGAACCCTCTTCAGAAGAGACTGTTTCTGATACTGAAACCACTACTTCGGAGCTTGAAGAGCCTCTGAGTTCCACAGAAGACCCAGAAACTCCAGGACCAACTTCTTCTGATGAAACTACTTCTTCTGGTGAAACTACTTCTTCTGAGTCCTTGGGGGCCAGTGAGCCTACTGATGCTACATCTTCTGTTCCCGAAGAAAGCAGTGAAGACATTCCTTCTCTTACTGAAGCAGTGACAGAGTCTACTTCTACTGAAGTGACAACTGAATTGACTACTGAGGTAAATGAAGAGGTTACTTCTACTGAGGTAAATGAAGAGGTTACTTCTACTGAAGTAAACGAAGAGTCTTCTTCTACTCAACTGAATGAAGAGGTTACTTCTACTCAACTGACAGAAGAGACTAGTTCTACCGAAGTAAATGAAGATTCTGCTTTCTCTGAGGTGAATCAAGAGTCTACGTCGACTGAGGTGAGTCAGGAGACTATTTCTTCTACTGAGTTGAATGAGGAGACGACCACTGAAGTAAATGAAGAGGCTACTTCTACTGCAACTTCTACTGAAGTTATTGAAGAGGCTACTTCTACTGAGACGATTCAAGAGTCTAGCTCTACTGAACTGGTTGAAGAGAATAGTTCCACTGAACTGATTGAGGAGACTACTTCTACTGATCTGATTGAGGAGACTACTTCTACTGAACCAATTGAAGAGACCAGCTCTACTGAAGTGAATGAAGAGACCAGCAGCGAGCCTGCCAGCGAGCCTACCAGCGAAGTCGAGCCAACCTCTTCCGAAGTTGCTGTTTCAACTACTGAGGAGACTGAAACAACTACTACTCTGGTTCCAGCATTGAACTCTGCAGTTGATACTACTACTCCTTCTGCTGATATTACTGATACCCCTGATGCTACTACTAATTCTGCTGATGCTACTACTGATTCCATTGAGTCTGCTACTGATTCTTCTGGTATTACCGAAACTGCTTCCACTGATGCTACTACTGAATTTGATTCTTCAAGCTCCTCTACAGAATCTACTCCTGAGACTACAGCTACTGAGTCTAATGATGGTCTGAATGAAGCTCCTCTGACTTCCCAGAAGGAAATCACCTCCCAGGATAATGATTCAACTACCATTGAAGAACCAGTGAGTACCAGTATTGCTGCTGAATCTTTTCTTGAACCAACCACTGTGGAAGAGACGCTGGAGCCTGAGGTGACTTCTTCTGGCCTGATTGTCGATCCTGAGAGTGTGACTTCGAATGAAGCTGAATCTACTGATTTGCCTGAACCAAACAACACTGAGTCTCCTACTGGAGCCCTGGAGTCTTCTGCTTACATTGCTGTTCCTTCTGAAATAGCTTCAAAATCAGCCACTGAACCTACTTCCATTGGAAACGGCGAGCCTTCCAGCTCAGACGCTGCTGTTCCTGAAGATCCTTCTACCGTCGCTTCCTCAACTTTCTTGAACGAGAACAGCTCCACCGACTTCGTTCCTGGCGAATTCACGAGTGATTCTACTGATGCTACTGAAGCTACTGAAACTGGCAAAGCAGCTGCTGGCTCTTCTACTAATGAGGTGGATACTGATTTCTCTGCCAGTACTGCTGAAACAAGACCTACTGAGGACAACATTACTCCAGAAAGCTCTACCATCGCTGAAGGTCAATCAGCTTCAACCACTGTGGACGATGCCAGCTTTGTTTCTACTGAGCCACCCGCTGAAGAGGCCACTGGTTCTGTGATTACTTCTACGGACACTTCACCTCAAGAAACTGGAAATGCTGCAAACAGCTCACCAGCAGACGAAGTAAGCAGCTCAAGCGACTTTGATACTAGTGTTACTACAGCGGCTGTTGAATCTTTGAAATCTCCTGGAGCCCACTCTGAGCATGAGTCTTCTGAGACTGAACAGCCAATTGCCAGTGAAGACGCCGTCTCTTCTTCTACTTCCATACCCAGCTCTACCAGCACAGCTGCTCAAGACGGTTCTGAAGAGCACCTTACGAATACTGCTGCCGACCCAGAGCAAACAGCTTCTACTGTTCTTTCTACAAATGACGAAGTCTATTCTTCCGCAGGTCTGAACCCTGCCTTCTCAGCATCAGGTAAGCCTTCTGAGGGAGCTAACTCTAATGGAAACCCTCCACAAGTCACCTCTGTGGCTTCCTCGTCTCCATCTACTGAAGACGCTAAACAGTCAACTGCTCCAGCCACTTCTGACGCTCAAAATGCTCCTGAAGCTTCTGCTAACCACAACTCAGCGCCAACTAGCGTGGCTGGCGTTCCATTCACAGTAACAGACGATGCATCTCCAACCCAGGCACCAGAAGCACTGTCAGCTGTGACCATCAAAGATGCTGCTTCCCAAAAATCCATCACGAATAACGAATCGTTGCCTTCTGGGGACGCTACTAGTACCAACCCAGACAACAAAACCCCACATCCTACAACTTTGGCATCTGAATCGACAGGCACTTCTGGTTCCACAGCTTCATCCTACTCCCAAAGCAACTCGCTTTCTACCAGCTATAGAAACCTGCCTCGTCCTTCTGGCGCCACATCGATTGTGGAGGAAGCAGGCGCTTCCAAGAGAAGTATCCATGCTTCTTGGTTCCTTTTACTTCTTGCTTTCCATCTTTACTAAATGGTATTCGATTATAGATTTTGATGCTTTTTCGTTAGATATTCCCGTCTCCGGGCAAAAAATACATCCTTTAATAGATAATGGTTTTGATAAATTGCCTTGTAGTAGTCTCTGATTGTATCTGGTTCAAAAGAGCCTCGGTCCCTGGGAAAGTCTTGGCTTGCTAAGCATTTCACCAGGAACATCAAGAAAAAGAAAAAGAAAATAAAACCGTTCATACAATGGAAAGTGTGGTTTTACTGGGTGAAAAAAAAGAAAAAAAAAAGTTCAAATCGATGTTTCATGCATTGCAGCCAAGAGCATTGGTAGATATCAACGAATTGATCCCATTTGAGCACCACAGAAGCTATAAACCAACAATTAACTTTCGGATTTATAGAAGAAATATTGATTGTTTCAGGAACATGAATATGCCATTGTTTGTAGACCTAAATGTCTCTTTGACATGTTCAAGCAAATACGGATGAAAACGGACCCAAAGAAGAAGTCTCCAGTTACCTGGCTATCCATTAAGGCAGCTTCTTACATATCTTTTTCTCCCGACTCAATTCCAAGACTAAATGAAATATCCAGTTATTCATCAAAACTACTGGCAATCATATTCTCCACAGTGTGGTGACTGAGTTACTGGGCTCTGACTCGCTCCATATGTGACTTCTCACATACTTAACCGACCACCGAAACCCACAACGACACAACCAAAAAGCACCATAAAAAGATAAACCCACCAAGTCAAATTTCTGGTTCTATATCTCCCCTTCAATTTCCTCAAGTCTTTTTTTTTTTTTTTTTTTTTTTTAACAAGGCTAAAACTAACCAGGAGTCCTCCCACATACCCTTGCATAATCTTATGCAACAAGTATACATATAACGTTAGACGAGTGCTGCGAACCACCCGTTTTTCAAAAACCAACCACTTGTTCTTTCCATGAGAGACATCCAGGACAGGATTCTCGGCGCCTTCTCGTACGAAAAGTACGTTGCAGGCCAGCGCTGCCGTGAGGGCAACTTGACTGAAGTGTACTTGCGGTACTTGTACGAGGATAGGAACCTTGAACGGGAGGATTATGCTGACTTTAAGACCACCATTAAGGATGTGTTTGATCGGGGCATGTGTCTTATTTCAATTGACTTCGAGGCCCTTGAAGGCACTAATAAGATAACAGAGGTTGGGGTGTCTGTTTATGATCCGTGGAATAGCAAGGGGGGACTCTTGCCTTTCATTCAGCTGGTGCACGTTATTATCAGGGAGAACCAGCACTTGTACAACCGAAACTATGTTCCTAACCACAAGGAGAACTTCAATGGCGGCAGGAGCTTGGTGATGGGCTTGCAGGAGGTGGCAGACTCGATTCTGAAACTTATTGCCCGGAACTCGTTCCAGGAGCTGCCTCCTGGTCTGGGTGTATGTATAGTGGGCCATGGTTTGACGAACGACTTGAAATGGCTCCAGCAGATGGGTGTTGATATTGGCAATGCTGACACTATCGATACTCAGGAGTTGCTCTGCTACACCCATGGACACAAGAAAGCCAGCTTGGAGCACGCTCTTAGGCTCGTCAGACAGCCCTTTGCTTTCTTGCACAATGCTGGAAACGACGCTTACTACACGTTGTTGCTTTGTCTCTGTTTATCTGACCCTTTTTACAGAGTACAGAGTCAGATTGACCAACCGGAGAGGATGGAGTACTTCAAGTGTCGCCAGCCAAACCAGGACACGAATGTAAGTCTGTTCTTCAATGGAGACGAATATCAGTTTCAAAAGTACCTCACGAACCAGCCCATCTAGGCGTTGGGCTGGTGCTGGACATTCTGTATGAAGCAAAGAAAGGGAGAGAATTGCTACAGCCAGTTTTACTCTACAGATAGTTCAGATATTATGTATGTTAACGAAAAGTATCAACATTTTTTTGGAGTGGTTGAGAATGGCGGACTGACTTGTATTGCGATAAGCGTATGTGTTGGCCAATAATGCAGTTTGTGTAATCATGAACGCATTCCATCAAACCCCATTCCCGTAACTTTTAAAATCAACAAAAAAAAGAAAGATAAGCAAACCTAGGGTAAAGCCATTTCTGGCTACGTGTTTGAATATTCGAGTATGCAAATAGTCAAAGGTGTATTTGACCGGTAGAACATCCACACAGAGGAAGCCTAGCAAACCGTTGAAATTTCCATCATTTCGATAATCAGTCCCAATAAAGGTCGCCTTTCTTTATGGCAGGAAGGCAGCATATGCCAAGAGGCAAACTCGTTGCAAGACGTGGTATGTCAAATACACTTGTCCTCAAACTTCCCTAGGATCAGCTCTGTCGTTGAGCGCTGCATCATAGAACCCCTTCCATTCATTTCTTTTTTGTTTCCATCTGCTTGCCGTTTCTTTCCAGCATCTTGGATCACCTAATACAGCCATAGCAGAGCAAGCGCCTCCTAACAACAAGAACCCAAACGTGAACAAAATTGCCAAAGGAAAAGGCTCAATGAATTCGACATATTCAATCCAAATGAATTCAAGCACCATAAGGAAAACGAAGCCTGCAAGATGGAACCCTTGTCTTCTAAGACTGTGCTCTTCATAAAACAGTAATATGGAAGTATCTGGAACAGCAAAGTATATCCATGGTATCATTGCAAAAGCGTATGTCTGGTAAGCACTTTGACGCCATACCTTCGGCAAGCTGAGAGCTATACAGTACCCAAAAACGACGGAACCTATAGTAATTAGCGTCGAAAAGGCTCTCTTACGGCTCCGATACTGATAGCGAGTAATGGGAAACAAACATCCAGCGAATACAACACCTCTTCTTTCAAATATACCAGCTAGAGTTGCGAATGAGATATTACCAGAACCAACATACATATTGGCAAGGACTGACCAGATCGCCAAAAAGAAGAATCCAGCGAGGAGCATAGGTTTATACCCGAATATATGGGGTAAAGGTACGCCATTGAAGAATGCAGCTACCAAGTAAAGAACAATCCAAACTGGCCATATGAGATATGGTAGACCCATCTCTGTCCTAATGGGAAAGACTTGAATTGAAAAGCCGTTCAAAACGACCGTAATCAAGAAACATATCGACTTGAACGTTGACTGCTGTTGTGTGTCGATTATTTCAGTTTTCTCCATTTAATATCAAACTAGATGTTAAAGATTATGGATGGTTATAGCCGTGTCGGAACTCGTAACCACTCTGTGTGACCTGCATATAGTCCGATGTTGCGGCTCGTCTAAAAAAGCTGCAGGAAATCACCTCTAGTATATGGAAGTAAGGACATTCACTGGAGGTGTAAAAGAACAATTGTGATTGTAGAATGTCTTCTTATGGGTGTTGGAATAGTTAGCTTGTTTTGGAAATACCACGTGAGAAGTGTGGTATAATGAAACCTCGAGGAAAAGTACCCAGAGAACTGAGTAGTCATGTGTTCATGGACAACCGAAAACCTTCAAAGAACGGCACTATGAGACCAAGAAAAATTCGTATATCCTAACCAATCCAGAAGAACTGCGTGCCAGGGCACAAAATGTGGTGGTTGTTGAATACAACTGCAAACCATCAACAAAAGTGTTATATACACTCCTGGACTCACTAAGTCCAGCAGAAGAACAAATGTCAAACCATTCTTGTGCAGATACTCGAAGATTTATACAGAAGTTTCTTATCCCAGAGGGCTGCCGTTTCGGGAATCGAAGCTTTTCCGTATTCCCAATGCTAGAGGTCGCCAGGGCATTCAAACCAAAGTCGTGCACGTGACCGTACGACAAATCCAGCCCTAAACCAATCAACCAAGCCATTGAGTGATCCCAGAAGCCAGGTAACAATATAAAAACAACAAACTTCCAGTCCCCATTCTAACATTCTTTATCCATATCCAGAAAAGTACCCCCTGTTTTCCTGCACGTCACCAAGCCACATCCCTCCAGCATATTCCTCCAACTCTACACACCAACGCCAGAAAAGCCCATCAACATCCAAGAAAAACAAAGAGAAAACACCCTCGCCGTAGCTTCCCTAAATCACCCATTGCTTCTGTCTCTGCCTCCAAAAAAGGAGCCAAACAAATCACAAGGGGTTCATTCGAGCCCAATGTATGGCAGCTTAAATCAAAGGCAAGCAATCAGCAGGTAATTTAAGACAACATGGGGTGATAAAACGGAGGCCCCTGTCTCTCCGTTCGTCCGGTGTGACTCGATGCCACAAAAGTTCTACCTTCCCTTTTATCACCTTTCCCTATATAACCGTTTCAGATTTGCCATTATTTTTACCCATTACAGGTCCAGAACCGGGGGAATATGGTCCGTATTTATACCAATTTGTGTCAGAAGCGCTTCCTGTATACAACACTCAAAACAACTGAAAAAAAAAACACATACATCGTCCTGCATCGCCATACAAGGCCTTGCATAACCCTGCTTGACCGACGACTCCCTTGAAAATCTGTAAGAAGTACTTCCTTCTTTTCCTCTGCAAAAAAGAATAAAACACAAAATGGCCTTCTTTGACTCGGTGGAAAGTCTCCCCTCCACCGACAACTACTTCTCAGACACTGACTCCATCAGCGACGTTGACTCCATCACTGAGGCTGAAGACCGCATTACTAGCAGGTACTGTTCCAGAAGGTTCAAAGTGTGGCAAAGAGGAAAGGAAAAGGAGCAGATCAAGGGGTACGCTGATTGGCTCAGAGAGGAAAGAGAACTTTCTGGCGAAGATTATGGGAAGTTGAGGAGCTTCATGAGATCGGTTTATAAGAAGGAGGTGGCGCTTATCGCCATTGACTTTGAGGCGTGGGAGAAGGATACCGAGTTGGTCACTGAGATTGGAATTTCCATCTACGACCCTATGAAGCAAAAGGGGGCGTTGATTCCGTTTATCCAGCTGTCTCATATCATTATCAAGGAGAATGAGAAGAGAAAGAATGGAAAGTATGTGCCCAACCATACGGCTAACTTCAATGGAGGCAGAAGTTTGGTGATGTCGCTTGCTGAGGCTGCCAAGGGCATCAATGACATTATTGCGCTGAACAACCTCCCAAACAAGAGCCACGGCGCTGGTGTTTGCTTGGTGGGACACGGCATGTCCCAGGATTTGAAGTGGCTCAAGGATATGGGCGTTGACGTTGGATGCGCCGGCATCATAGACACCCAGGAAGTACTTTCCTATACACACGATAAGAAGGTTTCCAGTTTGAAAAAGGCATTGAGACTTGTTCGTCAGCCATGTGCCTTTTTGCATAACGCTGGTAACGACGCTTATTACACCATGTTGCTTTGTCTCTGTTTGGCCGATCCGTTCTACCGTTTGACGGCTGAGATTGACGATAGAAAGACGATGAAAAACTTTAAGGCTGCTGGCTCCGAACCTAAGGAGCATCACAATATAAGTAAGAAAGTGATTGGTTCCGTTCAGAGATTGAAGCAGTACCTTAAGCGCCAACCTCTTTAGATGCTGGGGAGGTGATTCGAAGCCTTACCCTGGCTAATTGCCTTGAGCAACACAGAACTAAATGAAATTATGGACAAATTTCAGCGTAGAAAGGAGGGCTGGCTGGGTCTTGAAGGGTGGTTTTGGTGGTATAAAGACACCAGTCTTTCATGAATACCTTCCAAATACTGCCACCGCCGAAGCTCTACATGGCGTTTGACTGTTTCCTCCATATCTTGGCACGGAATCCATTGCGCATCTTGTACTATACAAGGCACTATGGCTGCAAACGTACCCCATCAGAGTCAAGGTCTATGGAGGTTGGACGTTGAACCCCGCCTTAAATTTCCAGGCTTTCCCTATAAATTCCACCCTCTTTCTGATTATCTGAACCCACAAAACTCCATTTTCCACATCTTCTCTTCTCACCATCACCATCTATCTGCTACACTATAAGGCTCGATGTCTTCGCACATATTTCATCCGGGACAAATTTTCTTTAAACCACAGTGTTTCCCCGAAAGCGCCATGGACAACCTCCAAAGACGTTTGTACGATAAAAAAAGCTTCTACAATTACGTGAAAACGTGTTTCCCCAAAGAAAAGGACTTGATCGAAGAATATGTGGAGTACCTTGGAGAAGAAGCTGAACTTGATCCAGACGAGTGCAACCGAATGGAGGCGTTCATGAAGGCTGTTTTCGATAGGAAAGTGGCTCTTGTTTCTGTGGACCTTGAGTTTTCAATGAAAAAGCTGACCAGGGTCACAGAGGTGGGCGTTTCCGTCTACGATCCATGGTCTCAGAAAGGCAGTTTGCTTCCGTTCGTTCAGCTGTCTCACATTATTGTCAGAGAGAACCAGCCTTTCAAGGATAATACATACGTTCCTGACCATACAGACTTCTTCAATGGCGGTAAGAGTGTGGTGATGAGCTTGCACCATGCTGCTCATGCGCTTAACCTTATCATTGAGCAGAACACCATGGATGGCAATCCTAGAGGGTCAGGAGTGGCTCTTGTGGGCCACGGCATGGACCATGACTTGTTGCTTCTTCGTGATATGGGCGTGGACTTTGGTGTGGCCAGTATCATGGACACTCAGGATGTGCTTGCTTATACGCATGGAGCTAGGAACGCTAGTTTGAAGAATGCTTTACGACTTGCTCGTATTCCGTTTGCTTTCTTGCATAACGCTGGAAACGATGCCTACTATACGTTGTTGCTTAGTCTTGCGTTGGCAGACCCTGTTTACCGTCTTCTGTCGGGGCTTGACAGCGAGGACAGCAAGGACAGGTTTGCCAGCCAGAAATCTACCAGGAACGAGCCTCCAAATACCAGTTCTAAGGTGCATTTGAAGAATGCCACGAAGTTTTTGGGTTTCCATAAGAACCCGCCTCTTTAGGCCAGACAGGTGAGAACCGTGGAAAGTTCTCTGGTATACCGATCCAACAACAGAACTAGATGACTGCCAGGGGGCAGTCCATTAGACTTACGAGAGGTGATTTGTCTTGACAATTGACATTCGTTCAGTATGGGGTCGCTGGCTGGCTGGCTGGCTGGTTGGTTGGCTCGCTGGCTGGCTGTCAGGCCGAGGCTCGGAGACATTTCACAACACCACCCTACAATGACAATCTCCTCGAGCCATAAACAGCTCCAAATCCCACCTCCTCTTCTTTATACCCACTCGATCCATTTATCGAGAAAATACACCTCATTCGACCTTTCCCCACAAACCCCATACTTTGAAACACAAGTATACACTCTGAAACACAAGTACACACTCTGAAACTCGCGGGCTGGCTGTATCCTTCACCTGAAACTCCCCCAACACTATTTAAGTCCCCATTCCCCTGGACCAAAAGTCCTCGACATAAACCTTATCTGTGTAATTAGTCCATTTTAAGTAAGGTGGACCAACGCGGTAACACAAAACGGCTGAAAAAAAAAAAAGATAGAATACCTACTACACACTACATTCGTTCAGCCAGCACTTCAATCATGGAATTCATAAAATGGGTCTTTGGCTACCAATCGCCAGACCCTGAGCAAGAGAAAACCACTAAGAAACAAAAGGACCTTCCTTCAACCAATTGCTCTACCAGGATAAGTACAAAGACTTACACTATGTCAATAGCATATGGGAAGGGGAGCTTCGTGATGCCTACTCGAGAAAGATAAGGGCTCCACATATTCTCCAGGAGATTAACAAGGTTTATGATGAGCAGATGGTGCTTATTTCTATTGATGTCGAGGCGTTTGAACGGGACCACTCGGTGGTGACTGAGGTTGGAATCGCTGTGTATGAGCCCAAGAGCCTGAGAGGAATGGTAATGCCGTTTATCCAGCTGGGGCATATTGTCATTGCAGGGACAGAGGACGTTAGAAATGGAACGTTTGTTGCTGACCATAAGGATTTTTTTAATGGCGGGAAGACGCTTACTATGGATCTTCATAGTGCAGCACAGGCCATCAAGGATTTGATTCTGAAGCATACACGGAAAGGCACGAGGTACGGAACCGGCGTTTGCCTTGTGGGCCATGGAATTGGACAGGACGTGAAATGGTTGAAGCACATTGGCGTTTCCATTGGCAGTGCTCGTATTCTTGATACCCAGAAGTTGCTCTGTATGACTCACGGCAAGAAGGGCTCGAGCTTGAAGAACGGTTTGAAACTTGTTCGCCAGCCGTGTGCGTTCTTACACAATGCTGGTAACGACGCTTACTACACGATGGTGCTCTGCCTCTGTTTGGCAGACCCACTTTACCGTGTGGCAGCAGCAGTGGATGGAAAGCAGACCATTGAAACATACAAGCAGCAGCCGCTGACGAAGCACGATCCACCTAACGAGGCAACAAGGGTAGATGCGCTGACTAGCGCTGAGTTTTTCAAGTACCTTGAACAGTCATTTTAGGGACAACAGAAAAACTAAGTGTTGATAAACAGCGGTGGTAATACAGGAATATAAGGTAATCTGTGGTGATTCCGGTAGTTCGAGAGGGCTCCAGACCTCTCTGGTGGGCCCCTTCTGGTGGGTCCCCTGGCATCTCATGATGGTATGCCCTAAGGTACGTTTTGCCCTGACGTCTTCATGAGCAAGATCTTCCAGGGACAACCCTGGCCACAATAGTCTATTCAACCCACAATGGCCTGTTTCGGAAGGAGACAAACCTGGAAGTAAGCTTCCCCAGAAAGGAGCGAAGCCATTCCCTCTGGAAACCACCCAACGCTAAACCGTCAACGCTAAACCGTCAACCCTAAACTTCCCACACCATAAACTTCCAAAACACTACTTTCGCCCGTCACCCCGTCACCCCAACCCTTTTGCTCCTACTTCACCACCACTAGCGTCCAGCTCTAGGCCTCTACTAATGGCTGCAAAATACCCCTGGCAAGTCGCGTCAAGGCGCATATACTTGTGTCAAGCTCCCCTAGAACAAAGCAACTCGCCTACTTTAAAAAGAGCCATTACGGCCCAAAACAGCTTAATTTAGGCCTGCTGCCGGTTCTAGATTGGCTTGCATCCGAAAATAGCCACGAGAATAACGGGCCCACAGCCTTATTCGCGTTGATGGGTAAAACGCGGTTTTTGGTGATTTTTTGGCGTTTTTCGCAGCCATTGATTACCTACTATACTAAAAGACTGCTTGGACGCCACAGGCACCAAGTCTAGACAAGCCTCCTCCTTTTGCTTGCGTCTTTGAGGAACCTTGGCCTAGTGTAGGCGGCTTGGCCTGGTTTATTTGAGTCTATCTCGCGTTCGGAACCCATGGGCTCCGCCGCAACGGGCCCCTTGCTGGTGGTGGTTGATGGCTGCAAACTTATAAAGAGGTGTGGTTTCCTTTTTATTTTTTTTTTTTTTCTTTCGTTGATCAATGCTTTCTGTCTTTGCTCTTCTGTTCATTGCGCTTACTTGTGACGCTCTTACGTTGCCTTCGGGTGGTTTCAGCTCGCTGCCTGAACAGGCTCCTAGTGTCTGGCAACCAACATCCAGTTCCACTCAATCAACGAGTTCTGTGGCTACGGTGGGTTTTTCTGCTGCTCCTTCAAGCCCAGCATCTTCTTCAAGCTCAACTGGTGCTAACTCGAACCCAAACGGGTACCAGGACCAGTTCCAGGGGAACCCTGCTGCTCAGCAGGCCTCTAGTCTGTCTGAACCTCAGTTTGTCCAGTCTAGTTCTTCCCAGACTGCTTATCTGAGCTCTCTGGCTCAGGGCTACTCTGCTGATCGTTTTGACGGCTCTCCACAGTCGTCTAGTGGATCGCTGCCTTTCCAGGCCCTGCCTTTCCAGACTCTGTCTTACCAGCCTTCCCTGGCTCCACCTCTGGCTCCTTCTCTGGCTGCTCCTTCTTCGCTGGCCCAGTCCTCCTTCCAGCAAGCCTCTCTTGAGGCACAGCCAGCGCTGTCTTCCCAGCCTGTTGCCTCGTCGTCGTCGCCATTCTCGTCGCCTGCTGCTATCCCTAGTCTGAGTGCCCCATTCAGCTCTAGCGCTTTCCTGTCACAACCTTCTAGCTCTGTGGAACAAAGCTCTCTGGAAGAACTGTTCTTTTCGGAACCTAGCTTGGCTGCCAGCTCATCAAATGATGAATCCAGCTTTGCGTCGTTTGGCAACTCGACTTACCAAACTACCGTGGTTACCACGAAACCTGTTACCTTGAACAATGGCCAGCATGGTGGTGCTACCACCGTTTACACGACCGAAGTAGTTACCCAGGTGGTGACTGTGAATGATGGTGGTGCCCAGGCCACCGGTGCTGGTTCTTCTGGCGGTTCCTCTCCTGGTGGAGACTCGCCAAATGCTGGTAATAATAACGACGAAGCACAAACCACTGGTTCCCCTGACGATACTGGCTCCGGCGGTTCTGGTGGTTCTGGTGGTGGTGCTGGCTCTCCTGGTGATGATGCTGGCTCTCCTGGTGATGACGCTGGCGGTGACCAGACTACTCAAACTGTCATTCGTACAATTACACTTGACGATGCAGCTCCTACTGGCTCTTCTGGAAACGATGGCTCTTCTGGAAACGGTGGTTCTGGAAATGGTGGTTCTGGAAATGGTGGTTCCGGCTCTGGCTCTGGCTCTGACGATGGTCAGCCAGGAGATGGCTCTGGCTCTGGCTCTCCAACTACTGACACGCCTGTTTTGCCTTCTTCGCCTGGTCTGGGAGGTTACGGTAACAACAACACTGTTTCTTCGAACAGCTCCAACTCTACTCAGAGTCTCACTTCTTTGCCAAACAATGAATCACTGGGTAACTCAACAGCTACAAGTGGTTCTAGCTTTGCTCTGAGTTCTGCAACCATTTCTGGTGGAGTCCAGCTCCCTAACCAGTCTAGCTCTCTTCCTGGCGCCGAAGCCTCTTACTGATTGAGTACATACGGATATGAATACATTATAGAAGGTTAAACAAGTTGTAACGAACAGAGCCTTTATTAAAGGGTATAAATAAGATATGCGAAGAAGTAAAAAGCCCGAAAAGGATACTAACATTTTAGCGAACGAAAGAAAGTAGAGGTGATTTGTCACCTCTAAATAGCAGCGAAAAATGCAAATGGGAGCAACCATTTAAGGTTGAAGCTTGGAAGGGAGCCTGATCCAGCATATGATGAAACGCTGGCAGGTTCACTAGCGTCTGTAGAACGGTAGATTGATTCAAAGGTAGTCTGGCTTCCAGATGGTGCCAGGTAAATCGAGGTAATGTCGTCGGTACTCTCGATTGTGGCTCCCGTGCCATTGGTTGTCTCAGTGGTCTTGGACGCTTCTGTTTCACTATGAGCAAGGGTCTGCAGGCCTGTTGGAACGACCCCATTTGGCGTTCTTTCAACTTCTCCATTGGTGGATTTAGGTGACTTGGAAACGACGTCACTCTTCGTATCAACTGTAGTACTTGCCGAAGAATCCTCACATATAGACGTGTAATAGGTCACGGTACCATCGACAGTACTTTCAAATATGGCGGCAGTAGCTGTTGTTGGAGCACCTTGTTCGTCTGAACTGACTAGTGTTGTAGTGCGAGGGGCAACGGAGCTGACAGTTTCAACCTCACCGTCTGAAGCAGTAGTCTCGCAAACAAAAACAGTCTTCGTGAAGATATCTCCATTGTTGTCTGTAGTAACGATTTCGGTGGTCTGTTCGACTCTTGAAGCCTCATCCGCACCAAACGCAGAAGTAGTCGTAGTCAACGACCCGTCAGAATCAGTTGTAACGATCGCGATACCAGACTCGGTAACTGGGTTACCGTTACCGTCAGTAGTAGTCCAAGTGGTTGGGAAGCTTGTAGCACCAGGAGTCTCGTTGTCGAACTGCGAAGTAGTAGTGGTCAACGATCCATCAGAATCAGTTGTAACGATCGCGATACCAGACTCGGTAACTGGATTGCCGTTACCGTCAGTAGTAGTCCAAGTGGTTGGGAAGCTTGTAGCACCAGGAGTCTCGTTGTCGAACTGCGAAGTAGTAGTGGTCAACGATCCATCAGAATCAGTTGTAACGATCGCGATACCAGACTCGGTAACTGGATTGCCGTTACCGTCAGTAGTAGTCCAAGTGGTTGGGAAGCTTGTAGCACCAGGAGTCTCGTTGTCGAACTGCGAAGTAATAGTGGTCAACGATCCATCAGAGTCTGTAGTCACAATAACCACTCCAGAGTCGGTTACTGGGTTACCGTTACCGTCAGTACTAGTCCACGATATGGTGGAAGGTGTAGCAGCAATAGTATGAGGGAACTCTGATATAACCGTAGTTATCGAACCGTCAGAATCAGTAGTAACAATAACGACACCAGACTCAGTAACTAGATTTCCATTACCGTCAGTAGAAGTCCAAGTAGTTGTGTACTCAGTAGGTCCAGGGATTTGCGATGTAGTAGTAGTCAAAGAACCATCAGAATCGGTGGTAACAATCACGACTCCAGACTCAGTAACTGGATTGCCGTCAGAATCCGTGGAAGTCCACGTGGTGGTATACTCAGTTGGTCCATCGTAAGGGAATTCTGAGGTACTGGTCGTCAACGAACCGTCAGAATCAGTGGTAACAATCACCACACCAGACTCAGTAACCTGGTTTCCATTAGAATCAGTAGAAGTCCAAGTGGTAGTATACTCAGTTGGACCTTCATAAGGAAATTCAGAAGTAGAAGTAGTCAAAGATCCATCGGAATCGGTAGTCACAATCACGACACCAGATTCTGTAATTGGGTTACCATCGGAATCTGTTGAAGTCCAAGTCGTAGTATACTCGGTTGGTCCATCATAAGGAAACTCAGAAGTAGTCGTCGTCAAAGATCCATCGGAATCAGTGGTAACAATCACCACTCCAGACTCGGTAATTGGATTGCCATCGGAATCGGTAGTAGTCCAGATTGTAGTGTATTCCGTTGGTCCATCATAAGGAAATTCCGAAGTAGAAGTCGTCAACGACCCATCAGAATCAGTAGTAACAATAACGACACCAGACTCAGTAGTTGGGTTACCATCAGAGTCAGTCGTAGTCCAGGTAGTAGTGAACTCGGTGACACCATCGGTTGGAGCAGCGTCTTCGAATTGGGAAGTAGTAGTAGTCAAAGAACCGTCCGAGTCAGTAGTGACAATGACAACACCGGATTCAGTGGTTGGGTTACCGTCAGAATCGGTAGTAGTCCAAGTGGAAGTAAACTCAGTAAGGCCATCGTCGGTTGGGACATCCTCAAACTGGGAAGTAGTAGTAGTCAAGGATCCATCAGAATCGGTAGTCACGATAACAACGCCGGATTCTGTGATTGGGTTATCGTTACCGTCAGTAGATGTCCACGTAGTAGTATATTCCGTTGGTCCATCGTAAGGGAATTCTGAAGTTGTGGTAGTCAAAGATCCGTCAGCATCAGTGGTCACGATAACAACTCCAGATTCAGTAATGGGGTTTCCGTCGGAATCGGTACTGGTCCACGTAGTGGTGTATTCAGTAGGGCCTTCATAAGGGAATTCTGAGGTAGTAGTAGTCAACGAGCCGTCTGAATCGGTAGTCACAATGACAACTCCTGATTCAGTAATTGGATTGCCGTCTGAATCTGTTGAAGTCCAAGTCGTAGTATATTCAGTTGGACCGTCATAAGGGAACTCAGAAGTAGAAGTAGTCAATGAACCGTCTGAGTCTGTAGTAACAATCACGACTCCAGATTCAGTTACTTCATTACCATCCGAATCAGTGGAAATCCACGTAGAGGTGTATTCCGTTGGACCAGGGAATTGCGAGGTAGTGGTAGTCAAAGAGCCGTCAGAATCCGTAGTAACGATAACAACTCCAGACTCGGTGATTGGGTTACCATTACCATCGGTAGAAGTCCACGTAGTGGTGTATTCCGTTGGACCAGGGAACTGGGAAGTAGTCGTCGTCAAAGAACCATCAGCATCAGTAGTCACGATAACAACACCGGATTCAGTGATTGGATTTCCTTCTGAATCAGTGGAAGTCCACGTCGTAGTATACTCAGTAGGACCAGGGAATTCAGAAGTAGTAGTAGTCAAAGAACCGTCCGAATCAGTAGTAACAATCACCACTCCAGACTCGGTAATCGGATTGCCGTCTGAATCAGTGGAAGTCCACGTCGTAGTATACTCGGTTGGTCCATCATAAGGAAACTCAGAAGTAGTCGTCGTCAAAGATCCATCGGAATCAGTGGTAACAATCACCACTCCAGACTCGGTAATTGGATTGCCATCGGAATCGGTAGTAGTCCAGGTTGTAGTGTATTCCGTTGGACCGTCATAAGGAAATTCAGACGTGGTAGTAGTCAAAGATCCATCAGAATCAGTTGTAACAATCACGACACCGGATTCAGTAATTGGGTTACCATCCGAATCTGTTGAAGTCCACGTAGTGGTATAATCCGTTGGCCCATCGTAAGGGAACTCAGAAGTAGTAGTGGTTAAGGAACCGTCAGAGTCAGTAGTAACAATAACAACACCGGATTCGGTAATTGGGTTACCATCACCATCGGTAGAAGTCCAGGTTGTAGTGTACTCGGTTGGTCCATCATATGGAAACTCAGAAGTGGTAGTAGTCAAAGCACCATCCGAATCAGTTGTCACAATCACGACACCAGATTCTGTGATTGGGTTCCCATTACTGTCAGTGGAAGTCCAAGTGGTCGTGTACTCAGTAGGACCAGGGAACTGAGAAGTTGTGGTTGTCAACGAGCCGTCAGAATCAGTAGTAACAATCACGACTCCTGAATCAGTTACTTCATTACCATCCGAATCAGTGCTGGTCCAGGTTGTAGTGTATTCCGTTGGACCGTCATAAGGAATTTCAGAAGTGGTAGTAGTCAAAGAACCATCAGAATCGGTGGTAACAATAATGACGCCAGATTCAGTTACTTCATTACCATTACCGTCGGTTGACGTCCACGTAGAGGTGTACTCAGTTGGACCGTTATAAGGAAACTCAGAAGTAGTAGTAGTCAAAGAACCATCCGAGTCGGTAGTAACAATCACGACGCCAGATTCAGTGACTGGATTTCCGTCTGAATCGGTGGAAGTCCACGTAGTGGTGTATTCGGTTGGACCAGGGAACTGGGAAGTTGTCGTTGTCAAAGAGCCGTCAGAATCAGTGGTCACGATAACAACACCAGATTCTGTAATTGGATTACCGTTACCATCTGTAGAAGTCCAAGTAGTAGTGTACTCGGTAGGACCTTCATAAGGGAACTCAGAAGTAGAAGTAGTCAAAGAGCCTTCTGAGTCAGTAGTGACAATCACGACGCCAGATTCTGTAATTGGGTTCCCATTACTGTCAGTAGAAGTCCAAGTGGTCGTGTACTCAGTTGGACCGTCGTATGGGAACTCTGAGGTAGTGGTAGTCAAAGAGCCGTCAGAATCAGTGGTAACGATCACGACACCCGATTCAGTAATTGGGTTTCCATCTGAATCTGTTGAAGTCCAAGTCGTAGTGTATTCCGTTGGACCATCGTAAGGAAACTCGGAAGTAGAAGTAGTCAACGAGCCGTCTGAATCGGTAGTCACAATGACAACTCCTGATTCAGTATTTGGATTGCCATTGGAATCGGTAGAAGTCCACGTAGTAGTAAATTCGGTTGGACCATCGTATGGGAATTCCGAAGTAGAAGTAGTCAAAGAACCATCAGAATCGGTGGTAACAATAACGACGCCAGATTCAGTTACTTCATTACCATTACCGTCGGTTGACGTCCACGTAGTGGTGTATTCCGTTGGTCCATCATAAGCAAATTCAGAAGTAGAAGTAGTCAAAGAACCATCCGAGTCGGTAGTAACGATCACGACTCCAGACTCAGTAACTGGATTGCCGTCAGAATCACTGGAAGTCCACGTAGTGGTATATTCCGTTGGACCATCGTATGGGAACTCTGAGGTAGTGGTAGTCAACGAGCCGTCAGAATCAGTAGTAACAATAACGACTCCAGACTCAGTAACTGGATTACCATCTGAATCAGTGCTTGTCCAAGTCGTAGTATACTCAGTTGGCCCATCGTAAGGGAACTCAGAAGTCGTGGTACTCAACGAACCATCCGAGTCAGTAGTCACAACAATAACGCCAGACTCAGTAACACTGTTGCCTTCGCTATCGGTGGTGGTCCAGGTTGTAGTATACTCAGTTGGACCAGGGAACTGAGAAGTAGTAGTAGTCAAAGAACCATCAGAGTCAGTTGTAACAATTACGACACCGGATTCTGTGATTGGGTTACCGTCTGAATCGGTACTGGTCCAGGTTGTAGTGTATTCCGTTGGTCCATCGTAAGGAAACTCAGAAGTAGTAGTAGTCAAAGATCCGTCTGAGTCTGTAGTAACAATCACGACGCCAGATTCTGTGATAGGGTTACCATTACCATCAGTAGAAGTCCAAGTAGTAGTGTATTCTGTTGGTCCATCGTAAGGGAATTCCGAAGTGGTGGTAGTCAACGAACCATCCGAGTCAGTGGTCACGATGACAACACCAGATTCAGTAATTGGATTACCGTTATCATCAGTAGAAGTCCACGTAGTGGTATATTCAGTAGGTCCATCATAAGGGAACTCAGAAGTAGAAGTTGTCAACGAGCCATCAGAATCAGTAGTAACAATGACCACCCCGGACTCTGTTACTTCATCGCCATTGGAATCGGTAGAAGTCCACGTAGTGGTGTACTCGGTTGGCCCATCGTAAGGAAACTCTGAGGTAGTGGTAGTCAAAGAACCATCAGAGTCAGTGGTAACGATGACTACTCCAGACTCAGTAATCGGGTTTCCATCCGAATCGGTACTGGTCCACGTAGTGGTGTACTCAGTTGGTCCATCATAAGGAAACTCGGAAGTAGTCGTAGTCAAAGAACCGTCCGAATCAGTGGTAACAATCACAACTCCAGACTCAGTGATTGGATTACCATTACCATCTGTAGAAGTCCAAGTGGTTGTGTACTCAGTAGGTCCAGGGAATTCTGAAGTAGTAGTACTCAAGGATCCATCAGCATCAGTGATCACAATAACAACACCAGATTCTGTGATTGGATTGCCGTCTGAATCAGTACTTGTCCAAGTCGTAGTATACTCAGTTGGACCGTCATAAGGAAATTCAGAAGTGGTAGTAGTCAAAGAACCATCAGTGTCAGTAGTAACAATAACGACTCCAGATTCAGTAATTGGATTGCCATCCGAATCAGTAGATGTCCACGTAGTGGTATATTCCGTTGGTCCATCATAAGGAAATTCAGAAGTAGAAGTAGTCAACGAGCCATCAGAATCAGTAGTAACAATCACCACCCCGGACTCGGTTACTTCATCGCCATTGGAATCAGTAGAAGTCCAAGTCGTAGTGTACTCGGTAGGACCAGGGAATTCTGAAGTAGTAGTAGTCAAAGAACCATCAGAGTCAGTGGTAACGATGACTACTCCAGACTCAGTAATCGGGTTTCCATCCGAATTTGTTGAAGTCCACGTAGTAGTGTATTCCGTTGGACCTTCATAAGGGAACTCAGAAGTAGAAGTAGTCAAAGAGCCTTCTGAGTCAGTGGTAACGATGACTACTCCTGATTCTGTGATTGGGTTACCATCCGAATCAGTAGACGTCCACGTAGTGGTGTATTCCGTTGGACCATCGTAAGGGAATTCTGAAGTTGTGGTAGTCAAAGAGCCATCAGAATCGGTGGTAACAATAACGATTCCAGACTCAGTAATTGGGTTACCATTACCGTCAGTAGATGTCCACGTAGTAGTATACTCGGTTGGCCCATCATAAGGAAACTCAGAGGTAGTAGTAGTCAAAGAACCATCCGAGTCGGTAGTAACAATAACGACGCCAGACTCGGTAATTGGGTTACCATTACCGTCGGTTGACGTCCACGTAGTGGTATATTCCGTTGGCCCATCGTAAGGGAATTCCGAAGTAGAAGTCGTCAACGAGCCGTCAGAATCAGTAGTCACGATAACGACACCCGATTCAGTGATTGGATTGCCATCTGAATCAGTACTTGTCCAGGTAGTAGTATACTCAGTTGGACCTTCATAAGGGAACTCAGAAGTAGTGGTAGTCAAAGATCCGTCAGCATCAGTAGTGACAATCACGACACCGGATTCAGTAATTGGGTTACCATCCGAATCTGTTGAAGTCCACGTAGTGGTATAATCCGTTGGCCCATCGTAAGGGAATTCTGAGGTACTGGTCGTCAACGAGCCGTCAGAATCAGTAGTAACAATAACAACACCGGATTCGGTAATTGGGTTACCATCACCATCGGTAGAAGTCCAGGTTGTAGTGTACTCGGTTGGACCATCATAAGGAAACTCAGAAGTAGTGGTACTCAAAGATCCGTCTGAGTCTGTGGTAACGATCACGACACCAGATTCTGTAATTGGATTGCCATCGGAATCGGTAGAAGTCCAAGTAGTCGTAAACTCAGTTGGGCCAGGGAACTGGGAAGTTGTCGTCGTCAAAGAACCATCAGCATCAGTAGTCACGATAACAACACCGGATTCAGTGATTGGATTGCCGTCTGAATCAGTACTTGTCCACGTAGTAGTATACTCAGTTGGACCTTCATAAGGGAACTCAGAAGTAGTGGTAGTCAAAGATCCGTCAGCATCAGTGGTCACGATAACAACGCCAGATTCTGTAATTGGGTTTCCATCTGAATCAGTACTTGTCCACGTAGTCGTGTACTCGGTTGGCCCATCGTATGGGAACTCAGAAGTAGTGGTAGTCAAAGAGCCTTCTGAGTCAGTAGTGACAATCACGACGCCAGATTCAGTGATTGGGTTACCATCCGAATCAGTGCTGGTCCAAGTAGTAGTATATTCAGTAGGACCGTCATAGGGGAATTCTGAGGTAGTAGTAGTCAAAGATCCGTCAGCATCAGTTGTAACAATCACGACACCAGATTCTGTAATTGGGTTCCCATCGGAATCTGTTGAAGTCCACGTGGTGGTGTATTCAGTTGGACCATCGTAAGGGAATTCCGAAGTAGAAGTCGTCAACGAGCCTTCTGAGTCAGTAGTGACAATGACAATTCCAGATTCAGTTACTTCATTACCATTACCGTCGGTTGACGTCCACGTAGTGGTGAATTCCGTTGGACCATCGTAAGGAAATTCAGAAGTAGTGGTAGTCAAAGAACCATCAGAATCGGTAGTAACAATCACGACTCCAGACTCAGTAACTGGATTGCCGTCAGAATCACTGGAAGTCCACGTAGTGGTATATTCCGTTGGACCATCGTATGGGAACTCTGAGGTAGTGGTAGTCAACGAGCCGTCAGAATCAGTAGTAACAATAACGACTCCAGACTCAGTAACTGGATTACCATCTGAATCAGTGCTTGTCCAAGTCGTAGTATACTCAGTTGGCCCATCGTAAGGGAACTCAGAAGTCGTGGTACTCAACGAACCATCCGAGTCAGTAGTCACAACAATAACGCCAGACTCAGTAACACTGTTGCCTTCGCTATCGGTGGTGGTCCAGGTTGTAGTATACTCAGTTGGACCAGGGAACTGAGAAGTAGTAGTAGTCAAAGAACCATCAGAGTCAGTTGTAACAATTACGACACCGGATTCTGTGATTGGGTTACCGTCTGAATCGGTACTGGTCCAGGTTGTAGTGTATTCCGTTGGTCCATCGTAAGGAAACTCAGAAGTAGTTGTAGTCAAAGATCCGTCTGAGTCTGTAGTAACAATCACGACGCCAGATTCTGTGATAGGGTTACCATTACCATCAGTAGAAGTCCAAGTAGTAGTGTATTCTGTTGGTCCATCGTAAGGGAATTCCGAAGTGGTGGTAGTCAACGAACCATCCGAGTCAGTGGTCACGATGACAACACCAGATTCAGTAATTGGATTACCGTTATCATCAGTAGAAGTCCACGTAGTGGTATATTCAGTAGGTCCATCATAAGAGAACTCAGAAGTAGAAGTTGTCAACGAGCCATCAGAATCAGTAGTAACAATCACCACCCCGGACTCGGTTACTTCATCGCCATTGGAATCGGTAGAAGTCCACGTAGTGGTGTACTCAGTTGGACCTTCATAAGGAAATTCCGAAGTAGAAGTAGTTAAAGCACCATCAGCATCAGTAGTCACAACAATAACGCCAGACTCAGTAACACTGTTCCCTTCGCCATCGGTAGAAGTCCACGTAGACGTGTATGACGTGAAAGGAGGAGGGATCACCGACGTGGTGGTTGTCAATTGACCCTCAGAGTCGGTGGTGATCAAAACCACACCCGAGTCAGTCACAGTATTGCCCTCGTCATCGGTAGTAGTCCAGGTTGTAGTGTATTCTGTTAACTCTGGAGGAGAAGAACTGGTTGGTTCTGGTTCAGAACTCACTGGTGGCGCGGAACCTGAATCAGTGCCTGACTGAGCAGACGACTCAGATGACTCAGACGACTCAGACGACTCAGGCTCAGAGGAAATTGGGGCGTCAGAAGACTCAGAAGATTCTTCGATAGAGCTGCTGACTGTAGTGCTGGAGGTGACTGTGCTGGAGACGGTGGAGGTCGACAAGGCAGGGCTGGAGCTAGATGCGGCAGAACTAGAGGAAGCGCTGGCAGATGAGGACAGGGTTATGATGCTGGAGGAACTGGAGGAGCTGGAAACCGTACTAGACGTTGAGGGGGAAGGTAACGGCGTGGTGGTGGGCTCAGGGAAATCAGAACAGTAACATTGTCTGGGGACTGTTCCAGGGTAAGCGTTGTTATAGGAGATTCTGGTACCGGCGCCAAAGACACCGTTGGTGGAGAAACCAGAGCTGGTATAGCCTGTACCAATGTGGAAGTTAAGTCTGAAAATACCAAGCAAGAACGAAAGGGTCAAGTTACCGGTGTTGGCGTTGTAACTGTAACTGGTGAAACCAAGGTTCACGCGAATCTGGTTACCGTTACCAAAACCCACAATGTTGTACGCCTTGACACCTGTGATACTCTGGGACAAGCCAAGCACCGACAACATAGACGAGGCAGTGGAAAGGAAAATGGTTTGTGAGTCGGCAACGTTCCATGGACTCACCTGAAGCTGAAGGTGACCATCATCCATAATGTTGATACAACCAGAACCTCTAATGGTGGTGGTTTGCAACCAACTCAAACGCTCAAGACAGATAGAACCGTCATTTGTGATGGAGCCGAGTACCTGGGAAATGGTCACTGTCGAGGCGCTACCGCTAGTTTGACTAAGGTAAATTCTACCCGTGTTGTCCCAGTTGGTGGCCGAGCCAAGGATGATTGGGGGAACCAACGAGTAAGAGCTTATACCAAGCCACATACTTCCGCTATTGACAAAACTCCCCACGGAATTTAAGTTATAATTACTCACAACACTAGCTCTCAAGGAATTAAACGCAAGGTCACCAGTGTTTCTAATAGAGCCAGACACAATGGAAACAGAAGCAGCTAAGCCATTGGCTGAGGTCACATAGAAGCCACCTTGATTGTTCAAACTTCCAGCAAGAACAGTGGCAGCATTATTCACGATAGAGTAATACACATCGGGATAGATGGTGAGGCTTCCAATGTCCAAACTGATAGGAGAGACATTCACGGTATTTTCTGTGATGGTCAATGCCCATACCGCAGAAAGATAGAAGGCCGATAGAAGCCACCCTCTAAGGTAAAGAAAACTCATTGAGCTGTGAAGGTTGGAAAAGCCATAGAGAAGTCAAGAAATTATATATAAAGTTGAGACCGGCGAAATTTCTGTTTGGCCGTTTGCCGTACATGAGTGGGGCGCCACCAGCGCACACAGGGAGAATATGTGCTTCATGGCTTAACGGAGAAAGAGTCTTTCCAAAAGGGTTTTGCCTTGCTGCCATCTGAAAGTTGTGAAACCCTGCGGGAGAACCCCAGGTGATGCAAATGTATTAAGCGACATGTGTGCTGCACGATTACAGTTGTGTATGTAAGTGCTGCACTGTGTATGCGCGCGGGCGATCCACAACACAGTTCCTTACTTAGGCGATTCTTCATTTGCACCTGTCAGAAGCATTGTCCCAGCCATTGGTAATGATACGTTTGAAGCTGGGTTTACTTTTGGTCTTTGAGGGCCACGTTTGTCTTCTCTTGTCATTGCCGAGTAAGTGCCTCAAAAAGGCCAAGATTGCTCGCGAATGTACCCTTGGCTGTACCCGCCAATGTCCTTCCACTCTGCGGTCTAAGCTGTCTTGCAGGGCATACTTTCTGCCGTCTTTTTTGAAATATTTTTTTCTATTTTTGCTTACAAATGGGTTAAGCCGCCCGAAGACCCAAAACCAGCACGTCTATTGGTTGTGTACACATTCACATTTGAAGTTTGGTGAATCTACGCATGCAAGCTTGTTCCAGCATAAGGTTAATTTTCTGGTTCATTGAGCCGCACAATGGAAGCCATAGTCTTCTCGCTGGAGTCTGCATGTCCTCGTAAATGTACCAGAAAGAAGAAAGAACAAAGGAAAAGAGAGTAAAATTTGCGAACGTCCTTCCAGTAACGGCTGCAGACGAAACGCTCTTAGGGCGGGTCATCGCCAGAAAGAGATGTTTGACCGAGGAACCACGACAAAGGGGGGGTACCTTTGTACTAACCTTAAAAAAAGCTTAAATCAGACTTTGCGCTATGTGAGGCCAAACTCTATTTTCAGGGAGTTTTGCGTAATGTTAAAATTTATCCTCTCGTGATTCATCAGGGGTACGCTAGTCCATAGCACAAAGCAAACATAGGAGCTTTCAAAGCGCAAAATGTTTCGGTGCTCCTCGTTGGGTTGTCGGGAGGTGTCTTCTTTTTTTTTTTCACGTCTTCCTACGTTTGCTCATGTTCCCAATAGGCAATATTGTTCTTCCTACACTCCGCTGCTTCCGCTGCAGAGCCGCTGAAACTGTAGGTGGTTTCGCCGAATTTAAGCCATGGACGAGGCTCCGCCCATTTGCCGAGGCGTGTTCCAGTCTAGTGTTTACGGAGGGCCAAGGTTAACGCTGAGTCTAACTTTGGTTCTATGAGCGTTTTTTTTTTTCTATGTACGGCAAAGAAAAATAGAAAGAAAATCGCTTTCCCGTATTGGTAACAGACTTCATGTTGGTGACCTTGGGATTTGAAATTGGATTTTTTGGAAAAGCGACAGCATTGCTCGAGAGAATCTGTTTCGAACCCTGGGGTTTCCATAGGTCTCACTTCCCAGCATGTCTCTGCGCCATGCTTGCTCAAAGCCTCGTCGAATAAACCCGATCGAAGGAGGAACACAGATGTGTTGAGTGTATGAGGGAAGTAAACTTTTTAGCAAATCTTAAGTGGCTAAGGTGCATGTCTTGAGAGAGTGGCTTGCCAAGGGCAGGCGAGTGCGAGGTAATGGCTGTCATTAGCATCTTTTGCAGATGGGATCTGCTTAGCGTCTGACCGAATAGGGGTATTATTTGGGGAGAATTTCAGGAAGAGCATGTGCAGCAGATTTGAACGGTATTCAATACTCTAGTACTACTGACTCTTCCTCTCACCTCTTTGTTTGGCTCTGGAATAGGCAGGCGGCTACTGGTTTTTGTAAAAGACCCCGCAAATTTAAAGTATATTCATACCAGTACACGCTCTTAACCTGGCCTTGTGTTGTGCAGCAAGAGTATAATTAAGGTTTCACAGTCGTCGGATTTCGAGGAGACTTCTCCTTTGGTCGGGCCATAAGGCCCTACTTCTGTATAAGCTTTGGAAAGTTACTCCTCAATCTATTTCTGAGGCGGTAAAACGTTTACAGGCAAATCTAGGTTGGTGGTGGTCAAGTGGCATCAACTGGAGCTTGTTGACCCTTCAACTGCTATAGACCGTCCACCAATGAAACGATTGCTATCCAGCTGTAACATTTCTTATCTTCACTCGCCGTAAGGTGTACATAAAAACCGATTTAAACCGTCATACCGTGATGAGATATCCTACGCATCGAAGCCATTATTGGATCTACGGTGTTTCTTGTCCTCTCGGGCCATTTGCTCCCTAAGCCCGGTAACTCCTACCCTTCAAAACTATATAAACTTCAAACTCTCCCCTCGGCACTACCGGTAAACCTTCTTATTTTACCTCGCTTACTCCACGCGAGCTTGTACATGCTTCAGGGCGCTTCCCCGCATAATCAACCCATCTAGCATAGTAAGTTGTACACATCTCCTCCAAATCCAAGCATGGCACGGAGCAACTTCCGTCATCTGGCAAGTCGATTAGTCTTGACAATTGTCGGATTTGTAGACATGGTGACTGGTATGCATAAGATTGCCTGACACTTGACGAAGATATGGCTGCGTTTCGCTTAATAACGATATCTGCAAGGGATGGGCCAAACATTATCTGTCTGACAAATCCTTGCAGCACCGATGCTTCTTCTACTGAAAAAAAAAAATGGCCTGATTTCACCCAGCAAAGTGACATCAATGTCGGCTCGGCTTCAAGATCTTACTGTAGCATGAAGACCATTGTGTCTTGCCGAAGAAAAGCAATCCACTCCGGTAATAAAACAAGCAAGAAAACTAAGCAAATTCCCACCCCCTGTTGATATCCTTTTTGATTCGGAATTAACTTCGGCAAGCTTCGAGGTCTCACACTATAGCAAGAAACCACAAAGCAACATAGTTGCACAAAGTAACTATCTAAAGCCGCACAATCGAATCTCTTCTGCACAGATATGCATAGATGAATCCTCCAACTCCATGGGGTACCAATCACGAAGAGAGATGTTTGACGCCTTAGGGCGCCCATTACGGCTCAGGTGTGCCTGTCGGAGAGAATAATACACTGGAAACGCCTTTGGCAAACACGGCGAAATCTTCTTTTGGGATGGTCGCCACAGTCAGTGACAGCAATGAACCAGGTTTGTGGTAGTATTGCTGTACCACAGGCCTTTCCTTTTGAGTTCGTTAGGCTGGGTAAAAATTCGCCGAAGATGTCGAGGTAAAGATCATAAAATGGTATGAGAAAGGTATAGGAGAGCTACTGAAAGTTGTAAATATGAATAATAAAGCTTGAGAAGCTCTATGTATCGTTTGACTAAACTACCTGACATTCATCATATTATATGATGTTTCATTTATTTCCTTCATTCGGCTCTGCTGTAGTATGATATGGAGAAAATATACCATATTGCTCTCCTTTTCAAATGGAAATGGTTTTTTTCCTCTTTCCTTTTCAGAGACTCGACAAGAACCAAAGGTTCGCTGAAGCTAACTAAATGACTTCCAATTCGAGTATATTATGAGCTGGCAAAAAACAATTTTGAGCTAACTACTTAATCCCTCAAGCGTTCTGGCGACAGCTCAAAAGCAACTTTCGTAAAAGCTTGGCTGCTTACTTGGACTACCATGGCAGCGCATTCGAGGTACTACAATCCCTCTACGGCCTGTTTTGACAAGCATCTTCCCCACTGTTCTAGGCCTTCTTCATAAATCTGCACCTACTGCCTAACTAAGGAAGGAGCGTGTGAAATTGAAGGAAGTACTCTACGCAGAGGGGTCCTAGATGTATCGTGTTGAATGTTGCACAATGAGAAGAAACCTCGCAACGGGACAAAAGCAGCAGTGAATATCACTAAAATTTCCGAATTTTACCAAAAAAATCAATTCTATACTTTGTCACTTTCAAGATATGACTATCAGAATAGCGTAGAATACAGATTTACCAACGCCGCAGGCCCCACCGAAGAGCCTTTCAGATTTTTGCAAGTTAACGGCCATTTTAAGGGGGAAAAAACAGTAAAGACAGAAAAATCTCCTTTTGCGCTACATTTTGCTTCTTTTCTTTTTTAATTTAGACAAGTATCTGATTTTTGGCGTTGCTTTAAAATTTACACTTTGTGTTCTCTAGTCGTTTTCGCAGTAATTTTTCAAAAGTACTGCTCGTTCAATGAATGTTTCATATTCTATAAATACGACAAGGTGCACAAAAAGATAAAATATAAGACAACAATAGAAGAAAATTGAAGGAAAGCCACCGAATTACTTGTAAAATTGTATGGTGTGGAAAAAACGTGGGGGCGCTTGCAGAAATAAGAGACCCTGACTCTACCAATGGCACTTGCTAATCTCTTCAATAATCATAAATCAAACATGTTTAGTTTACATAACTACTTAAAAGAAAGGAAACAAAACACTGGCCAAAACAGCAAGTACAAGAGTAGGTGAAGTTTTGCCTGAACCCGAGTCACTGCTGTAGGGGAGGATTGAGTGGGTTGAAGAAAGGGCATCAGAACCGCGAAGAGACCCTGGTTGACTTCCTGGTGTTCCTTCGTTAGAGCCTGCCTTTTGCAGTGCTGTCTGGGAGTGTGGCTTCTGTAATTCGGGACCAACCTTGGAGCTGGCATGAGAGAGGGCAGAAACGCCGTTTATCATGTCCAGGATACTATTATGGATCTTGTCTGCGCCCTCCATTGCACCAAACACCTTAGTTGCCGTTCCAGAGGTGTCTTCTTGTCCTTGTTCACAACGCGTACAGTCTATTGTTGAATAAACAGTGCCCTCGTCAGCAACTAAAATAGTTGAAGGTGCATTTACCTTTGTGTTGGGGTCGTTACCAAGTACCTGAGCGCCATTGCCTTGATTAGCAGCATCACCTAGAGGGTCAGCCTTATGTCTTGGGTCCAGGAAAGGTTTCAAGAACAGAGAAGAATTCTTGTAGACGGAATGAGCCAGTTCGGAAATCTGTCCAATTCGAGAACCCGAAATTGATGAATGCTTGTGCTCATCACTTGATGGAGAATCAGAAAGGCCAAGAATTGAAGGAAAGCCTTTTCCAGAATGAGAAAGTATCGAACTGGATAAGGTTACTGAAGATCTGGAGTCGGCACCATGGACAGAGCTAATACCCAAGACCAGTGAGCCCAGTGAAACATCATGACCGCCAGATATAGTGGAATCGAAAGTGACACTGGAAGCACTATTAGGATGAGGAATTCCAGCCAAAGCGCTGTGACCATCGCTTGCGGAACTTAAAGATTCGACGAATGATGAAGGTGAGGGAATGGATGGGCTTGGTCTGGCACTGGCTGAGGCTTTATGGGATGACTCGTTCACCGATTCTGAGCTCAGCAAAAATCTAGAACTTTCGCTTTCAGAAATGGAAAATGACGAGCTTTCTGAGTTTGAGGGATCTGAACTTGTAGACTCCGAAAGTGAAGACAGTGGGCTCAAAGAGTCGGATGCGAGAACGATTTGGGAACTAGAAGCGAGCCCTGAGCTAGGTGATACCTGGTATAAGGATTCTGAGCTTGAAGTATCTAAGCTGGAAGACACCAAGTTGGAAGACTCCGAGCTGAGTGAAATAGAGACCAAGCTTGAAGAGCTTCCCAAATCTGAGTTTTTCGAGACAGAAGAAGCAGAAGGACTTTCCAAAGCAGAAGGACTTTCCAAAGCAGAAGGACTTTCCAAGGCAGAAGGACTTTCCAAGGCAGAAAGACTTTCCAAGGCAGAAGGACTTTCCAAAGCAGAAGAGCTTTCTGAGGAGCTGGAAATAACACTTGAAGCGGACTCTGAGCTTGGAGTCACCGACGAAGAGCTGAGAGAAGAGGAGGAGCTCATCTCAGAGGGTGAAGCTTGGTCTGGTATACCAGTAGAAAGGACAATGACATTTGAACCTTCCTTTAGTTGTTTGTCCTCGCTAGCAGATTGAGCTAAACCGACCTCGTCATTTTCCAAATCAAATACCATGTATGCGCTCCTAAGGAAGTTGTCTCCCAAAATGACGTGGTCATTAGTGTCAAGCAAACCCAACTGGCATCCTATAATGCTATTTCTGACGACAAAATTTTTGATCGGTACATCGATGTTGATACCTTCAAACTGGAAGGAGACCATCTCATCAGAGTTGAGAATATCACAACTAACACGATAATTACCAATGAATTTTGTGGCTGAAAACCTTTTTGCAATTGCCTGGTTATAATCCGCCGGTAAGTATGTAAAAGTTGTTCCCGTATCAAGAAGGGCTGCAACCGGGTTGGAGACTTGAAGGTTGCTTCCATTGATTCCCTTTAAGTTCACAGATAACGTAATGGGATGATCAATATAGCGAGAATAAGTATTTACTATTGGCACTTTGACGAGCGGGCCATCGAACCGAGATGTATCGTAACCACCAAAAAGCAAGTTTCCTTGTGCTGGATTGTTCTTGCCCAACCACACTGAATAAGCATTCATTTTAATTTTACCCAATCTTTTGAGACGCAATGGTAAGTTTTCGTAAACATACGAGCCTCTGCCATTTAATGGTTCATTGGTATTTTCATTCCCAATATATCCAATACCCAAAACACCGACTGTCAGTGACGTGTATGGAGCGATACCGAAAGAAAGTCCTTCCACGACATCACCACCAATATCAACATCGTCCGTGACCCAGTAGCCAAGGGCATACGTAAAATCACCATAACGGATATAAAATGCCTTATCAGTTTGATTAACCTTGAGGGTATCGGAGGTATCGGTAGCGAAAGAACCGTATTGGGTACAATGGGCAGTATCGAAAACGTAGTTAGGAGCAGCCTGGCCCAATGAGACAATAGGGTTATTGGCCAACTCAAATTCCAAAAGAGACGAAAAGTGTGGGATCAAACTATTGACGTCATCGCCAAAAAGACCCGTAAAGATAGAGCCATCAGTAGGAGTTGGGTCTGCCCTCTCCTCGAGCTCCAACTCTTCCCTTTTCTGGTATCCAAACAACTGAGACTGGGAACAAGGTGAAGTTGCAAACCAGAGGTCAGAAGAGCCAGTGTCTACCAACACCTTAACCTCTTGACCTCCACTGCCTATTTTTAACGTTGTCATGTAGAATGTCTTAGCATTTTGAAGACCAACGCTGAAGGTGTCATCTCTTTTCCCGTATTTCGGTAACTCTTCTTGTTCTTGAAGCAATTTCGCCTCCTCTCCTCTATAAATATGGAGGTCAAGCGAAACGATAGCTTGGGCTATCCCAACTAATGCGGGAAGAAGATGTAAAACTTTCATCGCCCTTGAACACCATAAAGTCTCTACGAAGCTCTTTTATACAATTGACTTCCAGCACGAACGGTGATTAATCTGCGTCCCCTTTTGCATTTTCCCTTCACATTCCCGAAATTTGGGATATTTGTGTGTATACCTTGACGTATGTTCCAGTGCTGTGCGGCTCGTAGTATTCCTCGCAACTACGTTTAGATCGACAAAGATTTTAGATGATAGAAGTCCACATTAGGGGAACAATTAAAGTTTTTGATTAGACTTTAGAAAAAAGAAAAAAAAACTAACAATAATGCTTTTCAAGCCGAAATGATAGTGTACGGTTACTGTGGGGGGAGTCTGAACGTACCATTCTTGCGTATATTTTGCAGCTGCATATTCTATTATGTCACGAGCTTTAATTAACGTAACGTTCATTTTCTTCGAGACAAGGTTGTATTAGCCTAATTTCAGATGTTTGCACCATAAATACACGTTTAGAGGGGAATTACGCCTGATAAGGCGAATAGGTGTGCGTTTCAGAGGTGGGTTAAGTCTCGGCACCTGAGGTGTTCCCATCAAAAGACGTTTACATAAAAAATTATATCCTGTCAATTTGAAGAGAGTTACCAGTGTTTCCATACTTTGCTATGTAAAGCTTAGCAGGATTTTTTGCTGAAGAAGATAAACGTCGGACACTATGTGTATGAAGGCTGGCCAAAAAATCTGATTAGGAGAAGTTTCACGCAAAACGACAGTATGGCATAACCCCAAAAAATTCATGCGGCTCATCTTTGTTGGTCTTGGCTTTTATTGTTGTTTAGAGGTATCAAGCTTGATAAGCGAGTTCGACGAAGAGTACGTGTAGCGAAGTGCTCCACTGTCACCTTCTTTTGAACATTGTGTTGATAGAAGAACCTTTGGAAGCTAATAGGTACTACAGGGCAGTGAATAATTCAGGTACTTTCAAAAATGCTTTGATTTAGCATCCAAATGATGGCCCAGTCTCGTTTGATAGAACGTTCTATCCAGCTGTCGGACATCACTGGGATATATGAAGTTAAGTCTTCCCAAAATGGTTGGTACTGGTCCCCCACAATGTATCTGGAACGACTGCTTCTTGTATCACTTCAGACGGACTTCAAGAACAGGCCAAGAAAAGGTTATTAACCTACTTTAAGATAGTCAAAACGATTCAATGAAGAGCTCAATCCATTGGGACCCAAAAAATAATTTGAAAAGTCTCGTCAAGTCATTTAGCAGAGACTGTCTGGTTTCAGGTCTGCTTGATATGCCACTTGTTCTCAACGTGTCGAGTGTAGCATGATTAACAGCGTGGGAAGAAGATACTAACTTGGATAGCCAAGGAACCTTTTACTCTGATGGTTCTGGGTAGGATAGGTTGACTGCTTCAAGGGGGGGAAGATGTGGTTAGTAAAACCTAAGGTTTCCAATGACACAATAAATAAATCTACCATTAAATAGTAGAATAGGATCAATGCTCGTGTACTATAGTAGCGAAATATAACAATGAGAATTTTTAAAATAAATTATGAGATCTTAATTACCAAATCATGGTCTCTTGATGTCCCTTTAGCTCTCTGAAATTCACACCCAAAGCACCCATTCCCAAAAAAATCAATGGTAAATTAATGCTGAACACAGTTTTCCAGGATAACCTTCAGCTATCCCAAAATGTCTTATCGAGAGGAACGGCATCACAGCGAGCCGTGCAATTATTGTGGTGCACGGCGTCTCGGTGTAGTCGGTTCTTATAAGGCAGCCCAGTTTGCTCCTGCTGCATCTCATAATTGGGTTTCTTATTGGCAGAGATTTGCAAAATCCAAAAAAATCGGGCGGCCCTTGCATGTTTTGACGAGCTACATAATGCCGCAACTTAATATAACCATCAAATAGACCGCTTATTACTTTTGCGGCACTTTCATAGGTAGATCAAAAGCTCTTAGCTGACGTCAAGGGAAAGTAGAAGAGACAAAATCTCATTGAATCACGGCAACTTCCACATCACACACAGGAAGTCTCTGTAAAGATGATAGACATATCATCGATACTCTACATAGATCTCTTGTTATCGGAAATCCACCACGATGTGGATCTAATAAGCCACACTTTTCTACACACCATGAGAGATACACGCAAAAGCTCATAACCTAACAAGGCTGATAAGCTGTCATGATGAAAAAGACACGGCAACTCATCACTACCTTAATTACCAGCTTGCAAACTCGAATATCCTTGCTGGGATGACTTTGAATCGGCACCAGCGCTATTCTGCTCTCCCGCCAAATATTCATGCGAAAGGCTGTCAAGAAAGCTTCTCTACAACCACAATTTGTCTTGGCATCACTTAGGATTCTGTCAAATGGTATCTTGGCAAGATGCAAAGCGACGAAATGTGCCCACGTCTTGATTTTTCTTTACAATGGTCCGTAATTGTTTTACTCATTTGACTTGTCAGGGGCTTAGTTTGTCTCATACCGACCTTGTAGCCCCACCAGTTCTTGATACTGAGAAGTGATGCCACGCGATCGGTAGGACAGTAGCCACATCTGTGGTTTCTCCATAGGCATTTGTCCGCACGCGAGGTTAAATTATGAAGTCGCATAAGTGACCATCGGTTACGTAGATATGACATAATTTGTCATTGCTTTTTTGTGGAAAGAAGATATGACAAAATCTGGATGTCTGTCCAAAACGGCCTGTCGAAACTTTTTGGCTTGAAAAAATTATATTAGATGGTAGTCATATTTGCTCTCATTTAAGGGTTTCTTGCTGTGTTGATTAGCGCAAGTGAAGCCTAGCAAATCATATTTTGCGCCCGCCACACTTGCCTCGTTTCCCACACCACGGGCCGCTCGGTAAAAGATGCTGAGAGCCGATGAAGCTTTTGCATAACCTGCGTCTAATTTTTGCAGCCACGGCTTACAGTCCTAGAATGGTTTCCATGAGAAGACCAGAATATAAATTCGAAGTGGTTTCATGCCCTTGAATGCTTTTTTGTTTGATCAACAACCATGTCAGAGAAGATTGATCATATTACTAGTATCACTAGTACTGGAAACAGACATGATGCTGCCGACCATGAAGTTGATCTTCAGGCTGTTAGATCAGAGCAGTACGCCGTGGAAGGGATTGCTGAAGACCTTACCTTAGAGCAGAAGTACTATATCATTAAAAGATTGAACTATGAGAACCTTGAGAATTTCGAGGACTTGCCAGCAACTGCCGCCTTTATTTTGGAGAAGATCGAACATTTGAGTGCTGCCGAATCCGAGGTAATTTTAAAAGATTTCTTGGAAGAGCATGACGGAGACATCAATGTTTCGATCGAAGATTATGACTTTGTAAAGACCTTGGTTGACTACCCTGGAAAAGAGACCTCTGGAAAGGTGAACTTTAATAATTCTTCAAGTGACGAGAAACAAGAAGCAGTCGTCAGAGAACATTCGCTTTCGTCTGAAGAGTCTGGAGCAACTAACAAAATATTCGATTGGGATTTGCAAATTCGTACTGAGGCTGCTCTTGTGGCTTACTGGTCTCCTTACGCTGAAGTGAGAGCTGTTACCGACCCATTCGACGACCCCGAAACTCCATGTGAAACATTCAGAGTTTACGTCATTGGTATAATTTGGGTCGTCCTTGGTACAGTTATTGGCCAATTCTTTGTTGAAAGACAGCCTGGTATCTCTTTGTCCTCAGCAGTTGTGCAACTTTTTGTTTTTCCTTGCGGAAAACTCCTTGAAGCTATTTTACCCGCTAAGAAAATCAACATCTGGAGATGGTCTATTGACCTTAACCCTGGCCCTTGGAGTCATAAGGAACAGATGCTTGCTACACTTTGCTACAGTGTCAGTGGTGGTGCAGTTTATGCTACATACTTCATCAACCTTCAGAAGTTAGACAGATTCTACGCTAACCCAAGCTTTAAGATTGGTGCTCAATTCCTTATGGTTTTCGCCTCTAACTTCATGGGTTTTGGATTTGCAGGTGTCTTCAGAAAGTATGTTGTATATCCTACTGCTGCCATTTTCCCTAACCTTCTTCCAACCCTCGCCATCAACAGAGCATTGGCACAACCAGAGAAGAAAGAGACAATCAACGGCTGGAGAATCTCGCGTTACAGTTTTTTCTTGATTGTCTTCGGTGCCTCGTTCTTGTATTTCTGGGTTCCTGACTATCTTTTCCAGGCACTTTCAACGTTCAACTGGATCTCCTGGGCTGCCCCAAACAACTTCAATGTTGCAATTATTTCTGGATCTCAGACCGGTTTGGGGCTCAACCCGATCACCACCTTTGATTGGAACTACATTCTTGGTGCGCCATTGAGTGTCCCATTTTTTGCCACTATTAACAACTACTTGGGTTCCTTGGTTGGTTTCATCTGTATTGTCGGTCTTTATTGGTCGAATTATAAGTGGACAGCATACTTGCCTATCAACTCGAACCTGATCTTTACAAACACGGGCCAATACTACTCTGTCACGGCGGTGTTGGATAGCAACCAAAAGCTTGACCAGGAAAAGTATGAGCAGTTAGGACCACCATTTTATTCTGCCGCTAATATGGTTGCCTACGGTACTTTCTTTGCATTGTACCCATTGAACTTCTTTTATGTCATTCTCACCGAATGGAAGAAGATTCTGTTTGCAACCGTCTCCTTGTTCAAGTCTTTCAACTTCAAGAGAAGAAGCTCAACTTATGAAGGTTTTGATGATCCTTTTTCCACCTCTATGAAAGTCTACCCAGAAGTTCCTGAATGGTGGTTTTTCATTATTTTGATTATTTCTATCGTGTTTTCCATCATCACTGTTGAGGTCTATGATTTACAGACCCCAGTATGGACAATTTTCTTTGCACTCGCTTTGAACTTCGTCTTCTTGCTTCCATTCGTCATAGTTTATGCGTCAACCGGTACAAGTATGTCGATCAACGTCTTGCTTGAGATGATTATTGGATATGCTTTACCAGGTAACGGTACCGCTTTGAACTATGTTAAGACTCTTGGTACCAACATTGATGCCCAGGCTGAGAACTATATCACCAACCAAAAGCAAGCCCACTACTGGAGAATCGCTCCAAGAGCACTCTTTAGAGTACAGGTGGTGTCTGTTGTTCTCAACAGTTTGGTTTCCGTTGGTATTTTGAACGTTACATTGAACACCATTGATGACTACTGTATGCCTGGTCAATCCCAAAAATTTACTTGCCCTGGTACAAACACCTTCTACTCTGCATCAGTGCTTTGGGGTGTCATTGGCCCCAAGAGAGTCTTTGGTGGTCTTTATCCTATCTTCCAATGGTGTTTCTTGATTGGTTTCTTGCTTGCTTTCCCTTGCTGGGCTGCTAAGAGATATTTCGGGAAGTATGCGGTAGTGAAGTATTTCCATCCGGTTGTATTTGCTGCTGGTTTGATGAACTTCGCACCATATAACCTCAGCTACTACACACCAGCTCTCTACTTGTCGTTTGTTTTCATGTACTACTTGAAGAGTAACAAGCTTGCGTGGTGGCAGAAATACAACTATCTTCTTTCAGGAGGTCTTTCAGGAGGTATTGCTTTTAGCAGTATCATTATCTTCTTTGCTGTGCAATACCATTCGAAACCAATTTCTTGGTGGGGTAATAATGTCAACGACAATGTTCTTGAAGCCACTTACCCTTCAAGACTCAATGCTACATTAGATGCCCCTGGTGGATACTTTGGACCAAGAGCCGGCCATTACCCATAATTTAAGTAAATAGTGACAATTTAGACATTTTTATTGAAATAAAAAAAAAAAAAAAGAAAACAAAGAAAAACATAACAGAGATCATGGTTCCTATTTAACCATAGTAATGTCTTATCCTGGAATAAATCCAAGGAAAATTACACATTCTGTTAGGAAAGATCAATCAGTATAGATATTGAGTACACAGATAACTACTATAAGAAAAGCGACACTCAATTCAAGATCTTTACATATAATTTTTTCCTAAGCTAAATTTCCAGAAAAAAAACTTGTATTTACTTATTTATAAAGACAAGAGATAAAAAAAAGGAAAAAAAAAAAACAGTTTAAAAAGCAGTTTAAGACCGTCTGGGAGGTCTTGGGTCTCTGGCTTCCCTTGAAGGTCTAGGCTCCCTAGACTCTCTAGGCTCCCTGGACTCTCTAGGAGCTCCTGGTGGTCTTGGAGGCTGAGGAGGTTTTGGTGGGCGAGGCAAGCTGCTCCCACCGGAGGAAGATTGATTGGAGTTGTTTGACATTCTGTGGTGGTGGGGAAGAAAAAGAAAAAATAAAAGGAGGATGACAATTCGAGATTATTTATACTTCAGGACGATAGAGCTAGCCAGAATTTTTTTGACGAGAGAGTGGGGCCCCTGAAGCGCAAAGTATGCTGGTTAACGCTATACGAAGCAGCCTTTGTCTACTGATCACCACAGAGAGGTAAGCAAATTATAGCGGGTAATATGATGCCAATAAAATCAAACAAGAAATAACAAAACAACAAGAGCAACCATTTGGATAAACCTTACAGGAACTTAAACAATAGATTCAATGAGATACTTATCACTATATAGACAAAAAGCGGCCCCCCCTTTACCTTACTAATTATTGCTATCTTCACGAGGTTCTCTTGGAGATCTTGGCCTTCTGGGAGGCCGAGCTTCGCGTGGTGGTCTTGGAGGCCTCGGTTGTCTAGGTTCCCTTGGCTCTCGAGGCTCCCTCGAAGGCCTAGGTGGGCGGGGTGGTCTTGGAGGCCGAGGCAAGTTACTGCAAGGGGCCTTGGAATTATCAGCTTGCAGCTGCTTACCTTTGTTTCCCTTCTTCATTTTTGTGTTGGCTCTCATCCCTGAAATTGGTGAAGTCAATGGAGCGTAAAAACAAGCTTTAATACCGAGCAAGAACAATGAAAGAAAAAAAGGGAAATCAGAAAACTTAAGCAGGGATACTGGGTTTATATAGTAGCCATCTTAGTCGAGGTTTCAGGTCAGACATTTGAAACATGAGCCAAACAAGCCAGTTTCAGATAAGACCACCGAAAAAAAAAAAAAAAAAAAATAAGATGACTTATGTCTGCTGATGCTATGGAATGCAGTGATTTTCGTTATGAATCGATATGATTTTCTATGAAATATTTTGATGTGAGGAAACGCAATTCCTAGATTTCCCTTCCTCATGCTTCAACAGCATGAAGTTGCATTCCGCGTCAAATTTGGTATAATGGCTTTAGACGAATACCAAAAAGGTATTTTGTACCTCGTGGAAATGTGCCCCTCAGTTCTACCTCCAATGATATACTAGTAATCTTCTTTAGCCTCAGTCAAAATAAGTACTAAGCGTATTTTGACGTCAAGTGAGTTTCAAGATTTAAAACTTTACAAACGAGAATCTTATCCTACAACTTAGAGCACAAAATACATTTTTTTAAAGATAAACGACACTTTCCTGGTCTATAATAACGACATAGCCAGAAGCCATTAAAACAAAAACATTAGAAATTAACAGGGAAGTGCAATCAAGGGAAGTTACCTCTCCTAGGGCCAAAGTATCCGTCTGGAGCGTCGACTGTAGCATTAAGTCTCCTAGGAGAATAGTAATCGAGCACGGTAGAGTTCACATCGTTACCCCACCACGAGATGGAATAGCCATGGTAGTGGACAGCGAAAAAGATAATGATGGCACTGAAAGCAATACCTCCTCCAATACCACTGGCAAGGATATAGTTATACTTCTCCCACCAGGCAGTATATCTCTTTCTAACCCAGTACATGGAAGCAAAACCAACGTAAATAGATGGCGTAGCATAAGACAAGTTGTAAGGAGCGTAGCCCATCATACCAACACTGAAGACAATTGGATGGAAGTACTTGCCAATGAGAGTTCTTCCGTAGTACTTCTTAAGGGCCCAACATGGGATAACCAAAAGGAAACCGATCAAGAAACACCACTGGAAGATAGGGTAAAGTCCACCGAAAACCTTCTTTGGACCAATGACACCCCAGATAACAGAGGCTGAGTAGATAGTAGTGGAGCCTGGACAGGTGAATCTTTGTGGCTGTAATGGAGTACACAAGTCCTCCACGGTATTCAACACAAGGTTGACAGTACCTGTGGCAACTAAACTGTGGACGAGAACGGAAAGTATTTGAACTCTGAAAAGTGCTCTTGGAGCAATTCTCCAGTAGTGTGCTTGCTTTTGGTTGGTGATATAATTCTCGGCTTGAACATCAATGTTGGTACCCAAGGTCTTGACAAAGTTCAAAGCAATACCGTTACCTGGCAAGGCGTAGCCAATAATCATCTCGAGCAAAACATTAATGGACAAACTGCTTCCTGTTGAAGCATAAACAATGAGAAATGGAAGCAAGAAGACAAAGTTCAATCCAAGAGCGAAAAAGATAGTCCAAACTGGGGTCTGCAAATCATAAACCTGAACGTTAATAATAGCAAGAACCACACAAATGACTAAAATGATAGTAAACCACCATTCTGGAACTTCAGGGTATCTCTTCATCGAGGTACTGAAGGGATCTTCGAAACCATCGTAAGTGGAACTTCTCTTTTTGAAGTTGAAGGATCTTCCTAAACCAACAAGAGCATCCTTAATTTTCTTCCAGTCAGTCAAAAGCACGTAAAAGAAGTTCAATGGATACAAAGCAAGGAAAGTTCCATAGACAACGAGATCTGCAGCAGTGTAGAATGGTGGACCCAAAAGCTCATATTTCTGTTGGTCGAGTTGCTTGTTCTCTCCCAAAATAGCTGTAACTGAGTATGGCTTACCTGTGTTGGAAAAGATACGGTTTGTGTTAATTGGCAAGTAGGCGGTCCATTTGTAGTTTGTCCACCAAAGACCTGCAATGATGAAAAGCGCAGAAACGGTTCCCAAGTACAGATTCAATTGTGCGAAGAAAGGAACAGCAAATCCACTAGTACCAATCAAGTTGAAGTCAAACGAAGTGATTGGGTTAAGTCCAAGTCCTGTGAATGATCCCGTGATGGTTGCCACATTGAAGTTTTCTGGCGCAGCCCAAGAGATCCAATTGAAGTACGTGAGAGCATTGAAAAGGACATTTGGAATCCAGAAGTACACAAAGGAAATACCAAAGACAATGAAGAAGAAATAGTATCTGGAAATCTTCCAACCGTTGATGTTCTCCTTCTTTTCTGGTTTAGTCAAGGCTTTGTTAACTGCAAGTGTAGGAAGAATGGTTGGCCAAACTGCTGTGACAGGGTAAATGACGAACTTACGGAAAATTCCCGCCAATCCAAAACCCAAAAAGTTGGAAGCAAAGACAAGAAGAATCTGACCACCAAAATCGAAGTCAGGGTTGTTGTAGAACATTTCTAATTTCTGGGTCACAATGAAGTACGAGGCATAGACACCTCCACCACTGACACTGTAAAACAAGGTGGTCAACATCTGCTCTTTATGACTCCAAGGGCCAGGGTTAAGATCAAGAGTCCATCTCCAAACCTTAAACTTCTTAGCAGGAAGAATCTTAGAAAGAAGCGTACCCAATGGATAGACAAAAAGTTGCACCACACTTGAACCCAAACCAATACCAGGCTGCCTCTCGGTGAAGTACTGGTTAATAAAAGTTCCAATAATAACCCAAAGTAATCCAAGAAAGTAAACTCTGACTGTCTCACAAGGTGTTTCTGGATCATCAAAAGGATCAGTGACGGCCCTAACTTCTGGGTAAGGTGACCAGAAAGCAATCAAACCAGCTTCAGTTCTAGCCTGTAAATCCCAATCAAAGATAGTGTTCCACTTGGCAGGCTCATCGGATTCAACAGAAAGCTCATGAACAATTGCATCTTCCTTTTCATTAGAACTCAGATCGTTCCTGGCTTTCCCAGATGATAAGGAGCCAGCTTTTTCAGACGATTCGTAAGACACCTCAGAGGACTGGTACTGAGCAAGCAGCTCAATAAAGTCATAGTACTCAATACTGATGTTAACATCATCTTTATGATCCTCCAAGAACTTCTGAAGCACAACTGAGGCTTCGTTAATATCAAGATGGGCAACCTTGTCAATCATGAACACTGCACTGGGAGGTAAATCATCAAGGTCCTCAAGATTCTCCTGTTCAATTCTCTTAAGGATATAGAACTTCTGGTCCACAGTAAGCTCTCCCAAGGAATCTCTCAACCCAACATGTTGTCTGTTGGCAGCATCCACGTCGATTTCGAAAGTCTCAGGGTCTCTCGTGTTATGGTCACTAGTAATGCTAGCAATACCAACAAGAGGATTTTCTTTCTCAGACATTATCAAGTGATGAAGAAGTGAAAAATTGATGATTTTCAAGGCCTTTTATAATCTCTTCTGAACTTAGAAGATTCAGCCACAGCTTTTTTGAAATGGTTGCAAAATATGCAACGAAAGCAAATGCAACAATATCCTTTTGTGGAATATCATGCATGGTTTTTTAAATTGAGAGATTTATATGATTCCCCCAATTTTGATTTGGCAATGATAGGCTGTCTTTATTATCTTTTTAAGAATACCAGAGAGAAGCCCATTTTGGCATCCACTTAAAGCATGTCTACATTTCTGGTACATCCAACATGTAAAAAAAAAGAAAAAAAATTCCAGTAAAACAAATACAATCAAGACGCCTTGTGTTGAGTGGTGATGCCATAGATGATGCAAAGATGATTTTCTGAAAATAACCGCAAATTAGTCTCACCACAGAGCCCTTCGTTGCCAAGACTCCACCACACTTTGACAGCTGCCGACAAATACCGCTAGCAAGAGTGGCTCCTGAATACCATTGTGCTAGTTATTTTCTCTTTTTTATGAATCTAACAGATTTGTCTTTAGTAGAGATGTGCATCACGTAAAGACTTCTTCATCTCCAGAGTATCGTAAAAAGTGAGGCTTTACAGCTCCGCAATGCGATGGTCCAACCACAGCACCGAACCGATAGAGCCGCATGGATAATGGATAAGCGCCCGGCAGCTTCAAACACTTTTCTTCTTGTTGTTTTCCAGTGATCACCATTCTTGACAGAGAATGACTATTGACGTCGCCAAGGAAAAAGCAGGAGCAGTACAAGTCAATCAGCAACCACTTGACTACTCTTGCAGCGTTCTAAGGGCACGGAAGGGTGTAATCAACAGTTAAATTAGTTCTTTGAAAATTTGAAATTTACCAAATTACCATGGTGCACAAGACGGGGTCCCTTGATTTCTGTGGTATTTTCGCTGGTAGGTGGTGTATTAGATCCTTGTGACTATAGCCACAGTTCCAGGTTCACCAGTTCATACAGTTCTGTTAGCGGCAAAGTTGCCTGTCATTAAATCTTGGCACAGGGGAACGACGTCAAAAAGTGTGAAAATTTTCTTGGGTCCTTTGAAAACGACGTATTACTCTTTCTGCGTCGGCTTGAACTGGAAGTTGAACAGCCGATGGATGAAAAGCGGGATTGAAGAAGGTCTTCAGGTGATAAACTAGCCTACGAAAGAAGTAAAAGAAGAGAAATGAGTTGCCTTGGTCCAGTCAAAGCACTCAACTTGATTAAAGCCGGCATAATAGTTGACGCAAAGGAAGTAGGAAGATTCTAACCATCTCGCTTAATATCTCCTTCTGAAATACTATCCCACCAATAAACGGCGCAAGTTTGTAAAAGGAAGCTGCTATCTGTGGCGCTTCCCGTGAAATGAAGCGCCTTGCATCAACTATTCGCAGCCTAAAGCAATACTCACTCAACTCGACGTTTAGATTAGACTGGTGAGATGATGTTCAGAATATCTAAAGAGAACATTCTTTTATTTAATTTTGTTAAATTATCGGAAATATAGCAACCTCTGGAAAGTAGCAGTCAGATAGTAGTTGTAGACTCAAGAACGAAGCTAGCAAACTCAAGGGTATTCGTCTATAGGACACTCACAAGACTAACCAGGCTTCTAAACGCCGAGTGAACCACATCTTTGATTTTCCTTTTTTGGTAATGTCGGCCCGTAGGGATCAAGCTATCTTTGATTGTTGGATTGGAAGGAATTGCCGCATATCGGAGCCGTGCGCTTTTTAGTGCCTTAGCGCTGAGTTACAAACTGGAGAAAAAAGGCACCACAATTACAAGTTGATGTAAGTTGCATAAGGCGGGTCGTACTGAGATGATTAAGCCGCTATGGAATCGTGTTATTCGATGCCCGCCCACTGGTGAAGACACAAACTTTTTTTTTTTTTCATTAATGAGTACAACGAAATGTCTGAAAGTTTCGTAGCTTCTTGGAGATATTCCTGTTTTTCTAAATTGACCTGGAGCGCAACCATTGGCACCCTTGCTCAAAGCACCTCTCGTATCCTCAGCTCCTCATCCGAGAAGATAAGCATGATGATAAAAGAAAGTATGGTTTGAGTACTTGGAACCTGACAGATCAACGAGCAATCTCTCTGCCTTGCCAAAACGTTTGTTAACCGATCCAAAGCTACAATCAATACTCGAGATCACGCTGGAGACCGGTCCACATCTCATAAATACCTAATTCACTGCTTGACTGCCCCAAAATGCTTAACTCTTATAAGTTTTAGCCTTGATTATACTCAAGAGCAGATATATTGCCTGGTTAGATGCTACTGCAAAAGCCTCATCCCCCAATTACGGAGTAATCTCCCGGTTATCTTCATCGCTCAAGTCGTCAAGCTCAAAGTTCTCGATATCATTTGCAGAAAGGTTAGCATAACCGTCCAATTTGGTAAGCTCTCCATTCTCGTCGTACCCGACCAATCTCAAGTACAATGTAAGAAGCATTTGCATCCACAAATAGATCATGAAGCCAGCACCACTGACAACCAAAATATAGGAAGAGTGGTCGGCACCCAAATCGTGTACCAAGTTGAGTTGTTCTTCATTAGCAGACATGAACAAGATACCCGAAAGCACCAAACTGAAAGGGGAATGTGCTGAAATGCAAGAATCTTGCCGTTGTCACTAGCACCATTATCCTTTAGCAAGAAGCAAATCTCGATTATTCTTGAAAGCCCACCAGACATAAGAACGAGCCCGAAAAGTCCATGGACTTTTGTGGAGATCACCAAATGCTGCGAATGCTCAGACATGGCCCAACCGGTATAGATCAAGAGCAACGCTGGCACCACAGATCTGTTATTATCTTTTCTGGAGAGCCACATTCCTAGGAGCCCACCGCACCACCAGATGATACCCATGGATGTGTGCTGGTAGTCGCCATGATTCCACTCTTCTCTGCCCCATCTATGTTCTGTGAAAGTGTTAACAATACCCCAAAGGCACATGATAGAGGAATCGTAAAACTCTTGACTTTTAACGTTAGGGTCACCATTAAGTCTGCGGTGATTTCTGATCCACGGAACCATAAGGACCCAGGCCAAAACGAAGCCATACAAGATAAACGACGAGCCCATAATGCCATGAGCAATACATTGTCCAGTAGCCTTATTATAACAGAATCCAAAAAGGGCAACCGGTGCCATACAGACACGCACCCAGCCTGTCAATGTTGAAGTAAATGCCAATGTCTTGTAGGCACGAATGGCCACTCTGGAAGGAGTCGAGTAAGCGTTCTTAGCCTTCTGGGGCCAGAACTTGTTCATCACAATATTAGACCCATTAATCAAAGTCCCCAAAAACACAGTCACTCCTAGTTCCCAGGTCAAAAACCAGCCTGTACCTGTAGATGTCCTATTCTCATGGTTGTCCACGTTGTCTGGAAACTCCAAAAACAACGACTCAAACAAAGAGTATGCAAAAGCAACAATATGAAGCACCGAAGCCAAGTGGAAAACCTCGGCAAACGCCAACACTGACGCCACCGATGGAAGGATCAACAGTAAAAATAACGTGAGGATCCAATGGAACGTCTTTGAACCCGCATTGACCGGATGGAACTCCACCTTCTCGCCCATATCCATGTCCATGCCATCAGCCCACGCTAGAGCTGCAACGAGCACTAATGGTAATATTCTTTTAGCATAAGTCATTGGTGGTCTGGAAAGATCGTAAGGTCTTGGGTTGAAAAACCGAGCCTCCGAGATGTATGGGTGTGGCAGGAAGAACCAGTGTTAGAAACGTCCACCATCTGGGAATAGGGAGAGTTGTTGGATATACTGGATTTGGGGTCTTATGGGTCGTTGGAGTAGATGGTTTGGTTACTGGAGTGGCTTGTTTTGTAGTTGACGCGTAGAAGCTCTGTTTGTGGTATCTCAGTGAAGACAAGAGTAACACGACTTGGACTGAAAAATGAGGGCAAAGAAGCGAAGTAGTTGGAATTTTGGATAAGGGATGCTTTAAGATCATCTTTGGATTATTTGTGTGCTTTGATTGGCTCTTATTGTTGCATTTGGTTGTGGTTCACCGTACTACGGTGATAGAGTAACGCAGAGAGCATTAAGTCCAATGTGGGACTCCAAATTGGGAGAAGTAAAAGAATAGTGAGTAATAGACTGCTTAAAAAATGTTGAAACACATGCTTTTGTCAGGAAGGACCATGGATAGCGTTCAATGTCTACAGTGGATACGCTAGTGGGCCAATGGGATGGGCTTCTAGACATTGGACTTCCTAAGACCATAAGTGTACAAGTAAGGTTTTATGATGTCAAGTTCAATGTTTATAGCATTTGACTTTGTTATCAGAATCCACACTGATATCGATGACGTCAAGTGAATTCGTCAGTGGGTTGGAAGTTCATCAGAAGTGGCCACCCGTTTGAAATATCAAACTTTTATCAAATAAACAGAAGCAAGATGAAAAAAGACTGGGGCTTAGTTCAACTTCCTACGGCTACTTTAGTGCTTTGAAGGCTTGAAGGTCCCACCAAATGCACACCTGATAAGTTCCTGGGTCACCTAAATACTCAACAACTGGCCCTGGCAGGGAAACACTCCCCCAAAGCTCTCATCTCGCTCTGCATTTTTCCTCGGATTATATATCTTTTTCATGGCAATTGGCCAACTTCAAGTGGCCCTATCGGCTCGGAAGCCGACCACAGTAGTGTGGCTCATCTAACCGCATAAACGAGGCACCGAGGTGCATTATCTACCTCTAACCGGCTTTGTCCATTTTCCGCCACAAAAGGGTGAAATGGGTGGAAGGTGAATAAACAATAAGCAGCTGATAATTGGGTTATTCTTCCACTCACGGCTCCGAACGACAGGTGTGGACCGACTGTCAAAATTGATAAGTTGCGTTTATGAAGCCGCACGTACCGATTTAACCGCCATATACTTATCAGAAATGGATGTGTCAGCTTGGTTTCTTGGTCGATGCTCTGGTAACCAAAGATTTGAAAAGATATTTGGTCGTGAAGAACTGATAAAAAAGGAAGCTACATCTATTTGAAGTATTGGAACAGAAGGGTTTGTTGCTACAGCTAATAGTGAAAATTGTTGAGGGTGGACGAAGTTACACAAAACGACTAAATCAAATTGGGGTCCACAACTGGCACGGCACCAAAACGCAGACCTCAGGGGTTTATCATTTCCAACCCTGGGTGCCTTGACGATTTTCATATAAAGGCTTTGACTTGCTTGTTGGTGGCTACTCCAAAACTAACTAAATTTTGATTTGGCAGTTTCTTTCACCATGGCTAGCCCAGAATGTTCATTCAGAGGGTCGCTATATCAACCATTAGTCGACCCACACAGGAGTGCCCCAAACCCTTGTTTTGTCGCTTCTACTTCTACTATTGCCCAAGGCCTTCTGGGCGTGTTCGTCTTAGTTCAGATCTTGTTGGTATTCTATACCCATTATGGACCTCACCGGATCAGGTACTCTTTTGGTAATGCTTTATCCACGAGAAGTGTTGGTTTATTTCAATTAGTACGCGTACTGTTGGCCTTGCTTCATGGTACTCTCCTTCTTGCCTTGACTCACACTCTTTATGAGAATAATGCTAGACTAGTGACTACTCAATTAGCTCTAGTGCTGCTGGTTGTCACCTTTGCCACGGTTGTACCTCTCCACGTTTTGGAAGTCACACGTTCTGTGGTTGGCCACGGCTCGTTATTATTGTACTGGTTCATCTCGGCATTACTGTTTTCTATCATCACAGCGATTGATTTGTTTTCTCCCCATAAAGTGTTCGTTCCTTCTTCAGGTAAGAAAGCAGCTTCTTTTACTTATACCCTCGAGTTTTCATTGATTATAATATCGACTATCAATTTCATTCTCGAGAACCATTATTATTTGCCTTCGAAGGAGCTCTTGGAGTACTTTGACTTGAATGGATGGGATCCTTCGACGGTTAAGAATCTCGTTGAAACTCTTCTCTTCACCTGGGTGACGCCCTTGTTGGGAAGAATCCAAGCAAAGGATTCCTTCGAAAAGGACGAAATTCCGAATGTTGCACCTGGCTATGCAAATGATGTTTTGTTCCAGAACCTCGAAGCAGCTTGGAACAATGAGATCAAAAGGGCTACCTGGTGGAGAGATCGAAGAGTTTCAAAGAGCAAGGAACCCACCGAGGAAGAACGCAAAATCAAGCCCTCTCTTCTCCTTGTGATTTTTAAGCTCAATTGGTCCAAAATTATTGCTGCAGCGCTTCTTAGATTCGCCGATGTTTTACTTTCGACAGCCAACCCCTTCTTTGTGAAGGCCTTCATCAAATTCTTTGCTCTGTACACATTTTTTAAAGGATCAGAGCAAGGACCCCCACTCATACAAGGATTTGCGTTGGCGTTTGGTATTTATGGTATATCTGTGGCAAAATTCTTAGCTGGAAGTGTTGCGGAAGTCTTGTTTTCAGAAGTTGACTTCGGCGTACGTTCTGCTCTTATCACTTCCACTTACGAGAAAGCTATCAAGTTGTCACCGGAGGCAAGAACACACAAAACTGCCGGTGAAATCATCAATCATGTCTCCATTGATATAAATGGTGTATCTTCATGGCTTCACCAGGCGTCATCTGTTCTAGTTGCGCCGGTACGCTTAGTATTATCGCTAGGTGCGTTATACAAACTTCTTGGAAACTCTACATGGGCGGGCTTTGGAGTTATATTGGTGTTATCACCAATTTCGTCCGTAATGGGGTTTTCCCTTGCATCGTTATTCAAGGCGCAAATGGAGTACAAGGACAAGAGAATCAAACTCACATCAGAGATCCTCAACTCCATTAAGTCACTCAAACTCTACTCCTGGGAGAAGCCTATGCTCGAAAAGCTCAATAAGGTGAGAAACACCGAAGAGCTCCAGTACCAGAAAAGAATTGGAGTAAACATTGCTGCTAGTCAATTGGTGTGGGAAAGTATTCCTGACTGGATCACGTACACTGTGTATGCTGTTTATGGTATTTACAGCAAGCTGCCTCTTACGCCAGACATAGTGTTTTCTTCTTACTCGCTTTTCAACCAGCTCCTTCAACCTATCATTATGATTCCCTTCTTGCTTATCAATCTTCTCCAAGTGCGGGTTCATCTGTCTCGATTGGAATCCTACTTCTCCTTGGATGAGTTGAACACGCCATTTAATCACACCAACAAGCCATTGAAAGAGGGAGATGTCAGTGTATCCTTGAAGAATTCCTGGTTCTTTTGGACTCAAAAAGACGCCGATGACTCTGAGAATGAAACAAGCTATGCATTGAAGGATATAAATTTTGAAGCCAAAAAGGGTCTGTTGACCTGTATTGTTGGTAAAGTGGGATCAGGAAAAACTACCCTTTTGAAGTCAATTATCGGAGAGCTCCCCACATCAAGCAAAAGGAGTCATCTGGAGGTAAATGGAAAAATTGCTTATTGTGCTCAAAATGCTTGGATCCTTAATGCAACTCTTAAACAGAACATTCTTTTTGGCAAGCGATTCAACGAGGCTTTCTATAATAAAACAATTGAAGCTTGTCAATTGCTACCAGACCTCGAAGCTTTACCGAAGGGTGATGCAACACTTGTGGGTGACAAGGGAATATCTCTCTCAGGTGGCCAAAAAGCCCGTCTTTCGTTAGCTAGAGCGGTTTATGCTAGAGCAGATATTTATTTGTTGGATGATGTTTTGTCAGCGGTCGATTCGTACGTTGGAAAGAAAATTATCGATGCTGTATTGTCATCCAAGGGTTTATTGGCTTCAAAGACGATTATTCTTGCTACCAACTCTGTCAAGGTTCTTAAGGAAGCTGGCCAAATTTACTACATCAGTAAAGGAGAAATTCTTGAGCACGGATCTTACAAAACTGTTATACAACAAGGAGGAGATTTAGCTACCCTTATAAAGGAGTTTGAAGAGGAGTCAAATAATCATGCTTCAGAAGGAGAAGAAGAAGAAGAAGCATTTAATGAAACGAAAACCCTGGATGCTGCTCCTTCTGCCCCAATTTTGTTGTCAGACCTGAGTGGTTTGTCCCATGACACTATTGTGCCTTTGAAAAGAGTAAAGAGTAATCAGACAATTGGAAATGCGTCATTAGTATCGTTTGGCCATGTCTATGCGGATGACAATCAACCCACCAAAGGTGAAGATGACGAAGATAGTACCCAAGAAAAGAAACAATCTGGAAGCGTAAAAGCCCGGGTCTTTCTTGAAGTTGCTAAAGCTAGCAAATACCAGTTTGTGATTCTATGGGCTGTCGTGATCTCCCTAGCAGTAATTATTGGTATCTATCGTAACTTGATCTTGAAGCTGTGGTCAGAAAAGAACGAGAAGTCAGGGGAAAATGTTCAATTGCGCTTCTATCTTTCATTGTATGCTGCTACAGGTGTGCTCGTTGCACTTATCAAACTTGTTGGAAGCTATGTCTTATGGGCTTTCTGTGCTTTGAATTGTGCCAAGTTCTTTCATGATCGAATGGCCCGCAGTGTTATAAAAGCCCCAATGTCATTCTTCGACACTACTCCAATTGGACGAATCTTGAATAGATTTACCGACGATGTTTCAGTCCTGGATAGCCTGGTCCTTCCTTTATTCGGATACTTATTTGAAGCCGCAATCCTGACTTTAATTCAGGTTGCCACGATATTGGTAAACTTACCGGGATTGACCATTGTGGTCTTGTTGCTTTCTGCTCTTTTCCTTCAATACAGAAAGTGGTACATTCCAGCTTCAAGAGAGCTTAAACGTCTTCAGTCCACGTTGAAGAGTCCTATTTTCTCACATCTTCAAGAATCTATTGACGGAACTGAAACGTTGAGGGCGTACAGTGAACAAGAGAGGTTCAAATATCTCAGCAGAAGGTTGGTTGACGACGTTACCAGAGCTTCACTTCTTTCCGTGAATGTCAACCAATGGTTGTCGATAAGGCTTCTGTCTTTATCCTCAATCATTGTATTAGCTTCTACAATACTGTGCCTCCTTACCTTGTTGACGAAGCATCCCCTTTCTACCGGAATGGTTGGCTTCCTTTTAGCCTATGCGGTATCTTCTACTAGTTCGCTCGATATGATTATCAGAATAGCCTCTAGTGCTGAAGTCAACTTGGTATCGATCGAAAGGTTGATTGAATACGCAAACTTGCCCCAGGAAGCTCCAGAAGTGATCGAAGACCATAGACCACTAAGTAATTGGCCAGCTCAAGGAACGATTAATTTTGATAATTATTCAACAAGATATAGAGCTGGACTTCCTTCTGTATTGAAAAGCATTAACGTTCAATTCAAGCCGTCTGAAAAGGTTGGAATCGTGGGAAGAACTGGAGCTGGAAAAAGTTCCCTTACCTTGGCACTTTTCCGTTTGATAGAAGCCACTGGTGGTACCATCAACATTGATGGGATAGATTCGAGCCAGATCGGTATTGCTGATTTGAGAGAAAAGCTCAATATCATTCCACAGGATGCACATGCTTTTGCTGGAAGCGTGAGAGAAAACTTGGATCCATTCGGCAGATACAGCGATGAAGAGTTATGGCGTGTTCTTGAATTGGCTCACTTAAAGGATCATATTGAGTCTTTGGCAAAACCTTCCAAAGATGATGCTGAAGATGCTAACAAAGATAATGAAAATGAAGAAAGCCGTGATCAGAATGGCCTCGATGCCAAGATTTCGGAGGGAGGCTCCAACTTATCTTCAGGCCAGAAACAGTTATTGTGTCTTGCTCGTGCTCTTTTGAAGCCTTCCAAAATTTTAGTTCTCGACGAAGCAACCGCTTCAGTTGATGTGCAAACAGACAAGATCATTCAAGAGACCATAAGGAAAGAGTTCAAAGATAATACCATTATCACAATTGCTCACAGGTTGGAGACTGTGTTAGATAGTGACAGAATTCTCGTGCTTGATAAAGGAGAAGTGAAAGAGTTCGACACACCGAAAACCCTATTGGCCAATAAATCGAGTGAGTTTTACTCCTTGTGTAAGGAGGGCGGTTTCATTGACGATAAGGGTTTGAAGAAATCAAGTTGAGCGACAAACTTTATTTAATTTTGATCAGTAATAAAATATTCTATACTTAGAACTTAGAAATAGGAAACGGGAAATTCGTTAGCGGGATCACTGTTTAATTCTGTGTCACATCATTCCCCAAACGAGCTACCCGAAAAGCTTTGCATGGTCAGTTCCCAAGCTAAACATTGTGATACACTATTCTTGTTGGTATCATAGATTCGTACGTCACCCTTTGCTTTCGCTAATCATACTACGTCAACTTTTGCGGCCGTGCAACCAAAGGCTTCATTCTGGTACATTTTCGTTATCAAATATGCCACTCCTGTCAAACTTTCTTGGCGCTGTAAAAAGTCTTGGCGTTTCTGTCAAATTTGACGCACGACCCACCGCTAACAAGTGGTATAAGTATACTGGAGTGTATATTCTTTACCCACTCTGCGCCAGATAAAGGCTTTTTTTTATCAGTGTTTTTCTCCTCTGATCGCGGTCAAAGGCTTATTTAGGCAATTTTTGTGTGAGGTCGCCCATTTTGAATGCAAGAACAGTGCGTCAGATATCACCTCATAAGATAAGAAGCTGGATATCGGAAACACAAGCAAGACGCCGTGGATTTTTTGACATGTATTCCAAATTCTTGGCAGGCGAGTGCTTGCGCAGATTGACATGAAAGTAGACGTTTTTTTTTTTTAAGGGACGATTACTTTTAGTTTCTGGGCAACGTTGAAAATAGCCATTTTGACACTTTGTCTGGCGAAGAAAATAAAATGACGTTCATGAACGGTATCTTTAGTTAGATAGATTTCTTTCTTTTACGTATTGTAAGCCTCCAATTTTCTACTCGTATGTATAAGGAGCTTGTTCTCTTGCATCAAATTCAGCCTCTCGGTACGGGAATTATGAGCAATGGAATTGCAATTCCACTGCCACGGCTACGATTTTCAAAGCCGAAGTTTTCATTCATTTCGATGCAGCTCATGCATGGCAATTAACACGAAAGACATGGATTTCCTAAGCGACACCATTATCGAGTTGGTTGTTGGCTTGATATCAACTGTTTCTACCATTACAGTGTTCGACAGTCGTAGGGAACCGGATATATTCGTATGAATCATAGAAGTGGTGAGATAGATAAGTCGAATAAACCTTGATTCATTCTGTTGTAAACGTGATTTTCTTTGTGGGCCTACAAATGCTCATGCTACTAAACCATATTAGGCGCCTCAACCTCAACCAGAGCAGCTGATAAGAGGCTGTCTCCGTACGGCTCCAGCTTATCTCTGAAGAAAAATTATCATCAATGGATAAATAGAACAGGATTTGACACCAAAAATTATTTCTAACACTACCAACTAAAGCGCTATGACTGAAAAGATTGACGCCTTAGTTAGTATCAGAAGTGGTGAAAGGTTCGCTGCTGAGAACCATGAAGCTAATTTGAACGCTATTACTTCGCAACCACTTTCAGTTGGTGATGTGGCAGAGACGTTCAATTCCGATCAAAAGTTTTATATTTTGCAACGCTTAGGCTATGAAAACCTTGATACCTTTGATGATTTACCACCGGAAGCAGTCTTTATGATGGAGAAGATAGCTCTGTTGGATATAAATGAAGCTGTTGAAATACTCAGAGAGTCTTTAGAGACCTTCGATGGAGATCTTAATGTGCGCCAAGAGTCACTCGATTTCATTGAGAAGTTGGTAGCTTATGATCAAGCTGGAGAAGTCACTACAACGAAACAAAAGATTGCTGAGAATTTCAAGAAATCTGATGTGAAAGAGTCTGTTGTGTCGGTTGACGAAATCAGTAGTGGGGTCTCCGAGGATGATTCTATCACCGAAGTGTTTGACTGGAACTTACAGGCCAAGACGGAAGCAGGGCTTATCGCATTTTGGTCTATCTATCCCGAAGTGAGATCTGTCACCCAACCATTTGACGATCCTTCTACGCCTTGTGAGACGTTCCGTGTTTACTTCCTTGGTCTTCTTTGGACTGTCATCGGTTCGTTCATTATCCAGTTTTTCTCAGAAAGGAGACCTGCTATTGGATTAGGTACTTCTGTCGTACAGCTTTTCCTTTTCCCATGTGGTAAGTTTTTGGAGTATGTTCTTCCTGCTTGGGATATCAAAATTTGGAAGTGGAAGTTCAACTTGAATCCAGGTCCTTGGAGTGGAAAGGAACAGATGTTGGCAACGCTTACCTATTCTGTTAGTGGAGGTGCTATCTACGTTTCTTGGAATTTGCACAACCTTATGTTGGATCGTTACTACGGTGTAAAATGGGTTGATTTTGGATACCAAGTTCTTTTGACGTTAGCCACAAACTTTATGGGTTTCGGCTTCGCAGGTATTGTTAGAAAGTTTGTGGTTTATCCTGTCAACTGTCTTTGGCCTAGTATCTTACCCACCATTGCTCTTAACAGGGCCTTGTGTCAACCTGAGAAGAAGAGTAACATCAACGGATGGAAAATTTCAAGTTTTGTATTCTTCATGCTCACGTTTGGTGGGTCGTTTGTTTATTACTGGGTTCCAGACTACTTATTCACTGCGCTCAGTACGTTCAATTGGATCACTTGGATTGCTCCAGACAACTTCAATGTGGCAGTCATCACTGGTATGCAAACTGGACTAGGAATTAACCCAGTTTCTAGTTTCGATTGGAATATTTTGTCGTGGACCGGTCCTTTGAACGTTCCCTTTTTCTCCACTTTGAACAACTACATTGGAATGGTCATTGCTATGTTCTGCATTATCGGTGTTTGGTGGTCAAATTATAAATGGACAGGCTACCTTCCTATCAATTCTAACGCCTTGTTTACAAATACCGGTAAGAGCTATGCTGTGACAGCAGTCTTGAATGATAAATTTCTTATTGACGAGGAAAAATATCAGAAGTACGGACCTCCATTTTATTCAGCAGCTAATCTCGTTAATTATGGAGCCTTCTTTGCCATTTACCCATTCACCGTTTTTTACACCTTGATCATGAACTTCAAGCAGATCAAGTTTGCCGCAAGCGGGTTTGTTAAAATGTTCAAGAACAGAAGGGTTTCTACCTACGATGGTTTCAATGACCCATTCAGCAGATCCATGACCAAGTACAAGGAAGTCCCAGAGTGGGCTTTTAGTATTGTTTTGGTTATATCAGTGGTGTTTGCTATCTTGGCAGCAACCTTGTATCCATCAGATGCTCCTGTTTGGACCATCTTCTTTACGTTAGGTATCAACTTCGTGTTCTTGATTCCTTTATGTATTGTCTATGCTACTACTGGTACGACTTTTGGACTTAACGTTTTGGTTGAATTGATTATTGGTTACGCTATGCCTGGTAACGGTTTGGGTTTGAACTTCGCTAAGGCTTTGGGTTATGTCATTGATGGCCAAGCAGAGAACTATATCACCAACCAGAAACAAGCTCACTACATGAGAATTGCACCTAGGGCGCTTTTCCGTATTCAAATGATCTCTGTGTTCATTCATTGCTTTGTTGCCTTGGGTACCTTCAACTTGCAGCTTTCTACAATCAAGGACTACTGTGACCCTCAGCAACCTCAGAGATTCAGTTGCCCTTCGGCTACTACATTTTACTCCGCCTCGGTCTTGTGGGGTGTCATTGGTCCAAAGAGAGTTTTCGGTGGCCTTTATCCAGTTTTACAATGGTGTTTCTTGATCGGCTTCTTGTTGGTGTTCCCATGTGTTTTGATCAAAAAGTACTTTGGAAAGTATAAGGTGGTGAAATACTTCCACCCAGTGGTCTTAATTATGGGGTTCATAAACTGGGCGCCATATAACTTGAGTTACTACACTCCTAGTCTTATCCTTTCGTTCGTGTTCATGTACTACATCAAGAAGAGGTATACTGCCTGGTGGTCCAAGTATAACTATATCCTCTCTGGTGGTTTGTCTGGTGGTATTGCGTTCTCCAGTATCATTATTTTCTTTACCGTGCAATATACCTCAAAGTATATTAGCTGGTGGGGTAATGAAGTGAACCTGTATGGCCTTGACTACGTTGGGCCAAGAAGATTCAATGCTACTTTAGAGGCACCAGACGGATACTTTGGTCCTAGGTACGGCGAGCTTCCATAAACGTTAACATATAATATGTGAACCCAGAGCTTATAATTTAATATCTTGAATAATTTAATGGTAAGATTTTTAGTAGGGCTTTGTAAGCCTAGGATTATGATCAATATTTGCAACCAGCCGGCGTCGGGTTGCTTGCGGCGGTTATCAGCGAATAGACGACTAGCCGAGGAAGCAGCATGATAACGCTGGAGCCATACGCGGCTCCATGTTCAACGTAGGCTCAGCACATGAATAAGCGAAAAAATACTTCTTGGCAATTTTGACAGAGTCTTGGCATAAGTATACCAGGGCGGTCGGAATTGTTGACGACTGACCGCGTTGCATGAAATAGCACATTGTACATCTTCTTCGAGAGGTGTTTCACTCAGCGGTGTTTTTTGATATCGAGTCTTATGGCTTGATAAAATCATCCAGTTGAAGAAACTACTTGTGAAGCTTGATTGATAGTACTATAATACCCCTGATATGTTTTTCGTGGCGTCCAAAAAAGCTATTTTGAAAGATGTTTGCATCAACGTGAAAGAAAAGCTTGGCGGGCAGTGCTTTTTGTTTCAGAGCCGTGCAGTGGAGCCATTCGCTGATAAGGAATAGCAAAAACGTGGGGAAACGTTAGCTGGGTGACACAAATGTCTTTATCAATTTGTGTTGAGAAAAGCCAAGGAAGTGGGGTTGTTGTCCATGGATTGACTGATTTCTGGGTCAACTAAACTTGCGAAACCTTTCACTTCAGGTTCAACTGGACTTGGCAACGTTCAGAACATAAGTGTATAGTTGTAAGAAGACTACTTTGACTGTAATTCGAGGTTCTGTTGATCTCCTCAATATGATTTCCTATTTTCGTAAGACTCGATGAAACAGTACGCTCCGATAACGGAACTGCAGTTCCAGAGCCACATCTATTTGAGGAAAGCATGGCATGATATGGGGCATTCGCTTGCATTAAAGCCACGAAGAACCACATTTTACGACTGTTTGCATGAAAAGGGTTATCACTTTTGTGGCTCTACAGCTCCAGAATCAGCCGTGCAAATGTTGATCTCAGGGAGAACAAATCATGATTACTTACTTTCATTTGTAGGGCACCAAATACTGTTTCATGTCAAGGAGAGGTTGGAGAATAGTGGTGCCTACCTGTTGACACGACCTCCGCACATAATTGTGGAGCTTGTTCTTCTTTAGTGGCATTTCCAAGAAAATACAATATGCTCAAGCGGCTTTTCCGTTTTGTACTTCTCCAAAAGCTATTTCAAATTTGATAAGAGACGCCTCAAATTTCAGAAATGGCGCTATCTCTTAATCCTGTAAAAGGATAAATAGATGGTCATTAGAACCCAAAATCAACTCTTCAATCAATATTGCAACCATGTCTGAGAAGATCGATGCTCATGTGAGCATTGAAAGCATTGGAAAGTCAGCTTCTGGAAACAATGATGTTGATTTGAATGCTATCCAGTCTAAACAAATTACACTTGGTGATGTTGCTGAGGAGTTTACCTCTGATCAAAAGTACTACATTTTGCAGCGTCTTAATTTCGAGAACCTCGACTCTTTCGAAGACTTGCCAGCAGCCGCTGTTTACATGTTGCAGAAGATAGCCGAAATGAGCCCTGATGAGTCTGTTAAAGTTCTCAAGCAAGCTCTTGAAGAGCATAATGGTGACGTCAATGTCAGCAACGACACCTTAGACTTCTTTGAAGCCTTGTTGAACTACAAAGAAGCTGGAACAATCACTTACGCTGATGAAAAATCCTCGGGAGGAATGGCGAAATCCGAGGTTCAACAAACAGTAGAGTCATTGGAAGAAACCTCTTCTGGGTCTATCGCTTATGACAAATCTAACCCAAATGTGATCTTTGACTGGGACTTGCAGGCAAGAACCGAAGCAGGTATTGTTGCCCACTGGTCTATATACGAAGAGGTCAGATCTGTTGCTCAACCTTTCGATGATCCCACAATTCCCTGCGAGACATTCAGAGTCTATGTTATTGGTTTGCTCTGGACAGTCATTGGCTCCTTCATTAATCAATTCTTTGCCGAGAGAATGCCTAGTATTGCATTGGGAACAGCTGTCGTGCAGCTTTTTATTTTCCCTTGTGGTAAGCTCATGGAATTGGTTCTCCCTGCCAAAGAAGTTAAGATCTGGAATTGGTCTTTCAACTTGAATCCTGGTCCTTGGAGTGGAAAGGAACAGATGTTGGCAACACTCACTTATTCCGTTAGCGGTGGCACAATCTATGTTTCATACAATCTTCACAATCTCATGTTGGACAAATTCTATGGAGTCCCTTGGGTTGATTTCGGCTACCAATTTCTTTTGACTTTGAGTACCAGTTTCATGGGATTTGGTTTGGCTGGTATCGTTAGAAAGTTTGTTGTTTATCCTGTGAACTGTCTCTGGCCAAGTATCTTGCCAACTGTCGCTCTTAACAGAGCTTTATGTCAACCCGAAAAGAAAAGTAACATCAATGGATGGAAGGTTTCAAGTTTCTCGTTCTTCTTGATTGTGTTTGCTGCATCCTTCGTCTACTTTTGGATCCCAGACTACTTGTTCACGGCCCTTTCCACCTTTAACTGGCTCACATGGATCGCCCCTGACAACTTTAACTTGGCTACTATCACTGGTTCGAGGACTGGTATGGGTGTCAACCCCATCACCTCCTTTGACTTCAACATTATCTTGTACAGCAATCCATTGAACCTCGCTTTCTACACCAATCTTAACTACTACATTGGAGCTGTTCTTGGAATGTTCTGTATTGTTGGACTTTGGTGGACCAACTACAAGTGGACTGGCTTTCTTCCAATTAATTCGAACGCTTTGTTCACCAATGAAGGTAAACGTTACTCTGTCAGCTCTATCTTGGGCGACGATTACCTTTTGGACAACCTGAAATACGAGAAGGTTGGTCCACCATTCTACACTGCTGCCCAGCTCGTTTCCTACGGTGCTTTTTTTGCCATGTACCCGTTCACTGTCTTTTACGTGGGGCTTACGAACTGGAAGCAAATCGTGTTTGCTACCAAGGGTTTTATTAAAATGTTCAAAGAAAGGAAGGTTTCAACCTATGATGGTTTCAATGATCCATTTTGCAGATCCATGAAGCATTACAAGGAAGTACCTGAATGGTGTTTTACCATTATCTTGGTCATTTCCCTTGTACTTGCCATTTTGGCTGCAACCTTGTATCCAGAAGCTGCCCCAGTCTGGTCTATTTTCTTTGCCTTGGCTATCAACTTCGTTTTCTTGATTCCAATTTGTCTCTTCTACGCTCAAACTGGTTACGCCTTTGGCCTTAATGTCTTGGTCGAGTTGATCTACGGTTACATTAACCCTGGTAACGGTTTGGGTCTTAACTTCGTGAAAGCATACGGATATGTCATTGATGGCCAAGCAGAAAACTACATCACAAATCAGAAACAAGCACATTACATGAGAATTCCTCCAAGAGCCCTCTTCCGTTTACAAATGATTTCTGTCTTTGTGCATTGTCTTGTGCAATTGGGAACGTTTAACTTGCAGGTGAACAGCATCGAAGACTACTGTGACCCCAAACAGCCTCAGAAATTTAGCTGTCCGCTGTCAAGAACCTTTTACTCGGCTTCCATTTTGTGGGGTGTCATTGGTCCAAAGAAGGTTTTCGGTGGTCTCTATCCTGTTTTGCAATGGTGCTTCTTGATTGGCTTCTTGTTGGTGTTTCCTTGTTTCTTGTTGAAGAAGTACTACGGAAGACATCCTCTTGTGAAGTACTTCCATCCTGTTATCCTCATGCAAGGCTTTATTTTGTGGGCGCCATATAATTTGTCTTACATCACTCCTGGTCTTTACGTGAGTTTTGCTTTCATGCATTACATCAAGAAAAAGTACACTGCTTGGTGGTCCAAGTACAACTACATTCTTTCTGGCGGGTTATCCGGAGGAATTGCTTTCTCGAGTATTATTATCTTTTTCTCGGTCCATTACACCAACAAGTCTCTTGACTGGTGGGGAAATAACGTGAACAGCCAGGGCCTTGACGCCATGGCTCCTTCCAGATTGAACGCTACATTACAAGCTCCAGAGGGGTACTTCGGCCCAAGAGTCGGCAACTTCCCATAATCTAATTCTTCTATTTAGTTCAATTATACGAAAAAAAGCCGTGCTACTTTCCACATTTCTTCTGCAAGAGTGCTTCTCCAACACATGGAAGCCGCCATGCTTTGCCAACTAAACCAACGATTGTTCAAGCCACACGCGTATACCCGGTGATGTAAGCCAGAGCTGAGCCTTCATTGTCTTACCACGATGCCAAGCATACCATGGCATCCCCATCCATAGATAAACCCCCAATGGGTCATTCCCAGCCAGTTCTGTGAAAGGCATCTCGGGCATAACTACCATAACTTAACCGCCCACGCCAATATTTACCGTTTCAGAAAACTACCCCAGGTTTTCCACCACTCACCTCCGCATTCTTGGACCATCAGCAACAAAGAACCGCTTCTTATCCACCCCACATAGTCCTTTGACGCAAATCGTGCCACGCAATTCCACAGATACCGCTTTGACAGTGCATTGTTCCCCACAAAAGGAAATCAACAGCCACCACGTCGAGGAGATACTGGCGGATGTCCGATTGTGAAATTAGCCGCGTCACATCAGGGCCACACGCAACGAAACCACCGAGTCATTGGCTCATCTGGTGGTGATAAACGCCGCATCACAAAAGCACTTGCATTGGTTCCACCCATGCAGCAACTGTGGATGAGAAAGTAATCTCCATCATCAAGAAAAAAAAAAAAAAAAGAAGGGGAAGGTAGTTCTACTTTGCTTGGCTGCGTTGACAGGGTTCGCTTGACAGCCCTCGTGGTGCTTGGCAAAAGTGTCTTTCTGTATGCCACTGACAGCACCAAGCATTCGCGAAAAGCATCCCCAGAACCTCCATCAAACCACTACCCAACCACTACCCAAGCACCTCCTCCAGTTTCACGACATGCTGCCGCTCATCAAGATAAGAGTGTACAAATCGAATTCCATAAAGTGGCTTATATTTGGAAGCGAATGCCGTACGTGTGGAAGGCGTGCCTCGCACGGCATTGGTGCACCGGTACCGGCCTGTTGTGGGCATATGGAGCCGATGTCTGAGACCCTGGGGCAGATCTATTAGTGGCAGTAGATGGAGGGTGGAAGGCCATACGTGGACGCTAGTGCACGGCTCTTATTGGCGCGACAGGCAAAAGGGAAAAAAAGGGAAACAGGAAAGAAGTAGCGTGTTTGACTGTGCTTTTCTTTTTTGTGGTTTACTCATCCTTTGACTTTTTCGCTTTTGGTCAAGTGCGTCGACATCATGCAGCCTCACACCACCAACATATCAACGCTGCTTTCAAGACAAGTGTAGTGGGAGAAGGAGGTAAAAAAGAGAGAAAAAAAAGACATCCCTAAATATCCCACCATACGCCAAAGCCTTTACTAAAAAGACGAAAACAGCTTTCGCCGCTAAGCATGCGTTGCTTGTATGTCTGTTTGAAGCAGCTCGGTTATGCGCGTCAGTTGGTACCGCATGAGAATTGGTTGCGTGAAGTCAATTGCGTGAAACTGGCCTCGATTAGCAGATAAAGCTCGTGAGTCCACTATGGGTGTGGCTTGCGTTTTCGTATAAAAACCCCGATGGGGCCCCGATAATTGTACGATTTTTTTGTTTTTCTTGTTTCTTTCTTTCTTTCATCTACATTCCTCATGGCAGAAAAAGTCAACCCTATAACAAGCGTCACCAGCGCTGGGAACAGACTTGACGCTGCTGATCATGAACTAGACATTAATGCTATTACCTCGAACCCGCTTTCGCTTAACGAAGTGGCCGAAGCGCTTACTCTGGACCAGAAGTTCTATATCTTGAGGAGGTTGGAGTTTGGTCACCTTACTACGTTTGACGACTTACCGCCAACGGCTGCTTTCATGATTGAGAAGATCCAGACCTTGGATATCCTCGAGGCTGAAGAGATCTTGAAACAGTTCTTGAAGGACCACGATATGGATCTTAACATTCCAAACGAAGAAATCGATTTCGTTGAACTTCTTGTGAAGAACTCTCCTACTGCTGGCACTTCTTCCCCAAAAGTTAAGACCATGGGGTTTTCAGATTTGGAAAAGGAAAACAGCCACAAGGAGCACACTGCCGTTAACGAGCTGGTCTCTCTTTCATCTCTCGAGTCGATGGATTTCCGGAAAGTGTTTGACTGGGAGTTGCAGGTGAAGACCGAGGCCGGTTTAATTGCCTACTGGTCTCCATATCCAGAAGTTAGATCTGTTACCGACCCATATGATGACGCCTCAACGCCCTGTGAGACTTGGAGAGTTTACGTTCTTGGAATGGTCTGGGTTGTTATTGGTAGTATTATCAACGAATACTTCTACAACAGAAGACCAAGTATCAGTTTGAGGTCGCTGGTTGTGCAGCTTTTCCTCTACCCTTGCGGAAAGTTCCTTGATACTGTCATGCCTAAAAAGAAGATCTCCATTTGGAGGTGGACCATCGACCTCAATCCTGGCCCTTGGAGTCATAAAGAACAGTTGCTTGCGACGCTTTGCTACAGTGTCAGTGGTGCAGCTGTTTATGCCAGTTCTTTCATTACCCTTCAGAAGCTAGACATGTTCTACGGTGAAAATTTTGTGGACTTTGGTTACCAGATCCTTTTGGTGCTTGCTTCCAACTTTATGGGTTTCGGTTTGGCCGGTATCTTCAGAAAGTTTGTCATCTACCCAGTCCACTCCATCTGGCCTACCATCTTGCCAACGCTCGCTCTTAACAAGGCCTTGGTTCAGCCTGAGAAGAAGGAAAAGATCCACGGCTGGTCTATCACCAGGTACCACTTTTTCTTTGCTGTTTTTGCATTTTCTTTCTTGTGGTTCTGGGTTCCAGATTACTTGTTCACTGCTCTTTCAACATTCAACTGGCTCACATGGATAGCACCAGATAACTTTAACTTGGCTGCCATCACAGGAATGCAATCTGGTTTGGGTCTTAACCCCATTTCTACTTTCGACTGGAACGTTATGAGTTTGAATTCTCCGTTGGCCATTCCATTCTTTGCCCAGTTGAACAACTGGTGTGGTATGTTTCTTGGCTTCTTTGTTATTGTTGGTCTTTGGTGGTCTAATTATAAGTGGACTGGTTACTTGCCAATCAACTCGAACTCCATTTTCACCAACACTGGTGAATACTATGCCGTTAGATCGATTTTGCTGGAAGACGGTACTCTTGACCAAGCCAAGTACGAAGAGGTTGGTCCACCATTCTATACTGCCGCCAACTTGGTTACTTACGGTGCATTCTTTGCAGTTTATCCATTGAACGTTGTTTACGTTCTTCTTACTGATTACAAGAGACTTTGGTTTGCCATTGTCGCTATGGTGAAGTCCATGAACTTCAAGAAGAAGACTTCTGCTTATGACGGATTCAACGATCCATTCTCGAGATCCATGACAAAGTACAAGGAAGTGCCAGAATGGGTGTTTTTGATTGTTTTGCTCATCAGTGTGGTCTTTTCGATTATCTGTGTCAAGGCATACCCCTTGAACACCCCCGTATGGACCATCTTCTTCGCATTGGGAATGAACTTTGTGTTCTTGTTGCCTTTCTGCATTGTCTACTCCACCACCGGTACTGCTGTTTCCATCAACGTTTTGCTTGAATTAATCATTGGTTACGCTCTTCCAGGTAACGGTACCGCTTTGAACTTCGTCAAAACCTTGGGTACTAATATCGATGCCCAAGCCGAGAACTATATCACCAACCAGAAGCAAGCTCACTACTTGAGAATCCCTCCCAGAGCCTTGTTCCGTGTCCAGATCATCTCCAGTATCATTTACAGTTTTGTGTCTGTGGGTATTCTTAACCTTGCTATTGAAACCATCGAGGACTACTGTCAGCCACACCAGGCACAGAAGTTCTCGTGTCCAAACACCACCACGTTCTACTCTGCATCTGTCTTGTGGGGTGTGATTGGTCCAAAGAAGGTCTTTGGCGACCTTTACCCTATCTTGCAATGGTGCTTCTTGATTGGCTTCTTGCTTGCGTTCCCATGCTGGGCCCTCAGAAAGTACGGAAGAAGAACCGTGGTTGGCAAGTACCTCCACCCAGTTGTCGTGACGTTTGGATTCATCCAGTATGCGCCATACAACTTGAGTTACTACACGCCAGGTATGATTCTCTCGTTCATCTTCATGTACTTCATCAGAAAGAGAATGACCGCCTGGTGGGAGAAGTACAACTACATTCTCTCCGGAGGAATGGACGCTGGTGTTGCTTTCTCCAGTATCATCATTTTCTTTGCTGTACAATATAACGCCAAGACGATAGACTGGTGGGGCAACAACGTCAACACCAAGGGTCTTGACTATGTGGCTCCATCCAGACTCAATGCTACACTCCATGCCCCAGACGGCTACTTTGGTCCAAGAATCGGACACTTCCCTTAAACACCCCTAAATAGGATTCCAAAATATAATATTCACGGTTACTAAACTAGTCACTAGTCTAAGCCTTGGTCATGGAAAGGCCTTATCAGGTAGTCCATATTCCTGGCGCGCCTGCTTCCCCAAGTGACTATATAAGGCCCGTAAATAGTGAGGTACGGCAGATGTCATAGGACAGGATGCGTATATAAATTAGCCGAATCCACACGGGCTGGAGCTTTTATTCCGTATTCTTTCATTCCTTTTCTTCTTATGGGCCGTTCATACGAATTCAAAATAAAGCTAGATTCGCCTGGGAAACAATTCAGACCGGGCGATGCAGTTACTGGCAAAGTTGACCTCCAGGTGATCAAGTCAATCACCGTTCGGGACATCAATGTGACGTTGAGAGGCGTGGCAGAGTCTGCCAATTACACTTATGTTACCAATTACAACGCGGTGACAAGACGACACGAGCGCAGGAAGATGACCAACTCGATCACGTATCATTTCTTTGCATACGGCGTGAAGGTGTTCCCGCCGCCTAATCTTCAGCAGCACGGGCTGGCTGGCGAGTATACGTTGGCTGAGGGCCAGTATAGTTATCCGTTTGAGCTATCGTTTCCGTCTGGGCCGGTGGAGGCGAAGAGCTCGTCTCATTTCGACGTGAGCCGTACGTACATGTCGACGCCGCTGATGTTTATGCCGCCTTGGGCCAACCGGGGCTCTGGCAGCGCAAGCTCAATGACAATATCGCTTCCGCCTGCTTTCCGCATGTACAGAGACTACGACGACCATGCCATTGTGGATTACGTTCTAGAAGCCCATGCCGACCGGAAGGGGTTTCTCAAGTCCGACTTTAGCGATAAACAGCTACTCAGGTTCTCTCCGAACCTAGATTCGGTGATGTTTTCTTTTGCTCCAATAACACAGAATGGTGTTTTCATTCCCAACTACTTTCAAGGCGCCTCGAGGCTCAAGTTTGAAATTGGCAAGAGCAAAAGGCACGAGGGGAAGAGTTTCTTCAAGCGAGTCTTTTCCTCCAGGTCGCTCAAGGTGCCTTTCGAGATTGTGGGTGAGTTTAAACAGAGAAACGCTGTTCTGTATCCCCAGGGCCAAACCAGCAGGGTCTTGCACCAGGGAGATAATCTCGCCGATGTGCTTGACTTGAGAATCTACACACCTTTCTCTAAGGATGCTCTCCAACGGATTTTGATCGGCGAAGAAGGGAAGAAATCTGGTCCTGTAGCACCGTTATCTAATCTTTTGATTAAGGAAATCTCTGTAACATTGGGCCGTGATATCTATTATCAGGGTATTGAGGAACAAAGGACCAAGAATGAGGTTAGTGTTGGAAAACAAGCTTTCAAGAACGAATTTGAGCTTTCTGATTTCGAGGAGGTGGACTACCGGGGTTCGGACATCTTCCTGAAGATCAAGCAGGACTACGCTGAACATTACCAATCTGGAAAGGCATACATGCTTGAAATTCCTCCTCAAATGTATGCCTTTTTGTTATCGTGTGATGCCCAATCCTTTTCAGCGCCTAACATTCTGTGTGACGTCCTGCTAAAGCTTAACTTTCTGTTAACCACCACGGAGGAGAATCCAAGTATGGCCAGAATTATTTGCGAGACCCCAATTGTCTTCCTTCCTGGTCGTGTTAACACTGGTGGTTCAGATCTGTTTGTTCCTCCGGGTGGGCCGCCTCCAGCTGTAAATGGGGAACTTTCAACCCCATTGGGCCCACCGCCACTGGGCAGTGAAATCCCCGAAGCAGAAGAGCTACCATCGTATTCTGATGTAAAACATGCCAGTTGAAATACTAACTGTTATCGGAGAGCAGGACTCTCCGATCATCAAGCCCTACAACTTCACGTTCTGTTTTTATTTGTCGATGAGCCATTTGGCTGCAATCGTTTTATGAATCTCATGCCACAATAGACAATCGTTTATGAATACAAATTATAAGAAATCGCCTTACGTTTGTAGACATATCGTATTATACTAAGACTAGAGAGGTGAATAGCATACAGAGAGTACCCACCACAAACCAAAGTATCCGAAAAAGCATCAACCTGGTGAAACCTGAAGCCAAACAGCCATAAAACAGTCACTTCTTTCCCAACCTCATGCTCTTTTTCCTCTTGTACATCAATTTGAGACACAACAGCCACAGTTCATTCCCCACCCAGCCTCTTATCTAGGCGAGCGGCGCACATAGAGTCATACATAATGCTACACTTCAGCCACTTGCTTAAGCCACATTCCAACAAACAATCCACAAAACAATACATATTCAACTTCACAACCAAAAAATAGATCCAAAAATCCAAAAATCCACCAAATCCACCTTCCTGTCCCACCCCATTCTCTTCCTCGGCTCGTCAGACACTTATCAGCCGCGCTCCCAGTTAAGCTCTGCAGACCAATCACTTGGGTGACTTTTCACGCAGCTCGGTTATGCCCAGTACTTATATAAGAAGCATATAATTGTAAACAATTGAAGGGGTAAACCGACTTTGTTTTACAGAATGGAATCACACAACCTCTCCATAAACCTTGATAATCCACTCGCCCAGTTTAGGCCTGGTGACTGGGTCACTGGCGAGGTACATCTCCATGTTTACAGCCGAATGGACGTTAAGAATATCCTGGTGGTGCTACGAGGCGATACTGAGTCAAGTAACAGCAGATTCATCACTCGGACTGACCCAGACACGAAGAAGCCAGAGGTCAGGAAGATTACTGAGACAATTGGGTACCGCTTGTGAGTATACTTACCGGTTCGGGTTGGCTTTTCCTGCTGGAGCGGTTGAGGCGACGACGAAGTCGCTGATTGACCCAAGAAACGCATACTTGCCCTATGGCAGGCCACGGTTCAGTCCTAGGAATGGAGGTCCGTTGAAAGTGGACTTACCGCCTTCTTTTGAGACAGTTTATTCCCACTACGATTATGCCGTGATAAGATATAATATTGGGGTTCATATAAGTCGTGAAGGGTCGCTGAACCAGGATATCAGCGAGCAGAAGATTCTCAAGTTCTCTCCTTCTCCCAAAACCACTGCGTGTTCGGCTGATCCTTTGATGAGAAATGGCTCTTTAATTTCAAACTTTAGCCGTGGTGGGGCTTCCCTCGAAATTCTGTCCAAGCACGCTAGCAAAATCGAGAGACGCAGTTTCTTCGACAAAATGTTCTCGTCCAACTCTTTTAAATGGCCTCTAGAGGCTGTTGTTGAGTTCAAGCAAAGTAACCTGGTGCAATACCCTTACGGAGCTACAAGTAGAGTGTTGCACCAATCCGATAACCTTGCAGATATCTTGTCCATCAGGCTATATACGCCATTTTCCGAAGGAGTACTCAAGCCTCTTTTCACTGGGAACCACGTTCCGTACTGGCAAAATGTGGTAGGGGCGCTTGTGGTAAAAAAATTGGTTGTGACTTTGGAACGAATGATTACATACCAAGGCACAAATGAGAAGCATCGGTTTGGCAAAATCGATGTTGGAAGCTCTTCACCCCGCCATAGGATCAAACTATCTGAGTTTGACCGGGTTGAACAACATGTAAACCCGGAGCTATTCGACCTAGTCTCGCCAGAATCCAGACATTTGGTGAATTTTGGAGTAGCATATATGGCCAAGCTACCTGATAAATTTCTCCAGTTTCGTCTTCATACTGAGCAAAGATCGTTCGTTGCCCCTAATATACTGTGTGACATGGCCCTCAAGTTTGAATTGCTAGTGACTTCAACACTAGACCCTACCAAGACCGTTAAACTCAGGTGTGAGGCGCCAATATTGCTTGTTGCTCCTCGTGATGAGCTGGGAGGTAGCTCTAGAGAGGAAAACATACCTTCTTTAATAGGGGCAGATATTTATGAGCCTTCGTTGCCACCTGAGAGCGTTAACCACCTGAATGATGCTCCTCCATCCTACAACCAAGTGTTGCAAGAGGAGTGAACAGAATTCATATAGAATAGTAATAATAATAAACGTAGATTTTGTTAGGCTTTTCCAGAAAAGTAGTGGTTGTAGCATCGGATTCTAAGCGTTTGTTGGTGCTTCTCGAGGTTACTTCATAACGTTTAGTCGCAACAGAAGATAGCTTATCTTTGAATAGTCCATAACCATTTGTTGTTTAGTACCGGTGGCCATAAACTGCTACGAATACGACTATCTCTCGTTTGCGTTCATTATCATACCTAGGATAATGTATTACTTTGAAATCAATTTCTAGACAACTATAGAGTTCATGGAAAGTTGCCCTTCCTTGGGCCAAAGTATCCGTCAGGGGCATGGGTGGTGACATTAAGTCTAGCTGGGCCAATGGCGTCAAGAGTATTATCGTTGACAGTGTTGCCCCACCACGTTATATCCTTCTCATGGTATTGCACTGCAAAGAAGATGATAATACTACTGAACGCAATACCACCATCAAGGCCTCCAGATAAGATATAAGTGTACTTTTCCCACCAGGCAGTGAAGTTCTTTCTGATCAAGTACATGAAGAAGAAAGAGATGATCATACCAGGCGTGTAGTACGACAAGTTATAAGGGGCGTAAATCATCAAGCCAAAAGAAAGCACAATAGGGTGGAAGTACTTGCCGATGACGGTTCTGCCATAGTACTTCTTGAGAGCCCAACATGGGAAGGCGACGAGGAAGCCAATCAAGAAGCACCATTGCAAGATAGGATAAAGACCACCAAAGACTCTCTTGGGGCCAATGACACCCCATAACACCGAGGCAGAATAAACCGTAGTCGAGTTGGGACAAGTGAACTTCTGGGCTTGGTGTGGGTGGCAGAAACCAGAAACAGAATCTATGGCAAGATTCAACACTCCGACAGATAAGAAACTGTTGATAAGGACCGAGACCATCTGGGCTCTGAAAAGTGCCCTGGGTGGGATTCTCATGTAGTGAGCTTGCTTCTGGTTGGTGATATAGTTCTCTGCCTGGACGTCAATGTTGGTACCAAGAGTCTTGACATAATTCAAAGCGGTACCGTTACCTGGAAGAGCATAACCCATGATCATTTCAAGAAGCACATTAATGGACATTTGGGTACCAGTAGCAGCATAAACAACGGCAAATGGCAACAAGAACACAAAGTTCATGGCAATGGCAAAGAAGATTGTCCACACTGGTGTCTGCAATTTGTAAACCTCAACAGTAATGATAGACAAGACAACACAGATAAGAAGGATAATGGAAAACCACCACTCTGGGACTTCAGGGTACTTTTTCATCGACATGGAAAATGGATCGTCAAAGTCTTCAAAAGTGGAACGGTGTTTCTTGAAGTTCAAGGATTTTACAAGCCCAACAACAGCAACCTTAAGCTGCTGGAAATGGGTAAGCAAAACGTAGACAAAGTTCATAGGGTACAATGCAAAGAAAGTACCGTAGACAACCAAGTTAGCAGCAGTGTAGAATGGTGGGCCAATTTCCTCGTACTTTGCAAGGTCAAGCTTCTGCTCACTGTTCAACACCTCTCTCACAGCGTATGGCTCACCAGTGTTTGTAAAAACCTGGTTAGAGTTAATAGGTAAGTATGCTGTCCACTTATAGTTGGTCCACCAAAGTGCAACTATACAAACAAACGCTATTAAGGAACCAACGTATGCGTTCACTTGGGCAAAAAATGGAATTGCCAAAGGAGTATTCAAAATAGTGTTCCAGTCAAAAGTAGTAATTGGGTTGAGCCCAAGGCCAGATTGTGAACCAGTAATAGTTGCAACATTCAAGCTATTTGGCGCAGCCCAAGAAATCCAGTTGAATGTGGACAAGGCAGTGAAGAGATAGTCTGGGACCCAGAACCAAAGGAAGGAAATTGCAAAGACAATCAAGAAGAAGGAATAACGAGAAATGGTCCAGCCATTAATGTTCTCCTTCTTCTCAGGTTGAACTAATGCCTTGTTGATGGCAAGAGTGGGAAGAATGGTTGGCCAGATTGCTGAAACAGGATACACCACAAACTTACGGAAAAGACCAGCCAAGCCGAAGCCCATAAGGTTTGAAGTCAAGACAAGGAGGATTTGTGTGCCGGTTGTGAACTTTGGATTGCCGTAGAAGATACCCAACTTTTCAAGAATAATAAAGTATGTTGCATAAGCAGCACTTCCACTGACACTGTAAAACAAAGTTGCAAGCAACTGTTCCTTGTGGCTCCATGGCCCAGGGTTGAAGTTGATAGTCCATCTCCAAAGCTTGAAAGACTTTGCGGGAAAAATCAATTCGGCAAGCTTTCCACTGGGATAGATGAAAAGCTGGACGGCGGCGGTTCCCAAAGAAATAGAAGGCTGTCTTTCTGTGAAAAACTCGTTGATGAAAGTTCCAAGAACAATCCAGATAATTCCAATAAGGTACACTCTGAAAGTCTCACAAGGAGTATCTGGGTCATCGTATGGATCGGTAACGGCTCTGACCTCAGCGTATGGCGACCAGTAAGCGACAAGCACAGCCTCCATCTTGAGTTGCAAGTCCCTGTCAAAGATGTGTTTCTCATCGAGCGATTCAAGAGACGAGACAGAATCCTCATGGACAGCCACATCGTTCTTCTCGTCACTGGAAGAGCCTCCGTTGAGCGCCTGGACGAGACCATGTGGTTTCTTGTTTGGAGCGTGCTGCACAAGCTGTTCAACATACTCGTAGTCCTCCATTGGAATGTTGACATCGCCTTCGTGGTCCTTCAAGAAGGCATTCAAGATATTCTCGGCTTCCTCGACATCCATCTGCTCCACTTTCTCCATCATGAACACTGCAGTTGGAGGTAAATCATCGAAGTTGGTAAGATGGCCAAACTCCAACCTCTTAAGAATAAAGAACTTCTGGTCCAGGGTCAACTCGTCGGCCACCTGGGTCAAAGAGAACTGCTGGGAGGTCACCGCATTTAAATCGACCTCATGAGCGCCAGCTTCAAGCCTTCCAGCCTCGGGATTACTAGTAATAGCAAAGAGATGGTCTCCCTTTTCAGACATTATTGGATATTGAACACCAGACAAAAAGTGCAAAACGGTCACTAATTTATACCATTTTGTGCCACTGATAAGAGTCTATCGATTGAGTATCGTGTGGCTGCAAAATTGGCGCTCAGGGCCGGCAAATCATGCCGAACCAATTAAAGAACCATGTGCGGCGCGTTTCTTCCATGATACCGTTATACTTGCCAAGAAATGCCTATTTCGTATAATCCTGTCAGCACGGTGGGTAACTAAAACACCTACTTAGATTTCCACAGAACACCCCTAGTGAAAAAAATCACCCCCCGTAAACCGTCTCTTCTTCCACTTCCTCCACCACATCGAACTGTGGTTCCCTGGGCTTTTCCTCGGCCCACACGGCACCAAGCCGCCTGCAGAGCGTACGGCTCCAGATTACGCTTCACCTGTCATTATCTGTCACCCTATAGAAAGCTGCAGCACGTCTCAAACTAACCGCCAAAGATAGCCACCCAAGTTGACAGGTGCATTGGATGGGAACCAACAGTATAGGTAACTCTTGGAAGATTCTATGCCTCAAAAAGATGGAATTTACTTACTGACTGCTGTCTTACACACCTTGTATAGGGCGCGCTAGGCGAGTGGCTTATGCTCCATTGACCTTTGTTCTTGTTATCTCTACCATGCAAGGCAACCTATCGCGGTATAGCAATAAGGCATGGCACCGGGCCATGTGCTGGGGTTACCGATCAAATGAAGGAAACAGGTCGGTTTGGCGGGAAACGCCGATGGTTTTGTGACTCGGAAGACTGGGGTGGGGCTTTACAGAAATGGGTGGTTCTTCTTTTTCTTTTTTTTTCTTTTTCTTAAGTCTCCAGGCCCTGAAACTGCTGTTTATCAATTGGTAGTCTACAGCTACAGCAATAATGTCCGTATAATAATTGAAAATCTCCCGCCAGCCACAACTTCTCCCCGTAATTCATCTTTTTTGGTGCCCATGCCCCGTTTGACGTCGAGATGTCAAAAAACCGCATTAACCCATCCTGACGCAAGCACTTGTTCTAATTTTTGGCACAACAGCAGCCGTCGTTTGTCGAACGGCACCGCTCAATTCGCTCTCGACGAATGAGACAGCAGGTATAATCACGTCAGAGGAGTCTTTATCCATCGTATCGCATGCTCTCCTCATTTCTACCTTCATAACCATGCGGGAATTCTTTGTGTTTTTCCCTTCTTCTTTCCTCTTGTCCTTTTCATTTCTTTTTTCCCCTTTTGGTGCTGTGGTTTCTTTCCTATCTCTGTCCTTCTTTTTTATCTTTTTCTTTGTTGGAATTGGTCCTCTGGAGCTCACATATTGAAGAAATGTATTTCCTGGTAAACCAAGATAAGCTAAGGAGACGGCTAACAGGACAGTTTATTGGTTACGCTGGATAGAAAGGAACCCCAATATATGAGTTGAGCTTTTAAAGCTACCTTGGTGGAAGCAACAAGAGATGTTCTGTATTAGGTTGGTTACTCCCTTGAAAGCCATATAGTCAGGGCCATTCCCACATCATCTAATCTGAAGATTATTAGGACCAATGCAATGAGTTGGCTCTTCATCTTGCTATGAAAGCTGTACTCCAATGGGATACCTCGAAGGAACTTCGATCGTGAACCAAACTTTGGAGGCTAGATGGGACCTTGAAGGACTACTTCATAGCAATTTATCATGATTTCGTTTATTTCATGAGAGTCATTACGATTGTTAATAAAGTTAGGTTGGTCTCATAGAGACCAGGATGCTTCATGAGAAGCTTGAAGGGATGGTCTTCACAGATCTGTTTCTTCTGAAGACGTCATCTTCTCCCAAGACTTCAAATAAACGGACTGTTTGAAGTCCACAACGCTTTGTTGAAAGCCACTGCTCAAAGCAGTACATTGCCAATCAGTTCATATGCTAAGTCTCAATTAAGAGCTTTCACTGGCTGCGTCTTTGTACTTCTTCAAGATCAACTTCAAACCGTCCATGTCACTGGCGATCAAGTTCTGATCCCAGTCAATGAGCAATGGAGGCAGGAAGAGCTCGTTTGGATCAATCTCCGGATTCTCCTCGTTGATGTATTTATTAAATGCCTCGTGAATGTGATCATACTCGTTCTGAGAGAAGATCTTGAAACCTCTGTCATGTCTTATGCCGAGGCTTTTGACTGTTACCGATGAGTGTTCAGACAGGGTAAACTTATCGTTAAGCAACGGGAAACACTGTTTCAACACAGTTTGGCAGCGGTCACCACGTACACAATTCGAGTAAATTGTCTTGAATTGGTCATATGTGGGCATTTTTTTGGCATTCATGTCCAATTGGAAAAGATCCTTTTTATCGTTCAACTGGTAGTATGCTTTCTCCAAGTGAGGGAACAATTTGGCCAGAGCAGGAACACGGGCATTGTGGAAGATGGAAATGGTAGCAGGAGAGTTTTGCAAGGTCTTGAAAAGGGACATTGCAGACTGGGAATTGGATTTGCTGTTTTGTGTGTTGAGTGGGAGAGCACGGGGTATTTATATGGCTCGAGGTAACCCCGGACTAGCACTTGACTCAAATGTCGCGGAGCCGTTACATCCGTTTTTCCGAGATTTTTGCGTTCCCATTGCTGGTCACTGGAGACTCTGATTGCAACGTTATTGGTATCTATGTGATCCCATGGACTCAAAAACACTGAATATGTTATTTAAATCACCATAACAGCCCGATTTGCTCTATCTGAGTGGGCCTTTTCTGCTGAGGTAAAGACGACATTGTCGCACCCTAGGATTATCTCGTGTTATCGCAGCGAAGAGTGACGTCGCTACCATTTTTTTCTCCGGACCTATACCACCGTCCCGGAGTTTTTCCGAGGTCCAAAAACATCCATTTGCCGTGACTTGACTGGCTGACTCCACCACCAATAACTTTAGGTATGTTACAGTTCTTGGTTGTTTGTAGGTGATTGCAGTTCTCTAGGGAAGTGGAGGAATCAAGGCAAGCCCGGGAGGTACCAGCCTTGGTAGCTATGGTTCAGATCTGAGACACTGACCGTTGGGTTGGCCAGAGGAAAGTGTACGGTTATGGATGTGTGGTGTAGTTTGTTAACGAAAAGAAGGTTGGTAGTTTTTGATAAAGCTTTTCGTAGATTGCCCATTTATTTGTTCAATGGTATCATAGCATATGCTTATCCCATAGGAGAGAGATGAACTGTTAGCTCTATTTGATGCCGAGATTGTTCGATCGAAAAAGAAGGTCTTTGATCAAATCTTCTTTTGTAGGAGACAGTTCGTCAGGTGGTATTTGTTCATCATTTGCTGGAGTGGTGAAAATAGGAACTTCATGACGGAAGAACAAGGGCCATAGTTAAGCTGCAATGGAATATCCACATTTTGGAATAGTCAGCAAGGAGTTCAGATACGTCCTCTGCTCTCTCTAAGTTCCGTGTGTAGATATTTCTAATTCACTGGCCAGCCATGGTTTCAGGTATCCAGTACATCTTAGAGAGGCCCTCGATTGCCTTGTCATGGACTAATATGGTAATCATGAGCTACGCCAAAGTATACAGTGATTTGGATGAAATTGACCAGGGCGCACGGTAGAATGGTCTTTGGATAGTCTTATAGTCTTAAAAAAGTTCAGGTATAATACAAATTCGATTTTTGATAGGGCTTTTGGTGTTTTCACTTTTGTAGTGATTTCGCATCAACACGTTAGGAGTACGAACCAGTACCCACTTTTTGGAACTTTCTATCATAACTTAGAAAAAAAAAAAAAAGAAAGTCATTTTATAATCTTCCCCATTTGAATTGGTTTTCAAAGTGTTCCAAATCATCTACTGGCAACAGTGTAACCGGACTGGAATTGCCTCTGCGCTTGAACTACTACTATGAGCTGGGCTAAAAGAAGAAGCTGAAAAACGGATGGGAAAACGACGCCTGCACTAGTAGCTTTATGACAGCGGACCGCAATGCAGTGAAATACCGAGGGATTCGTTCTGGATTACACATTACTTCAGACGAGGAAGGTCTAAACATGAACTAGTTCGTAGACATGCCGACTAACTCCTGAGTGATTTCGCCCATTGTTGAACAAGTAGACTATTGAGTAAGCTGAGGATCTGTGACTGAAGTTTTGGGAACTGATGAACGGCAACTGGTGACCAGGAGAATTTACATATGGTATCTGACAGATTGGGAGCACAACACGGCTGTAACTCAAAATAGGAAGCCATCAAGAGGCTGACAAGTAAGAGGGTCAACAGCGGAATCGAATGGTACCTACGTAATCTTGACTAAACAGAGTTCGAGCGGAATATGTCAAACATCAGCTCCAACGGTCTACTTAGAGACTGGTCGAACAGCCTCAGTGGGTCCGTTAACAGTCAAACCAGAGCAGTAACAGGAAAGATGCTTAGACCCAAGATGTTGTCTCAGATAAAGAAAAGTCCCACCGAACGATCTGGCCAAGCCTTGTGTGCGCTGTTTGGAGCGATGTCTGGTTATACCTTCTGTAGTCGAACTACACCAGGCAGCCTACGATACCCAACGTAACAAACACTCCAACCCTCACAACGTACGTTCCGCTTCCAAACAACAACCATCAGCCGTCAATCAGGAATGCTTGCCTACTAAACCATGCGCCCTTGGCTGCGAGACATCATCAAACATGAATACCACCAACGAATGCCGCAGCTGTGAACGCAGGGACGTCAGCAGGTACCCGACCCGAAGCCAAGCCGTACTTTTAAAAAACCACATCCAAGCACATTTCGTAGTTTTACCGGTAAACGTCTTAGTCTCCCGAGAACGATCTTCACTAGTCCAGCTAAGCGTCCTCAGCCCAGTACATTACCCACCGAGCCTCTGTCTATCCCTCCACATCCACTTTTTGTTCTTTTCTTCTACCTCTCTTCAATCCAAGCTTCCCCAACCTGCGCCTCGCCTGGCAGCCACTCTGGACCTTTTGGTGCTATATTTGGTTTTGGGGGCCCACTTAGTGCCCCTGCCTTGGCCTGCTTGGCAGGTGCGCCTGCCATTCTCTTCTGCTACACAGTGTGAAACATGGAAGGAGGCGGCAGGGTGGGAGGCCGGGGAAGTTTAGGAAAAGACGGGAGGACGAAAACTACTGCCAAAAGTGTGTTTTCTGAATTCAAAGCAGGTTTTTATTTTCTCTTACCTTCATTGTGGGCCCAGATTCACCTTGTGCTATTTTTTTTTTTCTTTGCTTGTCGTACCCAGAGTGTGCTCGGTTTCCCAATTTTAATTTTTTTTTTTTTTTTTTTTTTTTGGTATATTATATTTTTTTTTTTTTTTTTCGTGCCTTGTTCCTGTGCCGGGACCTTACAACCTTTATAATTTCGAACCATCTTCTTTCCACCTTCATTTTTATTTTCCCAAGGCTCTGCCATTCTTAGCATTACGGCCGGCCCGGTCTCCATTTTCCCAAGCCCAGTGCACAATTCTGGTTTTCTTACTCCAACCAAAGATCCCACCGGGCACGTTTGGCTCCAAGTTCCAGGCGCCCTTATTCATATATACTCAATCCCAGCCAGCGCTATTCCGCTAACACTTCTCGGCACTTGTTTGATAAAGCTTTCCTTGTGCTTGAGTTAAAGACACGTCTGTGACGGAATTGAAGTTTTTTTTTCCCCTTGTCTCCAACGCCTATTCCCCTTCTCCTGCCACACCATATATCACACGCTTCCTTTCCCTGGACTTCCCCCATCGAATGAACCCAGTGGACTCTCCGCTCAATATATCCCAACCGGCGCCCATGGCATACCCCATGGCCCTGTTTGATCTGAACCATACAGACTCCACCAAAAATCCGTCTACTCGCCAGCCACTTGGGCCTCCGCCTCCTGCTCCAGCAGACCTGGCCTCCACAACCATGAACTACTCTCCTCGTCATTCCCGCAAACCGAGCCTGCTATCGACATCTCGAAATATCAACATGAAACAGCTTCTGCTCAACTTGTCCAGCACCTCCCTGTCGCCATCCGATATGGTCCCCAACGGTGTTTCAGATCCCATAATGACCCTTCTGCCCCTGCGAAATGGCCACAAGAAACCGCCTGCGTTGGCTATTCCTCATAACCCGCTGGTATCGGCCCCTTTGGTCACTCCAGTGGTTGCCCTGACACCGTTGATACCGCCTGCACCTCCCATCCAGAAATCCAGAGGCCATTCCCTACGCCTGCTGCCTGTTATACCTCCTTCAGAGTTCAGCTTGGGCGTCCTGCCGCCCCATTTCGCTCCCAGCAGCCCAGAGGCAGCCTTGCTGAGCCCGTTTGGCTCAGTTGCCCATCTCCACTCGCATAACGTCACTTCTATCGACCAGATCGAGCAGCTAGACCCCTACAAGCATCTGCACACGCATCAAGGCGGTTCATCGGGGCCGTTTCATGCTCCCGAAGAGCTCCAGGAACAGTCAAACCTCTATGCATACCCAAATGGACCCGCCAGAGTTTTGGATGATACTTTGTTCTTGTTTCTGGATCCAAAGTATTCCGTTCATCCTGTGGATGTCAACGATTACGATCTTGTGGTCAACGTGGCGAAGGACTGTGAGGACTTGCTGCCTGAATTCGATACCAAGGGTGGCCAGCGCACGTATCTTCACATACCATGGTCCCATACGTCGCTGATCCTGAAGGAACTTCCAAACATCACTGCTACGATAGCTAAATACGATAAGCCGGGACTGAAGATACTTGTGCATTGCCAATGTGGAGTTCTGCGATCGGCATGTGTGGTTGTGGCTTACTACATGGTGAAGTTCAACATTTCTGTGAACGATGCCTACGAGCTTCTCAAGTCAGGTACATCCAATACTACCGAGGCCTGCAACCGGCGCATTGCCAAAGAAGGCTACCACATCGATGCGTGCGAACGGATATGCCCCAACATGAGCTTAATCTTTGAGTTGATGGATTTCGACGAAAACAGAAAGGCACCGGCGGAGAACAACGACGAATAAAGGTGGAAGGACCATTCCCATAATAGCCTGGGTGATGGCCCTCACAAACACCGCAAGCCCAGGACCACGAGAAATTCCAAACCTCGAAAATCCTGGGCCATCGAGAAACGACGAAACGATACACTTGCCAAATAGAATGCAACGACATTGCAACGAGACCAAGAATGTAGCATTAAGTATCAGTAGGTATATAAGTGCTGGCTGCAAACTCATCTGGTACATACATTTTTTTGTGCAAACCGCGAACTCAAGTAAACTATTCGACCACACAAGGATATCACCATCATCTTCGTTCACCACCAAGAAGGTCTCAAATAATCAAAAAGAACGAATCCACCATGTCTTACAACTCGGGGCTGGGCAACTCCCGTATTCCCAGCAGCAGCCGAGACCGAGATAGAGATAGACCTAGAGACAGACCGCCTTCATCCAAACCACCCATTCGTGACAGAGACAGAGGTCATAGAGGGTCTGGGTCTGTTTCTGCGTTTGGGCCTGGACTGACCAGCACCTCAGAGGGCCACGACAACAGCTTTCGCCGTCACGAGCCTCAGCGTGACTACTTTGGCTACAGAGGAAACTACCGTAAGCCAGGCTTCAATCAGGGCGGCCGCAAACGAGACAGTTATGACAAATACCGTCCAGGCAATAAGAACAAAGCGGGTCCAAGCGGGCCTCGTAACTCGTGGCACGACAAGCGTAAACCAGGAAGCTCCAACATGTATGGAGACAGACCAAGACCTGAGCGTTCCGAGTATAAGCCACCAAAGGACCTGGAGGATGACGATAGGAGGCTGAACAGACGTCCTGATTGGGATCCAAGGGATTCTAGAGACTCGAAGGATCCTAGAGAAGGCAGAGACCGCTACGAACTGCGAATCCCCCAGGCTTCAAGAGATCTGCTGTCGTTGCGAAGAACTACCTCAGAAGCTCCTCGTCTGAACGACAAGTCGTCTAAACTACACCGCTTTTCGGATCCTTCCCCCTCGGTGCCTCTAGAAAGGCCGAAAAAGGATGATGGGGCTCTGACGAGCGATACCAAGGTGCAACAAGTGGCTAAAAAACCTTCGCGTGTCCCAATAATCAAAGACGAAAGACTACTTCATCTTTTCGATGACGATGAGCCAGAACCTTCAGCTTCACTGGAGACACCCGCACAGCCGAAGGGCGAGCCTAAGAAACCAGAGGGGCTGTCGAGCGACATTACAAAGAAGACAGGCAGTGTAGCCGAGAAGCCAGAAGGTGAAAAAAGTGATGATAAAGTTGAGCCAAAGACTGATATCGATACTGCAAAGCCAAAGCCAGAGAAGCAGGAGCAAAGCTCTACAGGCACCAGTAAGACGAGCGATTCCGAGCCCACCAAGCCTGACACTACTACAAAATCTGACGATGGGAAGCTGTCTGAAGTGACTAAGAACGAAGAGTTGGAGAAGCCTGCGGTTGCGAAAAAGGAAGAAGAAGCGAAGAAAGCGGACAATGACAAACAAGCCGAAGAAGCTAAGCAAACCGCAGAGGCAACGAAAGTCGAGACTAAAGAAGAACCAAGCGAGCCCTTGAAAAATGAGAAAGACGAAAGTGAAGCCCTCGAACATAGAAAGAGGGATTCTGTTCATTCGCTTGCACTGGAACCCGAGAAACCACTTCCTGACATTGAAGAAGATGCGGACGATTCCGAAGCGGAAACGGTCATCACGAATGAGCCTATTTCAACCGATAAAGCGAAGCTGCTCGTTCGTAAACGTGGTGCTGATGAGGAACGTCGTCGCCTTAAACGCAAAATCATCTACTCGGATGAAAGCGACGATGAGAATGACGATGATCATTCTTACCGCCCATCGTCTGCCTCTCAGAAACATAGCGAAGACACATCGACTTCTCTTGAAAAGCACACTACGCCTTCTTTGCCCTTCAGACCAAGACGCAGGTCCTCTGATGACGCTATGAAGGTGGTTGATTCAACGAGCTCGAAGAATAAGGGAGGAGACTCAGCTGATAACTCAGACGCTGAATCGGAGAGAGAAGATGCAGCAGAGAACAAGAAGGTCTTTAAACTGGGTTTCGACCAGTCATCGAAGCCTTTGAAATCTTACAAGATGAAAAGAGACTCCACTGGACGTTCGCTTCTACAAAGAGCATGCAAGAAAGGCGATCTTGATGCAGTGAAAACCTTGATTGCCAGAGGTGCAGATGCGAACGAGAGCGATTTTGGTGGCTTCACTTGCTTGCACGAAGCCGCTTTGGCTGGCCATACCGACATCGTGAAATTTTTAATAGAGAAGGGCGCCGACGTCAACAAGCAGGCTTTGGAGGCAGGCGATTCCGAGACTCCATTGATGGATGCTTCAGAAAATAAGCATGTCGATACCGTCAAGGTTTTACTTGCGCATGGCGCGGATCCGAACATCACCAACGTTGATGGTTTCTCTGCTTTGACAAAGCTTTATCATCTTCAAACGGAAGAAGATAATTATGATGAAGTAATCAGCTTGTTGAGTGTTGCAGCAGACAAGAAGCTGACTCTGAAGGCGATCTCACAATCACCTCGCAAGGTTATCGAAGATCCAAATGAGGGATACTTCAACGACTTGACCAAGAAGAAGTCTCCACTGTCTGCCATCTATAAGTATGTGGCCCAGGGCCTCAAGGAAGCTGCAGCAGAAGACTTTATCCTTCATGGCTATTCCTTACTGAAGAAGCCCGATATTTTGATTTTGGCTGCCCGTTATGGCCACACAGAATTGGTTGATATTCTTTTGGGCCTTAATCCTGGATCTTTTGACATAAACTTGAAAAATAAGGTGGGTGTTACCATATTACTTGCCAGTGTTGGAAGAGGTAACTATGATGTTGTGAAGCTTTTATTATCAAGAGGAGCCGATCCTTTACTCACTAGAGACGAAGATGGCCTAAACGCTCTCCAAATTTCGAAGCACTCGGCTCAACACGATCCAAGAGAAGTATTTTTAATTGAGCAGCATTTGTCAGGAGAAACCGAGAAGGCTGCTACACCAGTTCCCCCTTCAAGTCCTACCCCAGCCGGCAGAGATCGTGAGACGAAAATCTCGCAACCAAGTGACGAGTCCATCAAGAGCCACGACAAGCCTGCTTTGGAAGCGAACGAGGACGGCCCCAAGAGCCCCACATCGAAACCTGTTGTTGCCAAAGACTCTATCTCCAAGAAGCGTAAGGGCCTGGAAGATTTGGATTTGAAGAAGTTCAAGAAGAGAAAGGAAGCAGTGGAGGCAACGGTTAATGACGCTACTGCTGCCGGTGAAGAAGCCCAAGAATTAGAGAAGACGCTCCTAGGCTCACCTACTGGCGAAATCAAGGAGAAGTCTCCAGAGGCTGAGCAAAAGGTCAAGATGAATCGAACCGCCAGCAGCGCGTCTTTGTCCCCAGGTCCTGCCACAAAAGCACAAGAGGAGCAAAAGCAAAAGGCTTTAGAAGAGGCTAAAATATGGCAAGAGAAGGTACAGGCAAAGAAGAGAGCTCGTAAGGAAATGTTCTTACAAGCCGAGAAGGAGAAGGAAAGGAAGCGGAAAGAGGATGAAGAAAAGAGAATTGAGCTCGAGAAACAGGAGAAGTTGAAAGCCAAGGAAGAAGAGATCAAGAAGGCGCAAGAGGCCGAGAAGCTCGCCAAGGATTTGGAGAGTAAACGAAGAAAATTGGAGATCGACCTCATTTTGGAAAAGTACCCTATTGGGCTTAGGCAGTTCATCTTTGGCGAAAGATTGGGCGACGCAGAGCGTCTTAGGTACTGTCCTCTTTACGTTTTCGATCTTGAAGGAAACAGCTATGTGATCGATTTGCAAATCTCTCTCCTTCTTGCAAGGCCCGTGTCCGAATTGCACGAGAAATGTCTCAAAGATACAAACGAGAAATCTATTCTTGACGCTGAGGCTAAGGCAAAGGTGTGGCCATTGTTCTTCCCCATGGTCGGCGTCGGGAAGAATAACCAGGTTGAAATGGATGGCCATGCCAAGTTCTTGGGCCTCCAGCTTTCCTTCTTGCCATACAAGAACGTGGCAGAGTATGTGAAAACAAGCGATGCAGAGCTTCATGATAACATTTGGTCCCTGAAGAGAGAAACAAAGGTGAGTCTAATGCTGTTGCCGGTTGCAACTGGTGCTAACCCAGGATTGCCAGAATCCTCACAACAAGATCAGGAAAAGGGACCTGAAGCCAAAGCTGGCTTTGTTCCACCAAAATGGAAACTTCGCCAGGATGTCATCCGAACCATCAGTTCGGCACACACGCCTCTCTGGTAGAAGTGTCCGTTGGGGATGTAATGAGTTTACGACGTGTATATTACTATAATAACTATTTATCAAGCGATGCGCATCGCAGTAGTAACAGAAGTATCACCATGGTTGATCAGAAACGGTATGTCTATTAAAGGAAAATAACCCTCATCAATTACTAACATCAAGAACTAGCAGGAGAGATCTTTATGATCTGGAAGAGGAAAGCGATCATGAGCCCTTGGTTTTGCCTGAAATGGAGTTCGAGCTCATAGAAGTCGATGAACAGAAAAACAATTCAAACGAACCAGAAGAACCAGTTACAGAGGAACCAGAAGAGTTTGCTTTCCCTCTTTTCTCTGCTCCCTCCGCTGAGGTGATGACAGTGACCATGAACGATGCTGAAGAGGAAGAGGAGATCAACAACGAGAGACCAGAATCGTACTACAAGGCAATCTACAGCAAAATCGAAAAGGAAGAGTTCCTTCTTGCTGCAGTCGACTCTGCTTACGTTTTTGAATGGTCCCAAACTGTATTTCCAGACCTAGCGCCTTGGAAAGTGGTGGACCTCAAGAAACATAACGAGGACGTGGACCAAGAGAGAAAGAAGCATCGCAAGAGAAGAGCAGGGAAGAAGAAGCGGGAAAGTGCTATTTTATGCAGAGAAAGAAGACAGACCAGGGAAAAGGAGGTCAAGAAGCTTCGACGTGAACAAGAGGCCAGGGAGAAGAAGAAGAGATTCAAGAAGTGGAACGGGCCTGGAGCTAAGACAAAACAGAAGGTTCCAGCCAAGCCAAAGTACAGAACGGAATAGACTAGCATATGGGTTGGGGAGTAGGCGTTGCTACTCAAGTAACCAGTGGTGTTACAGAGGTACAAGGCTGGATACCAGCGGGAGCCTTAATTGCATCGTTAAAATGCTGGATTGCTCCATTCAATAGCTTATGATGCGGAGGAGGTGGTGATTCCAAGATCTGTGATTTTGGGCCAGTTTATCTGCTGGGCACTGGTTGACGAACCATATCTTTGTACAGCGGCATTACCTGTTTCTTAGAATGCCAGCAAAGGCAGCTACCAGACCCAAGGACGCCTAACTCTCCCAAACCATGCCATATGACACTACTACTTGCCTGGCGATACATCACCAGTACTTGTTCAGTGTCTCTTGCAGCCATTACGTGTTACTCACTTTGCACCACCATAATCACATAGAGCCAATCAAAGCAACCAAGTTTAAATTATAAACACTAGTAACCAACATTACACCATTTTCCATGCCTTTGCCGGCCATCTTCTTGCCTTTCTTCCTTATAGTCTCCTAGTCTATGTGTTTCTCCTGCACAGCTATACATCAACGCCAAATCTACCTTACGTACTTTTCACCAACCATGTCAGCACAAGCCATTGAAGACTTCGAGGCGTTCCTAGAGGATAGCTTCGAGCCTACTAAGTTCGCTGGGTCACTCCTACTAGCCACAAATGTCGCTGACGATTCTGAGCTCGACTTGGCCACGCCCATCAAGAAGCTCCAGTTCGACGCCAACGAATGTGAAACTCGAATCGAACAACTTGCACGTTCACATACAGCTGAGCTCGTGGACAGTTTCACAAAGATAGAATCGACGAAAAATATCATGGGGCTGACCGTGACACCGCTGGTGGAAAGGGTCAAGAAGCTGTATGCTCGTATCCAGAGGGAGATTGTTGATCCATACAAGGAAGCCACTGAGCTCAATGAAGCACTCAAGAAGATCCATGCTACTTCTACGCTTCTTCGGGGAGCTGGGTTTCTTATATTGTTTATCCAGCAGCTTCAGGACTGTGAGGCTGCTGGATCAGACCCGGTGAGAATGGCTCGTCTCTATGGCTTGATGGAGAAGTTCTACAAGGGACGTCTACTTCTGAACTCGACCGATTTCGGCGATGTTTTCTCTTTGAAGTTTGTCAAAGAGTACCGTGCCGTGTACCAGGCTAGATCTGTGGAGTTCTTGAGTTCGCTTTCGGAGAAAATACTGAACGATATAGCTCACCACAACTCATTCAAGGAATCAAATGATGCTTTACGCAGCAACATTTCTGCTTTACACATTTTGAACAGCAAAGAGCTTTTCCTGGTTTTAGATAAAGGTGCTCTCTCTAAATCGGTCCAGATTGCTTCGACCCAGCTTTCTAGAGCATTACAATCTCCTCGAAGCTTTGGCTCGGCATTGGGAGACACTAAACAATTTGCTCTGCTGTTCGTAAGTACTCTTGAAGCATTACTACGGGCATGTCACGGTTCTGACGAAAAGCTGTTATACACTGAGTTCGTGGAGTACCTTTCTGCGCCTTCCTTGGAGAAAGTATACTGGGAAAGACTAGTTTTGAAGTTCAAGAGAAATATTGCAACCACAATGGCTAGGGGAGGACCAATTGCCAAGTCTCTAGTGACCAACTATTCGAACATGGCTTCCTCAGTGAAGTCAATGTTTGAACCTGAAATCGCAAACCTTTTACAAGACGCCATTGTCATCATTGACAATGCCCCAAAATAGAAATAGAAACGACTAATGAGCTTACAAGCATGCATTTATAATATAGAACTTTTATCGCTGAGCGACATGCATCGCCCTTAGGCAGTGATCTTGGTCTTGAGGTCCGTAAGGAAGTCTCTGTAACCCTTGGAGTGTGCAGACTTGTCCTCGACCAAGTTGCTCCAGACCCAGAATCTCAAAGCATTCAAGCCACGCTCCTGGGAAATCTCCATTGGTTCATTGGTGCCGCTACCAATGATGACGTACAAGCTCTTCCACACAATGGAATCTCTTTGTTCTCTGAGTTTGCCAATGATTTGGCGAACCTTGTAGTTGAACTCAGATTCTTCATACGAGTACTCAGGTAATTCTGTTTTTCCAGCCACAACTTCGTATAAGTTCTGCGTGCCAAACAAGTCAGCAACAAGTTCTGGAACAACATCACCAGAAACCCACAAGAAAAGCTCATTTCCGTTGTCGATCAAGTACAAACCGTAGTTCTCCCAGTTAGTCTTGGTGGCGTTCTGAGGCTCAGGCATCAAAATATCGGATGAAGTAATTTCATGTTCCTCACCAGTCTCAGGGTCTGTTTCAATATATGTTTCAGGTAAACCACATGTGTCAGGCATGGTATGCAAGGCGTAAACAGTAGGGTAGATGGTTTTGATCAAATGGTTGAGAGGGAGAGAGCCCAAGTTGTTTAATGCAATGGCTCTATGATCAGCAGGAAGTCTCTCATCTCTGAAACCCACATTCTTGGTCAATGCAAAGAGCAAGAGTGGCAACATTCTCAAGTTTGTCGAGATCTGTAATGGGGACGATCCAGTGACATTGCCTGGAACCAAATCTTTCCTGTAGACATTCAAGATATCGACCACAGACTTGAACAAAAAGTCTCTACCGTCGTTCAAAGAACCGCCCAATGCTTTCTCGATAGCTCTGTGAGTCAAGTAGCTTGTAATTGCGAGCTGATCAGCAGAAGCGTAAATATCGTCTAATTTGTTGGAGGTTGGGATAGCCAAGTTGATGACTCTGACTCTTCTTTCTCCGTAACAAGTGGTATGTAGAACAGCAGCTTGGAAGTAGACAACTGGTTTTGTGACGGTTTCTTCGATAGAGACCTCGATTACGTAGCTCTGATCTCTTGGGAAAGATGGGAACGAGCACAAATCGGATGATCTGTTGAAGAAATTACCAAAGAAGCCGCTCATTCTAAAGCCTGTAGAGCATCTCACTCTTAAAACAGCTTCCAAAGCAATTTCCATAGACAAATGCTCACTGATTTCCTTAGATAATTTTGTGACATCTTCTTCCTTGTTGCAGGTCCACGATGGATAGAAATGAGTTTGACCAGCAGTGAAGCGAGGCAAGTTTGACAAGGATGCAACATCCTGGTATTTGCTGCCAGTCAAGAACAAGTCGATGGTAACCTGGGCAGAGTTACATTCAACGGCAAACGACTTGTAGAACTTATCAGCAGCAACTAACAAGGTTTGTGACTCCTTTGGCTTTCCAGATTGAGATTCATCTCTAGGAGCCAACTTACCCTCACCGATGTTTGGCAAGGTGGAGGAGAAAACAACAAGCTTACCACCGATGTTGCTTGTGAGTCTATGACCAGTTCTCAAAGCTGGACCCAAAGCGAAGTGTGGATTGGCGGTACCTTCAAAGTAGTTAGGGAACTCCATCAACATTTTTTCAAGCGCTTTTCTGTTTTCATCTAAGTTGATCAACAAGCCTTCAGGGGAAGGCAAGAAAGGCTCATCAAGATCAGAAACAATCAACATTTCTGGAGCCTCGTCCAAGCCCTCACGGAACCTGAAGAAGTGTATGTTGGAGTCAACACCGAGAATGGCAATTCTAGCGGTCTTGTTATTGTTAGGAATACGATCCAAGCTCTCCAATATGGTCCTTGCCACTGTAGAAGTCATACCAGTAGCCACAGCCTCAGCAGAGACATCGATGATGAAGGTGTAAACGATTGGCTGAGGAGCTCTTGCCATATACTCCTTTGGAGCAATGAACTCCACGCAAGAGTTGTTCAATTCCACACGGTCGTATCTGTTGAGAGATTTCTGGGACAACTCGTCGTAGTCGAAAGCTGCGGGAACGTCGTTCTGCAAGCCACAGAAGTTACATCTCCAACGCTTACCGCCCTCGGTCCACGAGACGAACGGGTTAATGTAACCTCTACAACGACGACAACGAGAGATGATAGTATCTCTAGTCACGGGCGCATTCTCAACAGACTCATGCAAAGCGGTATAAGGTCTCACCACGAGAGCCAAGGGTAATTTCGATTTTTTCAAGAGGGACGAGTTGACAGGAATAACGTTCAACGTTGAACGAAGGTACTCGGACGAGGCGTTTGCCGTTTCAGATCCAGGAACGATAGTGGAAGACGGAGGGACAATCAATGGTGGAGGAGGCAAAGTCAAATCAGAGATGGAAGGAGGCAATTCCTTGGATAAGTCGGTCGTATACAACTGATTCAAAGGCAATGAGCCAGCAGCGCTAGCAGTAGCACCAGAAGCACCCACACCGCCATAGTACAGTCCTTGGCTAGGCTGACTATAAGCGTCTGGCGCCTGGTAGCCGGCCTGGTATTGGTTCTGGTATGGAGCCTGGTACTGATTTGGATACTGTGCCTGTTGAGGCTGCTGTGCCTGAGGCTGGTTATAAGGATCAGCCTGGTAGCCATATCCTGGAGCCTGCTGGCCCGGATAGCCTTGACCAGCGCCATTGGCAGGGTATGGAGAAGGCTGCTGCGGCTGTTGCTGCTGCTGCTGTTGTTGGGGTTGTTGAAGATTCAAGTTCTGGAAACCCTGGGCAGCCTGGTCCACGCCATAAGAGTTGAAGGAAGGCTGAGCCGCTGGAGGCTGCTGGACCGCGTACTGAGGTTGTGGGTACGCTCTTCTTCTGGACATGGAATTGACAGGTAGGGAGTGATTGGGGCCTTGGAAAGGAAGTGTTATTGGTGGGTGAAGTTTTGAGACGTGGTCAGTGCGCGACAACGATTTACGCGGTCTGGGTAAATGCGAGCACGCCGTTGGCTGTTCAGTCAGAGGTGAGTCAGTTTGGGGAGGATGAAATGGGAGCGTTGATGGGATAATTGGGGTGGTTTTGGTGGTAAGGGAGGTATGAGGTTTGGTGAGTTTTCAGGTTTTTGAGGTGGATGGTGGTGGAATGGTGGTGGATTGAGTGAGGAACACTGGTACTATGTATGGTAACACGACTTGGTCGTATTTAATTAAATATTTTGAAAATTTTATCTTAAGCAGCGAATTATGAGATCTTTTAGGTGGTAGACGTTTTTTATGTTAGAAAGATGGATAAGGAGAGCTTTGTTTTGGGTTTTGGTGGGACTGTTGATGTCATTAAATGGTTGCAAAATGCATGCGAATACCAACAAGGCCAGGCCCAGATAAGGTTGATCAATGATTTAAAGTCTTATTCTGTATTGGAGGGCATAATTGCTGCTTAATTAAGACATGAAAAATGAACGAGACCGTTGTGACAGCCGATGTAACAACTGCTCAACCTTAGGTAATATATATATAGCTCTGAGTCGAAAAGCCATAAGCTCAATTGCCTTACTGAACGATACTGTGGGTACCACTTAACCCAGAAAAATCAAGAAATTAAATCTATAACTTCCTATTCCCAGCACTCTTCTAACCCATAAGCCTGTTGGAGTCAGTAACCCAATTCACATTCCAATCTAGAGGTTCGGCTTCTGGGGCTGGAGATTCCAGAGGTTCTGTAGCTTCGATTGGCTCAGAGGCCTCAAAGGCCTCTTCGCTTTCCCCGGCCTTAAGGGCCTCTTCGCTTTCCCCTACCACTGCAGCTACGAAGGATCATCAGACCAAGCATTCAAAACCTTGTTCTACCTGTACCGATCTCGAAGACAATCAAGAGGTATACTTCCTCCCACTCGTCTTCTTCCCACTCTCTTGTCAATTGGCCGGGTGATTTACCCCACAAGAGCCACCCAAAGCCCCATTTTGATCGATTTGCCGGCTGTGCAGACGAAAGCAACGGCCATGTGGTATCTATCCGATCATGGTGATGTTTGGCGGTTGCAAGTGGCTGCAAACCATCAAGAAACAACCTTTCTGCTTAGAATTCGCCGCCTTTCCCCGAATAAACTTCCACTTTCGTTATTCCACCCCACATGTGACAAACCCCCTCCAAGCAGTACATGCCTTGACGTCTGTGCCCTGGAAACAACCGTCTGAGGGGCCTTCTTTGTTCCTGAATGGCCATCGATACGTTGGAGGCTTTGCTTCGCGGTTGAAGTATCTACAAGTAAATAAACAAGGGACTGCCAAGACCCAGTTGTGTCGGTAGGAACTCCCAATAAAAAGGAGAAAACCCTTCCAAACTCAGAAACGTCATTAGACCAGAAGAAGACTCACCTCACCAACTATGGCTGCGAAAAACACCTCCCCCCAAAGTCAAAACTATATCCACCTACCCATACAATACCACACGGCGCACAACCTGACAATACTCGTTTAAGCCTCTGGAGGCTCTGGAAACACCACGGCTTTCAGCCACATTCCGCCGGTTTCAGCAACCTCCATGCCCAAACAGGTATCCTTGTAGAAGCCAGGGCAGAAGGAAGTATCGCGAAGGCCTTTGCAGCCAGTCCAGAACTGAGTCAACCTAGGGAAAGAGAAGAACCAGTATTGCAAAGACCCAGTGAACAAACATATCAACTGGAAAGCCAGTTAAGTAAACGTAGAAATGTATGTACATGTAGATTACGCTCCATGTACCTGGATATCTCTAACTGTGGTAGTCCTCTGGGTATGCATTTGCCCCCACCGTCCTGTCTATGCGTAGCAACCACCGCACTATATAAGGCTGATAATCCCCACTGGCAGTGGTGCTCCTTTATCTTTAGGTACCAGTTATCTTTCCTAACAAATATCAAAAAGAATGCACTTTCGCTTAGCTATCCCGTTGGTGCTTGCCCACCAGGCCGCCGCTATGGTGCTTCCTTCGCTTAATGGTTTTGACGTGGAGTCTGTCTTTGGTGAAACCGCCATCCTCGCTCGTGAGCCCGAGTCGGATGCTGCTCCTTCGAATTCTGCCTCTGCTCGTGCCTCTGGCCCGGCTCCTTTGATTAAGGCTGCCAATGCCGTGCTGAACAGATACATTGTTGTGTACAATGATGGCGTGTCGAAGAGTGACGTGGAATCCCACAATAGCTGGATTTCGAACCTTGTGAGTAAGAGAGCCGTGGCCGAGGAGCAGGAGGACGATAAGACCGTCAACTTCTTTGGCTTGCCTTCGCTTCTGGGTTACCTGGGCTTGTTTTCCAAGGATATCTTGGGCGAGATCCAGAACAGTCCTTTGGTGAAGTATGTCGAGGAGGACGCCGAGATTGACCTCTATAGCGCCAAGGTCCAGGACGGTGCCACTTGGGGTATTTCCAGACTTTCTTCTCGTAAGAACGATGGTTCTTTGGACTCGTACGTTCACGACCCATCTGGTGGCGAGGGTGTTACTGCCTATGTCGTTGACACTGGTGTGAAGGTCGGCGATGCTGACTTTGAAGGCCGTGCTGTCTACGGTAAGGCTGTCGCTTTCCCACGCTTGCCAGTGGACCTCCACGGTCACGGCTCTCATGTTGCTGGTACTATCGGTTCCAGAACCTGGGGTGTGGCTAAACTGGTTGACATTGTGGCTGTGGGCGTCATGGGTCCATTGGGCACTGGTTTGACTTCTGACATCATCAAGGGCATTGAATATGTCGTTCAGGACCACCAGGAAAACATCCAGAACAAGAAGAAGGGCTTCAAGGGCTCCACTGTCAACATGTCTATTGGTGGAGGTGCTTCTGACGCTTTGGATGCTGCTGCCAATGCTGCTACCAAGGCTGGTGTGCACGTTATTGTGGCTGCTGGTAACGACAACGAAGATGCTTGCAGCTACTCTCCTGCTAGAGCCAGTGGCCCAATCACCGTTGGTGCTACTGACAGAAACGACAAGAAGGCTGAATTCTCCAACCACGGCAAGTGTGTTGATATCCATGCCCCAGGTGTGGACATTGAGTCCATTGGCCTCCTTTCTAGCCCTCAGGGCATGTCTGGTACCTCGATGGCTGCTCCACACATCACCGGTTTGGTGTCTTACTTCTTGTCCTTGCAGCCAGGCTTGAGCTCTGAATTCAACAGCAACCTCATTACCCCTGCTGATTTCAAGAGCAAGCTCATCAAGTATGGTACCGAAGATATCATCAAGGGTCTCAGCAAGAACACCGTCAACATCCTCGCTTACAACGGTGCCGAGAACACCACTGAGATCTGGGAGTAGACGTACATGTTATAGTTGTTTGATATTTCTTTCGCTGTGTAAAGGCTGGCCGTTTACATAACAAAAGCTGCTTGATATTAGAACCATCTGTAGAACCAGTGATGTTCTCTTCAATATATCGTAAGAGAGCGCTACCGTGGCTTAAGACCACCAAATACGATTAAGCGAAGGCGTAGTAGGGGAATGTTGCGTCCAAAGCCACTACTAAGTGGCTCAAAGCGAAGGGCAGAAGTTGCTAAGAAATGGTTGCAAAAAAAAAAGGCGTCAGTAGGATGTCTTATTGGGATTTCTTGGAACTAGTACACCCCCACCACGGGTGCCTGGCTGGACCACCATTCACCCCTTGATTCTTCAAATTAAAAGCACCCCATGGGGACCAGATCAAGACCACGTTCAAGCACCCAGAGCACACAAACACACAAGCACACAAACATATAAGCACCGAACAATGGTGGTTCGTTATGATCCAGATCAGAACACAAAAGGCCCAGAACCAGCATTAAGTTGCTACGCCCGTCCCAAGCAAATCAAACCCACCGTTAAGCCACCTTCCTCTCCAAAGAACCTTCCAGCCATGTGGCCCAAGCACATCTGCCAATTTCAACAAGATATCGGAAAGATCCTTCCAATGTGCGGAGACAAACCACTCAGCAACAAGGCACATACAAAGCAAGAAAGGCTTAGACAGCGTAGAAACGGCAATTTCAGGCCCAGGAGCCACAGCTCAATGGGGCCATTATGTGATCCGAAACCGCCAAATCACACCGCTTCCTGGAACACTCACAAACACACATTGTAGACAATCCGCATAAGCTACAATGGTTACGTCAGACATGGATCAGGAGCAACGTGCATCCCAATGATCTCTTTTGGTAACCCATCTACACCAATGGGGAACACAGGACAGCTTTTGCTGAAACAGGTTGTACTTGCGAAGTGGCTATCTCCAAAGACAAATCCTAAACCCCATCAGCACATATACGTAGAAAGCCACAAAGTTGCCAGACAAACCGGTAATAGATGCTTGAAGCCAACTATCTTGGCGAAACCGTGGTGTCTCATTGGGAGCGTCACGTCAAGATAGGCCCTCGCACATAGAATAATCCCGGGTTTGGGCCATTTTAAGAGGGTCTTCCCGGCATGGAGAGTATGGTTATGTCCAACCCCCCACAAAGGAAGGAAAAAAATGGAGCTAATTCCAGGTGGGACCGGTATTTGTTGCTTGTTTGGAGCTGCAGATCCCCCAGGGTGGTTGGTGGTTGGTTGGTTGATTGTTGTGCAGAAATGTAACCTCGGTGGTGGAGTGGTTGCAAAATCGCCAAAAACACCCGGAAGTCCCCCCCAGAGGCCTAATTTTCCATGCACAAAACAGCCGCCAACCATGGATTTTGTGCTACTTAGACTAACTGTGTCGCTTTACCTTGTCAAGGCGACGAAAAGCTTGGCAACATCCTCGGCGGCTCGCTGGAAGCTTATCGTGGGGCGCTGGCGGTTTGAGGCTTTCTGATGGTGATAGTGAGTAGGTTGGAGGTGCTTCTTTTTTGGTAACCAGTGTTACGCAAAACCACTACTTTTGCGGTCCCGCCAGTGATCCCGTTTCAGGCTTTGTCAGTATACAAACGCCGTGCTTCTGGTTGTATGCATTTTGGGCTGGGGAAGCTTGGCTAGGGGGGACTATACTCCTTATTTGTCGTCTCTTTGGGGGTTAGGGTGACAACATTGTGGTTTCTTCAGACCCTCCTGCCTCCCCGGCTCTAGATGCCGCTGGAACTAGCGCAATAGGTTGCTTCACTATTGTCTGCTTTGTGAATGCACCAGCGCTAATGCTGCTGCTTATCGTTGGAAGTCTTGGAATTTGGAATTTTCGACCAAGAGTGGCTCTTTCTCTGGGGTAGTATATAAATGGAGCTTGCGCCGGTGCTGAAAGTGTTTTTGCTTCTTCAGAACTATCTACCATGAAGTTTTTGTCTCTTTCTGTTTCTTTCTTGCTTGCTAGCAAGGCTTCTGCTGCTGTCATCCCATTGAATGACGAATCTTCTCTCATTTCTGAGGTGGAGGTTGAAAAGAGAGACCCTGTGGTTGCTCCTAGACAGGCTGGCGAAAAGGCTCCATTGCTTAGAGCCCTTAAGCCTGTCAAGTCTAAGTACATTGTCGTTTACAACGATGATGCTTCTGCTGAGGCCAAGGCTGAAGAGTCTGAATGGATCTCTGGTGTCGTTCTGGAGGTCGCCAAGAGAGATGGCACCAGCGACGACCACTTGAAGTTCTTCGATGTCAACACTCTTAACGGTTACTTGGGCTCTTTTGACGAAGAAACCGTCGACAAGATTAGAGACAGTGGTGCTGTGAAGTACGTTGAAGAAGACACTTATGCTGTTGCCGAGGAGATCACCACCCAGAACAACGCTGTCTGGGGTATTTCCAGAGTGTCTACTCGTGAGAACACCAGATCTGGAAAGTACATCCACGACTCTCAAGGTGGTCAGGGTGTTACTGCTTATGTTGTCGACACTGGTATCATGACTGAGGACCCTGAGTTCGAAGGCCGTGCTACTTTGGGTGTTTCTGTTGCTCAGCCAGACAAGAAGTACGACACCAATGGCCACGGAACCCATGTGGCTGGTACCATTGGTTCCAAGACCTACGGTGTTGCTAAGAAGGTTGATCTTGTTTCTGTCAGTGTGTTCGGTACCAACGACCGTGCTGCTGTCTCTGACCTTCTTATTGGTTTCGACTACGTTATCCGTGACCACAAGCAGAAGCTTGCTTCTGGCAAGAAGGGCTTCAAGGGTTCTACTTTGAACATGTCCATTGGTGGTGCCAACTCTCGTGCCTGGACTGATGGTATTAACGCTCTTGTCACTGCTGGTATTCATGCTGTTGTCGCTGCTGGTAACGAGGCTATCCCAGCTTGTACCTTCTCCCCAGGTTTGTCTAACGCCATCACCGTTGGTGGTTCTCAAAGCGACGACAACAAGTACAGTAACTCCAACTACGGTGACTGTGTCAACATCCTCGCTCCTGCTGTGAACATTCCATCTGTTGGCTGGAAGCAGACCCCAGAGTACAAGACCGGTACCTCCATGGCTTCTCCACACGTTGCTGGTGTTGCTTCTTACTTCTTGTCCTTGCACCCAGGTGCTGGTTCTGAGTTCAACACTGCTCTTCTTACTCCAGCTGAGCTCAGAAAGAGATTGATCGACTTTGGTACCAAGGGTGCTATCCGTGGCTTTGACTCTGCCACCCCTAACGTTCTTGTCTACAACGGTGCTACCAACCCAGGTAAGTTCTGGGAGTAAGTCTTTCGCTTTCCAAAACTAGACTTTCAGCCCTAGATGGGCTGCTTAAGAACCTTTAAAAATAAAAAATGAAGCTTTGGTCTTCGGATTCTTACTTTCTTCCTATAGAGGTATTTAAAATAATTATTCTATGCCTTTTATTACTGACCGTAGCACCGTTTACCTATTTACTTTTCCCCATCCTCTCCTTTTGACCGCTTTTCTACCTTCAACCCCATTGAGCCACTCTTCAATATCCTTACCCAGAGTTTCAACACCAAAGAAAGCAAATGTACCATCTTTTCTCTCATCGAAAGGCCTTCCACGCCTTCTCTCAAATTCAACCTTCATGTATTCAGAGAAAAGCTCCAGCACTAAGCCCTTATAGAAGGAAGCATCAAAGGATGAGTTAGAGCCTGGTTCGGCGCTTTTTCTCCCCAAATTCAGTGGAACAAATTCCCTGACAAGCTCTGCAGTCGATAAACTAGCCCAATGGGGTACCACATCCTCCAGAGCCTGCTCTTCGTGTTCTTCTGCTTCCTCGGCACCGTATTCTGCTGGTTCAGGCTGGTAAACCATATACGGGTTTCTGAAGACATCTACAGAGGAATCATCAACTTCGGCCGAGGAACCGGTCTTTATATCCCAATTTAAGCTCCTGGAAAAGGCCGTTATAAAGCTTTTATCACTAAACAGCGCTGAACTTGTCATGTTCGTAGTAGTACCTTGTGGTTCCTTTTCGCAGCCAAACCGTTTTGCAACCAAAATGGTCTGAGTCTGTACTATCGGTTAGAGGCACAAGAACAAAGAAGAAGCCAGACGAGGGAGTCGGCGAAAGGATTTATTATGGATCCACCGCCGAAAGCTTGTACTTTGTCAAATGTTGCCTATGTAGTACATTGAGGCCAAAGAGGGTCCAAGACCTAGAGTGCCCCTTGGACTTTGAGTAAGAAACAAAAGCATAAATCCAGAAATATATCTATAAACATCAACCTGGCAATCATTTGTTGCCTTTAGTTGATGCCTTTCTTGCTTTGTATGGACCTCTTTCTTGTCGAGCTTAGACGAGTGCCAGTCATGCCCCCACCACATCACTCTATAGCAACATAATATAACTAATACATTACTTTGAGGGTCTTATTTATCTAAAAACAAGCCAAATCAGCCTTTAGGACTACGGGCTGCCGTTGGCAAGTCGATGGTGAAAGTGTCACGTGACTTTTTCCGTTCATCTCTCTATGTTTACTCAACGCCACTCCATTACAAAGATCCCTTAGCCAGTTGCTTAATCCCAATCCCCCTGCCTACGCCTTCCACCCTCTTAATCCTCTCTTGACTTCCCAGTGGTTGACCTAATGATAGTGTGGGCGGGTAATGTGCTGATGTCATCCTGCACACAGCTCCTCATCTTGGTCTATAAATTGAAGACCATCGCACCTAAATTTTTTTTCTTCCTCCAAATTCCCTTATTCATCTCTTCCTCCACTATCTAGAATCGTGTGGTCTTTTTGCTGTGGGCTTATGGCTTTCAGCCTCGGCACTGCTGCTTCAAAAGCATTTTTGACGAAACAACCGAAGATGAGGAAACTAAGTCTCTTCTTTCCCAGTCCGACTCGACTATGACGACAGGGTTGAAAAGCGCCTGCAGTGAGTTTACAACATTGGGCTTGACCTGGTGTTTCATTGTGGGCTTATACTTGCCAGTATTTAACAGTTCTGATTCACCATGTTTCTTATTTAATTTGACTTTTGAAGCAGCTGCTTCGGTTGATACCTGAAAGCACGCAGCAGAGAGCCCACCCGATTCAAGCACAAGAAGAAGCTTGTAACAAGTGATTCCGGTGATGAAATATCCCATAACATTCGCAGTTTCCACGGTAGCATACGCATAGAACCCAATCTAGTATGCCGGTGACCGCCAATTGACCTTCCATGGATGTCTGATGGAATTACTACAAGCTTAAACTTTTATCTTTTTTTTTGTTTCTCTTTCATTTCGTAAAATTTTTGCTACATATCACACCGTTAGATCTTGCCTTTGACGTTTGGACGCGTCAATGGCCATTGGTAGGAGCCAGCCTCCGAGAAGACATAACCATGATCGATCAAGAATGGTCTCAAGTTCTTTGGACCCTTGGAACCGTATGGGTAAATCTCTGGTTTAGGACATTTGTCAGATTCAATGTATTCCAACAATGGAGTGAACAACTTCCACGACACGTCCAACTCATCGTCTCTGACAAAGTTGGCGTGGTTGCCCAAGTAACAGTCTCTGATTAATGCCTCGTAAGCTTCTGGAATCCAGAAGTCCTTGGAGTATCTGTTGGAGTATGTCAAGTCCAAGTCAGTTAAGGAAGTCTCGGTGGAGATACCGGGGATCTTAGAGTTGATTTTCGTGTAGACGGCCTCGTTGGGCTGGACTCTGATGACTAATTCGTTTCTGTGGATTTCCTGGAAAATACCCTTGGCAACCTGCTTGAACTGAATTCTGATCTCGACCTTGGACTCGTCCAAAGCCTTACCAGCTCTCAAAACGAACGGAACACCGTCCCATCTCTCATTGTGGATGTTAACCCCGAGTGCAGCGTAGGTTGCGCATCTGGACTCCTTGTCAACGGTGTCATCGTCCAAGTATGAAGGCTTGGAGCCGTCTTCAGACTTGCCATACTGACCAAGCAAGATGTCCAGGGAATCGAATTGGTCAAAAGCTTTAAGAACCTTCACCTTTTCGTCTCTCACAGCCTCTGGGTCGAAAGAAACAGGTCTCTCCATAGTCAAAAGCGTCAAGACTTGCAATAAGTGGTTCTGCATGACGTCTCTGATAATACCAATCAGGTCAAAGTATCCGCCTCTGCCTTCAGTGCCAAAGGCCTCCTTGAATGAGATTTGCACGGAGGAAATGTGTCTGTTGTTCCACACACCAGACCACAATTCGTTACCGAAACGCAACACCAACAAGTTCTTCACCATCTCCTTACCCAAGTAGTGGTCAATTCTGTACAATTCCTCCTCAGTGAAGAGCGGAGCCAAGTCCTTCTGCAATTGCCTAGAAGACTCCAAGTCGTGGCCGAATGGCTTCTCCACAATGAGTCTCACTCTGCCGCCTTCTGGGTAAACGTACTTCTTGATGTTGCCAGCGACAGTGGTGAAGACAGATGGAGGCAAGGCCAAGTAGAACAAGCGCTCAGACTTTTCAACCTTGTTCTTAGCATCGTATTCGCCAATTGCATCGTGGAGCTTCTGGAAACCCTCTGGTTTGTCGTAAGGACCCGAAATGTACGAGATCAATTGCAAAAAGCCATCCACTTTGCTCTGGGCCTTTTCATCATGCAATTTCAAGTTCTCCTTGATTCTCTCTCTCAACTCCTCGGTGGTCAATCCCGAACGGGCGTAACCAATGATATTGACAGTGTGTGGCAACTGGTTCTCTCTGTAGAGCCCAAAAAGCGCTGGGAAGGTCTTCTTTTTGGCAAGGTCGCCTGAGGCACCAAAAACGACAATTGATACGTGGTCGCCGAAACTGTCTGCTGACATTATGATGGAAATTGGCTTCTGTGAATGGAAGAAGATAGAGGTAGTTTGGAAGCAATTGTTGCTAGTTCACAAAAGAAACAAACCAAAAAAAAAAAATAAAAAACCGGCCTTTGCGGTTATATATGATGAGGTTCGCACCCAAACTGCCATGCGAGATAATTAAGGGAGGACTGTATATAAGCGCTGACGCTACTACCTCCCAATGCTCCCATGTCTGACCGATAATCGCACTGTAGGTTATTTAATTGCTGCAAATGATGGGAAGGGATTCCCCATGTCGTTCTTTTTTGGTACTTGCTTTTTGGCCATTGGCAGGAGTGTGTGTCACGTGGACGTCCACCAATGCTTTCTATGGGTTAAATTTTTTTCATCTTTCTTCGTCTTTGCCCCTTGCTTTTCGGCATTTATCATCCGCTGGCCCTGGCCCGGTCTCTCGGTGCAATGCCTTGCGGATTTGTAACCTTCACGTGCGGTGATTACAAATTCACACTTGCATGGTACCGAAGCTCGTTACTGGCGGCTGTGTGCAGGAATAACAGTTTAATCGTTGGCTAACGGATGCAAAAGTGAATGTCCAGGGTGGAGTTTTCAGCTTTAAAAGTGTCGAAATGGTTGAAAACAACGTACTAGTCCCCAATCCGTCTTCTTCTGTCGTGTCACGTGCATCCGCCAAACGTCAATGCCTGCAACCTTACCTATCCCAATGTGACAAACTTAAGATTGCGTGGGGGCCCACCGGAAAAATTGCTGTCTTTTTTGGGGGTGCCCAACCAACGCCACCAACGTAAAACCTGGGGTAAGCTTGATATCTCCGTCTGTCCTGGCCCGCCCCCCGCTACTTTCACAGTGTTCCTCACGGGTAAAAGGAGATATCCTCGGCCATGGACTTTTTCAACCGCCTCGGACTGCACCATGCCTCGCCTGGGTGCCTTATCAAACTCACCTCCTGTCATCATCATCTCCTCCCACAAGACGTTCCTGACTACCATTGTCTTCGTTGTAGATGTCAGGCGTCTCTGGACTCAGTGTACCGTTTTCTGTCTGCTTACCGTCGATACCACGTGTCTCGTGATGGTCGTCTTCTGGCTCGTCGCCGATTTGGAACATATCATCATCGTAATCAGGCAACGTTTCGGCATTGAAGTCATCGAAAAGCGTCTGCTGCTCGCGCTGGCGGTTTGGGCCTAGGTCGAGCGAATCTCTTTCTTCGTCATCACTGTCGCTGTAATCTTCGCCAGGGATAATGTCAAACTCGTAGTCGTCTCTTCTCCTGCGACGAGTGCTGCCTGGCGACTTGTGACACTTCATGGTGATGATGGCGATAAGGAATCCGAGAACGGCCAACGCCATGAAATACTGTCCAGCATGGTCTGCGGCGTAATGCTTGTCATTGTCTTGCTTGCCGTCCTCGTCTTCGGAGTCTGAATCCTCGTCACTGCTATCATCTGGTTTTTCAGGCTTTTCAGTCTTCTCAGGCTTCTTCTTACCAGCGTCGTCCGTGGTTGTTGTTTTAGTAACATCCTTTGTAGTGCTAGTGGAAGTGGTTTCCACCTCGGTGGTCTCTGGAGTCTTGGTTGTGATGGAAGAGGTCGACAGTTCAGTCTTTGCAACTGTGGTCTTAGTCAGAGTCTCCGATGTCGAAGAAGGTTTGCTCTTTTCAAGTTCACGACGCTCAGCGGCATAGTCCTTGGTGACATCGTATTTCAGAGCCTTGTCGGCATCGATCGATTCACCAAAGAGACGAAGCTGCCAGTTCTTCAACTTCACCTCGTTCTCTCCACGAGAGCTTGAAACCTCAAGTTTCCATTCACCAACACCCTCTTCACCGAAATGTGCCACTGACATGAACGTCCAGTCCTGAAGACCACGATTGGACTGATCTAATGGCCTGCGGTCTGCGAGGTTACTGACCACACCGTGAGGCGAGGTCAACTTGACTTGAATCTGGCCTCTAAAAGTAGAATCAATGTTGACAGTGACGGTAACGTGCTCAACACGTTCAAAGTTCATGAGCTTTAAGTCTTCCTTTGTAAGCTTTACAGTGCTCGAGATCCAATCACTAGGACCCACTGGACCAGAGTTAACAACCTGGTTGACTTCCATGACATCTGAATAGTACCATGCCTGTGGTTTGACACCTTTCCACTTCTTGGCTTCTTCCACAAGCTTTTCAGCATCTATTTTACCGTAACCGTACTTGTGGGAGTACTTGAGCCCGAGGGCAGTCTCTTGGTAGTCGCCGTCGTTCTCGTTCACAGTAACACCAGCCCTGGCACTAATGTGTTGTACATCACGCCAAGAGAGGTTTGGGTTTGCCTGCAACACCAAGGCGTAGACACCAGCAGCTAATGGAGCAGCTGCAGAGGTTCCACCGTGTGTCAGAGAACATCTTTTCTTTATATCTGTAGTTTGAATATGCTCACCGGAACCAGAACTGTATGTCACAACCATGACAGCAGAACAGGCTTCGGCATAATTTGGGTGCAAACCTTTATAGTCGATGGCGCCCACAGTGATGGAATATATGGAGTTGGTGTAGCCGTCAAAGTTGCACTGATCATAAGATCTACCGCCGTTTCCGCTTGCAAAGACGTACACGGCACCCTTGTTCTGGCGGCCCTCTTGGATACCTTTAATCATGGCCTTGCGGACAATCAAGTCAGGTGCAGCCACGGTCCTGCCGTTGTCGGTAGGGCCCCAAGAACAAGAATAAATATCATTAGTTTCTAGGCCGTATATCATGGCAGCAGCCTCTTCCTCGGAGGTAATGGCGCCTGAAAGAATACGGATACCTGCGACTTTACCCTCGTAGGCCACGCCAATACCACACACATCGTTTTTCACTGCAGCGATTTCACCGGCGCACCTGGTGCCGTGATAATCGTCAAAGAGACGTGGAGTGGGCAAGTCTGTGTTATCATTGAAGTCCCAAGAACCCTTGGCGTTGAAGTTAGCCTTCAAGTCCTCGGAATCGTGGTCCAAGCCATCGTCGACCACAGCGACGGTGACGTTGTTACCCTTAATACCATTGTACCAGACATTCTTAACGTTCACGTCGTTCCCAGGGTACTGAGTATTTAGCAAGTGCCATTGGCGAAGGAAAAGTGGGTCGTTGATGCCGAGCTTATCGCTAACCTCTTTCAAAGACTCTTGCAGAGAATCAACTATGTGGAGCTCTCTAGCGGCGATTTCCTCAGCAGTAGCAGCGTCCACAGGCACAGGCATCCTCCGTTCGAGTTTCTTGGGGTATAACATATGGACCAGCTTCAAGCCTGGGTGGTGAGTCAAATCATCGTAGGCACTTTCCAACCCTGGAGCTCTCTTCATAAGATTATGTTTGTTGGAGTTATGGTTACCCAAAATCGCCATGTTCTCGTGGTTCTTATCCACACTAAACACAAAATGGTCGTCCATGCCTCTCACAGGATGTTCGTAATGGTACACATGGCCATGTTTACCGATAAACTCATGCAAGTTGGCCCCCAGCTGGGAGTGGTCGATTTCCACCACAAAGTACTGTTTCGACTGGTAGTCTCTTTTGGGCACAGTGAACGCCGCTGTAAGCGCCACGAAGCACTGAAGCAAAACGAGCGGCAGGAGTTTCATATTTGGTTTTTTTTTTAAAAAAAAAAAAGGAAGTATATAGGATATGTGTGTCCTTAACTGTGTTGACAGGAAGGTATTTGTTGAAGAAAACACTTGTGGGTCGCGAAAAAAAAAAAAAAAAAAAAAAAAAAATGTTAGCGTGGGGTGGAAATGGAAAATGGAGGGGGGGGAAAAAAAATAAAACGTAAAACGTGAATAAAAGTATAATAATAAGGAACGACGGAAAATTAAGGTTAAATGTGGAAGGTAAAAGGACCAAAAGGAAAAAGAAGGAAGAAAAAGTGGAAGGTCCTGGGAATCACACAACCTACCTGGATGGAAACCTGTCAAAATGCTGTCTTCTATACTCGGACTGGTCCAGTGCCTGCCTGGATAGTATGGGGTTTTGTCAAACGATGGAATGGCTGCGAAAAAAAAGGGCTTGGATGAGATTTCCCATGCAAATGGCAATGGATGAGGGAGGATACCGCTTTTTGGCTTACCGTTTTTTGGCTTACCGCTTTTTGGCTTGACGTTTTCTGGCTTGAAAATGATGGTTATGGTGGTTAGGTCCTTGGGTTGTAGGTGGTTATTGTGATGGATGGCTGGGGTGCGCTTTTGAATGGTGGTTCATGTGAATTGGATGCGAGTGGGTGTGAATGAAGGGGGATCTGATTGTGCTTTTATTTATTGGTACTTGGTGGTTGGGGCTTTGGTTTCAGGGGACTACGGAACTGGAAGTGTTTTGTGGGGAGTTGGGCTCACTATATGGCTGCGAAAGTTCGGATAACACCGAACACATAGGCAGTGAAGGATAAGGTTGGGACGAGTTGGGAAGAAGTTGGGGAGAAGTCCAGTTTGGGAGGGGCTTTTGGGATAGCGGAGAGTATTTGACCCTTCGAAAATTGTGTAGCTGTAGCTCGATGTCAGTGGTATGTTCCATCCATGTCTACGACTTCTCTTAATCCGACCATTTCTATATATATATACCGATTACCATTTTGCTCCCAAAAGCACAGCGTTGGGATCCGTGGGCTTCTCAACCTCGTTAAAGTGTGTAACAAAGAGTCGCTCGGAGGGGATGCTGCTCTCCTCGCAAAATCCTTGTGCCCATTTCTCTATTTCTTCTGCCATCTTTGTGTTATCCATGCTCGAAAGATCCACTGTGCCAATGCTTTGATAAATATCCTTGACTTGAGAAAGCCACTCCTTTTCTGTCACATCCTGTGGGCGTGTGATCTGTCCACCGCCATTAATGCATCCATCTGGACACGCCATCACCTCTACGTAATCGCATTTAGAGGCATCTACCGTCTCCAGCGCAGTTTCCAGACCTGCTCCAGACTTTGCGCCCATTCGAGCTCTTCTCCTTGCTGCGAGCGGGTTTACTTTTCCTTGTTTGGCAGCTCCTCCTGGGCCGGGTTTGAGCTTTCGAACCAAGTTTTGAATGTTTTTGAAGCCGTTCACAACGGCTGCTGATGCAATTTTCTCGCCACTCGGCTTATGCATGAGTCTCATCTCATATGTATCAGAGTTACGGCCCTCCACCGTTACTACCTCAAAGTCCTCTTCATGATAAACATCTGGCTCCGTACAGACCATGTGGTTACGCGTAAGCATAAGGTAGTTAAAACCATAGCCACCAGACTGGGAGCCTGAATCGTTGGCCCAAGTGAGCTCCTTATAAGGCCATGAAGCAGGGGCCATTTGCTGATAGATATTGCTGTTCTGTGAGACGATTTTTGATGAATTTGAGGGAAGGAGCTCGTACTTCAGACTCTCCAAAAGGTTAACGAGCTCTTTTGCGGTCAAGACACAATCCACATCTGGCGCAGCCGTTTCCACTGGAGTGTTTTCTGGCCTTGCGCTCTCCAACTTCTTATCAAAGCAAGGCATGATAGAAAGGTGATAGATGTCGCTTCGTGACACGCCTAAATCCTTTGCCACGAGTGTCTTGAGAAGGCAGCCAGTGATCTGTTGAGGGGACTTTGTAGCTGAAAGCATGGGCAACACGTATGGATGGGTCTTTTCAGCATATAGGACCCATCCAGGGCATATTGACAGCAAAACAGGAGATTTATTCTCGCCTCCTGAGTTCTTCCTAGCAAACATGCCCTGTGCTTCCTGAAGCAAGGAGAGTTTGCGTCCCAAAGCGGTTCCTACCACATATCTGAACCCCATTTGATTAGCTAGCAAGTTGACCAAAAGACGGTCCATTTGCTCAACCGAGAAGCCATATGCCTGGGCCAAGGAGGCTCTAGACTGGTGGCTAATGCTAGCAACAAAGATCTTATTCGAAGTCTGGTTCTCTTCGATGGCTTTTAGTAGTTGTTCGTGTGAATGCTGTGCAACAAGCACCTCCTCAGCAGAAGTGATGCAGCCAGAACATGCAAGGCAGTCAGCTAAAGAGATCTGAGCTGGTGAAAGAGCAGCAGCTTTGCCGTCAATCTTGGAGATCTCAAGTGGATTCCCGTTCTCATCAATCTGGATCTCCACCTCTCCTGCTTCCTGAGTATCTGGGTTCGCCAGTTCCACAGGCTTAATACACGCAACACCTGGCGATATGAAGTCGTTTAGATCGTCAGCAGAGAGTATTGCACTCATGTGTGGGGGAAAAAGAAAGTAGTGGTTGGTGGTTGATGACTAAGATGAGGTGAATGTATACTGATAAGAGTGTACTGCGAAGGACCAATAATACACGACAAGATGTCAGCACACGTACTGGGGGAGGGAGAAGGTACGAAGTAGGGAAATGAGCACAAGGAAGTTGAACTTCGGGCTTTTTTATTGTTTAAATTGCATCTACGATGGGTATTCAGCAGATTTGAATTTGGTCACGTGATATTACACCAATACAACAGGAGGCAAAATGGCTTTAACCAAGAATTCGGACGGTAAATTTACTATGGTGGTGGATTTTGGTGCTATATCGAGCTTGAAGGTGCCGGTTTTTAGACCAGGTGACGTGGAGTATCTTGTCTGATATGTGTCAGTGAGGTGATATTGGGTGCAAATTCGGTTACTCCATCGAAACAAGTCATGGCGAGGAGGAAAATTCCCCAAAATCCTAAGAGATAATTTTTTTGGCCCTAGAGAAAGCTCGTATACTATTAAATTTGATATAGTTAGCATTTTCGATTTTTGGTGGTCATAATGATATTCTCATTTGTGCTAGTTCTTCAGATTCGCAAAGTATATACATATAAAGCAGTCACAATATGAAGAAACAGTCAAATATTGAAAAAATCAAAGCAAAATTTTTTAAGAAAAATGAAACCAAAAAAGTTACAGTATCTACAAGCTAAAAGAACATTGAGCTACGCATACCTAAATGAAATGATAGCACTCAATTTTCTGTTTCTTGGATTATGCTTAAGTGAGTGCTCAAGATTCCTCTTGATTCTGTCGACCATGGCTCTCTTGGGTGGTACCATCTCCAGCCCAAGAAGCACGAGCACATCCGCTTGTTCCCAGGTATTTTCGATCATTTCACCTCTCAGCCAACGATAGACCTGATCCAGTGGATGAAGAAAGTTATTCTCAAAGTGCAGCTGTGCTCTGGGCGTCGGCTTATACAAGACTTTTGCCCAAAGGAAGTTTTCTCTTGTCGTTTCGTTCACACTGAATGAAAACTCAGCATCGGAATCGGTATCCCGAACTGGTGGAATGGAAGTGTTCATGAAATTGATGGTCTTATAGATATCGTTTATGCTGATCTGACCACACTTGACAAGCAATTCCCCTTCGGTATACACAGGTGGCACGAGTTGCAATTCAATCTGACGTAAAAGCTCCGGACTTTTAGTTCCTGGGAAATGTGCCTTACCTGCAATGATTCGGGAGTTACCAATTAGCACTGCCGAAATCAATAGCTTTTTCTGCCATGCTATGGTCTTTTCACACTTCAAAAGCTGAGATAGTTCGCTCGTCGTTAGAGCCAGAGATTCATCTCCACTCTCCGAATGAATCCTATGAAGATATTGCTTCTCCAACAAGATATTGAGCTTGTCTGTTGCTTTTTGCAACCTTTTCTTGCGCAGTGCAACAAATACCCAAGCAGTATCACGTATTATCAGAGTCATCCTCTCGTTAGATAAGTTGTTCTCGTTGAAAACATTCATTGTAAAGTGTGCATCGCTATCGGGTAGTATATTGATATAAGCCAAAGCATCCCTCTCTGAAAGGTCTTGCAATATCTTCTTAAGTTGGTGCGCAGCATGATGTGATTCTTCAGTGAAGAATAAATCAACCATGTGGTAAAGGAACCTGCAATCTAATTCATTACTATCCCCTCTTGGCTTTTCACGTCTTCCTCCGTCAAGCCAATTCGAATGGATTCACCAGAAATATACTCATCCTTTATAAGTTTGCTTTCACAATACGTATAGGCGTTCGTTGTAGGCAATTCGTTGACAGCCCTAGCTAACCTATGTGGTACATGGGTGTACTCAAACGCGTCTTCAGCTATGGGCTCTCCATCTTCTTTTAAAAGAGCTTTAAGGCTATTATCGACACGGAACTTACTCTTTCTTTGGAACTCATAGCTGTCGAAATGGTTGTACTTCATTGAAGTAGGTCTGGGTTGGTGTTTGACGAGGTGTCTGGATGTTACTTGGGAATGTGTTTCAATCGATTCGGCGGGCGACTAGGCCGAACGGATGAGATAGAATTTTCTCTCTATAAATGCTATCTTTCTCAGGAATTGCTGAATTTTAAGCTGCTATTATGTTTTTATGAGAGACATTTTTTCTCAGAAGGCGAAGAACAGAAAGACGCGGGTTTGGAGAGAGAAACAGACAATGGAAGGTCGATGAGTTCTGTTGAAACAGGAGAAAAATGGAGCAGCAATATCCTTGAATACAAAACATCACTCAATAGGTTTTTTTGCCCATCTTTTGATTTTGTTTCCATAATTTACCCAATCGGGTAGATTTTGTCTTATCAGTACTGGCTATGTACGAATTTAGACCATGCATAATCTCACATCCACGAGAAAAAAATAAATGCTATCCTTTCATCCTCCAGCTATTCTTGGATGGATTAGGCCATAATCTCAGGACTAATATCATCAAAATACAGTTTTAACATGACCTTCATCCGCAAGACAAAGAGAAAACCACTAGCGTGTGTCCAATGCCGTCTGAGGAAAGTCAGGTGTGATAAACAAGTGCCCTGCAAAAATTGTCTTACAAGAGGGTTCGCCAAGCAATGTCATCGGGAGGTGGTACTTGTACGAGACACTGTAGCGAATCGAGACAGCGGCAAATATGGTGCCGTAGGTGGCCTTTTCAGTGAGTTTGAGATAGAGAATATCCGTATGTGCGTGGAGAAACTCACTTTTGGGTTCATCAAGGTGGATAGATTGTTCAAGTCGGAGCGGCAGAGAGAGGTGAACTGGCCACTGTTTCACAACGATCTCGCCTCGATTATGGCCCGAGTGGACCATGCAACTTCTCACTGTTTGTGCTCGTTTGCCAGCAGCTACATCAACTTCATCCATAATGCCGTGGTGCCTAGTGTGTTCATTGATGAGCACGAGACGTTTTGGAACGAACATGTCAAAGAGAACCCGGCCTGCTTGGTTTATTCGAAGTATAGCAGTCTACAGTCAGATCTGCCGAGAGATTACTACTTCTGGATGGCATTATACTATGGAACATTATGCAATGGAATATACTTTGGCTCCGAACAGTTGAAAGATGAACTTAAGTTCACAAGCTGTGAGCTACAAACCTTGGGCCCCAAGCTCTTTACGGCCGCCCTCGATTGTCTTTATAGGGCACAATTTATGAGTTACCCTGACATACGAGCTATTCAGGTGTTTTGCCTCTTGAGCACATGTTTCCATGCTTACGGCAGTGTAAGCCTTTCTCAGGCATTGCTTATACAGTGTATCAGGATTGCCAGGAAGCTTGGTATAGATAGTTCCAAAACGGATTCAGGCGTGACGTTTTCGTCGGAAATCAAGAGGCGTTTGTGGTATACACTTTGCCTCAATGATTGGCTAGACCAGATAGACAAACCTCGGTTTTACATTGAGACCACTGATCTTGAATTACCCAGTCTTCTAACTGACGAGCACCTTCTTCATCCAGAATCCTCTGGAAAGGTGCAGTTCAACGACTACTCAAGCGTATACTATCAACGAACTATGGTGAGTATGGCGCTCATCAAGAAACGTTTGTTTGAAAAACAGTCATCAGAGCTGGACACACTTGAAGCGTGGAATAAGATGAATGAATTACGTGACAGCACTATCAGCTTCTACCAGAAAATCCTAGAGCCCACCAATGATGGGATCCTTGGTTACGACTATGCCAAATTCTTACTCTTTTCTTCTCTTTCCGAGGAGCTCTTGGATTTGGGCCGCAGAGTCTTGGCCATAGTAGGGAAACAGACTTGGTCAGCTAAATACCGATCTGTGTGCCTTGAGGCCGCTTTGGGGAATATGAGGCGGGCCATATCCCCAATACCGTCATACTACAGACGTCACTGGATTGTGACACAACATCTCATATATGCTGCACTAACGATCCTTCTAGACATGATCATGTTTCCCAATCTAGACTCGAAAAAAGACAAGAGAAGCCGTTTGGAGCAGGTAGAGTCAACTTTCCAAGTCTTCGAAGAGCTTGAAGCTACGCATCTACCTGCAAAACTTGGTATTGCTCTATTGCCGAGACTCTGCAAGTTAGTTCGCTTTGTTATAGTGGACCAAAGAGACGGCAATACATTTGAAGTGGAGTCCTTGAAGTCATTGCTCGATGATTTGCAATTTGGTATATCCCCAGATGTTGATGCCGTTCCAGCAAAGACAAGACCACAATACCTTCGTTTTGGGCTGCCACTGAGCTCAAGTAGCCCTGGAACCCGATCTATGAATAGGGCAACAAACTACACGGACAGTATATCTTTTGATGATGAGATACTGAAGTTCATTTCAGACACGGGATGGTCTGAGGTACTTATGAATATCTTCCAACCAGCGACAAGTCCACCATAATAGACCTCAGCGTCTCTATTATTGACCTATTACTTCTTGGGTACGTGGATTTCTTGGATCTCCCTCACAGATACCGAATCGTCTGACAAAATCAAAACCGGTTTTTCCCCCAAGGACTTGCCAATTTCCTCCAAACTCAATCCCTTTGTTTCGACCCAGAAAACAATAATGACAATCAAAAAAACCACATCGTAACCGGCATTGATGATGTAGAACTTCCAACCAATATTGTCCATGGCAATTGGTAAAATGAACGTTCCCAAAAGTCCAGCAGCACAATTGCAGAACTTGAAGATTGTCGTGCCCGCAGCTCTTGTCTTCATAGGGAATAGCTCCGAAGGATAGAGGCAGTTGAGCGGTGTGATGGAAAAATTGTAAAAGCCATTGAAAAGGAACATAAAGAAAATCGTGGCGTACTGACCCAGTCTATTGGTACTCTCACCGTACATTTTCACGAACCCTCCAAGCAAAGCAAAACTGACAATCATACCAGTCAACGAACCAATTGCTTGTTTCTTCCTTCCAAAGTGATCAAAAGAATAAGCACCGCAAACAGCACATATAAAGTTCCAGCACGAGCTGATCAAGTTTATCTGCAAAAGCTTATCTGTTCCTGTGATTCCAGCCTGCCGAAGAATTACAGTAAGGTAGTAGCTGCCCACAGATGAGCCGCCCAACTCTGAAATAAGAGCGAGGGAGACAATCATGACCAACCTTCTTTGATCTGGCCTTGCTGGACGAAGCAACGTCAACCATGCTCCCGTACTACCTTGTTTCTCCTCTTCGATGGTGTACTGGATTTCTCCAGTCATGACTTCTGCCTCTTCATCGGAGAGCTTATTGCCAATCTTGAGCACTTTTGTGGCGTTCTCAAGCCTTCCTTTGGAGATCATCCATCTTGGTGATTCAGGCACGAAGAGGAGGAGGAAAATAGCCAGTGCACTTGGAACTGCTTGCAAAAGAGATGGAAGTCGCCATGCCCACGTTCCATGAATATCTGCGGTTCTATATGTTATTCCTGATGCAATAATGGCACCAGCATTGAAGCAGGTGAAATACATGCCAACCATGAAGCCTCTGATAGACTTTGGAGCTACCTCTGCTACCATGAGCGGCGAAGCTGCGCCAGTCAACTGGGTGCAAAATCCAAGAACAACTCTGGCAAAAATGAACATGCCCATATTATCACTGGACGCTGTCTGCAATGCAACCCCAACAAAACTGAAAAGAGAAGCCAGCAAGATTGTCATTTTGCGTCCCCAGTTGTCCGCCATGTATTTCATCAAGAAACAAGAAACTATAGATCCTATCCACACACTTGCGTTCATCAAGCCGTTGGTAGTTGGCGTAAGGTTGAAGTAGTTTGTGAATTGCGGAATTGCAATAAGACTCGACATCATCATTGTATCATAACCCATGGTGATGGAGTTTGTTGCAGCTGCTACACAGGTCACCGTTAAAAGTAACTTCTGTGATTTGGGCATGAGCCGGGGGACATTGTCGAGTTGGAACATCGAGAAATGTTGTCAATCGAAGCCCATGCCAATACCCTACGAGCTACTACTTATATGAGCTATGTAATTGAGGAGAAGGAAAGATAAGAATACAGCTGATAGAGGCAGGTCATTTATGCTGACAGACGCCTGAGGAGTACTAGCGGAATCGCGAGTTACCGGATTAACCAGAGATATGGGTACAATGAATGCAACTACGAGATAGGTGTTTCGGCCGAGCTCCACACTTGGGTTCGGCCGAAACTTGAATTCCACGCCGGTCCAATTTGGTACATATATTTCATCTCTGTAGATTAATTAGGCCCTCCTTAAACATATTTATGACTATGGCGTTCAAAAAAATTGATATCGACTCGGTCCTCGACCAATTGACCTTACAAGAGAAAATCAGTCTTGTGAGCGGACGTGATTCATGGCACACTTTTCCCGTGCATCGCCTTGGAATACCATCATTAAGAATTTCTGATGGCCCCAATGGAGTTAGAGGCACAAAATTTTTTAATTCGGTTCCTACAGCTTGTATCCCCACTGGCACTGCTATCGCATGCTGCTGGAACACTGAGTTGATGTACGATATTGGCAAAATGATGGGCGAACAGTGCCGTGCTAAGGGCTCCCACGTCCTTATGGGCCCTAATATTAACATGATGCGGAATCCGTTGTGTGGGCGGAGCTTTGAGTGCCTCGGAGAGGATCCCATTTTGTCGGGATTATTGGCTCTGGCTTATTGCCAGGGCGTTCACAAAACGGACGTCATGGTATGTCCAAAGCACTTGGTCTGTAATGACAAAGAGGACTTTCGTATGACAATGAACGTTCTGGTTTCTGAGAGAGCTCTTCGGGAAATCTACTTGATGCCATTCATGCTCGTCCAGAAACACGCCAAACCTGAAATGTACATGACAGCATACAATCGCTTGAACGGGTCCCACTGCAGTGAAAACGCCCATCTTTTGAAAGACATTGTAAGGGGGGAGTGGGGCTTCGAAGGGTGTTTTGTGTCAGACTGGTTCGGGACTGTTTCCTGTGCTGATAGCATCAATGCCGGCTTGGATCTTGAGATGCCTGGTCCTTCTATTTGGAGAGGTAAGCTTTTGGAAATGTCTCTTTTCCATGACACCGTGACTCAAAAGTCTTTGGACGATGCGGTAAGAGGAGTTTTATACTTGGTGAATAAGGCTGCTGAGACTGGGATACCAGAGGACGCTTTTGAAGGTATGAAGGATGACGATAACACCACTAGATTGGTGCTTCAAGCTGCCAGGGAGTCTATTGTGTTAATGAAAAATACTAAAAAGGCTCTCCCTTTGCAAAAGAACAAGAAAGTCTTGGTCATTGGGGAAGCTGCCAAGAAGGCCAACTTTGCTTCAGGAGGCTGCACCAACGTCAAACCTTATCGCCAGATTTCATTGTACGAGTCGCTAGTGGATCGCCTTGGAGACAAAAATGTCAGCTGGTGTTTGGGCGCTTCGAACAGAAAACTGCTTCCTTCATTTTCTCTTCTTGCTAAAAGCAGAGCAATTTCTCCTATTCAGTTTTGTGTCTATGACGATCCACGGTCTGTAACTGATCGTAAACCCATTACTGAAGAAATGGTGGGCGAGATTGATGCTATGCTTGGAGACTTTGATCCTGCAAAGCTCAGGGACATTGATCAGTTGTATGCTAATTTTCAGGTGATGATAGCTGTTCCGGAATCTGGTTCATACAAGGTTAACTTGAAGGTTTCAGGTCTTGCCAGAGTCTATATTGATGGCGCTTTGAAAATGGTTAACGATCTTGAACACAAAACTAGTGGAGCATTTGGTTTAGATGCACCTGAGATTATGGAGGAGATACACCTTGATGCTGGAAGAGACTATGTTTTCGAAGTGGACTTTGAAAGCACCATAGGTAAGTCTTCGTTTATCACTGGTTACGGATGCGTTACATGTGGCATTGAAAAGGCCATTTCTCCAGAAGAAAGCATCAAAGAGGCAGCCACATTGGCAAAACAGTTTGACCAAGTCATTGTCATAACAGGGCTTAACAAGGACTACGAATGTGAAGGTTTTGATAGGAAGAACATGGATCTTCCTCCATACCAGGATATGCTTATCGAGTCTGTATTGTCAGTCAAGCCTGATGCGGTGGTGGTAATTGAAAGCGGGACACCGGTTACACTTCCCTGGGTGGACAATTGCAGTACGCTTTTGCACTCTGGATATATTGGGGAGCAACTTGGCAACGCACTTACGGATGTGCTCTTTGGAGATTACAATCCCAGTGCTAGGCTTTCATATACCTGGCCCAGACGATATGAAGACTCCTCTTCATCCACAAGCTTTATGGTCGATAAAAGGTATTCGTTAACGTATCTTGACGATATTTATATGGGGTACCGCCATTTTGATCTTTGCAAGATTGAGCCTCTTTTTGCGTTTGGCCATGGGCTCTCTTACACATCTTTCGAATTTCGTGACCTTAAACTTGCAGTTGACGAGTCAAACATTTCTGTTTCTTTGAATGTCACTAATACTGGCAATACAGACGGTTCCACAGTTGTTCAGGTCTACGTTGCACCAAACAAAAGCTCGGTTCCAAGCCCTATAAAGAGCTTGAAGGGTTTCCAGAAGGTTCACTGTGAAGCCGGATCAAGTTGCAGTGTGAAAATTGACGTAAACAAGAGAATAGCCTGCTCTTACTACGATACTAGTCTTTCTAAGTGGACTTTGGAAAAAGGCACTTTCGGTGTGTTGGTGGGCCCATCAAGCGACAAACTTGAGCTTAAAAGTACTTTTGAGGTTGAAAAGACAGTGCAGTGGCTCTCACTTGAGGAATTATGAATAAACGTGCTTTTCTGTGCAAAGAGTAGAATTACTACATGACCTGAGTTCTGTAAATTCACATGTTCATGTGCTTATTCCTTTCTTTGTCCTCATGCCAAAAAAAATCAAACCCTAATCCATGACTAACGTTCCCTCGCAAAACAACTGAATCACGAACAAACAAAAACTCGTAAGTGTACTTCAAAGAACCCACTGAAAAGCCTGCGCAGTCGAATAAGCTTAGAGTATGTCGGGGAACTTGGGTCATGCAGAGTTTACGATGCCAGTACTCTCGCTCTCGTAAATCGGTGACATATACATGATTGATTGAAAAATGCTTCAAAACAGATAATAAGCCTCGTTTTATTGGGAAGTCTTGACATTGATCGGCTAAACACCCAATTACTTATAATGCCCGCTTTCTTTGGGTGTACTCTTGTTTTTTTTGTACCCACTTTCACTTAACAGAACATGGTTCATATTACCAAACACGATGTGCTGAATCCTTCTATTTTCCCCCGAGGCATGTCTAGTAGTAAAATCGATTGGGTCAGGGTGGAGTGTACCGATACTGAAGCTTCCACAACCATTACATGGGAGTTTAAGCCTACTGCTACATCGTTTACTTGTGTCGATGGAACTGCTTATGATATTGGAGGTAAATATGCTCGGTCGTCAAAAAACGAATCACCGTCAATCAAGGTGTCTGGTGTACTCATTTTGGCAATGACGTTTATAAGCTATATCATGGGGTGATCGGATGCTGTCGAAAAGAGAGAAGCCAATGGGTTTCATGCTGAGTTGAAGAGGAAGGGGATGGTATGTAAAAGTGGTCTTTAGCTGATAAATGATAAAACTAAGTTTGTAAGCGTATTTTCCAAAGTGATGGGTTATCTCGTCTGTATTCGGACTTGTCCACGAAAACCAAAGCGAACCGCCCATTATCGTAGCATACTTGACATCAAAACCACGAACTTAAAAGCGGAACTCTAAATACTAAGATTCTTGCCACTCCTGTTCACTTTATCCGTCCTCATCCTTATGAACGTTAGACGCTGAGCCTTATCACAAATTCCACGCACTAATCACTTGCAAAAAAGTTCTCCAGCAAGCCCACTGGAGGAACACAAATTGCAAGCCTTCCATAACTGGAAATTCCCCAAAACCATTCCCAAATCTCCTGATAACCTTCTCGCTAATCAGGGTCCATCTTCCATGCGCGGAATTGGTACACAAAATGCTCAATAACTGATAACGACGCGGAAAAAAAAAAATAAAAAATCTGCGGGTGGGACTATATATGATAACATATTTTTCACGCTAGTGTCAAAGTTTGCAGATCATTGCATCACCATCATCATGAGCACTAATCCATTGGAAATTATTGACATTTCGGAGGTCAACACAGATTCGGCAGACCGTTTGCTCGAGGCAGCCAGAACACAAGGCTTTCTTTTCATCAAGGGCCATTCATTCACTGCCAAGGAGATTGCATCTGTGTTTGAGCTATCTGAAGAGTTTTTCAAATTGCCCTTTGAGTATAAATCGAAATATGCCATCGACATGCACAACCATGGATACACTGGGTATGGGGTTGAGACATTGGACCCAGAGAAGCTGGCTGTGGGTGATCCCAAGGAGGCATTGAACATTGGAAGTATGAATTTCGAGCTGGGGAAGTCATCAAAGGTCCTCCCAGACTGGTTTGACGAGGCTCCAGAGAGAAGAAAGCTCATTGAGGATACAGCAAAGAAATTGTACGATACGAAGATGCGCTTGTTGAAGCTTTTGGCGATAGGCTTGAAGATTGAGTCCGAGGATGGGAAGGATGGAAGTGAATGGTTTGAGAGTCGTTTTGAACCAACAAGCGAGTCCGGTACCATTCTAAGGTTCTTACATTACCCCAGCGTCAGCTCTACTAGTCCTGAGGTAAAAATCCGTGCTGGTGCTCATACAGACTATGGCGCAATGACTTTGCTTTTCCAACAGCCTAACCAGGAAGGCTTGCAAATATACTCGCCCATGTCGAAGCAATGGGAGTCTGTACCTTATGTCCCTGCCCCAGATGGGGGTGAGGGTGCTCCGATTGTGGTAAACATTGGCGATTTGCTTTCATATTGGACGGCCGGATACTTAAAGTCGACTATCCACAGGGTCCAGTTTCCTGAAGGAAGTCAGTTCAAAGACAGATACTCTGTTGTATTCTTTAGTCACCCAAACGACGCAACCGCATTGGATCCTGTTCCTTCGCCCCTACTCAGGAGTTTGAAGTCCCGAGGAGCTTTTGCTGCGCTGGAGGTCATTACCGCCAAAGAGCATTTGCAGCGCCGTTTGGCCGCCAGTTACGGATGGGATAAAAAGTGAGGTTTTTAATAGACTCTAAAACCGTGAAAGAGGTTGCAAAACCTATCTTAACCATTGAATATTGGTCCGCATACATCACAGTTTACAGTGAATTTCTTCATATTAAACGTACCGCAAAAAGGTATACGTCTTAGCATGGGGGGCCTGATTTGCCTTTTATGGGGGCCATAAATAACACCTCTCTAAACATTTATTGATGCATTCCGTTCGTTGAGCTTGCTTACTGTACTTCCTTAACTTGAGGGATGGATACTTATTTGCAGAGACCTGAAATTTATACCTTGCAAAATCTGATTATCTCGTATATCATATCATACTGTACAACAAGGATGTAAAGCGCTTAGTTTGTATGTTGAAACTGTTGAATGCCTTTTGCACTAAGCACCCCACTTCATACTGGACGCCCACTATGCGTATTGTCCCGTTAAAGCGTTATATCTATGTTACGCTTGGGGATCTACTTCGCTCACCAAAAGATTGTTCGATGCAAGCCAACCGATGATAGATTCTCGATTTCTTTCCGCCCGAAGATACCTTCCCTTGATTTTTTCAAGGGTGTTGGCAAGTGGGCTTTTGAATACCGTATCCTCCTTCCCGTCAAAAAAATCGGTAAGCTGTTGGTAGTGTTCCCTTGTACAAAGACCGGAAGTGCATGCCCCGAAAACTTCCAAGTGTGTGACTGACCCGTATTCTAGCTTCGTTGCAATTGCCTCCCAATTATCTCTCAACCAGGCCCATAGATAATCAACACCAACAGCAGTGTTTTTGATTGGCGCTAAAGACAAGCCGATATCTTGCGCATGGATTTGGCTAGATTCCAAAAGAAGCTTCATAAATCTTTTCAAGATATCTTTGTCAGAGGAGTTGCCCAAGGAAAAGAGAATATCTTCCTTTGTGTATATGTCTGATTCTTTTTGATATCGGTCCCACAATGAGTCCCAAGTTTCCACTCCATTCCTCCGTATGATGTTCCTAAGAATAATTCCTGCCTCCTCTGGGTCAAGCTCATTCTGGTGATTGATGAAGTCTTCGAATTGTTGATCACAATATTGGTCGATTCCTGGGGCTTGTATAAAAGCAGCAAAGCGGAAAATAACATTTTTAAATTGAGTATGATTATCGGAGTCGTCGTCAGATTTAACGATAGGGATTTGTTCCTTAATAATGCTCTCACCAAAACGACGGATGCCACCTGACACAGCCTCGTCAAAGAGGTAGGCATCCAAAAGATCGAAAAAGGCCTCCACAATAGCGTTCATTAAGAAGTTATCTTGTAGCTTGGCTAACTCCTCTGCAAGCTGTAGGAAAGAAACCACCAGGGTCTGACCATCGAACGAGGCGAGTTCACAGTCTAAAAGCGCTCCTATGTGATCAGCTCTCGACAAACTACCTTTCAGAAGCTTGGACCATCTTTCAGCGGCATAAGATGTGATATAATAACCATGGTGAGAGGGGTTGATGAAGTATGGCCCTTCAGGAATAGATATCTCTGTTGTTGAATCTTTGAACACGGTTTTGATAGTTTCTTTGGAGGTTGCGATTGTCAAAGGTATCAAATAGGGTTCGTCGTTTCTGCTCTCGCCAGTTGGTAAAAACCTCTTCTGCGTAAGCCTCAACTTATTAGTTTCTAGCTCTTCAACTTCCACAATCGGGAAACCGGACCTTGTTACCCAACAATGCATTATGCCGCCAACATCAAGCCCAGAAACGGAATTGAAGCACTGCCAAAGGTCTGCAGCGTTGGCATTGGCCCACGCATGGGAACGAATATATTGCTTAAGTCCACTAAAAAATGCGTCCTTACCTAGGAAGTCAAAAAGCATGACGACAAGGGCACATCCCTTTTTGTAAGTTATGGAATCGCCCGCCTGATTTATGTCATCCAAAGTTTCGATAGGCATTTGTATCGAATGTGATGAAGCTCTGCTGTCGGTTGTGAATGCCGTCAGAAGAGTGTAGACAATGTAGTCTTCCCAAACATTCCAATCTGAGTGAAAGTGGTCCATAGTATACCACAGCAACCAGGTAGCGAAACCCTCATTTAGCCAGAGGTCGTCCCAAAAGTACATAGTAACCAAGTTTCCAAACCACTGATGAGAAATTTCGTGAGACACTGTTTCAAACACGTTGCTCTTCAAAGACTTTGACGGGTTGTTTCCCACCAAAAAATCGGATTCCCTGAAAGTGATGAGCCCAAAGTTTTCCATTGCACTTTTGGCAAAGTCGGGGATGGCTACCAAATCTAATTTCGCCAAAGGATACTTGAAGTCGAAGAGATCCTCGAAGAAAGGAACACATTTCTCTGCCACATCAAGCGCAAAGGCTGCCTCCTCTGCTCCTCCAGGAACAGTCCAAGCGGTGATAGGAAGTGTCTCGCTTTTCAAGCTCTCGAGTTCCCCAACAACAAAAGCCACTAAATATGTTGGCATGAGCGGGGACCTTTCGAATTTAGTCCGCAGCCAGTATTCATCGATCTTCACCAGTTCCACAATTGAGCAGTTCAGCAAAGCGGTAACTTTTGATGGGTGAACCAACGTAACTGTAAAATGGGACTTTCTGGCTGGGTCGTCGATACAAGGAAATGCTCTCCGAGCAGCGATTGGTTGAAATTGAGTCGAAATTAGGAACTTCTCTTTAGGAAACGGGGAAGTCTTCTCTTCTGACAAGGCAAGGGGCTCCAATTCCGAGGCAAGATCCAGCTCAGCATTCACTGAGGCTGCCCCATAATCGTCTGGACTAGACTGGGACTCATTATCAACGTCACCAAAGTCCTCGTAAGAGGACCGATAGATCCCGTACATATCCTTTCTGCACTGTCCGGCGTACGAAAATGAAAGCTTTGCTTTCTCGCCAGCCTTCAAAGCATGATTGATCTTCAAAATCTGATTCTCCTCGTCAACAGAATAACTCATGGACGTGTCATTGAATTTTGCCGTATTGATGATCAAGTTCAGGGCATTCAATTCAACAACATCGCAGTCTTCAAGACCTTCCAAGTCGACAACCGCTTCACACTTGAAGTCCTCATTATCAGGGTCCACAGTAAAGGTGAGGTCGTAAGCAGGGCATTGAACCGTATGTGTAAGTCGCAAAGTCATTTGAGGTTCTTACAACATGGAAAACTGTCTACCTTATAAAGTCGGCGGCGCCGGCTCTCATATGCGACTAGTCATATCGTTCACTGAAAAATGCTCCTAATTGGGAATGTTATGTTTCATTGTTGTCGGCGTTTGATGCACAGTCGTCTAAAGCGGATTATGGCCACTTAGAAATCAACCGACTTAGACTGTATATGATTGCGCTATATCTAATACAGACGAATGAGTAATTCTGAGTGAACACAATTTTACTAAAACATGTCAAAACATTCCGAGTTTCCTAAGTCTAAGAGCCATCCCGAAAGCGTTGCCCCGATAATTCCTTATGGCCGAGACTTTCTATTCTTCTTCCAAACAGAGAGTAGAAAAAGCTTTTGATTACCCAGCAGGTTCAAGCGAATCAAATACGGCTCGCTATCACAAAAGACTACTCTTTATGGGATTTACCGAAACTGTATGTCTTTACATATAACAATACCAGTTTGGCAATAGTTCCATTGGTAACGCGCTTTGGATCATTGCACAAGCAAGCAGCTGCAAGCCACAGTGACGCGATAAGAGAAAGCTTGTCTCAAGACAAAAAAAGGAACAACATGAAACCGTGGCTTATGACAGTACCTCCTCCACAGTAACTGTGCGGCACCCGGGAAAGGAGCAACTTAACGATATTGGTAAATTGGCATACTTTGCAGGTTATAGGCACATACGAAGTCTTCTTGACCCCAATGAGGCCGTGCAAATATCACTTCGAAAACGGTGCTATGTTATTTTTTTCGCAAAACAAGCGAGAAGTTTCGTTATCTATCTGATACGCGCGATTTTAACATGTATTGTTGTGCAATTCAGCCGCACCAAGTACGAGTCTACCTGCATTAGCGAACGGTGCCACACACTCACGCGAAGGAGCAGCTGAGACCAAACTATTTAAAATAATATATATATGGATAGGAAGCGTTTCAATCTGTTGTTCTGGAGATTCTTCATGAATGCAAATGCGCCATTATTGTTTCTTTTTTCTTCTGAATTATCTCGATTTTTGGTAACCGTTTCGGCTTCCGTTTTTACGTTAGCCTTCCGGATTCGCAGAGTATCAACAAAATCAGTACCCGCAATTTCCAAAAGTGTAATAATTGTGAACAATAAGAAAAAAAAAAAAAAAAAAAAAGCCCAGCTTTAGAAAAAAAAAAGAAAACATATGATAGTGACATTTATTTTTTGACTTCTACGGCTTCCACAACGTATCCACTCATTACATTTTCTCAAAACTCAGATTCCCTCTTTAAAATGATTGCTTCTATATTGAGCTATGCGCTAATACTCAAGTCTCTCTCGTAAGCTTCTGAGTTTGGTGGTCTAACGAGGAACTCTTCCAAGATATCCTCAATATCTAATGTGCCACCTCTACTTAACACAATTTGTCGATACTCGAGCCCAGCTTCCACATTCAAGGGATCCTCTCTAAATTTGCTGTAGAAAATGTCCGCGGCAAACAGTTGACCATATAGATACGCGTAGTAAGTTGACGCATAATGGTCACTTAATTGGCCAAAGGTGGTAAAGCTTTTATCACCATCTTCATATGATGGAATACCCAAGTCGCGACGAAGCTCGTTCCAGGTTGCCACAGGATCAAATGCATCGAGTTCACTCTTCTTAGAGATACTATGAATCTTAAGGTCGAAAAGCGCATTGTGAATCCGCTTAATATAGGTATTACCGCAGTTGAGGCTCTTGCTTTTTTCAAGCTTTGCGGCAATCTCATCAGTAAGTGGTAGATTAGTTTCGTAATGTCCTGATAGTGTTTGCAATATCTGTGGAGACCAAGTCCAGAACTCCAATAATTGTGATGGGCACTCAAGAAAATCACGAGGAACACCAGAAGGGCCTTGGAATTTGGCATGCCTTGCTCTGGATAAAAAGAGATGAATGCAATGGCCTAACTCATGGAACGTCTGTGTCACTTGGGAATGCCTCAAAAAGGCTGGTTTGGATTCAGTTGGAGGAGTACCGCTGGTAACCAAGGCGCAGTACAGTGGAACCAAACTTTCCTCAAAGTAACCATCTTTGATGGGAAACATGGCAGGGGCGGAATATTTCCCTGGCCTTGAACTAAGATCCAAATAGAGTGTACCACAGAACTCATTCAGCGGATGGCCCTGTTTGATGTTCGTATACACTGCAAATATCCTCACATCTTCGTGCCAAAGATATTTCTTCTTTGGCTCTTTGATTTCGACAAACTTCATATCAAATATCTGTTCGTAAATACGCATCATTTTCTCCACTGTCTTCTGAACCGGGAAGTATTCTTTCAACTTCAAGTAATCTATTGTATTCTCTTTTTGATCAAGTTTTTCACCGTAGTATACAATATCCCAGTTGAATAGTTCTGACTGTGGCTCGATGCCCTTGTTGATCAAGTCTTCATTTTTCAATTCTAGAAGAGTGGCATATTCCTTTTCTGCAACAAGCTGAATCTTACTTTTCAAGTCTTCCAAAAACCCTAATGCATTCTCAGTGGTTTTTGCCACGTTTTCTTCCAAAGCGTAGTCAGAGTACGAATTATATCCCAACAACTTTGCAAGCTCATACCTCAAACGAACGAGTTTGGACAACTCCAATACGTTACCAGGGCTTTTTTCGTTGATAGCCAAAAACACTTGCTTTCTAATTTCTTGATCATTTGCAGACCCCAATACTTGATATGGTGCGCGACCCTTGAGAACGTACTTCCCATCTTCTACTGGCAATCTTTCGGTGATAAATTTAGGAAGGTTTGCTGATGAAGCGATAGAGACTGATGTTGAATCTTCTGTGATATTTTTGACAAATTTTTGAGACAGTTCAACAATTTCGTCTTTCAATTCCTTCAAGCGTTGTAATTTATCATCTGAAAGACCAAGGCCATTACGGTGAAAGGACCTGACCTTTTGCTCTAGAAACTTTTGCGACTCCGCGTGTATAGGAATATCCTTTTCCTTTATCTCTCTAAGCAACTCGTCATAAACCTTGAAAACATCTTCACGAGTTGCCTGGTCAGCTACCGCCGATCTGATTAACCTCTCGGCTTTTGAACTAGCATCTCGCAAATCTTTGTCGGGCGACACATACTTGAAAAAGCCAAGTTGGTTATCGTCGATGTTGTGTTCATTGTGATACTTGATACTTGGTTCAAGAGTATTCGCGATAGTTGGCTTAGTGATCGCAGCAATTTGGTCATTGAAGTCCTTATTTTTTTGCACAATAAGAGAAGCTTCCTCGAGAATCCGTTCTGGAGTATATGACCAATCTATAAGATCGGTATGATCGAGGGACAATTTTTCGAAAGAGTCAACCATGTTTATCTTGTAAGGTTTACCTACCATACCTGCGACTTTATAACTATCGAACCGGGTGAAATCGGATACAATTGGAATGCCTAACGATGTGCGGCCTATCTTAACGTACAGGGTACAAATAAAAATGTACGAGTGTTACATAACAGTCATGGTAAATACTCCCGATGTGGCTCCCGCAATGTGGCTCCATATTGGGTACGTCAAACAGGGGCTAATGTGATATTACACACTCCCGGATGATGCGGAGCAGGAGAGCCTGCAATACATAGCTTGTTAATGCGACGTGATAAAATCAAGCGGAAGAAGTTATTGAATTAACTGTTGCTGTTCTATAGAATGAGTATACGCACTTATATATGCTCATTCAGCCTCCACTCACTTCTTCAAGAGGTACGTGAATTAAGCATTGCCGAGGTTCCTGAACATACAGGAATCTGTCAAAGCCACAGTTTGAGTCGTACAGTGCGCATTGACGAGTCAGGTAAGCGAATCAAATCGAAGACCCCATGACAATGCACATCGTCAAAAGCGCAAACTTTGACACCAATTTGACATGTGGTATCAGTATTGATTTGAAACGAATCGGATAAGTTGGTAGCAGGAGTGTATTCCGATGAAGAATTACTGCTAATGATAGAGGGATTAGGGCAGTTCTGCCACCGCTTACCTCGTCAAAGTCTCGCCTTGTGTGAATGGCTCCCTAAGCCGAGCTAGGGCGGCTATGTGATGATGATATCAAAACGCCTTCTTTATCTTGCAGCTTTCTTCTCTTTCTTTATTTATTTGAAAGAATCTGATGTGGTCGTTTCTGTCGCTGTCTCCACATGAAATGCATTCCAGATATGATTGATAGCATCCTCCCATGCACCATATCTGTCAGCTGGGGCGCCTAGCCCGTAGATTTTTAAATCCTGCCAATCATCAACATTAACCTGCCATGTACTTGCAAACGTATTGTTTTCATAGTAAGCGTCAGAGACAACATAAGTACCTGTGGAGTTTACAACTAGATAGCTGTAAGACCATGCTAGGTCGGCAACTGAGTCAAACGGCCCAGCTTGAAATGCTTAATCTAAGTTAGAAGGGGGCCCTCAATTGAAACATTTTATGTGTCATTCAGCCAGGATAAAAAGGCACCTTGTTTACTTTCGAGATTGTTCAGTTTGATTATATAAACGTACATCCTGTTAAACATCAGTTGTTGAAATCCTCTTTGGCATCCTACCAATAGAGAATCGATCAAAAAAAAAAAAAAAAAACCTTCTGGACAGGCGCAAGTAAATTATTGAAACGGTCAGACAAACATGTATTTATTATTACTCATTCAAACTTCTTAAGATTCGTAAGAGTTGCACTGTGACTCTTCATCTTTATAATTGCACGTCTACACGAGACTCTTTCAACCCCAACTTGTCGAGGAAATTCTATATCATACGATTATCTATACCAGGCTATACTTATATTAGCCACTGGGGAGCTAATCCAGCTTGTCCTTGTCATCGGAACTATACGCAATGCTACCCGCAAATGGACCCCACTCAAAAGAGTGGCGAGTCATTCTTGGGTCTCTTTGATCGACAACTTCCGAATTATCACCCCCTTTTGAAGAGGCTGAAATTTGACGAATGTCTGGTATTCTTCGATTGATACGATTTGCATCAGCAGACCTGCCCTGGGAATTCATTAATTCAGCCATATCGGCTGGACCGCCCTTAACGCAATCGATTTGAATAAGTCCAAAAAGGTTTTTTGAAAATGGCATTTGGGGAATCATGGAAGAAAAACTTTTTTTGGGAGGGTTATAATTTAATTTATATTTATATTTCCCGCGTGGCAAACATTCTACCCCCTACGTCCCAGGCTGCCACCTGCATCTTTTATTGGTGCGGCGCCACAACTAAAACAGGCCTGTCACAGATAAGCCCCTATTGGCTTTTTTTGTTGAGTGATGCTCAGTCTTTCTCAAAGAAAAAAACCAGTCACTTTAGTTAAAGCGAACAAGGCCGCAAGAACTGGAAGTCGTGAAATGGGCTGTGCTGAACCCTGGCTGCGCTTGGTGGTGGAGAAACACTAGAGAAAGAAAACATACGACAAAACTGTCAGGACAATAATAATTCAATAGAAGAAAGAGCTTCTGTAGGAAGCAAACTTAGATAAGACTGTATATCATCGCTTCCAATTACCTTTACCCTCTCCTACTACAAGTTGTTGTTTTTTTTTCTTATATTCATCAATAATTCACTCGGCCCACGGAAATATCAATGCATGTATCTGATGAATTGTTATCGAGTCCACAACGAGTACACCTTCAACTCAGTTCATCAACAACAAGCAGATGCGTCCATTGCCATAAAAATCAAAATCTTGGGGTGAGATCTTTCACATCACCCTCTTGGTACACTCGTATTATCAAAATTGCGAGTGTCCGAATCTAAACTGATTCAACAGAAACAGTTTCATCAGGGAGCGTTTTTTCGGATGGCTCCTCAACTTTGCCCTTTTCTGAGTCTTTATCATCCGTATTAGAAACACCAAGGACGTGGTTGATTTCCCCGGATCCGAATCTAAATCCAGAATATTTGTCGTTGTTAAGGTATCCAATCAAGAAAGCCATGTTTGTATAATAGTATAGATGATCAATAAAATCTGGGAAAGCTGTCAATATATATACCAACTTGTGGCGACAGCTCTATACAGAATTAGGGGGCAAAGCCTAAACAGAACTTATCGAAGCCGCATATCTGAAGGCAATGCGGCCACACTTTGAGCCGACTATTTTGCGCTTTTGGAAAAGCACATGGCTACAAATGCGGGAGATAAACCACACTTACAACTATTCTGCTAGCTCAAATGACCTTTAATCTTATTCGGGCATGACTATTTAGACCCTTTGATGACAAAGCTATATCTTGTTCAAAGATTTATGAGAATCACTGAGTAGTACTATGTCGCACCCCTTATCATAAGTCGTGCCGTATGGAGCCACCTCTCGAAAGTTGTAAGGGGCGTAGCTAAGGCGCACATGAGATATTGGATTATCTTTTATTGATTACGATAAGGAATTGGTTTTCTACGAAAATGACTCTGGAAACGCTGAACAATATTGTGTCAAACTCGTTAGCTTCAAGCCACGCTCGCTTGGAGCCGCACGCCAGTGAAAAGTTACTATGTCGGAATCGATGATGATAGGCTTTTGACAGGCGATATCGAACTGGATTTCAGCGCAGCAACGATGTTGCAGGCGGGGAATTTCGGCCCCTATACCATGAATTTGCCAACAGGGGTGAAGCCAATGAGGTCACTGCTTTGACAAGTAATGAAGCTGCCTGGTATTATCAGGATTCGATCTATCTGTCTCATACTTCTTCTGGGCAGCCTGGAACAACCTTTTGTGAAACTAAGCGAAAAAAGATTGAGGATTTTGATAGCAACGCCCATCCTAAAAATCTATATCATTTCAAGGTAACGCGAGGGAAAACAGCCTGAATTTATATCCCCTACCTCGCACTAATGCTACAGCTGAAACGGTATCCGTGCTTGGGGCAGCTTAGGCCTTTGAAAGTACAGGACATTTTCTTCATTTTTAATGTCAATTAGAATTCAAAGGTGTTGTATTTCTGAGAGCGGGACCACATTGCTGAGTCACTATAAGAAGGTTGCAAAAAAGTGGAACCTCCAGCCAAGTCGAGGGAGAGAAAGTAATAAGTCATGATTTGAGGGAAGACGACGCTTCACTGGGAAAGATCTTTTCACGAGAGGTCAGATTTTGATGAAAGGAGTTTTTAAATGTTCACCTTCATGCTTTTCCAATATTACGTGGTATGCAAAAGGTGACGCTCATTCTGTATATGTCGCGTCAATCTCAGACAGTGATGGAAATGTTGCTCTAAAAATTGCCGCCAAAAATTAAATTCGGGTTCAACAGCACCAAAAAGCCTCATGTACTATACTTTAATGCTTCTGCATTAATTCCCACACTTTTAGGAAGATTGGACAAGTAGGAAATAGGAGAAGTTTATCCCAACCAAATGCAGATGCTAACATAGAACTTTAGGCCCCACGCGTTATCTACATTGCGTGATTTGAGGAGAAGTATACTTTGTATATGCGACAGAAGTTTTGTAATGATAGTATTCTATACTTTAATTACTCAGATGTACTTGCTCTTTCGAGGTACTTACAGTTGAAACGCACAGACTTCTTTTAGTCAATCAATTTCTTTGACCTAACTCCAGACTTAGAACCCGGTCTTGAGTGCCTTTTTAAGATAGGCGAACCATTCTCTCGCACCTTCAGGACTGCCCTGAACAGACTTGTGAAACTCGCATCCATAGGCAATCAAGATGAAAGTGGGGAAAGCTTGAATTCTGATATTCTCAAATTTGGTGGCTAGTTCCTCGCTCACATCTCTGGAGAAATGAATCTTGTAGAAGTCGATGTCAAAATCATTGGAGACTTCCTCATAAATGGGGGCGACGTCAGTGCATGGCTGACAACCATCTCTCGAGAACCCAACCATAACAGGCTTCTCCTTCAGCTTTTCCACAATCTCTTCGTATTCTTCGAAGGTGTCAAATTTGTGCACGGTCATATTTTGGCGAGTGATGCCATATACTGCCGTTTGGTTTGTTTAAGTACTTCCAGGGTATACGCGAGCCGGAAAACGCGAGTCTCAAGCACGTTGATGAAGATGCGCAAATTGTAGTCTACCTTTTGAACTTGGCTTAGATCTCTTCACCATGGTTTAATGTGCTTTTCTTTTTTTTTTTTTTTTTTTTTTTTTTTTTTTATTTTCGGCGTGCGCAGGTTGGATCCTACTTAGCGTAGCGATCAGACAGACTCTTCTGGTTAGTGATGTTGAGTTTTAGAAATACTTGTAGGGCGTGGGCGACCAACTACATGCAACTCGCTGATACGTCAAATGGTGGCGAAAGATAACGCGGTTGACATCGAGAAATAGCCAATGAAAACGGCCTCGCTTGAATGAATGCGTCAACTCCCGCTGATTACTGTGGTGTAAATGCGTAATGAACCGCGGCATGCACACTGACACATTCATGCCTTATCTATGGTGCCGCACCGATAAATGGCCCTCAACCGATCAAGGAAATGACGAAGTGTGATGAAGTGCCCCAAACGGGAGAAACCTATTTAGTTCTTGGTGCTTTTTAACATTTATCTGAATTTTTGTATTTATGGGTTGGCTGGCTATGTTGTTCGTTGCAATCGCTACTTTCTCATGTTCTCAATAGTACCTCATCCGCCACTTTCGTAATCTACAATCAATAAGATAAAGCAAATGGTCACCAAAAGCTTGATGTCAACCTTCTTAGGCTAAAAAATCATCTTAATATATCCAAAATAGGTCTAGAGCTATCTGTGTTAGTTTGGTAATTTTTGAAAGCTTTTCAATTAGGGTTTGGGTAGTCTAGTCACTAACTAAGCCCTTCTTATACTATCTCAATAATATTATTAATAAAGGTAAAAATGGCTAAGTTCTAAGTCAGATATGGACCAACGAGCTCCGGTAAATATCATGAATCTAATTTTCGGAATTGTTATGGTTTCATTGGAGGTTTAGCTAGCCCACTTTTCTGAGCTACATGCGATTTAAACCAACACCAAAGTACGGAAAAAAAAGGTCCAGAACTAATATTCATGCTCTCTTGAGATTTATAAATGTTTCATCCAAGTTAAACGACTTTTCGACTTCTTGAGGTGCTTTTTTGGATTGAGATTATCCAGGCTTCTTTGGGGTTCCGACGTATTTTTTTTTTTTTTTGTTGAATTCAATTAAATGGAACGGACACGTCATGAGAGCCTTAATGTAAGTAAATGTCCCTAGAATAGACGATATATGGTACCCTTTGTTTCACGATTCACGGTATAAATATTTTGTAATATCCTAATAGTCATCTTTCATAAATTCTGGGTATTTTTGATAATGCGGGTTGTCGTTTTGCTTATGTGCTGCGATTTTGAAGGGCTAACATAAATGCAAAGTTTAAAACAGTCACTAAAAATCGAAAATTGCCTGAAAATTAAACAGAGCATATATTGTAGCTTCTTGGGACGTGAAATATACGTGGTAGAGTTTTGGGAAGTTTATTAAAGCTCTAAGTTGTATTTTCATATCGGTGGTCAAAATGGAACTCTCGCATATACAAACTTAATATAGCAGAGGTAGAATACTTAAGAAAAAAAAAAAGTAGGAAATACTGTTATGGCTAAAATACATACTATGTTAAAGATCTTTTCAAGGATATAGTAGGTGGCTGCTTCACTCATTCGATCTATCCCAGTCGGGTTTTCAGTTGAGGGGGCGAATTACCTCCATGAACAACATAATGGATGGCTCCAGCAATAAAAATTCAATAAAAGAAAGAAACAATATCTCTCTATATCTAATAATCTTCTAGGCTGTTGAATTGCCATACTTTGCGTTTGATCTGTCCCTTTTTTTTTTGAGATGATTTCCAGCTTACGCGTTGTTAAAATGTCTAAATCAACAATTCTAAATCTACCACAGCCATTACAACCCCGAGGCGTTCAAAAGGGGACCTATGCTTGTACACTTACATTGGAACTTCACATACCCGCTCCGAACCGCCACTATGTGCGCCTATGCGGCAGCCAAAGTTTTGACAGAGTTCATAAACTCTGTTGATTACCTTTACCTATGAGTATTATGACTACATATTGAGTCGAAGATTGTTAGAGTTTTTGACTGGCACGATGCCCATCAATAAGCATTTGATACAGGACTTGGATGACATGAGAAGTACTTGATCAGGTGTTCTTTGAGCGGCGTTGAGCCGCCATGGCTTATCGGGATGTGGCTCTTGTGACGGCAGCAAATTTTATCAATGCCACGTGGCTGAAAGCATAATTTCGCTTTCTGCATGACGAGACAGGAGAAGCCAAATGGCTGCATGGTTCATTGATAACACCCAGGGTTTTGGTGACATTACATTTGGAGATTTGATACAGCCTTACCGGCGAACAGCAATGTCACTCCAAATATGAGGGACATCACGCATATTTGGTCTAGCGTTTTTTTTTTTTAGCACGAGGTTGTGTGACAGCATCCTGCAGTCAGTCGCTGTCACTCGCAATTTGACGTCTGCATGATTTACTGTGGTTGATTTGGCGCCACCGAGGCTCATGCAGCATGGTGCATGCATAACGCCTGAAGGACCCCGAACGGCACAATTATGCCGATAAAAGATAAGTGAAACCAGAGAACACAAGTCTTTTTTTTTTTTGATAGAAAACATCCATTAAGGAGAAAACTATTTAGCTATAAACAGAAAACCCGCCTCGAGTTCCCAATCCTTTCAAGTCACCATGTCTTTTCCCGTATGTCCGCCACGTTTTGCCCATCTGCAATACTAACAAAAGTCTTCATTTGACACCTCAAAGATCGACTGGAACGCCATCGCAACACAGTTTGTGGTGGCCGATTTCGTCTTTCACGCATACCTCATTCAGAGACAATACAGGGTAACATTTATTGAAAATGTCCCTAAAGTGGTGGAGAAGGAGGTTGCCTCAGGGCTGTTCATTAAGTCTCAGAGGTATGCACGGGACAAACTCAAATTGGATTTGGCCCGGAAGATTATCACCTTTTTGGAAGAGTTGGCGATTCTCCACTTTGGTTTGATGCCGCAGATTTGGCATGTGTCAGGCGTTTATTTGTCACTTATCAGTGAAATCCGTTACCTTCACGGAATTTCAGGCAGTGAGGCATTACAGAGTGTGTTGTTCATTGTAATTAAAAAGACCATCTCAAGGATTATTGAGATCCCATTAGATTACGCCCACACCTTTGTTTTAGAGGAAAGGTGGGAATTTAACCGGATGACGAGATCGAAATTTTACAGAGATCTGGCTTTATCACTTGTTATTTCAGACCTCATTTATGCTTTGGCGGTATTTGTATTTGTGAAGATAGTTGATTTTTTTGGCGCCAATTTTCTCATATACACAATTTTTGCTGCCGTCGCTGGATTTCTATTATTCCAGACAATCCTCCCTAATGTCATTTTACCATTATTTCACAAATTCACACCTTTGGAAGACGGCAAGTTGAAGACGGCGATTGAAGAATTGGCGAAGCGAAACGGCTTCCCCACTTCGAACATATTTGTTATTGATGGTTCCACCACAAGCACTCATGCAAACGCTTTTTTTCTGGGCTTGCCTTGGAACAAGCAGATCGCGCTTTATGATACACTAATTCATAAGTTCACCACCAGCGAAATCATTGCCGTTTTGGCGCACGAGTTAGGCCATTGGAAATTGGGCCATGTTTTTCAGATGAATATCCATCTTCAGGTGATCTTGGCTTTGAATTTCGCCTTGTTTTCGGCATTTTTCGAGAGCTCCTCTCTTGCTGGAGCATTCGGGTTCGCCAAGCCCTCTCCAGCCATCAACTTTATTCTTTTTACGTATCTCACCTGGCCATTAGACACATGTACCTCGATTTCCAGAAATCTTTTGGTCAGAAGAAATGAGTATCAGGCAGATAACTATGCGAAGGACCAGGGATACAAGGACGAGATTGCTAGCGGTTTAATTCGTCTTAATAGTGACAGTTTGGACGCATTGTACACTGACTGGTTATATTCCATCTGCAACTCGAGCCACCCCACTTTAGTGGAACGGTTGGTTGCAATTGGTTATGAACCGCAGAAGAAGGTGAGGAAAGAGTTAAAGGTACTAAAGGAGGAGGAGGATGCGACGGGGAATACTGAAGAGTGAGAAGTATTCTATAGTCTCTGTATGTGATTGTAGTAGTTGTTACGTTCGGTGGATGCATGGATTTATTTCTCATTGTTATATGTTGTTGTCCTTGATATATGAGCATAAGCCAATGCCGATACACCCCCGACGGATCATCAAACCTGTCTGTTCTTATCAATCTTCCCACTATCGATACAATGGTCATAGGTGTCTGGGTTTTTCTTAGGTGTCTGGGTTTTCTTAGGTGTCTGGGTTTTCTTAGGTGTCTGGGTTTTCTTAGGTGTCTGGGTTTTCTTAGGTGTCTGGGTTTTCTTAGGTGTCTGGGTTTTCTTAGGTGTCTGGGTTTTCTTAGGTGTCTGGGTTTTCTTAGGTGTCTGGGTTTTCTTAGGTGTCTGGGTTTTCTTAGGTGTCTGGGTTTTCTTAGGTGTCTGGGTTTTCTTAGGTGTCTGGGTTTTCTTAGGTGTCTGGGTTTTCTTAGGTGTCTGGGTTTTCTTAGGTGTCTGGGTTTTCTTAGGTGTCTGGGTTTTCTTAGGTGTCTGGGTTTTCTTAGGTGTCTGGGTTTTCTTAGGTGTCTGGGTTTTCTTAGGTGTCTGGGTTTTTCTTAGGTGTCTGGGTTTTCTTAGGTGTCTGGGTTTTCTTAGGTGTCTGGGTTTTCTTAGGTGTCTGGGTTTTCTTAGGTGTCTGGGTTTTCTTAGGTGTCTGGGTTTTTTTTGGTTTTCTTAGGTGTCTGGTTTT